CCTTAGCATTGTTATCATCATTCCAATCCGCATCTTCACTCATCCCTTTGGTCATCAAATTGGTCAGCTTCTCGATGACATCTTTGTCCAGCGTGCTCATCTGCGCTGTGAGTTCCCGCTTGATTGCCTCGTTGGCATCTCCTATGGTTGTGGGATTGGATGTAAAATCACCGGATTGTAACTTTGCAATTTCATCGTGGATTGCTTGAAGATTGAGACTGTATCCATTTGTGCTTTTGCCTTTACCGATGTAATTGGCCAACCTTTGCAACTGGTCAACGACGTCATCATATGATCCATAATCATTCAACCTGTATCCAATTGATGCAAGTTGTCCACGAATTTCTTTTATAGCCTTGCCAATTATATCAGTTTGCTGAGGCAAAATAGCATTTTGATTTCTAAGGTCAATCTCAATGCTTTTTAAATTGTGCGTAGTTTTCCATTTTGTGTTGCCTAATGTCCAATCACTATCTCCAAGACCAAAGCTTTTTAAGTCATTCAAAGCATTTATCACATCATCTTTCTCAGTCATCTTCTCTTTCTTCAACTTCTCCCTAAGCTTCTTAAGCTCCTCCTTAATAAGGCTGACGGCTGTGTCAATTGCTTTGGGATGGGCAGTGAAGGGAGATTTTTGCAGACCTTTAATAACATTTATAATATTCTCGAGACCATCGCCTCCATCAACCCAAGGTCTATATTTGATCATGTGTGACAACTTCCCCAAGTAGTCCTTGACACCCTTATCATCCAGAGTTGTCGGCGACGTCGACTGCTTAATGTCAACAAGTCCAGCGATCTCTATAAGTCCGTCCCGTATCTCAGTGAACGGAACTTCAAAGGTATCATCATTAATTGGCTTCGTGGCACTCACACCAATAACACCTTCAAGCGCCTCCAGTCCCAGAGTCTTGATCTGCTTGATCGCATCGGGGAGTTTACCTTGTAGGTCTTCTGGTTTATCTTTATCAAACTTCTCAACGCTTTCTTGGTTAACGTGTCCCTTATATTGGTCAAAGCTTGTACCAGCAAGCTCAGTAATTGTGGCACCTTGACCACCCGTCGAATCATCCGCCCCAATGTGCGTATCAACCTCCTTTTTAACTTGTGATTCGAGATCCGCTTTGATCCTATTGTGCGCTTGGTGGAAATTGTCCATGAGCTTTTCTGCACCACCAAGCTCAATTGTACTACCGTTACTAATCTGCTCAGCCGCCGCTGTGATCGCCGTCTTGGCCGCAGCCTTGATCTGGTCTTGAGCTTGCTTGTCGAACTCTTCGACGGCGTTGGGAAGACCTTTAACCGCTTCTGTAAGTTCTTTTGTGACTTCACTTTTAAACGTGGTAATAAGTTTGTCTTTCTCTACCATATTCCTCACCGCCTCCAACTTACTGTCCACGGCTTGGGCGGGGCTATCAGTGGAGCCTCCGGGAGGGTTGGGGCTAGTCGCATCGTCCAAATTCCTTTTAAGCCCATCTACAATAGGCGTGATAGTGTCCAAGATTTTTGCGATGCTTCCGTCGCTGGGTTCCGCGTTTGGGGGCTTATCGGGTATGTTGAGAAACAGTGAATTCAGTTCGTTGCCCACCTGCCGGGACACCGCAGAGAGTGATCCCAAGATGACAGCAGTGAGGGAGTTTTTACTGCACTCCTGGTTGCTTTTGCAATGGGTGCAGTCGCAGATGCATTTCGCGTCGTGTTTTATGTATGTCAACACCCCACTCTTAATCTGCGTGACTAATCCACTTTTTCCTTCCTTCAGCTTGTTATCAAGCGCGTTGGCAAAATTCTCGCAACCATTCTTCACAGCTTGGATGCGTTTTGCGATGTCTTCTGCACCGCCGCTTTTTGCTTGTTCAACCGTTTGACCGGCTTCAGTTGCTTCGACGCCAAGATTTTCCTTAATTTCACCTGCCATTTTCTGGATAGAGTTCTCTCTACTCCCTCCAAAAATCTTGTCGTTAATCCTATCACTGACCAAACCGTTATGCGGCAAAATAGTCTTCTCAATCCAGCCCTTCACTATATTCTTGAACGGCCACTCGCCGCTGAACGCATTGAAATAATTTCCCACCTTACTCTTAATACCATCCAGGCCTGAGCCCGGGGGATTCCATTGACCATTTGGAGCAAACATTCCTGCCTCCCCCTTAATCTCCCCAACCTTTTCTTTAATCTGTTTAAAAATCTCTTCAAGTTTCTTTTCACTTCCGCCTCTCAACTCAAACTTCCCGCCAAGCGTCCCAATCGCCGTGTCAACTTCAGTGACTTGAAGGTTAAGCGGAGTCTTGATGTAAGTATTAAACTTACTTTCAAGTTGACCCATTTCCTTATCAATTGTGCCAGTTGTCTTGCCAGTTACTGTTTCAAGATTTTTCTTCTCTTCCGCAAGTTTTTCCAACTGAGCTTTAACAAGACCATTACTCTCCACATCCTTGCCAAGCCCCTCAATCTTCCCCCTCAACTCCCCCAAATCATCCTTCACCAAACCATCCAACTTAGTAACCTGCAAAAACGTAATAACCTCTTTAATCCCTTCCTTAATCTCCATCTTCACGCTCTTCAAATCCCTCTTGAGATCTGAGTCCATTCTCACAACAGCCTCCAACGCATCGGTGACCAAATTCCCAACTTGTTCTTGCCTGCTTTGCAGCCTGCAAAAAGTATTGTACCATCATCTCGTAACAATTCAGCTTGCTCAAAATTGGACCTTTTGACTACTTTTCTCTGTATTAACTTTCTCCAAAATTGTATTACACTTCCTATCTGCCTTGTCAATGACACTCCCGGCCGCAGACTTCCAATCTTTCAAATCCTTAACATGACCAGCAAGTTGTGTTTTCTTCAATTTGTCCCTTGGCAATCTCAATCACTGTAATCTTCTGGCCAATCTCCTTACTTCCATCTAGCAAAGCATCATGTACACTCTGCGCTTTTTCAATCGCCCCGGCAAGCACTGTTCTGGCCTGCTGATTCCACGCTCCCAAATTGCCGTGGACACCATTCAGACTATTATTGACATTCTTAATTCGCTCATTGGCATCCACAATTTTCTGAATATTCTACTTAATTCAGCGTGGACGTCCAACCGTAGGCCTCCGTGGCCTTCTCAGCGGCACTGTGGCGGATGTCCTCCGCGGTGCCAATCCAAGAATGCAGACTCTCAACTTGTGTTTTAAGGTCCTCATTTGCTTTTTTAATCGCCTCGTTGGATGTGTGAATCTTCTCAATGTTGTGACCAATAGGATGTGTGTCATCTTTCTGATTAGGATCCAACTTGCCATGGACATCTCTTGCTTTGTCAACCGCTGCGCTGAGGACACTGTTTGCTGCATTTTTCCAGTTACCTAAATCGGTGTGAACAGCTTGAAGCGCGTCATCAACTTGCTTAACTTTATCCTTGGCGTCCCTAATCTGCTTAACCCCCTGACCAATCGGAGTCTTTGGATGACCATTATTATCACTATGATCCAACCTCCCATGTACCTGTTCCGCCTTCACCTTAGCCGCCTGAACGGCGGCGTCCGCAGCCTCAATCCACTGAAAGGAGGGATGAAGGAGGCTGCTTTGGGAGTGACGGCAAGGCGACAAACGGAGAAGGGAGATGACAAAGCAGCGAGTAGGTTACATCTTAGGATAGGTGCTAGGTTAGCCTCTTGGTAGTGTACTAGGTAAGCCACTTGGTTATGTACTAGGTCAGCCGTTTGGCTAAGCATTAGGTTAGGTGCTAGGCAAGGCACGAAATAGTCACCATGAGAGACGTGACGTGACATGGAAACACAAAGTGAGGAATGTAAATGTGAATGTAGCTGAGATAATTACTGTCATGAGTGAAAGTCGTCGTCGAAGTAGTCGACGTCCTTGTAGAGTGAGAGCATCTTGCGGCTGCCGGCGAGCAGCGCCTTGACGTCGATGAGGTGGGAGGCCCTGGTGGTGAGGAGATGGGAGCGGATGCGTAGCACGTCCAGGCGGTAAAGCAGAGTGTGGGCTATGTAGAGCGTGGCGGTGAGCCAGAGTGTGAGCACAGTGTAGAGGAAGGGCATACGGATGCGATAGATGTACTCGGGGATGGTCTCGTGCGCCAGCCTGTGGAGAGGGTTCATCTGCTTGACGGCGACTTGCAGTGCCATGCAGAGATCCTGGCAGGTCCGCTTGCCTTGGTGGCCGCTGGTGGATCCGGCGAGGGTGTGGACGTCCCTGAGCGCGAAGCCGTACTGGAAGAGTGTGGGCGTGGTGGAGTCGCAGTCCGTGATGGAGGGGCAGTCGGGAGTGTGATTGGAGTTCGGGGCCAGTGGACGCTGCTTGGCTGTGCAGTCGTTGTCGCAGCTCCTGGCGTGGCAGGTGGCTGAGACGTCGGCGCAGGTGCGCTCGCAGTCTTGGAGCAGTTGCTTAAGCAGGTCGTAGAATGTCTCCGTGAGGTACACTATCCACGAGAGGTAGAGGTGGGCGTGTTCCTTGGAGAAGGTGGCGCGTACGTCGTGGCCGAGGGGCTTGAGGTAGGGGCCGCAGGGGTGTGACGGAGCGGAACCTGGAGTGCCGTTGCACTGTACGAGGGAGAAGAGATCTCCGGTGAGGTGAGGGATGTCCGTCCCGGAGCCGTGGTTGCTGGTGCGGAAGATTGTACTGACGTCCAGTGTCACGCCCCGCTGCCGGAAGCACGCAGCGCCGCCGGCGTCATCGAAGGCTTCCTTCCGGTGCTCACCGGTCTGAGTCCAGTTACAGAGGAAATTGTAGTAAAAGGCGAACAGCTCGTCTGGCGTGCGTGGCGGTCGGGTGAAGAGGCAACTCAGGGAGCCGCAGAGCCTGGCGAGGGGCGACGATGCGCCGCCGCAGAAGGCGCCGAGAACGTCCATGATGCGTCGGCCTTGGGAGGCACCGGAGGCCAGCCAGGTAATGTTGGATAGGCCCATGGCGTCTTGCAGGGCAGGCCGGGTGACTTGGTGTCACAGGCGGAGCACTTGACACAGGTGTCCTTGTGTAACAGCGTGAGGCAGGAAGCCCACCAGGCCGTCCTCTAGGAACGACTGGAGCGGCGACTTGACGCCGCACTTGGGGTGTTGGTCACACGTTTGGTTACATATTTGGTTGCACTGTTGGTCACACATTTGGTTGGCACACTGCATGGTGTTGCACCTCCACGCTGAGCCACCGACGCCCCGGCCGTACCAGCAGTCGAGCCATCCGCCGTGCCGGGCGTTGTAGAGGCATCGGCGGTAGAGGAAATACAGCTGGTGGTGGAGGCGTTTGATGACGTCGAAGAGCAGGCAGAGCAATGTGTCCGTGTCACGGGGATACAGCAGGCCTCCGGGGTTGGTGTTGAAGTCGACGGCGTAGATGCCTTTAGCATGGCCGAAGCCGAGTAACGTGGTGAGCACTGAATGCGCCTTGTGGCAGACCTCCGTGAGTGCGTCGGTGAGGGAAGTGAGAGTGATGTGCTGCGGGTGGGCGGGCAGCGCCAGGCTGCTGAGGTTTATCAAGGGCACGTCGGAGTCCCCGGGGTTCGGCTCCTCCGCCTCGAACAGCGACGGCATGGCATCATGAGTGACGGTCAGATGCACGGGATTGTACGTAAGCCCGCAGCACCATGTGAGCATCTCGTAGACGTTGCACGGCGGCCGGGGCGAGGGATGCACCTTGAGGTGGCACGTCTCATAATACTCATGGAGGTGCGTGCAGAAGCAATCGAGGAGCTCTAGGAGGTTACAGTCATGTTGTGTTGAGAGACATTCCCTGAGGTGTTCGTTGTCATGGGTGCCGGCGACTTTCTGGAGAAGCATGAGATACACGTCGTGGCCGTTGCAGTCAGCGCCGTTGCGGAGCTCGCCGTCCTGGTCAGAGGGGAGCTTGCGACAGGGCCGCAGCGTTGGAACGTGCCGAGTTTACTGTTTGAATTAATTTTCATGTCCCTCCACCTGCCGCCGGTCTTGCACTGCTGCCGCAGCTGAGTGAGGGCGTCGTGCAGTGTGGGCAGCACTGTGAGAAAGACCTTGGCGTACTTGTCGGCGTCAGCCTCCCGGCACTCCGCGCCCGAGTAAGTGGAGATGTACGCACCGCCGAACTCACCGGCGAAGGCACTGAGTCCCCTGCTCACGGAGTCCAGCGTGGGAGTGGAGGGCTTCTGGAAGCCCTGCGGCCTCAGCTGTGTGAGCGCGTCGGTGAGGTTGTGGAGCAGGCCTCGCAGCCTGTCGTCGAAGCCCTGCGTCACGCAGAGGTAATTGAGCAGGGCGTTGACATCGCTGTGCACGGCGTCCCACTCGGCGGCGTAGGGCTCTTCCGACTTCGGCAGTGAGGGATTCTTTTCGTCGTCGCGCTCCTTCTTCACTCTCTCAATCTCCTTACGGAGATACTCGTGGAGCGGCGCGAAGAAATTCTGGAACGCGGAGGACAATGCTCGGAGCATTCTGCTCTGCACGTTCCTTAGCCTATTAATGTTTTCGCTGCGCTCACCCTCCATCTGCCTCATGAAGCCCTTGAAGCCCACGAAGAGATCCCTGTTTATCTCGCCGGGCAGTTCCCCCAGCTCACTCTCCGCCTTTAAGGCGAAGTGTTTCAGCGCGTCCCTGGCGGACTCCACGTAGTCACGCCGCGCCTCCTTGGTGAGCTCCGCGATTGCATCTTCCACCTCGTAGTCCACGAATTTCTCAAGCTCCCTCACTGTGTTCCTCTCTATGTCGTCGGCTTTCTCGAGGAACTTGTCGCACATGTCGATGGTCTTGTGAAGGTCACCGGTGCGGAGGGCGTGGATGTCACTCTTGATTTTTTCGAGTGCTTTGTCAATATTTTCTGTTTCGAAAAGCTTCAACTGCCAGTCGACACTGCCGGCTTCGCTCGTAATCTTGGCGCACAGTTCACCGAGATGTTCGTTGACCTTGGGGACTGTGTCCCTATTGAGCTCTTCAATGTCTTTCTTGATTCTATTTAAGCTTCCGTTACTGTTTTTTGCGTCTTTGTCAATTGCAGTAATCACATCCCCCAAATTGTTAATCACGCCTTTTTTAGATACATCACTGTCCTCCTTTTGTAGGTAATTATTCCTGAGATCGTCAAGCTCCCCGGTAATTTTCCGGACGCCGCCGCCGATATCTCCTGGCTGTTTGGTCAATTCAAGTTGTTGACGTTTAAGCTCACTCTCAATTTTTGCGAGGCCTTTTTTAGTCGGAGGTTTATGCCAATTGTCACTCAGCCCCTTGCTCTGCAAATCCTGCAAAGTGGTAATGACATCGTTGTCCTTGGCGCCGAGCAACTCTTTTTGAAGGGTAGTGAGTTCTCGTTTAATCGCTGAGTTGGCTTGATGGATGGTCGTTGATTGGGTAGGAAATCCCCAATTTTGTAGCCAAGCAATCTGGTTATAAATGTATTGGAGATTTCCATCCCTTGGTTTGCCTTGGCCTATCTTCTTTTTCAACCACTCCAAACTGTCAATGATGTCATCATGGCCGCGATCATCTTGCAACTTAAATCCTAGAACCCTGAGTTGCCACCTAATTTCATTCACCGCTTTATCAATGTTTCCGGTTTCGGGAAGCAATAAATTATTGTGAGTTTTGAGCTCATTTCGGATTTTGCTAAGCCCCATGGCAGTTTGACCCTCAGCTGTCCACTTTCCACCATCTTCAAGGCCATTATCTTTCAACGTCGTTAAGTTGTCAATTACGCCATTCGTCCCACTTTTATTGCCATTCTTCAAAGTAATTGTAAGCATATCAAGCTCCGCCTTAATTTGCTCGACGGCTTGGTCGATTGCAGCGGGTTGAGTAGTGAACTCACCGGATTGCAATCTTCCAATCGCCGTTTTGATCGCCTCGAGGCCTTTTTCTGCTGCGCCATCCAATCCGTTCTTGTCAAGAGCATCTTGCAATTTCTTTAGGTGCTGCTTGATGCCAAGTGGGTCCTCTGGTTGTGGTTTCTGCTGCCCATCTGGCCACTTATTATTGTTATCCACGAACCACGCGATGGCTTGGAGCTCCTTTTCGATTTCTTGGAACGGCGTTTTGAAAGTGCCATCTGTAATTTTATCAGCGCCACTGTACTGTGGACCGATGATTCCAAGCGTCTTCAGTCCGTCACTTTTAACCGCCGTGATCGCACTGGGCAGTTTGCCTTTTAACTCATCTGGTTTACTCGTGTCAAAGCTCTTAACGCTTTCTTGGTTTACGTGTCCACTATATTCCGTGAAGCTTCCACCAGCAAGCTCAGTAATTGTACCACCTTGACCACCCGTCGAATCATCCGCCCCAATGTGCGTATCAACCTCCTTTTTAACTTGTGATTCGAGATCCGCTTTGATCCTATTGTGCGCTTGGTGGAAATTGTCCATGAGCTTTTCTGCACCACCAAGCTCAATTGTACTACCGTTACTAATCTGCTCAGCCGCCGCTGTGATCGCCGTCTTGGCCGCAGCCTTGATCTGGTCTTGAGCTTGCTTGTCGAACTCTTCGACGGCGTTGGGAAGTCCGCCGACTGCTGCTTGAAGGTCCTTCTTGACTTCACTTTTAAACGTGGTAATAAGTTTGTCTTTCTCTACCATATTCCTCACCGCCTCCAACTTACTGTCCACAGCATGGGCGGGGCTTTCATTTTGGCCTTTGGAGTTGGAATTGTTTGTCGCCTCTTTCAGCTGCTTGTCGAGATCATCTACAGTCGGCTTTATTTCGTCCAAAATTTCGCCAAACTTGTCGATGCCTAATGATTTGAGCTCAATGCCAACCTGCCTCACAGAAGCGCAGAGCGCGACCAGGATGTATTTTACGGCGGTGGTGAGATTAGCGTCTCTATTAAAATTCTGAAGACCCTGCCGCGATGCCCAACTCTGAATCTGCCCGGCTATCGCAGGAGCAAATCTCTCTATTTCCGTTTTCGTGATTTTCTCATCAAGTTTACTGACAAACTCCTCGCAAGCGCTTACGATAGCAGTGAGATTTTCTTTAATGCCCTCTTTCACTGCACCAATCTTCCCTTGCGCTGCACCAATTGGGCCTCCAAGCGCACTCTTAATGTTATTTATAACTTGATCTTTCAACGCTTGTTCACCATGCCCGCCCCCATTAGCCGCCTTCTGATACGGCTCAAGCCAAGAGTTCACGGCTGCTAACCCAGCCTTATATCCAGTTTCCCTTGGCCCCTTCCCATTCCCTATTACACCTTCTAGCCACCCCTCTACTCTAGCCTTAAAACCATTCCCGCGAGAGTTAACGAACGCCTGAGCAAGCGCCTTCACTTTCGCAACAATTCCATCCAGACCTTTTTGGTCTCTTTCACTCCCCTTAATCTCCCCAACCTGCTTTTTAATATGCTCGAAAATCTTATCAAAAGTCTTCAGATCACCAGTATCTTTAAACGTCCCGCCAAGCGTCCCAATCGCCTTGTAAACTGCTTGGACTTTACCGTTAAGCGGCCTTTGGATATGCGTACCAAACTTAGTGTCAAGATCACTCGCCGCCGACGTAACTTTGGTAACATGATTTTGATTCAATTGCGTTTTCGCATCTTCAATCATCTTCAACTGGCCACTTACAAGACCACTACCGGAGGTACTGCCAGCAACCTGCTGATTAAGCCCCTTAATCCTCTCCCTCAACACCGTCAAATCATTCTTCACCAAATCATCCAAAGTCTCAACTTCCAAGTCCCTAATAACCCTCCGTATTCCTCCCTTAATCTCATCTTTCACTTGCTTCAAATCCCTCTTGAGATCACCGTCCATTTTCACAACAGCCTCCAAGGCCTCGCCGACTTTCTTGCCAACTTCCTGCTTGGCCGCAGTCGCAGCATTAAAAAGTGTTGTACCTTTGCTTTGTAAAGTTTGAGCAAGTTCATAAATTCCACCTGATGGAATAACTTTCTTAAGTATCTCCTCACACTTCCCATCCGCCTTGGTAATAACTTCCTTGGCGGCATCCCTCCAGTTACCTAAATTGGCAACTTCAGTGGCAAGAGCTTTATTGGCTTGCTCAATTTGTCCTTTAGCAGTTTCAATGTTTTTCACATTTTGACCAATGGATTCCGGCTTACTATTATCTTCCTTCAACGCATCATGAACATGTTCCGCATTTTTAATCGCCCCGTCAAGCACTTTACTGGCCTGCTTATTCCACATTTCCAAATTGCCATGAAGACCATTCAGACTATTATTGACATTCTTAATTCGCTCATTGGCATCCACAATTTTCTGAATATTCCTACTTAATTCAGCGTGGACGTCCAACTTGTCATAGGCTTCCTTGGCCTTTTGCTCAGCTTTACTGCGGATGTCCTCCGCGGTGCCAATCCAAGAATGCAGACTCTCAACTTGTGTTTTAAGGTCCTCATTTGCTTTTTTAATCGCTAAGTTAGAGATGTCAATCTTGTCAATTTGTTGCTTCAACTGCGCTGTCCCAGTATTAGGATCCAACGCTTTGTGAACCTCTCCAGCCTTCATAACCGCTGTGCCAAGGACACTGTGCGCCGCATCTTTCCAGTTACCTAAATCGGTGTGAATACTTTTCAACTGACCATCAACTTGACTAACTTTTCCTTTAGCCTCATTAATTTGCTTAACTCCTTGGTCAATCGTCGTGTTGTTTTTATCACTATGATCCAACCTCCTGTGCACATCTTCCGCCTTCTCCTTAGCCACCTTAACGGCGGCGTCCGCAGCCTCAATCCACTGAAAGGAGGGATGAAGGAGGGCGTTTAGGGAGTGACGGCAAGGCGACAAACGGAGAAGGGAGATGACAAAGCAGCGAGTAGGTTACATCTTAGGATAGGTGCTAGGTTAGCCTCTTGGTAGTGTACTAGGTAAGCCACTTGGTTATGTACTAGGTCAGCCGTTTGGCTAAGCATTAGGTTAGGTGCTCGGCAAGGCACGAGACACAGTCACGATGAAGGACGTGAGATGACATGGCAACACAAAGAGAGGGATGTAAATGTAATGTAGCTACGATAATTACAATCACGAGTGAAAGTCGTCGTCGAAGTAGTCGACGTCGTGGTAGAGTGAGAGCATCTTCCGGCCTTTAGTGAGTAAGGCCTTGACGTCGATGAGGTGTGAGGCCCTGGTGGTGAAGAGATGCGAGCGGATGCACAAAATGTCCATGCGGTAGAGGAGTGAGTGGAGGATGTAGAGCGTGGTGGTGAGCCAGAGTGTGACGATGGTGAAGAGGAAGGGCATCCTGATGTGCCAGAGGAACTCATCACACTTGTGGAAGAGATCTCTGAAATACTCAGAGTGGAGGACTTGGGAGAGCTGCGTGGAGAAGCTAAAGCAAGTTGTGTTTTGCGATATCAAGGCCGGTGCGTCCTTGAAGGTGAGGCCGTATTGGTAGAGCGTCGGCATCACGCCCGTGCATTGGACGATGGAAGGGCATCGGCAGCCGTGGACGGGTGCCTTGGGGTTTAGGACGCCGTGGCTGTCTGGATCACAGGGGCCTTCGTGAAGGCACGCATCGCAGCTCCAGTCCCGGCAGGAGATTTCCTTGAACGCGGTGTACAGGCACAGCAATAAATCATACAGTGTCCACGGGAGGTAGACGGCCCAGGAGAGGTAGAGGTCTGAGTGGCGGTAGGCAAGGCTGTCGTAGGAGTCGCGGCAGAGGGCTTGGAGGAAGGGCGAAGCTTGGTGCCTGGTGCAGACGTCAGTGCCTGCGAGATGCGTCAGGTGCGGGTGCTTGCAGCCGCCGTGTTTCGCGGAGTCCGAGCCGTAGGCGGCGGTGAGCGCTGCGGTCAGGTCACCGGGTTGGTTGTAGAGGCGAAGTGACAAGTCCGTGGCGGATGCCTCGAGGGCCTGTTGGAGGGAATTCTTGGGCACAATCTTGCCGTCGTGCCAATCGTTGACGAGCGACAGGGCGAAGCCTATGTGCTCAGCCAAGGTGCCGGCGGTCTGGGTTCGAGGCTGAGCAGCGATGGGAGATGCTTGTTGCCGAACCATTTGGTCAGCACTTTGCACAGCTGCTTGCCCGTCTTGATGCTGCCGGAGAAACCCCGGAAGCCGAGCGGCGTGAGGCAGGGCATTCCACTTGGTGCACTGGGACAGGTGTTACACCGAGGCTCACATCCGATGGCGCTGACCTGATGAGGCAGGTGGCCGGGCAGGCAGTCGTTGAGGTACGACATTAGAGGGGACTTATCTGTGCACTCCGGGTGAGGGGTAGGCAGAGCGGTGAGTGGAGGACTGCACTGCCACATATATGGTGGGACACCCTTGCCGTACCGGCACTCCGCCCAGCCACCGTGGTGAGCGGGGAGTGAGCACTGACTTGACAGGAACCTGAGCACTGAGAGCAATAAACGTACACAATGAAGCATCATGTGCAGGCATTCCTCGCCGTCCTGCGGGTAATACAGTCTCATGGAGTTGCTATGGAAGTCGCAGGCGTATGTTGTCAGAGCACTGCCGTAGCCGAGCACTCTGGTGAGTATGGCAGGGCAGTCGGCGGTGAGCCTCCCAACGGCGGCAACTAAAGCGTCGGCGGTGAGCGTGGCGGGATACAGGCTATTCTCAGTCTGCTCGCTGTAACACAGTTTCGTGAATTTACAGAGCTTATCGTAGACACAGTTGTGCGGGAGGCCCGTCAGCCATACGAGCATCTCGTAGACGTTGCACGGCGACCTGGTGGAAGAGTAAGCAGCGTAGTGACACGCCTTGTAATAATCATTGAGACATTCGAGAAGAATCCCGAGCGCATTCTTGGTGTGTTTATCAGAGTTGAAGACACGTTCGAAATCGCCGACGAGGAGCATGGTAATTCCTCTACCGGTCACGTGGCTGTCCAACTCGCCGTCCTGCTCGCCGTAGTCTGGGACTCTGTAGCCCATCTCGCCGAGGAGTCTGCCGAGGTCCGTGGATGAGTTGAGATGCTGTCCGGCGAGGCTCTTACACTCCATCCTCAACCTTGTCAATGAACTGTCAAGTATCGGCGCCACGCTGAGGAAGACCTTAGAGAGCTTCTCGCCGTAGGGCGTCAACACTGTGACGCTTCTCTCGCTCACGGCCTCACTGCTGACTAAGTCACCGGTGAGGCCAGCGCCGGAGTACGCACTGACGTAGGCCTTGCTGAGCTCTGCGGCGAAGGCGCCTAGTCCCTCCACTACGCCGTCTATCACGGCAGTGCCTGGCCTGGCGAAGCGCTCAGGCCGGAGGCCTGTGAGTGCCTTGTCAAGCGCGTCAAGCAGACCACGGACCTCATGGCCGTAGCGTTGCGCACCGGTTATGTGGGTGAGCAGAGCGCTGAGCGCCGAGTAGACTCCATTGAGTTCATCGGTGTAATCGTCTTGGGACTTGGGGAGCAGGGGATTTTTTTCGCCCTCACGCTCCCTGTGCTCCCTCCGGATCTCACTGCTGACGTACTCGTTGACCGGGGCGTAGAAGCTGTGGAATGCGGAGGATATGACGGCAATTTCTTTCTCTTCCCTCACGTTTTGGAGGCTGTCAAAATGTCCGTACGCATATTTCATGAGCCCCTTGAAGCCCTGGAAGAGATCCCTGTTTATCTCCTTGGGCAGAGTCTCCAGCTCGCTCTCCGCCTTTAGGGCGAAGTGTTTCAGCGCGTCCTTCGCGGACTCCACGTAGTCCCGCCGCGCCTCCTTGGTGAGCTCCGCGATTGCCTTTTCAATCTCACTGTCTACGAAGCGTTCAATGTTTTCTACTTTCTCCCATTTTATGTAATCGGCGTTGGTGAGGAACTTGTCGCACATGGCGATGGCCTCCTGGAGGTCACCGGTGCGGAGGGTGTCAATTTGTGACTTGATTTTTGCGAGGTCTTTGTCGATGTTATTTTTTTTGAAAAGCCCCAACTGCCAGTCGACACTGCCGGCTTCGCTCGCAATCTTGGCGCAGAGCTTATCAAGGTGTTCAGTGACCTTGGGGACTGTATCCCTGTTGAGATCTTCAATTTCTTTCTTGATTTTTCTGAGGCTATTAGGATCGTCATCATTTGTTCCAATCTTCTTAATCATAAATTCCATATTCTTTATCACGCCTCTTTCTTTTGGCTCAGTGTCATCCTTACCCTGCAACTCACTCCTCAGCTCGTCAATCTCATTGGTGATTTGGGTAACGCCACTGCCGATTGCAGTGGGTTGTTGTTCCAGCGTACTTTGTTGAGTGTTGAGCTCACTAATAATATGGTCAAAGCCCTTTGCTGCTTCCTGTCCACTAGGCTTCCAACTTGCCTGATTACTCAGCCCATTGGTCATCAAGTCGTTCAATGTTGTAATGACGTCGTTGTCCAGCGTGCTCATCTGCGCTTTGAGTTCCGCTTTGATTGCTGAGTTGGCTGCCTGAATTTCGTAGGGTTTGTGGGTGAATGTACTGATTTGTTGCCAATGAATTTCATCGTAGATTTTCTTTAGATTGACACCATAATTTTGGGCGTCCGCTGTGCCAAGCTTCCTTTGCAACTGAATCAATTTGTCCAAAACGTCATCGTAGTCGAAGGGCTTATTCAACTTTATTCCTAACTGAAACAGTTGATCCCTGATTGCGCTGATGGCGTTAGTGATTATTTCAGGCTGTTTGCCCAATTCAGTATTCTGCTCCTGAATTCCCTGCTGGATTTTCGTCAGACCCTCAGTGCCTTTCCAACCATTTTTACCTTCGAGACCATTCTCTTTCAAATCTGTTAACCTTTGAATGACATCATCATCTTTTGTATTCTTCAACTTCCCTCTAAGCACTCCAAGCTGCAACTTGATTGTCTGGACGGCATCTCCGATGTGCTTAGTTTTGTCATCATACGTGTCTGCTTTCAGCGTTTCAATCGCCTCCCTGATTGCATCAAGGCCTTTGACACTTTCCACAATTAAACCTTTGTCTTTAAGATCAACACTTTCTTCCTCCTCAAGCATCGTATCCAAATCACTCAAGCGCTGCTTGATGCCATCTTGGTCCGTGGGCTGGGGCAGCGTCTTTTTCTTGCTGCTGTCAACACGCTCGGCGATTTCTTGGAGTTCCTTTTCGATTGTGGAGAGATGTTCTTGGACTTCTCCTTTTTGTGCTGCGACGCCTTTTGGGTCCTTGAGTTTAGCCTCCGTTGTGAAAGGCTGCATCGCCTGGGGGATGTCTGCAAGAAGCATTTGGTATTTGCCATCTGAATTAGTTGCTGCTTTATCTTTCTTCTCTTTATACGATGTCATGACTTCATTAACGTTTATGTTGCCATCACGACTATTATCCTTCATCCCCTCTTTAACCTTCCTTTCAATCCCCTGAACGCTCTGCAGAATTTTATTGGTGTCCTGGTTGCTGGAGGTGGGAGGGTCTCGGCCGTTTGCCGCGGCTTGCGCCGCTCCGAGATTCTTGTGCAGCGTCCTAGTTACACCAACCACCGTATCCAATTCCTGTGCGATGCTTGTACCGCTGTTTTGACCAATCCTGTCGCCGTATAGAAATACAGAATGAAGCTCGTTGCCGACCTGTCTCACTGTAGAGGTGAGCGCGCAGAGGATCAATTCAGCGGCGGCCTTTTTGCCACAATCCTGCTTGTTGCAATTATCGCACTCGCAGATGCAGCTTTGAATCTTAGCGACGAGTTGCCCCTTCTGCAGCGCGACATCCTTTACACGCTTGACTGTTTGTTTTGTGCCACTATACAGTTCTTCATCAAGCGCGTTGGCGAGCCCATTGCAAAGCTGTTGGACAGCTTTTATATTTTCAGTAATGCTGCCGCTGACGATATTAACATTTTGGAAAGCGTCTGTGGCTATACCAATAACATCTGTTTTAAGCTTCTCTTTCATTCCAATTGCGAAGTCCTCGATATTACCGTCCTTCCTCGTCTCATCAAACTCCTGCTTCATATTGAGTATCCTCCGCACGGTGCCGTTGTACCTCAAGATTGTGGCTTCCAGCCAGCCCTTCACGATATCCGCGAATCTATCTCCACTAAAGGCCTGCGCATAATTATGCACCTTACTCTTAATACCATCCAGGCCTGAGCCCATATTATTACTTTCCCATGTACCATTTGGAGCAAACATTCCTGCCTCCCCCTTAATCTCCCCAAGCTTTCCTTTAATCTGTTTAAAAATCTCTTCAAGTTTCTTTTCACTTCCGCCACTCAACTCAAACTTCCCGCCAAGCGTCCCAATCGCCGTGTCAACTTCAGTGACTTGAAGGTTAAGCGGAGTCTTGATGTAAGTATTAAACTTACTTTCAAGTTGACCCATTTCCTTATCAATTGTGCCAGTTGTCTTGCCAGTTACTGTTTCAAGATTTTTCTTCTCTTCCGCAAGTTTTTCCAACTGAGCTTTAACAAGACCATTACTCTCCACATCCTTGCCAAGCCCCTCAATCTTCCCCCTCAACTCCCCCAAATCATCCTTCACCAAACCATCCAACTTAGTAACCTGCAAAAACGTAATAACCTCTTTAATCCCTTCCTTAATCTCCATCTTCACGCTCTTCAAATCCCTCTTGAGATCTGAGTCCATTCTCACAACAGCCTCCAACGCATCGGTGACCAAATTCCCAACTTGCTCCTTGGCCTGCTTCGCAGCCTGCAAAAGTATTGTACCATCATCTCGTAACAATTCAGCTTGCTCAAAATTGGACCTTTTTGACTACTTTTCTCTGTATTAACTTTCTCCAAAATTGTATTACACTTCCTATCTGCCTTGTCAATGACACTCCCGGCCGCAGACTTCCAATCTTTCAAATCCTTAACATGACCAGCAAGTTGTGAATTCGCTTCTTCAATTTGTCCCTTGGCAATCTCAATACTCGTAATCTTCTGGCCAACTTCCTTACTTCCATCTAGCAAAGCATCATGTACACTCTGCGCTTTTTCAATCGCCCCGGCAAGCACTGTTCTGGCCTGCTGATTCCACGCTCCCAAATTGCCGTGGACACCATTCAGACTATTATTGACATTCTTAATTCGCTCATTGGCATCCACAATTTTCTGAATATTCCTACTTAATTCAGCGTGGACGTCCAACTTGTCGTAGGCCTCCGTGGCCTTCTCAGCGGCACTGTGGCGGATGTCCTCCGCGGTGCCAATCCAAGAATGCAGACTCTCAACTTGTGTTTTAAGGTCCTCATTTGCTTTTTTAATCGCCTCGTTGGATGTGTGAATCTTCTCAATGTTGTGACCAATAGGATGTGTGTCATCTTTCTGATTAGGATCCAACTTGCCATGGACATCTCTTGCTTTGTCAACCGCTGCGCTGAGGACACTGTTTGCTGCATTTTTCCAGTTACCTAAATCGGTGTGAACAGCTTGAAGCGCGTCATCAACTTGCTTAACTTTATCCTTGGCGTCCCTAATCTGCTTAACCCCCTGACCAATCGGAGTCTTTGGATGACCATTATTATCACTATGATCCAACCTCCCATGTACCTGTTCCGCCTTCACCTTAGCCGCCTGAACGGCGGCGTCCGCAGCCTCAATCCACTTCGTCAACTCTGTAACTTTCTCACTAAGTGTCCTATCAATTTCCCCGGCGGCCTGGTCAATCTTCTGTTTATTCTCTCCGTAAATTTCCTTTAATATCTTGTCAACATATTTCTTTACTTCATTAATATACAGTTTTGCGTCATCCATCCACTTCACCAGATCCTGAACATATTTCGCCAGGCTCTCACTTATGTCTTCCAACTTCCTTTTAATCTTCTTAACACGTTCCTTCAACAGACTAACAAGCTCATGCACTTCTGCTCTAATCTTTTCTTTCACTTCCTTTCCGAGCCTCCTAAGCCTTGTCTTGATTTTATGAATCATCTCGTCCAACTTCTTCTTCTGACCCTTGCGAGACCACTTGCTCAGCCAGCCCACGTGATTGAAAAAGCTTTTTCTGGCGTTCTCAAGTTTTGATCTCAGCTTCGGGTTCAGGTCACCTATGGCGGTTTTAGCAGAGTCCAGGCGTCTCGAAAAGTCCTTGGCAACCTCTTTGCACTTCTCCACCAGCCCGGCAACCTTGGACACCTGAGCATCCTCGACGTCCGGATTCCCGGTAACATGGTCAGCCTGAACACTATTAAGTTCTGTAAGCAACTCACCATTCTCTTTCACAAATGCGATAACGCCATCAATCGGCTTCCTGACCTTTTCGTTAGAAGCCTTGACTTTTTTGTTATACTCCCCGAGGCCATCGGCCACTTTGGGGATGACATGCTTGAAGCCATGGTGCCCAGTCCACCTGGACTTTTCAAGCTCACGAACTACATTTTGTAGCTGGGGCCTACCAGCAACGTACGGCTGGTTATTATATACATCACTGAACACACTATGCAAGAATTCTAACACGGCATCGCACAGACGGGAGGCGTCGCCGTACACAATCCCGGAACCATCGTAGGTTCCAGGAGGCTTATAGCCTACAAATTTTGCAACGGAGGAACAGAGATGATGTAAAAAGTTTTGATTAAGATTCGCAGAGTTTTCTGTAACAGAGTTCTGAAATGTTGAAAGTCGCAAAATAACATCTCTGGCGGCCGGGCCATCTGCTTCGGAGAGAGACGACAGAGATTTCTGAGCGTCCTGAGAGACATTGTCGAACAACTTACCGAGAGCGTTGGACAGCGCTGGGATGCCTCCACAGCAACACAACTGGAGGAGCCAGTCAATCGACTCTCGAAGGTTCTCGGGACAGTCCGTCAAGGCCTTCGGCGCCATGCCTTTAGCACCGAACCCTGACGCCGCCGAGCCATCCACCCTCAACGTTGCTCGACCATCCATGTCACCATTATCTACCGCACAGCCATTGATACTACAGGCACGTGAATTGAACCGCAGAGATACCACGCCCACATAGATGCATGTAAACAACGTGGTTAATGTATCATGGTCACAACATTAGCGTAAGAGTCCCGGAGGCGGAGCTGAAAAAAAGCTTATGGAGGCTATGTTTGTACTGCCTTTGCTAAGAACGCATTATCGGCGCTAATGAGTGCCTAGGTGAGCTACAGTTCCACATTACAATATCAGTGATCGCCAGAATGTTCACCATAAATCCCGATGAACTAGGCCATGCACTGGCCATCACGTCTGATATTTCCGGCAGCATTCATTGCCAAGCCACATATTTAATCAGTAATATCCTTCACCAGGGTATGAGATGATGCACCACTTCATCCAGCCTGACATGCATCAGTTGACGGAGGCACATAACATCACATTATGTACAAAGAGTTTTTTCAAGGGTGTAATTCTATCATTTAGTCCTTTGATATACGTGTTCATAAAGATGTCTTGCTTGAGTAGTTTAATATAACATTTTTGGCAGGCCACCTTAACCATTTCCTAATTGCAACAAGTAGACGAGCTACATTCACCTTGTGCTGACCGCCTCCTATTAATATATTTTATCACATCGCCACAATAATTCACGATCATTATGCTATCGTCATATGTTGCAGTTATATAGTACACTACAGCGCTCACCATTTTTGCAGTTGTAGAGGGCAGCTGTCTGACGAGGAGTCACACATTATTGGGAGTGAATTTTTGAACAGAATAGGATAGAGTCGTATTCATAGTCAAAGCAATAAAAGCTGATATACGAAAAGTTCGGAAAAATTACTTGTTGCATACTCAAGTCTCATACAAACTGGGTCGATAAACCGTCGGTAACAGTTCCCACATAGGGGTGCAATTCATAAACATGAGGCATATTGCAGCGGCAGGCAACACATAGACTGCCAGCATGTACGCCGTTAGAATAAGATGGTCCTGCGCGTGGTAAATGGGACAACCTCCGGTGAACATCGCTTCAAGCATTGTTCCCGCCACCGATGTGGTGAAGCCGATATTCAGAAGCCATGACGTTTAGTGTTTAAAAAGTCTCAACCTATTTAAAAAATTGAACGTTGGCCGTATCACCATGCCAAATGCCAATATTCCGCAATTCCGTGGAAACAATGTTCCACATGCGACAATCGTATCTCGATTTAAAATGACCTCAGAAATATGGATACCGACATCAGAATCATTTAAGAAGCAAATAGATGCCATTTTGATCCATTTTTCCATATGATTGAGATTAATCGATTATGTGGTCTGTGGTGATTGCAATGGAAGGAAGCAGTTGGGATCGTGAAGCGACGTCATGCAGATAACAAATCGGCAAAATATTTAAACAAACAACTTAAAGGGGGCACCCATGTGTGATGTTGAATCAAGTGGGATAGAATGATGCCCAGCCCACTATTGGCAACCAATGAATTGCAACGACTTCTGAATGTCATCATCCAGCAAGACGACCAATTTTCAGCTAATGGGAGGAGCGTTAGACACAATGTTATCGAATATCCACAGACATGGAAGTATTTCTTTGGGACGAATGCTCTTAGAATTGTGGTAACTAATACATTTAATGCCACCATGTACATCAACGAAGCAAATGTGTGCCTCAATAGGACGCCACAATGTGCACCCCAAGGTATCTTGTTTTGATAGAACTTGATAGCAGTCTACAAAGATAGTGAGATAAGTAGAATTCTTGCGTATTGTGCGCATTGGAGTCTGGTGGATTCATACCGACTCAGTGTGATGCATCTGAAAGACGTGCTTAGAAACAGGTTCAATTCTACACAATGCTACATAGGAAACGCAAGTGGAAAATACAGTGCTTTAAATCCATGCTGCGGTAGCTAAGATATTGTATCCTAACTAGTACCACCGCCTAGGTGCGCCGTTAATTCCTGACGTGTTGCTTAAGTAGAGGAGGAAGACGGGGAATTGTGTGTTGAAAGATAGAGATGCTAAAGATGAGGGTACTAAGTGCGCTTGGGTTTCATTAGTTGCCGCTGGAGCCTATATACTTGTCGGGCCCATCATGTATGTCCTCGCCTGGCATCAGATCCCGGGATTCATGAATTTCCGTGATTGGTGGGCCGGATAGACGCCGCCATCTACTTCTTACTTTACCTTTGACGCGAAGAATTCATCGTAATATTTAGCAGCTGGCTCAAGGTCATGACATCAAAGCAATATCGGTAGTATGATGTCTTAATGGGGTTTGTTTCTCCTTGGCTGAAGCACACGTGCGGCTTATGCACATCATAGCATCATCTCACACTTACAAAGGTATGTACGGAACGCTATAGACACTAACTGGGTGCAATGCGCTGCCCAGGCTTCGAAAGTATTTGTGCCATGCTGCTGGCGTGTGTAGACAGGAAACTTTCTCACAGACGCGATATAACGTAATGTCATAAATAGCAACCACATAAAGATATGTAAAAGTTAACTCTAGGTGTCCTTCCGCGTACGCCTATGCAACCCAGCAAACATCCGTGCGACATAAACCATAGTATGCGTAATAAGCGGCATGGTCACACTAATTGAAAAAATGCATCCATACATCGCTGAATATTGTAACAAAATGCGCATATGACGTTTCGGCAACTGAATAATTACCGGATTAATCCATTAAAGTCCTATCTACGGAACAACAGATACCTTGCCTCACCTGGGCGTCAATTGCTTATAACGCCACCAATACAGCAAACACCGTGTAACCGAATGAAAATGAATTGCCAGACACACCAATTATACCCGCCCATACATAGCCTCTAGACCACCATTCACAACTCCACAAGGCGCACTCGATGTAACGCACAACATCTCAATAATAACATCCTAGCTCTCGCCAGGAAATGAGTAACAGCAGCATTACAATGCAAAATTAGCTTAAAGTGTTTAAGCGTAGTATGGCGCCGCCTCTGGTTTCACGTGGGTCTTGCCGGAGTTGAGGAAGCTGGCGAACTCCTCGTATATCGAGGGCTGTAGCTTGACCTGCCTCCACAAGTCGGGGGTGAGGTAGCCATAGGTGGCCGACAGTGCTGCGAAAACGGCCTTCAAGAAGTTACCCCTGGTCTTGGTGGATCCCGAGGAGCAGGAGAAGCAGTCCTTAACGCCGGCGAAGGCGAGAAGCTTCTTGGTGGTGGGCGCTCCGACGATCTGTGTACCTCTTGGGGCAGGCACCAACCTGGCCCTTACACTTCCACACTTGCCCGAGACCTTCATCGGGACGGTGTGAGGCTCGCCGATCATGTTACCCCAATAGCCACGCCTGACTGGGATGAGCGACAACTTGGCCGAGATGATCGCGCCCCTAATGGCGGTAGCAACTTCCTTGGCACACTTGGTGCCAAGTCCGCAGTGTCCGTCGAAGTCACCGATGGCAACGAAGACCTTGAACCTGGTCCTCTGACCGGCGTTGGTCTGCTTCTGCACGGGTACGATCTTGACAACATCGTCAGCCAATTTCTTGTCGGTGAGAGTGGGCTGGTAGAAGTAGTCGATGATTTGGTACTCCTTGATGGGAATCGAGTGCAAGTAGATCTGCTCGATCGACTGGATCAAACCTGCTGAAACCAGCCTGCCCAGTTTGGTGACTGGGACCCAGTTCTTCAGGTCGTCCTCGCTTCCACCACGTCCCCTGCGATTGTATGTTTCACAATGCCATTACATAACCACACTGGCAGCAAATATACAACATAATAGCACGTGTACATCGGCAACATGGTCCATCCCAGCACTACGAACAAAACCTCGGCATACCTTGAGGATGCGCGTCGCCCTCCGCGACCCCTTCCGAACCCTGAACCGAAACCACCACGTTCTGCAAAATATTGTAAAGAATCTTTTTCGATGCAAACTCACCCGCCATTTTGTCGCTTTGCTCTAAGCCTGTGCTCGCTATAGTGTGAATGAGTCGGTCTGCCTGGCAACGTCCGTGCCACCCACAACGCCTGCAGTTGTGCGATCCGTTTTGGTTGTGATATTAGGTTATCACTTGACCCTCCTAATTGAAATAATGGTATAAGCAGGTGTGGTTTTGGTGGGTTCGGCTGCGGAGCCTTCCAGATATCGGCATATGGGGTCTGCTGTCACGGCCGGGCGCGCGGTGACGGCCTCCATCGCAAGCGATTTTCTCGACAGCGCGACCCTCCTATAGCAACACTTCACGTTTTTTCCAATGTGTAGTATGGATTGTGCGTTAAGACGGGTCGAGCTTTGGGTTTGTGTCCCTCATGTGCCATATCGTTGCCGTTCGGGCATCGGCAGTGTCGTTAAAATATTATGAGCCATCGCAACGGTTATCATTATTACCAAGTATCCATAACTTTAAGTGCCAAAGCTGTTTTTATGCCAACATCGGATGTGCCTTTTAGACATGTGTAGGAGCGTGACGACGTGTTGAATTAATCAGACAGACAATGACCCCTTTCCGCCGTCACATATGTTGTACATGATGTACACATCCGATGTGTATGCAGTGTAGACCGTAAATTTTGCGATATCGATGCTGAGGTTCGCGACAGTGCTTGCCTGTTGCGGCGTCGTGCCCCTAATCCCATCCCACACAATATAACGTGACGTTGCCGCGTTATGATGTAGAACTTATAAATAATGCCGTGCCGTAGCTGGCCTTCTGGCTTGGGTAGTGTTGTGAGTGGCGCGACGCTGCTGTTGCTCTGCGTTGCTTCCTTCCTCTGCAGCGCGGATTCTGACGGCGCCCGCGGCTCTCTGATAACAGAGGAGTCTGAGCGCTTCACGTTGTATTCCGTCAGCCTCAGCGATGTGCCGGTATTTGTGACTGCGGAGGATTTCCACGTCGATCTGCTCGGCACCCAGTTTGTTCAGGTTGGTTGGATGAAACGCGGTGAAATGACAGCGTATCAGATAACGGTTGATGGCTGTGACGTTGAATGGAAGATTAGGTTGCATCAGGTGCGTTCACTACACCTTGTCTAACACGCTGCACAGAAAATTCCCTTTGGCCTTATTTTCTACCCGGAGTACAGCGCCACGCTGGAGCGCCTTGAGCGCACCGCAGCAACTTGGTAGTTGACCTGCGCGCTGAAGTGTTACGATGTGTCAGGGTGGTTAAGGTGCGGATCCCGAAGTACTACGAATTGGAGCCGATTCCGTTTTCAAGTGAGGAGCTTTGAAAATGCGTTGTGTTCAGCGTCGTACAACATGGTTTGCTATAGCCTTGGCGTCGTTGTCGATGCTCACAGCCGTTTTCATAGCGTGGTTCTACCGCTCGCTATACCTCTTCAGGCCGGATACTCCATTCGGTGCTCGTGTTTACATACCGGAGGTGCAGGGCGTTCGTACCCCGCACGTCTGCGCTTTTGGCGCCCAGGCGGTGTTGCCATTCACGCAGGGCCTACTGTTCACGTCCGAACAGACAGTTCTGGAATCCTCAGGTCTATCTTCTCGTAGTTTCCTGCGTGAATTTTCGGCGTCCACCGGGACTACGCTCCGCCGTGCGAACCTTCCGAGCGGCTACTTCGCCGAGGGAACGGCGCTCGTGGTGGAGCCTAGCACGCTGCGGCTGTACGTGATGGTGCTAACATATACCGACAACGTGATTTTGCTGTACGACTATGCGACGTTCGTGCTGGCGTACGCCTACAAGATGAACTACATGGGTTTCGGGCTGACTTCCAACTACGACATTCGTTGCAAAGATCTGGCCGACTTCGTAGTGCGCCAGAAGGTATGGATGACAACAGGCGGGAGCGATCTCATATCTGTGTCGCTGCCGGCATCGTTCAGCGACGGTGCCCTGAGCATCGCAGGCTCCGTGCCCATTACACTCAATGGCCGGCGCCTGCTCTACGTGAACGAGATGGAGTACAACGTGCCCTCCGATACTGTGTATGGGAACATCTGGGGTAGCGACTACATCGTGGAAATAAATCCCTACGACGGAACATGTCTGGCGCTGTGGGACCTGCGGTCGTTGGCCTCCCAGCAGCCCATGGATGTGGACGTTCTGAACGGCATTGCGTGCCACCCAAGCAAGTCATACTGTATGGTTACTGGCAAGTTTTGGCCACATCTGTATCGCGTGACGTTACCGAAAGGCTCAGCCAAGTCGGTGGACGTCCCTCTTGATTTTTACGATAATTTTTGCGAGGCTGAGGGCGCTACATCATCACCGCAAGGAGCGCGTTAACGAGCTCCTCCACCTGAACCATGCCATTAATCTCGGTGACGTTCAGGTGCTTGAAGAACTCTTCGATCTGTTCGTCCGGGAGGTGGTGGTTCGCCTTGAGTATGTACATCAGCGTGCCGCGGCTGACGGTTCCGCTGCTGTTGGGGTTGAGGTCCTGCGTACGCTATGTGCCACTTTGGCACCGCAACTCACATGTATAAGCTTTTGAAGTTCCTCTCTGGTGTACTGTCTGCTCCTCAGGGTTTCTGCGATGGCTGCGAGTTGCGCGGTTGTGACTTCCTCGGCGATGATGTCGTTTACTTCCGCGTCCCTGCGCCGAAGTTGGATCACACAATGACACACCAGTACCTTACGGCTATTCCCATGGCTGATATGGCGTCTACAGCGTCTTGCCTGGAGATGCTTCCGTCCTGCGCGCTGCCGAAGAGGAGCGCAGCCTCGGCCGCCTACACATTCCGTGCGTTTTTGGTGTTCAACCAAGTTACCTTTGCGTCCATGCTTCGAAATCGTAACGTGTGTACTAGATGCGTCAGCAGTGGTCACCGTTGTACCGCCGCGTCGCGGGTACACATTGGGCCGTCGTACGCAACTTTCGACACATTTTGTCTTCGTGCGCTCTACAGGCGCTTCAACGCCGCTTAAGCCCCGTGATAACCGCTGTTGACGCTGTCGTCGCAGTGTAAGATCTGTGCACTGCACATCGCGCCGGCTCTCTAGACAGGGCGCCGCTGCGTCGCGGTGATGGATTTGTCGCCGGTTTGCGGTTTTGCAGCCACCACTGGTGGATTCTATGGTTGCTATTGTGATGCCGTCGTCCGGCAGGCGATCTAGACCCGCTTTATCTCTCGCCTCTGTCTGCGTGTTTCTATTCGTGGGTACAGGCACCGCCACCTTCACATTCTACAGACCTATGCGTTGTCGTTTCAAGCCCAGTGGACAACAACTGCACTTGCGCTGAAGCTATGGTAGGTCGAATTTTGTAGTGCCTCATTTCCTGCAGGCCCAGCCATCGTTTCGCGACAGTGTTCACGATAACGTGCCACACGGCGACCCTCTTCCTCGCCCTGTGGTCACACTGGATGTGCGCAACTACAGACCCCGGTTACATCCCCGCGCTTAAGGGTTCGTTTGCGCATGTCCAGCCTTCATCCCCGTTCCAGACGAACACCTGATCTACGACGCCCTGCGCTGGGGGTTCACCGACTGCAACAAATGCCACTCCATCCGCCCGCGTCGCGCGCACCACTGCAGGGTTTGCAAACGATGCGTGTTGCACATGGACCACCACTGTAAGTACCGTAGTCGTTAGTTGCGGGATGACACCGACTCAGGTCCGTGGATAAGCAACTGCGTCGGGCTGTTCAACCAGAAGTTCTTCCTGCAATACACTGCAGTAAGCGCTCCTTCTCAAGTCTCTGATGAATTTGCAGTACATCTTCCTGACTGGAGTGGCTGAGCTGGCGCTTGCGAGCGTAGTTGGCTACGAGATGTACGACCTCTACCACCGTGACGTTGACTTGCTTTTGTCGAAGTACGGGTTGTTTATGATGGTAGCAACCACCGTAGGTTCCACTTGTTGAACGCCCGAATGGCTGCAGGTGCTGTACTTCGTGGCCATTTTGTTCACGATGTTCACGTTCATCCTCTTCATCGACCAGATGTACCAGATATATCGCAACACCACGGCGATAGACAAGCTGAAGAACCTTTCCAACCGTGACCAAAGTTTCATGCAAACTCTAACGCACGTGTTCGGCTGCCGCTTCTCCGTCAAGTGGTAGGTTCCATCGGGGTGTGCCGAACCAACCGCAGGTTTCTCCCGATTTCGATGAAACCCCAGTACTTGGGCGACGAGCTGACCTGTGCGGATGTTGTGGCGCTGTCCGTGTTCGACGAGTCGGACGCGGTGCTGGCGGACCGCAACCACGAGCTGCAAGGCCTGGACGCGAAAGATGCTCACGGCCTGCGCAGACGCCCGTGGTTCTACAAATTCTTGTTGTGTCGGGAAATGCCCGATAGTGTGGACAACTAATAATGTATTTGTTACGTGTTTTATTACTGGTTCCGATAACGGGCGCTCCGCGCGCCATACACCCTCGTGATTCCACGTTACAACAATGGCCGGCAGCGTCTCTGCCTTATCATCCCGATTCATTTGCACGTGTTGACGTGCTCTTATGACGTTTTGTTGGCAGCCCTTCCAAGTGCTGCGAACTCGGTAGCGTCCACAGATTGCGCGGTCGCCGGGTTTTCATTTTGCCGCCTCCCTGTGGACTCGGAGTCGCACACCCGCATGGAGCGCGTATACACTTAAGTGGCAGTTCCGGGTGTGCGTTATCGTAGGGCAGCACTTGCCGTTTTCGCTGCCGTTGCTGCTAGACCATGTTAGCCACTGGCGACTGGGTCGGCAATCCGCCGGCTGTGGAGGCCCAGGACGGCTTCTATGGCACCAGCAACCTTCTGTCGGCGCGTATGGACCACTCCGCGCGGACATACGACACAGATGGAGTAGGTCCGTTGCATGGCCTAAGCGGCCGTGCGCCGAAGGGCGACGCGTCTAACTCCGTCTTGGAGCGCTACAGCGGGGCGCTGGACATGCTGCGCAACCAGCTGTGGTGCGCTCCGGCTAGCGGCAACGTGTCGTTCGAGGAATGTCCGGACGAGGAGAAGAGCTCCGAGGTCGACGAGCCGAGTAGTTCCAGTGACTCGTCGCATGTCATCAAGGTCGAGCGTGATCTGTGTTCACAGAGCTCCGTGTTTCTGAAGCGCCTGCTGCTTCGCGCGGACCGGGTGCCAGCGTCAGTGATCGACGGCGTGCTTTCGGATAAGCGCGTTGTGCGCCGCCTGCGCAAACTGAACAGCACCTTGACGTTCGGCAAGCAATTATATATGCCCGAAGATGAACTGGACCCTGAAGTAATGCGTGCAGTTGATACTGCGTGCACTCTTTTCAATGGCAGCTGCGTGCCCGCGGTGATGTGGCCATGCACGGACCGGAACATAGACCATAACGAGCGCGTGACCATCACGAACTCAGCCGTGTTCGAGGCTCTCCAGATACACCGCCTGCTGAAACACAACCGAACTACCTATGTGGAATGGGGACGTAGCGCCACTTCTGGCCATGAGGAGGGTGGCCCACTACCGATAGACGTGATCGACTCTGCTGTGATACGTGAGATGTCTGACACGATTTTGGACGAGCTGTCATCGACTCTGTGGTGTATAGGGTTCATGGCTCTGCACGCGCGTTCCTCCAATGATGATAAATTACGTACGCACGCGTCTACTATCCTGTCGGATCCCAAGGACCTGACGTCGAGGCTGTGGAAGTACTACCTCGCTTTCTCCGATCATGTCAAAACAAGGTGCGCCCACCTGAAAGATATCAACAAAACGTTGAATGACAAGTTGAGTGGGCGTTTGATCGTTGAGGTGCATCGCGTATTGACCCTCCAGTGCGCCATCGTGAAGGCCCTGCTGGACATCCACATGGGTACCCGCAGCATGAGCATATCGGAGTACGAGCGTTATGAAGCGCATTATGGGAGACGAGGCTTCAGCGGTGCGTTTTCTGCCGCCCGCACCGTGATTGGCGCTGACGAATGCGCCAGTTCGCCGCTGCTGATGCACGCAGTGCACGAGCTACAGTCCCTCGGGTCGTTGTTGCTGAGCAGTTTCTTTTTGTATGACGCGTTTGGCGAAGCTAAAGACGAAGTTACAAAAAGAGATTTCCTGGTAGACACCACGGATTTAATGCGCAAACAGCTGACGGTTTCCGGGAGAGGCCTGTCGAATAACAAATCCTCTGCAGTACTGGTCTTCGCTTACGCCTGCTTCCTTAAGGATCTGTCTGGAAACCAGGCTTCTCGCAACGTCGACGCTTCATTTGCGAGTGACGTCGCCGTCCACCTTGATACGTACAGCGAAAGCTTGGAATGGATCGCTCTATCGCGGGATATGCTTAGCGTGTCTGGTTCTACTGGTGTGGCGACTTCCCCGTGTCGCATGGTGCTGTTGGAGTCAATTTCGCGCATTATTGACAGTTTTGGAATTGACAAACTTCCTCATCTGGATCGCATTATATTTTCCATTTGCCGGATCGTTAAAGGTGATGAGTCCGTCTCAGACCGCGGGTACCGAACAACCAAGCTGTCCATTTTGGAACGTGTGAGTACTTATCTGATGTCACACTTCCCTTTCGGTCTGAACGCACTGTTCCAGCTGCTGGCAGCGTGCTTGCCGCATTGCACGGAGTCTCACGACGATTCATACATGGATGTGGATAGTGACTGCGGTACCATGGAGCTAATTGTCCAATATTTGCTGAAGCCATTCGACACGATCACCTTAAGTCCGTTGATCGCACCCCTCGAATATAAGCCGGATACAAGCGAATTCGAGTTGAGCGGCGACGTTTATATCGTCATCCAACTGTTACACATGCTGGGTTTTGACAAGCAGGTCTTGTTTAAGCGGTGGTTCAATTGGGGCATGGGCAGCTGCCTGTATTATCTGCGTTCAGGCAGCATCGGCAAGCGTGTCTCGCTGAACAATCTAAGGCATCTTTCCACGAAGCAGAACGCACTGTTAAATGAACACGAGGACTCATGGGTGGTCGACGCCGGCATGCAGAACATTGCTCTCGACAGCTCTATTGGCGCCTTTTGGATTCAGGACGCCCAAATGCCGAAGCCGTACGATGCAGCTGCATCTTTGCGCGGTTGTCGCTTTGAACTTGAAAATTCCATGTGCGTCACGTGCCACACCACCACCGGTAAGCAGTCCGCGCAACAGCCGGAGCCCACACTGCACTTCACGCTGTTGCGTGCCATCTGGACCGTATGGCGGGGTTCTATTCTATATATGTCTAATATGAACTGCGATTTACCGGATCACGCACTTCGGACGTTCGTGGAGTGTAACTCTCTGTTGGCCAGGCTGCTATCCAAGTTCCCACGGCTGACATCTTTGATAGAGGATCACATCCTATCAAGCCTTCATATGCGCGACGCTTCGAGCCAATTCCCCTTCGGGCCGTGCAGCCTCATTTTCCACTACACGTTGCTGTTCGTGCTGTGTCTGAAGCGCCGCCAGCTGCGCATCATGCTGCCCGAGGTCATCGAAGCACTACGTGGCTTCCTCATTCCGGCATACGTTGTGCCAGTGGGTGACAATGCCACCGAGGTCGAGTTCAGCCGATACTGGATATTTTTGGAATCCTTCGAGTTCTGCTGCCAGGGTACGGCCGAGGAGGGCGATACATCCGTGTTTTCACTGATGGATCGGATAATGCAGGAAGAGGAGCGCCCGATTCGCAACTATCCCGTGACTCGTGGCGTGTTGATGTTCTTCAAAGAGCTGCTGGAGCAGTGCCCTCCTGAGTTGTGGATGTTGAGTGGCTGGCATCATGGCATGCTGAACATGTCGCACACTTCGTTGGACATGGAGTCGAACAACGTGACACATGGTTTGGGGCTATCGTATCTGTCCTCCCTGAAACGCTACGTGGATGCGAATGCACACAAATCTCGCGAGCTATACAACCCGTTCCAGACCAAGTTGCTTTGCGAGTTCTTCGCTTTTGTGTTGAAAGGCGTGTCTCCCAGTATTGCGGATTCGGAGTTTGCCGACAGCGGCGAGCGGCTAGACCTATTGTGCACTATCGCGGATATCGTCGAACTCATCTGCCGCATCTTCCGTGTGCACAACTACGACAACTCCAAGTCTGTGTTTGGCGATGCGGCAACCGAAGCTGCCGATGACTCTTGGCTCCAGGGCCTCAAAGAACTGATAAATCGCTGCCTGTTGACACTGTCTGGATCAAATTATATCATGGAGGTCATTGCCGTGTTGACATGCCAGCTTGACGTTTTGGCCTACCACCAGAGGGGCAGCGGCTCGCTCGTTATGGTGAATGCCCTCACGTTCAGCGAGGTGAGTTTGGACTTCTTCACCGTCCGTAAGGACATCAAGAGTCGCACGGCTCTGCACATCTCGTCTTCCGCCGCTCCGGATAGCGGGTATGCGTCGTGTTATCAGTCCTTATGCAGTTTCCGTTGGCTTTGCCAGCAGGAGCCGATTAGCCCATTGGGCATGTCCAAACGGCTTATTAGCTCATCACTGAGGCTCCTACGTGACCTGTATGCGGCAGCCTTGCCTCGTAACCGTAACCCTCTGTTCGCTACATTGGCGGACAGTTTGGGTTCGAATTATTTCGTGAAGTGCCGCAACGAGATTGATCAGCGCCGCAGATATTTGCATTCGTCGGATAACCTGATTGACTCGAACGACCCCGTGGTTTATTATGCGTCGAGGCAACTTGAACTGCTGTGCGTGAGCCTGCCACAAACGTCCGTAGTGCAGTCGCTAATAGCGCACACGTACAGCAGCACCACCGTAGCCGCGGCCACCGACATTATATCGCTCTACCTGCTATTGCACGAACAGTACAAGCTCGATAGCGGCGCATTCGTGGGATCGTTTGCGACCAACAACCGGATCTTACTGCAGCAGTTGGGGCAGATGCGAGGAAATTACGACGTGATAGCTTTGAGCAGTAAGGACGAAGCCTGCTTCTATGAGCACCTGGTATGCGTGTTTTTGGACCCCGCCACGAGCAGCTTTGACACTCGCTTGTCGATCATGCAGTACATTTTGGTTGCGCTTAGCACCTGCAGTGGTATGGAGATGCTGTTGAACAACAACGGCCTGGACGTCGCAGCGCTCGTGGACTTTGTGGACTCAGTCTTACGCTACCACGTGCTGCACGGCCGACCTCACAACCTGGGTGACGTGACCGTTGCCCAGTATGCGTTGTTGATTTTCGCGCGACTGGTAGAGCTGTCCAAGGGAGCACACCAAGCCTATTGTTGGAAGTCCGTGACGCTGTCACTACGCGTCTTGATTGATCTCTGGCGTTCGTTCGACTCGAATCTATTCGTTGACCCCGATGTGGCACTCAATCAGCAGGGCGTAGTTCCGCGGAGCACCATGGTGAAGGAGCTGTGGTTCGACCAGGTGTCACCTGACATGTATGTGGACATGGTGGACTCCCTCTTGGAGCGACGTCTGGGCCTGCTGCGCATAATGGGCTCTGTCTATGCTATATTGGATTCTCTGAATGTTCAGCTACAGGCTTCCAAGTCCAGCGGCAGCGATCTTCCCGATGACCTTTTGCGTCTGCTTTCATTCGTCTCCACCAATTGGGATTTCATGGACACGTTGTTACCCATTATCGTGTATGACTCGGGATTCGTGGACACGTACGTGAAGAACGACGTGACGGAGAAGAACCTGCGGCAGTACTACCGCCTTGGTTTGTGGCTTGGTGAGGACTGTATGTTGCCACTGTCCCGCTGCTTGCACTATCTGCATGACATGAACGTGCCGCCTCACTTGCTTCTGATGAGTGGCGATTCCCCGAGCGAGATCAAACCGTTGGATATCCAGTCGCTGCTACGTTCAGTGGTATCGCAAAAGTTGGCGCGTACAAAATCGAATGTCGCTGAGAAAATATCGCGGCACGATTTTGTCGTCGACATGTTCCGTCCCCTGCTCAGCGATATAGTGGGCCCTCCGGAGGCAAATGGTTTCGATAACACCCGTTCGGAGAGCAACCCACAAGAGGCCGAATCCACGACCAGCGAATCAGTGCACCCCGACTATTCGTTCTACAGTTTCGGCACTTCGGGTGAATTCGGCCACCGCTACATGATGGACGTGGAGATGTTCCGCCACTTCTGCATGGTGCTGCTGACCTCGGCCGACGACCAGGTGAACGTGCTACTGTCTCGTGGTATGGCCAGCGTTCGCAGCTGTGTCGAGATGGTGCCCTATGTCGATTCGCTAAACGAGTTAAAGGTGAGATTATTGCGCCAGCTGTGCCACGTAGTGGTCAACTTCCGTTCGTTTGGCAACGGCCTGGCTTCACGTATGGATACGTTGTTACGCGACGACGTATCGGCGTGTGAGAAGGACTCCCTGCGCACGCTGAAGACCCCGATGCCACCGTTTGAAATGTTCGCTTTTAATGGTGCCATGCTACTCCAGCTGGTGCTTACCCGCCCAGATTGCCTGTCTGAGCACCCTGTCTACGTGGGTCTGCTAATCGAGTTTTTGCGCCTGCTTTTCGAGAAAAGCTTCAGCCTTCCACGTCTGGAGAGCAGCTTCGTCAGCTACTACGAGTGCTGCAGATCTGCGGACGCCTCCGATGGCGGCTTCGTCGATTACATTGTGAGTCGCGACTTCGTGGGTAGTAGTGATGCAGTGGGTGGAGATGGTGAGACGGCCACGCTGGACAAGTCCGTACAAGACATACCGGATGAGGATTCTAATCAGGAAGAAGTGGGCCAGGACTTCCGTCTCTTCGCCGTAAATGTGTTGGGTGGCCTGGTGGCACAGGTGGCCCGATGCGTTGTGGAATTCAGCGAATGCTTCCACGACGTCCTGAATGTGAACTTCAAAGCCCCAAACCACAGCAGAGGCTTCCTCAAGCTCCGAAAAGCGGCCTTGCAGTCGTGTTTGATGTACCGCGGCAGGAGCACTCCGAAAGGCGACCCGACGATGTCCCCGGGGGCATTCTCCGATGGAGATTCGCATGGTGCGGATAGCCACGATTGTGTCTGCACCATTGCGACTGGCAAGGGCGTCGACACGGACAGCGTGAGCGTGTGGCTACAGTTCAAGATGGCTTCGTTCTTCTCATGGCTATACAAAGCGCTGTCCCATGCCACCAAGAGCGCTCACGAGCAGGAACCTCGAGGCGTCGAGGACGGCGTGATGGAAGTGTACCAGCGCGTAACTAAGTACGCACTGAAAAGCATTACCCAGAGCTGCCTCCGAATGATCGGTGACATGCAAAAGGAAAACATCCGCCTGCTGCAGTGTTTCGTTGGCAATGGATACGGGATCTTGCAAACCGGTGAGCTTGAGGCTGCATACGTGTTTATCATGGGCCCTTACGTCTCCATGCTAGCTCTAGAGTCGATCATATGCACTGATTACAATGCGTCATTCCTGCATGGCAAGGGATACGTGCATTTGGTCGAGCTGGCTGAGGCCTTGACACAGCTACCCTACACCACGTCGGCCTGCCTATCAAATCAGAGCATCAGCACGGGCGATTTGGTTAATCCAATGATGGTGATGAAGCGTGACAAGCAGATCATGGCCGACAACCTGCGCCTTAACACTCGCCAGACGTTCGAATACGACAATCGCAACATGCTGCGTGCAGTGCTGCACAAGCTTATGGAACGTGTGAATGTCATGATGATGCACGGCATACCCTGCAAGGCGTTTGTGTCTCGTTTCGCTGCCTCTCAACTATTCCAGCGGCTGTACGTGTACTCGTTTTTGTGCAACTTCGTGCAACCCCTTGACAACGTGAACCCGAAGAAGATGCTGGCCAGATTCTCCGACCACGTTGTGGACAGCTCAAAGGGCAACTGCGTGGAAGTGATCGAGAACAGTGTGACTATGTGGTACCCGTCGTATCAAGGTTACCGCACCGGTGTCGCGGTTCGATGCCCATACCACCTGCTGCATTGCGGCCTATTGCGGTTTGTGGTCGACATGTGCTCCATCCACGATGTGGGCGGTGTAATGGACGCCGTGCACATGGACAGCGGTTCTAGTGTGCAGACACTGATTTTGGACGTGCTCCACCTGCTGCGTTCGCGCATGAGGCACATGATGGCCACCGACAGGCTGACGCTGGCACACCTCGAAGAATCTCACATGCTTTTTGCGGTGTTACGCCATGTGCCTAACCGCCACCTGCTGTCAGAAAATGATGCAACGCTGGTCAACGAGCTGCTTCGGTACTCGGCGCGCTTCTTTTCCACGTTGATGCAGGCGTTCCAGAACGGCCTGGACAAATTGGCCGACATGATCCCCGGATCCAGTGCTGCCGAATTACCGACCGAGCCGCAGCAGCCGCCCAAAGCGCACATATCGCAGGCAGCCGCCCCAACTGTTGAGACGGGCCACCGTGAAAAGCAACGTGGGCCATACCAGCAGAGGTGCCTCTACCTCGCTTTAAAGACCGCCGAATCGTTCGCGACGTTCCTACTTAACCTGGAGATCACAGTTGGCGTCGATTCGGAATCACCTCCCCTCATGGAACATTTCGTGAAGACTGCGGACCCTCACCGGATTCGTCGCATGTGCGGCGTGGACAACAAGGTGTTCCAGGCAGTGCTGCAGTCCGCCGGCGTTGACAACCTAAAATCGCGCCCTGGCGACCACCAGTCGCCATGCAGGCCACATGAGGTTACGTTCGAACACATGGTCGATGCCATGGGCTGTTGTGTGGAGCTGTGCGCGTGGTCGTTGCGCGTCTGCAAGGAGTTGCGTAGCGCCAGCAAGTCGCCATTCTTAGTTGGAGTAAGGCACCCAGAGAGCACGGATGTAAGCGTGCCTCTAAGTATATCTGTGAATTGCCGAGGAGAATCTACCAAAACGTCAATTGAAGGCGTACACTGCTCCGTGTACCGGGAGTCATCCGCCTCACCGCCGGACCACGTCGACGTGGCGCCCGTCGCAGTGCCCGTCACCGAATTCCAATCTCTGGTGGAATGCGTGATCGAGAAGACCTCGCTCTACTGCGCTAGGGCTGTGAACACCGCCTTCCTGCAGAACCAGCTGTACCAGCATAACGAGCGTGGCAGTCGGATGTCTGATGCAGCATCATTTGCGCCAATAGGCATGCATTCCGGCGTTAACCACACGGAATCCTACGGAACCAAACGTCACAGAGTGCCTGGACCAATCCACTCTACGGTGACGCTGCTGCACAACGCCCTCGCTGATGTGGCTGCCAACACATGCTGCCTTTCTGCGTCAACATCCGAGTTTTGCGCAGTGCTCTCCCGCCTCGTGGAGCGCCGTGTTTCGCAATCCAAGGCGTTGTCCGAAGCCTTCGGAGACACGTTTTTGTATTTGGACCGCCATTGAGCGCCCGTTGCGGCCGCGGTGGCGCGTGCCCGCACGAACGGCTCAGCCTTTCAACATATCGCATAAAATTCCACAATTTATAGCTTCGCTTTGATGACTGCGGAATTTGAGGCGCACAGCGCCGGATTCCCCGAGGAATCTACGCTGTTGCGTCTTTTCGACGACGTAGGTTTGGTGTGTCTGTACACATAACGCTCTAGTTCATGGACCCCGTTCCTCTGGTCCAATTCGTCGGAGCCGCAGTCAACGAGCGCTACAAATACGTCGAGGCGGTGCTCTCCCGTCATAAGGTCCCTTACGGCGTTGTGGACGCTGCGGCGTATGCAGGTGAGTGTCCTCCAGCCTTCCCTCATCGGCGCCAGAATGTCAAAGCGAGAACCCTTCAGCGATGCTGCGCTGGATGTGGTCGCGTTTCGTGCGACGGCTGGTGGCTGGATGCTGCGTCGCATACCCCAAAGAGGCACCACGTTACGGGAAGCTGAAGAACTTCGAGGTGCGTACCTGCTCGGACTTCATGTACATATTGCACTCTCTGGTCGTAACGCCGACTAACCCCGTGCCCGGGAAAGACGACATCAGCTTCGTAGTGGTCGTGAAGGACTACCACGAGCTGCTAGCCCACGAGCCCACTCTGCTGAATACGCTGGTACGCCTCCAGGAGAAGCTAAGGCGGTTGCCTATCACGAAGGGGTGAGTGCCACGTTCGTCATAGTTATCGACCACAGCTATATCCGCAACAAGGTATCGGTATTGTTTATGGGTCCTCGCCCCATGCCCCCTGAGGTGACGAAGGGTGATATCGCCATCCCCCTCGTGCGTGTGCGGCTGATCGACCCTGACGGTATTGAGGATCTGCTGCGGTCGGTCAACTACAAATTCGCGCTCAAGAGGGCGCGTCAGATGTTGCCGGGTTTTAGTGAGGGCACGATTGCCTACCTATGGGATGGGTTCGTGCACTACTTCGTGGATGTGGTCTACACGTGGTACAAGTCGGAGTTAACGTCGATGGAGTTCTACTGCCGGTGAGTCGCGCACGCATAGTGTAGGCATCACGTGCATTCAGGCTGCTGTGGTCCAACTTCTTGACCCCCCTGAGAGGGGCCCTGGAGCCCGATGAGGAGCAGCTGGGGGAGTGCCTGCAACAGCTATGCAAGAGCATCGACGAGCAACTGCGCAAGGTTATCGTGCACCAAAGGAGCAGGTTCATCACCGAGCTGCACGACATCAATGTGTCCAACATGAGACTCCTGCGCACGCAGTTGTACAAGTTCCACGGGAGCCGGCTGATGAAGTACCTGCTTCTCGGGGCCATTATTTCCGCGTTCACTACCCCAGAGAAGATGCGCCGCCGCGTACGTCGTAAGAAAGGTCGTTCGACTGTGGACGACGTGGCACTGTGGCGCCGCCATCGCAAGTTCGACATCTGGTCGTGGCTCGCCAACACCGAGTGGGCCATGTCGTCTAATGAGTCTGAGGAAATTAACATGGACCCCGTCTTCTTCACCGAGGTAAGTGCACCAACCTCCGTTTACTGTATGCACTGCAGCTGACGTGGCTCATCGCCGCAGGCTACGTGAGACCGCAGGGCAGCACCGAGACGTGGTTTCGCCTGCCGTCGTTACACAGCGTCGCGCTGTGGCGCCTGTCTGCCATCCTGCCGTCCTCCGACTTGCAATGGCTCCACAATGTGATTATCAGCGAGGATACTGAGGTAGAGAAGTGCCTGGGCCAGATGGTGGGCACCACTGCCCGTTTCTCCCTTTGCGTTAGTTGCCCCTTCCGGTGAACTATTTCTGATCAGATTACCAAGGAACTTGTGGCCTCCATCATCAGCGACTTGAACATCGACATGGACCAGTTCCTCCTCTGACGGGGGTGTCTTCCAAGCTCAACCCTCTCCACCTACAGCCGCAGCGGCCCGCGTTGCAGGCCGCTCACAACCAGTTGTAATAAGCATGTACCTCTGTACCAATATAGCGCGTTCGGCGCTGCTGGCGCGCCAGTGGGCGCGTTTTCGCCCGTTTTCGTCGTCGTCGTACGACATCTTCAAGAAAATCAAGGACAGCAGCGAGGGCGACAACGCCGCCGGGCAGCCGTCGGCCGCTGGCGGCCGCAAGCCTTCCGACCGGGTACGATCACTGGGTGTGTATTGGCTAAATATGCCCTAGGTCATCCGGCTGGTCGACGAGATTCTTAACTTGACGCTGATAGAATCCGCCGACCTCTGTGACCTGTGCCAGGAGCGTTTGGCCGGTATGTTACACTGTTGGGGCCCGTAACTGAATCCCGTCCCAGGTTCTAGCATCAATGCCGGCTTTTTGCCCGGGAGGACGCCGTTCCCGCATCCGCATACCTTCTTCTCAGGTAGGCTGGATGTGTAGCGTCGACATCGTCCGCAGGCGCAGGCATGATGCCCGGAGCGATGCCTATGGGCAATATGCAGTGAGTTAGACCCTAAGAGAGGCACATAGAGCCGCAGATTCCCCGCAGCCGCGCCCACAGGGCAGCCTGCCGAGGCTGCTGCGCAGGCCGCCCCGGCGCCAGAGCCACCATCGCAACCTCAGCAGCCAGGTGAGCAGCAGCCAACCGCCGTCACACTGCGTCGCAGCGAAGAAGAGCACGGGGACATTGACGCTGACCGGGTTCGACTCGGCAAAGAAGATCGCAGTCATAAAAATCGTGCGCACTGTGACCGGCCTGGGCCTCCGCGAATCGAAGGAGCTCGTGGAGAGCCTGCCGCGGCAGCTTAAGAAGGACATGGCCATAGAGGACGTGGAGAAGCTGGCCAAGGAAATCGAAGCCGCAGGCGGCACTGTGAAAATCGACTGATGTAATATTCTATGAACATAAAGACGATAGTTATACATTGACTGAAACTTCAGACGACCCGACGAGGTCTTGGCGATCCTGAGTTCGCGTGCGAGTCATAATTCTGGCGTCTGTTCGTGTTTCGTGACATCTGGTGGTGCCGCTTTGTGAATCCCCTGTCACGACCGGGTGAATCCCGGCCGTCCGAACCGGACCCCTGGCTCCGCCACGATGGTGAGAGGGGGTGACACTGCTTTGGTGACAGCATATGTGGCACCGGCGCTACGACCGGTGGTACCGCCCATGGCCCCTTGGGGTGAGGTGCCAGCGCGTTATACATGGCGTTGTGGAACATGAGCATATTGGGGTGCGGAGGGGGTGGCGGTATCATATACATGGGGAACATGCGGCCGGTCGGACTGCTGCTTGCGCTGTTGGGGCCGCTACGCCGTTGGCTTGAGTCCGAGTGATGCCTGTACGGAGCCGATGGCGGGGAGAAAGAAGCCGACCTGGGCCCATCCCTTATCCTATTCGTCTCGTACACCACCTTCTCCAGTGGTTTCTTGGGTGTTTCCACCGTTGCAGTTGGAGACTGTTCCGCCGCCTTCGGCGTCTCTATCCTCGACGGCGTTTCCTCCGTTGTAGGCGTGGCTTTGGGCGTTGCATCGCGTTTCACCTTGGGTATCTTGAACGAATCGTCGCCATCCAGCTTCACGGGCTCAAACGAATTCGTCATCTTCAAGTTGCGCCAACTCTCTGCGTTCTTAAGAGACCTATTAAGCGCAATTCGCCTCGCAATGGCTGCTCTGTCTGGCATCCCTCTAGTCCCAACCTGGGGAGATTCGTTTGCAGTCTCCTGTGACTTGGATTTACTTCTATTTGCTGATGCACCGCGTGATGTTACAGATTTTGTTGAATCACTTCCCCCACGGCCCTCATCGCTATATTCGCTGAATGCCGCCTCATCGTTTTCAGTGAAGAGACCCATGCCGGTTAGCTCAGCAGATCCATGTTTCCTCCTTGTCAGTGGCCCATCAGAGTCATCTGCGTTGGGCCTTTCCAGCTCCAAACTCTTGGACTTCCCAGGCCTCCTGCTCGACTCGCCCTTTGCAGCGGCACCCCTTCTACCTCCTCCCCTTCTGGAAGATGGGCTCTGGGGTTGTCCGGAATCGTACGCATCGCTAGCTGAATCCTTTTCCAGTGATACAATATCCTTGTCACTAGATCCCCCAATACCAGATTTACCCCTTTCCACCCCTGTTCCCGCCTTTGCATTTTCCGCCGCCAACATGGCATCGCTGATGGACTCCTGTGTATTTGCAGCTGTAGACACCGCAGGTGTAACTTCACCCTTTTGCTGCGTGCCTGGACGTCGTAATTTCGCGTAAGACGCTGCAAGCATAGACTCCGTGTTCCGCGCCTCGATGGCCTTCAACATTGCGCGCCGATGTTCTTCAATCAGTAACCTCACTTCCGTAGCTCGCATTTGTACCGTGTCCTTGAGCTTTTTGAACTCGTACTTAGCAAGTAGGTCATTTAAATCCTCCATGCTGAGAGTTCTACCCCCAAAGATGGCCCTCCAAGGCCTGAAATTCAGTACGCCCGTGTGCCGCACCTTTATCGGCATTCGCCGGCGTATGTGTTCCAGGTGCTGTAGCGCCGCGGTGCCGTAAATGTCGATCAAAGACGTGACGAACTCGGTCGGTATGGATTCCGTGCGCCACGCGTACCGTGCAAGGCGCTCCATGTTTTGAATCATGCGATAGTAGTGGTCGGCCCTCAGCGCAACCAACTCTATTATGGAGTATACGAGGAATTTGAGTTTTTCATCCCGGGTGTACATTTCCCTGTGGAGCAGGTCGCCTACATCTTTCTGCAGGGTCCTTACGTCATCGCACATTCCCATGTATTCCGTATCTGAGGCCCTGCCAGAGGTACCCGTAGCGGCGGTGTCGGCATTGGTGTTGATCGAATCATGCGAACGGGCCGAGGCGGAACGCGTGCCGTATACACTCTCTTGCTTCTGTTCCTTGATCTGGTCAATAGGGGCATCGGTGCCGAGCTCTGGCTGCGGTATGAGGGCTGTTACAACATCTCTTATCGCGTTCAGTATGTCCCTAATTGTGCGTATGTCACTGCTTGGGCTTGTGTCACAGTCATCCTCACTGTAGGTAGGATCCGGCTGAACAGCGACAATTTCTTCTGTTGTGAGATCAGGGGCCGACTTCGTGCGCCTGGTTTTCTTCGCTTCCGTGTCCTCCGGCTGCTCGTATATGTCGCTGAAGCGCTTGTTTGCGAATCGCAGCCTAGGGTCGACACCGTCCATAAGGGCCGACGCCCACCTAGTTCGTCGCACATATGCTTGAGATTCCACTTCATCCTCCGGTTTCGCCTCGGTATCATAGGAAACGTCTGAGAGATCGGTGTCAGCGTCGGCAGCCGCGTCAGGCTCCGTCAAAGTTCCGGCCGGTTCGGAAATCTCCGTTTCCAGCGGCTCCTCCATGATTCGTGAGGCTGCAAAAACGCTCTGCTGCTTCTCAACGGCCGGCGGAGGATGACGGCGAAACCGACGCTTTAACGCGTCAGTACACGCCGACGTAACCCTCAGCAGCCACGCTGCCTGAGACTAAATACGTGACACACGTCACACATTTAGTTGATTTCCGATTATATATGTTAGTTGTGTGTATCTTATGGCCCCGCCCGAGCACGGGTAGCCCTCTGCGGCATCACCCCGCAATAAGCTGCAAAAGCAATCTAGACGTCCACGTGCGCCGCCGGCGTGATGTCTTATGATTTTTATAGCTTTTAACTAGCGCATAATCTGCGAAGGCGGTGGATGTGTTACATCGCCGCTTGATTCAGCGTCCTCCTGAGCTCGCCCCTCAGAAGGCGGACATTATGTGCTAATAATTGCCACACCGGCAATATGTTGTTACACATGTGATATTTACAGGCATATGTAGTGTTGAAAAGTGCTTGAAGGCTAACTGCTGCACCGTTCAGCGTCCCTGCAGGGGCTCCGACATTGCTGTGATTCCATGACTGTGGACAACGGAGAGAGCGCAGTTACACAGTTAGAAAGCAACCCAGGTGTATCAGCTGCACCGCAGCCAATACAAAGACCCATCAAGGGAGTTCAAAGCGGCCTTCGCTCCCTTGGTATTGTGGGCAAGTGCATTGGGGACTCCAGTACCCTGCTGCTCACCCACTGGCTAGTGGAAGCGCTAGGCAAATTCAGGGGCTGGGAGAATACGCGCAATGACCTGGTGTGGATTCGGCGCATCCAGCCTGGCACCAGTCAAGGTTTTTGCTCCATCGAGCCCCTGGCATCGTCAGACACCTGTGGTCGGAGTGCCCTCGATTCTAACCTCTGCTGCGGTATTTGCAGACTGTGCCACGTGGTACAGGCATACAAATCAAAGAGAACAACGACAAAAACAACGCCAACAGGCAGCCATACGAATATATCTGGTTTCGCTTTCGCTGCTGTTGCATGTCTGGTAACCAACTTGCCTGTCTCAGCGGGGCCGCCGCCCCGCCCGCCTTCGCTACTCGTCTTTTGTTTGAGCGCCGTCAGTAATGCAGCTAATACAGGTCTGTACAAATCATCCTTAAAGTCATATCGTATTTTGGAGCGCTATGTGCCAGACTTGAATCAGCTGGTGGGTGATTGCTCCGAGGCATCGGAACCGCAGATAGAGGCCGTGCTTACGGATGAAGGGACCTATATAACACCAGAACTTTTGTGTATGTTGGAATGCGTATCTAAGGAATGCATGGGTATTACTTCTGGGGAAATCATCGCAATAAAATCTGCCCGCGGGGGGTCCGAAGGCGTCATGTACCCGGGGCTCATAGACGAACTAGAAACTCTAGCATGCCGCAACCGAAGTTGTGGAGCAGCATTGGCGCTAAACTTCGGCAGCGAATCCGACATTTGCCTATATGAAATAAACTTTGGCTGCGTGCTGAACTACATTTGAAGACTCTCGTCGGCAAGATGATTATATGTGACAACTGTGGTGAGCCCATCGTTTACAGCGGTGAGGGCGACGTGACATGTGGGATCTGCGGTGTCGTGCAACAGCTGTATTCGCAAACCATTGTCGAGGAATTCTCTGCCTCGTACAGTCAGACGCAGAAGATCGGACGACTGAAACCTGCATCACAGACTGATGCACGTCCCAGCCAAACCGAGGAAGAACAGGAATCGCGTGACTTTCAGTTTATTGTAGGAATACAGATGGTGCTGGATAACCTGTGCAAGACGTTGGTGAGGTCTTACGGCTTTTCGAACCAGGTGGAGGTGGAGGCGAAAAACCTATGGGCGCGTTACCTAACCCTGGTCGTGGAGAATGAAGTGCCTGTGTCGAACATGTTCTGCGACCCATTCACCAAGGGCCAGAAATATTGCGTGGACTTGCACTACCTGAAGCGGTCGTTCCAAATACCACCCAATTTCGACACCTTCAAAATCCCATCACGACTGCACAAGGGTTGGTTACACATACCTAGTATGTGCCTGTAAATGACCTGCAGTGATCCGTCGGATGGGCCAGACCAGTTTCGAGTATGCTACTTTGGTGTGCTTCGGCGTCTTGGAGCAGCAGCGAAAATACGGAGCCGATACTGGTCTCGAGGAGGAGGATCAATATATGGACCCAACGATGTCATCCTTCTTCATGGTAGAATCGCGCCCGACTAAACGGAAGCGCCCAACTGCCTACGACTACAGTGATATCAAGGCATTCCTGGAGGTGTCTGATATGTCGACTGTGCTTGAGGACTTCTTCGAGAACGAGATAGAGCTGCCACGTTCACGCCGTTGCAGCCCTACTGGGTTCCCTATAAATATTTTGAACGATGTGGTGGCGCAGCGGCAGTTGCCGCAGATGCCCTGGCTTCCCAACGGATACCTATACCTCGAGCAAACAAACCCGTACAGAATCGCATTCCTGGTAAGACTAGGTGGGCACGAATCATCACGTCGCAGATGGAAGCTCTTTACAGGCACGACTTTTTGTGGATAGTGCTACATGCTTACCCTAACCTCGAACCCATCAGGGGCTTCGAACGTTACCTGAGCATGTATGGACCAGTAGCAAGTGATGATTTGCCCGCTGCCATTGAGGCCAGACCTTTGGATTTGTCGGTACTCTGTGAGGTTGCAAAGTTCCTGGGTGTCACGGGGGTTGAAGAGAGGGTAGACGCGCTGTCACGAAACCCCCGCCGCCTCCGAATGGAGCTAGTAAACGACATTTTCGTGGCGCTGGTGTTGAAGTATTTCGGCGAAAACCGGGACCCCGATCTTGTCGCATTCAATCTGGCGTGGATTGCGCCTAGAATGGATCTCCAATTGGTCTGTGGCATACTGTTTGCAGCACTGGTCAAGTGCCGATACGCTGTGGTAGTGGGCGACATCGTGCGGTGGGTGATCCAGGGTCGCATCCCGCTTCGCAGCAGCGCGAGCCTGCTGTCCGACAGCATCCTGCAGGCTGCTTTCCGCGAGGATCATGTACTGGCACCGCGCATGAGATACGCTCCCAGCAGGCAGGAGGAGGCAACGTACAACCTCTTCACAAACACGAACGCCCCGCACAGCTCCTTGCACCTCGAGAACACCGTGTCGCGCTTAATGGCATGCGGCGTATTCTGCGACGGGAACAATGATGCGCAAGGAGAATCCGCGTCAAAGGTACCGCCCTATAATGTGCACGCTCTCTGCCGGCGCCTGGTCCACCACCTGCGGCTCCCCAGCAACGTGCTCCCGGTGGCCGACCTGGTGATAAACCGGGTTACGCAATGTTACGAGGAACTGACATCGGAAGATGAGACCAAACCTGATGATGGCATTAACTCCAACGTCAGCCGCATGATAAGCGTCTACGGTGCCCGCCTCGGCAGGTTCCCGTCGCACGCCTTTGCCGCGGCTTGTGTGCTGGCTGCGTGCCGTATGCTCTGGCCCGTATTCCATTACAACGCTCCCGCCTTTCCCAGACGTGCAGCTGCTCGGGACGACGGCGATAACCCTGCATCTGATGCGAAGCCTGACCCAAATGATAACCTGCTGGAAACCCACGTCATCAGGCGCGAAAGATTTCCGCAGACTATCGAATTTGACAGCACTCGCATGCGTTGGGTTGTACGGATTCCCAAGCCGGAGGAGGTTTGTAAGGCCCTCGGACGCACGAAGGAAGTCGCACCGCTGAAGGAGCAGGAACTCAGTCCAGGCCAACGCCAGTTCCTCCATCAGATCGCGGAAAGCATGCGCCGGCCTGCTTTAGTGGACGCATTCGGGGTGCCTCAGGCGCCCATTGCTGTAAAGCCCGTCAGCGCAATTACGGACGTACCCAGGCCATCAGATCTAGTCCCCGCGGAACCTGCTGCAGCGGACTTTTTGGAGCCGCCAGACAGCATATCGCACCATAGCTCCGGCACCGAGTTCTTCTTCGAAGCACGTCATCGCGGCTACGCTAGGGCGGGCACGTCCGCGCTGCTGTGGCTGTTCCACCACCGCCCAACGGAGGCAGTAAGGGCGCTGTCGGAATACCACACCGCCTGTGACACAAGACTGCTTCGACGCATTGCAGCGGACTATGCGCTGCGCGTAAGACCGACACTCCTGACAAAGAACGTCATACGGATGTACCTCGGCCCAGTCATCCCACTGGGCTGCGACGACCGGATAGTGTCCGCTTTGAAAGACGTGTATTATCGCAACCTGTGGATCAACATGGCAGGCATTTGGAGCGGCTCAGTGGCGGACTGTTTCGGGCTACGGGAAGAGGACTACGACGCACCAGACGCAATCGATGGAGGGGATGATGAGCAAGACTCGCCATTGGATCTGCAGCTGCGACGTAAGGTTGTGGCCGACGACGTCGATCGCATACAGTCGCTGTTGCTGCCACGTCTGGAGCCAGATGAGGACATTGCGAATCTGAAAGCATCACTCCCCGGGAACCACCAGATTTTCTACACGGTGACTGAGCTCTTCAGCACCTACCCCTACTACTCAGGGTGGTCGCCCGAGAAGTCGCTGGAGCTGGACAACTACAGGCAGCTGGTGCGCAACCAGCGCACGCAAGTTCATGGTGCAGTTAAGGAGATGCTGGTGACCCAAATCGTCGGGGAGCAAAACGACACTTGGACGCATATTGCCGACTCCCTCGAGTCACGGCTGAAATCAAAAGGCGGCGGGACGGTCGAGTGGCCTGACGTGCTGCAACAGGACAGCAATGCGATTCCACCTCAGTTGGACCCGCCTGACCCCGAGTCTGATTATCGCAGGGTGATTAAGTCTATGCTGCCACACTTCCAGGACATGGGGACTGTCACGGCGGCAGGAGTGATGCTGCCGCAGAAACCGTGGCGCAACTATGTGTCTCTTAAGAGTGAGTTGATGCAACTTCACCGCCCATATATTTGCAGACGAGCTACCCGTTGCCTACCTCGTCACGCTGAAATGCGCAGCCAACTTCATTGGCGCGCCTCACGCGCTCGTTCACTCCTGCGTGCGCCACATAGAGAAAGTATTGATTAACAGCCACATGTCAAACAGTTAGCTTGCGCGACTGCGGCGGCTGCAGCAGCTGCTGAACGCACTTGAACACGTAGATGGGCAGCCAGCCCGCCAGCGTGATGACGATGACCCTCCACACGAAGGCCGTGGTTGCGATGAAGGCGAAGTCGAAGTAGTTGCGCAGGATCAGGATGGAGTAGAAGTAGACCACGGCGGTGCATATCATGCTCACCATGGTCAGCGGATGGCAGGTGTGCAGCTCGGTGTAGATGTTCAGCAGCTCCAGCGCAAACAGGGACGTGCAGGCGACCGACACCAGGCTGAGCATCGAGTTCTCGAAGAGGATGATGGCTCCCAGCATGAGAATCGCACCCTGGAACACCGAGATCCAAACCCAAATCAGGAACGTCTTAACCGACATCACTCGACCCGTGTGCAAGGTCTGGTACAGCTCGGGGAAGAGGAATACCACTGACTCCTCAATTTCGTAATCTAGCACCAAACTGTATAGCGGCAGCATAGTGTAGTATGTGGAGAACCCGATTTGCAGCCACCCCTGGAAGAATGCCAGCGGCATGTAGAAGTACATGGCCGAGAAGAGCGCCTGCATGACGGCGATGATCATTCCCCTGTGTATGATGAAGTGCGTGAGCGATGCCGAGCTCTTGTAGCTGTTGCGTCCGTGCCATAGTATGATCCGCTTGATATAGTGGAAGCGGTGGATGGAGTAGTCCGCTGACAGGCTCGCCTGCAGCCCCTCCTTACCCACGATACCGATTCCGACGTCCGCCTCCGTGATCATCGGAACATCGTTGTCACCATCTCCGATAGCGCACGTGCGCTTCCCGGTGTATTGCTTGATGAGGCGCACGAGCTCAGCCTTGATGAAAGGTGTGCAGCGGCAGCAGAGCACCGCGGGTGCCATGGTTGCAACCATGATGAAAAACTTAGAAAACTCCTTTATGCTGGTTGCAACAACGGTGCCATCCACAACCAACATCGTGGATGTTGGCCCCATGGAGAAGTTCTCCAGCTTCTGCTTGATGTCATCCTTGTCTTTGGTGTTGTCCGACGTGATCTGGCAGAGCGAGTGGCTCTTGTCCTTGATTCCAGCGGATATTGCGATACATTTGGCCGTGTCCACCTTGTCGCCCGTAAGCATCCATATCTTGATGCCGGCGTCACGCAGCGCCTCCAGCGTGCTCCTCACATGTGGCTGCAGGTTATCCTGCACACCGCTGAGTGCGACCAGGATCAGGTCACGCTCAATGGTTGCAATAACCCTCTTGATCATTTCCTCCCTGTCGTTCAAGCTCAGCTGCGCATGGCGATAGCGTGATTCGAATGCACTGAATTCCGCATCCGACAGATGCCGATAACCGAAGACGAGCGTGCGCAGCCCAAGGCGTGCCATGTTGTCGCACTCCTCGCCCAGCCAGACGGAACCACGGGGTTGCAGCAGTTTTATAAGCGCAGATTCCGCCCCCTTGCAGAAGAAAAACTTCATTTTGGTATCTTCGTCCTCGACGATGATTCCCATCCTCTTGGTCTCAGAGCTGAAGGGGAACACCATCAAAATCTTGTAGGTCAGGAGTATGCTGCCACGCACGCGCAAGACCATCCTGGTCTCATCACGCTCCCGGAGCTCCACATTGCACATGCGTGCGAATGTAACCATGGCGATTTCATCTGGCGATGACGCCTGGAAGTCCAGCTTGTCATCCTTGTCGGCGATGGGTGTGACAGAGTGACATATTGCCAGCGACAGTATAGCCAGTGAAAGCTTCGTTTGCATCTCGCTGGTCTGAGATACCTTTGTGTGTGGTATGTAGATCGCCGATTTCCTCATGATCTTCGCTGGTGCGCCCTGACTGGTGCTGGCCTGCCCCGACATCGAGTTGTCCTGCATGGAACCAGATCGCGACGCTCGCAAAGACAAGCGTGATTTACTGCCTTCGTCACTGTATGAAAAGGATTCTGATGAGTCCGCTTGGCTGCTAACGTAATCCATGAAGTGCTTGTCCACAAGCTGCCGGATGGTCTCCAGGTCGTCCAGCTGGAACAGCGCACGCCCGATATGGATGCGGTCCAGGTTCATTACGTTCTGCGTCAGCGTGCCGGTCTTATCAGACAACAGGTATTCGATACGACCCAGCTCCTCGGGAATCAGTGTGGTTCTCGGCACCGTTCCCGGTATCTCGTTGTCCAACGCCATCGCTCTCGAGTATGTGAATTTCGCGATATCCAGGTTGATACGCAACGAGATGGGAATGATGGTCGAGAATAGCAGCAGGAACTTGATGAGCGTAATGTACCACCTGCCCACAAACCCTCCCGGTATCACCATCGCAACAGACATGCCCAGTAGTATGGAAAAGAGCACCTTGGTCATGAGGTTGACCTCCCAGTCGAAACAACCGATTTTGTAGCGCGCACGTCGCGCATTTAGCGACGCTCTTACGTCCTTTCCGACGTAGATGACCAACCCATACAATGTCCCCGCCGCCACAATGGTGTTCATCCAGAGGGCATTGTCCACGGTCAGAGGTTCAACCACAACGTCCATATCTGAATCGCCATCCACCTTCTGCAGGTCACCAAAATAGCCCTGGGACGTCATAGAGAACGAGTTATGCAGGCTACGCATGTCGTCCGCAGTGCTGTGGTCCTCTTTTGCGGACGACATGCTCTGTCGTAAGGCCTCACTTTTGAGGTCCCTAGATAAAGTCGGAATCGCGTTTTTCGTGAGCAATTCACCGTCGTGGTAGAATGTCATCTTGCCGTAGAAGGAGTAAATCTCCTGGCGTGGCGGCTCGCAGCAACATACGGCATTGAGCTTCACAATGTCCTCCGCAGATTGCAGACGCTGCGTCACATGCACCGCCTTCTTCAGCTTCCAGTCCGTCTCGCCGTCCAGCTGGTCCGTTCTGATGAAGCTGCTGCCGTTGGCCTCCGAGGAGCGCAGCAGTATCATGTCCGCTGGAACGCGCTGGTTTTTACTCAACTTCACGATGGAACCGACGGTGATCTTTTCCGCATTTATCTCCTTGATGCCTTCGTCAGTCAGTATCTCATACTTCTGCGAATTGGCCTCCCTGTCACGCAGATAGCGCTTGTAGTCATCGCAACCCTCCTTGAGCAGCGCCACGAAGAGCACCAGCGCCAACGGCCCGAAGTACGTGATCGCCGATTCTACCGCCAGATCCGGAATCAACTGCGAGAGACTGATGAGCAGGTAGAAGAGGTTCATGAAGACCCTGCGAAGATTGTCCGAGCAAAACATGGTAGACCTACTTGAACTGCTCGAAGAGCACGTACGGCAGGAAGGTCAGCACGTTGTACTTCGTGTTCTTTATACCGTTCCACACTGTAAGCAATGATCTGGCTGCAAACACTGCTTACTGAAGCTGCGGGGGATGCTCCCTCCGCGTATTGAGACGTAGCGAAGCCCCGGCATGAGCCGGTTATTGAATCTTGTTGCGATAAGGAAGCGTACGCGGTCCATGAACGTCACGGGCTTGCGAAGCTCCTCTAGTACCCATCGTTCGTCCGTGTATTGCGCTGCGCCGCGCTCCACGTCGGCCGGTTCTTCAGCGTTCGCCATATGTGTAAGCTTTGAGCTTCTGGGTTCAAAATTCTCCATGGGCCATTTTCCCGCACCGCCTTAGTTTATACCAACGCAGTAGAAACGTCCGGTCACGCTTGAGTGCCGGCCTTCGTCCGCAGCGGACCCCGCGGACCTGAACGCCGCGTGTAGCAGCGGAACCCAGGTTGCAAGAACGGTGACAACGTCAGATGTGCAGACGGATTAGTTAAGAAAGTTGCATAGTATTCGTGTAGCACACCTGTGCTTTAACATGCGATGTGAGAAACTGCGCGCTCCCACTTCACAGGAGTACGCAGCAGTGGACGATCGCGCGGCTTCTGACCGGTAACAATATCATCACCTAAAAGTCAGTCAACGCAATCGCTGGAATCACAATTCGCTTACATTAAGGGACAAATGTTGCAGTGCCTTAAAATTTTCGCCGTTCGTTTTTTCTCGCTCGGTAACGCGACGTCACACAGGATTCACTGATAGCCATCTTCCATTCAATGTTTGCACTAAATAGCGGTTGCAATGGCACACTTTCACATATGTGTTAGGTTTGCGGTATTTAACATGTCGAGTTGTTGTTGAGTCGCGCGATTTGACCATGGCGTTGCGACGCCAGTGTCTGTATTATTATCGGCAACAGGTCCTATTTCTCGTCCATTTGTGTCTACCTCATAAAAAACGGTTTAACAACGTTTCATTATATAGCTTTCCCGCACTTCTGTTCAATGGATTGTCCAATCGACCTGCGACAGATGTGTGGAATCTCGGGGGGCGGAATCATCGCTGTGGTCGAGATTCCAGGCCAATAATCTAATATGCATGTAATATAGTGACATATAATTGTAATAAGGGGCGATGTGTATGAGAGTTGTTGCCGTCATGTATGCCGGAGAAGGTAGACGGGTGTATGTGTCGCCGGGATAAAGGTGTCCCGCGGCTTGCGAAATGCGGAACGTCTATCGCAGGATTCTAGAGGCATTTGTGTGCGTCGTCTACATCTGCTCACTCGGATGGCGCCCCGCCAGTGCTTTCCGGGCGCCATGCGTACCGGTAACACTGGCGGCTGCCAGCGTCCTTCAGACGCGCCCTTCCCTGCACGGCGCAGTGATCCACCGCATACCTGCTGTGTATCAGACGGCAGTGGATGTGGAAGAGGTATCGCAAACAGGCGAAGTGGCGTCAGAGGGTGGCGACATCGCAGGCGTGTCCAATGCTGTTGCGGAGGAACCAAAGCCGCCGTTCGAGGACTTGGAGCTGTGCGACGAGATCCGAGACAGCTTCATGAAGTATGCGCTGAGCATCATCCTCGGCAGGGCTCTACCGGACGCCCGTGACGGCCTCAAGGTGGTGCATCGGCGCATACTGTGGGCGATGCAGGTTAGTCTACCAACCTTCCCATAACAAATCTGCAGGAGCTGAAACTCGGTGCCTCCACGGCGTATCGCAAGTGTGCAAAAGTGGTTGGAGACGTTCTCGGACGGTACCATCCGCATTCGGACAAGTCTGTCTACGATGCGTTATGCCGACTATCCCAACGGTTCATGATGCGCGTGCCTCTGGTTGACGGTCACGGCAACTTCGGGTCGGCGGACGACCCTCCGGCGGCCATGAGGTACACGGAATGCCGCCTGAGTGCATTCAGTGAGAATTTGCTGCTTGCCGACGTTGGGAGGGACACCGTGGACATGTTGCCTAACTTCGACTCAACCGAGCTGGAACCAACGGTGCTGCCGTCTAAGGTACCGATGCTTCTGATAAACGGTTCGTCCGGCATTGCAGTCGGCTTGGCCACCAGCATACCGCCACATAACCCGGATGAGATAATCTCCGCGGCGGCGCTGATGGCGAGAAACCACGGGGACGTCGACCCCGAGGTGCTGATGCATATAGTCCGAGGGCCCGACTTCCCCACGGGGGGGCATATCAGCACCACGATGGAGAACATGCGCAAAATATACACCACAGGCAAGGGCAGCATCATGTTGCAGGCGAAGTACTCGTACGAAGAACGCATAAAGCCGCGCAACTCAAAGCGAGAAAGCGACATTGTCGTGAACACATACAACAAGCTGTCTCATCTTACGTTCTCTGCTGGCAGCCGGGTGTCCATTATCGTCAATGAGCTGCCATACAACGTCAGAGTGGTTGGTGTGCGTACATTCAAATCTCACCCAGACGCAGAGGGATGTGCTGATGTCTATATCCAAGGCCGTGGAGACTGGGAGCCTGCGTGGAATTTCCGACCTGCGTGACGAGTCTGACCGCAGCGGAATCCGCCTCGTAATCGACCTCAAGAAGCACGTGACAACGCACATGGAGGTGGAGGAGATAATGAACAAACTGAAGCGCATGAGCGGCCTCTGCTCGTTTTTCAAGTGCAACTTTGTTGCGTTGGACAGCAGTGGCACCAAGCCTGTCAGGCTTTCGTTGTACAGTGCGCTGCGGATATGGCTCGACTTTAGGGTACAGACAGTGCGTAGACGAACCATGCACTTCCTTAGAGATGCTAAGGAACGACTGCATATGGTGAAAGGCCTAATCATCGCATCCAACCATATTGAGGAAATCATTCGCATGATCCGTGCGTCTCCGTCACCCGCGGATGCACGCAAGGCGTTGGCTGATAAACGCTACGGAGGTTTGAAGGGCGACCAGGCTTCCGCAGTACTGCGCATGACGCTATCGCAGCTGTCCAAGATGGAGCGTGAAAAGTTCGAAAAGGAAGAGGCTGCACTGAAGGAGACGATCGATCGCTATAACAAGCTGCTCAACGATGAGCGAAGCATCTATGCGTTCATCAGCTCAGAGCTGGAGGACATACAGCAGCAGCGTCGGAAGCATTACAACCTTAAGCGCCGATCCACTACGTTGTCTGTTGCTGGGCGTCCTAAGATAAATCTTGCCGATTTACTAAAGGATGCTAGCGCACCACAAGACACCTCCACCTGCATGGAATCCGTCCTTGACGGGGAAGATGATGGAGCAACGTCTGATGCCGGATCGGATAGTGACAGTCAGTACGATGAGGAGTACGATTATAATGGCGACGGTGAGAGCGAGGCGGAAGATGAAAAGTCATACAACAAGGACCCAAGCCTCCTAGTGCTCAACGATCTCGGTTGGATGCAGCGTATCAAATTCGATAACATGTTCTTCACCAGTGGGCGTTCACGCTCCATCTACTCACCGCGTGTCTACCAGGCTCAGGTGGCGCAGTACTCCGTAAACTCTGAAAATACGGAGCCGGAGCAGTCGCCAGATCCGATTCATGAGAAGGTGACGCTGAATTACGCCACCTGCAAACCTGGAGACATGGCACTGCTGATTGGCACGGATGGCATGTGCGTCACCTTCCCGGTCTCTAAACTTCGCATTTGCAGCCGTGGATACTCCATGTGGAAGGCTCTGGACGTCGAGCGTACGGAGAAGATCGCGCATTTCATGGTCACCTCCAAGTTAAGATCTGCTAATGCTGAAGACGGTGAACATTCTGAGAAGAAAAAACTGCTTCTGGAAGACCCCGAGGGTTTCCTGATAGTTGGTTTCGCCGACGGCGAGGTCAGTGTCATGCGTTCAAGCATCCTTGAAGGCATACGCCTCAACAAGTTTGGCGTGGGCAAGATGCGCCTATGGAAAGACGAACGCCCGGATCCCGTGTTCGCCTTGTTAGCGGGATCCAAAGATGATATCATATTGGGCACGTCACAAGGGTACGTGCTGCGTGTACATGTAGAGACCCTGCTTCGCGGTTTGGACAACCGCGTCAGGACTCGCCGTAAAGTCATACGACTAAAGGAAAACGATGCTGTAACCTGCGGCGCTCTGCTGGAGTATTCTGCCGCGGAATCCAGCCCTGAAGACGCAGTAATTTCAGATGAGCAGCCGAGCGACGCAGACGTCAATGACCAACCAGAGAACAATAATACCGACGATAGCCCGTCGCCAGCGCTAAAACCTACTGAGGAGACTAGCCCGACCGGGAGGCACCTGATGATGCTGTCGCGAAGCGGCAAGGGGAAGCTGATCCCCGTCGGCGAGGTGAAGGTGAATCGCCACTGCGGCCTTGGTTATGACATCATGCGGAATTCAAAATCTGCCATCGACTCGCTGGTCGCAATAGTGCCGGTGGAGCCGGAGGACCACGTGCTGCTGGTGAGTGAGCGGGGGATCCTGGCGCGGAAGGACCCATTTGCGCTGCGTCCGGGGCTGAGACACCACAAGACACGCAACTTCTGGTCGCGCATACACGGCACGGACGTCGTGAAGTACGCCGCCAAGATTTGACGTAACCGAACACAGCGTGAAATCTTCAGTCCTGCAGCATCAGTCAGCATTCAGTCACGCAGAATCGTCGGAGACATAACCAAGCTTCGCAGTGTACGGATCATTGCCGTCCGAAGACATGCATCAGAGGTTGGTGATGGGATGCTGTGAGGAGTGCCCAGCAGCAATGTCGACTACAAAACGCAACCAACATTTTAATAGGTCAATGTTATCACGCATGGGTGTTATATATAGTCAACAGCGGCTGAGTTTTACTCCCTAACGTGTACTCACCGCTGGCCATCACAATTGTTGTTCAACGCATAGCAAATTTTCCATGCAAATAAGACCCTCATTGGCACTCCGAAGGTTATTAATCAGATTCCAATACCGCTGTAATCGTCCTATTAGGTAATAAAAGCACACATGGTTTTAAAACACTGTTCACGGGGCAGCACGAAATATCCTCAGCTAGAGGGGAAAATGGCTGGGTCGCGGAGAATTTTACAACCGATCTGATTGCAGAGAAAATTCGAAGCACCATATAATAGCAGTATATTATAAATAGCATTCGAGATCGTAAAAAATATTTATGGATGTGGGTGTTATTTATTTGTAAATCAATTCATAGCCCCTCCCTTAACTCCGCTCGAGCCGGTTATTTGGCTGTTTGAAATTGTTGAATACTCTTGTAGTCGATAGGAACCGCACGGAGATAATACAGCAGTGACAATTGAGTTAGACAATCTTCGTTGCTCTCGTGCTTCGGCGACATTCTTAGTAAAAATGGCATCTATTCGCCATTATGGAAGGCGAGGATTTGCAGCATTCATTGGCATTTACCTGGTTATTTGCAGTGGTTTAGTTAGTGGCGCCCACCCTGAAGGTGGTAATTCCGGTAGCGGATCAGTCCCGGATGGAGGTAATGGGGATATGAGGAGTATGCTTAGCGATAGCTCTACACTTGCTGTTCTTGGTACATTCCTAAAGTATGCAACGCACTTGGATCTTATTCTACATGGCCCCGTATTCAATGAAGGCAATATAATCCAAGCAGCTAAAGACCTTTATCCATCAATGCGTATGTTTCCCGCTAAGATTGAAGCCTTCTACCATGTCTTGCCTGAGGTGTTTGACGCCATCAATAGAGCAATGGAAATACACAAACGCTACAACGATATACGCGTTTCACTAGGCAAAATAGATCCCAAGTCGCGTGAAGCAGTCGAATTAGTGGATGAGCAACACAGACTTGAATCGGAATTCGAGGAGTACGCTCCACTTGTTGAGGCTGGACACACGTGGAGGGTTGATGCAGTGGCGCCTGTTGTTCTGCGCCTATTTCAGGATCTTGAGCGAACGTTAAACTCTCCTAGTGCCTCACAGAATCCTGCTGTGAGAGCTAACGGGGAAGCACCCATAGAAAACCCCGTCGCAAATACGCCTTCACCAGGAACAACCACGCCACAGGAACCTACAACTACATCAGAGACAACAAAACCCAGTGGAACCACACCCTTAACAGAACCAACGAAGATTTATTCTGCACCCAAATCCATAGCCTCGATGAATATAACCGATCGAACTGAACCCCGGCCAGAGCCAACCAAGCCGCAGGTCACGGCTGCAGGGAAGGGCACAGATGAATTAGGGATACCACAAGGTAAAAGCGAAATTGTCAACAATGTTCGTGACACAAAGGATGCTAAGAATTCATCTGGGCACATGACGTCGGGAGTTAGGATTATTCAAACAATGGCTGCACTGGGCATTATCGCGGTGCTCTGACTTCACATCTCCCCCAAACCTGGAGTGCATAGTTATCGCACGCACAGCGAAACGGGGCATACGCTTCGGAAAAAGCACTTTCTGCACAATTTACGCAACGCATAGCTATTCCTAAAGGCATTGAATTTTAAATTGAATAATATACGGTATCTCGTTTTTGGTTTGCCGTTGTATTGCAGGTGCGTACATATGACTGATGCATATTTGCTCACTTAGCATGGCCTCATTGTAGCCATCGGCTGTTCCCCAAGCATCACCCAGCCTTCACAAGAGGGCAGCATTATTCGGCGAACGGACCCATCATTCCAATTGCGGTATTAGTGACAACCGTATTCATCCCTAGACGACATGCCTGACGTCAAAAGGCTGTGAATTGGAGCGCTCGAATCCGTGTTTGCCATGCGATGATATAATCCATTCTCGTGTCGTGATACATATAACCGCTTTCTATGCCGCATGTTGGTTGAAGGCTGATTCCTCCAAATTTCTTTCCACGACCTCCGTAGTCACGTCTGTTGAGCATCGGAGGCAGGTTGTCTTGGTTAGTTATTCCTATTTCCACGATGGTTACGCTGTTCTTCTAATGTGCTTGTGCGATGCTCAGTAGATTACGTGCGGTGTTGTTGGCGTATGCCGAGCATCCACTTATCCGTCTATCCCGCCCCCGAGCATCCCTCGCTGCCCCCCGAGTTCTGATTGGATTGCCTTTGCTACCTCCTGATGCTGCTCATATTTCGAGCAGGGGAGTATCGGACACCTACCGCGCGGCCCAATTCAATAGGACGGCTCAAGTCTTATAACACAATAGGAAACAATGCAACCATATCACTAGCCCAACCCGATAACCAGATATGCAAATGACCCACATCTAATCATTACCTGTTACTAGCACGTAGAATGATCAACCGCAACGAGGGTGGGGGCGAGGGCCACCCAGCGCCGCTAAGCAGCGGGACATTACAATACACCATGCATCGATACGTGCTACATGAATTGCACTTGTTTAAAAACCTGTTGGCAGTTCGCATGTGTGTTAGCTGATAGAGTCTGAACCTGACATAATCTACGATTAAGCACATTGCCACAGTAGCAAGCGTCTACAGGAACGGCAACAATACCGTGTTGACGAATGATGCCAGACCATCCGCCATGGTGGCGAGGGCAGGGGCAGCCGCACCTGTCGTCGCAAGGTAAGCCACACTGCCTCCCGCAATACCAGCCATTGACATACGCAAGAGCAATTTGGCCAAACCCTTGCCTTGCTTGGCGTCATCAAGGGCAAGCATGACACTCAGAGGAGAACCTTCCGTGAGCAGCTGATCCAGTTCCTTAAGGAGGTCCTTGCCGGTCTTGCCAGTAGCCTTGAGACAACCCTCGTTGAAACCCATTTTGACTGGGCAGTTAGGGCACTTGCGCGCCGCCGTGCATGTAACCGTCTTACACTCCGGGTCGAGATCCAGCATAAACTTGTATAGATCGGTTTGTTCGCCACGGTTTCCATCGACTGTAAAGGTCTGATCACGCCACTCACCATTCTCGCCACACTTCTGCCTCAAGAATGTCATCCTGTCGTTGAGCGACTTGAGGTAGTGGTTGAACCATGGGAAGAAATCCTCGTCCACAGCAGTCGGGTACTCGAACTTTGAGATGTCATATTTGCAATTGTAGCCATAACCGTAAGGGTTTCCTTGGATGGTGCGCAAAATCTCCGAGCACTGCACTGCGAGCTCGTCTACAAACTGTTCCCATCTCTTTGTCTGGGTTTGAATCTTGTACTTGGCACAAATGGCATCAATTTCTTGCACCAACTTTGTCTTGTGTGGTTCCTCCTTCAGACCGTAGACCCAGATGAGAATGTCACGGACGGTCTCCGGCGTCTGCTTCTTGTCGGTGGACGTAGCAGCCATCTTCTTTAGAATATATAGGCGCAATTTACTTCTATTCGCGTGTAACAGCCCTAAATCCACAGGTTATGGGCAATTCTCAGACGCCTTCACCTGATTGTATTATGGTAGCAAACGCCTGAATGCTGAACCTGCTGGATCTAACCTATACAGCAAAGGCCATCATAAAAACAGTCTCGACAGAAATTGTCGGATGAATGTTTGACGTTTCAGCCACAAAGCAAGCGGTAATAATGGTCGTTTTCGTTGGTTGCACCGCGGCCGCGTCACAGCGCACGGATTATAAACAGTTTGCACAACGGTCCGCGCCACAACACAGCGCAGCTTCCGTGTACTAATTATACAAGAAACGGAAAGGGGCGGTAGCGCGCGACGGAGAGCGCAGACACGTGTCGCGCGGTCGAACGTCACACATGCATGTAAATGCCGGATGAGCGTCGTGCAACTCCGGGCTCTCCGCCGGCTGCCAACTAGGCGCAAAACACCGTGCGTCGCCGTTTTTGTTGGATGCTGCCTTCTCTTGTAATTTGGTTTGTTTTCTTCATGCCTTAGTTTTCCGGAAGTTGTCGGTTAGGCCCCCTGGACTAAGAGGGAGTGCTCTAATTGTTAGACGGAACGCGTTGCATGTAGGGTTATTTGCGTTGGTGAAAAGGCGTTCCAGACGTTTTGAATACTTTATAACATGTCTATATGTTTTTATGTGCGTGTTATAGTCAGCTTCCGTTGAACTTTGGGCACCCGTATACGCGAACGGCGGCCGTGGAGGCCGGAATTAACACTTTAGCGACATAGTTGCTTATTTTGGGGCTCCATAATTCACAATAGTTTGTCAACGTCACGTGGCGCATGTTCCATACCAGCCACCGTCTTTATCTGGGTGGCTGCGGACCGCGGCTTTCAGCAACCATTTCCGCGTTTAGCGGGCTGACGCATCACGCTGATGGTGTTGATTGCGTGTTGCGTGTAGTACTATTGCCAAACGTCGGCGCCACGCGTGATGGCCTTCCTTCTCCGGACGCCGGTGTCACCTTGGGGGCTACAGCGGCGTGGTAGTTAACTACACTCATGGCGTACCCGGTTGTGTCCAGCTATAGGCTATTTTGACAGCTTTGACGCTGCGAGTAGCTCTACCCTTCTGCATATCTCCGTAACTATTATGTCGTACATTTCGTTGCTCGTTATTGAGTTTTTGTTCTCTGTTATTACTAAGTAGTTATACGTGTCTGGTCCTTCCATCATTTTTGCTATGCTTGAGCAAGCTTCCGTGTTGGTATCGATTAATCCTGAGTCCTATTTTGTTGAAGAATAGCTCCACTTCCCGAGTCATGCCGATAATCGTACTTTCCTCGTGGGAGAAAACATTTCAGGTCGCTAATATAGAAAAGGTGGCTTGTTGCGAAGATTTTGTCTACCGTCAGGCGCAGCTTCACCTTGGGGAAAAGGTGCTTCAGTTGTCTGCTTAGCGGGTCCACGTATAGCCTCACTTGTACACATGATATGCATTTATAATCGTTCATGTGGCGCTGAGGGGTGTCAAATGCCGAACTTACGCCACGTTATGCGTACGTACGGTATTTGTGTTCGTTATCTACCTGCTAACTGCCTTTGGGCACGTCGCATTTTCGCCGCATAGCAGTCGTGTATTGCGTGAGCAGCCAATGCAACGGCGTATACGAATGTGATCGTATTTGTCGCTTTTGTTACCGTTGCTGTGATACAAAGATAACAACAGCTATATTTCTATTCGCGGTTTTACCGGCGTTCTCATTGCTAAACCTCCACATCTTGTTGTGTAGTCAAACTGGCACAGTACACTCTTGCCATGTTGCCACGTTCTTAGCGATTATCCTGATATCATTCAGCGTAGCTTGCACTTAGCGTATGCCGCAGGCAAGTATCTATAGCCTCTAAATTTAGAGATGAGTCCATAATCGTCATATTCACTATAGGTATTCAAAAATGCATATAGCCATTTTTTAAATTTCCAAAAACCGTACATAATAATCTCCACAACAATTGTGAAACATTTTAAAAACCCTGATGAGCACCTATCCCCCCATCCGTAGACGTAGGCAGCCAAGAGTAAAGCACTTATGAAACCCAAAATCAACACCAATGGAATAATATATGATGTCCATATGTACCACATAATCGCCTTGATGACGGCGTCCATTACCTCATCTACGCTTGGTGCGTTAGTCGCATTTTTTATTTTTTTGTTAGTAGCCCCGTCCACGGAGGGACCTCCCAAGCTCTCTAAACCCATGAACGCAGCACTTTTGAAAGTGTTTCGGGCCGCATAGATGGCCGAGGTAAATACCCTAGTGATGGCGTCACACTGAGCATTACAACCAGCCATTTTGCCCGTTTATCTTGCTTGCCTATTCAATAACAGTTGAGTGAAAATGAGCTAGGAGATTCGAGACTCATCAGCTACGCATACAAGCGGACAAACGTGTCTTACACATTGTATTAGATATCACGGCAGCCACAATAATGCCAAAACAGGGAAATAAGTTCTAGGGGGAGATGCATAATGTGTCAGCGTTGAAAGGAGATTCGCGGCAACATAGGTACGAAAATACGGCGATAGCGGCACCGATAAAGATTTTACATGGCGTATAAAGTAGTGGCGGTGTGTCTGAACACGGATACACGTTAACTCTGACAAGCATCGGAAAGAGGCCGGTGATAGGGGGGGCTATGCGACGTAGGAATCCGCACGACGCAGATTGCCGTGCATGCAGAACCAAAGAAGAAATCTGTATGAGCCCAAATAATAATTCATAATCAGGGGGGTGATCTGAAATTCGTTGCTGCAAACCTGGAAGCTGAGGGGCTCGTTACCATGTCAAAAGTGCTGGCAATTTGTAACGGCGCTAGCCGGCCGGTTAAGTGGAAAGAAAGCCCAATGGCGGTTTATGAAACCAAAGTGGAATTGATAACGTATGAGATCTGTATCTAGATTAGAGATTAGTTTAATTTTTTGAAACGTACATGAAAAATAGTTCCGATCTGTCCCTGAATGCATGTGGGGAGGAGGTTCCACCCAATAAGACAGCGTTAAACATTTAATAGACTGAGTTAAATGGCATCAGCAATTCGCAACTGTCGACCATACATTCTGTCATCGTAGGAGGGCGCCATGGATATGGTGATGTGCAATGAGCAAGGGAAGCGTGACGATACAGATATCAGCATATCAGAACCACGGCCTGGCAGTGATGCGTAGTTCCCTGTGATCCTCTCTCGTGGACGACGCCCGTAGAAAGGCACAACGCACGTAGATTGATACGTAGGCAATTATCATATACGATATAACTGTGGCTGTCTCACCGGCTTTGTTGCTCTTGTCATTTGGCAGTTCTGCTACACCTCGCTACTTGCCCCACGGACCACTTTCCGTTGCTGGCCGAAGTTGCTACATTGGAAATACGTGATTATGACGTTGCCAGCGTAGTGGTTGGAGTAGGTCAAGCTGGTATTTTCCTGGAGGTGGAGACCTCTCGTATGGGTCGTGAATCTCCGGGGGACTCTAGATCTAGTCGGGCACTTTTGCGTCTGGCAATATTATATTGTTGATCATGTTGCATATGGACATGATTGTGACAAAGACGAGCGTGCTAGGAAGATTAATGTAGCTCTCCATCATTATTTATGATAACATGTACGTGAACGGAATAGACATGTTACGTTCGTCACAACCCGTTTTACCCCAATGAAGACTCCTAGCAATATTCACAGCGAGCACTTTCAATCGTCATGCACACTTAAGTTCGTATAACTAGCAAAACAATGAACGACCTACCTGGATGTCGGAAATTGTACCTAGGGCATGTTTACTTTTCGCGTAACGATCATATGTTTTGCAGTACTATAAGGTACTTTGGCCGTTTTAATGGATGCAATGCATCGAAGCATATGCATCATGTGGCATTGGCTTCGCATTACAGTCATTAGCATGGACCCACCCAACTGCTTCAGCCAGGTCTACGTAGACGGTGAGGTAAAGAACATAGCAGAACTCAGCAAGTCGTTGGTCGCATCGAGATCCAATCACTTCGTCATCCTGCGTCTATACAGTTCACTCGTAGGGCACGGTGAGACGTTGCGCCATACGCCGCCATTGGAGTGCCGCTGCGTCACCGTCAAGGGCGCCGTACTCTCAACCATCCAGATAGGGAACTATTACTCTAGATAGTGAGTATCTCAGATGTGATAATTGACTTGTGAATGAGACAGTTGTTTTCACTGTTTATGATAAGTGGTGTATCCACCGTTTTAGGACGGCTTTCGGGCAGGCCATCGGCATTGCGGTGGAAAGTCCCAGCAGTTTTGTCTAATGTTAACACAACTGTGTTTCACTTGTATAAGTTACGATAATGCAAATTAACGGTGTGGCGTGGAATTATGTCTAATCATCGTTCTGCTGAACATTTTGTGATGGTGCAGCGGAAAAGGCATAAAACGGCCACCGTCATGTATGCTCACAATTTGAAAGGCTGCCAACGCGCTTAACACGCATCAACGTATCCTTTGTAGTGTCTCTTCTTGTACTCACCAACTACTAATGTGGATGAGCGACCACCGTGCCGGTGTCGGACTACGTTAGGTGATAGGTGCGAACACACATAGGGATGACTCCGTTTGCTCACTTCAACTTCACAAAGCATCGTATCACATGTTTTACAATGATACAGAGGGTCATTTGCATTTGCGATGTTCAATTTTCAACGTCTCATTAGACTTATCCACATGGTTTACACCTCGATGGGAAGAATGAGGGGGAGGGGGGATGCTCCACTTCGGTGTTTATCGCTGGGGAGATGATACATAAATTGGACATCAAACACCGCCAGAAGTGCATCAACAAAGTTCGACAACCCTCATATCGATGAGGAGTCCGACAACAGCAGGGTTGGTGTGCGAGGCCTTGCATCAGATAAAGTAGTTCTCCGTTTATATTATGAGTACACGGGAAATGTGCTTCACAGAAGTGACTATACATGTTAATTTATGCTATGTCCGTATTCAAATAAAATGCAGTGCCGTTGTGTGTATTGCCGAACACCCCCGCCAGGTGGGAGAGCAGCATTAAGCATAGGCCAGGCAGCATCGTCACACACATATCAGGCTCAAGAGAGATGCACCCGTGACAATATGTTGCATATATCGGTGTGTAATTCTAGGACGTCCAAGACATCTTCCCAGCTGAATGTGGGGTAAGGTTGACAATACGTAGATGACACCGCCGGGTATGGTATCTCTGTGGTGCAAGACGCGCGGCTGTAGTATCCCTGGCGGTGGACTGGGTATTAGCAGATCGTATGGTCACGGGATGATGAGGGGAGACGGCGTGGCGGCGTCACAGTGCACTGCATGTGGAGTTGCCCCGTCTCCCACTCAATCCTTATGTGGTGACCGACTGCTTACCCTGTTCCAGTTCGCCTACCGGCCTGCTACGGCCTTGCCGGATTCCTCGGCTTGTCACCATCCTTCGCCAATCAGGTGAGTGGCATGCTGCTATGGTTTTCGTGTGTTTTCATATGTTTTGCGTGGACGCTTGGGCATGTTGCTTCTTAGTACCATGACGCACTTCGTTGTCGCTAAGCTTTTTACCCTATAGAATGTTTGCTTGGCGCAGTTAGCCGTTTGGTAAGGGTGCCTTCGAGGGTATTAACCAGGATGCAAACAATCCCTCCCCGCCTGAATATACCCTCGAGGTCACCTGTAAGCCATGCGCCCAAGATGCTTCCCTGCTCTCCAAGACCCTGACCGAGGCGTAACACTACGCTGCCATCGTCCTCTGCAGGGTCAGAGATCATGATGACTACAATGCCTTCAACGATTTTGACTTCAGCTGGAAATATCGCAATTATTATTCCACCGATTCCGCCTGCCACCACCAGTTGTCGTTCCTAAAGTCGCAGTGCGCTCGGGTCTCCAAACAAGGAGGTTGGAAGGATTGTCAATATGGCAGTGATATCAAAATGCCATCTCCCCTCCAGGCCTTCCTGACTGACGCCCCCGACTCCAAGTTCGACACTCACCCCTTCGACCCGTGCAACATCTGCCTCAAGAGCCGTTAAACATGGAATTCAGAGAGGATGATTTGCCTGAGAAATCACAAAACGGCAAGCATCTCCACACCATCCTCTCTCCCCAATGCGGCGGCGACGATCCCTTGCTGACGCTGTGCTCTTACCTCAACTCTCACCAGGTGGAGTTCTCGCACCACCGGGGAGCTTATCTCCTTCTACAATTTTGGGAATTCTATCTACATTCCTCCTTCACAGTTGTCCTCACTGGGCTCCGCCCTCTCAAAGCCACATGGCCACTGCCCCGACTGGGATAAACTTGGTGACGCCGACCTCCAAGCCGTCCCGGGCATCCGTGGCTCCGCCCCTCCCAACTCCAACAACCACGACAAGGACCATCCCAACACCCTGTCCACACTGCTTGGTTGCGACATCGATAATTCGCAGTGCCCACAACATCTCTCGCCCATCACCTACCGGGCCTACGCCCTGTACTCTTCCAGCTTCGTCCACCACTACTTCAGCTGGGCGGCCTACCTAGCAGACAGACTGTGGGACTCGCTTATCAGGCTGCGCTGTGATCTCGAGGACCTTCAATGCCACGACTCCAAAGCCAAGGCCCTCAACCGCTGTGACAATGCCATGCCACTCCTCTATTCTCACGGGTTCACGCCGCCGGAGGGCATGTCGACATCACTGATCAAATGCTCGGATGTAGGATCCAATTTGGAAGAAGTGATCTCAGGTGGACCCATCGCAAGGCTTATGAGCTGTATGGATGAGTTTCTCCAGAGTCCGGAAACCCTTCATCACTCTCGTCTTCACATTCGGCTCTATCGCAATGCTACTCCTCGCCCGCAAGCTGGTATGCTGCATGGACGTATTGCACATGGGCTCTCGTCTGCTAACGTCCAAGGCCTCCGACTCAAACGACGTCAAGGCGCTATTCGCGCCGAACAAGAAGATGCTCACCCTCTACCACGGCGTCGACTAGTTCGACGACCATCTTGATTAGCTACTTGACACCTGATAGTAATAATGTAGTTGCATTACATTCCTCGTGTCGTGATGTGTTTCGTGGTGAGGCATATGTCGGCTATGCGTGGCAGTCACACTGGTGTCCCACTAACTCCACTAAATACTTGCACAAATAATTCACTAGTCGTCGGGGACGTCATTCCTATACTAACTGATCATAGCGCAATGCAATTCCATTCGTGACGTCTTGGGCACATGTTACGCCACAGTCCTCACTTCCGTCATCATGCAGTGGCCTGCTCTGCGGCTGTGGCTTTGAGACCCTCTTCAAGGACCAGAACACATTGCAAGCGCCGGCACATAGCAACGACGATACAAATGAAAGCCCTAAACATGAAATTACCAACTTCCAGAGGTGGAACACCGCGGCCGGGGAAGTTATTCAGACGGCGCATCGGATGTATAAGGCAATTTAAGGGAAGTTAAAACCATGGATGGCCAGAAAAATGAGACGATTTTACGCAAGCTGGTATATTAAAATGGCAGGGAAAAGACTTTTGCAGGCTGCAACTGTGGCTAAAAAGGCTGTTGAGTCTGAGGTCACTAAGGCCTTGGAGGCCGTTGTGGATATGGACAAATCTCTTAAGGAGGATTTGAAGAGTTTTAAAGACGAGATTAAGGGTGGGATTAGAGATGTGATTGACAAGTCGGGAGTTAATGATTTGGATACTTTGGTGAAGAGTGATTTGGGGAGGTTGAGGGAGAGGATTAAGGGGCTTAGAGATAAAGTGAAGAATGAGATTGGCGACGATAGTAATATTGTTCGACAACAGTTAAGGGATCTTGAAGGTGCGAAGAGCACGTTGCATAAGCTTGCTAGTAAGATTGGTCCTGAGTCAATAGTGGCGCTGACTGCAGGGCTTGACACTAAGTTTACAGATGTGATACAACAGCCGCTTAAGAAGTTGATCGATGATGTTAACACGGCGATTGGGGCGCTTGGCGAAAAATTTGATAAGCCGGACACAAACACATTTGAAAGTATTTTCGAGCATATTAGAGATAAGGTTGGGGCAATTAAGGGGAGGCCTAAAGTGGGTAGAAGTAACGGATCAGGGCTGGATGGAATAGTCAGTGAAGTGAAGGGGCTTGCCAGGGCGTTTGTTCCGGGAAGCGGGCAAAATGGTTTTAAGGCTAGAGTCGGCGGTTGGCTGGAAGGTGTAATAGGGAATGGGACGAAAAGTAAGCCCGGGTTGCAAGCTGTGAATACTTTGCTTGCGGAGTATCAGAATGCGGCTAAGGGGGGCGGACATGATGAACAAGCGTTGAGAGATCAAGTTAAGAATCATATTATGGCTGCACTTAACAGCCAAATTGGTGCAGCGCAAGGGAAGATTGGTGCAGTGAAAGAGGGCATTAAAGAAAATCTCACTGCCATCGTAAGCGCTTGCGAGGAGTTTGTCAGTAAACTTGATGAGAAAATCACGAAAACGGAAATAGAGAGATTTGCTCCTGCGATAGCCGGGCAGATTCAGGGGTGGGGAACGCGACAGCTCCTTCATACTTATAATAACGTCTCTGATCTCAGAAGTGCCGTCAAATACATCCTGGTCGCGCTCTGCGCCGGTGTCAATCAGGTGGCCACGGAGATAAGAGTTTTGGGCAACAACACGTTTGGCACAATATTGGACAAAATAAAGCCGATTGTAGATAAGCTTCACAATCATCTAGACCTGGCGACTCAAAAATCCGCCACCTTCCAACCTAGCCCCGCCCAAGCCGTGGACGGTAAGTTGGAGGACGTGAAGAGTGAGGTTAAGGGGCTTGAAGATACATTTAAGCAGAAAGTCAAGAAAGAGCTTCAAGAAGATGTCAACAAGCTTGACGGAGCTGTTCGCGATTTCGACACTTAATCTCAGAAGCAGATCAAGCAAGCGGCCAATACAGCGTATTTTTCAAAGGCCTTGAGTGATTGAATGACATTGTTCAGCGGGCCAAAGTACAAATCGTAAAGGTCACTGTAAATGTTCCTCAACTCATCAAGGCCGTCACCTTTCAGACGCTTTAAGTCCCTCATTAACTCGTTTGCTTCCGTCCTTATCGCCGTGCACAGCTCCTTGAGTTTGTCCTTCACGTCCTTAACGTCCCTGGTTTTTATGGTCTCGATGTCTGAGGTGATTTTAGTGAGGCCTGTTTTGAAATCACTATCATTCCATGGTTGTTCTCCTTTTTCAAGGCCATGCTGTTTCAGCTTCTGCAGCTTATCGGTGACATGTTCATTTAACGTCCCTCTCAGAGTGTTAAGGTCACCGGTGATTTGGGTGACGCCAGTCTGAATTTCAGTGGGTTGGTCATTCAACATTTTTTGTTGATGCTGAAGTTCACTAGTGATTTTTGCGAGGCCTTTTTTATTCTCTCCGTGATTCCACTCCTTATCACTTAGTCCATCGCCCTTCAAATCTTCCAGAGTCTTGATGACATCGTTGTACTTGGCGCCTTGCAACACACCTTGAAGGGTAGTGAGTTCATTTACAATTTGTTGCTTGGCATCTCCGATTGTAGTGGGATGTGTTTTAAACGGATTTTGTTGCAGTTGTTGAATTGCATTTTTAATTGCCTCAAGCCCAGATTTTTTTCCTTCACCAATTTGATCTTTCAAAGCCTTCAACTTGTCAAGGATATCATTTCTACTGAAAATATTTTGGAACTTGATTCCGATCATTCCGAACTCCGACGCGACGTCGGCAACTGCATTGCCTATTTCATCACTGTGCTTCTTTAAAGCATCATTCTGCTCTTGAAGCTCACTCTCGATTTTCCCAAGGCCACTGGCATTTTGACCACCGGAAGTTTTCTTACCATTCCAATCTCCATCACCAAGACCCGCAGTATTTAAATCTGTCAACCGTTCAATTACATCGTCTTTACTATTATTCTTCAACTTCTGTCTAAGCTCTCCAAGCTCCTTCCTAATTTCTTGGACGGCTTCCTCGATTGCAGCGGGTTGCTTGGTGAACTGATCTTGTTGCAGAGCGTGAATCGCCTGCTTGATTGCGTCAAGGCCCTTTTCAGCTCTCTCCAGCATTCCTGAATCAAGCGCGCTTTTAAGCTTATTCAACAATGTCATGACGCCTTTTTGATCGTCATCATCGCTTTCCCCATCAACCAATGTTTTGATCTCCTCAAGCTGTGTCTTAATTGTCTCGAACGGAACGGTGAAGGTATCATCGTCTATCTTTTCTGTGGGTTTATCACCGATATGCTTTTCAAGCGCATCCAGACCCTGAGTCTTGATGTTACCGATCGCCAGTGGAAGAGAGCCTTCGTTTGCGTCTTTAGTGCCTTGTAGAGTTTTACCGCCATTAAGCGCTTTAATCTTTTGTTGATCAACGTGTGTGTTATATTTATCAAAATGATCTGTATTAAGTTCAACTTTTTGAAAACCTTGACCACTTTGCCCACCTGTCAGATCGTCCTGCCCAATGTGCTCATCAACTTTTTGTTTGAGGTCTCTGTCGAGTTCATCTCGGATCTTCTTGTGGGCCTCGTCGAACGTGTTCATGAAATCTCCACGGAATTCTATTTGACCTTTGTTGTCCTGCTTTATTTCCTCAGCCGCCTTCTCAATCGCCGTCTTGGCCGCTTGCTTGATCTGCTCTTGAGCTTCACTGTCGAACTGCTGAACGGCGCCGGGAAGTTTTAAGACCGCTTCGGCAAGTGGTTGTTTGACTTGGTTAGTAAACTTGCTCTCAAGATCACTTGTCACAAAAGTCTTCACATTGCCGATCGCAGTGTCCACGGCTTGGGCGGTGCCCGGTTTGGGGATGGCGGCAGCGACGCCTTGTGTGTCGGAATTTTCAGTCGCCTGGGTAAGCTTATTATTGAGATCAGTGGCAATCGGCGTGATTTTGTCCAGGATGGATGCGAGGCTTCCTTCACTTCCGTCGTTGAGAAACACTGAATTCAGTTCGTTGCCCACCTGTCGGGCCACGGATGACAGGGCGCAGAGGATCAATTCGGCGGCGGCTTTCTTGGCACACGCCTCTTTTTTGTCGCTGTAGCCGTAGTCATAACAACCGCACTCGCAGATGCATTTGGGGTTTTGGCCGCCGCGTTTCATCAGCTCCCTCACTGCCTTAACCTGCTCGACTATATCATTTGCCGGATTCTTCAGCTCTTTATCCAGCGCGCCCGCAAACGTTTGACAGGCCTCTTTGACTTTCGTGATTTTTTGTGTAATGTCAGCGGTGACACTTAACGATGCGCCGTCACTCGGAATTTGTTTACCAAGCGTCTCCCTAATATTCCACGTGAGGCTTTTGTCCACATTCTGCGATTTCAGATTGAACTCGTTTTTGTGCCACCCAAGCGCCATAAGTATCCGCTGCACTACGCCGTTATGATCCACCATGTCATCTAACCATCCCTTCACTATCCCTTCAAATTTCCCCCTGCCGAACGCATTGAAATAATCTTCCACCTTGGACTTAATCCCATCCAGGCCTGAGCCACCTGTATTTTGCCAATCTCCACTTCCCTTATTCCCCTTAATCTCCCCAACCCTTTCTTTAATATACTTAAAAATACCTTTAAGTTTCTTTGGATCGCCTTTTAAACTAAACTGTTGGCCAAGCTTCTCAATCGCCGAGTCAACTGCACCGACCGCCTGGCTAAGCGGTCCTTGGATATGCGGATTAAACTTACTTTCAAGCTTAGTCTCTACCTCATCCTTAATAGACTTTACAGCACCTTCATCCAGGATTTTCTTCTGCGCTGCAAGAGCTTTCAACGGACCGTCCGCAAGCTCATCACCGTTGTTAAGCCCCTCAATCTTTCCCCTTAAACTCTCCAAATCATTCTTCACTTTCTCATCCAACTCATTAACTTGCAACGTCTTAATCACATGGTCTATTCCTATCTTAATCCCCTCCTTAACTTTCTTCAAATCCTTCTTGAGATCCCCGTCCATCTCCACGACAGCCTGCAAGGCCTTTTGGACATTCTGCTCGACGGACTGCTCGGACATACCAGTCTGGCCCGTCACACCGCAACACACCATCCAATATACCCGACGCATTAAGTTGTTAGTTGTTTGAGGTGCTAAGTTGCGGCTTACTCATGGACGTCTCTACGTCATCCCGCCTTGTCGGTGTTATGGAAAGCTGGTGGTTGGCCGTCAACGTGGGCAGCTGAAGACCTCCATGCTAGATGAAGCGGTGGGCTACCTGCTAGATGAGCGAAAGGCATGTTAGCGATTGAATTGGTGGCTACAAGTTATGTTGAGGTGTGCTTGTGGGAGTTACGGAGGGACATCGACGTCACAACCACGGGGCTGCATAAACTGTCCTATACTACACGTAAACCATTATAACATTATGAGCGTTGATGCGTCACAGAAAATCATCTTGGCATCTTGTGGCGCAGTATATTCTGTTTCCGTCCGAAAAAAGTGTGCGACGACATGCATTATGGATACTGTATGCCACTTCAACGGTATTGATCTGGCTGCGATGCGGCATCTCGGTTGCCACTGCGCCTTTGGAAGGCGCACTTTTGGCCTCTAGACTGGCTTTCATATTTCAATAAGGCGCATGTGTAGTAGAGGGAAATGACACCTTTGTTTATCCACCATTGAGACAGGTTGTGTTCACGCCGCTGACTGCATACTCGACCTTAAAAACCCGGCCTATAAACACACAGTTTCATATAAGTCGCCTAATTTAACCAATCTGTACAAAATGGTATACACTTCGTTGACTGAGGCTCCTCGCAACCTGAGGGAAAGCATTGACTGGTTGATGGCGCTTAGGGGTGCTGACGCTGAAGCCAACTTGAAGGCTCTGGGCGCCGCAGTTCACCATTTGCTCGCAGACAAGCCCGTTGGCTTCACAGATGTGCCAGCTCTAGAGAATGTTAAACTTATTACAAAGGAGTTCCTGGAGCAAGAGGAGCTTAGGGATAACCCATTCGTAGAAGACCTGCTAGGAATATACACGGCACCCATGAACAAAAGTCCCGAAGGGCTCGATTCGGACTCTGTAGCTGTCGAGGAAAGCGACCATGAGAACTTCATCAAGGTCTGGGGTCTCACCGCTAAAATGGTCGCAGATAACTTAGGTAGCATTGTGGATGCTACTGAGAGTTTCTTGGATGACATCAAAATCCCTGACCGGTATGAGTCTGTTTACAGTTCAGATGCGACGCGGGACGCGTAGTGCGCGAAGGACCCGGAGGCTTGTGCAGTAGTCCTCGTGGGGATTGCGCCAATGCTTTACGCAGGCCTGCGTTCCTTGAGGGAACTAGGTGATCTTTCTGTAGCGGACGAGTCGCTTAGTGAAGAGAAGGAAGATATAGTATATGCATTGGAAGCGCTGGGTTACAACGACTCGGAATTCCGCGCAGGCATGAGTCGTTTAGACCTCATCAGGGTGCTGAAACCCGTGGATTCACGAATGCTAGGTATGATTTACGACTTCGCCGGATTTCGGGCTTTCTATTAGGTGCATATGCCAGTTGAGATCTGAAAGAGGGTAGACAAACAGCGGTTTTGCATGCTGTTACCCTGTGAATTGGCATACAAATATTCACGAAACCATTAAAATTTAAAATGTAGTCATATCCAGTTTGATACATATTCTGTATTTACTACGATGGTGTCGTAATATTAAGGCACGACATAGTTCATGGATTTCCTTGAACAATTGTGATGGCCAGCGGTGAGTACACGTTAGGGAGTAAAACTCAGCCGCTGTTGACTATATATAACACCCATGCGTGATAACATTGACCTATTAAAATGTTGGTTGCGTTTTGTAGCCGACATTGCTGCTGGGCACTCCTCACAGCGTCCCATCGCCAACCTCTGATGCATGTCTTCGGACGGCAATGATCCGTACACTGCGAAGCTTGGTTATGTCTCCGACGATTCTGCGTGACTGAATGCTGACTGATGCTGCAGGACTGAAGATTTCACGCTGTGTTCGGTTACGTCAAATCTTGGAGGCGTACTTCACGACGTCCGTGCCGTGTATGCGCGACCGAAGAGTTAGTGAGACATCATCATCCGTGGATGATCCTCACAATCCTTTGAAACATCAGTCGTAATAGGGTGCCTTTGCATCCATGTAATGTCGTTGTTCGGGGTGGACTCGCATTCGTAAACTCGTGCCATATAGTTGCACGTTGCGAATGTCACCCAGCACTGGAAGGCAGGGTTTCTAACCACGTATAGCACGTTTACCATCCAGTCTATAGAATCAAGTTACGTCGAAAGGCATAAAATGTAGTCACTGCATGGAGGTTCACATCACGAGATAAAAAAAATCAATACCGCGAACAATTGATGTCTCGTAATTTGCTTTAGCATTTATAGTTCTATCCAGCATTATTGTCGTGTTTTGGGAAGTATGTATCTCCACCTTGACATTCATTTTCGAAAAGCTGATGCCTGCATCCTTTAACAAGGGTTTTATAGGACTTCCCAAGGCTCCACCATACGCTTATCCGGCCGACAATAGATGTTGCGTAAGGCATATTGTCTCACGGACACTTGCGCTGTAGTATGCGTTCGAGCCCGTGTTCATGGCAGTCCTCACGGGAGACGCAAAGGGATTCGAAGATCCCAAGCGACCCCAGGATTGAAGCCCCGATGAAGCTGCTGTATTGCTGCTCGTCTCCTCCCACAGCCATATACAACGGCTCTGTTACATCTGCAGCTATGTTAGGAACATAAATGTGCATTCGTCGTACCTGGCAATCTTTTCGCGAAGCGTTTTTGCAATATTGGAAGGACTGCAGGGTGACGTGTGGTCCCTCCCGACAGTATAACCGCACGTAGGGCTTCAGGCAGACATACCGATGGATCCATTTCGGCGGCGATGTTATATGAATCCGCGAGTAACGCGTCAAGGCCGCGCAGGTTGCGCAAAATTTGGCCCAGCGTTGGCTGTTCCGGGTCCTCTGGCAGCTTAGGCAGCCTCTCCTGTTCGAATGCCTTGAAATCGTCGACATCGTGCAGGTATTCCGGCTCGTTGAATATGCAGCGGCAGAAGATACCTCCCAGGGTCTTTCCCATCTGTGCGTCGATCTGGCTGCCATCCGGCAGAGAGTAGCAGGGATCGTTTGGCCCAGCGTCTACTTCCAGCTGATCGCCGACGATGCAGCAGGTTTCCTTGACTCTCGACGTTGCGTAAAGCCGCGCATGGTCATAGTACTCCTCGCGCACAAATGGTAGCTGTCTCAAGGAAAGCGGTCGTGGTTCGTTACTTTTTTTCTGAGTTTTGGAGCCTATGTTGTCGTCCCCCTTGCTTGCCTTGACGTATTCGAAGGGGGGGCGTATTGTGATGCCCGATCTCTTGAGCTGCCCCAACATGATGCGATCGAGAAGCGTTCCACCCATGGGCTGCTCCTGGATGGTCTCTTGCAGCACGAACCCGTCTGAAACCACCGAGACGTTGCTGCATGCGCCCCCAACGTCCACTATCACACCGCTGCCTTTCCCTGTGGCGTAGCACGACAGAGCCGCTCTCTTACACATGTAGAACTTGTCTACCCGCTGGCCTTCTATTAGTATTTCCCCCATGATCCTGCGAAATTCGGGGTTTTGTCTATTCGGTTCTGTCGCTATCACAGCGCCCCCCTCGAAGATATCATCTATGGCCTTTGTGCCTGAGGCACACTCCAGCAGTTTGTCCATCACAGCGTACTTCAGCCTGTATTCGCCCTTTTCATATGTGACGGCGGGCACTGGCACCGTATTGTCATGTTTGTCTCTGGGATTTAGTGGGTATATGGCATAATCAAGCCAGTTGTTCAAACTCCCACCTGCGAAGTCGCATACTTCCCCCTGGTCCACCCTCAAGGTAGGCCGACCAAAAAACGGCGGCGCGATATAAGGGGGGATTTTTTCGCCAACTCTGCCTATTTTCACCGTGACGGTGCCATAGTCGATGATAAAAGGTCTGGTTATCATCTTGATCGCCTATGTATAGTCTTCTCAGCAGATCCCAAATGCACAAGCAGCACAGGCGACGTAATGTAAACGTAACAGCGATCCAGGTATGAACACCGAATCAACTCTGCCTTCAGTTCAGTAACGAATTCCTCGCCATTTTGCAGTACGCAGTCAAGACAGTGCGTTCATACGGTCGTCCCTGATAAGACATTCATGAAAGATTCTCTATAGATTCAATTCATCGATGCTAATAAGCGATTTGATTCCCTGCGAGTGATGTGTGTGACTCTGCTGACAGTTTCTCCGTTTTACTGCGTACGATGATCGTGATTCCACCCGTCTAATGATGCAAATGATAGCCTTCTCTACGCTTCAAACTACTACAATCGAGTTTATGAACGTTTTTACAAGCCAAACGCTTTCGTTTCCCGTTCCCTTAGCGTTCTCTTTAGACACACATCGACTTGTCGCCGGAGCCCACGGATGTGTAAGCACGCACTGAATGCTGCTATCACGGCGACATTTCACAACTCTAACGTAAAATGCACAATACAGCTTACAAATAAAGTTATTACTGCGTTTTCACGCTGCGGCTGCGGCCATTGCTCTGCGCGTTTGTTTGTGTGCGCAGTCACCTATGTGCATTCGTAAAAAATACGGCCGTCACACCTAACACAAAATCCTGTTTTGGTCGCATTTGGACCTGGTGGCATTTATTGTACAGTCACTATTCCTCCGCCACTTCTTTGAAACACATTTCACGCTCCCTCCCGTCATATATCCATCTCCGGCTTGAGAATCGGCTTGAAGTGCTGCTTCTCCAGGATCTCCACCTCTGTCACCACAATCTGCTCGTTGTTCGGTATAAGTATGAGCAGCGTAATTTGCACGATTCCCGATACCATGCCGATGAAGTTGGGGGTGATGACAATGTAATCCCATATTATGAACCCGTAACAGAGCGTGAAGAACGACCCTATAAAGTTGGCGAGGGATATTTCCGTCGGCATCGCGGAGGTACTCTTGTGCTTCATGATTTCCCTGATAGACAGCAACGGTGCGATATATGAGAACGCCTGAATGGATCCCCCGAAAAGCCCTATGAACTTGAGGTACGGCTCGTTGTCGACACCTAGGTATGCGCCCATCAACACGAGGCACGATGCTGCAGATACTTTGTAGGACACATACAGAATGTGCTTCTGTTGTCCGTCCTTGCAGTATTTGTGGAAGACCATGATGTAGCAGCAGTTGAGCAGAAATCCTGCATGTTTGTTAGCATGGCCATAGCAACATGTAACGTGCAACATTCATAAACTGCGCAGTCCCGTGTTCACACATACGTAGCGGTTTGTCTGGCAGCCTTGGTTTGCCGGGTCAGCGCCCTGGCCCACCAGCCGCAACAGGCTCCGCTGACAACCGCAGATCATGTATCCACTGAACACACGTAAAGCGACGACCAATACCGCTTTGGGCACGTCTAATAAGGTTGAGATGCCCATGGGTCGGCAGTCCCCTTCCTGACGTTACCCGGAACCACATCAGTATCAACATGTGTTGCTCGTATGCAGATGTACGGTGCAGCACCGCGTTAATCACTCACAGAAAAGCACAACAAACCTGGCAGACTCGAGAGGATGATGACCGTGTTGTATGAGAGCACACCGTACAACGACCATAGGAAGTTGGCAAACGCCACCGTGACGAAGTTGAGGGTCTTCAGGCTTCCCGTTGATTTATTCCACCTGATTGTCATAATTGTATGCAGTGGTATCAGCTGAGTGAGGAGCGATGACAAGATAGTCCCGGAACTAATGAGGAAGTTGAAATCCGTCTGAATGATTTCCAACAGTCCTTGCACAATATCTCGGATGAAGCCCCTTTCTTGCGACATTGTTTCCCCGTTGTAGCCCCTCTCTTCTGCTGCTGCAGCATGCTTCTGTAGGAGCAACTTTGCTCCCGAAATGTTTGCATCTGCGTTGTGTGTGGGAATTTCAGTAACATCCACTGTATGGGTGGTTGTAACATCGGCGTTGCCAGCATCCACAGTCGCAGTTTGTTGTCCATCTGTATTTCCTGTTGCCATCGCTTCCACAGTCGCGGAAGTTGTCACATTAGCACTTTCATCGGTTGTTGCATCCGCATTTGTCACGTTAGCGTTTCCTATGGCTGCTGCATCAGCTGCCGGCGGCGCCTGCTGGGTGGCATCTGGCGCCGCCGCAGCCACTCGTCCGTCAACTGCACCGGCATCTCGTATCGATGCGGAACTCGTTATGGGCTTCAAACCTTCGCTTTCTGCTTCCGGGCTTGTATGCGCATTGTCGACGATGGGCTTGTCCGGGATAGCCGCATTTTCGGGAGTACCCGTGTTTTGTAGCACCTTTTGTTGCGATTCGGCTAGATTTATGACGGCAATGTTAATAAGCAGGAGATACACCAGCCGTCGGCAGCGCGACATTTTGGCGCGCGGGAGAGCCGTCCCCGCCAATCGACTTATATTACTTTCTGAGTCGCCCTAGTTGTTTGTCGCCAAAATATCGTTTCGCTCTACTATTTCCCTTTGTCAGGCGTGCCATACAGCACATCGGTTCCTCATCGCGCCGCCGCCCCCAACCGCGTCGTGCCGGCAGATTTATGGAGATTCTTTCGACTCAGACAGATCTGAAACCGCAGGTTTTGGGGGACATCTACCTCGGATACTTCGTGCCGAGTGTGCTCTGCGGCCGTTCTGATGCGTTTAGACGTGACCTAAACTCCTTCATAGCGGAGTGGATCTCGGGTGCACTTGCATCGGATCTGGAAAGTTTTTTGGAGGTTCGTTTGGTGTGCATGGTATCCTAATTGTGTGCATTTGCGTATCCGTGGCCAAACTTGGCCTTTATGCACTGGTATCACTGAAACACTGGTTGGTGTTGCATGCCTGGGTAACAGAAACTTGCAGAATCATCCCGACTTCGGGTTAGAGTCCCTCGGCGACTTATTCAAAGAGCGCCATTTGTCGAAGTTGTTAGTAGTCTCCCCGAAGGAGTCGGTGTCTGACGTGTGGGAGGTTCTTTGGGGCATATGGGCCGGTAGGTCTTAGCGTCCGCCCTGCGTCAAACGCTCTTGCAGACGTGTTGAAGAGCACTCCGACTGATAATGGTGACGCCGAAGCACTTCTGTACTGCGTGGCGTGCATTTATTTGATGTTTTATTTGTACCACTGCCAAGTAGGCCCCGAGACTTTGCCCATACCCCTTGCCATCGGTGAGTCGACCTTGCTGAGAGTGTATAATGCGACAGATACCATCTCCATTTGTTTGGACGTCTGCGCGGTGTCATTATCGCGTTTCCGCATCTGCACGGTTTCGGACATATTTGACCTGCTGTTTCGCCGTCATTGCATCCGCGTGTGCCTCCACGACGGCCTCCAGTACATTCCGCAGGACCGCGTAGGGCGTCCACTTGGTTGTTCAAAGAAGCTATAAGACCAAATTGGCGGTGTTTAGTGACCGTCTTATCGGCGTGAAGCATCGCTAAAATCCCCCGCGCTCACCGCTTGGTCCACTGATGTTTGCCGATTCTGGGCTAGTGTTGTTCGCCGTTTAGGCTTATTAGGATGATGGATTGCCCAAGCGCTTATCCGTGACTACACGTACATGTCGATTATTATTTCTATTCAACGATATCGCATACTGCGTTGCGGAAGTTGGCATGTAACCGTGAAGCATCACCCCGGTACTCGTTGCTGCTAGTATGGTGAAGTTCGGTCAGGTGGTTATTGGGCCGCCCGGTTCGGGCAAATCCACCTACTGTGCGGGTGCGAAGCAGCTGCTAAACAGCCTAGGTAGGCCAACTGCGATCGTGAATTTGGACCCCCAGGTGACCTCTTTCGAGCTTCCGTACACGCCGGACGTTGACATTGGCGAATTGGTGGATTCGCAAAAGGTTGCTGAGTCCATGGAGTTGGGTCCAAACGCGTCGTTGATATTCGCCATGGACTACCTGTTGGCTAACTTGGATTGGCTAACCGGCAAGCTTGACGCCCTTGGCGATGTGTACCTGCTGTACGATATCCCTGGTCAGATTGAGTTGTTCACGCACCACACTGCGCTGAGGGATATCATCGACACTCTACAGCGTAAGCACGCCCATCGTCTAACTGGTGTGAACCTGATAGATTCCACGTTGTGCGCGGATCCTTTCAAATATGTCGCTGCGCTGCTAACATCACTGAGCTGCCAGATCTTCATCCAATTGCCGCACGTGAACGTGTTGAGCAAGTTGGACTTGTTACGTTTGGTGTCTAAGGATTTGGCATTCAAACTTGAGTTCTACACATCCGTTTTATCGCTGGACGAGCTGCTGTCTTATTTCAAAACATCATCTGCCTACCGCCTCAACGAACGCTTCGAGCGCTTCACCAGCGCACTGTGCGAGCTGATCAACGACTTCAACTTGGTATCTTTCGCCACTCTCGACGTGCAGAATCGCGATTCCTTAATGAAGCTCATCAAACTGGTTGACCGCTCCACTGGCTACATATCCGGTCCCGCTTTTGACGCCTACGATGTGGATGCAGATTTGGACCTAGACTACTGTGTCCGCGATTGCGAGGACACTGGCGACTTCGAATAGCAAGTCACACCGCTGTTCGGCTAATTCAAACTCCACATTTGCCTTTTGCTGGCGAGCAGTGCGTTTACTCACGTCGCACGAGCGCCGTCCGGCACTTCGGGGTTTATGTACGCGTGTAGAGAAGCCACTTTTGTACCAGAAAATGGCCAATGGCAATTGTTTTATGACTGGGCTACTGATAAGCACTAACTCATCAATTTAAGCAGTAGTGCATGTATGTTACCGACTTCGATGTAGTCTTAGGGTGATGTCGGTGACAAACCACATTTCCCGAGTTATAATTGCTAACCGCAAACGGTATCAAGGTAACCTACTACCGCCGATTTCGGCAAAGGGTGTTTAGAACTCCAGTACATCGCCTTGCCAGGCGATGCAGCGGTCGATAAAACAAGCGAACCAGTGTCAATATCGCGCTATCACTGACTTTACGTTGCCACGGAGCGTCTGTTATAGAGAAATGGCGCAGCAAAAGGCCCATTTGCCCGATATAGACACCGCTTACACGAGGGGAGGGTTGATAGCGGCTGCGATGGTTGCTCGGGAATCCTATGCTGAGTTCCGCACTATTTTACACACGATTCCATTATATACTTAGGTATTACTGTTATGAATCGAATGTGTCGACGTCTTGTGTACAACGATCCCCGTCTTTAGCGGTACTGGTTAACAGCAGACTTTACTGCGCTCATGAACATCGGTTACGCCGTAGTCAACGCCTTTTGCTATATAAAGATATGACCGCCTACTCATGATGTGCGCATTAACGACAAAATACCGGCGGCCAAATGGCGTCAAGCGGCACACCACGGCCAGCAGGGGGTGCCGCCTACGAGCCAACTGGGACGCGCTTCCATGGCTAGATTACGCAGCAGAGCGTTTTAATATCGTTTACGCGCCGATGTAAGACGCGCCTGGTTGCACATCATGAGTATAACGTTATAAACCGCTAGAACCTCTAACGTTGAACTGGCTAGATACGTAACTACGATTCCTAGGGTGTGCTATAGATAAAAACAACAAGCTATCGTTACACACACAATTTTATCACTAAGTTGCCACACATAATTCAGCTAAGACCCAGTGTCAGGAAAATAAAGCTGCAAGTCGGACGCGCGCCGGTGGAGTGGAAGGCACTGTGTTAGATCTATTGTAAACTTAAGATTCCTATCAACTGCACACAAATTTCGGCTCTATAGCCCCGTAGTATCTCGGATCCATGTGTAATGCACAAGGCATTCAAGATATACTAGCATAATCTCTGGTGATGCATGCAAATACCAACTGCTGTGGAACTACGGGCTAGTGTGTCACGCTGTATAGCTTTGCCCATTTCATCGTATTTTTCAGTCGACTATATTTTTCATTCGTATTGATTTATTCCACCACTCTGTGATTTTAACAACCTTCCTTTAGCGTGACTTGGCGGTGTACTGGGCAAAATGAAATCTATCACTGCGTCTGCATTCAAGCTCTGCTGCACTGCAGCTCTGATCTTCTGCAAAAGCTACGAACATGGCGAGGACTGCGACATCATTGAGGAGGGCCCCTCTCGTCTTCTTTTCGTGGGTCAGGCCGCGATGGGTATGTACGTGAAGTACAAGCCCGCCGTTCGCCGTGGTGAGGACCTCGACATCAGCTACACCAACGAGGGTGAGGAGACTTTCACCTGCCTGGGTGAGAAGAAGGGTCTGGCCGCTATCAACCCCGATGGCCCCTCGGTTACCACTGCCCGTACCTACGCTAAGTTGGGTGGCCAGGCCGCTTTCATTGGTGTTCTTGGTGACGACGATTTGGGTAGGCAGTTCGAAGAGGCCATTGCTGCCGATGGTGTTGAGGTTAAGACCATCCACCGCCCCGGTGAGACCACCACCGAGTTGCACTCCCTTGTGACTCCCAATGGTGACCGCCAGACCTACCTGGTCTTCGGTGCTGGAAGCTCCATCTCCGAGGAAGATGTCAGCGAATCTGACATGAAGGACTTCGACTACTACGTCGTCAGCACCAACATGTTGCGCAGCCCTAGCAAGCTTGCTTTGACCACCAAGATGGTGAACGCTACCCTCAACAGTGGCAAGAAGCTCATCACCTTGTTGCCCACCAGCGAGTACAGCGTGAAGTACAAGGATGCTCTGTTGAACATCGTTGACAAGTCTGCCTACGTCTGCGGTACCAAGGAGGAGTTTGCCAGGCTCTACGGCATTAACAACATCAGTGGTCTGAAATTGTACTTCTTGAAGGCCACCAGCGGTGAGCAGCCCATCCACAAGGCCGTCATCATGATGACGGAGGAATTCGGTACCTTCCTCTTCTACGGCGGAAAGTTCCAGTACATCCTTCCCAGCACCGCCCTCGCTGTCGACACTGCTGGTGCCGATGACGTCTTCGGTGGTGCTCTGTTGTACGGTATCCTTAACGGCTACACCGTGCAGCAGGCTGCCAAGTTGGCTCACGCTGCTATCAGCGACGTTCTTTCTCGTGTTGGTCTCGCCTTCAGCGAGGACGTTGAGACCAAGTTCGACGAGATCAAGCGCGTGCCCTCGAAGCGTCTTGAGTAAGAGATGGAGCAGATGAAGCCCTGGGATACCATGAAGGGAACCGTTGGTCCCCAGAAGTTGGACGTTTACGGCACTCGCGAGGGTGAGCAGACTGATGACGAGTAAACGTTGAGTCGGGAAGCAACGAGCCAACGTTGAGAGGCTCGAACGCTTATTGGGAAACGCGGGTTGCTGAATATAAGCACCGTGTATTATTAGCATAGATTATGATATAGGGGTATTTCGTAACAGCAAATTCTGAATGAAGTTATTGATTGATTTCGTCGTGTTTCGTAGTCGCATGGCGTATCAGTGATTTATTGCTTGTTCATGATTGTGTCTGGTTGGCGTTAGTAATTGTAGACTTCGTAGCGTACGCATATGACAGGGCAACCTGCGGCAGGTTGTTGGTGTAGTATGTTGCTAGCGCGTGTCCCGTGACCATTGTGCTCTGTATTGGCACGATGGTAAGTGGTCTCGCATTTTCGGGCTGCTCCCACTCTCGGCGGCGACGCCTATTGTCATTGCGTCACGTGTCAGCGGCAGCGTCGGAATGCGATGTCTATGGCGTGGCGTCGCTCGCGTAGGCGCAGTCGTATTCTCGCCCGCCCTCCAGGTTGGGTATTAATTTACGCCGCGGTTCTTCCATGGTGTATGAGGTGTTGTACCGTTGGGCGCAGCGGCTGTTTGTGAATCGTCTCCAGCTGTTCCACCTGCGGCGCGGTGTCAATCACTGTGATGCCGGCCGTCGGTGTCCAAGCACGTTAAAGGCCGTTGCCTTCTGCGCCGGCACCCATCGCGCCGTTTTCGGTTGCCAGCAGCTGGATGAACACATTTCTATGATTGTCACTTGTTTCGCCCATACCCGTGCAGCTGAGGTAATTGCCTCCCGCTGCTGCGGAGCATGCCCAGGCGACATCGACGAGAAAGGTAGATGGTGCAATCTTCTCGACGTTTGATTGCGTCAATTCTATGCAACGCATTCAATACGTCTTAATGTTTACTATGTTTTGGTTTCTTGCTCGTGGATTGTTGAAGTGCTGCATTTGGGCAATAGCCCGTCTATCATCACTGTTTGCCTGGCGGCTAAGGAGACCGACGCGAGAATATTTAGATGTCACAGAAAGCATCATTAGTGTACTTTGTATACGCTGCCGTGGTATCATGGTGACATCTATCTGCCTTGACATGCATTTGACGCCCTTAGATGACAGCGTTGCGCCGTGGCGAGTTTTTGCTAACTCACATAATCTGCCCGTCCGTTCTGTCACTTGGTTGTATAATGCGATCAATGAGGCCGTATTCTTTGCTTTCTTCAGCAGACATGAAGTTATCCCTTTCTATGTCTGCCGTTATTTTGTCCAGAGGCTGATTGGTTACACGGCTGCGAAAGTTTGATCTGGTTGTAAGAGTATATTCATGAAAATCGTCATTCGTATAAATTCCGCAAACTATAATGTGAAGATTGTATGACTTATTGGTGCATAATCACGATCGCGTGTCGTTCTATCCTACCGCAAGCCACAACGGAGATAATATAGCTTACCTGTACAGGTTGTGAAGTAAGGTTTTGACCTCCAGTAGATGCTTCGCGTCATTTTTCAACTGCTCAGCTGATCCTCGCAATGCGCCTGTAGGCTGGTGCATCAAAACCCTGGAATGTGGCAACGCGGCACGCATCCCCGGTGTCCCCGATCCCAAGAGTAGCGATGCAGTGGCGCCACAGAATCCCACGTTGATGGTCGCAACTTTTGATTTGATGTGTTTCACTGTGTCGAATAATGCGATACCCGCGTTGATCGGTCCACCTTGGCTGTTAATATACAGCGTGATGGGCTTTTCGTGCGTTTCGTTATCGAGGCATAGCAACGCACTTATCAGGAGGTTCACATATTCGTCATCAAGTTTTTGGCTGACGAAAAGTATACGCTCCCTATACAATCGCGTATGTATGTCTTCCCACTCGGATCGCTGGGTTCCAGGCACCTTGTACTCTACCTTGGGTATCCCAATCGGCGCCATGTATAGTGTCTTAGCCGTACTTCTGGGAGCTCCGAAATTATATAGGTTGCGTAACTGCGGGTTACTGGAGCCCGCTCCGTGAGTTTGGAATGCTTCGGCGAGTATCTGTACCATTGTCAGTTATTCATGATATAAGCAATAGCATTTCCTCCATGCATTGTATGACCTACGGATGCAACGGATTTGATATCGCTCGACAAACACCAAATGCATGAGACGATTAAGACACAAACATGGCTAGATTTTCGGAACTTTATACCGCAAATGTTACGATTGCACTTTATAATTCCATACATAACCGCATTGGCCAAATGTTGAGTTCGTGACGCCTGTATATTAACATACCTGGCATCCCAAAGCGATTACTATTGCGATGACCATCATGGATTTAAATGGTGCCGTGATGAAGTCAACGGTGACATAAGGTCCACATTTGGTTGGGTATGGTTCTTGCTCTAGTGACTCAGCGCTTAATGTCCTTGGAGTTCATACGCTTTGCAGGTCATCTCAGGCACATACCTACGCTACAACAGCTGATCAGGGACGTCGATTCGCCAAAGGTCATCCAACAGTCGCTGTATCACGTATGTGTACGTCAAGCGTTTGTCGTCTTCGTCTCGATAACATGTGCGATTGCAATTCAGAGCTTCTACCCTCATCGCAAATGTGGATTTGGCGTCATTAGTGCGGCGTCACGTATCGCTTAAACTATCCTGTGAAAAATGCCTCTACTGACACCATAGCGGTGTAATTGTGCCGGAATATCGGAATGCGTTAGACCCGAACGCTTGTCGGTTTAAGGTGTAGTGAAATGACGGCTGTAAATCTGCTCTCAATGCTACCTTCTACGTACGTGATGATTTTTGGATTTTCAGCGATCACTTAGCGTGTGTTTCTATCGTCTTTCGTGAAGAGAGTGCTAGGAATCTTCCGCGCCAGTTTATCAATACATGATTTTACACATTAAAGGTATGCGTCTGTTTATCGGCTTAGTGAATGCTAAAATGCCACAGAAGCAACCTCGCAGTCGTAATAACACATTTGGATCACATATGGGTAGGAATCTGGTGTTGCACACTTCTACGCTGTCTGAGATGTCCCCATGATTCCACCTTTGACACTCTATTGTTGCCCATTTCGGACCAGACAACCTTGCGATTTACATATGCAAGGCAATATCGCATTAAGAATAGATAATATTTAGCAACAATGTGGCAGCAGTCGGAGTCAAGCTGAGGAAGATCTCCCTTTCTTAGGCCAAATCGCCCGGACAAGGATTCTTCCTTCATCGTGATACAATGGGTGACGCTGTTCTGGAAAATCGTTCCAACAGCGTCCTTTTCGTCGGCCATCCTCTGATTAACATGCTTGCTCGTGCCGACTACTCTGTGATTGAGAGGCTTGGAGTTGCAAAGGGGGAGTCCAACTTGGTAACGCGTGAGACGTTTGACGAACTGGAGAAACTGGTAAAAGTGGAAAACATGAGCCCGGGTTGCTCTTCGTCGAACAGCGCCATTGCGTACTCGTACTTGGGCGGCAAGACCTCTTACTTCGGTTTGATGGGTGATGATGATGAGGCTAAAGTATTCTGCGACTCGCTGGCCAAATACGGCGTTGAAAACATGTCCGTTACCATCCCGGGTCAACGTACTAGTCAGGTGTACGCTCTTGTGACGCCTGATGCTGATCGCACAATGTATGTATTATTCGGTGCGTCGCACACGATGAAAGCATCTGATATTGATGAGAGCCTGATGGACAACATCGACTACTACGCTGTGAATGGATTCATATTTGCTGATGAGGAGCAGGTGGCCCTAACTTACAAGATGGTTGACGCTGCTCTTAACCGCGGTAAGGGTGTGGTCACGCTATTTGCCAACAGCTTCTGCATTCGTCGCAATGGCAAATACTTGAAAGAAATTGCTGAGAAATCCGCCTACATTTCTGGAAACCTTGAGGAATATACAGAGTTATACGAAATGTCTGACCGTGAAGCATTGTTCCGTATGTTTGAAGAGCGAACTCAAGGACCAAAACCTCAACACAAAGCCGTGATTATTACAATGGGTAGTGAAGGAGCGATGGTTATGTATCAGGGTGAGCGTTTCTACGTCCCTCCGTGCAATGTGGACGTCGTTGACACGACTGGTGCCGGAGACTTCTTTGCTGGTTCATTCCTCTATGGTGTGCTGAACGGTTGGTCGATAAAGAAGTCTGGTCAGTTTGCAGTTGCAATGGTGAGTGATATAATTTCACATATGGGTCTCGCAATTAGCGAAGAGACCCGCGCTACGATCGATGCTATCAAGAATGCTGCTTAAGCACATATCGAATTCAATGAATGCAGAGTTAGGAATACGTGAGATCTTGTAGCCTCCGTGAGACGCAAGTGTGTCCACTGCGTCGTCGCACGGGCCATTGACGTAAAAATCACGTTGAAGAGTGGATTGGTAGTGGTCGTACGTGTTTGGCGTTCCGACCACGTGGTTGAACATGCGTTAAAACCACATTAGAATGATTTAGTGCTTGTTCATGATTGTGTCTGGTTGGCGTTAGTAAGTGTGGACCTCGTCGTACGTTGAGATAACAGCGCAACCTCTCGCAATGAGTCGGTTTGCGTTGTTGCGTTACGTAATTGTACTTGAACTTGTGCTCTGGTCGGTCGATTGTTGGTGTAGTATGTTGCTAGAATGGACGTGACCGTTGTGCTTCAACGACTGCTCGGCCCCTCAGCACCGGCCAGTGCCCTGGGCGCTCAGCCACTAAGCGCAGCAACAAAGCAGGGAGAGCACAACGCCCTCTCACCTCATTGCCACACATAGCGGTCTAAACTACACGTGGTAGACATTACGTGAAACGACGGCTAAGGCGACTCTCCCGTGTGTGAGGCGCTCACGCATATAGCCGTGACGCTCACCGACAGCCGGGGCACACTACCGCCGGAAGAGACCATCAATACCTACGTATAAAAATCAAATATGGCGACGTATCCAGCCAAAGGCGGATCACGGTGTCTGTGACGTTAATGCGCAGCTCCGACGTTCCTCAACAACGCCTGCCGTGATTCCTTGCCTATACGTGGCGTACGGGAACCGCTCCGCCTGCATCCACGTTGCCATAATTTATGAACCATGATGCGAGCAACAACGGTCGGCGCCATCCGTGGTTTTAGCAGAAATCCGTCTCCTGGCTCATCCCGTTGGGTTATGCATGACGTGATTCTGCATGGCTGTCCCATGGTCCCGGCATGTTGTAACTCCGTCGTCGTTCGGTCATTCGACGCGGTTTCAGGGTGACTTGTGATCGACACATTTTGTCGGTTTAATACCGCGATTTCTGTGGTTACCTGTGTTGCCGTCATATATACCGGTAGATCATCAGACCACACGTCACAATGAACGGATCTTACCTTTTTGCTGCCGTTGCTGTCGTCTTCGCAGCGTTTGTGCAGTATGCGAAATGCAAACCTGGAAGTGGTGACGAGATACTTGTTCAGGGCCCGTCCCGTGTTCTCTTCGTCGGCCATCCCATGATGTCCATGCACGCTCCCGTAGTTTCATCCGTGATTGAGAACCTCAACATTGCAAGCAGCGAAACCGATGGTATTTCGGCTGAGGATTTCCGTGCTATACGTGAGACGGTGGATGTGGAAGCTAACAACCCGGGTGATTCGTCTGCCAACATCGCCAGGTGCTACGCTTTCCTTGGTGGCCAGGCTTCTTACTTTGGTATCTGTGGTGATGATGATTTGGCTCGTCACATCAGCGACATCCTCCTTGATTACGGTGTTGATGACCTTACCGTCCGTGTCCCTGGTCTGTCGACTACCCAGATGTTCTCGCTGGTGACACCTGATGCTGAGAGCAAGAGCTACGCTCGCTTCGAAGCCTCGCACACTTTGAAGGCGGATGATCTTAATGAATCCATTATCGAGGACTTTGACTACTACGCCGTGAACGGTTTCATGTTTGCTGACGAGGAGCAGATTGCGCTTACTAACAAGATGGTTGACGCCGCTCTTAGCCGCAACAAGGGTTTGATCACTGTTTTGGCGAGCACCGAATGTGTTAAGAAGTACGGTGAGCTCTTGAAGCCCATTGCTGACAAGTCTGACTTCCTTGCTGGTAGCATCGAGGAGCTTTCCGAGTTGTACGAGGTGCCCGATCGCAAGGAGCTTTTCAGGATGATGACCCAGAGGACCGCCGGTATCTTCCCCCAGAACAGAGCTGTGATCCTTATGATGGGCAGCAAGGGTGCTGTTATTTTCTACAAGGGAATGCACTACTATGTGCCAACTGAAGCTGTTGATGCCATTGACACCACTAGTGCCGGTGACTTCTATGCTGGTGCCGTGTTGTACGGTCTTCTCAATGGCTGGGATGTTAGGGCATCGAGCCAGTTGGGTCTTACCGTCTACGGTGACATCGTCACTCACATGGGCACCTTGGTGACGCCCAAATGTCTTTCTAAGGTTCAGCTTGTTAAGGATGCTGCTTAAGCACATATCGAATTCAATGAATGCAGAGTTAGGAATACGTGAGATCTTGTAGCCTCCGTGAGACGCAAGTGTGTCCACTGCGTCGTCGCACGGGCCATTGACGTAAAAATCACGTTGAAGAGTGGATTGGTAGTGGTCGTACGTGTTTGGCGTTCCGACCACGTGGTTGAACATGCGTTAAAACCACATTAGAATGATTTAGTGCTTGTTCATGATTGTGGCTGGTTGGCGTTAGTAAGTGTGGACCTCGTCGTACGTTGAGATAACAGCGCAACCTCTCGCAATGAGTCGGTTTGCGTTGTTGCGTTACGTGATTGTATTTGTAATTGTGCTCTGTGGTCGGTCGATTGTCGGTGTAGTATGTTGCTAGGAGGGACGTGACCGTTGTGCCTCCACAATTGCTCAGCCCCGCAGCACCGCCCAACGCCCTGGGCGCTCAGCCACTAAGCGCAGCAGCACTACGGCGAGCGCACAACGCCCTCTCACCTCATTGCCACACATAGCGGTCTAAACTACACGTGATAGACATTACGTGAAACGACGGCTAAGGCGACACTCCCGTGTATGAGGCGCTCACGCATATAGCCGTGACGCTCACCGACAGCCGGGGCACGCTACCGCCGGACGACACCATCATTACCTACGTATAAAAATCAAATATGGCGAAGTATCCAGCCAAACGCGGATCACGGTGTCTGTGACGTTAATGCGAAGCTCCGACCTTGCTCAACAACGCCTGCCGTGATTCCTTGCCTATAAGTGGCGTACGGGAACCGCTCCGCCTGCATCCACGTTGCCATAATTTATGAAAAGCACTTTCATCCATTACGGTCGGCCCTGTTCACCGTTTAGGTAGTATTCCGTGAATCGCCTGGTCCGGTTAGGCCATGCATGAGATGGTGTCTGCGTGGTGGTCCCGTGAACCTGGCGTGTTGGCTATCTGCCGCCGCCTTGTCTATTCCGTAAAGATTCAGGCTTACTTGTGATCGACACATTTTGTCGGTTTAATACCGCGATTTCTGTGGTCACTTGTGTTACCGTCAAATATACTGTTATACTGTCACACAGCACGTCACAATGAACGCATTTCACATCTTTGCCGCCGTAGCTGGCGTTTTCGGAGCCTTCGTGGCCAGTGTACCTTCTGTGATGGCTGTTGGCCACCGTTGCGTGCTGGGCAGTGGTAGCGAGATCATTGAGCAGGGTCCTTCCCGCCTTCTCATTGTCGGAAACCCTATCATAGATATGTCGGCTTCTGTTGATTATTCCGTCGTTGAGCAGCTCAATCTTATCAAGGGAGAGTCTAAGGGACTTGTGACCCCGGAGGATTTCAAAAAGCTCGGCGACTCTATCACCGTTCAAGCCCGCAATGCTGGTGGCGCGTCTGGCAACACTGCTCGCGCATACGGTTATCTCGGTGGCCAGGTTGCCTTCCTTGGTCGTTGCGGCGAGGATGAGTTTGCTGACCAGTTCAGCCAGTCTCTTGCCGAAAACGGTGTTGAAGACCTCACCATCCGCATTCCGGACAACTTCACCACCCAACTGTACTCGCTTGTTACGCCTGACGCTGAGCGCACGATGTACGTGCTATCGGGAGCTTCCCGCACGTTGGAATCGGCTGATGTTGATGAGAGCTTGATGGACAACTTCGACTACTATGTTGTGGACGCTTTTGTGTACTTCGGCGATGAGCGTGTTGCTCTTACCAACAAGATGGTTGACGCTGCTCTTAGCCGCGGTAAGGGTGTCATAACTCTTTTTTCGAACATGACCTGCATTCGTCGCAGTGGTGAATTGTTGAGGCAACTTGCTGACAAATCTACCTACATTTCTGGAAACGTTGAGGAGTACTGCGCGTTGTATGGTATGCCTAACCGTGAACAAGTGTTCCGTATGTTTGAAGAGCGCACCTCTGGACCCAACCCTCAACACAAACTCGTGATCATCACCATGGGTCACCTGGGTGCGATGGTTGTGTACCAGGGTAAGCGCTACCCTGTGCCTCCTTGCGACGTGAGCGTCGTTGACACGACTGGTGCAGGTGACTTCTTTGCTGGTTCGTTCCTCTACGGTGTGCTGAACGGTTGGACCATAAGGAAGTCTGCTAAATTCGCAATTGCTATGGTTGGCGATATCCTTTCGCACATGGGTATCAGCATCAGCGATGGAACCCGCGCTAAGATCGACGCTATCAAGGGTATTGCGTGAGCCATTTATGCAGAATAGAAGACAATTTCTTGTATTTCCAACCTTCCATCGGCTGACTTCAAGACAATTTCTCACGCAGCCGCGTATGTTTGATTGAAGACGGCGTGGTGCGCATCCAGAAGACTTGATACGTTTGGGAAAGACCCACGTGACGGGGCCGACGACTGGCGCCAGCGGATTGAATGCGGGTCGGCACGTATATATCGCTGATGCAGATACATGTTTAATAACGTAGATTGGAAATGCCCCTAAATCTATGACAGCATTGTCTCGTACGTTGAGATAACAGCGTAACCTCCCGCAACGGGTGGTTTGTGTTGCGTTACGTAATTGTACTTGAACTTGTGCTCTGGTCGGTCGATTGTTGGTGTAGTATGTTGCTAGAATGGACGTGACCGTTGTGCTTCAACGACTGCTCGGCCCCTCAGCACCGGCCAGTGCCCTGGGCGCTCAGCCACTAAGCGCAGCAACAAAGCAGGGAGAGCACAACGCCCTCTCACCTCATTGCCACACATAGCGGTCTAAACTACACGTGGTAGACATTACGTGAAACGACGGCTAAGGCGACCCTCCCGTGTGTGAGGCGCTCACGCATATAGCCGTGACGCTCACCGACAGCCGGGGCACACTACCGCCGAACGAGACCATCAATACCTACGTATAAAAATCAAATATGGCGACGTATCCAGCCAAAGGCGGATCACGGTGTCTGTGACGTTAATGCGCAGCTCCGACGTTCCTCAACAACGCCTGCCGTGATTCCTTGCCTATACGTGGCGTACGGGAACCGCTCCGCCTGCATCCACGTTGCCATAATTTATGAAAAGCAATTTCATCCATTACGGTCGGCCCTGTTCACCGTTTAGGTAGTATTCCGTGAATCGCCTGGTCCGGTTAGGCCATGCATGAGATGGTGTCTGCGTGGTGGTCCCGTGAACCTGGCGTGTTGGCTATCTGCCGCCGCCTTGTCTATTCCGTAAGGATTCAGGCTTACTTGTGATCGACACATTTTGTCGGTTTAATACCGCGATTTCTGTGGTCACTTGTGTTACCGTCAAATATACTGTTATACTGTCACACAGCACGTCACAATGAACGCATCATACATCTTTGCCGCCTTCTTCGGCATCTTCGCCTGCGCTGTGCAGAACGTAAGCTGCAAGCGTGCCAGCGGTTTCGAAAAGATTGAGAAGGGACCCAAAAGAGTGCTATTTGTAGGCCATCCCATGATCGATGTTTACGCGTCGGTGGACTATGAAACTGTTGAAACATTGAACATCGCCAAGGGTGAATCGCAGGGCATCACGCCGGAAACGTTCAAAAAGCTCGGCGATCTTGTTACCATTCAGGCCCGCAATGCTGGTGGGTCAGCTTGTAACACCGCTCGCGCTTTTGGTTACCTCGGTGGTAAGGTTTCCTTCTATGGCCGTGTTGGTGAGGATGATGAGGCTACGCTATTCAGCGAAACTTTGGTAAACTACGGTGTTGAAGACCTCACTCTTCGCGTTCCTGGTAAATTCACCTCCCAATTGTACTCGCTTGTTACGCCTGACGCCGACAGCACAATGTACTTGTTGTTCGGTGCGTCGCACACGATGACGCGTGACGATCTGGATGAGAGCATCATGGACAACTACGACTACTACGTGGTGAACGGATTCATGTTTGCTGATGAGGAGCAGGTGGCGCTGACTCACAAGATGGTTGAAGCTGCTATTAACCGCGGCAAGGGTGTGGTCACTCTTTTCGCCAACAGCTTCTGCATTCGTCGCAATGGCCAATATTTGAAACCCATTGCTGAGGTGTCTTCTTACATAGCTGGTAACCTTGAGGAATACTCCGCGTTGTATGAAACGTCTGACCGTGAAGAATTGTTCCGCATGTTTGAAGAGCGTACCGCTGGACTCTACCCTCAACACAAACTTGTGATCATCACTATGGGCAAGGAGGGAGCCATGCTTGTATACAAGGGTAAGCGCTACCACGTGCCTCCGTGCAATGTGGACGTCGTTGACACGACTGGTGCCGGAGACTTCTTTGCTGGATCGGTTCTGTATGCTGCCATGAACGGTTATTCGATGAAGAAGGGTGGTAAATTTGCACACGCCTTGGTGGGCGATGTCATTTCGCGCATGGGTATTAGCATCAGGGAAGAGACCCGCCCTGTGATCGAGGAGATCAAGGAGTGCCTTTCTCTTTGAGCCATTTATGCAGAATAGAAGACAATTCCTTGTATTTCCAACCTTCCATCGGCTGACTTCAAGACAATTTCTCACGCAGCCGCGTATGTTTGATTGAAGACGGCGTGGTGCGCATCCAGAAGACTTGATACGTTTGGGAAAGACCCACGTGACAGGGATGACGACTGGCGTCAGCGGATTTAATGCGGATCGGCACGCATATCGCTGGTGCAGATACGTGTGTAATAACGTAGATTGGAAATTACCCTAAATCTATGACAGCTTTGTAATGTACGCATATGGCGGCGCAAGCTCCCGCGAAGGGTGGTTTGTGTTGCGTTACGTAATTGTACTTGAACTTGTGCTCTGGTCGGTCGATTGTTGGTGTAGTATGTTGCTAGCGCGGGTCCCGTGACCGTTGTGCTCTGTATTGGCACGATGGTAAGTGGTCTCGCATTTTCGGGCTGCTCCCACTCTCGGCGGCGACGCCTATTGTCATTGCGTCACGTGTCAGCGGCAGCGTCGGAATGCGATGTCTATGGCGTGGCGTCGCTCGCGTAGGCGCAGTCGTATTCTCGCCCGCCCTCCAGGTTGGGTATTAATTTACGCCGCGGTTCTTCCATGGTGTATGAGGTGTTGTACCGTTGGGCGCAGCGGCTGTTTGTGAATCGTCTCCAGCTGTTCCACCTGCGGCGCGGTGTCAATCACTGTGATGCCGGCCGTCGGTGTCCAAACACGTTAAAGGCCGTTGCTTTCTGCGCCGGCACCTATCGCGCCGTGTTTCGGTTGCAAGCAGCTGGGTGAACACATTTCTATGATTGTCACCTGTTTCGCCCATACCCGTGCAGCTGAGGTAATTGCCTCCCGCTGCTGTGGAGCATGCCCAGGCGACATCGACGAGTAAGGTGGATGGTGGGAGAGACCCCAATAGCTTTCCAACGTTATTTCGAAGCAAATGGCGCCCATATATTAGCGATATCATACGCATATTGGCGTTACGTAAAGTTGGGGATGCACATTAGTTTGATAAAGTTGGCCTCTCCCATATATTCACTTGAAAAGGGTTCTACGTTTGCCTTGCGTTGGCGGCATAGTCTCTTGGACCATTTCCCCAAATTTATCAGGCTGATGGCATTGCAATTCCTAGGCGAGTTCGCAGCGCTCTGCAACCACCGGCGACAGAGAGGCAGGCTATCCGTTCTGCCAGAGTTGGCGCCAACCTGTTGATAGCCTTCCGTACCGTCATTGTTGCGGTCCTTGAAGAGTTACCGAGGAAGCAAATGAATAGTATAAGAATTTTACCCTCAACTTTGTCACCGATGCACCTTGATTCTATTAGTTCTTCTATTTCGTGTAACGATGCCTCCGTAGTTGCTTTGGCGTCTTCTTGTCGTGATTCTATTATGGCGAATTCGTCTACCAGGTTGTCCAAGGGCCAGTTAGCGGCACCTGTGACGTGACAGAGTTCGTAATGTTCCCTAGGTCTGACGTCGACGAGGCAGACAGTGCACGGCTCGCCCTGCCAGCCAGATAAAGCCTCGCGACCAGATAGGCGGCACAATGTTTTTACGGGCATTCCTCTGTGAGTATTCCGCATGTAAAGGTGCCAAAAGTCGTCATTGCTGATCGCAACATCATCCATTTGCTCGTTGACCTTGCAGGTTTCCCAGGGAACCATCTGCAACTCGCTGTGGTTGCATATTTACTTCACCCACCTTGATGCGAATAGACTCGGCGTCCTGCCCGCAGACTACAGATAAGTCAGATATATTTCCGTGGTTTTTTACCTGTACAATTTGGGTTCTTCTTCAGCTGGACGCATCTGAAGGGTTTCGTGACGTTCGTAGTGTCGTACATGAGCATGCGGCCTGGTGCCAAAACGGCATCGTCAGCCCCGGCAGCAAGCTTGAGCACCTCCGTAGCCTATACCGACATATCACGTTTTATCCAAATACTGTGTTTACCTGCAGGCAACCCAACACCCCGGGTATTGACCCGAGCACCCCGGCAGTGCTGCACGCCCCCCTCCGCACCGGAATGGTTGCATTTCCCTCCAGTGGGCAGATGCAACGGAAGCACGGCGTCAAATGTGCATCAGCCATACGGCTTAACACCATGAGCTGGCCTTGTGTCCCTATGGAGCTTGCGATAACGAGCGTCTTGTTGTACTTCACACAGGCATCGTTGATGAGGTACCTAGATTGCGGGTTGTCCGTGGCATCAACTATGATGTCGTATTGCGGTATCACGTTTTCCGCCTCGTCTTCGCCGCAGAAACGCTCATATGCGATGTATGTTCCCTGGGTGCAGATTAGTTGCGTGTATCATTGAGTGCGTGCTCACCCGTGAATTGATTTTCTTCATCCTCAACACCGCCGATAACGCTTTGTTCATGCCTTGATTTTCCTCGTCGTGAACAATTTGCCTGCGTGCATCATATACGCAAGATTTTCCTTTGCGTCTATTACCTGTGTAGATTGGACGCCTCCACGACGTCTCCGTCCATTACCCCGATGATTCCTGCGAAACGCTGTACAACCACTGCTCAGTTCAGTTCATACCTATCCCTCCCGCGGCGAGGTACATCAGCAGCGGCGAGCCCAGCCCACCCGCACCGACAACCAGCACCGCGCATGTCGTGGTGGCGTCTACAGTGTACTCCCCTGTCACCTGCCTGCTGCATTGCTGAAGCGCTACGAACTGCGGCACGAGACGTTCAGCCTCCTGTTGGCTGAGAGCAGTGCAGAAGGGCATCTGCGTGCTTGTGCATATGCTGCTGATTGGTGTCTTTTGTCTCCTAAGGGGAGCCCACGGCACTCGACAGCGGAGGGTCTCCTCCGGCGTAGCACGCTGCACATTCCGCTCTCCGGCGGCAAGACAACCACTGGTTGGCGGGCAGGCGTGATTTATCTCCTCGGCACGCCTCCTCCAGTCTTCCACCGTGCTTTCGGTGTTGCGGATATCGGAATCTTTACCTCCATGTGCATCTTGCATCGTAGCTACACCCTTCAGACCGTTTGTAAGGCAACCTTCCGCCACTTTTGCGTCTGATGTGTCGCCCATTTTCTGACCGTCAACGACGTCGGCCGACATATTACAGCTGGCGATTACACATCCTCGACTACGTACGCGGTGACATTCCACGTGAATTAAAGCTATTATTAGGCCTCGTGAACACGGAGATTCCCCTCCATGGGCGTCTGTTTCCCCTGCTGGGGGCCACGTCGCAGGTGTGTATGAGGAGCATCTCCAGTCGCCTTCCATCCTTGATACGGTCTACCTGGCTCGTTCGAGGGTGTTACATGACAGGAAGGCTAGTTTAATGGTCATCTGGCAGGCAGCGATCATGTGTGCGTCGGGATACGTCGTATGCCAGCTTTAGCGACGCTGTGCTCGGTCGCGTGTGCCCTTCCGTGACGGTTTATGATTAGGGCGTTGTATTCTGCTCTCGCCTTATTGCGACTGCGTTGTACGGCCGGTGTAATCCTCTGATTGCGGGGCCACTCGGTTGTTGCTCCGCGTCTTTTTGTCCATCGTGCGTTGATGCTATGCCGGTCACGGCAAAGCGCAAGCTGCTGAGGGGCGGTGGACGCCGCCTCTCCCAAGACTCCGACGATGACACGGCCGCCGGGAGATCCAATGGCGTATCGTCATCTGCAACAACGGCAGACAGCGTCGATTCGGACATACCTTCCGTGAAGCGTGCCGCCACCGGCCGGCGCAAAGTGAAGTCTTCGCCGCGTACGGTTTCCGCCAAGTTCCTGCAAAGCTTCATCACGCAGTTCAGCCCTGAGGAGCTTGCAGCTAAACGCACCGTCGAGACCATATACAGGAGCAGCAGCTCGTTCTCGTACACCTACCACAGCCTGCAGCGAAGCTTGTTTTCGGGGAAAATAAGCCCAGATGTGTTGCTTTCGTTCTTCAAGGCGTTATCTGTCGTTGCGGACGAGCAGGTTTTGCGTGAGATTCTATCGGGGAATACACCGCAAGTCAACGGCGGGACAACCACTCCATCGCAAAGTACGCCATCGCCGGTTCCGCCGTCGACGCTGCACAACTATGAACTGCTGCTGGTCGGAGCCATAAAGAAGTTGCGGGATGTTCTGGTGGTTGATGCAAACGCCATCGGGTGGCGCATGTTGATGGCGTCACTGCGCTGCCTGCTGCTCGATGGCCTCCTGCTGGAGATGCGTTCGCTTTTCAAGATGCTATTCGGCGACTTCGATGGCACATACGATAAGCTGAAATCGTCTCTGGAGCAACTGAGGGGCATGGTGACTTCGTTGGATTCCGACATGCCCCCTCCTAGCGACAAGGCGAAGCGCAAATGCGTGACGGACGGCAACCCCAATGTCGCGGAGTGTCTCGGTGTGGTGGATCAAATTATGCAGCTGTTGTCGTATCTAAGGGAAGTTTATCGTAATGTGACCACGGCAGTAGCCAACCGTCCGGAATCCGAGGGTCTCGAGGCATTACTTCAGACTGCTGAGTCGCACTTGCTGGTTCCCCAAAGTATGGCAGTAGACGGCGTTGCGAGCAATTCTTCGGGGAGCTCCAGTTCATCATCCGTGAATGAGTCTGCGAAAGAGACTGCAGGAGCCGCCTCCGAAGGCGACCCAGTGAACGTCGACTTCAAGGTGGAGTGCCTGAAGCTGCTGCTGAGTGTTGATAGCAATGCCTGCCTTGGCGACGCGGACCTGCCTGACAGCAGCTTCATACGCCAGAAATTTGAGAACGTGTGCAATGTGTTCGAGGACAACCGCCGCCGGCAGCGTGAGCAGCAGGCCGAGATGGCGAAAAAGAGCAAGATGAAACGCGACGCCGTGTCGTATGTTCTTGCTCGCGTGGCGGAGTCCGAGAGCGCCAATGCCCCGCCTAACATTCGCCACCCCTTCTATATTCTGGGTATACCGCCTTCACGGTGCTCTGAGGAGGTTTTACGCAAGTGCGGCCGCAAGCTTAAGACGCTGCTGCACCCCGACACCGAGCACGATACCGAGTGGAAAGCGATGGCGGAGCGCGCCTTCAAGGAGGCGTCGCTGGCACTCGAGAAGTGCGCAACGATGGGCGGCTCATTACACAACTCCATTGGCTTGCGCATGGGGACGCAGCCGCCTTTCGCTGCTTTCATCGGCCTGGTGACTTCGAGCAGCGGCGACGAAGAGCCCTCCAGCACTGCGTCTGCCGCTGCGCAATCGTCTGCGAACGTTTTGTCAGCACCAAACCTGGTATTGATGCCTTCATTCACCTTGAGCTGCATGGACAGCAAGGCCGGTTCCATCGCTGTGTCCGTGGACCCTTCGTTATATTCGATGAACGGCTTTTCGAAGCTGGGCAAGAACAAGCACCTGGTGGTCTACATGCACCGCCCAATGCACGGTGACGAACCTTCTTCATTCCGCATCCACCCGGATTGCGTCTACGACATACGCCGCGTGGCGGTGCCCGAGTCCTCCCATGGCAAGCAGGTCTGCGTGAAGATGGATGCTGTGCAACCGATTGTATTCGGCAGTGCCTGGCGCTATTTCGTGGGAGTTCAGTTGGAAGGCGATCTCGGTTCGTCCCTGGTGACGTGGCGCAGCGTGTATGTTGAATTGGCTAACAAGGGCCGCACGGCGTCTCATGTTGGCAAGCTACTCAACACTTACCTCGGTGCGCCGTTCGTGAACCAGTCCGTGCTCCAGGGTCACATTGCGCGTTGTCGCGAAGGCGCCAAAGCAGACGCCGAGTTGTTTTTGCTCGAGTGCGCTAGATTGGCGCAGCGCTGGGCCGACGGGCAATGAGCTGCTGGTGTAGTATGAACATAATTTTTATAAGTTGTTGTCTCCGGGAGGTTTCGCATTCAAACACATTCCCGTAAGATGCGTGTTAAAATAGCGTTACATTGATTTATGTCTACTGCATTGGCGGGCTTGTGCTTAGGCCCACATGGTGATCGGTCGCATGACCTTGATGGCAATGTTGTCGTTGGAATTCCGCGGCTGATAGATGACGGCGTCGAATACCGTGATGTATCGTACGACGTAGAAGAAGATGATTACGAGGACGCTGAACACCGTGCCCATGATGTTATACAGCATGAGGAACTTGTAGAGGTCGCTCGGATTCACGGTGTCGAAGAGGGGTTCCTCGGGTTTAGGTAGCCTGCCAAGGCAGCCGTTGAGCTGCGGAGACTCCCAATCAACGTCTGCGTTATTCGTGACAGTGACTTTTCGACTCGGTTTTACCTTGGTTATTGAAGACGCTGGCCAGCGCATTGCACACTGCGATGTCCTCTATGGTGCACCCCTCGTCGTCATCGGAAAGCGCCAGGAGTATAATCCGTTTCTTGATGAGGTACTTGGGGTTGTTGCATTCCCTGATTTCTTTCCGGGTTGTGATGGTGAAATTGAGCTTGCACGCTGCACAAGATGAAGGTGGCAACTTTGACGTTACGCAATCACTGGCAGGCATCCCGGCGTTCCTACGGGATCTAACCCTTATGCTATGAAGCTGTCAGTGGCAGCGATATTCAGCAGAAGCCACGCAAATTTTGTATCGCAATCGCGCCGGTGTGCTCAATTGGACCGTACAGGCGACAGCAGGTCATGCGTTACCAGGGTATATCGCCTGCCGACGAATGCCAACATCATTATACGGATTACCATACATGCAATACTCACAAGTGTCTGGTTCATTAACCTACCTGCTCGTTGTTCGTGGATGGTCCTGCAATTCTTCACGGCATTGACGGCGGCCTCGTTGAACCGATTAACGCACCACTGCCGGCTGTTGGCCAACGTCCAAACTAAGCACGCAAATTGCAACGTGACAAGTGCGAACATCAGCATCCCCGCTATAGAGGGCAGCCACTTAATTGTAAACCCCAATATGTTTATAAACCTCTTGGAATAGGTGCAGTCCGCGAGCGAGTAATTCGAAAATAGATTGCAGAGCCTACCTAGGAGGATTGTAACGAGTAACAGTGCACCTGCATGTCATGGATATGCACAAAATTTAGGTGTATGCCTATGGCGCACATTCACAGTTTCTGTTGTGCCATAGGACTATCCCCTAGCCCCTCATGCTCAATACCTGAAACATCAAACCGCGCTTGCTACGGCAGCACCTACCTATCAAAATCATTTGCATCATGTAGCACAGCAGGATGTATCTAGCGCTCCTGGCGGAACAACTGTAATTCACGAAGAAGCTATAGTTCCTGATGAGATGGTGCAGTGCGAACGTCAATATAAGCGCTGCGGATAGTGACTATTGCAGTAATGGCGCACGTACCAACGACCAGGATCCAGCTCACGCAGTTGTAGAAGAGGCTCGCCCGCCACAGGTACCTACGGCGTGTCCACTTCATTCGGAAGCCGGTGAATCCGTGAATGCAGCGTCGCCATGTCCCAACCATTGTGAAACACTGCACAGCTGCAAGCACACGTTCAGCCCTCTTTTCACCACGACGCGAATCCAGGAACAGTGCTTAGAAGGTGGCCTTCAACAGGCTGCGAGTTTAGTGAATTATTGCAAAATGTGCAACAGTGTTAAATAGGCTGAGGATCACATCCGTTCGGTCCATCGCATGGTATTTGACTTAAAGCTCCACATTGCAGCATACAAACACCTCACGGTATCCATTTGGCAATGCAATTGATGCGGGAGCGACAGGCTCGTGACACGTGTACCCTCAGACACCAATGCTGGCTCTTCGTGCGCCGCAGAGCGACAACTAGAGCTCACAAGCAGCATAATACGTGAGATTGCGGGGAATATTGATGCCAGCGGGTATGTTATGGCAGGAAAAATGCAAATAAATTGCAAGGCCTCAATCCACTGCACGATGCCGATACTACGCAAAATCTCGTTCATTTCTTGATCATCAGCAAAAACGTTTGCTGACAATTAAACCCGTAGAACCGAGACCGGCAAAACGGACTAAAACGTCGCAGCACAGCAAGGTAATGAAGCCTATGGCCGCGTCATGTGGCACAGCAGGGAGCGCACAACGCCCTCTCACCTCATTGCCACACATAGCGGTCTAAACTACACGTGATAGACATTACGTGAAACGACGGCTCAGGCGACTCTCCCGTGTGTGAGGCGCTCACGCATATAGCCGTGACGCTCACCGACAGCCGGGGCACGCTACCGCCGAACGAGACCATCAACACCTACGTACAAAAATCAAATATGGCGACGTATCCAGCCAAACGCGGATCACGGTGTCTGTGACGTTAATGCGAAGCTCCGACCTTGCTCAACAACGCCTGCCGTGATTCCTTGCCTATAAGTGGCGTACGGGAACCGCTCCGCCTGCATCCACGTTGCCATAATTTATGAACCATGATGCGAGCAACAACGGTCGGCGCCATCCGTGGTTTTAGCAGAAATCCGTCTCCTGGCTCATCCCGTTGGGTTATGCATGACGTGATTCTGCATGGCTGTCCCATGGTCCCGGCATGTTGTAACTCCGTCGTCGTTCGGTCATTCGACGCGGTTTCAGGGTGACTTGTGATCGACACATTTTGTCGGTTTAATACCGCGATTTCTGTGGTTACCTGTGTTGCCGTCATATATACCGGTAGATCATCAGACCACACGTCACAATGAACGGATCTTACCTTTTGGCTTCTTTCGCCGCTTTGGCGGCTGTTGTTCCTGCCGCGGCTTACGACAGGCGTGTCAGTGGCAGGGAGCTGTTGGAGAAGGGTGCCCCTCGTCTGCTCTTCGCCGGCAATGCCTCGCTTGACCTCTTCGCTGCCGTTGATGAGTCCGTCATTAAATCCCTTGACAAGGCCAAGGCTAGGCCCAAGGGTATTACCATGAAATCTATCAAGAAGGTTGGTGACAAGATTCTTGTTGACACCAAGACCCCTACCGAGACGTCAGCCAACGCTGCGCGCGCGTACGCTTACTGCGGTGGCAAGGCTGCCTACTTCGGAGTGCTCGGTAAGGATGATTTGGCTAACGAATTCGACAACTACCTTACCTACAACGGTGTTGAAATGAAGACCATCCGCAGGCCGGACATGCACACCAGCCACCTCTACTCCTTGGTTACCCCTGATGGCCAATACAGCAAGTACTACGTATCTGGTGCCGCGGAGACCCTTACTGCTGACGATCTGGATGAGAGCATCATGGACAAATTCGACTTCTACGTAGTTAACGGCTTCATGTTGGGTTCCCCTAGCAACGTTGATCTTACCAACAAGATGGTCGACGCCGCTCTTAGCCGTGGCAAGAAGATCATTACCCTGTTCGCTAACACTGTGTGCGTCAGGAAGTACGGTGAGCTCTTGAAGCCGATTGCTGAGAAATCTGCTTACTTGAGTGGTAACCTTGAGGAGTACATGAGGCTTTACAACTTTGACACCCCTGAGGAAGTTTTCGAGTACTTCGAGGACCTTACCTCTGTTAAGAAGCTCCAGCACAAGGCTGTGATCATCACTATGGGTACGAATGGCGCCCTCATTATTTTCCGCGGTAGGCGATTCGAGATTCCGGCCACCGGTGTCACCGTCGTTAACGCCTCTGGTGCCGGTGACTTCTTTGCCGGTGCCCTGTTGTACGGTATTCTTAACGGATACTCTGTGTACCAGGCCGGTGAATTCGCTCGCGCTATTGTCGGCGATGTCATCTCTAAAATGAGCAGGAGGATCGGTGACGGTATTCACCACCAGATTAATCACATCAAGGGCGGTGCTTAAGCACATCGAATTCAATGAATGCAGAGTTAGGAATACGTGAGATCTTGTAGCCTCCGTGAGACGCAAGTGTGTCCACTGCGTCGTCGCACGGGCCATTGACGTAAAAATCACGTTGAAGAGTGGATTGGTAGTGGTCGTACGTGTTTGGCGTTCCGACCACGTGGTTGAACATGCGTTAAAACCACATTAGAATGATTTAGTGCTTGTTCATGATTGTGGCTGGTTGGCGTTAGTAAGTGTAGACCTCGTCGTACGTTGAGATAACAGCGCAACCTCTCGCAATGAGTCGGTTTGCGTTGTTGCGTTACGTGATTGTATTTGTAATTGTGCTCTGTGGTCGGTCGATTGTCGGTGTAGTATGTTGCTAGGAGGGACGTGACCGTTGTGCCTCCACAATTGCTCAGCCCCGCAGCACTGCCCAACGCCCTGGGCGCTCAGCCACTAAGCGCAGCAGCACTACGGCGAGCGCACAACGCCCTCTCACCTCATTGCCACACATAGCGGTCTAAACTACACGTGATAGACATTACGTGAAATGACGGCTCAGGCGACTCTCCCGTGTGTGAGGCGCTCACGCATATAGCCGTGACGCTCACCGACAGCCGGGGCACGCTACCGCCGAACGAGACCATCAACACCTACGTACAAAAATCAAATATGGCGACGTATCCAGCCAAACGCGGATCACGGTGTCTGTGACGTTAATGCGAAGCTCCGACCTTGCTCAACAACGCCTGCCGTGATTCCTTGCCTATAAGTGGCGTACGGGAACCGCTCCGCCTGCATCCACGTTGCCATAATTTATGAACCATGATGCGAGCAACAACGGTCGGCGCCATCCGTGGTTTTAGCAGAAATCCGTCTCCTGGCTCATCCCGTTGGGTTATGCATGACGTGATTCTGCATGGCTGTCCCATGGTCCCGGCATGTTGTAACTCCGTCGTCGTTCGGTCATTCGACGCGGTTTCAGGGTGACTTGTGATCGACACATTTTGTCGGTTTAATACCGCGATTTCTGTGGTTACCTGTGTTGCCGTCATATATACCGGTAGATCATCAGACTACACATCACAATGAACGGATCTTACATCTTCACCGCCGTTGCTGGCGTTTTCGCAGCCTTTGTCTCAGGTGCATCGGCCTTTTTGATGAATGGCAATGAGGTTGTTGAGCAAGGACCCTCCAGAGTGCTTTTTGCCGGTGATGCATTCATGACCATTGGCGCTCGCGCCAGTGATGAAGTCCTCGGTCTGTTCAACAAGGCTAAGGAGGAACTGACTAAGCCGACTCACGAGCTTTTCGAGGCTATTGAGAGCAAGTCCGACGTCCTGTTCGAGCACCCCGGTGACGCCTCTGCCACCGCCGCCCTCGTCTACTCTAAGCTCGGTGGCAAGGCCGGTTACTTCGGTATCGTCGGTGACGACCGCATGGCCACCAAGTTCAACGACTACATGGCCGGCTACAACGTCGAAATGATGACCGTCCGCAGGAGCAACGACATCACCAGCCAGCTTTTCTCCCTGGTCGGTGAAGACGGCACCTACAACCTGTACAAGGTTCTTGGAGCCTGCGACAGCATCTCTTCCTCTGACGTTGATGCCTCCATCATGGACAACTTCGACTTCTTCGTCGTCACCACCGACATGCTCCGTACCGCCTCTCGCACCGCTTTCACCGCCAAGCTGGTTGACGCTGCCATCAACCGTGGCAAGAAGATCATCACCGTCTTCACCGACGTCGTCTTCGGTGACTACGACGCTGAGATGTTGAAGGCCATCCTCCACAGCTCGGAGTACGTCTTTGGTTCCATGGAGCAGTACGTGGCCGTCTACAAATTCTCCAGCAGGGATGATGCGGCTGACGCTATGCACCAGAAGACTTCTGGCGAAAAGCCGGCGCACAAGGCTATGCTTGTCAACTTCGGAGAGGAGGGCTTCGCGCTCTTCTTCGACGGCAAGTACCTGTACGTGCCCGCCCCCGAGGTGGAAGTCGAGAGGTCCGACGCTGACGACTTCTTCACTGGCGCCATGATGTACGGTATGCTCAACGGCCGCAAGATGAAGGATACCATCCAGTACGCTCGCGCTGTCCTCGTGGATGTGTGCTCCGAGATGGGCGCCTCCCTCAGCGACAACTTCGACGCCTACCTGTCCGAGATCCCCAGGATCTGAACTCCGCCTCCACAGAAACGGGGAGTTGCAGACCTGCCTTCCGACATGCTACAACACGGCAGCGGTCGTCACATACAGATGACGTAAGAGTCAACTATTGTTGGGAAAAAACCGACATGTAATCATATCACATCGATCAGTCTACTCATGAGGCGTGCTTTGGTGCCGCCCCGGGGCGGCGACTGGTGCTGGCCGACAAGCAGTGCGATATTAATTGGTGTTGTTGTGTCGGTGGCGCTGCAGTCGACGCCGAATGCCACTCCCAGGTCAATACAATGTTTCTCTGGTGGCTCAGTGGCCACCGGTTTGCTGGACCATCGCGTCGATGATGTCACCGTGCTCGATGCCCAGTTCCTCGGCGGTGGCGTCGCCCTTTATGCGATCTCCGTCGAAAAGGAAGCGCACTGCAGAAATATTAGAGCTGGTTGTGTGGAGGCGGCAACGCGACCTGGCGTGCTATGCGGGGCGACGACTCACCTGCGTCAGGCGACTGGCCGAGTCTGTTGCAGTACGTAGTCATAAGCTTCTCGAGCTTGGTCTTCTTCTTGATCTTGAAGTAGACCTCTGACCCATCCTGCGCGACATTAGGCCAGGAAATAAACGCGGGCGCCATAATGGCGCCAGCGACGCAGGCATCGGCCACTTACCGGTGACCTGACTTTGATCTGGATGTGCTCCGACACATTTGGCTCATTTGATTCCGCCATGTTCGTTGGACCTAATACACTCGTTGTCTAGCCGTCAGGTTGTGCAACGGCGACAAATCAGCGGCAGCGGTTACTTCGCGCGTACGGCCGCCGGTGGAGGTATTCGACACCTCAGCGTCTTGATTAGTGTCAAGCGGCACCTGCGTATTCACCAGGCAGTAGTCTCGATAATTGGGGTGTGTTCGATGCCGCGAATAGGGCGTGTCGCATGGGACATGTGTAGGGTATCGCGTGGCAATCCCTCCACACGCTGCAAATGCTGTCTACAGGCCTCAGTGCAGCACACATATTAGGTCACACGTCATGTGTGCGATTAACATCCGTAGCTACCGGATCGATCGCCCTGTAACCTGCCTGTTGTACTCTGCGCAGCGCAATAGGTCATAACGATAGCTATTTGAAAAATTAATTATAAAATTGCTTGATGCGCGACGATAGAGCTGACAGACGAGCGTCACGATAACGTCGGATCTCCTCGGGGCCGGTGAGAACGCCGGCCTTGTCGCATTCCGCTACACGCTTTAGCAGGAATCGCGCGATGCTGGCGTCCTTGAACGTGAGGTGGTCGAGCACAGTAGCCAGCAGGTCCACATACAGCAGTACGAAGTAGTCATCTATGCCTTCCGGGTCGCCCTTTTTAGCGCGGCCGAGGTGTTTCATCAGCTGCCGTGGCAGGCGGGCGCCGGTGTTCGGCCGTATGCCGTGCAAGGCTTCCACGGGTATGTGTTGCGACGCCACCGTAGTGGCAACGGCTTCGCGGAAGTCGGAGGAGAGGCACACCGACAGCTGAGCGACTAGCGCTATCACCACCTTCTTGGCATGCTTAGCGGCACTCAGTGCCTCCACGAACAGCCTGACGATTCCTCGTACGCGCGCGGTGGTGTGCTCCGACTCGTAACCCAGCAGAAAACTGCGGCTTCGGCCCTGGCCGCTTCCGGAGTTCACCTTGGACGGAGACACGTCGCCGGCAGCGGCTCTGGGTGTCACGGTTTCTTGAGTAGCGCCACCGCCGCCAATAGTTTTCGTTTCGATGGCGGCATTGGCGCACAGATCCACCGATGACCGCGGAGTTGTAGGCCGTGAAGTGCCCCTGAGGCTCTCGGCGAACGACTCGACGATGACGCACAGCAGAAGCGATTGGAGGCATGACGATAACCTGGAGAGGAATATATCCGGGTCGTTGCGGGCGAGCGTCTTGAGTGCCTGCTCGGCCAGACGCTGGCTGTTGAGCTCTTGCGATACGATGTGGCAGAAGACAAACGGAATCACGGCCTCGGGGTTAGTTAGCCTATTCACAAGGACCATGTTGCAGATCTCCAAGATCATCACTGGGTCGGCTCCGCCGCAGACCGATAGACTTCGTGGAGCGTTGTTTTCTACGGCCAATAGAGCGACGAAACCTTCCACGAATCCACCCAGGCAGCAGAATACCTCGTTATGGGCAGCCCGTAGCGCCTCAGCACTAGACACGGCGAGGTCCTGCTCCGTGGGCGAAGCCAATCTGCCATAAGCGGTTAACAGCTGATAGAGCAACATCATGACACAGGCAACCATGCTTTCGTTGTTGAACATGCGGGCGATACGTTTGACTCCCTTGAATTCGATGCAGACGATATTGCGAAGGTTGATAAACATCCGGGCGACGGATTGCACCAGCATTCCAGCTACGTTGTACAGACTTGCACCGTAAAATACATCAATCAACGAAAGCAGAACGTCGAATAAAGTTTGGGCGCGACTTTTGCCATGCGATAGTTCCGTTGAAAGGTCCGCGAACTCAGCCACGCAGCCTAGCTTCCAGGCACTGCGCAGCAGGACGTTGTATGACATCACCCTAACGATATCCTCTGGAGACATGCGCTCACCACCAAGCACGGATTGTAGATTTGAGAGGTAGTTGAATGATTCCTCGAATATTGCCGTGATGTGATGTGACGAACCCAGCGCTACCAGTAGCTGGATGGCTGCCCTGGTGAGGGCGGGAGCATCAAACGATATCAGCTGCATAACATTGGATTCCACCTTATGCAGGTCATTAGAGTACCCCGATGCTATGGCCACCAGGTTGCACACGAGAACCACAACCTCCATGCGGCTGGCGTCGAACGTCTCCTCGGAGTCGCAGCTGAGGTACGGCAGGAAGTAGGTAAGGTACGACGCAAACAGCTCTGGGTAGACCTGGCCAAACAGCTTTAGGACGCACAGCACCTCAGCAAGCACGTGGAATGATGCGCCATCGCTGCGACGGAGTAAAAATAGATCCAACAGCAGGCTCATCCATTTCTCCAAGGCTGATTTGATATGGTTGGCCACAGTCTCCTGAAGCTCATGTTTAGCTAACCCGCGCAAAAAGCCAGTGTCCGAACTGCTTTCAATGTCGGCAATGTGCGATTTGTAGTGCTCCAGAACGCGCTCAACATAGTTGTCACGCGCCTTGAATGCGCACATCTTGTACAGGATCACCTTGACGAAACGATCTGCTAGGGCCACAGTGCTCTCATCCATGCGGCCGGTGGCCTTCAGCAGAGGGTTGGCGGTGCTGAAGAGGCTGAAAGCGAGTATGTTCAACACCATGTCACGAACTGGTGGTTGTTCCCTCTCAATGTCGCACGTACGTTCGGCCACCGCCGATATGGCAGGCATGACGCTCATGTCAACACCCTGTCTCCTCACATAGTGGAATACCGCTTTACACGCGGACAGACGTACTTTCCAGTTCACGTCACGCATTGATAGCAGCAGCCTGCCCATCAGCTGATCGCCAATGCCCTCGACCGTGTTATGGGGGCGGCTGAAGAACTCGCAAATTAGCCGAGATGCGGTCAGACGCACCATGTAACACTGGTCACCCATACATGCCACCAGCAGCTTACGAACGACATGGTACCGCAAATAATCAAAACGCCTTGTAACAACCTCGTAGAGGAAGGAGCTCGCAGAACTCAGCTGGCTGTACTCATTGGTGGTGTACAGGACGTTAGTCATCGTGCGCCATATTCCCAAATACAACTCGTTGTAGATGTGGTAGAGCACAACCCTAAAACAGAGACCAGCCTCTGACGCATCCTCCAGGTGCAGCAATCGCCGTGCCGGGAGGAGGAAATACTGTCCCAGCTGTGAGTCCATTGCCCCGTCAAGGCGATGGCCCCTGGTGGCCTTGAAAAGGCGGCATACGATACGTGCATAACGCAACAAATGATCATCCTGATTGTCGAGGTCATGGTTGAGGGTGTCTTGCGTCGTCGATTTGTCATGTACCCCCAGCTCGAATCCTCCGACGCTAGGGCTCAAATTCAAAAAGCCTTCGTCGCAGTTATTGGCCAGGCCGTTAACAACCGCTGCATCTGCGAAGCTATTTGGTTCGTCATCATCTTCCATGCCGTCAGTTGGTGCAGCAACGTGATTATTTGAGTTAACCGTAGTAGTGGCGCATGATGGATCAGGCGGTACTGCCGGTAATTCGCTCATTGAGGACGACGGAGTGCCATTGGTAGATTTCGACCGCTTCATATCGCCGGAATGTTCCGATGACGCAGCAGTCGAACCAACGGATTCCGAGGGCCGGGTTTCCATGCGGCGTTTGTGTGGTCTGCTAGTCAACATGTCGCCAGCATAATTTACCCGTGCAATGTGCTTGAGGGACATCAGGAGCACCAAATCGCTTATGCTGCCGTCACTCAGTGCGTGTACGCCTAAATGGGTCATGTATCGCTCCGCAACTTCCTGCAGGACCTGGGCGTCGAAGTGGCGCGGGTCAGAGGATGAGTGCCCGTTGCCACAACCTTCAAGCAAATTAAGGTCAAAAACTGAAATCTTGAAAAGCGGAGTGCTCATGCACTTGAAACACGATACGTACTCGGGTAGGAAGCCGCACGATTCTTCCACGGCATTTAGCACGGAGAACACGTAGCCGGAAATCGTCTGCAGGACGCGCAAACAGCGGCGCTTCTGTAACATGGTGCTCTTTGGATCGCGCACGATCTCCATCATGAGTTGCGCAACGAATAGCAACATGAAATGGGCGGCAATCTCGTTAGGCGATGCTATCAGGCTCTCAACCAACGCCTTGAGGAAGGCGAAGTTGGTCGACAGGGAAGCATCCACCAACGTCTGCACCGCACTTCGACAGTCGTGAAACGGGTTGGTCATGTGCACACTTGAAAGCATGAGTTCAAATAGCCGCAGCAACAGCGTTGTGATCAGGCGTGAGTGGGAGGTGCCGGCTTCAACCCTGGTTACTACCATGTTTAGCACCGCTCTGTATTCTTCTAGATTAGTGCACCGGTTAGCAACGACGCTCATAAGTGAGCGTAATGAGCTGAATAGGGTCCCCGAGTGGCTCGACATTTTGAAAGCAAGATCAATGCAGACGTCCATCAATGCCCGAGCAACCTCAAAAGGGAGTTCCTTCGATATCAAAGGGGCCAATTCCCCAATGAGAATACGCATCATCTCAGCGTCAACACCATCCAAATCTTGATCTGTGATAGAAGACAATGTTCTGGTGGTGAGCGTCACGAACAGCGACAATTTTACCGGATCCCGTTGGCCCATTTCCAGGAACAGCAGCAACACGAAGGCAAGATGGGCGCCCTCAATACCACATGACTCAGACGCCAACTGCATAGCGTTTTCTATGCTTTGGCGCAAGTTTTCCATAGACTTAAAATCTAGCCTGCGCAAAATGTCTGTTACGCGATGCCGATTTTGCTCAAAAACGTCACTGCTGTCTACCATACCAACCACAATATCCTCCTCACTTGGAACCGGAGACACCGCGTCCAGATACACTGGTGAGTTCTCAGGATCACTTTGGCACTGCTTAGCTTCCCTGTTATCTGTGTCGTCGGCGTCACCGACCCGCTGCGTATCGTTATCTTCCTCATGAGCCGCATTCTGTACTGTGGCAACATCTTCTGCATTGTAAAAATCAACTTCATTTGAATATTCTTGATTGGCGGTATCATTACCCCCCTTAAAAACTTCATTTACACTTTCGCTCGAATCTAACATGCGATCCTGTGACGGCGATTCGTCGACCTCTGTATTTAGAGGCACATCAGATTGAAACTCCACTGATTCGCTAAAATTACCTTCCTCCATGTCATGTGCGATAATAGCCTGGGTCTGTTCAGATTCTACAATTGCGGCCTGTTCATCAACCATAACAGATTCTTGACTTTCTGCGTCATCGATCGCAATAATGTGTAGTCCATGAGCTTCCCGGCAGTTAGCAGAATCACAAATGACCTCCGGGGTGCTGTCCATGATTTCATCCGCTTTATATACGTCCACCTCGATATCCGTCGACTCTCTCCGTTGCTCATCCACAGACCCAACATAATCGTTGATCAACGTTTCGCTTTGAGTGTTGACTTCGCAAGGCTGCAGCACCGGCTCTTCGGGTTCCTCATTAACCTGTTCGCTGGCAGGCATTTCTTCCATATCATTGCCCACCAAATGCTCGTCGGCTGAATAATGAACCACCACAGGGCATTCGTCGTTAATACAAATTTGAGAATCGCAGGAGTTGCAATCCCCGCGATCTTGCGATACTGCATCTGAAATCGAAGCCGTTTTGCAACCAACTGGTACACTAGGGTCTGTCACGCTGCCGAATTCTTCATGGCAATCCTCCAAGACGCTTGCCGGGTTTGTGGTGGCATCGGCGTGTGATTCATCGACGTCTGTTTCTTGAGATGTGGAACCATGAACCTTATCACACGGAGTTAATGCGATATCTTTGACAGAATCCAATGGCTCTGTCATTCCGACTGAAATGTTTACATCCGCTGGTGTGTTGTGCGGGTCTTGGCGCAACCTCTCTGAATCCATTTCTAAGGTTTCAGGCGAAAGCATTTCCACTTTGCGTAGTATCTGATCATGCTCGTAGTTGGCCACTTCAGGCGGTGATTGGGACACATCTACGTTCGTTACATGTTGATCGTGTATGACGTCGGGCGCATCTGTCACAGGCTCGATAGAGGCATCCGCCTCCTCCGGCAATAAAGTTGTGTCATCTGAATTGACAGTTATATCTTTGTTAGAATCGTCATTTGTAGCAAACGCTTCAGCGATTGTAGCGATGACTTGTTCCGACTCCTGGGGCGGTGCCTCCGACAGAGCAACATCAGTCTGCGGAGATTCCCCACGGTCGGCAACCTTCTCGAGCAGCAAGGTGCTGCCTCCGTTGCCATCATCTGCCACGACTTCGTGAATTATCTTCTCATGAGCTATTGGGTGTGTTGTGAGGTCGGACACTTCGACGTCGCTTGTACTCGGCGACGCCGCAGTTCCGCATGCTTCACTGGACTCCGCTTCCTCACCGAACGGAGAATATGACCTTATGTCCACCAGCGGAGAATCCCGTGTGTCCAATAGAAGGCCCTTGCTGCGATCACGCCGATGAAATCTGTCTACGACAGCCTCGGCGAAGGCTGTCTTATTATGTCTGTAAAAGTCGGCCAAACCCGTGTTGTCGACGCCGTACAGCGTGACCAGCTTCGATACGGCATCATATCCGTCATCTGATGCCGAATGTGTGACCTCAGGGGGATCAGTGGCCGCCACAGTAGACCCGAGATGTGTGCCTCGGGCAGGCGGCACCCCCTCAGCTTCGGACCTCGGGATGCGCGCCATCTAGGCTATCCAGTGGTCCACAGAGTTGGAGGCGCGCCAAATATTTGTGGCATGGCCAAGAGCCCCCCTATGTGCAATATCAGTTTGTGAATTTTCGCCACCCAACAGCTGCGCCTCTCTCGCCAGTCACAATCAAAAATGAGCCGACGCAGCCGCAGGCGGAGTCGTAGCCGCGATTCGCGGCGTAGGAGCTACGGTGGAAGCTCGTACGGCAGCTATTCGCGCAGCAGATCTTTCTCGAAGGATAGGCGCGGTTTGTCACGCGACAGAAGGTCGCTTTCGAGGTCACGCGGTAGGAGCGATGACTTCAAGAGCAGCTTGTCGACTATTCGTAAGTTTGATCCATGAAAAAAAATCTCAGTGATCTGTCCTTGTCGTTCCTTGCCCAGTACGGGAGAGCTCAGACGACGTCGGTTTTCTACGCTCGACGTACGCCCGGTGTCGACCACTTCGGCCATTAGGATCGTGCATTATGCCAAATGTACGAAGATATAATGCGGCAATTGGGTTGAAGTACCCTGACGGGCCGCCGTTGGAGGTCGGATAGCACGCCTCCATCCGGCCTGTGCCGACATTTGCCTGTTGTCATACCATTTTCTCATTTAAAAGCCCTTGAACGCGTCATCAAACGCGCTATAAACGGATTGGACTTACATGCCGCCACCATGCAGGGTCGCTTTAAGATTAACGGCCTCGTAAGTGGCTGCGATGTCGGTCTAGGGGAGTCACGCACTAGGCCTACATACGTTAGATACCATTGTTAGCTATCAGATTTCAGCGGCTAACTAGTTGGAGTATCGGAGGGTCATTGAGTATTTGGGGGCGCGTAATTTGCGATTCCAACGGTGCGCTGGCCCTGCGGCAATTTGTTGGCGGTCGTTGGTAGGGGTCTGACTCCGCGGCAACAAAATTGGCGCAATAGTGAGATCCGTGGAATGGGCTTTATAGATTGTTGTTGTGCTCGTGAACGTATATGCTCGCTTTGATGTGCTTTATAACATCAAACTCATTGCCGTCGCAGGTGATCGCAAGAGGCGCTCCGAGGATCGCGGCTTCGCCGGATCCCGAAGCAACGTGTGGAGGAACCCGACGGAGGGATCCCAACAGATCCCATCGCACAACACTGTACCAGCTAATGTTGCGTACGGGTATGACGAACCGAGGCGCTACCACCCCAGGCAGCCATTGAGGTTCCGCAGGGGCGCGTACAAGTACGAATCGGAGGATTTCAGGCAACAGAAGATGCAGCAAATGGAGGAGGCTAACAAACGCAGACTTGAAATGATTAGCAAGCGACAGGAACGCATAAAGCAACTGGCGGAGCTAACCACACAACTGAACTCACTAGTCGCGCAACTGTCGCTCTTGCCCAAGGAGGACCCTGAGCGTGAAGGGGTGTCGCGGCAGATCCAGGACGTGAAGTTTGCGATGAAACAGTTGCAGATGGAGAAGGACCATGCCCCTAACAAAATAGACAACCGGCAAACCAAGCTCCTGTTTAGGGAGCTGCCGGAAAGCGCTAAGGGGCCAGGGAAGCTGGCTGAGTGGATCGCCGGCAATGCCACGGTCCTCCTGCCGAAACACATCGCAATGTTAGCCACAACGGCACAGGGTCCACTAATCCAGTACCGAAATCATGCTGCGGCAGAAACGGTAAGTAACTGGACGACGGCCGTCGGCTGTCTGCTGCACAAACACCTCTCATTGGCGTACAGGTCTTGCGCTCCTGCAAACTCCATGGCATACAGGCGGAGTGGGCGCCTGTAGAGCAAGAGGCGGGTGCCAGTAAAAGAGAGGAAACACCCCCCAAGGCCGATAATGCGACTGACGTTGACTATAACCTTCTATGATCGCCCGCTGGCGATAACCGTACGCGGTTCTTTAGAAATAGCGTGAAAGGCCGTGTGACCTAACTTTGTCGTACTTGGAAGCGCCATGACCACATAATAGAAGTTCACATAGACACCCTGCTTTGGTTTGGTGGGCACTCGCCCACAGTGATCTGATGTCGCCGTGGCAACCCGGCACGGGGACGTCACAATTATTGCTGACGATGCAAAAGACAGCAAGTTCAAACCTCTCCAAGCTTCGCTTTATGCAAAGGGGCGAAAAGCCTCGGCAGAAAACCGTGGAAGTTGCAGAACGGCTCCTCGACGACGAGGCCGCCTGGGTAATCGAGGGATTCGAGGAAGTCCACAAGGCGCACTGCGCTGAGGAATCCCAGCCGAAAAAAAACCTCAACAACAGATACGCCAGTAGGTAAGTCGCAGCAACGGTGGAGCAGTTGTCGGTGGCAGCTTTGGATTGAACGGTGTGTCCACCGCCTTCCAGGCCACTGTGTGCTTCTCCGTGACTTATGATTGTAATTTACGTGCTATGGAGCCTACATATGTGGCATGTGTGTATATAGATATGGTTGTTTTTAGAATTGCTTGTTTGATCTGTCTACACCGAGTTGACATAATACTCTCGCAGGAAATCCTTTAACGGAACTAACCCGTATATCGAACGCCTGATGCAGGCGATGCGCAAAAGGCGCTGAGACATCGACGCCTGTTAGGTGAGAGCCCTGCGAACGTACTCGAGTTGCTCCTCCCTGCCGCTGGGCCACCGGAAGAAAGGCACGTGCACAACGCGGTATCCCGCGAGCCCAAGCATGAACCTCTTGACATTTGAATTGTGTGTGTATGTCAGTCGGTAGTCGGCGCCGCTGCGATTTAGCAGCTGGTTCGTTCTGCGCAGCATGCGTGATTCCATTTAAACTAAACCTACCTTTCGTTGAGTGATGTGTTGAAGTGGTAAGGCCCATCTATCTCCACTACAGTACCTCCGTTTCGCAGCACAATGTCGCATACGTGCGCACCAATGCGTACCTCCTCCTCAACGTCGTGTCCCAGCAACGACAGCGTGCTGCCGACCTGGCGGTGAAAGTCGCTCGTGCGGAAGTCCTTGCTGTAATCAACGGCGCCGCAAACTATTAGCGATTCTAGCCGCTCCAGGTCGCTGTCGAGAAATATGCGTTCAAAGTTCACGCCTTTAGACTCAAGGTAGTCTACCAGGAGTCGTGCGTTGCCCCTCATGCTGCTCACAACATCCTCGTCCAGCACGGAATCTGCGCCGAAAAACTTGTCGTAGTGGTCCAGTAGATACGTGATGATGTTGATGCCGATCTGGCGCACCTCCTGAGATATGGGCAGTGCGTTAGCCGACACCAAGCTGCCGATCAACTGGCTAAGCGCTACCAGCAATGCCACGGGGTGACGCTCGCCAGCGCATAGTGCCTCGAATTCGCCTATATCAGCTAATCGAGATCGCATTCGCTTTTCGAATCCTCCACAACGAACTTTGCATTTTTTGGCAACGTGCAGGGCGATGGCAATGTTGCGGAGCGATTTTGACCTAAGCAGCGCTGCCTGGTGTCTCTCTATGATGCTTCGTAGAATGTGGGCATTTAGCGTGCAGTTCAGATGCGACGAGAGCATCAAATATCCGGTTACCGCATTCTCGTGGAGCCTGCGAACGCTGGACAGCTGCAGCACGATAGACCTCCCCAACAACACTATCAGCAGTGATAGCTGGTCGTAGCCCGGTAAATGGAGCAGCGGCCCATATTTGGCGCAACATGCGGCGCACGCACGCGGAGTTGTACTAGGTCCGACATTACACTCGCATACGGGGACAGTAACCTCTTGCATATCCTCGGAGAATAAAGGTACATCTTTCGATGCACGAGTACAAGAAATATGCGATTCACTGGTTGTGCAAATCGAATCAGTGCCTTCATTGCCATTTGGGCACGATATGGGTGTGCGATGTGGGTGACCATCTTTATGATCGGATGGCGAGGAGACCATTTTGTCCGTCCCCTCCTGGATATGGGCTGTGCCATCCGATGCGGGGCTGGCAACCATCCCATCGCCACCGGGCGTTATATGCGACGGCCGGTTGAATTTCATATGCTTCATAACAGTGCAGATGCGTTGGCACTGTCGCAAAGAGAAGAGACGGGTTTGCCCACCAAGCATGCGTCGATTCATCTCACAGATGAGCAGCAAGGGCAAATCAACACCCCCCTCGCTCTCCCTCAGCTCCCGTGAACGGAATAATTCAAGCATTTCAACAAATTCCTCTGCCTTTAAGTGTGCCAAGTAGCGCTGGAACCCAGAGAACATCCTGCGGAGGTCATCCCCGCAATCGAACACCCCGGTGCGCAGCAGGCGCAAAAACGAAGCCACATCGTATTCTTGCATACGTTCAAGGTACACATCTGCAACTGTTGTGCGGTGCCTTTGCTGCGCGTTACGTAGCACCGAACACCTCGAAGGCGAAAGCGAGCTGCAGGCATCAAGCGACGGAGCGCGGGCCGCCCATGCAATCCGGGGAGTCAACCGCCTCCACATAGTTCGCACAACTCAGTATATGTCGCAAATGTAGTCAATAATACATAAGAAATTCGTCATCGCTCGCAGAGCATCGGAACTCGGCTGCTCCAAGATAATCGACCAACACAGGTGGCAGCTAGGCGGCGCTAAACGTTATCCGGGATTTCGTACCTCCATTGCTCTGAGGAACATTAATATGCCACAAACTGCTGTTGATATACCGAATCGGTCGAATAATCCAACATGGTATTGCGGAAGAAGGAGCTAGATGGGTTGCGCGTGGTGAGTTACACATCTGGTAGACAGCACGGCGCTTTGAGTTCTATCGCATCGGCACCGTTCATTACGAGCCTTCCGTATATGCAAGGCTCGTAGCACGGTGTGGTGCGTGGAATCCATGCAGTCCGGAGCTTCAGACGTAAAATGACCATAATGTGTTAGCTGTGCACGGAAAGGGGTGGCTGTCGGATGGCATGCTACACGAAAAGACTGTAGCTCTTGTAATGTAAACTGGTGCATGTGACTCTATCCTCTGCGTTGTATTCCATCTGTGTCATGCAAGCCTTGCCTTACGTTTTTGCAGGGACCGTTCAGTAAGGAGGAGGAGGACATCCTTCGCGGGGCAGTCGAGAAATATGTGACTGAGCAATTCGGCGGCGATAGGGAAGCCGCCATGCGCAACCTGGTCACACAGCGCGGTAGAGAACCGTCCGATGCGTTATCAATCGGCCGGGCGGCACTGCCGCTCCGACATCCGAAGTCAATTTACAACTTCATTCGCAGACGCATCATCCAACAAAAATTGGGCAGGTGGTCTACGGAAGAGGTGTACATGCTGCTAGAGCATTACTTCAAGAACGAAAACGCGCATGACGATGAGACAAAGAGCAAACAAAGGTGGCGCGGTGTAGCGCAACAGATACACCGGCTCCCGGAACAGGTCCACGACAAGTGGAAGGAAATACGACCGCATATAGATATATATCGACGCATATTTCAACAGGACTACCTCACCAAAGAGGAGCGGTTGGATCTCATTTCGAAGATTGGCGTAGGCAAAAGCTATCCTGCACAACATCTATGGCAAACCCCTGACGGAGAGCGTCCCACGGCAAACTCATCGCAGGCAACGACGGGAACGCTCTCTGTTCAACGGAGCCAGCTGGACGACGATACGCGCAAACGTGTGCACGAATACATAGTTCAGCTCGTAGAAGACGGAACGATACGCCCGCCAGTTGTGTACAACATCCCGTGGATCAAAGTGCGAGATAAATTTACTGCATTCTCAGAGTCTCAGATCAGGCTTGGGTGGACGCTACATACGTTTCCCCTGGCCATCAAAAAACACAATCCAGCGTTCAGCAAGCTGGTTGTCGCCCGGTGCGGGATCTACCTGATGCACCAGAGCCGGAAAATACCCGACCGGCTGAGCCATGTCGACTTCGAGGATTGGTTCCCGCAACTGCCGCATTTGTATGTCTCGATGTGCGTGAACTCCCTGCTGAACAAATGCATTTCGAGGTTTAAGCGGGGCACGCTCAGGAACGCCGATGTGCACTACGCCCGCGGCGCTGTTGTGGCGGACATCGATCCAGCCACGCTGACAATAAACCCGCAGGCGGATAGTGAGTGCTCGATCGCAGCCATAGGTGACAAAAAGTCTTCAAGGTCGAAGAGGTCGGCGGAGTTCTTCTCCGACGAAGGGAACAGGAACCTTATCTCCGCGCACTGTCGAAGCGCTGGTGCTCGTTGGGTGTCGGTGCAGGGAGGGCGATTGTACCTGACGCTCAAACGGCAGATCCGGCTGGCGTACTGCGAAACACGGGCCGACAGGCATTTCCAATCGGACATGGCGATTCTCGCGTCCATATCGCCATCGTCGTTGCCGACGATGCGCGATGACGATCCCTGGTGGGATTACTGGCAGCCAGACTCGCCAGAAATCATGAGCTCTAACTCACGTTTCGTATAACATTTGTCTTCAACACCCTCTGTGTGTGTTGTATATGATGCCAGCCGGGCATGCAACGTACGCAGCCTGGCGATCTCCGACAATGCGCATACTGCCCTCTCACATTCAGCCATCGTCAAACCATGTGAACGGCATCTTGAAATCAACTGTGCTGTGTGGGATCCGCCTGCTGCCACTAGCGACGCGTCGGTGTCGGAAAGGCAACTGGGCAGCCCAGCTGTAAGATCGTCGATATGGCTCTGTACGCGCTTCTGCAGCTGCGAACTGTTGCTGCCTGTGAATTGGCTTGCCAAAGAAACTGCCGAATTGGGTAGTGGTACACGACGGGACCTGTTGTCTGCCTTGCGGAAGTTGATCATATCCACGCAATGGCGTAAGAACGCGTACTTCTGGTGATAGGCACGTTCTTCAGCAGTCCGAACCGAACGCCAACACGCACGCTCGAAGTTGGCGGATAGTTTCTGTACCTTCTCGATCTTGTACCTACGTGAAAGTCGGTTCAGCTGCGCCAGCGCCTGTAGGCTGCCAGTCTTGACCCTTGCTCGGTTCCACATCGCCGATACAGGCGCTAACAACCGTTCATATCACCCAGAAAAGCTCCCTTGTAACATCGGGCCGCTAGTACCGTTGCTCGAGCAACGCCATAGTGGCAGCAACTAGTGGACCAGGGCTGCTAGGCAGCAGCGACGCTACTCATTTTACACCCGAGACGATAAAGGCAGAGCAATTTGCGCAAGGTTAATGTTGTAATTGTTATGATAGCGATAATTGAGAGTCGTGTCTAATGACATCGGTGCTAACGACACACCCGCTACACACCGACGTCGTAGTATGGTCACCGGAGAGCGCACATTCCAATGTGACGCCCTCAAATGAAACTGTTGGCTTAGTAGGCCATCAGAAATTTGCCTTCCTGCCTTCAAATGCGACGGGGTGGACGCCGGCAGTATCCTTGCGGAGGCCTGTCGAGCCGTCACCAGACCTTCGACAACAACTTCAGATTCTCGGGTGTCTGCCAGACCAACTTCTTCGGTTTCAACCACCCGTTCTCTGATTCCGAACGGCGGACGACGTAAACGTCGTCAAAGGTAGTAAGCAGGAAGCTTGAGCCATCCACACCGGCCTTGATGTCGCTGACCATATCGCGCAACTGAACTAGCACCTCATACTTTTTGCACTGATCCGGTAGCAAAATCTGCAGTATAACTTCGGTACAGAACGTTGAGGAATCCGCTAGAGACTGCTTCGAATCTACTAAGGGGGTCGTGTAGAAGTCGTGTGGCAGCTTCATCTTGCACAGCGATACGACGTAAGGTGACCCATCATGGCTGCAACCCGATATCAAATGGGTGATTGTGCCCTTCTTGGCACCGCGGCAGTGCACGTAGGTCGCAGACTTGTGCGGATGCAGCACATCGGGGGCCAACTTGAACACGAAACAACGCACGGCGCCGTCAGAGCAGCCGGCCACGACAGTCATGCTTGTAGAACTCGATGATCTTTGCCTGTAAGCCAAACATTTTACATCGGAACGCTCTCCAGTGCATCTGGAGATGCTGTACAAGTCAGTGGTGTCCACTTCGACACCACTGCCAGCCTCTCCGTCCATCTCCTCAACCTTCCCTATAACCGGCAGAAATACAACCGTAATACGGCCCTTGTTAAATCCAATAGTTACCCAGTAGCCCTTGCGATCTCGGAATGTGGCCAGGCACGTGTTAACTCGGAGGCACAAAGCGCGCATGCCCTCGTCGTGGTCAGGGTGGCACGACCCAGTCTCGGTGCCGGTTGCAAGGTCGTAAAAGGTCAATACACCGGTCGGCCCCAGCGACAACAGTGTGGACGTGCCAGGCAGATAGTCGACGTCTATGCACTCTCCTAATGATGGAGGAGTGACCTTTGCAACCGGGTGTACTCTAGCGTCCGGGTGTATGAAACCCTCCTGGGTCAAGGGGTCGGTAGAAATTTTAATCAGGTGTTCAACAGCCTTTTCGCTCGTGTCCCAAATGTAGATGTGCCTATACGCAATGTGTCGCGAAGTGACATCAATAAAGTCAAAAGACCATGTGCAGGCATGTAGACACTCATGAGGGGCACGCCGAAATGCAAAAGGAGTTCATGTAAGAAGACAAAGCTCTCCGGTGCATTAACTACTACTTCACACGTAAATCCACTGTATGATCTACTTAGTGGCCACTTAAATCGCTAGCAAGTGCTCCGGGGTGGATTCAATGCTATGAATTACCAAACACTTTCCATACGCTCAACGGAAGAACTCAGATGTCACGGCGACTACCCTCCTCAGAAGGCAAAACAACAACACATCGCATAAGGAACGCATATGACGCTGTTACAGTACAGATATGGTGCATTGGAATACGAAACGCCAAACAATTTAACCTACCCAGCTGAGGTGAAGCATACCAGCTTCTTGCAGGCGCCCAAAGCCAGCAATTTGCCCGCGCTGCCGCACATACGCGTTAGCAAGCCGACGAATCTCATGGTTTCACGTTTGAATACTGCGACACTGGAGTGCGGACCGTGGAATCCGAGGTATGCGAGCCGGTCGTCGACCGCGACGGCGGCCAGCTCACACACCGACCTGCCCTCGCGAAACATCATTGGGTAATCATAACTCTACCACGAAGTGCCATAAATACGACAATTACGATATCAACAGTGTCTGCCAATGCTGCGCAGAACCTCACACCGCTCTCGCGACGGAACCGAGACTGGAGTGCAACTGGGCCGTCTCATGAGCAACAGCACTACTTAGAAGCTGGAAGCAGCTCCAACGCGCGCTTGTACTTGCGAATGGTGGAGTCGTGAATGTCGGTTCCCAACCGACTATGTTTAGCTTCCATACGCTCAACGGCGGATCGCAGCCTCGAACGCAGCTGCTCAACGTCTGTCTCAGCAGCGGCTCCTTTGCTGCCTAGAGCGTTGAGGGTGTCGTTAATGGTGGCCTCGGCGCGCTCTCGGGATGCCTGAATGTCGCGTGAACGAATCAGCAGACGGCGACGCCGGCTGAGAATAGGCCTGCCCTTCTTGAACAAATGGCGGATATGGTCGCCCGTCTCCTTCACGTGGACCTTCAACACCCGGCCGTCGATAAAATAGTTGTTCATTGCCTCAGCCGTGATAGATGCGATTTCGGGGGTCTCGAATTTCACGTAGCAATAACCCCTGGAGTTGCCAGTCTGAAAACGTTGTTAACAGCTACATATGACGCAAATGTATACAACAATTTATACAACAGCCAGTCTAGTGAGCAAGATGCACGGTACGGTCGACGTATTACGGTAGACGGAAACCACGTCGACACAAAAAACGAAGGTACCTCCAAATCATAAGCAACGGTTTATTTAATACACAATTGACTTGTTACTAACCTTTTTGGACTTCATAAGCCGAATGCTAACAACAGTCCCGAATTGGTTGAAATACATCCGGATTTGCGATTCTGTCAACGTCTTAGGCAGATTGCCTACGTATATAACGCTGCTTTTCGTTGGTTCATCATCCCCCATTTTTATATGTGCTTAAAATACAATTGTTGCTCGTGGTAACCCGGCAGATATGTGCGGTACGAGCCTGTGGAAGGCCGGTGGTAGCGGGTGTATACAACCGGCAGATGAAAACAACCTCCATGTTTTGGAATTAGGTATATTAGCGCAACAATATAGTCTATATGGTATTCCGTTCGGTAATCGTTGTTTGAGATTTGTCCAAGTCGGTATAGAGCGTATCCCCTGAGCGAGCGAAGTCACACACTAGTCGACCACAAAAGGGTACATGACCTACACTGAACTCTTTATTGCATCTTTTTATGCATATCATACACGTGAAAATGCGTAGGTATGTGCCATACAAGCTCGCGTGAGAGTAGTTTGCGTATCATTGGCGAAGAAAGCTGACACACCTCCCTCTGAGATGTCGGTTATGCGCCTAAGGAATGCAGCGTATTATGGTTCATTAGCGTTCTATATACTGTCTATCGCATTCACCAGGATCGCTATTGTAATCGGGCTTCGGTTGAGTATTGTACTCCAATTCCAGCTTTTAGCACGGTCATGTTTCATGCTTAGTGGCCTGCCGTTTTCACGACAGGCGCATTAATTGTGCTTGTCGTTGTGGCGTGGTCGCTAAGGGTCTCTCTAATACGAGTGGAACTTGTTGGTAGTCCATGATTGAATTGCTGAATCCACTTATACTACGTCGCCGCGGGTACCATGAAACTACAATATTTAAGACATGTACAGATTGCCAACACGTAAATCTGTCATATATTCTGTTGGTGGGATTAATTAAAGAAAGAAGAAGGGGCACGCACCATCAATGAAGTGCTCATGAATCAATTAGTCCGTGTCTACACGTAAGGCAACCGACACTAATGGAAACAAGTACATTCCGCGCAATATCAGGCACGTAAACAGGCGCTAGCAATCCACCGTATTCATCATTGACAGCCCAGTCTCAGTTAGCAGTACCTGAGCCAACGGATGTTCCGTTGGACCCGTTGTGCTCTGGAGGGAGGATGCTTGGGTCTATATTCTTGCGGCAATGATTTAAGTCGGTCCAAATATGATTCGAAGTATTCGTCCCAATCTGGATCTCCGTCTTCTTCCGCTATCTCGGAATTATTGTAGGAATGAAGCCAGTCGTCATGCTGTTCGGGGATTGACCCACTCGCAGTCGAATTTAGATGCCGCAGTCCGTCACCACTGGACGATGCGGCGTTTTCACCCAACTCATTTTCATCGTCCAACAACCCATCTGTGTCGGGATTCCATGCTCCCAACGACCCTTGAATATACGATGTAGCAACCATCTCGTTTGCTGCCATCGAAGATGGGTGTTCGCCAATATCACGCTTAGTGGCCTGAATTGACGTTAATTGGTTGCTGCTTTTAATATCATGACTATCCTGAAAATTGGCTGGAGTGGCATCGACGCCGTTTCCTTCTTGGCGGGCATTTTTTGTGTTTTCCATCTCGAGATTTTGCAACATAGAAGAGCACATCTCATAAATACGCTGACACAAAAACATCCATCTGTTCAATATATGCATACGTATATGCGTTGGCGCTTGTGGAGAGCGAAATAAGGTATTTATTAACTCATACAGGCGAAATTCATGTCTTTGTGGTGGTACCTCTTTGTGAGTTATGCCTCGAAGATCTTGGACGTAATGGACGCACATTTCAACATGGTCAAATGTTACATGAGACGCTCCGTCTGCTTCATCAAGCTTATGTTGAAAATATTTCATAATCGTTTCTAGGTACGGTTTTAAAGGATGTCGACATTTACAGTGCTCCATGGCATCCCTTAAATAGTTTATATTGTCCTCCAAATAAGCAGAACTTAACACATACTTGTACTGATCCCAAGGCGGTCCTGGTGTTTGTGTTGCTTCGAACGTCGCTTCTTGGCCGTTTATGTATATCCGCACGTCCTCATTTAAAGAGAAAGCGGCGCGCTTTTCATTTGTAGGCGCGGCAGCGGCGCTCAATAACATTAGAAACACTAACAGCCGCACACTAAGCGTGAGACAGCCACTGTAAGTGTGAAACGCCATTATTGCGCCCGTATTAAGTTAAGCTTTGTAAATTCCCCTCACAATGAACCAGAATTGTCGGAAGATGGCGGGATGAATCGTTTAGTATTAAGTAATATTTTAGCGCATTAGACATTAGCATAATACAAGGTGGTTAATGTCAGCACTACCGTACGCCCCATTAGCAACCAGGAAATGTGGTGCTACACAATCACATGACAAAAGTACGATGGAGAGGCTTCAGCCAATGTTTCAGCATCACAGCAATGATGCGTTGTGGCTGATTTTTTCGTACGTACTCAACTGTTGTACGTAGCAGGGGTCAACTTTTGTTATCACGGGTGTATGATTAACTCATATGGACACACAGCTTCGGTAACGCTACGAGAGTTAAGTGAGGGTTTGAGAGACTATTGGAGTGGAGGCGTGGAGATTTCAGGAATACATTGATGGACATTCTAACACGATTGTTGCAGCATCCCGAAGTTGAAACATTCTACGATGACAGAAGCCACTACATTCACGTCAAATATTTACTGCGATATTAAAACTATATGTTCCATAAATGAAGCTACATTAGGCCCTTGAACGGGAAGGCGGAGTATTCATCAGCGTCCATCTCCTCGTGAGTCCTTCCACCGGCAAGATTCGTGGATGTGCCGGAACCTTTAAACGAGTTAACAAATGCAGCACGTAGCCAATAGAACACCTTGCGGAATGGACCAGGATACAGGTTCCAGGCAATGAAGATGCCTATTAGAATCCCAACGACGGGAATGGCAATGGCGCCAAAGCGGTAACATACATGTTTCGCACATAATTTGCTGCAGTCTTTGCAGTAAGCGATGCAATTACCGTTGGCATCGCGGAATTTGGCAAAGGCGCGACAACTTTTTTCGCATTGGCCAGGATGTGAACTGGTTTTATTCTCGCCGTGGTATGGGTAGTGTCCCTTGCATTCTTCTTTGCTTGGGCCATCGCACTTGCCGATGACGTAGCCACCGCACTTGCCAGTACAACTGTTACGCTTACACCAAGGACAGCAGTTACAAAGTCCGTACCCGCATCCACAGTTACAGTTAGCACATATACACATAGCACCCAGTTTTTGATCTTTACATTTGATCTCACAGCGCGGACATTTTTTATTTTTACCCTGACACTCGTTATCGTCGCCGTCTTTGCCGTAACAATTCTCCGCGCAAGCACAGCGAACTAGGCGACATTTGCACTGCTTGCCGCCACCACTTTCTGCGCAGTTCTTCTTGCAGTTTTCACATCCGGGTTCACAGCACGGATTGGAGCCCTTGTGATCGGGCTTAGTGCAGTCCCGACCATCGTCATAGTGACATGTTATTTTCTCACACCCACAGTTGTTCTTTCCCTCCACCCCTGTCATCCTTGTTCCTGGATTCATTCACATACCCATCCACAGCGATGAACATCCTGGTGCAAACGGCAGAACGCAGCCTCCAGCAGCACAGGTGACATGAGGTCATTAAAGCGACCAGCTCTGCGTAACTGTGGACGGCGTACCTTGAGTCTCTCCCATGTTTCAACACAGCAACTTACACAGTTTATGTGCACACATGCCAATCTCGGTCCATCCAGTGAGCGGGCAAGCGTTGTCGAAGATCATGCCACCGGACACCATGAGCATCGCCGCTACATACATCACGAGTAAACATACTCACATAATGACGGTAACGTCACACAAAACTATACGTGATATAAGCAAACGACAAAATCTCATTCATCTCAGGTCACGCCACCTCAGCACTGCCCTTACTGCGGCACTACCGTGGTAGCATGCAACCGCATGTGACAACGTATCCAATTGTATCAAAAACTAAATGCATTAAACATCCACATCGCATCTGCATATACGTAGCCAACGTAGGTCGATATTGCCAGCTTCTGCCAGTCCAATGTTTTGTATCATTCTAAACATTGTACGAAATGATACGCAACGTCCGTAGGTGTCAACGCAACATCTGCGCCTAATGATATGTTTATAACGTTACTGCTTACCATACACGATGGTATAACCTCTAAGTGTCTATTAATTGTCTACTCAACCGGTGCTGGTCTAAGGTACATAGCGGTTTATCCACCTCCTCACTTGACTGTCTGTTGCAGCGTGACACCGCCCTACTGGCGCATCTCCTTATCCTTTATCTTTGTTTTTGCTTTGTTTAGTGTGATATGTGGCCACGTTTGGCATTGGCCGGCTTTCACGTTTACCGGGTTAGAGCCTCACGCTGTTGGTATAGGACACGGGATCCACGTCATGTCACCGAACGTTACCGGACATAACTTTTATGGACCCCCGCAACGCCATCTAGAGCATCTACCATGCACAAATAGAAAACTATTCATAAGGCCCACAAACACACAGCCCACATCAGTGCATACCACCCAACTTTTCGTTCGTTTGGGGTGGAATAATTTCAGATTAGGAAAATAAGCAAACAAAAGGATTGAAACGCTTAGTCACTAGGTCTAAGGGTTAACATGCTTTGCAATCAATAGGCGTTCTACATTTCTGTAGACGGCTCACCACCGAACTACTGCACTGCTGCACGTACCGCTTGTCAACATGAGGGGTGAAGGAATGTAAAGCGTGACTTATAAACTGCGGGTCCCACAAAATGTCCGTTGGGTATACGGACATTGAAGGGTGAAGCTGAAAAGAAATCCGCCAACCGGCGTCCTGAATACCATTCAAGAGGCGTTGACAGCGATGCCACTTCCCGTCTGACGATACTAGTGTAGTGGGTGAAGACTGTATCCACAACACTGGCTATCATCACATTTCAAGATTAGAAACGCCTCATGAGTATTTCTATGATGTCCAATCACTGGGGACTCTGGGTCCTATTCTTCTTTTGTCGGGCTTTTTTTGCAACTTTTTTCGCAGCCTTTTTAGCAGCCTTTACAGACTTCGCAGCTTTGACCACTTTTACAGGTGCTTCAGCTTTCACATGTTCTTCAACTACTGCAGATTGTCCCTCTTGAACAGGTTCCACGGGTTCTATAGCTTCTGCAGGTTGTTCCGCTTCCACAGGTTCTGCGGGGTGCTCCACGGGTTCCACAGGTTTTACGGATTGTTCCTCCTTAGTTGGTTTTACAGCTTTTACAGCTCCCGATTTATTCTTTCCATAGAAAGCCCAGAATCCAGCGAGGTCGTAGATTATGTTCAATATTTCTCTATTCACACCTCTCAAAGCCCAGGTGACACCTGATGTACTCATGTCAGCGCGGCACTCCGGCTCTTTGCAACCCACGGCTTCTAATACCTCTCCCAAACTACTACTCTTATTAGTAAGCCGCGCATATGTCAAGGCTTCTTCATTGCACGCAACCCTCAAGGAACTTAAGCCGGTGTATAACATTGGCGCAATTCCCACAAGGACCACTGCGCAAGCTTCCGGGTCCTTCGCGCACGATGCGTCCCACGTCGCTCCTGAACTGTAAGCAGAATTATAATGGTCAGAGATTTTCATCTTTTCCAGGAACTTCTCACAACCATCCACAACTTTGCCTAAGTTCTTTGCGATAGCTTCTGGCTTCACACCTCTGGTCTGTACGACGTTCTGATAATCGCTTTTAGGTACAAGGCTAAAGGCCTTAGCGATCACGCCGGGGTTTTCATCCAGAGGCTTACTGAATCTCTCCAGTAGTAATTTCACAAATGGCTGCACCCTGAGCGCCGGTTTCTCCATGAACTCTTTAGAAATCAGTTTAAAGTTCTCGATAGCTGGCACATCTGTGAAGCCAACGGGCTTGTCTACGAGAAACTTGTGAATTGCATCGCCTATGGCCGCCAAGTTTTTGGCAGCATCTGTCCCCTTCAGCGCTATCAACCAATCTATGCCCTCCTTGAGGTTGTGAGGAGCCTCAGTCAGCGAATTGTACACCATTTTGTTAAGATGAGTTATGTTAGATGGATGTAATTTTGTGGATTTTGTGTTTATACAAGCGGATCTGCAAAAGGCCGTGTTGTAATCTAGTGTATACGAAACACAGGTGCTGTTGTCTGCAAGTACGCACGCGCCTTATTGAAATATGAAAGCCAGCAGATAGACCAAAAGGAGATTCCCAAAGGCGCAGCGGCAACCGAGATGCCGCATCGCAGCCAGATCAATACCGTCGAAGTAGCATGCAGTGTGCACAACGCATGTCATTGTCGCATACATTTTTCGGACGGAAACAGAATATACTGCACCACGAGATGCCAGGATGATTTCCTGTGGCGCATCAACGCTAATAATGTTATAATAGGTTACGTGTAGTATAGGACAGTATATGCAGCACCGTGGTTGTGACGTCTATGTCCCTCCGTAACTCCCACAAGCACACCTCAGCATAACTTGTAGCCACCAATTCAATCGCTAACATGCCTTTCGCTCATCCAGCAGGTAGCCCACCGCTTCATCTAGCATGGAGGTCTTCGGCTGCCCACGTTGACGGCCGGCGTCCCCGCTTCACATTAGCTTGTAGCAGAGGGTGATGTGGGCACGTCCCAACAGTAACCCGCAACTTAGAACCTCAAACAACTAACAACTTGATGCGTCGGGTATATTGGGTTGTGTTTTTTGCGGTGTGACGGACCAGACTGGTAAGTCCGAGCAGGCCGTCGAGCGGGATGTCACAGCAGCGCTTAAGGCTGTTGTGAACATGGACGGAGATCTCAAGAGGGATTTGAAGAGTGTGAAAGATAAGATTAAGGATGGGATTAAAGAGGTGATTAGGAAGTTGGGTGTTGAGACTTTGGATCAGAAAGTGAAGACGGATTTGGGGAATTTGAAGAGGAAGATTGAGGGGCTTAGAGATGAAGTTACTGGTAGTGAGATCGGTAATAGTAAAATTGTTAGTAAGCAGTTGGAAGAGCTTAAAAGGCATAAGGGAACGCTTGATAATACTACCAGTTCAAGCGGTTCAATTCATAAGGCTATGAGTGAGCTTGACCAGAAGTTTCAGGCTGTGATCCAACAGCCGCTTAGCCGTGCGGTCACTGCAGTTGACTCGGCGATTGGGGAGCTTGGCGGGAAGTTTAGTCTAAGCGTGGACAAACAGAATGTTCAAGGCATTTTCGGGTATATTAAAGAAAAGGTAGGGGAGATTAAGGGGACACCGGGGCAAAATGGTAGAGGCGGAAAAGGTGTAGATGGAATCGTCGCCAGGTTTAAGGCGTACGTCACGGGTGTTGGGGAAAATATGAAAAAAGAAACTGGGACAGATGGGACAGTGCACAGTTGGCTTGACAAGATTCTGACGCACAATGGCGTGGTAGTCTATAGACTTGGAAAATATTTCGGGGAAAATAAAGGTGGTCAGCTTAATACTTATTATACTAAGCCGGCGCAATTGCATGCCCCGATTAGGGACCAGACTAAGGCAAAGCTTAAGGAAGCCGGTGTTTATGACGAAGCTAAGGGACAGCATGAAATCAAAAATAATGGCCCCCTTACCGATAGGCTGGCTTCACTTAAGGAATTCCTGGAGAAATACGCCAGCGTGCTTGATGGCAAAATTAATGTTGATAACAATACTTTTGTCACTGACTTAGTGTCGAAGATTGAAGGAGCAGTTAAGAATGGAAATCACCACTCCGATTACAAGCAGGAAAATCTCACATCCACAGTCGAAGCAACGCTAGCTGCACTCACCGCCGACGCCAGACGGACTGCCGGGGAGATCAATTCGCTACTGCTCAACGTCGACAGGAGCGGACAACCCACTGATGGCAGCGTTGCAAAATTTTTGGACAAAACAAAGGAAATAACCGATGACCTTGACAGTAAGCTTACCCAGGCGACTAGCCCTCCCAAACCCGACCCCGCCGGCACCTCCACTGAAAGCCCCGCCCAAGCCGTGGACAGCAGGTTGAAGGAAGTGAGGGATATGGTTAATACAAAGATTGAAGGGACATTTACGACCGAAGTCACAAAAGATCTTGCCGCTGCAGTAAGCGAACTTCCCACCGCCGTTGACAATTTCAACCAACAAGCTCAGGAACAGATCAGGGCTGCGGCCACGACGGCGATTGAGAAGGCGGCGGGGCAGATTAGTGAGAAGGGTCAAGAGATAAAGCTTGATGAAAATGGTTTAATGTCCACTTTCGAAACAGCCCACGGGAAGATCAGAAAGGATCTCGACAGCGAACTTAAGAAGCAAGTTGATAAGCACATTGGGCAGGATGACAATACAGGTGGTCAAGCGGATAAAGTTAGCATTACTAAAGATCAGTTTGGCAGTTATTATAAGCACGTTGTGCAACCTGTCAATGGCACTTTAACCGGCAAGTATTCCGAAGGCAAGCTTCCAGAGGCGATAGGGAAGATTGAAAGTGAGGGACTGGAAGCGCTTGAAGATAAGATCGGTATAAAAGCCAGTGGAAAGGCAGAAATTACCGATGCAACCTTCACCGGTCCGTTCAAAGCAATTGAGGATGGGCTTGGAGATATCGGGAAAATGGTTGATAGTGAGGGCACATATTTTATGGACGATACTAACAGAGGAATCACACAGTTTTTGGATGATTTAAGGAGCATGATTGGAAACGGTACAACATCTATGTTCTTCACGAATACCCTCGAAAAAATCAGACCGGCGATTGAAAAACTGCATAACAAGCAGTTTACTAGCGGACCCAAAGAAATTGACCAAGCCGTCACCGCAATTAAGGGGCAGCTTAAAGAGCTTAAAGAGAAGTTGAAGAATAAACTCAAGCCGGGAGATGACGTGATCAACGCCTTGACAATTTTGCAACGCCATGGTCTCAGTTCTACTACGTGGCAGAATGGTAAGCATTTTTGGCCAACGAACGGCAATAATGGTGTCACAGTCGACGGCCTCGGGAAAATCGAAGAGGACCTTAAAGCGCAGAATGATCAATTGGCCAAGCAGAACAGCAAAATTGGGGAGGCCATATGGGAAATAAAAAAGGCGCTTGCATGTCTCGGATTTAAGATACAAGGTTTATACACTACCGATGACGTAATAGACCAATTAGTATGGTTGGGTAAGTTGATTGGCAAAGGTACGGATAAAGCTAAAAATAATCTGCAAGGAATATACGTGAAAATAAAGCAATTGCAAGAAGGGGAATTTACTCAGAAACCACAAGCCATCGAACAGGCCAATGAGGAAATTAAAGCAGAACTCACTACCCTCCAAAATGAGTTGCAAGGCAGCCAAGGCAACGATGTCATAAAGACACTGGAAGATTTGCAGAGCACGGGGCTTGGCGGCGGTGACTGGAAAAAAGATGATAATGAAAAAGGCCTCGCAAAAATTAATAGTGAACTTCAAGGTCAACAAAATACGCTGGGACAACAACCCGGTGAAATTCAGACTGGCGTCTCCCAAATCACCACGGAGTTTCAAAGGCTTCAGAAGCAGTTGACTGAAGAGGTCACCGAAAAGCTCAAGAAGCTGAGAGAAAGTGGCCTTGGCAGTGGACAAACTTGGGATATTGACGATAACTCTGCAAAAGGTCTCACTAAAATCACCGCAGACATCGCGACCATAAAAACCAAGGACGTTGAGGACTTGAAAGACAAACTCAAGGAGCTGTGCACAGCTATACGGACGGAAGCAAACGAGTTAAGCAGGGACTTAAAGCGTCTGAAAGGTGACGGCCTTACTGAGATGAAGAAAATTTACAGTGACCTTTACGATTTGTACTTCGGCCCGCTGAACGATGTCATCCAATCACTCAAGGCCTTCGATAAATATGCCGTCTTGGCAGCTTCCTTGATCTGCTTCTGAGCTTCTTGGTCGAAAGTGTCAACTGCCTGATGAAGTGAAGTAACTGCAGTCTTAAGCTGACTTGTTACATCTGTATTAAATTTGACGGTAATATTATTATTACCACTTCCACTCATAAATTCCCTCACATCATTCAGCCTACTGTCCACGGCTTGGGCGGGGCTGATATTTGGTTCGGTGGTGCCGGAAGATGTGACTTTTTGAGTCGCCTGTTCAAGCTGACCGTGAAGCTCCGTAGTTGTTTTGTGTACTTCGTCCAAAAGCGTGCCAAACCTGTCGATGCCTAATGACTGGACTTCTGTGGCAACTTGCTTGACAGAAGCGCAGAGCGCAACGAGGGCAGATTTCACGGCGGTAGTGAGATCAGAGTTGGTGGATGTAGTTTTACCCTCGATCTTCCCGGCTATCGTCGTGGCAAATTTGCCAATTTTATTATTCGCAAGCTCTTTATCAAGCTTGTCGACAAATTCCTCGCAAGCCTGCTTGATAGCGGCAAGATTTTCTGTGATTTTGTTTTTCTCAATATCATTTTTTAGCCCATTGAACGTCCCCTGAGCTGCACCAATTTGGGATGTAAGCTGTGCCATAACCTGTTTCTTAACTGTTTCTCTTATATCGTCACCATTCCTTCCAATCCTGCCAATATACGTCCCAAGCCAAGAGTTCACAGCTTGCAGCCCCGGCTTATCCTTTTTATTCCCTATGACACCTTCCAGCCACCCATCTACTCTGGCATTGAAACCATTTTGCCCGTTTCCCGGAACAAACGCCCTAGCAAGCCCCCCTATCTTCTGGTTAATTCCGTCTAGACCTTTGCCACCATCGCCATTGGTTTTCCCCGGCGCCCCCTTAATTGCCGCAACCTTTCTATGAATCTCTTCAAGAATCTTTTGAAGACTCTTTCTTTCCTCATCTTTTGTTAGACCAGTAAACTTCCCGCCAAGAGTCCCAATCGCCTTGTCAACTGCACCGACCGCCTGGGTAAGAGGACTTTGGATATATGTATCGAAATTACTCTGAAGCTTGCCAGTCTCCTAATCAATTTCACCAGTATCCTTAGCAGTTAGTTTATCCAGCTTGCTTTTCTCCGATGCGAGCGCCGCTAACTGACCTTGAGCAAGTTTTTCGCCACCATCTGTGGCAAGCCCCTCAATCTTCCTCTTCAACTCCCCCAAATCCTGTCTCACATTCTTATCTAAATCATTAACTCCCAACGTACGAATCACACTCCCTATCCCTCCCTTAATCTTATCTTTCACACTCTTCAAATCCCTCTTAAGGGATTTGTCCATGTTCACAACAGCCTGCAACGCCTCTTTAACCTGAGACTCAACAGCCTTTTTAGCCGCAGTTGCAGCCTGGAAAATCTTTTTTCCCTGCCATTTTAATATCCCAGCTTGCGTAAAATCGTCTCATTTTTCTGACCATCCATGGTTTTAACTTCCCATAAAATTGCCTTATACTTCCGATGCGCCGTCTGAATAACTTCCCCGGCCGCGGTGTTCCACCTCTGGAAGTTGGTAATTTCATTTTTAAGGCTTTCATTCGCATCGTTAGTGCTATGTATCGTCGCTTTCAGTATGTCCTCGTCCTTGAAGAGGGTCTTAAAGCCACAGCCACAGAGCAGGCCGCGGCATGATGACGGAAGTGAGGACTGTGGTGTAACACGTGCCCAGGACGCCATGGATGAAATTGCATTGCGCTATGATCAGTTGGTATAAAAATGGCGTTCCTGCCGATTAGTGAGTTATTTGTGCGAGTATTTGGCGAAGTTAGTGGGACGCCAGTGTGACTGCCACACATAGCCGACATACGCCTCACGATGAAACACATCACGACACGAGGAATGTAATGCAACTACATTATTACTATCAGGTGTCAAGTAGCTAATCAAGATGGTCGTCGAACTAGTCGACGCCGTGGTAGAGGGAGAGCATTTTCTTGGTCGGCGCGAACAGCGCCTTGACGTCGTTGGAGTCGGAGGCCTTGGACGTTAGCAGACGAGAGCCCATGTGCAATACGCCCATGCAGCACAGCAGCTTGCGGGCGAGGAGTAGCATTGCGATAGAGTCGAACGTTAAGACGAGAGTGATGAAGGGCTTCCGGACTCTGGAGAAACTCATCCATACAGCCCATAAGCCTTGCGATAGGTACACCTCAGATCACTTCTTCCAAATTGGATCCTACATCCGAGCATTTGACCAGTGATGTCGACATGCCCTCCGGTGGCGTGAACCCGTAAGTGTAGAGGAGGGGCAGGGCCTTGTCACACTGGTGGAGGGACTTGGGCTTGGAGTCGTGACATTGAAGGTTGTCGAGATCATCTTGCAGCCTGAGCAGTGACTCCCACAGTCTGTCTGGCAGGTACAACGCCCAGCTGAGGTACTGGTGGACGAAGCTGGAAGAGTAAAGGGCGTAGGCCTGGTAGGCGACGGGCGTGAAGCGCTGTGGGCACTGCATATTATCGATGCCGCAGCCAAGCAATGTGGACAGGGTGTTGGGATGCTCATTGTCGTGGATGGAGTTGGGAGGGGCGGAGCCCCGTGCGTCTTCGATGGCTCGTAAATCGGCGGTCCCACCTGGGGCAGTGGCCATTTGACTTGGAGAGGGCGGAGCCCAGTGAGGACAACTGTGAAGGCGCATTGTGCAGTGAATTCCCGAAACTGTGGAAGAAAGAGACAAGCTCCCCGGTGGTACGCGGCGTCCGCCTGGTAAGGCAATTGAGGTAAGAGGACAGCGTCAGCAGGGGGTCTTCGCCGCCGCATTGGGGAGAGAGGATGGTGTGGAGATGCTTGCCGTTTTGTGATTTCTCAGGCAAATAATCCTCTCTGAATCCCATGCTGACACGGCTCTTGAGGTAGATGTTGCACGGGTGGAAGGGATGCGTCTTGAATGCGGAGTCCTGTCTATCAATCAGGAAAGCCTGCAGGGGGGAAGGCGTCTTGATGTCACGGCCGTACGGACAATCTTTCCAACCGCCGTCCTTGGTGTTCCGATTACACTGCGACTTCAGGAATGCCAACTGGTGGTGGCAGGCGGGATCGGTGGAATAATAATTGCGATATTTCCAGCTGAAGTTAAAATCTTTGAAGCCATTGTAGTCATCATGATGTCTGACCCTGAAGAGGACGATGGCAGCGTAGTGGCACGCCTCGGTCAGGGTCTTGGAGAGCAGGGAAGCATCTTGGGCGCATGGCTTCCAGGTGACCTCGAGGGTATATTCAGGCGGGGAGGGATTGTTTGCATCCTGGTTAATACCCTCGAATGCACCCTTACAAAACAGTTAACTGCGCCAAGTAAACATTCTAGAGGGTAAAACGCTTAGCGACAACGAAGTGCATCATGGTACTAAGAAGCAACATGCCCAAGCGTCCACGCAAAACATATGAAGGCACACGAAAACCATAGAAGCATGCCACTCACCTGATTGGCGAAGGATGGTGACAAGCCGAGGAATCCGGAAAGACCGTAGCAGGCCGGTAGGGTGACTGGAACAGGGTAAGCAGTCGGTCACCAGATAAGGATTCTGAGTGGGAGACGGGGCAACTCCACATGCAGTGCATTGTGACGCCGCCACGCCGTCTCCCCTCATAATCCCGTGACCATACAGTCTGCCAATACACCGTCCACCGCCAGGGATACTACAGCCGCGCGTCTTGCACCACAGAGATACCATGCCCGGCGGTGTCATCTACGTATTGTTAACCATACCCCACATTCAGCTGGGAAGATGTCTTCGACGTCCTAGAGTTACACACCGATATATGCGACATATTGTCAAGGGTGCATCTCTCTTGAGCCTGATATGTGTGTGACGATGCTGCCTGGCGTGTGCTTAATGCTGCCCTCCCACCTGGCGGGGGTATTAGGCAATACACACAACGGCACTGCGTTTTATTTGAATAAGGACAAATCATGAATTAACATGTATAGTCACCCCCTGTGAAACACATCTCCTTTGTATTCATGATATAAGCGGAGATCTACTTTATCCGATGCAAGGCCTCGCACATCAACCCTGCTGTTGTCGGACCCCTCGTTGAGCTGATGGTTGTCGAACTTTGTTGATGCACTTCTGGCGATGTTTGATGTCCAGTTCATTTATCATCTCCCCAGCGATAAACACCGAAGTGGAGCATTCCCCCTTTCCCTCATTCATCCCATAGAGGTGTAAGCCATGTGGATGAGCCTAATGAGACGTTGAAAATTGAACATCGCAAATGTAGATGGCCCCCTGTATCATATAACATGTGATATGATGCTTTGTGAAGATAAAGTGAGCAAACGAAGTCATCCCTGTGTGTGTTCGCACCTATCACCTAACATATTCCGACACCGGTACGGTGGTTGCTCATCCACATTAGTATTTGGTGATGCAAGAAGAGGCACTACAAAGGATACGTTGATGCGTGTTAAGCGCGTTGGCAGCCTTTCAAATTGTGAGCATACATGACGGTGGCCGTTTTATGCCTTTTCCGCTGCACCATCACAAAATGTTCAGCAGAACGATGATTAGACGGAATTCCACGCCACACCATTAATTTGGATCATTGCCACCTACACAAGTTATACACAACTATTATAGCACTGGACAAAGCTGCTGGGATTTGCCACCGCAATCATGACGTTGCAGCCGAAAGTCATGCTAACACGGTGGATACACCACTTATCATGAACAGTGAAAACAATTTGCGTCATTGACCAGTTAATTATCACATCTGCGCCACTCATCACTCGGAGTAGTAGTTCTCTATCTGTATGGCGGAGAGAACTATACCCTTGACGGTGACGCAGCGGCATTGCAATGGCGGCGTCTGGTGCAGCGTTTCCTCGGGTCCTACAAGAGAACTATCGAAGCTCACGATGACAAAGTGGTTGGACCGAGAGGACACCAATGACTTGCTGAGATCGCGCGTGTTCTTGACGGTACCTTCAACCGCGACCTGGCTGAAGCAGTTGGGTGGGTCCAGGAGGTACGGTGCTGGGCAGTAGAACGCCGCTTCTTTGGCAGCATGAAGGTCTATCTTACAGCCGAACTGAGGTTGCCCGTCAGCGTCGTAGAGTTGGGGCGTCTCCGGCTTGAACAACTCAGTGGATGCGTACGTAACGCCGCAGCCTTGCATGTAAGGGTCAGTGGTCTCGACGTTAACTTGAACTAGGTCCCACGTGTATCCCATTGACAATTCCATGACGTTGGGGCTGGGTTGTGCAGAGGTGGTTGAGGCGGATGCGTTGTCAGTGATGACGGACAGATCCGATTGGTCGGGGACCTTACCGCACAAAAACGTAATCGGCAGGAGGTGCTTGTGAGCTGGATCCTTAGATATTAATATGGCACCTCTACGAGATTCTATTATCAAATGTTTGTATTCTGCTAAGTACATGTTGTTCACAACTCGAAAACCATGCGGCGTACTAATAATGGCATCTTTGTGTGATCTCCTAATAAGATTAGGCCCGTCTGATGTATGGATTAAAGTATAATGGAATTCACTGGGCTGCTTTGGAAGCCATGTCGTTCGTATTACTCCACCACCTGTAACGTTCTGAACGTCGGGATCAAGGGCACAAGTCATTGACAGCGTCGTGCCCACATACAATGTAACTGAATTTTGATATACGTTGTGGAGGAAAATCGATCTCGGTAATGTGGGCCATTCACCTAATACTCCGATCTCATACCCCGGCAACACTACGTCGGGACATGGCGTGTGGGACACCTCTTGACGACACACTGTGTACAAACGAGTTTCTTCACCGTACGACTCTAGAACGAGCTTCGACTTTTCATATCCACGTTTGTCTACGCAAATACAAGAATAGGCAATAGGGGCACCGTATCTAAATTCGAAATCGAATATCTGGAATCCTGGAATGGCTTGGGACGTACTACTTCGCACAGAGTCAGGAAATGGTTTAATATGGTCGTCGTAGAGATCGTATCCTGCTGAGTCACAATTAGCCGGTAACAGCTCTTCATCCGATCCGCAGTGGATACCAGCCTGCCAATCGTCCATTGTAACATAGAACGCGCATTCGTATACATCCCCTATACCATTCCCCATGGACACAACCGAACAATACCGCCTGCTCATTTCTGGATAAAAGAGACTTTGTGCCCCTCGGTCACAACCAACGATGTAGTACTGGTGCGTAAAAGCGAAGGCAACGTTGACAACGGCAAGAATCTCATCAAACGCATAATTGTTAATGGCTTTCAATGTCCAATGATAAAAGAACGAGTTGTATCCTCTTCGCAATGCGAGAGGTTTGTTCGCATTGTACCTCAGCTTCGCCTCTCCTCGGGATATTTGGGTAACATCCCATTCTAGCGCATCACCAGCAATGGTATCATGGTACATTACTTCGCCGTAGACATCATCATAAATTCGCGTTACCTGTCTCAGCATCATCACATTCTTGGGCCGAAATTCAGTGTCGAACAAATAGCTAGGAGGATTCGCCAGGGCTGGACTACGGGGGTCATCCTGGTCTAGATACTCTGAATCGACACCCACCACTGGGAACCTTATGGTCAAGGTGGTGCCTGGATGAAGAACCACCGAACACCAATGGTCATGTATAGGGCGCACGCGATTGCGAAATATCATGCTGGTAATGTCACAGACATACTCACTTTTCGAACGGATCTCTATCTTCGCCTTCACCTGGCCTGTTTCGGAATCCATGCACCTGCACTCGCCATGGAAGGGCCGTAGTGCGAAGTCATTAAAATATTTCGCTATCACCCAAGGCCGATGGTCAACAAAACTCCAATACGGGTGTGATTCGGGGGCAGCCACAACTTCTCCACTCTCGTCAATGAGGGACCTCATACAATCCTCAGGTTCAAGGCGGCCTTCGCAAACAAATCCGATGGGTGATTCCGACATGGGATCTGCCACACACGAACGAGTGCCTGTGATGGGGTCCACAGTTACTTCATTATTGGGAGAGAACAGTGGTGATGGCCGGCTCCCACAGCCTTGAAGTGGCAAATGCAGTCGCCCTCTGTACAAGAAAAATACACCCAAGCCAGTCCCCATTTTCGCAATTTCGCGGGTCAATGCTGTGGGCGAAGTCCAAGGAAACGATTGCATTTGAATGCCACCCTTGAGTCGGTCCAGGTGGCGCTGCAATATATCAGACACAAACAAATCTGTGGGTCCGCATATGAATACCAAACGGTTCTCAGTGATGGCGTATATGTCATCCGTTGAAAACTCCAGATGCAGTTCCGTTCTTGACTGATTGGACTCGAACCAGATGAACGGGTTACCGGATTCAGTACGCACGACGTCCGAAATATCAACGGAACTAAGCTTCCCATTATCACTCACATACGTGTTGATATGCTCATGAAGATCCGACTTTGGTTGTGGATGCCATACGTACTCGGTGTCGCTGACTAGGCGAGGGCATATCACGGTTGCGGAGCCCAGCAAGCCTATATCCATATTGCAGCGCACCAGGGCATTACCGCTGTGCAAGCCATGTGGACCTCCGAAATCGCAATGCAGTGCGTCGACACTTATAGTCCAACACAGCCATACGGCGCAAATGGCCAACCGGATTATAACTCCAAATTCGGCCATGATTGTGCGTTAGACATTCTAAGATCGACGGGCGTTACTCTAAATACGGAACCTTCTCAACCAGAAGACGACACCTGAACGTATGATATCACATGGGAACGCTCAACGTGTTACTGCTTGTCAAAGGAACGACAGCGCTATGTCCATGGCCGCAACTAGACAGCGACATAGCGGAGAAATTCCCGTCACAGCCGCCAAAGCCGCAATCTATGAAACCAATGGACACACTAGGGCATATATTATTTTATAAAATGTGTACGTAAATTTAGGTTATGATTTTGGGCGTTTAAGTGAGCCACCCTCTCCCTCTATTTGGCTAGTGTGTGGTAAGCGGCAGCCGACGCCTCACCTGCCTTTGTACGGGGCCAACTCACTTATAAGAACAGCATATTTATGCTAGATGCAAGAGTCATGCTCGACCGACTTGTAATCTCTCGCCACGCTGCTAATCCTCACATAGATTGCCAACATCGACGTAGTCATTTGATTAAACAATCTGTATATATCTTTTAACCACCATCTAGCTTCCTTCATTTATATTCAACCACAATAAACACGTGAATTTGACGGTGAAGGTATGGTTACATAATTGCATTCGAACGTATGCAAACACTAATCATTTATAAATGCATCGCGATACAGTCTGATCTACCTTTTGTGACTGTACAAAATTGTGAATGTCTTCGGGCTTTTAATTAGCATTGCTTCGCGGCGGAATATATTTCTGGAACCATTAGACGCATTTGTGACACGTTGCAGCGCGGGTCTCTAGCGTTACTCCGATTTAGCGCAGAAGGCGTCAATGAGAATAATACTGGTCATGCCAATCCCAGCCACTGTATTATGATGTTCCACAAATAGTTTTGAATAGCTATATGCAGTACATTGAATGCGATTAATTTTTTTTGTTCCATTCGTCGTACTCTCGCATTAGCCTGAGAGACTCACGTTTGGTCATCGGATCGTCGTCAGGCATTTCCATGCAGGTTTCCAGTTCTGGATCCACTTCTGGTGGTTGTATTTTCGACATGTCGAATTCCAGATCGTACTTGGGGAAGTGGTGCCAGTTGTACATCCAACCATGAACTTGTTCAACCGGAAATATCCGTGGCGGGCATACTTCGCCCTGGCCGATGCTCAGTTGGAAAATTTTCTTCATGTCTGGCGGCGGTGGAATATGTGTTAGCTTGGCCCTGATTTGAAGGGTGGCGTCACTCATATTGCACTGCACGTTTCGCAGATCGATGTACGAAAACGGTCTATAAGCACGTTGTATTCTGTCCGGTATAGCGTCTCCTGTCGGCCGCGACTTCTTGACTGTGTTGGGATGATTGGTGTCTCTCTTCCGTCCAAACGTATTGAATTCGAACTGTTTCACCACTGTGTTTTTCGGTGCATTAATGATGATCATCGGCGGCCGATCCTTGGCCTTCGAGTAAAACGCATAGTGGTTCATATCATCATTGTTCTCCACAACCCGGTTGAATAGGTCATTATATGTGCTGTTGTATGACCTTTCGTGTTGTTCGAAGCCCCTCGGCACAGCTTCGATGGACTCGTAGTATTTGTGCGCCGTTTCCGTGAGATGGAGTTGGTGGAGGTTTTCCCTCGCGTAACGTGTTGGTACATATCCATTTGACGAATCGTAATCTATAGCAACAAATACGTCATCTTTGTCAACGCCTGGCAGCCACGTGGACAGCACCAGATACGGTTCACCTTCCCTGAGCAACATACCAGTAGTGTTGTAAGGTGGCGGGAATATGAAACGCTTGTACGGTTCGCCAGCCGTTTCGTCAGTTTTCTTGCTAAGCTTTTCTTTCTTAGGTTTCTTCAGCTTCTTTGGCGCCTTGGCATTTACTGCATTTATTTGTTCCCGCTCCCACTCGTCACCCGTCTGTGTCCTGCCGTCTTGGGAGTAAAGACACTCGTATGCCACGACGGTGCGGCCATAGAGGCCTACATCTTCCGGTACGCATACACCAGTTCTCGAGATTGCCTTAATGGGCTGCAGCCTGTTGCTCGAATTTCTCAACCTGGTCTTGAATGATTCCAAGTGCCCACCCGAAGGGCCGACGAATGCCGTAATGCGTGCATTTCGACCTCCAGCCAGGTTTCTACGTGCGAGCCACGTTGATGAACCATACCAGGAAGAGCCTGCAAGTCCATGTTCCCTTTGTGGGCGTCTAGCACTGGATATCTGCACAGTCAAAAGAATGAGCAACAAGCCGAAGGCTGGGCTCATCCTTTCCTTTAACGAAATATTATAGCCGGAGCTTCATGATACGTTGACTGTCGCATATTGGCGATGTAGAGGTTTTAAACGCGTGGCCACATTTTGTCATCATACAGGGAGACAGACAGGTGTTATATTGCAAGCAGCGCCTCCATAAACTCCTGAAATTCCACAAAATATCACTCTTTATTTTCCAAAATATGGGAATTTATGAAATAGAGCACTGCCTTCGTCTTCTTAACTGAATTGGAAGGTAATGAAGGCATCATTACACCCAGTGACGGACATGAAAGTATTAGCCTTCTTGGAGAGTACTATTTCTCAGCAGCCCTGTATTGTATTTTATTTTCTTTAAACAGTGAGAATACGTGCGATTCTGTTCATGAATCGCCGAGTTACCCTCCATGTGCACAGCCTTCCACAACGGTATGGTTTGTGCAGGTACACACTCGCGACTTTAGAACTCAAGATACTATATAGACATGACCAAGTATGCTCTAAGCTGGGTGGCAAATCCTTCTGCCACGTGAAATGGGCATTTTCTCCGTTCCAGATGCCTAGGATGCCCGTCACCTTCGTCGATGAAAGGAAGGCCCGCACTGCGCAGCCTTTCTACCGAGAAGTGGCGGCGTTCTGACTACGTAACTCGTTTGCATAATCTATACGTACGAGATTCCAAGGAAGTGTGTACCAGGTACGCGATCGGCAGCTGGATTCCAGAGCTACCATCCCATAATGTTGTCGTTACTTCATTGTTATTAGCAATGGCCGGCTGTGCGGAGCACATGGGCAATATAAGCAGCTGTGAAGTCTGCCAAGTGCCTATAGAGGGTTTCATATATACATCCGTTATTGGTTTGCATGAATCAACATTTTAATAGCATAACAGTTTTCAGGTTGGCATCTGGGACCTCAGAAGCCCAGGCATACAGGATCAAACTAGAGTTCCACTCGCGACTTTGCGGCAAGATCATACAACACCTCGAGAAGCAAGTCCGAATACCGGACGCTTGCCAAGGAGATAACGCTCGGTGGAGCTGCAGTGGGCTGTATTTCGTGCTGCTCCACAATTTAAACAATATCCATCAGAAGGATTTGGTAGTGATTCTTGTTGCCATCGTCAAAATCTTGCGCGGCGGCCACCATGGCCAGTACTCTCTGGGGGCAGTGCAGGAATGCTCGCAGGCGTTCCTGACTTGTCTCTTCACATGCAATGACCGCGTGTTACCGCGCGTACATAATATCGCAGATGGACCTGATCCAGTCATGAACAAATGGCGTTCTTTCGCCGAATTGTTGCGTCAGATGTCCGAACAAACTCGTGGGCACGCGCAAGACGCAACGGAAGTGCCGAAGGCATCGGGCGTTGGGGAATCCGACATGTCTTGTTTTGACAACGATAGATCACCCCACAAAACATCCATAGCTGTGGACGAAGAACGTGACGCAAAGCGTTCTACGACCCGAGACCCGGGCAGTTTTGCTAGCGCGGGGTGCCTAGCCAAGGATGCATCAGAAACACTCTTCGCCAAGATCATCGGGAGATGCGCTCTGCAAAAAGATTTTGCGAGACTGGCATTCGTGCTGTATTGGTTGTCGAACATAGGCTTCCCGAGCGAAATGATGACTCGTTTTTTCGACATGAATTTGCGGAGAATGTTGGCTCTACAATCCGCCAGCCGTTCCGAGCTTTGCCCACGTGACTTCATAAGCGTTCTACGGTATTCACTGCATTTTGATATCGATAGTTCGTTGCGCGAAGCTCTTTACAACCAGTTGGTAGCAAGCAACAAAAAATCTCTTTTGTACTTGACATTGCAGGACGCGAACAACCTCCTCGATTGCCTTCTTGAAAAAGAACACGTGGACCAGGGACTTCTTGTTGCAGCTTTCGCAAGCATACAACTGTGTATCAAAGCGGCGCCCTCTCCGGATGACAAACAGGCAATCGGTGTGGCGCACTCCTACCTAGCAGAAAGATGCAGGCTCGTGCAAGACGAACGCGCGCACTGGGACAGTATATTCATGCAATTAGACCACCTCAACGACTTGGCTAACACGTTTGTCGGGAGAGATTCGCTGTGCAATTTCCTGCAAAGGCACTGCTTGCCACCTTCAGAGTTACGCGTGAGATCCGGCCCAGACGTAGATGAAGTAAATCGCCACGTTGTGCTCGATGTAGTCAAGAAGCTTCAGCATCTCTGCCCCACTATGAAAGAAGAGACGCGCTCATATTGCGTAAAGCTCATTGATACTATGTTACGGTCCGTGGACAGCTCACAATATGCAAACCTTTGAGAATTAATGTTGCGTGAAACGCATGTGAAATCGGAAACCCATTGTTACATTTCAGGTATGATTTTGATGTTTTCCTGAACATACGCCTGTATGCGTATCGCACGTGCTACCGCACGAGTCAATATCCCATGGAAGTGAATTATTGGGATGGCCAGTACTTGGTGGCATTGCACCACTTGGCACACATGTGGTGATTCACAATTTCTGAAGGCGGGACTAACTTGCCAATATCGTCGCAGGTTGTCCCTTCAAATAAAGCTTAACACTCAGTACAATGACGTGATACATCGATGTCAAAAATTCCAGAACCGTGAAGGCCCTTGTAGTCAGTCAGCGTACTTGTGTTAACAACATATACACTCGTTGGGGTTAATTATGTCGGTCCTTCTTCTCGTCTGTCGGACGGTTGAGGATAAGGTCAAGTGATCCCTTGAGCGTCTGCAAAATATTGTGCTGATACAGTTCAAAATTGATCTTGTTCGGTATTTTCCGGAGCTCCTCTATAACTTGTGTGTTGTCGCACGATTCCAGCCATTGGTTGTTGTCTATAACTGCGTGAGCAAGTTCTAGCAATGTGCTCGTGTTTTGCATGTCGTTCCCCAGATGCGCCGAAATAAATCTCAGTAGGGGTAGAATCGTTTGCTCGTCTTTCCCCTTGACAGCTGTGGCTAGGCTTCCTCTCAGTACCAAGGTCTCGACCAGATTGTATACATGATCGGGTGTGAGCGACAGCGAAAGGTCTAGCGCCGCCTGGTACTGGAATGTCTTGACCAGCCTATCCAACAGAGACAATTTGGTGGTTTTAAATTCGACGAGGTCGTCGTCCACCCTGACAATTTTCCTGCGAACCGGAGCTGGCTCTGTGATATCCTTGGCATTTTTTCTTATAATCCATTCACCGGAGCTCAGTCCTATGGCGATCGCCTTGGTGTCCTTGGTGACATCAAGCGCAGTGACAGGGGCGCTGAACCTGTAGACGTGCCTGAGAGATACGGTTCGGTCGTCTAATTCCTCAGTGGGTGTTCCATCTATCGCTTCTGTCCTCTCTTCCACGTCCGGCGCACCTTCTCCTGTCTGTCGTTCCACATGCGATGATTGTGACGCTTCGGCATCATCCAAGAAGTCGGCGTTGGCGCTCATTGGCGTGAAGTGATCTGGAGAGGCAATTCTGCTTTCAGGTGTGACAAAGTTGCTACCGTCGGACAAGACATCTGCGCTCCTTTTGCTCCTTTCCGCTGCGGGACTAAGCGGCTCATCATCATCGTCCGACCGGAGTTCGTCCCGCCTTTCACCGCTTTCTCGGTCCGCGTCCTCATCTTCCGAGTCAAAGCACGTCGACCTTGCAGTCAACGATTGGGCTCTACGTCTGTCCTCAAAGTCTTCACCACGCAGCGCCGCTAGATATCTTTCGTCTGAAGCGTTGAAGTCACTCTGGTAAACCGACGAATAGTTGAAGAAGCGGATGGTGGCGTCTAGAGAGGCAGTTATGATCGGTTCCCTCATGAAGGCCCTTGTAACAGTCCTTTGATGCGGCTCGAACGAGTACGTGAGCTGGAGTCCATGGGATATGTCCCAGAGTTTTACAATGTTTTTGCCTGCAGTGAGCAGTAGGTTATTCGCAGTTGACAGCTCCACAAACTCTATGGGTGCCCCATGGAGTACCTTGGCGGCAGGTCTCGTGTTGTCTCTGATGTCAAACAGGTACGCCACCGAATCGTAACCGCCGGTGACCCAGAGGTGTTCTGAACCACAAAAGTCGCTGAGAGTCCTAATCTTGTCCGAATGGAAGCTGAATTGCTGCACCAATTCGCCCGTGACGGTATCCCACAGCTTGGCGACGCCATCATCCCCTCCCGTCATGAGCCGCAACTTCGTGCAGGAGAAGTGGAGCGCGTAACACGGTGTTTCGTGTGCACGCCATCTCTTGAGGTTAGATTTGAGCCCTAATGCAATGAGATGCACCCATCCGCCGTCATCTGATACGGCAGCAACCTTTCCGTCTCCACGGAAGGCGCAGCATCTGACGAAATCTTTCGAGTCGTTGAAGGTGTGGATGACCTTCTGTTGAGCGTAGTCATAGAAGATAACCTGAGACGGGATGTTAACGCGTTGAATACTAATGAATCCTTACACATTCCACATAATAACGTTTCATGCACAGTAATTTCGACCACGGAACACAGCATCTGCAGCCATGGCACTTAAGGGACCTATGGATACCAGCTCCACGTTCGGTTTAAGACGACATATACAAATCCAAACTATGCGTAACCTGGCAATTGGTTGCCCTGTTATGGCACGTTGAGGCCATCCGGTAATATGGGTCCCGAATTACCACCCACAGCGGATTCTATGGGACCCATCATCGTGATTTCCGGGACACCTTGGATGGATATCGCGCCGCAATTTATTAAAATGCAGTACCCGCCCATCCAAATCATAATACCTTTCGGAAGCGAGGGTCCCTCATGTACGTGACGATCGAGCACCCCGAATTGCCAACGATACAAAGCACAATTGAACACAACGATACGACAAAACAACACCAAACCTTGCACTTGTTAACGATGTCACATCAGGCATAGTCCATGCAGAGGCAGATATGCATATCAAGGAATCCCGCTTACCTTGGTTCCGGCGCATACGGATACTATACTTCCTTCCGGCGAGAACGCGATATGGGTCACGGGAGCAGTTTCCTTCCCCGATCCAACTACTTTGGTGGCACTGAAGTAGCGTTTGACGCGCCTGTCGCGTTGGTACGGCTCACGGTCCCCCTCCCTAAGATCCTCAACCTTGGATAATCTGACGTACGATCCCATGTTTAGCGGCGTATCCCCACTACTGAAGTACTACGAATCTTCGACGTTGCTAAATACTCGGCAGTTTGCTACGCCTGAGGCACGGCATAAAAACGGCGGAATCCTGATGACGGGGAAATATGGCTAGCCTCCGGGATGTGCAATACACAATTTACTAAAAATTATAGATATGGGCCTATCCGATATGTACGACAAATTTCGTCGCTTTACTATCGGTCGATAGAAGGATTCTTCGTTGGTGCTGTCTGGCGGGCGCGTTAGGTGTATATGTGCTAACCGTTGTTTGTTTTCACGACACGGCGGCTTGAAGCGACTTCGTTTGACTAGCACTACAAGTGATTAGTTACAACTAATTATACTGCACACCATATAGGCGGGCTAAAAGCAGTTTCCCGATGGGCTCTTCGGGTTTCTTCCTGGCGCGCGATGCATGGAGGCTAGATCTGCATCTTCTCTTTACACCCTAACATGCTATTCCGTGTTACACCATACAACAAATTTGTTGTAGTGGTCTGTGTAAGGTGCAATTTAGTGTATTTGTGCACCTTTACTAGTTTCGGCGTGGCACCCATGGGTGTGGCAGCCCCCTCGGGTGTATTTTGTCGTATCGCCGCGCTTGCCCCTTTCTGAGGCCATATGTTGCTCTAACAAACGATGGTGTACACATGTAATACATGCAAAATGCTTTTGACTACCATTTTCCGTGTTTTGATTTTGGCCGTGGTATTACCATCCGGCAAGATGTCTCCAGTCCTGGACAAGATGTGTGACACATCCGTCCAACGCCCTCTCCTGACTTCACCAGGCAGCACGCCGTACGAGTTGTGTGCGTAAAAGGCTAGTTTAGGGCTCCACTGATCTTCAAAAGGTGGTATACGCATTTAATGCACTTATAGCCATGCCTAGGTAGCGGCATGCACTGTTACACTAATCACGTCTAGAAGCTTCAATAGCAGCGTACGCCTTATATACACAACATCATCAGCATCTTTAGGCCCTGGTTGATGTTTGCGGTTCACTTCGTTGGCGTTACGGGTTGCATGGGTGAGACAGATGCCGTCGCATCACTGCTGCTATGCTACGTCACGCCTTGCACAGAACGAATACACACTAGTATCGACTGTGACGGCGTTCATTGGAAGGTCAGCTTGAATGCTGCCTTACATCACGCTAAAGCATGTAACGGCTTTTATACGCCTTAAGGAGCCCTTTCCAAGACAAAATAGAGCCGAATAGGCCGCGGCGGTGTTGAACATAAGACAGTAGAATCCGACTTTAAGCCGCTCCACCCTCACACCAGCAAAAGCCACAGAGTAAAGTGGACTTATACACATGCGGTCATAGTATTTAATAGTGTAAACAACATCACATCTTGGCGAGCGGCCTACACATCTGCAATCTTGTCGGTATCGTTGTGTGGTCGTTTAGCGCCCAGTGCGGCGGTTATACAGAGCATCAGTTTCCGTACGTTTATAGCGGTAAAAAAATATACTTCGCCATGTGAATGGAAGGATATACCGGCTAGTGATCCACCTTAGCCGGGGTTTTGCTGTTGTGGGCCGGTCTCTTGAAACTGCAAGATGAAGCGGGAACGGTCGTCGCCGATAAAGCGGCCGTATACGGCTGTGTTAGGCGGCCTGAATGATGTGCTGCGGAGGTATCATCAGTCGGTCAGGGCGTGGCATGCCGAAGGTTCGGTGTGCTCGCAGCGCAATGCTGCCACTGACGTGTCTTTTTCGCAGACAGGATTTGGAGCTAATGAGACAATTCCAATCGAGAATGAGGCTGCTCCGTCACCAGAATCAGCGACTAGCCGAGTTAGTGAGCCTATAAACGCCTTGCCTGACCTGCTCGGCGGCATTCTCTACGACTTCGGTAGGGTTATGCAGCATGAAAGCTCACGATTCGACGCATTCGACGTTTTGTACCGGGCTATGGCCAAAGTGCGCAATAGGGAAAGTGCTGTGAAGGCGATAAAGCACCGACGTCGCACTTGGGTTCCTCCAGTCAACGTCTACCACCAGCTCCTATCCCGTCGCATGGGACGTCGTTCCACTTTCAGTCCCCTGGGAGCGCAGCAGTTGCGCAAGATCACCAAGACGTTCAAGAGAGCAGCAAACGTCTGGGGGCATCACTGCTGTCTGGACGAGATCGACCCAAATAAGCCTTACAATGAACCGCCGCAGGTCCGTTGCATACGGTTCGACAAGACCGGCGACGTACTTATCACGGGAGGAGATGAGGGCATAATCAAGCTCTGGCACACCTTCAACTGTACTCTGATAACGAGTTTGCGCAAGCATGCAGGCGGAATTGTCTCCATGGATGTACACCCGAACAACTATTTCATATTGAGTTGTTGTGACGGTGGAGAGATGTGGCTGTGGGAGATCAACGGCAACCTATACAGGCCTCATAAACGTGTGTCTAGCCCGTTCAAGTACCTATGGTGCCGGTTCGCGTCTTTCGGCGGCAGCGCCGGGGGTGCGGCTACTGGATTCAGCGATCGTTGTGAACGGGAGATTGATAGCACTTTGGTGGTGTGCGTCACAACAGATTCGAGGCTATCTATTTATCGCATGCGAGACCTTGTGGTCTCATCTAGTGGGAACAACGTCACCAGAGAGGTGTCGCCGTTGTACGTGGTTGAGCTGTTCAACCACAATATAAAGGCATACGACGTTTCACGCCCGCTGATGCATGACCATTCGTTTCTGATCGCAATCGGCATCGAGCCCATGTTCTTGGAGGAGTTGCGTCTTGCTGAGGATACGGCCTCTTCTGCCCTGTCCATTCTGCAGGGTGAGGCAGCATCCCGTTCCGCCGACCGTGCGCATGGGCAATATGGCAAGATCACGTCGAATGCGCTTTGTGCACTGTTCAACATCTCCACTGGCACCTTTTTGGCTTCCTTAGGCGATAAATCTGCGGGAAAGGATTCATCTGATATGAATGTCGATCGCACGGCACCAAACGAGTCGGGACGGGATAGCTCCGGAACTGTGGATAATGGTGGTGCCGGATTCTGCTTGTGCGACGTATCTGTGAACGCTTTTCAGGATACTGCGGGGAGGTGCAGGTGCTGCCTTAAACCAGTGCGCACTTTTACCTTCCGGGAGGTTCCACGGTCGTCCCCAAAGGACTACCTGTCGCAGCCAGAGGAGTCCTCTCCCAAAGTCAGCGGGTCTAAGGCTGACACAGCGCCCGTTTCGCGTCCTAGCGCTCCAAAGTTTTGCTGGAAACACGATTCTAATGAATTGGAGACCTACATTCGGGAGGAGCTGGCTGGATACTCCATCCATGAAGACTCACAAGTCGCGGACTCGGTCAGGTTCGGCACAAACAGCATGCCGTTTGGCCGTTTGACGTCTACGGTGGTGTTTCCGTCTTATATGGATACCCCTTATGTGTTGTTTGACTCCTTGGACATGGATCAGCGCGACACGGGGAATTTCGACGATCTTATCTACCACGTGCAGCGTGGCCACGAGCTGAGTCCCGACGTGTGTTTCGCTAATCACAGTCTTAACCACGTGACGGGCAGCGATGACGGTAAGGCGTTTCTTTGGGTGCATTGCGGCTCAACGGTGAAGTTCAAGAGCATCCCGCTGCTCACTAAGTGTATAAATAAATGGGTGTGCAACGATCCTTCGGAGACCAGCACCGGTCGTCAGACACCGGATGTGTTGGATCCGGCATTTGTTATCGATCCACCCGTTTCTGTGACCGAGGATGCAGTTGATACACGCACTGGTATATCTCCAGTTACAGCACCTACCTCCAACGCACCGGAAGGCACAGACATTGGGCAGGTTTCCACATCCGCGCCTATGGAGGTTGACATCGCAAATTCTGAGGACGATATGACGAAAAAGAATGTAGTTTTTTCTAATGCAGTAGTCGCGTCCGAAAATGTGACTGGATCGGAGTTGACAGTGATGGATTCCAGTGGGTCGGCGCCGGCACCATCCCCTTCACATGATGATACTTCTAAGATAGGTAGCCAAAATGGGCTCGAAATCGCCGCACCGGTAAATGGGTGTCTACGAAAGGATGCTATTACTAACAGCGTAGCTGAAAATGAAGTCGCAGGTTCCTCTGACCATTACAGGCCCTCATGGTTGACAGATTACGCAGCAAAGGATTTGGATACGTGCGATGCATTCCTACCAAGTGATAGGGTAAAACCATCCATGCGTGACGAAGAGGTATGCCAAAGCGGTAAGGCCACGTCGAAGCTTTTTAAGGAGGGCGATTCGAATAAGCAGCATATGAGTGAGTCTGGTCACCACTACATGGTAACGGCCATTTCGTGGTCGGTGAACGACACTTATATCTTCATCGCAGACAGTATAGTCACGCGTTTCAACGTGAAAAAGCTGATCACCGCGTCCCGCACCATATTGTCAGGGGTGTCGGTTTTCACATCGCAGGGTCTCCCCGTTGCCGACTTCTTGCATAACGAGATCAGTCATCACGTCGGATGCGTGAAGCCTCACCCGTTAACTGACGATTTGGCTCTGGTAATAACATATGGCGGTGTTATTTACGTCCTGTCCGTCGAGAGCAAGTCTGTTGTCAGGAAGTTGGACTGCGGCCCAAATGCCGTTTGGTTGGATGCCGATTGGCACCCTTGTGGCATGTACTTCGCCGCGTGCCAGTCATTTGGCTGCTTCTCTCTGTTCACGGTGGATGGTCTGCTGAGCAACTATCGTGCCACACTGAACCACCAATGTGGGTACAGCGACATGCTGCCCATAAATACATCGGCGTTTTACTCTGGTGCGGAGAGCGATTCTGTAAACATACGGCGTTATCATTACGGCTCAACGCTCATGCCTCCATTAGAGCTGGATGGTAAGGGCTGCAGCGAGAGCCTACGGTTCTACACGGCGAGCTCGTTCCACACGGTGCTTGACGACAACCGCTGCGAAGTGCTGTACGCATGTTCTCCAGTACCTATGCAAGTAGATGACACAAAACCTTGGGGTAACCGTCTTTTGGACATGTCAGTGGTCCCGGCACATCTGTGGTCGTCGATATCGGTATTGAGCCGTATCCCTCTGGATATAAACGTTGTGGAATTTTTGCAGTGGCACTTAGGTGTATACGGCAACTGCGATGTTGCAGAGCTTCTGTCCTGGTTTCTCTGTGTGAACAAGTTGGATGTGCTAGGAAATTTCACCAACCGTGTCCGTCGTGTGGTCTGCCCATACGGAGGTGTAACATGTGTGGTCTGCCAGCACATCGTCACAAGTTCCGATCGTGCGGAGCGGTACGCGGAGATGTCTGCCGAACAGCATGGTGTGAAGTCCAAGGTGAACGAGCGTGGTGACATTATTGCCTGTTTGCCCATTGCATCGCGCCCGCAGTCTTCAACCGCTCCTCACCCCCCCGCAGCACCGATTGAGAGGCGGCCGCAAACGGCTTCTCCAACGAATCGAGTGATTTCAGCGGCCACAACGACGCGCGCTCCATCGTTGTCACGTACTCAAATTGCTTTGAGGTCGAATGAAAACAGTCGATCAAGCTCGAGCTTGCGCCATGCTTCGTTGAGCAGGCAACCTCCCACTAGGGTGCAGCCTCCTCGTGGAGCGGCGGCGAGACCCACCACAAGCGCTTCCGCAACTTCTGCACAGTCATCTAATGATGAAGTTCGTACGAGAATATCGCCTAGGAGAAATGCTGCAGCGCCGCCAGCTACGGCCTCTCCGAGGACACCGCCCGCTTCGGATCGTGCAACTTCTCAGACGCAGATAGGATCATCTGATATAACTCGTGCACTTTCCCAAGTCACTTCCGACGAGCGTACGGTACGACGGCTACGCCGTGAAATGCGCATGACTCAATCATCGGATGATGAGTCATCGCCTGATCGCGTTAGCAGCAGCTACCCATTTCGCAATCGCCGCCAATGCGTAGAAGGTGGTGTGAAGAGGGAGTTAGATCGAGCTACGTATTTGGGTAGCGTCCTAGGCTCGATTGGTTTGTCGAAAGCGGCCCACCAGGCGTCTGGCCCACTTGACGCAGTGTGCCTGTTGTGTGGTTTCGGCTCAGACAACTCAAAAGCCAAGCGTAATACGGGAGTAAAGGCGTATATAGGTGGCTCAACATTAGTCAGGAACAGCTTGATCGGCCCATTTGCTGTCTCGAAGCGGTACATGGACACGATGGAACAGGAGTTCCCTAAGCTGTTTGACCGCATGGGCAATGACGTGTTCATGCACATAGGGTGTTTGGCAGCGGCTACCCACCTTGTGCCTGACTCAAGTGGCCATAGGATTGCGAACCTGCCGGAAGTTTTGATACGTGGCATGCATGAGAAGTGCGCATACTGCGGCGGCACCTACGCTACGCTTCACTGTACTGGGGCTGATTGCAATCGTGCATTCCATTATACCTGCAGCATTGCGTGCGTGGAAGATGAGTCGTACCAGCGTCAACAACCCACATTGAGGCGCAATCCCTCATTCTGGTCAAGAATGAACAATCCGGTGGATCCACTTTTATGTGACCGTTTTCTGTGTCTGGAGTGCACGCTAAAGGACTGGATAGACGGATCTCCCTCCGTTGAGCCGCTCTGTACAGGCGAACACTTCCTCAGTGATGAACCTCGTGCGTGGTTCTACTCGGATGCGAGGGATATGAATGCTCATTGTTACGTCCCCCAGGGTGGTGACTTGATATTCATACCTGTTCAGGCCCGAAGTCGTATCAAGGCGAATAGTGCTATACCGTGGTCTTCTGCCTTGCATACGCATATGTTAGAAGTCAAGAAGGTCGACTATCGATTTTGCGGTGAGTTCGTTGCTTAATATTCTGTTCACATTTGTGTAGGCCCAATATCTGATGACATCGGCATCTGCTCGGTTTTGTGGGTTCGCCAGATGGACAACAACAAACGCCAGTCCCTGTTCTACCGCCCAGGTGACCTTACCGTGTTGACATTGGTGGATGTGCTTGTTGGTGTTTGGCGTCTGGATAAGGTCAAAGAGGGGGATTCCGTCAAGGTGCTTTGTGCAGACGGGTGGATGGACGCGACGGTGAGTGGCATTAAAGACCCTCTGGTTTGCAGCGCCAACTACAATGTGGTTTCTGGCGATTATAGCACTGCTAACGTCGCTAGATTGGGCAGAGCTGCCATCGATCTCGGTACCAACTGCATCCAGGCCAAACTGGTGTCCGACGCGTCAGAGCAGTGGTTTTCCGCATGGCAGTTCCGTATTGACCCTACCAGTGAGTCAAGCCTGTTTGACTCACTGCACCAGCGTCTGTTCCCGGCTGAAGCGATGGAGGATTTGATAAACCTGACGCTGGATGGCAATTTCGAGGAATTTAATATTTTGCCGAAATGGACGGAATGCCGAGAACGTTGGGTGCGTACGTATTGGACGACAATCGCCTGCCCGATGTCGATGGAGAAGGTCCGACAGCGCATCCTGAATTCGTATTACATGTGTCCGCAGGGGTGTCTATCGGATCTTGACCTAATTGTGCGTAACTGCAGGCTATTCAATCCGCCTTCTAGCACGCTCTGCCAGATCGCTCAGACCCTGGAACGTGCTATATCCACAATTCGAGACGACATTAGGCGCTTGATGAATGCAGAAAAGTATGCTAAGGTGCTGGTTCAGTTCTTAAGGCCGAATATAGGGCTTTTGTTCGTAACTCCCAGCACCTCTACCAATGCCGTGGTTGGTGAGGATAACGTGGCGTCAACACAACCTGACTCAACAGCATCACAAACCCATACATTAGATGCGGATATTGCAAGCCCGGCTTCCGCCCGTGGAGCCCTCTCACCAACGCAAGCCACTCAGCGTTTTGACGACGACGATATGCCCATTCGACGTTCACCGCGTATCCTGCGGTCAAAAGCTTCAGTGAGTGATGATATACAAGCGCATAAACTCCCACAAGCTTCGAAGGCGCCACTGAGATCTGCGATTTCAGGAGGAACCGATGATTCCAGGCATCCAACGTCCAAACCCAACGCTTCCGAGATACAGCATGGGCATTCTACACGGGCCTCTCAGAAGCTCGGCGAATCTGACCAAGTATCTTCACGCGGATATGCCAACTCCGCTGTTGGCAATACAAGCACTTCATCGTCTAGTCTGCGGTCATCTGCGTCGTCGGGGGGCACTCCAGTGCAACAGCCTGCCAGCAACACGTCTACATCAGCTGGCGGGCTCCATATGACCAACCGTCGCACGTCGTCTAGGCTGGCTGCCATTAATGAGAGGGAGGCAGAGCAGGCAAAAATCGCTGCTCTGGAGAAGAAGCAACAGGAGGAGGAAGAAAAGCTTAGGCGAACGTATGCGTCGCGCTACAACCTCAGAGGGATTTGACACCTCGTGGGAACGCACGTGTGATTAAAAGGCTCTAATGAGCATAATATGATACAGCGTGAATTATGTGCGTCAGCCACCAACCGACGGGCGTCCCAGAAAGTGTCTGTAATCCACCCAAATACAGCCATAACCTTGATTATTATTCATAAATTGGCTGTTCTGGTGTCTTATAGTTGGGTTTGGTGAGGTGGAATCGTCTAAAATGTTTAAAATAATTCGTAATAAACAGCGGTGACGTCCAGCGGCGTGTAGTTGTCTGGCAGCCTTCCCTGCCTTTTGGCATACCAATTTACGTTACACATTGATTTGTCCAATTGATATAGATTGCTTGGTATGATTTCTCTCTCAACAGACCTGCACGGAGGCTATTAATTTCCTGACACCCACACCCTACCAATGCCGCGGTGCGCCTAACGTCACACTTCCATTAAGAATATACACATTCGACTGCCAAATGTAACACTAACATGGATGTAGATGAGCCTGATGTTGTACCGCCCGGAGTTAACCTCACAGCTTGCCTAGTGCTGAACCAGCGCGACGATGAGTGTCTAGGTTTTGACTTCGTTAGCTTTCCTGGCGGAAACGAGGTTATGGGCGTCATAGATCTCACTCCTGGAGCGCATTTGGTCTATGTGAAAGACGGAGAGCCAAACGGTTAGTTTTGTCATGCACTTCCATTTGAACGGTGAATTTGTTTTGCCCTTGAGTTGGGATTCTGCTTGCCATTTCGACGTCGCTATTGATTTTAGTTACTCATAGTTGTATTTAGTGGCAGATTCTACCTGAATCTTATATCCTAAAACCATAGTTCTGCGTATATTTGTCAGTCATAGGCTTCTTTACATTGTTCGGTATAATTTTTTCCTAAGCGGCACGTTAAAGTTTACAGAGGAGGTAGACAGAAGGCTCGGGGAGTTCGTGTATATTGAACAGGGTAAATGCACAGTTCTTAAGCGGTCGAAGCTCGACGATGGTCCCTTGTTCGAGTTTGTAAGTGAGGAAGAGGCTCGTGGGTACCACTCGGGTGTAATTGCGGGGCACTTTCACGGCAAACTTGCCCGAATCCCCAGCCAGCTACGTAATCTGTGGTTTGATCTGACCCAGTTTATAAGTGTGGACGTGATTCGGCTCCTACGTCCCATTGTTAAGCCGTCATCGCAATCCATCTCTACGCAACCAATCACGGGTACTCCAGTGCACGATGACCCACCACATCGGCCCGGTTCATCTTCGGCGGCGTCTGAGAAGTCTCAGGGCGTTCAGCCGTACGCCGAAGATGAACAGGAGCCCACGTCAGTGAAGGATGCGTTTACCCAAGAGCCCACATCTGACGGATTTCAGCCAACTATGGATGTCGATGATACTACCAACAGTTCTGGGGATAGTTCGCTAAATCATGGCAGCCGTGCCGAACCTATTATCGCAACGCCATCTACTGGTCTACCTGACACAGCATGCCCGAGTACTAATGCAACATGCCTTTCTACCGGAGACGATGACGATGACACCGCAGCGAATTACAAAGAAATATCTGAGCGTCTGAAATCATTGAAAGGCAAGCCAGGACTGCTTTGTGAGACCTTCGGCATTACAGGGAATGACCGCCTGGCACCTGCATCAGCCCCAACAGCAGAAAATAAGTTACGTCCAAATCGTCCGAAAAGAGATACTGATTATAAGTATAACACTGGGAATGCCCCAGCCGACTGCGCATCAGCAGCAGATCGATGTGACTCTGCGCTGGATTGGGAAGTCCCCCGAGATCAATGTACCATTTATTATTCCGATCTGCAGAAACTGAATCGACGTATGAACTCATCAAAACTTGCAATCGCATCCAAAATAACTGAGATGCACCTCGACACAACCCACATTTTGGATGCCATCGTGGAGTATCACCACGGTAGAGACAGCGTGCTGTCACTCACCACCACGGAGGCGACGAATTCAAAGCTTTCGGAGATGCAAGGGGCAGAGGAACCAACTGATGTAGATTCAAAATACGCGTGTGTTTTAGGGGAGTATGAATACGCGTTTTGCGTTTTCATGCTGAACTTCCACTACACGTCTTTTGAGCACTGGAAGTCATTATTTCGCACTTTTTGCAGCGCAGAATCGTTCTATTTGCTCAATACGAAGCTGTCAGAGCATCTTTTGAAGGTGATTAAGCTGCAGTTAGAAACATTTGAGTCCGATCTGTACGAGCCAGACAACTTTTTCGCCTATCACCTCAGTTCGTTGGAAGAGATCATTAATGACAACCAGCCTCAACTTGCATACTTGGTGGATCCTTTCAACGCCATAAGCGAAACGTTCAAGCTGAAGTTCGGTATTTCTTTCGAGGAGGCGAAGTCTTTGCAGGACGGGATTCAATACGTTGATTCATCCTTATTGCCAACTGTCGTAGATGCTAGCAGATAGCATGCTAATCGCTGTACTGTCTCCATTCTTGGTAGGATGGAGCTATCACGCTGGTCTAATTTTAGTGTGATTTTTGGCGAATCATAAAACCCGTCTGGATGTGTAATGTTCAATGCCACAATGACGTACTACTGGCTTAAATGCAGAGTTCCTCTTATGACGCAGTTACAACTAATGACACTGCACAATTGCTTGAGAATCGCTGTAGAAGGTTATGTACATCCAATGGGGATGTTGCGATCGTTTTTAAGTGCTACTGAGTGAACATAAATAACGATAGTGGAACCTCCACATCATCTTCAAGTAAGGAACCATGTTGCTGTAAGGATTATGCATTGAAGAGGGGCTTTTGTTCACATAAAGATGCATTTGTATGGCAAATCAACATGTAATTCGAAGAGTACCGCAGGAATAACGCTCAACCGACTGACTACGTCGATGTTGACAATCAATGTACGGAAGTACGCCGTGGCGAGAGATTACAAGTCGGTCGACTATTACTATCGCATCTGGCATAAATATGCAGTTCTTACAAGTGAGTTGGCCGCGTACAAGGGCAGGTGAGACGTAAGTAGCCGCTTACCACACACTAGCCAAATGGAGGGAGAGGGTGGCTCACTTAAACGTTCAAAAACATAAGCTAAATTTACGTACACATTTTATAAAATAATATATGCCTTAGTGTGTCCATTGGTTTCATAGATTGCGGCTTTGGCGGCTGTGACGGGAATTTCTCCGCTATGTCGCTGTCTAGTTGCGGCCATGGACACAGCGCTGCCGTTCCTTTGACAAGCACTAACACGTTGCGCGTTCCCATGTGATATCATACGTTCAGGTGTCGTCTTCTGGTTGAGAAGGTTCCGTATTTAGAGTAACGCCCGTCGATCTTAGAATGTCTAACGCACAATCATGGCCGAATTTGGAGTTATAATCCGGTTGGCCATTTGCGCCGTATGGCTGTGTTGGACTATAAGTGTCGACGCACTGCATTGCGATTTCGGAGGTCCACATGGCCTACACAGCGGTAATGCCCTAGTTCGCTGCAATATGGATATAGGCCTACTGGGCTCCGCAACCGTGATATGCCCTCGCCTAGTCAGCGACACCGAGTACGTATGGCATCCACAACCATCCTCGGATCTTCATGAGCATATCAACACGTATGTGAGTGATAATGGGAAGCTTAGTTCCGTTGATATTTCGGACGTCGTGCGTACTGAATCCGATAATCCGTTTATCTGGTTCGAGTCCAATCAGTCAAGAACGGAACTGCATCTGGAGTTTTCAACGGATGACATATACGCCATCACTGAGAACCGTTTGGTATTCATATGCGGACCCACAGATTTGTTTGTGTCTGATATATTGCAGCGCCACCTGGACCGACTCAAGGGTGGCACTCAAATGCAATCGTTTCCTTGGACTTCGCCCACAGCATTGACCCGCGAAATTGCGAAAATGGGGACTGGCTTGGGTGTATTTTTCTTGTACAGAGGGCGACTGCATCTACCTCTTCAAGGCTGTGGGAGCCGTCCTTCGCCGCTGTTCGCTACGGACGAGGTGACTGTAGACCCCGTCACAGGCACTCGTTCGTGTGTGGCAGATCCCATGTCGGAATCACCCATCGGATTTGTTTGCGAAGGCCGCCTCGAACCTGAGGATTGTATGAGGTCCCTCATTGACGAGAGTGGAGAAGTTGTGGCCGCCCCCGAATCGCACCCATATTGGAGTTTTGTTGACCATCGGCCTTGGGTGATAGCGAAATATTTTAATGACTTCGCACTACGGCCCTTCCATGGCGAGTGCAGGTGCATGGATTCCGAAACAGGTCAGGTGAAGGCGAGGATTGAGATCCGTTCGAAAGCCGAGTATGTCTGTGACATTACCAGCATGATATTTCGCAATCGCGTACGCCCTATCCACGATCACTGGTGTTCGGTGGTTCTTCATCCAGGCAGCACCTTGACCATAAGGTTGCCGAAACAGACCGTCAACTCGGCTTCTATAAACGAGCCTTCCGATGATTTATACATGGGTGCAGACGAGGATGTTTCCAGTGTCTCATTCTCGCAAATGATGTCGCTCTATGATTTCGAAACAGAATTCCGGCCCGTGGACCTGAATAAGTTGTGGCAATTAAAAAACATCTACCATGATGATTTTTACAGTGATATCGCGCATCACGAAGCCCTTGCTGGCGATGCCCTTGAGCTGGATGTTTCACAAATGTCGTTAGGAGAGGTGAAGCTGAAGTACCATCAGGGCAAACCTCTCGCACTGCGAAACGGATATAACTCATTCTTCTATCATTGGACATTAAGATCTAGAAATAAGAATGTCTTTGAAAGAATAAGGGCCCTCGTGAAAGTATCATTTGCGTTCACGCATCACTACAAGGCTGTTGGTTGCGATACGGGGTCGCAAATCCTGTTTGATCCTCAAATCACCGAGAGGTATTGTTCATCTATACGGTGGGGAAATGGAATTGGAGAAACTTACGAATGCACCTATAACAAAACCTTGGCCGTTTTATGGGCTGCCATCCACTGTAGGCCCGATGAAGAACTTCTGCCGAAAAACTGTGAGTCAACAGGATTTGATCTCTACTCTAACAGTAGTATAGCATCCCCTGAGTCTGTGCAGCATGCGACGGCGAACCCTATACCACGGTTTCAGCTCTTAGGCTTTAATAACCACAATACCCTCGCCAGTTATGCTTGTGTATGTGTCGACCAAAACGGGCGCGAAAAGTCCAGGCTCATTTTGGAGTCGAATCATTACGAACAGCGTAGGTACGTAGTAAGTCATGGAGATACGTTCAATAGTTCGGTTTCTCATATCTTGGCGCCCTGGCATGAAATAGGGTTGTCAAGTGACGCAATGACGCCACCAGACTCGCTTATGATATACCATGTACCCCATAATCCCGTTATACTACATGTAGGGACTACGTTGTTCATGCGTTGTGCTCTTGCACCTGGTGCGCAGCACGATGCAGATAATATGATACGACCCAGATGGTTCCCAATATCGTATCAAAATCACCACTACGCCGTGACACAAACACCAGATGGGCCTGAGCTAGTAAGGGTGGCACACAGCGATTCAATTGCCACTACACCTGGTGGCCTGGAAGTCTTTACCATATATTCCACGCCAAGAAATTACGAGATTGGAATTAAATCTCGTAGAGGTGCCATATTAATATCCAAGGATTTATCTCACAAGCGTTGCGTGCCCATAACATTTTTGTGCGGTAAAACGCCCGAGACATCAGATTTGTCCATTGTCACTGATGGTGCATCAACTTCGGAATCATCTACGAAACCTAATCTTCAGACCATTGTATCATCCACATTATACACGTGGCACGTCGTGGAAGTTAACGTCGAGACCACGGACCCATACATGCAGGGCTGCGGCGTTACGTACTCGTCAGATGAGATGTTCAAACCTGAAACGCCCAAACTCTACGACGCTGACGGGCAACCTCAGTTCGGTTGCAAAATCGATCTCCAAGCTGCCAATGAAGCAGCGTTCTACTGCCCTGCGCCATACGTCCTAGATCCTCCCAACTGCTTTAGGCAAGTATTACTAGACAGCCTAGTAAAGAACACGGGTGACCTAAGCAAGTCGTTAGTGGCATCGAGATCCAACCACTTTGTCATCCTGAACTTCGATAGTTCACTCGTCGGAGTCGGAGAAACGCTGCGCCAGGCGCCGCCATTGAAATGCCGCTGCGTCACCGTAAAGGGCGTCGTTCTCTCAACGGTACAGATTGAGAACTATTACTCAAAGTAATGAGTAGCTTAGTCGTGTCAACGCTTTAGTCAATGAACTGTGCGAATTAACCTTTTTCGTTGATAATGTTGGTTTCCATGTTGATCTCTGTGTTTGGGTGGAAGTGTAACTTAGGATAGAAAGTAGTAATTGAAATTGGCAATTATTGGCGTTGCTTAGAGTTACCATATCTTTTTAATTACTGGTGTTGGCGCTTATAGGTCCTGTAAAAAAAGGTAGAACGTAATCGCATCTGCCCACGCCTTTATTTCGTCTTTGGCACCGCCGTGATGAAGACGGTGAAATACGATCATTGGTATTCCACGTCCAATGTTAAAAAAGAGGCAATGACGCTAAGACACAATAATCGACAAAATGTAGTGCCTCTTACCGTAGTGCAGTTACCTCACTAATGTTGGTGATGGATTGCCGTGTCAGTGCTTGGCCACTTTAGTCCACCGGTAACAGCGAAAGCATACGTAGTTTCGTCTGACAATTGTATCTTCACGGCGCACTACATCATGTGCTTTTCAACGTTACAATGAATCATCTATAGCTGGGAAATGCAATTTTCAAAGTGCTACCGGACTCAGCCAGATAGCTTCCAGCTTGGTGGGATGGGTGAGGGTAGAGGAGCAAATACTTCGTAGCGGGTAGTTATGCGTCAAGAGGTTAATAACAACAACATAAATCAGATTAATTCCACAAGTGGGTGAATCCACGGTAAGCAACTATGCCCGATAATGTAGATTTGCCCTCCTTGCTACTAAGTCCAGTGGTCTCCAACGCAGTTTTCAAAATCACCTACGGACGTCACTTAATTGCATTTCCGCCTTCAGGTATGTTGAACGTTGCACATTGAGCTACACGGCCATTTGTTAGCTGATCCACAGGAGAGATGGCACTATAATCGCAGTCTCACTGCTACAAAGGCGGCACCATGCTATGAGAAAGTGGTGTTACAATTCCTGGAGATGTATGGAAGCGCGGCTGGTATTGCTGCTCTTAGATAACTTGGGTTGAGCATTGCGGCTATACCTTGTGCATAGCTTCGCCATACGTATACTGCGCAATGTTGGGTAAAACGGTCCGATGATGTATAATGTGTTTCGTAGCTTATAGGGACACCCAAGACGACCAAGCGCTCCGTACAAGCACTTCAGATGGCTTCGCTGATGGGAGCTAACCAGTGACCTAATACACAATGTGCTTTACCACGTTTGTCTAGTGTTGCAATTTCTGTGTTTTAGGTGTCGTCCAATAGTAACAGAGGACTGAATTCGCGTCAGTGGTCACCCGGGTCGCCAGCATGGGAGGGGTGTTGGGTAGCCGAGTGAGGGGGCGGCTGTAGAATGTTAAATTATGTGCCTATGTGCGGCATTCTGTGAATCGTCGCCTTCGTCTAAGAGAACGCCACAGTTATGGGGCACTTCTTGTCAACCTCGTGGTAAGCTTTGAAGTTGTAATCCCAAACTATACCCCTGCACCACTTCGTGGGGAGCCCCGCAAAATTGTCTCTCCTGTTATTTGTCCTCTCCAGAACATTGCAGCGCGCGTGTGCACAGTGGCAGTTTGAGGGGACTACACACATTCTTCTCCCTGCCAATATAACTGAGTGTAATCTGATTCACATTATGCTCGTAGACTAATGAGTCGGAATACCTGTCAGCTGTAGATATTAACGGTGTGTAAGAGCTGAAAGGTTTGGAAACACGTTTGTGAGAGCGCACGTGGAAGTCAGTTTGGGGGTGTATTTTTAGTTGAGAGATTAACTAGCTAAAAGTACATTGCTCACTGATTTGCAAGATGGCTTTTCAAAGAGATGAGCATGAGATTAAAGCGGCTGCGAGAGGAGATGAGGAAAGGGATCTGTCAAAGCCTGTTTATGCGGGTGGATACAAGGACGGTGAAGTGGACAGGCGAAAGTGGATGGAGAAGCTAACGCGGATGGATGAGTGGGTTAGAGAGACTCACGCGTGGCTTAACGGCTTACTTGGCGACATCCGGTTGTATACGACCTCGCATTCGAACAGGCAAGGTAATATGCCGTCCTGTAACGGTCACAACAGAGCAAAAGTGAATCAAGATGTCTACAATGATTATGATCTGTCGCAGAAGCGGTTGGAAGAATCTATCATGCAGGGGCACGCATTACTTGATGCCTTAATTGACGATTTCCAGTTAGATAAGACCTCGTACCTGAATAATCGACCAGGAAATTCGCCTTTCGGCGACGGTCTTAATGGCATTACAGCTGGTAGAGGCCATGCGGCTAATAAAGGCGATAGAGAGTTTGTTTCTCTTAGCTATTTTACCGGTTCCATAGGTCTTACCGGTTTTATAGGCCTTGCAGGTCTTGTAGGTCTTACGGGTCTTACCGTTCATGCCGTTCATACCGGTCATACAGGTCATACCGGTCTTATCAGTCTCATAGGCCTTATAGGTCTTGTAGGTCTTTTAGGTCACATAGGTCTTACTGCTTATATCGTCGATCACAGTAGTCGTACCAAAGCAGATAGGAAAAGCGATAGCGGTCGGCACTGAGCGAACGGTAATCCAGACACTCCTCATGGTAAGGGTCGGTTTCCTCCTTAAGACTCATGACTGCAAGGATGTATGGCCGCTCTAAAGAGCTTTCGTGTCGCGAGAATCGTTACATCAAGGTGGTAGCGTGGGCGCTACCTTCTACCGAGGGTGGGCGGAAAATTGCCGTTGGACTAGGTCAATGGACTCTACCTTAATCTCTTTGTACCCGCAACCCATGCCCTACGCTTCATTCCAGCAACAACCCACATAGCCCACCCAACCTGGCAATCGGAAAACAATGACATAAACATGTCCGTTGCATAACTCTTTTGGGGGGCGATGTGCGTGACCACCCAGGGTGGCAGCAACGGAGCGCCACGCTAGGTTAGGCAGCGAACCATGACCACAGCTGAGAGAATAAGTGCTTTGCAAAGAATGTGAATTAATGTACAGTAATGTGTAGTTGTTATCGGCCGAGAAGAACTCGACACAAATGCTGCCGCGGACACTCAAAGCAAAAAGCATTTATTCTAAACGCTGAAGACGGTAGAGGACGTGTTCGAATTCCTCAGAGTGCCTGCGGCGTTGATCACGAGGTCACGCGGAACAACGTAGGCTTTGTAAGACACTACGAGGAGCGCGTAGTAATATTTAAAAATTCTAATCGTCGCTTTAAATTGCTCAAAAATCTGCAGCCTCATTGTGTCCCATGTTAGCTCGAGGCTTGTCTACCCCGATGACTCGCGTGCTTCCGATTGCATGTTACGTTAATTGTGTGGATCTGTCTAAGACACATTAGCTTAGTTGTCATCGTGCCTACTAAGTCAGTCTGTTTGGTCTACAGACACCTTTGTATGTTTCAGTTAGACACGTCTACGTTAGAAGACAACAACGCTGTTGTGTTGATCCCCCATTAAGACACAGCTGTTTGCACACCGGTTTGTAAACAGACGAAAAACTAACACGGTCATACAAGTCGTCTGGTTTAACGAATCTTTATAAAATGGTGTACCATTCGCTGACTCAGGCTCCCCAAAACCTCAAGGAGGCCATAGATTGGTTAATGGCCCTGAAGGGACCTTATTCCAAATTAACCATTCAGGCCATGGGCGCTGCTATTTACGATTTCCTTTCAGACAAACCTGTTGGCAAGATGGAGGTGCCAGCTCTCGAGGAAGTCAAACTTATTTCCAGGAGCTTCCTGAGGAAATCGCAGCTTCAGAACCACTGGTCTGTAGAAAGGCTGGTGGGGAGATTTAGTGTACGTATGAGTAAATCCGATGGCGGATTAGCATGTAATGGCCATAAAGATTATCTCGAAAGCGATCATGTGAACGTCGTAAGGGCCAGGCGTGCCACTCCGAGGACCATTGCGAAGAATATTGGTGAAGTGGTGCATGCTACTGGGAAGTTTTTGGATGAGATCAAAAACCCTGCTGAATATAAGTCGGCTTACGGCCCAGAAGTGAACTGGATTCAATCATGCGTGAATGACCCAGAAGCTTGCGCGGTGGTCTTCGTGGGTATTGCGCCTATGTTATACGCAGGCCTGCGTTGTTTGAAAGATGCGGACAGCGTTGAACAGTGGAAGTGGCCAGAGTTTAAAGCACCAACTTCGGATGGTTTACTGAAAGCTGTGGGTTACGAAGAGCAGGACTGCCGCGCTGGGATCAGTGGTTACGACGTCCGCAAAGCGTTGAGCGGCGTGGATTTACAAATATTGTCCATCATCTACGACATTGCTGGATTCTGGGCTTTCTATTGAGTAGGAATAACATGTGAGCTGCCAAATGGGTTAGGAACAAACAGATTCGCTGTGCGTCTCTACAATTACTAGCCGGCATGCGAATGCTCATGAGGCATGTCTAATTTATGAAGTGCAGTGGTAGCCATTTTATGGATACAATATTCTTTTACAATGCCGCAACTGTCCGTTGAGGCAAAACAAAGTTCTCAATGTCTCTGCAACCGTGTTCATGATGAAGGTTGGCGGGTTCCTTTTCAACGTCACGCCTTCATCTTCGTATACCCGGCAAACGCTTTCTGGAGTTCCGCAGTTTACAAATGACAACGTGAACCCTTTTACGCCTTGTCAAGTCGTTAAGCGAGCAGTGTCGCTTGGCGTAGTTCGGTAGCATAGCAGTTGCTGTGTCAGCGCACTTCCAACGCCGATGTGGATGTGGAGGCGAGGTTTCCCGTAGACAGCGCAGGATGCCGATATTACTGATGTTCAGCATCAGTCCGTGACTTCGCAATCGCTGAGCGTGTCGCTAACTAATCACTAGTCCGTCTAGTTCGCGAATCCCCTGCATCGCCCATGTCCGCGTGCCTGCCTATTGCTGTCGCGTAGGCGTTTAAGCAGAGCTTCCACTAGGGCCGGTAGGATTTTTGTATATTATAACCAATACAATCAGAGGTTTGCCGGTTGCCACTAAATTCACGTGAAATGCCTCGGCAGGGCCGTCGCACGTGGATTGGTGATGTCGGATGGAGCGGTTTCAGGGCGGGGATTCGTACATATTTTTACATAAATATATATGTTTTCATTTCATTTATTATGAAAAGCCAAGGCTGCATCGCCCTCAGTTTTAGGTAGACATCCGTCCGTTGTTTTGGTGTGTAAGGCAACGTGTACATAGCGACTGCATTATATGTCCCATGCGTTGTATTATCGCAGTTTAGTTCAGAGCGATTTTATTGCACTGAAATATCTGTAAAACTATACCATATATGGTGTCTAATGTAGTTGTTCATTTTTTTTTCATCCGTGCGTTACGCATTACACATCATAGTTTGTTTTAAGGCCATGTGGAGAATGCTAAGCCATTATTAGTGTAGAAAGATGTCCGAAATACAACCTTCGCAACCTGCGACACATTCGGATCCTGCAAAACCTGAAGAAGCAAAAGTGCCTGTTAACTATGGCACTTTTGGTGAGATTTTGTACCATCTCGTCTCTTTTACGGAAGGATATGAGCAACAGGTGTTGTATATGTGTGTTAGGACTTTCGAGACAAGTTTGGGGTTTTCTAAGACGCAATTGTCGATGTTGGTGACGGTGTCTATTATGTCGCGCATGTGTTGCTCATTAGTTTGGGGATTGCTAGCAGACGCGTTCCCGACAAACCTCGTGATGTCTGCCGGACTGTTATTCATGGGAATCGCCTCAATACTTCTAAGTTCCACGTCACACTACTACGCGGTGGGTTGCATGTGTTGTATTGCTGATGTGCCTGCAGATCCTCTTCTTACGCTTCTTACACGGTGCTGCGTTCGGTTGCGTGTATCCAGTGCAACAGAAGATTGTTGCAGAATCCGATGATGATCAGAACAGCAGCACGTTTACCCGTCTTCATGCTCTGAATACCATTGGCCGTATGCTGTGCGCCGTCATAACTACGGAGGCTGCTCAAAATGTGTTGTTAGGATTCGTTGGTTGGCGTACATCATACATTGTGTTGGGATACGTATGGATTTCGGTTGGTATTGCAATTGTATTCGCGATGAAAAATGAGGAGGATCTTAGCACTCCTTACGACTCCATACAGAAATTCACCGAGCAAATATGGGGGGCATTGAAAGCTGTTTTTACGAGTGGAACTGCGTTTCTGTCTATATTTACGATGTTGATCGCAGAGGCTCCCATGTGCACACTTCCGTATATGATCACGTACCTGGAGTACTTGGGTGTGTCTGACCTCAAGGTGGGCGTTGCGATTGTGGTCACGACGATTGGTGGCGCGGCAGGAACTGCGGCTGGAGGAATAGTTATTGACAAGATTACAAGTACTCATAAGGACTATGGCGAACTGATTGCAGGCATCGTCGTAATGGGAGTCCGATTAATCGTGTGCCTCTTGTTCTTCATGTCCCCGGCTCCAGATGGACGTTTGCTGTGGTATCACTACATAGAGTTTGCCATTCTCGGGGCGACGTTGGTCACGGTTGGCGGTGTAGATAGACCAATTATGAAGAAAGCAATCGAGGACAAGTACCAGGCTAGCGCATCCGCCATAATCCAATGCATATCCGGCATTTCAATTAGCGTGAGTTTCGTAGAGATTTTCGGATATTTGTCTGAGAAACTGCATGGCTACGTCCCCTCTAACAAGCCACTCGAAGCCATGGATGACGGCCTGAAAGATAGAAATACAGAGGCTCTGAGGAAGTCGACCATGTACATCATCGTGATAGGCTCACTGCTCAACATTGCGTGCTATATCGCGTTGATTTTTACATATCGAAAGGAAAGGCCGGACATTAAGAGAAAAAATAGGGAATGGAGGAAGGCTAGGGCGGAAAAGCTGGCAGCAAGGAAGAAGGCAAGCCAGGAAGAGCCAATTTACGAACTGCCACCGGAAGTGCCTGTGGAAAAGGAAAGAGAGGTGTCCCTTGAAGATGTAGCACACATAATGAAGTCATAGCGGCGAGATCAGTACCTGTGAGGTATTCGAAATTGCTTGTGTTTTAAGCATACGTTACCGTGGCAGACTATTGCTGCTTATTTAGGTTAGCTGTAAACATAGCAAGGCGACATGCACCCGCATTTTCGCGCGATCTTGTTGATGTCTCCATTGGTGCGTATCTCTGTAAACGAAGCCGCAGTCGACGTCACCTGGTTAATGGGCTGCACAAGCCCCATCCAACATTGCCCAGCCCGGGCTCTGCCCCCTTCAGCCCGCATGACCCATTCCCCAAGTGGGATTATCTAAAGACTTCAAACCTTCGAGCCGCCCAGTCCCTCCTCGCAGCGGCGCGCGTCGACAAGCTGACCTATCTACAGGCGTGACTGACACGTAAGCCAGACTCACCTAACTCACCACCTAGCAACTTGCCACCTGACCAAATGGCTGACTTACCACCTAATCAAATGGCTGACCTACCGCCTGACCTAAAATCAAGATGATGCGCTGAGTTGCCCCTTGCTTGTGACCTTGGTCGTCCACCACAGAAGCTGACTGTCTTAATCCTGGGTCGGGCGGTGGAACATGATCAACATAAGGAGGCAGTGATTTGTGATCACATTGGTGCAATTAACGCTGCAAATAACACTCTCCTCCGACAACTTACCAACCTGAACACTTGGATCACCGACGCTGAGAGTATCCGTGCCGCGGCTGAAAAAAGGCCAAGGAAGCCTATGATAAGTTGAAGGTTAATAAGACTCTAGATCTGAATGTGAAGAAGATTGTGGAGGCTAATAAGAAAATTGAAGGAGTTCATGGGAAGCTTGGTGGTGTTGAAAAAAGTTTGGGAGAGTGGAAGCAGCAGGCTCAGGGTGTGCTTGGCCGTGCGATTAGAAATGCCAATGAGGTGTATGAGAGGTTAGAAAGTGAGATTGGTGCGAAAACTACTGCAATAGGCTCACACAATTCTGAAATTCAGAAGGCAAATACACAACTTGCCACTCATGTTACCAGTCTGCAGCAGTGGAACTCTGCCGCCCAGGGTGTCATTACCAAGGCGGAGGGGAAGTGTGCTCAAATTCTGGAGAAAGTTAAAACTACAGATCAAAAGAGTGTAATTTTTACGCAAGCTGAAAAGTTACGAGATGAGGGTACAAGACTTTTGAAGGCAGCGGAGCAGGCCAAAAAGGCTGTTGAGGCAAAAGTCTCTGAGGCCTTGGAGGCTGTTGTGAACATGGACGGAGATCTCAAGAGGGATTTGAAGGGTGTGAGAGATGCGATTAAGAAACAGATTTGGAGTAAGATTGAGGAGTTCCAAGTTACTAAGTTGGACAATTTGGTGAAAGGGGATTTGTGGACGTTGAAGGAGAGGATTGAGGGACTTGGCAAAGGTCTGAATACTGATGACAAAAGCCAACCGCTTGTTAAGCAGGCCTTGGAAGATCTTGCAGCGCAAAAGACACTTTTAGACGCTATCACTAGTGATACAAATGGTTCAATTCCCAAAGAGACCAGAAATCTTGAAAATAAGTTTAATAATGCAATCAAGGATCCTCTTACCCAGGCGGTCAGTGCAGTTGACCAGGCGATTGGGACGCTTGGAAAGAATTTTGAACCAGGCGGAAGTAACAATAGTATTGAAAAGATTTTCGAGCATATTAAAGACAGGGTGGGGGCGATTAAGGGGGAGGCGGGAGATAGAAATGGTCGCGGCAGAAAAGGTGTAGATGGAATCGTCGCCAGGTTTAAGGAATACGTCAAGGGTGTTGGAAACAATATGGCGAAACAAACGGAAGATGGGGGGACAGTGCACAGTTGGCTCGACAAGATTCTGACGCACAATGGCGTGGTACGGTATAGGCTTGGAGAGTTTTTGAAGGATAATAATGGTGGTAAGCTGCAGGTTAAGTACCAAAATGAGAATGGAATGCATGATCCAACTAAGAAGCAGACTAAGGAAAAGCTTAAACAGGCCAAAATTTATGATACAGCTAAAACACAGTCCCAGTTTAACGGCGCAACCAGTAACAGTATTGCAAAAGACTTGACTTCACTGATGAAATTCCTGGACGCATATGCCAAAACGCTTGATGAGGAGATTAAGAAAGGTAATAATAAGTTTGTCACTGAATTAGTCAGAGCGATTGAAGGAGATGTGAAGAATGGAAATCACCACTCCGATTACAAGCAGGAAAATCTCACATCCACAGTCGAAGCAACGCTAGCTGCACTCACCGCCGACGCCAGACGGACTGCCGGGGAGATCAATTCGCTACTGCTCAACGTCGACAGGAGCGGACAACCCACTGATGGCAGCGTTGCAAAATTTTTGGACAAAACAAAGGAAATAACCGATGACCTTGACAGTAAGCTTACCCAGGCGACTAGCCCTCCCAAACCCGACCCCGCCGGCACCTCCACTGAAAGCCCCGCCCAAGCCGTGGACAGCAGGTTGAAGGAAGTGAGGGATATGGTTAATACAAAGATTGAAGGGACATTTACGACCGAAGTCACAAAAGATCTTGCCGCTGCAGTAAGCGAACTTCCCACCGCCGTTGACAATTTCAACCAACAAGCTCAGGAACAGATCAGGGCTGCGGCCACGACGGCGATTGAGAAGGCGGCTAACGTAATAAGTGAGCAGGATGATGGAAGTAAAATTGACTTGAAGGAGAAGATGCAAACATTCCACAAATCCCATGAGGATATCGTTCATCCCACAAATGGTCTCCAAAAACAGCTTGAACAGCAAGTTGATAAGCACATTTGGAATGATAATCCGCCGGGTGGTAAAATTAACATTAAAGATACATTTAGCAGTTACAATTCGCACGCTGATCAAAATAGCCTTGATCCTAATAAACCAGAAAATCTAGAAGGCAAACTTCCACAGGCGATCGGGGACATCAAGACTGTGGGCCTGAAAGAGCTTGAAAACACTATCGGTAACGGTGCCCAGGATATAATTGAAACAACAACCTTCACCGGTCCGTTCACCCAAATTCAGACAGAGCTTGACGAGATCAAGAAATTGGTTGATGGCAATGGTTCATTCATCGAAGACGGAAAGGATAAAGGCGTAAAAAAGCATTTGGCTAATCTGAAAACAATGCTTACTAAGGGATCATTCATTAATGGAGGCAACGGCCTTGAAGAAATCAAATCGGCGATTGACAGACTGCAAATAACGACGTTTACTACCCAACCCGCTGCAATTGGCCAAGCCGTCACCGCAATTAAGGCGGAGCTTGAAGAGCTTAGGGAGAAGTTGAAGAAAGATAAAGATGAAGATGTCATTAAAAGACTGGAATACATGAAAAATGAGGGCCTCGGCACAAACCAAAATTCTTGGAACCCGGTTAACGGCAAACCTCTCAGTGGTCTTGGGAAAATTGAGAGGGAGCTTAAAAAGCAGAATGAAATATTGAGGAAACAACCTGGCATAATCGATAAAGCCGTTTCCGAAATTAAGTATCAACTTGCCGTGGTCGGAGTCAAATTGCGAAATGTTGGGAACAATGATGACATCCTTAATCCGTTGCAGCGATTTAAGCGAAGGATTGGCAAAAATGCCCCGGAGCCAGGAAATCTTCAGAAGATTTGTAATGAAATTCAAAAGCTGCAAGAAGGGCCGTTTCAAGAACATCCCACTAAAATACAAGACGCCAAGCAAGAAATTGTCCATGGACTTACTGCCCTTCAAATCGAGTTGCAAGGCGACAAGCCAGGCAACGATGTCATTAAGACACTGAACGATTTGAAGGGCGATGGACTAAGTGCAACTGAAACATGGACCGTTAAAGGTGAAAGTAAAAAAGGCCTCGCGAAAATCGAAAAAGAACTTCAACGTCAACAAGGCATATTGCACAACCAGCCCAATACCATCGGCCAAGGCGTCAACCAAATCACGAATGAGCTTAACAACCTCAGACAGCAGTTGAACACTGAGGTCACCGAAAAGCTGAAGAATCTGAAAGAACATGGCCTTAATAACGGTGACACACCGTGGACAAATGAAAGTCAAGCAGACAAAGGCCTCACTCAAATCACCGCAGACATCGTGACCATAAAAACAGAGAACGTTGAGTAAGTGAAGGAGAAACTCAAGGAGCTGTGCACGGCGATTAAGTACTCCGCCAGAGACGCCGCGTTCACCTTGAAGGAAGTGAAAGAGAAGAGCCTTAATGAGTTGACTGGAATAAAAGACCAATTGAACAGCCTGCGGATCCGTCTTGACCGCATTCTTGATCTGTGCTTCGGCTTTTTGGTTGAAAGTGGAAACGGCCCCGGGAAGTTCTTTAACTGCATCTTCGAGTGGCTTTTTGACTTGGGAATTAAACTTGTCTACAAGTCCATCAACTTCACTCCTCACCGCCTGCAACGTACTGTCCACGGCTTGGGCGGGGATTTCATTTGGGTCAGTGCTTTGGTTGGTAGCAGTCGCCGCGGTGAGCTGCTCGTTAAGCGTAGTGGCAATCGGCGTGATAGTGTCCAGGATGCCAGCGATGTTGTTTCCGTCCTTTGGCTCGAGCAGCACAGACTTCAGTTCGTTGCCCACCTGCCGTGACACGGCGGTGAGTGCGCAAAAAACGGCAGCGATGAAAGCCTTTTCCTTACAATCTTTACCGTGGCTGTTCCGTCCGCCGTTACACTTTGCGCAGCCTACGCTCTCGCAGATGCATTTTGTGGGTTTGAAACTGTTATCCTGCATCTTCTGCTTGACCTCGGAGTATATTCCACTGAACCCATTATTATGCAGCTTCTTATCAAGCGCATCGGCGAACGCGTCGCAACCTTGTTTCACAGCATTGACGTATGCATGAATCTTTTGGGTGCCGCCGTCAGCGCCATTGTTTCCGTCTACAACCTTTTTACCGGCTGTCGTTGCGTCGCCGCCAAGTGCATCCCTAACCTCCTTTGCGACGTTCTCGATGTTACTCTTCTCACTCTCTTCATACAAACCTTTCCTACCAACCATCATCCTCACAGCGCCGTTATGCTTCAAAACATCTTCCAACCAGCCCTTCACTATATTCTTGAACTTACTCCCGTTGAACGCATTGAAATAATCTTCCACCTTGGACTTAATCCCTTCAAGGCCTGAGCCATTAGTTCCGCCTTTCTTCGGCGTCCCCTTAATCTCCCCAACCTTTCCTTTAATATGCCCGAAAATCTTCTCAAGTTTCTTTTTATCTTCTTCGCCACTTACACCAAACTTCCCGCCAAGCGTCCCAATCGCCTGGTCAACTGCACTGACCGCCTGGGTAAGAGGATCCTTGATTGCATTATTAAACTTATTTTCAAGATTTCTGGTCTCTTTGGGAATTGAACCATTTGTATCACTAGTGATAGCGTCTAAAAGTGTCTTTTGCGCTGCAAGATCTTCCAAGGCCTGCTTAACAAGCGGTTGGCTTTTGTCATCAGTATTCAGACCTTTGCCAAGTCCCTCAATCCTCTCCTTCAACGTCCACAAATCCCCTTTCACCAAATTGTCCAACTTAGTAACTTGGAACTCCTCAATCTTACTCCAAATCTGTTTCTTAATCGCATCTCTCACACCCTTCAAATCCCTCTTGAGATCTCCGTCCATGTTCACAACAGCCTCCAAGGCCTCAGAGACTTTTGCCTCAACAGCCTTTTTGGCCTGCTCCGCTGCCTTCAAAAGTCTTGTACCCTCATCTCGTAACTTTTCAGCTTGCGTAAAAATTACACTCTTTTGATCTGTAGTTTTAACTTTCTCCAGAATTTGAGCACACTTCCCCTCCGCCTTGGTAATGACACCCTGGGCGGCAGAGTTCCACTGCTGCAGACTGGTAACATGAGTGGCAAGTTGTGTATTTGCCTTCTGAATTTCAGAATTGTGTGAGCCTATTGCAGTAGTTTTCGCACCAATCTCACTTTCTAACCTCTCATACACCTCATTGGCATTTCTAATCGCACGGCCAAGCACACCCTGAGCCTGCTGCTTCCACTCTCCCAAACTTTTTTCAACACCACCAAGCTTCCCATGAACTCCTTCAATTTTCTTATTAGCCTCCACAATCTTCTTCACATTCAGATCCAGAGTCTTATTAACCTTCAACTTATCATAGGCTTCCCTGGCCTTTTTCTCAGCCGCAGCACGGATGTCTTCCGCTTGGGTGATCCAAGTGTCCAAAGCCTTAACTTGTATGCCAAGCGTCTTATTAGCCTCGTCAAGTCCTTGTCTAGCGTTATCAATCAGACCAATGTTCGTACCAATTTTATGCTGATCATCTTTTTGATTAGGATCCAACCTTTTATGAACGTCCTGCGCCTTCTGAACGACTTTGTCAAGCACATCTTTCGCCGCAAGGTTCCAAGCCTGCAAATCTTTGTGAACAGTTTGTAGTTCACCATTCACACTCTCCACTTGCTTTTTAGCGTCCTCAATTTTCTTAATACCTTCGCCAATTTTCGTCGTCTCGCCAGGGCCTTCTTTCTTACTGGGATCCAAATCTTTATACACTTTACCAGAACTATCAATCGTCCCTTCTAGCACTCTGCTCGCCGCATCCTTCCATTTTGTCAATTCTGCAACTCTCTCTTGTAACTTGCTCTCAACCGTTTCAATCGCCTTGTCAAGGTCTCCAAGATTATCCTTCTGCTTAGCATTCCCATTCACCTCATCCAAAATCTTCTGGACTAAATCCTGCGCAGCTTTAATGTCCTTTGTAGTTTTCTCAATCCACTTGTCCAGATCCATAATATATTGTCCCAGCGATTTACTGACATATTCAAGGCTATATTAAAGGTGATCAGTGACCTACTTTAGAGGTGCAAGAGAGCGTCGTAAGACGCGCCTGCAGCCTCAATCCGCCGCCGCAGACGGGAGAGAGGACGGTGTGGAGATGTTTGCCAGTTTCGTGAGTTGCAGGCAGATCCTCATCCTTGAATCCCATGTTGACGCGGCTCTTGCGGCAGATGTTGCACGGGTCGAAGGGATGTGTCTTGAACTTGGAGGCGGGGGCGTCAGTCAGGAAGGCCTGGAGGGGGGACTTGGGAGATGATACATCATGGCCGTACTGACAATCCTGCCAACCACCGTGCTTGGAGAGTCGAGAACACTGCGACTTTAGGAACTCCAACTGGTGGTGAGAAGCGTAGGCGTAGTCGCGCAGATGGCAGAGGAGAGCGCAGCAATCAGGGTCCTTGGATTGGTCCGAGTCCTTAGGCGTTGAAGTTACAGACGACACTGCCATCCTCCACTTGGGCGCGATGGCATTGAGCACTGAAGCTGCGAACGTGGCGGCAAGCTGGAGGATGTCGATGACGTGTTTAGGGCGGATATGAGCACCGTTGACTGGGAGCGTGGGGCTGAAAGGCACATCGTCGCGCTTGAAAGCGTTATGAATGCACTTTTCCAAAGTCTCTTGGTGTTTTGGGTTATGCAGTCCTGCCATCCAAACAAGCATATCCCTGACCGTGCGCGGCGCCTCGGCGGGGAACAGCTCCGTCTCGGGGATATCGGTAGAGTCATGCGTAGGTTTCTGGGTGAGCCAAGGAACAGGGCACATTCCTACGGTTTGAGGCTTGATAAAATCTGGATCGAAGTCTGTGGTTGGTAGAAGCTGCGGATCTTCCACTGGTTGGAAGTTGAAAGCGACGTCGGCGGGTGTGAATGGTCCTATTGGGTCAAGGGGCTCGGCGGCTGGCAGAGGTGGAGGGTCGTAATGTAAGGTGATGTCGTTGACACTGCGGTCTTCATGATGGACCCGTTGGATTTGGTGATCCAAGTGGTCTTGTTTGGTATCACCAGTAGGCTCGGGCCGAGATATGTATACATCGCCACCTCTTAAATTCTTGATGAGCTGGTTCTTGTAGTTCACCGCGTCCGCGTAATGCAGCTTTTGACCGCTCTCTTTTTTCTGTCTGAAAATATCCTCAGCCTCTTTTTTTTCATTTTCACGCTCACTCATGATTTTCTTTACCTTCTCGTCTCTGCGTTCATTTCTTTCTTTCTTGAAAATTTCCCAGAGTTCGTTTGCCTCTCTGACCTTTTGTGAGTGTACTTGCGCAGACTGCAAGGAAGTTGACACCGGGTGACCTTGTAGTTGCGACGCCAAGGATACCTTCATTGTCAAATCTTCTTCAGCTTCTGCCGTTGGGAACTTATTTGGTTCGGTTTTAATATCTTCGCCAGTGACATGTGTTATGTCTGCAATGTTACTGTAGTCAAGCATCATTGTTGTTGGCTGCTTGGTCAGGGTATGAGAAAGCTGCGCGGCAGGCTCTATAGTCGGAGGCTGGGGTGGCATCTGAGTTCTAGAAGCATTGTGAACTCACCGATTTATGTTGTCGTCATATGTTTGTTGTCGTTTAGCTGACTGTGCTGCCGCCAGCCTAGCCGCCGAAGTTCGGAGAAACTCTTCACGCTCTTTGTGTGCTCTTCGCTGCAACTCAATTTTATCGTGCTCCTGCTGGACGTAATACCGGTCCCAACGGTCCTGCTCATCCGCTACCATTTTGCTCAAACCTTGAATTGCTGCCGATGTATCACGCTGTGGGACGCCATCGAGAATTGCCACTTCTTTATCGCCACTTGCAGACGATGTCGGCGTCGGATATGGAATTCTAGTATAGTTAGGGAGGTGATAATAATAGTAGTCGGAAGCCGGGATAGGCGGGTGCTCGACCTTAACGGTTTCTTTATATTTCAGCTCCGCAGCGGACTCATCTTTTTTCTGTTGCTCAGCATCTTTCAATTTTTTCTGCAACTCATCTGCCCTTTTTTTATGGTCAACGGACTGACAATATTTACCGCCGCTAGAAGTCGTAAATATGGCGGAACACTGTTGCTCTACACCTGAACCAGCCGCCGTAGTAGTGACGCTGCTTGGATTCTGATCGGTGTCTTTACTTGTTGGTTGACTAACATCTTGACCATCTTGTCGACTCCCCCGACCGCCAGTGGGATCAGTGTTTGAACCTGAAACACTCGTAGGCTGAGTAAGAACAGGCTCCTGAGAGACAGCAGGCTGTTGAGCTGAAGCGCCACCGACCGGTAAACCCTGAACCGTGGGACCTGGCTGAGCAGGGAGGGCAGGGGATACAGGAGCACTGGGGAGAAGAGGCGGAGGAGGAGCAACTGGCGGGGCTGTATCAGGTTGTTGAACTTGACTGTCTTGTGAATCTGTTCGAACTGTAAGCTTAGGAAATGGCGGAGGTACTGGAGCAGACTTTACATCTGGTGAAGTTGGGGACGCTGGAGACCCTGTACCAGGAGGCCCTGGCTGTCCTCGATCACCCTTATCACCTTTAGGCCCTTGCGGGCCTTGACCTCCTTGATCACCAGAAGGTGCAACTGGAGCAGGAGGCTTTCCACCTGGTGAATCCGGAGCCAAAGAGGACACTGAAGGAACTGGACCTTTAGGCCCTTTCGGGCCTGCATCTCCTTGATCACCGGGAGACGTTGTAGCAGACTTTAGAACTGGTGGAGTTCCCTCCGCTTTCTTGCCCTGGTTCTGTGCTCCCTCACTTTTCTTGCCCTGGTTCTGTGCTCCCTCACTTTTCTTGCCCTGGTTCTGTGCTCCCTCAGATTTCTTGCTATCATCCTCTAGACATGAATCTCTTACTTTACCTTCCAAAATCTCTCTAAGCCTATCCAAACTTTTATTATTTTCGCTAAGCTCTCTGGCTGCACTGTACAAATCGCTCATCACATCTTTCACTTCCTGTGGCGACCTTACAAAGCGATAGTCTCCATTAAATATGAATCCGTAGGGGAAAAGGTTTTTAGTGAAGTATGTACCAGAATGTTCGTCGCGCTTGTGTTGCTGAATATCCTTCAATTTTCCCCGCACTGTGGTTAGATTCGTTCTCATCCAATGCGCTGCTCTGGTAGCAAGCTCATTCTTATTAAGGTTTTTAAGACCCGTCGATTGGCCTGTGAAGTCAAAGCGTTGGTTGGTGAACAATTTCTTAATTTGTTGTTCAAGTTGTGCGCAATGCGCCTTTAGGTCGTCCCAGCAGATGGATCTATCTTGTGAACTCAATCGTTTGTTTAAATCTTCATTCAATTTCTGTAATAACTCTCCGCCGTCCTGAGAATGCTCTTTTCCCACAATGTGGCAGAAGGTTCTCACCAGTGAGAGCGCATTCGCAGTGTTCTCCTTATTAACGCCGGAGTATGCAACAGCGGAACTGACAAACACGCTGCGGAAGAAATTGTAGGGATTTTTTTCCAAAATCTTTTCAAGGTCCACATACATATTAGAACCCTGGTAGTAGCCATACGGATAAGAGGAATTATATCTCACCTCTTCGCGACCGAACCCCCCGGGTAGCAAACCGGGGATTTGCCTATACTGTGGGTCGTCGACTGTTGCTCTGAGATATTTCTGCAGTTCTCCGCCCCAATATCCATCGTACCCTAGGTAATTCTTTTCCCAAGTCCCGCCGCCCAGCGTTCGGAAACTATTATGTATGCAGTAATTCAAATAGTACATAGCGGCGTAGTATTTAGGGTGGCACTCAAGCAGGGCATCTGCAATGTCATTATCGCTTTTCCCTGTATAATCGGCCGGCTTTGGGGTTTTGCACAATCTCTCGTAAATCCCAGACGCTTTCCCAACGAATTCTTTTAAGGCGTATTCAATGTTTTTTACTGTACCAAATGAGGTATCAAAATAGCTTTCAATACGCCTGTGGAGATTTTGTGAAACCTCTTGAAGCCTATGCTTTCCATGCCCTTTATGCAACCAGAACAGAAACTCAAAGCAGTCCTTAAGAGTGCCAAGCTGAATGCCAGCCGCCATCTTAATTACGAAGGCACTCAGCACAATGACACTAACAAATAGGCGTTAGGCTAGTGGTACAACTGTACACGTGAAAGCGTTTAAATGGTTAACTAGGAGACACTAAAGCGATAAAGCCTCTAAGGTGAAGTCACTGCTTCCACATCCTAAAGACACTCCCAAGTTGCTTGCAGAGGTATAATTGCGATATGAAGATCATGCTTACATTTCCTGTTTTATAAGGTTCTGCCTAGATTTCCTTAACCAAGTTCACAGAGATTTCGATATTGTCATCATCCTCCCTGGTCCACCTAGCCAACTCCAAAACATGGCTGTCCAGCGTCTTACTAACTTGCTCAAGCAGAGGTAAGAGGTTACCAAACAAGGCTTCAAAATGTCGAGGAAGAAAGTAACTGCCTTGCGAATATGTGAGTTGATGTCGTCTCTAAGGTTGATGAGAGCGTGCTTGATAAAGACGTCGGTGAGGGATGGCTGGCGCCGGCAGTGATGGGAGTGGCGTGACATGTGGTCAAAAAGCTAGGGGTGGAAGTGGATTGCGCTACGAATTGATGAGCTAAGGGATTGACTGGAGATTGGTTTCTAGGCGTTTTGCTTTTAATGTTTACAGGAACCAGATGATGTGGGTTGTGCACGGACGAGGTTCAGAGGGGGAGCATGGTAATAGGAAAATTAGAAAATGTTTTTGAGTCAACTCCCCAAGGTGTACGTCAAAATATGAGGAGCCGATGGACTCTAGTAAGATGACTTTGGATGTGACGCGGCTGGAGTGTGCCATGTGGGCTGGCTGTGGGTGACAGCATGGTTATGTGGAACAACACCGACAAATTAATGAAATACGTGGCACATTAATTTTGCGAGTATAAGCCACGTTGCTGACACTATCACATGACACTAAACTACAATCAGCTTCTAAGCCATAACAACCACAAGTAAACCACCACCCACCACCTAACGCACCAATCTGGCAAAGGGAAAATATACATTAACAAAAACAGTTAATGCGACATTTAAATGGCATCTATTGCGATGTCATTCTACGTGCGATACGTGAAGCTACAGTAGGCCCTTGAACGGGAAGGCGGAGTATTCATCAGCGTCCATCTCCTCGTGAGTCCTTCCACCGGCAAGATTCGTGGATGTGCCGGAACCTTTAAACGAGTTAACAAATGCAGCACGTAGCCAATAGAACACCTTGCGGAATGGACCAGGATACAGGTTCCAGGCAATGAAGATGCCTATTAGAATCCCAACGACGGGAATGGCAATGGCGCCAAAGCGGTAACATACATGTTTCGCACATAATTTGCTGCAGTCTTTGCAGTAAGCGATGCAATTACCGTTGGCATCGCGGAATTTGGCAAAGGCGCGACAACTTTTTTCGCATTGGCCAGGATGTGAACTGGTTTTATTCTCGCCGTGGTATGGGTAGTGTCCCTTGCATTCTTCTTTGCTTGGGCCATCGCACTTGCCGATGACGTAGCCACCGCACTTGCCAGTACAACTGTTACGCTTACACCAAGGACAGCAGTTACAAAGTCCGTACCCGCATCCACAGTTACAGTTAGCACATATACACATAGCACCCAGTTTTTGATCTTTACATTTGATCTCACAGCGCGGACATTTTTTATTTTTACCCTGACACTCGTTATCGTCGCCGTCTTTGCCGTAACAATTCTCCGCGCAAGCACAGCGAACTAGGCGACATTTGCACTGCTTGCCGCCACCACTTTCTGCGCAGTTCTTCTTGCAGTTTTCACATCCGGGTTCACAGCACGGATTGGAGCCCTTGTGATCGGGCTTAGTGCAGTCCCGACCATCGTCATAGTGACATGTTATTTTCTCACACCCACAGTTGTTCTTTCCCTCCACCCCTGTCATCCTTGTTCCTGGATTCATTCACATACCCATCCACAGCGATGAACATCCTGGTGCAAACGGCAGAACGCAGCCTCCAGCAGCACAGGTGACATGAGGTCATTAAAGCGACCAGCTCTGCGTAACTGTGGACGGCGTACCTTGAGTCTCTCCCATGTTTCAACACAGCAACTTACACAGTTTATGTGCACACATGCCAATCTCGGTCCATCCAGTGAGCGGGCAAGCGTTGTCGAAGATCATGCCACCGGACACCATGAGCATCGCCGCTACATACATCACGAGTAAACATACTCACATAATGACGGTAACGTCACACAAAACTATACGTGATATAAGCAAACGACAAAATCTCATTCATCTCAGGTCACGCCACCTCAGCACTGCCCTTACTGCGGCACAACCTTGTTAGCATGCAACCGCATGTGACAACGTATCCAATTGTATCAAAAACTAAATGCATTAAACATCCACATCGCATCTGCATATATGTCGCCAACGGAGGTAGATATAACCAGTTTCTGCCAGTCTAAAGTTTTGTATCATTCTAAACATTGTACGAAATGATGCGCAACGTCCGTAGGTGTCAACGCAACATCTCCGTTGAAAGACAAAACTCCACCACTACTGCTTTACATACACGACTTAGATGCGTCTACGTTTCCATTCACAGCTGCACCAGCCGGCGTTGGTCTATTATACGTCGCAGCTTTCCACCTTCACTCACCTGAATGGCAATCGCAGCGATGCTCCCGCATTACTGGTGCATCCATTCTCAACACTTAATCAGATAACGATATTATTCCAACGTAAGATTTGAAAGACTCTTCGGTTAGTAGCGTCCATGTCATTGATGGACGTCCCTTCCCCGGACCGACGATGCCCATGATGCAGCTCATTATTCATTGTTTCGGTTTTATTCAGTGCGCTATCTGGCTGCGTGTGGCTTGGGCCCGATTTTCGTGTTTACCAGGTTAGCGCCTCGCACTGTCGGTGAAGGCTGCAGGGCCCACGTCGCACCATCGCCGAACCTTACTGGGCGTCACTCTTATGGGCCATGTTCACCGCCATCTAGATACTCCACATAGCACAACAAGTAAACAATTCACAATGCCTACAATTGCACGGCCCACACCAGTGCATACCACCTCACTTTTCGTCCGTTTGGGGTGGAATAATTTCAGATTAGGAAAATAAGCAAACAAAAGGATTAAAACGCTTAGTCACTAGGTCTAAGGGTTAACATGCTTTGCAATCAATAGGCGTTCTACATTTCTGTAGACGGCTCACCACCGAACTACTGCATTGCTGCACGTACCGCTTGTCAACCTGAGGGGTGAAGGAATGTAAAGCGTGACTTATAAACTGCGGGTCCCACAAAATGTCCGTTGGGTATACGGACATTGAAGGGTGAAGCTGAAAAGAAATCCGCCAACCGGCGTCCTGAATACCATTCAAGAGGCGTTGACAGCGATGCCACTTCCCGTCTGACGATACTAGTGTAGTGGGTGAAGACTGTATCCACAACACTGGCTATCATCACATTTCAAGATTAGAAACGCCTCATGAGTATTTCTATGATGTCCAATCACTGGGGACTCTGGGTCCTATTCTTCTTTGTCGGGCTTTTTTTGCAACTTTTTCGCAGCCTTTTAGCAGCCTTTACAGACTTCGCAGCTTTGACCACTTTTACAGGTGCTTCAGCTTTCACATGTTCTTCAACTACTGCAGATTGTCCCTCTTGAACAGGTTCCACGGGTTCTATAGCTTCTGCAGGTTGTTCCGCTTCCACAGGTTCTGCGGGGTGCTCCACGGGTTCCACAGGTTTTACGGATTGTTCCTCCTTAGTTGGTTTTACAGCTTTTACAGCTCCCGATTTATTCTTTCCATAGAAAGCCCAGAATCCAGCGAGGTCGTAGATTATGTTCAATATTTCTCTATTCACACCTCTCAAAGCCCAGGTGACACCTGATGTACTCATGTCAGCGCGGCACTCCGGCTCTTTGCAACCCACGGCTTCTAATACCTCTCCCAAACTACTACTCTTATTAGTAAGCCGCGCATATGTCAAGGCTTCTTCATTGCACGCAACCCTCAAGGAACTTAAGCCGGTGTATAACATAGGCGCAATACCCACGAAGACCACCGCGCAAGCTTCTGGGTCATTCACGCATGATTGAATCCAGTTCACTTCTGGGCCGTAAGCCGACTTATATTCAGCAGGGTTTTTGATCTCATCCAAAAACTTCCCAGTAGCATGCACCACTTCACCAATATTCTTCGCAATGGTCCTCGGAGTGGCACGCCTGGCCCTTACGACGTTCACATGATCGCTTTCGAGATAATCTTTATGGCCATTACATGCTAATCCGCCATCGGATTTACTCATACGTACACTAAATCTCCCCACCAGCCTTTCTACAGACCAGTGGTTCTGAAGCTGCGATTTCCTCAGGAAGCTCCTGGAAATAAGTTTGACTTCCTCGAGAGCTGGCACCTCCATCTTGCCAACAGGTTTGTCTGAAAGGAAGTCGTAAATAGCAGCGCCCATGGCCTGAATGGTTAATTTGGAATAAGGTCCCTTCAGGGCCATTAACCAATCTATGGCCTCCTTGAGGTTTTGGGGAGCCTGAGTCAACGAATGGTACACCATCTTGTGAATGTTAGATAACTTAGGCGACTGATAAAGGTGTAGGTTCTCGTCTGTTTGCAGCAAGCGTATCTAAACACCTGCGTCTCAATCGAGGAAACATACTAGTGCCGTAGCCTTCTAAAACGCACACGGCTTATCGAAATATATAGGCAGGTACCTACACCGAGCAGGGAGAATCCGGAGGCGCGATGTGAAGCCAGGTGCCCCATCGCAGACAGGTTTATACCATTGACGTGGCATGCGGTATCCATAATGCATGTCGTTGTCGTATCCATTTTTCAGGCGATACGGCACATTTTGAGCCTTTACACGTCAGTATATTTGTCCCAACGCATCAGCTGTTAAACATTTACCAAGGTTTGAGATTATTATATTAGAGCCTCCGTTGTCCCATGTTTTTCACGTCTATCCCCAGGCATAGCCCTTTATCTCGACCATAATCGGGACATTTCACAACGCAGAATATACTTGTATTGTATCGCCTTGCACTTACCTATCAGACAACTCACTAGCTTATCTAGGATGGCACCTCTTGTCCTCTACCTTGGATGATTACCGATTCGTATTGAGCATCATTTTGCCATCGTACTATTGCGATTTTGATGCCGGTATGTTACTGTAATATGTTTATGTTCTTGAATACTGTACGACTCTTATTGCCACGGCAACGGTGGTGTTTGGCCGCGCTGCCGTGGAATTCCGGTGACCAAATCGTTTCCCAGATACTTGCAATGCTGTTGTCATGAAGATGACAAATATTTTTTTTACCGATGAGAAGTTTGCAAAACTCTGCAATTAGAGTGTTAAAGCAGCGTAAAAGACGACAGCCCAAATTTTTGGTCATTGACACCCACTCGGCGGCGGGTAATTTGACAAAAAGGGACATGATGCAACAGTTAATAACAAGTATCTAATCAACAATGACGTGTAAACTGATGGATACTTTTAATACTGACTGTCCGATAATCTCCGGTGAAAATTGCATAAAGCAATGCTGCCGCCGTTATTGTTTGTTGTGGATCCGTGATTGAAATATGATAAAAAGGGATAACACTCTTGAAGGCAACAGATGATACCCCACCCAGAATCTCACCGAATTTCAAATGGCGACGCTTTTTCAATGGCGCAGCAACAAGGTTCTATCATAGACGGAAGAACCCATGGAAAAGATATTTATTGATTGGCTGTGAAGGCCAGTGCTTAAAGCATTTCTTAACCCGAATAAGTCTTTCTTTGTCAATGATTTCTAAAAGGTCCTAGCTTCATTCTTATTTGGATACGTAGCGATCGCAACAGACGGAAGCATTTGGGAATGAAATGTGAGACGAAGCGCGTGAGTAATCAGGAAAGCTTTGCATCCACCTCGTAAATGATAAAATGATACTAATGCTGGAACGCGCGTCATAAGATGATACGGCAGTCGCAATTGGGAACCAAAGCATTGCAACAATTTATATAGGTAAAGGTTCAGCGGAACACGTTGATCCCATCGCATGGAAGTCGCGTTAGACACGGTCCTATCAAATACTAGCGGAACAGTATTAAGTCGTCTCAAATTTATGATCTCATGATTGTAACAATCAACACATTAATGCCGTTCGTTACCCGTATTACGTACATGTTAGGTTCTTCATTTCGCGTCGAGAGTAGTACGTGGCAACGTGGAGTCCAAGGTCTTGCACTCCGATAAAGATGTTATGACATTATATTACGAAGTTAAATGAATGCCTGCGGGATATATTGGATGCAGTAGAGTGTTGGGTGTATCCCCGCTCACCCACTCTTCAGTGCGCCTTCAAGACTACACGCTAAGAAACATTTTCGATTCTCCATGATGCTACACAGCAAACACAAGCAGCAAGTATATTGTGCTATATCCCTCATAAGGCAGCTAAGGTATCTTGTTCCCCACCTATTACCACCGTCTGGACGCGTTGTTTAATGCAGGGTTGGTTAAAATGACGAAGAACTGCGCATGCCCACTAGGAGACTGTGATAATGGAAATGGTAGGTGCTGCACGTTAAATGAGTGCCGACAAGGGGCGCAATGTATATGTTGTGATTGTACATGCTGGCGCGATGGCACGGAAAAGTGTACGCTCAAAATATGCCGTTGCTGTAAGTGGTGTTGTAAGGGATGTACTACGTCTGAGTACCGTTGCCGTGAATGTAAGTCGCTCGGCGGGGCGAAGGAATATACTTATGAGGGTTGCTTGCGTTGTGAAAATTGGTTCACCTGTGAATGTAATTTGTGTGAATCCCGCTTATGCGCAATATTTGGCACATTGGCATGTTTAATTCTCGTAGCTCTCTTAGCCATAGCAGTCTACATATATCGCGACAAAGCTCGGACTTGTTGGCTTGGAATCATGAATGCACTCAGTAATGACTCAAAGCCGTGTAGCTCATAATTAGCTCCTCCATCCAGCAACTACTCGGAGCCTTACTCAGCTCACGTATAGTTCTTGTAGCCACGAGGCAATTAAACGTGAATATAATACTTTATTCAGCTCTACTCTGACCACATTACTCTGATCATGCAATCGGTAGACAGAACATCACTAAAAATATGTATTGCATCCTTGGCCTTATGGCAATTGACCCAAATTAAATTTACATTCCACCTATACAAAACAACATTACGTATACAGGCTCAGTATATCGTTGTATATTATTGAATCACAAATTAAAGTCGTGTTTTGGCAGCGAGTGGGAGATAAGTGAACGCTGCGTCTAATCATCACTGCTACTATCGTCCTCGTCGCTGTGCCCTCTGAGCAATCTCTGCGAGCGATTTATCCAACCCAGAATGTTACGCAACAACGCATACCTTTTCCAGTATGAACTTTCCACGCTTGTACTTCTGCGACTCTTGGCTGGCCTCCAAGTACTTCCAACCTGCCCGGTGTTATGAATGGAGGCGCATGAGCAACCAACCCAAGTTGCTGCCGCAGCGGTTGCAGTAGATGTCAACTATGCTGTGCTGACCAGTTGTCATCATCCGATCCTCCACGTAACCTTCCGATACATTGTACACCCTGCACCGTTGTCAAAGGGCTCCCTTCGCGCCTACCTCGAGAACAGCCAGGCGTTGCCGGTGCGCCCGCGAAAGTTCGTTGAGATGCGATTCATCATCGTAGTTAGGCCAATCCCACATTGCGCGCAGCTGATGAAATGTCTTAGGCTATTTAGCAGCAACGTACGAATACACCCTGCTGCCTTCCGGCGAGCGTTCGTTCAGCTGTCCCATGGTTGCGTCGCCGTGACGTTGTTTGCAAAGGAGTTAGCTACATTATTAGTCGCGCAATGTTCAGACAATAGACTTGTCAGTTAACCCGCAAATGACAACGCTCGCGGCACGGGTGTACACCCGGAGCGTGGTGTCCATAGACAGGCCGACTCTGGCGATTTCATGGGCTTCCCGCATTAGCGCGCGTCTATGCGTCAATGTATGCAGCTACTGCGACGCGTGTTTCGCGATAAGATCCTTCAGCTGTTGCTTGTCACCGCCTGCGCTACGTGAGTGTGATTCCGCGGCAAAATTACCGATGTGCACGTCAATAGACTTGCCGTACTTGAAAACCTTGTACATTGGGATGCTATTTACACCCTCCTCGTCCGCAATCTGCGGTAGTTCGTCCACGTCGACCTCTAGAAAGAGAAGGTCCGGGTGCTCCTCACTGAGCTCCTCCACGAATACCTTGGACTTCTGGCAGGGCTTACACCAGCTCGCGCCGAACTTGGCGACTACAATCTCGCTAGCCTTGAGGGAGGCATGGTATTCTTCCGTGTTTTTAGCGAGCTTCACCACGAAGCGCCGCTGCGGCCGCAGCAGAGGCCCGTAGGCCCGCCCGAACGCACGATAGGCGAGGGGAAGCATTCTGAGATAAAAATTAAAGTGGTTTAATCCCAAATAGGCCTATGCGGAAGGGGGTGTGGCGGCTTAGGCCACGCGTACACGGCATCACACACCAGACAGCGGCTGGGGGGCGGTCAGTAGCCAACTACGTTAAACGTGAAGCTGACGAAAGAGTCATACTCGGTCTCGCCCTCGAACTCGCTGGGCGCTGCGCGAATATGACAATAGAAGACGACCACTTACCGTGTGATCCGGAGCTCTTGTCGCCCTTTCTCCGCGGCAGCAGCGAGTCCAGCGTCTTCTTGAGCGTATCCGCGTCGGCGCGATCCGTAGGCCATACGGAGAAGCAGGCGAAGTTGACCGGGAGCCCGAACTTGAGCACCGCCTCGCAAAAGGCCCGCATGGCCTTCAGATGTATCCAGCAGGTGAATATGTCTGAGAACGCCACCCGGTAGATACGCGAGAGGAACGCCTCCTGGCGGTGCGACTCGGTCTCGAGTTTGCTGCGCTCCTCTAGGATGGCGCGGTAGCGCTCCTCTGAGTATATAAACTGCTTCGCGATATAGCCCCGATTTTCGCACTCCTCTATGAAGTGCTTCATCTGCGACTTGAACAGCAGCACGCGCCACACAGTGTGCCTAGAGCAGTTGACGTTGATCTTCTTTGCGCTGTTGGGCACCACCATCTCGCTTAAAGTCATGTAGCTGGAAAGCCACTCGCCCTCCGTGCTGATGGGCACGAACACCACCAGAGTGGTCAGGTGCTCCGTGTCAATGTAATCCTGTGGATCGTCCACCACGTCCGGAGTGATCAAGTATGTGAGATCACGGTACAAGTACGCGTTCTCAGCCTCGTTCTTCATGGCCAGGCGTCTGTTGTTGAGGTCAGCGTACGCGCTGGCCTTGTTCATGACGTCGTCGTCAAGCTTCTTCACTAGCTGCACGAGCGTCTGCAGGTTCTCCGCCACCGTGCAGTACCGTGGGAACCTGCCGTCATCCCACAGGAAACGGGATAGGTAGGTCTCGATGGCCACCTGCCGTCCCTGGAAGTGGATGGTGAGCGCGCTGTTGTCGACGCTTCTCAACAATGTCTCTGAGCGCTTGAGCACCGTTTCGACGATTGGATCCTGCTTCTCCAGTTCGTCAGCGCACATCAGGAGGTCGTCGAACGTGGTGAATCTCAGGTTGTGAGGCACGTTCACCAGTCCGACCTCGTGACACATTTTGCTCTTGATAAGCTGCTTGCGCAGCAACACGTGCTGCTGCTCGCGACTCTCCGTCGGCGACGTGAGACACGCCACGAACATACACTTCGTCATTGTCTATAGCTGTATGATCCGGAGATTGCACTTTGACTCGATCCAGCAAAGCCGACGACGGCACCCGGAAGGGTCACCTCTAAATGGTCTACGATGCCTTCAATTGCTCAGTATTAGTCTCGGAACATTCGTTATCGCTTCTAAGCTCGCACAGATGCTGGATTGGCAAAAAGACGAGCGGACCAGACGGAACGGAGACCTTGCGTCATCGGCTGTGCCGTAATAGCGCTCGAAACCCTCAGGAACCGCTCCTAATACACACTGTGTAAATGCATCCGCTAAGTGCGGAAAATATACGTGTCAACACGGTAGACGGCTTCCGATCCCAGTGCCACACATCAGAGTTGCCGCGTGCTAGGCGGAGACTGATGTGACGACCGACCGCGAATTCGGATAATTAATGCAGAAAACCCAGTGCCAACTACGACACTGATGGATGCAAGCATAGCAGCGCACAGGAACTCCTTGTAACTGTCAATCTTGACTGCTACACACATATAGCGGCTCGACTCAGACAAAACTGCTGATCGTACTGCTTTGCTGTATCTACCTGTCCTTCCCTTGTCTATATAGCTATCAATTAGGATTTACGTCAGGGTTTCAGGTGTTACTCTTCTCCTTGGCTAGCCGCGTCGACGGTGACTCCTGCATGTGGAATGCGCTGTGTATGCCGTCTAGGAACCATCTGGATTTTGATATGTCTTCAGTTGTAGTATCACCCTTATTCTAGGCGTATGAATGGATCATATTGGTGATATAATGGCATTATATTGCCATTCATCCAAGTGAACTGCAGGAGCTAGGTCACCAAGACACCACCGACTTCATCGCAATGGCAACGGACTGGGGAGCATCCCAGGCTTACGATGCCGATCTACCACGGCAATGTCGGCACATCGAGTACATAGAGGCCAACCTTCTCAAGAAAGTGTTGATGCTTGAACAGATGGAGGTTGTGAACGCTAGCAACCATCGCTGCTTCATCCCGACGTGCCAAGGCGGCGACCTGAACGATCTGAAGGTCTTCTTCAACATGGGCACACCGCCTATGAACACATATCACCCCATCAACTACATCGGCATCGGCCTGCACTACGACGACACTGTGGATACCTCCGGGTGGTACACCGCCTACGTGCCTCTGCACCTCAAGTGCTTCAACAACGACCTGTACGCGTTGAAGCACACGTTGATTCGGTTGATTGGCTCTGGAAAATTCTGGTTGCCGAGGGACAAGCACACGGACCGGGCTACACAAGGGAGCCAAAATGACTCTAGCAGCTCGGCGCCGGAACTACCGTCCGGCGCTGCGGGAGCCCATTCCGCCGTAGGCATGGATGGACCGCAATATCACGCGCAACAAGGAATCAAAAACACGCAGGATGATGCGACGATTGATAGCAAGACCAGCACCCAAGCTACCTCGGATGACATCAGCTCGCCAGTTGTGAATCTCTTTGACACTACGGATATTGATATCGGTGGTGATGATACTAACGTCTTTATGCCGGCGTGTACGCCGCTTGGGGTGACCGATCCCAACCGGTACATCTTTGTTACACCTTCGTGCATGTACGCTACGTTGCCGGAGCTGGCATCGGTGTTAACGTTCGAGGGACTGCAAGTCAGCCTACGCATGGTGATTCAGGTCGTGGTTAAACCACGGTCATACATCGCGGCGGGAGCTAGCGTGCAAAACCTCAAAAACAACTTCGACTGCTGCTTCCCAAACGATGGTACGGTGCCCTATATAATGCATATTTAACTGCTGTTCAGCCATTGAATGGTATGTCGATGACGTTGAAAACGTCATTCCACAGCGCCTGTTGGCGCGGATACTGAGGAAGGAAGAAGGGGTCGTGCGTCATGAATCTTGCGACTCGCCAATAAAGCCCCCGCAAGAAATCACGGCACCGCAGGTCCACGGAGTGAACCTCATCACGGTGATGCCATCGACAAACGTCCTATTTGCATGCGAGAATAATTTCCTGGCGATGCGCGGGGCTTACTCCAGCGTAGGCGGCACGGAGGATGCCGTAACGTTTCTCGATGCCACCTCCCCTAAAGCGAACACAGCGTCAGTGTCAGGAAGTACTACCCCTATTCGCGCCACATCATCGGTCCAAAAGGTGCAAGACACCGCTAAACAAGGCGACCCAAGCCCCAAGAGAGCTGCCACAGCAGGCAACACGGGTGATGGGTCCACAGAACATGGCGCCCCGTTATTAGCGCTCAAACTAAAATGGACAGAGCACAACAACCGAGTGGTGTACTACCTCAAATCTATCATAGGCTCAAAGTTTTTGGAGTGGGACTCTGAGCTTAAGATATGGCGCATCAACGCCGCGTTCCTCTACGAATGCGTGAAGTACGCCATCTTCTTAGGGTTGAGGGTTTGTGACAGGGTTTTGTATGCGCTGTGGTCGTGGCTGAGGTCAATCGATATGAGGGCCATCGGCGATGTCTTCTCCAAGGTGCACCTGATCGACTGGCTCGGCACCAACAAGATATGGCAGTTCCAGCGAGTCTCGGTGCGGGTGACACCGGGGTTTAACCCTGCCGTGCACCGAGACACAGACAACGGAGCCACGCCTGCTGTGCAGGCCATGTCACGAGAAAACGCAGAGACGGTGGAAATAAAGCTGCTGCCCTTTAACAAGGACATTGTCACCAAGTTCAAGGAACGCAATGCAGCAACTGGATCAAGCTCAACGTACGTGTGGGACAAGGAGTCGGGCAGCTGGTTAACGGGAAGACTCTTATCAGCCCTGGAGGACCTTTTGGCAGTGCTTCCGCACCTCCGTGAATCTAACCTTGGTGACACCTTCCTGTCGTCTCGCGGCATAAACCTACGTGACATCAATCGTGAACAAAAGAAACGACAGTTCCCAGGCCAGATTTCTGTGCCCCTAAAGTGAGTTACAAACCCACAATACAATCACATATTGCCATGCAGGCGGCCAAACGCAACACCCGGTGACGACAGCGACAGCGAATCGGAGTTCGCCACCGTGACCAAACTGCTAATAACGGCAGCGGGAAAGGAACCGCACCTAATGCGCATCCGCGACAAGATACGCCGTGTCGTAGAGTATGTTGACACAGTAAATGCATCATGGTTCTCAGGAACGTGGCGCCGCCGACATCGAGCATTTCGGCATCGGGAAAGGTGATCTCGGGAGGTGCCGGCACAGGTGGCATCGAGTTTGTGGAGGCCCCGCGAGGATGCGAATGGTGGAACAAGGTATCGCTGTGTGTGGTTCCTGACGAGCAGGACGGAGAAATACCCGTCGACCCGTACGACCCCCAACTGCTCGCAAGCCTCATCGGCGAGGTATACCTCGTGAAGGAGGGTGCGCTGGACTACCTGCTTGCCAACTTCAAGCGTTGGCCGGGTCCGCACGACGCGGTAGGGTACTCCCGTTGGACGTCAGTGATGACTCGCCATGAGCCAAACTGCTGGGGCGGGTTAACCTTTGACGGGCGCCAGAACCTCGCGCAGTCACGGCTGTTCTGCGACGAAGACTTCTTCGTCTCCGGCACCAATGAGAACAGGGATGCTGCGCTCTGCCGGCTGCTCATCCAGCTGGGCAGTGGGAAGATAGTCACCAGTGCTCGGGACGCGGAATACGTGATCATCACCGATCGCACATCGCAGGAGGCTTTAGAGCTGCAACGCCAGTTCGGGGCTAATGACGAGGACCTCATAGCGAAGACCCACGGAGCTCGCCACTCTACCCTCGTCACCCCCAAGTTTATATACGACTGCATCCTCGGATGGCGACTGCAGCGACCCACGCGGTCACACGGCCATATGGCATTTTGACGTAGCCTTCGCTTTTGGCAATAGCCACTATATGGAGTTACGCGCGCTACAAACTACGGTTTAATGAAATTATGAGCAACAGCTGTTAACGCTTCATTCTATATGGTTATGCTACACTGCAGACCGAGCACTTCGGATGGCACGCTCAGTTGCGCAAGAACTCAAGGATCTCGATGTGATGCCGTTCATCGAGTACCCCATTGTTGCGTATCACATCGAGGAACTTGATCGCCATCTCCTTGAGGTATGAGCGTTTGGGGTGCGTGCTTAGGATGCCCATCGCGTCGGCGTAGTTACGGTGGACCAACTTGTCGACCAGGAGGTTGATGGTCTCCGCCGTCGGAAGGTCCATGGTGCGCATTAGCGCCTGCAACTCTCCGGAGAAATGCTCGTTATCAAACGGGTCTACTTCTTCCGATTCATCATCCCCCAGAGAATCGGCTGCGGCGTTTTCCCCAACACCAGCGGCTGCCCCGGGGGTTCTGGAAGTTCCCGCCATATCACTTGAGTCCACGGTCGGATAAGGCTCCAGTTTCAAGTGCGGATCTGCCAGCTTGATCAAGAAAGCGTACGCCTCAGTTGGACTACAGGCACCGCTGCGGACGAGCATCGTAAAAACGGTATCGCCGTTTTCCGCTGACAAACTGAGATACTTCATCATCTTGAACTGCTGCTCTTCATTCAACAGCTGCTGCCAGTTGAGATCTAGAGGCGCCGATAGCGGCATCTCTATACCTGATTTCTTCAAAACCTTTTCCAGGTGCTCGAACTTGAACCGCGCCCAGATGTTACGAATGACGTGGTTGTTAACGATAGGCAGCACACTTTCACCCCCATCCATGACAGGTTTAGAGGCATTGACATCCAGCGCCGCGGCTTCTTCGAAGCTCGTTTTCGTCTGCTTCCAGTTAATGAAGTGCCGAGCGAACGACTTCAGCGCCTGGTACTCCTCAAACGGGTTGCAAAGAGTCGCCTCATGATTCAACCGCTGCACCTTCTCACGGCCGTCGAGAACTTCATCCACGAATTCGTCTATCTCCATGTCAAGCAACGAATTCGTTTTCCCGCCATCTGAGTCGAGCAGAGCTGCCTCCTTCAACGATTTCAGATACTTCTTATTGACGCCATCTTTCGACTTTTCTTTCGCTTTCAATCGAGCCTCTCTGCTTATTGGAAGCAGCCGGCTTCTTATCAGCTGCTGCTGATTAACATGCAGCTGCTTGAAAGCACTGCGATATGATGCTCCGAAGTATCGCAGACAGTCCATCTCAATGTTGTGTGTGGAGCAAGTGAACCCAATGTTGACCATCTGCGTAATTAATTGCAGGAAGATAAGTCTGGCATCATCCAGCATGTTGTTCAACTTGATGGTGGGCGGTTCGATGCGATGGGCGCTGTCTTCCAATGCCGACAGTTCTTCTATGTCGGCAAACTGGATCCGCATATCCGCCGGTAAAACGTCGTTGAACAACCTGCGGTTGTACGATCTGTAGGCTGCTTCAGCAAATGCAACCTTTTCTTCATCATTCAAGTGGTAACGCTTTGCCGCCGCTTCTCCGTCAACTTTCGTATCCGGATGCATTACACCACCATTGCTAGAAGGCGTCGAGCTTCCTTTGCCATCTTCACTCGATGTGGTAGCATCCACATTAGACGGTTGGATGTACTTGTTGACTACCTTATCATCGTTCGACACGCGGCTCACAACCTCGGGGAAACCCGCACTGTTCAGGTTGATAACCGTACAATCCACATCGCTTTTCGTGTGGTCAACCTCTTCGGGCTGGCACCGGGCAAGGTTGTTGGTCGCCGCAGTTATGCCTTGAGTGAGGTCAGATGCCACGATGAGGCTGTGCTTGGTGGCGTGCTCGCGGAGCTCGTCAAACGCGCACTCTACGATCTTCAAGGATTCCAAATTTGTTAAAGCCTCTATGTGCTGTTCCGACTCGCCCATAATTTGGCCCCTGCGGTTATCCAGCGAGTGGGCGATATGACATGCATCCTTGAACTTGTTCTCGATCGCATTGATAGTCCCGATGGGTAGTGGCGAAATGGCGGCTACCGAACTGGGGTTGACCAAGATGGTGTAGATGAGATCGTAATTGCCGCCATGGAGAGCGTTAACGAAATGGCGTATGGGCAGCACCTGGCGCTCCCACATATCGGTCATCATAGGGCGCTTGACCAGCAGCTCCAGAGTGCGAATGACGTCCTCTTGAGTGTTCAAAAGGTCCTTAAAAACGTCATTTAGCGTTCTGTCCCGCAATGTAAGCTTGGTGTTACCGATTTCCTCGAGCTCAGGATGCTCCTGAACAGCCATGTAATGCATGTCGTCGAAGAAGAAAGGCCAATCTCCCGACCCCTCGATGCAGTTGGCAATATGCCGCCTGGTACGATGCGCCAGATCAGACGCCATCACCTCAGTCAAAAGGACGTCCGAGCGTCCTTCGAAACCGGAGCTGTATCTGTAGGCAAACCTCAGGAATAGGTGGTAGCATTCCTCCAAAATTAGACGTGCGACCAGGGGCTTGCTGCTTCTAGCTAATGGGTTGAGAAGTATCCGGGGAGCTTTCAAAATGTCAGCGCTATCATCATGGGACGACAGGTAATCGTCCACTGCTGTGTGCTCGAATACAACCTCAAGGTCAATGGGAAGCCTGCCTCCGAAAAGGTTGAAATTGTAATAGTTGACCAGGAACTTCAACGCCGCCGGATCGTCTGCAGCCACCGCCTCATTAATATATTCTTGAGGGAACGGCACAGGCTTCATCTTTTGTTCCTGATGCAATGTCTCCTCACCAAATTTAGCTGGGTCTGCCGCCACACGTTGCGCCCCTCCAGCTGATGGAGGGTTAGCCTCACGCACCAGCAGCTCCAACGGTCTGGTTCTCAAAAAGGCGTTATCCAACGGGAACAGACCGCTATGGGTCAGGCATCGCCCAACCAACTTATACAGGAACAGGATGCACTGGATCACTCCCATATTAGCCTGGTGGACGAGCCCAGTTGGCTTTTCCCTGGCCAAATCCTCAGGTGCCAGCGAATAGTTAATTGCATAAGTGTCCACTGAGCGTATGTAGTTCAGCGCATCGAGGCAAATTGCGACGATCTTGTTCTGGATACTGTTGAGCTGAACGGGTTTCAACTTCACGAGATCGTTCATCCCAAGCGAGAGCAGGTTGCCGAATTTTTCTAAATCTCCAAATATCAGGCTGCGCTGCAACTCCTCAATCGGTAATATCAGGTTGCCCTCTTGATCACGACTCCAGATGGCGTCTAGATCATCAGCCCATTCGTCGGTTGGTCGCGTTCCTCCGCTAGCATCTTCACCCTTCTCGTCTGATGTTCCATTTTCGGACCCTTCAACTGCATTCGACAGAGATTTATCACCGTCCGGCGGTGAAACAACGCCCGTAGCTCCACTCACTCCCTTCGATAGTGCGATGTCTGTGGCAATACGTTTCACTTCATCGGTCACCATATCCCGTGGAACCTGGCCACGAGGTCTAAAAGATCGGTCAAATATATCCAGCGATGTTTCAAGATCCTTAACAACCTCCTTCAGATGAGCAAATTTAAGTCTGTTGGTGATGAACGGCAGACGGTCGATGCCGACGTATAGCTCATCCGAGTCGTTGACCTCAGCATCAGTGTTGCGGAGCGGGTCATATGAATTCAGATGGGGCAGCAAATGCCTCAAATTTGCATCGGAAGCTACAACATCGGACTGCACGCAACTAAAGCCGAGGCGGGCGGCCCGGGCTGCCTCCGACTCGACAAACTGGCATGCTGACAAAGCAACCGTCGCATAGTTGTCACCTCCCAATTTGGTACCATATATATCGCAATGCAGCTTCATCATCGATCTGAAAATGCAGTTCCCTAGGGCAGCTTCACGATCGGCGAGTTCTCTAGGGTAAGCGATGCCTGGGAAGGCAATGTTGTCTTTCTGCGTGTAACGGAACAGCTCCCCATTCTCTGACGGAATTACGCTCCCATCGCTGTTGACTAGATCGTACCAGCTGAAGTTGATGTCAACGAACTCAGGTAGCACGCCGCCAAAGGCAGCAACATTAAGGTAGTTCCACAGCCTGGCAACGTGCTCCTCGGGGGATCGACTCTGCCTGATATTTGGAAGCGTCGGGACGCCTAAGTCAACCTCTTTTAGCCCTATTGCAGATTCCCAGTGATGCACAGTTTCATGTGCAAATCTCCTAATGCGCTTCTCAATAATGCGACGAATATGCTCAGTTTCACTAGCGGATGCGTTGGAATTGCGGTCTAAACGATCCATGGCCTGCTTGGCGCAATTCAGGATACGCCCCCCAATCCAGTAAACCAAACACCGTACTGAACGCAATGCAGCCGCGGAGTTCCGGTTGGACTCCTCACCACTGCCGGTATATACCCGTGAGTTGTGGAACTGTACAACATGATCACATGCGATATTGAGCACCTCCTGAGTATTACTTAGTACCTCATCTACTACTTCGTCGCCTTGAAAGAAAGCCAACTGCATTTCATCGTAGGGGATTGTAGTGGCGCCCACTCTCGATCGGGGCGAAGAGTCCCGCCCTCCTGAGCAATCCACCTCTTCGAAATACTTAGCCGCATCCTGCAGCGCCAGATCGTACTGTGACGGTCCGGATGCGGAAGAATGCAGCGGCGCGAATTCCGTGTATACGATGTCATCCTCAACATACTGCTTTTGTGACTCTGCAGCCTTGCCATGTGCTCTACGCGTTGAGGCACTGCAGCTCCATTTCCTTGATCCATGCGATAAACTGGAATTCTTCACGCTCCCATCCGGCCATTCTGGAGGCCTCGAAAGCTCTGTATGGTGGATTCCCGACGACCTATTGTATGCGAAGGTATACCGGAAGGGTACGACGCATACCAGCAAGGCACTGTAGCAGGCGGCCGCTACTGGGCCTATCATCAAGCATAACCCACTACCTGGGTCTCCAGGTGTTCATGTAGCCGGCAACGATAGTCATTAGACCCAAATTACGCCTTATGAAGCAAATGGAATGTACGAGACACGCCGACACTGTAACAACCGCTCACATGAAGCTTAACAAGATTAGTCAGCTGTATTTGCTAGTATATTTCATTGCGATATGTGCACATAATTTAAGTAGTGCTTTGGTCGGGAATTTCAATGGAAGATGTGCGCCCGCTGCCTCTTGCACAGTGGAATCTCAGACAGCACAGCAAAACAACATCTTGCAGCCTTCCATACCAAAATCCGGGCTATAAATGTATAACATCACAAATATATTTGATGTGTATTACATATAGGTGGAATGGCGATATGCGGAATGCCTAACCTATAGGCCGTGTATCGGCCAGTGACTCGGTCCCATGGGTCCCGGCGGCTCACTGCGATAATGTGCTCAACATGCTTAGTATGCATTGAACCCACCTGAGCTCGAAATCCGAAAGGTCTCCGCGCCTCATGATATCATTAAGGTCATCTAGGCAAATCAGCCCGAAGCTACCCCGCCTGAACTGGTTGATAAAAATGCGATAGCAGTTGGCGGGCTCGATGGTACTGTACTTCCGCTCCGCAATCCTAGATATATGTTCCATAACCTGTTGTAAATGTTACTGGATTAAAGAAAACGCTCGCGTTTGATTTTGACAGTGATGTGAATGCCCACGAACAGGTCATATAAACGCACCTCTTTAACGTCATCGGTAGGACCCGGGAGCCCTAGCACTTCAACGTAATCGAACATTTTCTTGCGGTTGAGAGTGTACAAGATATAGTCCGCGATGTAATCCACCCCCGCGCTGTGGTCGTCAACGCACCCTATCGCCGCCAACTTGAGGTTGATTTCGGGGCATTGCATCTTTGGCAGCATGACCCCGGGGGTGTCGAAGCAGTACAACTTCGGCTTTTCCGAAACAAAAAACGCACTCAAAGAGCGGGTGCTTCCAGCAACACCGGCGGATTTGGCCTTCGCAGTGGTAAGCGATGTTGGCTGCTGCATGCCATACTTGGAGTGCCACCGTTGCTGAGCGAATTTGATTTGAGAATATAAGGGAAGTGATTCACGATATAAATATGCATAAAAGCTGTCACGCTACAATTGTGCATCGTGAATACCCGGCAACATGTAGGCAATACGGCACCGCCCTTGACAGAAATAAACCCACCGTGAAGGAATATCGCTTCAGAGCGTTGATGATCGAGGATTTCCCGACGTTAGGCAGTCCCACCACCATCATCCAGACACCCAGTGTCTTGAATTGTGGTGCAACATGCTCCCGCACGAAGTTCGTGATCTTCGTTATTTTACGAAGACCCAGGGCGCTGTAGAGCACCACCTTCTTCCCAGTGTTCTCCAGCAGCTGTACAGCGCGCTGAGACGAATTAAGCAGCGATTGGTTTAACCCACCTGCATATCATTCGGCGGGACGAGGTCACTCTTGTTCAGCACCACCAGTCGGGGCACATGCTCTGGGTACTCCTCAATAATAGTACAGTTGGACGCTGTGAGCGGGGCACGCGCATCGCGCACCTCCAGGATGCAGTCAACTGCACGGCGCTTCTTCCCAATGTTAAGCTTGGCAGACGCCATGTGGGCAGGGAACCACGTGATGCTGCGGTCGAAGGTGAACTTCTCCCGCGGTGTGAATGGAGCGCTGCATTCATGTTAATCAAACATCAACACATATATCAGATAAAAGTGCTATCAACATTGCGTCATACGTCTTACGCGTGGTTAACGTATGTGCTAACTTTGGTGCATGGTAAATGGGCGAATAGTTACCATAGCAAAATACAGTTTACAGCAGATGCACATACATATACGATGATGGCAGACATAAAACACAGCCTGAAGAGCTCGCATACCTAGAACTAGTCGCCGAAGATGCGCTAGATGACGTCGGATTGTAGAAGACAGCGGCACTGTGGTCGTAGGTCGGCGGAGGCCGCCTGTAGATGAAGTCATCCAAGGAAGGACCTGAAGGCCGTCCTACACGCTGACGGTATCTCTTAACTATGTCCATTGGTCAGACCATGAGCATGACTCCTTCCATACTCGCAATGTTAACAATTGCTACACACCAAGTCGGTCAAAATGCACAATAGCTTCTTTAGATTGTACTGCTTCCTCATTAACGCCATAAATAAGACACGAAATAACTGCTTTTAATCAGGAATGGACAATGTGTAAGCCTCACTTAGGCGGAGTAGCGCGTGATTCCACTTCCAATGATCAATCAAGAAAGTATCCGAATAATTACAAGTACACAACACATCACAGCAGAAGGCGCCATAATGACAAGATGAAGCGTTCGGCCGTTTCTGACAGCTACAAATAGACTGAAAGCATGCCTTCCTGCACGAAGATACGGCAGCTCCTGCCACGGTTGAGGCTGCTTGGAAGGAACGTAACACTCCTCAATGCAGCAGACAGCGGTAAAGCAGCTACAAAAGCCTCCAAACAGCTAAGGGGACTACTTGGTAAGGCATTGCAGGAAAATGCGCTGGCTGATGAGACGCTAGTACAGGCAGCCGACTGCCTGTATGACCTCAAGGGCTGCAACACAGCTATCGGAGCTCAAATATGCAAAGCCGTCGAACAACGACCGCACATATACACAAAGCCTCTATCAGGGGGCGTGTTGTGGTCGTTTTATGCCGCTGGAGGGCGTAGTACTAAGCGCAAGAGGGTTGTCAAGTCCTCGTGCGTCGCAGCTATAGATGCATTCATGGACGAACTCTTCGCGATTCAGAATGACTCTAAGAACGCATCAAAAATTGCATCGACTTTAGGCAATCTGGCTATTGTAGGAAAATGCTTCAGCCTCCCGGTATCAACACGAGCGCGTCTGGAGCAGGCCATTATAGATGCAAGGGAAAACCTGATACCCATACTTGCACGCTCCAATGCCATAGTGACGTACATTGACGTTCTATACAGGTTAAAGATAAGATCTGATACTATCGCAGAAGATGCGCTCAATGCGCTGATTGCCGTGGCCTCATACCACGAGATTATAAGCACCAGCTCGCTTGCCAAGACCATTAAAACACTGCAGGCATGGAAAATTGGCCCATTAGGCACAAACAGGAGCGCCATAGAATTGTTAACAAGCAAAATGAAAACACCGCCGGTGCTCCTTGTTAAAAATCCAAACGCACTAGTGAAGCTGTACTTGGCGTCAACGAGGGTTGCGCTAACATCGTGCGGTGTTCACGAAAGCACCAATTCAGCATCCAATAACTCTGAAACGTCAACTGGAAGCGAAAATGTAGCTGAAGACCACTCAAATAGTGCTACGGAGTCCCCAAATCACACGAGTTCAAAAAGCAGTGGATTGTCTCCAGAAGCTGGGGACAAACAAGGTGAAATGAAGCATGAATGTCATAAAGCTGCGAACCCGGAACAAACCACTGCACACAGATCGCATATATCGCAAGAGAACTATTCAAATACGAGTGACTCATCCGTTGAGAATACTGTGGATCTGCATGGCCAATCGATTCAAGGTACCGATTCGGACGCTAGAGCAGTTTCCGGTGTTAGATATCTATCTGCTCTGCTCCTACGGCACTGCTGCAACATAGTTACACGTTGCAATGCCAGATTACTCGTAGTATTGTACAATGCCATGTGTCATCATATACTGCGTGATATACCGATTATCAAACACGATCAGGGGTACCCAAGTGTCGCGGATGAAGGATCGGGATCGGAAAAAGGAGACTGTTCAGCCACTAGCGTTCTTCCGAAACACCAAGATGACTCAAGCATCCAAACTGCGCCGCAAGGTCATATTGATCCTGCGTCAGGCTTATCAATGTCTGATTTTGCAATATGCGTCCATACCATCAGCGTAGAGGTTCGAGATGCGTTAGCATTGGACGCTTTGGCACAACACGGAACTTCACAACCGCCACTAACACTGTATGACGAGAAAGACCTTACCACAATACGCCGTGCGGCGTTAGTGGCAAGCCGTGTTTACAGTGGTTCGCCAGGGGAAGTGGTATGTTTGGCTGAAAAATCGCTGCGAGATCGGTTCGGAGTTACCTTCACGTCGGACATAACTGATAATAATGCCAACTGATGCATAGTATGGCAATTTTTTGCATAATCGGTCTTTCTGCCAACGCCATACAACGTCAACACCGCTGTTCAAGCATGTTAATCCACGCAGTGAAATTGTAACTTTACGTACAAATAGGCACAAAAGGAGAATGGTAGTAATTTGTTGTAATAAAACCATTGTACACCTGTAGCGATGCGTTCACGTTGATCACGCCACATTTACCACCGTCATACATTGTTCATCTCGAACAACTGCATGCTGTTAACATTACCTTGAAACCGTAGAACGGCCCTTACTGTGATTAGCACCCAATTGAACAGAGGCTATAATATAAAACATTCAGTGATAATGTGGTACTAACTGCATTTGGTAGCGTGAATCTAAATGCATACTGAACTAAGCTGTGCAGGGCAATGCAAAGCCCTGGATAAACTTTCACCTTGAATCATCCTCCATAATGGCAGCAGTGGAGCAGGTTTGCACCGTTATTGCAAAACCCTGCTTACCATACATGGGACGCCATGCCTCAGGCGAAACCGAAACCCTTCGACATGGTCATGGCGTCCAACAACTTCAAGCGTAGCACCGCTTTGCTGCCATATTCCGGCAGCTTAAGCAAGTTTATGCACGTGGCCGCGGTGGGCAAGTTGTCCGCGTTGGTGTCTCGCGTTATGCAGAAGGGAGGTTGCAGCTGTCGGAAACCCATCAGGGGCTCGCGCTTGCAACAAGTGACGAACCACAAGAACATGCGCCGCTGCTCATCGTCGAACTCGCTCTGCACAGCAATGACACAATTACAACAACTCAAACTCACCAGTATTTCCCAGAACCACACAATAACTTCTGAGGTGTCCGTGTATCCGGCTGAATAAGTGGCGTTCGCACGCATGTCCTCGATATTGATGGCCGCCGATGACCCCGATATGAGGTAGACGAGTTCGGAGTACGAGAACATGCGCAGCCAATCCAGCGGGATGACGCTACTGATGCCCTGCAAAAACGCAGAAGACTGCTTCTCTATCATGGTGTTGCACTTGAAGTCGGCGAACATAAAAAGGAACAGGTTAAGGTTTTCCTTGGTAACCAGCATATCGCTGCCGCCCTTCATGATCTCCACAGGGGCCGAGTCTCCTAGGGATGACATGGTTGTGGTGAACGTCAGTCCCATGCTTTCGATTTCTTTGTCCGTCATCTTGCGCATGCTCACGAGGTTCCTGTACAACTCAGGGTCAACAAACCTCAAATCGTTAAGCGTATTCCGCTTCTTGAGGATGAAGTTGAGCAACAGGCGAGAGAGGACCGGTTCAACCAGGATCTGCTCATACAACGCCTTGCCAATGACCTTACCCACGAAATTGAATATGCATAGATGTCCTTCGTGGAACAGGGCGGAGTTCGGGGACGGCGCCAGTGACCCGTCGTACGGAGACTCTTCGAAAATACCGTACGCCGGATTAAATATTACCGAACATATCGAGGTGAGGAACTCCTTAAACAGGCCACCGCCATCGACACCCTCCTCCCGTACACCAGTTTCATCAACGAAGATGACCCTAAAAACCTGCTTCAAGTGTGCACTTCCCATTGCACCCAGCGTTACCAAGCCGTCCTCCACGATGTGCGAACGACGGATTATATACATATCCGCGTCGCTGATATCCATGTGGGTGCGGTTCATGGACTTGTCATGGGCCACATATGCCATGAACAGCTGCAACCGAGTCTCGAAGGTGACAGTCTGAGGAATGCAGTGCAAAAACTTCAGAATGGGAGCGTCAAGCTGCTTGGTACGCAGCTTGTTGAGCACCATGCGGTCCACCTCGACAATGACCGATGGGTTGTGCGACCCCTCAGTCTGGCGAAGGAACCGCAGGCTGAAATCGTACGCCAATTTGCCCCAGTATTCGGCCGTGAAGTTGCCGTTGCCTTTTGAACGATGGAACAGGCCATTGACCTTAACCTCTATTCCGCAACCACAAACTGCATTGCCTGGAAAGTTGAGACACGGGCCATAACTTCGCATTTCTTCATTGATGTGACGGTATGAAGTGTGGTACCAGGAGGTGTGGTTGAGGGCGCCGACCAAGAACGCTACGTCGTCCGCATCGAACAACCCGGGTTCATCGTCGTCACCCATTAACTCAGCGTCGTTCATCACCAACATGCAATGTTCCAGCACGGTCGCGAATGCACGCCACAAGCAACACAAAGCGCCATCATTTGAGATTTCCGGGGTGACAGCCATCGCGAACTGGTTGAAGCTGCTGCCACAACAGTTAGCGTGGTGGTGCTTGAATTGTGTCAGCATGGTCTTCATAACCTCCCACGAAAACAGCAATTTGGTTGCCCGGTCCCACACAGAGCGATATGAGTCATGATTGACCTCTTCCTCTGCCACAGGGTTGCCTATGCTGTCGGCTGCTCTCGCAGCATTTGCAATCGCAGCTGCGTTAGGATCGGTAGTCAGATAATCCCACCTCACAACTGGCATCAGCAACAAGGCGACCGCCATGACGATGTAAGTATCCTTGCGATAAGTGTGCAGTATATTGGAGAACACGGCCATGCTATCAAACTTCCACAGACCAGCCTCTTCCAGTTCAGGCACGGAAAACAACTGAGCGCAAAACAACATGACAGACAGAATAGATGCGATAGTATCCTTATCATGGTCCCGATGCTTTCCATCGCCCAGCAACTTCAACAGGTTGCACATATTGAAAAACACCCTTTTATAAGCAACATCATTTGTTACAGTCGGCTTCTGAGAAGAATCCGTATCCGCTCGTGTGGAAGAACCAGTTGTGGCGGATACACCCAAACGAACATAACGGAACGGCTCCACGTCCTCCGGAACACCGGAATCCTGGGTGTTGTGCATATCCATGGATTTTTGAATACGCTCCATTCGGGAGCTTTCATGAGGATACGACATCAATTTCACATTCTGAATCAACCTCATCAGCTCAGGCGCGCCAAGGAACGACTCCACTTGCACCCGCAGATGATGTTCAAACGTCTTGCCAGTATCATGGTGAAGGGAGACCGCCTTGCGCGTTTTGGTTCCAGCCATCTTCGTCAAATTTCTCACGATAGTCGCAACCTTGTGAGGAGAATACGCCCCAATGGTTACACTGTTATGCGTGTCGGAAGTGGCCCCGTAGGGCTGAACATCCTTAGCCTGGCATCCAATCAGGCAAAGGCCATGCAGAAACGCTGGGTCACAGGTAGCCTTGAATGCACAGCTCAAAATGTCTATATCACGATCCGCATTTTCCAGGTTGGGTACAACCCAAACACTAATGAACATCCTTAATGCGGACTCCTTTGTGGTACACAGCTCGCGCAACGGTTGAGCAATCTCGAGCAGTGCAAGCAACGCGTGACAGTCATACTCCAGGTTCGCCAACGCACGACCCACCATTGCAGGGTACCAATCAGTGGCTATTCCGAACTCATCATTGAGCTGCTGCGCCTGGCTGCGCGAAACCAGCCTGAACAAAGCCGATACGAAGTGCGCAATTTCAGCCTCGTCGAACGAAAGCCTAGCTCTCACCACTTCCAGATCGTTAAACGATGTGTTTAGCGTCAAGTTCGAATCTGACTCCGCTTCTGCAGCCTTGGACACCAAGCTGCGGGAATCCAAACCGGAACGGAAAGAACCATGGCCAAACAATCCAGGTGGTTTGCCAGGCGTTACGTACATGGATACCATTGGACCTGAACGCCTTATACCAGCGGCATTAAATCCCTGCGGATACAGAGGTCTAATTGGTGTGGCAACTGCAGCTTGCCCGGCACTGAATGAATTGTATGCCGTACCATAGGCAGAGGAGCTTGTATGAGTGGACGAGCTCTCTGGATCCCGCCTTTTGCTGTGAAACAAAATCCTGAAAAACTTCAAGCATAACTTAACAAGTTGAGTGACCTGTGCTCGGTCGGACATGATGGCATGTGTTGCAGCGTCATGCCGATCGCTGAAGTACCAGCGCCGAAAGTGAACCAGACATAGGCGCACATAATGTGAATAGTCGTTCTTCCAGTCAACACGAGCCAATGCTTCCACAACGCGCATCAACTGACATACCGGATGATACGTCACCGCGTCGGCGGAGGCACATCCGGACTCCGGTTCAGTTCCGGATGTGCCATGCGATTCCACAGAAATTCCAGCGCCGCCACCGAAATTCGCCCTGTCTCCCCAAACAAATTCACCATTGTCGCGAACTTTTGATTGGCGATTAACCCAGTGGTCTGCAGAAGGTAATGATATCTTGTCTACATACTCCGTAGACCGAGCCAACAGTTGCGGCAAGCACTCCCTCCAGCGCAGTATCGCGCGCTTGAAATCAACCACATGACGTAGGAATGGGACTATAGTCCGACAAGCACGATCTTGCTCCTGCTGGATCCTGAGCAACCCCGGCTGGCCACGTCCTAGTGTGTTAGTCCGTCCGAACCCGGAGGCGCCCGAAAGGCTCACCACGCGCCTTGGTGCGATCGACCCGTCAAAATACATGGGCGAGAGTGACAGATTTACCTTCTTATGTCATCGTCTTCCGCTCGACGAGCCGATGAACGTCGCTCACAGGTGCTATTGCCAATGGAAGCGGCAGACAACATTTCCTTACACATTCAACGGCAATTGTGGACGAACAAAGCAGAATAGTGTGGTTAGCATATTAAACACATGAGCGGTCACAAGACGTTATAATTACATCCTGTACCTCAATGACTTGGGGGTGTACTGGCACGTGGTGACACAGCGACACTACCCGTGGAGGCGCCTCAAATATTTAACATTGTATCTGCCATTCAGAAATGCAGGTTCGATGCTGTAGGTAATCGTTTGTATGATGGAATCTCACCACATCGCGAGCATTGTCGTCCAGTTTTATGGTAATGCGTGATGATAGAGCATCGGCATTTAGATACACGTAAAGCAGTAACGACAAAGATTCAAAAGCGGCATTGCAACGTGCAGAATGACAACATATAGTTGTCCGTATTGCAAGACAACAACGCCTTAACGACATCATTGCCATTAGCCTCAACCACAGCTCAACAAATTATACGCAACGGTACGACATTGCAGCATATCGCAGCTACAGTAATAGTGTTTTAACGGCGATATAGAAGTATATTTAACTCCAAACATCTGCTGAAACAGCAGCGGTGGTGCATGGCAGATTTGCCAGGTTACACGGCGGAGCGACACAGCCGCCCAATTAGTGTTTAATGCATCATTTCTGCGTGTTTTCGGGCGTCTCTCCGCTTCCCATGCGCTCCTTCAAAAGTTGCGCAACAGACTCCCGAGTGGTCTTCTTAGGCTTCAGGACGTATGTCTTGCGTATGAATCTTCCAAACTGTGGTTCCGTCGGGGAAAATCGCTCAAACGTCATCAGGTCTTTATCGTTAAAGATCGAATCAGGTAGTTCATTTGAGGTCACTGATCCGTGCAACCGGATGGCGTCCAGCGATGGCAAGCTCAGGAGCATCTGTTCCACGAACGCTTGTAGGTGATGCGAAGTAAAGCTGTTCCCCTCCAGTTCTACCACCTCCAGACGTGAGTCGTCCTCCGGCACCCGGATATTCTCCAGAAGCTTCACAACGGTATCCAGAAAACGGTCACTCAGGGAGCAGTAGTTGAAGCACACCTTGACTGCGTTGGCGCGTACGCATGCGCTAACAAAGAGGTCGGCGGATAGATCGCAGTCTCCAAGCGGATTGTAGCTCACGTTGTAGACCTCAACGCTTACCGGTGGAAGGATCCCGTTAAAAACAGTGCGCTCAGCGTTGCGCAAATCCAGGCGGTTGAACGAGAAATCCAAACGGTGCAGGTGCAGGTCACCATACAGCAGATCTGGGTAGTCCATATTCTCAACTGTCAATTTCTTGTTGGAGAAGTCCAATACGCGCACACATGATAGGGAGTTGATACCGCGGAAAAATGCCGACCACAGCGTGCGGTCGTATGGGAGGTCGTACAGCACCAGGTGCGAAGCATCGGGACGCCGGCAGAAGGAAAGGATGTGGCGAGACAACACCGCCTTAGGGTGCTTCCGCACGTATCGCACATAATGGGTCCCTGCCATGTGTCGGTTCATCAACTCGAACCAGCGGCGTGTTGACGCATCGGTGTACGCACGTACCAAAATGCGCCGTCCGCCTCTCTTGTTACTGTCATCATTTGCGCCATTATCGTCCTTTGTATCCCCATTCAAGTCTGATTTGCGCCACAAACTGATCGCCCTCGGAGTGTTAAGCTTCAACTGAAGCCACCGCAGGTTGTTCATCAGGGCGATATCACACCCAGCCACGTAGTAGATGGCGGGTTTGGACGGAGCCTTAGAGCCCCGCGCGCCTTTGGAGCTGTTTTCCTCTACGTCGCGGAGGATCAGATACGGCGGCCGGAATTCGAAGAAGCAGTAGTCGCTGCCGAAGGTGTAGCTCACGTTGCGGGGTCTGCAGAGGCCACAAAAACGGAACTTAACTTCTCTCTGCAGCACATTTAAACTTATGATGGTTTAAACATACCGGTTTCGCAGCCAGCAATCTTCCGGAGAACAGAATGCCGAGCCTGCCTATCTGTTCAACAGTGTGGCAGTCCATGAAGGTCTCAACGTCCAACTCCGGGTGAGGCAGGTGCTGGTCCGCCGTTGCAACCTTGATGCGCTTGAGCGGGTATGACTTCAGAAAATGCTGCGTTGACTCCGAACCGGTTACGGCACGAGCATCCACAGTTAATCTGTCCTTAATAGTCATGGCATTGTTCGAACGCCGAAGCACAGGGACTATACAATCGTCGAGTGCGCACCCTCGAAAACTCAGGTGTCTCAAGTTTGAACCTATGAACAGCGTAGACAGAGCCTCTATAGCCTGCGCAGAGATCGGGTTGCCGTCCAGGAATAGCCGCCGCACGCGTGCCTTCTTCAGGTAGTTTACAAATTGGCTTCCGCATTCGCGAAGCTCTAAAGAATTGTGCGATAGGTCCAGAGTGTCGATTTCGAAACCCCAGGTTGAGCAGAGGTCAGGCAGATCAGCGTCACTCAGGCTGCGATGGGCCATGATGAGCCGGCGAATTGGAGGCCGCACGTAGCTCTTGACGACATCCCGTTCCAGATCCGCATCGAACATCAGGTACGAGAAATCGACCTCACGGCAGTTGGGGTACAATATGAAGTACAAATTGATGTTGTAGAGATGCATTTGATGCCGGTTCTCGAGCAAGTACAGGAACGAGCTGACTTTCGGCCTGAGAAACGGTCATAACTACAAAACATACAACCCACCGTGTGGAGAGTGCAATAAACCACCGCATTATATCGTACTGGCCTGAACTCAATTTCAGAAACAGACCCTCTTCGTCATCTGACGGTCGCCTGCCCCTCATCCTGTATTGCCGCGTGTTGATCCTTATCGTATATTTACCCGACCTGTTGGCGGTAACAGGGGTGCACGTAAACGAATCGTCGATGCGCATGACTATTATCGGCCTGCTCTCGAACATGTCAGCGGAAGTCACCGTCATGTCACGCAGGGGGTACATCGAAAGGGTATCACCGATCAATTCGCAATACAGCTGATCACTATCGTCCGGTAACACTTCCGAACGGTTTTCGTCTTCGACAGTCAGGACGCCGTATATCTCGACGAAAGTCTTGTGGAGGTCGAGGATCCACGACTGCTCCACCTCCCTATCGTTGACAGGCACGAACATGCTCTCGTTGATGCTGCGATAACTCGACACTGATATGCTGGAGTAGGTGTAGACGCTAGTATCCCTTCCGTCGTCCTTGCGACCTGTGGTTGATGCTGCATCTTCCACAGTATCCAGGCTGGCGGAGCCGGTCACGTCGAACGTTTGCAGGACGCGGTGGAGCGTCTGCAACATCACATTTCCGCCATACATTTCTGACGGCTTCTCGGACGATTTACTGCCGGACCTGTGCCACAAGTACAGGCGCTCCTTGTTCAGTCGGCCACAGATCAGGTGCTTCAGCGTCTTCAGCACGCTGGCCTCGCAATCGCTCCGCTTTCGAAGCAGGAGGTACTTCGCCAATAGCACTTCCAAGCTCATATCGCTGTCGTAATAGACCTCGCTCTCCGATTCCTGCACATACATACCAGGTTGCAGACCTGGTCTGTCACTCTGGCCAGTCTCCAGTTCATCGGACGACGAGCGGAAAGTGTCCGAGGTGTAGAACGCCAAATCGTCCGAGATGTCCTGGCGATTGGAGCGCACTGTGAGAACTGGAGACGGAGTGCTTTGGATGCCTTCCACCCGATACTCGCTAGGGCAGTTCCATAGCGCCTGCTTATAGGCATGCGGGTCAACCACGGTGCCCGTCAGCGCCACTAGTCCATCCCGATTAAAGTCACCTCCGCCATTATCGCCGCCTATATCCGTCAAGTCATTCAGCAAGGACGCCGGATCAACCTCGTTACCGTCCCGTGGTCGGAGGCGGGCGTTCACGTTCCGCAGAAGCGACATGTCCAACGCGTCCAGCAGCGGGGCCACCACCTTCGTGCTCTCCATCAGTTTCGACATATCCTTTTCGGAGGAGTAATCCAAGTTGTAAGCGTCTCCAACCACCGTTTCCTGCCGGTAGGTCAGCAGGTGCTCCACATCGTCGTCTGAAGTGGCGGCCTCACCATCATTCAAATCACGAGGCGCTGCCGTCGTGAGCCGCGCTAGGCGCCGATTTTTTGCGCCTGGGGAGTACGGTTCGCCACAAGAGGCATCGATTTCCATGTAATTGTCCGCAGGGCCACGAGACGAACCATAAAAGCCTTGAACGTCCGGCGCATGGCGCAAACCCAGCGCATGCGCACAAGGTACACTCAGGTCCACTGGATTCTGAGAGGCGTCAGCAACATCGGAAAGCTTGCACTGGCGAGCACACTGCTCGCAATCGTTGCGTACGAGCGGAAGCCGCTTAAGGTTTGTCACCATGTCATCCAGCAAACGGTCGACATCGGGAGCAGGGGAGTACGGATCCTGGGTAGAACAGGGCAGCAGCTCATCCCCTTCATCGCCGTGACGGTTTCGGCGCCTACCGCTACCGCCTCCGTAACGCCGGTTGCTTCTGTCGCTGCCTTGCACATCAATGACCTCATCCACTCCTACAGCATTTCCATCAGTGTTTGACGACTCTTGGGCCTTTTCACCAGCTCCTCCATCATCCGTGATTGGTCGGACAGGCCCTCTGGCACCACGGCGATCTCCATTGGCACTGGAGAGCTCTGATGCAACCAGCTTCTGGCACACCCTGGTTGACGCCGGGGGAAATCTCAGCCGCTCGCCCGTAGATACAATGTCTACATGGGATGTCCGCAGTGCCGCATGCTTGGACGTAACGCGGAGCGATGTGGAAGGGTCGTGATTCACGATGAGTTGGGAGTGTGTATCGGCCTCGTTGACATCGCAACATATCCGAATAAGCCCGGATGGGTCGATCGGCGTCCACAGGCGCTGGTATTGGATGTCTCCCCTCGATTGTGGTCCCCTATTCATCGTTATTTTCAGCACTCGCGGCGGCAAACGTCAAACATCCTCGGATTCGGCACGAGCCTATACCTCCCTCATGTGCGAACGGCACAACCCGTTTCATCGCAGTATTACTGCGGAGTGGCATGAAACAACAATTAATGGATGCGATATTAGCTAAATGTGCGATAGAATGCAAAATAATGTACTCGTTAGCACGAAGGTAACGACATCTGAGACACCATGCGACGCTACCAATGTGCGAGCCTAAGACGCGCAGCACGCATGCTAAAACCGCTTCCAACACACCAAAGAGCAACAAATCGTACTTAAAACGCTGTCAACAATGAAATGTGTGGAACCGGTGTCGACAAACGCAGAGTGTTTACGGTCCTCGGCGCTCGGGACCCCGTCGGCAAAAATGTGCTATGACCAGCGCTTGATCTCCGTATTAGCCCGTGAAGAGTGCCACAATGCGCCAAGAAACGTGTCTCAACGTGCCTATAGATGGGCGGCATTGGCCAGGGCATACATACTCCAATGGGTCATGCATCGGTGGACGCAAACGTGTGAGCATCCACCGTCTGGTACACCGTGGCGTCCTTCTCCAGCTCCGCCAAAACCTTTCGCACGTGTTGCTCAGATATCGCTGCCAGCTAATGACACATGAGGGTACACATAACCTACATTGAAAGTTGCGCTGCTGCTTGCACAGCCGGGTGATCTCGCCCACATGCAGACCGTTCAGGTTGCCATTGCGGGTTTCGGCGGCCAAAAGGTGCGCAATGTACTTCATCAGAGTGAGAGGGCCTTGGCAGTCCTGAGGCAAAATAAGCAGCATGCAAATAGGTACCAACCGGCGTATTTGCTCCAGCGGTGCCCGGCGTCGACACTGACGCCCCTCCAGGGGTCATTGTCGTAGCCATGACTGAAGAAGCGTTTGATATCACTCCAGGAGAGAACGCAGAATTCACACTCGAGTCAGCGCCAGGAGCAGCCGTGTTGTGCATATTAATGGCAGCAGCAGTTGGAATGGTTGGCATGCCACTCTCCACCGGGTTACCCATGAGGTCGACCGACTTCGGAGCGTAGTCTTGTAGCACATACCCCACCTCAACTGTCTGGAGTGGAGTGCCATCGCGCTCGTTGCGTATGATCATGTGCATTACGTCCAGCTCGTGCAACGCGAACTCGTCCGGAGAGCACACCTCCCGGATCTTGAAAATGATTAGCGCGGGACACTTCACACTGTAGATGGGGTTGTAAGTGCCATAGACGACCACCATCTTTTGCGAATGCAGCACCTTGTCCAGCTCACGCTGCCGAAAAGAGGTCATGTCGCTAGGATGGACGTAAATGCACGGCACGCGGCCAGTCCCGTCGTCGATGAGGATCATCGTGTTCTCCTCTGTGCTCTTGTATTTCTCTATGCGACCCAGAATCTTTACGATGTCCGGTATCTTGTTGAAGAACTGAATGTAGGAGGTCTCACCCTTCCAGGCAGACACGATCATGCCGATCTTGGCCGGCATCCACGCCTGCTTGGTCGGCGCTACCTTGTCAGCGTTCAGCGCCAAATTATCATGCGGTGGAATGGCATCGTCCTCGATGAACCCTCCCGCTGTGATGTCCTCAACTGCAGCGGCATGTAAGCGGCACAGATTCGAAGACAACGAAAAGGACGTGCAACAATTCATTGATTTGATAACGTCATAATCAGATACCAACTAACAGATAACGTCAACACAACACCAAAGTAAACACAGATAGCGTTATGCCAACCGCAATAGCGACGCCGACGTCGAATAGGAACACCGCCGACACATCGTAGACAAGCAGCGACAAGGTCACAAAATGCAGATTAACACGGTACACTCACGCTGCTGGATCTCGTCTAGGTTCCAGTTGGCGCCGAAGGCGTCCTGATCGTTGAATCCGCCAAACATCCTGGAAAGAAACGCGCCAAGCAGATGGCAGCCGACACGTTAATGCGATAAATGAATTGTGATACGATGATGCCTAGCCGCAGGCAACAGCCATCTTGCAACAAAAATTCGGAACGATTAAATATGAACCGACTTTTTCATTACATATGGCAATACAACTCCGGCACCCACGTACGCCGCGGCTTCCACTACTTCAATAACTTTGCTCCACAGCAGCGGCTTCAAATACAGTTTCCACACACATTTAGCATACACATGTTGTGAAGGACGTTTGGACTTCGAATCATGCCTTTGTGTGCCTGTACAGCTACCTTCGATAAAGTTGGTGACGCTGCGTCATGTGTCACCCATAACAACATCAACTGACTCCGAAACAGCTCTTCGGTGCAGAAGGTTCGTTTGATAACGTTATTTGACTTCAAAGGGGGTGTTTGATGTCGGCTGTGTACGTATCTGTCGGCACATGCTTAGCAGTTCGTGAAAAGCTGTCTGGTATAATGGCAAAACACGATTTGTTCTAAGTCGACGAGATCGTCACTGAAGCTGCACGTGACATCGTTGGGACGGTAAATGAGTCATGTAAGGCCTGCAATAACGCGGAATAAAACCGTCAGCTGGAATGATTCTGCAACAGCGGATTACCTAGAATGATCCCAGATTTTTTGAAGGTTAATGGTAGCCTGTAAGGCACTGTATGTCCGCCAACTCTGAATTATGAACGGTGGAAATTTTAATTTAACGCTGAATATTGTAAATCGCATCATCCCTGGAAATGTAGCTACCGAAGAATACACCCGTGAGTACATCGAAAACTTAGCAGGGCCAGGGGATAAAGTAGAGACTCTGCTGTCGAGGTCGGAAGATTCAGAGCTTATTCTGTCCGATCTCATTCGGCTGTTGGAGTTCGAAAAGAACTGGAAACCAAGACTGGGGGAGGAAATACCCGATGCTAAGCTTCTATACGAAGTTGTGCGCAATGCTCTCGAGCGTAACAATCAGAGCGCCATATTGCTAATCAACAGACTATATTTGCGCGGGTTCGTCAAGGAGTTAATCAAATCGATTTTGATGTACTTTGGGACCGCCCTCAACCCCAGACGAAAAATCAGTTGTCGAACGAAGCTCGGCGGCGGACTCAAAAATGCTAGCTCAACGGTGAGGGTATGCAGCGGAGCCCTCCGCGCCATCGCAACAACAATTGATATATCTGGAGACGGCGATGTTCAGAGGTTCAAATTCAAAAGCAAGCTGGATTATAATGTCGCAGTTGGCGTGACCACGCTGTTCCTAGATTCTGTAGTGGTGGTGGACAACGCTGTTAACTATGAAAACTTGTTGCAGCTATTCCACCCACACAGCCCGGCGGTCTTACCTATCGAAACGCAGCTGTTCGTCTTATATGTGCTGCGAAAACGCATAAGATGTAAAGCTATCAACGATGTGGATTCGGATACAGATGAACCTTCCCAAGATGGCAGCCAGACAACGCCTCGAGATGAAAGCAGCAACAATGATCAAGTGACTAAAAACGGAACGTATGGAAGTGAAGGCGCCAACGTAGCACTAGTGACCAGCAAATTGCCGACATTGTCTATTAATGGCGAGCCTGCGGCAAGGGAGAATCAGCACGTTACCAAGGATGCAAATACGATACGAAAGCCTACAAAAATATCGCAAGGAACCAAACGACATCGCATAACATCAGAGGAGCGTGATCTGTATCTTGAAGTGGGACGCAAACTTCTCTCCCGCCTTGCTGTTAGGTGGTCGGAGAATGTCGTGAATGCATCGGGACAGAAAACTGATTGCATCTCGCTTGCTGCATGCCTAATAAAGCTCTTGGATATCGTGTATGCGACGGAAGATCACCTAAGTAATCAGGATTTCGACCGTGTGGCCATGGCCATCAGTGCCGGAACTAGCGCCAAGCTTAGCACCTTTAACGCCAAGCAAACCTTTGCAGCTGTAGCAGTGGCTAAGAAGTTGGCGGAAATTAGCACTAGGAGGGATGCTTTGTTGGGTATAGAGCCAGGTCCGGATATAGAATTCGCAGAAAATGAAGACGTATATGACAAACCGTTGGTTTACCTCAAAATTGCGTGTGCCCCGTTTACCGTTGATACTACAGACAAGTCAGATACGCTCGACGCCGTCAAAGTGCAATCAGAAAGGGTTACGGGAGCAACAAATGGACAGCATGAAAGTGGTGAAACCGATATTGAGCATAACATTTTGGATCAGGAACCCAGGGCGGGAATCGGCAATATGACAAGATTAACATCGGACGGTATCAAGCAACATGAAAAGCATGCAGAATATGGCGCCTCAACAACGGTGATAATGAACGATGCACAACAAACGAATAAATCTACGTCGACACCGTCTGGATTGGAGACTGAAGAAAACGACGGCGGCGAGAGCAGCTATGCCAAACGCCACATTGACAAGCTGGTAAATGATATATTTGCGGATGTGCCAACTATAGGCGCGTCCAAGCTACGTTTTGCGCCCTTGGGGGGGTGGATGGACCCACCACAGCACATACAGCAGTGTTACGAGCGTTTGAGAAGCATCCCCGTAGTTGGTGACATCCAGCCCGACAAATTGTTCAATAATGCCCTTAACAAACCCCAAACGTTGCCAAACTTGCGGCAACGGATGATGGTGGCGCAGACGTTGCTCTACTTGCCCATAATCGTAGAGCGTAACGAGCCCATGTTGGAGAAGTACGCCGCGCCCATCTATCAGATGCTTGTCAAAATTGATGATTTCGAGCAGTACAACGACCTGATGGCCGAACTCACCCACAAGAAAAAGGTTTCGCTGCCTATTTTGGCAACGGGGGAGGATAGTGGCGTTGTGAAACATCACGGTGATCATTCCGGTTCTCCTAGCCAATTGGCTGAAAAACAGGCCGCGCTCTCAATGACCAAACTGGCCGCTATAAAACCAATGAAGATATTTGAATTCATCTGCAATGCAGTTGCCGACTCCGAATACACAGTGACAGAGAAGATAAGAATGCTCCTGAGCATGCAAACGGCGATATGTACACTCAGTGGCAAAGCATGCGAGGAACTGAAACAACCATTCGAAGCCCACGTCTCTAAGATTTCAAAACTGCCGGGTGCCGCCATCGAAGAAAGAAATAACTCCCCACTCACTACCGTTCAAGCCTTGAGAAACAAAAACACAGCACGTCAAGCACCAATTATCGAAATAAGGACGAAGACCGTTGTGCCGAACAATCGTGTCGCATATACGACTAAACAAGCAGATGCCAGCAAAATTGTGAGTAGAAGCAACATAGGATCAGTCACCTATCCTATCGTGCAACGGAGCGCTGCGAATCGCAGTGATGAGCCCTCTATTAACACAGAATCTGGTAATGCAATTGAGACAAATGGACCCGCAGAATCAGATCCAGCAATTGCATTGGGGGTAAATGAAATGATCAGAGACGTGAGAACGTCTAACCAAAGGCAACAGTTGTTATCGCGGGGTTCCTACCGTAAGGTGCCACTGGCAGAGCCATCATCTCATGAACAGCACGAGAGAAACCCTGCATCTGCAGTCATAAATGAAGATGGTGGAAGGTCTGAAATCACACAAAAAGCAGCGTCGAACATACAGAGAATAATTAGAGAAGCCCTTGCCAACAACCAAACTCCCGAAGCTATGGATGGAGTTACACCTGCATTTACTTCGACAGCAAAGATTAACATTCCTACTGATGGGAATCAATCAACGGATGCGTCCATGATTGCAAGAATGCTAAAAATAGCGAATTCACAGCCTCATTCAACGGGAATACTCAATAGACCGATCGCCGTAAATGCAAAGCGGCCCTATGTACCCATCATCAATCCAAAGGGGATGAATTTACACCACGGTATCATGGTGGCTAATGACAAGACTCCAATGCGGCCCATTGCAGCAGAAATGCCGCGGAAATTCACGGGGAACCAGTTCGTGCCCTTGGCAAACACTACAACGTCGCTGATTCTACAAACGATTCAAAAGCACGTTCAATCCGGTGGGACAGTGCTAAATGCGGGACCGGCACACGTGATTACGGTATCATTGTTCGATACGCTCCACACGTGTTTACAGTGCTGCGGGGGATTCCTTTCACCGAATGTTTTACAGGACTGTGCACTCATCGCAACACAGACCTATGCCCAACCATCGAGCCGCGATGTGGTAGACTCGATTTTGCGCATCGCAGGTATTATGAACGAAATAATGCAGGATAATGCCAGTCCAGCCTTACACTACATATCAGAGTAACACCAGCTGGAGGGGTGACAATTCTGTTGGGAGATAACTTTTTATGTTATCGTGTGTCCCTCTGAAACTACCCATAGTTGTATTCTAATCAACTTGAACATTAGCCCTCATAATCTGCTCTGCCGCCTTGGCCGCAGCCTTGATCTGTGATTGAGCTTCAGTGTTGAAACCGTTGACGGCAGGTTCAAGCCCGTCGACTGCCAATTGAAGATCTTTTTTGACTTCGTCTTTGAATGTCTTGTCAATCCTCCCAACCTCACTCCTCACCGCCTGCAACCTACTGTCCACGGCTCGGGCGGGGCTATCATTTGGGTCGGAGCTGGCGTCTGGTGTAGTCGCCGTGGCAAGCTGATCGTGAAGCTTCTGAGTCTCACCAACTACTCTGTCCAATTCGCTTGCGATGCTTTTGCCGCTGCCCTTCGCTATCCTGTAGTCGCCGAGCAGGATAGACTCAATTTCGCTGGCAACCTGGCTGGTGGTGGCGGAGAGACCGAGAAGCGTGGCTTCAGTGACGAGTTTAATTTCTTTGTCCTTGCCATTGTTCACCTTGTCTTTAATCCCACCGTATATCTCCGCGGCAAGTGTATCAATTCCTCCCTTAAGTCTGTTATCAAGCTTGTCAGCGAATGTCTCACAGGCTGACTTGACAGATGCAATGGTCTTTTGGATGCTGGCGTTAGCTGCTTGCATACCACTAATAACCTGTGCCTTGCCCGCCTCAATTTCAGCGCCAAGCGTTTTCCCAATCGCCTCTTCAATTCCATTACGCACTTCTAAAATCAGGGAAACACCAGTCACGTCACTGTTTCCCAAGTCCCCACCACGAAGCTTAACATACTTTGGAAGCCACTTTTTAGGCGGCTTCGCATCATTGCCCTTGTCATTCCCCAAAATTCCTTCCGCCCACCCGCTCACAATACTCTCAAAATTCTTCTTGAACGTATCGGCATAGCTGTTAATCAACCCGTGGGCAATACCTTCCAGACCACTACTATTTTTCTTCCCCTTAATCTCCTTAACCTTATCTTTAATATTCTCGAAAATATCAAGAATGCTATCCATAGTTTTGACGGCACCATTCTCAAACTTCCCGCCAAGCTTCTCAATCGCTGTGCCAACTTCACCGACCGCATTGCTTAGCGGACTCTGGATCTCCTGCTTAAACTTATTTTCAAGCTGACTCACCGCCTTCTGAATTGAACCATCATCGTTACCTGCAAGTTTATCTAACTCCTTCTTCTGATTAGACGAACTAAGAGCATCCAACTGACCTTGAGCAAGACTCTTGCCACCATCATGTTCGGCAAGCCCCAAAATATTCTTCCTCAACTTCCCCAAATCCTGTTTCACAAAATCATCCAATTTAGTAACATTGAACTCTACAATCTTCTCCCAAATCTTTGTCTTAATATTATCTTTCACCCCTTTCAAATCCTTCTTGAGATCTCCATCCATGGCCACAACGACCTGCAAGGCCTATTCAACAGCCTGCTTAGCCTTGCCCATCTAGCCCTCCACCCAACATACTTCGTAATTCCTGACCTGCCACCTAATATAGGTGCTGAGGTACGCTGCTTAATCTCTGGAATGCTAGGTTGTGGTTCGGTGACAAGATTTGCCCGCGTAATCCCATCGTCAGTGGACAGTGATGGTGAGGCAATTGACAGCTGACGACTGCCATGCCAGGTGATATAGTGAGTCATCTGCTAGGTGAGCTTTGACATGTTAGTTACCATGTGCGATTCTGGGAAATGAGAGTTGAGGCATTTCCTACGTGATGGCCATTGGTTGGCCTCGTTAGGTGGCATTTGTGGGCAACCTCGCGGCGGTCACTAGCACAGTAAATACGAAGCGTAGCTCAGCTAGGCACTCATTAGCGTACCTATAGAACGGATAGTATAAACAGTAGCAAGGTGACATATAGGCACCTATGAACTACGCCTCAGGGACTCTCCTCCTACTGTATCATACACGGCCAGTGATCGATATCGTTCACATGCGCCTGTCTGGGAATAGTATCTCTGTGGTGCCAGACGCGCAGCCGTGGTATTCCTGACGCTGGGTCGCGTGGCGGTCGTTTGGGTCTGTCCGGAACGCTCGTCGGAGACAATTTGGCAACGTCACTGTTAGAGGCTAAAAGATGTGCTTTATCGCTGTACAGGTTAATGACAACTGACGTCGGGATGTTCGGTGTTAAGGTACGTGTTTCATGCGTTCGCAGGTTAGTGGCAAGTGGGCGAGGGGAAGATGGCGTTGCGGACGGAAATGGAGTCGGGAGAAGGTTGTGACTGCAAAGATGACAGTGGGAAGCGTTGTGGCTTAAAATGTAACAAATGCCCACATTTGGGCTGTATATGTCCTTGTTGTCAGCCTTTCCGAGCCGGGGTATCTTGTGCCATAGTAATCGTCATTCTCACCATCCTCATCGTCGTATGCGTCATGATCATGAAACGCATCCGGCCGTTCCACAAGGTCCGCGATTGTTTCGTTCGGAGGTGAACGCTTTTTATCGCATTCTTTAATCATTCCCAATATCTATCACAACCGCACTTATCGCACTGTTCTAGACAGGCCGGCATGATGCCAACGTCATAATGTCTTATTTTATATTTCACAATAGTGCGTCGATAGGTACAGGGTAAATGCGCTCATTAATTGCATCTTAACAACGCAACAGGTGCGCATTAGCTAAAATAACGGGATTACTATAGCTCAATTTAGTATCCACATCCGCTCCCACCTCATCGACGTCAAGGCGCTGCTCGCCGGCAGTCGCAGGATGCTCTCACTCTACAAGGACGTCGACTACTTCGACGACGACTTTCACTCGTGATTTTAATCATTGCAGTTACATTCCTCTCCCTGTGTTGCCATGTCACGTCTCTCACCGTCACTGTATCTCGTGCCTTGCCTAGCACCTAACTCACTGCCTAACCAAGAGGCTCACGTACCATGTAACCTAGCACCCAACTCACTGACTAACCAAACGGCTCACCTATCACATAACTTAAGATGTAACCTACTCGCTGCCTTACCTTGTCACTCCTCCCTTTGTCGCCTTGCCGTCACTCCCAAAGCTGCCTCCCTCATCCCACCTGTCGGTGGACTGAGGCTGCGGACGCCTCCTATCACGCCCCTCTTGCAACTCTAAAATAGGTCACCAATCGCCACTAACAGCTTCGCTGAGTCACCTATTAACATCGCAATTACAACCGTTGCAAGCATCTTGTCAGTGTCTTGGTTATCTGGCAGCCGTGACTTCACCTTGGAGGTTTTATTACTTTAGTGTCTCTTAGTTAACCATTTAAACACTTTCACGTGTATTCTTGTACCACTATCCTAGTGCCTGTTTATTAGTGTCTCTGTGCTCTTTGCCTTTGTAAGCAAGATGGCGACTAAAATTCAGCTCAACACCCTTAAGGACTGCTTTAAGTTCCTGGAGTGGTTGTATAAGGGGGATGGGAAAGATAGGCTTAAAGAGGTGTCTCAAAATCTACACTCGCGTATTAAAAACCATTTTAGTTCTACATTTCTTAAAGAAGGCTACGTTGAACAGGGCTTATCCCCGTTCCTTGAGAAGGCGTCTCGGATTTATGGGAGGTTAAGCAAAGATCCACAGCCGGGAGATTATGGCGGTAAAAATGCAACAGAGATTGTCGACGCCCTTCTCGACTGCCACCCTAAATTCTTCGCCGCTATGTACTTTCTGCAGTACTGTGTGAATAACACTTTCGGGACGCTGGGCGGTGGTGGATGGGAAAAGAATTACCCAGGGTATGAAAATAAACCATGGCTGGGCAGGAATGATTGGGGCGGTGACTTGCAAGAATATCTGAGATCCGTCAAACCTGAAGACTACGGTGGCATAATTCCTGGAGGCTGCGGATTCGAAGAGGTGAGATACGGTCACTGGGATTCTGCTGGCTATTCCCAGGGTACCAAAATGTATTTGGACCTACAAGAGATCTTGAAAAGAGACATCTATAATTTTTTCCGCAGCGTATTTGTCAGCTCCGCTGTTGCATACTCCGGCGTTAATAAGGAGAACACCGCGAATGCGCTCTCACTGGTGAGGACCTTCTGCGATATTGTTAAAAATGAGCCAAGTAGTGATGGCGGAGACTTATTAAAGAAATTGAATGCAGACCTTCAAAAGTACAATCCCCCGAAATCCATATGCTGGAAAGATTTACGAGAGCATTGCGCTCAGCTTAGAAATCAAATTGACAAAATATTCAAGCATTACCGCTTTGACTTCACAGGCCAGGTGACGAAAGTTAGCGACCTTAATGAGATAGAGCTTGCAGGGAAAACAGCGGACTGGTTGAGAGGGAATGTGGTCAAGGTGCGGGGACATTTGAATAAAATTGAGGAATACAAGACCGGTCAGCATTTTGGAGAATACTTCACTAAAAACCTTTTCCCCTACGGATTCGCGTTTAGTGACAAAAGTCGCTCTATAAGCTCAACTGAAGTAAGGAATTTGATGAGCGATTTGTACAATGTAAGCAAACAGCTTAGCGAAAATAGACTCCATTTGGATAGGCTTAAAGATATTTTAGATGGCAATTATAGAAATTCATGTCCACCGGCGTCCCCATCTAAAAAGCCTGAGGCCCCGCCTGCAAAGCCTGTTGTCACTAAAGCGGAGGCGACGAAGCCAACTGCCACTAAAAATGAAGGCACCTCAAACCAAGGCAAGAAAGCGGAGGGAGCACAGAACCAGGGGGAGAAAGCTGAGGGAACTCCAAATCAGAGTAACGGTCAAAGTGGAGATGTATCTTCAGGTCCACCAGTTCTAAAGTCTGCTCCAGATTTGCCTCCCGTTGGTGGAGGAGATTCAGGCCCGAAAGGGGCTAGTGGTGCAGTGGTTAAGGGGTCTTCTGTTACAGTGACTCCGGCGTCTTCTCTGGCTCCGGCTTCACAACCTCAAAATATTGCAGTGTCTCAACAGACTCCACCTCAAGACTCTGTAGCATCCCTAATTCCCCCCCCCCTGCCTTTCTTCCTGGGGGCGCTGCCTCCTCTGGTCAGCCGGGTGTCGGGGGTCAGGGTTCACCGGCCGGTGTTACTCCAGCTCCACAGCATCCTCCCCCTCAAGTACCTGCGCCTCCTCAGCCTCCGGGTGTTTCAGGTTCAGGCTCTGGTACAACTGGTGGTCAAGTTGTTACTCTACAAACAAGTCAAGACGCCGTTCACAGTTCAAGCAGCGGCGCTAATACGTCGGGTACCACGGCTGCTGGTGTCGGTCGCGGGATCCATGTCGAATTATCGTACACTAAAGGTACCATCCATTGTGACACCCGTCCTGTTTTGACGCTATGATCAATCAGAGTCGTAATCTTCTCTGGGTTTCATGTCCCTCAACACCTTTTGTGTTTCTTGGATCACTACCCGTTGTATATGGGCTTTTAAGCGATGCGATATGCCCAGGTCCCGCCTGTACTTGGTGTGTTTATTTGTCACTATCCCCTCCCACGTCATAACGTAGGGGATCGCGCTGAACATTGTGTGCTGATTGAAGTGCCGCGCCCTCAGGTCCTCGATCAGAGCTTCGTACTTCCGTTTCTTGAATCTCTCCGTCTCCACTAGGTTGTCCTGATTGGTTATTCCTATTTCCACGATGGTGACAGTGATGGCGTTCCTCAGACACCCGTATGGCGTATCACACATTGTCACCTAATTAGATGATGCGGCCGCGGCACTAATACCTACATCCCGCCACGACAGTGCTGTCTCAATACCTTCAATACACAATCTACTGGGTTGTTTGTTAGGTATATCGATTAGCACGTTTAAAACAGTGACAACAGGATACAAAGGAGATGTATATATCAAAACATAATTGATAAACATATTGAAAGAATGGTTCCTTTGACCAGACGAATAAACACGACGACATTGCCCATTAAATGAGGCTGCCATAGTCCAAATTCGCCACTGCGGGCGCTCCTGGAACATGGAAGTTGTTCGAGCCGACACCAGTATATATTTTTGGAGGCTTGTTCGATTTCTTGGCATTCCAGGCATGTAACAAACCCATGTCGACGCCACTGTTACCCCCTGCTACGTGATGAGTTCCATCTTTGCCAGTGGAGTACTTGAGAGCTTCTACAGCGTCTGAAGTTGTCACGGGTTTCGCAGGTTCCACGGGCTTAATGGGTTCTGCGGGTTGTTCCACAGGGTCTACAGCTTCTGGATTCTTCGATCCATAGAAGGCCCAGAATCCTGCGAGATCGCATAGCGTGACAAGCGTTCTTAAACACAGACCTCTCAACGCACTGCCGACATCTGAACCGCTCAGGCTATCGCGGCATCCCGGCTCTACGTAGCCCAAGGCTTTCAATACATTTCCGAAACTTTTTTTCGGCGCAAACGGCAGGTGTTTCAAACTATCAGCTATGGTAGCACTCTGCAAAGAACCTAGGCCCCCGTACAACATTGGCGCAATACCCACGAAGACTATTGCGCAAGCCTCCGGGTCTTTCGTGCACGACGCATCCCACGTCGCTTCTGAGCTGTAAGCAGACTGATACTGGTTGGGAACTTTAATATGATCCAAAAAACGCTCGCAAAACCCCACAACCATACCTAATTTCCCTGCGATGGTTTTAGCGGAGATGCGCTTGGCCGTTACGACATTCTTGTAATCACATTCGTCGGCAGCTCGAAAGTACTTGGCCATTATCCCGGGTTTAGTGTTAATAGGCTTATTGTATCGTTTCAGCAGTTCTTTTACGAACCATTGGTCATCAAGCTCCGTTTGCTCCAGGAACTTCTTAGTAACAAGTTTAATATTCTCTAGAGCTGGCACCTCCGTGAAGCCAACAGGCTTGTTGACAAGGAATTTGTGAACTGCTGTGCCCAAAGCCTTCAAGTTGCCTTCGGCATTGGTTCCCTTCAGGGCCACCAGCCAGTCAATGCCCTCCTTGAGGTTGTGAGGAGCCTCAGTTAACGAATGGTATACCATTTTGAAAAGATTACATAGATTAATAAGCTGATATAAATGGTTGGATTTTTTGTATATTTAAAAGCTGATGTGCATACAGCTGTGCCTTAAAGGCGGAAAAGCGCAACATCAGTGCCGTTACCTTCTAATAAATAAAGCCCTAGCGGAAATATGCAAACTTCGCTACACAGCAAATATACCCATTTTTAGGAGGTGCTAAGACAACCAACGCGGTATATCGCGGCCAGATGAATACCGTTAACGTGGCATGCAGTATCCAAAATGCATGTAACTACCGTACGGAAGTTTCCAAGCGGAATGATACATATTGTAGCTCGAGGTGCTGGTGTTTATGCGGCGAAAAGCAGCAAGTCTTGGGATTTCAGGATGGTTCACTGGTAGTATTTTTCACGGCATAGGCATACTGTGGTTTTCACGTCGAAAGGTGTCCTGGCGACACGCAGCATCACGGCTTAACTCATTGCCCACCCACCTAGAATATCATTAACAATATATATATGGTTAACTGCTATTATATCTAGATTTGTACTTCTGAGACGCTTATGTGGATAACCATCATAGCTCCACAGTACACTGACAACATGGGATGAGACCATCTTACCCTTCCAACTCAGCATTCCGTCACCATCCAGGCAACATCCATTACGATGATATCCAATAGTCGATCACAGCGTGATACCCCCAGTGCTATCCCACAATATTGAGAGCGTTTCCCCAACCCGCGCCGGGCACATATCGTATCTGTCATAAAAGGACACATAGAGTGGTGCGACGCATTACTCATTGTCAGCGTTACATTTGTGATGAATGGAATAAGACTACCACCGCTGACTGCAATGTACATGTTACCCATCCTTCACCTGCTAGTCGCATTGTTCCACCAACGCCAAAGCAGCTACTGATTTTTGATTGATTACATCTCAATCTATACACGATATCACAGGTATCACATTTTCCGTGTATTCGTGTTGTGAACACCGCAGTACCTAATCTGATGCAAGATCCCACATCTCGACCCCGACGAAATTGGGGTCAGCATTGAGCTGAACTTTTCCCAATATGGTTAACTCACTTTGGTCATCGAATCGCTTTCCTACATAGTCGTCACTATGGTGATACTGAACCGTCGGCGATATTTGACTTTGGTGATTATCAATTCCGTTAGGCTGTGAGCTACGTTAATTTATGCGCCGATATCTCTAAGTCATCAGGTAGCGACATTATTAGTTAGTATTGTCAATAGAAGCATGTGCTCTAGCGTGCTGTAAACATATAGTGAGCGCATTAAGCCACCTTTGCTTGCATTTTCGTCGGTGGTATAGCGTGGTCGGGCAGTGACGGTAGTTTCTAATCAACATCAGTGGGGCAACTAAAGTCTATTCACAAACTCCTCATAGTAGTGCCTTTTGCGTGTTAAAGGCATTGCCAATCTCTTAACTGTTACATAGGCATTCATGTGGTGTTTTCACACCTTTCTCATTCCGTCATCACGAAAAAGGCAGCACAGTGTGACAACGCCCAATTGCGCTTCATACTTTTTACACAGATTTGTGGCCACCAACAAGGTAAAAGCCGACATGATAACGCTGTAATACGTTGTTGAAGCGAGAGTCACATTTACCACATTCGAGCCTAAAGCCATGCTGCAAACTTAAAACATAAACCAACACAAACAATGAAATACTAAAATTCGCGTAATTCACTAAAATATTATAGCAACTCAGTTACTATTCACTTGGCATAATAGCTCTCTACCTGGATGGCGGAGAGAATGACGCCCTTGATGACGACGCAGCGGCATTCCAATGGCGGCGTCTGGTGCAGAGTCTCCCCGGGTCCTACGAGCGAACCGTCGAACTGCAGGATAACGAAGTGGTTGGATTGAGATGCCACTAACGATTCACTAAGGTCGCTTAGGTTCCTTAATTCACCGTCCACGGAGACCTGGCTGAAGCAGTTGGGTGGGTCCAGGATGTACGGCGCTGGGTAGTAGAACGCTGCTTCTCCCTCAGCCTTAAGGTCAATTTCGCAGCCCAACTGAGGTTTGCAGGTTTTGTGGATGTTCGGTATACACAACGTATGCTACTAGAGCAGTGCGTTATTCTTCTTGGGATCATCGCTGTTTGTTTAATTCGTCGGAGGAGTATCATCGTCAACAAGACGTTCGACTCTGGAATACGCAATTTCCCCTTTTTCTTTAGGCGAAGCCGGAATTGGATTACCTTTAACTTCGTCACCATCGATAGATATCTTTTCCGCTGGGGGATGGGTATCGTCAACAAGGTATGGGACATCGGAAGGATGAATTTCCCGTTTCTCCTTAGGCGGCAACGGAGTTGGATTACCGTTCGCAGCACCTACCTTCTTATCAGCACTGCTGGGCTTATGCGTCGGCTGCTGTGTGTCGTCAAACTCGGGAACGACGGTGGAAGGCATAATTCTCCCTTTCTCTTTAGGCGGCGACGGAGTTGGGTTGGCCTTGCCCCCAGTATTGGTTATCTTTTCTGCTGGCGGCTTTGTGTCGTCGAAAGCCGGACGGACATCGGAATAATGAATTTCCCCTTTCTCTTTAGGCGGCAACGGCGAAGGACTGCCGTTAGACGCTGCTGCAGCCTTCTCGTCAGCACTGCTGGGCTCACCAGTTGACGTTTTTGAGTCGTCACCGGCACGCCGGACACGAATGCGAACCTTCAGCATCTCCTCCGGTGATGCGTGTGGATTCGGTTCAACATCAATGTTTACGATGGGAGTGGGTTGGAAATTAAACATCTTTCCCCTAGACCCTTTAGATGCTTTCCCGGTTGCCGCAACATTATTTTCGTCGCCGTTGCTTGTCACCGTTGTTGGTGGCTGTGTGTCGTCGAAAGCAGGTTCGACTTTGGAATGCTTAATTTCCCCTTTCTCCTTAGGCGGCGACGGTGTTGGATTGCCTTTAACTTTGGCACCACCAGTGGTTAACCTCCCCGCCGGCGGATGAGTATCGTCAACAAGGGATGGGACATGAATTTCTCTAAATTCACGTTTTCCTTTTGGATCAGGCGGAGTCGGATTACCGTTCGCAGCGCCTACCTTCCCGCCAGCACTGCTGGGGTTATTAGTCGGCGGTTTCGGGTCATCAACAAGTCTTCGGACTGCACTCCTTATAATCTCCCCTTTGCTTTTTGGATCAGGCGGAGAGGTATCACCATTAGAGGCAGCATCCTTGGCACCACCAGTGGTCAACTTCCCCGCTGGCGGATGAGTATCGTCAACAAGGGGTAGGACGCTGAAATGCGCAATTCTCCCTTTCTCCTTGGGCGCCGGGGTCGGATTACTCTTTGATTCGTCGCCAGTGTTGGTTAACTTCCCCGCCGGTGGATGAGTATCGTCAACAAGGGGTAGGACATGAATCCGTATAAACTCACGTTTTCCTTTCGGATCCGATGGAGTTGGATTACCTTTAACTGCGTCACCATTGCTAGTTATCTTTTCCGTTGGTGGCTTTGTGTCGTCGAAAGCCGGATGGACTTCGGAATGATGAATTATCCGTTTCCCTTTTGGATCCGACGGCGACGGACTGCCATTTGCGGCACCATCGGTAGTTATCTTTTTCGTTGGGGGATGCGTGTCGTCGAAAAAAGGCACGACTTGGGAAGGGAGAATTTCCCCTTTCTCCTTAGGCGGCAACGGAGTTGGGCTACCGTTTGCAGCATCTACCTTCTTGCCACAGCTGTTTGATTTATTCGTTGGTGGCTTCGTGTCGTCGAAAGCGGGATGGACGTCAGAAGGATGAATTTCCCCTTTCTCTTTTGGAAGCGAGGGGGCGGCCTGCGCCGATGTCGCCGCAGAAACATTGATTCCGCTGAGGATCAGAATAGCCACGGATAGGAACAACTTCATTTTGTAGTTAAATATTAGACTCTATACCTAAATCGGTACCATAAGTACACATCTTCCTCGGCGATGGATCTCCCGGAAGGCATGTCGGGCACCAGCCTTCTACCGGTGACGACCAACACACACGTGGAAGGCTCACGACTCCAAAGACGCCACATGTTAAATAAGGATACGCGTGTCGCACATGGTCCGTTTCATAATTGGTCGCATCCATTCTCAGCGAAACGGACGTCACTGTTGCCATAACGTTTCCTAATGTACATGAAGGCGCCGCGAATCTTGCGTTTACATCGCGGCACAATACCCTCCGCTACGTGTGAGGCGCAGTATGGGATTTTGTTGGCTTATTTTGAGCTCCACAGCTTCTCAATACGTACATTGTTACGCATGAGTCGTAACACCGCTACACAGGTTAAATTGGTTACACTCCACAAACACTTTCTCACCACCATAACGACACGGTGGCCCACCTTGTTGACACTTTTACAGTTACTAGCGATACGATTACGCGAGATTCGGCTCACTGCGTTAGGTCAGGTTATTTGTCACGTTGGATTCAGTAGCTGATGTTTTTGTTTCTTCGATTTCTAATTTAACAAGACTAGGGTCAGCGCGATCCCCTACGTTATGACGTGGGAGGGAATAGTGACAAAAGACCACACCAAGTACAGGCGGGACTTGGGCATATCGCATGGCTTAGAAGCCCATATTCAACGGATGGTGATCCAAGCAACACAAAAGGTGTTGAGGGACATGAAACCCAGAGAGGATTACGACACTGTGAATGATCCTCGCGCCCAGACAAGGTGGATGGCATCAATGACGTTTGGCAACAGGACGTGGGTCCCGCAACAGATACCAACGACATGCAGGCCGTCAGTCCTCAGTAAGGGTGAGAAGCACTGCTCATACGCAGACACATATCGCACCAAATAAAGCAAAACAAAGACAAACTAAGGCACTCACCTTGACCGAGTCTATCTAGAAGAAATACGGCGGTAAAATATCCATGTAAACAATCTCAACATCTGTGTGCCCTCAACCCATACTTTACGCTTACTTCCAGTAACCACTCACGTAGCACACCTGCTGATGGCAACTAGAAGGTAATGTAGCGGGATCCCATTGAATAATTTATTTTTGCGGAAATATGGGTGACCACCTAGACCGGCCGCGCGGGAGTGCCGTGCTGACCTAGGTACTAAGCCACTCGCCGGGCCCGTGTACGGGATGCGAATGGTTGTTTGGGCACCCAGGGTGTGTTAAGTGGCGCTTATATGGACGACATTCTGTGAATCGGCGGCATTTTAATCTAATACCTCAATCCACGCAGACACCTGTTGTCACACTAGTAGAGCGGCAGCCGGATGCGGTGGGAAGGCGGTGACATAAGATCGCGGCATTACGCTCCATTGAAATTAAAATTAGCTTACATTGGAATAAAGAAATGTTGTACGGGAATGCGGGCAATTGTGGTTCAGGAATCCCGGTGTTCACGCCGACGGCAAAATCCAGGATTCTCTTAGGCCGTATTGGAGGCTGGCTAGTAGCTACAAAGATTGAGACTAAACATCTGCAGATTAAGGCTGTTCCAAAAGTGCACGGATCAGAGAATTAGTCCAAAAGCGTACGAATCTGAGTGATAGACGCACACAACACCTCCCGCATACACACAGTAGTACCAAACACGGTCATGCGCTAGATTCCGTGGCAACCGGCAATCATAGCTGGTAGCATAAATGAATTACGTGCCATATGTATCAATGTGTCGTGATGTGCAGCTGTTATGAGCCGATAATGGCTCTAGACGCAATGTCGCCGCAACCACTTATAGCAGAGAACAATTACGCTAATAGAGGAAGACGATACAGCGACTGTTGTCATTACTCTTTGGCTGCCGTTTTTATAGCAATTAGGCCCCGCAATATACTACTCGTAACCCATGGTAACATTTTAAACTTCCACGCTCGCTGCTTAATGGGTCAGCATATCTAGGCTCAGTGTGTGCCATCCACGTCTTATATGTGCGTAGACAGTGACTCGCGTTATACATGCTTCGTGGCAGGTTGATCGTGCAGAGCTGGCTGCGATACGGCACCTCGGTAGTAATAATCTATTTACCTTCCGCATATTTGGTGCATCTACGGAATGTCATAATGCAATTAGACGCGTATGTATTAAGATTCAACAGGACTTGTGTTCTCCTCCGCGATTAATACATATCTGGCGCTCACGCCATTGGTTGAATATACGCCCTGTATTTAAACCTACCTACAAATAGACCACAAATCCAGCAATTTGCGCTAATTGCCTACGCCACCGACTCATTGCAAAATGGTGTACAATTCGTTGACTGATGTCCCTCGCAACCTCAAAGAGTGCATTGACTGGCTGATGGCCCTGAAGGGAACCGATGCCGAAACCAACTTGAAGGCTATGGGTGCGGCACTTTACAATTTTCTTGTATATAAGCCAGTTGGAAAGATGGAGTTGCCAGCTCTCGAGGAAGTGAAACGTATTTCTAAGGAATTCCTGGAGCAAAAGGAGTTTAGGGATCAGCCCTCCGTAAAAAAAGTGCTGGGGACATTCAACAATCGAATGAATAAACAATACTACAAATACTTTAGGTTCGTGGTTCATATCGACAAAAGCGATTATGAGAACGTCGTACGGACCAGGGGTACCGTACCTGAAAAAATCGCGGAGGACTTGGGTAAAGTAGTACATGGTACGGAGACGTTCTTGGATGACATAAAAAATCCTGACAAGTATAGGTCTGCTTACTGTCCAGAAGCGACGTGGGATGCATCATTCGCGAAGAACCCGGAAGCTTGCGCTGTCATCTTAGTGGGAATTGGACCAATGTTCTACGCAGGCTCAGAATCTTTGCTAATAGAATTCGAAGTTTTATATATAACGGGTCTGAGTCATTACTGTTTTGATAATATCCAAATGATGGTGAAAGCTTTGGGTTTCAAAGAGCCGGAATGCCGCGCTAGCCCCAATCTTGTAGATATAGACAGGGCGTTGACCCGTTTAGATGACGATGAATTGTACACAGTATACGACCTCTCTGGGTTTTGGGCCTTCTACTGATTAGGGATCTCAGGTGACCTGTACAAGCAGTTGGGGACAGAAGAGTCTGACTCCGGTTCACCACTCGATAGCCGTCAACGAACTCCCACGAAACATTTGTAAGTTGCCAAGCATAATTATGGGCAGTTTTATAAACAGTATCCATCTACCATGCCGCTGTCGCAGAATGACGGCAGACAATCCTTTGCGTATCTTGAATCGCCTTCATGGCGCAGTTTGGACGTATGTTGTTGCAACGTAATTCACTTTCATTTTAGTATAGAAGACAGACACCGCGCGTAGGCCTGCAACCCACACCAACAGCCTGAGGCATTAGCGCTCAGTTGGCGGGTAAAGTGGAAGTAGCCAAGCGTAGTCATCATCAGCACGCAACACAACTTGAAAACGCAGATTAATTTATACTAAGCGGTACGCCAGGCAACGTGACACAACGCAGATGCATGCACCAGACTTTGGTTTGCTTCAACTTGCGTCAGCGATAACTACAAATCACCAAAGAACCCGGATTCAGTTTCCTCGCCCTCAATCAGCGTGGATACGACATCCGTGGGCACGATACAGATGTTCTCAAGATTTGCTACGAACGCTGCACATTTTACAGCAATAGTACATGCAACTACCCACCCAAATGGCTCTTGTTTCCATTTATGCACAACGAGTCCGTGCTAGATATGCTGAGTCCAAGCTTGTGAATCGTGTCAATGGCACCTGGATACCATGCATGACCATCGGTAAAAGCATAACGTACCCAGCACCGAATTGGGATGAATTGAGATGACGTGCACCTTTCCGTCGTCACCACCAACCAACATGGTGTCATCGTCGAAGGCCACCACGCTCTCGACGCTGTTGGCGTGCAGCGTCATGCGATCGTCGAGGTCACCCCAACGGCCGTACGTGAACATGCAGATGTGACCTGTGTTGCTCCCACAGACCACTTTACGCATACCCTTGGCGTATGTCATACACTGCAATTCGTCCTCGACATTGTCGGACATTCCCTGCAGTGACACACGCCCGCTTTTCAAGTTGAAGCATCCCAGCTGATCGTCGCATACAGCAAGCAGCTCCTTAGAATCCTTGCCCAAAAGCATACCTAGCAGCGACTTTAAGACGTACTAACATGAAACACCTACCGTTTATGGAGTCCTCGAACTCCGAGACGTTTGACCGGCAGGCGGCCTTGGCCAGCCGAGTGTCCCAAATCTGGTGAGAATGAAGCAGATGCCACCAGATGATTCACGTACCCTGATCTCCCCGTCGTCATCACCAGTTGCGATTGTATTGTTGTCTACAGTGCAGAAGGTACTAATAGCGGCTCTGCATACATCGCAGTCAACGGATAGGGCAAACGCCAACGCACCTATGACCGCGGCCGTACCACTTTACAGTGCTGCCTTCCACGTCTAGCAGCGACACTCGCTTGTCAGCAGCCACGGCAATGATGTCTGCAAGTGCTATCGCTGTCAGCAAGACACCAACCTCGACCGTTGTTAGAAAATGCCGCCTTCCTGATGGACTTCTTATGTGCAGTCTGGTTAGACCATGACGCCCGCAGTTCGGATCCTTCCTTGTCGAAATCGTACCTATAGCATACGGTCGGCTCATTTATCGACCGCAAACCAACATCACGAGGTCGCCGGAGACCGTGGCGGCGAGCAGCAAGTCTCTGGAACCATGGAAGTCAAGCGAGTTGACGTAGAACTCGTTGGAAACATAAAAACCATTGGTATGCATTTTAAGTTTTTAGTTCTAAGTTAGTAGACAGGCTTCAGTGCCACTTCAAATCGCCCTTCGGCACGTTGCCGATAGTGCCGTCCTGCGACATGTGTAAGCGCCGTCACGAAAACGTACCAGTCGGCGGGCCATGCAAGTGCCGATGGATTTCATCAGCTGGGTCGCGTCGTTGTCTTCTCCTAAGTTCTGGAACCACACTTCGATACGCACTACCGGGAAACGCGTCGCCAACTTGTCCACCTGGCGCAGTCTGAGGGCAAACAACACGAACTTACCAAACGCACGCCGTTTATCAAATGCGCATGGGGCATGTCGCCACCTATCAACCCAAGGATAATGTTGTTCCAGAACTCGTCGACGATAAATTGGCCTACTTCGCCGGGCTTGAAGCGGTAGTCGAAGTGTCCGCCGTCCTTGTTCATGACATCCTCCCACATAGGCTCGATGCCGTCCCTATAAAACCAGTTAGCTCGTCACAAAACAATGTATGGAGACCGGACTAGACAGGGTAACCGGAAACCGCGATCTCACGAACATCCGACACACCGTGCTTATTGACCATACAGCAACATAACACTGCAGTGCCGAACTACCCAGCCTTTTAAACACCACTGTGGTTGCAGCGAATGCAAGTGCAAGCGACAGACAAAGATAGACAGCCTACCTGAATATCATAATGGCGTCCACAACGTGCTGGCTGCCGTCAGTACACTCCCGGAAAAGACGCTGCGAAGTGGAGAGCTCGCTGGGCTGCGGGATGCTGAACCACAGGTTCCAGAAACTCTGCGAAAGTGGTAGGGAGCCGCCGAAAACGTCATCCTACCTGCACCGAGTCGAACGACACCAGAGGCCTGGTGTGGCACTTGTAGTCCGCGTTGTGGCGTTGGTCGTGGTTCTTTACGATCTGCTCCCAAATAACCCATTTGTTCTTCAAAGGCAGCGGGGCCGTGACATCCAGTTTGCACTGCGCGGTGTGAAGGCGGTGGCGCGAGAACGTACGGTTTCAAATAGGCTCGACAAGCGATGATAGTCCTCGAACCTCTTGTTAAACGTCAAATGAGGGTAGATACCATCGCCTTCAGGCGCTTCACCGGGCGCAGCGGTGGCTAACTCGGCCATAGTCGGGAGGTATAAGCAGTATTTTCAAATGTGCGAAGAGGGCGGTGTGAGCGACCGCCGGACTCGAAAAGCGCTGGTCGTAGTGTACCCAGCTTCCTCGTCCCGATAATACCGCAAATTTAAATTGTCGCCTCCGAAATACTCTTTATGAACCGTGACAGCGGCGCTCTCATATGTCGACGCGATTCAGATAAGGACCCCCATCCGGTCGGAGCTGTGACGGGTACTGAGGAACACTTTTAGAAAATGACACATTAAAACAAATACATTCTGTGACTATTGTAAATACACTATTCTAACTATTCCTGAATTGTACCGCGAGAGGCTATGCTGGATTTGCTTTGTCCTGGACATCCGCAGATGTGTCCGGTTTTGGGTCGGTTTTCGCCTCGGAGGAAGGTTTCTTCGGCTTTTTCTTGCGATGGTAGAATGCTACGCGTGTTTTAACCACTTTCGGGGCGCCTGACACTTTGTCTCGCAGGCGTTCGAAGCGTTGATTGCCTAGCAGCTCCTGCAAACGAAATAGTGTACGCTTCGTTGCTAGGTCGAATGGGAGCTTGGCTTTCGCATTGTATTTTTGCACGGCACCTAATTACAATGTGTAAACGGTAAGAAGACAGCCGGCAACGTACCCCGTCCGACGAGTTCCGCGGCGACTCCGGCGTGACCCTTAGACAACGCGAGGTGCAGCTGAAACGGATGTCTAGGCGCAGCTTATCCTTACGGGTGTCATCCATGACGTAGCTGTTTTGGTGTTTACACGCGTGCCGCCGTTCAATAGCTGGATCATTGTCAAGGCGTACATGGCCTGCGTACCTCGCGAGCAATCTCTTCGTGACCGTTTTGCGCCGCGAAGTGTAGAGCCGTGGTAGAGTCCCGGGCTGTAGCCTGTGCAGAGGCGCCATAGCGCAGCAACAATCGGACGCAGGCGATGCGGCCTGTCTCGTGTGTGACACCGACGCTTGACCTACCCTTATGGGCTGCCAGATGCAGCGCAGTCCTAACGAGCAGTGAAATTTTACATTACGATAATTAAAACAATGCCAGTTGAAACCAGTGAACGGCGCTAAATTTACATGTAATTACCTTCCGTGCGAATCGCGCTTGTCAACGAATTCCGGAAGCAGCACCGTCGCCGAGGGATCGTCGCGGCGACGGATACGAAGCGCGCCCTCGAGCACACGCTCCAGGCCACTCTGGTTGTCGGATTGCACAAGGTTGTGCAAGGCGGTCATTTTACCTACTGAGCTCCATGGAGCGCGTGGGAGTTGCACCGCCTGACTGCGCATCCCACAAGGACTTGTAGCCGCCTCCGCGTTGCAGCAGCTCGGAATGCGAGCCGAACTCCTTCACTTCGCCGTTCTCCATGTACATGATGCAGTCGCAGTCCACGATGGTGCTCAGACGGTGGGCGATGGTGAGCACCGTGCGGTTGTGGAACAGCAGTCGCAGGGTGGACTGGATATCAGCCTCGGTCTTGGAGTCCAGGGCACTGGTGGCTTCGTCGAGGACGATAATCGGCGGGTCCTTGAGGAAGCAGCGTGCGATGCTGACGCGCTGCTTCTCTCCGCCGGAGAGACGCATGCCCTTTTCGCCTACCACGGTGTCGAGCCTGTCCGGCATCGCCATCACGCGGTCCAGGAAGCTCGCGCGACGTAGGGCCTCGTAGACCTCCTCGTCAGTAGCGTCAAGCTTGGCGTAGCGGATGTTGTCGCGCAGGGTGGCGTGGAACAGTGCGGTGTTCTGTGACACCACGCCGATGTTGCGGCGCAGGCTCTCCTGGGTCACCGCCGTGATATCCATGCCGTTTACCATAATCCTTCCACTGCTGCTGTCGTATAAACGACACAGCAGAAGGCTCACGGTGGTCTTGCCAGCGCCGGTGGCCCCCACGATGGCCAGCGAGTGCCCCTTGGGCACCGTGAAGCTGAGATTGCGCAGAATAACCTTAGGACGCCTTCCTCCGCGTTCCGGGAAGCTAAAGGACACATCCTGGAACTCGATCATCGGCAAGTCGCTGGAGGTGGTCACGTCCAGCTCGAGCGAAACGGCGTCTTCGCGGTCCACGATGGCGGGCTTGCACTGCATCATGTTCGCGGCACTCTGAATTCCAGCCATAGCACGGCAGATCATAGCGTACATAGTCCCCAGCATGAACAGGGGGCGGTACAGATAGAACAGATACGTCTGAATCGACACCACATCTCCAACTTTCATGCTGCCACTGGCGGCTGCCAGCACGCCGAACAGCAAACACAGGCCGATCGTCGTTTGCTTCATCAGCTCCTGCGACATGTTCAGGATACTCAGACTCGACAGCACACGCCACTGGCACTTCTGGTGCTTGCGGACCACGGAGGTGTACTGTGCGACTTCGTGGGCCTCGTTGGTGTAGTACTTGACGGTCTCGAAGTTGTTCATGCCGTCGTTGGCCACGTTGTGCATTTCGTCGTCCCTCTGGGCCTCGGCCGCGCGGGTCTTGTTGCGCCAGTTGGTCGCAACGATAGTCACTCCGATGTAGAGGGATAAGCCGACCACCAGGGTCACCACCAGCCACACCTCCCGGAAATAGACGGCGAAGAGAACGCAGACCGAGAACGCCTCCAACATGGTCGGCACCATAAGGAGCACACCAAACCGAGTCAACTCGCGCATCGATTCGAGACCACGGGTCATGCAGCGGATCATCTGTCCGCTCTTGGTATCCACAAACCACTGGTAGTCCATCGTGTGCAGGTGGCTGTAGAACTTCAAGGCCAGAGTCGTCAGACCATGACACTGGACCTGAGAAAGCATGCGTAAATACACCGTAATAACTTACGTAGCTGAATAGCAGGTTCCTCGTTTCATCGAACGTGGTACCGCCTAGGAAGAGAACGGCCATCACCAACAAGTGCCTGAGGGCCAACATCTTGCTGTTTTCACCCAACGCGGTGATCACCTGGCCCATGTAATAGGGCGCCAGAAGGTTGCATGCCTTGCCACAGAAAAGCGCGACGATTGCCAATATGACGAACATACGCAGAATGAACACCTTGTGCGTGCTGTCGCCAGACTCGCCCGGCCAGTAGAACGGGCGCATTAACTGCAAGGAGTGAACATTACGCGTTTAGAAACACCTACATCAATTACATCCTTAGTCGTGGCCTTTTTGGCATCTTCGTCAATGTTGACCACGTAGGCGTCGTCGCCTTCCACCGACTTGCCGTGACCGGTCACAGGGCACTTTCCCATCTTGGTAGCCGATAATGCAGACACCCCAACGACAGATCTTCTCTAATGCCGATGTCGCTTTGACAATGTGCGGCAGAATAATAATATGTGCAGGCAAAGTACAGTCAACGGCGCAGTACAGGTTGCAGTAAAGGAGGTATCGACGCCGACAGAAACCGATTGCAGTCACGGAAGGCACAAAATCGCTGTTTATATGCGAATAGACAAACTGCCATGCACAAGAGATTAAGCTATATGCTTCAAAAACAAGGGTATGCCTGGCGTTTGTACCGGTAGAAGGACGTATATCGCAAACACCGATTACAATAAAGCGGGCGTCGCCTTGATCAGATGTAAGGATTGTTAGCGAAATGAGCTTCGCTTATTTGTTTTTAAAAAAAGGGTATCCCTACACGTTTATGGAGTACACATAGGCCTGCCACGCCCTGTGCCGCGGCTGTTGCCACCAGCACATTCAATACTCAAGCCGGTAAAATTGCTAAAAATGGAATTATTCGCCCAAGGGCCGGACGGCTCTTCAATGACACAGCGTTGCGTTGCATGTGCGCTCTCCTAACGCGTAGACAATCATCGGCGCGCACACACCGTGTCTGCAAATTCAGAGGACACGCGTAGTACACTAAATGTGCTCCCTATAACTTATCGCACCTCATTAAAATAACGTTTGTGAACCGATACGGAGCCTCGATATCCGTATGTTTCCGGAGATCCTAGAGGTCGCGTAACCGTTTGCTCAACACATCGGCGTCAAGGAGCCCTTTCAGGTGCTCCAGCGCCGCCTTGTTCCTCCGAATACGGTCCTATACGACAATACAGACGATCAAACGCAACAACATACCAGCTCATGCTGAAGTGTCGGTGGCAGCAGCCTTTCCAACCGCGCAATCAACGGTCGTTGGTGGCGCAACGCAAAAAACTGGCGGAAGTATATCTGAATCAGCAACAGCGCTGTCTTCGACGCCATCTCCATGCTGTGGAGGTTCACAGTGCCGCTGCCGCACAGCGAACTGTACGACTCCAAACTCGACACGATGTAGTTGAGAAGCTGAGACGTCATGATGGGTTACGTAAAGAATGGCATGTGCGTAAAATCAGCACCAAAGCACATTCACTGTAGAATTCACAATACATAGTCATTTTAGCAATGGTAATAAGGCCAAGAAGGCAGGATCAACATTGCCCACTTGAAATACATGACTAGATACAGGTCACAATGTACCACCGGGGAAGCATGCACTTCTTCTGAAGTCCATGCACTCAACACGCATAGTTATAAGCAGAAACTAACCTTCTCGGCGTAAATAAACGGCAGGGCTATGAGCACCTCGTGAACCACGCTGTGTGTCAGACTGCATACCGCCATCATCACGTGCTCGGTGGGTGTACGGTTGAACAGTTCCAACGGTGGATCTGGTTCCCTAGGGGGTGCTGTGTCAGGCATGCCATATTTAGCCAGCGCTCCAGACTCTGACGTCATCTCCTTGTATTCCTCAACTCTTAGCTTGTGGTCTTCCAGAGCGAGACGGTACTCCTCAGCCTCGTCGATGATCCGCATCAGCTCCTCGGTGGCCTTCACAGACTGCACCGTCTTGCGAGTTGCCTTGTTCAGCAGCGCGTCACGGTCGACTGGAATGACCTGATTCAGGTCATCACGAACCACCTCGTGCTCCAGTTGGAGTTCCAACTCCTTCTCACGCTCTTCGGAGAGGAAGATTTGCTCGTCACTACGGCGCCAAAAACGAATGGTACTGTCATCCGCTGCAGTCATATAGTACAATAAAGATGCCGAACTCACATGCAGAGACGAAAAAATGCGCGTCACTGCTCAAGGCCAGTGAACGCACCGCCGTGCTGTGGCCGCGCAGCTGGCAGATCTGCTCATAGGTGTCGCAATCCCACAACTTTATCGACGAATCCAAGCTTGTGGTTACCAGGTAGTGTGTGTTGTTGATCCAACGGCACTTCACAACGGCGCTCGAGTGGCCCAGCAACGAACGACGGATGTTTCCGAAGTCCAATCCCCAGATCTTTATCGTCTTGTCGAGAGAGCTGGACGCCAGTAATGTGCCATCCGAAGATATGTCTATCGACGTCACGGGCAGCTTGTGACCGTACAGCGAAAGGAATGGCTTCATGGTATCCGTGTAGAACGTCTGAATGGTGCTGTCGTGCAGTGCAACGGCCAACAGGCGGCCATCGGCAGAGTAGCGCACGTCCGTAGGGTCGTCCACCAACGACGTTGACGACACCTCCTTGACACATAGCAACTCCTGGGACCCCTTCTTCTTCAGCATGTACTGGAAGATCTTGACGCAGCGGTCGCGGAAGGCTGCAGCGAACGACGCGTGATCGGGATGCTCGCACATGCAGACAACATCCAGATCCGACGACCGTTTGGTGGCGTCAGCAGGCAGCTTGTATACCTCGTGCGCGTCGCAAGTGTCGAGGTACAGCACCCGCAGCTCACCCGTGCTCGTGCCCACCAGAATGTGGCGGTTGCCCGCCACGAAGTAAGCACAGGCAACTGACTTGCAGTCGAACGTGCGAATGGCGTGCAACGTATGCGAGTTCCACACCTTCAGCGACTCTGACGAGAAGGAGAGAAGCATGGTGTCGCTGGGCGACACCCCCAATCCCATAATGGGACTCGGGTGGCCCACCGCATCCAGCAGGTGCACCCGCTCACACATCGACACCATGTCCTCCATGTCGGAATCGTCATCTGCGGTCTTCGGAGACAACAGCTTCTGCAGCTGCACGCGCCAGACGCTAACACGGTTGTTAGCATAGCCTATGACAAATCCACTGGGAAACAACGCGAAGGATGAGATGCGCTCAAAAGCGTTGACCGCAAACATGTAATTCAGCTCGTCGGTGGCAGCGAGTTCAGTATTGCTACTGGCCGGATTTGAAGCCGACGAGTCCGCCGACTCTACCGGGTTCGTGCCACTCAACAGCTTCTCCAGATGCGATATCGTAGCCTCAAGTGAATCAAACTCCACGGTAACCTCACGGCCCGTGGCCCTCAGTGCTTCACGGAGCTTGTTGCAACGTGCACGCTGCTTCTCGAGGTGACGTTTCTGACGACGCTTGCGGCGCTTCGCGGCCTCCGCAGAGTCGTATAGACGATAAAAGACCACAAATGTCGTGGTCACGCAGAGCAGCAAACCCTTTTGGTCTATCTCTAGCACCTTCGTACTCTCCTTGCCAGAAGAACGAGTTCCTTTACGACTTGAGTATGTGGCGGCGGCATCCTTTGCGCTGGGGTACATGATGCACAACCGACGGCACCGCCCATGGTTCTCCGGTCGGTTCAGTGATGGCAGCTCCTTGGCATAGACAGGAATATCGTAGGCGGAGTTTTCCTCCTTCTCATTGCCTGACATGTCCAACTTGTAGCAGCGGATGCGATTCTCAGAACCTCCCACGTAGAAACGTGACTGACATAACGTGATTCGTTTGTGTTTAACTCAAGCAACATACCTCATTTGAATTCACAGCGATGCTGTACAACTCCGCGGTGGAGTGGATGACGGTCTGTATGCACAGTTGCGATGTTAGGTCCCACACGCGGACGATGCAGTCCTTCGATACACTCAGCAGAAATCCCAGAATGTCGTCGCCCTGCTTGGCGGAGAAGCGCTCAGCGCCGAACTTGCGCGCTTTCAACTGACTTTCGGACGATCCGGTGTGACTGACGAAACGAATGTCGGTAATCTCGTTGCGATGGCCCTCCAGCCTGAACAGACCCAGGTCGCCGGTGGTATCCCAGATGATAACGCTGCAGTCCTGGGAACCGGAAGCCAACAGCTGGCGGAAGGGGCTCAGTGCCAGGCAGGTGACGGCATTTTTGTGGCCTTGCACCTGGAAGTCCTCGTTAACCATTGACACCGCTTCTCCAGCCAGCGACTCCGGGCGCTGGAAACGCCGAATGGAGCCGTCGGCGTAACCCACGTACAGCCAACGCTCTTCGCCATCGGCGCAGACGAAGGCTGTCACGTCGGAAGGCGCGTGGAGGTCGTCCGGCTTCGCCTCAAAGTTGACGCGAGCCTCGCCGGTGCGGCAGTTCCAGACGCTCACGCGCTCATCGTGGCCTGTGACGACAAAATCCTGCGATAGCGCCGCAATATTGCGGCATACGCGCGACGTTACCGTGCCGAAGCTGTCTTGCAGCGCGTAGCGCAAATACGATTTCACCATTGGACTCGCGCGGTGGAATCCATGGAACACAGCACGATTCTTACGCTTCCAATGTTAACAGGATGAAATCTTACGGTTTGCGATATTATAGGATATAAGAAGAACCGAGCTGCGGTTGTAGATAACCGTCTTCTGGAGCTCTGTGCGGTGACCCTAGTGCCGTACAACATACAGAGAGCTATAGCAGCGGATGGTCAGATATTTATATGAAATACCTCAAATCAGTAATCCATTTACAGTACATCTTTGCTTAAATAGGGTAACGTATAAGTAGATGTATCACCGAGCTATGGTTAATGGGCAGTGACATAAGTGTCGATTGCCGTGGAATAAGCTTACAATTAGCGCTTTTGCAGCATTATACAAACATACAGCCCCTTTTAATAACAACCACACGGTATATGTGAATATAACCGTGTTGAAATGTGGACACCTAGATATTAGTTTGGAGTTCCGGCGCATAACGCAACGGAGGAGGCAACGAAATTTCCAGTCACATTAACTTACACACTTGACACATTCGTGTACTTGCCGGAGAATGTCAACGGTTGCCTTACGGCCATAGGAAAATCACTAGCATTCAGACGCACCTATTAGACAGCAACCCGCGTGGCGCCGCATACCATCTACACATGGCCACCAGGAGACAGGACGGAGCCTCGGCCGCTCGTGAATAAATACCAGAGGTGATTTTTGGCCGTATTAGGCATCAATACCTATCCCGCAGGGGCCAACTACGCTTACCGCCAGCTGCGCATGGCCATGCGGGAATTAAGCTGAGGTCACTAAAGAGAGGAATAGACCCTACACACTGATTGCACATCAATCGTAAAGAATACTAAGAAGACAAAGCAATTAAGACAGGATGCCGCCATCGTTGAGGGGATCGCAGCTCAGCGGGAACAGTTACACATTGGAGTCTGAGTTTGACGAATCGGCCATCAACACATCGGGGTCATTCAGCCGGCATTCGTACGAGTCGAAACCAAGCAGAGGCTCCTCACGGCGCACCAATGTTGCCAGCAGGGAATTTGACCATGCCGAGGATGAAGCAATGTCTGAAAGACAGGAAAGTAGTCGATCGAGCTCTGGGTCGCTGAAAAACAAACAAATGGAAAATGAGACAAAAATGTCTATGGCAGCGCAATCCGATAAAAGTAGCATGCACCTTGCCTCTTTTTTCACCAAGCAAACAAGTCGAAGCAGCGGCGGGGGTACGGGACGCTCCAAACGTTCGGACAGCTCACAGAGGTCGTCAGCTCGGTCTAGCGGTGACGGCGAGATCGATCATGGATCTCAGAGCCGAAACTCGGTTTCGTCGAAAGCGAAGGAACGCAGCTCTTCCAGGAGTAGCCACTCCTCCGAAGGCGTAGAGATAGGACCGTATTCAAACACGCAAGTCAATTCCCCAGTTGCAGACGACAGGATACGACAAGCGTGCAGCAAGTACGGGCTGGATAGCGACAGCCTGCAGGAAATACTGGAGGGTAGGCACCGTTCTCAGAAAAGCGATGTGTCGCTATCGAAGCATGATCAACGTTCGGAAAATGGCGATACATCTCCTGACAGTTTTAGGGATGAAATGCTGGTATATCTGCTGCAACAGCAGCTGAAGCTTAAGGCCGAATTGAAGGCACAAAAGTCACGGGGGCAGGGGTCACATGCGTCTGATGAGACTCCAGTACGAAGCTCGCGGTCGTACCAAAGTGAAGGCAGTGCAAGAAGTAACAAAAGTTATAAGGCACTGGAGGAGGTAACTCCAAACGAATTGAGGCAGATACAGGAAAGGTGGAGCGGTGACAACGTACGTGACCAGGAAGAGAGTTATGCAACGGGTACACCCACAAAACAACGCACGCGATCTCATGCACCAGCTACTAGAAATGGTGACGATTTCACTCCCGAGGATACTTACTCGTCGCGTGGTAGCCAAAAGAGCAGAAGGCAACAGGAAGCTTCGCACGCAGGGAATATAGAAATTGTTGCCGATGAAGACCCAGTGTACGAGCGCAACAGTCGGAGGATGAATACCGATGAATTGGTAATACAGAACGAAGCCAGTTCGCTGCATAACGAAATAGAGCAAATCATCGACAGTCTCGAGAGCTCAACTATGGATCAGATGAGTGACGGTACTGTCCCAGTAAATCTGAATGAAGGCATGAGAGAACCGCCGTTCGTGCCCCAATACTCCGAACAATTCGTGGGCCCTAACAGTGGGAATTTCAACCTGTACAACGGCAATCAGCCATATATGAATAATGGGAGCAATTCATATAAGAACAATGGGAGCGACCGGTATATGAACAACGGCGATCATCCATACATGAGCAACGGGCACAATTCGTATATGAACAATGGGAACAATTCATACATGCACAACAGGGATGACCCGTATGTGTACTCCGATGATGAATACTATGGAGAAGAATTGGCTCTACCCATCAAGGTGCCTACCAAACCCCCAAAGCCGGATGTCATGGATGCGATGGTCATGACAGACCAAACTGCACGCGAAAATGAACTTAATGCGTACGAAAGGGTCAGCAGAGAACTGGATCAGGAGGCTTTTGACAACCAAGGTGCTTACCAAACGGATAATACGCGCATCACGAAGGATGGGATATCATGGGAGATCACGGAATCGTACCTCAAGGAGGAAGAACGGCGCATGCTACTGGAACAAAAACGTGCCCAACTGCTCCAGCAGCTTAAGGAAGTGCCATATGCGAAAACCCAGACGCTGCAAGACCACTACGCCAAGTGGGTGGCAAAAAAGGCATCCATGTCTAAGCCTGGTGAAAACAGGCCTGAGGAACAGGTTGGCGGCGACAAATCCTCTGACCGAAATGGAGAGTCCTGCCATATGCCATGCAACGTTTTCGAGCCTGCTGTTGCAACTTGTGGCGCAAACATCTTTAGACGGACAAGGGGTAATTCACGCCAAAGACAAGCGTCAAATCATTCCACAGATTCGAAAAGCACGCCGCCGCCCAGGCGTGCCGATCAACAAACACCGAAGGAAACGCATCGCGTGCCGATGCAACCTCCGATGAATGAACCGCCCTACAACGGGGATGCGATGCCGAATCGCAAGGACATCTACATCAAGGGGTCGTGGGACCCGCACACCGGCGCCCTCAGAATAAGTAATGATTTAGACAGTTCACAAAATACGGACAAAACCCGCATTCTTGATGATTACGTTGACTTTTTGAAACAGAATCCTGGAAACTGGAGCCGGGATCACAGCTTAGACGAGACACCGGTACCAGCACCAATGGCACTTGCACGTGTCGAAGAACAGCCCATTAGGAAAACCGACATCGCGAAAGAAATACGCGATAAGCGTGAAGAGGATCCAACGCCGTACGTGCCGCGCAATGTTAGTGTCACTGAATCCGTGAAATCGGAAAAAAGCCTAACGCTGACGTCTTCGTCGTCATCTGCGGGTAGCCAGGGAGACCTCTACGAGAACGACGAATTCTACCCACCAAGTGGCCCGCTACCGGGCGATTCTTCAGGAGTTGAATTCACGCCTCCGGCACAGCAGCAAAAATACGCAATGGGATTCAGCGACCCCTACATGCCACCGGTCAGATCGGCTAGTGACCTATTCATGCCGCCAGTCAGATCAGCCTCGGACCTCTACAGCTCTTCTGTGGCCCACATGGCGATGCTGAATGGTGCGCGGGCGCCAGCCAACAAGCCGGAGGAACAGTCGCATCACCACCATTATCACTACCACTGCTCGGAGAGACACCACCGGGCGTGCTCCCACCGGAAGAGGCACAGCTGTAGACATAAGCACCGGAGTACCTGCTCCCACCGGAAACACTCGCATGTCCATAGCGGAGCTCCGGACGACTTCGAGCACAGCAAGGAACACAGGAGATCTGTAAGCCGCGGTCGTTCCATGGCAACTATGACGTCGCGTGACTTCGAGCCCGCTGAGAAACCCATGCCGATGGTTGAAAGACAAGAAATGAAAATGGCACAGATGTCACCCAAAATCGAATCAGGTAAACAGAGTCCTAGCATCGCCAGCAGGTCACCCAGTCCGCGCTCGCAATCGTCGCCGGTGCAACGTAAAGTCTCTAACATACCGATTGCGGCGCCGTTTGGCCCGTCGTTCGGCATGTGTGACGATGGTAGGTATTCATCGGGTGGGACGGATGAGTCCGATGAGGCGCCTCTGTCGTTCCGCGACATAATTACCAACTCTGGCAGCTTGAAAAGCACCGATTTCGTCAAGGTTACCACGTACCACTCACCCGAGGATGAAAATGATGTTGCAGAACAGCAGCCTGCGGAGCCGCAGGTGGAATCTGAACCTGATGTTCATATCAAGCCGTCGGCGTGGTGCTGCGCTGCAACGACAAAGTCAGAGGATGCAGCCGCAGAGCAGCCAAAGGCTGACGCTAACGGGCCGCCTGATGACACCACTCACAGGGCAGACAGCATGTGTCGAACTCCCTCACCCTCATATACACCCCCCTGGAGCACGTCTCCGCTCAGGCATCCACATGTGTTCAGCAGACGAGTGCACACGAGGGCCAACAGCCCCAAGGTCTGCGTATCCCCGCTCGCCAAGCTGGAAAACGGTGAGTGTCCGACCTTGTGCAGGCGGCATGAGACGTATAGCTGCAAGGTGTGCTATGACTCGGAGGCTGAGTCTAGTGAACAGTTCACCTTCCGCGACAACAGGTCAGAGGACCCCAAGCCGGCCAACGCACCGCCCATCATCAAAACCCGGGTTCTGTACGTGGGCGATAACTGAGCAGCGAACACTGTCATATTCAATTATAGCAACATATATTGGTCACATTTTTACATCCACCATACATGATTTTGTTTTAGGCGCCATAACCGTGTTACACGAAAAGCTCAACTACATGGAGTACATACCACATCCAACCTATCACAATAGATAGCGTACGATGAGTGTACAACGATATTAAAACACGTTATTTTTCTGAGACCTTCTGACTCTCTATTGTCTTCTTGATAGCGTTCAGCCACATGCGGCGGGGAGTGATGTTGTGCTTCAAGCAGTGCCAGTGAAGCTTGGTCTTCGCGCGCAGCAAACGCATGCGAGATATGTCTGTCACGTTCACCATGAAGCATCGCCCAGCAATGCGATGGTTCAGTCCGATGTAGATGACGTCCATCATGTTGTCGTTGGTGCAGAGAAGGTTGTACTCACGCTTCGCAGTGACCAGCGTGAAGAAGTGCCACGGGAAGACCTCGTCAGGCTTGACGAGGTTGTGGTGAAAGATGTACGACGATGAGTTGAAGCCAAAGTCCAGCTTACGAATGTCCTGAGAGCTATGCGAACACGCGGAAGCAACATACCTTCAGGGACACGGTGGTCTTCACTGAGAACTTCTCTGCCTTGATGCGGCAGAAATGCAGCTCGTTATCCGTCACGCGTAAGTACGTGGAGCGGAAATGTGCAGCTCCTACTAGAGGGCGCTCGGCGATCATCACGGCTACGGGTGAACGGAGTTGCTGCGCGCACTATGACAAAACAAGGATGAAACCCACCTTGGCTACACGTCCTGCCACTTTGCTTGTGCTGACCGGAGGGGCCGCGCACATCGTTGTACGCCGGACGTATGTATGCAACAGCGTGCGGGCGGACAAACTGTCGGCATTGGCCTGGTGAATACGTGCAGCGTAGGTGTCGACCAGCTGCTGCGTTTTCTCGTAGTTGCGCTTGAGCTCTATTTCCTTATCCTCGTGAATTTTTATGACTTCGTTTTTGAACCTGTCGGCGAGGACGAAGCGCTGGCGATAGAAGTCGGCCAGGTTGCTTGTCAGCGGGCAGTTGATCAGGGTCTCCAGGTAACGCAGCGCACCCGCTTTCTGCTGCAGCGTTGCGATCATGCCGTCGAATTCCGCCTGCCCTAACTCGCAAGTGGAGAGTCTGTCGATAAGCTCTTGCAGCTCCTTCACCGCGTCCCCGTAGGTATAACTCAGGCCAGCGAACTCCGCACTTTCGGAGAGCTTGGGCATGAAGGACAGCGAGCGGACTCGCTCATTAAGCGAACTTATTGATGCCTTAAGACCTTCAGACTCCGATACCAAGCCCTCGATGTGTTCATCCTTCTCACGGAGCTGGTCCTCCAGCTGCGCCTCGTGACGCATGCGGGCAGAAAGAGCCTCATGACAGCGATCAAGGTCCTTCGCAACTTGACGTGCAGCGGCCTCGTGATGTTGTGCCCGATCGTTTAGTTTCGCAATCTCCGCCTTCTGGAGCTGCATCACCGAACGAGCGTTGTCCAAATGGCCCTGCAGCTCATGGAGGCCCTCGATATATGACATCCGCTGCTCGTTGATCTCCTCAAACATACGCAGCACAACGGTATACTTCTGCTGCAGCGCCGTGAGCATCTCGCGATATCCCTCGCGGGTAGCATTGGCAACAAGCGGCGCACTGCCGCAAATGTCCCTGACCGACAGGTCGAGTGGGTACGACACACGATTCTCCATATGCGGAATAGGGTCTAGCACATCCATAGTCGTGAAATCACCGATGTTCCGCTCCATGCGACCGGAATCCTGTCGCACATCCAACAGCTTCTCTGTTTTGCATGCCTTGGATAGCTCCGGGGTGGGAAGCAATTTGCACGCCTTTCGTGGGCTGTCCTGTGCCCACCTGGACTCGAAGGCCTGCTTGGTCGGCAAGTTCAGATGTAATCTTGGGGAATTTATCAGCGAAGGCGGCCGTGAAGCGCCAGAACCGCTGCGGTAACTGTCGCGACCGCTATTACCTGCATCTTCGGATTCCGCCCTCAGCCCGTACGATAACGACAAAAGTTCACGGGCCTCCTGTTGGAGCTCCTCCAATACCCTACGGTTCCCCTTCATGCGTCCGCTGTGTGGAGCCTCATGGAAGTGACCGGCTGCTTTGATACCGTCGGCATCCTCCTTGGAGTCTGAACTCAGCTGTGAGACGGCCTCCGTGAAACACACATTTAAGGCAAAACATTACACATCACATGAGCATAGTATGTTTCAGCAGTAACACATATCCAAATGTGACAAAAAAGACAAAGGTCAATTTTACCATGCACTCCAAATACAAACGTGTCTTTTCAGGAAGAGACGGCAAAACATACCGAAATCAAAGCCAGCCGACTTCTCCGCAGGTATTTGTATGCCTCCAAGATATCCACTCGTCATCGTTGGCAATTAACGCTCCGAACACGGCCGACGCTAACGCCGAAGAGGACGTCCACCCAGCAAGGAGCGGAAACAACCCGAAACCCACCGGTAGACAGAACGGAAGCTGTCACTTTAACGGCGCTAAGGGTCCATAATAAGGGTTATATATAGATTCGGGTGTCAGCAGCGGCGCGTACACGCAGCATGGTTGGAGGCATATCAGACATACTGCAGTGCGAGTGCAGACATACGCGCTTCACACACCTAACCAGAACTAAGCTACACTTCAAACGACTACACTTCTGAAACATATAACACAGCAAACGTTTAACTTCTGTTTGGCATTATACGCCAGGAGCCCGCATCGTATAGGGGCGCTTGACCACCTCCCGCGGGGCTTGCAACGTGTAAGCTCGCGCCATTTCACCCATAACAACCGACGGTTCCAAAGCACTCATAATCACCACTGATAAACAAAGAGGGGACTGTCGGCAACGTGCTGTTTCAGAAGGAGAGTTATGGCGCTGCTGCCGCGCCGGGAGTACCTGTTGCGTTAGACTGCAGCATGGCACGCTCCTTCTCCGTAGAACAATGGCCATCGGGGTATTCCTTCACATCCAAGTCCTCTAACAGGACGTACTCGTGGTGCGTCAGACTGCTGCGTGCCGCAAGGTGGATTCTCATCGCATGTGCCGTAAGACCCGAAGGTAACAGCATCACCGCCACGCAGCCGTTTGTGAGCAAGGAGCTTAGGGTTAAGTTTGGCTGCTTGACAGTGGCCATCTTCTTAGGAATTGAGCTGCTAGGAAGACTCTACGTCACCGACGGTAGGCGTCCCACGAATTCCGCCGTCATCATGTGCAGAGCGGCTGATAATGCTGAAGGGATTTGGGCTGCAGATGGAGACCAGATCGCTCTTCGGAAAGCAAAGCATAAGAACGCTGCCTATATCGGAAATATCGGATATGCTGATAAATGAGGTAGGATTAGTGGCATGAGTCACATCAATTACGCAGGCCATTATGATGGACGAGGCGATCTTCTACCTGCTGATCACGCTGAAAAATTCGGATGAGATTGTGCTCCCATTCGAAGTGAGTATCACAAAATGCCGTGCGGAATACGATGCAGAACGCAATTCCGAAGCTCAAGGGGCTTCGTCTCATCCACAACACATTCAACGAAATGTTCCCAGCCGAAATGAGGCGCAATATCGCTGAAAAACCATCATCGTAGGAGACGCATCGCCAAGAAGCATATTTAAGTTACAGTGTGACTCGATTGAGTCGTAGAATGCAAAAACTCGCATAGCAAAGTCTTTGCCTTCAGACTGCCCATGGGCTTTAATTTGTAACCCTTGTTATGTACATCACTGACGCTGATGTGGCTGTATATAAACAGCAGTTTAGGGGCCAACACAATTTTTGATTTCAGTGATGAGGCAGCCGACTATAACAAGAGCGAAAGGGTGAAATGCGATACCTATAATTGCATAAGTTATTGTTTAAAATGTCGCCACAATTTACATGTGCAGCCCATATTTCGAGCTGGGCGATCGGCGGTACGCTACAAAATTCGAGGCTAAAATCACAAAGACCAAAAGAGCTTGAATAGGCCTGCAAGATAACCGAACACCTCCTGAACGCCTGCAAAACATGGTCGAATTGCTGCCTAATAACCTACCTAGCTTGGATACACCATATAAGCGTTCAATGAAAATAATAGGGACCTCCGCCACGCGGGCGTTGAATTGCTTCTCAGCGCGAATGGCAATCTCCATTTGGAAAATGTACCCTAATTCATTTGATAACGACCACATAACTGATACTCACCTCGACCTTTAACGTTATTCAATACGGATTCAAACAGAGATCGGCGATAGAGGCGGAAAGAGCCAGTAAGGTCAGACATCTGAGGCCTCAGCAAAAACTGTGCCAGGAAGTTGGCAGTTTTGCTGATGAAAACGCGACGAGCGCCCCAACCACTAGCACCACCGCCACTGGCGTAACGAGTCCCGCTCACAATGTCGTAGTTGCCGGTGCGTTGAAGGCGAATCATGTCAGCGATATACTTCGGGTGGTGAGAAAGATCGGCGTCTAGGATCAGGACGAAATCATAGCTGGTGTGGCGCAAGCCTTCCATGTACGCTGAACCCAATCCAAGCTTCCCAGGGCGCGAAAGCAGCTTCAGCGCCACGGCAGGATACAGCGCCTGCAGCTCCCGGTACACATCGGCCGTGCCGTCCGGGCTGTTGTCGTCAACCAGCAAAATCTCGTACTCCACATCCCTGAGAACGATTATGAAGTCGTTAATAGCCCTACTGTTTGCGAAGGACGCCGATGAGAAGGTATATCATATACGGGATGTTGTCCTTCTCATTGTACGTCGCAAGGATAACAGACAAATTTCGCAAAATGCCACCCATGGCGATTATTGCAATATGTTTCTGCTCCGAATACTGGATATACGGTTAGAAGGCTGATGTGTTGCGAAATACCCACACATACCTCCCAACGAGACGAAGGCTCATGTATCTACACACTAAAAGCAGAAGATTGCAAAATGGACACTGACGGCACAGGTATGACCAAGGTGTAAAATATATATGCGCGCAGAGAGCTTCTACTCCGAGCCGAAACAGCTCACTGCTGCCCAGCGCAAGAAGCTCAAGAAGAAGCTTCAATTCATGGAACTAGAGGCCAAAATCGCAGAAGAGAAAGATAACGGTATGTGTATTATGCGTCTGGAGAGCTATATTATGCAGCACCGGACCTCAGGGCAGCGGAGGACGAGGACCTAAGACGGCAGCTTGCAGCAGTCGGCAAAGCTGTCTTCAAGATACTGGGTGACGGGAACTGCCTCTTCAGGTATGTCCACTTTCCGTGGAACCTCTACATGTATATGGCAGGGCTGTTGAACACCAACTGAAGCAGGCATGCGAACGAGGGTCCAAACTGTTAGCACTAAGCCACGGTCAACTGAGGCACATGGCCATAGAATACATCCGGACACACAGAGCTGACTACGAGGCTTTTATTGACACAAATGACAGTAACACAAGTGGTAAGTAACATCAACAACATGTAATATGTTGTGCAGAGGACGGCGACGCATTCGAGAACTACTGCAAAAAGATGGCGCAAGACGGCGAATGGGGGTACGCAGACGATTTAGGCATTCAATCACAAATGACGTGCAGTGGACAGCTCGAAATAAGGGCTTTATCAGCAGTGCTGGGTTGCAAGATCGTCGTTCACGCACAGGGCGTACCTCCCATGGAATATGTAAGTGGCATTGCACGCACTTTCACTGGTCAACGCGAATAACCACATCAAAAACGTTTCCATTCTAACATCTCTCAGGGCACTGCGGACGCTGAATCGACGCTGCACATCACATTTCACAAGCACGCATATGCCATCGGCGGTCATTATAACTCTACAACATAAATACGATCGTTAGCTAATGGCGCTGTGGCTACCGGGACAGGTCATGCCTGCGTAACAGGTAGCCCCTTAGGGTTATTGGAGGCGGGTAGGGACTCGTGGGCACCTGGCCGCGACGGTCCTTGGGCTTCCACTTGTTGTCGTATCGCCTAGTGGGCGGGTCACAGACACCTGAGCATGCTGATTCCGAGGAGCGGAAAAGCAACTTACACACAAAGTTAAAGTTCGGGTCATTCATCACCCTCAGCGCTTTCTTGGGATCGTAATCGGCGAAATGCAAGATTTTGTACGCGAACTCTGGCGAAAACGGGTGCCAACCAGGGTTGCTCTTCCAGTTCTGAGCACACAGCTGGATGAACTCAGCCACTGAAACGCGGATTAGAGTTAAAGAAAGAATAACGTACGCTCGAACTCGTTCTTAATGACGCTCGCATCGGCGCCCTCCTGCATTTTGCGCGCACGAATTTTCTCCAAGTAGTACGGAGAGTACATCAGACGAGCCCAGTCGTGGTCTGATGGCACGTTAAAGCAAGAATGCGACGAAACTCACTTTCACGCCGCGGACTTTGTGATTCGTCCAAGAAGAAGGCAGGGGTGAACGGCACTTGGTGGCTGAAACCGACTTGGATCTTCGTCTGGAAGTTGGATCCCTCCGTAACAGGCTTCTTACGCTTGCGCTCCAGGATTTCCGGGCTACGCTCACGCCTGGGACTTCCTCCAGGGCGCGTAACCTTGACCTTCGGCTCCTTCTCGACGCCGCTCGCCTCATCGGAGACCTCCTCGTGGGCAGGGGGCGAACGGGCGCCTTCGTAGCCAGTGTGGGAGTCGTCCGACAGGTCGCACTGGGTAAGTGAAGAATCCAGTGGCATTTCGCCGGCGTTAATCAACTTCCACTGGCACTGGGGGCATTTCCAGGTGCCCTCGCCAGTCGGCAGGAAGCATTTCATCAAACACTGCGAATAAGTCAAAACACACAAACGTGAACACACCTTGCTGTGGTAGAGCAACTCACAAGCCCCGCAGGCCAAAAACGGCCCTGACGGAAGGCCACACTCAGCGCAAGACGGTGGAGCTTGCATAGCGGCGTTCGTCTGTGACGTATGACCCATGACCGTACACACCAACCTTTGGCGCCTCGCCGAATGGCGCAGGGCGCTCTGCAGTCGTGCTGTCCGCGTTGATCACGGCGTTCTTGACAGACACGCTTGTGTTCAGGGAGGATGCGTTCTCCGACTCCTCCACGCTGGAGCAGGATAATGCTTCTTCCTCAGGTGCCTCCGAGCTCCCGTTGGGGAACACTCCGCCGCCATCCAACGAGACGTGGTTCGACAAAACGCGACTCACGTCGTACAACATCCCCGTCATATTACTCCAGGGCGACAAAAAACGGTCCTGACGGATCCAAAACGGGATGCGACACGGAGGCGCAGTGAGCAGAAACGACGCGCCTGCGGACGCCACCGAAACACAGCGACCAAAACTGGCAACTGAAGCGACGTGTGAATCAACGGAATTGAGATGCGCCTTTACATGCCGAAATACTTGTTGGACACCACGCCGCAACGGCGCGCAAATCGGGCGAGGAGCAGACAGGCGGCGCAGGCACGAAAGTTCACACGGGAGGTGCAGCACGCATTGCGGAAAATACAATTTCTTGCAAAATCATAACACGCACCTAATGATGCAACTGTCGCACATATGTCCCAGACAGTGTGAATGCCGGGTTGAGGTACCCAAGGCCAGGTATGCATTCCAATGTGATCCGGTCGCACGAAACACAATGTGTAAAGCCAAATCAATAAAAATGAAATGCTAAGATTAATAAAGGTGTTCATTTGCCAGATACGCATCGTTCTGGCGAACACCGGGCACATTCACCGCGTGCCGGTAGCCGGTAACAGGAAGGTGCGAATACACTCACGTCATGAGCAACACATCTAGCCTGTCGGATTCGTCCTCGTTGTCCAAAGCAGCAGCGACCACATCGCACAGTGTGAATTTGCGGCGCAGCGATTCGCGCACATCGCGCTCATTGGCCAGCTCCTCCAAAAGACGCACCACCTGGGTGAACTCGTATAAGCCGTCCTGACCGGGCAGGCTTCTGCCTTCCTTCTGTACCGGGGCTGGTTCAATTTTCAATTCCAGACTGCCGTCGTCAATGAACGGCTGGGCTCCGCGCCATGGGCGTATCCACACACCATTCTCGGGGTTGTTCATGAAGGACAGCAGCGAGTTGTCGAAGAAGACCACACGACTCAGCGGCCAGTCAAAGATCTGCAGATCCTTCTTGAGGAAAAACGGCGGCACCGGCTCATCGCGGTGGTGATTGCCGATTCCTATGCAGTTCGCAGGCAGGCACCGCAGCGACAGGGGAGTGCTGCTCACCTCGCAACTCTCCCGGAAGTAGCGCACTGATGGCGATATAACCTCGCATTCCGGGTCCAGCGCGTGGATGATGGCATTCGCGTACTGCCGCGTTCCAGCGGTGTAGAGCGCAACGGTCAACTGGGAGGACCGCGACTTAAGGTACTTGAAAAACTCCAAAACACCCGGTCGCAGGGACACGTTCATCGTAGAGTGCACTGTGAACCCAAATATTTCCGGCTTGTAGGTTTTCTCTTTGCTGGTGGACGAGTCATTTTCGTCACGCTCCACGATGTTCACCATGTAGTCGTAGTGGTCGTTGGGACGCTCGTGCATATGCACCAGTGTCTCGTCAAGGTCGAGCACCACCAGCAGCTTCGGGAGGTCGCCCTCGTCCGAAGTTACAGACGGCTCCTCATCACTGTCCATATCCGGCAATTCTGGCTTCAGGCACTTGAACAAGGGTTCCTCCTCCAGGAAATCCCGTAGCCCCTCGTAGCGCACCAATTTGGTGTGGTTGTAGCGAATGACCTGTGAAGGAATCACGTCAGCATTGCCGACGGATTCCCGAGTCATCAACAAACGCATAGATGTAGTGTGCAGCTGGGGGGTGCAGTCGATGTAGCGAGACAGCAGCCCCATCATGCACTCGGGGGAGACGGACGGCGTGCTGCTTGATGACTCTGCCGTATTATCGCTTTCATCTCCACTTTCGTTAAACTCGTCCATACACGTAGGATCGTCCGAAGTTGGAGTAAGCGTTGTAGCGTCACAGAGGGCGGCACAGCCCGCATTTTCGTCGCGGCAGGCATTCTGAGTATTACCTGGCCCGTCCGCAGCATCCATATCGCTCCCATTATCCGCACATTTTACGGACGCTTCGCTCCCCGTACCATGAGTAGCTTTCGCCGATTCGACATCGGTCAAGCAAATGTCCCCGCTTTGTTGCTGGGGCTCCGGCGATTCCACCACCGGGTAGTCGGTAATGCATGTGCGATGGTTTTCCACAACTGCATTACCAACACCAGGCGCTTTGGAAACATCCTCCTCATAGTTCAGCTTGTACTTTTGCATCATATCGGTGGAGTCCAACGATCCGTTCACCATGTCAACCGGACACGCATTGAATGCATCCGGAGGAGTTGAATTCTGGACCGAAAAGGCTGCCATTATGAATCCAGATAAAACGCAAACTAAAGCGAAACGAAGCTAGTGACGCAATTCAATTGCGGAGTTCACCAACCAGTTCTTTAAAATCCAAAACTCCAAGACGAACCGGAGTACAACGCCGAACAATATGCAAGTTCGGCAGATCCAACTGCACCAATAAATAAAAACTGCAAACTAAACTTAAAAACAAATGCAAAAGTGCAAATGAAAAGTTGTGCAACGATATAATTAGATCAAAGCCTATGAAAACAAACTCAGTTTGGAACATTCATCGAAGAAACCTCGACACACAGCTCAACCTCTGGCGCAAAGAAACCATATCACAGAGAATAAAACGCTGAATCGTGTTCGATCATACCCAAACTTCGGTTTAAGAATAGATGGCGAGTACGGCCAACAATACGAACCACAATGTGTGACTCAAGTATGATAACAAAAACAAATTGTATCGATGTGTAACGCACAAACGACATAAATCAATAGGCAATAGACCTAAAAAGTAGAATTGAAAAAAATATGCAACTAAAATAAAACTATTGTGCAACCTGGCCCTACCACCATGGGCGGCTAGCGCCGGCAAATTGTCCACACATCAGCACCAGATTACAAACCAATAATGCCAATTGACAACTTCCTATGCACAAATACAGTGAAAAGTGCCGACAATGTAAAAGAGTTTGAATGCGCAATAGAAGATCACATGGTAGCGAAGTGACATGCCGATATAAAAGACGCCGGCGGCTTTCACCGACTGCATCGGAATGAACACGCAGATCAACATCAAACACCCGTTACACATCCATTGCAAATCGCAAAACTAACCGAAACCGATGAATGCGGTGCCTCTCACCAGACGGCGCTAGGCAAAGGAGGCGCAGGTGACACGCGCTCAAAGCCGCTCACAAGATGAGCACATTGCGGCAGCTGCACCGTCTTCAAGACACTACTAAAAGTAGAGGTGGTGGCGTGCACGTATGCTAGATGTGCGTTAAATATAAGGGTAGCGGAATAGTAGGCCGGGTTACCACGGCAGGTCCACAGTACCTCGATGGGCGTGGAATCCAATACAAATAATTTAACAAAAAGCTCTCACATTTCTTAAGCAATTTGTATGAGCTCATCTGACGGTTATCGCTGAGCGACCGATTGAGCCCATATGAGCACTTTGTTATATTGACACGGGTGAGCTGCTAGCTTCCGTAAAACTCGGTAATTATGCACATATGATTCTAACTGTCTAAATTTTGTTCATTGAATTAAACCAGTATTTTCAATTGCCATAAACAACGACTTAATATCCGTCTTGTTACCAACAGCCATCGGCTGAGGAGATAAGGAAGGAATCGGCAACCATGGATAACGAGCCAATGGATGCAGACATGTCTGATGACGACATTGATTATGACGATGAGTGGATGTACTGCCTCAGGGCAAACGAACTGGATGAGGCAGTCAAGCTGCTGAAGCAAAGGCTAGTCACAAACATTCAAATCGTTGACAACAACGGAAATGGACCACTACACTACTGCTGCGCAAACAACCTGGCAGAAGCCGTAGTCTTCCTCCTCACGGAGTGTAAAATGGGCTACTGCCGCCCGAACCACAGCGGGAACACGCCGCTGCAATGGGCCGTGCAGACCAACAGTGCTGATGCAGTGAAACAGATCTTACTACATGACTACAATGTCCACAAGGCTGATTATGAGAAGCTGGAAAGATCGGATTACTTTGAGAATGTGGAACCAGTGGTGTTAAGCGATGCGCACAAGTTAGATGACGAAACAAAAAGGCACTACAACATCATGGAGTATCCGACCACGTATGCCGATAACAATTGGATACGCATAGTGGCGCCGAATGGCTTCGGCAAATCGATACTCAACGACGCATTCAACGCCAAGGATCAGGCCATCCTGCACGCCATACTCGAACATCCCGCATCAGCTGTCCTTGATAAACCGGCTGATACATCTGAACCGGACTTGCCAATAGAGCGTGTCAGTGTGGGTGGCGTCAATGGAGTAGTGCACGCATTCCAGTTTGGAGGACACAATCTGGAAAACCGGCCACCAGTGGTGAGGGCACGCGAATTGGAAATAAAACACAATGACATCCTCAACGCGCAATCGGCAGAGTTGGACCACACTGGAGAGGTGATATGGGAAACTGATTTAGTCGCTGCGCAGTGGTTGACGGCACTCGCGAGAGACGGCGAATTCAATGGCAAGACCGTGCTGCAGTTGGGTTCCGGCTGCGGCCTTTCAGCCATAGCCATGTATGTCACTGCGGCATTTTACCAAAAAACTCCAAACGCTCTCGTGTTCACGGACGTATGCAACGATACAATGCGTAACTTAAAGTTCAACGTAGAACTCAACAAACTAGGAGCAGACTCCAGGGTACGCATACACCGCTTGGACTGGACGAAACCCGACACATGGCCAAGGGATGAACAGGGGTCATTGCTAACATTTGACATCGTAATCGGAAGCGACCTTGTTTATGACGCGAAGCTCGTTGAGCCGCTAACAAATGTCATTCAGGCAACTCTCAGCAAGACGCATGGGGAGGTGTTCTACGCATTCAAGCAGGCTAGACATGGAGCAGAGCTCATTCCACAAGCGTAAGTTTGGTTGTTCATGCTGTTGCGTGTCCGCCGGTATTATGTTGGTAGCATTGACGATTTATAGTCGTACGTGGCGTTTTTGATGGTGACTTTTGTGCTTTAAGGTGTTAATTATGTGCTCTGTTTGAGTCTTAGCGTGATGTGTGCGACCCAGCAGGCCCCTAGTTGCGTGATTCCTTTTGTACTTGATGACGCTGTTTTAGGCTTACCAAACTGGGTTTCAATGTGACTACACAACCGTCTCCCAAGGAGTTCCAGAGTAACCCATTGGAAAGCTGTAATGACAAGGTGATAGAAGCATTCTTCCCAGACCTACATGACGACGACTACACCCTACTGTACGCGACTCGTGGTAACACCTGCACATCAGACGCGACAGTCAACAATGACACTGTCTATCGCATTTAGAACTTCGCTATAAGGTTTATGGTATTAATAAATACATAAGGAGTGCTGTCCCTGCCGATGAAAGATGTTAAACAACCTAGTCAACCTGGTCGCTGGTGGAAGGGCCTCCGACAGAAGTAGCGACGACCGAGGCACACATACGTCACACACCCGCAGAAATGAAGCTAGGACGTCTGTATCGCACGATAGAAACCCGGCAGGCGGCCGAAATGATGACCACAGTGGAGATAAAATACATGATGAGGAGTACATGGCCAAGGTGGAGGAGCGCGTCTCTAGCTACCTGGAACGGATGCAACAGGACCACGCGAATGGTACCTTCAAGCGCATACAGAGGAAAGAAGGCGGCCCGAAGGTCACCTCCTGGGAACAACTGCACAAGATACAAGATCATAACAGGCATGTCTACTTCGGCGGCGCGCCGCTTGGACACAGTATAGAGGTTGTGGAGTTGAAGCGGAACGAGATACGTGCACGGAAGGAGGTCGAAAAGCTGGAGGAGGAGCTTCGTAGATCCACAGAGAGGATAGAAGAACTCACCAACAGGCATGCTACCGACTTCCACAAATACGAACTCGCTCTAGGGAAGGCGCTTGCCTTGGGACGAGGTTGCACCCTGATAGCCGAAGTTATTTGCAGCCACATACGTGACAACAAGAGGCATTTCTTCAATGCAATGAGACAGAGGCACAACATGCTGCTGCAGAGGAGACTTGATGAGCAGGCAAAGGCACTCAGGCAGAAACACAAACTTGCCGTATTGGTCATAGTTAGACATATTAAGAAGCTGTTGGAACCCTCGATGAAGGCATCGCTCCGTATAATGCGGTGTGGACCGTCGGATAAGATGCACACCGGGCGCAGCGCTGTTGCTGGCCTGATCAAATCGCAAAAGTACATTGTGCCTGAGCACATCAACGCCATGGCTCTAAAAGGCGCACAAGTCAAACAACTGAAGAACTTCGACAACCCAGAGGAACGCACATTCGTAAGTTATATCATGTTGCTTTATACTGTAGCACAGGCCTCCGTCGAGCAGTCCCTGCTCACGCGACTGGAAAACCTGGTCGCCGAGGAAATGCAGATGCTAACAACGGCCAAGTACGTGCACACCTAGGGCAAGCTCAAGGCCTCCTGTAGCACTGCTGCGATTTGGATGCGAGACTTGCAGCCCTGCAAGTGCTCCATTAGGTATGCATGTGCTTTCGCGTCCGTCGGATCTAGGATAAAGCTGAGCCCGTTCGAGCCGACGTCTTGAACGCGCAGCGTCCTGCGGCTTCCCTCGAGTGTGTACTCGTAGACGATGTAGTCCGCACCCTCCTCGATGACCTTAAGCGGGCTGGCGTCGAGGGCCGCAATCAACAACGAAGCAGTGGTAGACCTACAGCCAATGGATCAGCTGACATGGAAAACAAACCTAGTGATTGCCTTTTCCAAGGACAAATCGTTGTTTATCTCCACTTCAGGTGAATACGGCGTTTTGTTCGCGCGGATGTCACCGTTACCTGTCGCCTCACCGAGCTGCTCGGCCTCGGCGGAAGCAGTTGCGATATCACGATCGAGTTGTTTCAACTGCGATTCGTTGTCTTCGATTGTGGTTACGAGGGATGACTGCTTCTCCGACAGGCTGTCTCGCAGAGACCGCTGTGAAGCGAGCAACCTTATCCGGCCGGGGTCGTCTTCCCTTAGAAATGAAATGGTGCCACCCGCCGTTAAGTCAACGTTTTCGAGGAACACTATGGCTTCATGCGCTTCACGGTGCAGTTCCGAGAGCACATCCTCTAGTTCGGCGTTTTCGTCATCGCCAGCGGCGGACACATAGGCCTGACATCGACATATGGCAAAGCAATAGTAGTCATGAAACCATCGCATCTAATCATACATGGCTATTTTTGTAACGTTTTGTATATTCTTCACAAAATCAGAACGACATCGTTGACATTTGATGCCACATGTGCTGCTACGACAAGACATAGACACCTAGACATGCAATGGTTGATATGTAGACACATAAGGTCCTCTAGGCAGACTTATGTTCACATTGACAGAGCCTTGAAAGCATATGGATATAGTACAATCATGTCTCCATATGAAGTGAAGATAAGACGTACCTTCTCAAAGGGCTCTTCGTCCTCAGGGCTACCCGATGATAGATACCCGATAATGTCATCCAAAGAAGCCACCAAGTCCCTGTAAATGCTCAATGCAGCCCGAATTGTCTTACCTGCAGTGTGTCACCAAGCCAGTGGAATCATCGACGTCGACTGCAAACGATTGGCAAAACAAAATAAATGTCTAAGCTCGATATGCGGCTTGATACTAACCTAATCCGTCAAGAAGCTCGTTGAGGCGCCGTCTAGCTTGGCTCAAAGCCGCCGCATGTGGCCCATCGGTCATGGTAGAGAACGCACATCACCGTTGGCCACTAAACCATTAACCGAAAGGGTTTACTCGCAAGTTGCTCGCCATATTTACTCAAGTGGGTGCAGCGAGCATAATTATTGCGCGATGTGGTTGGAATCGTAACACGCGTCAACACGCCTACACACTAGAGCACCTTTAACTGGGGCGTCATTGGGAATCTTATATCCCTTATATATGCATAGGGGCATTTTAAATCGGCTTGTCTGTCATTTTTCTAGGCCTTCGTTATCGCGAACCATGGTGGGACTTACTACGGGCGCGCCAACGGCCGCGCTTATGAAGCTTGCGCAGGAGCGTTCCAGCAAGACCCTGGAATCAACGCAGCCGAGATACGAGCGCATCGGGCACTTGTTGACTACGTTGCGTGGTCCCATTGAATATTGCAACCGTGTTCCCATCTCCGTCCATCTTTCCGACGTCTACGGCAAGACCAAGCTCGGTGATGTCTACGACATTCACAGCGGTATGCGTCCCATCAAGCATGCCGAGTTTGAAGAGCTTAGAGCTTGCACAAATGGTCCCAAAGCGGATCTGCCAACGATCTCCATTGCCGGGTGGTGCAAAACCGTACGTATGCAGAATGCCGGGAAGCTGGGGTTCGTCATCATCAACGACGGCAGCTGCAAGGCCGATCTGCAGATCATTGTGCACGAGGGAGCTATTGGGCATGATGTCGTCAGCAAGTGCACCGCTGGTACAACGGCCAGCGTAAAGGGGATCTTGGTAGAGAGGCCGCCAAAGGCAGGAACCAGCGAGGGCACGCCGATGGAGGAAAAGCTTGAAGCTGTCGCACAGAAATACGAAGTGCACGTGTGTTCATTCGAGGGACATCGTTTTGAAATCATCGGTGAGAATCGCAACGCCGCCAAATACCCCATTGCGAAAAAGTACATCACGCAAGAATTCCTGCGTGAGGTCGCCCACCTGAGGCCCAGGAGCTATTTCATCAGTGCTGTGATGAGAGTGAGGAGCGCGCTGGCAATGGCCACGCACACGTACTTCCAGAGATTGGGGTGCATTTACCTTAGCACGCCACTTATCACTACCACGGATTGTGAAGGCGCCGGTGAGCTCTTCCAGGTCACCACCATGCTGGAAGGTTGCCGTACCTTGGGTGACCTGTCGAAAAGGATGATGGCCGGTGATGCGCAAAAAGCGAAGACTTTAGAGGAGATGGAGCTTGATTTTAAAAAGGACTTCTTCAAGCGCAAGGCCTTCCTCACCTGCAGTGGGCAGCTGTCGGCTGAGAACTACACGTGCTCTATGGGCAAGGTGTACACGTTCGGACCCGCGTTCCGTGCGGAACACAGCCACACTTACAGGCACTTGGCGGAGTTCTGGATGGTAGAGCCTGAGATTGACTTCTGTGACCTCCCGAAAAACATGGAAATAGCGGAGGAGTATATTAAATTCTCCATTCAGTATGCGTTGGACCACTGTCTGGATGATCTGATGTACCTGGAAAGCATCGGGGAGGCTGGGCTCATCGAAAATCTACGCTCGTTCGTACGCGATAAATTTGCGCGCATTACTTACACTGATGTCATCGATATTTTGATGCAGCACGAGGCTGACTTCCAGGCCGGTTTAGTAGAGGGGGGCAATGCAACAAAACGTGAAGATGGTGCTGAGCCCCAAAAAACGGCCTTTGAAAACCCCGTATACTGGGGAGTCGACCTGTCCAGTGAGCATGAGCGATTCATTGCCGAAGTCGTCTTCAAAAAGCCGACCATCATCTACAACTACCCCTCTAAAATCAAGGCGTTCTACATGCGCAGGAACGATGATGGGAAAACGTGCGCAGCTATGGACGTCATCGTTCCGCAGTTCGGTGAACTTGTCGGCGGGTCACAGCGTGAAGAGAGGCCAGAGGTGCTTGAAGCTTCCATCAAAGAGAACGGCCTTAACGCGGAGGACTACTCCTGGTACATGGATTTGCGCACCTACGGTTCGATTCCTCACTCAGGTTTCGGGCTCGGATTCGAGAGGCTTGTCATGCTTGTCACGGGAGTGGCAAACATCAGGGATGCGATTCCTTTCCCTCGTTACGTAGGGAAGGCCGATTTCTAAGCAACGCATTAAACGATATAGCACGTATATCGGAACCTATTAGTGTTAAGATTTTTCTTGTTGATACTGAAAAAATGTGTTGAGTGCTAGATGCATTTTTCGTGCAAATTTAGCTCTATTCAAAAAATTTTGCAGATGTATCAATAATTGTTGTTGGAGGCGCCTGATTGAGTTGAATAGGTTCACAAAATGCAAGGCTACTGGGGTATCGCCGCAACAGACTTGTGTTGTTCCACGTCGTTAATCCCAGCTAACATGCCGCTTTTATTGCCTCGAGTGATTGTTTTGGCAAACGCAGCAGAATTTGAAACAATGAAGCTTGTTCTGGATTCATCTATGCATATTTCACTGTCCAAGGGGTACCGGTTAATGAACCGTTCATTCCTCGATTGAGTCCAGCTTTCCCTAATGCAGTATTAGGAATAAGTAGCAACCCCACATGTTGCAATACGGGTACAATGATGTGTATTATGCAGTACTAACTGGCTTAGTCGACCCCACGAGAATACACATGCCATTTCGAGATGAGATGGATAGGTGGATTTCCGCAGCATAAGCAGAGCAGACAATACGTTGGTACGAACACAACACAATGCAAAACTACATATTTACATCTTTCACGTGTTGATCTATCCGCAGTGCGAGAACGAAGAGTCTGAGATGCATATTAGAGGACTAGCTTTCGGCTAACACACGAGTAAATTCAGACAGGCACCATGCGTGATAATGTGAGTTACGCAACGGAAGCCTGTAGGAAACGTAGACACCAGTGTATCAAACCCACGGGGTCTTGGTAAGGGGCATGGTGTGAGAAGACGATAACTCACCAAATCACTAGTCCTGTAAACGAATTAGTATGTCACCATTTCTGAGGACAACGCCAAATCTGAGGATCAGGTGATGCTTTGAGCAGATTGTTCAAATCGCATTAGCAGATGAAGCATATTAAGCACGAACAGAGGTACGAATCGGAAGTGGCAACTGAAAGCACGGTAGGCTATTTGAAACACATTGCGAAGGCCGTATAAGGCAGTTAGCTAGCGTTCAATCGAGTGGCTTTTATACACGCCGGGCATGTATCTTTTTTTAATAATTCTATTCAGATTTTATTTATTCATGATGAAGGATTTGTTTGATGTCGTGGTGCCACTTTTCGCTAGATGAGCAAGCCCATCATTCTGGGGTGAAATGAATTATGGATAACGCTTACGTCGTTTATGGAGCTTCTATTGTAGTGCATATGTGTTATTTTCTTTCATTCAACGCGTTTTGATCGCAATGAATGCTATGTTATGCGGTATCGTATGTGACGCCTATTCTTGACGTTCCTCTTCTGATGCGTATGTTGTGTCGTATCGACTACAACATCCTTTGGAGAAGGTGACAAGTGTAGTATGACAGCAAAATGGCAGCAGCTAAGAAAGGAAATACAACTCAAAAAGTTGATTACACAACGTCGGCAAAAGCACTTTACTACCTTGTGTCTTTCATCGAAGGCTATGACCAACAGGTGTTGTCCATGTGTATGAGGGCTTTCGAGTTAACTTTGGGCTTCTCTCAGTCTCAGTTGTCTACATTAGCAACCGTGTCTACTATGTCCCGCATGGGTTGCTGTCTAATTTGGGGGTTACTGGCAGACACGTATGGCTTGAACTTCGTACTTGGTGGTGGTTTGTTTGTGATGGGCTTGGCTTCGATTGTTCTAAGTTCCGCGTCGCACTACAGATCAGTAAGTTGCAATTGGGACTGATAATGCCGCCGCAGATTCTGTTCTTGCGCTTCTTACACGGCTTTGGATTTGCTTGCGTCTACCCGGTGCAACAAAAGATTGTGTCCAATACAACGAGCTCAATGGAAGAGAAGAAAGAAAAGGAATCAAAGGCGAGTGAGATATTCACGACATTTCAGGCTCTGAATTGCATTGGTAGGTTGCTATGCGCAGTGATAACGACGATTATTGCACGCAAAGTATTATTGGGATATTATGGTTGGCGCACGTCTTACGTTGTTATAGGATACGTATGGATATTGTTTGGTATTGGAATTGTATTCGGAATGGAAAGTAAACCAAGCAACGGAAACCATAGGGCGAATGGTGATTCAAGTGATGCCAGTTCATCTGGAGCTAAAACAAGTTTTAAGGTGCTTTTGTTGGGTACCTTTACAGAACCTTTCACGAGGCCGAGCACATATATATTAATATTTACGCTCTTCATCGCAGAAGCCCCAATGTGTGCGTTTAATTACATGACCATATACCTTCAATATTTGGGAGTATCTGACACAATGGCAGGAGTTGCAATCGCAGTTACGTTGATTGGCGGCGCAGCCGGAAGTGGAGCCGGGGGAGAAATTATAAAGGAAATTGCTAAAATTCAGACAGACAATGGTGAACTGAGTTCCGGAGTCGTAGTGATGGGCATCCGACTAGCCGTGTGTCTATTATTCTTCTTAGGTACGGCGCCATGCGGGAAGTTGCTTTGGTATCATTATGTAGAGCTGGCAACGCTGGGTGGAACATTAGTAACGGTTGGTGGTGTAGATAGGGCCATGTTGAAGAAAGCAATCGAAGATCAGTACCAGGCAACAGCATCTGCCGTGGTTCGAACCATATCTGGCATTTCAAGTAGTGTCATTCTCTTCCAGGTTTCCGCATATTTGACAGAGAAGGTGTTTGGCTACGTCCCGTCTAGGGAGTCGTTCGAAATAATGGATGCGGCTGTTAAAGAACGAAATGCCGAAGCCCTCAGGAAATCAATGATGTACATTATTTTGGCGGGCACGTTGCTCAACGTTGTTTGCTATGTTGCGCTGTATTTTACGTATGAAACGGATAAGATTAACATTAAAAATGATGGCGACGAGCCACAGTCATCGTCAGCAGCCGCACCACAATCACGATAAAAATGTGTCGTGTAATATATTGCTGTTTGTATCTCGAGAAGCGTCCGCTATATGTCTGTTTTAAGCGTTTCGGATTTTTACCATCACTTTTAGTGGATTAAAGGATATACCTCTGAAGGTCAGCTCATGTTGACTTATCGCATAGCGGCGCTAACTTTTTTCAGTGGTGGCGAGGGTGTGTAAACTAAGGCACAGTAAATGAATCGTTAATGATCAGTGAAAGTCCATGACATGACAAATGCTGAGAATGGTATTTACCAATCACGAGCTTATCTAGTTCACGTAGAGCGTGATGCACCGCACATCTCTACATGTCCACTTATCGCAGTTACTCATATAGGTTGGATCAGGGCTTCTACACGCGATGCTAGATCGTCCTGAGCTGGTGATTGAGCAGTATCACCGAGTTGTTGGTCACGTCAAATTCTATTTGAAGATGAGAGCGTCAAGTAAGGAATCACCACCTCGCTTTACATGACCAGCCCTGGTTATACCAGACACAAATATGACCATTCGAACAAAAAGAATTAACACTATCGTGATCCATGTTGCGACTCGGCCAAAATAGTTGCTATCTCCTTGATTTATTTGTTCGTTAATGTAACCGTACGACTGCACCAGCGCCGTAGTTGGCTGCATAAATTAACGGGGTCTGCATTCGAAGGCCTGTGCTCTGCAAGGTATTCATATTACATAAAAATAATGATGATATATTGTTCGGACATGTCTAACATTGGTTTTCGAAACGGATGCTCGAATATGCTGGAGAACACTTGCATGGGTATAAGTGGCATGATGATATATGTAACTATATTGATTACATTTGTTGCGATATTTAATGTGTCCACTAGGTGAAGCTACCGTACGTCCTCAGACGGGAAGATAGAGTATTTGTCAATGTCGATCTCTTCTGGAATCCTTCCACCGACCAGATTATTAGTGGACGCGCCGAAACGCTTAGGCGTGTTGGCAAATGCAGCACGTATTGTACTTGTCGCCTGATGGAATTTCTCTGGAAACATGGCCCAGAAAATGAAGAGTATTGCTAGAAGTATGGAGACGCCAACCAGTGTAGACCCGTAAAAGTATAACATATTTTCCACGCATATTGTGTCGCAGTTTGTGCATTTCTTGATGCATATACCTTCCTTTTATTCGTCGAGGTAGACAGATTTGCTAATTCCGCCGCACTCATATTTGACGTGACCTTTGCAGTTGCCTTTCTCTGGGAGGGACACATGTCTCCTCCATATCTGTTGAGGATGAATCCGACATAATATCCTGGGCATTTGCTAATCTTACACCAACTACACCAGTTACAAAGTCCTTAACAACATCCACATTTACCATTATGGCATATACAGATAACACCTGCTTCTCGGCCTTGGCATTTTATCTTGCAGCGCTCGCAACTGCTCTCGGAGCAAGGTTTTTGGACGCGTTCACTACATTTTTTATCACATCCGCAGTCACAAACAGTACACTTACAAACACATTCTTCACCCTTCTTGCCAGGTAGGCAATGCTTGCAGGTATCACGGGTCGCCAAGGTGCAGTCCGAGCAATAGGGATCAAGGCATTCCTTGCGATATTTATCACATTTCGTGATATAGTATCTGTACCTGTTAGGTTCCGGGCCTTTCGTTTCATCCGCCATATTCCTACCTGGGATCAATCACACGATCTGAAATTCATTGATAACTTTTCCGCCATGAGATTATCGTACATTCCAGCAGTACAGGCTATATGAGGTCACTAAAGCACCATCCCTTTACAACACCGAACAACGTACCTGGAGGTGGGCGCAGTCGACCCATGCAACTTCAATTACTTTTAGTGAGTTTACCTATATGGACATCTATGCCAAAATAAAAAGGCGGCATTAACGAAGCATGGAACAATTCACGAACCGGCTTCACCCTTTAATGAGACACAAGCGGATACTACGTCGACATATTCGGATAGCGGCGTATTGCTCCAGCATCTCACATGTACTGTTTGATCTGCGCCCATATTACATGGTTATTACGCAACAAACGCATAGAAGACGTCACATGCCAATATTTATTGACTAGCCGTTATTACTCTGATCTGTAACGTCTTTTCTCAGTTACATTTGACTTCATAATCTGACCTTGTGTTTCACCTAATATGAGCATAGGTATCGTGCCAAATTGATTATTATTAGCCTAAATCATGATAAGGGTGATATGTTCAAAAGATTATAGTCTTTTAACATTAAGGCAGCATATTCGTGTAACCTCTGCCATGTACAGATCCCATATTACTCTTGCAATTGTTGGGTACGCTGGTGTTGTTACTGTCAGTATTTGTAGTGGGTGGAAGTTAAGTCGACATCTGGACGGATCAATACACAAGCGCGGGTTATATCGTTTGAAGATGCGTTGCGAGAAAACAACTGCGAGTTTCGGGATGTGAACATCAGTGCAAGCCTTCATGATGTTACTGTTGTTGGGTAACCCAGATTGATAGGCGATCGCGACTAGTTGGGTCTAAAGAGCATGTGGTACACCGAAATTATGATGCAACAGAGTAGCTCAATGGTGTTCCTTCCCAACATTGTGCTAAAACTGTTCCACTCATTACCGTCGCCTCGTTATTAGGGAACGTGATTGCGGCGTTGTGAACACCTATGCTTAAAACGTCTCGGAGCCCTGAACTCGATTTCTGGGTCAATGTTTGTTATGATATTTTTGATCTATTGCCGACCTGGCCCGTGTTCACTGCAGCATGAGAATCCGTTCGGTTGTGACGCAAAGCAACCGCACAGAAACCAAATAACGTAGCAATGCCGTCATTAGGGGTTATAAATGGCTGCAAAAGTGAGGCAAACGACACATCAAGAGATGTGTCTGCTAGTTGCAGATCGAACATTCACAGCCCAGCGCAAATGCTGACGTTCGGGTTCCTATTTGGATTCTCAGCTGCTGAGAACACTGACGTAGTAGTGACACGCAAAACTCCTTTGAACCGCTAATCAATGAACTCAGTTTAACAATCCGGTATAGCAATGCCTTGCATAATCTCGGCAGCGCATTTTCTACCATATTCAGCCCGCGAGGGCCGTGGTACCCAGCGAAATGTGGTTCAGAGTTTGTTACGTCGATGTGAAATGTTCTACAGCAAAATGTAACCAATGGTCATTATAAAATTTGATGACGGTGATGCAATACGGATCTGTCGTCACACACCACATCGTGCATAGGCGCGGTCTGCTAGCAAGCATTTAAGAGTGTAAACTAGCATACATAGCATGGACTACTACGATGCCGTAAAAAGTTGTTGCGGCGTTCAGGCATGCCATCTCTTGATTGCAGCCTACATCGTCCAGGCGCGTTGTTCGTTGCTCCGCAGAGATGGGTAGTACAGGTGATTCGACAACGACAACATCGTCACCCTCATCAGCGAATAATAAAAAATGTAACTGTGACCAAAAGGGGGTGTATTTATCTGACGATTGTGAGCATTATGTGTCATGTAATGAGCGGATGAAATGTCAAGAACCATGTTGCGTGGTGGAAAGACGAGGCAATATATTAGGGTTTTCAGGTGCGGTATTGATAGTCTTAATTACATTTTCGGCGTTAGCCGCTTGGAACATGACAGAGAATCGCGTGTGGCCTTTCCACAAGCTCCACGACTGGATCAACAAAACCCCAGACATTTATGACCCTTACGAGAGGTATCCGCCGCCGGGCTCATATACATACTAGCGTCACGTAATTCATGTATGGCTTCGATATCGCATCCACTGTTTAATTTCAATGTAGTGATACACGTTATAATACCATGTTTTTGCTTGGGACGTATAGAAGTACTCTGCGACGATGTACAACATCCTCACAAAATCCCAAAGCGGCCGCTCCATCAGCTGATCATTGTCTGACTCAGCCTGAATAGAGTCGCTGTGGCCATGTGCTGTGAATTACGTGCGGAAAGAAGCCTTCCAATCCAACAACGCTCCTGTATGCAACCAACAACTACAGTAGTGGTATCATAAGCCTATATAAATGAACAGCAATGACAATATTGAAACTTAGGAGAGCGTCAATAATATTTATATGCTAATATTATTATTCCAGTCCAAAATACGTCACTGATATTCGACCTAACCCGTTCATATTATCAAATGAGATCTAGTAAACACTTGGGAGGCAATACTGTCGCCTTCAACTGGAAATTGACGTAACCGAACACTCTGTGATGTCATTAAATTATGGACTCTAGAAAACTAACCGGCACTGGTGGAAGCTTTGCTTAAACACCTGAGCGCCTACGATAGGTGGACATCTAGCAATGGACGATTCAGGATGAGATGGTTAGAATCGACGGAATGGCGTTGGAGGTGATTACTTCATACAGCGGCACTGCATATGGGCGTTTTCTGTTTATAGACAGCTCACAATGGAGATGTTCCATGCTGGATCTGTCGTGATGTTCATCTCGTTATTATAACGTCCACATTCACTACTAACGACGAACACTGCTATAATCTCGTCGCACCAAATATTATGATGAAAGGCGACACGAACACTTACGCGAGCTGCTATATAGCATAGACGCATTAACACCTCTGAATGCAGGAATAAAAGTGGTGCAGTTTGAGAGATCGAAGTTATACACTTAGGAAACTGTCAATACGTTATTAGGTTAATTAGTTCATTGTTCACAATGGAAATCGCGATTATACGACGGTGGTTTCGTTCCTTTTATTTGTATAACAAATCGGTTCTGCTCATATGGGATTTCACAGTGCGATGCGCCGGAAACTGGTTTGCACCTGTCGTCTGCTATTTCGTCGGTTAGAAGTTTTTGTGCATATTTATTTTACCAACAATTGTAATGTCTGTTGCGACTGCTTTAGTCGCCGTGAATCCTATACCTTCCGTTTTCCTATTGCTACAGAGCACAGCCTCTTGATGGTTTTTCGACATCTTTTACGTGTCATTAGAATAGCGGCTATTTTCCGTGAAACAGAAATACGTATCTTGGAAGAGCAATTGATGCTCGCTTGGCTGAGACTTAGTTTGCGGAGATATTCAAATGTTCAACCACACCGGACGAGATGAAAACATCAAATAGTCTTAGTGCTGATCATCTATACGCCTATAAAGAGTTATGGATCATGTATTGTCTTTATTTCTAAAACCAGAATGAAGTTCGATGATTTTGTGAGAAATTCTCGTACATCCTTGCATTATTTGTTTTCTTCATTTTTGCTTCCCCTTTTTCGCATTTGCCGAATCAACAGCTTGTTTATCCGTTTCATACGTAAAATACAGCGCAACATAGCAAACAACGTTGAGCAACGTGCCCGCCAAAATAATATACATCATAGATTTCCTTAAGGCTTCCGCATTTCTTTCTTTAACAGCCGCCTCCATGGTTGCAAATGACTCCCTAGAGGGCACGTATCCAAAGACCTTCTCGGTCAAATATGCGCAAATCTGAAAGAGAATGATACTACTTGAAATGCCTGATATGGTTCGAACCATGGCAGATGCTGTAGCCTGACAGTCGTCTTCGATTGCTTTCTTCAACATGGCCCTATCCACACCACCAACGGTTACTAATGTTCCCCCAAGCGTTGCCAACTCAACATAATGATACCAAAGCAACTTCCCGCATGGCGCCGTACCTAAGAAGAATAATAGACACACGGCTAGTCGGATGCCCATCACTACGACTCCGGAACTCAGTTCACCAAAGACTGTATATTTTCCCGCAATTTTCTCTATACTATATCCCCCCGCTCCACTTCCAGCTGCACCACCTATTAGTGTAACTGCAATCGCAACGCCAGCCATTGTGTCGGACACTCCCAAATATTGCAAATAAATGGTCATATAGTTAAACGCACACATTGGGGCTTCTGCGATGAATAATGTAAATATCAATAGCCATGTTGTTTTCCTCTTAAAAGCGTTTGTAAATGTTTCCGATATAATGTTATCAAAACCTTGACTTTTAGAATTTGTGACATCGCACTCCCTCTTCATTCCAAGTGCAATCGCGATACCAAACAATATCCAGACGTACCCCAACACAACATAAGAGCTACGCCAGCCAATATATCCCAATAATACTTTGCGCGCAATGAGTGTGGTTATAACCGCGCAAAGCAATCGTCCAATGCAATTCAGAGCCTGAAAAATCGTGAACATCGTACTAGCGTCTGAGTTTTTTTTCTTCGGCTCCTGTGAGTTCTCTGGAGCCGGTGATGCCGCTGCACCGTTCTCTTCTTTCTTCGATTCGGTTGAATCTGCAACGATCTTTTGCTGCACTGGGTAAACGCAGGCGAATCCAAAGCCGTGTAAGAAGCGCAAGAACAGAATCTGCAGGTACATTTATTCCACAACTATTGCAACTTACTGATCTGTATTGCGATGCTGAACTTAGAACAATCGAAGCCATGCCCATCACTAACAGACCACCACCAAGCACATATCTCGAAGGATACTTATCCGCGAGAATTCCCCAAATTATGCAGCAACCCATGCGGGACATAGTGGACACAGTCGCCAATGTAGACAATTGAGACTGAGAAAAGCCTAAAGTCAACTCGAAAGCCCTCATACACATGGACAACACCTGTTGATCGTAACCTTCGAAAAACGACACGAGGTTGTACAGTGCTTGTCCCCAGACAGTATATTTCTTGTTTTCATTTGCAGCTGAACCTGTAGTTCCTTCCCGCTGTTGTGCCATTTTAGCCACAAGACTAGAGTTTTAGCGTCGTCAGAATGACCTTTTAATAAACAGTTATAGGTAGCTCATGACATATGGGTCGAAGGCGGAACATAAAGATTCGATTGCATAAATGGTACCATGCTTCGTGACATTCGTTGCGATGCAATCGCGTTGGATGAAACTACTGATAATACATCACGTGTGCACGATAATGCAAGCTTCATCTACTACAGGGGCCACATCCATAATTCACTTACCCCAGAATAATGGACTTGCCCATCTAGCGAAAAAGTCACACAACAGCTGCAAATAAGGTTTTGATAATGGATCAGTAAAATGTGAGCAGCTGTATTTATAAAAAATATATGGATAGTGTCGATGTGAGAGACACCGATTCAACGCTGGCTAAATGTCTCCTACGACCTTTGCAATGTGTTTCAAGTTGTATGGTGTGCTGTGTGGCTAGATTCGCCTTGTGCAGATTTCCATCCCTACTGAAGGCTTAAGTCTAACGATATGTGAAGAATCTTAACAAAGAATCGCCTGACCCCCTGATCTATCACTGTCCTTTCACGGAGATTTACTTGTGCCTTCGTATGTCTAGTGCTGCAACTTTACATCGTCTATTTCCGCCATCTAACTCACTACAAACGTGATAGATTCGGTTAAGTTGTCACATCAAGTACTCCAAGTCTCCGCTGCATGACATTCTTGTCATCACGCTGGGCTTCACCTTTAACTTAGGTCGTTCAACAGATATTTCCTGCACAGTTACATCTTTGCGTAACTGCAGCAATAAGAATTAGTGAATAAATACCTTGTGTACAAATCTCGACTTCATTAAATTGATGATTTAGTGTTTTATCCACGCATCGGGTAAGCTGTTTCGCCTCACATGTCTACAACAGCTTTGTGAAATTCTGCCATTGGCAATAAAACAACTGTCAGATACAGCATTTTGCAATATACCCGGAAACAGTTATTGTCAGTTTGGAACCTCAATTAGCGGCTTAAAAACCTCGCAGCTCTCCGAAATCCGCGTATTCCTAACAGCTACACCGATTTGAATGAACATTCTACAAGCAACGCTCCACACAACCTAAACACGAAATCCACCACACCATAGCACATGCATCTGTAAAAATCATAGAAATCCGATTATTTAGAATCGCTGTTTGCATGGGGGCACTCAGCAGCGAAATGAGGGCGGATGCTGCTCAAATCGGCACCTGCTGATCACGGTCTGGCAGGTCATAAAAGTCGTTCTTGTAGTCCTTGCGACGCAAGCGGTGATTCACGTATATGGGAGGGCTTGGCCCGCGATTTTCGTTCGCCGCCGAGACTGCGAGGCCACCGCCCTCATCGAAGACCTCCAGCTGAGCAGCCTCGTCCTCGTCATCCTCGTACTGCAGGAAATCTGGAGGAACGTGAGCAAACTGCACGCCAGGCGCGCGCTCAACATGACGAAGGTTGTCAATAATCTTCATCTTGATCCGCTCGAGGTGCTCCGGAGTATTGTAGTTAGGCATGTTGGTCGGCGTGAGGTGGAGGTTGAAGTCCGGCGCGTAGTAGTCGTAGTACTCATTCAGAGATATTTGGTTGGACATCTCATCCTGCTTGCCTAGCACAACACCGGTTTCGTACGCCCAGCAACGTGCGACGTTGCGGATCGTGTAGCCACCTCCTCCCAGTACAAGCAGTGGGATGTTGAGGCTGCGGCAGAACGCCACGCAGCGCGCGTGGCCCTTGTTGCTGAGATTGAATCTACCCAAACGGTCGCCAGTCAGACTATCTGCACCGCATTGTAGCACTATGGCGCCGGGCTCATATATCTCGACGCACTTGCCGATCACAGCCTTGAACAGGTCGGCAAAGCTGTCGTCGTCCATGCCATCGTTCAGAGGCACGTTAACACTGTAGTATTTGCCCGAGGCGACACCGACATCGGTGACGTCGCCGGTGCCGGGGAAGAAGTTTCCAAATTTGTGGAAGCTAACAGTCATGACGCGGTGGGTCACGTAAAAAGCCTCCTCCACTCCATCACCGTGATGAACATCGATGTCAATATACATGACACGCGCGTGGTATTTAAGCAGTTCCAGAATACCCAATACGATGTCGTTGAGGTAACAGAATCCCGATGCCTCAGAACGCTTGGCGTGATGCAGTCCGCCGGACCAGTTGACGCAGATATCTGCCTGCTGGTTATTCAGGCGGTGCGCGGCGTCGATGGACGCACCACTGCAACTCTGCTGGAACACAAACAGCCCGTCAAAGACTGGGCAATCGGTCGCCTCGCCGACATTGAATCGCTTCAGCTGGTAGGCGAACTCGCGGTAGTTCTCTGGGCTCACTCCCGAGAGGAACTGGATGTAGTCATTGTCGTGGAAAGCGAGCAGCTCGGGTTCCACGGCCTTGTGAGGCCTGAAAACCTCCATGTGTCGGTACAAGTCGTAGCTGAGCACCAGGGCGTGGGCCATCCTGATGCGCTGCGGCTTCATGGGATGCCCTGGGCCGTAGTAGTAGCTGCCCACATCGGGGTCGTAGAAGTAGGACACACGCTTCTCCATGGCCATAAAACGAGTTTTGCGTATCGCACACTAACCGTTGAGCTGCCCCTCTAGGCCTCCGATGCGAAAATAGACAGCTCACACAGACACGGACTCCGCTCACCGACGAGCGCAACTCCTCAACCAGTCGCTATGTCCAATGTGGCACACACAGGGAGGTCGATCGCGTGTCGCAATTCGCGCGGCGTGCCGTGCCACTCACCCTGCAGCAGCCGCCCTGCGACCTGCTCCAATACGACCGGGGTTCTCCGCGGCGTCTAATAGAGCGAATTATAGTACATCTGTTGCCTTTCTACCTCCATGTAATATAACCCGCCTGTTATGTACCGACTGTTCGTGCTGAGGAGGTCGTGCGGTGTTGGTCAGATGGGGAACTCGATCGCATATCGTCGCTGTCGGTGCACCGCATCTGCGGTCCTTCCATGGGCAAAATACGAATAATTGCCCTGTTATCTCTGGCGTGTTATGCATGCGATCGGGCATTGCGGGGAGCAGTAGTTGCAGATGGTACGTTTCGTGACGCAGACGCGTCTTTTGTTAGATATCGGCACCTCCGCAATCCACTGAAATTGCGGATGGCACTATTGGAAGCATATTATTTATATACATTGTATAATTGCGTTATGAATAATTTTCTAGCCTAAAATTGCGTGGAATCCTGCCATTAATCGCGCACTCATGCCTCTACAGCATTCAAGACAAATACAATTCGGAATGGCACCTTGTTTGCCTTAGAACATAGTTCAGCACCTACATCTAGACGATCAGTTGTAAGCGCTGTAGAAGGAGAGCTCTTCGGCGTGCCCGAAGCCCGTGGAGACGGGGTTGGCGGTGACCATGGCGCTTCTCTCCACCGGCTGCTGCGAAAAGCAGGTGTATTTTCTAAGGTCGCACCAGGAATACACGCCCTGTTGCCGGTCGGCAAGAAGATAGTCACTCGGATAGAGCGTGTCTTAAGGGTAGAGATGGCGCGTCTCCACACACACGAAATGGAGCTGCCGATATTGCAGCCGGAGCGACTAATAAAGAGTCGCCAAGCTGAATTCGGCCGGGATTTGTACAAGCTTAGTGATAGGCAGGATCGCATTTTACACCTCAGTCCCACATGCGAGGAGTTGGCGTGTCTGGTGGCGTGCAATGCACTCAGTCCGCTGTCGCGAACGCAGCTTCCGCTGAGGATCTACCAGATTCGTTCCAAGTTCAGGGACGAACTGAGACCTTGCGACGCGACGATGCGGTGCAGGGAATTCACAATGAAGGATGCCTACTCCTTCCATGCAGACGAGCAGTCCGCTGAAGCCGCTTACGGGGAATTCCGTGAGGGCTACAAACGCATACTGCAAAAGCTGCGCATCGCATACACTGTTAGACGCGAAGAGCATGGAGGCTGCTTCGACGAGGAATTCGATGCGGAACTTCCTTCCGGTGAGGGGCCCTCAAAGATCGAGATTGCGCACATCTTCAAGTTGGGTACTGCGCTCACTGAAGAAGCGGGTCTCAGCTACGAGGTGGAAGGTCGACGCAAGAAGCCGGTGTACCTGAATTCCTATGGTATAGGGATACAGCGGCTGCTGTATGCAGCTGCGGCCCAGCACAGCGACGCCGACGGGTTGAAGCTGCCGCAGATAATCGCTCCGTACGACGTCGCCATTGTGCTGTGTGACACAGATTCAGCCGGAGTGGCTGGATTGGCACACGATTTGCAAGTGTTGTTTTCCAAAGCCGGGCTTGACACGCTGCTAGACAACCGTGACCTCCCCCTGAAGCAGCGCACGGCAGACCTGCGAGCCATCGGTGTTCCACACCTTGTGTACGTCTCAGACTCGGCGCAGGTTGGCGAAATCCGTGAGCCTAGCAGTGACATTGCCGAGGCGATACGGCAAGAGAGTCGTACCTCCAACGAGTATCACCTGGGGCAGTCAGAATCCGCCTTGCTAGCCCGTAGCTGGCCAAATGCCGATACCAGCTGCCTAGATAAACCATTGCGCTACGTACACCGCGCGGTTGAAGACGAGTTTGTACTTCCAGCCGCACAACTGCTGGAGATGCTTTGCGGGTAACGTTCGTCGCCAGAATACCGGATCCAGCGTACACATTACACTCCTTGTCACAATATGCGGGAATTCATCGCACTAATGATATAATAAGCTACATTACCCTCAATGTTAGACACATCGGATGGGCAACCAATCCCCGCAATTGCTTCCGATATTTTACAGAAAAACGTACACATTATCGAATCACTCATGTAAACACACACTAATATGCCCCAGGGTTGCTTCCCGCCGGCTACCCCCGTTGTGGTGGATGGCAACACGTGGTGGCAGCCGGACGACAGCGGAAAGGTCACCAAAATTACCTATACGCCCGTGCGACGGCAAACGTGTGTAATAACTATTGTTGATATATCTTACACACTTATAACGAAATGACGAGTTGCAGATGGGTCGACGTGGTCAGCAGCGACTCCTGTAAGTTTCTACACATCGGCCTCACGGCAACCACATCCGCAACCAACTCATATTGGCTCAGGCGCGTCGTTCGGGCGCACTGCGCTGATGAAGTACGAAAGGCAGGACAGGCGTGTCACGGCCGTGAACTCGGAGCGCTTGGTCGCGGCTATTGACGCGGACTGCATTGACCAGCTGAAGGGCGACGTGACCGACAATGCCGTCAGCTTGGGTGATTCGTTCATCGAGCGTGATGGACACGTAACGGCTATCCAAGCCGGTACTGGCGTCACTATGGACATGCAGATGAAAATGAATTTGGCACCCGCCGCCATCGACGAGGTGCCGCTGACCCAGGAAGAGATGGGAGAATCCGACGAGACGACGCTCTCTCCCAAGCCCCTGGTCTCAAAAGGCTGGGAGAATGGACCTGCGGATGTGCCGAGGAATGAGAACGGCGCTGCAGTAGTGTCTTTCTCTGGGATTCTTGGCCTGTCAAGGTCGTCCCAATCGCCCAGAGATAACTCAGTCAGCCCGTCGCCGCGCGATCGCACTTCGCCTAATCCAAGAGGACACAGGGATGTTCAGACCGGGTCTGAGCCCGCGAAGCATGCGAGCAGGAATAGTAGTGGTGGTGCCACAGCGTCTGCGGGTCCCGTGGCGATGGAGGGTAGTAACAGAAATGCAGTGCAAACTAAGGATGCGGTTAATGGAACTCCCAGAACAGCAGTTCAGCCTAAGCGGGTTGCTAAAACTGCAACTTCCTCGAAAGGTAAAACGGTGGAGTTTGCAGAGCCTTGCGGGACCCCAATGTCGATGCTGGAAGCGGAAACATCCAAGAGAGCAAAGGTAGCCACCGACGACCAGTCCGGCGTCTACTTCGACGAGATAACTCAGAAGCCGCTCAACCCGCCGAAGAAAGCCAATGTCATGAAGGACAAGGTCAACCAGGAGCAGATCTCGCAGCTGCTGCTCAAGCAGTTCAACCAAACGGAGCCCAAGCCGAAGGTCAAGGAGGCGCCTAATACGCGCATTTGCAGCCGTCTGAAGGACATAGCTATCGGAAAGTCAACTAAGGTAATTGCAGACGATATTTGCACATGTTGTGCAGGGATACCAGAACTACATCAAGAAGGTGCCGATCGACCAGCGCACTCCTGACGACCCTCAGACGCCTAACTTGCGCGAAAACGTCTCTGCGGCGCGTTTCCAAGTCATTTATCGCAAATGGCGCACCGACCTTCACAAGTACGATAACCTATAACACACCATAAATGTTCGTATGACTATGGGGACACACAGACGGTCCGAATCACTTCTAACTTCGCTGGATCCTCGCCAGCGGACTCGCGGTCGATATGAGTGACATTGACCGTGACATAGAGCAGCTGCGACGCTGTGAGTATCTCAGCGAGAGCGAGGTTAGGCTGCTCTGCAGCAAGGCGAAAGAAATACTCATCGAGGAGTCAAACATCCAACGAGTGGACACACCAGTGACGGTACTGAATATTTCATGCATATGTGTCGTGTATAGCGGCCAAAAGCCGAGGAAGACGCCCATATGGGCGCGTAGCTTCGGGCGATATAGCGTGTAGCAGTGTCGTCTTAACGGCACACTGCAGGCATTTGTGGCGTGTTTGGTGATTGCACGTAGCATAAACAGTCGATGTGTACAGGTTTCCGTCTCGCCTGGGCGGTAACTCGGCCCCGGTGTGCGAGCGGAACATGCGTCGATGTGTCCAGCTGGCTACGCTGCTTTTATGCTTTTACACCCCGTGCACATGCCGCTACGTGATGTTGAAGTGGATTGAGTGCTGTCTATGCGGTTACGTGGCGTTCTGCCGTCGTGGCGATTCATGCACCGTTTCACGTGTCTAGATGGGTTGATTACATTGTGCTTCAGGTCTGCGGAGACATCCACGGCCAATTCTACGACTTCAACGAACTGTTAACGGTCGGCAAGCACATCCCGGAGACGAATTACCTCTTCCTCGGCGATTTCGTCGACCGCGGGTACTACTCGGTGGAGACGTTCCTCCTCCTGCTCTGCTTCAAGGTCAGGTACCCAGATCGCATCACGCTCATTCGTGGCAACCACGAGTCACGCAACATCACGCAAGTGTACGGGTTCTACGATGAGTGCATACGCAAATACGGCAATGTCAACGTGTGGAACTACTGCACGGAGATATTCGACTACTTCTCCATCGGTGCGCTTGTCGATAACCGATACTTCTGCATCCACGGCGGTCTGTCGCCCTCGGTTTCGACCATAGACGAGATACGTTACCTCGACCGCAAGCAGGAGGTGCCACACGAGGGGGCGATGTGCGACCTGATGTGGAGCGACCCCGAGTCCATGGACGGCTGGGGAGCCAGCCCGCGCGGCGCGGGTTTCCTTTTTGGCGGCGACGTGGTCCGGCAGTTCTGCCACCAAAACAAGGTGGAGACGATCGCCCGGGCCCATCAGCTGGTCATGGAGGGCTACAAGTGGTGGTTCAACAAGATGCTGGTCACGGTGTGGTCGGCACCCAACTACTGCTACCGCTGTGGAAACATCGCAAGCATCATGGAGATAGACGATAACCTCAATTGCAGTTTTAAAAAGTTCGACGCTGTGCCGCCCAACAAGCGTGGCGTGCCTGCGAAAAAGCCATTCCCGGAGTACTTCCTCTGAGGAGGCACGCGCAGCCTGAAAGTAGGCTCATTGGGCGCTAACCCATAATAATATAAAATGCGAATATTTAACGCCAAGTGCGCGAAACACATGCCGACTTGGTGTTGCTGCGACAATTTTAATATACTGCATTGCAATAGATATGGTCGTTAACCTGTCTGCGTGTTGGTCTGGTTGGCCGGTGATACTGCCAACGGAAACCGTGTCACGCCGATCAAACTCCACTCAGCGAAAAACACGCGATTCAACTGGATATAAAGTGTTTTTAGCATTGATTTATAGCGTTAGTTCTTTATGTTGAAGAACTCATACTCCTGCCGGCCACGGCAGAAGCGTGCCAGGCGCATGTCGTCTATGCGCAGGGTGATGCGCTTCGCGTGATACGAACATGCGGTCGATATTTCGAGAAGGCGGGTGATTTCATCTTCAGTGGCAGCCTGGAGAGCGGTCAGAGCCTCCACGGTGAATTTTACGGGTTCGGGACCGCGCCACCAGGTTTGCGCGATGTCACGCACTATCCTCGCGAAGACGGCACGCGGTATCAGCAGGTGCGTGCTTTTCTGGTACGCCAGGATCTCGCGTTCGATACGCGTCAGGCCGTTGCGGCGAATCACTCGCCCACGGGTGTCACGTGACTTCCCAAAGTCGTAGCCCTTCACGAAACGGACGTCCCCATCCTTGTCCACATACATGCGATCGGAGTTTTTATGGAGCATCTTGTTCATGCGGTAGCGAATCAGCGATTCCACGGCCTGCTGCTTGCTCATGGAGCCACGCTTGAATTCGGCGATAATCCTTGCGGGTGAGAGCACCGCCACGGGTTTGATCGGGGGGCGCTTCGGTACTGGAGCCGCGCGGGCTTCGGCAAGAAGGCTCGCTGTAACGGCATCGCTCATATCAGGTTGTGAATATGCAGGAGCCGAGGTTGACGGCCGTGAGTCCGCGGGAAAGAGCCTGCTGGAACTGCTAGTCGACCCACCTCCAGTATTGCGACCGCTGTGTATTGACTCGCGCACACTGCTAGCACCCACGTCAATGGGTCTGCCAACAACGCTGACTCTTGGTTGACGGTCTGATCGGCCGGCGATACTGCCACGGGATGCCGTGTCACGCTGGACGCTAGTGGCGCTGGCGAAGCTTTCACGGCCTCCAACGTCTATTACGGAGGTGCCCAACGTAGTAGCACTGTCCAAAACTCTGCTTTCCCTGGCAACGCTCTCCGAACCGATGGCATTGCCCATAGAGGTGCGTCGTGACGGCACAAGGTCCATCGATTCCGCAGACGAACTGTGGGCGCTGCGCGTCATTGATGGAGCCTGGGGCGATAGTAGATCAGCATCGTCACCAACGGACTCAACTTCAATGGCGTGCACTGAAGCTTCAGAGGGCGACGAAGATGATACCACCACGACATCATCGCCGAAAAAATGGCGACGGGTGCTGCCCACTCCTGGGATACGGCTCGGCCGCATGTCATCATAAAATGTAGCATCTTCATCCGGGGTTGAGTACCCGTCCGTGTCGTGATCTGATGCCATCTTGCAGCCTTACAAATATTTAAGACGATATTGAAATCGTTCAACAATGAGTAATAATTTAGCCGAATATCACGAACATGAATCGACTAGCCCTCAACAAAATTCACGTTTCGAATTTGATCTGGGAAACAATATCTCTGGAAATCCTAGAACTTCAGTACTTCTGGTAATGATACTAGCTTTATAAATGGAGAAGCTTATAGGCGAATCGTATATCCTCAACAACCAACCTATACCACTGCCAAGTGATGAGACTACTTTCAGATCGAAATGGAAAGCAAACTATTCTCAAGTACGCCTTCAGACGTATTTACAAATTACAACCGTAGCTGGAAGTCCCCAAAATACCGAAAAACGGAAGCTTCGGCGATAACGGTCAACTAAAGTCGTTGCTCCGCCTAATCACGGTTCAATTTTGACGACCAGTCTCACTTCATTCAACATTTGTCTGCTTCAAATTTTGCAAAGCTTCATAAGAGCTGTATAAACGAGTTGTTAGTCCTCGTACTAAGCATTAGCAGTCGCATACGGGTGCTGACTTGACACAGCGACGGACGGTACACATTTTCCGCCGAGAACCGCAAACTACCTTGAAAACTATGGAATTTCACTACAGCTTACGCAGCGAGTAGAATGTGTGACGTCGTCGCAGAGCTGGCGTACTTCGATTCCCGATGCTACTTTCCCCATTTGCTCGTGGCAAATTTAAGTAGATAACACGGGCCACCACCAACCGTGCGTTTTGCGAGACGTCAAAGGCGATTTATAGCACGTGGAAACTGTCATTTGGAACGTCGAGGAAGGCGGAATCGCCGCGTTTTCGTGCGTACGCGCGCGAGAAGTGGTCGTAACCGCAGATCGCCCAAATGACGCCAAACATGGCCTATCGCATCATCTCCAGCCTCTCGAGGCCGTTCAAACCCACATGTGGTGTTTCGAAGACCGATTTTTTCCGCAACAGCGCCAGAGGATATGTCCACTTTTCGCGCACGCAGACTCATGACTTCGAGCTGCCGATAGACACGATGCCGAAGGATATAGACGCGCTGATGAAGACGGACCCGAAGAAAATGGACTACTTCGGTAGTTATTGGTACTGGAGGATCAGGGGAGAATCCACGCTGATGGACGCCGACTCCCTGCCGAAGAAGTCGTACAAGCAGCTGGCGGTAGACCTCGGCATGCAGGTCGTTAACGAGCCCTCTGAGCACATGCTCGGCCTGCTCGAGCTCTACGAATACCTGAAGACCTCCCCCTTCGTCGGCCCGTTCGGTACAATAAAGAACCCCGTGCTAGTGCCGAGCGTGCTCACCGAAAGGTAAGTTGAATTTGCACTTTGTTTTCGTTATTGCAACAGCCTATAGTTGTTTTTGTGCATGATGTCAGTAATGGTAACTGTTATACGTGAATATGTGAAGTTGACCGACCTAATGTCGTTTCAGGGTTGTCGGCTGCACTGGTGGAGCCGGCGAGCACGAGCATGTGCCACTGTGGTTCCGTTGCCGCGAGGGTTTCCTATACCGTTGCGGAGAGTGCGACCAGATTTTCATGCTCGTAAGAGTGCTTTACTCACTGCCGGACGGAGAAGATCCCTTCCCGGTTGACCCGGACATCGACGATGTATTCAACAAGGACGTGCTGGCCAAGGGGCACCTCAAGTGGAACTCGGGAGAGTACCTGCGCTGGCCGGTGGGCAACGCCACCTACAAACAGCTGTTCCTACAGGGTACGTGCGCTATAAATAAAGTTCATTGCGCTCAGGCAAATGGGGGAATCCAGTGCCAGAAATTACAGCGTCTAATGACGGCAATGCTGACCCGAACCGGCTCTCCGAATTCAGGCCGCAGTAAAGTGTTGAATAAATTACCGCTATTAATACACACATCGGTGTTATTCGGTTGTGTTCCTGTTGTCTTCTTTTTTTTCCTTCCTGCGACCAGCTGGCTCAGGGGGGCGTAGCTTGCGGGGCTTGCCACTTATTAGAAAAAATAACGCACACCTTTAAAAATTAATTCAGGTGTAACCCGTAGGAATCTCTAAATCACTGTTGACTGTGGAGACGACGAAATGTCGATCTTCCACTACATCACGGAGCAGCCAGCCGATGGCAACTTCGGCATGGCGGCTCTCGCCAAGGAGGATTCCGACCCGAATAAGATAGACTTGTGTCTGGGAGCCTATCGGAACGAAGAAGGCCGCCCTCAACTTTTCGAGTAAGCTAACACATTAAAATGCATAACACAGCGCAGGGCTGTAAGGATTGCGAAGAGAGATATTCTGGAGGACAAACGAGAGTTCGAGGAGTATCTGCCATTATGCGGTCACAAGAAATTCGCCAAGGCGGCCCGCGATCTTCTTTTCAAGGGTGACATGGACAGCGATGAGTATGAGAAGCTGTGCGAGCGCATCGTCCCATTCCACACTGGTTCTGCCACCAACGCTATATATTCTGCTCTGCTGCTGGTGAAAGAGTTTGTGCCCTACGCCAAGGTGAGGCAATTTTACATCTTCCTACGATTACATCGTGATTCATGCTACTCTTTCCTCGTTGCATGAATAAATCGTTGTGCGGTATTTTAGGTGACAGTTGGAGGCGTAGCAATCGATGATTTTTGCATGATGTTTGGACATTTAGTGCGTGAATGTTTCATTGCCTATTAATGCTTGGTATTAAATCACCTGGTTACAAGCAGCGTTCTGGTGACGTTGCCATTCATTTGTTTCTTAATTACGTTATTTTCACGTTTAATGTGTCACACGGTATTCATTACGATCCAGAAAGCTTACGCAAGCAAGCCTTGCTGGAACAACTACGAGAGGCTTGTCTCCACTGCTGGACTGGAGTACGATGAGTACCCCTACTTCACCTCCGTGGAGAAGGGTGTCGACTTTGAGGAGATGGTTGCCGCATTCAAGTCTTACGAGAAGGGTTCAGTTGTCATCCTACAGGCGTGCTGCCACAACCCCACTGGATTCGACCTCAACCCCGAGCAGTGGATGCAGATCAGAGAGATAGTTTTTGAGCGGGGCCTCATACCGCTTTTAGACATAGCCTACCAGGGATTCGGGTGGGGAGAACTCGATGACGACGCATATGCGGTGCGTATGTTCGCAGAGAAGGAGATGGACATGTTCGTCGCGCAATCCTTCTCCAAGAACATGAGCATGTACTCCGCCAGGATCGGCGTTATGCACTGCGTAGGTTGCGATCACATTTAAAGTGGCTTACATAAACACCGCAGCTGTTCACGAGTGACTACATACCGAAGCGTAAAGTACTGATATCCAACCTAGGGCTTATAGGAAGGGGCAGATTCGGATCCCCAACGAGGCACGGCGCAGAGGTCGCCTACAGAATCATGTCAGACGAGTCACTCAAGGAAATTTGGACAAGGGAGCTGCGAGGCGTTTCCTCGCGGCTTAAGAGACTGCGCATAACCCTACGGTTGAAACTGGAGGCTAAGAAGGTGCCGGGGAAATGGGACCACATAACCACGCAAATGGGCATGTTTGTCTATCTTGGCATTTCTCCTGAAGCCGTGAAGCGACTAAGAGAGGAGTTCCATATATACATGATGGCGGACGCCAGGGTATCCATTGCCGGCCTCAACACGAGTAACATCGACTACTTCGTCGACGCACTACACACCGTACTTACAACCTAACCATGGCATAAAATAATGTCGTATAAGAATATCCTTAAGCGAGAGCACTGGAAAATACTGAAACGGCAGCTGTGTGAGCAGTTTCGCGAGCATTCCCGCGACACCGAGGCGACCGTGACCGCGCACACCTGGCCGCGGTTTGTTCAAAAGGAGCACCTCCTCGCCAGCAATCTCGTGCCGGCGCTCATCACTGCGCACGGTCCGCCGCGCAAAATCTGCATAAAAGCCAGCGACATCTTCAGATTCGCTTTTGACGAGGAGCACGGCCACCTCAGTCACCTCTTCAGTGGAAGGCTGTACAACCTACACATCGGCGATGTGGTAGAGCGTTGCGTGGTTGCGCACGTGCACGTCGACCCTATTGAGAAGACCCTGTATTTCGTGAAGTTCAATCGCCACGTGGAAGGCTGCATATCCGAGGTCGACATCCCATGCACGGTGGTTGGGCTGTTGGCATCCCCGGCCTACCTCAAAGGTAACCATTCACCTCACTCCATGGCCGTGATAACTGTCTGTTGCTCGCTTCGTGATCGTGATTTTTGTGAATTTATAGTATCGATGGTACCCTGGATACATACTTGACCTGCGCTGTCCAAAACATTCGTCGTACAATTTTCATATTGAAATCCACATCATCCTGCAGGGTACCATGTGCAACTCATGATGCCCACCATCAAATGTGAGGTGGCGGGGAAAACAGTACCACCGCCGTTTCTCATCGACGTGTCGAAGCTGGAATACAAGGAGCCATTCAACTCTATCATGCTCAAGGATATCGCACACCTGCTGCCGGAGGACGAAAGCGTTATGTTCCACCGGTCGTACAACCCGGATACGCAAGAGGTTGTCTGCACGTACCAGACGGGCACTCTGCCAGAGGAGCCGCTGCCGCCGGACTACGTCGACCCCAACTTCCTGAACAAGAAGGGGAGACGCATCCACTTAACGTACAAGGGATTCTTCCCCAAACAGTAGTGCCTCAAGACAGAGCCTAACCTTCTAATGCAAGTTTGTGACAATGAAATGCACATCTATAGTTGGCGTGAGTGTGAACTCTGCGGTGACGATTTTATATGCAAACGTGGTTGCATGGTAGTGTCCGGCTGACCCTTATCCCTACTTGCGGGGCACTGTTTCCTCTATTACAAAAGGACAGCATCAACCGTAATCGATGTATTTTCAGATGCAGTGTACAATCAAAATGTATAGAACGACCCGGTTGGAACCAGTGAATTAATGTAAGCAGTCCCTTAAAGTTACGAAACTATAATACGCTGCTTAGCCCCTTTACAATGTTTATTAAATTTCGCGGTAGGAGCAGCGGGAGATGGTCATAACTGATTTAGTCTTGCCACTGGCGGAACCCTGCGCCTCAACCTCCTGCAGCACGGACCAGCCTTCAGTGACCTGTCCGAAGACGACGTGCCTGCCGTCGAGCCACGGAGTCTTCACAGTGGTGATGAAGAACTGAGAACCGTTGGTGTTGGGTCCAGCGTTGGCCATGGAGAGCACACCGGGGCCCTCGTGCTTCAGCTTGAAGTTCTCGTCCTTGAACCTGTCGCCGTAGATGCTGATAGTACCAGTTCCGTTGCCGTTGAGAATGTCTCCACCCTAAGAAAGTGTGAGAAGCAAGTATTGGACATAGCGACGGATAGACCACATAAACACATGAGCGGAAGATAAGCGGTATTATAAACTACAAAGCGCTTCAACGAAACGACGTCCACCCAAAGTATTCCATAGGGAAACAACATCCCTTTCACAAATACGACATAAGAGCGTCAATTAAGCAGAATTACACGCATGGAAATGCTTCTGGATCACATACCTGGATCATGAAGTTAGGGATGATCCTGTGAAGCACGGTTCCTTCGTATGTGTATGAGCGGCCGTCAATGTCGCGTCCCTCGCAGAAGGCAAGGAAGTTGTCTACAGTCTTGGGTGCAACATCAGCGCGCATTCCGATTATAATGTGGCCGATTCCCTCTCCATTCTTGGCGAATTCGAGCGTGACTTCGTGGGTGTACTTCACCCCGGACCCGCTGCCCTCAGCGTCAGCGGCTCCGCAAAACCCAGTCAGAAGACTGTAGATGGCGCAAAAAGCGGTTACTCCGAAGAAGGATTTCATTTTGCCAAAAGTATATAGTGATGTGTATGCGGGCTAGCTGACACCACCTGGATCACCGGAGACAGCGTCCCAACACCAGCACCACCTGTGAAAATTCAAGCTGCAGTGATTCCACAACCTCTAACTAGCTGCCCGCAACGCAGTTAACCACGGTCCGCCGGCAACTTTCGGAGCCGTCTTACCGCGGTGTGTGTAGATTATATGAATCTGCAAAATACCACCGCAGACACCCTATCGGTCATATGGCTATCGAGATATGTATGGCATCTAGTTGCTGTTGCGTGTCACGCCGAGCTTGGCTCGACGCCAATTCATGCTGCGACACGCATGGAATCACTGACCCGCAACGCCAGGTGTCTACTGCGGGCACCGCGGACGCTATACACTGCACACACAAATAGAGCGTTCCTCCCGCATTAGACGCGGCAGGTGACAAATAGGTCACGCCCGCTTATGGGCCTAGTATCATGTATCCATACGACGACTCAGACCATGCAGCGCATTCGTCGTAGAATCACGCGGCACACACGGAATTAGAGTGTGCCGGCAGCGGTGGTTTTGGCAAAATTGCACCGTAAATTACCGAGCTGTATTCGGCTCTGTCGCCGCGTGTGAGATGAGGGATAGACAGCGGCGCCCCCACCTTGCAGACGGCTGTCAGTCACTCGCGCGTTAGACAATCTGTATTCACACACGACAGATCCATCCTGTTCCCTGCTGCTACACGCATTTCACCTCGGACTAATAACTACAGCCAAGATGTCGACGGGAATGAATCCGCAGTACAACGAGGTCGGCCTCCAGTTCGTCCAGATGTACTACCAGCTGATGGAAACTGACAGGTGAGTGGCGCCCAGCGTCGCGTCAGCGCGCTCATCATCGCTCTAAACCCCTCGCAGGAAGAGCCTCGCCAACTTCTACAACGAGCAGAGCATGATGACCTTCGAGAACTCCTCCCACTGCGGTCGCGAACAGATCATGGAGAAGCTGCTGAACAACCCGAGCGCCAAGTACTCCATCCTCACCTGCGACTGCCAGCCCTCGCCAAACAACGGAGTCATCGCATTCACCATGGGCGACGTCTCGCTGGACAACAGCCCTCCCATGAAGTTCGCGCATGTCGTGCAGCTTTTCCCCAACGGCGCCAGCTACTTCGTGCTCAACGACGTGTTCAGGCTGTGCATCGGCTGATTGTATGGAGCTGCGCCGGCTGCTGGCGTGCTGCATAGCGCTTAACATGAAATATCCGTGCTTTCACGTCTAATTACAACCACTTTACACATTGAAACAAAACTGACTAAGCTATACATAGAAAGGTACTAGTGACACTTATGGCGTATTTTTGTGTTGTTATTGCGATGTCGCCTTTTTGTGTTAATGTGTAGGCTGCAGGGAGAGGTTACCGGTGGGTCATATCCCTGTCTCAGTTCACCGTTGAGGTACTAGACTGGCGCCTATATGTGGTTTCCGCGCCGAATCATACGGCGCCCGGATTCGCATATATGAGAAGATGTGTATGGTATGGGGACCGACGCCGATGCCATCGCGCAATGCTGCCCAAGCTATGGGCCTGAAACGCTCACACATCGCAAAGATAGTGCCTGTTTGTGATGAATATGATCACTAGGGCTGTTATATTTAATATTTGTAGGCAACAGCAGCGCCGGAGACTGTAGTAACCCGAGCGTGCTGACACACCGGAAGGTATACCGCGTATTAGACAAGACCAATCCGGCAAGATGAAGCTCTCAGTCTTCTTCAAGGTCATATTTGCGTCATGCGCTGGCATCCTCAGCCGCGCAGCGCTCGTCCATGCGCAGGAATCGGAGCATCTTACGGCCAGGGAGGCGTTGAAGAAAGTAGACACAGCAGATAATGCCGGTAAAGCGAACAGTGAGTTCACATCGCCTTGAAGTATACATTTTCCGCAGCTGAGGTCGTTTTCGAGGTCGCCATTTCGCCCAGTAAGTGCACACCCTAATTAGACGCATACACACACAGGGGATGACAAATCGCAGCCGCTGCCGTTCTGCGCTACTTTGGTCAGCACCTTGTGGTTCACTGACGACGAGATCAACCAAGCGTCGAATGCGGCCGCGCTTTTCGACATTCTTCGGGGCAAATTTGCTGCTAGGGCACGGGCAGCGGATCTTGAGCAGAGGTTCGGGTTGCTGAAGCGCTTGTCTGCCCTAGCGTACCTCACGTCGATGGGAAACCTGCAGATTATCGAGAACAATGTGCAAAACGAGACCAGGAATGTCCGATTCGCAACTGAACTTGTGTCGCCATTGGCTGACAAATCTGCATGGGAGAAACTGACTTCATACACGACTGAGCTGTCGCTGTCCGTCACCGACGGCAACTGCCCGGATGTCAATGACGGTGAAAATGTCGAGATATTCAACGATCAGGACCCGAGCGAATTTAAATCGATTGCCTTCGGCACTGGAGCCACTAGTGCAATGCCACATGCGCAGCAGGTAAAACAGGCTTCCCAACGGTCTCACATTCAACAGGCAAGCGACGTTCCAGCTGGAAATTCGGAAATGTTAAGTGATGCTACTTCGAGCGTCAATGAAACTCCGGCAACTGAATCTGGGTATGGAACGCAAGGCAGCGGCATGACCAGCAACGCGGCTGTCGGCACTGAACGTTCTGGGGACAACACGAATGCACCAAGTGGAGGAGCAGGTAAAGACAAAGGGGATTACGTGAAACTTTCCCCTGAGGAGGAGACTAAGTACATGGACCTCTTCGAAGGTTCTGACAAGCAGGACTATGGTAGCGAGGCCATGGTGCCGATGAAGGTCACGATCAAGACCAAGGTGCTGCCAATCAGCGTCGTCCTCACCAGCAACTACTACATAACGCATTCAACTGTGTTAATGACGCAGCGACAGTTCAAGTCCTGCCAAGATCAGGATTACGTCAAATGCCTCAAGGTTGTCAGGGACAAACTCTTCGATAGGTACGAGCACGAGGCGTCCAAGAAGTTCGTAAGGGGGCGGTTCATCTCCCTGCTGCAGTCGCTGCTGTTGCAGTACGACCTGTACGTGCTGCCAATGCAGCCTGATGCCAAGGGTGTGCCCGAGGTTGGCGTGTTCATAACTGTGTACACCACCACTTTCGCTAACTTGAGTGCATGGGAGAGGCTTTTCGGAGAGGCCCACTCGTCAGACGGGAAGGTAGATCTCGACCTGCAGGCATCACCTAATCCTCTGACCAAGCCTGAGGAGGCACTATGGATCAACCTCCAGAAGGGCTACCCCGCACCAAAATACGAAAAGCTGTTCATGGAGGAGAACCCGCAGCTTAAACTGGGCAGTCGCCACGTGAGGTCCAAGCACGATCTCATAGAGGAGGATATCAAGCAGAAGATGGCTGACCTGAAGAAGAAACGTGATAGTTTACTTACGAAGTTTGATGCAGTTGACGAGGATGAAGCCAACAACGAAACTATTGAGCCCAAGAAGGAACCTGTACACCACGAAGATTCGCCATCTACAGAGACCGAAAACAAAACGGAATCAGAAAACAACGTGCCAACTCCCTCTGCGGAAGCTGAACATAAGACGGAATCCCAGAACCATGAAACAATTACATCTGCGGAAACTGAACACAAACCGGAACAGAATCATGAAACTGCTCAATCTACAGAGAACCAATATGGGTCGGAAACCCGTGAGAGTGTTCCATCTACGGAAAGCGAACACAAGACGGAAAACCAAGGCGGTGAGAGCACGCAACCGACTGAGACTGCTGACAACGAAAACAAATCGGAAAACTCTGAAAACACGCCATCGACAGAAACCGGTGAGCAGCAACCCGAACAGGTTAATGGTGAAGGCGAGGCTGCAAACGCAAGTTCCGACGCACAGGCCAATGGCGAGAGCAGCCCTGAAGGTGCGACCATGGGACCAGGAAGTGCCGCATTTGATGCGTTCACGAATCGTTCCGCGGAAGGGGAAGGAGCAAACGGCGAACAGAACCAGGTAGTACACAACATTGAGTACACTGAAGGCACACCTCTCAAGCCATCTGCCCCCCCAAAGCCGGAAACCAAGGAGGATATGCGCAAGATGGTCTCTGCGTACGAGAGCGCGCTCATGCATGTCCCCAAAGAAATCCACGGTTACCAACTGTCGTACAAGGACATCGAAAACTACCCTGAGTTGCAAAAGACGTGGAAGATCGGACTAACAACGATGGGTCTTATGAAGGAAGAAGACGAACTTGCCCCTTTCCTCGAAAAGCATAACTTCACCTACGACCAGCTGAAGGACCTCTTCAACTTCACCTATGGTGTCATCGCCGTCAACATGTACGAGGAGGCGAGGGACTTCTATGAAAGTGCCAGAATCCCGAAGGAGTCGGTTGAGACCAGCTTGACTATGGTGCAAAACTCGTTCCGCGCCAACACTGGCACCAACATCACCAGGTTACCGCCTGTTGTGAAGAAGATGGCGCACGCTTGCCCAGTGAGGGATATGATCATATCGCTGTCGACTGATGACCTGATCGATCGTATGCAGATCATGTTGGGTTCGTGGCTGGAACCGTTCGAAACGGAACCCGATCTGGAGAACAACTTCAACCTCGCGGCTCTGTGCTCGACTGCGGCAGTCGTTATCCAGCAGTGGCGCTACCTGCAGGTCTACCAGGGCTACAACGAGGAGGGTTCCGCCTGGGCAGTGCTCTTGCAGTCGTTTTCGAGGATGGGCCAGAGCAAGAACGAGCAGCCGGAGGTCAGGAGCCGCTACAAGGAAATGGTCAACGGCAAGGCGGCGAAACTGTGCAGGCAGTACATCAACGAGGCGGGCTCGGTCGCCAGCACCCCGCACAAGGGAATCACGAGAAACTACGAAGCAAGGTCGCTCGTGGGTGCCATTGGCAACATTCTGGACGAAAACATGGAAGCGAGTGTTGACGAGATCGTGACGTCGTTGAGCAAATACTTCGCAGCCGCAAACGAGAAGAAACGCCTTGGCGAAGCCTTGGGCGTCTGCATCTCCCTGCAGGTTGTAGACAAGATGCACCGCTGCCTCTCCGTCGAGCGCTCCAACGACTACTCGCTGTACAAGCTGGACCTGATCACCCACGACGCGGGACCCATTCTGGACCGTTTAACAACTTCTAACGTGCTGGCGGACGGTCAGCAAAAGAACAGCAACGCGTCTTTCGTTCACATGGCTTGTGACCCTAGAAACGCAGAAATCCAGGAGATCATTGACAAGATGTTCAAGCTCCTGTCTAACGACGGTCATCCGATCATCATCGAAACGCTCGACAAAAGGAACTACAAGCACCCTATGGTTAAGGAGACGGGCGAGATGGTGGAGGAAGAGGGCGCACCGGGGTTGTTGGAGGACGATTATGTAGAGCTGGAGGATGCGGAGACGCTATCTAAAGCCGAGGAAGGTACCGACGCTGCGAAGATTCTTGAAGAAAAGAAGCCACCAACATCGTTCCTGGAACTGCATGGGTACCACAGCATGAAGCCAGCAAGTGACGAGGATCAGAGGAAAATGGACATTATCAACATGCTGCGTCCGCAGGAACTTGCCGGCTGCCGCACTCATGGAGCTATCCCCAGAGAGATGACGGTACTCGACAAAATCATGCACAACAATGCGCCTTACGGCGTCGTTGACCCGGCCGACCTTAGGACGATCATGTTCGACTTCAGAATGATCCCTATCATGGACGAAGATGACATCAAATCGATGTTGGTTCCCCTAGTTTTCCAGAAGCATGAGGCGAACTACCTAAAGATGCTCAAATCCCACGAATACCCGATGGTTCTTGCCCACAAGATCGAGCAGCGGATGCATAACGTGAAACAGCACCTGCCTACGGACGACCTGCTTAGCCACGCGCGGGCGATCGGTAACATGGAGGGCAAGGACGAGGTCACGATATCGCTGGACAAGCACACCGTCCACAGGAACAGGCAGCTCAACGACTTCAAGCAGCTGCTGAAGGTGCTGCGTGAGCTCCCGCACGACGGGTTCTACTTCGAACAGGCAGACGGCAAGGAGCTGCCGCTGCACTCCATCGGCGAGATCACCGCCAAGTCCCTGGAGCACCGGAGGGACAAGCCGCATGTCATCATCATGCAGATCATCGACCCGGTGCACATCGCAGACAACGACGAATTGTTCACGCACCACTGAGTGGGGCGACATGGAGCAGTGCTCCCAATTATCAGCCGGGCACACCAAATGTCAAACATTCGTAGGCATTGTTGCGTATCACGCTGCGTTGTACGTAAAGCGAATATGCAATGCTGCCATCGTGGCGGTGTGGCTGCGCGAATAGCCACTACTGTGTAGCTGGCACGCTAATGTTTAACACAATATGTAGAATTAATGCTACTGTTATTTTTCATCACCGCGCGTAGCAGTCGCGTCTGATATTTTGCGTAATGACAAATGGATCCTTTGGTCGCGTGTGTTGATCCATCATTAACAAACACGTTGGGTGTACGTGTTTATACTGCATTCGATGTTAAACGCTGCTGTACCGAATGTCTAAAACCGCATCGCCATAAATCGACCGGAGCAGCTGCGCAAGCTCTGATGCAGCTGCTGTAGGGGACTTGCAGGGAGTGCTGGTGGCGATCAGGTTGCGCAGATAACGCTTGGCCAGAGGGGAGGTGCCCTGCATGAAGTGCGGCAAAGACATCACATATGGCGTCGTGTACAGAGATTTGAGGGCGCAGCACACCGAGCACTTGCATACAGGCGTCGCCTGCCTGACGGGCTTGGGCACGCGAACTGGCGTTGGATCGCTCTGCTCCACCTCAGGAGACAACCAGAAAATGCGCGAGAAGAAGCGCATGAAACGCGACCGGTACTCGACAGGGGAGACTATGGTCGGCTCCTGTCCGATGGCGATGTTGGCCAACTTCTTTCCAATAGTCTCTATCTGCTTGTCCCATGTGTAGGGGCGCAGGTAATCAATTATCCCCAGAACTACAACACCTTCCGATGGGCACAACCGCAACAGCAGTGAGTAGTCCACCACGTCGAGTTGCGACAAGAACGTCAGATCTCGTTGCATAAAATCCAAAATGCGTAAGAGAGACGCTTCTTCCAGCCGAATCGGGCATCCATTGGTGAAGTCCTTAAAATTCTGGTCCAAAAGCACAACCTGATTTGGAGCTTCTGCATTCTCTTCTGACGTATTGTCGTACAAAAGCGTGGGTCGACCTGAAGAAGTGAGCGTCGTGGACGAGTGGTTGTTGGGGTTGAGGTGGACGCATCGTTTGAACGATATGCCCTTCAGGTCGAACGTCAACTTGTGCGACAGGAGCACGTGATCGACGTTTTGCATCACCAGGCAGCGCACAGTATTGCCGCTGCTCCTGTAACGGATGGAAAACAGCCCCAGTGGAACACTCAACAGTGTGCCTCCGCTTAACAGGTGTTCGAAGAAACGAACACCACTATCCACGAACAGTTGAAACTCGTATTTGTTGAGCAATTTCAATATGAATTTTCCGTCATGCGAGACGAACAACGGAGCGCCGCTTTTGCCGCCGGATGACTGTAGGCGCGATGAGCGACAGAGTGACCTCGCGAAGCTCGTATCATCACCACACGAAAGATGACGCAGACTGTGGAAAGCCTCCGGGTAGTGTATGGTGACATCACAGCTTGTATGTGCGGACGTCAGCGTGACTGAAGCGCACTTAGAAATCTCGCTGCTGGCTGGGAGACGATGGCGCTGAAATGCCCCGTCTGGTTTGGCAGCGGGTATCGGCAGTACAGGCTCCGTGAGAGAAGTCCCTCGAATGACGCCCACATAATCGCTGTCTCCTGAGTTGAATGAGCTGAGTGTGAAATACTGGTGCCCAGGAGACAGAAATGCTCTGGGAGTTTCTTGGAAAAAAGGGGAACATGGAGTATAGCCACCCGGTGCGTAGCATTCAACACTAAATGCTGCGAAGGGCAATTCGGAATCTTCAGTTCCTTGCATCCTAACGAACTCTCTATTGCATATGAAATCAACCTGTAACTCCACGTATGCCACCATCGCGTGAGTGCGGGCACGTAGGTAGCAGGTTGCCTCCAGCTGCCTGCATGTCCAATCAACGACGGTACGAATCGCATCCCGTTTGCTCGCCACGTTCCCTTTGAGAAGCTTTATCAAATGGTCCATCACAGGTGTCATAGTGAACTCTTTTTCGTGCTTGCTCCATTGGTACTGGGAGAGGCGGTGGTTGCAACATATGACTGGCGTGCCGTAACACGGTCTTGTAATCGGACAGAAAAAGGTTGCGCCGTCTTTCGACAGATGCAGCAATGGATCATCGCCTAAAACCCTTAGAGATTTCCAAAAACACAGTAGGTTGACGGAATCTAGCTCCGACACCGACTCTGCCATAGAGCACCAGGGGCTACTGGGTAGCGATGAATGCAGGTCATCCCACCTGCGCACAGACAATGTTCCACTATTTTCCATTTCTTGTGAACGCAAAATAAAGTTTTCACTGTTCACCAGGAGGGAGGAGAGATGCGAGTAGCGCTTCAGATAGCGAAAGATCAGGGAATCCATTACCAGCCCTCCATGCCGCCTGTCGGCATTCACAGATGAGGAGGAGAACCCGGCACTTGATACGGAGAATCCGAATATATCATCCCTGTGCGGTCCGCACGATATATTAGCCATAATGCTGTAGTTCTGGTTTTTACAGTAGTTCAGCAGGCACTTTCCCATGCTGCACAAATTACCCGACACGGGGCCTTGGAAATGAGAGCTGCATTGTTCCAGGTATTCAGGAGACATCAACGCCGTGGAGATGACGTTGCATATGTCGCGCCTCAGATTGTGCACTATGCCGTAACTCAGACTGATAACAGAGGACAACCGCTTGGGGCATCCGATACGCATCCGAGATAGCATGTGCCATAAGGAGGAAGGGGACTCGAGCCACTCCTCTGATTGACCGGCTAATCCCGCAGCTATGGACGTATTTAGCGCATGGTGGATAAATTGGGGCAGCGTATAATCGCCGTCCGCAACTGTAGACGAGGTAGAAGAGCTACTCCTAGATGATGCATACGCCGATGGGTCATCCGTATCGCGGGTCTGCTGTGCTTCGCTAAGCCTTGGCAATGGTTGTAGAGTTATTTTAGCACCCCAAACTGTATATAATCCATCGTTCGTATTGCGATGCTGGCCGCTACTGTCCTCCACACGGGATACAGAAACCGAACCATCCATTCGAGATGCATCATAACCACTCACCACGTTCTGACCTTTCGACACTTCTCCGGTAGATGAACCTCCATTGACTTCAGTGTGATCATCAGCGTAAGGTACAGACACATCATCATTCACTTTATCACCCATGTTATGCGTGAGGCTTGAGCGGTGACGATCTCTTCCGGAGGTATTCCCTGCAGATTTCATGCGCTGGCCAACGGTGAACCCATGAGAAAGATCCGGTTTGGCGTATTTATCATCATCCATACTTCTTTGAGCTATAACAATGGTGCCAGTGTCAATGAAGCGCATGGCCTTCAACAGTGCCGAACCCGGGACTATGGAGATAAGGCGTACAATGGATCTACAAAGCGAAGTCAACGCAACAAAGAATGATCTAACAGTCATGAGAATCTGTAGAGGATCCAAAGGGCACCAGAACTGTGCGAACAGCAGGTGCGAAACGCATTGCTCATAGATGCTGCGGATACTCTGCAGGCAATCGTCGAGCACTACAATGGTCTTGTTGAGCACTCTGTTTTGAACGATGTAAGTATTTCTGATTTTCGCTCTCGATGAGGTGACGGCCGTTGAAGGGTCGGCTGGCGACGATGTTTGCGGTGCCAAGCTCTGACGTAGAGCATCCGAAAGATTGTGCACTTTTACGCCCAAACATCTCACAACGCTTGTGAAGATGTAAATCCAATTTAGGATCTCGATGTCTGCGACGCTTGAGAATTTGGCTTTCTGACAACTTCCACAAAATCCAAAACAGCTTGCACTACCGAACGTAGCCCCCACTCCATCTAAAAGCAGGGGATGCAAATAAAGGCCGAAAGCGTTGCGTTCCTCAAACAGCTGTAGAAGTTGGGACACTGATTTCATTCCGAATTCAGATGACCATTGGTTGCGACTGTCCAGTGTCCTGCTGCTAAAATTACCGCCCAACTCGCAGCGGCACGGCAATACGTCCTCTAGTCGAATGGTGGAAACACATGCGGCAAACCGTGAACTTACACATGCCATTACCATCTTAAATAGGCTTCTCAGAGCAATGCCAAACATCGACGAACGATCTTTAAGATAGAGCATGTCCATCTCCTGTTCGTCGTAAGGTTCCCAGTTGAAGGTGGGTGGGCATGCGCAAGCAGGGTTCGGCCAGATTTCCACACATACAGCGTCAGGCGATGCCGAATTAGTATCCACATCAACATCGGAGAAGTTTTCAAATACCTTTAACAGCTTGTTAGACACTTGAAGTAGACGCCGGTTGTAGTGGCTCATGCCAGCAGAGCTGAGAGGCATGAAACCCAGCCCGCAATTAAGCAACTTGGAGTCAAACCAAGCTCCTATTTGGTAGTTTGTGATGTCTTCCACTTGCATGTACAAGGTGAACCTTTCAGCCCGCAAAGAGAAATCGTGACCGCCGAAAAGATTGTGACCACACTTCGATGTGTAACACCGGTTGTAGAGCAGCAGGTGCACAAACCGACCGAATGTTAGGTCGTTAACTGGCAGTATTTCAGCCTTCCCGCATGACCGGCAGTGCATGTGGATGAAAAAGGCAGAACCGTTTTCAGCCGGTCGCAGACCAGTGTCTCGATTGTCCACCAGCACTCTAAGGCGTTTATGCTGCACTGGCGCAGCAAAATTGGATGTTTCGAGGTGCATAACATGCCTGGAGAGTTGTTCAGAACAGCCTGCAGACGACAAACAGTTGTCCCGACGCAGATGGCGGCCGTAAGCAAGCACGAAGTCGCTCACAAAAGACCCGGCGGTGTACCTACCTACTGGCACTGTTCTACGCGTCACATCCCCGCAAATATCACTGAACTTGGTAAAATACTCGAAGCAGTGTAAGACTGATCGCTCCTTCAGATCACTGCATGGATCAGCCTGGTTGTCGGCGATTGCGGGAGGCACTGCGGGAACCCCAAGCAGGTGCTGTGACAACCAATCCGAAAAATGAAGATGCACTTGACGCCCATTGTTTGCAGTGCCTTTAATTGGCTTAAATATACCATTATCATGCGACCCTCGAACGATGCCTCGAAAACGCTTGGAACACCCAGAGATTGTTTGCCGGCGTGAATTAACCACAGCTCCCAGCAGAGTGGGTCTTGGTGATGGGTCAGGATCAACGCCGCTTATAGCTGAGCACGGTGAAGGAACTAATGAAGTCGACTTGTAGTCTTGTAACCTGGCGTCTGGTCCAATGGATATGCTGGAGCGACGTGACAGCACGCCACGGGCCGATTCGAGGTGAAAAGATGTTGCATTACCAACATCCAAACTGCCTCCCAAATCTTTCACGAACATTAGTTCCTCAAATACTCCCTGCAGACGAAACAATGCGGTCCTGAGTAGTTCCTTTAATCGGATCGAGTTGGCACGGCTGAGGCGTGACGTGGAGTACAGGATGGTGCATCCGTGAAAATTGGCATTGACAGATATGGCCGCCACACTCTCACCACCCTTCTGTACGAAGTGGAAGCTATCGATATGGCCCATGTAATTTGGAATGTCGAAGCACTTGTCAAGACTGTCAACCGAGGGTCTTTCCAGTGCCAACGCCAGCTGGGATAAGACCTCATAATCCACGTTGCTCACACAGCATATTCCCCTCAAGTGGAACTTCTGGCTGATATCCGCACATATGTTTTTGCTGCAGAGCAACAACTTAACACCAGCGCTGCACAGGCGCTCTACCTGCACGTCAATGCAACCCAGCACCCCTCCGAAGTCACTTATGTCACTGTATTCTGACGACAAATCTGTCACCGTTCTGGACAACAGTGATTTCACGAGCAAAATCTCACAACCATCCAGGTTGCGGCTCATCCTAGGATGGGCGAGGTGGCCCCTAAAGCACATGCCGGGGAAGACCGCGAACCCGTGACGCCCCTCGAGATCGAGAGCGGTGTGCAGAGTTGGCGGTACCCGCAACACCTTGACCACTTCGTCGATATCTCGGTGCACATGTTGGAGCTTGGCCCGGAAAACGCATCGGAGTAGCAGCGAAGACAGGTGGTCAAGATACGCTCTACGCAAATGCAAACCGCCATTGTCGTGTCTCAGATTGTGCTTGATGTACTTTTCAACGAGCTGTAACAGCTCCGGGTGCCAGTACGCGCACCCGTCGCCGAACACTTCGCTATGCCATGAGGTGTCTGGTTCCGGAGCGTCCGACTCGTGCTCTTCAGAGTCGTTGCGAGGGGCGAGCGGCTTACGACTTCGCTTGTTCTCACATTTTAACACCTTTACATGCCTTGTATCTGTGCAACCAGCACTGTGGACCTTAACAGCGTTCCTTTGACATGATGGGTAAATCCGACGGCGGCAACGTCTCAACTGCATGCAAAAAGCATCTTCGAAGGCACTGACGTAACTTGAATACTTCAGGCTGTCGCTCATTATCGATTAAACGCATTTCATGCCGTAGAAGCGAAATCGGCCACGAATGCACTTGTTGTGATTGGTAAGACGACCCTTGCCACCGGAGAATCACGCCCATCGGTAGTCAAAACCATGCTCCAGCGCCACCAGCCCTCTCATTCCACTTATAGACGCCTCCAGAGAGTTGTGCCCAATATATTTGGTTGAATAAATGACATTGTTCATTAATTAGGCGAAGTAAGCACATGGAAGACAGACGAGACAGGCCACTGCTGCATGGAGCGACCGGGACCAATTTCCTATCATACCGCATTTAATGGACATTCAATGCATAAATTGGCGAGGTGTATTGTCCGGCGCTACTATATGCCGTATTGACGGGGGTTTTTAGGTGAAACGCGCTCCCCATCCGCAGAGGGAGAATCGACCAGTGTCGTGGGACATCTACGAACTTGCCTTCGTCCAGTTTTCAGTGGAATTATGCTGCGCTATTACGACGCAATATAGAGCGCTCCTCATTGTATGGGCGCAGACCAGTAATCGCCCTGTAAGTCGACACACCAAAGAGCGCCAAAGATGTTCTGCGATTTGCGATTATGCCAATGGACGCACACGTGCCTCTCATGCGTGTGTGATTTTTAACGAAGGTACCCAGAAGACGTAGAAGGTGTGTTGGTTGCCGGTGATTGCTCGATAGGATTCCCCGGCTCTTGACGCGAAAGAGCGACTTCTCGACTGTATTCGCTCGCATTCCAGTGTGCGAGCAGGCGATATCGCCATCATTCAGCACTTCGTGCCCCGCATTGTACCGAGAACACTATACCAAACGAGATGGCCGACGAAACACTGGCGTTGGTGGTAGACACTGGATCATACAACATCAAAGTGGGATACTCCGGCGCGGAGGCGCCGTTGAGCACGTTCAGGTCTATTGTGGGATGTAAGTTGCCATTGCTACGTTTACATGCGCTGCAGACCGCGAAGGAGCAGAGCTCGTCCTCGGAGACGCCGCGCTGAAGGAGACCGATTCTAAGGCTATCCTGCATCCGATCCAGCATGGCATTGTACGCAACTGGTAGGTCCTCACCCGCAGTATCGCATGCTCATTGTGAATGCAGGGCACTCGCCGAGCGCCTGTGGATGCACGCGTTCCACAATGAGCTGAAGGTCTCGCAGCGGGAACATCCGGTGCTGCTCTCCGAGCCGCCACTCAACCCGAAGCTGCACCGCGAACGATGCTGCCAGCTCTTTTTCGAGGCCTTTGACGTCCCGGGCCTGTACATGGCTCCCACATCGCTCCTCGCACTCTACGGGTCGTCCAAAACTACAGGGCTGGTGCTCGACGTCGGGGAAGGCGTCGCGCATGCCGTGCCGATCAACGAGGGCACTATCGTGCCCCATGCAATCGGCAGGCTGGACGTGGGCGGTTACGATGTGACGTCTTTCTTCCTGGCCAGCATTGACGCCTTGGACCGGCACAAGCTGCAGGACCGACACATCGCAAACCAAATCAAGGAGCAGTGCGGCTACGTCGCCCTGGACTACGAAAACGAGCTCAAGATGGCGGAAAAGCAGCCGGAGCAGTATTCGAAGCGCTTCACGCTGCCCGACGGGAGCGTTATAGCGACTGGGACGGCGAGCTTCCGCTGCCCCGAGATGCTGTTCTCGCCGGAGGTGGCTGGCAGCAGCGCGCCCAAGCTCGCGGACGTTGTATATTACTCCGTGCGAAGCTGCGAACCCGAGATGCACAAGACCATGTTCAGCAACATCCTGCTGACCGGCGGGAGCTCGCTGTTCCCGGGTTTCGTGGAAAGGTGCGAGAAGGACATCAAGGCAGCGACGAACGACAATGCGCCCGTCAAGATCGCTAGCAGCATCAAGAACAGGGCCTACGCCGTCTGGGTCGGCGGGTCCATCGTCGCCTCCCTGCAAACGTTCCAGCAGATGTGGGTCACAAAAGCGGAATACGACGAGTCGGGGCCGACCGTGATACACCGCAAATGCTTCTAAGAACAAAATATTAATGACTACATACGAGTGTTTTGGTACTTCTTGAAGACGCCCGCGACGAGCAGCGGGAACACCAGCGAGGCCTCGGCGTGCACCTTCACGGGGTTGGTGTGGGCCTTGATCTTGCCCCAGGAGACGGCCTCGTCGGGGTTGGCGCCGGAGTCGGATCCGTCGAACTCCTGGGCGGTGGAGATGTACACCGCGAAGTCCGCGCCGTTGCGCATCAAATTGGCGTTTGCGACGTGGTGCTTGGGAAGACCGCCACCCAAAATGATGATGCCGGACTTCCGGGCGCTCACCGCCATGTCGTTGACGAGGCGGATGTCGCGGACGACGTCGATGCGCAGAGTAGTGGGCTCGCTGCGGCGGTAGGTGTGGAAGTACAGGTTGTCACCGATTGACCCGTCGGTGATGCCGGGGCAGAACACGGGGATCTTGTTCTTGTGGCACCAGTAGCAGAACGACGATTCGTCGTTGATCTCCTTGCCGAGGTAGTCGATGAACATGGACGGAGTCCAGTTGACGCCCTCCTCCTCCTGTTGGCGGTGCATCTCGTCCAGCCTGGGCTGAATCCAGTCCTCGAACGCGCAGTAGTTGTCGTTAGGGATGAAAAGGTTGCCGATACGGTTCAACCCGCGCTCACGCATGGTGGCGCCGTCCATGTTGAACCTTCCGATATAGGTTTTGCCCATGCACTTGATCAGGTCCTCCTCCACACCGCCGCCACTGGTCACCACGACGTCGATGAGCTTGTGCTTCGCCAAGTAGACGAAGGCCTCGCGCAGACCACAGGAGATCATGTTGGACGTGAAAGTCAACCATATCGTGCATTTGGTGTTCTTGCGGACCTCCGGGTCCTCGTACTTGGTGCCCACGTCCTCCTCAGACACGGGGTCGTCGCTGAGTCGGAACTTCAGCATGCGATCGATCATCTCGGCGGCTTGGCCGAGGTGCGTGGCCTGGAAGCCGAAGTTCTTGTACACGCGCAGCAGGTGCTCAATCTCTACGTTTCCGTCATAATTGAGGCCATCGACGAACGCAGTGCAGTCCTCCGGCAGCTGGGAGGCCTGCAGCACGGCCTTCGCCACCACGTCGGGGATGACGCTGGTCGTGGGTTTACTTTCAAACGACATTTTGCTCAAACTATTACTCGGTACTGCTTAACGTTGCAGCATACTCGACGTAGACAACGCAGATGACAGGCCCAGGTGGAACCAGAGAGCTCAGATGTGCCAACGAACGGTGGCAGCCACGTAAAACGATGTGTATTATACAAAGTACAATACACTTTATATATGTAAGCTTACAGCGATTGTGCGATAAACTTGACAGATACTTTAAATAGGGAATGGAAGGGATTCGCCAGACACCGGCACCACCGCCACAGGTGTACGCTATATGGAGCTCTAAACGCCTCACACATCGCGTAAAAAATATTCCCAAAACGTTATTATCGCAATATTAGAGCCGTAGTCTCTGTATGGTCGCCGAGTAGAATCACGGTATGCGTGATATGGATGTTGCTTACCATACACATAAAATCGAGTCTTCTGCACATTGGCTGCGATTTATAGAGCTATTACAGCACTCTAAGTGGTGCGATTGGCGTATATATGCGCTATAAGCGTGGCAGTGTTGATACGCCTTCTGCTGTCTAGGAACTGCCGACAACATGGCATCTTTCGAATTGGCGGTGACCTTCCTCGCCAGGAAGCTGCAGTTCAACGCACAGGAATGCGGGCAAAACGTGATTATAGCGCCGGCACAGACATTTAAAAAATATCGCATAGAACATGGCTCTGCAATGCTGGTGTCGGACACCAGCGGCAGCCGAGTGGTTTGCGCTCAGCTGCGCAACGCCGTGGAGTACGGGATGGAGTATACGTTTCTCAAGGCTCCCAAGATGCTGGCGTCGGAGGAGCTTATTCTGAGCCTTGGGGCTGCTGCCAATACGCCAATCACCCTAAAGTTCTCGCCATGTGGGCAGGTGCCCGTGGCGGCAAGCATGACGATGACGTACATGGAGCACTTCGACAATAAGCTTTCCTCTTGGAAATTTGCTGGGGCCCATGAGGAAGACGCTGGCAACGCCAAAGATGGCAAAGGCGATCCCTCATTTCATCGCAAATATATGGATTGGACCCACTCCGACGGTGCGGGTGATAATGCGTTCCCAACCGCCAGGTGGTGGTACTCGTTCCTGAAGGGGGAGATGAACCGTGTTGCACAAATGAGTGTTTTAGGCGGCACTTTTGCGCAAGGAAACGTAGTGGCGCTTAACTTGAGAGGCGTACTTGGGAGGTTCAAGGTGGCAGACATAGGCCATGATGGCAAAAAGGTGGCGAAAGTTGGCAGGGTCACCGAATCCACACAGCTAATGTTAAAGCTGCCTAGAAACGAACACTATTCGCGGCCAACGCGAAACCTCCAGAAGACGCAGAAGCTGGAGGGGCTCCGGGAGCCCCTAGACACGCTTCGGAAACATGTGGTGTATCCCCTGGTTTACAGTGAAAAATACGCTGCCATGGGTATATTGCCCCCAACAGGTGTTATTCTCCACGGCCCTCCGGGGTGTGGGAAGACAATGATAGCGAAGGCGATGCGCGAAGGGTTCGGTGAGCTTTTCGGCATCACGGAACAAGTGGATGTGGAGGTTAAGCTGGTCCAGTCCAGCGACCTCATCAGTTCAGTGGTAGCCAGGACCGAAGAAAATATAGCGGATTTGTTCAAGTCGTGCGAGAAGGTGGCGAAAGAAAAGCCGTGTATATGCTTCATAGATGAAATTGACGTACTGTGCCGCAAGAGGGACGGTTCCACGGAATTTAACATGAGGAATGTAACGGCATTTCTGAACCACATGGACGGTGTAGGATCCCAAGGTAATAGGCAGTCGGGGCATAGGAATTACGTCATTATAGGAGCGACAAATGATGTGGACTCAATGGACGCTGCGCTCAGGAGGCCGGGCAGATTTGACGTCGAAATAGAGGTAGGTGTGCCGAATTCCGCTGACAGGCTTGCAATCCTGAAATCAATGCTCAAAGAGATACCACATAATCTTGAAGAGAAGGATATACTGCATGTCAATGATTACTGCCAGGCGTTTGTCGGTGCCGACCTCAAGCAGCTGGTGGCGAACGCCTCATGGGCAAGGTTGAACAAAACACACAATCAACCTGGAACTACGGAAAATCATGAGAGCAATGCTAGTAACGGTAGCAGTGAGGATGCAAGCGCAGATGGTTTAGAGCATACAAAGGATGAACAGACTGGTGGTGACGTCCCACACTGCGTGACCTTGGAGGATTTCAAAGAGGCACTCAACATCACCCGTCCTTCAGCACTCAGGGAGCTTTACGTGCAGATCGCCAATGTTAGGTGGGAGGACATTGGAGGTTATGACGACGTTAAGAGGATACTCAAAGAGTGCGTTGAATACCCGAGGACGTATAACGAAGCCTACGAGAAGATGCGAGTACAGACACCGAGGGGGGTACTCTTGTACGGACCCCCGGGGTGCTCCAAAACGCTCATGGCGAAGGCTGTGGCGACTGAGAGCCACATGAACTTCATATCGGTGAAAGGCCCAGAACTGTTTTCTAAATGGGTGGGGGAGTCGGAAAGAGCTATTAGGCAGCTGTTCAGGAGGGCGCGCACAAATGCGCCCTGTGTCATATTCTTCGATGAAATGGACTCGATATCGTTCAGCAGAGAGCATTCGGACTCGGGTGGCGTGAGCAGCCGCGTGCTCAGCCAGCTGCTCAACGAAATGGACGGCATCAATTCACTCAAACAGGTACTTGTCATCGGGGCCACAAACAGGCCCGATCTCATGGATGCGGCACTGCTCAGACCAGGCAGGTTGGACCGTTTAGTCTACATACCTCTGCCTGACAATGAAGCTCGCAAGCGCATATTCAGCATATACCTCAAGAGGTTGCCAACCGACGGATTTGACATAGCGCAACAGGCGGAGGAATTCGCTAAATGCACAGAGGGATATAGCGGTGCAGAAATCACGCTGGTTTGCAGAGAGAGTGCCATGGCAGCCCTCAGGGAACTCATCAAACGTAACGCGGATGCGAAAAAGGCATCCGTAACCAGTGTCAATGGAGGTGACGAGAGTACATTAGAACGTTCGTTTGGAGAACTTAAATTGTCAAACATTGTGCCTGTGTCAGTACGGCACGTACGTGACGCCATCGCCCGCGTGAAACCGCGAACGAAACCGGAGACCATAAGGTTCTACGAAGAGTACAAGGCGAAGAACCCGTTCTAGGGACTATAAGAGCACAAGACCTATGTCCGACGGTTTCACCTGAGCAACGGTGAGGGAAGTGAAACACTGAAACTAACACTTGGTATGCGCCAGTTGTAGAGGTAGTAGTGCAGGTTCCCCTCACCCGGGCCGAACTTGAGGTCCTGCAGGCCGATGCGGACGCCAATAATGAAACCAACCTCGAAAATGGGGCTGTTTTCCATGAGATCAAGCGCGTTGAACACGTCGAACTCGTTAGCGTTTGCGAAATGCAGAGCCATCTCCATCAGCTTCTTGAAGGTTATCGTGGTGGCGATGTTGTAGTACGAGTACGCCGCCTTGATGGTGTCGATCTTGGGGTTGTTCAGCACGCTGGAGTTCAGGCGATAGAAGCTCAGCATGTCAGTAACTTTGCCACCTAATTTTGTTTTGTAGTCACCTAGTCTAGAAACCTACCGCTGCCCTCTTTGACGTATGTGTATATGCTCTCGCCCTTGGGCAGGAACCAGTGCTCCACCTCCTCTCGGGTGTACTCTTGGTATACCTTGTACGACGGGAGGTAGTTCTTCAACAGTTCGAGAACGCTGTCGACGTCCTTGCGTTCCATGGGGCGCATCACGATGCCGTCCGTCTCAGCGGGCAACTTGTAGAGCCTCTGGGCGCGGGAAATGGTCATACGATGACCTATAGACGTGAAGCGTGCCTGTGAAACATTGTTGAACGCCCAATTGACGATTAAAACCCACATCCACCAGCCTGCGTATGTTCAGAGTCCTGTGCCAGTAGCGGCACGTGGTGATGGGCTTCGGAATCATGGCCGCGGCGGTGTATACCTGTGAAGATTTCAGATCATTATATGTTGTAACATACCGCCTGCCAGATGCCGCATCGGTTCACGCGGCGAGTGATTTCCTTGATCAGCACGGGGGCGAGGCGCTTGGAGCGCAGCTGCTTGTGCACGCAGAGGAAGTTTATCTCCGCAACCTCCAAAGAAGTGCCGAGCACGTTGATAGTCACGGGGATGCCGCTGATGAATCCGACAAGGCGCTTCGAGGCCTTTACACGCACAGCGACGTGCCAGTCCTTCTTGTACCCAGGCGACGTGAGGGCCCACTGCAGGAACTCAGTCTTGTAGTCGAACCTCAGTAGGCCACCGCTGTCTTCCACATAGTTCTCGTATAACAGATAGTACAGCTGCGCGGGTATTGCGAAACCGGAAGTTTTTCAAACCTGCATCTGCTGCTCCTCATCCTTGATGTCGATGTCCACCCACTCAAATGCATCCGGTAGCGCATAAGGATGTGGGCGAATGTTTTCTACATTAGTATTGGAGTCTACGGCGCCAATTTGCTGCGCGGGATTGTGCAAAGTATGTTGCGACCGAAATAACTTACTTCGGCATCCACTTCTTCACTGTATTTGCAGACAGGTTGAGTATTCCAGAAGGCGTGATGCTTTTCGTGTGAGCTCCTTTTCCCGAAGGCGCGCATCAGCAGGTCCAACAGGTTGCTGTTGGGTTTGGGCTCCTCCTTGGCTGCTTTCTCGCCCTGCACTCTATCTCCCGGGGAGGTGAACGTAGAACACACCTCCAACTTCAACGACTCCAGGGCGCCAGCGATCATCTCCAAATTCCTAATTGTAGCCTCTGAAGTGATGTGTGGGATTGCATCGGTGCATAAAGCTCACCTGGGCTAGAATCGTCCTTTCCGTTCTGGTCCATCGTGTCGAGAGCAGGTCAACAAAAGAGTCCTAAATCAAGCCTAGAGCATGTGTTGAGCCGCCAGAACACACATTCCAGACTGCCACAAACGCAGGCGGAATAAAGAATCGCAGAATCCTCCCTACTGGGCGATGCCGCACACGATGTGTAGAGGCATGAGACCCGCCAGGGTGCCGAGACAAACATCACACATCGGCATATGGAGACTTCCCAACGCCGTGCGGATATGAATCGCTGATTATGGCGCCACTAGCGCCGTCGGATCGTCGGAAGATGTGAGAAGAGGAAGCAACAGCATCCGACGGCGCAGAAGGCAAAATACGCTCCAAGGTGGTACTAATACCGCAACAATGCTGCTATATGCCTTATTTATTGTATGGGCATGGCATAATGTGTTATTGTTTGGCATTCGGTGGGCGGATGGGTTCGTTCTTCGACGATGTCCTTCTCTCATCGTCATACGCCCGAAGGCTAATACGCTGTTCTCTTCCTCGAATGAGGAACAGCCGCCCATTCCTGTAGTAGCAGACCAAGAAGTGGCGGAAAAGCTGGAGAAAGAGATACAGGATAAGATCGCAAGGTACCTGGCTCCGATGGAGGCCAACAACATCAAGGGCATCGACCAGAAGGTGCTCGATAGAAATTTCGGAGAGCTGTATTCAGTCGAGAACGTCAAGAAACGAGAGCAGAGGAATGCCAGGAAAGTGCAGCTTGAGCCTCCGGACGTACCGCCTACCGACAAGCTGCCGTACTTCGTCAACATGCAAAACCCCAAGAATCCGCTAGGGGCAGCAAACGTAGCTGACATTGGCGACGAAATAACAGATGGACAACGTGATCCAAGGGGTATGGTCTTGCCAGATTTAGTGCCAGTCCGGGTTATGAATCAGCAGGGTGCCGTTTCTGAGAAGCAGGATCAAGAACATCTCGGAGAGAAAACGGCTTTCGAGACGAAGGATGATAGTGCCACCGCACAACCAGGTGTAAATGTAGATTTAGGAGAGGCAGCAAGTTCGGGTGCTGGCGTAAAACCGTCTCCAGTTGTTGATAAAATGAGCCAGAACACTTCAACCCCTAAAGGTAAGATGTAGCCGTGAAACAATGACAGCCACTCAGGAGGTATCACAATGTTCAAAAACACGTATGAAGAGTTGCTAGAGGGCGACAATAACACTGAGTTTGTTGGTGACCCGCTGGATCCGTATTTCGAGGCTGCGGCGCAACAGGCGTCCGACGACGAAGACGAGAGGGTGGACTCCGACGAGGAAGAGTTGGAGAAGCAGGTGTGGTATCGCAACAAGCCACTGAGGCAGCTGAAACCGAAGGAAATGGCGGATGGGTGGTCTGTGCTTCCCTGCGGTCGTATATACAAGCACATGTTGAGGCCCTCTCACGAACCACCGGAGAAGCAGAGGGTGCCGGGGCAAGAAACCTATGTATCCTTCGGGTTCAAAATCGCAGACGCGTTTACGGGGGATATGCTGGTGGAGGCAGCGGATACTGACAGTGAAGGCATCGTGACCCAGCTGAAAGAACTCTCGAGTCCGGTGCAGAGGATGCTCTCATCCATGAAGGTAGGAGAGCAAGCTGAGTTCGTATGCCCCGCAATAGAGATGGGTTTGGACAAGTTGGAGCGTGAGGGGATGCAACCTCCGGAGTGGATCAGAGTGTGGCTGCACATCATAATGATGCACGAACGCGGAGAAAAGTGGTGGCACCTCAGTCCCTTGGAAGCGGCCAACTACCCAACTGCAAAACCCAACGAAGACCGCCGCACAAAAATGGAAAGGATCAACCTCAAGGCGGATGAGCTGACCAAGCAGATCGAGCATGAACTCGAGAACAATCCAGCATCCCCGCTGTGGGACGATGTGATGCAGCGCCTTAACGAGCAGCAGAAGGCGTCGGTCGTCGAGCACTTCGACCAGAAATTGGAGTGGCAGGAGCGAAGGAAGTGTGCAGAGTTCTCGGGATCCAGGGGTTTCGGAGATACCATCAAGAGCACCGGGCAGCTAAAGGGGTACGACGTAGGCCGGATGTCAGGAGGATCAGGGTCGTGTTACACCTGGCATGAGACACCATTTTTCATATATATCGCAGTTCCGGTAGTTCCCGGAGTCAGGGCTGAGCACGTGAACTTCGAGTTGGGACAAACGCATCTTACGCTTAAAGTTGCAGGGAAAACTGTAAGTAGCACAGTAGAATTTGACGTATGAGCAGATCATTGACGACGACATCTCGGGGCCTGTAATGACCGACATTGCCACCAGTTGGGCAATGAGCGAAAAGGTTTGTTTATTGTGCGCCGTTTGTAAATGCGCACAGGCGATGCAGTACGAACCGCTGCCGCCGGGGCACCCGGAGCTCGAGAACCCCGTGCTCAAAACGGACCGGGATGACGAGTACTACAGCATCGCCAAGGATCCATCCATCATTATCGCACTAAAGAAACGTGACAAAGTGTTGGGAGATTGGGGAACGCCATTTGTCAATATTTAGATTCAAACTGTATAGTTAGTGGTGGCTTGTAGTATAGTCCCCAGTTGAAACAGAGCAGGATCGTGCGATGAGTTCACCAGACAAAAGAATTCCCGCTTGAGGCGGTCAAACTTGGCAGCGAGTTCGCGACAAGGCAATTCTAGTGCCATCAACGCATCTGCGTGTTCCACCGTCCTCAGTACGTCGAAGCCCAAACCTAGCACGCTCTCGTGTAATATACCGCAACAATAGCAGAGAGCCCTGATGAGGGCGCTATAGCGCACGCTATCCGGCGACATTAGGCACGCGTTTCGTGCACGCCGTACGAAGGCCTTGTGGTTCGACACAAAATCGGTAAATCCGGTGATGCCATCCGCAGTGCGCATGAAGTCCGCGTACGAGGGAGCCAGTGCTGCGTAGCGCAAATACCACTCCAGGCTAGACATCATGGCGTGCATGTCCCTCGTTAAAAGGCACAGCACCCGCAGGATGGGGGCGCATCTGCGAGTTCCTATATTGCAACTTCCTCTGAAGTTGAGGCACAACCAGCGAATGACTCGCAGCACATTGTTCGATCCCAGGTGGACTGTGCAGAGCTGCCGGAAGATGCTGTTGTAGCATTCTACAACATCCTGAGTACTGTGTAACTCAGCACTAAGCCACCTACCTCAGTGAAAATGTAGCTGTCAAACAATCCTGCCGAGAACTCGAGGGTGGCCCCCGCCCTCCTGAACTCCGTAGCGCTCTCGACAGACACCCTAACACGAAGGGGTGATTGGAAGAAGGTGGCATATGAGTCAGAATCCTTCCCACGCGACCATTCATCAAAAACGCCTTCCATCAGGTCGAATCTCGAGAAGAACACAAAACCGTCGATGTCCTTCAGAATGTCAAAAATGCGATAATCAGACTTCAACAGATTGAGCGTCTCCAGATTTAACCAATGATGATTCGCCAGCAAGTCGTCGTTAATATCCCTGATGAGGTCGGAAAATGGAATCGTGGTATCGGTGTTTTCGCCGCTGGTTGCCGAGATGATGCCAGATGGGGTATCATCTCCGATTAGATAGCGAGAGAAGACAGAATCCGCTGCAGGCAAGTGGGCATAATAATGACATTCAATGAAAACGCAGAGTTCTCGAGAGGATTGGATAATGCCCTCCATTGCGACTAGCGGCGATATTACGCGTAAATGCCCATCATGCTGGAACTCGTCGCAAGGTTCATCCTCGCCACGCCACCCAGTTACCCAGCGACGAATGAATCCCAAGTACGGCTTCAAGGTAGTGATTACGCACCTGTACACTGAGCGATGAGCAATGGAGTCAGTGCCTTCCGTATTGCCGAAACTGCCAAGGTACTTGGACACCAAATGTTCCAGTAGCCACGAACCACGCGGAAGAACGAAGTGTTTGCCATCTACACCCGCTTCACCTGACGTGAATGAGACATCTGACAACCAGCGTAAAGCTCCCATCCAAGGTTGCAATCGACCGAAGTAGACACTGTACACGCTGATGGTTTCGCACAAACTGCCACTGATGTCAGTTTCGAAAAATCGCGATGCTGCGCCCTCAAACTCACACAGAAAAGAATCCAAGGCCGATGCATAAACCGATATTACTGTTCCAAGGGCCGCTCTCCCAGAGCCGATGTTTTCGAGGCACCTGATTAGCGCAACGAAGTATTTGAGGTTGCGGATGGTGCTGCCGATCTCGGCCAGCTCTGAGAGAACGAATTTTAGGCTCGAATATCCCGGTAACGCTTTCAAAAATGGGGTGCATTGGAGACGCATTAACGCTGCCAACTCGCTTCCCTGCCATGGGGCTATTGCAAGGGGCAATTTGACGAGAAGGCGATCAGACGATGCCTCCACTAGTTCAGGGACAACCTTGCCCTTAAGCTGCGCCAGAAAGTCGCCTACAATCCCTTCGCATAGCGCTTTGGGAGACCATTGACCGTTACCAACGACGTCGGCAACCCATTTGTGGAGCGGGATTGGAACCGACGAGGGGTCGGCATCATAAGCGCACCTAGTTTCAGAGGCAAAAAGGTCCGACTCAAGACCCTGTAAGCCTGTGACTAAGGAGCTAAACCAATCACACTCGTTGGCGTTTTTATCTGGTCCTTTGTGAACTGCCCCATTCAGACGACGCACTGTAAATCCAACCATGGCTTCCTCAATGGATTCTCTGTTGACTGCTGAACCTCCAAATCTGCCCATGTTTCCCTTCAAAGCCAGGTAGTCAAACGATGGTAATGTCTGCCACGGAGCGTACTTATGCAAAGGCGTCCGTGACTTGGGGTCTACATGGCAGAAGACGTTCACCCGCGACAGCTCTGATTGTAAAGCATCGAGGCTATTTTCAAAGAACCGAACAGTGTGTTCAGGCACCCTGGATGCTTGAGCTGTCTTCTTTTGTTCAGAACCACTGGGATCAGGTACGAATACGTTGTCTACAAAGGGGGCCTCATACGTGCGTTTCACGGAGCTCGACACCCAATTACTGGTAACCTTGTTATCCAATTTTTCGATATATGCGTCCTTAGTTGGTAATGGAGGTGGTATAATAGTCACATTGAAGTCCTTAATTGACTCCATATCGGTGGAAGTTGCAACCGGCAACCACGCAGAATTTATGGGCAACTTGGTCTCACCAGATCCTAGCGAGGAGTTGATGGTCAGCTTGTCCAAACCGGTTGCAACTGATACGGAAGATCCAGTCGCCGCATCGAGGTTTGGCAGCCTGCTTAGTGCGTTATCGAATGCCTCCGACGTCCACCTATCGGAAGGGATTGGCTTTGTCGGTTTGCGGAAGGAGGGAGCCGAGTAACTCGATGTCCACTTGAATGATTCGTCAACGCCGAAACCGCGGCTGTTAAGGTTCCCAAGCATCAGCTTAGTGTCTATTTGCCGTACCTCACGGACTCCCTTGCGAACGAGTGCGTGCCTTCCCAGCTCGAGTGCCTCCATGCACGGTTCAGGCTCCGACGAAAGGTGGCAGAACATTTCCAGCACCTCAGTCCGGCATGTCAAATGCGTCCAACGTGATGGATCCTGTGAGAGCCGTATCCTTTTAGCAGGCCAGCGTTCCACATGCGATACGGATTCCAAGAGTTGGAGCAATGTGTCCATTGCCAGTAGCTCCAGATGGAGGCCCTTCCGACGGAGCGCCTCACGGTGTAAATGTAACGCAACGTCAACGTAGACATTTTTGCATTGATATTTCGTATTGGAGCTGACGCTTTGACGTGTCGAAGCACGGCTTGAAGGTCCCTCTCTGGATTCTTCAAAGGCTGAGCCAACATGCGGCGCGGCTCGAACGACCCTTTTCCTTGCGCTCAGCTCCAGATCCTCCAAAATGGAGGAGGCGCTGTAGCGGCTGTTCTTCTGGCGCCATGAATGCGTCGCTGGGCTATGCGGCGACCGCCGCAATACGGAGCACCAAAATTGATCGACCAGGTGTCTGGAAAGCTGACGTTGCACATCTCCCGCATCCAAACCTGAACACACCTCAAGGCTGTTAAAACACAGTCAAATCTACGTGGCATAGAAGACATGGAACGGCTAACTCGGGGCGTGGAAATCGCACAAACGTAGACAACGCTTACCCTTGAGCTCCGCGGTACTTAACTCCTCGGAATCCAGCTGGGAGAGATGGTCCGCCAGGGCTAGTACCTGGAAGCAGAGCTCCATAGACTATATGAGTTGTGCCATCTTATAAATTGTGGAGAATCTGCCGGCAACGCGGCCGCATCCACTACTGAACTATACACACTAGAAGGTCGCCATGGTAAATGGCACGTTGCACACTACTATTCAATCTAAGAATTGAAAAGACAGTTATATACATTCTAAGCCTTTGGCACCCACAGACTGCCGGCACTAAGCTCGCCGCTAAGGAGCTTCTTGTACGAGTCGTGCATCTCCTCCAGAATCTTCACGGCCTCGTCGCGGCCGACAAAGGTCTTACCGGCCAAAAACTTGTTGATGGGCTTGCCCTTAGGAGTCTTGTACCATCTGAAGAACTCCATTACACCTGTTGTTGTGCCTGGGTAGATCCGGTCGATGTCATCCAGGTCCTTGATGTCGTCGAAGTGAGGGTCGTCACTGCGGACGACGAACATTTTCCAGTCGATTTCGCCCTCGTCTACCAACGCGAGCGCACCAACGACCTTGACCTGCACGACGGAACCAAATGGCATCGTTGTCTGGCTGACGTCGATGGCATCAACGGGGTCGTTGTCGCCGACCAAAGCGAGTTCCTTCATGTGTGGGTCGTCGGTTCCGTAGGGGATGGGAGCTTCCCACGTCTGCGGAATGGCGCCGTAGTTCCAGTAGTATGGGCAGTCCAGGAAACGCAGGTTGCCGCATTTTAGCACGTCCTGCTTGATAGGGTTGTTCTCCAGGTTTGTAGCGATTTCCATCTTGGCAGTCGTGTGCCTCGGAATCTCGACTACCATGTTGTACAGGCCGCTGGATGGGCACTTGTACGGGATTGAATGCCACGGCGATATGGTTTTGCCATTCTCGTCGCGGAAGAATCCGCGGTACTCAAGGGTGCCGCGGGCACCGGAGTCGCTCAATGTTGGCTTCATAGCGTTACCTGCGTTGATATTCAGGCTTGAAAACACCGATATTGTTCACCTTACACACCACGCATAGGGTGGGAAATGCCGGTTCGTCTGGGCACCGGCGGAGACACACAAGCACACACGAACGACCTTTACGCGCAATCAACTCACCGTGGGCGGATAAATCTGATCGAAAAGCTTGAAGAGATGTAAATGTATTTGCACCGCGCGATACTTGCCACTGCAAAGTACAGGATGTCAACATATGGGGAATCGCGTAACCGAGAAGCGGCTTCTTCAGTACGCTGCAGGTAAACCGACGCATCGTACGCGGAAGTTCGGGAGCGCTCAGCGCTGGAAGCGAGTTTTCCATATGCGGGCCGTGGAAGTACGGCCGCTAGTAGGAATGGCCGGGTAGAGTCAACACAAGAACGCCGTGGCGCAGCCGAAGCTACGCCGCATACCGCAAAGACCCCTTTCGTGGCCAAATATGTAGTTGCAAAATATATAACAGGTGTACTTCGTTATGCCGTTGTGTTGAATTTTATAAATAATGATGGAAGGTCCGCTGTCGCGCGGAGAATTGAGGAAGTTGCCTCATGTATCCGCAAGCAACCTATGTGCGGCACATTCAGTTTATCTGAGGATAAACTGTTCGTGTTTGGGCGAATTGTCGTTGTTTCCGACACATTAAATGTGTTCGGTCTATACGTAGCCCAGTCACGTTGATACACTCAGGGGTGCCTCAGCCATCCTACAACGTGATTCCTCACGTTTTATACACTTGTTAGCTAGAGAGCAGCATATGTGCAAAATACGTAATTCATCTGTATTGATTCTGGACGTTGCCAGGATCGGAGAGTGCACTGGACCTGCTGAAGCCCATTTAGACGACCCGCGATTCACAGATGCGCCAGCGTTTTACAACGAAGCATCGGCTTATTTAGCCGATTGTACGTGCACAAGACATCCAAGGAAAGCCGGAGCAAACGGTAGACCTTGCAGTGCCGTTGCACGAGTGGACACAGGGAGGCAATGTAGACGTCCGCTATAGTAGAGACTGGCTGTTGCACATACCTGGTGACGGATTTTTAGTAGACGGTGGGAGGAGGGCGTGAAATTGAAGCCATTGTATTGACCTCTAGAGGAGGTCCAGTATCCAGGGCATCTGAACTGAACAATATCGCAAAATGTCAAAAATGCAGCGAATAATACTGCCTCCGGACGCTCTCTACATTACGAAGTCGATTCCGGAGGATTGTCACCTGGATATGGGTCCTCCAGAGGAGCACTCGGGAGCCGAAACGAGAGGCCTTGGGAACGACTCCGTCGACGTGCAAGGGCAGACCGATGACATGTTCGGAACGGAATACAGCACAGATGGTTTGTTTTCGAAAGAGGGGAACATAGACATCCAAGAGGAACCCACGTCGGAGGAAATTCCTCGACGTGCCAGCGAGTCAGGGGGCTACTCCTTCGACAGCTCCACCATGTCATTCATAGGCTTCTGCAACCTGACGCGCGGCAAGTTCAGACAGATGGGATCGAAGCTGCGCGGTAGTTTAAGGTCGATGTCGAGAGAGCTGGGATTATCAACATCACAACCCAGCTCGATGGAGTTGACACCAAAGCAGCGCAGAAAGCTGCAGCACCAGAGCATGGTATTTCCAGCAAAGCACGCAACATCGCAGCTTGCAAATGATGCAGTGTATGGCGTCCAAGAAGACGCATTGTTCGGGGAACGCGAGGTCGCGAACCCGAAGTCAACGAAACCATGGTTGCCGTTACGCAAAAAGGACTCTAGGCAGGTGCCAGCTAGAGTTAGCGAACCAGCCATTGTGAGGAACCAGCTTCCCAGCAAGCGGAATGAAGTGGAATCCGCTCGTAAAAGCTCGATAGCAACACACAAAGGTAGGGAAATCAACATGCAGGATATGTCTGGTCCTATGCCGTCGTGCTATGTCATCACTAAAGACAAGGATTCGCTGTGCAGCAAGTTCTGCCTCGACGTATATACGACGTTCAAGCTTACGCTGAACTCCGGCAAGGCTTATGACTTCAAGCAGCTTATCGCCGTCAACAAAAATGTCAACGATATACGCCTTGAGAAGCAGAAGGGCAACGCCAAGACGCAGACTGCGCGTGGGACGATGATCGCCAAGCAGATCGAACCGCGTCACAAAATGTTCCCAGTTTTAGCCAGGATATGCCCGCCTCTCTGTCGCACCGCCAAAGATGACACTGCGGCCCTCAACAACACCACCCTGGTCACGGTGGTGAACAAGGGGAGCGCCAACTTGTTCATACTCAAGTTCCAAGGCTACTGCAAAAATTACATGGACGTCAGCCCCGATTTTGGATGGAGGCGGCTGGTGGAGGAATACACCACAGAGGACTCTAAAAGCGCCGAGGACGTGCCCAATGTGACATGCCCGGTAGACGAGACCTTTGCCCAGCGGACGTACATGTACTACAGGGAATCGAAGAGGATAACACACATGATAGGCCTCTCCGAACTTGCCATCAACGTGGCCTGTCGGGCGATAATACTCGGGATAGCAGATGGTATGATCGACGGCGCGGATGCGCCGTCCTTCATCAAAGAAATCATCATGCAGCAATATGAAGGTATGTCAGAGGTGCTAAACACGCCTCGAAACGCGGAACAAGGTCCAGATGGGCAGGAAAAGTTTACAAAAAGTCCAATGTACCTGAACAGCAGCTTCATTGGACTTTTTGTGAACTCATCAATGCGCTCTGTCTTGGACAGCGAGCCTTATGTAGAACGCATGCGGGATAGCAAGCGCTCTGTCAGGTGGAGCATGCCTGAGAATGTGGAAAGAAAGGCCAATGTCGGAGAAGGCGTCGATAAGGACGTCGACGAACCCAGCGTATACAAATTCATCCCGATACCGGACTACGGATGGCGGCTAGTACAGAGGGCTTACTTCGATCGCAAGCACGCGGACACCACCCGTAGATGTAGTGCAAGGAATTCGGTGGCCTCAAAGCTACGCAGTGTGTTCAGAGTCAACACCGTATCGGGTCTTACGCCGACCAACATATACTCTAACTCTGTCCTCTGCAAGGTAAGGCCGCCGCATGTTGAAGATCATAACGCTTTTGTGCGCGTAGATGTGGGTTCTATCGCGATGAACATGGCGGAACAACTCTACCGACTCGAAATGAGGCAGCGCCGACGAGAGAAATTGCCGAAGCAGACATTCGGCTTCAAGGTCCAAGACCAAAATGTAGTCGTGTCGCCATGCGGCACGCAGTTCAAGCTCATACCAGAGGAGCTCATACTTAACGTCGCGACGCTGGTGCATGAAATGTACATCACACAGGCGTGCCTCATTCTGTAGCGCCGCTCGACCTAGCTGCACATTCTATTAAACTTATGGACCTAACAGATGAGACAAAAGTCATAGACGGTACACACCTTTTTTTTAGAACACATTTCCGTGCAGAACTCTTTAGGAAGGTTCGCTTCGACGAGATCCTCGAGGACCTCAAGGTGCTCGGGGTCGATGTGCGCGAGCAGACCCTCAAGAATCCTACCACGGAGGAGGCGTTAGGGCTGTATGGACTCGCAATACAGGTCATATTTGGGAAGACGCGCACCGACATACGCCCGGAGGATGTCTACTCGCAAATCCATGTCTACAGCTCCGGTGTAGAGGGGTGAGTCTCCGAGGAGTGTCATTAACGTGCTGCAGCCTGGAGATCACCAGCGACAACCTGGAATTTCTCAAACGCGGAGTTGGGAACCTGCGCTTCTGGCGATTCTGCCAGAAACTACACCAGGCGCTGGGACTGCCGGACATCGAACGATATGAATTGTTCAATCCGACGCCAGAATCCTTCCACCGGTTCATATCGGCGTTTGTGGTCTACCTGAGGTTTAGAGATGCCTTGAAGAGCTTGTTCGAGGACGCCATCGCGCGCCTGAACTTTTGCGCGGAGCAGGAGGAGCAACTGGAGGACAACATCGGCAAGGTGCAGCAGGAGCTACAGAACTTCAAGAGGCTGAAGGAAGAAAATGCGAACGATATAGTTAGCAGTGTAGGTGATAGGGAGCAGTTGGAGGGTCGGCTGTTGCAGGCGAAAGGCGTTTTCAACGAACACAAGGAAGAAAAGGCGAAGGTTGATGCGGAGATCGAACGCGTTAAGCAGACCATAAACGACGTGCAGCTGAAGAAAACTAAGGCTAGACATCGCAATGAAATGCTCTGTGAGCAGATAGTGTCGGAGCCGGACTCCCTCTACAGCCAGAAAGATGAACTGGAAGCTCAAGAAGTAGTGCAGAACGCGACCTTGAAGAACCTCACCGAAGAGTTTGATGAGACCCAACGACGCTTTAAACTCCTAGAAGATTGCGGTCAATTCGTCGAAGATGTCAAGACAAAGATGACACAGCACCTTGACGAGGTCCTCAAGCCGCTCGTCGAAAACCTCAGCGCCGCCAGGACCTTGAAGGCCAGGAACGAAACTCTGCAGGAGCAAATAAATCGCCAAAAGGAGCAGCGCGACAATGCCCGAGCTGAGTTCGCCGCAAAGCGTCAACTCTACGAGGAGAAGATACGACTACTACAGGAAGCAGCAGACAATGAGCTTAAGGCTGCGCGCAAGTTCTCCGAGGATACGCGTGACGAGGTTCGGAAAATGCAACAGACAATATCGCAGGAAAAGGTGAAGGTGGATTCCTTGAAGCGTGAATTTGAGGTACGCGAGGAGAAAGTCACTGCAGTTTTTAGCGTGGCTGAAGCCAGCTGGAGGAAGGTGACGTATGCCGCAGAGTCTTACGCACGATGCATGGATGAAATCATGGATAAGGTAGAAAAGGTCGTAAAGGAAGAATGATTTGCGTCGTATTGTGTATTTATACAAATCGCATGTATATACTTTGCTGTTGAGACTTCCGCATTAGTGTAGAGTCAAACAGCTTTAAAAGACAATGTTTTAAGTCTCTTTTAATCACTTTAATCACATTACTGCTCGCCATTTGAGGCAGTTACTGCTTAGGCTGTAACTTTTGGGGGCCGGCAATTATGCACGCTGGATTCTGTTGACCCAGAGAATCTCCAAAACGCGCCAACATGGTTTCAGTCATCAGATAGTAGTTTATTATGGCATATTGGTGATGTGCCGATCGATGTTATGTTGATATGTAGTGGAAGACGGGCACCTTACATACGTGTGTACTGTTGCGTGTCTAATGCGGTCGACTTGATGGAAACGTTACATTGGCATGTTAACCATTAATTATATGGACAATCCATTTTTTGACAACTTTAGTTTAATTAAGTAGCAGAAGAAGGCGATGTGTATGCCTTTCGATACCGAAGGACGAAGTCACATGTGAGTGTCGTTGCCAACCGCGACTCCCGGCTCCACAGGGGACGTGGAGTACGCAGGAGGCATGACACCAGCTACGTGTTATCAATGGAAGGTGGTAAGGTTGTTCTTCCTTTCCCTGTGGTACGTATTCCTGCCAGTTGAGCGGCAAGTGGTACTTGTGGAAGGCGCCAACGTCGAGAGGAGGCGCATCTTACTTGATGCAGCACCGAACATAGGTATACAATCAACACGAGGCATACCGGCACATGTGCAAAGATGTGCTGCGGAAGGATGGCGTCCTTCGATTGCTCCGATTCGACCTGGCAAATCAATGCTCTCAGGGCAGGCGTTCCTCACTATGAACGCAGCAAAATTAACCGACGGCGCTCATGAGAACAACGAACATGGACTATCGTCCCTCAATGATCGTGGATGGTGGACTAGGCAACGCTCGGAGTGGAGTGCGCATGCTAAGCGCCGGAGTAGGAACGCCAAAGATGACATTATTATTGGCGGAAATATTGACACTCCGCCCGGAATACTCCACAGCGCTGAAACTCCGGAGCTACAGGAATTCACGAAACAAATGTGGAACGAACAAGTACCCATCAATGAGGCCGTTGAACGGCTCAACCTCCTGGACGATACCCAGAAAGACGGCGTAATAGACAATTTTATGGACGGCACCGATGCAATCAAGTCGAATGGCAAAGATCTTGGTGGTGCTTCAAACAGAGAAAATGGCGATCCTGACGGAAGGATGCCAGACACATCGCAGGAACGGTCAGAGACCACAGAGGGTACATCTGTCGGTCGACCGGATGTTGGTAACGACACCGCCGAATCAAACACGCCAATAGATTCAAATCGTTTAAGAGAAGATTCAAAGGCTGAAGAGGTCATTGGTTATGTTGCGCCAGTGGACTACATCGATGAAGAGCAGTACCGGAAGGAAACGGAGGATCACCGACATAGGGTCGATGGAGCTGGAGGCGTAGATGATGATGATGATGTGTTCGATTCTGACGACGAACATCCCACTGGTATAGAGGAAGTAAATTATGCAGCACTCACAGAGAGTGAGCTAGAGCTTGTTCTTACACTCATCCAAAGCACACTGGAGGACCCAGGGAGCCACGAGGAAATTCTAAAAGAGTTACTGGCAGGGGATACGGGAGGGCTGACAGAAGCGCAATGCAGAGAATACTTCGACAGGTTCCGGCGAATCGGTGATATCCTCATAGCTCTCAGCGAGACCGTCGGTATGAAGCCGTTGGATACCCGCTGGATACCTGAAATACAGATGCGCATTAGAGATTTCATTTCAGATAGCGGGCATGAAGTATCATCAATCCGGTGGACGGAGAGAGACGTGATAGTAGCACTCAAGGATGTTGTCGCAGAGGAGAAAGCAGGCAAACTCCACGAGGCACTGGCACAATACCTGCGTACGGATGCCGGCGAAGGATTTTGTCCCGGCATAAAAAATGTAGGACTACTGTTGTACACGGATACCACCGGAAGTTACGACTCGGAGCTAGAAAGCGCTTCGAAAGACAAGAACAAAGGCATCTCAAAAGGAAGAGGCGGCCCTGTCTAAAAAGGATTGAGCGCGTAACTAAGCGGGTTTCACACAATGATCCATTACGTGTAACGTAAAGTAGAAAGGTACAGCGCATTTGCATATACACAAGCTAAATAAGACATGTGTAGCGCTTTACACGGTACATCGTTTTGCAGCACGTCTAAGGTTAACATGTGTGACCGAATAACTTCCGTTACAGTTGCCTAGATTCACTCTGAGTATTAATCTAACACGGACAGTTGACGTTTGCATGTTGTAAGTAATGGAAGGCAGAGGTAAGTCGGGAAGTGCACGTCACTGCTTAACCCCTAAAAATACACCCTGTTATCGTCTCTACAAAAATCTGGTTGCCATATTGCGTATGTGTAATTTCAAATTTCTCCATTTGGTATGTGTTTCTGGAATGTGATGTATGCACATTTTAAATACACTAACGCCAACGCGGCCTTCCACGCACACTACGGAAGGTGTCTTCCACACATCCTATGCCCAAACTCTCACCGAGAGATTGATAAAACGATTTCTAATTTATGCTTAAAGCCGATGCTAATCAACTGCGCCACGAAGAGCTAGATTAGCTGCGCCCGTATGCCGCTCAAACTCAAAGGTAGGTGGAGCTGCAATCACATCCGAAAAAATCGTCGACAACACCTATTTACGATGCAGAGGCCGTGACGCTGTTTATATCTGTGCGACGGGGACTGGAAGGCAGCATACTTAACGAAATCAAGAGGAATCCTCACCTCAACGCAATCGAACGCATACACTTTAAGCGACAAGACATTATACCAGATGCCGATGCCTCAATTAATGAAGGTGAAGTCCGGATACTAAACGCACCTGTAGACATTGCGGGAAGTAGAATCAAATCGGCAGGCGATGATAGATGGCTCCACATTGCAAACGCAGTAGAGGAACCTAAAGCCACAAGACCTAAGGCCGTTGTTTTGGCGAATTCTGTCACAAAGTTAACTGACACTTGTAGTCTTCGGTTGCAATCTGGTGGTATCGAGGTGAAATGCAACAGGGAGTGGCTTATTAAGTGCGTATTGGGGTTACGGGCTGCGGAAAGCGTGTGGCTGCGGGTCGGTAGCCCGTTCAGGTGTCATAACAGCGAGCAGCTCACACAACGGATAGCTGCATTGTCTTGGGGGGAATATTTGCCTCATGTAAATGCCGAATCAATTAGTATTCGCGTGATCAGCAGACATTCCACCGTGTGGTCGAAGCATGTCATTGAAGAGGCAGTGCGGCAAGGCATTCGTTCCTATTTCAGCTGTAATCCTGTGTTGAAACGCGAGTCTGTAAAGGGGCTCAATGACATCTGTGTTTCCGTCACTCTGAACAGAAATACGTGCTACGTTGCGGTTCAGTGCTCATGCAGGCTGTCCCCAAGAGAGTACAACTTTGCCAACGCTACAGAGCAACTTTCACGTTTGGTGGGGGAATCCGCGGTACCATTTTGGTCTCTCTCAAAGGCGCGACTACAAGCACGCCTGGATGCAACTAGAAAGTCGGAGGGAACGGGCATTAAAGTTGGGGACGTCGAATATCCTTTGCAAGACGGTTATCACAACAAATCCATAAGACGCGAAGATTACATCCAGCAGCAGCTTATTTTGCAGGGTGATAAATACGACACTGCGGACGCACTTGCTGCGGGTTTTCTTCAAACCGGCAGTATATTCAAGACGCTAAGCAGCAGGCCTCTGCAGGTGAGGTTAGACCACAATTTTGAAATGACGGCTTAGATTTGGAACCCATTTTGCTCTAACGGGCTTGTAACTAGCGAAATTGTTGGACTGCTGCTGCAATTGCCGAACTTCACGAAGAACCATAGGCCAAGTGCATTGTTTCGGCATCTGTCGGTGGGAAATGCAGCCGATGCGTATCACGATACAATTGTTAAATACTTGGGAGGCCAGAAACGTGAGGCCAGAGACGTCCAGATAATTGCATCAGACACATCCATACTGAAGTTGAGCCAAACTGCGGAGAAACTGAATAAACTTCACGCATTTTACGAGGAACTTCTGGATGGTATGCAAAAACGAGGGTTGCACTGACTTTTCAGCAGGCTATTCTGAGGGTGGCGCTCTAACGGAACAACCCACTATTTTCAGAAACTATCGCAATAGGTATGAAAACCGTATTTGCTTAAACAAAAGGTTCAGGTTGCCAGTTGAACTGTCACTACACCATGCGCCACTCGGTGCCGTGGCGCCACTCATGCACAAGCCACTAGTGATAGCAAAAATACCTTCGATCAGAAATAGGGTGAGTGCCCATAGGTTTTTATGCACTTGTTTCAGGCATATAAAGAGCGCGTTTATGATACGATCAAAGAATACAAAGCTTTGGGGCACATAATCGGTTCGCGCTCCGACTGGAGAGGTGTATTTGCCATTTCTAAAGTGGGACAAACATTTGTGGGAAACATGTCATGTCAGGGCACTGCATTTGAGCATTTTAGCGGTCTAGACTGGCGGTGCTTGGCCAAGGCTACCAACTCTACCGGTGACGTGATAAAGTTGCTCAGGTGGGTGCCTTATGTTTCTCTACCGTCAACGTGCAGATGGTCTGGCAAATCGCGCAAGTTGGGGGATCCCCAGGATCAACTGGAGCAGCTCCATGCATTGGATTGCCTATGAAATGTCGTCCTATTTCATGGGCCCTCCAGAAGATAACAGTTCTGACATTGTGTGCCGCTACATTGCTTCTAGGAATATCGCAGACTTTTGCGTTCCGTAAGTTGGACATCAAAATGCGCAAATTTCTTACTAGGAGTTCATTTAAGGAGTGATCTTTGTCTGCGCAATTCCCGACTGTAAGCAATTTTTATAGCCTCGGATAATACATGATGATTCAGGCTGGCGGAGCCCATCAAGGTGGCCGTGGTAGGCAGTACGGGTAGTATTGGAACGCAAACGCTGGACATAATAAGACGGATGAACGCATCTTCAAATGAGCCGAGGTTCAAAGTTGTGTCCCTTACGGCAAATACCAATGTGGACGACTTGGCGAAGCAGGCGGCAGAGTTCAGGTAGGTTAGGAGAATATGGGACTCATATGACTAAAGGCCGGACCGACTCAATATAAATGTTGAAGGCTCGATTTTACGTGACGCTGTATCCGATGGCTGTCACATTACCACCGGTAAGGAAGGCATGTTGGATATATGTGAATCGTCCGACTACGATCTACTGGTCATGGGAATCTCTGGGTGCGCAGGTATCGAACCCACAATAGCTGCGGCAAAAGCCGGCAAGAAGTTGGCGCTGGCGAACAAGGAGTCGGTAGTATCAGCAGGTTAGTTTAATATATCAGGAAACCTTATCATAACCTGTAGGTGCTCTTCTCCGAAGGGTTGTTAGGGAAAACAAGTGCGAAATCATCCCAATAGACTCAGAGCACAACGCGCTATACCAGTGTCTGATGACATCGCCACGGGATTTTGCAGATCATATTAAGCAGAGAGATGAAAAACCGCTCTGTGGGCTGTCAACTAACGTCGTCAATTCAGTGAAACGACTTATCGTGACTAGCAGTGGAGGTCCGTTCAGGGACAGAGATATATCAGAAATGAAGACTTTGCGCATAAAGGACGCTCTCAAGCATCCAGTGTGGAGCATGGGTGCAAAAATAACGGTTGATTCTTCCACTATGATGAACAAGGGCCTGGAGGTAATAGAAGCTAACCAGCTATTCGGAATACCCTATGAAAGGATACGTGTCCTCATCCACAAGGAGTGTATTGTGCACTCGCTGGTGGAATTCGTGGATAACTCCGTGATAGCGCAACTCTACAAGCCGGATATGAGGTTGCCCATCGCATATGCACTGAATTGGCCAGACCGCATGGAAAACACGTTGCCCGAACTGGACCTCACCAAACAGTGCCTTACTTTCACGGACCCAGATCTGCAGAAGTTCCCTTGCCTCAAACTGGCCTACGATGTTGGCAAGATGGGTGGCCTATACCCCACGGTACTAAATGCCGCAAATGAACAGGCCAACGACCTTATGAGGCAAGACGCCATAGGTTACAGCGAGTTGTATCCCTTGATACACGATGCCATTGATGCTTATAAACCACAGAATTCGGACGGACATGACATAGAGGTACGCAGTTTTGGAAGCTCCTTTAAACTCTGCCGCAGGAAATAATGTCCACCCATGAGTGGGCAACAAGCCACGTTTTGAAGCTTTTTAGCCGTCATTAGTGCATCCAACAATACCTAATCATTTTGTGGGTGCCCCAACAATCCATGTTCCATTAGGGTTTTCTATTACCTGGCGGCTAGTTGTGGTTTGTACCGATTTGTGTGAGCACACCACTCTGCAATTTCCTTTATTCTCTCATCATCTACCACCCACTCAAATTGTTAATAGAATCGAAAACTCATTTGTGCTGTATTTCAACTTGTATAACGTGTTGTGTGCGATCGCCCATAGAATGGCACGATTATCGCTTCCACCGGGCAAGCGCCTTACGTTGCTGGTATCTATTGCGGGGCCCATGTCGAATTATCGTACACTACAGGTACCATCCATTGTGGCATCCATCCTGTTTGGGCGAGAGGATCATTCACAGAGTCATTATCATATCTGGGTGTCATGTCCCTCAACACCTTTTGCGTTTCTTGGATCACTACCCGTTGTATATGGGCTTCTAAGCGATCCGATATGACCAGGTCCCGCCTGTACTTGGTGTGTTCTTTTGTCACTATCCCCTCCCACGTCATAACGTAGGGGATTGCCCTGAACGTTGTGTGCTGGTTGAATTGCCGCGCCTTCAGGTCCTCTATCAAAGCTTCGTACTTCCGTTTCTTGAATATCTCCGTCTCCACTAGGTTGTCCTGGTTGGTGATTCCTATTTCCACGATGGTGATCATGTTCCTCCGTCGATCCGCCACTACTATGTCTGGGCGGTTGTACTCCTTGATCTTCTGAGTCTAGACCGTTTTGTCGTACGCGATCCATCCGTGTTTCCCGTGCACTTCGCTCTCGATCTTGTGGGCGTCCATTTTCTCCTTGGGTAGCCCTATTTGCTTCCCAACTGCCGAATGGACTTTCCTTGCTACTTCCTCGTGCGTCTTAGTATATTCATGGTGTAGCAATTTCGTGTACTTTGCTGCGATATGATTTTTAAGACCCTTATCATCTTGGCCGATCATGTTCATTTCATTGTTCACTTGGTCTCTAAACTTCCCGATCGCCTCTGGAAGTTTGCCTTCGGTTGGCTCGCCTTTTAGAGATTTACCGGGCTTAAGACCCTCTGAATCTTGTTTAACGTGATCTTTGTAATGTGTAAACTGTTGAGTATCTTTAATGTTAACACAAGCATTTTCATCCTTTCCAATGTGCTCATCAACTTTATCATTGAGTTGCTTTTGGAGGCCACTATCTTTATCAATGATCTTCTCGTGAACTTTGTAGAATGTTTCCATCGTATCCTTCACACTAATCTGATGTGTACTCTTGTCCATCTCAATCTGCTCAGCCGCCTTTGTAATCGCCGTCATGGCCGCAGCCTTGATCTGCTTTTGAGCTTCGCTGTCGAATGCGGAAACGGCGGAGGGAAGACCGTTCACTACCTGCTGAAGCGGATCTTTGACTTGTGTCTTGAAGGTTTGGTTAAGTTTCTCACCAACCTCATTCCTCACTTCAGTCAACCTACTGTCCACAGCTTTGGCGGGGCTATCAGTGGAGCCTCCGGGAGGGTTGGGTTTGGCAGTCGCCTCGTTAAGCTGTTTGTCCAGATCAACAGTTACCTTTTTGGCGTTATCCAATAGCTGTGCGATGTTTATGCCCCCAGTTCCCTCGCCGAGCAGCACTGAGTGAAGCTCCTTGCTGACTTGTCTGCTCACGGAGGACACGGCAACGAGGGTAGTGGCGATGGCCTGCGTGAGGTTGCATTCTTTCTTGTCGCAGGTTGTGCACTTATCTGGATTTCTGCTGGCATTGCAGTCCCCGCATCCGCAGTTTGCCTTTTCTAAGGCCCTTCCCAAGGATGTTCTTTTGTTTTCATATTGACCATCCTTCGACGCATTCTTAGCCTGCTTGGCCATTTCAAGGACACCGCTCCCCGGTTCCTTCTTCAGTTCCGCGTCAAGCGCATCGGCGAAATTTTCGCAGGCCTGCTTGACCTGTGTGATTTTGTCCGCCATGCCGGCGTTATCATTAACACCTTTGAGCGCTGCACCGGCTGCGTCAGCTTTGAGATTAATCGGAGACCTAATAAAGCCTCCGAGATTAGTGTTCTCCAAGGTGCTTTTCATACCTTCCGCCGGCTTATCCTGCCACCCAAGTAGTCTTTTAACCAGACCGTTTTGGCCAAGAATACCGTCTACCCAACCCCCGACTGCTTTGTCGAAGTCACCCTTGAAAAAGTTGAAATAATGGTCCACTCCCTGTGCGATCCCTGTCAGACCTGTGGCGTTTTCAATTTCCCAACTACTTTTTTTAGTCCCCACCGTCCCCTTAATCTCCCCAACCTGTTCTTTAATCTTTTTAAAAATCTCTTCAAGCTTCTGGTTGTTTGGATCGATCAGCTGGAAATTCCCGCCAAGCGTCCCAATCGCTGTGTCAACTGCAAGGACGTCACGTTCAAGCGGATGTTGGATATGCGTCTTAAACAAATTATCCATCTCCCCCAACTTCGCATTAATTGGCTGAACACCATTTTCATTAAACGTGTTTTTTGCATCTTCAAGAGTTTGCAAATGCATACTAATGATTTGACCATTATCTTTCTTACTCTCACTACTTCTACTTGTGAGCCCACTAATCTTATCCTTCAAACTCTGCAAATCACTCTTCACCAAACCATCCAACTTAGTAACCTGCAACTTCTCAATTACATTCTCTATCCCTCCCTTAATCTTCTCTTTCACTGTCCTCAAATCCTTCTTGAGACTTGTGTCCATTTTTACAACAGCATCCAACGCCTCAGTGACATACTGTCCAACTTTATTTTTAGCCTCAGTCGCAGCGTCCAAAAGTTTTTTACCCGCATCTTGTAAACTTTGAGCTTGCGTGAAAATTACGCCATCAGCATCTTTTTGACTTACTTTCTTAAGTATATCATCACACTTCTGCTCCGCCTTGTCAATAACATTCCTGGCGGCCTTACTCCACTTACCTAAGTGGTCAATTTCTTTAGCAAGCTCCGTATTTGCCTTTTTAATTAAGTCACTAGATGAACTAATTCCTTCAATTTTCTGACCAATTGGATCCCCTGTAGCACTAGGATCCAACTTCTCATACACCTCATTGGCCTTGTCAATCGCCCCTCCAAGCACTACGCTGGCCTGCTTATTCCACGCTCCCAAACTCCCAAGATGGCCGGTAACACTTTTATTAACTTCGTTGATTTTCTTATTAGCTGTCACAATTAACTTAACATTTTTGTCCAATGTCTCATTAACCTTCAGCTTGTCGTAGGCTTCCTTGGCCTTGTCCTCGGCGGCCTGACGGATCCCCTCAGCGGTGGAGATCCAAGAATTCAGACTCTGAACTTGTTTGTCAAGTTGTCCATTTGCGGTGTCAAGTTGCGTTTTGGCGTCTCCAATGATCTTAATGTTCGTGGCAAGAGTTTGTGAACCAGTAGGCTCCAACCTTGTATGTACGTTCTGCGCCTTCTGAACCACATTGCTGAGCACACCTTTTGCCGCGGAATTCCAGGCTTCCAAATCTTTGTGAACATCTTGAAGCCTAGTATTAACTTGCAAAACTTTTCCTTTAGCTGTAGTAATCTGCTGAAGTCCTTTGCCAATCTTTGTCATCTTGCCAGGGGGATCTTTTTGTTGAGTGGGATCCATGTTCTTATGCACATCATACCCCTTCTCAATCGTTCCTTGGAGTACTTTTTCCGCCGCTGCCTTCCATTTTTGTAAATCCTTAGCTCTGCCATCCAACTCGGTTTCAACCTTGTGAATCGCCGATTCAAGTTTGGGCAAATTCTGAGATTTAGCAATTCCATTCACCTCATTTGAAATGTTCTGGACTGAATTCTGCGCCGCATCAATGTCTAGTTTTGTTTTCTCAATCCACTTGTCCAGGTCCACAATATATTGTCCCAACGTTTTACTGACTTATTCAAGCTTCTGTTTAAGGTGATTGGTGAGACATTTTAGAGCTGCAAGAGGGGCGTGGTAAGAGGCCTCAGCGGCCTCAATGCACTGAAAGGTGAGATGACGTAAATACGTCCACGAGTAAGGCACAACGCGACGTACCAAACAACGAACATCTTAACAGAGCTTGTGCATTAATTAGTTGGTTACACGTTTAATGAGCAAGGTTAGTATGGCTAGACAGGCTGTTGAGAAGCAAGTCGACGATGCGTTGCGGGCTGTTGTGAAAATGGATGCATCCCTTAAGATGGATTTGAAGAAAGTGAAACAGAAGATTAAATTGGGGATGCAGAATGTGATTAACAACTTAGGGGTTTTGAAGTTGTATCAGAAAGTGAAAGGGGATTTGAAGGCGTTGAGGCAAAAGATTTTGGAGCTTACAACTAAAGTGGATGCTGGTGATAGTATTGTTAAAACTGAGTTGGCAGCGCTTGGGAGGGCGAAGGGAACTCTTGAAAATGTTACTGGTAATCCAAATGGTTCAATTTATAAGGCGATGGTAGGCATGGATCATTTGTTTGAACAGAAGATCAAGATCCCGCTTAACACTAAAGTCGAAGCAGTTTACTCGACGATTGGGACGCTTGGCGGGAAGTTTAAAAATGGAACTACGCCGAACAGTATTCAAGGAATTTTTGAAATTATTAAAGATAGGGTTGGGGAGATTAAGGGGCAGGAAGGTAGAGGTTGGAAAAATGACGATGGCAAAGGCCTGGAAGGAATTAAGTCCAAGGTGGAAGATTATTTCAATGCGTTCAACGGGGAACATAAATTTGGACAAATAGCCGGCGGTTGGATCGATGACATTCTGCAGCACAACGGTGTGGTCAAAAAGCTGCTTGGCTGGGAGCGTAAGGGGGCGCAGGCGCTTGAGGAGGAGCTGAAAAACAGTGGTCTCGGAGGCTTAATTAAGTCTCCGATTAATTCCAAAATTGACATGGCAGTCGCTAATGCAGCTTTCACTACTGGCCAATCCACCGCCGGCATGAAAGAGAAAATCGCACAGGTCAAAAATGTCTGCGAACTGTTTGCCAGGACACTTGAGGATGAGCTTAGGAAGGATCTTCAAAGTGGCGTCCTTGCGATGGCCAAGCAGGCTAAGAAGACGATGGTGGAAGTCGACGAACGGGGCAGCCAAAAAAGTCACTTAAAAGGCATCTTAGCAGACGCAAAATGCGAATGTTATTGCAGACCGTACTGCGGAAATAAAGATTGCCAAAGCTGCCAGAAAGCAGAATGCATCGTCACCAAAGCCATCGCCACCACGCTCCTCGTCGTGTCCTCGGTGGGACGGCAGGTGGGTAAGGAGCTGAATTCGGTGTTCCTCAACATTGACGAAAAGAAAGGCAACGGACAACCCAGTGAAGGTAGCATCGCAAACATCTTGGACAAGATCACGCCGATTGTAGATGGGCTTAAAAAGAATTTGGACGATGCGACTGAAATACCACAACCCCCGAAGTCACCCGGCCAAACTGATAGCCCCGCCCAAGCCGTGGACAGTAAGTTGCAGGCGGTGAGGGATGAGGTTAAGGGGCTTGAAGGCAAATTCACTGAAGTCAAGAAAGATCTTCAAGAAGCAGTCAACAAGCTTCCCAACGCCGTTGACACTTTCAACACTGAAGCTCAAACACAGATCAGGGAAGCGGCCAGGATGGCGATTGGGAAGGCGGCTGAGCAGATTAGTAAGGATGGTAAAAAAATAACGCTTGGTCAGAATGGTCTCATGAAAACATTTAAGGATGCTCACGATAATATCACTGATCCCGATACTGGCCTCCAACCATCACTTGAAGGTCTACTTGATACGCACATTGGAAAGGATAATCCGACAGGTCGTCCTCCAGGTAAAGCTACTAAGGTCACCATTGATAAAAAGAGTTTTATCGAATATGATAAGCACGTTAAACAAGATTCAGATGGCCTTAAGAACAAAACTCTAACCGGTGATTCAGGCGAAGGCTTCCTTCCAGCGGCGATCGGGAAGATTAGAGATGAGGGTCTGAACCCTTTCACTGAGAATGGTGTCAACAGTATACTAAACGCAGGTGATAAAACCTTCACCGGTCCGTTCACCCGAATTCAGAAGGAGCTTGAAGAGATCAAGAAATTGGTTGATGAGAGGAATGGCACCAATTCATTCCTATATGATGACATGGACAAAGGTGTCAAGGATTTTTTATGTGATTTGAAAAGCATGCTGAATAAACGATCCTGGGCTCATGGAGTCAAAGGACTCGATGCAATTAAAACGGCGATCGACGGTCTGCACAACGGTGATTTTAAAACTCGGCCCGCTGCAATCGAGGAAGCCGTCAAGGCAATTAGGCAGCAGCTTCAAGAGCTTAGGGAGAAGTTGAAGAATGAGAACGGCGATAAAGATGATGTAATTGAAAGGTTGACAGATTTGAAAGAGAAAGGTCTTGTGAATGGTGACTGGCCAGTCAACGGTAAATCTCTCAGTGGCCTTGGGAGAATTCATGGCGACCTTAAAGCGCAGAATGATATATTGGCCAAGCAACCAGGTATAATTACTGCGGCCATCGACCAAATTAGAGGGGAACTTTTTAGGATTGGTCTTAAGTTTCAGAATATCTTCAATCCATATGACATCTTCGATGAGTTGCGGTCGTTGCAGAGAAAAATCGGGAAGACAGGTAACCATAAAGACAGCGTAAATCCCGTAAAAATTCAAGGTGTAATTAGTGGCCTGCAAAAAGAGCAATTTACCAATAAACCCACTGAAATCGACAACGCCAAGAAAGAAATTGTAGATGAACTCAAAGACCTTCAAAATGAGTTGCAAGGCAATCCAGGCAGTGATGTCATTGCAACACTGAAGGATTTGCAGAACAAGGGGCTCGGTCCCTATGCACTCTGGACACCTAACTACAAGGATGCTAAGGGACTCAAAAATATCCAAAAGGATCTTAAAATTTCACATGCTGTATTGACCAAGCAACCCGAAAAAATCGGCGGTGGCGTCACCGAAATCACCAAGGAACTTGACAGCCTTAGAGGGACGTTGAAAACTGAAGTCACCGAGAAGCTCAAGGTGAATGACAGTGGTCTTGAAAAAGGTGATACACCGTGGACAATTGACAGTCAGCAGACCAAAGGCCTCAGTAAAATCACCGCAGGCATCGTGACTATAAAGGACAAGGACGTTACAGACGTGAAGGACAAACTCAAGGAGCTGTGCTGTGCTATCAGAAATGCCGCCGTAAACGTCGGAGCGAGTCGGCATGATCTGAATAATGAGAGCATCGACGATACGATCATGAAAAGGTGCATTGACAGCCTATAACTTAAGATTGAACACACGTGAAAAGTGGCACAGGAGTTACCAGTCGCCATCTGCAGCAACGGCGAAGGCTCCTCTTAGGTTTTCCGCCACTCTGTCTAGGAGTTAGAAAGTTTGGGACGAAGCTCCTTCAGATGAATGCTGGAACATAAGTACACGGACCAGAGCGCTAGTCCAGGACCTACGTATCACAGGGCCCTAGATACACACAACGCCGCCCTCATAGACACGGTAACCCCAAGCACGGTCTTGCGCTGGATTCCGCAGAGGTAGTCGCTAACAGCTAAGAGAATACGTGCCTTGTACAAATTTTTAATGAATGTACCATAATGTGCGGTCGTCATACTCTGAGAATCGCTTGCAACAAAAACTTGATACGACCACTAATATCTAAAAAAATTACGCTAATCGCGGATGACGGTAGAAGGAGGGTTTGAATTCCTCGTTAAGTGACCGCGATGCCGACCACTAGCAGGTCATGTCGCACGGCTTACACTTCAACCTGCTACGCGCAACACGTCGCGTCACTTTAAACCTGGATACGCCTAGACAAAGTATTTTAACGCATTGAGTCTCCGTTTAACATTTTTTGTCCGGAAGTTGTGCGCCTCAATGACTCGCATTCTGCTTGCTGCATGTCGCGTTTGTTCTGTAAAACTAGCTGCGATACGGCATCTTGGTAATCGGCACGACTGCTATGTCCACTCATTTTGTGTGTAAGCTGGTTGCATATTTGGGCAAGGTGCCTATTTATTAGAAGGCTACGGCACTGTCGTGGTTATACGCCATTAAGACACAGCTGCCTAAAGACCCGCTTGTAGGTAGACCAATAACCCAATCGTTTATATACATCGTCTAGTTGATCGAATATATTGCAAAAATGGTATACTTTTCGTTGACTGATGCTCCGCGCAACCTGAAGGAAAGCATTGACTGGTTGATGGCGCTTAGGGGTGCTGACGCTGAAACCAACTTGAAGGCTCTGGGTAGCGCTGTCTATGATTTGCTTGCAGATAAGCCTGTTGGATTCACAGAGGTGCCAGCTCTCGAGAATGTGAAACGTATTTCTAAGGAGTTCCTGGAGCAAGAAGAACTTAAGAACGAGCCATTTGTGAAAGGCCTGCTGTGGAGATTCAATAATCGTATGAAAAAAAATTACTACAAATACTTTAGGTTCGTGTTTCACATCGACAAAAGCGATTATGAGAACGTCGTACGGACCAGGGGTACCGTACCTGAAAAAATCGCGGAGAACTTGGGTAAAGTAGTACATGGTACGGAGACGTTCTTGGATGACATAAAAAATCCTGACAAGTATAGGTCTGCTTACAGTTCAGAAGCGACGTGGGATAACTCATGTTCGGCAAAACCGGAAGCCTGCGCAGTCGTCTTTGTGGGGATTGCGCCTATGTTATGCGCAGGCCTGCGTTCTTTACGAAAGACAAGCAATAATGCCAGTGCGACATGGTCAAATAGATACGCGAAGAAGCATTTTGGAGAAGTTATGAAAGCAGTCGGTTACAAAGAGCCAGAGTGCCGGGCTAAACTAAGTGGTTCAGATGTTAGAAAGGCTTTGAGCAATGTGGATATACGAGTATTAGAGATCATCTACGACCTAGCCGGCTTCTGGGCTTTCTATTAAGTGCGGATCGCATGCTCTTTATATAAATCGCAAAGAAACAAAATTTGCGACCGGATCCCGAGTGAGTCTGCATCATAACATGTACTTGGAGGCATTTCCAATTTTTGATATCTGGTGATACGCAGTTGCATTTATCAATATCCGTACACTACACAGGCACCGTCACGTGAGGCCGAGCATAGCTCTTTGAGTGTTTTGAATCGTATTCAGGAGACAAGATGACGGGTTGCTCTTCGGCTTAATGGGCTTCAGTCACCGTATACACGACGGACATTATGTGGACTTAAGATATTCATAAAGCAAGCCGTACATTCCTTTACGCCTTACCATTTGTGTGAGATGTCAGCACCGATTGGCGCGGCTAGATGGCATCGCAGTTGCGGAGATGCAGATCACCTGTATATTGTATCACTTAGCAACTTAATCTTTGATTCAACTCGACCGAATATGCATGCCTTTGTCTCGTCCCCGAGACGCAAATATGCCGGTGTTGTTCATTCGTGTAAATTCTGCAGTTATAGACCTTACGGATTGCGTGCTCGCTGTGTCCTGTAGGTAGGCGCTAGAAGGCAGACCCCAGGGGCAAAGGTTGGGCCATACATTACGTCCGGCAACTATATGGCGCATATCGCACAAGCAATACCAATGGCGTGCGAGGAGTAAACCTCTATAAAGGTAAAATGTACGCACTCCAAAGGCAGCCAGGTAGTGTGCTACCATCTGAACCACAGCGTAACGTATCCATCATAGTATCATGTTTCTAAATCCGCATGCTCGGAATATCCTTTAGGCGCCATTTTACTAGTATGCTAGAGCGTCGAAGCCCTAATTGCAATAATCCGTCAGTCTCAGGGTGCCCCAAAGAAATGTTTCATGAACAGTATACTGATGTACTACGTTTCCCAAACAACACAAACTCTGTTTGACCCATCCGTAGGTACCAGCGCAACAGATCACAAAGTCCATTAAAAGCGATCTCCGTGAAACAAGTAGGATCATCTTGAGCCCGACCCCAACTACAAGTGCCAGGCTAACATCCAGATCCCCTTGTTGCAAAGGCGTCCTGAACTCAAGCAAACAATCGTTTAAAATCCGGAAAAGCTAAACTGCCACACACAACACGGCTCATATAATGTTTTAATATTGAATTAGAACCAATGTTTCAGAAGAAGAAACCGAGGATCTTTCCACCGGTGTGCTTGCGCCTGGCCTCCTCGTGGTCCATGATTCCGTACGCGGTGGTGAGCACAAGGTGCCCGAACTGCCTACTCGGCAAGATGTTGGAGCTCCACTGCTCAATGTCGTCGAGGGCAATGTCGTAGCGTGGCGATACAACGGCACACTTGTTGATGCGGCCCAAGAGCTCGATCACAATCTTGCCACTGCGATGGTCGTCCGCGATGTGGAACTCGCCGATGTAACCGTGCTTCTGCATACACAGCAGGAACTTTACGATGACGCGACTTGAGGGGCGGATGAGAACGTGCCTCCTACCGCGCTTCTCGGCGTTGACAATGGTCTTAAGGCAATCCGCCAACACGCTCATGCGAACCATCTGAAAATTTATGATGCGTGTAAAAACAGCTGTCAAATTAAACGGGCGCAATAAATCCGACAATCGCCGCGAAACGATGGGCAGGGGGACTAACCTTGCGTCAAACTGGAATGTGCTGAAGCCTATTAGCGTTTATATACCTAGCAAATCGGCAGCAAGTACCCTATGCATAAATATTTGATGCAATCCGGGTGGTTATTATCGCAAACAAGCTATGAGAGCGTCGATGTTCGGATGCCGTTCCGCCGTGGGGAGGCGGCCTGAGCCTTCCGCGGCTCCAGTGGGGACGACTATTTAGTCAGCTAAAACTGGGTTTTGTAAGCGTTTACGGTGCGATATAACGAAGCCGCTGGTTTTTATGTTCTCATTTGGGTCGCGGGTGTATCCCCTTATCTTACACATGGGCAGACAGCTGAGTAGTGCCGCGTGCGCGATAGCAGTATACCGACGTGCCCAGAGCATAGGAGGAACAAACACCGCCAGAAGAACACACTGTATAGCGTAAATCTCTCAAACTTGGAGCTGGCAAGCTCCTAGGTAGATGTGTGTCGCATTAGCGTTGCTGTCGAACCACGCGCTGCGCGCATAGGCTTGGGAAGTTATGAATGGATACGACGCTCTACGTAACAAATCATGTAGCTTCCAACGCAGGGTGTGATATGATAAAGTTTGGTGATATTGTAGCTTTACTACGAGATTTGACTACACTGCGGAGTGCTTGATACGTATTGCCGTAGCATTTGGTTACAGGCCTATGCCCGGTTGATGGCTGCTGTGGCACAGTAGTATACGATAACACTGTGATACACAGATTAACAGTATCTATCGCTAATAGCCCGTGAGGAAGAGCTCACGTCGAAAAACACATTTTTAGTTGTCGAACGTTAGCCACGGGCGCTATGCTTTGTGTTAGCCTGTGACACAATGTCTGTGATGGTATCGCATACATAATCAGCACTATAAGATATAGAAAGGGAGCGTTATGGAGGCTATTGTCACATCGGGGATTCTGTGTGTCCCACGACGCGGGGCGTCTCGGGGTAATGAGAATACAGCAGCCTCACTAGACATTAATTGGCATACTGTAGCCCGAAATCGTACATAACATTACGCAAATACTACGACAACTCACTCTCAAACGAGCATTTGCTGTGTTATCGTATCCTTTTATCGCTCAGATATATCGAGGTCGCAACAATGGACTTCAAAATGGAAAACAACGAGTCTTCACCGAGGGAAGCTCCACGGTTTTGGGACTGCTTCCAGGACGGTAGTGTAGACTGGGTAAAGCTTACACATTACTTCGATTACCAGGCGGAGGCGTTTCCGCTGATGACCTCCATCTCACGCGTCGTCAAGCTCTCTCCCGGCATCATCCTCATTATTTCCATCATATCGCTCCTGATCATTTTCGCCTGCGGTAAGGGTACGACGATTATATGCGACGCGGCTGGCCTCCTGTACCCCGGCTACAAGACCTACAAGGTCATCAAGCTTTTCGATGGATGCCCCGCCATCAGACGCGCTGCAACTCAAGAGTTGAGTGGAGCCATCGGAATTGACGGCAGCACCCCTCAGGAGCAGCTCATGTTCTGGGCTAAGTACTGGGTGGTCTACTCGCTCGCCTTCGTGTTCAAGTACACGCTATTGGCTGTCTTCTTCTGGGTGCCTTTCCAGGACCTGTTCAAGCTATGCTTCGTCGTGATGATGTTCCATCCCAAACTCAGGGTAGGTGGCAAATCTTAAAGCAACTCACAGCTTGCGCAGGGTGCCGAATTGGTTTTCAACTTCTGCGTGTTCCCCGTTCTCATCCAATACGAGAAGCGCATCGACGGCGCGCTGGACTTTGTGGACAAGAAGATGGACGAGCTGATGAAACAGTACAGCCATTACGCCATGACCCCAAAGATGAAGGAGCGCATGGCCCAGGGAGCGGCCGCCGTAAAAGCCGCTTCCCAGGCTCAGTGAAGGCCGTACTACACATGACGGATAATAACATAGGTTGTCGCATTACAATCGCAACAATAACACTGTAACATTAAGCTCTTTGCTAATGATAAACACAACAAGCGTGATTATTGCCTCAGACTGGTTCGAAAGGTCAATCTCTAAATGAAATGTCGGCATGACTGGGTAGTTCACGTCAAGCACGCGCAACTGATTTGACATATGCCAAAACTATTAATGTTAGGTTGGAACACGGATGGCCATAAACCAACCGAACACACGTGTTTTTGCAGCGCCCACCGCCACAGATTAAAATGAGATCTAAATTATGGAGCGATTATCACGCCAGAATTACCACGGTGACTTCACGTTGTGGATACTGCGATTGCCATTCTGTGGTCGTGGGCGTTGCCGTGGGAACTCCTGGTATTCGCCGTAAACCGACATCGGTCGCCCGGACAGGTCCATGCCATTGTACTTTGCAATTGCAAACTTGGCGTCGTTCATGGACTTGAAAACGCAGCCTCCAGTACCCTGAAAAGGCCATGTGAGCCAAACAAATATTCGCTTACTCTAGACCTGGCGGTGCGGTCGTAGTCGATCCAGAGTTTGTCCACTTCTCCCACGGAAGCGAATAGCCTCTGCAAAGGTTAGGGCGCTTGCATTTAGACGTACCATCAGTTGCTCTTGGGAGACGCTGTGATCAAGGTTGGTCACTCGGACGATGAACTTGGGGGGGCGTGGCTCATTAGACGTAGGTCCATACGGCGTGGAGTGAAGCGGTCGAGCACCGAAGCTTTGGGGGTAAAACCGTTCCCGGCGATGTGAGTCGGACCCATTGAAGTGTCGCTTCCCGTAGAAGCCGCCGCCCCTGTGGTCACGGAAGTCATTCCTTCCGTCGCCAAAGGGCTGCATTTGTGAATTGAAATGGTTCCTCGGGTCACCAAAGGGCTGTGAAGGCCCACGTAAATCGTTCCTTGCGTCACCGTACTGATTCATTTGTCCAGGAAAGCTGTTCCTGGAATCGCCAAACGATTGTGTCGAGTCATGGTAGTTGTTTTTTGAAAAGCCGAAGGGCTGCGTTGAATCGCGGTATCCTCCCCTGACGTCGCGTGGCGTGTTTCTCGCGGACTGGTAATCATTCTGCATATCCTGGTAGCGCATGTTGTTGCGACCGCCCTTATGCGTGGCCTTGCCCCGGCGTAGCACCTTGTCGACATCGTCTGCACCTTTTGAACGGGACTTGCTTAAACGTACCCAATGACATGTCCAGCAGTTGTGATGCGCGAACATCACTGTTCGACGCCATGTTGCCAGCGTCAGATTGGCCTAGTGAGAACACACTCTCTTGCGCGGCCACGAACGGTGATGTGTACCACCAAAAAGGTAGCGCTAATTTAAACTAAACATGCGCTAAGTGGGTTATTATTAACATTTCTTTCATCTATAAAATCCTAAGTTAGGTATTTCTAACTGCTCCGCGATTGCAGTTATTGCTCACACCTCCATACCGCATCATCCGCGGCAGCTCGTTGCCCGAAAGAGGAGGGGCAGACAAGCCCGCAGCGGACCTAATGGCCCGTATCAGGATATAATGAGTTTCAAAAAAACGACTTGTAATTAGGTGTGCAATTCCGGGTGGCGGCCCCGCTGCCGAGCCGGACCACCGGCGCTGCAATACAACGCTGCCGCCAATACGCCACTGATATAGGTGTTTTGCCAGACACAGCTTGCTGATGTGTATGGAAAACGGCTAGTGTGCGCATATATCGCTTCAATGGTGGCCAGGATGAGGGAGCCGCAGGGGTGTGGAGTCTGCGCAGCCGCTTTCACGCTTTTGAGCAGGCCAAGGATATGCAGACAGTGCAAACGCAACTGCTGTGCCAATTGTGTTGATACGAACTACTTTTCTCCGCGTGGCGTCAGCCCAGCGAAAGGAAAAAAGCACAGCGGCCAAGCAGATTCTACGGGATTATGTGTCGACTGTGTTGTGGCGGAGGCAACCAGCCACTCCATCTCTGTCCAAGAGGACCTGGATCGCACCGAGGAGATCAATCGCGGGCTTAAACACGAGTTAAAGCGACAGCTTGTAGCCATGGAGAAGTTCCGAGGTTTTCTGGTGGAGTTCTGCGATGCATTCGCGCCGGAGTCGGCGCTGTTCCAGGAAGGCGACAAGGCTGAGAACAACGGTGAGCAAGAAAGCGACTCCGATAAAAAACTTGATCCAACTCAACCTATCGCAAACCTTGTGGCGCGGGGCCAGGACAGCCTGCAGAACCTGTATGCACGAGTGAGACGGCTGCGCTCAGAACTTGACGCGGCCAACAGCGATGGTAATGGCCTCAAACTAGCATTGGCCGAAACCAAAGCGCAGTTAGAAGCGGTGGCAAGTGAGCGTGACAGCTTGCAGGCATCGCTGTACCAGATCAATGAATCGCTACTCCGCCTGGAGGCTGAGCGGCAGCAGGTGGCCGATCTGAGGCGTGACTACGAAGCATTGCGAGCGCGCTGCAGCAAGATGGAGCAGGCTCACAACGAACGAACAAGTCGACGTGACACGAATTTGCTGTTGCAGCGTGGCAGTGCGCGGGAAGAACAGGCAGAGAACTGGAGGTGGTTCGCAGTGTGCTGCCCGCGGTTCGCTTTCTAAGAGAGGCTGTAGATTCCCTCATAAACACGTTGGATGCAGCCGAAACGCCACAATATCGCAAAAACAATGCAAGTGCTGCGCACAAAAACCACATTAACATTCAATAGTGTACACTAGTAGGGCTTCTTGTCCTGGAATGTCGAGTAGATGGTGGACAGTTGCTCGCCGCGCTGGCGGAGTTGCATTTCGCAACGGTCCAACTGCTCGGCGAGGCGACGATTCTGCTCCTCGCAGGCCTGCAGAGCCTGGGAGGTCTGGGCGTAGCGACCCTGCAGCACGCTCAGCTCCTCGGTGGATTTCCCCAAGCGGCTCTCCAGCGCCTGCAGCTCGCGACCTAGGCGGTGAACCTCTCCTTCAGTGCCTTCCTTGGCTACTCTTAGTGTATTTATGGTATTTTCATGGTTGCGGCAGCGATTCGAGAGGTCCTCGACCTGAAGTTGCCTCTCATGTAGCTGGCGGCTGTTTTGCGCCGCATCCTCCTTGCTCCGAGCCAGATCTGCCTCGACCTGACGGTGCTTGGACATTAGCGATATAAGCATGCGATACACGCGCTCGACTTGCGCGTTGAGCTCGCCAACCTCCTGGTTCAACCGGCCGTTATCAGTCTCCACAGTACGCAACTGCTCAATCGTCCTGTCCCGCTGCTCCAGCTGTCCTTGTAGCCCTGAAACTTCGTTCTTCAGCCGTTCGCGGTGAGATGCAGCCTCCCTGAGTTGGTCATTTGCTTGAGCCTGCTCGGAAGATATTTTACGAAGCGCCTGGTCCAGGTCGCTGACCTGTGCGCGAAGCCTCACGCACTCACGGTCTAACTGCTGGGACTGCAATGATGCTGCCGTTAGTTGGCTCTGAGCTGCAGCCAGCTCAGCTTTTGAACGGTCCACTTTCCCCGCGTACTCTTCACGGAGCTGCTCCAGCTGTTTAGTGGCAGATTCCTTATGCTGCTGTAGCTCACGCGCCTGCGCGTCGAGACGGGCATGGCTCCTCTGAACCTCCCTGCGATGAGACGCCAGCTGCGCCTTGTACTTCTCCACCAACTCCTGGTGCTGTTGACGGGTGGAACCTTCAGGGCACAGCAGCGCGTGGATGAGGGTCTGCTTGGGCGGCTCGCTGGACATGTAAACCGATGCGACAATCGAGTGCACGCACAACAGTCCCGCTACCCTCATGCTGCGCGTAGGATCGGCCATGTTAGAGTCCCCGGATAGCGCCCTTAAAAACTTGCCCTCACTAGCTAGGCTACCAGTTCCGTGGTACTCGCTCATGCCGGCATAGGTCGACGCGTACTCGCGCAACAGACTCGACACATCGGGAGACATCTTCACTACGCTGCATAGAGCGCACAGCACTAGGGTTCCTGCGTCCATGCCGTCGGCACGGTATCCCGCCAGAGCATCGTAGGCCACCAACTTGGTGGCGATGTCTCCGACGCACAACATCTTGTGCAGCGAGTCACACGACACGCTGCTGGAATGCAGCGCCACTAGGCGCAACTGCTTTGCGTTCACGTCCTTCATGGCGGCCATCAATTCAGGCATGCCGCCTGACTGCACAAAGGCGTCCATTAGGGCCACCTTGCTGACGAGCCCTATGGCGTCACCAACGGCAGCTCCGGTGCTTTTCCTAAAACCGACCACAGCAATCAGGTGCTTCACGAACTTGGAACGTAAATCCGAACTGAGCGATTTGGTCACGTCGCAACGCAGCAGAATCCGTCGCATTATCAGGGCCATTATTACTTGGATGGGTCCCAGGCTGAGAGTAGCTACGTTCAGAAACGTCTCCACCGCATTACCTACGGTGTCGGAATACCTTTCAATAAGGGCGGTTGTTCCTGACATCGTGTTGGCAACATCAGGGAGGGTCTTGGGACACACGTCGAATAGCTGATGGAGCATCTGTAAAATTGGTACCGCCAAGTCGTCCATCTTGTTGTGGATCAGGTTGCAAGAGTGCAACACAAAAATAGCAAATGTCTTCTGCGGATTCATGCGCTCGTCTGCATATCGCACGAAGCCGGGGTCCCGCATACACAGCGACAGCGCGCCGGTGATCGCCTGTAGCTGCAGGACGCTTCTACATTTAGTCATGTACTCGAAAAGAATCCTGGGAATGGAGTGATTGTTCTGCGCCAGCTCGGCAGGGCACAGGCGAACGTAGACGCAGTAAGCCCACAGCAAAAGCGATCTGCCTGTGTTGGAACTTTCGAGCACGTTGCACAGTGCCTTCACTCCCTTCACCAATAATTCGCTGTTGGTAAACTTCACCCCTCGCGACAGGAGGCCGTTCAGCACACTCCAGTGCTTGGAAAAAATGGTTCCACGGTCGCCGATGTTCGGAACCATTCGGTCCTCCGGCAGGTCGTTCCCAGACAGAGCCGTGCGGTCCCCATGGCGGACCGCATGCTCAACGAAGCAGCATGCCACGCAGCCGAGAGTCTCGTAAACATCGCCATCCGCTGCGAGTAGCTCTTCCATACATTCGCAATCGCTCGCCAGCAGTACGTCTAGCAGATGCAGACATAGCACATAGAGCAGCGATATACGCTGCGCCACCCGGCGATCGAGAGATGCGAAAGGGTCCGTGGTGTCAGGAGTGGTTTGCCAGATACCCCTCCCCAAAAGTGCAAAAAAACGACGCGCAGTGTCCACATTGTTCCTATTTCCTGCCTCTACCCCGGCTGCAGAAGCTGCGTAGATGATCCGTAGCACGTTCAGAACATGGGCGTATATATTGGCGGTGTAGCTCCCAGGGTCGCCCACCTGAGGCAGCAAGTAACCAATCCTGTGGTACCTCGCCAAAATGGCCAAGGTTGCGATGGAGGTCAGGTGGTCGCTGGACGTCAGGGCTGATTCGCACACATCGTCGAAGGTCAAACTCTTAGATACCCCAGAGACAGCAGAAGTGCTCAGCGCATCCGCGCGGCCGTAGTATGAGTGTAGCAGACGTTGGCAGTGCTTGGTTACCAGACCCTCGCATTCCGGGGTGTTCAGGTACCGACTGCGATACGGGTTGTGCTCAAACTTCTGCAGCTCGTGCCGACCCAGCACGTCACTAGACGCCTCACGGGAGAAGGTTGCGCAGTCTTCCCAAATACTCGGCTTACGATAAGGGTCAAAGGCAACGCTGCCGCTCTTAGCAGCTTCGCCGCCGTTCACGTAGTTGAGCGTGGAACCGTAGGTAAGCCCAGCGCCAGGACGGTAGTCCCCTCCTCGGATGTCCGCCTTGCCGTCTACATTTTTAACGGAGTCATTGCGCAGGTAATCGTTGCGGGCGGTGTATCCGTACATATTGTCGTTGGCCGACGGTTGTGTAGTGAGAGATGCGAAACCGCCGCGGTCCAGGTTAGAGTAGCCAACATCACGTCCCATCGTTTGACCAGGCGACTGCGAATATTACACGCTCGCGAATAGCTGGGCCCCGCTCAATCTGCAGTCACGAGGAGATGTGGTGAACGGCAGTTGCGCCCATCATGTCGCGGTAGCCTGGTCGAAGAAAAGTCACGCAACGGCGTCGCAGCGCCAGATGCAGGAAAAGAATTCAACAAGAGACGCAACAACCGCGCGTCTCACTATAAATAATCCACGGTAGCCTGAGAATAAACGGTGTGCACAACTAGATACCGTGGAATCCGATGAATGTGAAGCGCACGACCATAAGACGCCGTTGAGTCCTGCGAGAAGACGAAGTATCCAAATAAACTGGCTACAAACGCTCACGTAAAAATAAAACCGTCTCAATTATCACCCAACGGTCAAATTGGGCGAAATCGAAATTTAGACAAAAAAACGACGTCGACCAACTCACGTCTACACACCTCAACAAAGTAGAAAGAGGAAGGCGGGTCGGCAACGGTCGTCACACAATTTTCCTTACCTCTCTCACAAAAACTCAGCGACTCAGTGGACGTAGCATTTCGCGTCTTCGTGAGGCACAGATCGGGTGCGCCAATCAATTTCGCCCGCGGTGAAGCATGTCAACGCGAGGAGTCATTCCACCCTGTCTTAACAGTTGCAACAACTATAGACATGTAATAAGGTATTTGTTTTAATGACATTGCCGCGTGTATGTTGCTGCGACTCTTAGGAAGCTACCGGTCACAACGACAGCGCCGATGCGACCCTGGTAGATATGGGGAGCCAAAATCGCTTCATTGCACCTATATGTCATTGTTTTTGAATTCAATAAGTTGTAAAGGGTGATAAGGTCGTAAAAGGCTGCATCTTTGCGGGTTCGCTCGTTGCTGTATAGGTTTCACGTAATGACCCATCAGCGGGCTACTCACATAACTCACGCGAGTAAAGAACGATAAACGATCTCCGGCCGACACTGTGACTGTTTATTGCGGACTCCCTGGGTGTTCTGCATTCGGTTGTCTTTCCTACAATCACTTGTACGTTTGGTACCACCTGTTCATAGTCAGCGCTATCTTTGAGCGCTGGTAGAGACCTTTTGAATGGATGAAGGAAATATTATGCCCCACTATAGTTACACTTTGACGTATGCGGTACCCGTTCTCTGCTGAAGCCGAAGTGACCCCCCCCTTTATCTTTGTTTTGGTTTCATTTAGTGCGCTACGTGGCTTAGGGCCGATTTTTCGTGTTTGAGAGAATCTACAACATTCATGTTGCGATCTCACACGACAGCAAGAACATTATATGCACTAGGGATGGCTATGACAGGTCACTGGAGCTGAGGCTTGGAGGTGCTAGAGAAAAAAGGGAAAGTTTTTGTATAGCACATCCATAGTACCGATGTGGAAGAACCAATGAGTGTTTGGTAATACTACATTGACTTTGAAGTTGTTTTGCGATATTAACATGCTACGTGAAGTATATGAAGCTACATCAGGCCCTTGAATGGTAAGGCGGAGTATCTATCAGTGTCAATCTCCTCGTGAATCCTTCCACCGGCAAGATTCGTGGATGCGCCGGAACTTTTTGTCCAGTTAACAAATACAGCGCGTAGTTCATAATACACCTTCCGGAATTTCTCCGGATACTTATTCCAGGCAATGAAGCCGACTAGGATAAGTAGAGCGATACCAATGAATATAGAGCCGTAGTAGTAACATACATGTTTCGCACATAATCTTCCGCAGTCTGTGCATTTTTTGATGCATTCCCCTTTGTCATTGTATTCGTCGCGGTAGACACATTTACTCTCTCCGCCGCATGTATATCTGCCGTGACCTTTACAGTTGCCCTCGCCGTCTTGGCACTGGCCTTCTCCGTATCTGTTAAGGGCGAATCCTTCGCAAGACCCCGGACATTTGCTATTATCACACCAACTACAGCAGTTACAAAGTCCGTAACCGCATCCACAGTTGCAATTATGGCATATGCATTTAAGCTTTGGATCTATTGCCTTATTTTCTTCTTGACCAAAACAACCCTTTTCTCTGCAACGTTGACAACCCTGATCACAGCACGTCTCGGCTAGTATTCCAACTCTGTTTTGACATCCCTGACATGTCTCCTTTGCCTGCTGCTCTACCCACTGATAAACATTAGAGCGTTTTGTGTATTTCGCACAAGCGTCCTCATCATCTCCTAACATTTTGAAGATGTTACCTTAGTTAACACAACATGGATACGTAGTAAGGTATTCTTTACCAGTGTTTACCGTCTGATATTATGCAAAATATTAAACGCTTTCAAGAATCCTGTGTTGAAGATGCACGGTACGCCTGGTGGGCATCGACGTACAACACACTCTTCTGCATCTAGTACACATCACTTATTTATTTCACACCATAGGTAAGGTCATATCGTGTTTCGATAATAGCGCGAAATCGTAGCTTCCATTGCGCAAGGTCCCAAGCTGGGCGCGGGGTGTAGAAGGTACAATTTGCATGACTTCAATAACGACGGTGTCATTGCATCGAATCTCACAATTATGGCACCATACGCTTCATGCGTAATCACACTTATATTATGTTGCTGCGCTGGGCAATGTGCGATCGGCTTCCCGAGATAAACAACACATGTTTTCCCCGCTGCATTGTACGTTCAGCACCAGCTGCTAAGCCTTATTCTAAAAGACCTAGGAGGTTATTATTCGATAACGCATGATCCAATATGATGGCGATATATTACATCTAACGTCAATTTTCAGCCTTTGATTTCCAAGCATAACCACTTCTCCTTTACCAACTGCTACTCACCATTGCAATTACCGCGGACCAGATGAGCAATGCGGGTCGAAAATTGGAAATAACATTGATAACATAAGCGTGGATGGTGTTAAAACATGTTTTAAACAGTGCTTTTCAAAGCCGCGTAATCGATATCCTTATTGGCGATCCTGCGGTTGCCGCTGGAACCTTGTTACTACGCCTTTACAAATGCATCGTCATCCGCCATTCTGAGACACTCGGCATACAGTAGTATAGATTGTCTTAAACTGTGTTATCCGTGTTTATCAATTTTCGATTGCGAGTCCATAACAGTAATGGCAGCGGCAATGTTTGAACTGGTGTTCAGTACGCATTCTCAAAGGCACGCCGTGGAACGCACCCATTACTGGTAACACAATTACTGATGCCAGTTCATCGTCACTTGTGAACTATGTTTCATGTGTTCGACTTGTCTCTCAGTTGACGTCACTACCGAAGATCGCTAGATGCATCTGATACAAGCATCTAAAAAATGTGATAATATTACATGTCGTGGTGCTCGTACAAGTGCCCTACTTAATTCGGGTATGAAAATGGTTCGCCATAATCTGCAGGCATTTTTAATCATTTTGATTCGACTTTACGCTTACGGTGTCACCCATCACCATCGTTATGGCGCTCAGCATGGTGGCAGGTTTGGCAGGCAACTGCAACATCAAACTCACAAGCAACGCTGGCGCAGTGCGAAATGGCGTTGAAAAGCTGAATTCACTCGAATGGCACAACGGTTACTACGCGGATTCATCCGGCGACACGTACAGATGAGAAAGGTTGCGAAACCCAACGACGATGCAAGCGGGCGATCCATGATAAGCACTTTTGACGGCTATGCCGTATTATACTCGAGGAACTGCATGAGCGCCGACGCTCAACACACTGGCGAGAGGGATGGAGAATCCGGCGGGTGCACTTAGGCGTGGAGATGGTTGTGAGATCAGATACCGTAAATGCAGAGTAAACGAAGGCAGGGTTCTGGCGCTTAACAGGACATTTTCACCTAAATTGTGATTATGTCGCATAGGAATGTTCGAGTGATTAGAGAGGGCCAATTTGTCGTATGGAGAAGCATGAACACCTCACATCAATTTGCGCGGAATCAAGATCATACGCGACACTTGTCCAACACAGTCCTTGGCGCACACATAGAAGTTGATGCATCTCCGCACATTATTCCAGCTTATCCGGGTTCGGTATATGTCTGTTTCGCCCGAGACCAGTATACGCGAACAACATGCGGTATACACACTGCGTGCCACGTCAATGCTACAGTCCTGTCTGCGATGGGGTATATTTTATCGTACGCGTGTTATGTGTGTGTACGGTGGTTTGTGTTGTAACCAGACGCTTATTTGTTGAGAGTCGACAGCACTTGTGCCTTTCTGCGATTGGGAAAAGCCGGCATTCACGTTGCTTATTAAACGAGTGTGTGTTGGCAAAACGACATCAATATACAAAATTTTCCGTACACACTAATCGGATAATTTAACACATCTCAACAAAATGGTGTTCCATACGTTGACTAGGGTTCCTCAGAATTTCAAAGAGGGTGTAGACTGGTTGATAGCCCTGAAGGGTACTGATCCTAAATCAACCATGAGAGATTTGGGTGTCGCAATTCACCGTCTGCTTGCATTTTATCCGGTCGGACCGACGATGCTGCCAACACTCGAGCCTATAAAACGTATTTCTCAGGAGTTCCTAGAACAACCGGAACTTAAGGAGCAGCCGTTCGTAAAGATTCTGCTGGAACGGTTCAACAAGCCTCTGAGCAGAACCCCTGGCAAACCCATTGAGCATTTTACACATTCCACAGAAGCAGACTACCAGAACGTTGTACAGACCAAAGGTGTTACATCTCGAGATGTCGTGAGCAACGTAACTCAGTTTGTGTATGGCTTTGAGAAGTTCTTGGAAACTATCAAGAACCCTGACTCGTATAACTCTGCATACAGTTCAAAGGCGACATGGGACAGATCATGTGCTGAAAATCCGAAGGGTTGCGCAGTTATTCTAGTGGGAATTGCGCCGATGTTATACGCGGGTGTGCGTTCTTTGCTGAATGCGAGCAAAGGTGCGTGTGAGTTGCCGGCTCCTAACGCGGAAGAGCGTTTGGGAGAAGTATTGAGAGCCTTGGGCTACGCAGAGCCGGAATGCCGCACTGAGGTTGGTGTATTAAATGTCCACATCGCACTAGATGATTTCAATAATCATCTATTGACCGTACTCTACGACCTCGCTGGATACTGGGCTTTCTATTGAGTAGGCGTCGCATGTGAGGTCTAGAAGCATCTATATAAACCCCGGTTTTATGCTCCGATCACCAGTAATGTGGCATCACAAAATCCTCACGATACATTTCTGATTTATAAGATGTGGTGATAGCCAGCTTCGTGGGTACAATCCCCATTCGCTACGCTGGTACCGTCGCATGAGCCCGAACACAGTTATTGGAGTGTCGTGAATTGTATTCAAGACGCAAGTTGGCGGGGTATTGTCACAAGCGTCAATGCCAGTATACACGACTGGCATTTTGCGGAGACCCGCAGTATATAAATCACGCTGTATGCTGCTATGTCCCTGCGTGGGTGGGTGAGCGATCAATGTTGCTTTGCGGTCACACACATTACCGAAGATCAGCGCATTGTAATCGCAAGGCCCATGAGTGCCCATACATGTTATCACATAACAACTTAATCTTTAAACGTACACACGTTTCTGAGCATGCATCCATCTTGCGGCCTAAAATGCACGCGGGCGCCATTTACAAGTTACGAGTTGTCCATGGCCATTTTGAAACATTTACTTGCTATGCCGTATGGGGTGGCCCAAGTAGCATTCCCTGCGTATAAGGTCTGTATAGCCCGTCTGCGCAGGCAGTAGATACAAAAGGGAATAACGGGACCAACTCCAGTGGTGTGCGATGAGTGAAACATTAAAAGCATGAGTCTGCCCATGCCAGACGTTGCCACACAACGCATAGTAGACCATTGGACACAAAACAGTCGGGCAGTTAAAGTTATTATTGTGTTTATCGAATTAACATTAGTAATGGTGACTCGATCAGTGCCCAGATTCACTACAATAGTATTGTCAACTTCTCCATCGAGTCTATTTTGGATATGCTGTGAGATCTCACTCTGGGCTTCTTCAAAACTGGACATAAGGCCATTTCTCTTACCAGACACTATGTTATCACCCCCGCTAATCTCCCCAGCCGCCCTCTGAATCGCCGCCTTGGCGGCCTGCTTGATCTGGTCTACAGCTGCAGGGTTGAACTGTGTGACGGCGGTGGGAAGTTGGGAGACTGCATCTGCAAGTGGCTGTTTGACGTTATTTTTAAAGTTATCTGTAATCGTTCTCTCAACCATATTCCTCACTTCACCCAACCTACTGTCCACGGCTTTGGCGGGGCTCTCCTTTGGGTCGGTGGATTTTTGTGTCGCCTCGTCAAGCTGCTCATCAAGCTTTTTAGTTGCTTTAACAGCTTGATCCAACGCCTTTGCGATGTTCATTCCGGTGCCCATCCTGTAGTCCGCGAGCATAAGGGAATCAACCTCCTTGCTGACCTGTCGGGCCACCGAGGACACGACAACAACGGTAGTGGCGATGGCTTGAATGAGGACACATTGGGATGTTTGATATGTGCAGTCTAGACACTTACTGCCACGGCAGTTTCCGCAGTTGCAGTTTGCCTTTGCTAAGGCGGCTTGTAAGTTGCCTTTTGTGCTTCGTAATTTCTCACTGTTCAACGCATCCTTAGCCTTCTTCGTTATCTCAAGGACACCGCTGTTCACATCCTTCTCTAGTTTCTCCTCAAGCCTCCGAGCAAACAGTTCGCAGGCATCTTTGACCTGTGTGATTTTTTGCTGGATGCCGTCGGCATTTGCACTCTTGAAAACAAGAACGGCTTGCTCAATTTGTGCTTTGAGCGGTTCCCTAATTCCACCAGCGAGACCATTCTGATTAAGCTCTGTCTTAAGCTGTTCAGCCGGCTTACTCTGCCATCCAAGCAGTCTCTTAACCAGGCCGTTATGACCAAGAATATCATCCGTCCAGCCCGTAACTCTTTGGTCAAACTGCCAATCTCCGCTGAACGCATTGAAATAATGCTGTATCGCACTCTCAATGCCAAGCAGACCTTTAGCGTCTTTACGTTTCCAACTTTCTCTTTCATCTTGCTGCCCCTGTTCCCCCCTAATCTCCCCAAGCTGCTTATGAATATGTTTGAAAATCTCTTCGAGTTTCTTTTGCTCCTCCGTTCCGAGCCCAGTAAACTTCTCGCCAAGCCTCTCAATCGCCTGGTCAACTTCACTAACTTTATCGTTAAGCTTTTGTTGGATCTCACTCTTGAACTTTTCATCCATACTGATCAGAGCCTTCTGAATTGAACCGTCCGTTCCAGTAGTCTCCTCCAGAGTACCCTTCGCCCGCCCAAGCTCTTGCAACTGACTACTTGCAAGATCAGGCTTCTTGCCAAGCTCACTAATCTTCTTTCTCAACGTCTTCAAATCATTCTTCACTTTCTGATCCAACTCAGTAACTTTCAACTCTTCAATAACTTTCTTTATCCCTTCCTTAATCTCATCTTTAACCTCCTTCAAATCCGTCTTAAGAGATTTGTCCATTTGCACAACAGCTTCCAAGGCTTCACCGACTTTCTGCCCAACAAGCCTCTTGGCCTCACTGGCAGCATTATAAAGCTCCGTACCTTTCTTTTGTAACTCTTGAGCTTGCTTATAAATCTTACCTTCTGCTGTGCCATCTGTCTTTACTTTCGTAAGTATATCATCACACTTCCCTTCCGCCTTGGAAATAACATTCTGGGCCGCAGTCTTCCACTGCTCCAGACTCTTAACATGTTGGCCAAGCTCTGTATTAGCATTTTGAATTGCTTGACTATTAGAGCTAATTTTATTAATGTTTTGAGCGACAGGATGTTGAGCGTCATCCTTATCTTCCAACGCATCATGCACTGTCTGAGCATTCTTAATCGCCCCGGCAAGCACACTCTTGGCCTCCTTATTCCACTCTCCCAAATTGCTATGAACAGTTTCCAGATTTTTATTAACTTTTTGTATTGCCTTATTGGCGTTAACAATTTGCTCAACATTCTTGCTCAACGTCTCATTAACCTTCAACTTGTCGTAGGCTTCTTTGGCTTTGTCCTCAGCGGCCTGACGGATTTTCTCAGCGTCGGTGATCCAAGTACCTAACTTGGTAACTTGCTCTTGAAGTTGTCCATTTGCGGTATCAAGTTGCGTTTTAGCGTCTCCAATATTCTTAATGTTCTTACCAATGGTATCCTGACCGTCATGCTGCAACCTTTTATGCACATCCGTGGCCTTACTAACCACACTGTTGAGCACACCTTTTGCCGCGGAATTCCAATTATGCAAATTGCTGTGAACCTTAATAAGCTCCCTATCCACGCCCTCAACTTTTTCTTTAGCTGTAGTAATCTGCTGAAGTCCTTTGCCAATCTCCGTTGCGCCAGGGTCTTTTTTCTTATTGGGATCCAACTTCTCATGCACAGAAGTAGAACTCGTAATCGTCTCTGTCAGCACATTCTTTGCCGCTTCCTTCCATTTTGTCAAGTCCGCAGCTCTGCCATCCAACTCGGATTCCACCTTATGAATCGCATTGTTCAGGTTTTCCAAGTTGTTCGGATCTGCATTCCCATTCACCTCATCCAAAATCTTCTGGACTAAATCCTGCGCGGCTTCAATGTCCTTTTTCGTTTTTACAATCCACTTGTCCAGGTCCACAATATATTTCCCAAGCGATTTACTGACCTATTCAAGGTTCTATTAAAGGTGATCAGTGGCCTATTTTAGAGGTGCATGAGGGGCGTCGTAAGACGCGTCCGCAGCCTCAATCCGCCGCCGCAGGTGGGAGTGAGGATGGTGGAAATATACTTACCATCCTTTTTTACCTTAGGCAAATCCTTTTCCTCAAATCCCATCACGACACGGCTCTTGAGGCAGATGTCACACGGGTCGAAGGGATGAGTCTCGAACTTGGAGGTGTCAGTAAGGAACGCCTGGAGGGGAGAGTTGTGTACCTTGTGGCCGTAACGGCAATCCTGCCACCCACCATTGAGTTGAACCCGAGAACACTGCGACCTTAAGAACCGCAACTGGTAGTAGCAGGCGTAGACGTAGTCCCGCAGCTGGCAGAGGAGGCGGGCGGGGTCCGAGGAGTAATGAAGCTTGGAATATTCTGAGCTGAAGTTTAGAGTTGTTGGAGCATCATTGGAGTCATTATACTTCATCTTGTGGATAACGCTGGCCCCGTAAAGGCACGCCTGGGTCAGAGTGTTGGAGACGATGGAAGCGTCCAGGTTGTAAGGATCCCTGGTTACCTCGAGGGCATCTGGAGGCTGGGAGACATCCTCGTTAATCTCCCTCAATAGAATCTTAAGATGCTCCGCAATCATACCAACATACCCCAACTCGCTCATTCCAACCATCCAGTGGAGCATCTCCCTGACGGTGTTGGGCGGGGGCAGGTGGTCGGAGTCTGGAGGAGGGGAGGGGGGTGGAGTTATCGTAGTGGTGGAGGAAGGAGCAACGTACCAGGGGGCTTGGCAGTAGTTCCTATTGAGATCGTCGGGTGCTTGACCAGGGAATACGGCAATGGGAACCGGAGGTGCGGCGTGCGTTCTCTCCTTCAATTTCGAGATTTCTAGGTCAAAATCAAACAGTTGTTGGGAACTAGTGGGTAAGTCGTCCACAATCTCGTCAGGATCCATGCTTAAGGAGACAACCTCGTCAGGAACCGGCGGTAAGTTCATAGGTACATCGTCTGGCGGTTCTAGGAATGTCTCCAAAACATCATCAGGGGTCTCCATCACAGGATCATGCTGAACGAAACGCTCTGGCTTTTCAACCTCCATATATATTTCGGCGAGAGGCGCCGTTGCAATGACGTTAGAAGGCGGCGTGTTCGGTGGCACTACAGTTCCGTCGAATTGCGGTCCATCGTCTTGAAGCTTTTGCAGTGCAGGGGGTAAGATCGGAAACGTAGGCATGGCACCGGTAGACGACGTGATGGGCGCTCCCCAAATATGTGACTCGTTTTTGAACTTTCGCATGAAATCGGTTTTATTGTAAAAGTAAGGATCTTTAACAAGCGATTTGCTTGCCGGGACAACTTGTTCAACGGACTCCACAATATCGGCAATCGTATGCAGTTGCTCTCCAGCGGCTATCGCCTTGTTTTCGATGTCATCCTGTTTTTTCTTCTCGGCTTGATATTGTTTATTAACATTATTGATTCCTTCTGAGTAACTCTGATGGAATGCGGAATCTGCACGAGAGAGATCTCGAATAGCGTTACCGTAGGATAAGGATGGTTTCAGTTGCCAAGGAGGTGTAGGGTTGTTCTCCTGGATCTCTTTGCCAAGAAACGCATCATATTGCACATCCTGCAGAAGCGCCTCATCATGCATTTTCGTCCATCTATCGTTAGCCTCCTTTTGTTTCTGTAACACAATGTCGGAGCCATCCTGCAAGACCTGGCCTCTCACCGCGTCTATGGCCATACTTGGCCTTGGTTTTGGAATAGTAATCCGAGAGCCTTCTAAAAAGGCCGCGTTGTCCCGTTGTTGTTGCCATATACGTTCATACTGCTCCATCGCTTTTCGACTTTCACGTTCCGCTTGTTCTTCTGCTGCTTTAACTTTGTTCCAAAATTCAGGCGAGGGCTTATTGGCGGCCTGTATATAATGAGTCGGCTTCGCACGATCTTCGGGACACATGTAGCGCTTGGCATTCCAAACAGGAGCAGGTGCCTTACCATCTTTACAAGTTCTACTTGATTTTTGTAATTTTTGAGAATGATCACCCCCACTCCCACCAGACGCCGGGGCAACCGACACATTAGTGACGCTGCTTACATCTGGACTAACTTGTTGACCAACACCTTGACCACTATCTTGCCTAGTCCCCTGATCACCAGGTGACGCAGCCCCGGAACCTGTGACACTTGTAGGCTTAGTAAGCACAGGGGCTTGAGGGGAATCAGTCTGTATAGTTGGAGAAACACCGGACGCTGAATCCTGACCCGAGGGGCCTGGCGGAGCAGCGGGGCCATCGCCTCCAGGAAGAGGGGGAGGAGGCGGCGGAGGGGGAAGAACTGACACGTCTTGAGAAGTATTTTGTTGAACTTGTACAGCATTTCTAACTGGTGAACCTGTAGACTTAGGAGACGTCGGAGACGCTGTAACAGGAGGCCCTGCCGGGCCTGTACCTCCTTGATCACCGGGAGGCTGAGTTGTAGCAGGAGCCTTTAGAACTGTTGGACCTGAAGACGTATCTCCACCTTGACCGCTACCCTGGTTTGGAGTTCCCTCACCCTTCTTGCCCTGGTTCTGTGCTCCCTCCGCTTTCTTGCCTTGATTTTGATTCCCTTCTGTTTTAGTGGCAGTCGGCTTCGCCGCCTCCGCCTTGGTGACCACAGGTTTTGCGGCCTCAGTTTTGGTAGCAACTGGCCTTGCGTTGTCAGTTTTTGTAGGTTCAGGCGGTACCTCAGGCTTTTTGGGTGGAGTAACCGGAACTTTCGTTTCTGGCACAGGCTTTTTAGGAACTTCGGGAACCTTGGCAGGCGGCACTTCGGGTTTTTTTGGAACAGGAACTTTCTTCTCCGGCACAACTTCCTTGGGGGCTTCGGGGACCTTGGCAGGCGGGGCCTCAGGCTTTTTAGGTGGAGGTGGGGGACACGAAGCTGTATACGTTCCACTCAAAATTTCTCTAAGCCTATCCAAATCGCCTTTGGGATTCTTAAACTCATTAATTACATCACGCCAATCTTTTTTCAATGCCTCTACACCCTTTTCCCTCATGTCAAAGCGAGACCCATTAAATGTGAAACCAAATGAGAAGAGATTTTTGGTGAAATATTCTGCAGTATTTTTCATTGCGTTACCTGTTTTAATTTCCCCCAAATTAGTCTTCACTTTGTCTAAATTATCTCTCAACCACCGTGCCGTGTCCTTTGCGAACTCTTCTTTCTTAAGGTGTTGAGACTCCCTACCGAAGCCGGTGAATGAAAAACGTTGACTAGTAAAAATGTTGCCAAATTTACGTTTAAGCTTCTCACAATGGTCTTTTAAATTATCCCAACAAATGCGCTTGTCGGACGACTTAAAATCAGTATTCAACGTTTTTATTAAATCACCGCCGCCATCTTTTTCTTTCCCTACTATCTCGCAAAACGTTCTCACCAACGCCAGGGCGTTGGCTGTATTTGAGTCCTGGGTGCCGGACGTTGGGGGCAACACTGAGGTGGAGAAAACGTCGAGGAAATAATTTTGTACATTCCTTTCTACGGAACGTTTATTCAGAATATTTATAAGGTCAGTGGCCATTTTAGAAGCAGGGGAGTAACCCCTCCGGGGATCATATTTTATTTCGCCCCTACCGAATCCTCCGGGAATTACGCCATATTTAGAGCTGTATTGTTCAGTGAGATATTTATCAGCCTCACCGCCAAGTATACCTCTACCAACCTGATTATTCGCCCATTTCCCTCCACCCAGCACAGCGAAATTTGCGTCCACATTGTACCTCAAAAAGTACATCACGGCTAAGAACTTGGGAATGCATTCTAAAAGAGCATCTAGTGCGGCAGTAGCATCTTTGCCGACATAATTTCCCGGCATTGGGGTTTTGCATAATTTCTTATGGAAATTGGACACGCTGCTAAGGAAAGTGGACAGTGCGGATGCAATTTGTGTCGGATTAACAGTGTTGTATTTGCCTTCAAGGCGGTTAGACAGTTGAGTGGCCACATCAGTTTTCATACTACTCTGCTTACTATGATTCAACCACATCAGGAACTGAAGACACTCCTTAAGGGTGCCAAGCTGAATGTTATGCGTCGCCATCTTGCTTACAAAGGCACTAAGCACAAGTACAGTAACAAATGGGCACTAGGCCAATGGTGCAAAATAATAGTGAAGGCTTTTAAATGGTTAACTACGAGACACTAAAGTGATAACACCTCTAAGGTGACGACACTGCTTCCAGGTCACCAAGACACTCCCAAGTTGCTTGCAACAGTAGTGATTGCGGTGTCAAGTTTGTGCTTACATTCCCTGTTTCATAAGGTTGTGCGGAAATTTTCTTAACCATGTTCAGCGGTATTGCAATATTGTCACCATCCTCACTGATCCACTCTTCCAACTCCACAACGCAGCTGACAGCGTCTTACTAACTTGCTCGAGCTGAGGTAAGAGGTGACCAACCAAAGCTTCAAATTGTCGAGGAACTAAGTAACTGCCTTGCGAATTAGTGAGTTGATGTGGTCTCGGATGGTGTTAAGAGCGTCCTTGATAAAGGCGTCGCAGGTGACGGATGGGTGAAGACTTGTCGACTGAGGAATATGGCATAGCATGTGTTCAAGACGGTATGAGTGGCAATGAGCCAAGATGCGGATTTGTGAAATAATGGGCCCATTGTTGGTGGGCTGTGAGGCATCTTGCCTTAAATGTTTGAAGAAACCAGATGATGTGAGATGCGGACTAGTGAGGCCCGGGGGCCGACGAGGGTATCATCAAAATTAAGATTAGTTTGCACTTCATTACCATGAACCATATGCCTACAAATTGAATGTCAGCATCTAATGATTTTACCTTGGATGCGTCATCGCTACAGAAACAGTACGTGGGCTCCGTGAAGCTATGAGACGTTAGTGGAGGCGACAGCGGGTTGTGGTGTGGTATGGTCGAAAGCGCGGAAAGGTTCACATATTTGGGCGAAGACTGTACCAATCCCTTGCTTATTGATTAAACAGCGGATACAAAGGATCAAGACAATGAGGAGCGGGATACCAATAAATATGACGACGCCTACAACGGGCTTACCCCAAGTTTCCCACGCCCCCGACATCTTCGTCTACATCCCAATTGTAAAGTAATCCTGCACAGCAATTAAGCGGTTACCTCAAGCCTTGATCATCATTGGCGAAGTGACGATATAAGATCCCCGTGTCCACACATGCGTTGCACCATCCAACTGGTGTTGGTGCAAGCATGATCCAATATCTCGCAAACTTGACATGCTATGAAAATCCATTAAGAAACATACATTTATGAACAAGGTGGCTAAACTAATGAATATAAACGGCACCTCATCAACGTACGATCCATGAAGAGGGTCCCAAATCCATTGGCTATCCAATGTACCACGCCATTGTTACACTTACAAATGGTAATCCGGGTGGTACTGCGCAACGATGTTGGTGCTCATTGTAAGGTAACTTATAAAAGTCCCTAAACTATGCTGCCCTCTGGTCGTATGATCAAACAATATTCCGGCATAACGCCCATAAACACGCAGCTCATAGAGACCACCTAGCTAACAGTGGAATTACTGAGTCACTTAGTAGTATGACGCTTCTTCGCTTATGGCATTTACAACCGCAGGTTCACTTACACTGTACACCTATGACATTGCATGACGTAGATAACTCATAAGTAACACACTACGCAACAGCCCAAACAACAAACAACGTAACTCATCGACTATGTTAGGTAGTAGGCTAGGTAGCAGGTTATATGTTACGTGGAGTGGGTGAGTCTAAGCAATCCACTGAGTGCGACGTCACTGAGGCGTTGAACGCTGTTGTGGAAATAGACTCAGACCTCAAGAAAGATTTAATGAATGTTAAGACACAAATTTAGAGTGGGATAACTCAGGTGATTCAGAAATTAAGAGTTAATGATTTGGGTGATTTTGTGAAGAGCGATTTGGGGACGTTGAGGAGTAACATTTTGGGGCTTGCAAAAGATATGGAGACTAATCTTATTAAGACAGAGTTGGAGAAGCTTGCAGAAGAGAAGAAAACTCTTGAAAAGGTCACTGGTAATCCAGATGGCACAATTCATAAGGCGGTAACAGGCATGGATAATCTGTTTAATGAGCATATCCAAAATCCGCTTATCAATGCGGTCGGTGCAGTTGATTCGGCGATTGGGAAGCTTGGCGGGACGTTTGATAAAATCCAAGACGGCAAAAGTATTGCGGGCATTTTCCAAAATATTAAAGATAAGGTCGGGGAGATTAAGGGGACACCGAAGAAAGGTAGGACTAATGGCAAAGGTCTGGAGGGAATTATCAGTGGACTGCAGAATTATGCTAGGGTGATTGGCGAAAATGTGGGTAAGACGAATGGAGGAACTGTGAGCGGCTGGGTGAAAAAGATTGTTAATGAGAATGTGTTGGTTAATTCGTGGATTGATGAGTATGTCACGGAAAACGGGAATAATTTTAAAGATAGGACATTGAGTAAGGATAATGAAAAGACTAAAGCAGTGAAAACTGCCATACAGAGTAGGATTCAACTTCAGTTTAACGGCGTTGATGAAAATAAAAAACCAAAGGGCCTAAATGGGGTTGCTGGAACTTTGGCGGAGATTCATAAGTTTCATAATGCCGTCTCCGAGCAGATTAAGGAATGTCTTGATCCGAGTGAAGCAGAAAATATTGTCAACCAGGTTCAGAAAAACAGAGAGGTATTCAACGGTTCTGCGACCGACACAAGCAAATATCTCCGAGGCGCAATCGAGTCCATCCTCGCACAGCTCCCGGTGCTTATCAAAAATTCGGGAGACGAAATCAACACATTCGCCGACAGCAACGCAGGACTTGGCAAGTTGGACGACATTCTTCGACAAACTAATGATATTTTTAATCAGCTTACCGCGGCGACTACCCTCAGCCAACATCCACCCCACGGCCAAGATGAAAGCCCCGCCCAAGCCGTGGACAGAACGTTGCAGGCGGTGAGGAATATGGTGAGTGGACAGGATGATGATAATATTACCAAAAGGTTTACTGACCACGTCAAAAAGCCACTTGAGACCGAGGTACAGAAACTTCCCGCCGCCGTTGGAGAGTTCAACTCTACCGCCGAACAACAGATCAAGGAGGCCGCCAGGACGGCGATCAACAAGGCGGCTGGGGAAATTAGTGATAAATCGAGTGGTCCAATTGAGCTTGGTGGTGCAAATAAACTCATGGAAGGATTCAAAACCGCGCACGATAATATTCAAGAGAATCTCGAAAAGAACCTCAAAGGCAAAGTGGACGCTGAGTTGCCGGATGATAAGCCGGTTGGATCGACTGGCACAGTTGTTCAACCAGATAAAATCACCATTACTAAAGATAATTTTAAGGATTACAATTCGCACGTTGAGCAAGATAGCATCAAGGGCTATGAGACCAATAATCCAGATACCCTAAAAGGCCAACTTCCCGAGAAGATCAAGAGCATTAGCAAGGAGGGTCTGAAAAGTCTCACTGATGTCATCGATGATAAAGTTCAGGGCGATCAGAAAATTGACAATACAACCTTCGAAAATCCAGTCAAAGCAATAAGTAAGGATCTTGATGAAATCGCCTGGCTTGTTGATAGGAGTCGGGGCAAGGCGCCGTCGCTGCCCCAACCACAACCAAAAGATGAAGATGGCATCAAGGATCACTTGACAAAATTGAAAAACGCTCTTGAGCAGACAGGATTTAATGGCGTAGATAAACAAGGCCTTGACGCAACTAAAACGGCGATTGAAGGTCTGCATAACAATCAGTTTAAACAACAACCCGCTGCAATCGACACAGCCGTCCAAGAAATTAAAGGGGAGCTTGGAGAGCTTAGAGAGAAGTTGCAAGCTAAAAATGGCCAGCCGGGAAATGATGTAATTAATACGTTGAAAGATTTGAAGACTGCCGGTGTAGAAGGTAAAAATTCTTGGACATCGAATGGTAAATCTCTCAGTGGTCTTGGGGAAATCCAGGATGACCTTCAAGAGCAGAATGATCTATTTTCCCAGCAATACTGGAACATTCCCGCAGACGTCAAAGCAATCAGGTTGGAGATGACAACACCTCAAAATAAGTTGTACGGTGAAAAGGAAAATAAAATCATCGGTGCCTTCAACGATTTGAAGAGCACGGATCTTGGTGATAAATATTGTAAAAAAAAATTTAACTGCAAAAGGGCTTGGAAAAATCAATAAGAAACTTCATCATCATCATCCTTTACTCCACTGAGCACCCCGTGCAAGAACGCCATCACCCCGTCGCACAGCCTGTCGAGGTCCGAGTACACGATGCCGGAGCCGTCGTAGCCTTTGGAATCAGAGTTGTAACCTAGGAACTTTTCTAAACCTTCAGTGAGATTTGTTAATAAATCCTTAACAGGCTGAGAATTTTTTTCATCAGTAAATATTTTAAGAGATGTTTTGAGACTTTCAAGGGACTTCTTACGCTCAGCAAGATCCTTCTCAGCACTCTTTCTTTTAGACTCAGACCCATGTACTTCGGAGTAATGGCCATTATACTTGGATTGTAACTTAGATTTTTCATCATCTTTGGCTCCGTTAATTTTCTCCTTCAACGCTTTACAATGCTCAAAATTTTTATGGCAATCCAGTTCCTTTTGCCTTTCAGTAAGACTCGTTTCAGCCTTCGTAATAGCCTCAGTAATCAACTTTTTCAAAGCCTCAGCCAAAGGCCCAAGGCCATCACCATTCCCATGCTTAACCTGGATCAACCAGTCGATGGACTCCCGGAGGTTTTCCGGGCAGTCCGTAAGCTTCTTAGGTTGTCGCACCATTTTTAAAGCTAACTTACCGGACAATTGTCGACGCCTAATTTACAACACCGCCTAACACCACAAGACCACAGCTACACTAGTACACTACAGGGCACACAGACACAAGACACGAATGTAAATTTTCAGCACATCACTAAATCGAGCTGTATCAACAACTAAGTTCATCACATGTCTATATCTCATCTACGTATATACGTCACCAATGGATGTTCATTTCCCCATCTTTAGCCCACCAAATCTTTTGTATTATTCTAAACGTATGAAATGGTGAGCAACGTCCGTAGGTGCAAACTCAAGATCTGCACTGAATGCTAACACGCCGTTATTAGTGCCTATCACATATAGAAACTCGCATACAACGTCACATATATCGTATATGTAATTTTAGACCCTCTAGTCCGCATACCACCTGTATTATGGACTGCTAATCGCCACCCATGAAGTCCATGATTGCAGCAGCCTACAATAGACTGTTTATCAGTTGTCATCTATCAATTGTAAGATGCGTCGAGTGTAGCCACACGACGATCTCCAGTGTCACTTCAGAGCTGGCTGCTGCTGCCGCCGTCTGTGTACGTTGCCCATCGTTGTTCAGGGACGTCCAGTTAGCTGTGAGAAAACATGACACATAGGCGCAAACAAACACACAATTCATGCTCTAACGGAATCGGCCGGCACTGCGGTAAAAATATTGCGAGAATGTCACGTGAATGCTATTGTACACGTGGGAGTCAATGTGGTGAAAACTGTCGTAAGTGCTGTACCTGGCGTTGAACAGGATGCAATACTTGCGCACAGTGCACTAGACATAAAAGAAGTAATTTGAAGGCTCGAAATGGTCGCCCGCGTCGTACACATTGGTTCACCTGTGGATGCCGCCGGTGTATAGCCCGCCCGCGCATTATTTGGTACTTTTGCATTCATAACCCTCTTATTCATTGCAGACGACGCATATCTCGACAAAACTCGCAAACAGACGCCTGGTACAGAGAATGTAGCTAACAGAGAGCGAGAGCCGCCACCTCATACATGGCCCCCCGCCCATCAATAGCCTAAAGCGTCATACAGTTTGCAACCCAGCAACCGACAAGGTCAACACATTCGTCAGATACTCGGCGCCCTGCACGAGTGGTGCCAGTTGAGTGGTGTACGCCAACGGCGCCACCCAATGGTCAGCGGACTTCGGAGCCAAGCAACCGGTCACCCAAGACAGCAACTAAGGAGTGCCACCTTGGCCAAACTTCCGACTCATCTAATAGACGACTGGGACATTGTCGTAGTGATAGGGTGTGTGGGCAAGTAATGTGCTCTTACGGTGGACATGCTGGGTGCTGCCGGCAAGGTGTGGCCTCTCTGACATACAACTCGCGACCCTTCATAAAATTCCAATGTTTGATATGCCATTTAAAACACAATAATATCTCTGGCCACAACACGCGCCATTTTTGTTTGAGATTTGCATACGTCAATGACATGCGTTTTGCACACTGCATGCCACTCTTAATAGTATCGAGCTGGGGTCGGTGGGGATTTCGTGTCACGGCCGCAACTTGACCCTATCCATACGTGGCGTGTCTAGGGCTTCGTAGATCTAAATCAAACGCGCGTTTGCTAGTTATCGAAGGCACTATAGTGGTTATCGACGGCTAATACGTAGCCGGCTTTTGCGCTGCTGATTATACACGCGAGCTTTCACAAAAGGCCTGCAAATAGACAAACAACCCGCACGTTTATATAGATCGACTAGTTTAGCGAATATTGCAAAAATGGTGTACTTTTCGTTGATCGAGGCTCCTCACAACCTCAAGGAGGGCATCGACTGGTTGATGGCGCTGAGGGGAACTGATGCTGAAGCCAACTTGAAGGCTCTGGGCGCCGCAGTTCACCATTTGCTCGCGGACAAGCCTGTTGGTCTGACCAAGATTGAATCTCTGGAGTTTATTAAGCACATTACCAAGGAGTTCCTGGAGCGTAAACATATTAAAAACCAGGAGTTTGTACAGACTCTATTGTGTAGGTTCAACGGGCCCATGGATAAATCCAACCTGCCCCTTAAGCGCTGCTTTCGTAAAATCGACGGCGATTATGATAACATCGTGAAGGGTTTGCGTTTGAAGCCTGACTCCATGGGATTGTGCCTGGGTCGCGTTGCCTACGGGTGTGACAAGTTCCTGAAGCATATGAAGATTCCTGATGAGTACAAGTCTGCTTACAGTTCGAAAGCGACGTGGGAGTCGTCGTGCGCGCAGGACCCAGAAGCTTGTGCAGTCGTATTTGTGGGTATCGCACCAATGCTGTACACTGGCTTACGTTCTTTGAAAGATGCGACCGAAGCTGCAAATGCGGACGAGAAGGATGAGGGAGCGAGGAGGCGTTTAAGGAAGGTATTGAGGGCCGTTGGTTACAGGAGGTCGAAGAGGCGCTCCAATATCAGCGTCCCATTTATGTCGCAGGCGTTGGGCGATGTGGACAAAGATGTATTGGACATCCTGTACGACTTCGCTGGGTTCTGGGCATTCTATTGAGTGTGTGTACTGCAGGTGAAGCGTAAAAGCAATTTGACACGATTCTGCGTCCGGATCACCAGTGAGTAGCCGCCACACGAATTTTAAATACACGTTTTAACTTTGAAATGCAGCTATGCCGAGCTCCGTGGGTGCTATATTAATCCACAACGCTGAGTCCGCCGGAGGTCTAAAGTACTTTTTGGTGTTTCCCGAATTGTATTTAGGAACCAATAGGCTGCTTGATCTTCAGCGGCACGTTTTCGTCTACAAGGCAGGCGTATCCCGTGGATACCCGCCGTTTATAAGTCACGCTGTACGCTGCTGTGCCTTCTTTGGCGGTTGAGATGCCGGCGCCTCCTGGCGTCGCCTTATGCCATAGCAGGTGCAGAAATTCGGAACGCCTGCTTTGTGCGGGGCGTATTAACACGTGCAGATTGTATCACTTGGCAACGTAATCTTTGATCGTAACTGGTCTTAAAAACACGTGGTATTGCCGCTATCCGGGGGCTCGGAGGGGAGGTGTACCTGGTTGACGCCGGTTTTGCGTTTACGCACCTTGTGAATCCATTAATTGTGTCCCGTAGCGAGGAATTAGACGACAGTGCGCTGTCCCATAGTAGTTGTGCCAAATACGCTTGGAAATCAACGCCAATTTCGTGCAGGTTGTGAGCTCTCGGAATGACCAATCACCGCACACATCACCCGTACCCAGTCAGCGCACTACGCAACCATAACCGAAGGTACAACCTTGTAAATCAGTTGGACTACATTATGATGGTGTGTCTGATTGTTTCCTCCTATGCGATCCAACTTTGTGATTATACCAACGACTGTCACGTTTATGGGCGCGTCCCTTACGATTCATGCGAGTTTAGTGCCACAGCAAGATCTGAAAGCGTCGACTCTTCGTCCTGATTGCTACCACGTCCCAGGTTATCCTTACCACCAGAGCTCTGACATTGGTAGTTGTACTGCACTTTTTTCAAAAAAGGCAGGCCAACGAGATTGGAACGTATGTTGTTCAAAAGTGACGAATAGTTACCTGCCTTTTGTGCCGTGACTGCACGGTAAGATTCAATACCGGGCGCTAAATCGGTGTCGTCACTCCCAGTTGCCGGTACATGGGTATCAAGGTCCACAACTACCCTTCCTTTAGCGTTCACTTTTACACCCTGGATAAACTTGTCGTTCACCATGTCGTATCTCAAAAGATCGACGTCGGTCCCGATTGGAGCTTCGTAGTCCATCCTAAAATGTGTAGACGATGGATGCAACTGATGGACGTGCTCCGGTAGTGAAACATCTGGAAACCGCGTAACTCGGGTCACAGCTTTTTTGGCCGCATTCAATTTGTGTAGCCCTTCAAGCAAATCCGCACCCTCATCATGGTCTAGCGTAGTGTCTCCATGATCCTCCACCCACAAGGAATCGTCTTCTTTTCCTTTGGCGTTGTTTTTGTTCAGCTTGTTGTACAGATCTCGTTGGAAGCTTGCCATGTATGTCTCAGCCGAAGGCATCGCCCCGAAACCCGCCGGCATGTTGAAAACCTGCAGACAGTGAAGACGACTTCACACCCTAGCATATTGAATGTGTATGATCATACTTAGCGATATGCAGCAAAAGCAACGTTGCTCAACATCGCAATATTGCGATGCCTCGCCACTCAAAACAAACCTTTTCCTTCAACATCTCAAGCCGTTTCGCCTCCTTCAATTTTGCATGTTTTTGAACCAATCGTTTTGCATTTTCGCCATCCACTTGCTCATGCTGCCACATATATAACTTTAGTTCAGATGATACTTACGTCTACGCGCTGTGGTGACGCTTGAAGGAAAGATGACAGTGAATCCACAACAGATGAGACCGACGAAAGCTCCTTAAGTGATGATTGTGGTACTACTAGGTCCGAGCCTTGCATGTATATTTTACAAGTGGAGTAGACTCCAATGAGAACGGCGGTAATGTCACTGAGATCAGGAAGGTCCCTCTCTACCTGCGTGGCGTCTACAACATCACAGATAAGCGGTCGTATTATCGCCACTGTGCATTCAAGTCACTAATCAGGGTGTCACAAAATTCCATTACAGATGTGGATGCCATTCTGTTTAGAACAGGCATAAATACGGTTGCAGAAATTATGCTTCAAGGGAGTACAGCAGAATGCACGAGGTAACAGAACAGCGATAAACGTCGCAAATATTACAAATAACACAAACATGTCTGGCTTTCTGTCTTTTGAAGTAGTAGAAAGAAGAGTTTATGTCTCAAACTTACTTGTTGGTACCTCCTGCATCTGACACGTTTGACGCATCCACGGCATATCTGGGCCTCGGGCACTCCGAAGAAGTTACGCAGTTTTTTTGCCGATTTCATGACATTACTCGGCATGGATTCCACCGGGGGTAGCATGCTGAAAACGTAATGCAACGCAAATTGTACACATCACTTACACCTTCCGGTTTGGGCAGATGACTGGACATTCCATGTGTATCATTGCCTTTAAGTGCTGCTTCTCCGTAGGTCCTAGGTACCTTACAAAATGCGTTAGCGATCTCCCGCGAGTGGCGTTAAGAAGTCCCTTCTTTAGGTCAACTCGGTTGGGATTCTTCGTTGCGATGATGGCGCCAGTTTCGACACCCAAATTCAACAGTTTCTCTATAAATTCACCACACAGACCAGCCCATCGATCTGATGCTACTGGCAACAATTTCGATGGTGTAGTAGACATGTTTTACATTGTCGTAGTAAATAAGTTTGAGGCAGTCTTTATCACGTGATGCGAGATTCTTTGCGCGTGTGTGGATAAAACACTGCGACGCCGGTCACACATTTCGACAGTTAAACACGTAATAATAATAGATAAATATTTCAGAGTTCTATAGCATTCTTGAGAGGTGTTGGTGACGATCACAAGCCGCCGATTGGTGGCATTAAATAAGGAGCATATAACGATGGCAGTTATGGCTTCCGAATGAAGGAGTTTATTACCTCGCCTGAGGAAATGAGTACTGTAACGTTATAATGTAAAATGTAGTTTGTCTGGGGGATATTGTGGCAACGTGTTGCTGCTTTCGTCTTTGCTGTTGTAACATGATCTACCAACAGGATGACTGTAAAGATTTATGCCGAGCCACGGGGCTTCAAAGCTTTGAATCAACGCCACGTCAGATCGCTTGCCGTCTCTAACAAGTCGGTGTGGTTCGGTCTTGACGATGGTCGGATTCTGCGCTACACATGCCCCTCCTCGACTTCAACTCAGGATTCCAGACCCAACCATACGTCGGCGGAATGTGTCACTTTGCGCCCCAAGTTGCCAGGTAAGTTCGTTATATAACACCTATGTCTCACGGCTTTCCAGGGGACGCTTCTGAGGTACAACGATTGTTCGTAGACACGAAGTCCTTCCACTGTATCGCATGTCTCGCATCCGGACACCACTGGTACTCCAACTTTCAAAGCCCGGATCTGGTATCGCTAACTAGTATAAATGGATGCTTTGTGCGCTCTGCTTGTTTCACAGACGCTACAACTGAGGATTTCACTGGATCATTCCTACTAGGCACTCAGCGCGGCAGCATCGTAGAGGGCCGCATCAACTACCGCCAAGCAAGCTTTGCCTTTCGCACCCAGTATAAGTTGCCAGATGGAGAGCCAGTCCTAGATATAGGAGTTATTCCCATAGTGTATCGCGGTGGACGCTGCCACGTGGTGGTGGCGTCGTCCACGCGTTGCCTGTATGAGTTCTTCGGAGGCACATCGTTTGATGACACCTTTTCGAAATACTCGAAGACGGGGGCCAATGCGTTGCGTTACGAGGTGCCACTCGCTGGCCCAATCGGGGAGATAATCGTCTCCGAGCGCAGTGACGGGAGCCACGACCTGTTCTGGGCAAATGCCACGGGGATCATATTCGTGAACGTTCCATATCGTGTGGCAGACGATGCTGCAAGTTGTTTGAAGTTCCCACCTGGCGTGATAACGTACATTATGACGCCGCAACATCCTCTGTCATCCCTGCAAGAGACCAAGTTGCGGAATGTGAGGACGTTCTTGCGCCGCCCCGCCGTCCAGGTGCCGCGCAGCGTTGTCGTTGTACGTAATTCGCTGCTACTGCTCTACGACGATACCATCGGTGTAGTGAATACGATAGTCGGCAAGCAGGTTGGCACGCTGCCATTACCCCATGGCACGTTTGGCAAGGTGCATCGGCTGCTGTGCGATCGTTTGACGGGTGAAGTGTGGCTCCATGCAACCGAAGGGATTTTCGAGGTGGGCGTTAGCGCAGAGTCGGAGGATGCGTGGAAGCACTATTTGTTTAAGGGTGATATCGCCAACGCGCTCTCCAGCTGCAAGACTTCGGGCCAGCGCGACAACGTCCTGCTGAAAAGCGCTTACGACCTGTACGAACGTGGAAAATACCTCGAGTCCGCTCGTATGTATGGTCAGGTGGAAGCCAACTACCCTAACTTTGAGAACATCTGTCTCAACTTTCTCAAGAAGCACCAGGAGGAAGCGGTTGTGGAGTACATGACCTTGAAACTGCAGCAGCGTAACTGGTACCGGTACAATCCGCGTTTCATCATCCTCACCGTGTGGATCATCGAAATGCTGGGTTATCGGTATAGGGACGTTTATCTCACCCTCGAGGCAAGCCGAGGCGTTTCGGGCGTTGACACCGACGCCCTGGCGACTCGGTGTGAGGAGTACAGGCGAAAGCTGTTTTCCACCGTAGGGTCGCTAGCACACATTGATGAGCTTGCACCCTCGATAAACTTCCTGCTGCAGACTATTATGGGATGCGGTGACGAATGCGTGGATTTCGCCCGTATTCGCCGCGATTCGTCAAACGTGGTGTACTACATGATTAACAGTGGCAACGTCGAGGGGGCATTGAGGGAGCTTATTAAAATGCCTCCAGGCGACAAGCGAGACGCTTTGGTGTTGCGATTTGCCCCGCTGATGTTCATGGAAGCGCCCGCGTTGTTCGAGCAGGCCACATTCAGCAAGCTAGACCCGGTGATACTGCTCCCCATTGCGCTTCTGCCGCTGATGATGCGAAGTGAGCGTTACCTGCGCCATTCGTTGGGCATGGTAGAACGGCTACTTTTTTCTAACGAAACCGCGCATGAGGAGTCGACACGTTCGCTGCTGTGGTGCTGCTACATCCTTCTGTTAGCTAACTTGGACACTGAAGAGCCGTTGTTGGACGTCCTCAACAAGAATTCGGCAGATTTCCGCCACATTGACCTTGCGATAGCACTGCGCTATCTGAAGGCCAAATCGTCAACGGACAGTCGCTGGTCCGTGCCATTCATTGTGTTGCAAAGTTTATGCGGAATGAACGAGGACGCGCTGGAAATGGCACTTTCCCAGGGCAATATGGAACTCGCGAAACAGTGCGCAATGCGGCCCTCAGACGAGTTTACTCGTTGCCGGCTCTGGCGCTACATTCTGCGTCAGTCGTCCCGCAATGGTGGGGCATCTTTGGGGTCCATCATTGACACGTCAAACGGCCTGCTCCAGGTACACGACCTCCTACATTTGCTGCCCGAAGACACGAAATTGGGTGAGCTTAGCAGCATCATCTCGAGGTCTGTGGCCGAGTATGAGTCCCATCTGGAGGAGCGCCGTCAGGAGGTTGACCACCTCTGCGCGTGCATCGCTGAGACCAAGGCGGAAATAGAGATGGCATCTCGCCGTTGCGTTAGCCTCTCCGTGGATGAAAACTGCATGTCGTGTGCCCATCCATTGCATACAGGCCATTTCATTGTATTCCCCTGCGCGCACGCATTTCATCGTTCCTGCGTGGCTACAACACTTCGGGGATTGCTGAATGGGGCTGAACTCTTGGAACTGAAGCGACTGCACAGAGAGTTCGAAAAGCGTGCGGATGAGCGCTGCGTAACAGCATACAACGAGTACCTCTCGAGGGCATGTGTCATTTGTGGCTACCCAGCTGCGCTGTTGGCCTCGAAGCCCTTCATTTCCAGCATGAACGCGGACCAGGAAGATTTGTGGGCAATAAATTAGTTTGCGATTAGTTTTGAAAACACTCAGGTCGTCTGTACGCCTGGAACTTTTCTGAAAATGTTTCCTTGGGCTCAACAGGCGTGCGATCTTCGAGGCTGCGGTGAACAGGCGTGAGTGGGAAGTTCTCTTTTGACGGTATGATGTACAAAAACGGAGGGTCCAGCTTGAACTTCCTATTCATGAGGAGTGGTTTGTGTGCCTTGGTGACTGCGATTTCGCAGGTGTCGCTGCGGTACTTGGGGATCGTCACCAATTCGATGTACCGCTCCTGGACATCCTCTGGCGTGCGCTGCATCTCCCACGACAGGTACAGCCACGGATCCCCATATTCGGCGTCGTAGTACTCGGCGAGTCGCAGGAGCTCAGCGTCGTCGGCCGCGTCCCACGGCTTTCCCTCGTTATCTAGTGGTTTTGCCTGGGCAAGATGAGTTTGCTCATCCTCAACCCCACCTGAAAGGTGCTAATGTAGTCATCATCTTTTCCAAGTGGCCACATGCCGTGGTTGTATAACCTGTGTTTGCCATATATTTCTCTGCACACCCGACGTACGTGATATGCTTGAAGATGGTACGTCGCTGTTTGTTGGTCATGCTGTTGTTCGCGTAGAGTTCCTACGTAATATGAGTGGTCATATTATGGGAACTAACCTCCATAGTGCTGCTGATAAATTCGTTCCATGAGTCGAACGACTCGGCTATGAGTTCCGCCCCTTCCGTGATTCCCGCTGCATTAAGGAACTCCAAGATGCCCCATCCTTCTGCGCAGCAATGTCTACCACGGCTATCTAGTTGCTAGGGTTATAAGCATCCCGTTACACAGCACGATCGGCTGACAACGGTAGTCTTGTCTAGGTGGTTAATGTGACATACCTGGAGGTGGCTTGGCATGCGCTTGTGCGATGGCTCTCTTCTCCTTTTCTATGTCTCTTATCTTCTGTTGCTTCAAAAACAGCCTAAAAGTCTTCATATCCAGGTACCGCAGTGGCCGTTTTATGGGTGGTCCTGCAATCATATGGCGCGTTTGTGGTCAACACGTACCCAACTCCTCCACCGAGTTGTCACATCGCACAGCCGACGTTGCGATAGACCTGACAGCTCCACTGTGCTCTTTCACGGGGCCTGTTAGAGGTGCAACTGCGCGCCGGAGTGGCCAACTACCAGTGTACTGTGCCACAGCATATAGACAGCCATTGTTGAGGCAGTTTCCCAGGCCGGCCCAAAAGCTGGCCCTGCCGAGGCACTGCAGCCTACTATATCCCAGTAGCTCAGGCAATACCATGTGCTTTTTGCTGTATGTGTAAGCAGATACAACAATAGGCACGGATGCTCCGGAAGGCCTTCGCGACGGCGCCGTCAAGATTCCACGGCACCTGCTCACACAGTGACGGCAAATTAGCAGCTACTGGTCGTAGACATGTATATATAATTTTGGAGCGGCCTGTATGGCGAGTTTACCCGGTATTCCGTGACAGTCATGGGCATCGTGGTGTAGGCGCCTTCCACCCTGCTGGTGGGAAGGCACCAGCCAACGTATCGGTCGCGCCTGTAAGCATACAGAATTAATGAGTGCGCGGTTTTTTACGACATAAGAGGTCTCCTTCCAATTCATTGTTACACATCTGACCGAGCCAAAGTGCCGCAGGGTGTCTATTTGTAACGGTTATACCTAGTTATGCGCCTTCGCTTCTAGTGATGATTCACTTCCTGCTTTAAACTTGCATTATGAACTCTCGATAGAATGGCCCGGAGCCAATCTGGGCCTCAATTCAAGCGCATCCCGCACTTCGACATTTGTGAGCTGTTTGACCCTTCAAGCATCATAATCGTAGATGGCGAGCCGGGATATACTAAATCTTCCTACGGTCACTACGAATCCTACCATGGAGTCTCCGCGGAGTCGTCAAGCTCACACTCCCCAGCCCCGAAGCACCGCCGGACGGGCGTCGGTTCAGTGTCGGTATTGGCGCCTAGGGCCCTACCGCCTGAGCTGCAGCCGTCGGTGGTCCTTGAATGCGACCTGAAGAAGGATTTGCCGACGAGTCACGTTGACCTGTTTGCTTTCAAGGATGACTATCGCCAGGTGATGGAGCGGTTGGATTCGCTCCGGCAGAAGTCCATGGAGATTAAGAAGGCGCAGTTGAAATCGCAGATGGAAGGGCTTCCTGCTGATCAACTCACGCAGCTGTGTCAATTGCGTACGGAAACGTCGTTGGCGCGCTACCTATCGCAACCAATCCGTACACCGACGATAACGGAGGTTATTTGGGCTGCCGCCAACATGAACTTGCGCCACTTGGAGTTGACCCAGAAGGAACAAGGACAAAACAGTCGCAAGCGTTTAGACATATCTGTTGACGAGGATAGCAATGTTTGGTCGGAGAAGCGTCTGCACAAATTGTTCGCGGGTATGGTCAACCTTGACAGCTACCAGTTGGTTATTGGGGAGCGTCGGTATGCCTATCGCAACATGCCACAGGAGCTGGAAACAACGCGGCCGCTGATTCTTACCGGCCCTCAGAATCAGTCTAGCGCGTCGTTGCTACACCGAAGCGCCACGGAACACTACCTGGAGGAGAAGGCCCGATCAGCCCTCGTCATGGCGGCGGATGACGAGTTGATCGTGACTGTTAGTCTATATCACGGTGTTAGAGGCCACAAGCTGCGTGAATACGACATGCTTGCGTCACAAAGTCTCGCTAATCTACGTGACGCGTTCCACTGCCCCGCCGAGATCCGCCCAGTGGGCGTAGACCTCGACGTGCGTGGGTCGTGCTTTATGTTGAACGGGCAGCTGTTCCCCGACCTGCGTGGAGACGCGTGCGACTACTCGGAGCCGCTTCTGCACTTCTACCAGCAGTTCAAACCGGGAACGCTACAAACGAGCGAGTGCATCGAGCAGAGCGATGCGATTCTGTATCATATGGAGCTGCCAGTGTATATTCCCGGATACTTGTTGCACCACGGAGACTGCGAACACAGGGTGATGATCACGGCAGTCCGAGCCTTCGACCGCGTGCGTGACTGCCCATATGAGCCCTGCTACCCCGTATGCGTCTTCACGCCGCGCCGGCGCTCTGTGCAGTGCCACGTCTGCGAGGTGAGGGAGGCCGACAAGTCGGTGTTCAACAGTTTGGTGCTGCCTCACATCCCGTGCTACCTATGCGACGACTGTTACGATCGGTTCAAGCGCCTAGGAACACTGGATGGTGTGTATCGCTCCGATGGCCTGGCGAAAACTGCGGCGATCGAGTTTTGTGAAGAGTGACAGCGGACCTCAAATGGTCAACACTCATTATAATGTAATCCCAACCAAGCACATCGCACCCGATATGCTTAAGTTGCTAGTTTGAGTGACGTTTATAGAGTTTTGTTGCCTTCAGAAGGGCTGCGCCTTTGTTAGTCGGCGCGACCGTCTGCCACGATTTCACGCGGCGACACAGACACCTGTTTGGCCCATAATCCGCCTATATAGCTGCCAATGACAACCATTTCCGGTGTCTTATGAGAAATACGAGGCTCTATGGCATCTGCTGTGCTTCCCCATTACCGACCCCGGCGTGGTGGGTGGGCCGCGCGGCCCCGGTTTACGATAAATCTCAGGGCCTGACGTCATTTCTCGCAGTATCGCCATTTTCTACTTTTACGGCGAAACCTCTCCATCGGAATCTATCGGAAAGCTTCCCGCAAAACCTTAAGCAGGTGGGTTGGACGTGGTGTTTACACCGGTCGCGTGGGTTAAGTGCTTGCGGGCCTCGCTTCCGGCTGGACTGCGCCTTACACGCGTACCCTTAATTATTGCACATCGTTGTATCGGTGGTTAACTTCTGTTGTAGGATGGCCAAGCTTATGAAACCCGGCCGCATCGTAATCGTGCTCGCGGGCCGTCGTGCGGGCCGCAAGGGCATCATCGTCCACTGCAACGAGAGCCCGAGCAAGCGCCGCCCATACGCCAACTGCTTGGTGGCCGGTGTCGACAAGCACCCGCTCAAGGTCACCCGTAACATGAGCAAGGAGAAGGTGCAGAAGCGCCTGCGCATCAAGCCCTTCGTGAAGTACATCAACGTGAACCACCTGATGCCCACCCGCTACACCGTTACCGGCCGCATCGACCCCAAGACCCTGGTGACCGACGAGCAGATGGAGAACCATGCCACGCGCAAGGAGGCTCGCAAGGCCCTTAAGGCGGTGCTTGAGGAGACCCTGAACAACCCCGACCCTACCGACGGAAAGGTCTCCAAGGACACACTCTTCCTCAGGAAGAAATTGAGGTTCTAACTCTGTTGCTAATTTTGCGGTTTGCTTAAGGGCTGCGTAGTTCATTGTTTTGAGCCTGGGTTGTGGTCCGGCCGGATTGATGGAAGGCTGTTTACCACAGTTGTATGGTTTGACTGCTTAGTGGTTGCGTTTATTAGACGTTTTTAATGCGTGTACTGCTGGCACGGTGTTAGTTATTACTGAAACGAGAAATGCACTGGCAGCGAAACATTGTTTATAAAGTATGCATCTCAGCAAGTGTTTTGCACTACATTAACTTATAATTATGGTCGTGTTACAACAGCAGCGCATTGTACATGCGCTACACCATGTCGAATCCTCCTAACGTGACTGTTGCAGAGGAATGATGACGACTTCTGCCACGGTAGCGGTCGGCGGCAGGCAACCATGGCGCGGCAAACACGTGGACTTGGCTGACCTTGGCTCTCCATAAGTTGGTCTAGAATATGATAGTTTGGGACCACTCATTGTTGTCGTCCTCGTCGGCTGCCTCATCATCTGCAATCGGCTCCGGCGCGGGTGCCTTCTCTGCATTCTCCTGGATGATCTCCTTGAGAAAATGGTAGAACCCCTTGCTCTCCTTGATGTCGTTGAAACGCAGGAGGATGGCCTTCTTCGTGCTGCTGAGCCGGAAGGCCACGATATGCGCGTCTATGATCATCGCTTTGTCGACGGTGCTTAGCCCCTCGACGTTGTCCACGCCAAGGATCTCCTCCACGTCGCTTAGCGCGATCACGCGCCTCTTGTCGTCCACCTGCAGATGCAAGCAGTCTTCCGCGAGGTCGTAGACCACGGAGCACGGCAGGGAGCTGCCATCTGCAAAGACTATGTGCGTTTCGCATCCATTGACCATGTGATTCATGAAATACGTTTCTTCCTCGGGCTGGAGGGATTCATCGCGCGCAAATAAAGCATTAGGGTCGTACTTGCCATTGCCCTGGGTGCTGCTTGCCTGATTTCCCATCTTTGCTCCTCCCGGTGGTCTCTCGCGCCACCTCGCGGTTGAGGCTGCGATGGCACCTGGACCGTGCTCGCACAGGCCCTTTATAAATTGCTAGAAGCTACAATTACGTTACGGTTATTTTGCGTCAGAGAAGGTCATCTGTGCCGCGAGCCTGCGGTTGGAAGGCCACTGTGTCGAGCGCGGCAAAGAGGTCGTGTTCAGGAGTGGATGTGCGATTCTTTGCAGGAGTTATGGCGAGCTTGTCGAAATCCAAAATGTCGTCGGCAATAGTAGTTTTAGGCGCATTGTTGGCCTGCGCAGCCTGAGGTGTGCGGATGCTGCTGACGGGCGTGAAGCTGTCCAAAAGATCGAAGGCGGGGTTAGTAAAATCGCTGGGGATGCTTCTCAGGGGCTCATTCTGCTTGATGTCCTCTGTTTTGGCAATTTCGTCACCGAACAGGTCCAGCTCCGCCGCGCTGCTACTCTTTACAACCTGGCTTTCGGTCGAAGGTCTGCGTTCGGTAGGGCTGGTGGTACTAATCAGGCTCATGTCTCTCGGGGGCAGATTCACGGTGCTATTCAGCAGCTGCATGACCCTGTATGCCTTGTTTTTGAGCTGGCTCTCCTCGCGGCATTTGACTAATATGGGCTGCAGCTCGGCGGCAAGACGGGTGAGAACATCCTCGGCCAAGCTCGCGCGCAGGAGCAGCGCCTCGAACACGCATAGTATCCTGAGCTGCAGCTGCCACTTGTTGGCTCTGTTGTTGATGCTACGCAGTAGCTCATCCACCACATAACGCACATTGGCGTCCTTCAGCCGCATGAGGAAGTCGTCGATTATCTGCTGCGACGGCGTGACCTTGATACCGCTGAACGTAAGAATATCCTTCACGAGCTTGGCCTCCATCTCGCCCGATACGTCTTCAGCCGTGTTGCGCTGTGCGTGCGCATCGGGTATGAGCGACGGCAGTAATGTACGTTCCGGCTGAGGGTTGAAACTTGGCTGGACGAATCCTGGCACGGGGCGATTGGGGCTTACGAAGGCGGCTGCGTATGGATCTTGCATCGCATGTTTGCGTTTGTCAAAGGCCGACGTAACGTGCCTTTCGATCTGATCCAACGTTGTCGAAGTGAACGCCGAGCTGACGCGTTCAATCTTGTCCATTATTGAACTTGGGATAAACCTGTTGGCAACATCGGAGATTACCTTGAAAGCCTGGCTACTAGCGGACCTGTTTACAGGGGTCTTCGACGTAAAATTCCCGAATCCCTCCATTTTTCGACCGCCGGCCACGTTCCCGAAGGATGAGCTGCCCACGGCGGTGTTTCCGAATCCTTGATTACCGAAACCCATGTTGCCCGATCCGCTACTGGACACACCACCTTGATTCCCGAAGCCCATGTTACCCACTCCAGTGCTAGCCATGCTACTCTGATTACCGTAGCCAGTGTTCCCGAATCCTGTGTTTCCCCACGCTGCCTTGTTGCCAGATGGCGTGTTACCAAAGCCTACGGCATAATTGCTTGGCAGGGAGTACCCCTGGTTGGCCGGATTCGTGTTTCCGAATTGGTTGTTAGCTGAATGCTGAGCTGTTGGCATGTTACCAAATCCGATCATTCGGTTTTGGGGGGGGACGCTGGGTGGCGCACCGTAAGCGCCCGATGGGTCCTGCTGTCCATATATCACCTTGAGGAGGTCTTCCACCTCGTTTCTCACCATCTGGCATAGATAATCGCCGTTGTGCTCGCTGTACGGAGCCCTGTAGCTACGCGCCTCGATAACGGAGTGGCAATGGCACACCTTGTTCCTGTCGAATTCGTGCGGCATCCGGGCGCAGAGATTTTTCAGCAATTTCAGGCATTTGAACTTTATGTACGGCTCATTTCGCGCCAGCTTCTGCAGCAAATAATCCTCTACGGTTGGCAGTATAGCAGGGTCCCTTAGTACCATGTCGGTGATGTCCTTGTACACATATCCTGGCGTAGGCTCCGAAGTCGCGGAGGTGGCCCTGCTGAGCAGGTTACGCTGCGAAGCGCTGAGCACCTCTTGCTGTGCCATATCTACCGATTGTGTTCTGACACTGCCGCGGTTCGTTCCACCTTTGGAAGCGGACAGTGCGCCAGCCCGGAGATCCTCAGTATGCGAAAGGCACTCGCAAAATTATTTTATGCGATATGTACCTATTGATTTTGCAGCTGTTTTGAGTTGATTCAATCACCCGTTCTTTTCGTGACCGTTGCACTGCTGTGTGTGTCACCCCGGCTTACTGCGCGGAGGAGACATCAGGCGAGAAAATAGCAGCTAAAGGGCTGTAGATAGACACGATGTGTATAGTTGAATTGGTTATATTTATCATGTCGTATCATTTGTAGTTGCGCTGTATTCCTTGAGTCCGCAAACGTAAAGATACGGATTTTCGACACTCAGCGTTTCAATGCTGGCCGTTTTTGGATCCATGCCCTCACCGACCTTGTAAGGCGGCGACCATCGCCATTCGCCTCTAACGGATCCGACGGGGCTCACATTTTGTCGTAGCAGCGTTGCCGTCGCCACATTGCCTTTGTCTGTATCCGCGCCTCCGATTGTGTATACATCCGCTAACACCTTGGCTCTGAAGGGTCTCAGCTGCGTATTATGTGAGGTGCTGGGTGACACAATGCTGCCTACCTTGAATTGCACATGTTTTACGATGTAGCACAGGTTGTTCTTAGTGACCTTGTCTGTGACGTAAAAGCTCCCGTTCACCCTCATGACCCGGCCTGTTTCTGCGCTTGCGCACGATCCATCCGAATGGTCGCCATTCTCGACGCCATCCGGCACATTGCGATAGTTCTCGTTGGCTCTTCTGCCGTCAGTTTTCCACAGCAAGCAATTAACCCCGTGTAGTGGCAGCGGATGCAAGGTTTCAAACAAGGTGCGAATCTTTGGCTCACGCCGCGCGAACTCGGAGAACATGCTTATGGTTATATCTTCCGGTTTGGGGAAGCGTTTCTGATGTGAATGCCATGGGTACTTGTCTATGCTTGGCCAGTAGTATTCTGAGCGTTATGGACGGTATTATGTAACACATACGAGGGGTACGCGGGTTTCGAGCACGGTATACCGGTTTGTACTGCCTGTAATAGGGGTAGAGGATATTTTTGAGCGGCCGTGGATGAAGGCGGTGTGTACCAATCGCGCTGTGGTAGAATATCGTCTTCGCAGTTGCTGTCACATTTCCGCCTCTCCTGGAAGCCATATCGAAATAACTAAAGTGTGCGAATCATAAACACTGGATCATACCAGGTACGCTTCGTAGTGTTTTGATGTTACTTGCTCATTATTGCGCAGTTCGGCTATTAAAATTGGTCCCCCGGACAAGGGCTTGTGGTGTAGTGGTATCACGTTCGCTTCGCATGCGAAAGATCTCGGGTTCGATTCCCGACGAGTCCAATTTTTGCGTTCATTCCACATATTAAATTGGTAATTTATAAACATTGAAATGTGATATCCTTAGTTATACGTTGTTATTGTTTGAGTATTGTGTGGCAGAATGTCGATATGTCATCGAATATGAAGCATTCTGCTACAGTGACCATACGTTGTAACTAAAACTGTAATTGCAGGATAAATAATAACGTTACGATGTTCTGTTTACAATGCAAACAGAATAGAGCAATATATTTTGCAGTGTATTTCCAGAGAGCCAATGTAGACGCATGATACGCGCCAGCACAGCACTACTACAGCATCGAATACGTCGCGCAACATTGTGTTGTAATGGACCCAAGTAAATTTGGAGAACTATATATATTGGTTGTCTAAGTATATATACCACTTATCCTATGGGAACTGTCCGGGTTTTATTATCAAAAGCAGGCACCTGGCCATCCGGTCTGTCTAACGCATAGTCATTTTTTGAAAGAGCGACAACACCATCTCTGGCGCTCTGCAAGTTCTCAAGCAGACGTATAAATTACTTCTGCCTGTTGTATTCTGTAATAAAACCACAGTTGGATGTTGCCTCACTGTTCACGGGGCAGCACGAAAGTGTCAGCCGGCGAGGAAAAAGGCTAGGCTGCAAAGAAGTTTCCTAGTGCTAGAGCTGCACTTCAGCTTCCTGCACCACATTTTATCAGGCTATTTAAAGACACAATTGAGGCCACACAATACGTTTGGTCAAAGCGAGTAATGTTTATACGGACGTTCACGGACCCAAGAGCTTCTACGCCAATAGCTTCATTCGTTGTTCTGAAGTCTTGAGCGGTTGTTTCGAAGGTGACGGTCGACACTGTGTCGCGTAATATTTAGGTGTCCGTTTCGGTTGCTGTAATTCACTGGGTAAGATCCAGTGCTTCTATTCAGTAACGATGACGTTTTTTCGCTGCTCTGCTAGACGCGGAATTGCAGGTTTTGTGTGTCTCTATATGATCGTTTTCAGTGGTTTTACTATGGGATCTTTCCTTGCCGATGGTGCGTTGGGGAGCGGAGCATTGATGGCCAAAGGGCTTGCATTCTATGCCGGTAATACGGATTCTCATAATCCTTTGGGTGCCGTAAAAGGTATATATAAAAAGGCTACCTCCGTATATCGCGGTTTGGCGTACGTGTCATCGGTAATACCTAAACCCAAGGCTTCAGCAGGAGTCAACGAAGCAAAGCAAAAGAAGTGTGATAGACCATTTACCACATTCGAACGCGTGAAACGTCTACCTAAGGAATATGCCAAAGTACGCAAGATGTTTGATGAATGCCGCGCCTTGGTCAGAGAGTTGCAAAATAAAAATGTAACTCCTGACAGGTCAGCTGCGCTCAGCAAAGAGCTGGTCGATTTGGAAAAACAATTCGAAGGTGAAGAAAAGTTAGCATCCGAGAGCACACAATCCGATGATGCATCTTCGTATAAGGAACTTGTAAGAAAGGCAAAAGAGTTCATTCAAAAACACAAGCTCCAGAAACCAACTTCCTCTCAGTACCCGGATCAAGGGTCATCGGGAGTGAAGGGGGGATCCAGCAGCATCCGAAGGACATTCTCTGCGCAGTATAAGAGAACTCCCTAGTGATGTGCTGGAAAGCGCCTCACCTTCTGCCGCTGGCAACGAAATGATTCGAGAATAACTCAAAGATTTCACTTTCGTCGTACTGTCCTTTAATTGTTGTTTCAAGTTGTCTAGTTTGTTGTAATTAGCTACGAGTGGTATGGCCGATGTTTGCTTATCCACCTGATAAGCTTTAGAAGAGTGCACAGTGTGGTTTGTAAATTGCCAATCTCCACAATACGCCTGCCTAATAGACAAACATGCCGCTGAAAGGCAACCGTTAAATTGAGTCCCGAATACAATTCGGAAGGCGCCGAGAGCTGTTTTTGCCTCACTTGAAGGATGCGGACTAATGGATGAAAACGGTACCCAAGAAGTTGGGTATGTATGTACTTCGACGTTGTAAATGCCTCGTGAGACGGCTACCGGCTGGAGCCGGACGCAACACCCGTCGTTTCGTACTGCTTGTGCAGTTTACCTGCGATACGCACTCAATAAAAAGCCCAGAACCCTGCGAACTCGTATATTGTGATCAATACATGTAGATCAATAGCTTCTAATGCCTTTAGGACATCTGAACCGCTAAGGCCAGCGCACCTTTGCGGCTCCTCGTATCCCACGGCTTTCAATACATCTACCAATCGCTTCTTTGCATTTTCACTCGGTCCTTTCCAGATTGCAGTTCTGCTGGCGTCTTGCAAAGAACGTATGCCTATGTACAGCATTGGTGCGATACCCACGAGAACCGCTGCGCAAGCTTCTGGGTCCTGCGCGCACGACGACTCCCACGTCGCTTCCGAACTGTAAGAAGATTCATACTTATCAGGACATTTTATTTTCTCTAGGAACTTCTCACAACCATACACGGCTACGAATAAGTCCTCTACGACGTCTTCAGGTTTGACACCTCTGGTCTCTATGATGTTCTTATAATCGCTTTCCAGGTTAAATCCTGCGTATCTAGCGAACCTTTCAAGGTTTTTAACCATGGGCGCCCTGTATCTTTTCAGCAGTTTTTTGGCGGATCGCTGATTCTTAAGCTCCGGTTTCTCCAGGAACTCCTTAGAAATACGCTTAACGTTCTCGAGGGCTGGCACCTCTGTGAATCCAACAGGCTTGTCTGCGAGCAAATCATAGACTGCGCTACCCATAGCCTTCAAGTTCTTTTCAGCATCGGCTCCCTTCAGGGCTATCAACCAGTCGATACCTTCCTTGAGGTTGCGGGGGACATCAGTCAACGAAGTGTATGCCATTTTGTAATGGGTCGTTAAATTAGGCGAGTACTACAAACGATTGGATTCTGTGTTAATTTATGGGCCGGTGTGCAAAAAGCAGTCTTACTGGAGAAGACGCGCTACGCAATTGTCGTTGCCTTCTAACACCCACGCACCTTATCGAAATATGCAAACCCGTCTACACACCAAAGAGGCCTGCTTCGGAGGCATTAAAACAACTAGGATGCGCCAAAGTAGCCGTGTCTACACAATCAGCGCGACATGCAATAAGCAGAACGCGAGTGATTGTCTACTCATTTCCGACAGGAATGTCAAATAAGAGACCTAGATACATGTGAATACAATATAAAAGGGTGCTTAGAGGTTTTAAATATCATTGTTTGTTGCGGGTAGTAAGTTGAAGTTTAAGCCGTGCAACGTGACTTGCTCGTGATAGATGTCGCGGCCCTCAGGAATTAAAACTCTCCTTGTACACTCTTCAGCAATTAGCATAATTGTTTTTAGCCTTGAGTGGTCGAATTAGGTTTTAGTTGCGAACGATTCTTGGGGCATCACAACTGCACGTTGCGACACATTAATTAACCTTCCTGGCAGAGCACATGTTCTCCCAGTTGTGATTGTCGGTTGCCGCGGAATACAGCGCACGATACTGTTTAGGGTTACGGGGCCTTTGAGAACTGTGTTGCGTGCATCTACGCCACTGTGATGTGCCGTTCTTGAGCTCATGCTTCAATTCCTGCACTTTTCGAACGCCTTTAGTGCGGAGATGTTCCGTCTCAAACTCTGTCTCATAGGCAAAGTGTCAGGCAGATTGAGCAAAGCCGTAGCCATGGCTGCAGATGGTCACTAGTATTTTATGCGTCGCTTTTCACGTGTTTTCAATCTTAAGTTGTAGGCTGTCAATGCACCTTTTCATGATCCTATCGTCGATCCTCTCATTATTCAGAACATGCCGACTCGCACCGCAGTTTACGGTGGCATTACTGATGGCACGGCACAGCTCCTTGAGTTTCTCCTTCACGTCCTCAACGTCCTTTTCCTTTATGGCCTCGATGTCTGCGGTGATTTTTTGGACACCTGTGAGAGGTTTATTTTCAGATGTCCATGCTGTGTCACCGTCATTGAGGCCATGGTCTCTCAGCTTCTGCAGCCTTTCGGTGACCTCAGTGTTCAACTGCTTCTGAAGCCTTTCAAGCTCACCGGTGATTGACTGGACGCCACCGCCGATTTCGCCGGGTTGGTTGGACAGCGCAGTTTGTTGACCTTGAAGTGCATCTTGGATGTTTTTAAGGCTTTTACCATTTTCTTTTGCATTTTTATCCCACTTGTTTCCACTTAGCCCAGTGTTCTGCAAATCTTGCAAAGTGGTAATGACATCTTCACCTTGGGTGCCTTGCAACTCACCTTGGAGGGCAGTGAGTTCTTTGACAATTTCCTCTTTTGCCTTCCTTATTTCTTCTGGTTGTGTTCTAAACGGCCCTTCTTGCAGCTTTTGAATTTCATTACAAATCTTCTGAAGATTTCCTGGCTCCGGGGCATTTTTGCCAATCCTTCGCTTAAATCGCTGTAACGGATTAAGGATGTCATCATTGTTCCCAACATTTCGCAATTTGACTCCGACCACGGCAAGTTGATACTTAATTTCGGAAACGGCTTTATCGATTATGCCAGGTTGTTTCCCCAATATTTCATTCTGCTTTTTAAGCTCACTCTCAATTTTCCCAAGACCACTGAGTTTTTTACCATTCCAAGCACTCTTACCAAGACCTGCTTTATTTAAATCTGTCAACCGTTCAATTACATCGTCTTTACTATTATTCTTCAACTTCTGTCTAAGCTCTCCAAGCTCCTTCCTAATTTCTTGGACGGCTTCCTCGATTGCAGCGGGTTGCGGAGAGTACGTCCCTTTTTGCAGACCGTCAATCGCCGTCTTGATTGAGTCGAGGCCTTTACCTCCGTTAACAAATGATCCTTTGTTAAGCATTGTTTTCAGATTAGCCAAATGCTTTTTTACGCCTTTATCCTTTCCGTCTTCGATGAATGAACCATTGCCATAAACAAATTTCTTGATCTCTTCGAGCTCTTTCTGAATTGTGTTGAACGGCTCGGTGAAGGTTGTATTGTCAATTTTCCGATCAGGACTGGCACTGTCATCGATGATATCAGTAAGCTCCGAAAGACCCTCATCTCTAATCTTCCCGATCGCCTGTGGAAGTTGGCCGTCGCCATTCTTGCCTTGTAGATTACCGGTCGTAAGCCCTTGTGAGTCTTGCTTAACGTGACTATCATAACCGCCAAATTTTTTAGCATCAAGTTTGACATGAGTAGCTGAATTTGAACCATCGCCATTTGGCAACTCATCGTCTACTTTACTGTGAAGGTTGTCTTGAAGGTTATCTCTGATCGGACTGTAGACACGGCTAAATTGCTCCATCACACTTTTGACGTCAATATCACTAGTAGCGCTAATCTGCCCAGCCGCCTTGTCAATCGCCGTCTTGGCCGCTTCCTTGATCTGTGATTGAGCTTCAGTGTTGAAAGCGTCAACGGCGGTGGGAAGCCCTCTAACTGCAGTCTCGAGATCCTTTTTGACTTTCTCCTTAAAGTCGTCTGTAATGGTGGAGTTAACCATGGTCCTCACCACCTCCAACTTCTTGTCCACGGCTTGGGCTGTGCCAGCTTCGGGGGTGGGAGGTGTGGAGACATTTTGAGTCGCCTGGTCAAGCTGACCGTCAAGCTTCTTGGTATATCCGATGACGCTATCTAATTCGCTTGCGATGCTTTTGCCGTTCACCCTGTATGTGCCGAGCAGAATGGACTTAATTTCGTTGGCCACCTGGCTTGCAGTAGCGGAGAGACCAAGCAGCGCAGCTTCTATGGCGGGTTCTATAACGGCTTTATAATTGGTGCCTTCTCTAACCCCCTTTGCAATACCCTGGAAAATCTGGTTGGCAAGATTACCGATTCCTGAATCCCTGAGTTTCTGATCAAGCTTCTCGGCAAATGTCTCACAGCCTTGTTTCACAGAGTCAATGGTCTTTTGGATGCTGGCGTTAGCTATTTCAACCTTCCCCTTACCTGCATCAATTTGATGCTGGAGCTCATTCTTAATCTGCTTGATTATTTCTTGACTCCATAGAAAGCCACGTTGACCACCTTTCAGCAGCGTCACCGCTTGGCCCCCATTCCCGTTCCTCTCAGTAACATACTGCTCAAGCCACTGTTTAATGTTTTTCTTCTTATCACCGCTCTCATTATTTCCCAAAATACCTTCCGCCCATCCGCCTACTATAGTATGGAATGTATTCTTGAACCCATTGGCATAGCTGTTAATTAACCCGTTTGCGATGCCTTGCAGGCCTCTATTTGGCTGATCACCGTTCAGGATTTTATTGACTTCCTCTTTAATCTTGTTAAAAATCTCTTCAAATTTTTGCTTTTTAACAGCGTCCAAATTAAACTTCCCGCCAAGCTTCCCAATCGCCGTGTAAACTGCTCGGACCTTCTCGTTAAGCGCACTTTGAATATGGTCAGTAAACTTCTGTCCAAGCCCATTTTCCGCATTCTGAATGCTTTTTACAGCACCATTATCCAACTCAGTCTTCTTGGATGCAAGTGTCTGCAACTGCGTACCAACAAGCCCACTACCTGCTTTACTAGTCTCCACGTTTGTAGAAAGCCCCTCAATCTTCCCCCTCAAAATCCCCAAATCCTTTATCACTTTCTCATCCAGTTTCTCAACTTCCAACGTCTGAATCACACTCTCTATCCCTCCCTTAATCTTCCCTTTCACATTAAACAAATCCATCTTAAGAGATTTGTCCATTTGCACAACAGCCTTCAAAGCCTTAAGGACTTCAGACTCAACAGCCTTTTTAGCCGCAGTCGCAGCTTTGAAAAGCTCTGTTCCCTTGCCTTTTAATATTTGAGCTTGCGTAAAAATCGGACCTTTAGCAGTCTGCTCTGTCTTAACCCTCTTAAGTATCTCATCACACTTCCCCTCCGCCTTGGTAATGACTTCCTTGGCGGCCTTATTCCAACTCTCCAGACTGGAGACATGTCCGGCAAGTTTTGTATTGGCACCAATAATTAAGTCTTTAGCTGACGTTATTCCATCAATGTTATTGCCTAGCGTTGTGTTCTTATCTAAAAGATTATCATGAACTTCCGTCGCCTGCTTAATCGCCCCTTCAAGCACTGTGCTGGCCTGATCCTTCCACTTACCTAAATCACCAACATGTCCATCAAGCTTCCCATAAACTTCATTAATTGTCTTATTAGCTGCCACGATTTTCTGAACGTTTTGACTCAGAGTCTCATTAACCTTCAACTTGTCGTAGGCTTCCTTGGCCTTTTTCTCCGCCGCGGCACGGATTCTCTCCGCCTCGGTGATCCACTTATCTAAACTCTTTACTTGTGTGTCAAGTTTGCTATTAGCCTCTACCAATCCTTTTCTAGCGGTGTCAATTTCACCAATGCTCTTACCAATTTTCTCTGAACCCGTAGGCTGCAACCTCCCATGCACGTTCTGCGCCTTCTGAACCACTTTGTCAAGCACACCTCTTGCCGCGGAATTCCAAGTTGTCAAATTGCTGTGAACGGTTTGAAGCCCACTATTCACGCCCTCAACTGCCGTTTTAGCCTCCTCAATTTTCTGAAGTCCTTGGCCAATCACCGTCCCTTCAGGAGGATCTTTTTGTTGAGTGGGATCCAACTTCGTGTTCACCGTTTCAGAATTTTGAATCGTCCCTTCTAGGACACCATTTGCCGCTTCCTTCCATTTTGCCAATTCTGAAACTCTCTCTTGCAACTTGTTCTCAACAGTTTCAATCGCCTTATCAAGCTCATTTTTGTTAGCCGGTGGATTCCCATTCACCTCATCCAAAATCTTCTGGACTAAATCCTGCGCGGCTTCAACGTCCTTCGTAGTTTTTACAATCCACTTGTCCAGGTCGATAATATATTTCCCAAGCGATTTACTGACTTATTCAAGGTTCTGTTAAAGGTGATCAGTGGCCTATTTTGGAGGTGCAAGAGGGGCGTCGTAAGACGCGTCCGCAGCCTCAATCCGCCGCCGCAGGTGGGAGTGAGTATGGTGGAAACATATGCGCCATCTTGAGATTTCTCAGCCAGATAATCCTTTGTGAATCCCATGTTGACCCGGCTCTTGTGGCAGATGTCACACGGGTCGAAGAGGTGAGTCTTGAACTTGGAGGTGTCAGTAAGGAACGCCTGGAGGGGAGAGTTGTGTACCTTGTGGCCGTAACGGCAATCCTGCCAACCACCCTCAGATTGAACCCGAGAACACTGCGACTTTAGAAACGCCAACTGGTGGTAACAGACGTAGACGTAGTCTCGCAGCTGGCAGAGGAGGCAGGCGGGGTCGGAGGAATAACGAAACTTGGAATATTCTGAGCTGAAGTTTAGAGTTGTTGGAGCATCCTTGGAGTCATTATACCTAATATTGTGGAGAACGGTGGCAGAGTAGAGGCACGCCTGTGTCAGGGTGTTGGCGACACGGGTAGCGCCCAGGTTGTAAGGATCCCCGGTGACCTCGAGGGCATCTGAGACATCATTGTTATATTCCCTCAAAATGCCTTCAACATGATCCTCAATAATCCCAATATATCCATATTGAGTCAACCCGACCAACCAGTGGAGCATTTCCCTGACGGTCTTGGGAGGGGGCAAAAGGTCCGAGTCTTGGGGAGGGGAGGGGGTTGGTTGGTCGGTGACATATGAGGAATCGGGGACGTACCAGGGGTTGCGGCAAGTGGGAATAAAGCCTTCTTTCGCAAGAGCATCGGTGGCTGAAACGGTAAAGTCGAACGCCTTTACTTGATATTTGTCTGCCGGTATCCACAACTCATTGTTTAACGCAGGCTTTTCTAACTTCACTAGATCATTAAAATGACGAAGTTCCGCACTGGTATAATCGCTTTCCCCGGTGACGCGGGGAATGAATATGTCGACATAGAAGCCTCCTGGTGGTCTCTCTGATTTCGGGTCAGGAGGCATTTTAGACGGGTCGAAGTCCTGAGCATTGACGATCGGACTATCATCTTTCTCCATAATAAACGGTGGCGGCGATGATCTGAGATCAAGATCAAAGTTCATTAAGGCGTCGTGATTCCTACCGTCCCTCGGTAATGCTTTGGGATGTTCAACCTCCTCAGTCACCTCTTGAAGAAGCATTTGGACTCTTTGTGCTTCGGCATCTTTTTGCTTAAGCTGGAAGTCATGTTTGAGTCTCCTATCTTCATCGTCGTTTTGCTGTTTTTGTTGCGCAAAAGAATCTTCCCAGAATCCACTGGCTTTTCGGACTTTTTGTGAGTGTTCTTGAGCAGATTGTACAGAAGTTGAGACAGGCACGCCTGTGAGTTCGGATGAGTACATCTGCATTCTCAAATCATTTCCAATTTCTGCCGCTGAAAGCTCAACTGCTTCGTTTTTGATTATCTCACAGATTATGTCTGTGAGTTGTGTTGTGAGTTGGTCGTCGAGTGACACTGTTCCAAGGGTATTAGTCAGACTGACATCACGCTGCCCTGCAGGCTTTATGATAGGAGGCGGTGGCAGGGCATTTGATAGCGCTGTGTGGGCAACAGGTTGCCCGGTGAGATACATCGGCGGTTGGACAGGCGCGGATTTTATTTGAGGTCCCGACCATTTCGGCGGTTTAATGGGATAGCCGATCAAACTGCCAGCCGACGGAGTAGGGCCGCTGCTTGAACCATGATCGGTGTCTTGACTTGTTGGTTGATTAACATCTTGGCTACCATTTTGACTACCATCTTGCCCGGCCCCTCCACCACCTTGTGACCCAGCCCCCTGGCCAGCAGTTAGCCCAGCGCCTGGAACTGAAACACCTGAAGGCTGAGTGAGCGTAGGGCCTGGAGGGGCAGCAGGCTTTGCACTTGGAGAACCATCGGACGATGAACCCTGACCCGGGGAACCTGTATGACCAGGGGGGGAAGGGCTTGCAGGAACACTGGGGGGAGAGATTGGAGGTTGAACCACTGGCGGGAGTATAGCAGTTTGTCGAACTTGAACAGCTCCTTTACTTGATGAGCCCGGGGATTGAGGATACTCCGGAGGCCCTGACGGGCCTGACCCTCCTGGAGCACCGGGAGACGGAGCTGTAGCAGACTTCACAACTGATGTATCTTGATCCGTAGCAGACACCGTGAGCACCGGACTAGGAGGCCCTGCCGGGCCTGTAGCTCCATCGTTACCGGAAGGCAAAACTGGAACAGCAGAATTTCCACCTGGTGAAGGTGGGAGATTTCGTCCAGTTTGACCATTGCCCTGGTTCTGCGCTCCCTCAGCTTTCTTTTCATCCTCAGAGTCCTCATCTTCTGGACACACTTCACCTTCCAAAATTGTTTTAAGCCTATCCAATCCTTCACTCTTCTGACGAAGCTCATTAATTACATTAGCCCAATCACCGGACAAAACATCATACGGCCTTTTCTGTCCTTCGAAGTTATATTTGTCAAATGTGAAACCATATGGGAAGAGATATTTGTTGAAATAGTCTGCAGTATTTGTCATGGCTTTATCTGTTTTAATTTTCGTTAATTTATCCTTCACTTTGTCCAAATTACCTCTCAACCATTCTGCAGTTTCCTTTGCAAATTCTTCTTTCTCAAGGTGTTGAGGCTCCCCACCGAAGCCAGTAAAGGAAAAGCGGTGGTCGTTGAAAATTTTGCTAAATTCAGATTTAAGCTTCTCACAATGTTCTTTTAAATTATTCCAACAAATGCGATGTTGCTTGTCTTTGAAATGCTCATTTAATTTTGTTATTAAGGTACCGCCGCCATCTTTTTCTCCTCCAACTATTAAGCAAAAAGTCCTCACCAACGCCAGGCCGTTGGCTGTGTTTGAGCCCTGGGTGCCGGAATTTTCGCGCAACACTGAAGTGGAAAAAACATCGCGAAAATATTGGCCATCATATTTTTCACAAATCGCTGTAAGGTCAGTGGCCATATCTCTACCATAACGATAGGCACGTCTCAACTCATGTCTACCGAATCCTCCAGGGATTACACCGTAGTGAGTAGAGCCAGGTTTCGCTAGAAGGTAAGTAGTAAGCTGACCGCCTAAAATTGTACTCATCCCAACCTGCAGACCTGCCCACTTCCCTCCACCCAGCGCACTGAACTTATCGTCCACATTGTACCTCAAAAAGTACGTCACGGCTAAGAACTTGGGAATGCATTCTAAAAGAGCATTTAGTACGGCGGTAGGATCTTGTTTGCCATTATTAACGGCATTAGCATTCTTGCACAATTTCGTATGAAACTTGGACACGCTGCCAAGGAAATTGGTGAGTGCGGATTCAATGTGCTGTTGATTAACAGTATTATACTTGCCACTAAGACGCCCATACAGTTCACTGGCCACCCGGTGTTGCTTACCACTATCTTTATGCAACGCCAGCAGGAACATGAGACATTCCTTGAGGGTGTTAAGCTGAATTTTATCCGCCACCATCTTGCTTACAAAGGCTCTAAGCACAGAGACACTAATAAATGGGCACTAAGATAGTGGTACAAAAGTACACGTGAAATCGTTTAAATGGTTAACTACGAGACACTAAAGCGATAATACCTGAGGTGACGCCACCGCTTCCAGCTTACCAAGACACTGCCAAGTTGCTTGCAACTGTTATAATTGCGATGTCAATATTACGCTCACATTTCCTGTTTCATAAGGTTGTGCGTAGAATTCCTTAACCAAGTTCACCGGTATTGCAATAATGTCATCATCCTCACTGATCCACTTATGAAACTTCACAAAATGGTTGTACAGCGTGTTACTAACTTGCTCAAGCTGAGCTAAGAGGTTACCAACCAAGGCTTCAAATTGTCGAGGAACTTAGTAACTTCGTTGCGAATCAGTGAATTGATGTTGTCTCTAAGCTTGCTGGGAGCGTGCTTGGTCACATTTATCTCTGTTTTAGTTTTGTTTAGTGTGCTATGTGGCTACGTGTGGCTTATAGCCTATTTGCGTGTTTACCAGGCTAGCGCCTCACGCTGCTGGTGTCGTCTGCCGGATATGCACCTTTATGTGGCCGAGCGTAGTCGGTTGTTACAGCTTCGTTCATGGCGAATGTCGTCTAGAGCCGCTATTAGGGGCAGAACAAGTCAGCGATTCGTAACGGCTATCAACTCACAATCTGCGCCAATAAACAACATAATGTTTGCTAATATTGGTGCAGAATACTATCATGTAGCTTCAGAGGATTAACTACTATTAAAGGTTTCGTTGCGAAGCGATAGAAGGTAGCGGAATTAATACTCCCTGCATTCAGCAGGCGCTCCGCATTCGAGTGAGGATTATGACGCTGAAAATCGCTAATGTTACAAATTACGCCTATTTCTCTACAAGTTTTATGATTGTAGACCGCGATTAGTACACTGCAGATCTTCACACGTCTGTCTGCTGTACGGTCATTGAAGCGTGTTACGTTGGGACGATATTAATCGCCAAATTTGCGTAAGATACTATATTAAATAAATGTTCATAGCTGTGTTTGCGCCCATTCGACGGCAGCAGCATTGTAGCTTATGAGTGCACACATAAATATGGCTTAAATAAGGTGTCAATTTAGAAGCGGCTCGTGAGAATCCGTCCGTCAACTCACTCGGGATCCGGACTCATAATCGTTGCTTGTCAAACTCTTTGTTCACTCCACCTGCGACACCCACTCAATAGAAAGCCCAGAATCCAGCGATGTCGTAGAGTATGCCCAATACACGTACCTTCACACCTCCCAACGCCCTGAGGACGTATGAAGCACCCATGCCAGCGCGATATTGGGGTTCTTCGTAACCCATGGCTTTCAAAACATTTCCCATGGGCTTACCCTCTCCATAGATTGACAAGATCCCACTTCCAGCTTTGCTCTCCTCCCACACAGAACGTATCCCCGCGTACAACATTGGCGCAATACCCACTAGGACCACTGCGCAAGCCTCCGGGTCCTCCGCGCATGACGCATCCCACGTCGCTCCTGAACTGTAAGCAGACTTGTACTCATCAGGACTTTTTATCTTTTCCAAGAACTTTTCACAACAGTCCACAACTTTGCCTAATTTCTGCGTGATTTTTTCAGCGGTGAGGTGGTTCGCCATTACGATATTTTTATAGTCGTATTCTTCGATACGTCTAAAATGCTTATCGAGTTCTTTGCGAGTTTTCCCGATAGGTTCATTGATCTTCCTCAGTATCTTTTTCACGAACCAACGGCCCCTGAGCTCCTGCTTCTCCAGGAACTCCTTAGTAATAACTTTCACATCCTCGAGAGCTCGCACCTTCATCTTTCCAACAGGCTTGTCTGCGAGAAAATCGTACACTGCCGCGCCCATAGCCTTCAAGTTGTTTTCAGCGTCAGTTCCCTTCAGGGCCATCAACCAGTCAATGCCCTCCTTGAGGTTTCGAGGTGCCGTAGTCAGCAAATCATATACCATTTTGCAAATGTTCGTTTAATTGGGCGGATGCTATGTGTATGGATTTTGGGTGTCTAATTACAGGCTGAGACTTTAAGCGGCTGTATGTTAATGGTAAATGGATTAAAGTGCTGTTGAGCCCTAATACAGACGCATTTAATTGCAATATATGACACTTCCTATATAGAAAATGCGGACTATATGAGTGTACGCCGATTGTCAAGCCTCAGTGCCTCAGCCTGCTCCACACTATTGATGTTGCATGCATTGTCTGCTGCGCATGTCATTGGCATATACTGAAACTTGAGGTATAAATGTATTCACAGCGAAGCTTCGACATTTGTAATATTACAAAAAGTTGCTGGTAGTATGTCATAGACCGTACGCTGTCCCGTGGTTCACGTAGGACAATATGTTACAATCACATAACGTATTTCTCATATGCAGTTGTCTACACGAAATCTAACTACCAATGCGACCAATAGCATCATTTAATCACAAAACACGTGAATCACCACGTCGCCTGGAATGTAACTCCTCAAATACGGATATGAAACGACCAACAACTCGGCTTCACAGCCCACTAAAACAAAGGATGAGACAATTTGGCTCTTACGAGTCAACTACTATAACACTAACTAGACATGTTTGCTGTGTTGATTATTAAGTTGCTGATTACTTGGAGATGGAATGGTACATCGCTAAAATCACTCAACTTGTAGGTTTGCCAGTTTCATGAGGTCGACGGAGACCTCGGATAGACATACTTCGCTGGTGCAACCCATCACCAGTGTAGTGCAATGCTCCACAACAGAACAAGCTATTGTTTAGATGCGGTCATTATTGTGTCATCAAGTTGGCCTATGATGTCGTCGAAGTAGTCGACGTCCTTGTAGAGTGAGAGCATTCTCCTGCTGCCGGCGAGCAGCGCCTTGACGTCGATGCGGTGTGAGGCCCTGGTGGTGAGTAGGTGGGAGCGGATGTGCAGGATGTCAATGCGGTAGAGTAGTGAGTGGGCGATGTAGAGCGTGGCGGTGAGCCAGAGCGTGACGAGGCAGAAGAGGAAGGGCGCACGGATGCCATAGAGGAATGTGTCCATGGCGGTCATGAGGTCTGCGATAGGCTTGCCAGATAGCACTTCCTCCAGCTTGGTGATAACCTTGGAACACGTGAGCGACGACTGCAGCATCCCGTCCGGAGGGGTGAATCCGTGAGAGTAGAGGAGTGGCAGAGCTTCGGCACACTGGTGGAGGGACTTGGAGTTAGAGTCGTGGCACTGAAGGTCCTTGAGATCACAGTGAAGCTTGACCAGCGATTCCCGCAGTCTGTCTGGTAGGTAGGCCGCCCAGCTGAGGTAGTGGTGGACGAAGCTGGAAGAGTACAGGGCGTAGGCCCGGTAGGTGATGGACTTCATATGCTGTGGGCACTGGGCATTGGTGATGTCGCAGCCAAGTAGAGAGGATAGTGTGTTGGGATGGTCCTTGTCGTGGTTGTGGTTGGAGTTGGGAGGGGCGGAGCCCCTGGCGTCCTTGATGACTTGGAGGTCGGAGTCCTTGAGACGGTCCCAGTTGGGGCAGTAGCGATGAGCAGTGGAGAGGGCGGAGCCCAGCTTGGACAACTCTGAAGACACACCATGAAGCTCATTCCCGAAATTGTGGAAGAACGAGACAAGCTCCCCGGTGGTGCGCGGCGTTCGCCTGGTGAGGCAGTTGAGGTAAGAGGACAATGTAAGCAAGGGGTCATCACCGCCGCAGGTGGGAGTGAGGATGGTGGAAATGTCCTTCCCCGTTTGTTGAGTTTTAGGCAAATGCTCCTCCCTGAATCCCATGCTGACACGGCTCTTGCGGCAGATGTCACACGGGTCGAAGGGGTGAGTCTTGAACTCGGAGTCGGGGGAGTCTGTCAGGAAGGCCTGGAGGGGAGAGTTGGGGACATTATTGCCATACTCACAATCCTGCCAACCACCATGTGATTGATCCCGCGAACACTGCGACTTTAGGAACTGCAACTGGTGGCAGCAGGCGTAGGCGTAATCCCGCAGCTGGCAGAGGAGGGCGCAGGCATCAGGCTCCTTAGATTGGTCTGAGTCCTTAGGTTTTAATGTTGCGGATAATGTGGTGTTACTTTTCCAGGCAGGTTCTATGGTGGATAGTACTGAGGCTGCAAACATGGCGGCAAGGTGGATGGTGTGAAGGACATCTTCAGGGCGGATCTCAGCACCGTTGACTGGGAGCGTGAGTTTGGCAGAGACATCATCTCCGCGCTTGAAAGCGTTATTAATACACTGTCCCAAAGCTTCTTGGTGCTTCGGGTTCTGCAGTCCCGCCATCCAAACAAGCATATCCTTGACTGTGCGCGGCGCCTCGGAGGGGAACAGCTCCGTGACGGGGATGTCGGTAGCGTCATGCGTTGGTTTCTGGGTGAGCCAAGGAGCGACGCACGTTTGAACGGCATCAGGGCTGTGACTGTACGTGTCGGCAAATCTTTTGGGGAGATCCTCCGGAGGATCGATGGGCGGGAAGTTGATTGCGACGGCGGTGGTAGATGGGCCGATGGGCTCAAGTGGCTCGGCGGTTGGGGGAGTTGGAGGGTTGTGATTAAAGTCCAAGTCGTCCACGGGGTCCTTTAGCGGGCGGTCGGGGAGGTCGATTTGGAGATCCGTGAAAGACCTTTCATCCTCCGTAGGCTCTAATTTGAGATCGTCAGCTTCATTCGAAGTCTTATAATCCTTATGCTCGATGAGAATTTCGGGAGGAATCGGTGGCAAGCCCCGCGAATAATATGGGTCCTTTTGCTGAAAATCGAATGACAAATCTGCAGGCTTGAAGTCGGCACTGCTGTTATCGTTGGATTCCGGAGACCATTTGTCTGCGACTTCAATGTCCATTTGAGGCTTTGGATGGTCGTTAATATACTGGGTAATATCAGGATCCGGGCGTTCTGGAATGGTATGGCTACGCGGTGGGGCATAGATATCGATGTCCAAATGGTCGGAACTTTGGCGGATCAGTGACGATATGGGCGTAGCATCAACTGTTATCCCTTCCGGCTGATAGGCGTCTCTGCCTTTCATTACCTTATCGAGGTATTTGCTGAGCTCTCTGTCATACTCTCTCTGTTTCTGCCCCGCATACATTTTTGCCATGTCCATCCGAGCTTTGAGTTCCCTCTCACCCTCTCCCAGAATATCCGTAGTATATGGGACACTTTGACCAATAAAAGGAGTCTCGATTACTTCATGACCGTTAAATTTACTATCTTGAACATTTTGTAAGAATTTCTGTCGTTCTACCTCTTCATCAGCAGCATTCCGCAATTGCTTTTGTTCTGCATTCAGGATTTCCGCATCTAATTTAAGATTGTCCTGTGTTTCCTTTCTAATCTTATTCAGGATGGCGTCACGTTCCTCTTCTGCGTCGATTCTGTCATTCCATTCATCCTGTATTTCTTGAAGAGACTTGTCTTCGACGGCTTCACCGTCAATTTCAAACCGAGGCTGATCCGCAATATCAAAAAAACCAACGGAGCTAGCATATGGATCCACGTTCCCCGGTATTATGGCATCTCTATAGTTAACAGGCCTACTTGCCCTTGGTCCAGGAGGCACTGGAAGCCCTGCGCCAGGAACGTGATCGGCAGGTGGTAGGGAGTGACCGGTAGCATTAAGAACGTTCTGTTTTTGAATTATAGAAGGATCTGGATTTTGGAAAGCTCTATGTTTTTTATCCAATTCATCTTCGAATTCCTTTTGTTTAATTTGATCAAGCTTTTTTTGCACTTCATCCCATATTTTTTGCATATCTTTCTCACGTTGAAATTTTATTTGGCCTTGCTGTTCATAATACTTAACGGTGCTATCAGGCAACTTGTCAACCGGCGTGATTTGTGCAAGAGAATTATTACCAGTCCCTCCTGTCCCCACACCCCCTCCAGCTCCACTGCTTGACACTCCACCAGCCGCCATGGTACCCGACGGAGTAGCGCCGCTGCTTGGAGTTTGACCGGTACCTTGACTAACATCTTTACCACCGCCTTTCCCGGCCCCTCCACCACCTTGTGGCACATCCCCCTGCCCACCAGGTGGACCAGTGTTTGAACCTGAAGTACCCGGAGTCTGAGGACGCACGGTGCCATGAGTGGCACCAGGCTGTATAGTTGTAGCATCATCGGACGTTGAACTCTGACCCATTACAGTTGGCCGACTCGTGGAGCCAGCGCCTCCAGTAAGAGTGGGAGGCCCTACCGGTCCTGCACCTCCTGGAGCACCGGGAGGCGGAGCTGCAGCAGGCTTTCCACTTGCTGAACCTGAAGACGCATCTCCACTAAGACCTTTACCTTGGTTCTGCGCTCCCTCACTTTTCTTCCCCTGGTTCTGTGCTCCCTCAGATTTCTTGCCTTCATTTTGATTCCCTTCAGGAACCTTTGCTGGCGGCACCTCAGGTTTTTTAGGTGGTACAACCGGAACTTTCTTCTCCGGCACAACTTCCTTGGGGGCTTCAGGAACCTTTGCAGGCGGGACCTCAGGCTTTTTGGGTGGGGACGCCGGCCCGGCACAATTAATTTTATTCTTACCTTCCAAAATTTCTTTAAGCCTATCCAAATCGCCGTCACCCGATTTATGAAGCGCGCCGATCACATCACGCCAATCCTCTTTCAACCCGTTTAACTTACTGCCGTGAATTCGGAACCGAGCTTCTCCATTAAACGTGAACCCGTAGGGGAAGAGATATTTGGTGAAGTATTCTCCAAGCTGGTTCGGGCGGAGTTTCATGAGGCTGTCATCTGTATTAATGCTCACCAAATTCCCCCGCAGTCTGTTCAGATACGTTCTCATCCATTTTGCAGTTTCCTTCGCAAGCTCCTTTGTGTTAAGATCTATAAGTCGCGTCGACTGTCCGGTGAAATCGAAGCGTTCATCCTTTCTGTTAAGTTTGTCAAATTTCTTCCTAAGCTGAGCGCAATGATCTTTTAGGTCTTTCCAACAGATGGAATTCTCTGTTGAACTCACTTGCTGCCGTAAACCGTCATTCAATGCATTTATTAACTCTCCGCCTTCTTGACCTTCCTCCCTAGCACAATGTCGCAAAAGGTTCTGACCAATGAGACAGCGTTCGCCGTGTTCTGAGGACCGGTGCCACTATTGTTGGAGAACACCGAACTCACAAACACGCTGCGGAAGAAATTATAGGGTTGCTTTTTCAAAATATCTTGTAGGTCGTAAACCATATAAGAACCCTGGTAGTATGCCCTCCATTGTGAGTAATACCTCACATCACCGTAAGTAAACCCACCGGGTATGACGCCGTATTTTGTCTCCTTGGATGGAGCGTGGAGATAGTTAGCAAGATCACCTCCCCACCAATCACCTGCATTGTATCCCAGCCAATCCTTCCACCCGCCTCCGCCAAGTGAGTCGTAACTGGGAGTTACGCAGTACTCCAAATAGTAGATCGCGGCGAGGAATTTAGGGAGACAGTCAAGGAGGGCGTTGGCTATGTCCTCTGCGTCTCTACCGCCATAACTGCCTGCCTCTGCTTTGTAGCACAATCTCTCATAAAAGTTTGACACGGCAGTGAGGAATGGGGACAAGCCCTTTTCAACGTTTTCCACTGAAAGAAATGGGGAATTAAAATGGTTTTTGATACGCCCATGTAAATATTCGGCCACCTCCCCTTGCTTAACACCATTATTCTTCAACCACATCAAGAATTGGAGACACTGCTTGAGAGTGTCAAGCGGAACTCCGTGACCCGTCATCTTGCTTACAAAGGCACTCAGCACTAAGACACTAATAAATTGGCACTAGGCTAATTGCACAAAAGTACATGTGAAAGCGTTTAAATGGTTAACCAGGAGGCACTAAAGCTATAAAACCTCCTAGGTGACGACACTGCTTCCAGGTTACCAAGACACTCCCAAGATGCTTGCAACAGTAGTGATTGCGGTGTCTAGATTATGCTTACATATCCCGTTTTATAACGTTGTTCGTATGTTTCCTCAGCCATGTTCATGGGTATTTCAACAATGTCATCATCCTCACCGATCCACTTTGCCAACTCCACAACATGGCTGTCCAGCGTCTTACTAACTTGCTCAAGCTGAGTTAAGAGGTTACCAACAAAGGCTTCAATGTGTCGAGGAACTTAGTAACATCTTTGCAAGTCAGTGAGTTGATGTCGTCTCTAAGGTTGATGAGAGCGTGCTTGATCATATCAATAAAGGCGTCGCAGTTGAGGGATGGCTGGCGCCGGCAGGAGTGAGGAGGGTGGCGAATATGTGGTCAAAAAGCTAGGAGTGGAGGTGGATTACGCTACGAATTGATGAGCTGAGGGATTGACTGGAGATTGGTTTTTAGGCGTTTTGCTGTTAATGTTTACAGGAACCAGATGATGCGGGTGGTGGACGGATGAGGCCCGGAGGGCGAGCATGGTAAAATCACATCTAGAACTAATGTTCACTTCATAAACACGATCTATAAGCCACAAAATTGAATGTCAGTAGTTAATGACTTGGAATTGCGATGTGAAATGGGTTCTAGATGGCTACGGAGACTGACTAAGCTATGTGAGTCCAGTCCAGCGAAGGCTTTGAGACGTTGGGAAAATGTCGGACAACTTTTTGTACGCTTTTCCCGGCAGCCCGTAGTAGAAAGATGAAAAGGCGATGAGTAAGAAGATTGCACCAATGACGCCTGCGGCGATGTAGCGGCCCCTTAGGCAATTCTCACATGGAGTATCTCTGTGTTGTACATTACATTTTGAGCACATTGCACAGTATCTACAACACCGCCAGCAGTGCTGACAATCTGATCCAGAACAGATCTTCTGTTTACAACATTTACACTCCTCGTCCGTCATCTTCTCCTACCTCCCTCGTGATTAACCTGCAAGATTACGAATCACATACGTTCAGCCCTGAATAGTGGATTCGCGTAGCCGTCTCCGGAAAGGCCCAGACAACCGCCACGCGACCCACCGCCATATATACCACAGCCGCGCGATTCGCACCACAATCTCCACTTCGAATTACTGGCATAATACGAATTGGATACTTTCAGTGTCTGAAAACTTGTAGTGGGGTCCCGGAGGAGGAGCTCAGCGTAGCGTAAAATAGACACCGCTGCACTGCGTGTAGGTGTCACGTTTCGGGTGTGCTAATGAGTATCTAGGAGAGCCACGTTGCGTACTTACTATATTAGTGATGGCCACAGTGGTGTCCGTTAATACCAGTTAACTAGGCCGTACACTGGCCACCATGTCAGGGGGCCACAACAACAGTCATTACCTAGCTGCCCACCTAATCACGAATACGCAACCTAATTAAATTAAGAGGCGGCTCACCGCATTACCTGGCACAGCTGCGTACATTGACGGTCAACATCCCGGCTTCACATTAACTGATAGCAGGTAATGAGGTTGTCACATCTCACGAGTGAGCTGCAGCTCAGCACCCCAAACAACTACTGCCTTAATGTAGCGACTACATTGTCTGCCAAAAGCAAGGTTATGTAGTAGGTTACACGTTAGGCGGAGTGGGTTAGTAACGCTGAAAAGGCTGTTGAGTCCAAAGGCAGCGACGACCTGCATGCCGTAAAGGATATGGACAATTCGCTTAAGAAAGATTTGAAGAAAGGTAGGGATGATATCAAAACACATATTTGGCAGAAGATTGTGGATGCTGGAGTTTTGGATTTGGGTGAAGATGTGAAGATTGATTTGAAGAGTTTGAGGGAGAAGATTGAGGGGTTTTCCAAAACCGTGGAAAGCGACCCGCAAAACAATGTTCTCGTTAAAGACGCTTTGAAAGCTCTTGAGCAAGCTATGGTAACGCTAGATGGTACTACTGGGAAGAATGGTTCAATTCAGAAGGCGGTGGAAGGTCTTGAAACTAAGTTTAAGAGTGTGATCAGCGATCCGCTTAGTAATGCGGTCGAAAAAGTTTACACGGCGATTGGGGAGCTTGGCGGGAAGTTTAATAGCAAGGGTACACTGAAGAGTGTTGATGGGATTTTCGAGCATATTAAAGATAAGGTTGGGGAGATTAAGGGGAATAAAGGAACTAAACAACGAAATGGTCAATGGATAGGTAACTCAGGCCTGGAGGGGATTAAGGAGAGAGTGAAGGATCTTGCTCAGGCTTTCGTAAAGACTGGCTGGAGCGGTTTTGAGCATCCATTAGGCGGATGGTTGGAAGGTATAATAGGGAATGGGAATGGGACGCCGGGCAGCAAAGACCATAAGCCCGGCTTGCAAGCTGTGAACTCTTGGCTTCAGCAGTATAAGGATGCGATCAAGAAGGGAGGGAAGCAAGTAAGCGATTTTACAGATCAGATTAAGAACAAGATTATGCAACAGACACAAATCTTACAAGCCATTACGGAAGCTCAGAAGCATATTACACAAGTGCAAAATGGCCCAAACATCATCACGCAGAATCTTAAGGCAATTGTAAGCGCTTGCAATACATTTGTCGATGAGCTTGATAAGCAGATCACGAATGGCAAAATTAATACCGTTACCGATCCCATAGCCGGGGTGATTAAGGGGTGGGCAAGCGGGCAGAGTCTTCAGAATTTTAATCAAGACGCTGATCTCAAGTCTGCTATAAAATACACCCTAGTTTCCCTCTGCGTTGCTGTCAAGACGGTGGCCGACGAACTCAATTCATTAGGCATCGGCAAGTTTGGACAAATCTTGGACGCTATAAAGCCGACTGTAGATGAGCTTCACGGTCAGCTTCAAGGGGCGACTACCTCCAAACCCGGCACCGGCTCCAACCAAAATGAAAGCCCCGCCGGAGCCGTGGACAGTATGTTGAGTGAAGTGAGGAATGAGGAAGAGATCAAAGAAAGCCTAGAGGTAACGTCATCCACGAGCTCGCCTAACGTATCAGCCATCGTATCGTAATGTACTAGGAATGATCATAGATGGCTCCTTATACCGATGCATCTCAGGTCAGGTAGATCTAGCACACTTTGTGGATTTCTATAACGCGCATGAAACAATTTGAATGACTCACTATGATTCGATAAGACGTCGAACCAGCTGAATGTTCTGGTGTTTGGATCTAGATCAGTTTAGAATTTCGCTAGGTACGGTCGGACGAATTGACATACCCGGCACCCATTTTAGAGCCGTTGCCGCAGGCTATACGACATAGAAATGCTTCTCTACTAGAGTTAATGGTATAGTAGCGCGAGGTTTAATAATGTTATGATTCAGTGTTGGACGCTGCACTGACGTCAGAGCAACATGCATACATCCATGGCAATGTTTTAGACCTCCGACATCTTCATGCATCCTTTGTCGGTAGGTGTACTGGAGACTCTATAAATATAGGTAATATGCTAAAAAATGGTCTATGCATGTGGATTGCCACCGTGTATAACCTGCATCACATGCAGATGAATAATATACTGCAGTGGAGGAGTTAAGGGGCTAATGCTGAAGCGATCAATACAATTTGCAACGTCGACAATACAATCTCTATGAGATATTAACCGCTTAAAACCTCAAATTCCTGGAGGGAGGAGAGGTGTATACTGCAACACCCGTACACACCTTCCGGGTTCGTTATATATCGCTGTTTAGGGTTATTTGATATGTGAACCAATAGACAATGCCTAACGCTACGTGTGGATGTTCAGTAGGACAATGCTCTAAGACGAGTGGTAACTGTTGTCAGAAAAGGAATTGCAAAAAAGGAGATCAATGTAAATGTTGTCCTTGTGTATGCTCAGATAAAACAAACAGGCTATCCTGCCAGTGCTGTCCCTGGTGTTGTGAGCAATGCAAGCTGTCTGGACCATGCATGTCATGTGGCTCTAGAGAACTGAAACACCCACCTAAAGGATATAAAGGTTGTAACATTTGGCGCTGTTCTTGTAAAGGTTGTATAGAACACTGGCCGTCAACAATCAGGACAATAATCTGCTGCGTCATCGCCCTTGTACTCTTCGCGATCTTCATAGGCTTTGCTGTGTACCTCTATAAGACGAAGTCATCCGCTTACACCATACGCCAAATTTTCTCCGAGTGGACAGGGTACTCTTCCACATACGCTGGCCTTGGAAGCAAAAATCTGTCTTAACTGAGCCATTCAGGGAAGAGTCATGGGAATGTCACATCTAAACGCCCATAGTATCACACACGTTTAATGATTGACTTGCTTTTACTTTTACGGTGTAGAAGCAACGGTTCTTAAAGGAATAACCAATCAAGACAACCTGGTGGAGACGGAGACATACAGGTGGAAGAAGCATGAAGCTCTGATCGAGGACCCGGAGGCGCGACAATTCAACCAGCACACAAAGTTCAGGGCAATCCCCTACGTTATGACGTGGGAGGGAATAGTGACAAAAGACCACACCAAGCACAGGCGGGACCTGGGCATATCGGATTGCTTAGAAGCCCATATACAACGGTTTGTGATCCAAGAAACACAAAAGGTGTTGAGGGACATGAAACCCAGAGAGGATTATGACTCTGTAAGTGACCCTCTCGCCCATACAGGATGGATGCCATCGTGGGTGACATTAATGACGTCTGGCAATGGTACGCTAAATTATCAGCCAACATAAATGTCGTGCGACACATATGCCTGCATAAATCCTGCAAATTTGCGCTAGCAGTACTTAACCGCTTACAGCACGTTATACAACGTGAAACACAGCTTAATTTATTGGGTTTACGCATTTACCAAAGCAATATGTTTTAGATGTTATTTTATAGATTTCTAACCCGACCCTGCTACATTAAGAACTTGCAAGATTGTAGCAGCTTCATTTTAAGACGATATCGTCGAATTTGGTTCGTCGTGTACTCAATTGTCAAGTGATGCGACTATGGAGGTAAAACGTATATTGTTTGGTTCTATGGCGAAGAATGATTCGTGCATAATAATTGCAACGCTCTACATTGCCATTACGCGTGTGCGTTACGTATGACTCACTTGCAATAACTCATCTGGTGCCGCTCTTCCATGATTTACGGGAAAGTCTAATGCTCCATCCTACGGTTGTGTCGTTGTTTATTACGATAGCCTCTCCATACCAACTCATACAAATCTCCATCCACAACCACAAATGTTACATAGTGCGACGCGATCTGTATATGAGATATGTGTGAACGACAAGTGCGCCCACCTCCTCTTGTTCATTGGTTATGACCGACTGTCCCTTCTGTTCGAATTTTGCGTGTAATTCCTGGATTTCATGCGTGTTCTCGATCAACTAGAGTGTTTAATATGTTACACAAATTTTCTTACCGTTCCCCTTTCCCCCGGCGAGGCATGGAACGTTTTCTCTCTTATGTAGCTGAGAATGGAATCATTTTCGATGTGCCGATTTTCACAAATATTGTTGAGCAAGTGAAGTAGGGCGTATGTGCCACACTGGTTGTGTACATTCTGAGACTCAATGTCCATGATTTGTTGTCGCGAACCTGGTAAGCGAACCACACGTTTGGCGATACGTATTTTTGTTTTGTGTATGTCTCCTTTGTTTCTCGGTAGCTGGTTATCTATATATCGGCGTTTTAATAGGATCTTATATGTTTACCTTAGCAGTGCACGGCAGAGTGACAATGACACCCACTACTGGCTTTTTCACCTGCATGGTTTTACAACAGTACTTAAAGTTAGTTCGAGCTTTGGATTCATTTTCAGTATTCATATACACATAGAGGATACAGTTCAATCCACGCTGCCGATCGAATGGTTTTGTTGCGCTTCCTGATGCTATGTACACCAGATTTGCGCTGACCAGTGTTGTTCGTGCGCCCAGCGTTACATAAAGTAGCTGACGTATGCAACTCAGATGCCAAGTATACACATATAAGCACTTCCGTGCATATATAATTGGTGTGTTGAACTTTTTACAACCCCGGATGTTGCAGAGGTAATATAGAGGCAATAATATGTCAGTGACTACTCACCATGTCGTATGCCCAGGTTTCCCATGCCAGAAGGTCGTCGAAAACAAGTTTGTATTGGCCCAGTGCCGCTGCGTATTCGCTGAAAACAACCGGGCACGCCTCCAGCGGAGCGAAGCCGCGTACCACCCTGGTTCGGGTCATGATGTGTAAGCTCTTTCAGCTTCTGTTCACATATAGATCTAACTGTGTGTCACCATTTTATTACAATTTACACGCTCAGTAACACTGGCATGACACAGCGTGCTGGTAAATTATACTATGGCTACGCCTCGCCGCTATCACTGTTCAGCCACCAAAAAAGCATATAGGCATAGGCAAAACGCACTTATGCCACCGAATACCTTACTAATGGTATTCAAGTGAAACGGCGAGTTCTGGAAGACAACAAAGCTCTATAATAAGAACTTTTTATGTCGCATATCCGATGTGTGGACGCAACAGAATAGGAAGTCGTCTTACGCCGCCAACAGCTATATTTGCTTTTGGCAAAATGATGCATTATAAAGTAATCAACGGGCCGAGATTTATACTGTTGTCTGACTGCGGGTGATACCAGGCGCGCTACGGCACCTGCCATTGCGTTGATAGACACACTTCACGCGCTAGCGAGGGTAATACAATCAATTTACATATTGGTATATAACAAATCGGGCATTCCTGGCTCGTTATAGTTCATGGTTGTGTGTTACGGTACATCCCCATAGGAGGTGTCGTTGTGGAAACCACAGGGCAACTGGAAGCGGACCACTATTTATCTGCCCCCTATCGTAAATTCTAGTCTTGTTTTTACAGCAACAACTGGGTACGTTTTGCTAGCCCGTATGACCACGCCGAGTTGCGCGGTTACGGCCTCAGTCGCGTTGTCGTCGTGCTGGGTCGTGAATCGGCACTACCAGCACCAACGTTAAAGTGGATGCCATCACGATTGTACCAAATTATATATCATTAACGGTTCCTCAGGTGTTTTATAAAAATGGCCAAGTCGAAGAACCACACGAATCACAACCAGGTTAGCGGAGTCCTGTAGTTTTGGCACGTTCGCGCAGATTCGCAAGGCTCACCGTAACGGTATTAAGAAAGTGAGGATCCCTAGGAAGATTTCCACGAAGGGGGTACGTTTATATACTGGGCAATTATTGGTTGTATCTGTATTCCATGGGTTGCTGGTTACACCCATGTGTAGTTTTTCGGCACCGCTATATTTGGTAACCTCTCGCACTATCATGTTATGCATTGCCGAGTCTCCCGCTTGTATGTACTTTACAATATTGCAGATGTGCCCCAAGTTCTTGCGCAACCAGAAGTTCTGCAAGAAGCACCTCTACACTCCTAAGGAGGAGGCCTCGAGCTGAAGGCGCCCCTGTCGCACCTGATGCCGGTGCCATCGCCGCTTTTCTGCGCCAGTGTCTGAACCCAGGCGGTATGGACTACGAATAACAGCTGGTGCCAGTTTGGCGCCGAAGTAATGAATTTGGATGGCATTGCGTAGGTGTGTTTAGAGTGCTAATGGGCCCAAGCTTGGGTAGCTGCGGCTTTGTTGGCTGTATTGCCACTTTGAGTGCCTTGACGTTCAAAATGTCTTCCATGATTACTATATTTCGCCGTCCCGGTATAGCGGAGCTGTGTCGTCGTCTCTCATTGCATGTTCGTAATCGCCCGGGTAGATTAGTGTAGCGGTTTAGGAAGCCTGCGACTTTCCGCCGAGGCGGTGAAGTATATCAGTTCATGCGGCTAAGGGCAATATGGACCGGTCGGGATTCGAACCCGAGACCTTCCGCATGCAAAGCGGACGCGATACCCCTACGCCACCAGCCCTACTGTGCGTGCCCCGATTTGTTGTATTACTATCAGCTCTCTGAGGTGATGTTTAAATTTTGTTATCGGGTTGCGCCGCCTAAGACAGCAAGGTAAATGTCTTCGTCATGACAGATCATGAGCGACATAAGGGTCACATTTCCCGGTGATGTCGTCCACGGCCAGGCGGCGACGCTGTTGCAGGGTCGCGGAACATATGTTGACGACGGCAAACTAAAATCGTCGTTTTTAGGAACTTTTAAAAAGGTAAGTGGCCTGTGCAATATTGATGTAGTTACATATTGTGCGGTGTGTATACTCTACGGCGCTGGAAGGAGCGCACATCGCTCTGTGATTCTGCCGCAACCTTCGGCTCAAAAGTTGCTTCCATAGGCCGCCGCGGCGCGTATTTATCATAGGTTTTAACATATATTAGCTGTTTTCGTTTCTCATATCGTAAATGTCTAGGATTCGGATCCAAGGACCTTCGATTGCCATATGTGTTGTTGGTATATTGGTCCTGCCACGTTTTTAGACATGGCGTTATCGAGTAATTTTTGCCGCCTTTGCGGGCGTGATTTCGTGATTTGGGTGTCCACCGTTGATTTGATTTTTTACACAGTCTTGTTTTAGGTCGACAAGCTTGCGTATGTGGAGCCGCTGCATGGCAAATACTTCGCTCAAGTCGGTGATGTCGTTGTCGGAGTGGTGCAGAAGATCGGTGGAAACTGCTGGTACATCGACATTGGTTCTTCGATGCGCGTACAGCTGTCGATTCTGCAGGTGAACACCGAGGAGCTTGCAAACCGGAGGAAATTGGATGAAGATGTCTACGAAATGCGGAATATATTCGACATCGGTGATGTCATATCGTGCGAGGTGCAGCGTGTTTCGGTAGGTTTCGATAGTTTGCGTGATATCCACTTGCAGCAAAACGGCACGGTCTTGCTGCAGACGCGTACAAGCAAGTACGGCAGGTTAACCAATGGCATCCTGGTCAAGGTCAAACCGAACCTGATGTTGCGCCAGAGCAAGCACATGCATGACCTCCCATTTGGAGGTAGTCTGATCTTGGGATGCAATGGTTAGTGTTGATGTGCCTTTGTGTCAAACTCATTTAGGTTTCATATGGCTGGCGCCTTCGGATGAGCGGAAAGACGCCACTGTCAGGGCACAAGTGTACTACGATATCTGCACGCTTCGCCGTATAATACTGTGTCTTGCTGATCTGGGCATTCAAATCAGCTACACGATTATGTGTGACATTTTCAACTTCTTTAAAAGGCATTGCCCCAGTGAGAGCACCCTGTCGAAGGATTATGCTCCGCAGTTGGTGGAGCTGTATCTTTCTGAGAAGAATGGCTAGTTTTATCGTGGTATATCGCGTTACATCGCGTGAAGCTAATTATGGAGTCATTGATTTGTCATCGAGCCCATAGGACCTATGGTTGTGCTTCAGCGTACCTATATAGCTAACTAGGAACGGATGCAGCCTTTATTTGTGCCAACTGAAGCACCGTGCAACGCGTTCTATAGAAACAGACCGTGCAATGTGTGCGGTAAAACTTGGCAAATGTACGCCTAATACGTATTAATCGCCTATTTAGTATGTTCAAATGCATACTCGCTGAGACGGCGCTGCTGATACAGCATAACGGTGGTGAATAGTTGCACCCCAATGCAATCAGATTAAGTAATCATGTATTGTATCTATGGAATTGCTGGCGGTAAAAAGAAGAAGCATCAAGCAATATCAATAAATTAGTCATGAATAAATGTCTGTTTCGGTGCGTGAGGCAAGTGCGATGAATGCGGATGAATATAATTCGCCAACCATTACGCAGATAAACGAGCTCTATCGTCGTAATATAATGTTCATCTACCACGCTGTCTTCCCCAAAACCACCGAATCCGACACAGGAACGCTAGGAACCGTTGCCACATGGAGGGAGGATCACTGGGTTCATCTACCGGCGCCGGGCCAATTTCCACCGGGGATCTTTTGAGGCGCTTCAAAAAGAATTCGTAGTATTCGTCCCAATCTGCATCTCCGTCTTCTTCGGCTATCTCGGAATTATTGTAGGAATCAAGCCAGTCGTCCTCATCTGCGGGGCTTGACCTACCCGCAGCTGAATTTCGATGCCGCTGTCCGTCATCACCGGAAGATGCGGCATTTTCACCTGAATCATTTTCATTGTCCGATAACCCATCCGTATCGGGATTCCATGCACCCAACGACCCTTGAATATACGATGTAGCAACCATCTCGTTTGCTGCCATCGAAGACGGGTGCTCGCCAATATCACGCTTGCTATCATGAACAGTAGTTGCTTCATTGACGCTTCCGACGTCAGCACTGGCTTGGATATTAGTGGTTGTATCGACGATTCTTCTTTCCCGCCGATCCTCAACGGTCTTTTCCCTCTCGAGCTTTTGCAAATCAGCAGAACATTGCAGATAAATCTGTGCGCACATCATTGCCAAGGTGTCTATGACATTCTTCTCTACCACCTTTGTTTGGTCGGCATACTGTGCCATGATATCGAAATATGCTGGTGTATGATATTTAAATTTTGGCGATTCCTTAATATCCTCAAAGGGGACTCTAAATATTTGAACATATTCAATACAGGTTTCTCTCGGAAGAAACGTTATGAATGGTTCTCCTTTTGCTTCTTCAAACTTACGGTGAATATACTCAACAACTTGTATTAGATACGGTTTAAGAACGTGTGGCCTTTCGTAACGTGCAATAATACTATTCAACAAAAGCAACTTTGCTACCACAAATTGGGATGTCACGACAAATTTGTGTTGATCTAGAGGTGGTTTCAGTCGTGTGAACTCCTGATACGTCACTCGTTGTCCATTTACGTATACCTCTACGTCATCATTCAACGTGTAAGCAGAGCGCTTTTCATTCATCTGCGCACTTGATGTTTCCATCAAAATGGCAATCAACACTGTGAGTCCAAACAATTGACGAAGGTTCATCGATGTCGTTTCCATGGTACTTGTCTAATCCCCGACTGTAAAATCTCACCTTCAACACTTCAAAAATTTTCAACGGTGCCCAGATATATCTCTAAGCAATATGCAATCCTGAAATAAATCAACGTGCATTCGTCTAATACAATATTGCGTGGTCTGGTTGATGCAGATCCACGTGAGCAGCAAGGAAAATTCGTGCCACCCCATCAGATGAAATAATTGCCATAGAGAAGTATAGCCAAGATACCAATGCCGGTTTTGACATGGTGAACGTATTCAATTAATATTTCTTTCAAGTTGTCTAATTTGTTGTGATTCGATACGCGTGGCATGGAAGGTGATCTATCATGCCTAGAAATTCTCACTCCCTGCACCACAGTGGTGTTAGATGCGCCATATGCGCCGTCTAGTTACCGGGTCTATTGTATGTCACACCTTTGTCACGGATACTGCAGGCCAGCTCCGCTTCGTGGGACACCACATGCAAATTATTCAAAGCGTCCATAAATGCGGAACCCGCTTCAATGTACATCTTCATCCTTGCTCGTTTGGCGCGCAATAATATAATGTGTTTTCAGGTATAAATTCAATTGAAGGGTAAGTTGTTGTGTGATACAATCTACCAGGGTTAATGCACCCTTCATTACTGTGCCTGCTATGCTTCAAAGATGTGCCAAGACATCACTGACCGTCCATACACCTGAGAAGGCGTAAAGAAGTGTAGGGCGTTACTTATAAACTGCGGAGCCTCACAGTGTCTGTCGAATGTACGGACCTTGGAGCGTGTGACGCTGAAAGGCAAGCCGGCGTCTTGCGTCCTGAATAGAATTCGGAAGACGCGAAGAATTGTTAGACCTCATATGGTGTATGCAGCGTAGTGGATTGAGATCTTACCCACACATATGGCTATTGCTCCATCTCATTTACCAGAAACAACGCCTCGTGAGAATTTGTATGACGTGTAAAATATGGCCAGTACGCAGAATCGTTTACTGTAGAGTTACACCTTGACTTCGACTGCAATTCCCACTCAATAGAATGCCCAGAATCCAGCGAGGTCGTAGAGTACGGTCAATACATCTTTGTCCACACCGCTCAATGCGTTGCGTATATCTGAACTACGCATCTTACCACGCTTTTGTTGCCCCTCGTAACCAAGGGCTTCCAATACACTTACTAAACGCTTTTCCTCCACAGAATCAGGCCCTTCCAAAAATGCATCTGCAGCTGCATCGTTCAAATAACGTAAGCCCGCGTATAGCATCGGCGCCATCCCCACGAGAATTGCTGCGCAAAGTTCAGGGTCGTGCGTGCACGATGAAGCCCAAGTTGCTGCTGAACCGTATGTACGGCTATACCGGCGGGTGTTTTTGATATAGTTCAAGAACTTCTCAGTACCATGCACAACTTTGCGCAATTTTTCTTCAATTGTTTCAGGGTTGACACCCTGGGTCTGTAATACGTTCTCATAATCACTTTTGGCGATATCTCCAAAGGCCTTAGCGAATGTGCCGACGTCTTTATTCATCGGTGTCGTGTATCTTTGCACCAGGTCCTTTACGTATGGCTGGTCTTGAAACTCTGGTTGCAGCAGGAACTCATGGGAAACGCTCTTTACATCCTCAAGATCTCGCAACCGCTTCAAGCCAACAGGCTGTTGTGCGAGAAATTCGTAAAGGACTGCACTCACAGCCTTCAAGCCGTTTTCATCGTCAGTCCCCCTCAGCGCCATCAACCAGTCGATGCCCTCCTTGAGGTTACGGGGAACCGCAATCAACGAACATAGTTCCATTTTTTACGGATTCGTTGAATTAAGCTGCTGATTAAAATGTGTCGATTTTTGATCGACCTACAAGCGGGTTTTATACAGCTGTGTCTTAATGGCGTATCACCACAACAGTGATGTAGCCTTCTGATATATAAGCAACTTGTCCAAATATGCAAACCTGTCTACACACCGAAGAGGCCTGCTTCGGAGGCACGAAGACAAGCAAAATACCGTATCGCGGCCGCGTCTACACAATCAGCGCGACATGCAATAAGCATAACGCGAGTGATTGTCTATGTATTTTTAGAAGACAATGACACATAAGAAGCCTTGATATATTAGTGCAATTTAAAGGAACGCGTGAATGTTTAAAACGTTCTGATGGATTGAAGATTGTGTGTTACAGAGCCTACGTCCTCCAGCGTGACTTGCTCGCGGCCAACACCTCGGTCACTCAGTGAGGAATTCAAACTCCCTTTGTACTGTCGTCCGTTATTAGAATGGTTTTATTTGGCTTTAATTGGTCACATCTGGTGTTGTTTCGAGCGCTTCGTAGAGTATGACAACTTCACGTTAAGATACGTTAATCCACTGTAATCCGGAAAAGCAGCTGATATCCCGGTACGAGTCATCGCTTGCTGCGGAATCCAGCCCATAATCATCTTTTGGACCACTATGCATATGTGGGCCGCAGGGATACGTAGGTTTGGGACTAATGCTCTGGTTTGTGCAGTAGGGTTCCCGCTTTCACCTGCAGGCTTCTCATCCTAAACTTTGCGACTCAGACAGAGTAGAAGACGGCCCAAGGATGCCGTGACTATCGCCGCAGATGGTGACTAGTAGTTCCTGTATCACTTCATACGTTCTTTCAACGTTAGGGTATAGGCCATCACCTTTCTTTCCGTGATGCCATCATCTATCCTCTCAATCTCCAGCATTTGCAAATTGCTACCAATGTCTGCGTCGGCGTTCCTCATGGCACTGCGGAGGGTGACAACATAACGCTTAACATAGTCAACGTCATTGTCCTTTATGGCCACGATGTCTGAAGTGATTTTAGTGAGGCCTGTGAGAGACTGATTGTCGGATGTCCACGGTGTATCACCTTTTTCAAGGCCATGGTCTTTCAGCTTCTTGAGTTTATCGGTGACTTGATTTTCCAACGTCCCTCTAAGGCTCTCAAGCGACTGGGTGATTTGGTCGACGCCACCGCCGATTGCGCCGGGTTGTTTTGCCAACTCACTTTGTTGAGTGCTAAGATCATTTTCGATGTTTTGAAGGCCCTTGGCATTGTGGCCTTTTGGGTTCCAACTTGCCTCTTTGCCAAGCCCCGTGGTCTTCAAATCGTTCAATGTGGTAATGACATCTTCACCTAGTTTAGAGCCTTGCAACTCATTTCGGAGGGCAATGAGTTCATTTACAATTACTTTCTTCGCATTTTCAATTTCAATGGGTTTATTCGTAAAATCACCGGATTGCAATTGCTTTATTTTTTCGTAAATGTCATGGAGATTATCTTTGGCTTTTATTCCATTTTCCCAATCTTTTTCCCCAACCAGGTCAGCTGGTCAATTACGTCATCGGTAGTATATAAACCTTGCAACTTAAATCCGAGACATGCAAGCGCCCATTTAATTTTGTCGATGGCATCTCCAATGATTTTGTTTTGATTGCCCAATTGCTCATTCTGCTCCTGAAGTCCCTGCTGGATTTTCCCGAGACCACTAAGAGGTTGACCGTTCGGTGTCCAAAAATTCTTACCATTATGCCAATCACCATTACTAAGACCGTCGCGTTTCAAGATACCCAAAGCATGTATTACATCTTCGGTACTGCCATGTTTGCCTTTCAACTTCCCTCTAAGCTCTTCAAGCTTCGCCTTAATTGCTGTGACGGCTGAGTCGATTTGTTGGGGTTGGGTAGTCAAATCACCGGTTTGCACTTTTTCAATCGCCGTTTTGATTGCGTCAAGGCCTTTTTTACCTTCAATCCATGATCCATTGTTTAGCATCTGACGTATATCGCTTAAAAGGTTTTTCACACCTTTGTCGTCATCCTTATAGCCCTTGATGAAATCCCCACCGCTGTGAGTAACCAATTTCTTGATCTCGTCAAGCTGATCCTTAATTGTGTTGAACGGACCGGTAAAGGTTTTTTCTTCTATTTCCGCTCTGCCACCGACAACTGGCTCGATTATTTTAAGTTCTGCCAGACCTACACTCTTGATGCTTCCGATTGCCTCTGGAAGGAGGCCTTCGTCTTGCTTGCCTTCTAGAGTTTTGCCCGACTCCAGAGGCTGCGTAATATGTTTTTCATAATGCGTAAATTTCCCTTTTTCGATCTTAACTTTCTCTGCGCCACCACCTGTACCAACCGCCGTATCATCCTCTCCAATGTGCTCTTCAACTTTTCCTTGAAGTTGTGGTTGGAGGCCACTGTCGGTATTCCTGATCATCTTGTGGGCTGTTTCGAAGTTAGACATTTGACCATTTTCCTCAAGCTTTATATTACCACCACTGTCCATCTGAATTTGATCAGCCGCCGCTTTAATAGTCTCCTTCGCCGCACCCTTGATCTGTGCTTGAGCGACAGTGTTGAAAGCAGTGACTGCTTGGGGAAGTTTTGAGACTGCAGCGGTAAGGTTATTAGTGACGCTACCCGTAAAGGTGGCAGTAAGCCCCGTAACCTCATCCCTCACCGCCTCCAACTTACTGTCCACGGCTCGGGCGGGGCTTTCTGGTTGGCCAGGGGGAAAAGAGTTGGTGGTAGTCGCCGCGGTAAGCTGACCGTCAAGCTTGTTGGCATACCCGAGGACGGTATCCAATTCTTGTGCGATGCTTGTCTGATGTGGCTTTTCTCCCACCCTGTATGTGCCGAGCAGGATGGACTCAATTTCGTTGGCCACCTGACTGGTGGTGGCGGAGAGACCAAGCAGCGTGGCTTCTACTGCTACTTTCAGATGCAGGTTGCTTTTTGCAGCAGCGTTACTGTCAGTACTCTTCTGGAAAATCGTCTGAGAAAGCGTGCCAATTCCCTTCTTAAGTTCATTATCAAGCTGCTCGACAAAATACGTGCAGGCTTGCTTTACGGATTTAATGGTTGTTTGGATGTTGTTATCGGACATATTAACCTTTTCGCCAGCTTGATCAATCGCTATGACAAACGTACTCCCAATTGCCTTCTTAATACCATCGCGGACTTGTAAAATCTCATTTCGACGGTTCTCTGCCTCTTTACTGTTGACCTGGCTCCCACCATTCTTCTTCTCCTCGATATACTCTCCAAGCCATGTTTTGGGCGCTTTCTCAGCATCATTCCCCAAAGTGCCTTCCATCCACCCTGTCACAATCCTATTAAAAATTTTGAACCCACCGGCATAGCTCTCCACCAAACCTTTCGCAATCCCTGCCAAACCTTTATCGCCTCCCTCACCATTCAGAATCTCCCCAACCTTACTTTGAATATGCCCGAAAATGCCTCCAAATGTCTTCTGTTCCTCCAATTTGAGATCCTTAAACTTCCCGCCAAGCGCCCCAATCGCTGAGTCAACATCACGGACTTTAGCGTTAAGTGGATCACTGATCCCACTTTTAAACTTACCGTCAAGTTCCTTTTCAGCATTTGTAATTCCACTAACAACGCCATCCAGTTTACCACCCTTCGCTACCTGTAGCGCCTCTAATTGCTTACCAACAATATTGTTATCGCCGACCTGATCACCAACCTTCTTTGTAAGCTCACTAATCTTCTCCTTCAAACTCTTCAAATCATCTCTCACCTTCTGATCCAACTTATTAACTTCCAACTGCTCAATCACATTCTGCATCCCCAATTTAATCTTATCTTTCACCTCCTTCAAATCCTTCTTGAGAGATGTGTCCATTTCCACAACAGCGTTCAGTGCGTCACCGACTTTAGACTCAACAGCCTTTTTAGCATCAGTCGCAGCCTGCAAAAGTCTTTTACCTTCATTTTGTAACTTTTCAGCCTGCGTATAAATCACAGGGCCATTCTTTCCTCCTTTATAATCTTTATGATCCTTATCAACCCTCTTCAGTATCTCCTCACACTTCTTGTCCGCCTTGGAAATAACACTCCCGGCCGCATCTCTCCACTTACCTAAGTTGTCAACTTCATTTTTCAGATTTTGATTCGCCTCCTTAATCAAGTTGTTATTATCTTCAATGTCACCGATTTTTTTGCCAAGGTGATCATTTGCAGCGCCGCCATATTTCTCAGGATTCAATTTCTCATACACATGTTCTGCACTTCCAATCGCCCCGGCAAGCACTTCCCCGGCCTTAATCTTCCACTCTCCCAAACTTCCATGAACACTTTTCAGATTATTATGAACTTCATTAATTCTGTCTTTAGCCTCCACAATTAACTTAACATTTTTGTCCAAAGCCTCATTCACTTTCAACTTGTCGTAGGCTTCCCTGGCCTTGTCCTCGGCAGCCTTACGGATTTTCTCCGCCTCGTTGATCCAAGAATTCAAGCTGCTAACTTGTGTGTCAAGTTGTGAATTTGCATCTTGAATTCCTTTGTTAGCTGCACTAATTGCACTTAATTTGTGGCCAATAACATGGCCGTTATCTTGTTTATTAGGATCCAACTTGCCACGCACATATTCTGCCTTACTAACCGCTGTGCCAAGCACAATGTTCGCTGCATCTTTCCACTTACCTAAATCTGTGTGAATCCCTTGAAGCGCAGTATTAACACCTGAAACTTTTCCTTTAGCATCATTAATTTTCTTAATTCCTTTACTAATCGTCGTCCCTGAATCGTCATCTTTTTGAGTGGGATCCAACTCTTTATGCACTTGAGTAGACTTCACAATCGTCCCTTCTAGCACATTGTCCGCCGCATCCTTCCATTTTTTCAAGTCCCCAACACTGTTCTCTAAGTTGCTCTCAACCGTTTCAATTGCCTCATCAAGCTCATTTTTGTTGTTCGGATTTGCATTCCCATTCACCTCATCCAAAATCTTCTGGACTAGCTTCTGCGCGGCTTCAATGTCCTTTGTAGTCTTTACGATCCACCTGTCAAGGTCCATAATGTATTGTCCGAGCGATGTACTGACTTATACAAGGTTCTATTAAAGGTGATTAGTGACCTATTTTGGAGGTGCAAGAGGGGCGTCGTAAGACGCGTCCGCAGCCTTAATCCGCCGCCGCAGCTGGGAGAGAGGATGATTGAAATATGCTTGCCGGTTTGTTGAGACGCAGGCAAATCCTCTGCCTTGAATCCCATCTTGACACAGCTCTTGCGGCAGATGTCACACGGGTCGAAGGGATGAGTCTTGAACTTGGAGGTGTCAGTAAGGAACGCCTGGAGGGGAGAGTTGTGTACCTTGTGGCCGTAACGGCAATCCTGCCAACCACCCTCAGATTGAACCCGAGAACACTGCGACTTTAGAAACGCCAGCTGGTGGTAACAGACGTAGACGTAGTCTCGCAGCTGGCAGAGGAGGGCGCAGCAATCAGGTTCCTTGGACGTCGACGTTGCAGACGGCACTGCCATTCTCCACTCAGGCGCAATGGCGGAGAGCGCAGAGGCTGCGAACACGGAGGCAAGCTTAATGGTGTGAAGGAGATTATCGGCGGTGATACTAGAATCGTTGACTGGGAGTGTGAGATCTGAAGGGTCATAATCTCCGCGCTTAAATGCCTTCTCAATACACTCTTTCAGAGTCCTTTTATGCTTCTCGTGTCGCAGTCCCGCCATCCAAACAAGCATATCCTTGACTGTGCGCGGCGCCTCGGAGGGGAACAGCTCCGTGACGGGGATGTCGGTAGCGTCATGCGTTGGTTTCTGGGTGAGCCAAGGAGCGACGCACGTTTGAACGGCATCAGGGCTGTGACTGTACGTGTCGGCAAATCTTTTGGGGAGATCCTCCGGAGGGTCGATTGGCGGGAAGTTTATAGCGACGGCGGTGGTGGACGGTTGGACAGGGTCGGGGGGCAGCGGAACCTCTTGTGGCAGCGGAGTGTCATAATATACGACATCAAGAGGTGCAGGATCCATGGATCGGCCATTGATTTCAAAAAAGTTTGGATTGTGCACAATGTTTGCAATATCATGACGCATTTTGGCATCGTACGCTGGCATCGCCGGTGGTTGAGGAATTTCGATAGTTTCCGTTACATCATTCAGTAATTCTATTTCCTCCGCCTCCTTTTGTGCGGCCTCCATATGTCTCTTTCGCTCTTCATCCACGTGCTTTGATATTAGCTCCAGCTTCTGAAATTCACGCTCACGTTCCGCATTGTCGGAATATATTTTGCGTTCGGCGTCGTGAATTTCCATAAGCGTCTTGTCTTGTCGCTCAATTGCAGAATTATCCTGCACTACTTGTCCCACCAGATAGTCCACATCTCCGCCGTCCAACGGAGCTTGGGGGATGGCATTAAACCCTTCCAGTCTGGGCATTTCATCCTCGCCAAAAGGGGAAAACCCTGTAGGCGTGTGCGTCGGGATATTAGGATATCTATTCCGATAATGGTAATACGCATCGCTCACCGGGACAATCGGGTGCTGCGATCTGAAGGCATTAAGCTTTTGACGTTCATTTTCTTCCTCTTGTCTCCTACGCTCTTCTGCCTCTTTCAATTGCGCCATACGTTTCTCTTCTTGTTTACGTAGCTCGGCATCTTTCTCCTGCTTTTGGCGTTCTTCCGCATCCTTTTTGCCCCGCTCCAATACGTTTTGTATTCTTCCTACATCATCCGAATATTTCTTTAAACGTCTCTCTGCTTCTTGTCTTTTCTTTTCCCAGTTTGCAGTTGCTTCCTTTTTCCGTTGCTCTATCTCACCCATGCGTTTTTTGTCTTGAGACGCTAGTTGTTGCTGTGTGTGGAGGAATTTTTGTTCTAGGCGAAGCAATTCATTTTTGCGTTTTTGCGCAAGAAGACGATCTTCTTGCTTATGACGTGCATCTAAAATTGGCTGGCCATCGACTTCTAGAGAAGGCAAATTACTGTGGTCACCTCCACCAACCTGCCTTGTTCGCCCAACCCCTGGATCATAGTACGGCTTCACAGGGCGAGAACGAGCAACGGGATGCCGAGAGGAAGGAACGGGAGCAGGGTGGCTTGGATGAGGTGGGTGATTGGGAGGAATTTGAGGCCCACGTTGGGCATCTTGTTTTTGACGTTTTTTGTCCAACATTTCCTGTAATCTAACGCTATTGACTTTCTCCCAGATATTGTAGGGATAAGTTTGGATGTCATTCTTAGGTTTGGAATAACACATATGTTTGCCATCGATATCATATAATGACACCTGCTCAGGTTTGCACTGTGAAGAAGACGGAACTTGAGGCTTAGGTAACCCCCCGCCTCCACCTGAACCAGGCGCTGGGGCACCCGACGGAGTAGCGCCGCTGCTTGTACTTTGACCGGTGCCTTGACTTGTAGTTTGAGTAACATCTTGACCACCATGTGGATCAGACCCCCGGCCACCAGTTGGCCTAGGGCTTGAACCTGAAGCACTCGGAGTCTGAGGAGGCGCAGCATTTGAAGATGAAGCAGGGACCTGGCTAGAAACATCGCTACCCTGTGAACCCTGACCCGTGGGACCTGGCGGACCAGGAAGGGTAGGGGCGGCAGGACTGGTGGGAGCTGGCGGTGGAGGGGCAGGAACTGGCGGGAGTTGTGCAGGTTGTTGAGGATGAACACTCTTCCCACCTGATGTATCTTGAGTCGAAGAAGACGCCGGAGCTGCGGGACCAGGAGGCCCTTTCGGGCCTGCACCTCCTGAAGCACCGGAAGGCGGAGGTGGCGGTTTTTCTTCACTTTGGCCATTATTGGGAGTTGGAGTTCCCTCACCCTTCTTCCCCTGGTTCTGTGCTCCCTCACCTTTCTTGCCCTGGTTGGGAGTTCCCTCAGCTTTCTTACCCTGGTTGGGAGTTCCCTCAGCTTTTGTATCCGGGGTATCTTTTGGGCACTGTTTTTTTTCGTCACCATTCAAAATCTGCACAAGCCTATCCAAATCGCCGTCAGTCCCTTTCTTAAGGTCATCGATTACTGTGCGCCAATCCGTCATCAAAAGCTTTACTTCTCTGTCCAACTTTACAAAGCGGGTTTGGTCTTTAAATATGAATCCGTAGGGGAAGAAATGTTTCGTGAAGTATTCTCCAAGATCCGTTTGTTGGAGTCCCAAGACACCTTCATCTGTTCTAATCTGACTCAAATTGCCCCGCACTTTGGTCAGATGAGTCCTCATCCAATGCGCTGCTCTGGTAGCAAGCTCCTCTTTGTGAAGGTTTTTAAGATCCGTAGACTGACCGATGAAGTCAAAGCGTTTTTCCTGGTTGAAGAGTGTGCGGATTTTTGTCCGAAGTTTTTCGCAATGTTCTTTCAAGTCTTGCCAACATATGGATTTTCTTGTATGTGATCTCACTTGACTGTTTAAGCCTTCATCCAATTTTTCTATTAGAGCACCGCCACTCTCTTGGTTTGTCTCTTTTTCCACAATATCGCAAAATGTTCTGACTAGTGAGAGAGCGTTTGCCGTGTACTCCTTATGGGTGCCATTATTTAGGGAGAACACCGAACTCACAAACACGCTGCGGAAGAAATTGTAGAAACTTCCTTTGCTCACAAGCTCTCTGAGGTCATCAGCCATTTTATAACCCTGGGCGTAGCCACCGTGCCAAAAACGTGAGCTGTATCTCACCTCGTTTTTACCGAAGCCACCGGGTAACAAACCTGTGCGAGAATCGTACTTTTTGTCGCCGACTGTTGCTCTGAGATATCTCTGCAGGTCACCGCCCCAATAGGTTCCCAACCAATCTCGTCGATCCAACTCCCATCCAGGCCAGTCATTCTGCCATCCACCGCCGCCAAGTGTTCCGAAGGTATTATCTATGCAGTACCAGAGATAGTACATCGCGGATAGGAACTTGGGAAAGCAGTCGAGTAGCGCGCTGACAAGTTGCGCTGCGTTTTGCTTTCCATGTGTCCAAGGCTCTGTTGATTTGCACAATCTCGTATAGAAGTCTGACGCTTTCTTAACGAATTCGGAGAGCTCGATTCTAATGTTGTCTACTGTAAGAAATGGGGATTGAATGTTACGTGCTGTAGTAACTGTGGATTTAAAATAGGCATTAATTTGCTTTTCCAGTGCTTCGGCCACCAGGCCTTGCATCTTCTCGTCTTTATGCAACGCCAGCAAGAACATGAGACACTCCTTGAGAGTGTCAAGCGGAATGCCGTGCTTCGTCATCTTGATTACGAAGGCACTAAGCACAAAGACACTAATAAATGGGTGCTAGTCTAATGGTACAAAAGTACACGTGAAGGCTTTTAAATGGTTAACTAGGAGACACTAGAGCGATAAAACCTCCAAGGTGACGTCACTGCTTCTAGATAACCAAGACACTGCAAAGTTGCTTGAAACGGTAGTAATTGCGATGTCATGATTATGCTTACATTCCCTGTTTCATAAGGTTGTGCGTAGATTTCCTTAACCATGTTCAGCGGTATTGCGATATTGTCATCATCCTCCCTGATCCACTTTGCCGACTCCACAACGTAGCCTGCCGGCGTCTTACTAACTTGCTCAAGCTGAGGTAAGAGGTTACCAACCAAGGCTTCAAAATACCGAGGAACAAAGTAACTGCCTTGCAAATCAGTGAGTTGATGTCGTCTCTAAGGTTGATGAGAGCGTGCTTAATAAAGGCCTCGCAGGTGAGGGATGGTAGCGGCAAGAGTGATGGGACTGGCGTAATATGTGGTCAAAAAGGCAGGGGTGGAGATAGATGGGGGTATGTAAAGGTGGCTTAATGATAGTGTTAGTGGCGATTGGTGAGACATTTTAGAGGTGCAAGAGAGGAGAGGTGAGAGGCGTCCACAGCCTCAATCCACTGAAAGGTGCGATGACGTAAATACGTCCACGAGTAAGACACAATGCGACGTACCAAACAACAAACATCTCAACGGAGTTTGTATACTACTTAGTAGGTTACACGTTTAATGGGCCAGGTGAGTGGGGCTAAGAGGGTTGTTGGTGAGAATGTCACTAAGGCGTTGCAAGCCGTTGTGGACATGAACACATCTCTTATGATGGATTTGAAGGCAGTGAGAGAGAAGATTAAATTAGAGATTACAGATGTGATTACGAGTTTGGAAGTTGAGACTTTGGATAAGAAAGTGAGAGATGATTTGAAGACGTTGAAACAAAGGATTGAGAAACTTAACGAGCAAGTTGAACCGCCTGGTGGTCTTGTAAGTGGTCAGTTGGAACAGCTCAAAAATGCCGAAGAGGAGTTCAATCAGAAGACAAATCCAATTACTATGGAAACTAGGAACCTGGACCAGAATTTTAAGAGTGCGATCCAACAGCCGCTTAGCAAGGCGGTCCAAGCAGTTGATTCGGCGATTGGGAACCTCGGCGGGAATCTCAAGTTGAGCGGCGGTGATGAAAAGAAATTGGAAAAGATTTTCGGGTATATTAAAGATAAGGTTGGGAATATTAAGGGGACGCCGGGGAGTCTCAATGGCGATGGTGGCAAAGGTCTCGACGGGATTAACCAGAAGATAGGGGGGCTTGCTAGGGCGTTTGTTCCGGGAAACGGGCAAAATGGTTTTAATGCCAGAGTAGATGGATGGTTGGAAGGTGTCATAGGGAATAACGGGCAAGGGGCGAACAGTAAGCCCGGGTTGAAAGCTGTGAACTCTTGGATTAAGGCGTATAATGGCAGGGTTGGGAAGCAAGGTGTCGATGTAAAAGGAACTGTTAAAGAACAGATTATGAAACAAGCAGAAATCTCACAAGCCGTTGAGCAAGCCCAGAAGATCATTGACAAAATTAAGGATAACATTAACCAAAACAACATCACAGAAAATCTCACCGCCATCAAGGAGGCTTGCGATAAATTTGTCGAGAAGCTTGATGAGAAGCTCACGAATAATAAAATTGGTGAGCTTGCCACGACGATAGCCGGGAAGATTCAGGATCCACAGGGATTGCAGAGGTCGTCTAGATCTTCCACCAACCCTGATTCAGATCTCACTACCGCCGTCCGTGCCACCCTCCTTGCGCTATGCGGCGGTGTCAAGCATACTTCCGACGAACTCAACTTTTTGGGCATAAGCGTGTTTGGCAACATCCTGGATAAAATAAAGCCGACGGTTGATGGGCTTCACGATCAGCTTACCGCGGCGACTACCACCAACTCTTTTCCCCCTGGCCAACCAGAAAGCCCCGCCCGAGCCGTGGACAGTAAGTTGGAGGCGGTGAGGGATGAGGTTACGGGGCTTACTGCCACCTTTACGGGTAGCGTCACTAATAACCTTACCGCTGCAGTCTCAAAACTTCCCCAAGCAGTCACTGCTTTCAACACTGTCGCTCAAGCACAGATCAAGGGTGCGGCGAAGGAGACTATTAAAGCGGCGGCTGATCAAATTCAGATGGACAGTGGTGGTAATATAAAGCTTGAGGAAAATGGTCAAATGTCTAACTTCGAAACAGCCCACAAGATGATCAGGAATACCGACAGTGGCCTCCAACCACAACTTCAAGGAAAAGTTGAAGAGCACATTGGAGAGGATGATACGGCGGTTGGTACAGGTGGTGGCGCAGAGAAAGTTAAGATCGAAAAAGGGAAATTTACGCATTATGAAAAACATATTACGCAGCCTCTGGAGTCGGGCAAAACTCTAGAAGGCAAGCAAGACGAAGGCCTCCTTCCAGAGGCAATCGGAAGCATCAAGAGTGTAGGTCTGGCAGAACTTAAAATAATCGAGCCAGTTGTCGGTGGCAGAGCAGCCGAAATTACTCAACAAACCTTCGCCGCTCCGTTCATCGCAATTGAGAAAGAGCTTGAAGACATCAAGAAATTGGTTGATGGTGCTTCATTTATGGATGATAATGGCAGAGGAGTCAGGGTCCTACTGGAAGAACTTAAAAGTGAACTCGGTAATAAGAATGGCAACGGCTTTTGGTACGTATTTCCTAAGGCTTTCGAAGATATTAAAAAGGCAAATAGTGATCTGCATAACACTAAATTCACTACAGGACTCAAACAAATCGACACAGCCGTCCAAGCAGTTAGGAAGGAGCTTAAAGGGCTTTGGAAGGTGTTGCAGAATAAATATGGTGATAAAAGTGCTGTGATCGACGTTTTACAAGATTTGAGAGATGCTGCGCCTTGTGATAGGTCACGTTGTGATGGCAAAGATGCGGAGGATACTGTGAAGTAATCTCGCAACAAAATGCCGGTGAATGCTACGTATAGAATATACGAAGAGGCACGGGGCAGTTGCGAGGATAATTTACTCAGAACTTGGGAGGTAAATAGGACCACCCAAGGAGATGATATACGCCCATAATGTCTACAGTGAAGTGCATGGAAAACACGGATGGATCGCGTACGACAAAACGGTCAAGACTCAGAAGATCAAGGAATACAACCGCCCAGACATAATCGTGGCGGATCGACGGAGGAACAGGATCACCATTGTGGAAATAAGAATAACCAATCAGGACAACCTAGTGGAGACGGAGAGATTCAAGAAACGGAAGTACGAAGATCTATTCGAGGACCTGAAGGCGCGACAGTTCAACCCGCAAACAAGGAGCAAGGCAATGTCCTACGTTATGACGTGGAAAGGAATGGTGACGAAAGAACACACCAAGTACAGGCGAGACCTGGGCACATTGGATCGCTTAGAAGCCCATATACAACGGGTAGTGATCGAACAAACACAAAAGCTAGTGTTGGGCATGAAATCCAGAGAAGATTATGACTCTGTGAATGAACCTCTCGCCCAAACAGGATGGATGACACCAATGGGCTCCGCAACAGGATGTGACGCCTGCAGCCAAAACCTATATTGTGCAAGGCTTAGGACCCGCATACGGACGAGGAGCGGTCCATGGCACCACGCACCTCAAAACAGATATATAGACGGCGTAATTAAAGTGGTCACAAAGCCGTTAAGTATCATTCAATTTAGTATATGGGAGCTACACATTCTACCACCCGCCAGAACAAGACTGGCGCACACGTCTGCAGGCGATAAGCCTATAGGTAGTGCGTGATAGCAGTCTATAGCATGTCATGCTTGGCGCAGACTAAAGCAACAACCCCAGCGAGGTGGCTAAATGCTGTCAATTCAGCGTAACAACAATTGGACATAGGGGATAGGGTTCAGCGTTTATTTAATGTTTCGTCATTGCTCTGTTGAAACACGGACAAATATCATCACATACCCTCCACCCGCAGTTATATAATGCGTGTATGCATATGCATAATGACCTTATACTTAAGGTTAGTTGTTTCTGTAAGCTTATTCTTGGGCTTGGACGCACATGAGCATCTGTTATAGCATGACGACACAAATCAAATTCGCTTACCTTCTGCCTGACCCTCTCTCTGCGCTGTTCCTTGGTGATCTTCTTGTTGCGAACGTATGTCTTGCCCTCGGCGGTGATGACGGTGTGTCCCTTGATCGTCCTGGGTGGCGCCTGCTTCTTCTCCTTCGGGAGGATTGGGTTCTGGCGAATTGCGGCGTGCGCGCGGACGTACATGTCCTCGATGTTGTCCTCGTTGATTCCCTCCCTGAGGAAGGCGGAGAAGTGCTTCTCGTACTTTTCAGGGTCCTCCTCCTTCATTTCGCGCATGTAGTTCGCTACATGGACACCCATGATGCGGTCGCGGTGCGCCTCGGCATCGTAGTTGGCCTGCTTGTCGTCTCCTACAGAGTAACCAGGGAACCTCTTCTCACTGTGGGGGATGTGGAGTCCACCGTCGCACGCTCCCTTAAGGGCGCCGAACGCCTTGTTACCGGTGGTGACAATCTTGATACCGACATCGAGCAAGGCCTTGAATGGCCTCGTTTCGTGGTCCTCCTCCTCGATGTGGAAGGATTCACCGTCGGCCTCCTCCTTTCCGACGAATTGGTTGTCGAGTTTGAGCTGCGCGAGAAGCCTGCGTGCAAGCAGGAGCCCAGTGCAGTACGCCGCCGCGTAGTTGGTCAATCCGACCTTGACGCCGTAGTGCTTGAGCTCGGTTGAGTCAGCCGAAGCGTGCACCTTGTCACCGACGATAGTTGCGGAGATGATTTGGCATATGATGCGCTTGTTGGTGAAACGCACAACAAATCGGTACTTCGGCGATGCATACTTGTTCTTGTCCTGCAGAACCATACGCCTGCGACAGTAGTAGTCCGTCTTCCCCTCTGCGTGGCGTGAGTTGTGTCATGAAATCGGTTCATACAGCTCTGTCGTTTGGCAACGCAGCCTCTCGTTCAGAGCAAACAAGCTTCCGTGTGGCGCTGAACGGGCACACGCCCGTCGGCCAATACAGGCTAGATGCTATATTTCTAGGCCGCGCCTGGCACGGAAGCGATTGTCACGGACGACAGGTCGAGTTACGTCTAGGCGCACCTCGGTTAAAGTACGTCTGTCATTATATGCCCGTCGCAATAACCCCATGCCATTCAGGGGCATCTGCGTGGGCAGTAATAGGTGGCAACTCACCTCTTCGCCTGCGGTACTTGACCTGGTACCGCTTGAAGTAGGCCTTGCTCTTGAGCACACGGATGAACGCCATGATTGCTGCGGAAGGATTAGATATGCTACTTTAAATGTTTATTGGATGGGGTTATACCGGCATACGGCGCCTTCGTACGGCCGGTTTCCGACGTGGGCACTGTCGCCTGTGGGTCACCCGCCGCGGTGGTCTGCGGACATACCTTTGTAGCAGAACTATTCCCCGATTACAGTTCCTTTGCGTTCCTCAATTCGGTGCGCTAGAAGGTTTGTATGAATTCGCTTAATAGCGTGTTTGCGGAGGCATTGACCGACGATTGTTAAAATGGGGTGCGGGTCCAAGCCTCCGAACCCCGACGGTGTAGACCAGGATCAATACCGAGTAGACTCAGCGTCATTTTGCTAATGTATTAATGTGTGGTATCACGTGTGTATAGAAGGGTGAGCACACCGCAGGCGAGCAGACTCGACCTCGGCGCGAGTCCCTAGTGACCAAAGTGCCGTCGTTGAGAGTCGTACAAAGCCATCAAACAGGCCGACGTGTCTCTACCCATTTCATAGATGCGGATTTGCCTCTATGTGTGCTATTCAGCTTCATTGTAAGGCAACCGTCGATAAGACGCAGCTCCCTATTCCACTCTAGTTATCACCGGTGGATTCACCGACGTAGTTACTGGTGGCCGCAGCACACGATAATGAGCTATAGCCGTGTAAAAATTACAGAATAACTATATGATACCATACGCCCGCTTCGGGCTCCGGCCACTAAGGAGGATGGAATCCCGCAGACAGCGCCGACGTTCTCGTTCGGAGAGAACCCATCAATTCTACACATCTGTAAAGTCACATCGATTAAACAGTTTCAATGTGTCAATATCTGACCTTTCCTTTTCGCCGGCCTTCCACCGGACTCCGCCGGCTAATCCCCATAACTGGGGCCACGGCGCCTCGCGTCTGTGCGATCTCGGCGAGCTGCCGGTTCAAAGGATAAAAAGAACCACAACATCTTTTTTCTGAGTGACCGTGTAGGTCCGGTGAATCCTTCAGGATGGTGAGTGGCCTTTACGGTTGTTTGTCGCGGCCTCGTCGTCGTCTGTGTTAGGGGGTGTGTCGGAATCTGTGGCCGCGCCTTTTATCGCGGGCACTGTGTTTGATTTGCGCCAATAAATGTTTATATTTACCCATGTTTGATGGGCCTGGATTGTCATTAGTGTTTGTTCTGTAGTTGTCTGTGACCTTTGGGTTGTGGGTGTAGCTCATGGTTTCGCAGTTTAAGGCTAACTCCAAAAAGGGCGGCGAGGAAGGCGCGGCCTCCGCTACCAACTCGTCTGCTAGCAAGCGCACTTCGGCTACGAAGGATTCAAAGGTTGCGCCCCTGCCCAAGGTGTTGAAGCAGGTCAAGCCCACCAAGCCGCGCGACCACCTGTTTACCCACGCTCCCAAGAGCTACCACATTGGCGGTGCCATCCGCCCCCGTGTAAACCTTTCGCGTTACGTCAAATGGCCGAAGTACGTGCGTATTCAGCGCCAGCGCCGCGTACTTCTCCAGCGTCTTAAGATCCCCCCGGCCATTAACCAGTTCAGCTACACTATTGACAAGAGCCAGGCTCACCAGTTGCTGAAGCTGCTCAACAAGTACAAGCCTGAAACCCGCAAGGAGAAGGCTGCTCGTCTGTTGGCCGACGCCAATGCAATTGCGCAGGGCCAAGAGGCTGTCTCCAAGAAGCCCTACATGTTGAAGAGCGGTTTGAGCCACGTGACAAACTTGGTCGAGTACAAGAAGGCCAAGTTGGTCGTTATCGCTCACGACGTCGACCCCCTTGAGTTGGTTTTGTGGTTGCCAACTCTCTGCCGCAAGAAGGAGGTCCCTTACTGCATCATCAAGGGCAAGAGTAGGCTCGGAAAGCTTGTACACAAGAGGACCGCCGCTGTGGTCGCCATTGACAACATCCGCAAGGAGGACCAGGCGGAGTTTGAGGCCATGGTGAAGACCTTCACGGCGATGTTCAATGACAACGTTGAGTTGCGTCGCCGCTGGGGTGGCCACATCATGGGTGTCAAATCGCAGCACAGGCAGGTGAAGAAGGAGGCGTTGCTTGCGATGGAGAACGCGAAGAAGTTGGGTCTCGCTTTCGGATGAAAGCCTTCTACAGCGTCCCAGCCTGTGGTGCGCGTGACATTAGAACTCTTTTGACCAACGGTAATTATGCGAGGGTTATTCGTTTCAATGCGTGGGATAATGATGATAAACCACAGACCTGTGCCGATGCAGCGCACGTGCGGACTGTTGTGATCTGATACATGTTTCAGCTGTTATCTGCCATGGAGGAGGCGCCGAAATTGCTGGCCCTTCCTCCGCCAAGTGCAGCTAATAATGACGTCACATAGGAACCGCGTCGCCAATGCGTCGTTGGGCCGACAAGATGACAACAGTTTTCATCATTCGTTAAACTATGATTACAACTGCCTAGGAAGTGCCGTCAGAAGGTGCCTGATCCGCACTATTCATGTTGTGAAGTGGGCATATGAGTACCTAAACGCAAATGATGAAAACCAGTATCACATTCCATCTTTCGGGTCTGAATGGTGATGATACTTCTACTCTGACAACTTTGCATGAAAAAGCAGGTGCCTCGTTTCTGTAATGAGTGCGCCCCGTTGTACATGCGCATACAAACTGAGGGTTAAGTTAGGTTCTTTCTTCCCGTGGAAGTTACCTCGTTCCCCCCTCGCACACCCTATTTCAAACCCAAGATATTTCCAGCGTCCCTGTGGTGACGCCTTTTGTTCCACGCCTCGCCGTCCGCGTCAGCGGCCACATCTACGTCATGATGATTTACTACCTGGTCCGTGTTTCTGATATTGATGAAACCCCTCAGGCAATCTGATACTATTGGTAAGTGTGACGCCATTTGGCGGTGATTGACTAATGATGATTAAAACTTTCGTTCTTCCGAGTTAATATGCGGAATGAAATGAGACCTGAACTGACGCATCACATCACCGTTCATATCTCATAAGAAACAGCAGGGTATCAACTAGCAAGGCGACTGACGCCATAAATGTAGCAATAACGGCTCTCTGAGAACAGTTCAGGATACGTGTTAACACATTTACCTTCACGATATCCTTGACGCCAAGGACGCCCGCTATGGAGTACGCGCCGACGAACACGAGGCCAACGCCCACAATCGCATTAATTCCTCCGCTGCGCCAGTGTTACTGCAAAATCGAAGCTCACTCACATGATTGGAGGCTTGTACTGCCTTGCGGTCAAGTCGTCTCTTTTGAGCTTCTTGCTGACGTCGGAGACCAGGCGCTGGTAGCGTTTCTCCTCGGCCTCCCTGAGAGCCGACTTCAGATCTGTGCTTTCCACACGCTTCGTGGCTTTGCGATCTGCATATATGCTTTAGACACCAGGCTGAATTTCTTACTCTTTATTGTGGTGTTTATCATGATCTGATAGAGCTCGAAGCGCCTGGGCTGTATGGTGGCATTGGCGTTATCGTCGAACGAGTCGCATAGCTCGTGATGGGAGACGACCTACAGCTTTATGCTAATTCCAGCAGTTAACGAACCAGGCGTATAAACGCATCCAGGTTTATCGACTTCCCCTTCGCCATTTCTTGGGCGGCGTCGATCATCTCGTCATTTGGGACCTCATCCTCGTGACCGGCTACCGGATTATGTTCTGGCAGCCTGCGGTACGGAGCCTCGGCGGCCCTGTTGCGTAGAATCTTTGCCGCGCGAGCCGTTTCCAGCAGGTACCAGGAGCGCACTCGGGTGAATTCGCTGAGGAATTCGTCCACCTCCGGCGTGCGCTCGAAGTACGCGGCTGAATGCCCCGAACGACCCATCGTGCGTGCTGGCGTTTTTCACTGGTCAAAAGCTTTGCGGTGACGTTGTGGGCATATGTGTAGCCCGTTTGGCAGCGATTCCGAGGCCTACCGGTTCATATTTATCGACTACGGCATATTATGTGTTCATCCTTCCGCACGGATTCCAACGGCAAATTGGAGCGGCGTTGACATCCACGTACTAAATTGATATAACTATGTAATATTTTCTGGCGCGCGGATGTGCTTGCATGGATTGTTGTGATTTTCGGCCGAGTGTGTGCCCTCCGCTTAAGCGCCATGCTGCCGACATCAGGGCACCTTAACGGGCGGCAGTCCGATTACCTCGGTACTATCCGAATGTGTGCATCGTGACTGATCGCTATAGATGGTGCTCGAGCCCACAGGGTGGTACTCGTACGACGAGTTCGCCCATGTGTTCTCTCGGCTCCGCCACCCCGAGGAATACGCCTCTATCGCAACGAAGATCGCAGTATGGAAGTCTCGCGCAAAGGTGCCGGCAGCTGTGACGGCGACGGAGTCGCTCATCAGCGCCGTTGTCGCGGATCACCAGTGTTCATTGACAGAATCCGGCCTGCGCAGCCTATACGCCATGGCCGTAATACGGTAAGATTCCATGCCAGGACAATTTTATACGCACACAGCGCTGTAAACCTGTTGCTGGATCACGAGCAGGACCGCGAATATGCCCGCAGCTTGCGCGAACTTGCTAAGGAATGCGAATTGCCCGAGTACATCATAACGGTCCGTAACGAATGCTCGCACCGGGAGATCCCCGACCTGAACACACTGCGCCTCGCGGCATTCGACGCGATAAACTATGTGTACAATAAGTACTGGTAGGTGTCACTTTGGCGCATGCAGCATCGCGTTGGTCTAACTGTCTCCCAGGTCGGCACAGCACAAGAGCATCATGTTCAAGCTGAACAACCCCGACTACGACACGCTGTGCATGTCTTTGCTGCTCATTGGCTGTTATAGTTCGGCACTAACCAGGCTACCGTCGGATGCCGCAGATCCTTGCGTGCTGTGGACTGCATACCGTGGCGGTGGAACTAAGGCCCGTGTGGCTCTGTGCAGGCGGGACCCCGTCTTCGATTCGGCTGTTATCACAGCACGCCGTCTCGCCGCTAATGCCACTAGGCGCTCGTATCTATCGATATGGCGCCGCATCCACGGGACGTCCCAGGTATGTGACGATGTTTTTTACTTGCATATTTGTACAGGTTGCCGATGAGGCTCATTCCTGGGGAGCCAGATCGCTGTATCAGGCCGCCATTATAAAGACCGCTGGTATAGCCCGGCGCATTGCTGACGGCTGCGCTCACCAGAGTTTTTTCGTCTCCGTGTTTGTGGAGTTCGTGTTCGCCCACTTCGAGCCGGACCCCAACAGCGTTTTTATGGTGTTCATGCTGGAATGCCTGAACCAGCTGCCTTTCAACTTCGCCGTGGAGTGAGTTACCGGGTTTTACGCGTTAACCTCTGACCAGGCTAGCGGCAGCGGCGCTGTGCATAGTATTCGACCTCCCGGACGGTCTGACGGATGAGCAATGCCATAGACAGCCTCCGATGTACTTCGATCGCATTGCTCAATACTCGAAGTTTTTGTCATCAACTGCTGTCACATGCATTCGGAGCATGCACTCTGGAGGGAACCGAGCCCTGGAGCAGGAAAGCACGGAGGCTGGCGCAGCTCGCCGTCGAGTTAACGCGTGGTTGGTTTCGATCATATCGTGGGCGATGATGTTTGAGCACAAGCGCTACTGCCACCGGTTACCTGTTTGTATTCGCACCGTGGCGTGCGGGATGTCCGTCGATGCGCAGCGACTTTGGGTGGCTTGTGGCAACGGCCTCGCCAGGTTTGCAACTGCCATACACGCGCTGTTGCCGCACGCTGCCGTGCAGCTGTCTTCTCGCGGGACTGTACTTCCAGCTGGACTGCGATGGAACCCGCAACCTTGGGAGTCCAACCGTCTTTCGCACGCCTTGGGCCTGTACGCCTGGATATCTGGATTCCTCGAAAAGGGTTCGGTTAAAGGATACGTTTTTTCCAGCCTGAATACGTCGGAAGTCCAGAAGATGTTAAGGTCGCTAAAGGGAGGGAGGGAAGTGAATTTAACAGCAGTGGACAAGATGCTGCTTCCTGGCACTCTCTGGGACCCCGTGCGCTGGCGCGTACAACACACTGTACGGCGTTTGTGTGAGTCTTTCGCATGCCACTCGCGTATATCGTCTGCCTTGGATGAGGCGTCCGAGCGATGCCCCGTCCGGCTACCTAGCAAGGTCAGCCGCCGGTTCCAGCGGTCTGTGCGCCGCGCGACCAAGGCGTCGGCGGAAAGCCACCGCGACATACGCGCACTGATGCAAATATACGGGCAGCTGGTAGCACCCGTCAAGTCACTCGCCCATAGAGAACGCTACTCCTAGCTAAAGTCTTTCCATACAAGGGCCTGTAACATGCTCTAAAATGTGCCCTGGCGATCAATGTCGCTAACCTCCCACCGTAAAACGTGACAAGATTGTCACTCACCCCGCCTTTCTCCCTTCGTGAATACTTTGTGTAAGGTACCGCTGAGTTCAGTGCCACGCCAACTCCTCCACCTTGCTAACCGTTATCCCAAATGTGATGTATATGTATAACACTGTTAGTGACGGACTATCATGCCATGAATGAGATCCACGACACGTCAGCCATGGATGATTAGACTACTAGACGGAATCCTGCAACGGCGCGCGATCCGCGGCACGGATTCCACGGTGATTTGTGCTCATTAGTGTTGCATTGCATATCGGAAATATCACTTCCCGGATACATATGCGATATGAGCAGCAGTAATTGTGCTGTGTAGCCCTTAACGCCTTTATGTCCGGCCATGACCCCGCCGGCTGACCGGCGTGCATGTCTGGGATGACAGATCTGTTGCCTGTCTTGCGGCCGCCAAGACCTGCATATATGTGTGACGGATTAATATAGCGGGGGATAGTGCACGGAGAAGGGGCAAACACACTCGCAACGGCCTAGCAGACTTGTAGTCTGCCACTGACGCTCAGGTGACGTCCCGTGCGAAAGATGGAACTAGGATCGTACTTCTCCGGCAATTCCCCGTGTAGACCAACGATCCCTAGGATTTTCTCCACAGTGTTTCCCTTGGCAACGAACGGGGTGCGCAGCGGTGGAATCGACTACTTCGCGTTCTAGCGGTCCATCCGCGACTCCTCGGTCGTCCATGCAGGTCGCAAGATGGAAGGCGGTACTCCTACGGATGTAAACCCGTACTACGACTACTACGAGGATGACCCGACTCCTCTCGGACTTCCTGTTACACTGAATGATTTGCTGGATGAGCTGTCGCCCCCGCCCTCTGCACATTCTAAGCGGCACCCGGACAACGATTGCGACCAATATTCGTCGCTGCGTCGTTACATCGATGGTATGAGCTCGGAGGAGGTTGATGAGACGATAAAGGGTCTCCTGAAAAGCTTAAGTTTGCGAGCCGGCACGTCGCCATTGCTTCCGCCGTGTCATCTCGGTAACCCTTTGGAGGGTGACGCCACGCCGCCGCTGGACTTCAGCCAATCCGACTGGTCTTCTCAGATTTGCCGTTTCAGTTCTGGGGAGAACCAGTCCACCCTTCGCCATCTCACGTTCAATCCGCTGCACGAGGCATACGACAGCCGCGAGACCTTCGATACGCTGTCGACAAACTGGACCTCATACTACGATGAGGGGAACCGTTCGGAGTGCGACATTTCGACAGGACATATCGCATATGCGCCCACTGAATTGGGCAGAAGCGATACGGCACCCCCTGGCCTATCCGCCAGCAGGGCTACGCTGTACTCCTGGTCGGACCTGCGCAGCACCAACCGCAAGGTTGTGGCCGAGTCCCTCCGTAACATACAGTTTGAGGTGGCGAAAGTGGAGCAGGCGCTCGCATCTGCGATTAACGAGACGGCCCCTGTACCATCGAGGTCACCCTCTCCCTCCGCCAAGCCGAGCATATTTGCTAAGCTGGCGAAGGAAGACGACTCGGCAGTTTCCACCCAGAATGCGGCTATGATGATGGGAGTGAAGCTGAACGCTCCCAACGAGTTCTGGAGGACGTCAATTTGTAAATACTGGCAGCGCGGAATTTGCGAGAACACGCACTGCAACTTCGCGCATGGTAAGAAGGAGCTTAAGGCTACGGTCGGTGTCTGGAAGACGACTCCCTGCCATCACTGGAAGAATGGGACTTGCCGCGTGGGCAGGTTGTGTCGTCACGCGCACGGTGAGGCAGAGCTGCAGCCGATGAACATGCCGGTGCGTCTGTTGAGGAACAGGGTTATTAATGCGCTGAAGGCGAATGAGCGCTCTCAGCGCAGAAGGAACCATACCACCAACTAGAACACAGACACATCAGTTAGTTTTATCGGTGGCACCTTGCCTCGAGGGAGCAGCACCTATGGCCCATCACACGCTATTCGCCGTAGGTTCCGCTGCCATTTTTCATTAAATGGATTTTTGTTATTTGCCGTTGGATTTATGGGCTGAGGGCTCATTATTTCCAAGCTAATTGCAATATTGGGTTTTTAAGGTTTTTCAGATGTTAGGATCCCTGTTCTTGAAGCTTAGAACAGCGGACATTTTGGTTATGGATTTTTTCAATCATAGGTGGTTGTACCATTTGTGATCACATGTGGGTGGGTGAAATTTTTAATTCCCTGCCGCTTTAAGACTTATGGATTTTCATTTTTGGGTAATCTTAAAGCAATATTATGGTTAGACCCGTATCTTTCTATGTGCATGTTATAGATACGGGTTTGTTGGGCCGCCTGTTGTGCGTTTGTCCCAAGAAGGGCAGTCGCCACAGGCGGAGTGTTTCGGAATTGGAAATCAGGCTGCCAGTGTCAATTTATAGCCGATATTCGTCACTGGCATCCGTATGATTCCGTCTGAAAAGTGGATGAAGGGTTGAACGAACTCATGCCTCGCTCATTTCTCTTCTCTCGTTCTGCGCATCATTTTCATGCGTCGCGACCTCCGTGTTAGGGATTATCGTCGACATGATGCGTGGAGTCTCGACAATTACGAGTTCTACGGCCGTAAATGAAAAGAATGGGATGTTGCTTTCTGCGTCACGCCGCTGGACGGTGGACAATGACCGTCGCATCCCTAGAGGATTATGTTTTAGTGGTCGTGTACTCTACGGTTGTTCTACGGAGCCGGTTAGACATAGAATTCTGTGTTGGTTGCCAAAGTGCGGTTTCTTGGCTTCGTCTATGCTTCGCGCTCGCCGCCGAAGATCATCAGTTTGGGCAGTGCCCATTTGATGTGTAGTATATAAAAAACAGTCTTCGTGCGTGAACCCGGCTTTTCAATGGTCTTCGCGGCACGTTATACGGCCAGAAGACACATTTTGGAAGCTGCGTCACTGCAAGCTCCGTGTTATGTAGGACGCATAGGCTCTGTGTTTACGGTTTCTAGATGGTAGTTTACCGCCCCTGCGGTGGTTACTTTAGCCTATATCGCTATCTTCCAATTATGTAACAATCTTAATATATGTGTAAGACCTTCATTCCATATATGTGCGGCGGCCGTAACCTGGTCGCGCCGCGAGTCGCGTGTTGACTTGAAATGGTTGCCATGGCGTCGCAAGGCCCGCTGAGATATGGAATGTATTCTTCCTCCGAGGTGCTAGACTTCGGGCGCGATTGGTCCGGCAGATCGCTGCCGACCGGAGCGTCGGAATCCTCAGCGCCTTCAGAGGCCCCGGCAGCTCAGGTAGACAACTACTTCCACTCGTACGGCTACATCGGAATTCACGAGGAGATGCTAAAGGATGCTGTGCGGACGGGTAGGTGTTGATTAGAAGTTCGTAATTTGCTGGCAGGGGCTTACCACCGAGCCATCACCCAGAATCGCCACCTCTTCCAGGATCGAATCGTGCTCGATTTGGGCTGCGGAACCGGGATTCTATCGCTATTCTGCGTCGCTGCGGGCGCTAAACACGTTTACGCCATCGAGTGTAGCAGCATCATCAACCTGGCGAAGGAGATCGTCGCCAAAAACGGTGCGACGGACAAGGTGACTTTTCTGCACGGCAAGTGCGAAGAGCTCGAATTGCCAGTTCCAAAGGTGGACATCATAGTGTCCGAGTGGATGGGCTACTTTTTGCTGTACGAGAACATGCTCGAGTCGCTGTTGTTTTGTCGCGACAAGGTGTGTGGTCTGCATGCCCATTGCCGCACGGTTTAACGTTGTGCAGTGGTTGAAGCCCGGTGGGATGATGTTTCCCGATAGAGCGCGTCTGTACGTGGCCGCGATAGAAGACGCGGAATACAAGGTTGGTGTTCCCGTGACGTGTCTAACATTGTTGCAGTCTGACAAGTTGGAATGCTGGCGCGACACTTACGGCTTCGACTTTTCGTTGATGCGGGAATACCTGATTGAGGAGCCGTTGGTGGACATCGTCGAAGAGAAGACACTTAACACCACCACCTGCTGCATCCTGGACCTGGACTTGCTAACGTGCTCGCTGTCTGACCTGGACTTCACAAGCGAGTTCCTGCTCGTTGTACAGCGCAAGGACTACGTGCACGCATTGTGCTTCTGGTTCGACGTGACTTTCTCGGCGTGCCACAAGCCGATCACTCTCAGCACCAGCCCCTGCGGGGAACCCACGCACTGGAAGCAGACGGTGTTCTACCTGAACGACGACCTCATTGTCGACTTCGGGGACAAGATCAAGGGTATGATCGCGGTCCGTCGCAACGCACATAACCCGCGCGACCTGGACGTGAAGCTCCACTATCACCACATGGGTAGGTACAGATGCGGTGATGACTATGTGTTCCAGGTGCCAATTTCAGTGTGGAGAACACACAATTCTATCGCATTCGCTAGATAGGCGTCGTTAATTCGCGTGAGGCTATGATGGCCTTGTGTCTTTGCCATCTGCCCTGCCGCTTTGCGGGCAGCGCCTGCGCTCCGTTGTGGTACAACCCACGAAGGACACAACATAATACGTAACTTAGATCTAGGATTAAACCATGTCATTAACTCAGCGCTCAGTACTTCTCGACGAAAGGTACCGGGTCCATGGCGATGATGGAGTCGGGCGTAGCCTCAACGATGTATCCCGGGGCCACCGGCGCGGGCTGCCTCTTGGTAGAGATCTTCTTGCCCTCAGCCTTGGCCTTGCGCTTCAGCTCATCGTTCACGGCGACGCGCTTGAGGAAGTCCTCGCGGCAGCGGCTCTTGCGGATGTGCGCGATGTTGACGTGGATGCGCTTGAGCAGCTGCTTGCCACGGACGACCTTCTTGATTATGACACCCAGAGCCCTGGGGGTGACGTTGTAAACCATTCCGGTCTTGCCATGGTAGTAGGAGTAGGGCATACCCTTGTGCACGGAGGGGTCGCAGATGACGTCGACGTAGTCACCAACGCGGAACTGCTGGATGTAGCGTCCCACAGAGGGCATTCCACTGCGGCGGAAAGCCTTGGAGAACTTGTCGCGTGTGCGAGCGCGTTTACCGTACGAGTGCGGCATTTTGAAATCCGATTGTTACTTGGGGTCTGCACAGAGTGAGGTGATTCCACAAACGGATGATACGGGGCCAACCAAATGGTATACAGAGGCGCCTTTAATATATGTTTATCGCTTGTCGATCGCTGGTAGCGACGTGGTGGTTCGCGAACGCGGCGACGACAACGTGGCCCTCGAGCCTCACAGGGGTGTAACGCTTACCTGAACTGCCACTTGTACGATGAAATTGCGCCCGATGTCGTCGTCCGTGACGCTATGGAAAATAGCTTTCTGTTATCTATTGCGGTGGTACTGAGCCTCGCGAGGTACGAGAGCGGAAAACCTCATGGGGAGGAGTCCGTCGCTCCCCATGACGGCCGGGAGGTGAACTCGCGGTTCAATCTCAGTGCCATATGCCTTATTTTTGCCGAGCAATATACGACTCTACATTTTGATAAACATATTGTGTAAAAAGCCGTCAAAACGTTTGTGGTTTAACGGCCATTTAAGACGCGGCCGCGCCACCGCGACGCCGAAGGCGCCATCACTACGCACTTTTTGCAAAACACTTAAGAGTAATGAGCCCATAAGGCTGATGTGACAAGCTGAAGCTACGGTATCGGTTAATAAATTTAGTGAGACAGATCTCACGAAGCAGTTTACCGTCCATCACCTTCCGCCGAAAAATGGCAGCCCTGGGCAACTTCTTCACCTTGCAATGTCTCCGAAGTTTGTACAAGTTCCTACTGCTGCGGCTCGGGGGCAACCTTGGTGTCTTCCTCAATTATCTCCTCGAACCTCGGGGGCGCCTCGGTAGTTGGTGCTTCTACCTTAGCTTCCTCCACCTTCTCAACTGCTTCCTTCTCCACTTGCTCCTCGTCAGCTGCCTTCTCCGCGGCCTTGTTTTCACCCTCTTCAACCTTGCTTTCCTCTTCCTCCTTCTCAGCAACGGTGTCAAAAACCTCTACGAGCTGGGGGATGTCGCTGTCTTCATCCTTCTTGGAGGTGGTCGGCAAGCCGAATCCAGCGGCAGAGAGCTGCTGGATGATGTCTGGCAGCGACAGCTCACGCTCCTCCGCCAAACCAGAGATGACGTAGGTGTTAGCGTTGGGCGCAGCTTGCACCTTAGGGTTGCTGAAGACCAGTATGCGGCCATCCTCCTTGACGAGCTGAACCTCCTCGATGCCGGGGATGCTGGCAGCGCCAATGGAGCGGAGCCCGAATTGGAGACGCTTGTCATCACCAACAACCTTGCTGGTCTTCTTGACCTTCCTCCTGGCGGTACCCTTGCCTCCAGTCTGGGTGCCGGAAACACCCATCCTGGCGCGGAGGCGCTCGCGCGCCGCCAGCATGTCTGGCGTCACTTGTTCGACGACTTCAGTACTCATCGTGGTTGGAAAAGCCTCGGTGCACGGCGCTTGGACGTACTGAGGCGTAATTGAGCCGAAGATACCGGTTCGTCTGCGTGGAGGGTCCGCGTCCTCGGATTCCGCAGTACCTGGCCGGCGACCTTGCGAGTCAAAATCCGACTACCGTCGTGCCGCGTTTTGTAGATGCCGCGAGAAAAATCTCGTGGCAAAATGGATACTCCACGTCTTCGAACAAAGGAGCGGCTCTGCCCCCGATAAGTGGCTCCACACGTTTGCCCTTCTGGCTTCTGCAAGGAGCCGACCCCCGCTTACGTGCTGGATGATCTACTGTTACCCGTTGTACGCGGGAATTGTGTGAGCCCCGTTTCCGTACGTCGCCAACCGTTGGTCGTGGCGCGTGATGGGGCGATGTCGGCCTAAAGGGCCATCGGTATTAGGGGCACCTTAAGGGAGGCCGGTTAACACATTCATTGTGTCACGGTTGAAACACACGCCAAACTATCGCATCATACGTTCTAGCTGTGTGAGAGTCTATCCGTGACATGGGCTGGGCTACCTGGATTCCTTATACGTGATTCTTGGGGGTCACGAATTTTGCCTTCAGCCGTGTGACGGCTCCATTTTATGTAAACTGATTATATCAGTGTGAAATATGTAGCGGTGTTTTCGTGGTGAGGCGGTTGCCCTTTTAAGAGCATGACGCCCGTATCTGGCGCTGATGCTGTTCTCCCTTCCGCCCGAAAGGGGTCTAATGCCAGCAACGGGTCGGAACGCGGGCGTAACAGCCACACATACGAAACCAGATGGGATAAGCCCTGTTCGGCGTCGACTTCAATGATCGATCCTTCCCCCTTAATGGGAACCGCCGACGCGGTATCCCAGGAAATCGCCAAAATCGCTGCTCGTGCAGATGCGTGGTTGACGGCGTACACGACAGCCGGTAGCGTATCTGAGCGCGTGAATGTGTTCTTTACCGGTCTGGAGGTGCTCCGTTCCGCTGCAGATGCGCATAATGCAGCACGACATAAGGCACAGCAGGAGAGCGCTGCGCTGGTTCGTTAGCCTCAGTTTGTAGCACACTTCCGTTGCAGCTGTTGAAATCTATAGACACGGCACTTGCGTCGTTGTCCGAGATCCTTGAGGTCGCTTCCTCGACAACGCGTAGCTATTCGCGGCTTTCCGGTTACAAGGAACAGCTGGAGCGCTACCGAAGGGTCGCCGGTGGGGCTGGCGAGCGTTTTCACGCGCAAGCCTATAGTGCCGCAATGTCAGACCAGATACGTGATATTTGCGAAGAGGTGGCGACCATATCGAAAAATCTCCAACCTCTTTCTCAGCCCGGCGACGCCGGCGCTGCGGCCAACGTGTCGTCGCTGTGCGACGCGTACGGCGTTTACGTGAAGCGCAAGAAACAGCGTACCACGCGCGAGCGTTGGGCATTGTTTGCGGAATCTCGGGCCAAAAGGAATGCTGACCAACGGGGTTCCTCGCCGGGCGACACCAGCCCAGCGGCAGACACAACATAACATGACTGTAATTTTGGTTAAGTGGCCATACCGATAACCCATCGCAATGCGGCGATTAGGCATCATTGCGCCCCTCGCAAGGCGACGGTTGTTGCGGAAAACGTGCCTTCGTATGCCAGCGGCGCAATTTACGGGCACATGCCGATACCGACGTCACCAGCCAGATGGTTGACACCGCCACGTCACAAATGTAGTCAATGGAAATGCAACACTACACATCTGCCACAAACTCTCACACCCAAGGCAAACGGTAAACCGCGGCGTCTTTCGAGAGCTGGCACAACAAAAACATAGTGGCCATAGGTATTAACAGGGTTCTCATGGCGCGACGATTTCCTGGTCAAGCGGCACGTTCACATCGGCCAATTGGGGGAAGATCTTGCTGAGAGGACCGTGGGAAGAGATCCACTTGACGTGGACACCCTTGTTCTCCAGCCTGCCCTCGGCCTGGTACTTAAGGTAGTCCTCCCTGGAGAACTTGGTGAATCCCCAGTTGTGCGAGACGAAGATCTTCTGCCTGCCGGGGAACTTGTACTTGGCCCTGCGGAGCGCCTCAATGGCTTTCGGCACGAGCGCCTCCCTCGTCCTGACGGACATAAGAATCTGTCCGATATTGACCCTGGCGACGACGCCATTGGGCTTGCCGAAGGCGCGCCTCATACCGGTCTGCAGCCTATCGGCACCAGCGCACGAAAGCATTTTGTTGATGCGCAGCACGTGGAACGGGTGGACGCGAACACGGATGTGGAACGATTCTTTACCACCAGACTTGACCATGAACTGCATAATGTTATTCACTTCAGAATGCCCATTTACCTTGTTGGCGCAGATACGCGCGGCCTCAAGAGCCTCCGAGGAGATCTGCTCGTACTCGCCGGAGATGATGTGCACGGCGTACGGGAAGTCGTCGACGTCGGCACCCTTCAGACCCATATCGTAGATCCTGATCTTGGCATCGGGTACACCCCTGCAGAACCTCGACTTGGGGTAGGGCTTGTTTTTGCAGTAGCGGTAACACCTGGCGGGTCTCCTTCCCATCTTGTCCGATTGCTGGTGTTACAAATGAGCCTGCGTACGAATAAGCCGGGGAATCAGAATCAAGTAATTAGACACAAAATGTATTCTATACAGTCCACTAAATAACTGGTTTCACGGGCTCGTCCGTATCAACGAGGCTTCAGGATTAAGGCCATCTGAGAAGCTCGGTGGGGAGCGTGGTCCACCGCGACACCAGTAGCCGCTCACGAGCCAAATTCACGCATTACGCATACCTACCTATAGCCTTTCTTTTTGCAAATTGCCGAAAAGCAGTGAGGTCGCAGCCGTTCGGGTCGCTTCGAGAGCACGATCCTCAGAATGGGGTGGAGGGTACCAGCAACGATGGTATAACCCTGAGGCGGCAAACGGTGTCTGTGGCGCTGAATTTTAGGCCTCAGTTATCTGTTAGTACTCGAACGCCTGTTGTGTGCCGTGGAAGGTGGCTATGTCAGCGCCAGCGGCGCGTGCTGCTGCCGTGTAGCGGCGCCCACCATGTGCGATTAATTTATGGCATAATGCCAACCAACCGTGTACCATGTTCGGTAATGTAGCATCTTTATTGGTTTTTGTGGTCGTATGGTGTATGAATCCGATGAACGTAGCTGCCTGCCTCGGCAACCGGGTGTCGCCAAGCGCCCACCGTATTGTTATCTACTCGTCGTGACAAAAACTTCGATACCACACTCAGTGGTGTAAATTACAGTTCTGGTTGTCTTTCTGGCGGTGTTATATCGCTGTAGGTTCGGGTATTTAAGAAGGGTGTAGCGTCGCGGCCTGACCCTCTTCGCGTAGCTCGCTATGCTTGATACTGGTACCCTATATTGACATCGCACTTCTGTCCGTTTCAGTGGAGCTGGGCTGTCTCGGTCAGGCTTGCGGTACAATATTCGCGCCTAATCATGTACACCTAGCAATGCAACCAGCTTTCGGGCTGTGCCGAGTTTTCACTATCATTAACTGCTGTTAGCAGTTCGACAGTTCTATTGCGATATGGCAGTGTTCTTTGTAACATGTGTCATATTTAATGCGATGTGGGCTACGACGTTGCTGTCGTTGGGCCATCTTGTTCAGGTGCCTCCGCAGCGTTTATGCGATATTTGGTAAGCGGAACGCGATCTGAAAGTAGGGCTGCGATCTTCCTGTTCTTTATCTCGCGGGCCACGTCAACGAGAATGTTGAAATTTTCGTAGTCCCGGTGGGAGTAGTCATCCTGCATGCCGTGAATCCGTATTGTACTCTAAATACCTTAACGGGCGTTGTTTTCTTGGGTGGCGGCTTGTATAGCGACCTGGCAACTTCAACTGGCTTCGGAAGTGCACAACCTGAAATTCATGTTTAGATTGTGCTCTGCTCCCACCGGAAAGCTTGCAGATGCGCACGCATTCGCCGTTCATCATGTATCTCCGCTTGACTATAGTCGGTTTTCTGCACTCATTAGAGCACGTTAATAGCGTCCTCACTTCACAACGGGGTCTACAAGCGCAACGTTGGTGACGTGTATCGGCATCTCCTGGGTCAGCAGACTCGGTTGCCCTTTTCTGAAATCCGGGTTCCAGAACGTCTGGCGCTGTCACACATCAGTTCTACCCACAGCGTACTCCTACCATGTTGCAGTTTTCGACAATTAGCTGGTTTTTGCGATGGAAGATTTTGAGGATTACTCCCTGCCTGTTTTGGTCCTGTCCGTGGAGCACCTGTACGAGGTCGCCGACCTGCATATTCAGGCAGGCTGCGAGGTCAACTCGTCTCGGTTGCCTCCGCTCGTTGAGCGGCTTCGGGATGGAGTTGTACTTGGAGAAGTGTAAGAAGTACGAGCGCTCAGGCACGCGCCTGTTCCGGGTCATTTGCATCGCCTGGAACTGCGCCTTTACGTATTTAGCCATTTTATCTATATGTTAGCGCCGTATTTGGCACATGTTACGGATTGTGTGCCCATTTAGTGTGCGGCTCATTCGAGCAGCGCGTTGATGTCCTTGATGCGGCAGTTGATGGCAGAATCCATGTACTTGCCCATCCTGAGCGCTTTTGCGATGCGATACTTGATCCTCAGCTCGTCCATGTACTTCTCGCTGGTGACCCTAATCTTGAAGATGAACTCAGACAGCCTTGCCTCCTCGAAGACGTTCATGAAGTTCTTCCCGTCTGCGTTTACCTCGCCCCCCTCGAACAGCGATAGCAACTCCTCCGCCGGCACCCAGTTCATGATCTCGGCGCCGACAGTGTTCGCGGCTGACGCCCAGAGGTGGCCTGTGTCATCCGCGATTTTCAGTGAGAGGATGTAGGTGTGCTTCGGCTTCGACCTCGCGCCGCACCTGGTACACGTCCACTGGCCCTGGTCGTTGACCATCTTCCGGTGGCACTCCAAACAGGCGGGCCAGGAAAAGGTGGATTCCTTGATGACTTCGACTATGCCGCGGGTGGTGAACGTGATTCCATTGTCGCCCAGCGACTTGAACTGCAGTGCCTGATTCGCCGCCTTGGTGATTTGGCGAATGGAAACTATGTCCTCTATGTGAACTTCTGGTGTCTGACGGCCGGCATCGAAGCGCATCTGGCAGCCGGTCTGCGTGCTGATAGTGTTCCTGTTGGTCGCCACCTACCGTGGTCCACCACTGCCTGATTTCAGCGGCCTCTGCGATAACTGGGTCGACAGTGATCTTGGTTGAACCTTGGGTGTCCAGCCTCCTGCCTTGCCAGTCGCCAACCTTGACACCTGCGCGGCAGTTTGTGGCATTTGCACGGCGTCGTACCTTTGAACGCCACCAGTGGGTGCCCATCCAATTCATTGTTTTGAAAGTGTTGGATCTTCTTCGACCACAAAGTGAGCCATATGCTCGCTCCGCTGTTGTCGCAGAGCATGACATCGCGCTTTTCGATGTTTGAACCGGACCCCTGAGATGCCATGCATGTCTCGTTTTAGCAAGTGAGAATGGCTTACCTTGTGCTGAACTAGCTTTGTGTCTCTCGTCTTTACGATGATCCCGATGACGTCAATGATGGCGCCAACCTCCAAGCCCTCGATTTGGCTGATCGGCGTGAAGGTGCAGCGTAGGGCCGGAATCGAGATGTCATTCTGGTCGAGCTGTATCTGTGCGTTCTCGTCCATCGAGATTTCGCAAGAATGTGACAGGTTGTTGAACTTTTTGTTCGCCGGTTTGAGCTGGCCACCGCTGAAGGAGTAAACCTGAAAATGTTGCACATGGTGCCAGGGAACCCACCTGCCCCTCCTCGAGGAAGTAGTACCACTTGGTCACAGCTTCTCCGAAAAACGTAGCGCGGATCTCGCCCTAGCACGTTGTTTTTTCTTTACATTTGCTGTCTTACATCGGCATCGCAGAGATCGACGGAGAATAGCTGTCCCTCTCCCCATTGGTTGTTGAACTTCCTGATTTGGGACTTGTGCGAGACCCTGGCTCGTATAATCCACTTAGGCGTGTATATCGTGAGATCTGATATGCTGATTTGCGCGGCAGAACCCGCATCGGCCGTCTTCACTACCGGCTTTGAGGTTGTTGCCGGGTAAGGGGCGCCATGGGCCTTCCGCTGCGCCAACGATTCCTCGTGCTTCCTAATGGGCCCAGCAGCCGCTACTCCAGCTGCCTGAGGTTGCCTGCACTCATTATAGCCGCTGTCATTAGCCACGCACATTGCCGACGGCGGAGTTTGTCCCGGCTGCTGTATAGAGAGCCCCTGAATCGACCATTAGCGCGTCATTATCCATCACATACCGGATGGTATACCAATGCCGGCCCAAGCTGACATGTTAGGTGCCTGTAATCGCCGGGGACGATAGTGATCTTGGTGAGTATGATAAGGTAACGCGATCTGCATTTAATGACGCGGCATTCTCAACGCCATCCTTACTTGGTGGGCGTTATCTTGTACTGGTTGAAGCTTATGACCTTGCCTACAAGCTGCTTATCGCCGTCAGCGGTTGGAGGAACCAGCGCGAGGCAGGTGTGTTTGTATTTCACCGGAACGGATCCATCCAGCACTTCCACCCTGCCAGTCAATTAGTGACGGTTTATTCGCGTGTAAATGGGACGCTGACGTGTGCTGCGCAACCTACAGGTACTTGTTCTCGGCGACGCAGGACTGTTGTAGACAGAGAATTTTGACGGCCGAGCAGCAGTCGTGAACTTCCTGGAAGAAACCGTCGCCAGCTTTGGCAACGGAGTCCGCCAGGGAGGAAAAAAAGTCCGCAGTCAAACACCGCGGCAGCGACATTTTATGTACTGGCGACACTGGCCGGCCGCGGGGGTCCCTATGTGTAAGTGATTCAGTCGAAACAACATCGTTAGTGATTTTTGGCACCGACAACGCGCTTCCACCATCGGTTTTTGTCTTCTTCGTGGGCGCTTTCGCTTGTGTTGCGGGACGACCGCGAGTCACTGGGAGTTTCCTTGTCGAACTCCTCGACAAGCTCCTTCTGGCGAGCGGTGAGTGTGTCCGGGAGCCTGAGCTCGAGATGCACGACCAAGTTGCCGTTGTTACGGCTGTCCACCTTGGGCGGGCCCTTGTTCTTAAGCGTCTTGATGAAAAAGGACTGGCAGTTGGGGCCGATGGTGAGGTCGGTGTATCCATCCAGCGTGGGCACAACCACGTTTCCCCCGAGCAGGCACTGTTTGAGCGATATGGGCAAGTGAACGTGTATGTCGTCATCGATCCACTTGAAAATCTGGTGCGGCTGGATGTTGATGTTCACGAAGAGATGCCCGCTCTTCCCGCCGCGCATCCCAACGTGCCCCTGGTTGGGTATGCGCATCTGCATCCCCTGCCTGACTCCAGCGGGTATGTTAATGTTCACAGACTTCGTCTGCGCCCTGTCACCCGTTCCTCCGCAAGCGCGGCATGGGTGAGCGATGACCTGCCCCGTGCCGCTACACGTCCTGCACGGCACGCCGATGATGATGGGCCCGCGTTCCATGCGTTGCACTCCTGATAGCAATTAGCCAACTCCGTGAAGACTGTGCTTACCCGTCCCGTTGCATATTTTGCAGACTTCTATGCTCGTTCCTGGTTGCCGACCTAGGCCCTTGCAATCGCCACAAGCCACTCTAGCAGGGATGTTGATGTTCTGCGGCGGTCACATGAAAGATAGTTTCTGAATCAGCCTACCTTCGAACACCCCTTGACTGCCTCCATGAACGTGATGCTAATCTCAGTCTGCAATACATGCGGCCGCATGAAGTACCCCCCACCTGGATGTCGTCGCCACGGGCGCTCCCAGTGAACGCGTTACCCGCGCCGTGGCCTCCTGCCATGCGCGAGAACATCTCCGCAAAGTCGGTGAACATGAACGAGGAGTCGCCGAAGCCGCTGAATCCCGCTGCGTGACATGTAATTGCGCGTCTGTTCCGCCTACCGGATGGGTCGTATCCACCGTCGCTCGCGTTCATGCCCGTTTGGTCGTAAATCTTGCGTTTCTGGGGATCAGACAGCAGTTCGTACGCACTGAAATGGTATATGAGCGTTGCTATTTGTGACCAACCTCGATATCTCTGCCATCTTCTGCTTCGCGTCCGGCGAAGGGTTAAGGTCCGGGTGGTACTTCTTTGCCAACTCCCGAAACTTCCGTTTGATTTCATCGGTGGAAGCGTTTCGGCTGACTCCGAGCACGGCGTAGGGGTCCTTGTTACGTCTGGCCGCGGAAGTATGTAGCCCTCTGGTGTGGCGGTTGGACGGCGCCGAGGCTCGCGCCGCGCAACTTGTTCGGTGCTCACCGAGACCGCTGCCCCTTGACGTGACATCGCTGATGCGTGCCGCCGATATTGTGGCTACAGGAGCCAGGCAGGTGTAGAATCCACGGGCGCTACCACGCTTCTGCGGCGTCAGCACACGGAAGATTGCCATTCGAGCTGGAAGGTAGGTTGCCATATTGTGGTCGGCAATTATCTACATTGTTAGGTGGGACTCCAGCTAAAATACCGTGCGACCGGGCCGGTTTAGACGCGCCTTGCTAGGGGCACTATACCACGAACTACACACATCACACCTTCATATGCGCACATCTGCCTATTGGAATGTGTAATAACCCGAGTTTATAGTATTTTTGTCTATGGTTTGCAAGGGTTGAGAATGTCGTGGAGCAACTGTTTTCGCTTGCCTTGGGGTGTCTTCCGGTCAACGAATTGCACATACCAAGGACTGAAAGAAAGGCTGCATCAACAAAATAGTCTGTCTACTGGGATGTACATCATTACCAATGCTACTCCTCTCTTTTGGGGTATCTCATGTCCTCCGGGTACGGTTGGATGGCAATCGTGACCTCTTCCGTTGTATAATATAAGAAGTAAAGGAACAGCCCTGCCGCAATACCCGATAGAACCAATATAACCGTCACGATTCCTATGCTCCATTTCGCTGCCTTCGAAAGACCGGTTGACCGCTCTTTCTTGACAGCGCGTGATGGAATCGCCGATTTCGTCCCGCGCTTACGGTTCGGCCTAACTTTCCGTTTGGGCTTCCTATCGCGTGGTTTTTTAAACGGGTTAGATTCTTTCTTCGGAGGCATCATTCTACGGGAGCCTCAATTTCCTTGATGTTTGGGTGCGATACTGATGAATGCGCGGCAACATAATATTTGCGTTTGTAATAAATGAAGTGTAGGAGACTGACGCTCACCTATTCGACGGTTGTTGGTGTATCGTCTGTGACGTTTTGGTGCCAGTATAGTCGGTTTGATGCCCGGTTATGGGCGCAGATGAAGCGCACGGACACGGGTTGTCTCCGCTTCACACCAGCATATTGTAACCGCCGTCACGTTACAAATTGTTGGATCTGAAAGGCAACTGACAATTGAACTGGGTGACGATTTTTATGCCCATTATAATGCGTTCACTATATTGCTAAATTTACGTATTTTGGAGACGCCGCGGTGATGTGCCTTGTCGATCTTGTCTCCAAGCTCACGCCGCAAATAACGTTTCGCTTGCACGGCATTCACGCATCTATATGGCACCGAAATGGTCGAATATTTACCTCCTCATGTAGATGCGCCTTTTAATGTTTTTCAAATTTAACAACCGGGACTAAACTTCGCATCACGCCCCTGCCCACCTTAACCTCTGATGCGGATACCTCACACAAACGCAATAGTTACATAGATAATAACGGCGTAACTCAACTCTGCAGCACAATGCCGAGACGGATCGTCTTGTTAGCCTAGCGCTTGAAATGTGACTTACATGGGCAAATAATAATTATCGGTGATCCATCTCCACACACCGCTTGGTCTGCGTTAACCGGCTGCGCGCAGGTCTGTCTGTTCCTAATTTATTTATATGGGTGGATCGTCTCACCCTGAAGACAGGAAATCTGCACGAGGCACAGTAGGACTTTGGGAATTTGCGTAAAAGGGGATATCACCGGGTTTTTTTCAGCGGTAGTCGTTCTATTTGTGATTGGCGCACCTCACCCATACTCTCCTGGTTGGGGATCTCGATCAATACAATTGTTATGGCATGGTTACGCCGATTCACTACGAGTGTGTCACGTCGACAATGGTCAGTAGCTAGCTAAGAAAAAACTAGTCATAGCAACTGTGAATGAAAGCCTGGTATTTTATATTGTACATAAATATTTTTACCAATACTAACGCATAGAGTCTGCGATCTTATATCTGCGTCATTTTTGCTATTACCCCGTTGAATTTTCTTCAAGAAAATTCCTCGACGATGCTGTCTTGCTGCAGCTATGGGTATTTCCTCTAATATTCCTTGTCACAAACAAAAATTTGTAAAGTTTTCTTATTTCACGCATTCACGAAGATGTTGGCTCAAATTAATGTCTTTTTGGAGTTCTTCCCATAGATCTCATGACGCAAAATCGATAACAATGACAAAATATAGCATCATTAAATACACGTTGGCGCTGTGCGCAACGTGGCTGCATTTCATTAGAGTATCTCATGCAATTGAGTGTGATTTTGGCGATCAATATGGACTACTCAGTAGAAATGCTCTGATCACGTGCAAAATGGATACGGCCATTTCCAGCTCAGCGGCTGTGAGATGTCCTCGCCGAGTCAAGGACACCGAATACGTGTGGCACCCTCAACCAACGTCCGATGACTACTCTCATATCAACACTTACGTGGGCGGAAATGGCAAGCTTACCTCTGTTGTGCTTTCGGATGTAGTGCGCACTGAATCCGAGAGTAAACTCATCTGGTTCGAATCGACTGTTTTCCGAACGGATATTCATTTCGAAAAGCCATCTAATGACTTGATTGCGATCACAGATCATGTCATGATATTCATCTGTGGACCGCGAGATTTGGTGCTTAGTGACGCATTACAGCGTCACCTGGACCGCCTCAGCGTTTCTCAACAAGATACACTGCCTTGGACTCCAACCACGCCGTTGACTCAGGAAATTGCTACGATAGGGACTGGATTGGGCCTATTCATATGGTACAGAGGAGGCACTCATTTACCTCTTCAAGGCTGCGGCAGCCGTCCGTCACCACTTTTTGCTGTGGATAATGAGGTGACAGTGGACCCCGTCACAGGGACACGTTCATGCGTGGCTGATCCCATGTCGAAATCACGTATCGGTTTTGTTTGCGAAGGCCGATTAGAACCCGACGATTGCATGAAGTCCCTCATTGACAAGAATGGCGTAGTTGTGAGTGCTCCCCCACCAGATGATTATTGGAGATTCAAACACCGTAGACCATGGGTAATAGCCAAGTATTTCGAGAGATTCGCACTGCCACCATTCAGTGGCGAATGCAGATGCATCGATCCTCAAACAGGAGCGGTGAAGGCGAAGATAGAGATCCGCTCAAAAACCGACTACGTTTGTGACATCGCCAGCATGATCGAACGCAACCGTTCGCATCCCATCCGTGGCCCTTGGTGTTCGGTTGTACTACACCCTGGCAGCACGTTGGCAATAAGGTTCCCAGTAGAGGGTGTAGTGACAGAGCCTTTCGACAAAGATTCACCATTTGTACTGCCCTCGCAACGCCCGCCTAGGTACTTATTGGAACCTACGTTTCGAGGGAAGAACGTGACGGCTCTGAGGCAGTTGACGAGGTATGATAACATTTACGGCGAGGTAATGTACCATAAGGCCATTGCCGGCGATGCACTTGAATGGGATATTTCCCAAATGTCAGTGGGAGAGGTAAAACTGAAGTACCATGCGGACAAACCTCTCGCATTGATAGAGGGGCTGGGCTCGTTCGTTTATCATTGGACTATGACATCTACGAATGGAGGTCTTCCGGAAGAGATACGCGCCATTGTAAATGTTACTTTCGCATTTACCCATCGCTACCGTGCCCCTGGTTGCGACAGAGAATCAGAAACTGTGTTTGATTCTAACATTAGCAAGTGGTATTGTTCAACCAAAAGGATGGGAAATGGAATAGGGGATGTTTACGAATGCCCATTGCTTATTACGGGGTGGGAGAGTCACGCTAGTATTTACTGCAGACCAGACGAGGAGCTGTTTCCAGCGAACTGCGAATCGACAGGATACGATCTCTACAATAATAGTATTGTGCCAAGTCCAAAATCTGTGCGAACTCGAACTCCCCGCGCCATTCCGGGATTCCAGGCGCTAGACATTGTCTTAGGAAGGGATGAACCGTTAAGCTTTGCTTGCATATGTGTCGACCGGCTTGGGTACGAAACATCCAAGCTTGTTATAGAGAACAATCAGCACCAAGGGCATAACTTTCTAGTACGCCGTAAGAGGGATCCCAATCGCTTTTTGCCTACAGATTACTGCCGTGGAGTGAGTTCAATTTATCTGGTAAATGGACTAAATCACCAATATCAATCGTGCTAAACAACACATACAAAAAGTCCATTGAACTAGATGTTGGCACAACGCTGTCATTGCGTTGTGGGTTTGACCCCGAACTTTTAAAACTTACTTCTGACCTGGACAGGAAGCACTTGATATGGTTACCAGAAAGACCTGAAGGATTTTATTATACCGTCAACTACACGCCAAACGGGCCTGAATTTATTCGTAATAGATACGAGGATTCAATGGCTGCTACTCAGGGTGGATTGGATGTAGTTTATCAAGCAGAGTCAAGGAATTGTAGATATTCAGAATTGACGATCAAAACACGTAGAAGTGCCATCCTGATATCTAAGGATCCACGTCACACGTACTACATTCCAATGACATTCATTTGCGGCAAGACTCCCGAACCTTCGGATTTATTGGTCAGTGTTAACGCAGCTACATCAAACGCTAATGCAATCTTCAATCTTAAGACCATAGGATATTCGACGCGATACACCTGGGATGTCGTTGAAGTTAACGTCGAGACCACCGACCCGTACATGCAAGGCTGCGGCGTTACGTACGCATCCGATGAGTTGTTCAAGCCGGAGACGCCCCAACTCTACGACGATAACGGAGACCCTCAGTTCGGTTGCAAGATCGATCTTCGCACTGCCAGGGAAGCGGCATTCTACTGCCCAGAGCCGTACGTCCTGGACCCACCCAACTGCTTCAGCCAAGTTTACGTCGACGGCTCGGTCAAGAACATAAGCGAGCTCAGCCAGTCATTGTCGGCCTCACATTCTAATCACTTCGTCATCCTGCGTTTATACAGTTCACTCGTCGGAGTCGGAGAAACTCTGCGCCAGACGCCGCCACTGGAGTGCCGCTGCGTCACCGTCAAGGGTATCGTTCTCTCCACCATCCACATCGAGAACTATTACGGCAAGTAATGAGTTACTAAGATGTGATAACTCTTCGGTACATTGCAGAAATTAATTTGCTTTCATTGTTGATGTTGGTGCCTATGTTGACTCGGGCATTTCAGTGATAGCATGGTTTGGGTTGTCGAAAGCTTATTGTGGATGTCAACTCGGTACCTTACTCTGTTGTCATAAGGGTTGTGTATTGGGTATCTATGAAGTAAGACGTGTAACGATGAGAGTTAATTGTTATTATGCCTCGTCGCATCTTCCCTGCGCTTTTTGTAGTGTGGAAATAAGGAAGTTGTAGTAGGAGCACTTTCATTTATCCTCATACGTTAGAACATTGGCAATGCCCTTAACACAAAATATTCGACAATACGTGGTACCTCGTACCGTAGTTCAGGAATTCCACTGATGTTGTTGAGCTGCCATCTTTTCACTGCCTAGCCGCCTTAGCCACCGGTAGGGAGGCATACAGGGATAGCCTCATCTACCACTTATATGGTTACAGAACACTGTATCGGATGCTTTTATAAGTCGCAATGAAACATATTGACATTTTCAGAGCTGATTTTTAGGTGTCAGATGACTCATCTACATCCATCGAAGCTGATGGGATGGATGATCACATAACCTTCAATGCCTCAATGGGTTGTTGAGCACTACGAAAGGATTTTAGATATGGATAATTGTGTCAATGGTAGGAATTAGTGAAAAACCTTCGGCAAAACGCTCAGCTCAAAGATGAGTGAGACCTAGTTAAAGGTGGGATATGAGCGATTATGTCATAATACGCATTACATTAACATAATGACACTATAGCTAACGTTGCAAATAGAAGATATTTTATGTGCCGACGGAGAGAATTGGATGGTCAACTGAATTAATGGGCACATTGGGGTAGATTGTGCAATGCTCTTACAAGGTAGGTGAACAAAGTGTAAAGCATTCAAGGATCTAGAATCGTTGCGACCAATGCGTATATGCTGTATTTACCACGACTATTATGATGCATTACTCAATGGTTAATTTTAAAACATTCATGACGTCTGCCCAGAAAGTTGTGTGGTAGGGTTAGCAATATTTGGATGATCCCGCTTGGAGGGGTATCTGTGTGGTGATCTTCACGTACATTGTAGTATCCCTGGCGGTGGGTGGTGTGGCGGTCGTCCGGCCGCTCCCATCCCATCGATAGAAAATGACTCGGCGGTTCTTCCGTTCGAGGCTAAGGTGCGCTTTTCATGTTTGTGCAGGTAAAGGGCGAGTGCGATAGGGGGCAAGATGGCTGTGCTACGGTGTATATGTACTGACACGGGCAATTCGTCATGTGAAAAATTTGATTGTAAGTGTTGTTCCTGTTGTTGCCCTAATTGTAAAGGAAGCTGCCCTACATGTTCAGCATTTCCCGGGAGGAGAGAAAAGAATTATAACTGTACGAATGTGAAGTGTGAGGCCAGCTGTACAAAGGGGGAAACTTGTATTTGCACATGTTGCATACGTAAACATAAACTCCCTGCCCGCAGTGCCATCGTTTCCACCGACGGCATGGATTCCACTACCGGTGCCCTTGCTTCCACCTTCGTCGCTCCAGTAATCGTCATCACTCTCATCATCCTCGTTGCCGTCTGCGTCATGATCATGAAACGTATTCGGCCGTTCCACAGGGTCCGCGATTGCTTCGTCCGCAAGTGAACGTTTATATCGCATTCTTTAATAACCTCCATCATTCATTATAATCACACTTATCGAACTGTTCGCGACATGAACGACACAATGCTCATCTAATAATGTCTAAATTAATGTTTCATAAGATTGCATCGACAGGTACCCGGTGAGCGCGTTCATGAATTACATCGTAGCAGCGCATTAGTTAAAAGGGCACGATTAACACAGCTCAATGTAACATGCTCATCCGCTCCCACCTCCACCAGGCGCCGGGCCACCCGACGCAGTAGTGACGCCGCTTGAAATGTGATCGGAACCTTGATTTGTCGGTTGACTAACATCTTGACTACCTTGTAGACCAGCCCCTCCACCACCTTTTGGACCAGTCCCCTGGACACCAGTTGGCCCAGCGCTTGGACCTACAACACTAGGAGACGGAGTAGCCACAGGGGCTTGAGGGGAAGTAGGCTGTTGAGCTGGAGTATCACTGTCAGTTGAAGATGGAACCGCGCCACCTGGCTTACCAGCGGGGCCAGGGCCTGCAGGAAGAGGGGGAGGCTGTGGTTGTTGAGGTTGAACAGCTTGTATAACTGACGAACCTGGAGCCGAAGAAGGCGCCGGAGTCACTTTACCAGGAGGCCATTGCGGGTCTGGAGATCCAGCTGGACTAGATGTTGCAACAGGATTGACTGACGTACCTGGAACCTGAGGCGAGGCCGGAGGCCCTTTAGGACTTGTAGCTCCGTGACCGCCGGGAGACGGACTTGCATCAGCAGAGTCTGCAACTGGTGAACCTGAAGACGTGTCTCCAGTTGGATTTGGAGTTCCCTCACTTTTCTTGCCTTGGTTCTGTGCTCCCTCACTTTTCTTGCCTTGGTTCTGTGCTCCCTCACTTTTCTTCCCCTGGTTCTGTGCTCCCTCAGATTTCTTGCCTTCATTTTGATTCCCTTCAGGAACCTTTGCTGGCGGCACCTCAGGTTTTTTAGGTGGTACAACCGGAACTTTCTTCTCCGGCACAACTTCCTTGGGGGCTTCAGGAACCTTTGCAGGCGGGACCTCAGGCTTTTTGGGTGGGGACGCCGGCCCGGCACAATTAATTTTATTCTTACCTTCCAAAATTTCTTTAAGCCTATCCAAATCGCCGTCACCCGATTTATGAAGCGCGCCGATCACATCACGCCAATCCTCTTTCAACCCGTTTAACTTACTGCCGTGAATTCGGAACCGAGCTTCTCCATTAAACGTGAACCCGTAGGGGAAGAGATATTTGGTGAAGTATTCTCCAAGCTGGTTCGGGCGGAGTTTCATGAGGCTGTCATCTGTATTAATGCTCACCAAATTCCCCCCGCAGTCTGTTCAGATACGTTCTCATCCATTTTGCAGTTTCCTTCGCAAGCTCCTTTGTGTTAAGATCTATAAGTCGCGTCGACTGTCCGGTGAAATCGAAGCGTTCATCCTTTCTGTTAAGTTTGTCAAATTTCTTCCTAAGCTGAGCGCAATGATCTTTTAGGTCTTTCCAACAGATGGAATTCTCTGTTGAACTCACTTGCTGCCGTAAACCGTCATTCAATGCATTTATTAACTCTCCGCCTTCTTGACCTTCCTCCCCTAGCACAATGTCGCAAAAGGTTCTGACCAATGAGACAGCGTTCGCCGTGTTCTGAGGACCGGTGCCACTATTGTTGGAGAACACCGAACTCACAAACACGCTGCGGAAGAAATTATAGGGTTGCTTTTTCAAAATATCTTGTAGGTCGTAAACCATATAAGAACCCTGGTAGTATGCCCTCCATTGTGAGTAATACCTCACATCACCGTAAGTAAACCCACCGGGTATGACGCCGTATTTTGTCTCCTTGGATGGAGCGTGGAGATAGTTAGCAAGATCACCTCCCCACCAATCACCTGCATTGTATCCCAGCCAATCCTTCTTCCACCCGCCTCCGCCAAGTGAGTCGTAACTGGGAGTTACGCAGTACTCCAAATAGTAGATCGCGGCGAGGAATTTAGGGAGACAGTCAAGGAGGGCGTTGGCTATGTCCTCTGCGTCTCTACCGCCATAACTGCCTGCCTCTGCTTTGTAGCACAATCTCTCATAAAAGTTTGACACGGCAGTGAGGAATGGGGACAAGCCCTTTTCAACGTTTTCCACTGAAAGAAATGGGGAATTAAAATGGTTTTTGATACGCCCATGTAAATATTCGGCCACCTCCCCTTGCTTAACACCATTATTCTTCAACCACATCAAGAATTGGAGACACTGCTTGAGAGTGTCAAGCGGAACTCCGTGACCCGTCATCTTGCTTACAAAGGCACTCAGCACTAAGACACTAATAAATTGGCACTAGGCTAATTGCACAAAAGTACATGTGAAAGCGTTTAAATGGTTAACCAGGAGGCACTAAAGCTATAAAACCTCCTAGGTGACGACACTGCTTCCAGGTTACCAAGACACTCCCAAGATGCTTGCAACAGTAGTGATTGCGGTGTCTAGATTATGCTTACATATCCCGTTTTATAACGTTGTTCGTATGTTTCCTCAGCCATGTTCATGGGTATTTCAACAATGTCATCATCCTCACCGATCCACTTTGCCAACTCCACAACATGGCTGTCCAGCGTCTTACTAACTTGCTCAAGCTGAGTTAAGAGGTTACCAACAAAGGCTTCAATGTGTCGAGGAACTTAGTAACATCTTTGCAAGTCAGTGAGTTGATGTCGTCTCTAAGGTTGATGAGAGCGTGCTTGATCATATCAATAAAGGCGTCGCAGTTGAGGGATGGCTGGCGCCGGCAGGAGTGAGGAGGGTGGCGAATATGTGGTCAAAAAGCTAGGAGTGGAGGTGGATTACGCTACGAATTGATGAGCTGAGGGATTGACTGGAGATTGGTTTTTAGGCGTATTGCTTTTAATATTTACAGGAACCAGATGATGTGGTTTGTGGACGGACGAGGTTCAGAGGGGGACGATGGTAATAGGAAAATTAGAAAATGTTTTTGAGTCAACTCCCCAAGGTGTACGTCAAAATATGAGGAGCCGATGGACTCTACTAAGATGACTTTGTATCTAACATGGCTAGAGTGTGCTATGTGGGCTGGCTGTGGGTGACAGCATGGTTATATGGGACAGCACCGACAAGACTCTCAACTACAAAAACGAAAGTAACACTGTCAATCTCATTCAACCTCTAAGCCATAACAACCACTAGCAAACCACCACGCAACACTTAACGCATCAATCTCGCAAAGGGGAAATATGCATTAACAATAACAGTTAATGCGACATTTAAATGACATCTGTTGCGATTGTCATTCAACGTGGGTTTTATAAAGCTACATTAGGCCCTTGAACGGGAAGGCGGAGCGGTGATAAACGTCCATCTCCTCGTGAATCCTTCCACCGGCAAGATTCGTGGATGCGCCGGAACATTTTAACGAGTTACCAAGTGCAGCACGTAGTCCGTAATACACCTTGCGGAATGGAGCAGGATACATGTTCCAGGCAAGAAAGCTCGCGAAAATAAGCACCGCGACGGCAACGATCATAGAACCGATGCAGTAGAATACATGCGCCCTGCATAATCCACCGCAGTTTTTGCAGTGGGAGATGCATTTGCCGTCTGCCCACTTTTCGCGGAAGAAACATTTGTAACCGTTCCCGTGTTTTTCGCATTTGCCTTCTTCACATGTTTTTCCAGCTTTCTCAACACCGTGCCCATGGCATTTTTCTTGTTTACATTCCTCGTTTGCAGTCTGTTTGAGCACGAAGCCGTCGCAAGACCTCGTGCATTGGCTATCAGGGCACCAAATACAGCAGTTACAAAGTCCGTGACTACATCCACAGCTACAAAGCACACATATACACCTGTCGCCTAGCTTGTTACCTACGCATCTTGCCATGCAGCGGGAACAACCCTTCTTCAATCCTTCACACGTCTTATCGTCGCCGTCTTTGCCATAACAATTGGTCGTACAAGCACAGCGAAAAATACGACATTTACATTCCTTGCCGTTTTTTCCAGGTTTGCAGTGTTTCTTGCAGTATTCACATTCCTCAGAACAGCAGACCTTGCACAACTTACAATCGGGCGTACTGCATCTCTCTGTTTTGTTATTACAAAATTTTGTATCACAACCACACTTGTTCGCTTCCGGGTCCTTCACCTCATCTACCATCTTTCCCTCTGAATTCACTCATACGCCCCTTAACTTCATCAAACATCCTAGCGCAACCGGCAGAACGCAGCCTCCAGCGCCCGGGTGATATGGCACCTTAGCCGATACCCCTAACATGTCGCCTACCGGCTGCTCGTGCGAGCACTAACTACAATATCGTTAAATGTATACAACCTATACTTTAGCGTACCGCTTTCGCGGCGCGCCTGGAGCCCAGGAATCGTAGCATCGGATGGGCGCTCGATCCACTGCGTCATCGGGTATAACACAAAAGCATGCGCATGTAGGTATTTTATCTAGTGCCAACCTTGTACCTTACAAAGATTTCCAAGCCCATAATTATGCGATTCTCGCTGCCCGCAGTACCTTGCAACTCATTTCGGAGGGCAGTGAGTTCTCTTTTGATAGCGTTATTAGCTATACCAATTTGATTGGGTTGTCTTTTAAACGGATTTTGTTGCAGGCTTTTAATAACACTGTAAATGAACTGAACGCTTCCATCTTTAGGGTCATCTTTGCCGATAATTTTTTTCAAGCGCTGCAACTGTTCCAGTATGTCATCAGGAATGAGGGGATGATTTAAATTTGATCCTATCTTAATGAGTTCCCACTTAATATCATGTATGGCCTTTTCAATTACACCAGGTTGCTGCTTTAGCGTTTCTATTTCAGCGCTGAGATCCCCATGGATTCTCCCAAGGCCACTGACACCGTTTTTCCAAGGTTGATTCCCATTCTCGGTAAGACCCTTCTCTTTCAAATCTTCTAACTCGTAGATGACGCCACTTTTATTACCGCCTTGCTCTTTCTTCAACTTCCCTCTAAGCTCTTCAAGCTCCTTCCTAATTGCTTGGACGGCTTGGCCAATTGCTTCGGGTTGCTTAGTGAACTGGTCTGTTTGCAGAATGGTAATCGCCGTTTTAATTGCGTCAAGGCCTTTATCAGCTCCATTTAACTTGCCCTGATCAAGCGCACTTTTAAGCTCAGCCAAGTAGTCCTTGACGCCATCCGGCTTAACTCCTGTCGGCTGCGGCAGCTTATTCTCAACCAATTTCTTGATCTCCTCAAGCTGTTCCTCAATTTTGCCGAACGGACCGGTGAAGGTTTGTTCATCTATCTTCTTGTCCTTGGCTTTGTCACCGATAACTTGTTCAAGATCATTCAGACCCACATTTTCAATATCCTTAATAGCCTTCGGAAGTTTGCCTTCCTCTGCAGTGCCTTGTAGAGGCCTACCGTTTTGAAGGGCATTAATTTTATCTTGTTTAACGTGCTTATCGTAATCCTTAAATTGTCCAGTGCCTTTAATGTTAACGCCGCCACTTGTCGGATCATCCTGCCCAATGCGCGTATCAACCAAAGCTTGGAGGTCCTTTGGGAGTTGCGTTTTTATTTTGTTGTGCTCAAGGGCAAATTCCGGCATTTTTGACGCCACATCAGGGTCTTTACCTTGCTCACTAATCTGCTCAGCCGCCTTCTGAATCGCCGTCCTGGCTGCATCCTTGATCTGTGCTTGAGCTTCAGTGTTGAAATTGTTAACGGCGGAGGGAAGTTGGGAGACTTGAGTCTTAAGCTCACTGGTGACTTGTGTTTTAAATTTGTCTTCAAGCCTCCCAACCTCATCCCTCACTGCGTCCAACTTGCTGTCCACGGCTTGGGCGGGGCTTTCGGGTTGGACGGGCGAAGGGGGGACGGGTGAACTAGTCGCCTCGGTAAGCTGACCGTGAAGTGTATTTGTTTTTTGGTGTACATCGTCCAATATTGTGCCAAACACGCTTATGCCTAAAAAGTTGAGTTCGTTGCCAACTTGCCTTACAGAAGCGCAGAGCGCAACGAGGGCGGATTTCACGGCAGTGTTGAGATCAGAGTTGGTGGATGTAGTTTTACCCTGAATACCCGGTGTTATGTTATCCACGAGCTGTTTAATTCTGCCATTCGTCAGTTCTTTATCAAGCTTCTCTACAAAAGTCTCGCAAGCCTCCTTTATACCTTCCAGATCTTTTGTGATGTTGTTTTGGTCAATTTTATTTTTAATTTTGTCATCAATTATCTCCTGAGCTGCCGCAATGGCTTGTGATATTTTTGCTTGTTTCATAATCATTTCTTTAACGGTTCCTCTTAAATCGACAACATTGCGTCCAACCGTGCCATTATTCGGCCCAAGCCAAGAGTTCACAGCTTTCAGCCCCTGCTTATGCCGATCATCCCCTAGCGGCTTCCCATTCCCTATTATACCTTCCAGTCAGCCCTCTACTCTAGCATTGAAACCGCTCCAGCCAGTCTTTACGAAAGCCTGAGCAAGATCCTTCACTCTCTCCTTAATACCGTCGAGACCGGAGTTACCATGCCATTTACCATTTCCACCTTTACTTCCCGCCTGCCCCTTAATCTTCCCAACTTCTTCTTTAATATGCCCGAAAACCTCATGAATATTTTTGTCACCTTTTAAATCAAACTTCCCGCCAAGCGTCCCAATCGCCGAGTCAACTGCTTTGGCTTTCTCGTCAAGCGGCTGTTGGATCACAGTCTTAAACTTCTCTCCAAGTCCATCAGTCTCCGTAATAATTTTGCCACGCTCACCAGCAATGTCATATAGAGTTCTCTTCTCCTTTGCAAGCGCCTCCAACTTATCCTTAACAAGCTCATTACTTTTTCCATCGCCTTCCAGACCATTGCCAAGCTCACTGATCTTCCCCTTCAACGTCTTCAAATCACTCTTCACGAAACCATCCAAAGTTAAAACATTCATACTCCTAAGCACACCATCTATACCTCCTTTAATCTTATCTTTAACTTTCTTCAAATCCTTCTTAAGATCTGTCTCCATCCTCACAACAGCCCCTAACGCCTCGCTAATTTTCTTGCCAACAAGCCTCTTGGCCTAACTTACCTAGCCCACCTAAGCGCAACCTATGATGTAACCTACTCGCTGCTTTGCCTTGTCCCTCCCCCCTTTGTTGCCTTGCGGTCACTTGCAAAACAGATGCCCACATCCCACCTTGTCGGCGGACTGAGGCTGCGGGCGTCTCTTACCAAGCCCCTCCTGCACCTCTAAAATGTCTCACAAATCGTCACTAACACCTTCACTGAGTCACCCATTAACATTGCAATCACTACTATTGCAAGCCTCTTGGCAGTGTCTTGGTTATCCGGAAGCAGTGACATCACCTTAGAGGTTATATCGCTTTAGTGTCTCCTAGTTAATGTGTAAAACGCTTTCACGTGTACTTTTGTGCCATTAGCCTCGTGCACGTTTATTAGTGTATCTGTGCTAACTGCTTTCGTAAGCAATATGGCGGTGGATAAAATTCCGCTTGACACCCTCAAGGAGTGTCTCGAGTTCCTGCAGTGGTTGCATGATGGCGAAGGAAAAAAGATGCAAGACCTGGTGGCCACAGAACTGGTTAAACGTTATGGAAATTATTATAATCGTATTTTGTTTACGGGCAAACTGCCACATGCTGTCTCCGAATTCCTCGGGCACGTGTCCACGTTTTATAAGAAATTATGCAAAACCCCAACGCCGGGAAGTTATGTCGATCCAAAAGCAAAAGATGTCACCGATGCGCTCCTCGAGTGCGTCCCCAAGTTATTCGCCGCTTTGTATTTTTTGCTCTACAATGTGGATTACAGATTCGATGCAGTGGGTGGAGCGAAGTGGAAGTACAATTGTCCTGGGTGGGAGTCGACTTGGGTGAGATTCTTTTGGGATAAATATTGGGGTGGTGAACTGCAGGATTATCTCAGGGCGTCACTGAGCGATAACTACGGTGGCCTCATACCTGGTGGATTCGGCCGAGAAGAGGTGACGTATGGTTATGCATATGATTCTAGCTATGGCTATCCATACGGTAAGGATATGATTCCTGACCTCACAAAGATTTTGGACAAAAAAGAAGACCAAATTTTCCGGGACGTATTTTTTACAACAGTCATTTCTACCACCGCAGGCACAGAGCCCGTGAACACTGCTAACGTTCTTGCATTGGTGAGAACGTTTTGCGATATTGTGGCTGAAGAGGAAAAGAAACAGAATGGCGAAAAGTTTAAAACGCATTTACAATTCCAAGACAAATGTATAGATTGGCAAGAATTAAAAGCCCATTGCTCCAAACTACAAGACCAATTTGGCAAGATTTTCAAAAAGGAAGCCTTTTCCTACACCGGCCAGGCGCGGAGTGTTGATGAGCTTAACACTGAGAAATTTGCAAGGGAGACGGCAAGATGGTTTAGAAATAATTTGCAAAAAGTTCAACAGAATGTGAAACACATAAAAAAAGGTTCCCAGTCGACAACACTCGATATTTGAATGTTCTTCAGCAATTTGCAACCAAAAACCTATTCCCCTACGGTTTTATATTTGGTGACCAAGGCTATGGAACGATGAGCGAGGCGTGGAAGACGTTGTCAGATCATTGGGACAGTGTCTTAGAAAAGCTTGACAAAGATGATGGCGGTCTAGCGGAGTTAAAAAGAATTCTGGATGGTAAGGGGTGCCATCCGCCGGCGCCTGCGCCCAGGCCTCCGAGGCCTGCCAGACCTGCACCAAGACCCCCGAGGCCTGCTAGGCCTGCGCCACCACCCGGGTCTCCCGGGACTCCGGGTGTAAGGACAACCGGTACAAGAGGCGGTGGAGGTCGGTCGTCTGTTGGGGGTCCTGTTTCTGGTGTTAGAGGAGGAAATATAGGAGTGGGAGGGTCTAACCATAGAAGAGGAGGCCCAAATAGGAGAGGAAGATCGGGGGCTCAGAGAGGCAGAGGACAAGGTCCAGGACCTGGACGGGCTCGAGGTGGTCAAGGTGCTAAGGGCACACAGAATACAAGAAGTCCAGGGCGTACGATCTCTACTCAGTCTCAACCCTTACATCGTCAATCTACTCCCAAGTCTCATCCTAAACATCCTCCACCTGCCGTCCCCAGTGCCCATAGAGCACCTAGTCCACCGGCTGAACAACTTCCGACTCCAGCACGCCTTGCATCTCAACCCACTGTACATGATAACTCAAGCGCGTCCAGCTCCAGCCCTTCGTCATCTAGTGTCACTGACGCCGGTGGTCAGGATCTGAGTGCCCAGGTGCCTGCTTCTGGACATATTCAACAGAGTAGTCAGACATCCCTGGGCAGCACAATTACCCTTCCTCATGCATCGCCTGTCCTGGACCCTAGTAAACAGGGAGGTCCCTCTCAAGACAGTATGCAACTTGGGAATTCGGATCCTTTAAGTTCAGGTTCTACGTATTCTGGTGGCGTGGCGTCTACTCGTCATTCTCCACAAAGTACCCCAGTCTCCCAATATAATAAAGACGTCGGTATGGGGAGCATCGGCCAGCCATCCCATACCCTGCCTTCTGATTCAGGCGCTGGTGAACGTGTAGGACCGGGTGGGGCGCCGAGCACCGGTGGGAGTTTGACTGCGGCTGCAAAGGACACCGTTTCCACATCCTCAAAACCTGTTGCCGCTGTAAGCATTGATCTTCCTCAGACTCCAAGTGATCCAGGTCAAAACTCTCTGTCGCATGGTGCTGCTGATGACGATGATCCAGGCAGTCCAGGGTCTTCGTTGCCACAGGCTGGGTCAAGCCATGATGGTGCCCCGGGGAAAGTTGGTACGCAAGTTGACCCCTTTCCGGATCCAGACGGCAAGCTTTCTTCGGGAATACGCCCCTCTGTCTCTTCAAATGTAAGCGACACTCAGAATTCAAATGTTCAAACCCCAGATTCCCTGTCATCTCCTGACCATCATGATACTGCTCAGGATCTGAAAGACCAGGCGCTTTCTTATAAACCTACTCAAAAGCATCCTCAAGGGCCGCAACAGAATTTAACATCGAGTGCGACTACAACATCCGCTGTAAGTCGTGCTGATTCAGGTGTAGGAGGCGGTGTAGGGGGTGGGGGCTCTGCAGGTGCTACGGATGGCGATTCTCAGGTAGACAATCATTCTGGTAAACCTTCTAACGCCCCTCAACCTTCTCTGCAACATCAAACCCCAAGTAATACAGCCACAGATCCTCCATCATCTGATATCCCTGGTCCACCAGGTGGTTTGAGCGTTACTGTTCAGTCGTCTTCTCAAGTAAATCCTCAGGGGCACACGGGTGATGCAGACGGCCATAACCCGGCATCCATTCTACATGCTCCTGGCCAAACTCCTCTCGGTAATTCTGACGATGTAGTTACAAGAGCTCAACAACGTGTTGAACCTCAGGATAATGGATCTCTAGGTCAGCCAGGCCCGGCACTTCCTGCTCATCAGCCTCCACCCCCACCTGCTCCCCCAATAACAGCTGCAGAGCCTTCAAGTTCTCAGGACAGTTTACATGGACCCATGAAGGCTCAAGATTTGCACGATCAACATGCTATGCAGCCTTTGGACCCCAACACAAAAGGAGACGCAGACCCTGCAGAGCCTCTAAATCAACAGGTAACCTCCAGTTCTACTGTAGCACATAACGCCCGTGGTAAGTCAACAAACGGGTCTCCAGATTCAACGGGCGGTGACGTTCATGGTGCACAGCCTACTCCCCCTCATGGCGCTGCTTCTCCTCAGGATCCGAGTGTTTCAGGTTCAGGCACTGGGTCAGCTGGTGGGCAGGGACCTGGGCAAAGTGGTGGGCACAGTGTTGGTCAAACACAGATTCCGCCTAATAATGTTAAAAGGTGCGATGGTGTATCCATGTCTATGAATGGAAAGTCGGTGTGCTATACACAGCCTACGATTCATAAGCCAAATAAGTCGTCCGCCCATTACCCTTCGTCCGATGTTGAGGATAAAATTAAAAAAGCGGAGGAAGCGTATCGGCAACATCAAGATGAGCAACGCAAACAGCAGGAGGCCTATGATCAATACTATCGCAAATTACACGGGGAAATTGGAATTGACACAAAACCCCTTAACCAGCATCGTAGCAGGCCTCCATACGCCTATATTGACCAACTGCGAAGTAGAATGGTGAGTGACTTACAAGGCGAATCTGCAATTCATGGCATTCCGATACATGATCTGCCGCACAAAAAAGATAAACTAGTGCCAATAGGATCTAATAGTTTCGATGGGAGGCCCACTATAGACCCCGACGTTCATGCGCTTATGCAGTATAAACCAACGACCGATATTGATATTGTGACCGCACCACAAAAGGATGATACTCTTTTGCCGTTAGACGCTTTGACTATGGATGCAGACGATGTTTCTATAACAGAGGAGATAATTGATCCCATTAAAGCATACGAAGAGCCAGATGAGTATTACGTTAAGTACTTGTCCGCACCGTCACCAGGACGAATCGACAGTCTAGTTGGCGGACCAGTTCACCCCGCGCCCTTGGACATTCCAGACGAAAATTCACGACACATTGATTTCGACGGTGTTGCCATCCCCCGGAATCAGAGGGACAAGCTGTACCTGCAGACACAAATTCCGACCATCCAGTACACCCCGTGGAAACCGGATTACGTTACAAGGCCCGCCTCGGACTCACCCAAAGCAGAAAATATCATACAGGCCGACCCTATTTATCAGGGTCGGAAAATAAGTCAACCAAAGTTGCAGACTGTTGGTGTACGAATGCCCCCGCCCCTCACGCCAGTGGAGATCGAAGCCCCCCCGGGCGTCATGATCAATGAGCCGATATGCCCGGCAAACTACCCCAGTACCACCACCGAAAAGATCCCGCCCACCGATGCCTCCAACCCGCCGCCCCGAACGGTGCGTGACATGCTGTGTTGGCTCGGGGATCTGCCGAATGCGACAGGTTACGACGATTTGGTTACGCATATTGAAAGTTTGTTTGAGGGATCTACATGGATTGAAGCCTTCCCCGAACCTTTCGCAGTCGGAAATATTACCGCAGCTTTATCCCAAACTTGTGGCCATGCTAGCTCGTTGCTCGCTGCCATGGAGGGGCCTAAGCCCGCTGCCCCTAACAAATTCCACTACCAGCGCTACGGCGTTCCCCTGATGCACTACTCCGACGACCCCTACACGCTGCTGTGTCAGTTGCTCAGTTACGTATACGCTTCATACCATCAGTTGTCCTTCCTGCGCACTCAGTGCAGCCGGGACACGCATTCTGGTGGATGGCGGGACTGCAAGTTTGGCAGAGATGTGAAGTTCTCTAAATCATGGCAGTGCCGCAAAGATCCGGTAGACCCTATGCAAGGACAGGACCACGGCTGCGACGCTTCACCCCTGCAAGGCTTCATCACCGACCAGTCCGATCTCCCCACCTACTGGTATCAGAGGGGCGATATGTGCCGGCGGAGCCGTGTAAGAATGGGCTTTCGTCCGGACCATTTACGTGAAGAGTCCAAGCATGGATTCTACATCTACAACATCCTGACTGGGGTGTGTTATAATAATGGCGACCCACTCGATAAGCTCTGCAAGTATCTTGTATGCCTCACCAGGAGGACGCCGCGCACCACGGGGGAGCTCGTATCGTTCTTCCACCATTTCGGCAATGGACTGCATTACGCATTCTCAGGCTCATTGTCCAAGCTGGGCTCCGCCCTCTCCAGTCAGCATGAATACTGCCCCGACTGGGACCGTCTCAAGGACGCCGACCTCCGAGCCGTGCAGAGTATCCGGGGCTCCGCCCCTCCCAAATCCATTCACAACCACGACAAGGACCATCCCAAGACCCTTTCCACGCTGTTTGGCTGCGGCATCACTAATTTCAATTGCCGTCAACATCTGCTACCCATCACCTACCGGGCCTACGCCCTGTACTCTGCCAGCTTCGTCCACCACTACCTCAGCTGGGCGGTCCACCTGGCAGACAGACTATGGGAGTCGCTGCTCAGGCTGCAATATGATCTCGAGGAACTTCACCGCCACGACAACAAGCCCAAGCCTCTCCACCAGTGTGACAGGGCCATGCCCCTCCTCTACCGTCACGGCATCACCCCTCCGGACGGGACACTACAATCGTCACTCACGTGTTCTGAGCTCATCACCAAGCTGGAGGAAGTGGTCGCCGGACAGCCTATCGCAGACCTCATGACCGCCATGGACACATTCCTCTACAGAGTCCGTCTACCATTCCTCTACACTGTGCTCGCACTCTGGCTCACCGCCACGCTATACATCGCCCACTCACTTCTCTACCGCCTGGACGTACTGCGCATCCGCTCCCACCTCCTCACCGCCAAGGCCTCCCACCTCATCGACGTCAAGGCGCTGCTCGCCGGAAGCCGCAGGATGCTCTCACTCTACAAAGACGTCGATTACTTCGACGAGGACCCAGTTGGCTGGATTGTACTCTAGCAGTAATTTTCGCATTCAAGTTGTCGGTTTGTACGTAATGTGGTATGTACATGTGCATTAGTTATGAGATGTGTCGCTGAGACGTATGCAGTGCCATGGTGTCCCGCAAGGTCGCAAAGGCTGCTTGACTTCGGGAGCAACCACACTAACATAGAGCACGCAGCACACGACGCAGCTGGACCTGTTATGCTGGGGTCGTAGTGACCTAGTTATCGAGCTTAGCAGCACAAAAGCATGGCAATAGTCGTTTGTGAAGCTCAATTAGTGATGATTCATGCTAGCGTATCAGAAGTCCCATGATAGGCTGTTATCATGTCTCTTTAGAAACTGCATGGAAACTCAGTGCCTTGGTGTGTATCTACCAGTTACATTGATGCGTGCCTGTGGACGTTACGCCGGGAAACCTATGTTACAATCGCGGGACGGCGTAGATGACAATGTGCTGCTCGTAGCGCATCGTAACATTACAAACTTCGATGTGGCGCTGCATATCTACTGATATCGCAACATCACGTATATGCCACATCGTCTGCAAGTAGCATACCAAAATGACATGCGTTGTGCACACTGCATGCCACCTTGAATAGTATCGAGCTGACTGCGATGGGGCAACTAGTGAATCACCGTTCCTCCGTCGTAGCCTATTTGTTGCGTCCAAAGCTTCGTAGATCTGGGTCAAACGCGTACCTTTTAGGTGTTAACAACACTGTTCTGTTGATACTCCATTAAGACACAGTTACTTAAATACGCGAGCTGTAAATAGACGAAAACGCGCACGTTTTTAGCACTCGACTACTCTAACGAATCTCAACAAAATGGTGTACGATTCGTTGACTGATATCCCTCGCAACCTCAAGGAGGGTATTGACTGGTTGATTGCCTTGAGGGGAACCCATGCTGGAAACAACTTTAAGGCTATGGGCGCCGCAGTTTACAACTTTCTCGCAGACAAGCCTGTTGGCTTCACGGAGGTGCCAGCTCTCGAGGAAGTGAAAGTTATTACTAAGGAGTTCCTGGAGCAAGAGGAGCTTAAGGATCTGTGGCCAGCAAACGCGATGCTGACGAGATTCGATAGGCCTGTTGATAAAAATCCCCCTGCGCTCGCTAAGTTTTTTAAATCGGTCAACAGGAACCAATATACAAACGTCGTTAAGGATGGGGGTATCACCTCTAAAACCATCGCAGATACGTTAGCTAAATCTGTGTTTGGTTTTGAGAAGTTCTTGAAAGGTATAAAAGACCCTGGGCAGTATAAGTCTGCTTACAGTTCGGAAGCGACGTGGGATGCATCATGCGCGAAGAACCCGGAAGATTGCGCAGCAGTATTCGTGGGGATTGCGCCGATGCTATACGCAGGGCTGTATTCTTTGATAGATGCGAGCTATAAGGACTGGATGGATTGGCTGAAGTGTAATAAGAGGAATATTAATTTGGGGAATCTATTGAAAGCCGTTGGTTACGTGGTGCCGGAACGCCGTGATGAATTGAGTGATTCGGATGTACGCACCGCGTTAAGCGGGGTTAGTTCACATATATTGGAGACGTTATACGACCTCTCTGGATTCTGGGCCTTCTATTAAGCACGGATAGCAAGTTAGCTGTACAAGCATTCCGAAACAACAGGTTCTAGGACTGGATGCGTAGTTAGCCGGCATAAGAATTATCACAAAATATACCGAATTCATGAAACGTTATCAAAGTCGTATTTGTGTTTACACTCTTAACCCACAATAATGCCGCCGTATAGTGAGGGCGAATACAGTTTGGAACTTCCATTTAATCTCTTTTATGGCACATTTTGGTGTGCTTCGTTGCGTCGTACGTTGTCATCTTCGTGTACCAGATGGGTGTTGTATAGATACTACATGTTTATAGATAACGATTTGCACCTCAGATAGATTAACAGTCAGCGCGGCCTTGGCGTCGTTTGGTGTCATGCCCGTTACGGAGAAGAGAGGCGTTGATAGCAAGGCTTACATACGCCCGTACCTCGTGTCACTGAACAACTCAATCTATTATTGTAGTTTTTCTTCCGTGGAGACGTGATGTTGTTCCCAACGCGTGCAACAATGGCGGCGCTGTTTATAGTTGTGGAGTGTTCAGTCACGGGTGATATGAGTAGTTTGCTTGCCATGCCGCACAGAGACCTGCCACATGACAGTTGGTCCATATGAGTGACATCTGATACGTTCGGCAACTAGACCGTGCACATGGCGCAACTAGCACCAATAGCGTGAGGCGGTTGTCTCTCGTAAAAACGAATAGTGCCCCAAGCCACACGTAGCCCCATAGCACACTATATAATATGAAACATAGAGAATGTTTTAATTGTTTTAAGCAACAATGAACCTAGTCGAAAATAAATTAACACCGAGTGCCGGATTTAGGCAAAGCCTTTCAAACTAAGGTGTTATGTTGGCTTATGCTCGGCTAATAGCTCAGCTAAATATGCCCGCTTCTCGCGCCATCCGTCGAGTTCTTCCCATTCCCAGTGTGGCACGCACGTGCATCTGAATCCGAGACCCTTCAGCACGCCCAGCTGTATCTGAGACTTGGCAGTGCGTTCGTGGCTATGTCGGTAGAATTGCTCGATATCGTCGGCAAGCAGAATACTCGCCAATGGCCTCAAATGATTGGCTGCGCGGTGGTCAGTCTGTTGCTCAACTTCATACCTAGCAAGCGCTCCTCCCCTAGGTCACGTGTTCGCGGTTTTCGGCAATTTCGTTGCCTGGCCTCCGCCACTTCCTCCTGTCCTAGTTCGCGCACGAAATCGACAAGAAAGGGGCCAACTTGAACCTGCGTCTCTGTGATGATTGCTCGTAATCAAGCTCTACCTGTTTGTACAGTACATGCGATACGAAGGTCGCCGTCTTCCCTACGGATTCCTGCAGGTCACACGTCCGAGCTGTTTCTGGTTCCATCGTTATTCTGTGTGCCACTTCAAGCAGATATTGCTGCGCAGGCTCTCCCAGGGCATGAAACAGCTGGGGCATGAGTTTCCTATTACAGTGTCACGTAAAGGTCGGCATCGTAACGGGACACCAACGAACTCAAGAGCAATGCCAACTGAACAACACATACGACACTCCGACAAGAGACGGTCGCATTTAGACGTACCATATGTAAATAGCGACCAACTGAAGCCGAATAAGGCAAGCTGATGATATGGAGCAGTCTAATCGCATTGCATCTCTTAAGAGCCTCTGATATACTTCCGGATCATTTAACCTAAAGTGACAGAACGCCAAAAGGGCATCGCAGATGTCTTCCATATTTGCCAAACCTAACGGAACTGCATCGTACTTTATTGCGTTCGTAACGCGCACCCACCATCGTATCTCCTAATGAAGTTGGCCGCGAAATCCATGATCACCGGGTCGTGTTCGTCCAGTAAAAACAGGCCATAAATGCATCGCACAACATCATCAAATGAGTCCAAGCTAAACAACGCCGATTTCACTGTGCTTACAAGCTCGGATATAACGTTGGGCGGCCTGTATCTAAGGCTCCCGTAGCCGATCATGAGCTGTATTATCGTCTGCACGTCGCTGGTAGAGCATCCTTCTCTCACGAGTTCATCTATGCGGTTGGCATTGCTGGGAGAAAACACGCCCGTGGCCAAGCAGTTAACAAGCACTTGCATAGGTATATAATCTCCCTGCACAAGACGTGACATTTTGCAAGTGTTACACGTACCGTGAGTGCGGCTTCGATCAGTCTATGGCGTATAAATAAGCTGTCGAACATATCCGCTTTGTAGGCTTGAAGAAGAGCCGACGCCTCTTCGGTCGTTATTTTGCCGCCCTGGGCCAGCAGTAGACGCAGACTTCTGCCTGCATGGCGGTGAGAAACATTCTCCCATACGATAAAATTGTAAAGTAGCATAAACACCACATAGAGAGGTTAGACGATCAATTTGTGTTGTGCATATGTCACAACAACCGGGTGTGAATCCAGTGCTACGCCAACACCTTGGAACACATCCCTGGTACCATCAAGAAGCTAGAAATGAATCGTCCTAAATCGGCCGAATACTAACGCAAATTTATATTTCTATGCTTGCATAAATATGCGCTACGCGGCAAACGGAAGCTGCCTATCCAGGGGAACCATCTGTACATTTGAACAGCCAGCTGTTCTGGCGCACCATGCAAACAGCTACCATCCACATGAACACCAACCGTGCAATAAAACGAATCGCTACCTACCAACACGGGCACCGAGCGCCTCGTGCCGTATGCCGGTCTCGGCCATGCATTGCACGAGGGCTACATTGTTGGGGACGGTCAATTCGCTTTCGGAGCCGCGGGCTGCAATATATGCGAATAGTTTGGAGCATATGGGCACTACTCGGTGTCCTGCTGTAAGTGATGCCGTCACATGCGCTACACGTACCGGCCTTGTGAAGTTCCACTAGCGTATGGCAGGCCTGGGTGAGTGCCTCCCCGCGTACATGCGGCAGCAACCTTTCCAGCCGCCCAGAGAAATCAGATATAAGCCCCCTGGTAGCTATACCGTGTACTACTGCCGCTTGAATTAGACCGCAGAGATCGCCAGGGTCGGTGAGGGCGTACAACTTTCCGCGAATGTTGGCCAACGCCGTTGCTCGCACATCGGCCAGCCGGGACGATATTTCCTCGCTACCATCCTGCCTATCGGATAGGTTGCGAAGACTGGCAGCGACTAGCAGGTTTTCGGTTGGGGAAAGTTGCGCATTGTGCTTCTGGAACAGCGCATACAACGTCTCCGCGTCGCCACCGCCATCACGTACCAGGGCGCGAAGCCGCGCGACCTCTGGCACACACAGATGGCGGAAAACACGCGACAGACGCATTAACCGCGGAACTTTGTCAGACGTAAATTGGGAGCATCGGTGGTCGGTGTCCGCGCGCCTCTCCACCGCTGTGGGAAAATGCGGCGCGATCGTTAAATTACCGGAACAGCGCACATGCCAAAAAACGTTCCAGCACGATGTCGGTTAGCTGATAATTTTTACACTTCGCGTGTGCTCCAACGCTGTCATTCGGAGCCGCGAGGCGCGACACATTGCAACGGCACTTCGATTACAGTCCGGGATGCACGTTATCAAACACTATTTGGGACTCGGTGAGGCTATGCCAGCGCGAGATAGCACCGCCGCCGGCACCGGCCCTAGCGGCCTTGAGAACACGTACAACAACTGCTACTGCAATGCCGTCTTGCAGGCGCTTTACCCTATCCACGCCTTTCGGGACAGGGTGGTCAGGCTATCGCAAGCCGAGGTAGGTGTGATGCACAGATATGCCAAATGTTTGAAGGCGGAGATTTCGAGCGCCTTGGGCCAGCTCTACGAGCGCTGCACTGGATTGAATGGTAACCACGCTCGCTTTGTAACAGACTCGTTCAGGCGTGCAATCGCCGAAGAAGCTTCTGCAAAAGATATGCAAGCAGAATGGTATGTATAGCGTATTCATGATCGTTCATTTGCGGCAGAGTACTTCGTTTTGGGCGACCAGCAGGACGCGCATGAATTTCTCACGTACCTCATCAATACGATGATGGACGAAATAAAGGCGCTGAACAAAGGCGACGAACCGAAGAGTGGCGCCGGCAAGGACTCATCCGGTCATGTTGGCGGTGATGGAGGAACTGGGAACAATAGGGACCGCTCTGGGAAGCGCCGTACTCCGTCGGTCGCATCCCCCAAGCAGCAGAAACCCGAACGCACATGGCTCAGCCGCCTAGTCGAAGGTTCACTGAAGTCTGAGACAACGTGCGACAGTTGTTCGACGGTGACTGGAACGTTGGAGCCGTTCCTCACGCTGTCGGTGGACATCTTCGAGAACTGCGACATCAGCTCCTGCATACAGGAGTATTGCGCGCCGGAGCGGCTGACTGGGAAGAACCAGTTTTACTGTGACAATTGCAGGGCGTATACCGACGCGTCGAAGCGTGTTGTCTTCGAGAATCTGCCACCGATATTTATTGTCCACCTCAAGCGCTTCAGGTTCACGGCTATTTCTCCCAACACGTCGTACAGCGTACTGTACGATTCATTCGAGCGGCTTCCCTACTCCGTCACCTCAAACCGCATGGTGACGTTGCAAAGCAGGACGCAGCGTACCCCCGTGGTGTACGAGCTGTTTGCGGTGGTGAATCACGTGGGCACCTCGCCCAGCTACGGACACTACAACGCAATTACGGAAGTCGATGGTCGCTGGTACTGTTGCGACGACTCATCCACCGTCCGCGTGTCCGACGTCAGCGACGAGCTGGGTGATGAGCAGAGCAGCGGCAACCCCAACAGCTACATCCTCTTCTATCGCATGAAGGCGCTTGCTGCTAGCCGGTTGTAAATTGGCGGAACATATATAAACCCGATGACGCGACAGCGTGTAAAATGGCATAACGCGAGCTGTGGTGCTAGGCTAGACTGCGGTTACATTCTGCAATGCAAGGGTAGCGCCACCAACGCGACTGATGTTTGTAAAGCCACATAAATACATTAACTGATACATAATTGTGGCTTATTTTATTACACGTAACGGTAAATACGCGAAATGCTCGCATCGCACATATAATATGATCACAACGTGGAAAAAGTTTTCCCACGCGGGGACTCGAACCCCGGTCGTTCGGGTGAAAGCCGAATATCCTAACCACCTAGACTACATGGGAGTCGAATAACGCCGTAAATCAAAAATCGAAGATCAGAGTTTCGTACACACGCCCAAGATAATAGCGATAGCGGCTCCGACATTCGTCAGATCGTTCCGCAGGACAGTCTCCCCAAATCGTTGCAGTGTCACACACTGCCCATGTGTTGCACATGGTGAACGATTCCGTCGCTGCGGAACCTCCTACGGAGGCGCCAGTGGAGGACGCTCCTCCCCTGGCCGCTGTGGTTACAGATTACACACCTAGCGTCCAAACGGAGAAGGCTGCGCCGGATTCGAGCGAGGATGCTAGCAATGGATTCTGTAATCCCGTGGAAGACGATGAGCTCACTGAGCAGGATTTGTCTGAAGAGGAGGAGGATAGCTTAAGGGAGCCCTCTGTCAAACGCTACCTGCCAGGTGAGTCTCGATTTCCGGTTCCTCATGATCTCAACAGGCGTGTCCGTAGAATTGAAGCTCAAGGCTTTTCATACAGAAAACGGTGGTACCACGCAACAGGTGCCGATGATGGTTGACTTCTATGCCGAGTGCATGAAAACGTATCGTGATGAGAAGCGCTTCATTCTTGAGGAGCACTATCTCGGGCCGAAGACCAGCCAACTGACGGATGCATCTGGACGAGATCGTAAAAAGGCACAAGCTGCCAGTGCGGCTCAGACAAACGGCGACAGCAAACCGGATAAAGCCGGCTCTCACGATAATGGCCACAGTGGTGCAGAAGGGACGGCGGAAGTATCCCTGGATGACGTGATGTGGATGAAGACCAGGCCAAACGACCCTCTCCTTCGGTGCATCCAGTCCATCACCGATCGTCTGAACATTCAGGGCATCGTCGGCGACCCCACCTCGTACCTCAAGGTCGGCGGCGACGACATGCACTATGACATCGACGACCCGTTCATCGATGACGATGCGATGTTCAGCGAACTCCGCTTGTCTAAGAACGATATTTTGCGCAAGAAGCAGAAGGAACGAGATTTCTCCGTTTGGAGTGAGGACGAAGAGGAGGAGTTAGGCTCCGAACTCGTAGCCGATGATTTTGTGGCACAGTATTCGTCTGAACTGAAGATAGAGGATGATACGGATCCGGACATACCTCAGCAACCGGTGTTGTACTTTGACCCATTTGGATGGCGCAGGTACTTTGCGCGCATACCCAAGCAGTTCTATGCCATCTTTCATGACTTGGAAGCTAAGTACAGAGGGTACTCAGGCCAACTGACCACGGAAGCCATACGTTCCGTCGTCATAGAACTGTTGGATTCAATCTTTAGGCGCTTGACAAAACTTCCAGAACCTCGGCAGAAAAAAGGCCAAGCGGGGGGAGATGGCACGAATTCGAATAACAATAGCCCAGTAGACGAACAGCGGATTGAATTTGAAAGGCGAGGGCTCAATTGTGTAGGTGTTGGCAAAATAATTGGAGTGAACGGCCGTATCCTGAGATGGATTGCAGCGGCCATATGGGAGATCACCAACGCCGTCTCGCGGCGCGACATGCATGAGACCTGGCTAAAGCTGGTGCTGGCCCACAACGAGCTCATGATAAGCGAAATGCGCAGTCGCATGTACTCCAAGTGGCTGTCCAAAGTAGAGCCACTGAAGGGGAAAAAGGACGTGAAGTTTTTCACCAGACTGGCTGATAATATGAAGCACGTGTCAAAGAGCGTTCACACCGTTCGCCGCGTTATGCGTGACTACGAGGCGGCATTCACGGCTGCGGTGGAAAACTTCAAGGCGGCCGAGCGAAAGCTGGTCAAAAATGGCACCTCCCTGAAGAAGGTGAACAGCAAACCAGACCCGCCTGCTGCCAAAACAAATACCGTAGGCACCCCTATAAGTGCGAATTCAAGCTCCGAAGGCATTGCCAATGTTGAGTCATTTAATCCCTTAAACACAACTACACCAGCGACGAATGCAGTTAACGTTGACGACGGGATGGGAGAGGCGTCCCCACGGCCTACAGTATCTAAATCCACCGGGGAAAATCTAGGTGACAGCAGCGCGCCTTCTTGCGCGGTTGAGGATGGCGATGGTCAACACGACGGCCCATTGATGTATGGCGACTTCAATATTAGCACCCAAAAGAACTCTGCGCCGTTACAAGGGCTCAGTTTTAGGATCGCCCAGGAGTCCCAAGGCGGGGAACGTGATGATGTTAGCGATGTGGATTTTTGCTCGTTTTCGGATATTCTGCGGCGCTGCTCATTATGGAAACGCGTGAGCAGCTTAGTGACCCTGTATAAGTACATCTCGGTTGACATCCTTACCTGGGTCCAGATGATAAACCTCGCGTTGGCCACTTCCATCTCAATTGCAGCCACGGATTTCAGCTCTCTAGTACAGGAGGAGGTGCACGGGGAGTATGTTTTTGACAAGGCGTATGGTTGCATCGCCGACCTGTTGATTCAAGTCGTGCAGGAGGTGAGTGGCTTAAAGTTGATAATCGCCACTGACGTTTCACGTGTGGTTGTGATGTACATCCACGAGTCGTCCACTTTTGACGATCTTTTCGAGCGCGAGAACAAGGACCAGCTTGTGTTTTACGACAACTCCGATGTTGCTGCCGCTCCTGGCAAGGTTCAACTTGTGGAGGTGACGAAGGGCAATAAACGTGGAAAGGCGCCTGCAGGGAAAAAGGAAGCGACCGCAAAAACTGGCAAGAAAAACGCAAAACGTAAACGTACTGATGAAGGGCCATCGGATAGTACCCCACAAAAGAGTGCGAAGGTTGTAAGCCCGAAAACCGCTGCGGTTGCCAAAACTCGTAATAGAGTCACCACAGTCACTAACGTTGCGGATTCGGATGCGTCTCAGACTCCGAAGAATGCTAAATCGACTAAGAAGGCTAAATCCGCGAGCCAGTAAAACACGCCCACAGCTCGTACGCCTTCTAGAGCAGGTGATTTGGGCGCCTCTATCAAGACGGAAAAAAAACCGTGAGCCCATTTAATGCTGTAGGAGGGTTTGTTGTTGGCTCTGAGAGTTTTTTGATATGCGCAACGCATGCGGCGTGGCCAGTTTGCTCGATACAACCTACGAGTCCATATTTCCAACCGCTGGAATCGACAATGCAGTCAAAATTACAATGTCTATACGCTTATATAGGGCGTATCAATCGGGTGATAACCCCTTATACAACTCAGAATTACTAGCTGCTGTTTCCGATTACACCCGTGCTGCCCGAAATCATTCGACGCAGGGAACCACCGTCACATACAATCTTCTGCGCAACTGAAGGCCTATATAAAGCAGAACTTCTAGGCACCGGACAGAAACTGAGATAAACCCACGGTTTCAAAATCTAACGTGGCAGCATGGCTTCGCAGGTCCAGAACTGCAGCGAGATATCCACATTGAAAAGGCCCCCTCCGACATCTGGGGGCTCTAATTGTACAGGATGTAGCAAAGGAATGTTTGGCATTTCACATCTCAACACGGCGATTTGAGACAGGGCTGCTTTCCACGATATAGTGAAGCAGAATCATACGTTACGGTTGCACAAGCTTTAAGTTTCACTTACGAGACAAACATCCCTTTATGCTCCTAACGTTCTATTTAGAATGACGCCATGTTGCATAGCGGTTGATGCGCATTGTCTATTTTGGTGGCGCCAGAAATGCTTCGTAGTGACATGTTGGGGCTGGTTGTTGCAAGTTTAACAGGAATATATGACAATTACACCGGTATTACTTTAGTGTATTACCGTATGGTGTACGCCCACTACGGTTAACAATGTGAATGACCGTGCTGTGTTGGCGTGCATGTGCTGACGAACGTGTTGAGTTGTCCCAGTCATCGTTAACAACTCCGTGTCGGTGTTGACCAACTGGAGCTAGATACGCACATAGCTAACTAAAAATGCCTAGTGTCACGAATTGGAGTGTTGGACGCGGCCTCTGAGCACGCATAGACCGTGCGACGGCGGAGCGCGCCCGTTGGCCCTCTGATCCACAGAAATAGTCCCGTACTTCAACTTACGCGTTAAAGAACAGTAACTCGTTGCTGTTACGACGCTAAAAAGTACAGGTAGACAGCTGCATTAGGGCGGATCCATTAGAATCCGCTCAATGCGCCACTCTTCGAAAATGAGAGGCCAATCCGCTCGTAGAAGCGAACTTATGCCGTAAGTGCCATGCGAAATGCAAATTTAACATGAGCACGAATGTTCTAGGCATGTGTCTAGTAACGGAACTAGATTGCGCAGACATACACGCAAAGCGTCGCGGGGATGGAAAATAAGAGGCTCAATGACACATCATCACTGTTTTGGCTAACAAGGCAATAATTGCGAATGCCTATGCCGATGTGTAAAGCGGTAACGCCGGCATGACCACGCTTGGAAGGCTTGGGTACCACAGGGTCGACGAGAAGCGGGCATTAGTGCGGCCTTCCGGAGCATGTCAGAACCGTAAATCGCGTTCAAACTGCTCTCAAAGGTGGGCACAGGTCACCTGCAGTGACCAGGATGTCGTTGCTGTGCCGCATCGACGACGGTCGCTATCTTCCCGGGTGCCATGCCATATCAAGGCGTTCAGTGGCAGCGGCCTCCGAGGACAACCAGGTCGCTCTTATGCACTTCAACCACGCCTATGTCGTCCAGACGAGGCATCACTACGCTGAAGTGGTCTCTAAGATTCGGAGTGAGGCTGGACTGGGCGTAGATTTGGCCACTCGGAGTGCCTCTACTGGCAATAAGAAACCCGCGGACGCCTCTCCAGAAGAGCTGCGAAACGAGCAGGTTGGTTGCGCTGTTGCTCCAGGACATCGTTTGCAGGCCCTGTTAATTAAGCTGTCCCTTCGCAACCCATCTCCGAGGTGAATTTACAGGAATAAGGCATCTCACCTCTCCTCCAGGTTCGTCGCCTTCGCTTGGACCCCCGCCGCCATACCTGTGGAGGGCCGGCTGACGTCGGCGCTCTGCACCGTGAACATAAACGAACGATTCGAAATGTGGCTGCCGAAAGGTGTCCATTCGGAGGCAATGTACGAAGTCGAGGTGGGTTCCTCAGAACCGTCGGTGGCGGCTAACACGCGCAGAAAATCTGCGACCTCTCCGCGGTGGTGGCGGCGCAACTCCGCGCATCGCACATGGCAAATATGGCACCGCTGTTGCACGATAAAGACGCGGCAGTCGACGACTATAACTCTTCAGGCCTGTTGCACTCCGGGGTGAGCATGTGTCACTTCGCACCTCGACACACAGCCCACGGATTCGTCGGATTGGTTGGAATCGGGCGCCACGTAATCGCTTTGTGGATTTCCATCCGTGACGGGGAGCAAAGTGACGATTACAGTGACGACGGTTCAAACGGGCCTGTCCACAGTGATGGCCCCCAGGATGACGGGGCCGAGGAAAACGCGAAGGCGGCCAATGGGAGCAAAGTTACCCATCTTATCGCAGGTTTCCACGTGTTCAACCAAACACCCGATGATTTAAAAAGGTTCGAGATCGACGACATGAAGTTCTTATTTCCGACGCCAACCACCATAACAAAGAAACACAGAGTTGACTGCCACGCTATCGCAACAATGGAATCGGGTCAAGTGTGCTCTATGGCAATCGTTGCAAATACTGTTGAACGGCACAGACTCGTGTATGACGTGTTCGTGGGTACAGGCGACGGGTACATCAGGACCATAGAGCTGCGCATACGCCTGGACGGGGGGCAGAAACCGCACGCTTCGGCTGGACCGTGGCACGACTTGGGCACATTTGCACATCCTCCGGAAATGTTGCGCGTGCGATCTTTCCACGGGGATGATGCCGACGTTCAGGTGCTCATCGCCCTGGTGCACAACATGGCTGTTGTCTACAACCTGGAGGACGGCACCCACCAGAGCCATCGCTGCGGAAGCCATCCTTTGGTGAGCTACCACACGGAGCCACTTTTTACGCGAGGTGGAGACCTCGCGAATATGGTTTTCGTGGACGCAGTCGGGACGCGGTACACCTTCACTTTAAGCGCCGAACTGCAGATGCGCGCGACAGAGGTCACACCTGCGTCTAAAAAGGATCCTGTCCCCCTGTTCCTTGACGACACAGACTTTGCGCACATTCAGGTGGCCATAAACCGCCCGGCGGTGGAGCTACGTCGGTCCCTGAGGTCGCCCAACCTAGTCGCCACCGCCCTTGCCGTTCTGATGAGAGGGGGCAATCTCCTCCACCTGGCGGAGCTAGTGCAATACCATGTCCAGCGGAGGGAACTGACGCATACGGACTCCATGTTCACCTTCAAAAGTGAAACGAGCGACATCACGTTGGATTTGCTGTCCATGCAGGAATTCCTCGAAGTTGCCCCAACCCTCCCCGTGCTACAGCTCTGGCGGGAGTTCCACGAGCTGCTGGAGCACCCGCAAAAGCAGCGTGTCGCGACGCTGCTCTACCTTATCGCCTACGCCGAAGCCGGCGGCGACGCCTACCAGCATATCGTGGAGATATCGCTGCGCGAGGAGTGCCGCCCGCTGCTGCACCGGCTCATGTGCAGCCTGGTACTCACGGACGAGGGCTTCGGCGGCCTCAAAGCGCTCGCGGCGTGCCTCTACGCAAGAAAACAACTAAACATGCTAATTAATACTAATTAGGTATACAGCACTGTACGGATTATCAGTGCGCGCTATCGCCGTACAAAGCGTTAATCTCCTTTTCGTAAGCGCTTCGTACCTTCTTGCGGACAGTCTTGAATGTAGGGGTCAACATCTCGTTTTCGACGGTGAAGGGTTGGTCGGTTAGCATGAACTTCGTTAATTTCTCGAGGCCGTTAAGCTTCTGGGTTTCTGCAATCTTCGCGAAAGATTGGCGAATCTCCTCTATGAGGGCTTGGTCTTTGAGAAGCGTGGTCATGACCTCTTCGGGTTTGCCGTTTTTCACAGCCCACGCCCTTACGGCGTCCACATTCACCACTACAATACCCACAATGTGGTCACGAATGGACTCTCCATAGATGAAGACCTGGTCCACGTACGGAGAGGTGCCGTACAGAGCCTCCAGTCTGTCGGGAGTGATGTATTCACCCTGGCTAAGCTTGAAGAAGTTGCGCGCACGGTCCAGGATCTTAAGACCCTTGGATGGCAGCAACTCCACCACATCACCCGTGTGGTACCAACCGTCTTCGTCCAACGCCTCGGCAGTTTCCTCGGGTCTCTTCAAGTAGCCCAACATGAAGCCGCTGCCCTTGACCAACAGCTCGCCACGGGGCGGGTTAGCCCGCGCATTGTACTCCATGCTCGGGATGGACTTCAGCTTGAACAGCACGTCACCAATGGGTCCTCCGATGGTTCCCTTAACCGGGTCACGGAAGTCCTGGATGAAACAAACACCCACCTCCGTTGTGCCCCAACCTTCGGAAATAGGGCAGGAGAGGTAGCCCTGCAGCTCTTTAATGTCTTCGTCACACATCGCAGCTGAACCCAGTACCATGATGTGTAATTTGCCTCCGAACTCCTCCCTTATCTTGTTGATCACCACGTCATAAATAAAATGATCTGGCTTCTCGGGATTCTTGATCATTTTCTCCTTCTTCTTGCCCACCATCCAGTTAATCAACCTCTTCTGCCAGGTCGGTTTCGCCTCAATGTTGCTCTTAATACGATCGAGCATCTTGTTGAACACACGCGGCACACCGATGAACACATCAGGCTTCAGCGCCTTCATGTCGTCCTGCACGTTGCGAATATTGCCCGAGTAGTAACCAATACGGCCCCGGTTGGTGGGAGTGTAGTGCTCAACGAAACGTTGGTAAACGTGAGACAGAGGCAAATAGCTGAGCATGGTGTATCCGTGGAGGATGCGCAGGCGGTTGCTGCTGGAGAAGATACGGTGCGGCAGAGCGGTGAGCGACCGGTTTGTGTGAATGGCGCCTTTAGGAATGCCACTCGTGCCGGACGTGTAAATAATGGTGGCCACATGGGTACTCTTGCGCTTCGGAAGGGGCATTATGGTCTCCCTGTATTTGTCGACAAGGTCATCCATCAGGAATGTCTTAAGGCGGAGGGACTTGGCGAGGCGTTCTTCGTCGGCGTTCAATTTTTCGAACAGGATCACCCTCTTCAAACTCGGTATCTTATCCCGTAATCTCTGTATTGTCGCCAATTTGGGCGGATCAATACAAATTGTTTCCAAGGCCGTCTCCTCGAAAATCTTCAGGAGCGCTTCGTCGCCTAAGGTTTCGTAGAGGGGGACAGTAATCAAGCCATAACCAATGCACGCATAGTCAGTCAATAGCCAGTAGGGGCAGTTGGTGGCCCAGATACCAAGGAACTTGCCCCTATTCAAGATTTTGTCCTTCACCACCGTTTCAACAATGAGTCCGGGCTCGTTCAGCAAAGCGGTTCCGATGATCATCGCCGTGGTCACGCTCTAAACAAATTCGAAGACTAACGGCCGCAACCTACGTAGCTCAGGGAAGTCCACTTGTACGCACCGAAGGTCACCTCACCCTTTTCATTGACAATCTTCTCACGAACACCGAGGTGATCGAAATCGGGACGCTCTTCAGCTGCCTCGCGAAGCACATCAAAGCTAAAAGGAATATTCATCACCGTGCGCCATACACGTACCTGGTCTGAAAACGCTCAGGGAAGGGTGTGCCGTTGCTGTTGAGACCACCTCTGGAGATGCCGCAGTAAACGTCACTTTCATCTGAGGGAATAGTGTGCACCTTCAACTGCAAAAATACCTGGACGTGAACTCTGTTCCAAAACCCGGGCATACTGCAGATTCTGCAACGGCTTCGTGAGCCCCGCCTCGAAGGACACGAAGTCCACCATCCCGAGGTAGCGATCCGACGTCATTTTCGCGAGTGTAGGTTGTATAGGTCACTTCATTTATTAAAAAAAGGACCTCAAATGCTGTATGACCAACCTATCTTTCCTGGGTGCGTACAACCCGCCACATCCACGTTATCACATGTGGCGGCCGGTTCTACGTGTGCAGGAGAATCACGCGTCAACTTCAACGAGCCGTCAAAATGGCTGTCCAACAGGGCATGAAACGTAAGTTTACACTTTGATAAGGGGGGTTCGTTTGAATGCCCGCCTCCGAGGCCCCGCGACACACCGCGCGGATATCACGCGTTCTCTTCTGTTCCCGCCCACTGCATAACAGCACGAAATACACATTCATGGCGACGCAGAACCCATGGACGTTATCCGCATAAACCTGGACGAGCATGTGTATCTCAAGTGCAAGGGCGGCCGCGAGATTGTCGGAAAACTCCACGTAATGCGTCTCACCTAACACCGACATGAGCCATGCAGGCGTACGACGAGCACTGCAATATGCTTCTATCGGACGCGAAGGAGACCATCACCACAGTAGAAGTCGATGCAAACACCAAGAAGGATATCACTAAGGTACGACATCATGCGGATTGTCACGTATGCTGCGCAGACGACCACCCGCGATAGCGGCACTGTGTTCGTACGAGGCGACTCCCTCATCCTTCTATCGCATGCGCGTGATGCGTGACGACTACAGCCGTCGTCATACGATAACGCCGCTGAAGCGTATCGTCGAGCGCAACCGGAGTCCACAAGACTTGCACGAGGCTGCATCCATGCCACGACGGGAGAACGTTCAACCCCCGAATCTCGCTCAGACGCGTGGAAGCAGCACGTAGCAGAAAAGCGGCTGCAGCACCGGAAAGATGATCAGCAGCGGATAAGCCCTGCGGTCTTCCACAACCCTCAGTGACAGTATCGTCCTTAAAGCGAACAGTAGCGAGCACAAACTCACGTAAAGTGCTACCGTTATTGTCACTCCGCGGAACGGTGCCAACAACACTAAGAGAATGTAGCAGTTCAGCAGCACGTACTTGTAGCCGATGATGAGCAGCTTCTGTCCCAGGTAGAGCGTCGGCCGGCCTGTAAGAGGCATGTTCATGTGGTCGCCGAAATATTTTGTGGCGCCGTTGGCGTCTTGGTTCCTTCCCGATGAGGCGCCGGTGTTACGATGGCCCGAATCCATGGACCCCGTGAACACGCCAGCACCCATTGTTTGCGATTGCTGTGCATTTATGCTTTCGAAAGGGCTTGACACAGCCCCGTAGTTGCTGTTTTGGCTATCCGATTTGTTGAATGCAGCACCTGGAGATTGGCCGAAGAAGGGTCCACCACCTCCACCTGGTTGCTCCGTGGCTCCATAACCAAAGTTCCCGCTCTCCCCCTTTGTGATGCCATAGACGTTGTTAGGAGCTTTAGCATGCGACGTTGGCATCTGGTAGATGTCGTCCATGGGTGCTTGGACAGATCCCGTCGCATAAAGCACGGCCGACAGCACGAGAAACTCCAGCACCGACACCAAGCTTATCCTTGTAAGCGACCTAGCCAGCAGGTCGTTTAGGCTGAAGCGTACAGGATCCGATGAGAATATGTACACCGAACGAAGCAGCAGAAACGTTGCAACCGAAACGGCGGGGATGTAGAGGTCAGGCACAAGGTTACGGACCTTGCCGACGGGCAGGAACACACATAGTAGGTTGCTCAGCGCATTCTGATGAGATAGGCGAAAATACACCCTCCCGGAGTCGATGAGTGAGCGTATCATCGCAGGCGGCCGGCTCGTACGACCCGACGGTTGCTCGAACTCGCTGGGCACATCGCCGTTATGTGCCACCCCTGGAGCGAACGCGGACTGTAAATAGTTGGCCAGACCGAGGCCTGTGTGTAGAAATTGCGCGTTCATCGTGCATTGTGTCTGTAATCGCACACCCACACACAGTAGACACACCACGACCCTGCAGCGTCGTGGTCGCCGTCGCGACTGCCTTGGAAGCGTAATGTGTGGTCTCGCGGCGTCTGGAGCTAGGTTGGCGAAGCGTTACAACCCGAGATTCCGCGCGAAGGATGGCTTTTTCAACCCCAAGCACATGCCGACTACGCTGTCGAGGCTCCCAGTTGAACCGGCGACCAAACGGCAGCGGCCGCACTCAGGTGGGTTGAAGAGTATTTTCCAGCCTACATGATCGCCTCAGCATGCACGAACTACGCACATCATGTAGCTACACTTCGTGAAAAGCCGGAAGATTTGGCGCAAACCATTGCGAAGCTCTTCGCAGAACGTGCGGGACAAAAAGTTTGCGTTTACGCCTCCAACAGGAACGCACGAGTGGTCCTGCAGGCGTCAAGCTCGTAAGAAAACGTGACGCCTTACATCACTTATGCGCAGAATTCAGAGATTCCCCGAGAAACGGCCGGAGCAGGTTCTCATGCGGCGGAGGTTTAGGTGAGGTCGGCCTTCTTCCGCATAACGATTTAACAGGAAGGGGAACTTCGTGATTATGCTCTCCGACGATGACGTGGGCACCCTTCCATCGCCGGACACCGTAGTTCACTACGACCTCCCGAAGTCGCCAGAAGTGCTTCGAAAGCGGTGTCAGCCACAGCACGCCAATATCTTTTTCTATCTCAGCCACGAAAAGGTGCTAGTGGCCCATCTGCAAAACTCTCTCAACTGCATCATGACGAAGTGGGGTTTGCCTTCGAAATCAGACCAGGCAGAGGCGTTTCTCGACCATCTATCCACAGTGGTTGACAGCATGCAACTGCTTCCCGTCAACGTTGAACACGGTGACGCCGGTCAACGAGATAGCGAGTTGGTGTTATTCATATTTCTAAAACACAACGTATGCAGCGCTCTGGCGGCACTTCTGTACTTCGCATATCGCAAACACGCTCACAGCAAGAAGCAGTACCTGCTGCACGACCCCGGGTTCGAAAGGTTCAAGACGCGCAGGGACGTGGAGCAGTACCTCAGCGAGAACGGGATATCCAACTATACGGGTATAACGCTCACACGAAGGGGGTTCGTCGTAGAGAGTTACGACATGCTTAGGCATCCCATAGTACACGGGTCCACGCCCGAACTCCCGGGTATACGGCGTATCAGGGAACGTGTAAACTCGGGGTACATCTCATCGCACAAAGGAAAAACGTTAGTTGGATCACTCACATGTACAATGCACCGCAGGAAGGCGTTCAACATTCTTGCCAAGGCACACGAACGCAAAATGATTCGAATGTTCAAATTCAAGCGCTCCGGCTAGTTTTTTCACCAGACGCCTTAGAATCGGCGAATTCCACGTCTCCGTTATCGTTTACCAGGAGCTTCTGAATCGATCGCGGTTTTATTCGCAAAAACGCCTCCAGCGTCACCCAGGCGTCCGTTGCGGCGTACTGGATCTGCTCCTGGGAAAGCGCTGCCGCCTCCCAGTTCGAGCACTGGTGCTTTTTGGTCAGGCCCAAACCCAACACATGTTCAACTACGTTCTTTAGGCTGCATGGGCGCAGCCTCATCTCCTGGCACACTTGATGCAGGTCGACGAAGCTCCGGCTCTGGACCCCAAAATGACGATACAGCAAGCGCATGTCAGACGGCGCGCCATGCGATACCTGATGACGATTTAAGTTCAAACTTGGCACTTTAATGATGCCTCCGCTACCCACCTTTAAAACCGCCGGGTCCCGCAAAACGGACGAGATGGACTCCGGCAAGTGACCGATCTTGTAGACAAGGTAGACCAGGCAAACGTCACTGCTGGCAATTTGGATCACAGCAGGGCGCGTGCGGGCGCTCCTATCCCTCAGCGCTGAGGCGTAGTAGTCGGGCACGTATTCCAGGTCGAATCCGACGCAGCCTGCGCCCATGCGATTATCGCCGGTACATGGCACCTACGGGAGCTCAGAAGGTCCGATGCGGGCTCCACGTATCGGCTGACATTGCGATCATCCACCACTACTATCCTGCCCTTGAAGGCGGCCTGTTTGAGTTCGGAAGGCTGGTGTCGGTGAAGCGCACCGTCGCGGTCTACCACCGGGCTCGACGCCGCTTGAGCCGCTAGACCGCGGCGCAGCGCGCCGGGCACAAGACCGCCGACGCCAACAGCTACACGATAGCTATGGACGCGCAACACACCGAGCGCCAGCGTGAGCAGCCACCGTAACATAAAGCGATGCCGCCGCTTTATTTTTCCCCGCACCACAGCGGCACATCGCGATGTGTCGCACGTGGAAGGCTGACAACGTTTACAGGTAACACGTCACAAATTACTGAACGGTGTAAAAACATAGCACAATGGCAGCAAAGTCCGGCGGAGGTCTTTGCTTTCTGAAGAGCAGCGCCAAGTCGGAAGCGGCGCCCGTAGAAAGGTCAATAAAATGCGTCACTTGTGCCGCTATTTTCCCGGATGTCGCCGGGCAAAAATCGCATTTCAAGTCGGAGTGGCATCTTTACAACGTCAAGCGCAAGGGCAGCGGGATCGACGCCATGAGCCACGAAGAGTTCCTTCAGCTGAAGGAGCGCCTGGTCCAGATGATGGAGCTCAAGAACAACGAATTAGAGAGCAAGAGCAAGGCAAAGATGCTGCGGAAGTCTAAGGAGGCCAGCTCTTCAGCCAACTATCGCAATCAAGAGTCATCGGAGGGGTGCGAGGAAACGTGCGCCGCCAGTACGGTGAAAAGCGGCGTCACAAGCGTGCCGTATTGCCCAACTACGTGCTTATTCAGTGGTAAGAAGTCGGGAAGCGTTGAGGAAAACCTCCAGTGGATGTCGAAGACGTACTCTTTCTTCTTGCCGGAGCAGGAGCATCTGGTCGACGTAAACTCGCTGCTCGCCTACCTCCATGACAAGATCTACAACCAGTACACGTGCATCTACTGCCACCGTATTTTTAAGAGCATATACGCAGTTATGCACCACATGGATCAGAAGCAACACCGGAAGGTGAACGACGATGACTTCTTGGAGCTTGCCCAGTTCTACGACTTCACCGGGACGTACGCCGAGTTGATCCCCTCCAAGGCGGCCGACGAAAGCAGCTGCGGGAGCACTGCGGACGACGATGACGACGACTGGGAGGACGTCATCACCGGGACCACCGACAGCCAGGAGGCCATTCAGCGGCTGGCTAACTTCGGTGTCGTCAGAGCCAAAATCACCGATTGCGGCAACCTGGCCCTGCCCAACGGCAGGGAAGCCGTCCACAGAGATGTGTCCTATGTCTACAAGCAGAATTTGGTCGTGCGCAGCTCATACGGAGTGAGAAAGTCGCCGACAGGGTTCCAGTTCCTCCGAGTCAGCGAAAAGAGGCAGATCACACGCGCCGAGAAGCAAAAGCGCACCCACATCGACCACGTCAGGCTAAAAATGCAGTACAAGTCCTACAAGCTGTTCGTGCCATGCAACCAAATCGCGTATGCCACTTAGCCGGGCAATATACGTGCCACCGCTGCAAACACAAATCACAAATGCAGAGTAATTTTGTGAAACCTTTAGTATTACATCGAGTGAACGTTTGACAGTAGAAACGCAGGGGAGCGGTATTGTGATCCGGGTGAATTCGGAGTGTGCCGCAAGACACAGGTCAAGCGGCGCTGGACTTCCCAGTGCTTGACCACCACGGGCGGCCGATATAGCCGATGCTAATCCCTTTTGTCGTTTTGACGAGCTTCCCAATTGCTGTGTACCGCTTAGAAGCTACGGCATGGCGGACTAACCTGTAAAAAGGGTCGAAGTCGAAGTGCCTAGGCGTCACGAACAAGACGTCGAACATCAGGAAAATGCTGAAGATGAACAGCAACACGAGCCTGCGTACGGTGAGCAATCCGATGCCTGCACCTACCAAAACTTGTCCCACGGAGGGCTTGCAGCGAAGACGAAAATGGAGACGAACGCGATGAGCGATAGCAGCGCTACACACTGATGAGGAACCGCGGGGGACGCGCGTCACGCAATGCGGACGCTAAAACTCACTCTTCGAACGCCAGGTCAACGTAACCATCCTTGCAAATTGGAAACTGTGAAGGGCTATATGGGCGGAGAAGAATGCAGCCGCGCCGGACCACCACCTAGTGTCACGACGAGGCAGCCGATGTTGGATATAACTCGAGCAGTACAGGTATTAGTGGCTATATCATCTGTTTGACGCATCAGGCGCGTCCTGTGGCGCTTGGCCCGACTCCGGCCACAAGACGACAGACAGGTGCCGGCGCAGCAACGCTGCGCCCACACATGACAATGACAATGTCGCTGGGCAATATCAGCGTTAAATAGGCTACTTCATTTGTGGAAGATGTTGGCCCTCTGGTTCGGACGTGTCTATGTCGTTTTTAGCACAAGTGTGTGACACGACAGTCGCGGCGCAGGAAGGCTACGCAGGTTTATCGTCGGAAAACAGGTTAGCACGGTTCAAATCTCGCATCATCAACCGAGCACTTCCGGACACATCGGTAAAATACGTTGGCGCTAGTACAATGGGAACGCTGTTCATCGTATTCCGGCAGTCGGCGTACAGATCTGTACGCCAACGCCAGCTCCATTGCACGTCTGGTAACTTTGTTTGGCTTTGTTGTGCTCTGTGATGGTCAAATTAGTGCTACAAGCGGTCTTGGCATTTGTAAGCTGCCGTATTTCTATATATGTGTGATCCCCGTGCCAAGCTATAATCAATACACCAGAGAAGCGTGACGCTTAACCTTTAATCCTATCTACATATTTTGATGGACCTCTAGTGGCCAAAATGATCGTGCATTGTATTCGAACACGCTTCGGTTGATTGCGATAGCATGAAACGCAGTATATAGAGAATAATTAATGGTATAACAGGCACTTTGGTGGCGTTGTTAAATTATATTTGATTACATTACGTCAACGCCAGTTCAAACGCTATAATTAAATGCCAACAAGAAGTTACGACTTGGAAATATCGATGGATACTACACCTCCAAACGCCGTTGTGATACGAGGCAACGCCGACCGGGAACCCGGGGAACATCGCAACAATAGGCGGAATAGGGGGACGGTTGCTTTTTGGTGCGGTATCGCCTCACTCATCTTGGCAGTTGCGCTTATTGCAACTTTAATCTGCGTGTACAGAAGGAGGGTCGACGATGAAGATATATCGTTGCCATTTGTGCCGCATAACATGCCTGATATGGATGAGGTAGTACATGAACACCAGCATATAGTGCACCAAAAAAAGAAAGTAGTGCATGAAATAGACTGGATGATACCTGAAAAAAAGAAACTTGGGCCTGAGCTACCAGATATCATTCATGGACAAGTACGCGCAAGATCTGAGGGTTCGTTAGAATCACCACGTAATAACCACAATTACAGTGCACTGATTCATCAAATCAAGGCAAATGGGCTAGAGGTTATTCCCGGCCCTTTTCTCGCCTGTGTGAAAAGAGGGTTGAAGCTCAACTGTGCCGACGAGCACGACACAATCAAGGGTGTGCTGGAGTGGGAGGTAGGAGCCATAGTCAATGAACTGTCAGAGCGCAGGGAGAAGCTTGACGCCAAGAACGAGGTTGACGTTCTTTTAGCCTACAAAAGGTTTATCACTGTTAACGGCTCACATTACGCAAGTGATAAAGAATACGTTCAGAAGTATTTCAATTTCAGAAATACAAAAAAACTTATTGACGCTCATAACTCCATCCCGAACAAGCTTTATACCATGGCTTACTCTTGGGCATCCGAGTATTCTGATTCAGAGCTTGGCATAGCCTTAAGCACTCATGGGTGGTCCAAACCGATGTATATGTACGAGAATGGAACCTTCATCGACACGAGTATGTATTCCGGGTCCAAGAAAGTTGATGACAGTGATGTCATCCACAAAGATTGGAGGGACGTAAATGCCATAGGGCCCGTTGTGGACCAAGGCACGTGTGGATCGTGTTGGGCGATAGCGGTAGCAGGTCTTGTTGATTCGTACCGCGCCATCACCACTGGCGAGCGTCTGATGCATAGTGCGCAGCAGATCCTAGACTGCACATCGCAGACGTACAACTGTGTCAGAGGCGGCAGTCAAGAAAAGGCGCTTACATATGCCGCCACAAAGGGTCTCTGTATTGAACCCGCATATCCTTACTCAGGGAAGAAGACTGCGTGCAGGGAGAGATCGTGTGGGGAAAAGTTCCACGCTGATAACATTATAAGGCTCGACGCCAGCACGATAGAAGAGCACCTGAGAAAGCACGGGCCTGTAATGATCATCATGAGACTCAGTAGAGCTTTTTTGCACTACAGCTCGGGAATCTTCGACGGCAGCTGTGATTCCCCGCTCATGCACTCCGTGCTTGTTGTGGGATTCGGGGAGAACATCAAGCGGAAAGCGAAGTATTGGATCGTCAAAAATTCATGGGGCAACCGTTGGGGAGAAGGCGGCTATTTCAAGCTTCACAGCTTGCCCCTTTCGCCGTCTGGCTCACCGTTGTTCTGCGACGTCGATACTTATGCGTTTGGTCTGACTACCGATTAGCAGCTCCGTTCAAACCGACGCTACGTCAGTGCTTTCTCACGGTGACAGACATCAACCCCGGTGATGCCCAACAGCAAAATGTTCATGACCCGCTTGACGTGCGAGGCGTGACTCGGTTATTTTCGAAAAACCCTGCTTAATGTAATTTTAATCGGATATATAACAACTTATTTAGTATCACTATTTACAAAATTCGACTAAGTTCGTAGGTTCTCGATGTTCACGCTGGCAAATATATAAATGACTTAAGCATGGCTATTGCGATGACATAACGCCGTGTGAGGTATATGATGGCACGATGGATTATTGGAGTGGAGGGTTAGTGATGCAAAAAGAATAGTGAAATAGCGCTTGCACCGTGTTTTCAGAAGCCTATGTGGACGCATGATACGCGCCAGTACAGTACTACTACAGCATCGAATACGTCGCGCAACATTGTGTTGTAATGGACCCGACTAAATTTGGATAATTATGTATATTGGTCGTCTAAGTATATATACCATTTATCCTGTGGGAACTGTCCGGGTTTTATTATCAAAAGCAGTCACCTGGCCACCCGGTCTGTCTAACGTATGCTAATTTTTCACCAAAAGGACAACTCCATCTCTGGCGCTCTGCAAGTTCTCAAGCAGACGTATAAATCGTTTTTGCCTGTTGTATTCTGTAATAAAACCGCACCTGGATGTCACCGCACTGATCACGGGGCAGCACGAAAACACCAAGTAGCGACGAAAGTGGCTATGCTACAAAGAAGTTTCCTGCTGCTATATTTCCACGTCAATTACCTGCACCACATTTTGTCGGGCTATTTTAAGACACAATTTAGGTCACAAAACACGTTTCATCGAAGCGGGAAATTTTTTATCTGCGAATCAGCTTAAAACACCGAGTAATTCTGCCTCAGTATATTACTCGGTGTATTGAAATTCTCGACTGTTCATTCAGTCAATAAGATTAGATACTGCGATTCTACAAAGAGGCATATCGATTTCGATCGTGACAATTGCCCATATTCTAGGCTGTTGCTCTGCGGTTTTGCTGAAAAAACATGACGTCGAGCCGTTGCTGTGTACGGCGAGGAATCGCAGCACTTCTCTGGGGCTACGTGATAGCCTTTAATGGCTTGGTCATGGGCGGCCCCCCTTCAGTTGTTAAACCGGTTGCTGCAGAGAAACCAACCAAAGGGATCGCGTTGTATATCAATAATGCGGATTGTTACAGAAATATAGAGGCTACAAATTCACTATACATATCAGCTGAGAACGTCTATAGTGATTTGTGGGCAGTTTCACTCGCAATATCTGAATCCGACGCTTCACCCGAAGTCAAAGAAGTAGAGCAGAAGCAATGCAGTGACCATATGGAAATCGTTGAGAGAATAATCCATGATATTCCAAATTATATTCATGTAAAGCGTATTCTTCTTAAATACCGTGCGATAACCGAAGTATTTCGAAAAGGGCGTTTAACAGCGGAAAGGTCGGCTGCATTAAGCATAGCTATGTCCAGCCTAGAACAACAATTCCAACATTGCGAAGTGTTGGCTAAAAACATGATGACACCTGACGTTTATCAACATTATGCAGCCAACGTTGGAGAGGCAGAATCGTTCGTTCAGATATATAAGGTTCCGGAATCAACGCATTTAACCGATCAGGAAGCCAGCACTGAATGGAAGCCATTAGGTAAAGTGATAACGTGGAAGGCACAAGAAACCATTACCAGAAATACAGAAGATATAAAAGATGCTAAAAAGTCATCAGGGCACACAGTAATTAGAATGGGAGTTATTCGAACCATGGTAGCAGTTGGTATAATGGCCGCTCTCTGAGTTAGGGTGGCCGCACAGCTACACTACGCAGTTATAACGCATCGGTACTCTCATCAGTTTATGGGTGACTTATTGGTTGACATGCTGCGCGTGGTACGGACGGCATTAACTCGTGCTACAGACGTACTGTTCGTACAACATCGGTGTTGATTAACGGACCTGTCTGTCACGCCTCTGGCCCCGGGCGCTGCCACATAGAGCTGCTTTACGGGGAATTTCAAACCAGCGGCCCATGTAAAAGCGCAGATCCTACGCCAAAAACTGCATCCACGCTCCTTGCGCGGAATCATAGCATGTATATTCGTGACAGTCACTACCATAATAGATCGCGTTATTATGTGATAACATGTATAGGCGTTCATACGCGTTGATCTCAACGCTGCTCTGTATGTCGGTCACGGGTACGACGCCGAACCTTGCCGAGCCGCAGTGGTCGCTTATCCACCTTAGAAGGCCTAAAGTGGTGTAAAGCGTTATTTATGAACTGCGGGTCTACACACCGCCTGTCGGATGTAAGAAAATGAAGCGTACTACGCTAAAACAACCCACTATCTTGCACCCTGAATGAAATTCTAAATACGCAAAGAACTATGTTTTGCCTCATTTGACGATACTAGTGTAGTGGGCAAAGACTGTATCCACAACACTGGCTATCATCACACTTCAAGATTAGAAATGCTTTGAGAAATCCAACGCCCAATTATTCGTGATCAGTACTCAGAACCCATTATTGCTGACCTGCTTCTACAGCTTTTGCAGTCTTTTTACCCTTTTTACCTTTTTTGCCCTTCTTACCCTTCTTGCCCTTCTTGCCTTTTTGGGGTTTTGTGGCTTTCGCAGGTTCACCTTCTGTGGGCCTCGCAGCTTCTACAGGTTCCACGGCTTGTTCCGCTTGAATAGGTTCTTCAACTCCCGCAAATTGTTCCTCTTGAACGGGTTCTACAGATTCTACGGGCTCTTCATCTTGAGTAGGCTCTACTGGGTCCACAAACTCCACGGGCTCTTCATCTTGAGTAGGCTCTACAGGTTCCACAGGCTCTACGGGGTCCACAGAGTCTACAGGTTCCACAAACTCCACGGGTTCTATGGGTTCCACATCTTCAGCGTCTACAGACTGTTCGACATTCAGATCCTCTATTTCATCAGGTCCATAGAAAGCCCAGAATCCGGAGTAGTCGTAAAGTATGTCCAGTACGTGCTTATCCACATCGCTCAACGCCTCGACTATGTACGGAATTCTCATATAGGGGCGCCGTTGGGACTCATCATAACCAACGGCTCTCAATAAATCTGCCAAACGCTGCCTCACCTTATCATTAGACTTGTTCCTACGTGCGATTCTTGTCGCGTACTTCAAAGAACGTAGGCCCGCGTATAACATAGGCGCAATACCCACGAGCACAACTGCACAAGCTTCTGGGTCTTCCGCGCATGATGCATCCCATGTCGCTTCTGAACTGTAAGCAGACTCATACTTGTCAGGGATTTTCATATGTTTCACTAACGTGTCACAACCATACACAACGCGACCTAAGTACAACCCCATGGCGTCAGGCTCGAATTGCCTTTTCTGCACGATGTTCGCGTAATCACTTACGGGTACAAAGTTAAATAACTTTGCGAAAACGTTAGGATTCTTATTCATAGGCTTAATGAATTTTTTCAGTAGCTTGCGTACGAACACCATGTCCATAAGCTCTTCTTGCTCCAGGAACTCCTTGGTAACAAGTTTAACCTTCTCGAGAGCCGGGAACTCCATGAAACCAACAGGTTTGTCTGCGAGAAAGTTGTAAAGTGCGGCACCCATGGCCGTAAGGTTCCTTTCAGCATCACTTCCCCTCAAGGCTATCAACCAGTCAATAGCCTCTTTAAGGTTGCGAGGAACGTCAGTCAACGAATAGAAAACCATCTTGTAGAGATTCGTTAGAGTAGTCGAGTGCTAAAAACGTGCGCGTTTTCGTCTATTTACAGCTCGCGTATTTAAGTAACTGTGTCTTAATGGAGTATCAACAGAACAGTGTTGTTAACACCTAAAAGGTACGCGTTTGACCCAGATCTACGAAGCTTTGGACGCAACAAATAGGCTACGACGGAGGAACGGTGATTCACTAGTTGCCCCATCGCAGTCAGCTCGATACTATTCAAGGTGGCATGCAGTGTGCACAACGCATGTCATTTTGGTATGCTACTTGCAGACGATGTGGCATATACGTGATGTTGCGATATCAGTAGATATGCAGCGCCACATCGAAGTTTGTAATGTTACGATGCGCTACGAGCAGCACATTGTCATCTATGCCGTCCCGCGGCTGTAACGCACGTGTCCCGGAATAACGTCCACAAGCACGCATCAACGTAACTCGTGGCTACCCGCCAAAGCACTAACGTCCCATGCAGTTTCCAAAGAGACATAATAGCCTAGCCTAGCGTGGCACTTTGGGGGCGCTAACGTAGATGACCGAACACTCAGCGTCTCTCTCCGCTGTGGCCATGGGAAGACCCCGGTGACTCTCTCGATAAATGGTATGGGAGTCGACTGGTTAACGCGTCAACGCGCGCTGTCAGCTATGTCGCCGTATTGATGGGCTAGGTTACTGGTTACGGTTGTGGATGCGCAAGTGTGGCGATCCTACAAAACAGCACAGTTTTATATGTACCACCTCACAACTCGTTAGTGCAGTGCTCCACCAGACTATCACAGGTTAACAGATGATTACATGAATGCGATATTTACTGCGATACATCGAGTTGACCCATAGGCTCATCGTCGAAGTAATCGACGTCCTTGTAGAGTGAGAGCATCCTGCGGCTTCCGGCGAGCAGCGCCTTGACGTCGATGAGGTGGGAGGCCCTGGTGGTGAGGAGGTGGGAGCGGATGCGCAGGACGTCCATGCGGTAGAGCAAGGAGTGGAGAATGTAGAGCGTGGCGGTGAGCCAGAGCGCTCCGATGGTGAGGAGGAAGGGCGTCCTGATATTGTACAGGAATGTGTCCATGGCGGTCATGAGGCTTGCGATAGGCTTTCCGGCGACCACTGCCTCCAGCTTGGAGATGACCTTGGAACACGTGAGTGACGGCTGCAGTGCCCCGTCCGGTGGCGTGAACCCGTGAGTGTAGAGGAGGGGCAGGGCCTTGTCACACTGGTGGAGTGATGCGCACTTGGAGCCGGGGCATTGAAGGTCCTCGAGATCACATTGCAGCTTGAGCAGTGACTCCCACAGTCTGTCGGGTAGGTAGGCCGTCCAGCTGAGGTAGTTGTGGGTGAAGCTAGAAGAGTACAGGGCGTAGGCCCGGTAGGTGATGGGCGTGAAGTGTTGTGGGCACTTGGCATTATCGATGCCGCAACCGAGCAGCGTAGACAGGGTCTTGGGATGGTCGTTGTAGTGGTCGTGGTTGGAGTTGGCGGTGGGAGGGGCGGAGCCCCGGGCGTCCTGGATGGTTTGTAGATCGTCGGCCTCAAGATGGTCCCAGTCGGGGCAGTGGGCATGTGGCTTGGAGAGGGCGGAGCCCAGTGGAGACAAGCTTTTTGAAGGCGCATCATGAAGCGAATTCCCGAAATTGTGGAAGAACGAGACAAGCTCCCCGGTGGTGCGCGGCGTCCGCCTGGTGAGGCAGTTGAGGTAAGAGGCCAATGTCAGCAGGGGATCTTCGCCGCCGCAGGTGGGAGAGAGGATGGTGGAAATATGCTTGCCGGTTTGCAGATTCTCAGGCAAATCGTCCTTTGTGAATCCCATGTTGACACGGCTCTTGAGGCAGATGTTGCACGGGTCGAAGAGGTGAGTGTCGAACTTGGAGTCGGAGGCGTCAGTCAGGAAGGCTTGGAGGGGTGACTTGGGGACATTATTGCCATATTGACAATCCTGCCAACCACCGTTTATTTTATTCCGAGAGCACTGCGACTTCAGGAACGTCAACTGGTGGTGGCAGACGTAGACGTAGTCCCGCAGCTGGCAGAGGAGGCAGGCGGGGTCGGAGGAATAATAAAAGGCATATTTCTTTTGATACTTGAAAAAGGTTTTGAAGTCATCGGATATGTCTTTGTGTTTAATCCTGTAGAGAAAGTTGGCCGAGTAGAGACACGCCTCGGTCAGGGTGTTGGCGACACGGGTAGCGGTCAGATTGGTGGGATGCCCAGTGACCTCGAGGGAATCTGGAGATTGTGAAACATCATTGTTGTACTCCCTCAAAAGGTTTTTCAGATGCTCCTCAATGAAAGCAATATACCCCTTTTGGTTCAACCCAACCAGCCAGAGGAGCATTTCCCTGACGGTGTTTGGCGTGGGCAGCTGGTCCGAGTCTGGGGGCGGGGAGGGTGTTAGTTGGTCGGTGGAATGTGAGGCATCATGGGCGTACCAGAGAGCTTGGCATTGATAGACATCGGGCGTTGTGTTGAGATCAAATTTCTTGCGAAATTCCGCAGCGCTTGTATTTATCACATTATCGTATGCATCTATGCTGACAGTGAATGCGTCCGGGGGTATCTCAGGTAAAGCCGCTATGGGAGCGGCAGGCTCAAGCCACTCCACAGGTGGTGCGGTAGTCCGAGACGGTTGTTTCGTGAAGCCTTGTGTTGCTGTGGGTGGCGCCTCAATTTGCGCGTTGGGCGCCGCCTCAGTTTCATGCCGCTGTTCGATTACTAATTCGATTGGAATGATATCAGGATCGTCGAACATAATCTCGGCAACAGGCTGGCCTGTGAGCTCCGGTGTAACGGAGATGCCCATATTAGGGTGACCTTGAAGTTGCGCCATGGGCGTTTTAATTACGTCGCCAGTAACATGTGTTATGTCTGCCATGTCATGCTCATTAAGCGTAACTGTGGGAGGCATTTTACTAACAGTATCATCACGCTGCCAGGGCAGGTTCAAGGCTGATAGCGGCGGCAAGGGATGTGCTGTGTTAGTAGCAGTGGTGGGAGAACCCATGACATCAAGCATTGAAGCTGTCATAATGCGTGAGTCTGGTGATATTTCGATGCTTGGAATTTTGACATCAGCGGTCGGCGGCGTCTTAGGCAATTTGAAGGCTGGGGGAGGTGACACGGGACGGTTTCTTTTGGGGTTGGGGATGGTCCACGCGTCTATCAGAGATGGCGGCGGAGGAGTGTCCACCTTGTGAGGTGGGGGAACTGCTATATCACTGCCAGTGGACTTTGTCAGGATTACGTCAGAGACCCCTAGATATTTTGTCATGTCTTGCGTGTCAACTTTGACAGGGCTAGGGGGGTACTGATCCACAGGATTAGGGGGCTTTGGGATTCGTGGAGGCAGTGGCGGGACATCCACTAACACTGTGTGGGTGATAGGCTGGCCTGTGACGTCCAGCATATCTTTTGGTGCCGACAGAGTTTTTGGAGCTCTCGGCAATTTCGGCGGCTCTATTGCGTGACCCATGGGGACACCAACAGGGGGGACTGGCGGAAGGGGCTTATTTGAGGCATACTTAATGTAATCGGAATCTGAAGTCACGGCCGCTCCACGGAGCGTTGTCCACGCGGGAGGTTGTGAACTCAGAGGCGTTGGGAGATCAGCCATGTCATCGTCGTTTGTTTTGGTAGCCACGACGGGACGCGGGATCTCTATTGTAATGTCCGGAGGTTCTCGTAAGATTTCTCCTCTGACGTCCATGGTGATCTTCCTCAATTTCTCCCGTTCTTCCAGGTGAAAGGCACTCCCATCCCGCGCCTTGTACGCAACTTCAATGCCTGGAAGCATGGACTGATATTGAAGTTGACGTTCATCTTCCTTTTTGCGTTCCTTATCTTGCTTCTCACGTCTCCTTGCTTTTATTTTATCTTGCCACGGCTGCAATATTTCACGCTGCTTATACTGTTCCCAGAGCTCATCACTGGTTGTGTCATTGACTCCGTAGTAATTCCGGGCCTGCGGTTTTGGATCTCTAACGCAGTACGTACCGCCATTAGGCCAGAGTTTTATTTTCGTCAATCCCTTTTCACTAGGACAGGAATCTTGTGGAGCATCTTTTTTAGCCCCGGAATCCTTCCCACCCCCTCCAGCTCCAGCTCCACCAGGCGCCGGGACAACCGACGTAGTAACGCCGCTGCTTGGATCGTGACCGGAGGCCTGACTTGTTGGTTGGGTAACAACTTGAGTAACTTGTTGACCAACACCTTGACCACTATCTTGCCTAGTCCCCTGATCACCAGGTGACGCAGCGCTTGGCCCTGAAACACTCGGACGCTGAGTAGACACAGGGACTTGAGGGATAGCAGGCTGTATAGTTGGAGCATCACCGGCCGGTGAACCCTGAACCGTTACACCGGACAAACCAGGGAGGGAAGGGGTTGCAGGAGCACTGGGGAGAGCAGCCGGTGGAGGGGGAAGAACTGGCGGGCCTTGAGATGGAGTTATAACAGTTTGTTGACTCGTCTGAATTTGAGTCGGAGAATGATCCGAAGACCCTGTACCAGGAGGCCCTTTCGATCCCTGATCACCCTTAGGCCCTTCGGGGCCTGCAGCTCCTGAAGCAGCGGGAGGCGCAGGTTTAACAGCCTTGACAACGGGTGAAGCTGGAGCCGGAGAAGAAACCTTGGACACTGGACCAGGAGGCCCTGGCGGGCCTGGAGCTACTCCACCAACGGGAGGCGGAGTTGCATCAGCAGACTTTCCAATTGGTGAATCGCGAGATTTACTCTGGTCGTTATTCTGAGTTGGAGTCCCCTCACCCTTCTTGCCCTGGTTCTGTGCTCCCTCAGGATCCTTAGTGGCAGTCGGCTTCGCCGCCTCGGCCTTGGTGGCCACAGGTTTTGGGGGATTTGGTTTGAGAATTTCAGTCTCTCCATTCTCCTTTAACTCTACATCCGGAGGCTCTTCCAGAGCCTCTTCATCATCTTCTGGTTCATCTTGCTTTTGTAGTTGACACTGCTCACCATTAAGAATCTTAACTAGCTTGGCCAAACCCTCATCTGGTTTATTAAGATCATTGATTGCTCTGTCCCATTCCGTTTGTAAAAGACCATACGGAGCGTTTTTGTTGGTGTAATGGTTGCCGTAAAACGTGAATCCGTAAGGAATAAAGTTCTGTGTAAAATAAGTATGAAGGGCTGTTTTGTCAGCTTGCTGCAGTTTACCGCTCTTAAGCTTATTGATATTATTGACGCTTCTAAAAGCCTTAATTTTGGCCAACTTCTCTTTCACTGTATGCAAATTCTTTCTAAGCCAGCTCGCCATCTTCTTAGCGATATTTTCGTCTACAAAAACTTCATATTTCCGCCCGTAACCGGTGAAAGAAAAATGGTCCTGCTTGAAGATTGTGCCGAGAGACGTCTTAAGTTTGGCGCAATGATCTTTTAATTGTTGCAAATTTATGCATCTATCTTTCCTATATAAATGGTTTCTTAATTCGTCAACACTTTTTAAGCCTCCAAATATCCCACAAAAATCTTGCACCAAGCGAACAGCGTTGGCGACGTTCGCGGTGTCAGCGCCAAATGTTGGCGGAATTACTGTTGTGGAATAGACGTCACGAAAGAGATTATGCGCATTAGTCTCCTTATCCAATATCTTTATGAGGTCACCGGCCATTTGAGAAGCTTCGGAATAACCCTGAAGATGACCTTGCCTCAACTCACTAGGATCGAAGCCTCCAGGTATAACGCCGTACTGGTTATCGTGGGATGGAGCGATAAGGTACTTGTCTAATGGGCCGGTTATAGCTGCATCCAACCCTCTGCCAATAGCAGCGTACAGTGCAATCACCCCAACCTGTTGGTCCTTCCACTCCCCTCCGCCGAGTGCAGCAAAGCCCGGGTCCACCTGGTAGCGCAGAAAGTACACCGCAGATAGCAACTTGGGGATGCACGCGATTAGATTGTTGAGGACATTTTTAGCGGTTTTTTGGCCATTGTAAGAACCGCGTGGAGAAGCGCATAATTTCGTATGAAACTTGGATATGTTGCTAAGGAAATTAGATAGTGCCGACGCAATTTGCGATTGACTGACAGTTTTGTATCTATCTTCGAGTAGCCTTTCCAGTCGATGGGCCACCAGGCCTTGCATGTCCTTTCCCAGCTTGTCACCACGCAACCACTCCAGGAACTGAAGACAGTCCTTAAGAGTGGAGAGCGCAGCTGCATTTTTCGCCATCGTGTACAGAACTAATCACGAACCAATCCACTCTTACAAAACAACACGGCTAGTGCGCAGGATTGTGTGATCTAGGAAACACCATCGAGAGCTCACGTATAAGGCGATGCCACTGAAACGACAGCGTTGCCAAATCTTTAAGTTGGCTGCGTGAACAGGCTACGAAGTGAAACGCTGAGTGACAATTAAGTGCTGCATTAAACGAAAATTATATGACCGGGATCACAGATAATTGCGTGCCCGCTCTGCCCCGTAAACTACATCGAAAACACGTGGATTATAAATAGTGCACTCACCTGAGGGGAAGGCGGCGAGGCCAGGAACCCGACAAACCCGGAGCCCTACTGGCGTGAATGGCTGGCGCACGGCGGTAGGGCGGCATACTCCACGAGTGTTCCGGGTGGAAGGTATGGCAGCTCTCCCGGCCCCGCATCGTGACGCCGCCAAGCCGTCTCCCCTCAGCGTTCTGCGACCAACCAGGCAGCCAACACGTCACCTCCAGGGATACTACAGCCGCGCGTCTGGCACCACGTAGATACCACGCCCACATACATGCATGTAAACAACATGGGAAAAGTATCATGGTCTCAGCATTGGTGAAAGAGTCCCGGAGACGGAGCTGAAAGAAGCCTATAGGAGGCCATTTTGGTACTGCTTCTACTAATAACGCATGAGCTGCGCTAATGAGTGACAAGCTGAATCACAGTTCAACATTGCAATATCAGTGATCGCCACAATGTTCTCCATAAATGCCACTTAATCAGGCCGTCCACTGGTCATCACTTCGGATGGTCCCGGCGAAATTCATTGCCTAGCGGCGCATGTAATAACTAACATGTCGACCACTCACCTACCAGTTGACTCACCATATCACCTGGCATTGCGGTCGTCAGTTGTCAATCGCCTCACCATCACTGCCCACTGAAAAAAATGGGATGACGCGGGTGCATCTCATCACTCAATCACAACATACCATACCAGACGATGAACAACGTAACTCACCACCCACATCATGTGGTGGGTCAGGCGGTGTGTTGTGCTCAGGTAGGCTAGCAAAGTGAAGTTAAGACGAAAGTTGAATTGAAAGTGCAAGAGGCGTTGGAGGCTGTTGTGCAAATGGACAAATCTCTTAAGACGGATTTGAAAGGGGTGAAGCAGAAGATTGTAAGTGGGATACAGGTTGTGATTAGGGATTTGGGAGTTAATGATTTGGGCGAAAAAGTGAAAGATGATTTGCAGAGTTTGAGGAGTAATATTTTGGGGCTCACGAGTAAAGTTACCGGTGACCGTACTGCAAGTGATCTTGTTAAAGGTCAGTTAGAGGAGCTGGACAAGGCCAAATTTGAGTTTAAGCAGAAGACGGACCCAATTAAAACGCACACGGATGGGCTTACTGACAACTTTAATAGAGTTATCAAGACTCCGCTTAGCAAGGCGGTCCAACAAGTTGACTCGGCGATTGGGGAGCTTGGAGATAATTTTGATAAAAGTACTAATATTAGCGGTATTATTGAAAATATTAAACAGAAGGTTGCGGCGATTAAGGGGAGTGATAAAGGCAAACAAGGCCTGGATGGTATTGTTGCGAAAGTGAAGGAGCTTGCCAACGCGTTTGTTCAGAATAGGTCGAGAGATTCTGGCTTTTACGCTAGAGTAGGCGGTTGGCTGGAAGGTGTAATAGGGAATGGGAAGCCGCTAGGGGAAAATGGGTATAAGAAGGGGTTGGAAGCTGTGAACTCTTGGCTTGGGACGAATGGTGATGCGGCATTGAGAGATCAAGTTAAGAATCATACTATGGCTGCGCTTAACAGCCAAATTGGTGCAGCGCAAGGGAAGATTGGTGCAGTGAAAGAGGGCATTAACAAAAATCTCAGTGCCATCGTAAGCGCTTGTGAGGAATTTGTCAAGGAGCTCGATAAGGAAATTACTAAATCGGGAATTGATAAGCTTGCCAATCCCATAGCCCTGAAGATTCGCAGTTGGATGAATGGGCAGAGTCTTTGGAATGGTGTAACCGATGCCGATCTCAAATGTGCCGTCCGCTACAGCCTAGTTGCGCTCTGCGCTTCTGTGAGGCAGGTTGGCAATGAGATAAATTCACTAGGTACCGACAAGTTTGGCGAAATCTTGGACACTATAAAGCCGGTTGTTGATAGGCTATATAGTAATCTTGAACAGGCGACTAGCCAATCCAATCCTCCCGGCGCCTCCGACCAAGAAAGCCCCGCCGCAACCGTGGACACTAGGTTGGAGGAGGTGAGGGAGTTCGTGAATGGGGAAAATAGTGATAAAGATCTCGCCAAAATATTTAATGAGAAAGTCACGGATGAACTTACCAAAGCAGTTACTGCACTTCCCTCCGCCGTCACGCAGTTCAACGATGCCGCCGAAACTCAGATCAGGGAAGCGGCCAAGGCGGCGATTAAGGAGGCGGCTGAGCAGATTAGTGAGGATAAAAATGTAACGCCTGATGAATTAAAGAAAACAATGCAGTATTTTAGCGGTCAGTTCACTAAGATAATTGATCATACACATGGGCTCCAAAGTAGTCTTGAGAAGAAAGTGAATGAGCACATTGGGGAGGATGATCCGCCAGGTCAGCAAGGTGGTAAAGCAGCTGAGAAGGTAAAAATTACTAAAGCAAAATTTCCGAATTACGATGGTCACGTTAAACAAGAAAAGATCAAAGCTCTTCAGCCAGGTGGTACCCTGACCGGCGTTGCAGGCGAAGGCCATCTTCCAGCGGCGATCGGGAACATCAAGACTGAGGTGGACAAAGCTTTGGAAATGATAGAGCCACGACCTCGTGATGGAGTTGACAAAATTGATACAAGCACATTCACTGAGCCGTTCAATAAAATTCGAACACAACTTGTAGCTATTACCGAGATTCTTACCAACGATGGCAGGGGTTTTCTGGGTGACCGCACTATCACGGACAAAAAAGGCATCAAAATCCTTTTGACTGAGCTTGAAAGAGCTCTTGAAAAGGACAGGTTAGATAAAGCTCCAAAAGGTTTAGATGAAATCAAAAAGGCTATTGAAGGTATGCAAAAAGGGGCGTTCACTACCCAACCAAAAGCAATCGACAAAGCCGTCCAAGAAATTAAGTTGCAGCTTGAAAAGCTTAGACGGAAGTTGAAGAATGAAAGTGGAGCAAAAGATAAGGATGTCATTGAAAGGTTAACAGATTTGAGAAACGTTGGCCTTGGTCAAAATTCGTGGAATGGGAAAATGTCCAACGGTAAAACTCTCAGTGGTCTCGGGAGAATTGAGAGTGAGCTTAACACTGAAATTAACAAGTTGCCTCAACAAACCGGCATTATTACCGCGGCCATCGACGCAATTGAGTGGGAACTCAGAATTATCGGAGTTAAGTTGGATCATAAACACACCCATGATGACATCATCGACCGGTTGGAGTGGTTAGGTAGGAAACTGGGGAAGAATGCAAAAAAGGATCGCGTCAATCTTCAAACCATTTATGAAGTGATTAGTTGGGTGCAAGATTGGCCATTTACTCAGCATCCCAACACTATCCAAACAGCCAACAACCTTATTAAACAAGAACTCACTGCCCTTCAAGGTGAGTTGCAAGGCACCAAGCCAGGCGAAGATGTCATTGCAACACTGAACGATTTGAAGGGCGATGGACTAAGTAAAAATAGTTGGCACCCCAACGGTAAAAATGGAAAAGGCCTTAAAAGCATCGAAAGTGAACTGCAGCATCAACAAAGTGAGCTGTCCTCCCAACCCGGTGAAATCGGCGGTGGCGTCGACCAAATCACCACGGAGCTTCAAAGGCTTCAGAAGCAGTTGAACGATGAGGTCACCGAAAAGCTGAGAAAGCTGAAAGACCATGGCCTTACTGAAGGTAAAGAAGCGTGGACACATGAAGGTAAGTCTCTCACAGGTATCCAAAAAATCACCACAGACATCGAGGCCATAAAAACCACGGACGTTAAGGACGTCAGGCATTATGTCGTCGCCCTGTGCAGTGCTGTCAGGCATAACGCAAGAGATCTCAAAGGCATTTTAAAGGAAGTGAAAGAAATATTGCTTGACAAAGAGATGAAGAAAATTTACAGTGATATCTACAATCTGCTATTCGGCCCGCTGGACAATGTCATTCGATCACTCAAGAAGTTTGATAAATACGCCGCCTTGGCCGCTTCCCTGATCTGAGCTTCAGTGTCGAAATCGCGAACAGCTCCGTCAAGCTTGTTGACAGCTTCTTGAAGCTCTTTCTTGACTTTCTGCTTAAATGTATCGTCAAGCCCACCAACCATATTCCTCACTTCACTCAACCTACTGTCCACGGCTTTGGCGGGGCTTTCAGTTTGGCCGGAGGATTTCTGTGCTGTATTCGCATCCTTAAGCTGACCCTCAAGTGTCTTGGCTACTTTAAGAGCATTATCCACGTTATCTGCAAGGCTTAAATGATTGTTGTCTGCGTTCAGAGCGAACGATCCAAGTTCTACGGCAACCTGCCTGGCCACGACCAGCAGCTGGATTACAGCGCCTTGGACGGCGGGGATGAGATACTTTGTGTCAGGCGCGGGGGAACCGTTCTTCACTGCGCTAGTAATCTTTTGGACTATCGTATTTACAAGCGTATCAATTGCATCCGGAAACTGATCAACGTCGTTTGTCTTCAATGTCTCTCCAAGCTTCTCCACAAACTTGTTGCAACCCTCCTTAAGAGCATTGACGTATTTTCTAACCGTTCGATTAGATTCGGCTTCTCTAAAAAGGTCCTCAACCACTCTGCCAGCAGTAGTAGCTTCGCTCGTAAGCTTTTCTTTAAAAACAATCGCAATTTGTTCATTAAGGTCCGTATAAAATTGGCCCCCTCTTTTTTTCTTTCCATAGTTCCCATGAAACTTCCCCTGACCGTTCTCGCCAATGTACTTCTCAATAAAGCTCTTAATCGGATCCACCTTCAAAATATTATTTTCAACCCATCCCTGCACTTTAATCTCAAACTGTGATTGCCCCCTAAACAGCCCAGCAAGACCCCTCACCTTATCCACAACCGCCTCAAGCCCTGTTTTTAGTTTTCCGTGATTCCCAGTGATGATACTCCCAACTTCCCCTTTAATCTTATTAAAAACCTCTTCAATGTTCTTTTTACCCTGCAGTTGAAACTGCTCGCCAAGCGTCTCAATCGCCATGTCAACTTTATCGACTGCATCGTTAAGCGGATGTTGGATAGCACTCTGAAACTTATTATCAAGCAATCCAGTCTCCTTCGCGATTGAACCACCAGGACCAGTGGTCTCTTTATGCAGCTTGTCATACTGATCTTTAATGGTTTTTAAGTGCTGGCCGACAAGCCCAGTACCTTCGTCCGCTTTACTACTATCCACGCCATCTTTAAGCTTCATAATCTTATCCCTCAAACTCTTCAAATCCGTCTTCACCAAAGTATCAAATTCCTTAACCTGTAAAGTCGTAATCACATCTTTAATTCCATCCTTAATCTCTTCTCTCACTGTCCTCAAATCCTTCTTAAGACTTTCGTCCATTTGAACAACAGCCTGCAAAAGCTCTTTCCCCTTCTCTTGTAGCGTTGTAGCATACTTATAAACAGTATCTTTTTGCGTGCCATCTGTTTTAACTTTCTTAAGTATCTCATCACACTTCTACTCCGCCTTGAAAATAACATCCCCGGACTCAGATCTCAACCCCTATCACGTCTGACGGATTATTGAGTCGGGTGTGGTAAAAGGCGTTGGAAGCGCATCTAGTATTAATCCCGCTTCCCACGTCTCGATCACTACCCCGGCACTCACCGCCCTATCGTTAGGCATTCTCTCCCCCTCACCGACACCATCAATCTGTAAGTTGTGACTGAGTCAGGTGAGACCCCTAAAATCGCACTTCGGAAGTGTCAACATGGTTCAATGCAGACCTGCAGACAATCTCATTATGTGATCTGTGATTATATAATGAGCAGATGGAGCCACCCTTGCTTCCATTTCCACGGGTGGGTTAACGTGCTCAGTCACTGACACTGTAGGTGGTGCTCAAATTAACTGCGTTTGCTGAAGCTAACTGATAAGTATGAGTTGTCACCTTTTAATGTGTATTAACGGCATTGCCGATATTTTGACTTGTGAGCAAATGTTCAGACGGTGACGTGGCACCTTTGTGATCACAGTAGTACAGTGGCGCCACCAAGGTATGGAGAAGCACAGTTTCACTCCACCCTAACAAACAGACTTCCCACCTCTTATACGCATAAGAGACACCCATTATAACACACAAGCATGTTATTAAGGTGGCAGCTGCAATAAGCCATTGACAACATAAAGCGATGCTGCCACAGGAATAAACAAACCAACATCAACAATGAGGTACGCAAATTAATTTCTGCTATTTACCGAAGAGTTACCAAATCTCAGTTACTCATCACGTCGAGTAGTAGTTCTCGATCTGGATGGTGGAGAGTATGGCGCCCTTGATGGTGACGCAGCGGCATTCCAACGGAGGCGTATGGCGTAGCTTCTCACCTGACCCTACGCGCCAACGTTCGAAGCTCAGGATGACAAAGTGGTTGGACCGAGATGCTACCAACGACTGGCTGAGCTCTCTTATGTTCTTGACTAAGCCATTCACTAATACTTGTTTGAAGCAGTTGGGTGGGTCCAGGAGATACGGCGCTGGGCAGTAGAACGCAGCTTCCCTGGCAGCGTGAAGATCGATCTTGCAACCGAACTGAGAGTCTCCGTTATCGTCGTAAAGTCGAGGCGTCTCAGGTTTGAACAGCTCATCTGATGCGTACGTAACGCCACAGCCTTGCATATAGGGATCCGTCGTTTCGACGTTAACTTCAACGACATCCCAGGTGTATCGCGTCGAATATCCTATGGTCTTAAGATTGAAGATTGCATTAGCGTTTGATGTAGCTGCGTTAACACTGACCAATAAATCCGAAGGTTCGGGAGTCTTGCCGCAAATGAATGTCATTGGAATGTAGTACGTGTGACGTGGATCCTTAGATATCAGGATGGCACTTCTACGTGTTTTGATCGTCAATTCTGAATATCTACAATTCCTTGACTCTGCTTGATAAACTACATCCAATCCACCCTGAGTAGCAGCCATTGAATCCTCGTATCTATTACGAATAAATTCAGGCCCGTTTGGCGTGTAGTTGACGGTATAATAAAATCCTTCAGGTCTTTCTGGTAACCATATCAAGTGCTTCCTGTCCAGGTCAGAAGTAAGTTTTAAAAGTTCGGGGTCAAACCCACAACGCAATGACAGCGTTGTGCCAACATCTAGTTCAATGGACTTTTTGTATGTGTTGTTTAGCACGATTGATATTGGTGATTTAGTCCATTTACCAGATAAATTGAACTCACTCCACGGCAGTAATCTGTAGGCAAAAAGCGATTGGGATCCCTCTTTACGGCGTACTAGAAAGTTATGCCCTTGGTGCTGATTGTTCTCTATAACAAGCTTGGATGTTTCGTACCCAAGCCGGTCGACACATATGCAAGCAAAGCTTAACGGTTCATCCCTTCCTAAGACAATGTCTAGCGCCTGGAATCCCGGAATGGCGCGGGGAGTTCGAGTTCGCACAGATTTTGGACTTGGCACAATACTATTATTGTAGAGATCGTATCCTGTCGATTCGCAGTTCGCTGGAAACAGCTCCTCGTCTGGTCTGCAGTAAATACTAGCGTGACTCTCCCACCCCGTAATAAGCAATGGGCATTCGTAAACATCCCCTATTCCATTTCCCATCCTTTTGGTTGAACAATACCACTTGCTAATGTTAGAATCAAACACAGTTTCTGATTCTCTGTCGCAACCAGGGGCACGGTAGCGATGGGTAAATGCGAAAGTAACATTTACAATGGCGCGTATCTCTTCCGGAAGACCTCCATTCGTAGATGTCATAGTCCAATGATAAACGAACGAGCCCAGCCCCTCTATCAATGCGAGAGGTTTGTCCGCATGGTACTTCAGTTTTACCTCTCCCACTGACATTTGGGAAATATCCCATTCAAGTGCATCGCCGGCAATGGCCTTATGGTACATTACCTCGCCGTAAATGTTATCATACCTCGTCAACTGCCTCAGAGCCGTCACGTTCTTCCCTCGAAACGTAGGTTCCAATAAGTACCTAGGCGGGCGTTGCGAGGGCAGTACAAATGGTGAATCTTTGTCGAAAGGCTCTGTCACTACACCCTCTACTGGGAACCTTATTGCCAACGTGCTGCCAGGGTGTAGTACAACCGAACACCAAGGGCCACGGATGGGATGCGAACGGTTGCGTTCGATCATGCTGGCGATGTCACAAACGTAGTCGGTTTTTGAGCGGATCTCTATCTTCGCCTTCACCGCTCCTGTTTGAGGATCGATGTATCTGCATTCGCCACTGAATGGTGGCAGTGCGAATCTCTCGAAATACTTGGCTATTACCCATGGTCTACGGTGTTTGAATCTCCAATAATCATCTGGTGGGGGAGCACTCACAACTACGCCATTCTTGTCAATGAGGGACTTCATGCAATCGTCGGGTTCTAATCGGCCTTCGCAAACAAAACCGATACGTGATTTCGACATGGGATCAGCCACGCATGAACGTGTCCCTGTGACGGGGTCCACTGTCACCTCATTATCCACAGCAAAAAGTGGTGACGGACGGCTTCCACAACCCTGGAGTGGTAGATGCGTGCTTCCGCTGTATAAGAAAAAGATCCCGATTCCATGCCCTATCTTCGACATTTCATGAGCCAAGGGTATATTAGAGGTCCAAGGAAGTGCTTGCATTTGACCAAAACCATTGAGACTGTCGAGGTGGCGCTGTAATGTATCACTCAGAACCAAATCTCGCGGGCCACATATAAATATCAAACGGCGCTCGGTCATGGCAAACAGTTCATGCGTTGGTATATGTAACTGCATAATGTTCTGCGAGAGAGTGGATTCTATCCAGATAAGCTCATTCCCGGATTCGCTGCGTATGACATCCCGAATAGCAGCGGAGCGAAGTTTGCCATTTTCACTCACGTATACATTTATATGTGCACGTTCATATGCATTAGGTTGAGGGTGCCATACGTATTCGGTGTCCTTGACTTGGCGAGGGCATCTCACAGCCGCTGAGCTGGAAATGGCCGTATCCATTTTGCACGTGATCAGAGCATTTCTGCTGAGTAGTCCATATTGATCGCCAAAATCACACTCAATTGCATGAGATACTCTAATGAAATGCAGCCACATCGCGCACAGCGCCAAAATGAAATTCATTCGAGAGCTGCCCATTCTGAGTGGCTGTATTAGATGGGACCTCAGAGACCGTATCTACGAAAATGCTTTAAAAAAGGCGGCTCAAAAATCCGATGAAATCGAAGTTGGTCATAAGTATCAAGAGTATGATCCATAATTTTTTGTAAACACCGATAACTCTACAGGGATCCCAGAAGCCGTCTGGCACCGAGGAATTTTCCTAAAATGCTACCATCGAAAAAATCAGAGTCAAGCATGCAGACGTGATAGGAGGTATCAACATTTAATTTTGGCAAACATTTCAAGAGCAGCATACCATATGATGATTTACGTTTTCCCAACATATACAACCTTCCAACCCGACCATTTTCCAGCCCCCTCACACCCTACTCATATTTCTCGCAACTTTGTGACATCGCAATGCCGATGTACCAACATATAGCAGATGGGATGTGTACTACGTATGCGAACGCCAGCTTCTCGTGCTGCTGGGTTATCATCGTTTTTGGAGCACGTCATGTCAGCAAGTGATTCGAAGCACAAGAATCGATGAATTCCGTATGCAACAACCGAATACGTAATGGAAGAACAGTGACTAAAATTCTAGCAAAGTTGGGCGTCATGGGTGCCCGCAACGAATTGATGAAACATGAATTTTTGGCAACAGCTATAAGTCTCACGGACAAGTTGTTCGCAACATTGAATGGTGACCATTAGTAAATGCTAGTAGAGTGGTAGTAACATATTATGACGATTACAGATGTTTTCTCTGGACTGCTGAAGCATTCATAGACTTCACTTTTACTCGGTCGGTTCAATTAACATCAACATCAGAAGCATTGGCTGCAGAACCATTGTCTTCATCGACCTCTATGACATCCGGCTCCTCAGCCATAGTGTCGCGACGCCACACGTGCGCCGACGAGTAGTAGTTGGGGTGAACCCGCAACCTGAAAACGTTGGGTATGTCGGTCTGGACCCTGCGTGCCAACAGTTTCTTGTCAACATAAAGTAAACGGTGCACCACGCGCTGAAGCCTGAGGTTCCACGCGTCTGCGTCTTCAGGCGTGCGGGGAACGACCACGTTCTGGATGTACCACTCAACAAGCTCGTTTGATGCGATCTCATTTTCTAGCAACTGGTGCTCGCTGACGTGATCCAACAGAACCGCTGAAATAGCCTCGTACTCGCTCATGCCTATTTTCATGAGATCAGCCTCTGGAGCCGGGGGTGGCGCATCGGCATCCGTGTCAGCACTGTGCCTGCGGCGGGTTGACATAATCCACTCTTCATCACCGTCATCGACGTCGTTGGTAGGAGCGCGTTCCTCTTCGAGCACGACGAGATCCTTGTTCGAAAGCCTAAGTAGCGATGACTTGAATATGTTGTACGCCTCCTCCACATGCGATTCCTCAACGAAATCGGAAAACTTGAGCCTAGCAATTGCCTCACTCAGCCGAATGAGGGATTCCAGCTGGCGCACTGTCATGCGCAACGAGCGCTTAGTTGACTGAGCATCACCGTTGCGCAACCCTACGTAATACTGCGCCAGCTTGTGTTTAGCAGCATCCTGCATAAGCGGCTTAATGCGTTTTGCCAATTCAATGTAAAGCTTCAGCTCATCCAGAGTCAGGGGAGGGTTGAACTCCTGATCGAAAGGAGACTCCTGGTGTTCGATTTCTGCAGAATCTTCGATGAGATCGCTGCTCTTATAGACACCGGGCCCGTGCAGGCCAGTGATGTGCCATGCAATTTTGGCATCCACCATTTCATCTGCCTCGTCTTGCATTGTGTATAGCAGGTCGAAACGCGACAGCAGCGGGGGAGGCAAGTTCACATTGCTGGCGAACGACTTACTGGTGTCGTAACGCCCGTAACGCGGGTTGCATACGGCAAGTACGGAGGCGCGGGCGTTGAGTGTTGCCTGTATGCCCGCCTTGGCGATTGAAATTGTCTGCTGTTCCATCGCTTCATGGATTGACACACGGTCACGGTCGTTCATCTTATCAAACTCGTCGATGCAGCATATACCCAGGTCAGCGTACATCAGCGCACCCGCCTCCAAAACGAATTCGCCGCTGTCAGGGTCACGGTGCACGGCGGCAGTGAGACCCGCAGCAGTAGAACCCTTACCAGACGTGTAAATGGCGCGAGGAGCGAAGCTCTCCACGAACTTGAGGAACTGACTCTTGGCAGTGGAGGGGTCACCCACGAGGCACATGTTAATATCACCACGCAACTTGGTGTTGCTCGAAGACTTGTGCACACCGCCTACCATCATGAGCAAAATGCCCTTCTTGATCTCGGAATGCCCCCAGATTTTAGGGGCGATGCATGAAGCTAGACGCTCGATAGTGTTGTGGCCCCGCGCCAAACGGCGGATCCAGTCAAAGTTTGACAGGTTCAGAATATCATCGGCGCGCACCTGGATCTCGCTGCTCGTGTCGATCACATCGCCAGCAGTGGATTTGAAGTCGTTAACACGGCGCACCTGCGTGGCCAGGAAGGACAGCTTGTGGTTCAGGTCCTTGATGCCCACGCCCTTGATACCGGTCAGACCCTGTGAGATCATATACGATTCGAAACGCCTCATCGACTGCTTGTTGACCTTGCGTGGCATCTCACCGGGCTTGAGAAGTGTTGGCACATCCGGGAGAACGATAATCGTGCCGGAGATGATGACGCGGTCACCTGCATTCAATCGGTCGACACTGCGGTGGCGCAATATAACATCTATAGAACGGGGCATGGTGCTGGTATCCGACTCTTGGGCCATCTCCTGGATACGTACCTTCTGCCAGTCGCAGAACAAGGACTGCTCCATTACCAGTTCCCAGTCGCGCAGGTTGAGACAATTATTGGACGTGCATTTGACCGGCACAGTGTACTTGAAATTCTGCCTGACGTTCTCGATTATGGTGCCGCACGCCTTGCACTTGAAAGTGCCACGAATAAGCTCAGGACGTACATCCGACGTGCGCGTAACCTGGCCACGGATGGCGATGAGCTCGCCAATCATGTGGCATCGGACTTCCTTCAACCTGAAAAACTATATGGACACTGATAACCACACATACGGGTGTATGACGCTCGGAGAATGCAGGAACTGCAAAAACAGCTTCTTCGACTCACGATTCAGCGATTGCGCAATCGAGTCCACAATGCCCTGCAGCTTGTCCTCCAATGCATCCTGGACCCTGAGAAAATGCTTGACCAGGTACTTGTAAAGCTGCATGTTTAGATTCAGGCCCGCCTCACTTTGTGGAGGCCGCCAGTTAAGCACGTGGTCGAGGTGGACAACGAGCACCTCCGAAAAATGCGACATTCTGGAGACGAGCGTGAAGATGCGCTTCATGTAGAAGAGCGGCTTGTTCGGGTCGCCATTCAGGCAGTACGTGCCCGCAGTGTCTTCGTCGTCAGACAGGGAGTCGTCGAACTCTTCGAGGTCCTCGTCGTAGGCTTGCTCGCCCTCAGCGACGTATGAGCGCAAGAAGAAATCGAAGACCGTCGAAATATTCGCATCCTGGACATTGGCAGCCTCTTCTTCCTGAGATACGTCCACATCGCCAGCTGTCATGCCCTGGCTATGCGTTTGCTGCCGCCGCTTCGTTAGGCTGTTGTCCGCCGCGCTATCCGCGCTCATAGAATCCTCCTCCGGCATGTCTAAGTTAACCTTATTAAATTTCAGGTTCTATAGGTAGCCGTGAATATGGCACCTGGGTCAGGTACGCCCCGGCTTTTGCCGCCCAGGCGCGCGCTCTTGGATTCCTCGACCTTCTTCGGTCGACGCTGGCATACAAAGGCAGATACACGTCCGTACAATGCAATTGCACGATTTACATGTGCCGAACCGCCTTCTAGTTCTGTCGGTCCACCGTAGCTGGATGTGCATTAGACATCGCACCGAGAGTGCCCACGTCGGCCGCACACAACTACGGCCTAGGGAGACGACATCATGCGAGCGAAATGTGCGTGAGATTTATGCACCAACGGTTGCCACACGCCATTTCGAACGCGCGGTAGACTTCCTTGTCGATAATTTCGTAGGACTGCTGATCTGCGGAGACGTGATTCCTTGCGCATCGGCTGCTCACCTGCAAAGAGGAACACCAGCATACGACTCACGTAAGTGGTGCTGCCCTTAGCCTCGCCTGGGCGGCTGACGGTGATTACGGGGTTACCGTCCTCGGTGTCACCGTACCAGCGCACGCAGGCTACATCGTTGCCGAGAACTGGGTCATCGGCACGGCCGCACTCTTTAGCGATGCTGGCTGCAGCAGTTGATACGACAATCTAACCAACTAACCCAGTATGGAGTAGCGCTTTGCCGGAGTTTTCCACAGTGCCTTGGCACGCTCATGGACGTAAGTGTCCCACGCTTTCACTAGATATGCCACTTCCTCGGCGCTTCTTCGATCTCTCGCCGCCTCACTCTCCGAGGCGGAGTAGCTGGCCTGGCTCCCGTTCTGAAACCATTCGAGTCGTTACCTTGTAGACATACCACTGACGGAGTGAAGTCATCGTCGCAGCTGCCGCGCCTGCGCACATGCAGATTATCATCGTCTTCATTGGACTCCACAAGTCCGAGGAAGCTCGCAAACGGGACGATTGAGCACACCCGGCACTTGAACATGTTTTCTTCCTTGCGATGTGTAGGCGCGTGCCTATAGTCCGGAACAGAGTGGATTACTGTGGCCGCAAAAGTCGCGTCCTGGCACTAATATCGACCCGAAAGAGGGATGTGTAAGCCTACAATTCATTAAATCGATGTGTGTTGAGAGCAATGCCCAAGCTACACATTAGCACAAAGGCCACTAAGACCCCATGGATAGATAAGATGCACCCTCAACCAGCCTTTCCCAGCCGAATGCCCCTTATGTACATAACGATTGAGAACTTCTAGTAGAGTCTTAAGAATAGCAAAATTGTCTTAATAAAAAAGAGTTCCCACGCGGGGACTCGAACCCCGGTCGCTCGGGTGAGAGCCGAGTATCCTAACCAGCTAGACTACATGGGAGTCGAAGGTGCTTCTTTTGGTATGTTGACATTGTTTGTGTGGGCTCTTACGGTGCCATTCAGCTTATGTGTCCGAGGCTCACTTGATGTGAAATAGTAGCATAATGCCCGCGGCGTTAGTTTTCATCAGTGTGTGCCTCTTTGGCGCCTTTTCGGCCGCCGTAGAGGCCGATAAAGTGCAGCGTCGCTTTGCTGCCTTTACGATCTCTGAGGAGGGACCTAGCGCCCCTCTTGGCTTCGTTCCGCAGTCAACTGAGCAGGTGTACCTCGCCTACTACAGCGGATTGGTTGATGTGTACAGTGATGCGGATGATGAGCGCAGGTACAACCTCTTCCCGGACAATGTCCACCCTGGGCTGTCGATATTGTCCCATCCCAAGCAGAGTGCATCTGAAGCTATTGGGAGCTTTCGCGCTGATGCTGCAGTGACTGCTGAGTCGTGGTGTTTCGCTTTGACGGCATTCTTCCTCTCCGGGCGGATGCCACGCAGCGCCGATGCTGAGGACAGCAAATGCACCCTTGACCTCTTCTATCACAGGTGCCTTGGTCTTAACGGTCACACCGATGCCGAAGATGAAAACGACTACACGAGCTGCCTTGCTCAGCTGCCTCCCGGCGCGTCGCTTGAGGACGTCTACATGTTCGAGAAGTGGTCACGCAGATGCCCCAAACCCCTCTACGCCGACTCCCTCAGCGTAAACACGAAGGCAGCCGTTTGCAATGGCGTCTTCAGCGAATCCCCATCGGTGGCTAGTTTGGTAACCGAAAGGCACTGCTACCTTCACGATCTGTTGACCCTGGATTGGATCCCATACTCCGAGGTGCAGCATCAGGCCGGAAGCTCGTTGTCCGCTATGATAAACCCAGACAAGGTGGCAGCCAAATACATGAACACCTGGCGCTACCTGCAGACCAGCAAATCCGCGGAATTCCAGTTGGGATTGTCCCACGCGGTTTCGGACTTTTACAAGGAGGTGATGACCGCGTTGTCTAGCGACAAGGCCAAAAACATCGCCACTTTCCTGGATGAGCAGGCCACCAATGTTCAGATCAGATATGCCGTCGCCGCATTTACTAACCGTGACGGGATTATCAAGAGCGAATTGAGTTTCGGTGTTGCTTTCAACAGCGCTGCTGCCGCGGACGTTCCTGAATTCGACTTCATCACGCCCGTTAACATTCCTGCACACGTCACCTCATCAGTGCTAGGAATGGTGGACCCCCTCATGAAGGAAAGCGCAGTTAAGGCGGATGTAGGCTATTCCGAGTTCCAAGGCCGTGGTCAACATCGCTCCTGGACAGTTTCCATTACGCTGGATGTACTGCCGTTGAAGAAGATGCTGGGATTCCCAGGAAGGTTGTATCTGAAGGTGGCACACATGCTCGAGCGCAGCGTTCTCCTGGATAACGATGAGCTAAACGGTTGGTTCGACAGACTGGAGTCGGAGGATGACCTCACTAAGATCGAGGCGTCGCCCGTAGAACTCGACACCGAGAGGAAGGTCGGAATTGCCAGGCTGCGCACACTACGCACGCCGTTCATCGATATCGAGCAACACGAGATGCACTCTGCTCCGGTTCTCTACTATGGCTACATAGCAGTGGATGGGTGGGCGCTCTCACTTGAGCGCCTGGAAGTGCAGTACACCCTGCTGACGCACACTCGCTACATGCACATGAACAAAGGCTTAACGCCCGAACTCGCTCATGCGCCGGGTGTCAGGGCACTGAAAGGTCTCACGTCATGGAGGTATGACCTGACGTTCATTAGTGAACCTCTGGTATATATATTGGATTCTCCGAAGGTGCCAAGCGGTATCGGCTCTGCAGTGCCGCCAATGGCGATGTCATACGTCGAATACCTTCGAAGCATTTCCTTCCTGAAGCTCGTTGGTCAGGATGCGGCGGACGCCGACACACCCGCGTTAACCAAGAAAACGCAGTGGCGTCGCATCTACACAACAAATCACGCCTCGGGACCGTCATCGGAGGCGGCGATCGAGGTATGCAAGCCGAAACGCACCGGGCTCGCACTTGTCGGCCGCATGTTCTCCATGGAACGCTGTGCCGGCACCCGCAACAGGGTGTTGAAGATCGCGGAGCAGCAGGGCTACGTCGTGTTCTCGACACCAGTTGGCAAGTACGCAAGCTACAACATCGCCGTTGTCACCACCTTCGCCGTCACGGTCATAGTCACCATTGTGTCCATCGCGCTGGCCCTCAAGGGCAGCGTCGACCTAGTTGTAAAGGATAAAAAGAACTAGTAAAACATTGATTAAAAGAATTCCATTGATTCTAGATTCTGCCCTGTGTATATGAGAATCCAGTGACATCCCCCTTGAGGGACTGCAGCTGGTAGTGGTGGAGAAAGGAACATATGATAAAACTGTAGATGACGCTGAGAGCGGTACCCAGCTGCAGCGCGCGGTAAGCCCAGATGTAACGGGGGGAGTCGCGCCTGGAGTTGCGACTGTAGGCGTAGAGAATGCAGCCTGTGTCGATGAGTATTAGACATGTTTATCATTACCTGCTAGGGGGAAGATGATGGTTATCATGAATACAATCATTTGGATTTTCGCATCCTTGTCCGTCTGCTCAACCGGGAGCTCCACAGTCTCCTGCAAGCCATGGAAGGTGCGGCGCCGAAACCTACTTCATCGCTGTCGGGAATAACCTCGCACTCCCTGTTGAAGGTAACCTTGCGGTTGGGGGAGCTGCCACCCCTTTGTACGGGGTTCTTGGTGTCCTCCTGCGCACACATGTACAAAATAACAGTCGTTAAGCTCTTACCGCATCCATGTCGTTCAAATTTCGAGGCTCTATCGGCCTTGCACAGTGCGCGTACTTTACGCTTTGGATTTCGCTCTTTAGCTCGTAAAACGCCTTTTACACACTCTGTTGACCTTGCATATATTCGATCACCCGCGCTGGCAACTTTTTGACCCCTTTTGTGAGGTTATACGATGCCTCGGTCGGCCGCGGTGTATAACATACGGCAACAGATGAACGAAATATCGGCCTAAAGCAGCCGCGTAAGAGGCATCCAACGCACTTGGCTATGTGGAGTATCCCCTTCGGACCGATTGGATGTGTGCCCCGTAAGAACGTCCGCCGCAGACCTGGTGTGTCCCTACAGGCGTTACATGTCGCGTGCTGTCACGGGCGAAATCGGGCCCCAAATGACAAATACGGTGGCTCTGCGCAAAGAAGTTTCAGTTCGTAATCGTAATATGCTATTTTGGTATTGCTTATTTCGAAGGCACGTAGCCCTTCTATCGCTCAGTACCAGAAAGAATCGGTAGCATGTTTCCTCGAAACGAAGCGCTTTTGTGCATAACCCTGTCCATAATTCGTTATATGTGTTGTCTGATGGGCTAACGAATTACATATCGACAACAATGCAGTGTGCACACACGATCGTCGAAAACAGTAATACCCCGAAATGAGCATTGCGCTGCGAACTAGGCTGTTAGCATTAGGTGTAAGGTGGTATTGTCTTAACATACGGTAGACAGAGTCGCTGGTTATGCCAGATTCGTCGTCTCTCACGCCTTCATAAAACGTTTAACTATGTGCTTGACGAGGCCGTTTTTAGCTCTACTATTGGCGAAACAAACCCAACTATAGAATGTATATGCCCTGCAAAGGTATATATGTTGCATTTAACTCTTGTCTACTCGACGTCATGTGCAGATGGTGTGTAGCACCCTTGCCCTGAATGTCTGGATTCTGTCGCCTTCGTCGCCCAAACTTGAAATAATTTCAAGCTATGGGTTTTTGGAGGCGGTAATGCATGCCTTCTTCCGTATGTCGCCATGACGTTACCGCTTAGCCCGGCGGGACGGCCCAGCGGCAGGAATCGCGTTGCCGACCATGTGCGTTCCATCGGCGCCGAAACTCGCGATGCCAGCCAACCGGTACGGCGGCTTATCATCAGCAAGGTCGTCCTTCGCAACTTCAAGAGTTACGGAGGAACCACCGTCATAGGACCATTCCACAAGAGGTTCACCTCCATCGTCGGCCCCAATGGCTCCGGCAAGAGCAACGTCATCGACGCGATGCTGTTCGTGTTCGGCTTCAGGGCGAAGCAGATGCGATTCAGCAAGTTATCGGACCTCATCCACAACTCGCAGGCATACCTGCAGCTCAACAAGGGGCGACCACTGGACTCTATGGAGGTTGCGGTGCACTTCTGCGAGATCATAGACAGAGACGCCGATTCAGACGAGTTCGAGGTGGTGCCGGGCAGCGAGCTGGTCATCTCACGAGAGGTACACCGCGACAACTCGTCGCGATATCGCATTAACGGCCGCACGGCCACGCAAAAGGATGTTTCGAACTCCCTGAAGGCATTCGGGATGGACCTGTACAACAACCGGTTCCTGATACTGCAGGGAGAAGTAGAGCAGATTGCGCAGATGAAACCCAAGGCAACAAAACCAGAGGAGGAAGGGCTCCTGGAGTACCTGGAGGACATCATCGGAACAAACCAGTACCTCGAAGCCATCAAGGAGGCTCAAAAGTGCTACGACGAAATGCAAGACCAGTACCAGGAGCGCTTCAACAGAGCGCGTGTTGCGCAGAAGGAAGTGGAGGACATGCTCGAGCCCAAACGGGAGGCCGACGCGTATTTGGCAAAGGAGAAATCGTTATTGCATGCCCAAGCAATTCTGGCCAGAAAGGAACTCTCCATTCTCTCAGACCAGCATGTTGAAATTACTGGCAAGCTGGCAACCCTTCAGGAGCAGTGCAACAGCGCCACTGCGGAGCTGGAGGCCGTGCGCAAAGAGCGCGACACGGCGTTGTCAGCCATAAAGGGCGTAGAAGGCGAACTCTCCCAGGCCAACAAAGTGCACAAACGTCTAATGGGGAGTCTGCAACGGATGATTGCGAAGGACGAGGATCTGCGGAAACAGCTGCTGCGCGAGGTGACGAAGGTAGAAGAAAAAACCGCCGGCATAAAACGCGCAAATAGCAACAAACCGAAGCTTGAAAAGGAATTCCAGGAGAAGATAAAGCAAAGCGAAGAGCTTCTCAAGCAGTTACCGAGCGTCCAGGAGGAACTAGACAGTGCCGAACGGGCACTAGAGGCGCTCACCGAGACTTTGAAACCGGAGTTGCTTGAGGCCAACCGCCAGCTGGCCAAGCACGAGTCGGAGCTTGCACCTCTGCAGCAGGCGTGCGATCAGGCGCAAAAGGAGGTTAGCGTTCTCAAGTCGTCGATCGACCTGCTCGAGAATAAGCGCAAAGGGGCGAACGAGATGCTCAAAACTCTGAAAGACACGGAACAGAAACTGACTAAGTCGCTTAAAACACACAGCGAAGATCTGGAGCGGCAGGAAAAAGAGCTGACTAAGCAGCGTACCTTGTTCGAGACCAACAAGCGCCAGCTCGCTGAACTAGAGTCTACTGTACGGGATAAATCGCATCGGTGCACGCAGAAACGTGGAGAATACGAAAGTATGAAACGCGAATTAGATGACATTATGGGATCGAAAGACCAATACGGTTACATCATGGGGCTCGTGGCCACTGGCAAGATCAGGGGCGTCCACGGGCGACTGGGAGACCTGGGATCGATATCGCCTGAATACGAACGCGCATTCATGGCGGCGGGAGGCGGTCAAGTCGACGTTATCGTCGTGGACACCCCCGACGTGGCGTCGCAGGTGTTCGATGAGCTCAGAAAGCGCAATCTGGGCCGGAGCTCCGCAATGGCGCTGAGCGTACTGAACCACGACCTAAAACGTCAAATGGAAGCCTTCGAACGCAAATCACACAGCGATCTTCCTCCTGATGTGCAGTACCTCATCCACCTGGTGAAACCCAGCGATCCCAAGTACAAGGTATGCTTCTACTCGGCGCTGCGGGAGACGCTGCTGGCACCGGACCTGGAAGTGGCTACCAGGGTGGGCTACCAACAGCGGCGCCGTGTTGTCACCCTCAACGGCGAATTAATAGAACCCGACGGGCGCATGAGTGGCGGTGGTATCAAGCCGCCGAAGAGTGGCGGCATTAACACCAAGGCTGACGGCGGCAGCGGCGCTCAGGGTGGCAGGCCTGTTCTGGATGCGGCCCAACTGGAACAATTCCTGAAGGAGGTTGAAAAGGAAACATCGGAATTAAATGCCCTGAAACGCCAACTGACGGAACTCACAGAGCAGCAGGGGATGCTTTCCAGGACCATCAGCGAGCTGCAATACGGCGTGGAGATGCTGAAACACACCGTGGTAAACGAGGAATTGCAGCTAAATGAGCTATTAGAACGCATAAAAGCCATAGGCACCGATGAGAGAGCATCACGGGATATCGAAAAGTTGGCCGCCATGCAGTCGGAGCTAAATGCCAAGGAGAAAGCCGCCGTTGCAGCGGCAGCAAAGGTGGCCGCACAGGAAAAGTTTGTGGCGGAAGCCTACGCAGCTGTGGATAGGGTCGGCAAGGGAAAATTGAAATCCGCGAAAGACCGTGTCGCGGATCTCGAGACGAAACTATCGGAGATGCGCACTGCCATCGAACGGATGCGCAAACAGGCAGCGTCGCTGCAGGCCGACGCGGACAAGTGCACGCGCGACACGGAGAAATTCACGAAGGAAATAGATCAACACAAGGTCCGTGAAAGTGAGCTAGAACGGCAACTCAACGACCTCGAGGAGGAGGCTGCTGGGGTTACCAATGAGATGAACGGGATAAACACGCAGATGGAGGAGCTTAACGCAAAGATCAAGGAGCTAAACGAAGGCCTAGCCGCCCGAAACAAGCGCATAGAGGAACATGATCTGAAGTTCGTCGACATGCGCCACAGCATCGACGAACTGTCGAAAAAACTGAAGGCGTGCGAACACCAGCTCCAAGAGCGCCAGGAGAAGCTACGAGGGATACTCGAAGCATACCGGAAATCGTGCGCACTCATCCAACGCAGCAACGAGGCACAAAAGCTCTTATCGCAGGATGCATCCAGCGACGGCACCGGAGCCGACCCGCCGAACTCGTTGGTTTTCATCGACGATGAGGACGCCAAGCAGTCTGGCCGCGAGACAAATGAGGCCATGGGAGATGCACAGTCGAACAATGCGGATGCAGCTGTCGGGAACGACGGTGCAGCTGACGCAGCCGGCGAACAGGACACCGGAGAGACGGGAAGCGGCAAAAACAGTGTCAACCACAAGGCAAATGGCAAATCAGCCATCAAGGTGGAGGCGACGGATGAGAGCGATGCTCGGCCGGAGAACGCCGGTGAAACCCAGTCGGATGAAGACGACCCCTCCACCACCCCGAGCGACGCCGCATTGATACCGTTGAACGTCAACGCCCTGCGCGAAAAAGTGGAAATGCTGAAAAAGCAGATAGGCGCGGTACCCAACCTTGGCGTGCTAGATGACTTCGGACTAAAGGCGCACGAGTACAGCCGCAAGCGCCAAGAACTGACTTGCATTCAGGAACGACGTGAAGAGGCCAAGCGCACATTCGACCAGCTGTGCTTCAAACGCAAGAACGAGTTCCTGCTGAACTTCGCGATCATCGCGGCCAAGCTGAAGGAGATTTACCAGTCCATCACGCTGGGCGGCGACGCCGAACTGGAGCTTGTGGATTCCACGGATCCCTTTACGGAGGGGATACTGTTCTCAGTGCGTCCCGCGCGTAAGAGCTGGAAGCAGATACAGAACCTCTCTGGCGGGGAGAAGACGCTGAGTTCTTTAGCTTTAGTGTTCGCGCTGCATCATTACAAGCCCAACCCTGTCTACTTCATGGACGAAATAGACGCCGCGCTCGACTTCCGCAACGTCAGCATCATCGCACAGAACATCAAGGAACGCACCAAAGATGCGCAGTTCATCATCATCTCCCTACGCAGCCAGATGTTCGAGCTGTGCAACCAGATGGTCGGTATCTACAAGACGGCCGACGTCACCAAGAGTGTGTGCATCAATCCCGCGTCATTTGACGTGCGTAAGCGAACTCTTGAGACAGAACCTGCTAGCAGCACCTAATGTGTAAATTGTGTTCACAGCCTTCCGCCTGCTCGCGTTGGCGGTCGTGCGGCCTTCCGGCCGACGCCGCGAAATACAACTTCCCGAACACCAGCCATTCGGAGTTCGCAATGGAGAATTTATTCAGTGACGATGAGTCACCCGAGGCAGACAGCAAGGATTCCGGCCCCTTGGAGCTGATGCCGGATCTCAAGCTGGAGCCTCCGGCCATGAAAACCGATAATGAAGATCAGGACGACGACGGCATAGACATCTGCAGTTCAGCGGCTCTCCTGGAGCTCGCGGAATCCAACCCCGCGCTGCTCATTCCCAGCGTTCTGCCTGAACCGAAGGAAATCAGGGTAGGTCGGAATCCGAGCCAGCTCACACCTACGCCAGGCCGCGGAGTCTAGCGTTATGGAGTTTTTCAACACGCCGTAAGTGTAGTGAAATTGTACCGTAACATCGTGCAGAGGCACTCATTTCATGCACATCCAAATGCCTAATGCGATGCCGCACCTCGACAAGGAGCGGACGCTGCACGAGGACACCGCCAACCGCAGGGACGGCCGCTTCGCAGAAAACACATCACGCCACGCAACTCACCAAGCGCCCGAAGATCCGCAAATCTACCAGACGTCGCGGGTAGATTGCCTGCCGTCAGGGCGTCTCGGGAAGCTACGCATTCACCGCAGCGGCAAAATTCAGCTCCACGTCGGCGGCCACGTGTTCAACTTCGCGCAAGGCAGCCGAGTGAGTTGCAAACAACAAGTGGGTTGCCTGCTGGAGGAGAACGACGAGTTCCTGTTCCTCGGCAACTATCGCAAGAAGTTCGTGGTCTCACCGGACTTCAGCGCCATGTGGAACAAGCAGTGACGCATCGTAAAAGACACAACATGCAGCACCTTTCAACACCTACGTGTGTCTTTAGGCGAGCTGTACTGGCGAAAAGCAATGACAATGCACCAATAATGAAATCGCAATAACACCCCGTGTATGTACGTCCGAAGATCAGGTCCACTCTGCTCCATACGATGGGCCTGTTTGCCACTAACTACCAAAAACGATGCATGTCCGGGAGATAAGCACGTCGGTAATCACATTTGCTCGGTGTGGAGATTCCAACATTGCGAAAGCTAACGCAGGGTCGCTTCGCGAACTGCCGCCGAGGAATCCAACTCCGAGCTTCGATATACCGCATGATCTGTGTGTTAGGTTGAATTGACAACGCTAGCGCCGAAAAAGCGCGGAAGAATTGCACTGTGACAACCTAACGTTGACATTGCTATGACGGCGGCCCGCCTTCGCAGCGCAGTACTGCATTTTCGACGCCCGAACAGGAAGGTCCAAAGCAAACACATAAATTTCACTAAAAAATAAAATCGAAAAATGTGTCGATCGGTGTCGTTTACCGGCGCGCACCTCTAGAAAACGGGGGTACCACACGGTGGCGTCTTGCCCAGCGGCCGGAACGCAGAAGAAGAACGGCGCATGCTGTATACCGACCCTTGCATTTCAACCGCCTATGTGCGCTACCGTGCCTTAAAGGTCGCTGGGAGGTATTTGTAAAACTATTCGAGCCTACAATTACGCATTGTCTAAACACACTGCTTCGATGGATGATGTGTTGTTCACCGCTGAGTAGTACCACAACAGAGCCGCGCCCACAGAGTCTTCCCACGTGCAGAAGCGCACTTGCAAGCTTTGCCATACAATGTCTATAGAGTTTGGGAGTATCGCCCGCTCGTTGCTAGCGCTTTTGTGTGGTTGGTAGTTCGAGGATCGGCGCGGAGGCCCCGCAGCAGATTAATTCGGGTAGATCCGCGGTTCACCGCCAAAGTTTTAATTTGAACCGTGCGGAATATTTTGGCCCCAGTTTCGGTAATTTTGGGGCATTTTGGCTGGAAGCGCAAAGACACTTGAGCTCGCGGTGGATCTATGATGTGTAGCGGGTTCCGGTCTAGCTGAGCCTGTACTGGATATACTCCCTAATTTTTACAGTCTGTCAGGTCACTGGGTGTGAAGCAACGACGCCATAACCGTCAACCACTGGGATTCTGCATGATGGACCAGCGGGAGACGGGGGAGTCAGCCGGCGCTGCGCGCGGGACCAACCGGCCGACGCTGTTTAACCTGCTTGAGGTGCTGGCTAGCGATGCGTACACCACGCCGCAGCAGAGACACAGCATTCGGGGGGTTGTCACTGAATTTCTCAACAACAAGTTTGAGCACTCCAAGGTGTATTCCTACATTGGCGCCATTGTGGGCCACGACGTCCTGCACTCCGTCATCAAACAACTGGAGTCGGACCCAGATCGCGTCCCTCTGCCTGACCAGAATGGGCTTATGAGGATCGAGTCGGCGTTCAACCTCAGCCGAACGTACAAGCCGCCCGCCCACGCGGAACCCCCGGTTGCGGTTCCCGCGAGTGCACCAGCACCGACGCCTCCGGCTATCCAGCCGTCTGGGCCAGCTGCCACCCACTTTGCGGGTGGCTCGAAGGAAGACATTCTGCGCACCATCCGCCGCAACCTCGGCACTCGCAAGGCACCCGGCAACCTGACTGCAAATAAGGACACTCTCTCCGCAGTCAGGGCTGCGTCTGCCGGTGTTCTGCTTCAGAAGGCATGCTGGATGCCCATTAGGCGCTCGCTGAGTGCGGGTGCGCTGTATGGGCACTCCATAGTCTGCATCGGAAGCCGCGCCTACCTTCTGGGTGGCAGCAATGGGAACCCGCAGGGAGTCAACTTCGCGCGGGCTCACGTGGTGAGCCTGGTTAACTTCAGCTCGAAGCCGATGGTCTTTACGGGAGACATACCACCACCGCGTGAGGGCAACACTGCTAATATTGCCGTCGTACAACAAAGCCATTCGATTATCTTATTCGGTGGATTTAACGGGGAGCGTTTCTTTAACGACATTCATATACTGGATCTTGAGAAGAGGAAATGGATGCATCGCAGACATGCTGCCGGCCGCGTTCCTTTGCCCAGGGACGAACACTGCGCTCTAGTGTACCCGGCGCGGTGCGAGGCGACCCAGAAGCCAAAGAGCGGGGCCGAATTTTTATTCATATTCGGTGGAAAGACAGGCCTACGCACCCAGCTGGAGTGCCTTAATGACATGTGGGCGTACCACATTGACTCGGCTACTTGGGCGCAGGTGGAATACCCCGTCGACACCAAGGTGCCTGTCCCTCGATTCGGTGTTTGTGGTTTGTGGGCAGACGATGACGTGCTATGTATTTTCGGAGGAGAGACCCATGGCCCCGATGGTTTTGTTGATAGGTCTGAACGCACACTCTTAGACGACCTTTGGATGTTCAAGTTCTCGAGCCCCTCCTCGGGAACATGGTACCAAGAGATTTACGAAGGGAGCATTGGGCCACGATCGCACTACACCTCCATTTTCATCGCTCAGCGCTGTAGGGAACTACACACGGGTGTACCGAGGACTATCGAACGACTTATGTTGCTGACCGGAGGACTCACGTACGCCCCAGGCAGCAAGAAGACTGTGGTAGCATCGGACAAGTTGTACTTCTACTTCTTCTCACAGCGACGATGGTACATCCTCAAACCTAATTACCCTCGCAACTTCGTGGGAGAGCCCTTTGAACCCAGACAGCTCCATGTGGCCTGTTTCTTCGAGAAACGTAACATCCTCTTCCCCGGCAGCAAGCCTTCTGTGCCGTGCATCTTCTTCCACGGAGGTTTCCACCGTAAACAAGTGCTTAGCGATGCCTGGGTTTTGAGTCTCACCGGCGAAGATTTGTTCCTCAGCAACTCTGTCATCTCCCCATCGGACTCCAGCCAATTGAAGGCACTGCAGACAAAGGACAGGGTATTCCCCCCGTGGTACTACAGAGAAAGCCATTCGCCAGATATGCTCTGGGCGCTATGTTCTATGCAGAGGTGGGCATTTGGCGCCATTGCACATCTGGTCGCCAACTCTCTCAAGGAAGTGACAAGCAGCACGAGGATTACGATCAAATGGGAGCCGTCGCCTCAGGGCGACCGAGCTCTTCTCAGCATACAGGACGACGGTAACGGGTTGGACTACAGCGCTATGAACAAGCTCCTTAAGCTATTCGGTCAATCAAAGACGGGTGAGCGGGGCCAGGCATACGAATATGGGGTTGGCTTTAAGATGGCATTTGCCCGCACGGCATCGGGTTGTGCAGTTATGTCGCGTACAACGGATACTATCGGTATTGGTATGCTCAGCGTCGAACTGATGTCGCAGTGCGAGTCGCGGGAGATGTCCGTCCCGCTCTGTATGTGGCGCCTGCCCAGCAAGGAACTTATCAACAAGGAGGGTTCTAGGATGGTTGACCAGCGACATCACCAGCGCCTGCTGATGAGCTACAGTCCCTTCAACACTGCAACACTACTGGCTGAACAAATTAACATGTTGGGGACATCCCCGGGTACGCGTATGCTTTTCTGGCAGATGAGAGATGATATGGATTGTATATGGTTCTCGCCTAAGGATCACACTCTGGTGCTTAAAAATCACCTATATGATGATCTGGATAACTTGAGCGAGGAAATTAACACGACTCCGCCGCGGGTGAGACCCGCATGGTTGGATGTGTTCCCCCTATGGAGGTCAGCCCAGTATTCCATGGACTACTGCCTCCCCGTTTACATTTTTTGGCTACACCTTCGATCTTCGTGCGCCATCAGCGTGCAGGAAATTGACCTGATACCATATGACATGAGGGACAAAGCGCTACAATCCGCCGAGGCTGGCAACCATCCTTCCGAGGAGATTAAGATGGAGGATGAACCCATGGTAACAAACACACAGGCGATGCAAGGACAACAGATGCAGACACAACAATTACAAGCTCAACAACTACAGGCTCAACAATTACAGGTGCAACAATTGCAGGCTCAACAGCTACAGGCTCAGCAGATACAACCATTGAAGAGGCATCACCCCCTTCCTCAACAAGAGCAGTCGAGCGAACCGGCAAGGAGAGATGTTTACAATTGCCAGAGCACTGGCTGCAGCTACTGCGGTGTGGCCCCGGTGGATAGAGGCCTTGGTGACGATCGCAGCCTGTGGTCGTTCCTGCGACGCAGGCTGTTCTGCCGCGTACAGCTGCCGTACCTTTTCACCCCTTCCGACCACAAGCACGGCTGTTGTGCGATGATCGGTTTCCTGAACCGCCCGCAGTTCTGTAACCCAGACGATGTGGAAGAGGTTACTTGCGATGTCTCGGGAGACCGCGTATGCGAGACAGGAGTGCTGCTTTATTTCAGAGGACGGCTAATCAGCAGGCTTGAGGGACATTTCCCGGCACCACCTTCGGAGCTTGAAAGCGCACGTGAGCCTCCGAAGCGGTCATTGTTGAACGGTGAACTCTACAGATTCGCGCTTACAGCCGTGATCAATGTGCCTGAGTGGCTCATTCCATCGGCTACGAAGCAGGAGTTCGTGCAAGAGAACAACAAGGCCTTCTTTGACTTCAAGGCTAAACTTATGGCACTTCTATCGGAGTACAGCAAGGTCTGCCACAACCGCACCGAACGCAAGGCGTGGGAATTAAATCGCCTGCAACAGCTGATTGCTTACGACCAGCACCAAGAACAACTCCGCATAGAGCGCACCATGAGTGACCAAAATGAAGAGACGCTTCCGATATGGAGAAACGATGCAGACCGTGATATGGCTCCGGGTGATCTGGCGGAGGTGCCTGCGCTAATAAACCAGGAGCCTCTTCGCCAGTATGAGCAGTTATAGTAGAATAAACGTGTCAACTTAACGTCCACTAATGTCCCTGATCTGTTGAGGTATGTCTGTAGACCGGCATTGAAGCGCTGCGCGGCGCATGAGGAGCCGTACCACGCCGAGCCGATGCGGATGGACATAGACACTGGCGCAGGTGGAGCAGCATGTTCGCGGTTTTAATGAGATAAAGAGCTCCTATTGACTCCAGGTGCACTGCAATTATGTTTACGTTGAATTTAAATAGCCCGGCGTTGCTTCCTCGGGATTTCTGCAGAGGGTATCTGGCTTCTATAAATCTTCTACAAAATGGTACACGCAAAAGTGTTGAACAAAAGGGGGATCAGCTGCTTTCGAACGAAAAAGTGCGTCCACCATTTGAAAGGCGACTGCAGCTTTACGGGATCTGGGTGCCTGTACAGCCACCAATCGATTTGTGTACGCCGCTGCCCCTTCTACCTTTGCGACACTTCTTTCATCCGTTACATTCCACTACTGTGCAAAAATGTAGTGTTTGGACCAAAGTTCGAAGTAGTTGAGATGAATTGCCCGCACAGAAATGAGTGCATATACTCGCATTGTCTCGACGAGCTATTGTACCACCCGAACTTCTACAAAATAATACCCTGTAAGGACCACCTCCACGGGCTTTGTGAACAAACCTTCTGCCCGTTTGCGCACCACGTGAGCGAGCAGCGCACCCTGCGACACTATAAGGTGCCATTTGCCAAGGGGCTCGAGATTCCGCCAATCAAGCACATCACGCTGGTCGACAGGATTGTACGCAAGAAGGCGAGGATTGATGCCGACGAGCCAAGTGAATCGTCGTACATACCGGTGATCAGCAGGGCTAGTACATGCAGCGGCGTGAAAGGGGAATCCGACTGCCGCGACGAACACCTTAACAGGCTACTAATGAGCATGCGCATCACAACTGCAAGGACGTATCCGACAAGACACCTATGAGTAAAATGTTTTCAACTGTTCCGGAATCCTCATATCACTGCAACCATCTTACGCCAAACTACAGAAGTCGAAGTTGTCGAGATGTCAAGGTACGAGCCTCCAATGTCCTACATTCTGTGGAAATTAAGGCAACAAAACATTTAACAGAGCCGTATACGCGACATTGACTCTTATGTGACGCTATAAAGTCCCACAAGTGTTGCTTTGAGACGTCGACGTGTTTTCTTTCTTCCCCTCATCGCGCACCATCAGCCATCAACCGCGACTTCTAAAGGCATTTCATCAGCATGCGCGGCAGGCACGTGCGCCAAATTACAGCTCCGAAATATAACAGCGGCGCAACAAATCCCCCGTGATCGTTGGTGAACGATTCTCGGAATTACGACCGTTAGACAGGCCGCTTTACGACATGGAGAGGCAAACGTTGCCGCCAGCTTGCATGACGAACCGATATACATAGCAAACGTTAAAAGAGTCAACTAGATATAAGTATACGTAATCTGTCATTAAATTGGTTGTGGCTGGTTGAGAAGTGTTTTCCTGCGACGCCATGTGACGCACTGCTGCAGTTAACCTACAGGAACCTGGGGGCACCGAAGATCTCTACACCACCTGAAATGGGCATCTTCGGGAACACATCGGTGAAGAAGTAATATGTGTGCCCTACTGCAATGCCTATCAGGCTCTCGGTGAGCAGGTAGCCCGCAAAGTAGGACAACATCATCATGATCCTGCAAGGAATCCACAGAGAGCGTAATCGACCTACCAGGGCAAATATGGCGCCGGAACCGATATAAAAACTATTCCAACCCTACTGTACGGGTTCTTTCTACCCCAAATGTAGGTTAGAATGTTGATCATGGTGCCACCGTAGAACATGTTGTGGTGAAAGAATTGCGATAGACCCTGCCGCAGCGCCATATAGTTTGCGAAACTGTCGAAACATACCAGCAACATCGCCGCAGAGCACAGCAGCATCCAGAGAAAATCCGCAGGACGGTTATGCATACTCACGCTCTCCAGCGAACTGCAGTAGTGGACCAGAACGTATATGTTCCAGAAAAAGTTCATTCCAAATGAACCGAAGTAGACAAAACACGTTAACAGGCGCCACACCTCCCCTTGCAAGACCATGGTCCAGCTCATATAGAGGTTTAGAGGACTTATTATGTCCAACGAGCACAATATCATGAGACATAGCGAGGTAGATATGTATAACCGAGTCATGAACGGAATAGACCCGACTAGAGCATCCATCGTGACAGGATCGAAAGGGTAATAAATCTCCCAGAAGTGACGACCGCCTCGTTAAGAGGACGTCCCCGCGCTCGTGTTTGCGTCTAATATCTCCCAGCAACCAGATTCAATTAACACATTAGGTAATCATTTTATGCAATCCAATGTGGCTATTTCATTGTGGATATATCGTAGAAATGACGGCAACGACAACTGCTGCCGGTTTACACATATGAGTCAAAGGCCGTCTGGCGCGACCCGCCAGCCCAATTTAGCTCTCCCTGGCGACCTTTCACGACAGTGGTAGAACAATTATTTACGCAACATGTAGGCAAACCAGTTTTTTGACTAATTACTTGACTCCTGATGGCACATCGTACCAACTGGGCGATACACAGCATCTTACGTATGCGTACACATACTCTCTACGATCGTCTCATTTAAGTCTTACATACAGTGTCTATGATCTCTGGCCGTTAGTCCCTAAAAGTCTGTTTCTTAAGGCCACCTACAACACTGCGGCGGTACCTTCGCTGCGTACATCGGTAATACCTTTGTGTTCCAACTAATATGCCCAGACATTACAAAATAAACTGTCTCAGGTTAAGGTTTTATTCTCATGAGCATGCCTATAATCGATAACAAGGTAATATAGAACGGTTTAGGCAGTTATGGATGTAACACGTTAGCTATGGCGCATTGGTGTTGATAATGTATACTTATAAACCGCCATCCGCTGCACAAAAGCCATTATTTTACGCTTAATGACCACTATAGGTGGTGACGGGGACCTTTAAATTGTATTACTGTGCCGGCTTCTCTGACGCTGGTATGTACAACTGAATCTGACAGTTCATCCTCGATTCATAGGTTGCTTTTTTAAATTACGAAGTATGCGCACCCAACTTTCCAGACAAATTCAAATAGTATGGAACTAATTAGCCGGTTTTCACGTACCCCGGCATTATAATATTTATGTAAGAAACAATGGCTTTAATAATGCCGACGCACCTAACCAGATGGACTCTCACTGTCGTCCTTCTCGCCATACCGGGTGTCATTTGCTGTAGGTTACATATAAAATGAAAACGCCATTTAGAGATTTAAATGTTTGTATTAACTAATTCTGCAGTGGTGGAAGATGAAGCTGCTGTGTCCTTTTTGGAGGGTGCCCTTAAAGGTTGGTTTTAGTACTTGCCTTTGGATTGGGTGTTTCCTGTCTAATGCTTACGCTTTTTGCAGATATGACATTACAAGGATCGGCGGCTAGTATAGATTGTGGGCAGCAGTTTATTCATATAGTTGCCGCCTACGAACAGTGCGATGGGCAGACTACTGACAGAACCTCAGATCTACTACGCATTTGCACATCTCATAAATGTGATCCTCCATTTTTATGCAAATCTGAGCGACGCAAAATGAACGTGAAATACACGTGTGAAGGTACGGTATATTCCACCATTTTCCCGAATTCTTAGTAAAGATGAAATAATGTGACAGATGACCCCCTTCGATATGGAAATGGTGCCAACGGTAAGTGCCAATTGTCGATCCTTTTCGTTATCCTACATACATTAATCGTTGTTTTTGCTAAGGAATTACCTAAGTATTATGCTTTGCTTTCGTTTGACTACTGTAATAAGTGCCTGTGTACGGCTTGGAACCGTTTTCGTTGTGGGAAGATTTCTCAAAGCATCACGTAGCATTCACTGATGTAGTTATTGGTGACAACGCTTCGTATTATGTCCCCGTATTGTCAATTCTTAATTTCGTTACTAAAAGCGTACATCCTATCCTCAACCCATACAGCAAGTCCGCCCAAGCAAAACAGACGTATCCCGGTTGCATACCGTTGCAAGGATAATAAACGCATCATCGTTACCATGGCCGTCCTTGGATTTGTGCAATTCACCACGCAGAGGAAGAAGCCAATCAACGTTGCCAATGAAGTCAGGCGATTTTGTCAGTTCAAAGAGTTCTGCTATTTAATTCTGAAACCGCAATACAGGGATGCATTCGCAGATACAGACCAGAACATGTTTTTCCGATTCTCGTGTGTATCAGGTAGTTTGTATTATCTGTCAATATAGTGCTCCAGTTACCGACAAATGCTACAACATGGAATGCGGTCCAAATTCGCATTGCGTTCACGAACGTGGCCTTGCACATTGTGTATGTGACCAAGGATCCGTTAAAGAAAACGGAGTTTGTGTCGACAAATTCTTTGCTCCAAGTTTGTTTGAACGTAATCTTGCGCTGCACGAGTTTGAAACGGGTTTGTTCCAAGAAGCTTACGACACTACGGCCTCTTTCGAAACCGATTACCAATTCCGTGGGCCTGGTACATCCGGTGTACCTAAACCTGATGCGAAAATAAATGAGGATAGCAAACCCAGTGATGATATTAAACCTGACGACGGTATCTCGAATGACAAGTCCAGTGACGATATTAAACCGGATGATGATAAATCGGGGGATGATGGCAAACAGATCGATGACAAATCGGGTGATAACTCTAATGACGTTAAACCCGATGACGATAAACCCAGTGATAATAAGCCCAACGATGACATACCCAGTGATAATAACCCCAATGATGACATACCTAGTGATGATAAGCCCAGTGATGATAAACCGAGTGATGACAAATCGACTGATGATGTTAAGCCAAGTGATGATGTTAAACTTGGTGTTGGTGAGCCGGATGATGTCAAACCAGGTGACGGTACCTCGAATGATGTCAAAACACATGATGATAAATCGGGTGATGACGGTAAACCGGGTGATGTTAAACCGAGTGATACCAAACCTGATGAAGGTAAACCAAGAGATGACGATAAACCAAGTGATGACGGTACCTCGAATGATGTTAAACCGAGCGATGGCAGTACCTCGAATGATGATGCCAAACCTGATGAAGGTAAACCAAGAGATGACGATAACTCGAATGGTAATGGTGATTCAACACCCCAACCCGATCAACCCTCTTCCACTGGCGACAGCGATGCAAATAGTTCACCTACAGGTAACAGCGAATCCGAATCGAATTCTGCAGGATCTGGTTCGCCAAACTCTCAGGATGGGTTGGACGGTAAACCTGATGACAATTCCCTCCCGGACCCAGATGCATCGGCTGCCAACACACCAGATGATGGATCTATTGGAAGTGGGTCTGACAGCAATACAGACGTAGAGCCTTCGGACAATACAAATGGTAGTGCAGGTGAAAACACAGATGCAACCCAAGGAGGACCATTGAATGCCAATGAAGATAAAAACGCAGCTGTTACAAACGGTTCACCTGAATCACCTCCATCTACCGAAGACACCATAGCGGGAAGAAATCGGTCACGGCGAGACGTGGGGATCAACACTGACGGTACTGATTCTCCAATTACAAGTACTGAATCAGACTCGAGGCCCCTGGACCCTGACGCATCTTCTCATAATACAAATGGAAGCGGGCCGCCGACAGGTGGTTCGGCACACGATGCACAGGGTAAACACGACAAAGCAACACAAGCCAATCTGCCGCCATCTTCATCGGATGACGTTAATAAGTTGCCTGATTTGCGGATAAACGCCGGTGGAGCAACCGACGGTTCAGCGGCCTCTGTCAGTCACCCCAAGTGGGCTAAAATAATTCGATCCAACCATTTGCTAGCTGCCATAACTAAGCTCAGAACCGGCATCAAACATAAAAAGGAAGGTCGAACACAGGGAAACACCTCAACACATGGAAGCTCTATCATTGATGTACCTCCAAACCCTCCGAATAATCAAAGTAGCCAATCATCCAACGTCCCTACAGTTCCAGGTAGCTTGCATTCAGACGCATTGTCGGATATTAGTTCCCCGACTATCACTTCAACCACGACGCATTTCAACGGGTCAAAGGAAGCTGAAATACATCCGATCGGCCAGCCATTAGTAAACCCATGGGATATCCCACAGGTCGGGCATGAAGCAGGGGAGACGAGATCCTTCAAGTGTAAAATTCCAGAATCAAGCAGGTAAGCCGCCCAAAACCATCATCTAATGGCTGCAGAAACCGTTACTCGTTCAGCCCGCCGAACCACCACGGGTACATAGAGGTGGAAGTGAGACAAGACGGCGCAAATCAGAGCCTATATCGATACAGATACTGCAGCAATAGTAACGCGTAAAATTATAATCATAAGTGTTTCTTCCAGTGGAGCACTTTCTGCACCGATGTTTTAAGTGCGGCTGGCTACTGCCATGCAGCTTAAACCGTATGGAAACAACGATGACTATTATGTTACCAATCGGAATAGGCTGTAGCGATTACATGTATTCCCCAATCTGCATATTGTGAGGCGTATCACGCGCAGCTTACCTCCGCGGGCATTTCTTCGATCTGTGTGTTGTAGTAGTTCTCAATGTTCTTCATGGCTTCCATGTCCATGGGAGTAAGGAAGTTGATGGCTACACCCTTACGACCGAACCTTCCAGAACGTCCAATCCTGTGGATGTAGTTGTCCGGTGACATCGGCAAGTCGTAGTTGATGACAAGGGACACTTGCTGCACATCGATACCACGGGCAAGCAGGTCGGTGGTGATGAGGACACGGGTGGATCCCGATCTGAACTCCCTCATGATGAGGTCACGCTCGTTCTGTCCCATGTCGCCGTGCATGCTGGAGACGGTGAAGTCCCTCTCCTGCATCTTGCTGGTGAGCATATCTACCTTTCTTCGTGTGTTGCAGTAGATGATGGCCTGGGTGATGGTGACGGACTCGTAGAGATCGCAGAGCGTGTCAAACTTGTACTCTTCCTTGTCGATCATGACGTAGAATTGCTTGATACCCTCCAAGGTAAGCTCGTCCTTCTTGACGAGGATACGTTTCGGCGACCTCATGAACTTGGTCGTCAGCTCCAGGATTTCGTTGGGCATGGTGGCACTGAAAAGCGCGACCTGGACATCCGGAGGCATTCTCCTGAAGACCTCGTGAATCTGTCCCTTGAATCCACGAGAAAGCATCTCGTCGGCTTCATCGAGGATGAACAGCTTGATCTTGTGCGTCAGAAGGGCCTTCTTGTCAATCATGTCGTACACACGTCCGGGAGTACCCACGACCATGTGCACACCAGCCTTCAACTTCATAACATCGTCCCTCACAATGGTACCACCGACACACGCGTGGCACTGGACCTTGAGGTAGTCACCAAGGGCGAGCACGACCTGCATAATTATGAATGTTTGACGTCCGCACACGCACCTTCTGGATCTGCTGGGCCAATTCCCTGGTAGGGGCAAGAATGAGAATCTGACAGGACAGAAGATTGTAGTCGATCAGCTGCAGCGCAGCGATACTGAAGGTGGCGGTTTTACCGGTTCCAGACTGGGCTTGTCCGATGGTATCATGGTTCTCAATGATGGGTTTGATACCACGTTGCTGGATCGCGGAGGGTCTCTCGAAACCGTAGGAGTAAATTCCACGGAGGAGGTCTTCGTTCAACTTGAGGGCCTCGAAGGAATCAACAACCTCATCGTAGTTAGATTCCATGGCATCTACGCCATTAGATTGGGCCGGTTGATTTTCAAAGTTATCAGACGGCGCCATTTTCAATACCAAACTATCTTAACAAAGATACAGACGGTGTGGAGGAGCGTTGTTAGCCGGTAGGTCGCGTGGATTCCGCTTGTATTATATACGTGCGAAGACCCCGCGATCAAAAACAGGTAGGTGCAGTAAGTAGCGGCAAGAGCGTTTACAGATAGTAAAAACGTGGCTACGGGCAACGGCGCCCAACTACTCGTGCCCCCACTTAGCAACAGGTACAATATCGTGGCTGCCGTTTGTCCTATGAGTCGGCGCGTTAGCATTTTAGTGGTGTCTAAAATTATGTATATGTTGTGTGATGTCAGTGCGGTGCGTAGGTGGTGTTAGGTAACGACATCGTAGTCGGCGGTGAGCAAGTGGCGCGTGTAGTTCCGTGCAACCGTATGTCGTTTTCTCCGCCCCTTCTGACAACTGTTTATAGTTGGATATTATAAATATGTGTGTGCGCGCAAGAGAATCCCTTCCGCAACGTAGGTGGTGTACGTCTTTTCCCCAGACATAGATGCCACTTGACCTTTCTGTTACACACGGCACTGTCACGGCTCGCATCCGTACAAAACAATATGTTGATATGAGGATGTACGTTGACAGTTTCGTGTAATAGTATGCGTATTTCACCAAAGCACGTGTGCTCTTCTCGACGTCACGCGTCCGTTTTTTCAGCTGTCAGCGCACATAAGTCACGGCCTACGTTCCAGCCTATACACGTGTGATTCTATTGGACAATAACAATAATTCACGCCTTCACGGACTCGCTTTCTGTTGGTGCTTGCGCCCTCCACATTATTCTGCTGCAGCGGCGTCATTGCTGCCGCTGCCGTTAGCCTTCACATGATATTAGACAATGTTGGAAGTTGTGGTTTACAAAGATTGCGTTGAGGGCCGTTTGGCCACCCTTCTTTGGGGCTACGGCAAGTTTACCAACGTTACTCTCTCCTTCGCTCCGTCTAGGGCGGTAATTGCGCGCGTCTTGTAATCCTATCGCTCACAGGCCATGGTAGTGAAGGAAGATGGTGCCATAACGCCGATGATATGGCCAACTCTCCTCGAATTGGCCGTTAAAGATGCACCCACCGAGTCTGTTTTGGTGCCGTCGACCGAGGCGCACAAGGTGGGAACTTTCCAGACTTGTATTTAACTTTGTGTGACAGCGAACGATGTATTCGTGGATCGATTTCGCGTACCAGCGGGATTTCAGCATCATGGAGCCAGCTTCTCTGAAGGTACGGAATCAAACAAAGCTTTCGGTGTACACAAACTGCAACAGATTTTGGATGACTACATTCTGAACCACACCTTCCTCGCTGGATCAACGGTCACCTTGGCTGATCTGGTCGTATATGTTTCCACACACAGCTGGATGATGAAATCCGAGCCTCAGGACCGTTCTGAATATGTGAATGTCGTCAGGTGGTTCGACCACATCCAGCATCTGCCCGGCATCGTGAACACTTTCAAGGAGCTGCCTTTAGTCTCTGTAGACAAGGACATGGATTTAGTCACGGCGGTGATGGAAAAAACGACGCTGTCGGCCGCTGCAGCGCCCTATGGTAGGTTGCATTATAGGTATTGAACACCACATTACAGCGAAACCATCCAAGGGAAAGAAGGATGCCGTAGCTAAGAAGCCGAAGGAGATTAAGCCACCAGCCGATGATCGACCTGTTGCCGATGTCAGCCGGTTGAACATAAAGGTTGGACAGATTATGTCGGTGGAGCGCCACCCAGAGGCTGATCGGTATGATCTTATTGCGTGGTAATCATTATTATTTCAGACTTTATTGCCTCAAAATTGATCTTGGTGAACCCGAACTCCGCGACATCTGCTCTGGTCTCGTCGACTACTTGAAGCCGGAGCAGATCATGTCGCAATACGTCTGCGTCTTGTCTAACATGAAACCCAAGAGCCTACGTGGAAAGATGTCCAACGGCATGGTTTTGTGTGTTTCGAGCCCAGACAAGACCGAGCTGGAGCTTCTCCATCCCGCTGATGGAACACCGGTACGTGATATCTAGGGCTAAGCAGATAGCCTCAGGTTGGCGAACGCGTCGTCATCGAAGACTGCAACGGCGAGCCCGATGCCGTTCTCAGCACAAAGACCGGTAAAGACCCATTCGTAGCGGTGCAACCAGTAGGTTACAGGATTAACTCGCTGACACAATCTCAGGAATTCAACTGCAAAGATACAGTGGCATATTACAAGGTATGGTTCATAGCGCTCTAAGTAGCTTCACGATCATCAGGACCGCCGTTTCATGACGTCCCGCGGACCCTGCCATTGCAACTCGCTAAAGGCGGGCACGATATCATAACTGCGTTGTTGAATGTTTGAAATCCGGTTCAGATTGTTTTTGCCTTGTACAGTGTGCTAGGTGGCTACGTGACTTGTACCTATGATCGCTAAAAGCTAAAACCGCGTTCCCGGCAAGCTGTTGGTGTGCTCTGCAAGTCTCCACAATGTCGGGTATACACATGCCGAGCCGTGTTACGCCTAAAAGCACCCCGCCAGTTGGCGTCCTGAATACAATTCTAGAGACGCTAAGAACTGTATTTAGCCTCACCTAACGGTGCCTGTGTAGTGGATTAAAATCGTGTACATCATACGGGCGATAATTACATTTCATAAATTATAAACGCTTCGTGTGCGTTCCAATGATGCCAAGTGACGACTGCGACTCCGGGCGCTCAAGAACGTTTGTCGAGCAACTTGTAGACCTCAGCTGGCACAACTACTCAATAGAAAGCCCAAAATGCAGAAAAGTCGCAGAGTATGTCCAATACATCTTGATCCACATCGCTTAACGCCTCAAATATATAGGAAATTCTCATATGAGGGCGCCTTTCCGAATCCTTGTAGCCTACGGCCCTCAATACATCTGCCAAACGCTTCCTCGCCCTGGCATTCGACTCGTCCTTAGCCGCAGCTTTGGTCGCATCTTTCAAAGAACGTAGGCCTGCGTATAACATAGGCGCAATACCCACGAAGACCACGGCGCACGCTTCCGGGTCCTGCGCGCAAGACGCATCCCACGTCGCTTCTGGACTGTAAACAGATTCATACTGGTCAGGGATTTTCATATGCTTTAGGAACTTGTCACAACCATATACAACGAGGCCTAAGAATCTTGCCATGGCTTCAGGCTGTAAACGCTTCTTCTTTATGATGTTAAAATAATCGCTGTCCATACTACTAGAGAGACGCTTAAGGGGTAGATCCGTTTTATCCATAGGCGCATTGAATTTCTCTAGTAGCTCATCAACGAATGGCTGGTCCCTGAGCGACGGTTTCATCAAGAAGTCTCTAGAAAAGATTTTTACTTTCTTGAGCGGTAGAAACTCCATCTTGCCGATAGGCTTGTCTGCGAGCAAATCGTGAAGCGCGTCACCCATAGCAGTCAAGTTTTTTTTAGCATCAGTGCCCCTCAGGGCTATCAACCAGTCAATACCCTCCTTTAGGTTGCGAGGAGCCCTAGTCAACGAATCGAATGCCATTTTGTAGAGATTCTTTATGTTAAGTAATTGCTATAAACGTGTGGATTCTGTGGTTTTACAGGCCGCCTTGGGAAAACGTGGGTATTTAAGCTGCAGCGTACAACGCCAGGTATGTATTAGTCGCCAATCAGCGCAACAGTGCCGCTGTCACCTAGTAAATACGCGTTTGAATTGGATCTAAGAAATTGTGGACGCAACAACTGTGCATACGATAGAGGTACAATTATTACCTTGTTGCCCCATTGACGGCAAGTACATACCATTGATGTCGCATGCGGTGTGCACAACGCATGTCATTGGCGTATCCAAGTTTCAGACAGTAATTTCAAACATGAGCATTGCGGTGTCATTATATTTGCAGCGAGACATCAAGGTTTGTTATTTTTACCATGGGTCACGAGTAGTATATTGCCATCTACGTCCTCCCATGGTCATTCCGTCTATATCCAGGCGTAGCCCACTGGTACGACGCACCCATTATTTTAGATATTCACCAAAACACTAGGATTCCATTTATTGGCCGAGCAGGCATATAACAACCTTGCCTATCATGGCACCTTGGGGCGCTAGCATGAATCGTCTGTTATCGAGCTTCATAAATCCCTAATACTATACTTTTGTGCCGCTAAACTCGACAACTGGGTCACTAAGACTCCTACCTAACAGGTCCAGCTGCGTCGTGTGCTGCGTGCTCTATGTTAGTGTGGTTGCTCCCGAAGTCAAGCAGCCTTTGCGACCTTGCGGGACACCACGGCACTGCATACGTCTCAGCGACACATCTCACAACTAATGCACAGATACATACCACATTACGTACAAACCGAAAACTTGAATGCGAAAATTACTGCTAGAGTCCAATCCAGCCAACTGGGTCGTCGAAGTAGTCCACGTCGCGGTAGAGTGAGAGCATCTTCCGGCCTTTAGTGAGTAAGGCCTTGACATCAATGAGATGAGACGCCTTGGAGCGCAAGAGGTGAGATCGTATGCGCAATACGTCCATGCGGTAGAGCATCGTGTGGGCGAGGAAGATCATTGCGACAGACCAGAGTGTAAGCTGAGTGTAGATGAAAGGCTCCCGGACTCTGTGGAGGAACTCGTCCATGGCTGTCATGAGGCTTGCGATAGGCTCTCCGGCGACCACTTCCTTCAGCTTATCGATGACCTTAGAACACGTGAATGACGGCTGCGATGTACCCTCCGGCGGCGTGAACCCGTGAGTGTAGAGAAGCGGCATGGCCTTGTCACACTGGTGAAGAGACTTGGGCTTGGCGTCGTGACAATGAAGTCTCTCAAAATCTCTCCACAGCATTTCCAGTGACTCCCAGAGTCTGTCTGCCAGGTACACCGCCCAGCTGAGGTAGGTGTGGGTGAAGCTCGGCGCGTAGAGGGCGTAGGCCCGGTAGGTGATAGGCAATATGTGTTGTGGGCAGTTGACACTATTGATGGCGCAAGGAAGCAGTGTTGATAGGGTGTTGAGATGGCTATGGCCTGAGTTATGCAATTGGGGACCCCGGAGGTCTCGGACGGCTCGGAGGTCGGCGTCGATGAGACGGTCCCAGTCTGGGCAGTGGTCATGTCGAGTGGTGAGGGCAGAGCCCAGTTTAGACAACTGTGAAGATACATCATGAAGAGAATTCCCGAAGTTGTGGAAGAACGAGACGAGCTCCCCGGTGGTGCGCGGCGTCCGTCTGGTGAGGCAGTTGAGGTGGGAGGACAATGTAAGCAAGGGATCCTCGCCGCCGCAGGTGGGAGTGAGGATGGTGGAAATATGCTTGCCAATTTGCTGAGATGCAGGCAAATCATCCTTTCGGAATCCCATGTTGACGCGGCTCCTGAGGCAGATGTTGCACGGGTCGAAGGGGTAAGTCTTGAACTTGGAGGCGGTGGCATCGGTCAGAAAGGCCTGGAGGGGGGAGTCGGAAACACTTACATGAAGGCCATATTCACAATCCTGCCAACCACCGTTCCTGGCGCCCCGAGAACACTGAGACTTCAGGAACTCCAACTGGTGGTAGCACGCGTAGGCGTAGTCCCGCAGCTGGCAGAGGAGGGCGCAGCAATCAGGGTCCTTGGATTGGTCTGAGTCCTTAGACGCTGAAGTTACAGACGACACCGCCACTCTCCAGTTAGGTTCAATGGAGGTGAGCACCGAGGCTACAAACGCTGCGGCAAGCTGGAGGGTGTCGACGACGTGTTTGGGGTTGATGTGAGAATCGTTGACTGGGAGCGTGGGGCTGGAAGCGTCATCATCGCCGCGCTTGAAAGCGTTAGTAATGCACTCTTTCAGAGTCTCTTGATGCTTTTTGTGTTGCAGTCCGGCCAGCCAAATGAGCATGTCCCTGACCGTGCGCGGTGCCTCGGAGGGGAACAGTTCCGTCTCGGGGATGTCGGCGGAACCGTCGTTAGATGTCTGGGTGAGCCAGGTAGGGGTGCAAAAGTTGATGGGTTTAGCTTCGGTAACATATGGAGTGACAAACCTGTCCTTCAGATCCGGCAACGGTTCTGGCTCTCCCACGTTTAGAGAGGTGGGAGTGTATGGATTGATCGGATCGATTGGCCGAGCGCTTGGGGGAGGCGAAAGATCATAATCCAAGTTTATGTCATACGAGGTATCGGTGACCGCGCGCTTGGGGACGTGGATGTCTATCTCAAAAGGGTCCGGAGTTTTGCGAGGCGGGGCTCCCACAATGTCGAAGCTTTCAACGCCGTAATCATTTACGCTGTTAGCGTACTCCGTTAAATTATGCAAGAATCTTTTATTTTCCTTTTCTCGCCTCCTCTCCTTTTCCGAATGTTGGTAGTGCGCATCTTCTATTTCTGCGATTTTCCGCCGTTGCTGTTCAATCTCAGAGTCATGGCCTGCCACGTAGCCATCAAATTTAACAATCAGTTGATCGTCTAAATCTTTAACTTCGTCGCCCTGAAGATGCGCAAACACATCACCGTCTAACCCTTTCGCTATTAATTCATTCTGCTCTGCATTTTCTTTAATTTTTTGCAAAGCTTTTTCCAACTTCTCCCTTTCATAATCTTCATATTTTTTAATTTCAGCAGTGTCTTGCTTCTGACGTGCTCTCAGCCTATTCCGCTGGCTTATATGGTCTCCCAACATTTTCTGCTTAGTTTCCCAGTACAGGTTCTCTGCTGCTTGTTGTTTCTGCAATATTGGGTCCACTTCATCTTCCACAACGTCGCCGAAAAAAGCAGGGCTTATTTTTAATTCACCCTCTCGTGGCTTCTCTAAATTATGCACCGGTGCGCCGTCTAAATCGTACGCCACTGGTTGGTCAAAATCATTCACTACCGATTCTTCAACGTCTACAACATCAGAATAGACAATATCAGCCACGACTGGATCGTGATGGTTGTCCATTACTTCCGCGTCAACAGCGGACACTTCTGCACCGTCCACCGGGGAATCGCCAAAATCTGCTCCCGGGCCAAGGAAACCTTCAAGCATCGGCCCACCCTGGTCGGCGAACGAGGCCATAACTGATGATGTGTATTCCGGAGTATCATAGTAGTGCGGCCGCTGGTTGCGATAGTAATTAGGCGCAGGCATGAGCGGATGCTTGGCTGCAACAGCCATTTGTTTTTTGCGCTCATTTTCTTCCTCTTGCTTCTTACGCTCTTCCGCTTCTTTCTGCTGCCTACGATACTCTTCTTCCTCTTGTTTACGTAATTCTGCATCTTTCTCTTTTTGCTCCGCAACTCTTCTAAATAAGTCTTCCAATACCTTTTGGCGCCGTTCATGTTGCTCCTTTTGTTTTTCATAATTATCCATAACATATTTTGGCGTTTTTTGTCGCTCACAGAATTTTTCCCTGGGATATTTCAAAAAATTCTCGTTACTAGGCTCTATGCATGGTGGAGGTGGAGGAACAGCAGGCCCACTCCCCCCACCCCCTCCTGGAGCTCCACTCCCACCTCCACCTCCACCAGGCGCCGTGCCAGCCGGCGCAGTAGCGCCGCTGCTTGTAGCTTGCCCGGGGGCTTGACTTGTTGGTTGAGTAACATCTTGACTACCTTGATGACCAGACCCCTGACCACCAGTTGTATCAGCGTTTGACCCTGAAACACTTGTAGGCTGAGTAAGCGCGTTGCCTTGAGCGGCGCCAGGCTTTTGACCTGATGGGCTATCGGCCGCTGAACCCTGAACTGGGGGACCCGGCGGACCAGAGGGGCCAGGGGATGCAGGAAGAGGGGGAGGTTCCGCTTGAGTAACAATTTGTTGAGCCTGAGCAACTTGATTACCCGGTGTAATTGTAGACTTAGGAGACGCCGGAGGCACTTTACCATCAGGCCCTTGCTTGCCTTGATCACCTTTAGACCCTTCCGGGCCTGGAGCTCCTTCAGCACCGGGAGACTGAGTTGGAGCGGAGTCTGCAACTGACGTACCTGGAACCTGAGAAGACGCCGGAGCTGCGGGAACAGGAGGCCCTTGCGGGCCTTGATCACCTTTAGGCAATGGTAAACTAGAATTTTTACCTGCTTGATCTTGGGCCGTAGACACTGTAACAGCAGTCCCTTGCGGGTCTGAAGCTCCTCCCCCACCGGGAGGCGGAGCTGCAGCAGTAGAGGTTACAACTGATGTACCTGCAGACGTATCTGCACTTTGGCCATTATTTAGATTTGCAGATGCGTCCGCCTTCTTGCCCTGGTTCTGCGCTCCCTCCGCCTTCTTGCCTTGATCTTGATTCCCTTCAGGCTCCTTGGCAGGCGGCACCTCTGGCTTTTGGGGTGGTAAAACCGGAGGTTGCTTCTCCGGCACTATTTCCTTGGGGGCTTCAGGGACTGTGACAGGCGGAACCTCAGACTTTTTACATGTTTCTGTATACTTACCTTCCAAAATCTCCACAAGCCTATCCAAACCGCCGTCACGGGATCTATGAAGCTCACTGATTACATTGTACAATTCCGTCGGCAATTTCTTCGCATCCGTTTCCGATATTTGGAAGCGGTCTCGAAACGTGAATCCGTAGGGGAAGAGATTTTTCGTGAAGTATGCACCAAGATATTTTTCTGTATTTTCCTTAATATTCACCAAATGTTTCCGCACTTTAGTCACATTTCCTCTCAACCAATCCGCTGTTTTCTTAGCCAACTCCTCTTTATTAAGGTCGCTAACTTTCGTCACCTGACCTGTGAAGTCAAAGCGTTTTTCGGCGAGAAACCTGTCAAATTGACTTCTAAGCTTAGTGCAATGGGAATGTAAGTCTTTCCAGCAAATGGATCTGCCGGATGAATACACATGACTGTTTAAATCGTCATTTAATGCTGTTATTAGCTCTCCGCCGTTATTACTTTTCTTTGCCTCCTCCAGGACAATATCGCAGAACGTTCTGACCAATACAAGAGAATTCGCGGCGTTGTCTTTACGATTGGCCGATTCGCCAATAACGGAACTGACAAACACGCTTCGGAAGAAGTTGTAGTATGTTCTTTTGTCCACAATCTTTTCAAGGTCCAGAGACATTTCCGCACCCTGGGGGTATCCAGTGTTCCAAAATCTTTTATATTTCACCTCTCCGTAATTGAAGCCACCGGGTATGAGACCGCTGTAGTTATCACTACTTTGAGCATGGAGGTAGTTAGCAAGATCACCGCCATCATATGTATTTGCATTGTATCCCAGCCAATTCTTTTCCCACCACCCGCCGCCCAGCGGTTTGAATGTCGGATTTACGCTGTACTCCAAGTAGTAGATCGCTGCGAGGAATCTAGGGACACACTCTAGAAGGGCGTCGGCAATTGTTTTTGCGTCCTTAGTCTTATATGTCCACGGCGTTTGGTAGAAGCACAATCTCCCATAAAAGTTTGACACGGCGGTAAGTAATGGGGACAGCTCGGACTCAATTTTATGCACTGGTTGAAATGAGGTACTAAAATATTTCTCAACACGCCCATATAGATCTTGGGCCACCAGGTTTTGCATCTTCTTGTCTTTATGCAACCACTCCAGGAACCGGAGACAGTCCTTGAGGGTACCAAGCGGAATACCGTGCGGCTCCATCTTAGTTACGAAGTCAAAGAGCACAGATACTAATAAATGAGTACTAGGCTAATGGTACAACGTTACACGTAAAAGCGTTTTAATGGGTGAACTAGGAGACACTAAAGTGATAAAACCTCTGAGGTGACGCCGCTTACAAAGACAGCGTAGTCAATCCACTAGGTACGCTACGTGAACAGGCTACAAAGTGAGACGCTGCGTGACAAATGGGTGGGTTAATGTAGTGCAACAAAGCAGGCCTGGGTTGCATGGCTTAAAGCAATGAACATGTCCATCGTATAAACATCCCACTCACCTGAGGGGAAAGGAAAGCGACGAGCCAGGGCATCCGTCAAACCCGGAGTCTGACTGGTAATGAAGGCTGGCGCATGGTGGGAAGGCGGCATATTCCATGAGCTATCCGAGTAAATATCATAATGCTTCTTTTCACCCCGCATTGTGACGCCGCCAAGCCGTCTCCCCTCAGAGTTTTGGGACCATCCAAACAACCACCACTTAACACACCGCCAGAGACTCCACGGCCGCGCGTCTGGCACCACAGAGATACTATTCCCAGGCAGGCGCATGTGAACGATATCGATCACTGGCCGTGTCTGAAACAGTAGGAGGATCCCTGAGGCGTAGTTCATAGCTGGCCATATAATGTCACCTTGCTACTGCTTATACTATCCGTTCTATAGGTACGCTAATGAGTGCCTAGCTGAGCTAAGCTTCGTATTTACAATGCTAGTGACCGCCACAAAGTTGTCCATAAATGCCACTGAACTAGGACATACTCTAGCTGTCACGCAGGAAATCTCTCGGCAACTCTCATCGCCTGGCAGCGCACATGGTAACTAACATGTCAACGCTCACCTAGCAGATGACTCACTATATCGCCTAGCATGGCAGTCGTCAGCTGTCAATTGCCTCACCATCACTGTCCACTGACGATGGGATTACGTGGGCGGATCTAGTCACGGAACCACAACTTAGCATTCCGGACATTAAGCAACGTAACTAAGCACCTATATTAGTGCGGCCACTGCAGTAAGTTAGGTAGTATGTTGGACAATGGGCTGGATGGGCGAGGCTAAGCAGGCTGTCGAATAGGCCTTGCAGGCTGTTGTGAGGATGGACGCATCTCTCAAGAAGGATTTGAAGGGGGTGAAGCAGAAGATAACTGATGGGATTGCGGAAGTGATTCAGAAGTTGAAGGTTAAAGAGTTGGATGATTTGGTGAAAGGGGATTTGCAGAGTCTGAAGGGGAAGATTGAGGGGCTTAACCAGGAGGTTAATGACAGTACGGACAGTAATGGTAAAATTGTAAGTAAGGAGTTGGCAGAGCTTAAAAAGCATAAGGGAACGCTTGATAATACTACCAGTTCAAGCGGATCAATTCAGAAGGCGGTGAATAGTCTTGATGAAAACTTTAAGAATCATATCCAGAGTCCGCTTGACAGGAAAGTCAGTGCAGTTGACACGGCGATTGGGGCGCTTGGCGGGAATTTTGATGGGGTCAGCAATAAAGAAAAGCTTCAAAGCATTTTCGAGCATATTAAAGGACAGATTGGGGAGATTAAGGGGAAGGGAGGGACAGATAGCGGTTGGCAACGTAAAGATGCTAAAGGTCTTCTTGGCATTGAGGGTGCGATAAAGCATTATGCGGGGAATTTCGCAGGTGTTAAATTTGACGACATAGTGAATGGTTGGCTGCAGGGCATTTTGGGTAAGAGGAGAGGAATTATTGTGGAGTGGTTTAGCGAGTGGATTAATCAGCACGTTCAGGATAACCGGCCGAACGGCAAAAGGGTGGTAGGTGGCTCCACATTTGACAAAATCTTTCGTGACGAAATTATCGACAAGATTAAGGAACAGCTGGTGAACGAAGCACACGCAGCCGGTGGAGTGGTTCAACAAGAAGCACAAAATGCCAAAGACTCAGAAAAAATCACGAAGACCGTTGAGGCTGTAAAAAAAGGCTGCGAGGATTTTGCAGAGAGGATTGATGCAAAACTCAGGAAGGGGCAAATTACTTCGCTTCTTCAAGCCGTAAGGGTAAAGGTTGTCGGCGAGAATTTTAAGTTGAAGCATGGCAAAAATGAAAACGATCTTGATGAAATCCTGAAAACAATCCTAATCGCCCTGCGCTCCACGTCCAATCAGGTTGCGGACGAGATTAAGTCAATCCTACTTGCAGACTACAGGATGGGCGGCGAACACAGCGATATACACATCGCAAAGGCGTTGGATGATGCGATTAGAGTAACCAAGGATCTCGATAAAAAGCTTAACCAGGCGACCAACCCCAAGCAACCCGGCACCTCCAACCAAGAAAGCCCCGCCCAAGCCGTGGACAGCAAGTTGAAGGAAGTGAGGAGTGATGTAGAGACCGGGATTGCTAGTAGATTTACTGAAGTCACAAAAGATCTTAAGAAAGAAGTTAGTGGTCTTGAAGCCGCCGTTAACGAGTTCGACCGCCAAGCTCAAGCACAGATCAAGGAAGCGGCCTCGTCGGCGATTGGGAAGGCGGCTGGGGAAATAAGTGAGGAGGGTCAAGACCCTGACGTTAAGACTAAAATGATTCAGTTCAGCGGTCAGTTCACTAAGATCACTCATGACAAAACAGGACTCCAACCGTCCCTTGAAGGTCTGCTTGACACGCACATTGGTGAGGATGATCCGCCAAAGGGTGGTGGAGCAGGTAATCAAAAAGTTAAACTTAATCAAACAAATTTTGACAAATACAATGGCCACGTTGATCAAGCAAGAATTGAATCCCTTAATGGCAGTAAAACTCTAGACGGCACTGCAGGCGAAGGCAAACTCCCCGAGGCGATCGGGAACATCAAGACTGACGGCCTGAAAAGGGAGTTGGAATCTTCTGTGATTTTCGGGGAAAAATTGAGAAACTGCGTTTCTCAATTTTATCACAGAAAGGAAATTTTTCCGATGTCACTGGGGGGTGTATTGACGGTCGGAAAGGCGGATTTAAAGCGGCAGCATCGCGAGGGGCTAGACGGCCACCGAGGGCCGGTGTCTAGACAACCAGGGTACCGATGGAGAGCTCACAAGAAGTGCAGCTGAGTAGTCAGGTCGATACGGCTGGATACCTCCAGGCTATCGACGTGGACGTCCCCGACGGGATGGACATCGACGCTCCGCTTGTCCCCGTGGGGCACCGAGAGGATCGGATGCCCGAACGGAGGCATGAATCCAGAAAACAGGTACAAAGCGGTGTCAAGGCTCCGAAAAAGAACCCCAAGAAATCGAAGGGGCCCGGCCGTGGCGGCGAAAGCCGCCTCAGTCCGCATCAGGGCCAGATAAGTCGCCAGCCTGGAACCACTCCTGCTGTGCAGGGCGCCCCTAAAAAGGCGCGAAACGGCGGTCCCCAGGGTAAAAAGGGTAACACCTCTAAGCCCAAAAAGGCGGGCAAAAAGGCCAATAGGCCGCCTGCCGCAAGCAGCCACGCAGTGCCGAGTTCGGTAGAACTCGCGCCCGTGTGTGTGCAGGTGTCTAACCTGCAGCCACCAGCAGGAGGCACGAATGAAAATGGTGGCATATGCCGCTCTCCGTCCGTCTATTCCATCCTGTCTGATGACTTTATGGATGTGGACGAAGAGGAACCTGAGCAAGTCGGGCCTGTAGATGAAACAAACAACAGTATAGCAACAGGCACCGCCAGTGAGGTGGCTCTCGCTGAGCCGGCTGCGTTGGCAAGGGCACCCGAAGGGCAAGCCCCCCAAGCTGTATGGGTCGGGAACACGTCGCCAATGCCGTTAAACTACGGCAGGCTGAACGCGAAGATACAGTTCTTACACTGTGTCATGCGTCAGATCAACGGACCATGGTGTCACTGGGCAGTAGATGTATACAAGGCAGTAGCGACGAAATACAGGAGGATGCCAAGAGGAGGATGGAAGGTCCTCGCGGAATTTGCGAACGAGAAATTCGAGTTCCACAAGACCACCGCGGAGGTGGAGCAGATGGCGAAACAAATGGTCTTCAAAATAGCTAAGAATAGGCCAAGGGAGGCCGGGGAAATAGTTCCCCTCCACGACGCGGACACATTTGTCGCCGTCTCGCAGGAATTTAACAAGATCTTGGCAAGAAGGTTGAGGGAGCCGGGTGTCATAAGAAATGTAAGGAACAAGAAGCACACCCTCTGCTCCCTTGACTTCGCGGCGATAAAAGCGCTGGACGTAGTAATTGCAAACTACCTGGAGCACAACCCGGTAACTGACATGGGGATGCTCGCCATCCTATATCAGACGGCCCAGGATTGCTACGACAGCGTGACATCTAAAACGCCGGGAACCTCGAGTAGGAAGGAAGCAGCTCAACAAAGGATCAAGGAGCTGGAGGAGTTGGGGTTGCTCCTCATTCGGTACAAGAATAAAGTCAACCTCGACAAACCGGATAGACAGCGTGTTTATCGCCAGATGGACAAGTACAACATGATTGCCGACAAGCCACAGGAACTGTCGTACGTCATCAGTAGGACGCAGGAGGAGCTCCAGAAAGAGTACGACAAGCTGAAGAAGATCAAGTTCAAGACGGAGATGTACGGCCACAACCGCATGTTCGAGTTGTACAGAGGACACTTCTACAGAATGTTGGAGAAGCAGCAGAACGTGGACGAAACGGCGATAAACGAGGAAGCGCTGAAGGAATACTGGGCGCAAATGTGGGTAAAGCCGAAAGCACCGGACAACGGTTCGCAATACCTGGTGGAACGACCGCCGGCACAGTCTGTGACGGGCTTTCCCACATTCGAGGAATTCTTAAGGATCCTCAAGAAGATGCCGGATTGGAAGTCGCCCGGGGTGGATGGGATATATACCTACTACATCAAGTGGCTCCCGTCTCTGCACAGAGTCACTTACAGGCTAGTGGAGGAGGCATGCTCGTACGGCAAACCGCAAGACGACTGGTTCTACTGTGGGATCACCCACCTCCAACCAAAAGGAAACAAACCAGTATCGGCTTCGCAGTACAGGCCGATCACGTGCATGTCTAACTTATACAAGCTAACTACCCGGTGTGCAACGGAAGCGCTAAAGCGCGAAGTCGCGGGCAGGGGACTACGGTCCGAGAACCAGATGGGCACGAGGAGCAACGTACAGGGTGCGAAGGAGCACGCGTTGTCGAACATCGCGCTCAATGAGAAGCACAACGGACAGTTACGCGCAGTGTGGATCGACGTCATGAAGGCGTATGACTCCATCGACCACGACTACTTGGCACAGGTTATTGAGAACCTGCACTTGCCAGGGTGGTTATCACTATTCATCAAGCAAACGGTGAAGAAGTGGAATATAGAGATAAGGTGGCACAACAACACTCTCATGCACAAGAAAGTCGAGCGGGGCATACTACAGGGTGATAGCCTGTCGCCCCTTCTCTTCGTCTTGTGTCTGGACCCACTGAGTAGGCACCTGACCCGCCTTTTTCCTAAGGTGGAGATACAAGTGCCAGGCGACAGGGTCTACGCGACAAACCACTTTCTCTATATCGACGACCTAAAAATTTTCGCCCACGAGGAGAGCACGATTATCGGCATGACTCGGGAAGTGGAGCTATTCTTCAAAAATACAGGATTCGTGATCAACCGCGACAAATCTGCAACTAACACGGAAGCTTGCTCAAGCATAGCGAAGATGATGGAAGGACCAGACACGTACAGGTACCTAGGAGTCACGGAAAACAGGCACTCAATCACTGAATGCAATGCGATGTACGAGACAATCGTGAACGAGATCTGCAGGAGAGTAGAGCTACTCGCAGCTTCGAAGCTGTCAGCGAAAAACCTATCGCTGGCCATAAACGAGTACGCCCGGAGTGTAATCAACTACTACGTGGGAGTTATTCCCATGGACATCACGTACTTCAACAGGATAGACCTGGAAGTGCGTACAAGAATAGCCGATAAGAAAGCACACGCGAAATGGGCGAACACGCAACGGCTCTACCTCCCCCGAAAGGAAATGGGGAGGGGGCTTCACAGCATGGTATTTAGAGCAGAGGCCATGTTGTTACGACTGTGGATGACGTTTGCAGCAGACGAAGCAACGTCAGAAAGAAGAGCTGCCATAATGCAGCATTACCGCGAGACTTATGCGCACATATCACTCATACTACTACACCTGGAAGGAAGATATGGACTGAAGTTTGAGCAAGAGGACACAATAGAGAAGTGTCTCAGGGACCTCAGGAGGGCTCAGAACAAATGGCTATACGACAGAATGGAGGTAAAATCAACACATAAGGTTCTGTTTGCCAAGCGTGACGACCCCAACTTGGACATTGAGGGATCTTCTCTAGTTTTCACAAGTGGAATCCTCAGTCCCTCAGAAGAAGCGCAAGCCGCGGCAGTTCAGGACAGGAACCTGACATGGATGTCACCGACGAAGAAGTGTCCGAGGTGCAAGAACGGCAAGAATGTGGATCTCGCAACAAAATGCCCGAAAATGCTGCGTATAGAGTATACGAGGAGGCACGAGGCAGTTGCGAGGATAATCCACTCGGAACTCGGGAGGCAAATAGGACTACCCAAGGAGAAAATGGACGCCCACAAGATCGAGAGCGAAGTGCACGGGAAACACGGATGGATCGCGTACGACAAAACGGTCAAGACTCAGAAGATCAAGGAGTACAACCGCCCAGACATAATAGTGGCGGATCGACGGAGGAACATGATCACCATCGTGGAAATAGGAATCACCAACCAGGACAACCTAGTGGAGACGGAGATATTCAAGAAACGGAAGTACGAAGCTTTGATAGAGGACCTGAAGGCGCGGCAATTCAACCAGCACACAACGTTCAGGGCAATCCCCTACGTTATGACGTGGGAGGGGATAGTGACAAAAGAACACACCAAGTATAGGCGGGACCTGGGCATATCGGATCGCCTAGAAGCCCATATACAACGGGTAGTGATCCAAGAAACACAAAAGCTAGTGTTGAGGGACATGAAACCCAGAGAAGATTATGACTCTGTGAATGACCCTCTCGCCCAAACAGGATGGATGCCACAATGGATGGTACCTGTAGTGTACGATAATTCGACATGGATCCCGCAACCGACACCAGCAGCCTAAGGCGCTTGCCTGGTAAACACGAAAATCGGCCCTAAGCCACGTAGCCACATAGCGCACTAAATAAAACCAAAACAAAGATAAGGCTGAAAACGCTTACTGACGTCATCGATCCAAGTGTCGGTGCAGACAAACAGATTGCCTATGAAACCTTTAATAAACCTTTTAAAGAAATTGAAAAAGAGCTCCAAGCCATCGCGTGGTTCGTCACTAATAGCAATAACCAAAAGCCCAGCGATTACACCGGTGGAGACGATGACGGTATTAAGCAGCACTTGACAAAATTGAAAAACGCTCTTGAGCAGAATGGATTTAATGACGTTGATAAAAGTTTAGACCAAATCAAATCGGCAATTGACAACCTGAAGACAAATACGTATGATAAAAGGAGCAAAGAAATTAACCAAGCCGTCACCCAGATTAAGACGCAGCTTGGAGAGCTTAGAGAGAAGTTGCAAAATCCGGAGGACAGTAAAAAAGACGAAGATGTTATAAGGAGACTGGAGCACATGAAGGAGCAGGGCCTTGGCACACAGGAAGATTGGACACCGAACGGTCAACCTCTCAGTGGTCTTGGGAAAATAGAGAGTGATCTTAATGCTGAAATTATAAAGTTACCAGACCAGACGAAAATTATTACCAATGCCATCGCCAACATTCAGTGGGCGCTTGCAACTGTAAAAATTAAGTTGGATCATGTCCTCATTCCTGATGATGTCATGTACAATTTGAAAAAATTAAAAATGAGGATTGGTAAAGGCGATGCAAAAAATGGAAATCTTCAACAAATTCATGATGTAATTAGTGGACTGCAATCCGGTGATTTTACTAAAAAGCCGCAAGACATCCAAGCAGCCAACTCAGCAATTAAAGCAGAACTTGGCGTGCAGAGGAGCACGTTGGAGAGTGAGGTCATTAAGACACTGAACGATTTGAAGGACGCTGGACTAAGTGGCAGCACGTGGGATAAACATAATAAAAATAAAAGCCTCATAAACATCGAAAGTGACCTTAACACTCAACAAACTACGTTGAATGACCAACCCACTGAAATACACGGTGGCGTCACCCAAATCACCGGTGAGCTTGAAAATCTTCAGAAGCAGTTGAATGATGAGGTCACCGAAAAGCTGCTGATGCTGAAAGAGCATGGCCTTAATAACGGTGACACACCGTGGACAAATGAAAGTAAGTCTCTCACAGGTATCCAAAAAATCACCGAAGACATCGAGGCCATAAAGGACAAGGACGTTAAGGACGTCAGGCATTATGTCGTCGCCCTGTGCAGTGCTGTCAGGCATAACGCAAGAGATCTCAAAGGCATTTTAAAGGAAGTGAAAGAAATATTGCTTGACAAAGAGTTGAGGAAAATTTACAGTGATATCTACAATCTGCTATTCGGCCCGCTGAACGATGTCATTCAATCACTCAAGAAGTTTGGAAAATACGCCGTCTGGGCCGCTTCCTTGATCTGTTTTTCGGCGGCAGTGTTGAAAGTGTCAACGGCGGTGGGAAGTTCTTGAACTTTCTGTTGAAGATCTTTCTTGACTTCAGTGAATTTGGCGGTAAGCTCTTTCTCAACCATCTCCCTCACCGCCTTCAACCTACTGTCCACGGCTTGGGCGGTGCCTGCTTTGGGTTGGTCACCGGAAGGGACGGGTTGAGCAGTCGCCTTATCAAGCTGACCGTGAAGCCCATGAACAACCGTCGTCATGTTGTCCAACATTTTTGCAACGTTTCCGCTCAGTAGTAACGAATTTATCTCCCCGGCAGTCCGCCTGGCGTCGGCGGTGAGCGCGGCTAGCACGGCTTCGACAGTAGGAGTGAGATGCGTTCTGTCAGGGGGCGAGGTACCATAATTCCTTACTTGAGTCTCAATCATTCCGACTAATCCAGTAACAAAATCATTTGTACCATTATTAATTGTACCATCAAGCACGCTGGCGTATTTCTCTATCAAATTCTTTAGTGAAGCCAATCTTTCGGCAAGGGTGCCGTTATGTGGGATAGGGTGCTGTCTCTCAGCTTCAATATAAACTTTGGCATCCCTAAGCTTTTCCTTGGTCTGGTTACTAAATGTTTCATGTAATGCATTTTTATTTACACTATTAATATTCCGCAGTCTATAGACCACCACGCCATTATGCTTCAAAATACTGTCAAGCCATGCGTGCACCGTACCGGTAGTAGCCAATTCCTTCTTCATATTGTTTCCAACTTCCCTCACGTACGTCTGAAACCTGGCGACAATCCCATCCAGGCCTTTTTTCTGTCTTCCGTTCCCCTTAATCTCCCCAACCCTATCTTTAATATGTTTGAAAATCTCTGCAAAGTTCTTTGCCTTTTGACCATTCTTCATCTCAAACTTCTCGCCAAGCTGCTCAATCGCCGAGTCAACTTGCTGGAGCTTTTCTTTAAGCGGAGTCTTGATATGCGTATCAAAATTACTTTCAAGATTTTTGGTCTCCGTACTAATTTTACCAGTATCCTCATTAAACTTTGTTTTCGCGGTATCCAGCTTAGACAATGCCTCTTTAAGAAGAACATTGCTGCGGTCAGTGTCCACACCTTCCTTAAGCCCCAAAATCTTCCCCCTCAACGCCACCAAATCCGTCTTCACATTCTCACCCAAATCATTAAGCCCCGAACTATTAATCACCTCTTTAATCCCATCCTTAATTTTCTTCTTCACGTCAAACAAATCCATCTTAAGACTTTCGTCCATTTTCACAACAGCCTCCAACGCCAATGTGACTTTGGACTCAACAGTCTTTTTAGCACTCTGAGCTGCAGTCAAAAGTGTCGTAGCATTATTTTTCAACTCTTGAGCTTGCTTATAAATCGGACCTTTAGCAGACTGCTCTGTCTTAACTTTCTCCAAAATTGTTTTACACTTCCCCTCCGCCTTGGTAATAACATGCCCGGACTCAGATCTCAACCCCTATCACGTCGGACGCATTATTGAGTCGGGTGTGGCAAAACGTGTTTGACGTGCATCTAGTATTAATCCCGCTTCCCACATCTCGATCACTACCCCGGCACTCACCGTCCTACCGTTAGGCATTCTCTCCCCCTCACCGACCATTAATCTGTAAGTTGTGACTGAGCCAGGTGAGACCTCTAAAATCGCACTTCGGTAATGTCAACATGGCTCAATGTAGCCTTGCATATCATCTCATTATGTGATCTGTAAACATATAAGGAGCAGATGGAGCCACCCCTGCTTCCATTTCCACGGGTGGTCCAGCGTGGCCAGGCACTGACACTGTAGGTGGTGCTCAAAGTAACTGCGTTTGCTGAAGCTAACTGATAAGTATGAGATGCCACCTTTTAATGCGTATTAATGGCATTGCCCATATTCTGACTTGTGAGCAAATGTCCAGACGGTGATGCGGTACCTTTGTGATCACAGCAGTGCAATCGTACCACCAAGGTATGGAGGAGCATAGTTCCACTCCACCTTAACAAACAGACTCCCCACCTTTTATACACATAAGAGATACCCATTATAGCACACAAATATGTTATTAAAGTGACAGCCTCTTTAAGCCTTTGATGACATAAAGCGATGCTGCCACGGTGGATACACCACTTATCATAAACAATGAAATACTTAAATTAGTTTCCGCAGTTCACCAACAAGTTACCACATCTGAGATACTCATTACTTGGCGTAGTAGTTCTCGATCTGGATGGTGGAGAGTCTGGCGCCCCTGACGGTGACGCAGCGGCACTCCAATGGCGTTGTTTGGCGCTTCGGGGCTTTGACAATAGCTGGAGACACATCCGGCCGAAGTCAGGCCGGAAGAACAGTTAAGCTTGTGGTAGAAGGCACCTGTACTACAGAAGTCATCGCCACCGTTCGTGCTCGTAGAGACCTGCGTACATAGTACTCGAGCCATAAGTATAAACCCTGGTCTACAATAGAGCGTGATCAACACATTTGGGTGAGACAGTGTGGAACAACGAGCTAATATTTTGCACTGCAAAATACCTAACTTATGCTGTTACCGGGTGAAATATTGGAGATGTTTTTCACCTGGGCGTCTCCCCCACGACACCGATAGGTAGACGGCAGCAATTTTCTTCGGTTAGCGCAGAATCACTGATGCATATATCAAATTTACAAACAAAATCATATCAAGTTTCCGATTAATCAAATGTGTATATTAAGGAATTCACATAGACATATATATTGGCGATCTTAATATATTGTTGCGTAAATACACACTGCAGATCAAGATTCAAACGAGCGCCATCACGTATCTAGATACGTATCACTTTACAATGTATGTATAAACGTAGAAGATTAGATTATAACGGTCGTGTGTTAACATAATTGCCGATGACCTTCTATAGCATGTCGTATGTGATCAAAATAAATTTTGCACAATGGCGCCGAAATACATATACAAATTACACACCTGGCTGCAAATACTTCTATCCACTCGAGGAATCAGTGTTGATTCCACGTGACAACATAAGCATGGGGAATGGTGGGAGTCTATGAATTGGCCGTGGGCGGTGCCCTGCGCACCAAGTATAATTAAAACCGACGGTCATTTGCTCACACATATATTTTGACAGATCGTCTAACAATTATTATGTAGTCGTCAGTGTGTGCTTTGTCGTTCCCATGACCGTGATGACAGTACGATAACGGTGTCTACGCCAATCATCCACCGTCTTAGCCAATTATACCGATCGTAAAACAGTAATTAGCGCATAGCACTTCCGAGATAATCTTCTTAAATTAGCCGTGTTCGACCAGGTAACGTCGCTGTGCGTTGCCGAGGGTGGTTGTAAGCTGTCTTGGCCGTTGCCCAGCCGGACTCAGCGCCCGCCGTGAAATCCCAACCACTTGGTGCAAAAGTCATCTACACATTATTATTATACTGACCGTGCCAGAAAATTGCCATTTAGACTCTTATTATGAACTCATTTTGCGGCTTCTTCAGCGCCATGTCGCAAACACACTTTGCCATAGGTGTTGGAGCTGTGGCTGTTGTGTACACGTCAGTCTACGTGCTTGTGTCCTCACGCCGGAAGGTAGTTGACGAGAACGGCAAGCGGCACGGCATTCCTCTGCAACAGCCTGGATTCGCGGCCTGCTCGTTATTGAAAAGGCTCATTTTATTCGGCGTTGCCGTTAAGAGGTTCGTCTACAAAAGGCCCAATCGCGGCATATCGCGTGGCGTTGAAGCTCAGAGTGAAGCGTCTAAGATAACTGATTGCGTCGATAGTAGGACCAAGACGATCTACTTCATACGACATGGGTAGGCAGTGCTTACGGCCATCTAACGTTCGCAGGCAGTCAATATGGAATCTGACATTTAACCACCCATATAACGTCATCGGGCTTTTATTTCGAACGCTCAGTCTGATCGCCGCCGAAATCGGTTTCGCTTTCACAAACGATACCTTCTTCTTCGACTCACCTCTCTCCATGAACGGCATTAAGCAATCGCTTGAGCTATGCAAGGAGCTCTCCGATCCCGAAAATCATAGATGCGCTGAAATACAGGCGCTCACGCGTTCCTCTGGGCAGCGCAGCGCGCTTTTTACGTCCAATCTGCGGTATGTAGTTAGCTACGTATGCGTCACATTGTTTTAGCCGGGCTCAATCGACCATCCTGCTGGCGCTTCAGGACCGCCTAACTCACACTGGTGAACACGTATACGTCTGCAACGAGCTAGAGGTAGGCGTCATCTGCGGGTAACACAACTGTTGCAGGAGCTGGTCCCTCACCCGGATTGCGTCTCGCTCTCCACCACCCTACAGTCCGCTGCCATTCCGTTCCTCGAGGTCATGATGATCCCAGACAAAGCGAAGACGTACTCAAGACACCTTCAGCACACAGAAGGCCCCGCAGTGTCCCACCTTCCGGCCTACGATAAGATGATGATGTTCAACGAACGTGTCTTCAAGCAACCCGAGGACTCTATCGTCGTGTGCGGCCACAGCCGTTGGCTGCTTAACTACCTACAGATTTTCTTGCCGCAGAGCGCAACTGACGTAGAATACCGCAATACGAAGATCGGTAACACCGACACGCTGCGGTTCGAGCTGGTGCGCCGCGAGTTCAAGAGCGGTGAAATCCATTACGTTATCGACCCCCACAGCGTCAAGCTAGTGTACAAAAGCGCAACTTAATTTGCTGTACTATAGAATACTGTAGGATTGCCGGTTGGTAGTTCTATGAAATGCAACGAATCTTGTTGATGTCGTGACTTGCCACAGTATGGTTTTGGCCGCCAGCCACAATTGCGAAGTGTTGCCAATCATCTGCATTATCCACTGCACATCAACCCACATCGTATTTACAGATTTAAATTGACAGTTGGTGTTCTATGCCGTGCCTAATGGCAGCCTGTTGCAATCTATGGCGGAGGCTCTGGTCGGTTCTGGTGCGTTGGTCTGCCAACACGTCGACTGCCCAGCGCACCAGAGACGACAGTGAGGTAGATCCGGAACTGAATGATGTGACTTGCAGCGCTGGGCACTTACAGCTCGTAGATGTCTAGAATCGCGACTGCGGCGGCAGTGTTGCGCGGGACGAGTGCCGGTTTGGCCTCCAGCGTTGGCAAGATGCTTTTGGCGAAAAGCTCATGCCTATCACACATGTATTGGTTCTCATAGCGGTGTATTACCTTGAACAAAAGTCGAGCAATGCGATCTTCGCGTCCTCGGGGAGTGTCTCCATTTCAGAGACCACACGATGGAACGCGTTTTGGAGAATATCGGTCCCCACAACCGAGACAACATCCAATCTCCCACATCTCTACACCATTAATTATCCTACGATAGAGTGACTTGCCATAAGACGAGCCGTTTCGGCTGCGGTCATCTGCGGGGTCATGCCCCAAGCATGCTTGACAAACCGCTCGATGTCCCCCGCGACATCCGACTGCACATAATTAATCCAGTGTTGGGTATACTAACATCGAAATCTATTCTGGCGTGTGCTATCGCCTCGTAAAGCCGTATTACATCTGCTTGCTGGAGCAACTCCATTTTGTCCAGGATCTCCTTGAAGAGCTTGAGCTGTTCAGTTTTAGCGATATAGGAAAGAATGTGACGAACCTCCTCCACATCAAAAGGTCTTGAAGAACCCAAACACCCGATAAGGAACTGCGTTCCAAGCGAACGGTCCTCTATGAGTTTATCCACCGCCTTCATCGCCTCTGCACCACGTGAGGACGTACTGTGACCTGCAACAAACCAGCTCTGACGTTTGTCACTGGGAGTTTGAGCGGTATGGTTGCGGCCTGATACCCGCGAGCTGCCTCCGCCGCCAGTGACATGTATCGGCAGAGTTCAACGATATTCGCCGTGTGCGCGTTGTCGCGTAATCTGCATAATATTTTCCTCGCTCTACGTTGTGGCGAACCTCTCCTGTATGAGCTCTATGACCAAAGGCCTGCGATACTTGAATGTGGCCAATGCATGGAGCAGTGCGATATTGCGCGAGTGGTTGCAGTCAGAGCTCTCCTCGAGCCTGGCGCAGACCTCGTCGAACAGCTTGCCGACACATAGACGATCGACACGCCCTGCCAGGCCACATACGGCATCAAGGGCATCTATTGCAATTCCTTCCTCCACGGTGGATATGTCTGACACCTCGACGATTTCCCCTGCCAAGTGTCACGCAGCACATTGCAGCGCCTACCCAACGCCAGAAGTATGTTGTCCACCTCGGTCGTGTTGGCGCGCGCCACTGTTATCATACGCAACGCATCTTCCACAGGTATCGATCGTGCGTCACCGAGGCAAAGTGCCTCGGCGTGACGCGTCACCCGCTGCTTAGTGCTGCACTTCATGAGCCCCAAATGTTAACAGTGATCGCTTACAGTTCGTGCAGATACTGCTCATTCTCCATGGCCAGTAGGACGTTGTAGCACTCGTGCAGTTTGAACTGGCTGAGGGTCGCCAGGATGCGTCCGGTGAAAGTCGCGACGAACCGGTAGTCGTGGTGGTCGCTCCTAGAGAAGTACAGGAACAGGAGCGATACTATGTATGGGTCCAACCCCATCGCCAGATTGAGCGCCTGTTGCGCGAGGCTGCGCCATATCCCGAAATCGCGAACATCCTTATCGATACACCGGTAGACAATCTGCATTATAATGGGCGTGCCAGTATAAACAGACAAACCATGGAGAGCGTATGGCCATCCATCAAGTGCGTATACAACGCTCCACCGCGCTTTTCGATATGCGCGACATCAGGGAAGCCCATGAACGTCTGCAGGCTCAGCCCCTTGCGTGGTAGCTTCCACCATTCCTTCTCCGGGTGCAGCCGCCCGAGGTTGTATGGCTCCACCAGCGGCCTCCGCGTACGGAAGTCCGGGTGCTGCTTGCTCCATGACTTCCTTGCTGCACAAATGATGGAGTTCAGCAGAAATGCACCCACTTGGCGGATTGTAGAAGCGCTTCGCGACGACGAAGGCACGGGAGCCTACCGGCCACCGGGTAGCCCTGATGTCCATCTAAGCTTCTGGCGCCGATTTAAGCCTATATTAGTGTACAATATATGGCGCAGTATCCATGATTGTGCCGGTATATTCGAACACTCTTAATCAGACTAGGTAGGCTCGGCAACACATCTCCGCTGTCGCCTGCAACGCGTTGCCGAATGCCTTGAGGCCGCGTACTACGTTTGTATCTCTGTTTTTAGAGTTATTTGTAACAATAATGGCTAGAAGTCAGTATGGTTGAGCGTCGACTGTCGTGTCTATGGTGAGCGGATACGGCTCTGCCGGGCGCCTGCAGCACCGCGAAACGCTGATCGCATCGACTTACAAATGGCACACATTGCCTTACATACATCAAAATCTGCGATGTGCGACGGAAACATTGCCATGTAAAAATTTATGCACCGTCAACACACGTGTCTGGACCACACATCTATTCGCAGGTTGATTGCTGAGCTAGATCCACCACCCAGCGGAGCCTGTACTCTCCTGGAGCATGTCTGCATTGCGGTTGTGTAGATTGTCATTCTTGCGATTTGTTTTAATTTTTTTGTCTTGTGTGTAGCACCCATCTAATGGGGTCTATGGCATGAAATCATTGGCCTGGAGCTCCGCGGAAACCCGAGCACATGCCTCCGACGCGGATTATAAGTCCTTAAAGTCTAGGTGTGCAAATTAGGAAAGGTCTAGTTGCACCCCCGCACGACACGGAAGCCTTGCGTGCGCAATTTTTTGTACCCGTCGCTGTGCACATCCGATGGATTCGCATAAAGTAGACTCCGTCGACATGTCGTACGGCTACACCGAGGCGCCCGGCCGCCAGCCGTATGACATGGAGCGCGCCAGCACCCAGCGGTCGCTCATGCCGCTGAGTGACCACATGGACACCGGAGCCGCGCGCCTGGAGCAGACTTTGGAGATGTTGAATGTTCGCTACCAGTCGCTCTTCTTCGCCTCTGCCGCCTGCATCGTCGCTAACGCCGTCATGACCTTCCTCGGCAGCTTCGGCATCACGCAGATTCCCTCGCTGATCATGTCTGTCTTCCTCATCATCAACGGACTTATGATCATGGTCCTCGACGTCCCCGGCACCCCGAGGTGGGCCGGAAAGCACCGCCGCAACATCCGCAAGAACATGCGCTTCCTCACCAGGCTCACCGGGAAGTCGCTGTGGCTGGCGTTGCTCGGCGCCACTTCGCTCATGACCACGAAGGCTACACGTTCGGTGAACATCTTCCGCATCTTCTTGAGCACGGTCAGCACCATCTTCGTGTTCGCCGCCGCCGGCACCGGCATGCTTATCGTAGGTTTACAGCTGTGACAGTTAACGAAGCGCAGGCCGTCAGGAAGAGTCTGCGCCTCGAACGCGTAAAGGGCATCATCAAGGAGAACTCGAAGGGAGCCTACATTGACTGCTACCGCAAATACGCCCTCGGGGACCCGGACTACGGCATGCAATTCCGTAAGTGGCTATCATGATGTCAACATCGCTCGCAGAGGAGTTCAACCGTATGTGTGCTGACCACACATCTGGCATGCACCAGTTCGACATCGTCGACCTGTACATCATATTCAACGTGCTCGATGAGTTCCAGAAGTCGGCCATCAATGAGCGCGAGTTCTACGAGTGGATGGCAGGTTCACTTGTCTTCCTCTGAACACGGAAGCACAAAATACAGTGATTTAATCAATCGTATCGTTCGTTGAAGTGAAGCGCTGCGGCGAGATCTGCGTCGCCGTTGGTAGCCTCTAGCAGCTCAACGGCTCTTTCGTATGACACATTCAGGAGCTCCTGGAGCCTGCGCAAATTCGTTAGGAAGGTGACAATCAAACTAACCTTGTGGCGTCCTCACGAGACACCGCTTGTTCGCTGCTTACAGGCACCGTGGAGGTGGGGGAGGTAGATGCGCCGCCCGAGGACGCAACTCCACTCGACGAGGAATTGATGGTTGCTCCTACCTCGTGGGACACTTCGCCTGTGGACACGGAGGTGTTCCGCTGCTCGATTTCGCATTCGGGGAGGAACGACACCGTCACTCCGCAGATTTGCATGGAGTTTGTCGCAAGGTTGATGGTGCACTGGTGCCGCCTCAGCAGATCTAGCCCCAGGATGAAATCCATGTGCAGGGATTCGATCAGCACACACGAGAAGGGGATGTACGTCTCGCCGATCTTCAGGTTCGCGAGGTGTATCTTGCCCACAATGCGGCTCTGGCTCACGCCGACCGCCACACCGTGGTACCTCCGGTCCACCAGGCTCAGAAGATTGCATCGCTGGGCGCACTCTAGGCTCATCACTGTCTCCTGGGCGCCAGTGTCTACTAGTGCCTTCACCGTCACTTGGTTAATCTGGGTAGATACGAACAGCATGAAAACCCTGCCGAAGGATTCCGGCAGGTACCGATGGGCGTGCGCCAGGTTTTCGTCAATGCGGTTACGATTTATCTCCTCGTGTATAACCTGCTGCGATTCTGGAGTGAGCGGGTTCATGTACGCGCGATAGAGCTTTGCCTGACGATCGCGCTGTTTGTCGATCTCGAGGCGGTGGTGCTTCTTCAGAGCCGCCACAACCTTCTCCAAGTCCTTTGTGAGAACTGCGTCGTGCACGTCGGGAGACATGTCTCGAATGGCCTCGAGCTCAAGTGATCCGGGCTTCAGTGTCTGCATGATCGTGCTGGCACGCTGCCGCAGCAGTGCATCTGTGACGCATCACAAACAGTCGAAATCCCAAACTCACCCACGTCGTTGTCTATCTGAGACATCTGTCTTGACCGCATCAGCCCGGGTGTGAGCGGCACGGCTGGCGCGTATCCGACGTAGACCACATCGCCGTGTTTGATGCATGCCTCCTGCATCGTCTGCTCCGCATTCTCCAACGCCCGTCCGTCGACGAACAGCCTCTGCCCGTCGATAGGGATGTTGAACTGGTCCAGGATGAGCTGCTTGAGCCTAGATATGGGCCACTCGGGCTCGAGGAACAGCGTGGCGAAGCGGTCGTCTGAGTGGTGTGTAGGCGGAAACATGTCACACATACCCTGAGTAGCTACCGTGACCGAGAACATCATGCCTAGGTGTCTCCAAAAATATCGTACGTGAGGTAGAAAAAGTACCGCGCAAGGAGCGCAGTGTCGATGATGTGTAGGTGTGCGTCGATGGTCTTCCAACGCACATACTTCGATGCACGGTCGTAGTCGATGCAGAATTTATCCAATTGCGCGCCACTCAGCCGTTCCGAAATGCGGCGACACATCGACTCAACGGTGGCGCTTTTGGTGTTGTACAGCGACGGATCCAGCAGGCATGAGTACGCCAGCGATATATGATCTTGCAGTATGCCCACCAACTTCACCTTTCGGAAGAGGCGCACGTCATCGTCGCCGGACAGCTCGTACAGGTAGCTGCGATCACGGCTGGATCCGTCGGTCAGCAGTAGCTGGTTGAGGCATGTGGATCGCATGTAGGACGCAAGGAGCCAAGAGCCCTTTTCCACCAGCTTCGAAGGCATGCGTGGCACACCGATGTGCGGACATGCGAGGGTCACCAAGGCGTGAATCTTATCTCGATACGGTCCCAGGTGGCGCAACGCGGCACGCACCACCAATCCGCCCATGGAATGCGTGACAAAGGAGATCCGCCTTAGTCTATGAGCCAGCGTATTTCTCCGCACGTGTATATCTATCTCCTGCGCCAAAAGGGATGCCTTGTGTTGAATTGAGCCTGCAATACTCACTTGTGGGCATGGTATTTGGAACTCACTCTCTGGGTTCTCGTATAGGAATCGTGAAACAATCACCTCCGTGTTCCTCGTGAATGCAAGGAGGGTGTTGCGTACAAATCGCATCGTGACTGGGTATCCGTTGTAACCGTGTACCAGCACCACTAGGTGCACGCCGGCTTGTTTGGCTGGTTCCGCTGTTGCCTCGGCATTTTGTGGCGGCACTGGGACGTGACGCATAAATGGGAAGTTGTCGGCGATGAAGCTGCATAAGCGCTGAAAGCCCGCATTTTGACTTCAACTTACAAGTGATGCTCATCCGTGATCTTCATTGATCGCAACATAACCACCAATGCAGTCTGGTCAACCGCAGGGTCGCCCATCCGCTTAAAGACGCTGCACTGTTCTTGTACGTACGCGTCGATATATCCACGTAGCTCTTGTCGATCGTACTTTGTATCTGCAACTACGCGATCCCACTTAAGGCATATCCACGCGCACAGTCCAAAGAACATCTGTAGGAAAGAATGGCCAACCTATTTCCCAAACCAACCTTGCTCATGGTATGCGCCAACGAGGTGTCTGTTTCCGTTTGAGTAACGGAATCCTCCTCTATGTCGTCAAATATTACGGTGATGCCATACTGAACGGCAATTGAAAGCTTATTGTCCCCGCATTTCCGGATGCCCAACGCGTCGGCGATGCGGTTTAGGCGATGGCAGATCTTAACGTGCAGCGTTGCATCCGATGAGGGTTGAAATAGTACATCACGTTCGTTTGGAGCTTCCTGCTCCTTATAGAGAGCCGCATCCTCCTGCTTCACTTCCCCATCCGCGAACGATATCACAGTACCATCTGAACAAATATATCCTGGGGAAATATTCACTAACCGGGGATCGCGGCATTGTTGACGTTGCCCTCACTAGAAGTGAGAACATTCTCAACATGTGTGTTGGCTGTCGAACCGTTGTCTGAGTTTGCAATATTTACATTGCTGATGGCGGGTTCCTCAGATTTCCGGGGATTCCGTCCGGATAGGTTTCTGTCGAGGGCAACTGCAGTGTCTGCCAATATTTTTGCATATATGTAGATGAGCATTCTAGCGCCCACTGAGAAAACGACGTCATCGTAAGTCGCAGAGTCGGCCAACTTATCTTCGGCACTCTCAGCCAAGGGGGCTTCAGGCTCCCATTCGAGGCCGAACGCAGCTCCACAACGGTGATCACCTGCGACTAACTGTGTGATAAACGTGTTTATAGCCAATTTGGCATTTTCAGCAGTGCCTTTGGCTTCCATATAGCCGCTCTCATTGTTGTGGTGTGCCAGCCATCTTTTAATGCTCGTTGTGGACTTCTTGGACTCGTAAAATACCTCTTCCTGCCCATTTGACTCCACAAACCACCGTTTAACCAGTTTGTTGGTTGATTTCTTCAGCGTTTGCCGCCATTCGAGATAGTGCTTGCAAGGCTCCCTCGAGAGCGGCAGCGACAGGGGCACAGCGGTTCCTAACTTCGTGATGGCGGTATGTACCATAAGGTGTGCGACTGCATTCAGGTGTTCTCCGTCAAAATTGCAAGGGTAGTACTCCCTTGTCGCTGCACATCGATGATACTGTTGTCCTGTGAACAAACCCCTTGTCAGGTTTGCGATCCGGAAGACCTTGGCATCAACAACCGCTGGCAAACCATTGTTGCCTCCAGACTCTTTGCTTGCAATAACTCCTAATGCATTTAAACGGCAATTTTCACGCTATTACCATTTTCAGTGACTGGAAAGCTGATAAGTTCGGCCTCCACGTACAGAGCGGATGATGCCAGCACCGACGGTATAGCTGGCAATTCTGCTCGGAATCGTGCAACTTCGTTAACCGCAACCTGATAAGATGATGAATTGTGATGATTTGGATGGCTCATCGCACCTTATGGTTCCTTTGTTTCACGAAAATTGGGCGTGTTACGTAAGAGTCGTCATCCGCCGCCACTGAGATTAGAGGTACGAGGCATACTGGAAGGTTTGACGGCAGTTCTGTAGGTCCCGGAATAGACGTATTCGGGTTGACTGGTAGTGCGGCGATACGCTGAGGTGCTTCAGTGGCTCATATAGGGGTTTCCGTTACCTTACTGCCCACCTGTTTGTAGACCCTGAAACCGAGGCGGTACCATGTCGAGTATTGTAACGCAACCCCGTGTAACTCGTTACACGTAATTGCGACCTCAACTTGAGCCCACACACCCATACTGGTGGCCTACATACATGTTTAGGGCCCTCAAGCGGCCGTCTAATCGCGCCAATCTAGACCCCTGGCGGCGAGCTGCCATAAGGCGACCGGGCGCTGAGAGCCATGAAACCAAGTCTCAGATATATACAAAAGTATTTAACACTTTAAGTCCGCGGATTCCACGCCGCGTACGCATGTCCTGCTCACCACGACCAGCGCGGTCCCAGCAGCGTCACATCGGCAGCTTGACCGGGAAACGCTTCCATTGCGCCGGTTTGGCAGGCGATGTAGTCGCAGCCGTCTCACTTGGGAGCGTAGAAGAACCAGTGCCGTGTGAAGACCGTCAGATTTGGCATGAGCACGAACACAGGGAGAGCGAAGAACAGTAGCTGTGTAGGCTTGGGAAGGAAAAAGATATCCGTTCCGCGAATCTCGGTCCCACACTGGTTGCCGAAAGCCGTGCTGGGCACCAGCGACTGCAGGTTGAGCGTGCTGCTGCATCCACCGGTATCACCTAGATGACCTGACTGCGAATCCTTGAGCGGCAGCTCGGACACACGGCGGGAGAAAGGCACGTGCTTGATGAAGCGGTATTGACCGATAGGCTCACCCCGGTGAGGCGCCTCCCCGGAGTCGGCCTCGGGCATCCGATGGTTCGGATTGTAGACGAGGTCGCGTAGGAACGGCGCTGTGTATGGGCGCCTCGACCACTCGAATCCCATCTTGATGTTACGATGCTGCAAGTGAGTACGATACCAAGGCTACTCTGGCTCCTCGAGGGTTTCGTCCCGGAGCGCTTCTTGCCAGGGGCTGCGAGGTAGATTGATGCTCAAACCCCGCGAACGTGGCCGTCACAACGGGCCACCTTTACACACGTCCGACAGGTTCGTCGTGTAGTAAACACACGAATTTCATGAGTATTTGAGTGCCACTAATACCCCATGGTTCGCCTCCCTGTTTTGCGAAGCCGCGCGCCCTCCGGCCGGGCACACATCACGAACGCAGTATACCGGCTGATTAGCTTAGGTGGTTATTCCATACAATAATTATTTGTTACGTTCTTTACCCTTTGTCTTTTCTGGCGATGCCAGCTTTTCGGCATCTCCGTCGTCTAAATCTGTGATATCACCTGAGTAGCTTGACAAGCGAAAGCAAGTGTAGCCTACCGCTGCCTTCCATAAGCCTGTTGCATATCTCGTCCACTATGCGCTCCGTTGCGGATGGTGGAGGGGGCTTACGAGGTTCTTCGAAGCTCTCGGAACCGGCATCAGGGTTCTCGAGATGCTGCTTCAGTATCTGCTCGTTAACCTTCAGCAGCTCTCGCCGCTTTTGTTCCAACGCTGAGTGAGATACGCCTCAATTCACGTACTAGTGTAACTTACATGACGAGAAATGCCGTGCCTGTGTCACAACTGGCCCAGTGGTTAACAGAGGCCGTGCAGCTGGCAATGGGCTAACTTCGTAAAGCCTTCTATAAGCAGTGTATGTTGTGGCGTGGCGTACAATATACCTTATGCGATCCAGGTAAATCATCTTTTGCTTGGTAGACACTGTGTTGCATGCATCTTTGCCAACCTGAAACCCACCCAGCTGTGCCCATTCCTGGTGTGGCACGTGTATCACTTGCCAGCCGGCGCTATTCAGAATCTGCAGGTGATGCGTTCTGAGAGCGACCATTTACCTCGTGTTTCAGTATAGATTTTGCCGTGCGCATGGTCGTTTCTGCGTAGAAATGCGCTGGGCCGTCGTACTCAATCGCCACACGCCGCGCCGGCCCTGTCTCCGGGACTATGTCTATTAAATAAGGCCCAAATTGGACCTCGTTGCGATGAAAAACGCCCATCTGCATCCTTTTCGATATCACCGCTCTAAAAGGCTCACCAGATTCAGAAGGTGCGACACCTCTTTATGGGCCGACGATGACGTTAGCATGTACTCTGCCAAGGCGAACCTGACGGCGGAACACTTTCGCAGCACTTCCAGCGTCTTTGCAGACAACTTGTCGTATATGTCACGTCTCTAAGAGCAACATGATTAGATCGGAAGACGCCACTTACAATATGCTTGAGGTAGAGGTGCACAGTCTGCACCTTGAAGACCGTGGCCACATCCAACTTCGACCCTAGATGTGACAGCATGGCATCTAGTATACCATCCGTGAATCCGTACGGTAATACATTCGTTGCCGGGTCGGGCATGCGATAAGGGGCGTGTGGTCCACCATCAGCAGGGTTGAGCGCCGATGGGTGCTCCTCGCCGGCATTGCGATGGGCGCCATTCGCCCTCATACCGACACTATTGTCGGAGTAATCCTCGGCTAAACGAGAATCTGACGGGTCTGTTACCGGTTCACTATCATCCTTTTGAAGTGAAACGGGTTGGTGGCCTGGTCCTTGCGATATCTCCCGGTGCTGCATTGACTGTAGTTGATATTCAGATTCGTGACGCGCGGCTTTCTGCAGGTGCAACTCCCTTTGCAAATAATCGAAATGCACTAGGACGTAGATATAGCTAACGCTGATATCAGCCAGTTGAACTTCGCTGAAATCATGCTGGTGCTTTAGCAACAGGGGGAACAACTGCCGATACAGGTCCGCGTCCGACGTGCGTAACATAGCAAGCCTCGAAAATATCATATGGAGCTGGTTTCTGTCGAAGTCTGCAATGCGGTGCTTTATGCACATTGCCAACTTCTGCAGGAACGACGTATTCCGGAATCCAAAATCTGCACGCAATTTGGTGGGGAAGCACAGCGGCATACCGTTCAGGGCGCTCAGCATATTTGTGATGTCATGCGTTGTAAGGTGCACCAGGTGGAGCGAACAACGTTTTATTGAGTCTTTCACCAACACCAAGTTGTAGCGTTTGAGCTTCGCCAGCGCCTTCAGCGTGTTTATAAGCACAGGGATCTGGAACTCGTTTACACGATCCTTCACCTCCTTCAGCATGGAGTCCATAATCTTCGAATGAGACACCTTCAACTTGACGAACGCATTCAGGACCCGGCACAGAGCGGATGTGCTGTATGCCGTCTTGTCCCTGGTGCGCACTATGGCGTCGGTGATGAACGGGACGAAGGCCTCCACACGACGCGGGGCCATCGACGTTAGCATAGAAGCTATCATCTCGCCGTTGATTTCTTCCGACCCTGCCGCACGCAGCTGCCGCTTTAGCAGCGTCGTCAGAACGACGTACAGTCGCTGGTCTTTGAATCCAACTCGGCTGAATGCCTGCATCAGGTGTTCGAGCGACTGGAAATCGAAGTTGTAGCGCTTAAACTTGAGTGCAACAGTCCCCCTATAGATAACTTCGTCGGCCAATCTGAGGAATAGCAGTGGGACGTGTTGCCCGGCCTTCGCGTACGATACTGCCACTAGTCCGAGCTGCTGGCAATTCAACGTGTTGACCCGTTGCAGTATCACCTGTGCCATCCTCATAAACAGCTCGCGGTTGTTGATCCCGGCACGCGAATACGCATGACATAGAAGAACCAGTGATAGAGTGGGCGACTCGGAGTCTATATGGTTGTTCAGCCAGGGTATGAAGGCGTTCAGTAGCTTGGTGCAATCCTCCTCGAGTTTAATAAAAGCGTTAAAGATCATCGCCACATCGATTAACTTTAGAGGAGCCTCGCTGACAGTAGTAGCGGCTGCCTGCGGAGTCGTTGGTAGTTGGTGTTCTAGATCTCTGACTGATACATCATCTGTGTCGTATTCGTAGACGGGGTCGAGAGCTGGTGATGTAGAACGACCCAAACTTGGACCAACATAAGGCTGAAGCACTTCCATAGAGGTCTCCGTCGAGCGTTTGTCTGCCCAGTATTTTTCCAATTCTCGGTGCAGCCTCCCCTCTACCGCCTGCAGCAACCGGCGTGAATGCCGCTCCACTCTAGCAAATGAGTTTGCAATTAGCGCTACATTCCTGTGTGATGCCTCTGATATAAGCCTGTCTGCATGTGCGTCTGCAAAGTGCAGCAGCTCATCTTGACTGACACGCTGGCGTGCGAACGAATTCAGAAAAATTCCAATATCGTCGGCGGGCATACCCGCTATGTGCTTCGGCACCAGGGCCACCGCTCTCTTGTAGAATATTTCCACCGGGCCAGTGACTGGAACCCTGCGCCGTTATTCAAACATGCACTTGCCATAATTCCTACCTTAATGTGGCCAGCGCCGACGCAACTTCCCTGACATGCCACACATCCGCTTCCCCGATGTGCTGCAAATCTCATTATTCATGGATAATGTCGCCATTTCGTACCCTGTTGAAGGTTTTGACGAGCTCCGTGATTGTTATCAGTGAACGTGAGGCGAGGGAGGCATATGCCCTGAGTATAAGGGCAATTTCCCTGGTGCTGAAGTTGGCTCCCAACCTCCGAACACCCTCGTTCAACTCGCTTGTAAACCCTGATGCCGCAGTTGGTACCCATCTTAGCGTCATGAAGATCTTAGCATAGTCCGCCGGTAGCAACGCCCTGCCAAGTGCTACCGTCCTTTCGAGCAGCCGCTGCACATAATCCTGATCGAGCCTTTCGCGCGAGTCTTCCACTCCCAATACGCCATATACAGTCATCAATTGCTCCCTGGTTGCCTTCTGTAGCTCCTGAGGGGGCAGGAGGGCCTAAAGCAAACATGTATTTGACGCCTAGTAAAACCAACCTCGTGGATAGCCCTGTATTTGTTGGCCTGAGCATCTGATTTAGGCACTCTGACTATGCGGAAGGCGAATTCCCTGCGGAATCTCGCCAGGAAGCGAGCACCGGCGACGGCGCTTGCGCCGCGCGGCTGAAGGTACATGGCGCCAGCATTTACGACCTTCGTCCATGCCGTTCAGCCATGTGTTCACTGCATCGTATCATAGTTCATTATTGTATGCTATAATGCATTTCTGAGGCGAAGTGTGTGACTTAGACAGGCCCTGCCCGGCGACTCCCCTGCGCCGGACACATTCCTGAAGCCACGGTAACTCCGACGCTGCCACTCCGCTACGGTATCCGCCCGAATGCCATCCGTAAAATGAAGCTTTTGGCCGGCAGTTAGGTGGATGTGTTAGCGTTGAGACGCCGCAGGGGAGAAACTTCTGCGTGTACCGCGATGAACGTTTTCGAAGCGCTAACACGGGTCGCTGGTACTTAGCGCACTTCCCGCTGCCGAAACGTCATCTGTGCGGAGTGTGAATCTGTACTGCCCACCGCAAACGTCAGTGTTGCGGCGGCCCTGACTACTGCGCCAATGGCCGAAGTCGTGGTATTCAAAGAGCTCTACAGCTGGCAGGTAGGTGTCGGACACTTGCATGACATTATGTGTGCAGAGTGACCACGACCAAGCAGTGTTTGTCGACGGAGCTAACGAGGTGGTCATATATCAGAGCGTCTACGACAAGAGCATACGGGTGATAGATTCTGCTACGGAAAACACCATCTTCAACAATGCTAGGTACCAACGCCAATACGCCGCCCCATTGACCCTAACCCAGATTTCCGAAGCCCCTTTGCGAGGTGATCGCCTTCTCTGCAGATGGCCGCTTGGTTCTGTACTGGCACAGCAACCCACTTGCTATCGTAAGTTGGAGGTAAATACGCGTCAATTCCTTCAGGGGATAGTTAATGGGTTTGACGTCGACTCCGACGACATACTCGTCGATTGCACGCCGTACGAGGAGACGATCGTGCTCAACATTTTTTGGCTGGAAGGCGGCAACAGTGGCAATTACGACTTCGCGGTTGTTTGCACCACCTGCATTGATATCTACAGCGTACGTCACATTGTTCACAAGTTTATATGACATTTCAACAGTACAGTAGCAGTAACCATGCCCTGCGTCGGGTATGCAGCAAGCGCATCAGCTGCACTGATGTTTGGAACGACATCAGTGGGACGCACGTGATCGTGCTGAAGAGCAACCAGGTTCTCCAGCTCTACCGACTGATGAACAAGGTGCGCAAAACATAACGATCCCCTTACATTAAACACAGGAGGTCAGAGCGGTGACCGACATCGAGTTGGCCATCAAAAGCGAGCACAAACTCCACAAATCGTCGATCATTGTGGCCAGCATATACAATGACACATATTGCATCCACAAGGACGCCAACAATGGCACCATATCGCTAAGATCGCTGCGTAATAGCAAGGCTGTAGACATCGTGCTCGAACTGAGCTGCCAAGGTTCGTCCGAAAATGACCGCTGTTAATCCTTATCAGGATGGCTGGAGGTTGCCATCTTGGACAACATCCTGCTTGCGTTAACTGGCGGGGGGGAGACGTATCTCTTCGATATCGCAATGATGGATAAAAAGGTGTTGGCGCGTGTCCCGCAAAGCAAGCCAGCCGTTGCGTCCATGTCGAGCGACGTACAGGGTAGGCACGCTGCGTTGTCACCACATAGTCATGCAGCTTTCATACCAAACGTGGTCGTCGATTACTACGGAGGATTCGCATACAACATTGCTATCGATCACAATATGCTAATGCTGCTCCTTTCGCAGACATACGCCGATCCTCTTGTGGCAGGCTTCTACCAGCGCCGCATCGGGGCTGTGCAGCGTGTTTTGGACATTGTCAACAACGCCATCGAAAACAAGTTTGTTGACATCGTGTTAGCGTCATTTTAACGCAGGATGCGTGCAAACAAGCTTTTGGTCCTACTTTCTACGATAGTAACACCGTACGCGAAGATTCTCGTCGAGTAAGCGTGACAATCATTCCACGTTCAAAAAGCGCAGCTTGAACAAGTTAGGCACGAAAACCGAAAACAGCGTAGCCATACCGTTGAATCTCGTCGAGGAGTACATCGGCCAGAGGTCTGTGGTCTCTGAGCACCGTTTCGCAAAATCGATCATCTACGCCACAGTGGCCAAGGAGTGGAACCTTAAACCTGGAGAAAACATCTTCGATGCGGCCATTGCGCTGCTTTGTCATCACAGGCAATTCGACCACAGCGTCCTGGTGAATATTCGCGATGAACTGGAAATACCACCGAACCCTACAAACAACTTCATCCTCAAGAGCCGGCTTATATCCAATACCAACGAAGAGATCTCCTCCGACTTCCGTGACTATGTGACGCTGCACGGGGCTGCCATACCCACCATTCACGACAGTTCGCTGCGGAATCGCCCTTATATCCTTGTGGTTACTTTGTCATACTTACGGGCGCTCGTCTCCCACAACCTGCAGCCTACCAGCATCCTGCAGATACTCCTTCTGGACATCTGTGTGCTCTACAACAACATCGAACTCGCATTGCAGCTTATCAGGTCTAAGAATATTCGGGATTCCACCTACGTATGTTATCGCCTGCTCTACCTCTACGTGGTGCTCCGGGACCCAGCCATGCGCCAGGTATGCCTTGACATGGCCATTCGGCTGAAGCTCTATGGTATTTGCGTCAAGATTGCTGTGATCGATCAAGACTACTACAACGCACTCGTGGTGATGAAGGCGTACGGCGTCGCCTCGTTCCCACTGCATCGCATTCTTTACTGCGCTGCCAAAGACGTGGAAGCGCAGGAACGCAAGCCGCACCTATGGCCGTCGATGCTTGCGTTCATCAAGTCCTGGGTAGAAGAGAGCGCCGCTAACAATACAGCATGTGCACCGCCGAATTTACGCGGCTGCGAAATGTGGCTGCCCAGCCTGTAAGGGTTTTTGCCTGTACGGTGGAGTTAATCCACCAGCCGTGTAGAGAAATCCCACCGCTGAGCACAATGGCGTGCAATTTTTAATACGCTGTTATAACGTGATGTGCAACAGTAAAACACTCGCCTTTATAATGATGCGAAATAGCTGCTGCGGACTATTTGGAGGGGTTATATTAGGCGTACGTTATACAATGGTGTAGTTGCTGATTACTTCAGAAATGCAATATATAGAACATCTTACGATAACAAATTAAGGCCATATTTTGCGCCAACACGATCTAATGCCTGTAGAGCCGATGCATCCAACAGAACTGACTCATCGCTACCTCTACGTGACAACAGACCGGCCAGCATCTCACAATGGTGCTTCCCTATTTTGTGCACCAGCTGCATGAGCTGCTCAGAAGCGAATTCGCACAGGAACTGGCTCTCCATTCCAGCCAAGTGTATGAACTCTAGCAAACGTATCAGCTGCTCGACACTGTCAAGTGACTGCGCACGCCTAGGGAGCACCAGTATTAAGGACAAGATCGCCCTTTCGCTACGGTGATTCAACCGAAGCAATGCCACGTGGAAAGAGAGCATGTCCGAAATGGTGAACTGTGAGACATCCCTCACGAATCGGTCGCAGCAACCATCTAACAGATGAGTTAGATTGATTGGTTGATCTGCAACTTCAGGGGATATCCATGACTCAAGTCCGGAATCGGCGAAAAAAGAAAGCACGTCAGTGAGATGTGCGGCAGTGAAAACGTTGATGTTCGACACGACCCGTGGAATTACAACCTGCGTGACGTAATCCTTAATTTCTTTTCCGTGTCGGTCACTGTCCCAACCCTTCCCTTGTGCGGCTAGGTATACCCTGGTCACATTCAATAGAGCGACCACCGTAGAACAGTCATTCAATGTCATTGGTTGAGACGGTATGTTGCGATTGCTGGTGAACGACAAAGTGATCTGTCTTATATCTGCCAAGCTAACGAGGTCGGTGGGCAGCATCGAAGCATAGAGTAGCCCTATCCGTAGCCGCAGATCGTCCGGCGCATGTTCTATATGGCTTTTCATTATGGATAGGCATAGTTCAACCCATCTAAGTGACATGAGATCCTGAACGCCTGGAAGCGACAGCATTCGCCAAGCGGTCTCCGTGAGCTGCAACCTGGCCTCGGCGGTGCCAGGCGGGTACTGGTGCATCTCTTCCATCTTCTCCAAGAATACCTGTTTCAAGCTGTCATTCAGTATTCTCATGTTCAAGGTCGCATTAAGTAACGGCAAGATATTTGAAACGTTAATCCCTTGTGCCTCTTCCAGCAAGCAGCGTTGCATGTACTCCCTGGCCCGGTACGGTATCCTTTTACCCTTCAGCGCAGGTGCAAGGTGGATGGCCGCAACAATAGCTCGCTTTACACTCGCTGTTGGTGAACATGAACCATCAGCTGGCTCTTCTCCAATGTCGGTTGTTGGCGTACGTTCGGTACATGCCTCGATGTGGATAGCGCATTCCTTTGTGCTACTTGCCGCACCGTGAACGTTACCATTAGGTGATGCAGCCGCTGGCTTAACCGCTGACATATAGAACTCAGTGCTTGTGAACCTCCCGTAGCTCAGTTCAGGCCTCCTGCCAATGAGCTGTACGGCTGCCCTCGCTGCCCGCCGCCTCATCACTGCTTATTTAGGATAAAGAGAATTCAAAATATAGACACCAGCAACGAATTGATTCGTGTTTGACGACTGCGCCCTGTGTCTACACTTGCATATACGTTGGTACTCCTAACAGGAAATGAAGACGCTGGTCCTAGACAGTTGCACCAAGAATCCCCAACTAAAAAATTCAGTGGATGTCTTACCAACCTTAACCATCTACACACGCCCATTCAATTTCCGAGTAGATAACCTGTAAACTGTTCGCTATGGAAACGGCACCCTGCAGTTCCACGGCGTTTCGGTCCTTAATCTGGTTCACCTCGAGAAAGTGTTCGTAGACGCCGTCGAACTCTCCACGATGGCGCATTGCAGCACTTGCGATATGGTTGTTCAGTTGACGCAGGTTTAGAATCTGGTAGCAACGCATACAGGCGCCCTGATGCTCATTATGTACAGTATTGATGCTTCCTACCTTCCTTCCCAAGAGCGTCGCAGTACGCTTCTGGAGGTTGAACGAAACTTCCGGCACCGTGCTATCCGCACCTTCAGCGCCGCAGTAATCACAGCGGTCCGGTAACTTCGCAGAATTCTGCTCAAAAATCTGGAGCACCTTGCGTGGCGCTGGCGAAGGCGCTAATTTGAGCTCCTGTAGGCTTCGCGCCATTACTTCGATGAAGCCATCGGCGCTGTCCTCCGACTTCGTCTCGGCGGCGTTAGTATCTACATCCTTCTTTGCGGAACGTCCAGGGTTTTTCGACGACATCTTCAGCGCGACCATGCGCCTCCTTCCAGCTGTTTGGCTGAGGAACCGGTGTACTCGTCAATTTAAGGTACAAACGTAATATAGATGTAACACACTAGTTTAGCCGGATTCTGTCTGATTTTGCTAATACCTAACTGCGAAGGAGCCGTCTTCATCACACATCTACGCCCCCAGCTTCCGAGATTCTACAGTCGCAACAGCTCAAAGGCTGCATTTGCAAAAACGCTCCAAATGGCTTCTATATTACTACATATTTGGTGTATTTAAATCTTCCGTATATGTGCCGATAAATGAGGGTCTCTAACGCCATAAGCCGGTAGCGATGGTAGGCCCGTACGCCGTAATATTCGGTGTCCTTCCGGCGCTGATCGGCACACTTACGCCTTCGTTGGTAAATGGCACTGGAAGGGCGTGGTACAATGTGCGCCATGGGCTAGCTTCCGGGGGTTTTGGTACCGCTCTGAGCGCTCGATCAACTCGGCACAATGCCTTGGCCTTCCTTCCACGTTCCCCGAAGCAGCCGGAGCGAAAGTATGCGTACGAGAACACGTCATACAAGCAGAGGAATGTGCGCCGAAATATATACGAGGTGGACGCCCCAGCGTCTAAGGAACATGCTATCGCCTTTTTCTCGCATGTGTTACAGGCCACGGCGAATCCAGCGTTTGCTCCAGTAGAGGCACCCTCAGGAAGCTTTGTTACCCTTACTAAGCAGGTGTCAACGCTCGGACCAGCAACCAGCGATGCAACTTCTCTTAAATCACTCATTGACGCAGGTACCGACATTTTCAGGCTGAACTTCGCCCACGGCACTCGCACATCTAAGCTGAAGAATGCTAGGATTGTGAGGCAATTAGAGCTAACAGATGCACCAGATGGAGTAAATTCCACTGGCAGCTTTCTGTTTCGCGCTAGGGCCCTGTTAGGAGACATACAAGGGCCAAAGTTGCGCATTGGCAGGTTCATGCCCAATGTGGACGCCAAGGGGGTTGGTCTCAAAAGTGCCGAAGCCGAGTTCGTTAACCTAAAAAAGGGTGACTTGTTCTCTTTCGACACTGCCGATGTTAAGGGTGGCCGGACCCGCGTTCAGTTTGACTTCCCCGATATATTGCGACAATTGGAAGTGGGAAATGTTATCTCGCTGGACGACGGCAATATCTCGATGCGTGTGGTAGATGTGGACAAACAAGAGCCTTCAGTTCAAGCAGAGGTGTTAAATGATGGCATCTTATCAAGCCGTAAGGGTTTCGCTGTGCCAAACGTGGTTCTGCCAGTTGACCTGTTCAGCGCCAAAGACGTCAAGGACGCCGTATTCTGCTATACTGCGGGGCTTGATTTCCTCGGAGTTAGCTTTGTCCAGAGAATGCAGGACATACTGTATCTGAAGAACATATTGCTAGACTTTGCGGAGAGTCCATTTTTCCAGGCACTGCGCGAACGCATGGACCTGCTAGATGCCAACACGCTCAACACGGACGAGGAGGACGCGGAGTTTGAGGCAATTTTGGAACAATACTACACGGAACGATTTTTGCCGAACAAGCAGGCGATGATGACGAAGGTGCCTAAGCAGGAGGACGTGGGTATAGGCATCATACCCAAGATTGAGAAGCAGCCTGCGCTGGACGATATCAACGGCATTTTGGAGGTTTCGGATGGTCTCATGATAGCCCGTGGTGACCTGGGCGTCGAGACTGAGATCACCAACTTGCCAATCATCCAGAAGCGGCTAGTCCAACTTTGCCGTCTCGTATATCGCAAACCTGTTATCGTCGCCACGCAGATGTTAGAGAGCATGCGCTCTAACCCCAAGCCTACTCGCGCTGAAACTACGGACTGCGCAAACGCCGTTTACGACGGTGCAGATGCCGTCATGCTCTCTGCGGAGTCTGCAACAGGGCAGTACCCCGCGCACACGGTGGAGGTGCAGCGGAGGATCCTGTACAACACAGAACGGGATCCATACTTTAGCACCTTACAAGTCACGCGGGAGATGTTGGTGCACGACCAGATGTTGTCCAATCTAAAGGGCGTTCGTGCTAAAGATGCGGAGAGCGCCAACACGCTTCTACAACTAGACCTGAAGTTTGCTAAGGACTGGAACACCAGGCACAGCGATGTGTTAGCAGCTTGCGAGCATGTGTCAAACGCTATTGTGACCGAGGGTGTGGACGCGCTGTTCGTGCATGCTGAGGACCGTGGTGAGCTTGTGCAATGGGTGGCTACGAAGCGTTACACCATTCCAATTATTCTGATTACCCGCAACGTGGAGCTTGCGCGCCGCCTGCAGCTGACCTGGAGTGTTAAGTCACACCTTTTGCCCAGTGGTGCCAACCCTTTCACATTCGCTCAAGAGCTAGCACCCAGCTACGTCCAACCGAAGCGAAAGGTGCTAATGGTTGAAACACACGACAACGCAGTTGACTCTAGCATTGTGTTTGAAGTCAAATAACACACCATCTAATGTATTACAACCGCTGGTGTACTCTCCTGTATTTCGCTCTCATTTACACCACTGTTTGATGCATTAAAAGTGGTCTCAACGCCACGAATTATTAGTCTAGATATATCTATGACTGTTTGGTAGGGAAATGTGAGTTCTCACGTGTATGATCGACGCCCACAAGGTCGATAGTGAAGTGTGCGGAAGGCACGTATTGATAACGTACGACAAAACGTCCAAAACGCTTAAGACCATGTAGCATAACCAATTGGGCATGTTCGCAGCGTTACAGTAAAAACGTACCGGTGCAATCGAGGGGATTTGGTTAACCAACCAATACAATTTATTGGCGACTGAGACGGACAATAGGAGGGCGCACGAGGACCTGGTGAAGCATATAAAAGAACAACAATTTAATTAGCAGGAAATGTGCAAGATAACACCCTGTGTTATGATGTAGGAAGGTATCACGACGCGAGAAGACAGCAGCTGCCAAAAATCTTTGGGAGAATCCACGTGCTTATGATGGGTAACATGATAAGATATTACTGTACGATTTTTACAGCAGCTAGCATATATATCCCATTATTAGACGGGTATTGCCATCTTATATGGGCCAGAGAAGGCGTAGGTAGCCACTTACCACACACTAGCCAAATACGTAGGGAGTAGGTCTCACTTCAACATTTAAATACCTAAGCGTATTATGCGTACACAGTTTATACATTAAAGTGTGCTATCACATGTGTGTTTCGTTCATCTAAAATAGCGGTCGGGGCTGTGAAGGAAAATTCCTCGATGTCTGAACGGCTGGCTACGAATACGGAGCTAGCTCTGACATTCGTTTTCACAAGCGGCGACACGTTGCACACTCCAGTATAATGTTGTATGTACAACAAGTGTTTGGATATTGAGAATAACCTCTATTTAGCGCAGTGCCTGTCGATATTATGATATTAAATGCATAATCATGGCCAAACATAGAATGAGAGCTCTGTGGGTTGCTGTTTCAATCGTGGCGCCTTCGATTGTATCTGTTGGCGCATTTTTGTGTGACTTCGACTATCCAGATGGCTTACTTAGCAGCAATGCTTTTGCCAGGTGTAACATGGATATCGGCCACTCTGGATCCGCCACCCTTATATGCCCTCGCCGAGTCAACGACACCAAGTATGTATGGCATCCTCAGCCGAAGTCTGGTGATCACTCTCATCTCAATGCATACGTGAGTGGTGATGGCAAGTTACGTGCTGTTGCTCTTTCGGATGTAGTGGTTACCGATGCACCAGTTTCATTTGCTTCGGTGCAAACTAACCTTTCCCAAACAAAACTGATTTTTAGCCTAAGAGATGACCAAATATATGCCATTACCGAGCGCCATTCAATATTCATCTGCGGTCCACGAGATTTGATTCTGAGTGAGAAGTTGCAGCGTCACCTTGACGCAATGAATGGTGTCATCCAAATGCAAGCACTTCCCTGGACATCAAACACTCCATTGGTTAGAGCAATTAAGAAAATGGGCAAGGGTCTGGGGGTGGTTTTCTTGTACAGAGGGTACGTGCATATACCACTTCACGGATGTGGCAGCCGCCCCTCGCCACTATTTGCTCTGGATAATGAGGTCGCGGTAGACCCCGTAACTGGCGTACGATCATGCGTGGCGGATCCTATGTCTAAATCACGTATAGGTTTTGTTTGCGAAGGTCGAATAGAACCTGATGATTGCATGAGATACCTCTTCGATACGAATGGCGACACTGTGGGTGCTCCTCTACCGGATCATTATTGGAATGTCGAAAACTACAGACCGTGGGTGGTAGCGCAATATGTTAATGAATTAGCATTGCCACCCATAAATGGCGAATGTAGGTGCATAGATTCCGAAACAGGTCAGGTGAAGGCCAGGATTGAGATCCGTTCGAAAAACGAGTATGTCTGTGACATTACTAGCAAGATATTCCGCAACCGTGTGCACCCCATCCGGGGACCTTGGTGTTCCGTGGTGCTTCATCCTGGTAGCGCCTTGACTGTGAGGTTCCCAGTGGCGGGTGTAGACTCAAGATCCGACGAAGATTCAGATTCAGATTTCCAAGCTGGCCTGCCGTCCCAAGATCTGTCCATCTATGAATATGAAACAGAATTCCTGCCGAAGGACTTGACTACTCTGCGACAACTGAAATCAAATCATGACATGGATCGTTACGATGAAATCTCATACCACGAAGTCATAGCTGGTGATGCACTTGAATGGGATCTTTCCCAAATGGCCCAAGGGGAAGTCAAACTGAAATACCATGTGGACAAACCTCTCACATTAAGAAATGGGAAGAACTTGTTTGTATACCATTGGACACTGAAATCCAGAAACAGGTACGTCTTAGAGAGGATAAGCGCCACGGTGAGTGTCTCCTTCGCGTTCACCCATCGCTACAATATCATTGGTTGCGACAGAGGTCTACAAAGCGTGTTTAATCAGGATATCAGTGACGAATATTGTTCCACTCATTTTACGGTATACGGTACAGGGGAGAGGTACGAATGCGTGTACGATGGTATGCGAGACGTTAGGCAGACTGGTATCCACTGCGAACCAGACGAAGAGCTGCTACCGGGCAACTGCAGGTCCACAGGATACGACCTGTACTCGAATCAGATTATGCCATTTCCGGGATCCATCAGAAACGCGGTGCCATATCCCATTCCAGGATTTCAGGTGTTCGACTTTGAATTCCACAACAGTACTGCTCTCAGTTTTGCTTGTGTCTGCGTCGACGAACTTGGATACGAGAATTCTAGGCTTGTTTTAGAGCACAACCATCACGAAACATATCGTTACGCGGTACGTCGTGAAGAGCCACAGCACACGTTGTCTCCATACTTACTATTGCCTTGGCATGAGGTGGCATTATCAAATGATGACTTTACGTCATCAAGGCCGCTTGTGCTATACAACGTATCGTCAGCCTCTATTAAACTGAATGTGGGCACAACGCTGTGGTTAGCGTGTGTGCCTGACTCAGAGATTATATCGTTTGAAGAAATGCTAAACGTTGGAGATAATGGTGGGATAAGAACGACGTGGCTGCCAAAGCAGCCTGAAGTCTTTTATTATACAGTCAATGAAACGGCACATGGGCATGTGCTTATTCGGAAGAGATACAACGACGCCTTTGTAACCGTTCCTGGAAGTTTCGAAGTCAGACACCAAGAGGTTAATGCGGCTGGTGGATATAAAATGATAATGATAGAATTGAATAGACGCGCCATTGTTATATCTAAGGATCCACAGCACAAAGAAATTGTGCCGATGACGTTCGTCTGCGGTAAGGCGCTTCAACCGTCAGATTTATCCATAGTCACTGACAACGCAACTACATCGGCATCGGTTTCACCGCCCAATCTTCGGACGATCGGATCCTCTACACGATACAGCTGGCACGCCGTTGAAGTTGCCGTCGAGACCACCGACCCGTACATGCAGGGCTGCGGCGTCACATACGCATCGAATGAGCTGTTCAAACCTGAGGCGCTTCCAATCTACGACTCCGACGGGGAGCAGCAGCCCGGTTGCAAGTTCGATTTTCACGCTGCTAAGGAAGCGGCGTTTTACTGCCCAGCGCCGTACGTCCTGGACCCACCCAGCTGCTTCAGCCAGGTCGCGGTTGAAGGTACCGTCAAGAAGACGGACGACCTCAGCCAGTCATTGGTGGTGTCGCGATCCAACCACTTCGTAATTCTGAGTTTTGACGCTTCTCATGTAGGACCCGGGGAAACGCTGCGCCAGACTCCACCGTTGGAATGCCGCTGCGTCACCGTCAAGGGTATCGTGCTCTCCACCATCCAGATCGAGAACTACTATGCCAAGTAGTGAGCAACTAATATCTGATAGCTTATCAGCAGATTGTGGAAATTAATTTACGTGTTTTCTTGTTTCCGTTAACTTGTGTATTCACGTAGCAGCAGGGATTTTGCTTCGAATGTGATAATTGGTGCTGCTAGCTTAGAACTATCAGCTCAATGATGGCTTCAATTTCTTAAGGGTTGAGATGTGAGACGTACCATCAGGGTATGTGAGTCCGTGTTACCGTCATGAACACATGAAATACCCAGTGAAATAGCGATTATATGTGCCAATTGTGAGCAGCAGTCAACTGAAGAGATATCGCTCATGGACATTCCGCAATGCTGCTATCAGGTGATTAACAGATGTATGACAATCTATGCTGCCGATACGGTAATATTATGCAGAGATGTGGAGTTGCAAAGCACGAGCACTGTTTGTCAATTGATGGAGAGACTCAGAAGCTGTATGTCGTGCGGCCAGCAATGTGTGGGGCAAGGTTCGCAATATATAGATGACTCGATGGGACGGTTCTGTTGTTGGAGGCTCGTGGCTGGTGTGTTACTGTCGGTATGTTGAATGGCGGTTTCTGGTCGGTCATGGAACGGTGAGGGGAGACGGCTTGGCGGTTCTACTGTTCGGGGCTCAGGGTACGTGTTTCATGTTTGTGCTGGTTAGTGAGAAGTGAGATAGGGGAAGATGTCTAAAGCGGGATGTAATTGTTATGGAAAGGGCGGCGTGTGTAAGGGCAGCAGTTGTAACTGCTGTAACTGGTGTTGTCCAGGATGTACTGGAGTCAAAAACTGCGAAGCATGCAAAAATAAACGTTCCGCGGAATACGGTCATGCTGACTGTTCGAAATGCGCAGGTGAAAGTTTGTGGAGCTGTGACTGTGATTGTTGTAGGAACACATTTATAAGCATTGTCGTCGTTCCCATCATCGCAATCATCCTCACTGTCGTATGCGTCATGAGCTTCTTTCGCATTCGGCCGTTCCACAGGGTCCGCGATTGCTTCGCCCGCAAGTGAAAGCTTTTTGTCGCATTCTTTAATCACATCAGGCATTTATTATAATCGCACTTATCGCACAGCTTTAGACAGCAACAACACGATGCCAACTTAATAAAGGCCTATTTAATTTTTCGAAAATTGCATCGGCAGGTACCCGTTAAACGCTTTCATGAATTACATGGTGACAGCGCATTAGTTAAAAGGACGGGATTAACACAGCGCAATGTAACATGCTCATCCGCTCCCACCTCCACCAGGCGCCGTGTCAGCCGGCGCAGTACTGACGCTGCTTGGACTAGGATCGGAGGGTTGACTTATTAGTTGAGTAACAACTTTCCCAGCATCTTGCCCAATCCCCTGATCGACAGTTGACCCAGGGCCTGGACCTGAAACATTCGGACGCTGAGTGATCGCAGGGACTTGAGGGGGAGTAGGCGGTGGAGAGGGAGGCCCTGGAGGGAGTTGATGTGGAGGTTGACTAGGAGTTTGAACTTTAACACCTTGATTACTTGATGTATCTTGAGTCGAAGAAGACGCCAGATCCACTGGACCAGTAGGCCCTGGCGGTACTTGACCTCCTGAAGTACCGGGAGACGGAGCTGAAGCAAGAGCCTTTACATCTGATAAAGGTGGAGACTTTGATTCACTTTGACCATTATTCTGATTTGGAGACAAAGGAGTTGGAGTTCCCTCACCCTTCTTGCCTTGGTTCTGTGCTCCCTCACTTTTCTTGCCCTGGTTCTGTGCTCCCTCCGCTTTCTTGCCTTGATTTTGATTCCCTTCTGTTTTAGTGGCAGTCGGCTTTGCCGCCTCGGCCTTGGTGACCACAGGTTTTGCGGCCTCTGTTTTGGTGGGGACAGTCATCGCCGGCTCGGATCCAGGAACCTTGGCAGGCGGGACCTCTGGCTTTTTCGGAACGGCAACTTTCTTCTCCGGCACAACTTCCTTGGGGGCTTCAGGAACCTTGGCAGGCGGGGGCTCAGGCTTTTTAGGTGGCGGAAGCTTTTGACATACTCCTTGATACGTTCCACTCAAAATTTCTTTAAGCCTATCCAGATCGTTGTCATTCTTTTTATTAAACTCATCGATCGCCTCACGCCAATCCGTCATCAAATTCTTTACATCCATTGACGACATTATAAAACGCTTATTTACATCTAATCTGAAACCAAAAGGGAAGAGATTGTCGGTAAAATATTTGCCAAGGTTGTACTTATCGGGATTGGTGACGGCATTGTCATCTGTCCTAATTTCCCTCAATTTCCCCCGCACTAGAGTCAGCTTCTCTCTCAACCATTTCGCAGTTGCCTTCGCCAAGTCCTCTCTCTTGAGGTTTTTAAGTTGCGTCGCCTGTCCGGTAAAGTCAAAGCGTTCATCCTTTTTGAAAAGTTTGTCAAACAATTTATTCTTAAGCTTAGCGCAATGTTCTCTCAATTCTTTCCAGCATATGGTTTGATCGGATTTCACATGTTCTTTTAAGCCGGCATCTAATGCTCTTATCAAGCTTCCGCCGGTCGCTGGGTCTGCTTCTCCTACAATATCGCAGAACGTTCTGATCAACGAGAGAGCGTTCGCGGCGTTCTCTTTACGGTTGGCCGCATCTCCAATGACGGAAGTGACAAACACGCTGCGGAAGAAATTGTAATTCTGTTTGCTCAAAATTTTTTGTAGGTCGAAAACCATATAGGAACCTTGGTAGTAAGACCGCCCAAGTGTATAATAACTCACATCGCCGTAAGTGAACCCCCCTGGTATTACGCCGTGTGTTTCGTCGCCGGAGTCAGCGTAGAGATATTTACCAAGATGGCCTCCCCACCGACTATCATTCCACGCAGGCCAGTTCTGTTTCCAACCACCGCCCCCAAGTCTCTCGTAACTGTGATATACGCAGTACTCCAGAAAGTATATGGCAGCAAGGAACTTGGAGAGGCATTCCAGAAGGGCATCTACGATGTCATTAGGGTTTTTTCCTGTATAACTGCCAGGCGCTGGGTCTTCGCATAACCTCGTGTAGAACGCTGACACGTGGCCGAGGAAAGCGGTCAAGCCAAGCTTAACGTTTTCTAGGTTGAAAATATCTTTACTCTCTTGAAAATATTGCTTGATACGCCCATGCAGTTCTCTGGCCACCTTGTCCTGCATAGCCTCATACCTTTTCAACCACTCCAGGAACTGGAGACACTCCTTGAGGCTGCCAAGCGGAACTCCGTGAGGCGCCATCTTAGTTGCGAAGGCGAATAACGCAATGACAGTAACAAATGGGCACTAGGCTACTGGTACACAGATACATTTAAATGGTTAACTAGAAGACACTAAAGCCATACAACCTCTAAGGCGACGTCACTGCTTCCGGATAACCAAGACACTCCCAAGTTGCTTGCAGAGGTATAATTGCGCTATCAATAGGTGACTCAGTGAAGGTGTTAGTGGCGATTGGTGAGACATTTTAGAGTAGCAAGAGGGGCGTGGTGAGAGGCTTCGGCAGCCTCAGTCCACCGACAGGTGGGATGACGTAAATACGTCCACGAGTAAGGCACAATGCAACGTACCAAACAACGAACATCTCAACGGAGCTTATACATTACTTCGTAGGTTACACGTTTAATGAGCCAGCTGAGTAAGGATAAGCAGGCTATTGTACGAATGGACAGATCTCAAGATAGATTTGAAGAGTGTGAAAGATGGGATTCAGAAAGGGATTCAGAATGTGATTACGAGTTTGGAAGTTGAGACTTTGGATAAGAAAGTGAGAGATGATTTGAAGAGTTTGAGGGGGAAGATTGAGGGGCTTGCGAAGGATGTTGACAAGGACTCTAATGTTCTTGTAAAAGATGCTTTGGAAAATCTTAAAAAACAAAAGGCAGATATAGATAACCTAACCAGTTCAAGCGGATCAATTCAGAAGGCGGTGGATGATCTTGACAGTAAGTTTAAGCAGGAGATTCAAAGTAAGCTTGAACAGAAAGTCACTGCAGTTGACTCGGCGATTGGGACGCTTGGCGGGAAGTTTAGTGTAAAAGGCGATCCAAAGAAACTTGAAGGTATTTTCGGGCATATTAAAGGACAGGTTGGGGATATTCTGAACGGTGATAATGGCGATAAAGGTTTGCAAGGCATCGCTTCCGCAGTGAAGGTGTACGTCACGGCGGTTTTCGCAAATATGGGAAATGATAAGACAATGGATGACTGGCTACCTAAAATTTTGGGGGACAAGGACAATGCGGTGAATGATCCGGTTAAGCAACCAGTTAAGCGGTGGCTTGAGAAGTATATTAGCGGAAACTCGGCACATTCAATCAGTTCGTCTAACACTGCAGAGACAATCTGTACAATTAAGCACCAGATTAAGACGAAGCTTAAGGAAGCCAAGGTGTATGAGAATGTTAAGTCACAGCACAATGTCCAAGCAAAGGGCCAAGTTGCAACTGATTTGGGACAGCTCAAAAACTTTCTGGAGGCATACGCTAAGAAGCTTGATGAGAAACTTCAGCCCGAGAGTGGTGGTAGTGACGCAAGTCAGTTCGTCGATGGTTTAGTAAAGCAGGTTGGGAACACACACGGCCCAAATACCAAAAACGAATACCTCACATTCATCGTTGAAGCGATACTTGTTGCCATTTCCGCTAAGGCCAGGAGGGCCGGTGAGGAGATTGATTCCCTTCTTCTTAACGCCGGCAGGGTGGGCAACGGCACCAACGGTAAAAACAGCATTGCAGAGGAAATAGATAATGCTTTAAAGATTGCAAAGACGCTTAACACTCAGTTTGAAGGGGCGACTACCAAGTCCGTCCCTTCTGTCCCACCAGGAGGCCAAAAGGAAAGCCTCGCCCAAGCCGTGGACAGTAAGTTGGAGGACGTGAAGACTTTTGTGAGTGGGAAGAATGGTGATGATAATAATATTACCAACAGGTTTGAGGATAATGTCATACATGAGCTTAAACAAGCGGTAGGAGGTCTTGAACCCGCCGTCACAGAATTCAATAACAAAGCTCAAGCACAGATCAGGGCTGCGGCCAATACGGCGATTCAGAAGGCGGCTGAGCAATTCCAGATGGATGGTAATGGAAGGGATATTAGCGTGGAGAAAACGATGCACAAATTTCACCAAGCGTATGATTCCATAAAAAAGAACTTAAAGTCGGACCTTGAACAGAAAGTTGATGCGGAGTTGCCAAATGCCGAAGGAACAAATGCAAGTACTCATGTGAAACTTGATGATACTAAAAATTTCGGCAGTTATAATACATACGTCACACAAAATAACGAGGACCTTAAGAAGGGTGAGTTAAAAGGCGTTAATTCCGAGGGAAAACTTCCAGCGGCGATCGGGGACATCAAGACTCTGGGTCTGGCGGCGCTTAAAATCATTGATCCAAAAGGAAGTGGCCCACCAGATCAGAAGATTACCGAAGCAACCTTCACCGGTGCGTTCGACAAAATTAAGACACAGCTTGAAGATATCAAGAAATTGGTTGATGATGACGGCTTCTTTGGCAAGGACGAAAAAGGCGTCCAAAAGCTTCTGGGTAAGCTTAAAAGTGCGCTTGATTCAGGAATGTTGGATGGAGCTCCAAAAGGTTTGGATGAAATTATAAAGGCGATTGACGGCCTGCAAAAAGGGCCGTTTCACCAACAACCCGCTGCAATTGACTCAGCCATCTCAGAAATTAAGGGGGAGATTGATATACTGAAAATTATACTGAAAAATGATAATAAGAATAATGTCGGGACGAATGGCGTAATTGACGACTTGGACAATTTAAAATCAGTTGGCCTCGACGGCAAGAGTACCTGGAAGAACGGAGTCAGTGGTCTAGGGAAGATCCAAGATTACCTAGAAAAAGATAATGAGAAATTGCCCGTGCAAACGGACATCATCGCTTACGCCATACTTGACATTCAGAGTGAGCTTGGGAAAATAGGAATAAGGTTAAATCACCCCCTGGACTACAATGACGTCATAGACCTCTTGGGCCGCCTGGCGCAAATGATCGGCCAAAGCAAGCAGGGATACAGGAGCAACCTGAAGGACATTCAATATACGATTGCATGGCTGCAAAGGGAGCAATTTACCAATTGTCCCCAAAACATCCGTGAAGCCAACTCAGCAATCAAAGGAGAACTTGAAGCGCAGATGAACACGTTGAACAGTGGTGTCATTGCAACGCTGGGTGACTTGAAGGACAAGGGGCTGAGTGAACAGGCAAGTTGGAAGCCTAATGGACAGAAAGAAGCAAAGGGTTTTGACCATATTATTAGTGAACTTAACACTCAACAAGGCATATTGAAAGATCAACATCCGGCAATCGGCGTTGGCGTCACCCAAATCACCGGTGAGCTCACAAAGCTTCAGACGCAGTTGGAAAAGGATGTCACCGAGAAGCTGAGAAAGCTGAAAGACCATGGCCTTGAAAAAGGCGAACAACCATGGAATGATAGTGATTTCAAAACAGGCCTCACTCAAATCACCGCAGAGATCGAGAACATAAAAACCACGGACGTTAAGGACGTGAGGGACAAACTCAACGAGCTGTGCACAGAAATTCGTACCTTAGCGAGGGAGGCAAAAAGGGACTTGAAACATCTGAAAAAAATACAGGCTGGAATATGAATTGACTGTGATTAAGAATGATTTGCACAGCCTGCATATCTGTCTTGGCCGCCTCCTTGATTTCTTTTACGGCGGCATCGTTGAACTGGGTGACGGCACCGGGGAGTCCTTCAACTGCCTTTTGAAGATCATGTTTGACGTTGTTCCTGAACTTCTCTTCAAGCCCCTTAACCTCACTCCTTACCCCACTGATCGCAGTGTCCACGACTTGGGCGGGGCTTTTGCCGTCGGAGACAGGGAGGCATGTGAGCTGGGTGGTTCAATCGCTCCTTTTAGCTGACCGTCAAGATATCCGGTATCTTTAACCACTTTGTCCAATACCTCTGCGATTGATTTGTCCCCCACCCTGGTCTCGAGCAGAATAGAATTAATCTCATTGGCCACCTGACTGGTGGTAGCAGAGAGACCAAGAACCGTGGCTTCTATGGCATATTTAATTTCTTGTTCCTTGCCCCGGTTAATCCCCTTTGAGATCCTCCCGAATATCTGCCCTGCCATATTACCAATTCCCTCCTTAAGTCTGTTATCGAGCCCGCTGGCAAATGTCTCACAGCCTTTTTTCACAGATGCAATGCTTTTTGCGATTTCCCCATTGGATATCTTAACCTGCCCCTTGCCAGCGTTAATTTCACTTTGAAGCTCATTCTTAATCGCGTCTTTAATTCCATCACGCACTGTAAAAAGCTCGGGAAAATGATCCCTCACCGTCTTACACAGCGATTTCCCACCATTCCTTTCCTCAAGATACTGTCCAAGCCACAGTTTAGCCACGTGCTTATCATTCCCTAAAGCCCCTTACGCCCACCCGCTCACAATACTCTCAAACGTATCCTTGAAAGCATTGGCGTAGCAGCTAATCAACCCATACGCAATCCCCTCCAGACCTGAGCCACCTTTATTGTCCCAACCTGAACCTCCCTTCCCCTTAATCTCCGCAACCTTATCTTTAATATGTTCTAAAATGCCTGAAATTTTATTTTGATCCTTTTTGAGATCTTTAAAATTCCCGCCAAGCGCCTCAATCGCCGTGTCAACTGCAGTGACCGCCTGGGTAAGCGGCTGTTGGATCGCACTCTTAAAATTCTGGTCCAGGTTCCTAGTTTCCATAGTAATTGGATTTGTCTTCTGATTGAACTCCTCTTCGGCATTTTTGAGCTGTTCCAACTGACCACTTACAAGACCACCAGGCGGTTCAACTTGCTCGTTAAGTTTCTCAATCCTTTGTTTCAACGTCTTCAAATCATCTCTCACTTTCTTATCCAAAGTCTCAACTTCCAAACTCGTAATCACATTCTGAATCCCTTTCTGAATCCCATCTTTCACACTCTTCAAATCCTTCGTAAGGCTTTCGTCCATTGCCACAACAGCCTCCAACGCCGATTTGACTTTCAATCTAAGATCCTGCTTATCCTTACTCAGCTGGCTCATTAAACGTGTAACCTACGAAGTAATGTATAAGCTCCGTTGAGATGTTCGTTGTTTGGTACGTTGCATTGTGCCTTACTCGTGGACGTATTTACGTCATCCCACCTGTCGGTGGACTGAGGCTGCCGAAGCCTCTCACCACGCCCCTCTTGCTACTCTAAAATGTCTCACCAATCGCCACTAACACCTTCACTGAGTCACCTATTGATAGCGCAATTATACCTCTGCAAGCAACTTGGGAGTGTCTTGGTTATCCGGAAGCAGTGACGTCGCCTTAGAGGTTGTATGGCTTTAGTGTCTTCTAGTTAACCATTTAAATGTATCTGTGTACCAGTAGCCTAGTGCCCATTTGTTACTGTCATTGCGTTATTCGCCTTCGCAACTAAGATGGCGCCTCACGGAGTTCCGCTTGGCAGCCTCAAGGAGTGTCTCCAGTTCCTGGAGTGGTTGAAAAGGTATGAGGCTATGCAGGACAAGGTGGCCAGAGAACTGCATGGGCGTATCAAGCAATATTTTCAAGAGAGTAAAGATATTTTCAACCTAGAAAACGTTAAGCTTGGCTTGACCGCTTTCCTCGGCCACGTGTCAGCGTTCTACACGAGGTTATGCGAAGACCCAGCGCCTGGCAGTTATACAGGAAAAACCCTAATGACATCGTAGATGCCCTTCTGGAATGCCTCTCCAAGTTCCTTGCTGCCATATACTTTCTGGAGTACTGCGTATATCACAGTTACGAGAGACTTGGGGGCGGTGGTTGGAAACAGAACTGGCCTGCGTGGAATGATAGTCGGTGGGGAGGCCATCTTGGTAAATATCTCTACGCTGACTCCGGCGACGAAACACACGGCGTAATACCAGGGGGGTTCACTTACGGCGATGTGAGTTATTATACACTTGGGCGGTCTTACTACCAAGGTTCCTATATGGTTTTCGACCTACAAAAAATTTTGAGCAAACAGAATTACAATTTCTTCCGCAGCGTGTTTGTCACTTCCGTCATTGGAGATGCGGCCAACCGTAAAGAGAACGCCGCGAACGCTCTCTCGTTGATCAGAACGTTCTGCGATATTGTAGGAGAAGCAGACCCAGCGACCGGCGGAAGCTTGATAAGAGCATTAGATGCCGGCTTAAAAGAACATGTGAAATCCGATCAAACCATATGCTGGAAAGAATTGAGAGAACATTGCGCTCAGCTTAGAATAAAATTTGACAGATTCTCCAAAAGGGATGAACGCTTTGACTTCACCGGACAGGCGACGGGTACCAAAAAGCTCAAGAAAGAGGAGCTTGCGAAGGCAACTGCGGATTGGATTAGAACATATCTGAACATAGTGCGGAGAAATTTGGTGAATATTAATACAGATGCATCTGCGACCAAACATCTTGGAGATTATTTCACGAAACATTTCTTCCCCTACGGATTCACATTTAATGGAGAAGCTCGGTTCCGAATACGGGGTAACAAGTTAAACGGATTGAAACAAGATTGGCGTGAGGTGATCGAGGAGTTTAGGAGAGACGGTGACGGCGATTTGGAAAGGCTTAAAGAGATTTTAAATGGTAAGAATAAAACATTGTGTCCAGTAGACGAGCCCCCCAAGGAAATTGTGCCGGAGAAGAAAGTTGCCGTTCCGAAAAAGCCAGAGGTCCCGCCTGCCAAGGTTCCTGGATCCGAGCCGGCGATGACTGTCCCCACCAAAACAGAGGCCGCAAAACCTGTGGTCACCAAGGCCGAGGCGGCAAAGCCGACTGCCACTAAAACAGAAGGGAATCAAAATCAAGGCAAGAAAGCGGAGGGAGCACAGAACCAGGGCAAGAAAAGTGAGGGAGCACAGAACCAAGGCAAGAAGGGTGAGGGAACTCCAACTCCTTTGTCTCCAAATCAGAATAATGGTCAAAGTGAATCAAAGTCTCCACCTTTATCAGATGTAAAGGCTCTTGCTTCAGCTCCGTCTCCCGGTACTTCAGGAGGTCAAGTACCGCCAGGGCCTACTGGTCCAGTGGATCTGGCGTCTTCTTCGACTCAAGATACATCAAGTAATCAAGGTGTTAAAGTTCAAACTCCTAGTCAACCTCCACATCAACTCCCTCCAGGGCCTCCCTCTCCACCGCCTACTCCCCCTCAAGTCCCTGCGATCACTCAGCGTCCGAATGTTTCAGGTCCAGGCCCTGGGTCAACTGTCGATCAGGGGATTGGGCAAGATGCTGATCAAGATGCTAGTCAACAAATTACTCTACAAACAAGTCAAGGCTCCGGTCACGATTCAAGCAGCGTCACTCCTACGTCGGTTACCACGGCGGCTGGTGGAGGTGGGAGTGGGAAAGCTGCTTCCGTTGTTAAACAAACGTGTTCCGATGATCAACTTCCAGCTATAGATCTTTCTGGCAAAGATATCTGTCGGCCTAAATCTACGACGTACCATCGCAAGTCTCTATCTTCAGACCTGCTAAAAAAGCTAAGTGATATAGTTCCGCAAAACGAGTACACTCAAGCCCCTAAAAAATCCAAACCTGTCCAAACACAAATTCCACCCCCCCTTTCAAGTCAGCCCAGTCGCCCCGATTCCGGAGATTACAGTCAGCCCACTGGTGGTCGCCCTCGCCATGGGAAGCCGTACTATGTTCCGGGAGAGGGGCGGCCCGGGCAGGGGAGTCAGAATGTTCAACGTGATATTCCTATTAATCTTCTGCTCGATGTAGACGGTGCAGTTGTTAAAGACAATCCCAATACTAAGCTGCAAAAACAGAAAGACCGTATCGCGGTCTTTCATAATGCCTACGAAAATTCAATTCGTTTGCAGTCAGATCGAAACCGCGAAGAAGATGGTAGACTACAAGATCAATTGGAACAAAAACAAAAACAAGCAGAAGCTAATTGGTCAATAAAAAAGGAACATGGAAACCGCATAAAGAAGCACAATGATGATGTATACAGAATACAAAAAACATTGGAAACAGGCAGAATACGGTTGTCCCAGAAAAAAGAAGCGATGCAAAGAACGATGGATGCCGAACGTAAACGTCAAGAGGCATTAGAACAAGCCACAAAATTACGCAATTTTCAAGAAGGAATAAAGATTGATACAAAAGTTCTCAACCAACATCCCGAAAGGCCCACTTACCCCGGTGCTGCAAGAGTGGAAGCGAAAAGAAGCGGTTGGTCCCAATTCATTCCTGTCAAAATCCAAGTACCTGATCCGACACCCGATGATCCCATTGGCAACGGCATATTAGGCGGCAGAGGCTTACAGGATTCTACGTTTCCTCCTGTATCCAGCCATATTGGCGTACCTATGGGTTACCCGTTAAAGCATAAGGCCCCCCAGTGGCACGACCCGCCGCCGCCGAGTAAACCTGTAGCCCAAATGTATCATGCGCTGCCTGAGGGTGTTGTGTTATCTCACAATGAGCAGCGTCCAAAGCGTGTGTTGACATCACGTGCAACTGTCCACTCCCCCATGCAAGCTCAAGAAGTTGAAATTGATCCTGCATTAATAGTTTTAAACGTCACTGGCAAAACTCTGGATGGCCATCCTAAGGATGGCGCTGAGATCTTCCCGACACCCTTAACACTGGATGCGACCCCTGTACCTGATCATAGGGATAAGAAGCATTCCGTTGACATATACGAGCATGTTGTTGTTAAGCATGATTTGCCACTAACAGACATTCTCCCACAAAAACGCCCGCCACCCATACCGGCAGTGCCTAAAAATGCTTTTCATACGCCCGCTCCATTCCACTCCGAGATCAGCAAGCCACCTCACTCAATCACTCTATTTCCCGGTGACCCTCCCTCGGTAACCCAGGATGACATGTCTTGTATGGCACCGTGGATGTTGCAGCAGCCTGGGCCCTCAAAGAATGGGCACAATGACCTATCTCCATACCCGCCAGACGCCCAGCTGACCATTCTCCAGCCATCCAAGGTTACCCCCAGGACAGTGCGTGAGATGCTCTACTGGATTGCAGGGCTCCGGCATTCCGCATTCTACAACGGCTTGGAAAAATATATTGCGCATTCAATTAAGAATCTTACTGAAGATGCGGCTGCGTCATCCAGTGACATGGACACCCTACAGTTGGCTGCGTTTCCAGATCCTATTCTTGTCAAAAACGTCACTAAGGCCTTGCGGCTCAGCTGTCAGTACAGTGTTATTGCGCTTATGGGAATTCAAGGTTTGAATGATCCGGGCACCGCATATATGTCCGGGCATTATAAAACAATTCCCCAATTTGAATATTCCGCCGACCCCGCCCGCCTCCTCTGCCAGCTGCGGGACTACGTGTACGCCTGCTACCACCAGTTGACGTTCCTCAAGGTGCAGTGTTCTCGGGAGCAGTCACATGGTGGTTGGAAGGATTGTCAATATGGCAATAATGTCCCCAAGTCCCCACTCCAGGCCTTTTTGACTGACGCCGCAGACTCCAAGTTCAAGACAGATCCCTTCGACCCGCGCGATATCTGCCGCAAGAGCCGTGTCAACATGGGATTCACAAAGGAAGATTTGCCTGCAACTCACGAAACTGGCAACGTCCTTCTCACCATCCTCTCTCCCACCTGCGGCGGCGATGATCCCCTGCTGACATTGTCCTCGTACCTCACCTGCCTCACCAGGCGGACGCCGCGCACCACCGGGGAGCTTGTCTCGTTCTTCCACAATTTCGGGAATGAGCTTCACAAGCTTCCTCCACAGTTGTCTCCGCTGGGCTCCGCCCTCTCCCAGCCACATGACAACTGCCCCGACTGGGACCATCTTGAGGCCGACGACCTCAAAGTCATCAAGGACGCCCGGGGCTCCGGCCCTCCCACCGCCATCCACGACAAGGACCATGCCAAGACCCTGTCCACGCTGCTTGGCTGCGACATCACCAATGCGCAGTGCCCACAACTCATGAAGCCCATCACCTACCGGGCCTACGCCCTGTACTCTTCCAGCTTCGTACACCACTACCTCAGCTGGGTGGTGCATCTGACCGACAGACTGTGGGAGTCACTGACCAAGCTGCACTGTGATTTCGAGAAGCTTCAATGCCCCGGCTCCAAGCCCCTCCACCAGTGCCCCGAAGCCCTGCCCCTCCTCTACTCTCACGGGTTCACGCCGCCGGAGGGCACATCAAAGCCGTCACTCACGTGTTCGGAGCTCGTCGCCAAGCTGGAGCAGGTGGCCAACGGACAGCCTATCGCAAAGCTCATGACCGCCATGGACCTTTTCCTCTATCGCATCCGTGCGCCCTTCCTATACACTGTGTTCACGCTCTGGCTCACCGCCACGCTCTACATCGTCCACGCACTCCTCTTCCGCCTAGACGTCCTGCGCATCCGTTCCCACCTCCTGAGCTCCAAGGCGTCCCACCTCATAGACGTCAAGGCCTTACTCACGAAAGGCCGGAAGATGCTCTCACTCTACCGCGACGTGGACTACTTCGACGACCCAGTTGGCTGGATTGGACTCTAGCAGTAATTTTCGCATTCAAGTTTTCGGTTTGTACGTAATGTGGTATGTATCTGTGCGTTAGTTATGAGATGTGTTGCTGAGGCGTATGCAGTGCCATGGTGTCCCGCAAGGTTGCAAAGGGTGCGTAACTTCTGGCGCAACCAGACTCACATAGTCAATGCAACACACCACGCAGCTTGATCCGTTAGGCTGGAGTTGCAGTGACCTAGTTGTTGGGCACAGCTGCACAAAAGTATGGTAACAGTGGTTTGTGAAACTCGATAAGCGACGATTCATGCTAGCGTCTCAGAAGTCCCACCATGGGTGAGGTGGTTATATATCTGTTTGGAGACATTGTGTGATCTTAGCACTTTGGAAGATAGCTAAGGGAACGTGGAGGCGTGCTGATGGCAATGGTAGCGATGATGTGACAACGACGGGACGCCATTGGCTCTCTGCAATAGGACTAGCAAGCCATCATAAATTTACAAACTTTGGTGTATCTCCGCAATGTTTAATGACATTTCAAATCTCACTATGTGGCATTTCTGTCTGAATCTTACATACGACAACGACATGCGTGCTGCATGCAACATGAGGAGTATGGATCTGGCTGCCATGTGATAGCTGTGCCATCATCGCGCCTACAACTGCCGTCTGCTTGCTGTATATACAGCCTTACAGATCTCAATTAGACGCGTATTTATCAGGTATAAACATCGCGTGCGTTTTTCCAGGATTGAGACACAGCTGTTTAAAGGCTCACTTGCAAGTAGACCAAAAATCCACAACCTTATAGCATTTGCCTAATCTAACACATCGTCATAAAATGGTATACAATTCGTTGACCGAAGCTCCACGTAACCTCAAGGAGTGCTTTGATTGGCTGGTGGCCCTGAAGGGAGCAGATGCAAAAAAAAATTTGGCTGCTATGGGTGCTGCGGTTTACGGTTTTCTCGTAGATAAGCCTGTCGGCACTTTGCTTATACCATCTCTAGAGAAAGTGAAACGCCTTTCCAAGGAGTTCCTGGAGCAAAAAGAGCTTAGGGACCGGCCATACGTAAAAGAAGTGCTGAATAGATTTAAAGAGCCTATGAATAAAGACTTCCGCAGGTTCCGTGACGTTTATGGTGACAGCAAAAGCGACTATAAGAATGTAGTAAAGGCCAGGGGCGTAAAACCTGAAGATATCGCAAGGAACGTAACTCGTACTGTGTCTAGTTGTGAGAAGTTCTTGGATGATATAAAAATCCCTGACCAGTATAAGTCTGCTTACAGTTCGGAAGCAACGTGGGAGGCGTCATGCTCTAAAAACCCAGAAGCGTGCGCAGTGGTCCTCGTGGGGATTGCACCAATGTTGTACGTAGGCGTAGGATGTTTGTGGGTTGAGAGCTATGATGATTACATATTCCGTGGAACTTCTAACAGAGATAGGCGTTTGGGAAAGATAATGAAAGCGTTGGGTTTCGTAGAGCCGGGGTGCCGCGCTGGCATTAGTGGTTCAGATGTCCTCCAGACGTTGAGAAATACGGATGAAGATTTAGTGGACATACTCTACGACTTTGCTGGCTTCTGGGCATTCTATTGAGTGGGGATTTCAGAGAAGCTGTGAAATGTGCTAGGCAAGAACAGATTCTGAGTCCGTACCACGAGTGAGTTGGTACCCATGGAAGTCCCACTAAACACTTCTAATCTATGGAATGGAATTGTAGTCACATTCGTACATACAACCTTTATCCACAATAGTGCTGCCGTAGCATGATGAAAAAGACAGTTTTCAATGTCTGCTTGACAACGTTAATCAAACAACTTGGTCGGCTCTTCTAGAGGCGCAACACCCATGCATCTTCGTCTACCAGACACTGTGTGGAGACACACAGTTTACAAACCGCACTGCACACTCTTCTAAAGTTCCTTGGGTGGATTATTGTAGTTTTGTGCCTTCCACATGATGCCCATGGTGCGGCGCATCACCAAGTACTGGTGTTGGGGCAGCATGTTACAACACGAGAAGTACGCAGCGAGCTCAAGAGACCGGCGGATATCAGTGTCGGCCAGCCTCTCGCGTTCTTCCTCGAGCAGCATCGCCGTTACATATATACGGCACTGGTCGATGTATTCGCGAGAGCCTGCGCTGACGAGGAATATCCAGTGCTTCAGCGCATGTCTGAACTCAGTCGTGGTGTCCTCGAATGCACCAGCCGTGACGTGCGCATGTGCATATCCGTGGTGTGAACTATAAACAATTATCTACACTGCGAACATGAAGAAAGGTGGCATGAACTATCTGCACGTGGTATCCCAACTCGCCACAGTTTATTAAACAAAAGCATGTACAATGGAACTCCAGTAGCTATTAAGAGGCGACGTACTTCGAAAACATTTTCCAAGGAACATGTTAGTATTCAATGTCCCAATTATGCTGTATAAGCCAGGGTGAGCAGACCTCGGTACTCTTTCAAAGATCGTGCGAATAGGCGCTTGTAGGATATACGCTTAAAATACACCTTCAGACAGTATCGAAACTCGTGTAAGGAACCCACCTCGCAATGCCAGGCATTTTGGCACGACGCGCTGCTAGCAGTGCTGCCGGTGCAGTTCAGACAGATGTTGTTGACCGCATGGACTTTGTCTTCCAGAGCGTTCATCTCGTTCACCACTTTCAACAGCGTATTACGCGGGTTCATTCGACATTCTTCACAGACTATCACGTGCATCTTGCCCTTCGTGGGGTCCTCAAATGAGAATACGTCCGGCTGGAGCGGGGTGATACGCATCTCTTTGGAATGCAAGACATCAGCGAATTCCTGGGAACTATTATCGTTACTTTCATCTTCTACAGCCTCGTCGCTGGTGGCGGTGCTCAACTTGATCTTGCAGGTAGTACCACAACCAGTGCAGCGCGCAAGCGGACCCGTGTATTCCCAGATTTCTCCTGCCTTTTTACCGGGTTCCTCTACGCGGCGAAACCGCTCCTCCTTTTTCTGTTGCATTTGTTGCAGGCGTTCCAATATGGTTGCCGTGATAGGGTGATCCGGATGTATGTCAAGCAGCTGCATCATGCGCCTTAGAGGGGGGAGTACCTGCTTCTTCAGATAGTAGTCAACATCTATTTGATGCAGAGGCTGGCCTCGACGTATTTGCTCTAGAATGCAGGCCATTGAGTTCTGAGGCAACGTACGTTGCCCGAACTCCTTCACAAAATCGGTAGCCCTGAATATGCCGTTGATCTCGTTGGGGAACACTGCGCCACCCTTGACACCACGGTAGACGTCCCCACGCGAAGTTGAAAATACATGTGGAATAAACTCATTCTCTAGGACTCTTTTACCGTAATGCTTATCCAACTTGTGCTTGGCCACTATGGCGGCGGCAGGCAGCGTGCCCACCTGCCCGGTAAGTTCTTCTCGGTAGGTGCCCAGCCTGACCTGGCGGTAGAGAATAAAATCCTTAGGCGTGTACACCGATGCCACATTACGGAACACAGAGGTCAGTCCATCGTACGCCACATCGAGCGTGTGAGTCTTCAGTATGCACTCCAGCGCCTGCCGTAAAATCTTTCGGGTGGCGTCACACTCGCTGGTTCTCATGGTCTCAACACCCTGAGGCATGATATACAATGCGCACAGACAATTAAAGTAGTCAGAAATTGTCCAACCATCTTATCACAATTCCAACCCACCTTATCATCGAACACCATTTTGCCATTGGCGTGTATGAGCCCCAAGTAACGCTTCTTCGATACCAGAATGCACGGGGAATATACCTTCTGGGGCAAGATTTTGATTGGCTCTGGGATTGTGCTGTTTATCTTGTTGGCGATCTCTTCTGCCAAGGACTGCGCTTCTGAAACGGTTCTTCCGGGGAACTTGATGAAGATGCTGTCAGTGTCCCCGTAAATGACCTCCGCGTCGAAATTGTCGTGTATCAATTCCATGCAAAGCACAAGCAGCGCACGCGCGATCGAAACTACAGACTCCGCAAGGTCGGAACACGGCATGCGGCCAGAGTAACCGGACGCAGTTAACCTGCATCATGTGCCAATCCAAAAAATAACCTACCCCACTGAAAGATTGGAGAGCATCTTCAGACCATACTGTTCCCTGTCCCACTGGCGTAGTACGCGCCCTTCTACTCCGGGGCGCGTCATTGCGGCCTTGATCTTGCGCCTACTCTGCAACACCGACGTCAGCATCGTCGGGAGCAACCCCTCACGCACGGACTTGTCAACAAACATGACGCCGTTGGGCATGATGTGCACGCCCACCGTCCCTTCTGAAATGCTTTTGTTGTCATAACGTCATGAACGAACCTTTTGCGTCGGCAAGTTCAGCGTGCTTTGACAAGATGTCCCTGAATACGCCCTCTTCCGGATGATACGTGACCACCCCCAACTTTACCCGGTTGCGTCCGTTTTTGTGCTCCTGCGCAGAAATGAACATGTGCTAATATTCATAACATACGCTGAGTAGACCCAGGCAGGTGCTGTAGCAGATGTTGTAGGCAATGGTGATGCACGCGTAGAGTGATTGGAAATCCAATACCGCAACCGGTGCTAGGTGGAACCCGCTGATAGGCTGCATCACTATCGGTATCGCCACAGATGGGCGCTGCTGGTGCACCTGGCGTTGGGTTGGTGACGGCAATACGTAGTTGAACGATTTCGTGAAGCGTATCAGCACGCTCTCCACATGGTACTGGCTGCCTCTTACAATGGTGCTCTTGAGATCGAGTCCGTATAGCTTCGAGAACGTCGTATACCTTTGGAAGTACATCAACTTGTCAAAGGTGGCGATAACGGCGTAGTTGCGCAAGAGTGCGTATCGAATGGCCCTAAATCTATGCGGAGCTATCATGACGTTGCTTCTGTGATTATTGCAATAGTTTCCTCGATCGAGATTCATTGGTGAGGCGGTATGCAATCCATGTCGTCCATTTGTAAGAGCATCGGAACCAACATCACGACGCGTCACACCAGCTGCAGATGCCTCATACCCGTTAACATCGCCAGCTTGGCAAGCTAAGACCTTCGTAGTCAACCACTTGTTCACCGTGTACATGCTGAACGACGGCATCACATAATCGAGCTGATCGCGAACGATGTTCTCCAGACTCAGATTAGAGAGGTTGAGCTCACGCACAGCAACATCAGCCAGGTCGAATAACAACCTCCCTGCACAAAATAGCGGTTTAATCTCGCTATCCTTAAAGTGTTGTTTTTTCAATTTACTCCGCTGATGAGTTAGCAGAGTAGACATGTCTGTAAGACGGTCCCCTTCATTCCCAGAGTCATGCCGAAGCCGGGGTGGGACTCGGGATATTCCTTCCAAGAAGTCGGGAATACCTAACACTGACGCCCGTTGATTCAAGTACCCGATGGAGCTACGCGCCATGTCGTAGCCGTAGATGACGTTCGGGTCGAACTCAGATATGAGGCGACTGACACTATCAATTAATGCCATCTCGGAGGGCACAAAGGATACGTCTATGTACTTTTCCGAATTAATCTGGCGCTCCACTACATTCATATTCACGTCGCTTCGTTGGATCAAGGCCATGCGATTAAATTCCTCACTATTAATACGCCTCGGCGCCGGCCGTTCCACACCTAGTGCGTCGACAACTATAGCACCCTGAACGTCCGCGTATGGCACTCCTATGGCGTCGAAATGCGGGATCAATCGATGGTCTCTGAGTGTGTAGACCACCGCGTGGATTGCATTAACCTCAGGATTGGCGTGAATACAATTGAGGTCAATATCGGTGATAACGTCGAGCACTATCCCACACTCGAAGTTATCCATCGTACCAACAATATCAGATACAGGCTCCAAAGCAATTGGCGGATTGCTTTCATGCACATGCCCGGAGACCTTTACATTTGCTTGATCTTGTGCGTCTTTGACACTTCGCAACAAATTAGGGCACCGTATTTGGCCCTTACAACGTGATTTGGTAGTTTGCTTCGTCGAAGCCGATTCATCACCAACTTGGCTAGGCTTGGTTTCTTTGACTGCCGAGATATGTCCGTCGTCTTGCATGTCTACACTCTCGGCATCATCCACCTCAGGGGGCCTTACAGCGTAGCGATAGACATAGTATTGGCCCTCCTCAGGAGGTCGATAATCCTGGCTCGTGTGAAAAAACGTAGAGCTGATGGTTATCAGTTCATTCTGCTTTGTTTTCTTTGGCACACGCTTTCTGCGCCCTTGGAGGTCGTCGCACTGCAACAAAAGTTGCTCTAGGCGCGACCCGACCGCCTTTCTCCGGTCCTCAGGTAACCCCTCTACCTGCTCCAAAAGATAGCTGTAAAACTCCTTCAGGGTGTTTCTAGATGCATACGCGGTGAACGCCTTATCGTTTGTCTGGAAAGGCGAAAAGCTGGATGATTGCAGATTCGTACACTGCAGGTTCCACTGTTCGGAGAAGGCGTTACTGGCACCCATGTACCTTCCAACAGCATAGCCTCGCTCTGAAGTCTCCTGACTCTGAGAATCTGAGGTGTTCCGATACTCGAATACATTCAAGATGCTCGCTATATGGGCATCGACCTCCAACTCGCAGCTGGAACGACGCTGGTGGCTGGAAAGGAACACGGAAGGCGAATCCCTAAGAACCGGACGCTCAACTATTGCCAAGTCATCGGGATTGTTCTTGCTGCTGGTAAGAACAACCCGTTGCCAAACAGGATGGGCCTGGACAGAGTAATGCGGATGCAACGGAAGCGGTCCTCGCATTTTGATGGCCGACGACAGATAAATGTAGTCCATACCCCTCAAATTGTAATCTGAAAGGAAATGCATAAGGTAGCTTATATGCACCTCGTACGGCTGCAAACGGTACTTCCCTATGCCGGTGTTGAACGCATAACCCGCCAGGTGCTTCGTCATGGAGGGGTTGTAGTGATGCACTTTGAGAAACTTGCGAGGCTGTGTATGATAACCGTAGAAGATTACGTGTTCAACAACATCCACTCGGTGAATGTACGCCGATCTGGCTGTTTTCTTCTGACGCAAAATAGCCAAGCGATGGGTGCTTTGACTGAGCAACCTGGACCTGGTGGTGGTGAACCAACGTGAGATCGTCGCGGACCCCGTTTCGTCCATTTTCGAAGAAGAAGTGTCACAGGATGACTGTGTAATATCCTTGTCTTCGGTATCGTCTTTCGTTGTTTTCAATTTCCGTTGCAAATTATCCCTGAAACGACGTCCCTCTCTCAGCCGCCGCCTCTCCAACACAATCCTCCTAGCAACCCTCTCCAGGACCTTGTGCGCCTTTTGCGCGAATTTAGTTGGCGAAACATCATCGGGTACCGGCAAGTAGAAGTAGGGCAGGTAGCCATGAATGTACAGGCAAACCTGTTGGCCGGAGGGAGTGCCACCAAAAACCCGGATCACGGGCACCTCAACAACTGGTGCTCCTGTACTTGAAACCTGCGGATCGAATTCGATCGGCTTCGACATCACGTGGTCGTAGTAGACCAGTTGCACCGCCACGCGGGCGTTGGTGCGGATATATTCCCTGAAGTCATCCATTTCCAGACAGCATAATCGGATAGTTCCAACGATGAGTTGAAATGTGGCCGCCGCTTAACACGCCTGTGCGGCGTATTCCGGCAAGATAACCAAGCAACTGCTGCGTGGATTCAGCGGCAGGGGTTCCGACCCTAGCATCCCCTGCCGCTTGTAGCATATGCATGAAGTAGTCTAGAATCGAGAAAGCTTCGGAGCGACACATGCGTGTGGACTTGCCAGAAGTTGCGCAAAGCCGGTTGAACAGCTGGTGTATGTGATCCTGATGAGGATGCTTCATGTACATTAGGTGGCGAAGGACGGAAAGGGTGTCTTGGAAACTTGCCGATGCGATTTGCTGTTCAAGAACACCCTTGTGGTTCTCAGATAGCAGCTGCGATATGCGAATGCGCCCATCTATTGACGCGAAGTCAATCCACCTATTTGAGCCATTGAAAAATGATGCGTTCCTCTTGAGAATATTGCTGAGATACACGGTTTCCACCAGCAGATCACCGGCAACTGAGTTATAGATGCTGCTAGTATTCAAACTGCGCTGCAGAGTACGTATCTTGCCGGAGGTCTCGTCGATGACACGTTCGTACAATTCCGATGCCTCCCCTTGTTGCGCGCAGTTCCTAACATCACCCTCGCCTCCCAACAATTGCCTACAGGCGGCCAGAGAGGTGACACGAACTAAATCCCGATATCCATGCAGGTCGTCGGAGACCGCCTCAACACGGTTCCAGCAGTCATGTAGCAGCGCCTTCACCGTCGCGTCCTCATCAATGGCGCTGAATGCATAGCAAATGGCGGCAACTTCGGCTGCAGGAAGGCTCTCCAGTTGGCTGGAGAGGGGTACAAAGTGCTCCAACAGCGCCTTGCTTTTGGGATGAGTCTCTAGCTGGTTGTCAACTATGCATCGAACAATGCCAGGCACCTGGCTAAGCGATATTTTCTGCCGCCTGTTGTAAATTTCGCCCAGACGTGCGCTCCATATGTGCGCCGAGCGCTTCACCTTCCGTTTCGAGAGCTCTCCCAGGGAATGCAGGAGCGCGTCTAGAACCGCGGCCATGTGCCCTTGTCCATACAGCGGTCGCGAAGCTGCCCCGAAAGTCAAAGCGACTACCCGTCCTACATCTACACCTTTACATAACATAGGACGATCATCACATATGGTAGCCAGATAAGACGCTAAATAGCGTCAAACAATTCTAAAATATGTGTTTCGAGCTTCAGCGCCGCGGCGGTATGGACAACTCCTATATTCCGCCTTTAGCGACCTTTTAAGGCCCTTATAACGTCTATAATAATGGCATATTGTGTCTATGTGTTTTAGGGTGTGACAGGACTAGGTAATATTTGGCCGTGAGATACGTGGCGAATTAAGTAGTCGTAGCAGCTTTGGGGCCTCTGCGGCACTAATACGAACACTTGTAGCATTCTAATTGTTGCAGTGACGTTTATTTGAATATATTTGAACTGTTGGCGCGTGTCTTCCTTGGGTTGACTGGCTCGTACGGTAACCGTATCGCGGAGTTGCGTCGACATCAAGGCCGCGTCGGCGGTAACAAATGCGTCTTAAATTGTCCAGCTTCTGCTCTAAAAACGGCTTATGTAGCAAGAAAGAAGCCAAAAAACTAATTCAACTCGTATGTGAGAGTCACGTTGTCTCATCCTGCGCAGGGTCACCTAAAGCTCCACGGCGCTGTGGTACGAGAGGACACGTTAGTGAAGGAATCGCTATCACCGAACAGCATCTCACTAGCCCAAAGGGTGCAATTGGCAGCAGCCAACAAGGTCACGGTGCTCTTGCACAAGCCAGAGTGCTATCTTTCGACATACAGTCGCAGGGTAGGTGATGCATAGGTCGGCATTCACGGTTCTGGTAGACGCAGCTATGGTCGAAGTCACTACTCGTGCCTGAAAATAGGTGCGAGAACGACGTGCAGAACAACCTCAACCCATCGCAACTTCGGAGACTTCTGCCCATAAATCCGCTGGAGTACTCATCCAGCGGCCTTGCTCTCTTCTCCGAGGTAAGCCACCCGTGTTGTGTTTTATGTGTTGCGTTTACGTTGCCATGTTGCTTTAATCTCTCTATATACGCTCATTGCTATTTATTTGACGATATAACGTGGTGTTGATGCGTAGACAAACTGTCAGCATGGTAATGCTGCCTTGGTTGCCGTTGACATTCATTATTGTATGGTTTTGACCTAGTTTCAACATTTCCTGATGTCCACATCAACAAAACGGTCCTTTGTATCACATTATCCACTCAGGACTCATCGCTCATCAAACGCTTCGCCGATTGCGAGGAGTGCTACCACGTGGTGTTTCGGGACGCTCTTACAGAGCCGAAGCTGTTCGCTCTCCGAAGCGAAATTTACATCGACGGAGAAGCCATTCCGCCACTGAAAGTCGACAGGCTGAGCGATTTCTCGGCGCATGTAACCACGCAAAGCGCGTCCAGCAAGGTGCGTGTCCGTTCCCCTGTCCACTCACCGAAAGTGCAGCTGCGCAAGGCGTGCCGTTTGGCGGGGTTGGAAATACGCTCCATCAAACGCATACGTATGGGCAATATACAGCTGGGGGATCTTCTGTGCGGCAGGTGGATGATGCTGCGCAAATACCAACTGACTTGAGAGGACCCCCACCGGCGACACGCTAATAGGACGGACCATTGCCAGGCTATCAAGAGTCTAAAGCTAATAAACCCGGCAAGATTGCAGCGGCAGTCGCATATGTAATCCCGTGATTCGCCCTGTCGTGGAAGATTTCACAGATCCTACGTTGCGATGATTCGGCTCACAGCAATTCTAAACACGTCCAAGCAGCACGGGTGGCGCTTCGAGAAACTCAGGCCGATTTTCAAGAAGTGGGTACGCATCAACCACCCTCCACAAGTAAGGTCGCCACTCGTGAAGCTTGACCCCGAGAGCAACAAGCTGCTCTACGTTTGCAACGGAAGGATATCCCCGAGGTACTGCGCCAAGTTAGAGAAGACTGCCAAACACTTCATCAAGAAGGGCGACGTCGTAGAGACCCCTGTTTTAGCCATGGTTAAGGGCGGTTCGCACGTTTTACTCGAGACGCTCAGCATGGACGACGTCGAGCAGTTTGAGAAGCTGGTGCCGGAAATAAGAAAGGCCTTCGAAGGTGGGTGCCGTGATTGTGTTTTGCACGTTTTGTGTACATTTGCGGGTGACCAGCTGTCTCCATACAGCAACTGCTGGTCAACGGTGCCCACTGCAACCCGTGCCTCGGATCGGCAAGATTCCGTCAAGCGGATACTGAACCGCCACCGGGAGACACCGCGCACAATGTGTATAATAGCTCATTCCAACGACATGTGGACCTATAAATAACGTGCAGAATGCGAGCGACAGGCACAAGAAACAGAGGGGGCAGAGCACAGAGCAATAGACTTTACGATTTAATTTCCTCTATTGTGTCAATTATTTTCAGTAAATGCGCGCGCTCCAGTGCGGCGTGTGAAGCTGGCTTGCGATCTTCAGCGGCGCATATTTTTTGCTTCTTAATACGTGGTACATGAATATCCGACCTCTGCGAATCTGCTTGCGGCGTGTCGGGGCGCGCCTCCTCCCTGGGGAGATCCGTGTTCTTAGGGGCAGGTTTGCACCCTCGCAACTCAAACGCCAGAGGCCTACGGTCGTTGGAGAAGCATTCCATGAGCTCACATATCACGTAGTCGCTCAACGCCGTGACGGGCTCCTGCGGGGGCACCTCGGCCATGTCTGCGTCTTTGCCTACCCAGGACCGCAGCATGGAGTCTTCAATAGGGGAAACCGACTGGCCAGCCACATCGTACTTGTGAATCACCATCCCGTGCTTCCCGAACTTGATGGCGAAGGTCTCGCCGAAGCCGTAGTTTTCCTCAGAGTCAGACACGTCGGAGTCGATGGGTTCCACGGTCATCAATGGCGGTAATGTGCCGGTAATCACGTAATGCTTGAAGTACGGAATGAACCCTTCCGAATTCACGTAGTATATGAGCGAGTCTGGGACGTCGCTTTTGCGAATCGCCTCCAGACACTCGGCCTCGTGTTCCGCCGAAGTCGTGCAAATCACCAGCGTGTGCTTCATGTTGCCGCAGTACACGTCGGTGTCGTTCGGAACAGCCACGTGGCGCACGAACTCGCTCCCGTTGCTTATGATCCGGTTCAGCGGGATCTCCAACAGGCTGTGCGGTATGTACAGCAGCCCTCTGCAGACGTCGTTGTCGCATACACGGTGCTCCATTGGGTACTTCTGCCGCATCACACAGCGCTTAAGCATCGCGATGGTGTCCTCAGTACGCTTACAGGTGCACAGCGGAGGCGTGTATCCCAGGGGCGCGCGGTCGCGGTGCCACCGCCAGAAGTCGACCCCGATCTTCCCGCTGCGCTCCAGCATCTCCCCGTCAGGGCTCAACGGCGAGTAGTCACCTGGTCTAATCGGGTAGTAAAAGCATTCCAAGGGCTTCCAGTCCAGGTCGCGGTACAACATCGGCGGATCCTGGCTGCCGTCGCCCGGGTAGGCGGCCTCCGGCTCTTCCGCCGCGTCGTCTGCATTCAGAAGGCCGTTCAGCGAAGGATCACGCATCGAGTCGCACCTCGAAAGCGCCTGCGATAGCCTCGAGTCCAGCTTGTACTCCTCCTTGAGGAACAGCTGCTCGCGCAGCATGGTGAAGTACAGAGGCGCCTTCGAGAGCAGCCGCGACACTTGCGGCGCCGCATCCTGCCCCGAAGAGGACATTGGGCTAAAGATTACGACGATTAGCTGAAGTTATTATCTCTCAGGTACTTTCTGCGGCTACAGATGGTGCTGCCGCTGGCAGGTGGTGGTACATCAGTCGGCGGTGTGTGCGGTGAGCAAACTCCAAAGCCGGCCGACGACCCCGTGCCGTTGCCGAAGATGGGCCGGTAAAGAGCGGGGCGCCGGACGCACGTGGAAGCCTGCGAGTCCGCCGACAGGGAGGCCTCCGTAGCTCGCGTGTAGACAGTGGCTTCCTCCGCGCGCGAGGCAAAGCGCTCCATGCCACGCACTTGGGTCGGCGTGCGGACGTACATATGCGGGGTTCCCGGCCCATCGGGCTGCGGCTTGGACATGGAGCGGCGGAAGGGGTTGTCGGGCAGCTCCAACGTGTGGCCCTCTTGCGCGGGGTGACCTGAGTCGCTGCGGCGCTCAGCGCGGCGCATAGCATCATAGTCGTCGTTGTATGGGGTCAGATGTGCCTCGATACAGTCGAAATCTTCAGGGGTATCTTGGTTCACACGTCTGTGGTGGTTGAATGCGATATCCGCTGCACGGTGCGATCCCGCAGCGGGCAAGGAGTTGGTGATCGAGCTTGCGTTCATGGTCATCTCGTTGCACGGGGTGCTAGCAATACCCACAGTATGGCTAGCCTCGTCCTCCGATTCGACAAACTCGGTGGAGATCGGAGCGTCCAGGCGCCCTATCCTGCGTGGCTTGGGCGTGCAGACATGCGATGTGTCGGAGACCACGAACTCCGCCAACAGCTGGGATGACAGCGGTATCCTCTGCATGTTGCGACGCACGATGTTATCGTAAATCCGCTCGCGGTCTCTCGGGTTCACCGTGTCCCAGAACCAGTCGGAGACAGGGCCGTCCCATATAGCTAATCCCAGACACTGTATCGCACTTGCACGGCGTGCGGGGTCCTGCTGAAGCAGCGCGTAGAGTAGCGTGTTGAGCTGTCGACTGCGGCCAGGCAATGGCAGCGGGACACCGTTCTTCATCTGCTGGGCCAGCTCGGCGAGCGTCGTGGCCTTGTGAAACGGCGTCTTCCCGTACGACAGCTCGTACAACACAACTCCCAACGCCCACATGTCCATTTTGTCGTCGTAGTTCTTTGTGTGAGAGAGCAAAAGCTCCGGACACCAGTAGTACGGCGTGCCGACGCAGGAGTGGGCGAAGGATTCCAGCCCTATGCTGCGGCAGAGGCCGAAGTCACCGATCTTGCATATATATCCGTTTCGGGTCTTGTTGCGATGGTTGGAGTGGAGGAAAATGTTCTGAGGCTTCAGGTCGCGGTGTAGAATCCTGCCCTGTTTCGGGCCGAGCGATGAGTTGTGGCAGTACGCGAGCGCGAACAGCAGCTGTAGCGCGATGTCGAAGATGACCTGCTCGTTGACCTTGTCGTAGTGTTTGTGGAACTGCCTCATGTTTTCCGCCAGGTCGCCGGAGTCGCAGTACTCCATGATGATGTAGAGCAGGTGCTTCTGCCGGTCGACAACGCGGTCCACGTAGCGCACGATGTTCGGGTGCTTGAGGTCCCGCATTACATTCACCTCCATCACGAGCTGTTCCTTCTCCTTCTCCGTGAGTCCCTTGTACGCCACGACCTTCCAGCAGTAAAGCTCGCCCGTTACCTTCCACGCATTAATGACGCGCGTAACCACCAACCTTGTGTTGCACTTGGAAGACTTCGCCGAATCGGCCGGCTCCGATCCGCCTTAGCGCCTTGAACTGCGCCAGACGCTGCTCGTCACTGGCCATGGTGACGAAGGCAGCCGGGACAATGCGGAATGGCGTGTGTACCTGCTCGCGGAGCGACGCTTCCGAACACGGAAACTACGCGAAGCCCGCGAACTGGTCGGAAAAGCTTCTTAGGGGTTCGTAGACTCGCGAAGTGGTGAGCTGCGCGTGCCACAGGTTCCCCTTGCCACCTTCCTAGCCCGACGAGGTCGACGACAACACGATACGAAGTCAGTCAGCAAATGGGGAGCGGCGCGGCCACGCATTTTAAAAAATCATTGTTAATTAAAAATTAGTTGGTAAAACTATCGTGGACGTGTAGAAGACGGCGTGCCCCGGTGATCACGAAACGGCGAACAGGGCAACGTGCGACATTCCACACTCGTCCTTGAGTGAGCTGCTGCCACGGGCCACTCTCACGTAGCCTTCCTCGCCCCAACTGGTTCCCCAAGAGTTTTTGATGAGCCAGAATGCCTCTTGGTCGATTTGACCTGCGCCGGCAAGTGTCACGGCGTGGTTCACGGTGTCGCCGCAGTAGTTCAGGATCCCAGACTTGTAGAACTGCCACATCGGCGTCACCGCCGCGTAAACTGTCAGCGGCCCGTGCATCTTCAACAGATGGACGAGGTCGGGGGACTCGGCAATCCTGAACTCTTGTAGCCTATAGCGGGGCTCCCCCGGCGGGCTCATGCACTGGCCTTCCTGGGCGTTGTAGGGGTACGCCGCCCTGGTGTAGACGCCTCGGGACGTGATATACTGGTATGCTTGATACGAATCGCCGCCATTGCAACCGTGGCACTCCTCCACGCAGTCCACCAGCTGCTGCTCGCTGAGGTCGAGGATGAGCGATCGCTGTTCCTTGAAGTACGCCTCGACCACTGCCAGGGCGGCGAAAGCCCAGCACGAGCCGCACGTGCCTTGATCCTTTACCGCCGTCATGCGCCCGTCTCTACGGAGGTCGATGTCGACGGTTTCGATTGTCCCGTCTAACACCAAGGCGACGGCGCTGCGGTCAAACTTTGGTGTGCTTACACGGGCGCCCTGCAGCGCCATAAACTCGTCCGTAGTCATGTCTGCGAACTTGTTTACGCCCATTTCAAACGTGCGATCTTTCATGCTGTTGAATGCGTCGATCCGGCGCACATTGGCGTGGAAGACGCCGAAGCGGCGGACCTTCTCCATGACCGACGCATGGCTGCGGTTGTACTGCCGGTTAAAATCATTGTACTGTACATATATCTCCGCATCCTTCTCCGGGTTCAACAGGGTAGTGGAGGCGCCCAGCGCTCTACATACAATGTAGGCAGGGTCCTCGTCGGTGACTCCCTCGACGGTGTTGTAGTTTTCGAATTTGAGGCGAACCAGCGCCTTGCGGACCGCACGCTCCTGCGAGCTGTAGAGAGTATCGTTTCCAATAACGGCTACGATCACGAAGCATAGCAGGAACACGAGCGCGGCCAGTAATGCAAAGAAGCACTTGCCGCGACGTCGGAAGAAGGCCCGCAGCCGGCTGTGCCACGGGTCCGGCTTCCCGCCGAAGCCGTTCTTCAGCAGGTCGTCGGAAGTCTCAGCCCGTGAGGCCAGATCGTCCTGAACCGCTGTCTCGCTCGTCATTGCTTATGCAGTGTGCAGGCGACATCGCCCTGGGGTCACACACACACCAACCACGCGTCTACTAATACAGCAAGGATAAACCCACAATAAAGAATCTTAGAACTAAATTTTTCGTGCGCTAGCACAAGTTCACTTCATCAGCTTCTGGAATTCGTCGTAGAAGACCAACACCAGGGCACCACCGAAGCCACGAAGGACGTTCGCGAAAGCGCCCTTGAAAAATCCGTTGACGCCTTCGTTGCGCAGAATCTTGCGGAAGCAGTCCAGTGAGCTGGTGTACATGATGTCGGCACTCGATTTCTTGCCGGACATCATCATCATGCGACGACGAACGGTGTCGAACGGGTAGGACGCGAGACCAGCGTGGATCGTCACGAACTGAGCAACCGCCCACTTGTAGAAGATGTTAACGTTCTTGTCATCTCCGAACATCACAGCCTTGGCGGAATCGTACATTCCGAAGTAGGTACCACGGTACACAATGATACCGGTAACCGAAATGTTGAAACCCTTGTAGAGAGAGAAGAAACCAGTGGAACGCTGAATCTTCATCAGGCAGTCAACTAGGCCAGTGAACTCGCGTTGGCCCTCCTTGCGCACGTCACTCGCAAGACGAGTACGGGCAAAGTCGAGCGGGTAGACGATCAGTAGCGAGTTCGCTCCGGCCATGGCGCCAGAGGCCATGTTTGCGGCGAAGAACTTCCAGAACTCGGTCTTCTGGTCGTAACGCGGGAACAAGGTCTTGAAGTAGTCCTTGAAGGCGAAGTTGAAGGCCTGAGTGGGGAAGTAGCGAATCACGTTGGCAGCGTTGCCCCTCCATAACGAGCCCACACCCTGCTCCGCGCACACCCTGCCGAAGCAGTTCAGGATACCGGTGTAACGTGGCATCTTGCCGCTCTTGATTTCGGGGATGGTGTCCTGCGTCTGGATAAGCATCTTCACACGCTCGATGGGCGCGACGGCGGTCTTTGAGACCGCGGCGGCAACGCCGCCCATCAAAAAGTCCGTAACGAAGCTGTTTTTGTTCTCCATTTTGAGGGACTGTCGTGGAATTAGGTATATGCGGGAACAGAGCTGTGACTGCCACCGACCTACTGGCGTATAGCACCACACTCCCACACAGCCATGGTAGCGGCGGAATGTGCCTTCTGTGACCAGTGTCGCGTTATGTTGCCTGTATTTAACAATCCGTCGACGGGCGGTTGTTATGATGTGTAAAACCTTATAACACGTTTTTCATTAAATGGAACCTTCTGTCGCGCATAGCAGCAGTAGCGGAGCACTAACACATATCACCCTAGTTCTTACGCTACTAATGCCAGCGTATAGACGCAGTTAATAAGACACCTTTTTCCAGATGAACATATATGTGTATAATAGCCGGCAGGTCTTGCGGGAGTGAGGCTATGTTTTAACGCATATTAGCGCCACTTGTAATTCCACGCTAATGATGCCACAGCCACACGTTCCATTTGCTGGAACCAATGTTTAACCTTATATAATACTTCTGACACGGTTACGGTCACACGTATCACGTTTTTGATCGTGGAATCATCTTGACCTGAAGCCGTTCTGGCGCCCAGCGCTTGACGGTGCTCCATTACGGCGATGGCATGACGAATTTGCCTATCATTCGAAAATGATTGTGGGTGCTATATTGTCGGCCGTGCTAGCGCTCTCTGCGCTGAATGTTGGCTACGGTCTTCGGTACACCGGCGGCGGGGATAGACACGACATCAGACTGCGGACGCTCAAGGGTAGGTCAATAGATGCTTTAGATGTATTACGGTGCTGCATTGGAATCCATGATCATTTTGCGCGCTGCTATAGCGGCAGGAGAGCTAGGTTCTTTAGGTGGTTGGAAGGCAGCTGACAACTGCCGTAAAGATACCATTGTTTATAAACGAGAGAATTGCATGCATTTGGTGATTCCATAAAATGTAACAATGCGACAGTGGAGATGGCCTACGTAACGTTTTGTCACCAACTAATGAAACTCAGGGAATCTGAGCGTGCTTGCCGATGGAATGAAAACAGTGGGAGACCTGAGGCACAGACTCCAATCAGAGCTAAAGCTACCCGTCGACCTCTTCCAGGATGGCAAGAGACTAGATAATTCGCTGCCCATAGACGATGTATGTTTGCAAAAAAACTGTCGACTAATAGAGCAGGTGGCCAAGGGCGATGTCAACATGATGATCCCGCTACGCGGCGGCATGCGGGTACAGGTGCAAACGATGCAAGGTAAGGGACAAAGTCGAAAACCCAGCCAAATTACCACAGGCCAGAAGCTCGAAGTCGACGTCGAGCCGAACGAAACGGTGCTCGATCTCAAGAAAAAGCTCAGCAGCAAGCAGAAGCTGCCAGTGGACCAGCAACGCATCATTTTTGAGGGGAAGATGCTGCAAGACAACAAAACGCTGGCAGACTACAACATTAAGGTGGGAATGGCGCCGTAATCAACCGAAATTTTGCAGAACAACTCTGTCATCCACATGGTCCTTAGGTTACGCGGCGGCCGGCTGTAGAGCAGACTCGCAGGTGTACCGCGGAAGCCCACACATTGAGACGCCTCCACTACCACTAGACTGTGCATGGGCCATTTATAAAATATAACAACAAAGACAGTCCAGTGCAATCGCAAAATCGACGGGCACTGGCTTTTGTCGTTGGGCATTAATCGTCCCGGCGCGACGCGCAGATGGACATCACATAAACTGTACAGACAAAATTATGGAACAGCTTATACCGTTAGTGAGCCGGCTCCATCGCATTCTTGCGTGGACCGGCGAAAGCGGCTTGGAGCTGCCGGCCATCGCGGTCATCGGTGCACAGTCGGTAGGCAAGTCCTCCGTGCTGGAAGCCATCGTAGGACGCCCATTCCTGCCGAAAGGAACGGGTATTGTAACCCAGAGGCCGCTAATATTGCAGGTGTGTTGGCTAGGTGATGCGAAACATAATGCGCAGCTGATGTATGACGGCGATGCCGTCGAGCATGGCGAATTCGCGCACAAGCGTGGCGTTATTTTCGATGACTTCAACAAGATCATGGCCGAAATCAAGTCAGAGACTGAACGGCTGCTCGGGAATACCAAGAATGTGTCTCCGGTACCCATCTTCCTCAAAATCGTATCGCCAAGGGTGGTCGATTTAACGCTTATAGACCTTCCGGGGATCACCAAGGTGCCAGTGGGCGACCAAACGCACGACATCGAGCGTCAAATACGCGAAATGATCATGGAGCGCATCAGCAGCCCCTCGTGCATTATCCTGGCCCTCACTGCCGCCAACACGGACATCGCAACTTCAGACAGCCTCCAAATGGCGCGGGAAGTGGACCCTCACGGACTTCGCACCATAGGGGTAATAACCAAATGCGACATGGTCGAGGACGGCTTCAACGCAGTGGACGTGCTGCAGGGCCGGGTGTACAAGCTCCGCAGGGGCTACGTTGGCGTGGTATGCAAGGACAAGACAGGGTCTCCTGACGCAACCCACAGCACTGCAGAGGAGGACGCCTTCTTCACGAACCACCCGATATACGGACCTATCGCAAAAAGGTGCGGGATAAGGCACCTGTCGCTCATGTTGAACGAAATGCTCACCTTCCACATCAAGCAGATGTTCCCGTTCATCAAAAGCAAACTGCTTGCCGTCATGCACGAACGCGAAATGGAGCTTTTGTCTTACGGATTCGGGTCGAGCGAGTTGAGTGCTTCGCCCGGCGGGTGCCTGCTGCACTTCTTCACGGCATTCTCTCAGACCTTCAGGGACATTATCCATGGCAAAAAGTCATCGAGGCAACACTCTACTCAGCTGTATGGAGGGGCGCGAATAAACTACATCTTCAACGACAGCTACCTCAAGACACTGAAGGCGTTCAGCCCGTTGTCAGGGCTCTCCGACATTGAGATACGCACCGCCATTCGGAACTCCACAGGTCCGGCATCCGCCCTGTTTGTTCCGGAAATCGCGTTCGAAAATCTCGTAAAGAAGCAGATACGCCTTTTGGAAGTACCGTCCCTGCAGTGCGTGGACCAAGTGTACGAGGAGCTGCTTAACATACTGGAGACCTGCGAGATCCCCGAACTTAACAGGTTCATGAACATGCGCATGAGGATGCTGGTTGTGATCAAGGAGCTGCTAAGGCAGTGTGTCGATCCTACCAAGGACATGATTCGCAACCTCATAAAAATCGAATTGGCCTACATCAACACCAACCACCCAGACTTCCTCAGGGGAAACGCCATGGAGAAGGCATGCAATGCGCAATCCAACCAGCAGTCGCATGGAAGGCGTTCGACTAATGCGTCAACCGCGTCTGGATATTCGTCATATTCGGATTCATACGACCGCAACAGGTGGGTTGCCAATTAGCGATAATGCTTACACCACGCTGCAGATCTCAAAATAGGAGTGATGGCTACGATAATAGGTCAAAAGGGGATTCCTCGTCGAAGAACGTGGAGGATGCCAGTGAAGAGGAGCCACGGCCGCTGTGGTTGCCGAACATTCCTAAGGCCGTCAGCCTCGGAACTGAGCCCAGTGAGCGCGAGGTGATCGAGGCGGAACTTATTAAAACGCTCATTGAAAGCTACTTCTCAATCGTCAGGTGAGCACCGCGGTTCACGGCCGTTATAGCGCGCAGGAAAAACATTGCCGACGCCGTACCCAAGTGCATTATGCACTTCATGGTCAACAAAACCACGGATTCCATACAGCAAGAGCTCATATTGCACCTCTACAAACAGGAGCTCTACGAGGAGCTCACCGCAGAGTCGAAACACATCATTCAGCGCAGGGAGCAGTGTCTCGAAAGCCTCAAGTAAGTAAAACTAGCGAAATACGACATCTCACTCAGGTCTTTGCGACAGTGTGTCGCCGATCTCAACGAACTACTGGACTTCAGGATCGAGGCGTAGCCACACACTGGAGGACGCGAGCAGCTGTACACTCACCAATAATTTACCTATAAACTATCACCTGATGCTAAAAGGGGTCTCGGACCCCCAAAACTGGGGGTCGCTCCCCTTCACTGTCGACGGGAGCGAGCAGTGGATCCGCAACTTCAGGGACTACTCCTCCCTGGACCTCAAAAAGGGCCACGAAAACAGACCCGTCTGGGTCTGTCCAGATGGATACCTTTACCTGGAGCAGTTCACGAATGTCAGCCGGCAGGCGCAGGACTTCCTGGTCACCATCGCGGAGCCAGTATGTAGGCCCGAGTTCGTGCACGAGTACCAGGTACGTCACGACAATCCTTCCTAAGCACAATCGCGATGCAGGTCACGGTGTTTTCGCTCTATACAGCCGTCTCTGTCGGTCTGACGGTGGAGGAACTGCTGGTCAACCTCAACAAGTTCTCCAAGAACAAGATACCTGGCAAGCTCAAGGACTCCATCATCAAAACTGCATCGGTAAGTCGTCGTGTTCTGCGTCCGCGCCGCAACTGACTGCTGCACTCGATCAGTAGCATGTCTACTGCATATTCCCGTATTGTAAACTTCAGGGTAGCCAGTTGCCGTTGTTGGCCGTAACCCTGCTGAGGCCTGCCTTGCGCTAAAATAGCAAAACATCCATTGCATGGGCAATAGCAGTACACTATACGCTGGATTATATTCTCTTGCAGGCCTTCGGCAAGATTAAGCTGGTGCTAAGGGATAATCGTTATTGGGTCGAGTCGCAGGATAGGAAAGAGCTCGACCACCTGCTCACCAACCCCGTCATTAGGAGCGCGAGGATCACCGGAAACACGTGGAGCCGTGGTGAAAACCATGCGACTGAGGACAGCGATTACGTCACGTCCGCGGTGTTCACCGCCGATGCGTCGTCCATCATGTTCAACTCGGCCAATACCGGCGACGCCGCGAGGCCAGTCATGGAGTCGAACATGCCCGTAGCAATCGAGGGAATGGCCAAGGTAACGGAAGAAAACCGCGCAACTAGCCAGGTCTACTCGTTCGAGGTATACCAAGAAAAAATTGAGGAACTGAAGCGTGAGGCACTGAAGTCGATGCGACGACCTCTGGTCATGGAATACGATTTCAGAAAGGATAAAAAAACACCAACGCTGGAATGCTGTGTCCGCACCAATATTAAGATCAGATACTACCAGGAGCGAGCGCTCAGGCGGATGTTCAGCAACGGGCGTGCCAGGTCGGGCATCATCGTCCTTCCGTGTGGTGCCGGTAAGACGCTCACCGGCATCGTCGCCGCATGCACGGTACGGAAACCCATTTTTGTGCTCACGACCTCGGCGGTAGCCGTTGAACAGTGGGTGAAACAATTCATGGACTTCACCAACATCTCCTCGGAGAAGCTGGTTTCCCTCACGTCCGACAACAAAAGCGATCTGTGGCCTGCTGCTGAGGCGGGCGTGCTCATCTCGACGTATACCATGATGGCGTACTCCAGAAAACACCGAGAGTCCACGGAGAATATCCTCAACCAAATAAAGCAGAGGGACTGGGGTCTGCTGATATTCGACGAAGTCCAATTCGTCCCCGCACCCGCCTTCAGGCGGATCAACGAAATCGTGCGGTCGCACTGTAAACTGGGCCTCACCGCCACTCTGGTCAGGGAAGATGATCTCATTAAGGACCTGCAGTGGTTAATCGGGCCAAAGTTGTACGAGGCCAACTGGCTGGAGCTCCAGGAGAAAGGGTTCCTGGCCAAGGTCATATGTAAGGAAATCTGGTGTCCGATGACTGCCCCGTTCTATCGCGAATATTTACGGAGCGATTCCACCAAGAAGCGCCGGTTGTGGTCCTGCAACCCTGTCAAGCTCGCCACGTGCGAGTACCTTTTAAAGTTTCACGAGGCGAGGGGGGACAAAGTTATCGTGTTCTCCGACAACCTGTTTGCCCTGCTGCATGTGGCTAAAATGCTACACAGGCCGTTCATTTACGGTAAGGTGACGTCAGCAGAGCGCATCATCATTCTGAACAAATTCAAGAATGAGAACACGTTCAACTCCATCATCCTGTCGAAAGTGGGGGATAACGCTCTGGACATCCCCTGCGCTAATGTAGTCATTCAAATATCGTTCAACTTCGCCTCCAGGCGGCAAGAGGCGCAGCGTCTGGGACGTATCCTGAGGCCCAAGAGCAAAACGGACGAGAATGGGTTCAACGCCTTCTTCTACAGCTTGGTCAGCAAAGACACGCAGGAGATGGTCTTCGCGGACAAGCGCCAGCAGTTCATTATCGATCAGGTGGGTGTGATATATGCTTTGTGTATGGGTGCCAATGTGTTTGGTGTTGCTTGATAACCCATTACTGTGAGGTGTCCGGAGACATGCTCATTGATGCCTTTTTCATGATTCGTACTAATTTCCAGTCCTATTAATCATACATACTAACGGTATCGTGCACATTTCGTGTGATTCTTCGCTATTAACAACACCGTGTAAATGTTTCTCAGGGGTACGCATACAACGTCACCAGCTCGTCGGAAGTCGTCAAAGACGAGAGCAACCTCATATACTGTCGACCCGAGGTTCGGGAGGAGCTGCTGAAGGACATCATAATGGCATGTGATGATGACGACGAGGAAGACGAACTGGTCCACCCTGACGATCCACAAAGCAAGGCGGCTCCACTGGACCCGGCATCACTCATGGAGGGTAGGGAAAAAGCCTTGTCGAAGCTGTCTGGTTCGCTCCACAGACAAAGCATCAAGCGCCACATGGCGAACGCAAATCGCATCAAGAAAGGAACGCGCAAACTTGCCAACCAGCACCCAATATTCAGGAAATTCTTCTCAAGTGTTAAGACTTAGATACTGAATCGCGCACAATGCGAAACTACACACGTTAATATGTTTAAATATATACTGCGGTCCCATGGTGGCACGTTATTGGCCCGAAGATCGGTTGCGTGTCGTTGCGCGAGGCCGTGGCAAAACAGCCAATTAAAGGCAGCTTGCGGTTTACGAGGCTTCTCAGCGCTCAGTACCACGCTATACCCTGATCTGGAGCGCCTGAAGGCGCATTTATCGCACACATCGCACGAACCTTCCTACGTCTACTCAGAGACTGTAAGAGAGGTAGGCAAACTGTCTATTCTATTCCCATGACGATGTCGTTCATACACATCGTGTTTGTAAGCTTGTATTGGTGTATCTTGTCCATAAATGACGCTCGATTCTGCCTTCGATCGGGTAACTTCCGGTCACTGTCTTAGACACCGTTTAACATCTTTCAGCACATCGCTACTCTCCGGAAATGCTTGGAGTCATCTGAGGACGCAACAGCGTCCGATATCATCCAAAGGCTAGAAGAGGATGCCGAAAAGTACCATCATTCTCTGGCGAAATACATGCAAGACCGCGACATTTACAACCAGGTGAGGCTAGACAACTATTCTGGCGATGGGACTCCTATGGTCATACCACCTTCCACCAGATGTCTAACGCCTTCAAATATCATGCAGGCAGTGCAAACCAAAATCACGAACGAAGCAAATCTCAAATACGGCATAGTCGGGGTGGCGTTCATGTGCGTATTTGGGTCGCTCGGGTTCTCGCTACATCCGGTATTTTTTTTCGTAAGTGAACCATGCGAAATGACTAACGTGATCAGGGTTGCGCCCTAGGTGGCTACATCTACAGGCCGGTTTTCAAGCAGAGCCGCATGAAGGAAGGTAAGCAGTGCACAACCTATTTGTCGAGGATAGTATGGCCAGTTATAGCTGGGCACCAGGCTGCCAAACACTTTGCATTAAATTGCACCAATTGTGTTCAGAGACCATGAGAACCGCGAGAGAACTATTGAGAAGCAACACAGAGAGCAAACAGCAAATGCGCCAGCTTCACCGTGAGATCGTTGAGCTGGTTGGCGAACTCGAGGCGCATCTCGACAAAACACTTAAAAAGTAAAACAGTGCATCATTTAATCCAAACAGTGTTTTTGGCGCTCATTGGCTAGTAGTGCGGCTTTCAGATTTCGATTGCCCGTGAGAAAACTCGAGCGCCAGCCTAGACCTTGGAACGTTGACGGAACCTCGCGTAGCACATCACAGCCACAAACGCGACCGATACAATCACAATCGGGCGATCTTGTAGCGACTTCAGTGACTTAGATATAGAATCCACGGCTTGATCCACGTAGGACATATACTCGTCAAACATGATGCTGGTTGCCTTCGTGTAGTCTACGCAAGCGTCGAAGTTATGGCGCGTGTATCTAAGGAAGCGTAGCACGTTGATGTAGAAGGTCGGACCCGATGTCGGTACACTAACTACGGGTGGCGGATTCTTCCCTTCGAAGGCCGGAGGAAGGGGCAGATGCAGCGTTCGCACGGCGTCTTGCAAATCTATTACGTTGACCTTGATCGAGTACGGAATCTGGATCGACGAACCCGGGTCACGCTCCATTTGTTTGAGGAAGCGGGTGCGAATGGACTCGTGGTCAAGCGTTTTGGTCATAAAGGTGTCCTCAACCGCGTAACCGTGCTTAGCGTAGTATTCACGTGTCCCAATGCCAGCAATCACCGCCATTTTACGGAACCCTTTTGCGGCGGCCACTATCTCAGCCACAAGCAGCAGACTGGCACCAATGCCCCGGTGCTGGTACGGCGTGGCCTCCTTCACAGCCTTGCCGTGCGCCACGACCACGCCGTAGACGTGCAACTCGCGGATAAAGGCGCATCCCTCTAAGCATCGGAACGTTGAAACCTTGGGGTTGAAGTCACTGTTGTCCCTCAGACGCAACCGCAAGAAACCGAATATCTTCGACTCGTCCTGACTTTCGTAACTCAGGAAGTACTCCGTTCCGCCTGTGGCGCGGTACTCCCGAATCATGAGCTTCGCGCCCAAACTGGTGCTTCCCTTCTTCATCTCACGACAACGGATGCATCGACACATCAGTCCGCACTTTTGCATGCGGTTCAGCAGCAATTGGCGCATGTTGGTGACGTTGGTGCCCGCTATGATGGACGGGTTGGGAATGTCGCGGATCACCCGATTCAGGCGAATCCATGGGTGAACGGCACGCTTCACGCTCATCAGCAGATCCATCAGCAGGTTAGGATCCGTGTCGAAGTAGGGTACAAAGAGACCCTGCTTGTGCCACTGCTCAATCTGGGAGAAGGGGGTGACCTCGCAGGGATATATCTTCCACTGGTCGGCCTGGAGTCCCTCATCACCCAGCACCAGGGAAAACATCTCACGGTCCATATCGGGGTTGCTGGAAGGCAGATCTGGCATCAGGTGGATGTCAACCTTGTAGCAGTTTTCCTTCAACAGGTACAGCGCCCTCTTGCTATCCTCCAAACCATGGCCACGGTTGACGTAGTTAAGCACGTCGTCGTTCGTGTGCTGTATGCCCAGCTGGACGCGGGTGCAACCCAGGTTTCTCAAGATTCTGATCTCGGTTGGCGTAATCCTGTCAGGACGTGTTTCAAGGGTCAAACCGATGATGCGGCACAACCCGCCCACATTCATATCCTGCTCAGATTCCAATGATTCCCGTGGGCGTGCGGTCTCCAGCGGGGTAGGGAACACATTTGCCGCATAGTAGAGGTCACGGCAAAATTCCTCCTGGTACTGGCGAGGGTAGCCGCTCCAGGTGCCTCCCAGTACCAATATCTCGATCTTGTCAATCACGTGACCGTTGCGGTACAGGGTCATAGCGCGGTCGTAGAACTGCCTAGCTGCGTCAAAATCGTTCTGGTTGGCGCGGAGAACTGCGGGCTCCGTGGAGAGATAGCTCCGGGGTTGCCCTGGTTCATTTGGACAGTAGTAGCAGTCGGAGGCACAGCTGAAGTTACCGGGAGCCGTCAACACCGTAATCACCACTACACCTGAGTTTGAACGCACACCCTTGTTTCTCAGCAGGTGCTGCATCTTGGGGTCGTACTTTACGGATGTAGGAGTGGAGCGTCCTCCAACACCATCAGCAGAGCCATTGGAATCGGCAGACGTCGTCGACTGCTTCTTCTTAGCGTCCCTCTCATTCTGCAGCTGCAGGAGACGTTCAAAAATATCCCTCTTGGAGGGGCCTATGTGGTACTGGCGACGCAGCTTTGACATCAGCAGATTCAGCTCATCCTGGTCCTTGACATTCTCCGATGCCGACAACAGGTCGTAGATGAACCTATCCAGCGTGGAAAGCGTGCTCACGTCTATATCCACAAAAATGTCGTCGTATCGATCAAACTGTAGTTCAGTGTAGAGAGAAGCGTTTGGATCTTGGTTGGCCTTACTCTCGAAGTTACGCCAACTATCCATCGAACGAGCGAAACACTCCAGGTGACGACGGCGGTGTGAGTCGCCAAAATCGGCACGAGTAACCCGCGTTACCTTGCCCGCTACCTCTTTGAAACTTTCACGGGTAGCCGGGAAGAAATTGCGCATCTCCTCTTCGCTGTCCTTATCAGAGTCGTCCTCGCCATCGGGGTCGTTGCCAGCCGAGCCTTGAATGGTCGGCGATTGCGACGAAGAGGACGAAGAGTCGCTCAATTCGGCATTAGTCGGCGAGACGCCTTCGCCGTCATCGTCAACAACGTTACAAGCGTCCCCACTGACGGTACTACCACTGAAAGACGGATTCTCCTCGGTGCTGGAACTTATACGCATGCTCTGAATCGGCGTATTTGACGGAGGAACTATGCCCCCAACTGAAGATTCGCTATTGGGCGAGGTTTGTCCATCCATCTTGTACGGCTCGATGAGTCCACCCTGTGATCCCTGACCAACCACTGCCGCATCCATGCCACCACGGCCATCTGTGTTTGGGTCGCTACGTGGTTGGAATGGTGACACATTATCCACTTCTAACGCTTCAGAAGCGTCAGCTTCAGAATTTTCAGCGGCAACAACTGTGGACGCGTCAGCATCACCAGTCATAGGATGATCAATAACCGCATCGTTGTCATCAGGTGACTCATCAACGGTCACATCCTCCGAGATCTCCACATCCTCACTAAGGGTATGCTCAACAGTCACATTCTCCGAGGATTCCACATCGACATTCGACGACTGATCAAAAGTAACTTCCTCCGAGGATTCGACATCCTCATTAGGGGTATGCTCAACAGTCACATTCTCCGGCGTCTCCACATCGCCAAGGGCCTTGTTATCAGCGATCTCAACATCACTAGATGAATTATCAACAGTCACTTCCTCCGAGGAATCCACATCGACATTAGATGACTGCTCAACAGTGAGGTCGTGCGAAGTCCCGACATCGTCAGTAGGGGAATGCTCAACGTCATCTGAGGCCTCTACACCAAGGGATTCGTCATCATCAACGCTATCTGAGACGTCAACATCCTCATGAGATGGCTCCTCAACAGCAACATCGTCGGCAACCTCACCATTATCGTCAAGGGGAGAGTCGATGTCCGGCGGGGCAACGTCATCAGTCAAAACGGTCTCGGCTGCAGCAACAGCAGCCTCTTGTTCTGCCGCAGCTGCTGAATGAGACTCATCTGCTACAACCTGAGCCTCCAAAATAACCGAATCTTCCCTGTCGGAGGAAGATGGGTACGCGTATTTTTCTGCGGCGGCGTGGTCAACAAAGGAATCCGCAGGCGCGGCGACGAAATCTGACGACTCCATCGCTCAAATCTACGCACAGGAAAGATGGAAGAATCACGTACGGAACAGGATGTACGCCCAGGTACACCGTCCGTAAAAAGTCAAAAACTTTGGCCCTCAGTAAAAACACCGGGCTGCTCCTTCAATTGCCAACGGTAGAAGGCTCATCACCAACACGAGCTGTCACAAATTATAACTCCCACCGCATTCTAGAGATGGAATAAACGGCAATACGTGATGGAAGGTACAATCGGCGAGCCTTGGTATTTCAGGGAGTCGACTCGTCGTGCAACGGTCAACAATGCGCCACAGTACAAGGTATGGCGACAAATTACGATCTTACGAGCTATATTTCGGCTCAATATCACGTTCAATTGCAAATCAAATGTATGTGCGAACGGGGGCGCTTTACAAGCTGAGAATGTGTAACGCCCCCAGACACGACGGGCATCTTCCGTTGCCAGGAACTCGTCGTACACACATGACGCGTAACTGCAGCCATTCTAAACGGGAAGCCTTACACCATCACTTATAAGTCCGTTCGCGCTCCAGAGAACCGCGCTAAAAGCGCCAGACCGGCTGCCCGTAGGAACGAAGGCTTTTACTTTGCTGCCTAAATACTCGCTGAGAGTCGTAATTAACAGTCAAGACAGATTAGCATGACGGAGCATGAGATTAACCCGGATTCTACAGACGACGAAATAGACGAACTAGAAAGAGAGGTCAAAAGAAGGCTGAACGCGGTCGGCGGACTGCTCAAGCTACGCGGCGTGGTTTCAAAGGAGGCATACAAGGGGCGCTTCGAGGAAGCCAAGGAGGCGTTCGACCAAATCTCGCAGCACGTTGCACGCGTCCAGGAAAAAATAGATCGGGAACTGGCGTTGCTCCACCAGGCCAAGGGAGTGGCAGAGGCAAACAGACTTCAGCAGCTGGTGGTTGAAGAAGTGCACCGCCAGCTGCAAACCTCGGATACTCTGAGAGCGATAAGCGAGCTCAGACGTTCGGCGGAAGAATCCAAAGCTAGAATTCTGCCGAGGCCGGAAGACGCGGCCGACAACGCTTCGACCAAGAACGAAAACAGGGAAGCAGAAGGCAGGAGCACCGCCGCAAAGCCGACAACTGAACGCTCCGAACGTCCCACGCATAATAATAGACCGGGTAGCAGCAGCAGAAGCTACTCGAGGAACCGCGACACATTCAACCGCTACATCTTATAGCACGGCTGCGCTGAACGCGGGGACACATTCCACCGAATTCCGCACTAATATTTTTAGGGTGAACCACTAAATCTGACTGTCACTTTTACGACGCCTATCGGCGGTGGAATCAGTTACCCGTAGAAGGAAGCCAACCCGGCGCCGCACATCACGTGACAACGCGGTCACTAAAAACTGCCGTAATCCCCGGGATTCCACCGCGATGAGGCAAATACATGTCTCCTGAGGCACTAATGTCTCATATGTGCTGATCCATTATGAATACCGAGGAGGCGCGTGAAACGAGGCCCCGGCGCAACGTGTCACCGGTAGTGGACCGACGACTTGTCACGCACGGCTGCACACGAGCGGCCAAATATGTTCACCTCAGTGACAATAGACAAAATAAACCCCCAGAATTGTCCCCGGGGACAGTAGAAACGTGACAAGAATCAATCGCAATGGCTACTGCGAAGTGCCACCTGGGGATCCCACTTAATTGACACCTCCGGCCCCAGGTTCGCGAAAGACAGTGGTAGGATCACTTAACAATTCCCTGACCGTTTTTTGGATTGGACACTCAATCTGAACGGCCAATTATTATTTTGCAAGAATACACAACTATTGTTGGTTATCACTGCACACGGCAAGATTCCACGCCGATTGTAAGTTTGCGAGCTATACCCACACACACGGCTAAATCGCGGTGTTCTGTGACTAAAGTTGTATTTGACGTAATATCTGTTGTTTTTCGTGTATAGGCCCGCTGGTTTTGCGTAGCGGAGCGTTTGTTTTTGTGGAATCTAGCGAGCCCCCTCCCCCATACGCACACTCATCCTTACGCAGAGCTGAAAGATAAGTCAAAATGTCTGCTCCGGCTATTGGTATCGATTTGGGTACCACCTACTCCTGTGTTGGTGTCTACAAGGACAACAACGTGGAGATCATCCCCAATGACCAGGGTAACAGGACCACCCCCTCCTACGTCGCCTTCACCGACACTGAGCGTCTGATTGGTGACGCCGCCAAGAACCAGGAGGCCCGCAACCCCGAGAACACCGTCTTCGACGCCAAGAGGCTCATCGGAAGGAGGTTTGACGACCCCACCGTCCAAGATGACATGAAGCACTGGCCCTTCAAGGTCACCAACGGTGTTGGCGGCAAGCCCACCATCGAGGTCACCTTCCAGGGACAGAAGAAGACCTTCCACCCTGAGGAAATCTCCTCTATGGTCCTCATCAAGATGAAGGAGATTGCTGAGCTCTACCTCGGCAAGCCCGTCAAGGACGCCGTCATCACCGTGCCCGCCTACTTCAACGACTCCCAGCGTCAGGCCACCAAGGACGCTGGTACCATCGCCGGTCTCAACGTCATGCGTATCATCAACGAGCCCACCGCCGCCGCCATTGCCTACGGTCTTGACAAGAAGGGGTCTGAGGAGAAGAACGTGCTCATCTTCGATCTTGGAGGTGGTACCTTCGATGTGTCCATCCTTACCATTGAGGACGGTATCTTCGAGGTCAAGGCCACTGCCGGTGACACCCACCTCGGTGGTGAGGACTTCGACAACCTCCTTGTCGAGCACTGTGTCCGCGACTTCATGAGGATCAACAACGGCAAGAACCTCGCCAGCAACAAGCGTGCCCTCCGTCGTCTCAGGACCCACTGTGAGCGCGCCAAGCGTGTGCTTTCCAGCTCCACCCAGGCCACCATTGAGCTCGACTCCCTCTACGAGGGTATCGACTACAACACCACCATCAGCCGTGCTCGTTTCGAGGAGATGTGTGGTGAGAAGTTCAGGGGCACCCTTATCCCCGTCGAGAAGGCCTTGGAGTCCAGTGGTCTTGACAAGAGAAAGATCCACGAGGTCGTGCTCGTCGGAGGTTCCACCCGTATCCCTAAGATCCAGCAGCTCATCAAGGACTTCTTCAACGGTAAGGAGCCCAGCCGCTCCATCAACCCTGATGAGGCCGTTGCCTACGGTGCCGCCGTCCAGGCCGCCATTCTTTCTGGTGACCAGTCTGGCAAAATCCAGGAGTTGTTGTTGCTCGATGTCGCTCCCCTGTCCCTCGGTCTTGAGACCGCTGGTGGTGTCATGACCGTGCTCATCAAGAGGAACACTACCATCCCCACCAAGAAGACCCAGATCTTCACCACCAACGAGAACAACCAGGAAGGTGTGTTCATTCAGGTCTTCGAGGGTGAGCGTGCCATGACCAAGGACAACAACCTCCTCGGAAAGTTCCACCTTACCGGCATTGCCCCCGCTCCCAGGGGTGTTCCCCAGATTGAGGTCACCTTCGACATTGACGCCAACGGTATCCTGAACGTTACTGCCATGGACAAGTCTACCGGCAAGTCTGAGCACGTCACCATCACCAACGACAAGGGTCGTCTCAGCACCAGCGACATTGAGCGCATGGTTGCCGAGGCCGAGAAGTACAAGGAGGAGGACGAGAACAGGCGCGCCTGCGTTGAGGCCAAGCACCAGTTGGAGAACTACTGCTACAGCATGAGGAACACCCTCAACGAGGAGAACGTCAAGTCCAAGCTCGAGGCTGGTGAAGTTTCTGCCGCTCTTAGCGCCATCGACGAGGCCATCACATGGCTCGAGACCAACCAGACCGCCACCAAGGAGGAGTTCGAGTACAAGCTTAAGGAAGTCGAGAAGGTCTGCCAGCCGCTCACCACCAAGATGTACCAGGCTTCTGGTGCCGCAGGTATGCCTACCGGTGGCCCAGGAGGCTTCGGTGGAGCTGGCCCCGCCCCCGGTGCTGCCTCAAGCGGCCCCACTGTCGAGGAGGTGGACTAAATGTTTACTTCCAGCGCATTTGCCAATGCCAGTCATAGCACAAAACACGGTATTTAATTTAGACCATGATTAATCATAGTTTTGATAAGAATGAACGCGATTGTTAGGCCGCACTGTTTTTTGAGCCCTCGTGCCTCCTGTGGCAGCCGCGGTCACTCCAGGTATATCCGACGCACGTCGTTGCGGTCGAAGGCCACCTTGCACACGGGGCACTTGCGGTTGCGCGACTTGATGCAGCTCTTGATGCAGTTCTCGCAGAAGACGTGCCCGCACTTCGACAGGCAGCGGTCGCGGAAGTGCTCCGAACATACCGTGCAGGTCATGCGACGGCGCAGCGCGTCGTTCTCACGCCTGATGCTGTCCTCCTCGGACGACGGGTCTGGGCTCTTGTCCGTTGAAACGCGGGATATCAGCACGCGATGCGTAGCCGCTTGCGTTAGCGCCAGCCTGCTGCGCAAATCGTTCCGCTCGCGCTCGGCAGCCTGGAGCTGCGCCTGGCACTCGTACAGGGCAGAAGCCGCCATGTCACGCTTACTCTCAAAGCTCAGACACCGACGATAGGAAGCTACCCACGTACGCCGGTAAGTGTCGATACGGTGCATCAGGTCCTCCTTGTGCTGGTACGCAGCTGTCATCTTGCGCTCACAGAAGGCCATCGCCCGACTGAACTTGCCTTCCATCTCCCGAGTCGAGGCTTCCAGGGCGACGTACTTGTCGCGGAATGTGATCATCTCCTTCACTTGCTGAATCAGGCGCTCCGTCTGACGGGTCTTCTCCTCGTAAGCCGCGCTTATCTCCTCCAGTTCGAGCGAGACGTTCTGCAGCTGATCCTTGTAATCCGCCAGCGCAGGCTCAGCAGCCAAGCGGTCCTCGGATGGCGAGAAGGTTCTTATCACCATGGCCATCTTGGATATGTGTTCATTCAGGATGCGGTCTTTACCTTGAACCTCGGACAGCAGCGAATCGCGCTCCTCCTTAAGCTCGGCAGTCACGGCAGTGAGGTGTTGCTGGCGCTCATCCTGTTGCCGCAACTCCTCCTGGTAGGAGGCCACCTGGCTCTCGTATTCGTCGACACGGTTCAACAGCTCCGTTTCAATGGCCTCCAGCTGCTGCACGTAATCAAACAGCTTGCGATCGTATTCGAGTGCGACAAGTTCGCCGCGGGTGCGAAGCACCATGTTCAGGCCCTCCAGATATGCAATCCGCTCATCCTGCGCTTTACACAACTCATACAGATCCTTGTATAAGGTTGAGCCGACGATAAGCTCCTCGGTGACATCCTCTACGCCGTTGATCACGGGAACGGGAGTATCTTCGTACTGCAAAGATTCCACGAGACTGTTTGTAGAATACGCTTCGGACGGGGTTATGCAGGAATCGACCCTATTTAGCGAGTAACGCAGCTCGGCGTTGAGTTTATTCAACCTCGATACCTCGACCTCAAGAACACCGCACCGATGGTTGCTCTTGCGCACGACGTCACGCAACTCCTCAACCGTATCGTACAAACGAATGCTGGCAAGCTCCAAAACGCGGAGTCTCTTGCGCTCTGCTACAGGCGCCTGAGAGGTTGGTGGGCTGCTCTGCGGTGTACGACCTTGCACGCCACGGGAGGCAACTGGACTCCTCGCCGTGGACTGCAGCAGGTGCTTCACCCTAGACAACAAAACGTTCTTCTTGCGATTGAACGCCTCCACGTGGGTCTCCAGGAACGAATCCAACTCATCGTTAGTTGGCTCGTCACCGGACTCAAGTTTCTGGGGAGATTTCTTGCCGTCACCGACGGCGTCAACGGCCTCGCCCTCCAAAGACAGAGGACCGCCTCCAGACGAGGTAGCGCCTTCACCACGGCGGACGGTGAATGGGAGCCTCGTTCGGGATAGGAAGTCCAGGAACCCCTCCGCAGATGCGGAGTTGGCGGCGACATTGTCGGCCGAAGGCCCGGGCGACGCGGCGCCCAGCTCGTTGCTCAGTACATCCCATATACCGGCAACGCTGGAGCAAAGATGTCTTAAACACTCATTCTCGCGCACTATGGCGCTATTTTGACTGCGCAACTGATCAACCTCTGACCGATACTCCGCGAGGCACTCGCGCAACTTGAAAAGATTCTCGTTGGCTACCACATCGTTCTGCGACAAGATTCGCCATACAACAAAAATTCATACCAGCAATGGAAGTTCCAGAGCTACGTCCTCTGACGTGCTCTTGTGACGCTTTCTCGACATGGGTAGACACACCTGCGATAACTAGGTGATTCCCGTTCTGAGTAAACGGCTCGTCGCAGCCATCCATATGAGCAAACAACGGAGCCTCCAAAAAATCCTTCCAACTTCACGTGGTAAAAACGAGGGGTCACTCCCTGTGGTGCAACAATACAACCGGCCGGCGACAGTGTCCCAACGGAATCCCCTCAAACGACGACCGCCAACAGCTGAGCACACAACACACGCTAAATACGTATCTGTTTGCCCGTGCTAAGACGACTAGTACAAGGGTTCGATGCGATTATGCAACTTTCTGAGCATCTTGCGGGAGAAGTAGAAGGCCGGGTCCAGCGTTCCCCGGACGTTCCACCGTTGGACGCCGTAACGGACGTCCGAACGAGATAGTTGTACGCTCCCGTTTACGGTCAGCACGCCGCCACCGAGGTTGCAGCATTCGGGCAAACACTCCTCGAAGTACTGCACGAGCGTGGGCATGCCGACGTTACCCGTGTATACGCTGTGACGCAGCGAGTGGCTTAACACCGCGTCCGATGCATCCGATGCTGTCTGGGTGCTTGAGATGGTCAGTGATGAGTCAACACCCATGGAATCCGGGTCTCCGGCAGCGCCGCCAACTCTCTCACTGTCATCCGTAGATGGCCCTGATGTTGCTGACGCAGAATCACCAGGCAGGCACATGGACAGCCTGGGAATCTGCGAAGGCCGCTTTGACCAGAAAGACGAACAGCGCAACACACTTTCCCCTCTGGAGCTGGTTTCTCCCGCGTAGCAGTCAAAACGAACTATAGCCTGATATACCTGCCGTGGGTTGTTGTGGCGCTTCCACGCATCAATAGACGATAGTACCGACATCAGCCGCTCAATGCGTGAATTCCCTTCAGCACGCTTGTCTGCCGGCGTAACGCGGGCGCCGTGGAAATCCCTTATAAGCTGCCCCGCTGCAAGCAACGTGCCCGAACGGTTAACATACTCCTGGCGGACATCCAGCGGAATGCGCAACCGCCGATCCAACGATCCCTTACCCTTAACATACGTTTCGTGGTTGCACGGTAGAGCGCTGTCGAAACTGTGAACGGCACCGCAACTTGGTACCGCCTCACGAACGGTCCGCTCCGCATGAGCCAATCCACCCACGTCACTCGTGCGTGGAAGCAAGGCGATGTTTCGAGGGCGGATCTTGCGCAACAGTGATACCAACTCACAGCGTGGGTGGAAGTGGCTGAAGTGACGCGTAATGTACAAACCACTTTTTATCACCAAGGGAAGCCTTTTGACAACCAGCTTGGAAACCGCCGCATTAGATTGCACCTCGGAAGCTGCATCGTTCTCTCCTTTGCCGTCGAAAATAATCCCCCCAACGGCGGAATTCTCAACGTGTTGCATGTAATACGCATTAAACGGGTTCTGCTCAATTCCCGAAAAAGCGTCGGGCTCATGAGCACTCTCCTCCTGTTCCTCAGCATAAACGGCGGCCGATGAGGGCGCAATGTTCTGGTCCAGCTCTGCGGCGGCTACAGACGTATAGGGGATGCCGTAGTCGAGATTCTCGTCGACGTGCTGATTGCTATTCTCGATGTCATCTCTCATTACAGTAGGTGGCATGTAACTGACGTATCCGTTATGAACGGAAAAATTGCGGCTATTCTTAAACAAGAACTCGGTGGCCAACTCGTCGCCAAAAGCGTCCATGACTACGTCACCAGATCCGACAGCCGATGGGCCAACTGGGCTGTGCGCCTCGTCTACAGAATCTACACAAATTGAATTGTTGCGTGAACCGGAGTTTAACTTACCCATATCGGCAGCATCCGTTTCCTCGGGCGGCTCAAGGTTGAGACGGAGGGTGAAGTCGTGCTGCAAACCGGCTAGAGGGTCTATGGTGCCTCGATCGCGATACTGCATCATCAAAGCGCTCACTTCCGGCGATTCGCTAGTAAATATGACGGTGTTGCGCTCATAACAGCACAACGCGGCGAAGAGGTAGCTGGTGACTCCGAACGATAACGAACTACACGTGGAGATGAACACGCATGGCATGCTTGAGAACCTCCGGAGCTCCTCTAGGGTTGAGACTGGGTGTATGTACTTCATATTGAAAATCGGATTCCACATGGTGCGCAAAAAGTTGTGGCATATACCAGCCCTCATATATTCCAGGCACGTTGCGAACAACAAAACCATCTTGCCCGCAATCGGAGACACCAGGACTATGGGAAACTGTTGCAGGTCGCTGTTCTCCCACACGGCGTTCAAGTGTAACAACAAGTCAATTATGTGCGTATCGACATCCATGGGGATCAACACCGAACCGTTGGAACGCAGAGTGCCCGCAACAACCGATAAGATAGCTTGCATGTTTTTGCACTCCGATGGCTGCGGTGATTGGGAGCTGTCAGCCAGCTTGGGCTGCTCGTGAGTGACGAAGATGTCAGCACTATCTAGTGAGCCGATGTCGCAGCCATTCAAGTACCACGACGACTGAACGCGGTAGGTCGGACAACAAACGATGCTGCGTGGTCCCACTGACAGTTTCCAAACGGACCCTCCGATGGACACCCCGTTGTTCAACGGCAAAAAAGCGGTATGTACGGTCCAGTCATCCGTCGACTTGGTGAGATGATAACTTTCGTGGTAACGCAACTTGCAACAACCGGAATACAGAAAATCTAGATCGGACATCCCGTAATCCTCAAACTTGTAAGAAAAAGTGGCGTTCTCCAGAACGTCAACGAGGCACGCCCGAGCGAACTTGTAAGACCCCTCCGTGCACAACACCGGCGGCATACCGGAGTCACCGCGTATGCCGTGTAACCACGAATAGATAACTGGAAGCGCGCCAACATGCTGAAAGTCTCCATCCGTTATTGCGATAACATCCACGTCCTTGGCATGTAGCTTCAGGAGTGCAATGCTCTCCTGATCGAAGTCGAGTGACCACCCGCAATTCACTAGTACGTGGACCTCAGCGAACTGCTCTGAAGATGCCTCTGCCGATGAATCATCCCCAGTAGAATCTTCACTTGATTGCCTGTTGGCATCATCTGAATTCGAAGCCCTGGGAGACGAACTCAAACTCCGTTGCGATTGACCTTCGGCAGATGGAGCCAAATCGCTCTCCGGTGCCTCGGTCTTGACAAAATCCTTCCCAGTACGCGACTCTGAAGGTATAATTAGCCCTAAAATTGACAAAGAAGAATTATGTTGGACAAGTACATGAACACGGGTCACGAGAAGTATCACGCAGAGCTGTAGAGGCCGGAAAATACACACATGGCGCCTTTAGCTACACATTAAACGGCTCAGATAGTCAAAGTATATATGAAATGGTGTATTGTACCAAGGAAGTGGAAACGTGCGTATAGTAAACGAATGTTCAACACACAACGAAAGACATACCGGGCTGGCTGAAAACGGTCAAAGGAAAGCGCAACGTGACCTTCGTAGCCAACAACGAGCCGCAAATTAGCGGCTCGGCCAACAGGGACGCCATATTTAACGGACTATCTCGATAAACGCCACAAATGGACAGGGTGTAGGGCTCAAGGAATATTCAGACACCGACGCGCCTTCCAATCTAAGACACCACCATTTAAGTGCGGTATAAAAAACAGGATCATACATGATAATTTCTGACGTCCCAAAATTAAAATTATTAGGCTCGGCAGCTGTTCAGTGGGATGCGCAATGTGTTAAGCCGCAACCGATGCTTCCGCCTAAACACTTATGCTCATCCCGAATACACCAGGGCTTGACGTGAGTGTCATGCCTAGGCGGTGTTGCTCTCTGTCCTTGAAGGGCGCAACGGATAACGCATATCCGAAACGGTGTCCATGTTTAGCAAAATGTTGAATTGCTTTACAAACGCATCACTCTGTCCGCGCCACGCAGCACGAAGGTCATGCCCTGCAGTCCCCGGCCTTGGCATCTTGCAAGTTACACTCACAGGGGCAAAGTGATGCGGCGGCATATCACCGCCAAAGAACATAGTCTCGAAACGTTGGTCAACAGATGCAATCTGCAACAAAATAGCGCCCCTACGGCAGTCTCGAAGCAGCGAGTCGAATAGTTCAGAGTTGCCAGCATTCCTAGCTAACACCTGCTTGACACTGATCATGTAACTAACTTCGTTCAGCCCCCACTGGACGCTGGCAACCACATGCAGCCTGTTGCCAAGCATCAGGTACGACCTGAACAGATCAAACATCGAGCTGTCCGCAACTTGAATGTCATCGCCTCTATCTTTTTTTGAAACCTGCTTCACGTCGGAAACCGTTACAAGGTTGCCCTCGTCAACGGCACGAGCGCCAGCTTCACCCGCGGCAGGAAGGTTGCCATAAACGTCGGAAACCGATCTCCCCGGAAACACGCGCTGATTTTGCACGGTGCTCGATCCCTGAAAAATCTTTAAATTGGGGAATTTGAGCAACGTGGAGCCGGAATTGCCAATTTTCTTCCAGACAGTTTCATTACGGCAATCATCGGTCCCTCGGACGATAGATAAATCCTGGGGCAAGTAGAGCACGGAGACCAATGAAGAAAACGACGCAGTGAAAGGCGTAGGATTCAACAGATGATGCGATAGATATAGCGTTCCCTCAACTGACAAAGATTGAGTGCCAGCATTGTGATAAACGAACAGCTTTGATTGGGGAGCGGATGGCGCCTTCGCACTGGAATGCCACACAAAACTGCCAGATATCCCAGTAGGGGAAGACACAAAAATTCCGGCTATCAAACCGATGATGAAGACGAATCCGGCAATCAGCAGGTAGTGGAATGATGCCGTGAAGAACTTAAGAAACCATGCTGCAATAAATTGTAAAACAAGTGGACAAAACACACCTGGGAATGTATACGAGTTGCAATGCTTCACGTTGGAGATTACACTCAACAAGCTACCTTCTATTTCGGGCAGGTCGAATGCAATTTCCTGGAGAAGGAAGAGGTCTTCGTACACATCGCCAACACCATTGTCGATAGTGCTACGCTGCGAAATGGAACCGTCCGCCGTTAATCCTGACCGGACAACCTTTTCGGATCCGTCTTCGTTCTCATAGTCGTACGAACACTGCGATGGCGAGGACACCTTGCGTTGCACGGTCCTCATCGTGCCTCCGACTGACACACCAGGGACCAGTCCGGCGAGCCGCTGGGAAACGCGCGCACGGCTGGCTTATGGGCCGAAATTGCCGGCCAAACGCAGGCGTACCATGTACTAACAACACCAGGCGCGGTCTACGTCGACACACCTTTGTTTTATAGGGACCCAATAAGGGTGCAAACTGCATGAACAAAGGAGTGTGTACGACCTTATACAACGAATTTCTTAACAATGTTCGTCCTGGAGCGAATTATTTCGCTGCTCATTCTGGCAAACGAGCAAACCGGGAACCGAACGTGGATTGACCTCTTCTTCAACGACGGTTCAACACAGGCCAGACCTGAAGAGAAACGGGACGCAAAAACAACGCGGCAGGAATCCACTCAATAGAACTATATTGTCTATGAAACTCCAAAGTTTCAAGATTTTAAAAGTGTGTCACTTGAATGTGACAAATTTCAGCTTAGACACACATTACTACCCCTCTGACTCGGCATGTATCACTACCTTTTGCGCCGATGCAGACCACGTCTTATAATTAAGAAATTAATAAGAGCAACAGTACGATTAATTGATAGTATATTTGCACTTGCCTACCGGTGATCGTGCGTGCTGTCGCTCGGAGGCGGTCCTAGCTGAACGGCGTCAGCCATTATTGTAATTAAACTAGAATATAGCTGCAACACACATATGCAGCTGTAATATAAGTTTTTAAAGCTTGATGCAGGATTTGTAGGATTGGGAAAGGTGTTTAGTGAGAGGCATGGAATCCCAGTGTACGATGCTGCGCTTTCAGACAAGACGAATATAAAGGAATCTCAGCTTCTACGTATCCTACGCTCTAGCTGCACCTGCGTTAATCGATTTGACACGATATAGGAGGAGAGGATGACCACGCTGCAGTCCCTCGAAATTCGTGGAATTAGGTGTTTCTCACCTAATGCAACGCAATCCATACGCTTTGAAAAGCCACTAACGCTCATAGTTGGACAAAATGGAGCAGGGAAAACGGTAAGGAGATGCGGATCTGCTGCACATCTGTCATGCATTAAACTAATTCTAACTCCATTTTACAACCGAATTCACCAGGTGCTCTAAAACCGACACTAACCCATACCCTTATATAGTCTGTTTATACGTATGCAGACAATTGTTGAGTGCCTCAAAATGGCAGCAAGTGGAATACTGCCGCCAAACTCGGATCGCGGGAAATCGTTCGTCCACGACAGCAAACTTTCGGAGGAGCGAGAGGTCAGGGCGCAGATCACGCTTAACTTCGAAACTCCAGCGAAGGAAACGGTACAGAGTTTGATGACCCAATCATCACTGTGAATGCAGATTAGCGCTACCAGAAATTACACTATCACCAGGGACAAAAACATCCCCAACAAGTCAACGTTCAAGGTAATCAACGAGGCACCCATGCATTACGTATTTATATAATTATGTAGGCTGGGGAGACCATTTTACGAGTAAAACCACCCGTTGGGGAGGAGTCAAGAGTCAGCATGAAGTGCTCAGATCTGGATTCATCTATGCCATCACTGATGGGACTGTCTAGGGCCTTTATAGACAGCGGTATGATAACTTAAATTTGAGTATACATTTACGAATGTAGTCATTTTCTGCCACCAAGATGAGAATAACTGGGCACTTGACGACTTGGCCAAGGTCAAAGCCAGATTTGACGACCTCCTGGAAACATCACGCTACACCAAGGCCCTTTCCGCTCTCAACAAAGCAAGGAAAGAGCAGGAAGAAGCAATTCGGCTTAATGCTGCGAAATTGGAAGCCACGAAAGGTCAAATCATCCAGGTAACTGCAATCAGTTAATGTCGTATATTCCGTCGCAGATTGCTGACATCAAAAAACAGCTTAACGCAAACGTAGAAGATGTCGCCAAGGCCAACGCCACTATCGCGTGAGTAGTGTGGAAGTTTGAATGTGTCATTGTGTGTACAGAACGCTGGAAAAGGATTTAATCCGATTTGATGAGACGTGCAAGGCGCTGAGGGCAGAGCACGAAGCAGTGTCGGCCACTTTCGCAGCTCTCAGAGAAACTAATTCAAACGTTGAAAGGTACATTACCAGTTCTGATGTATACAACCAGCAGGCTTTCCGAAGAAATAAAAACGATGCATCAAACCATGAGCGAAATATACGAGGAGGGATTGGAGGACATGCACCACTACCACCTAACACTCACAAATGAATTGGAGGTAAGTTTACTAAGAAATATATTGCACATGCTCCAGGCTGCCGAAACCATGCATAATGAAGTGACACGCACGATCGATCAGCTCATGGAACGCATGAATAGTCTCCATCAGAAAATTAATCTCAGTAAAAACAAGGTTAGTATGCCATTTCTTACTTTTTATGCCGATTCAGCTAACAAATCGCGCTTTGCTTGAGGAAAACGTGAAAGTGACAGGCGAAGCTAAGACGTCCGTCATCATGGAAATCAAGAAGGAAATGGCGCTTGATGGTGACACCGAGTTCAACGAGGAAGGCATTATGTTCTTCATTGAGCAACTGGATAACATGAAGAACGTCGATGATCCGATCAATAAAGTCTTCAAGCAATGCAAGGAAGAGATCACGGACTTGGCTAATAAAATCCGGGAGCTCAACGAGCTTGAGGCCATGCAGAGCTTAACCACCAGGGTTAATGCTGAGGAAATCGCCGCAGTAAAGAAGCAAATAGCTTCTATAGAACAGATGCGTTCCACGCTGAAGCAACGGGAGGCCGTGAAACAAAAGTTGTTCCGACAAGTTGATCGACATCAACAGGTTTTAAAAGATCTAATCGATGAAAAGGACAAGCTAGCAATGTTGGCTTTGAAGCTCAAAAACGCGATAACAGGCACCACCATTGAGGATGAAAATGAGTTGAGGGCTGCTGTAAAATTCTTGGAGGCCGTCGTTAAAAACGACCGGCAACTCATCCTGACGTATCTCAAGAACAATATAAGCAAAAATATAGACGATTCGAACTTTGCGGACGTGCTTAGAGATATTTTTGGCAAATACTTGAAAGGGGCAAATCACCTTTCAAGTGAATCGTCTATTCCCCTGGAGAACTCACAGCAATTCCAGCAGGACTGTGTTACTGCCGTTATCCAAATGATAACCAACGTAGAAGGTAAACGTGCCTTATCGGGAAATAATACGTTTGCAGGAGGTGAGTTGTGCCTCAGCGACGAAGTCAAGACGCACGCCGCTAGCCTAGAGCCGTATAATCCATTGCTGAAGCTTGTAACCAACCTACGTATATCCGAATACATAGCATACTACAATGGCCTGCTAAACAAAGATTCGGAAGCGTGCCCGGCGGATGATGTTTCATACGCGGAAATCAAAGTGAAGCTTGCCGCAAAGGAGGCCGAAATTGCACAAGTCGAATCTAGTGTAAAAGACACGAATTCCTCTCTAGCAGAGCTAGAAGCCGAATGCCAACAGCTTGCAGCAAATATTGGCCAATTAAAGGAGTTGAAGGCCAAATATGCGGGGATGCAGGCAAATCAGAAGAAATACAACGCAGAACTGCGATCCATTAGGATCGCCTTGGAAAAATCAAACGCAGAGCTTAATACCAAGCAACAAGAATTAGACGATGTAAACAAGAAGATATCCGCCTCCAACACGGCAAATGCAGTTAAAGCGGCTAAACTCACAGGGTCAGTGCAGCATAGGTTGTCAACTAATTGTCCTTAGGTTGTTGGAGCGCTACAGAGAATATAGCATTAAACTGGAGCAACTATTGAAGGAAATCGAAACATCGGGTGAAGATGACCCTGCAGAAGACGCTTTACAAGCTGAATTGAATGGTTTGACCGAGAACATCAACCGTAGTCGCGTGGAGCAAAGGGACCTGATGAAGACGCTAATGAACCATCGCCAACTGCTTGAAAAGCTGCAGCAAAACATTAACCTCAAGTTGAAACAAAATCAACTCGACGAACAAAAACAACGCCTCGATGCAATACAACAGAAACTGGGGACTAGTAAGGAGGAGGAAATCGCAAAGAAGATCAAGCAGACCAGCGAACAATGCACTAAAGTAAGTCTGGACATCGCAACACTCAGGGGTACTGTTATTACGAGAGAGGACAACATCTCTAAACTTAAGCGTATGCTTGATTCCCCCAGCTTTAAGAATGCGCACAAGCATTATTCTGATGCGCTTCTTGCGTACAAGTCACATCAATTGGCGAAAGAGGTACGTTTAATTCAAGCCTGCTTAATTAACTGCAGGACCTTGAACTCTACACGAAGACGCTCGAATTGGAATTACACAAGTTCCACTCCGACAAGGTAATGAACTTTCACCCTAACTAACAGCATTGCATAGATTGCACAAATAAACATCGTCCTCAAGCGTGTCTGGAGGGAAGTCTATACGGGTACCAATATCGACTATATTGAGATACAATCGAACGATGAAACTACGGTTGCGAGCACGGGGTTGGCACCAAGGTCCTACAATTACAGGTAACAAAACGCAAAGTTTGTGGGAATACCACTTCAGACTGGTGATGGTCACGCATAGCGGGGTGGAGATGGATATGCGAGGCCACTGCTCGGCCGGGGAACGCGTTTTAGCCTCTCTGATTCTGCGCATCACGCTTACAGAGTCGTTTTGCTACAACTGCAACATTCTCGCTTTAGACGAGCCCACGACTAACCTCGACAAGGATAACATTGTGGTGAGTTGACCATTGTTATTACAACATGGCACTTTCAGAGTCTAGAAACTTCACTGGCAAAGATAGTCAGTGAATCTTCGATTGATTTCCAACTCATTATCATTACTCATGACGAACCATTCGCGAGGAAGATGGCGTTAAGGTGCAACTGCGATAAGTACTACAAAATAACCAAGAACGATAAAAACGAGTCCGTCATCAATGCGGTGCCATTTGGGTCCGGCTTCACGAATTGATGATTACTTAGGACACCCGTTTTTTAATCTGAACAGCAAACACACATGCGCTTTTATGCCTTATGTAATGCCTGTACTTTAAGTTGTTTTGTGTAATATAGGTGGTTACGTTCATCTGGCACGGGTTTCTGTTCCTATTCGTAGCTCATGGCCTATACGCCATTGGTGTGGGTTCCACGTCCTGCCATCGAATGCTGCAAGTGTCATCCATGATGGCATCCATCCTGTTTTGCCGAGAGGGTCATTCAGAGTCGTTATCTTACCGTGCCACAGTCGTTTCTCACGTCATAGCATAGGTACTACCTTTATCATATGCAGTTGGTTGTACGCCCTGCCATTCACATCCTTCACCTGATCCTCGTGCTGTCTCACCTACTATATCTCCGTCTCCTCAGCGCTGTCTTGGTTGCCAAACCCTATATGCACGATGGTGATGGTGATGGTGCTTGCAATGTCACTGCAGTCAATTATGGTTGTCGGCCCTCTGGGAAAATTCTCATCGTCAGGTTAAGGGAAGATGTCTCACTCTCCAGATTTTTTTATAGTAGGCACAGTTGTTACCTATACGAAACGGTACAACCAAATGGCGTGTCCATGATACATCGGCAGAATGTTACTGCTGAATTTTCTCAAGGAAAATTCCTCGGTAGCTTAAAAGCTAGTTGCAACTATGGGGTTTTCGATGGACCCTCCATGTCACAAACATTAAAATGATGAAAAATTTTATGATTTTTATATACATAGGATCGATGAAGCTTCGCACCATCTAACTTCAATGTCGCTTTATAGGTAGTAGGACGCACAATAGGTAACCATGGGCAAATTTAGCCTGAGGTCCCTATGGACATTTGGAGCAATAGCGCTAAAATATATTATATCTGTCGATGCGCTTGTTTGTGATTTCAGCTGGCCTAATGGATTGCTCAGAACAAATTCTGTAGTCACGTGTGACATGGATATCGGATTATTAGGCTCTGCCTCTGTAATATGCCCAGGCCGAGTCAACGGTACCGAGTATATCTTGCACCCTCAACCTAATGCATATGAACGTGCACATATCAATGTATACGTGAGTGAAAACAGCAAACTTCGTTCCGCTGCTATTAGGGATGTCATACGCAGCGAATCCGGGAATGAGCTTATCTGGATAGAATCCACTCTCTCGCAGAACATTATGCAGTTACATATACCAACGCATGAACTGTTTGCCATTGCCGAACGCCGTCTGATATTCATCTGTGGTCCTAGAGATTTGGTTCTTAATGATACCTTGCAGAGTCACCTTGACAGTCTCAGTGGTTTTGGTCAAATGCAAGCACTTCCTTGGACATCTAATACACCTTTGGCTCATGAAATGTCGAAGATAGGGCATGGAATTGGGATCTTTTTCTTATACAGCGGAAGCACGCATCTACCACTTCAAGGCTGCGGTAGTCGCCCCTCAACGCTTTTTGCACCGGACAACGTGGTCACTGTACACCCTGTAACCGGGGTCCGTTCATGTGTGGCGGATCCAATGTCGAAGTCGCGTATCGGATTTCTTTGCGAAGGTCGCCTTGAACCTGAGGATTGTATGAAATCGTTATTGGAAAAGGACGGTGACGTTATCACCGCTCCTCGACCATATTCATATCTGAACTTCAGCAGCCATAGACCTTGGGTGGTAGCACGGTATTTTAATGACTTGGCACTGCCGCCCATCAATGGCGAATGCAGATGCATAGACCCCGAAACAGGTCACTTAAGGGCCAGAATAGAGATCCGTTCTAAAGACGAATACGTTTGTGACATCGCCAGCATTATCCGTCGCAACCGTTTGCGCAACATTCGTTATCCTCGGTGTTCGGTAGTTCTTTATCCCGGCAGCACATTGACTATAAGGTTCCCAATAAAGGCTGTCGACTCGGCTTCTACCGACGATCGCTCCAACCATGGATTATTCTCGCAAAGGGTGCCTAACCACACGTTCGAAGCTGAATTGTTGCCAAAAGACTTGATTACGCTGCGACAACTGAGTACACCTTACGATAATGATGCTTACGACGAAGTGTTGTACCACAGAGCCCTCGTTGGCGATGCCCTCGAGTTGGATGTTTCACAAATGGCCCGAGGGGAAGTCAAACTGAAATACCATGTGGACAAACCTCTTGCATTACGAGATGGTCTAAATTCATTCTTTTTTCATTGGGAGCTGTCGTCTAAAAACAAATATGTCCCTAGCCGTGCTCGGGCCACCGTGAATGTTTCTTTTGCGTTCACGCATCACTACAATATCATTGGTTGCAACCTAGAGACACCAAGTGTTTTCGATCCACATATGAGCAAGAATTGTTCAACCAAAATTATGGGAAATAATATATGGAATACTTACGAATGCAGATATGATATGATGAGGGACGTTCGGGAGGTTGGTATTTATTGCAGACCAGGCGAGGAGTTGTTACCAAATAATTGTGAGTCCACAGGCTATGATCTCGACTCCAATATCATTATCCCAATGCCAGTATCTGCCCGCAATGCGACGCCATACCCCATCTCAGGATTTCGGGTGTTCGACATGGGCTTCCATAATAGCCATCTCTGTTTTGCCTGCATCTGTGTCGACCAAAGTGGGTACGAAAGGTCCAAGTTAATATTGGAGTATAATCATCACGAAACGTATCGTTACGCATTACGCCGCGAAGAGTCCTCTCATAAGTCTCTTCCTTACAGATTATTGCGATGGAAGGAAGTGGCACAACCAATCGAAGGATTCACCTCTCCAAAATCCCTTATGCTATACAACGTAACTTCACATTCGATTGAACTACACATAGGTACAACATTGTTCATGTATTGTGAAATCGAGACTGAGGGCACTACCTTTGACCAGATGGAAAATGCTGCAGAAAATAAGTATATTGCAGGTACATGGCTGCCAAAGCAACCTAATATATCCCATTATTACTTACATCTAACTCCGGATGGACCTGAGCTCATTAGGAGATCACATAAAGATAACATCATCGGTACGCCGGGCGGTTTTCAAGTTGTTTACGATAACTCCTACACAGCAGGATACCACCGCTTGATGATTGTGTCTCGTAGAGGCGCTATTCTGATATCTAAGGACACAGACAATACGGAATATGTGCCCGTGATTTTTGTCTGTGGTAAGGCACCTAAACCGTCGGATTTGTTCATCGTAGCGGGCAACGCATCTACATTAAATTTGTCTTCACAGCCAACTCCCCATATAGTAGGATCATCGGAAAGATACAATTGGCACGTTGTTGAACTTGCAGTCCACACTACTGACCCGTACATGCAGGGCTGCGGCGTCACATACGCATCAGATGAGTTGTTCAAACCGGAGACGCCCCCACTCTACGACGGTGATGGGAAGTCGCAGTTTGGCTGCAAGATTGATCTTCAGGCTGCCAAGGAAGCTGCGTTCTACTGCCCGGCGCCGTATGTCCTGGACCCACCCAACTGCTTCAGCCAGGTCTCCGTGGACGGTGAAGTAAGGAACCTAAGCGACCTCAGCAAGCCGCTGGTCGCATCGAGATCCAACCACTTCGTCATACTGAGCTTCGACAGCTCACTCGTAGGGCCCGGGGAGACGCTGCACCAGACGCCGCCGTTGGAGTGCCGCTGCCTCACCATCAAGGGTGTCGTGCTCTCCACCATACAGATTGAGAATTACTATGCCAAGGAATGAGTTACTAAAATGTGATAACTCATCTGGAGATTGCAGAAATTAATTTAAGTGTTTCCTTATTTCCGTCAACTTGTGTATTCACGTAGCAGCAGGGATTTTGCTTCGAATGTGATAATTGGTGCTGCTAGCTTAGAACTATCAGCTCAATGATGGCTTCAATTTCTTAAGGGTTGGGATGTGAGACGTACCATCAGGGTATTTGAGTCCGTGTTACCGTCATGAACACATGAAATACCCAGTGAAATAGCGATTATATGTGTCAATTGTGAGCAGCAGTCAACTGAAGAGATATCGCTCATGGACATTCCGCAATGCTGGTATCAGGTGATTAACAGATGTATGACAATCTATGCTGCCGATACGGTAATATTATGCAGAGATGTGGAGTTGCAAAGCACGAGCACTGTTTGTCAATTGATGGAGAGACTCAGAAGCTGTATGTCGTGCGGCCAGCAATGTGTGGGGCAAGGTTCGCAATGTCATAGATGACTTGATGAGCGTAGTATCTATGTGGTTTTATGCTACCGGCTGTGGTATACCTTGCGGTGACTTGGTTGTTGGTTACCTGGACCCCTCCGGTGGGCGTGGTGGCGTAGGCCTGACGCCTCTACTCTTAGAGGTTCAAGGGGCGCATTTCATGCCTGTGCAGGTTGAATACAAACGATCTAGCAGAATATGTCTGAACCGGCGTGTGATTGTTGCACAAGAGGGGACTGTAGGGACGGAACTTGTAAGTGCTGTCCATGGTGTTGTCCAGGATGTAATTACGGTAGTTGCCTAACATGTGGCGATCAATGTGATGAGGACACTTATGTATGCGACACTGGATGTCAGACCAAATGTAAAAAGTGGTACACCTGTGGATGTACATGTTGTAAAATTAAAGGTATATGCCTTGCCACCGGTATCATAGCATCCATCATCATCATGGTTATTGTATGTTACTATATCGCGGGTCTGGAAATACCTTAGAAAAAGCTGTCCATGCCTTCAGATTTTCCAAGGATCCCGTACAGTGGACTCTCAGCCACACCTAGCCCATATTGCGTTAACACAACCATGAGGCAGCTGGTGTCGGTGTTGCAGCCCCATCAGCGTGCGAATATGTATATATGGGTTGCAATTGCGATGTATCTCCGGCAGCAAGTCAAGCAGAACTTGAAGAATATAGAAATGCGTGTCACTGCTGTATGCGGTATCTGGCCTTCTGGTGTACCCGAATAAACGTTACATTTTGTTTTACAATTTAGGGTTGTAGCAGTAACTGTAGAGACTCTGGATTTTCGTGCTTGCGATACGTGAGATCATAATAAGAATTATGTGTTTGCCGCTCTACACGCGCAAATGAGGAGAGACCAAGACAACATACCATACTGAACCATTGAGAAGTTTTTCGTGCCACTCACACGGTGTGACGGTTGTTTGAATGCCGAGCATTTGGCGACCATTCCGCCGGTGAGGTTGCAATCAGATACGATTGTGACTGAGTTTCGTGAGTGCCTCGTACAGTTCTTCCTGTGTAGTAAAGTTTCGGATACAGTCGATCAAATGCAGGTACGCAATCACATATTATGCTATATATTTTGTCAGATTTGTCTGGATCTTGCACACGATTGTGGCCGCAGCCCTGATCTGCTCTTGAGCTTTAGTGTTGAAATCATCAACGGCGCCGGGAAGTTGGCCGACTGCTGTTTGAAGTTCATTTTTGACCTGCTCATTAAATTTTCTGACAAGCGCATCCTTCTCAACCATTTCCCTCACTTCCCCCAATTTACTGTCCACGGCTTGGGCTGTGCCATCACCGGGGGTGGGAGGTGTGGAGACATTTTGAGTTGCCTTGTCAAGCTGACCGTGAAGCTCATCTACAGTCGGCTTGATTTGGTCCAAAATATCGCCAAATTTGCCGATGCCTAATGACTGAAGCTCGTCGGCCACAGTCTTGACAGCAACGCAGAGCGCAACGAGGGTGTATTTAACGGCGGTAGTGAGATCAGAATCAGGGTTGTCGGCAGAACAAGGAGACACTCCTATCCCACGCTCAATCCCGTTGACTATCCTATTAGCAAAGCTTTTAATTGAATTCTTCGTGATCTGCTCATCAAGTTTCTTGACAAATTCCTCGCAAACCTTCTTGACAGCAGTAATATTATCTGTGATTGTGTTTTTTACACTGTCCATTTGCTGCTGAGCTTTCTGAGTAACCTCAGTGCTAAGTTCATCCTTAATTTTATTCTTGACTTGTTCCTTCACTGCGTTTTCATCTTTCCAATTCCGCTGTTCCTGAACATACGCCTTGATCCAAGTAGTCACGGCTTTCAACCCCGGCTTATAATTCCTGTCCCATTGTGGCTTCCCATTCCCTATTATACCTTCCAACCACCCATCCACACTAGTTTTAAAACCATTCTTGTACGCATTAGCAAGCCCCTCCACTTTCGCAACAATGCCTTCAAGGCCTTTTTCTTGTCCTCTTCTTCCACTCCCCTTAATGTCCCCAACCTTAGTTTTAATATGCTGGAAAATCTTTTCAAATGTTTTTGGATCCTGCATTTTAGAATCATTGAAATTCCCGCCAAGATTCTCAATCGCCGAGTAAATTGCTTGGACTTTCCCTATCAAGCGGTGTCTTGATACTATCGTTAAAACTCTGTTCAATGCCTTTCTCTGCCTCCTGAATATTCTTTACAGCGCCATCATCCAAAATTTTCTTTGCCTGTTCAAGCTTATTGAACTCGTCTTTAACAATACCGTTACGTTTGTCATCCACAGTTGCAGCAAGCTTCGTAACATTTTTCCTCAACTTCTCCAAATCAATCTTCACTTTCTCATCCAACTCATTAACACCCAACTTCCTAATCACATCTTTAATCCCCTTCTGAATCTGCTTTTTGACATTAAACAAATCCCTCTTGAGATTTTTATCCATGTCCACGACAGCCTTGAGCGTTAGGGCAACATTTTGCCCAGCAGCTTTTCGCATTACCAAACTAGACCACCTAATGTGTAACCTACCACCTAACCAGCTATATGGCCCGCAATGCAATTAGTGTTTGGGGTTGTATATTGTTTGGAATGTTGCTTTTTTTGTTACTCGCGAGACGTGTCTACGCCGTTGCACAGTTTCAACGTACTGTGAAGCTGGTGGTTGGCCGTCAACGTAGGCTGCTGACACTGCTGTGCTAGGTGAGGCACTGGGTGGGCTGTTAGATGAGCGGTTGACATGTCAGTTATCGCGTGCGATGCTATGCAATGAAAATCGCCGGAACCCTGCGACGTAACTACCAGTGAACGGCCTAGTTAAGTGGCTTTTACGACAGCATCGTGGCGATCACTAATGTAGCAACCCCGCACCGTAGCTCAGCTAGGCACTCGTTAGCGTACCTATAGAACGGATAGTATAAACAGTAGCAAGGTGGCATTATATGGTCAGCTATGAACTACGCCTCAGGGACTCTCCTACTGTCTCAGACACGGCCAGTGATCGATATCGTTCACATGCGCCTGTCTGGGAATAGTATCTCTGTGGTGCCAGACGCGCGGCCGTGGAGTCTCTGGCGGTGTGTTAAGTGGTGGTTGTTTGGATGGTCCCAGAACGCTGAGGGGGAGACGGTGTGGCGACCTCACAATGCGGGCGCAGGCAAGGCATCTTGGCTGGCAGCCGGAAACCCAATAGGCTGTGCTGTATGCCTACCGTGAGCCGGCCTTTCATGCTAGTCAGGTTTCGACCATGCCGTATTCCTGGGCTTGTCGCCTTCCTTCCCCTCAGGTGAGTGGGATGTTTATACGATGGACATGTTCATTGCTTCAAGCCAGGCAACCCAGGCCTGCTTTGTAGTACTACATTGACCCTCTCAGTTGTCACGCAGCGTCTCACTTCGCAGCCTGTTCACGTATCGCACCTAGTGGATTGACTACGCTGTCTTTGTAAGCGATGTGACCTTAGAGGTTTTATCGCTTTAGTGTATTCTGGTCCACCCATTAAAACGCTTTTACATATGCTTTTTTATGCGTAGCTTAGTGCCCATTTGTTAGTGTCTCTGTGCTCTTTGCCTTCGTAACTAAGATGGCGCCGCACGGTATTCAGCTTGGAACCCTTAAGGACTGTCTCCAGTTCATGCAGTGGTTGCATAACGGTACTGGGGAAAGTATGCAAGGCCTGGTGGCCCAAAATCTGGAAAGCCGCATTAATAAATATTTTCTACAGAACGCTAAACATTTCTCCATAGAAAACGTTAAAAAGGGCTTATCCGCATTCCTCTCCGCCGTGTCGGCGTTTTACACGAGGTTATGCTACAATCCAGATCCTGGCAGTTATGGCAAAAAAAACCCTAGTGACATTGTGGACGCTCTCCTCGACTGCCTTCCCAAATTCCTCGCCGCGATGTACTTTTTGGAGTACTGCATAAATAATACCTTCGGATCGCTGGGCGGCGGGGGTTGGCAGTATGACTGGCCGGGATATGAGAAGGAATGGAGGTGGACGGGTCATTATGGAGGTCACCTGCAGAAATATCTGAGAGCAACAGTCGGTGACGCCGATCACTACGGTGGCCTTATACCTGGGGGGTTCGGTAAAGACGAGGTGAAATATAGTAAAAATTGGTGGGATCCTGGATACCCCCAGGGTTATAAAATGGCTCTGGACTTACAAGACATTTTGAGAAAAGGAGATTACAATTTCTTCCGCAGCGTCTTTGTCAGTTCCGCTATTGCGGACACTGGCACCGCTATGCAGAACACCGCGAATGCCCTCTCTTTGGTGAGAACCTTTTGCGATATTGTGGATGTGGAAAAAAAAAGAGATAATGGTATAAGTTTGATAGAAGCATTAAATGAAGGTTTAAACAAACAAATGAGATCAAAAAATAATTCCATATGCTGGCAAGACTTACAGTCCCATTGCGCTCAGCTTAGAGGAAAATTGAGCATACTTTTCAACACGGATAAACGTTTTGACTTCACAGGACAGTCGACGAACACCGGAAACCTTAATAAAGAGGAGCTTGCAAGGAAAACGGCGGATTGGTTCAGGGAGAATCTGACAAAAGTGCGGGGGAAATTGACGGAAATTAAAACAGATGCATCTCCGAGCAATGATCTTGGGGATTATTTCACGAAAAATCTCTTCCCGTACGGGTTCACATTTGATGGAAAGCATCGCTTTGGAATGACGAAAAGGGATGTGCAGGATCTGATGAGGGATTGGAGTAGTGTAATTAATGCGCTCAGGATCAGTGGTGACGGCGATTTAGACAGGCTTAATGATATTTTGCATGGTAAGTATAGAGATTCGTGTAAAACATCTGAGCCCCCGCCTAAAAAGCCTGAGGTCCCGCCTGCATTACCTCCCGTAGAACCCAAGGAAGTTGTGCCGGAGAAGAAAGTTCCCGTTCCCAAGAAAGCTGAGGGAGCACAGAACCAGGGGAAGAAATCGGAAGCGTCTCCAAATCAGAATAATGTTCAAAGCAAAGATAAGACTCCAGCTCCACCAGTTGCAGACTCTGCTCCGGGTCCGCCTACCGGTAAGGGTGGAGGGTCAGGCCCGTCAGGGCCTAAAGGTGATAAGAGTAATCCAGTACAGCAAGGGTCTCCTGATGCAGTGACCCCGGTGTCTTCTTCGGCTCACGGTTCACCAGTTCAACCTCAGCAAGTTGCTACTCCAAGCTCGTCAGTTCCTCTCCCTCAACCAGCTACCAGCAGTTCTGGACCCCCTGCCCTCCCTGGTCAGCCAGGTTCCCCGGGTCAGGGTACACCTGCCGATGGTTCTGGTCAACAGCCTGGTGCCAATCAAGGCAACGTGCTTGCTCAGCCTCCGAGTGTTGTAGGTCCAAGCTCTGTGTCAACTGTCGATCAGGGGACTGGATCAACTGGTGGTGGAAGGGGTGGGCTAAGCGGTGACCACGGTGGTGGTCAAAATGGTAGTCAACAAACAAGTCAAGGCACCGACCACGGTTCAAGTAGCGGCGCTACTGCGTCGGCTGGCCCGGTGCCTGGTGGAGGTGGGGGTGGTGGGCTAGGCAGTTCGGGAACGACAAAAGATATGCCTTTTCCGGCTGCGCCTCGACCTAAGCCTACTAAAATATGCGATGTTAATTATCTTCTGAACCTAGATGCCGGTAAAAATCCATTCTGTGTAGTAAAACCTCAGAAGTCAAAGCCGGATCCCATACGTTTTAGCAGATCGGATGAGCAACTGTGGGAAGTTATACAGGAAAAAAAATTTCAAGCCGACATCAAAACAGGCCCTAAATTTCATTCAACCAGTAATCTACCCGGCAATTTAAATAAGCTTGATCACAGCGCTTCCGAACACTCTCCCCTGCCTACTGCCATCCGTCCAGGTCATAGGCGTCCATACTTTGTTCCACAGGAGAGGGATGCCAGGCAGGTAGAAAGGGACGCTTCAATTGAAACATTTGCAGATGGTAGAGAAGTAGAGGAGAAAGATGCTTATCCAATGATTATGAATGACGCATATAGTGGCGCCATCAGTCTCGAGGGTAATGCAAAATTCGACAATGCTAACGATTATCGTCAACTGCTTGACGAGCAGAAGCGTCAAGAGGCGCATGACCAATTGGAGCAACATTACGCTGAGCAACACAAACGTACAAAACAGGATGATGAACGTAGATGGAAGGACGCTTATGTTGATTTTGTTTCATCTGTCAGCGGCGACCCGATTGACTATACCTATCAGGCCGGCGCGTTGGAAGGGAACGTTATGCCCGAGTTCTCAGGTCTTATACCGCAACCGGATACCTTACATGATCAGAGTTTGGCGGAGTATGACAATCGTATGGCTCAACGAAACCAGAAGTTGAAAGAACTGACCGCTGCGAATGAACATGAAAATCGTATCATCACCGCCATGCAAGACGATCACAAACGAATCGTCTCCGATGCTCTTGCAGCCGCAGCAGAATCAAAAGTAAAGGAAGAAGAATATTATGAAGCATTTTCTAATCCCCTTATGGGAACTCCTGTCTCGGATCAATCCCTGATGTCTCTGAAGTCCGGCAATTACGGTGTTCAACCGCCTATTGGGGACTTTACCGGAATGCCCATATTAGACCCCGAGCTGGCATCTTCTTCAATGCCCAAGGTTGAATTGGAACCTGCCTTGCCAACACCTCCGATAGACATCGAAGTTAGGAACTTCAATTCGCAAGATAATGTTTTAAAGTCTGAAATTACCCGGACACACCCACCACCTATAATCCATCCCATTGATCCGGCCTCACCGTATGATACGTATCCCGGCCTGCCTCCGGTGTCCCCACCGCGAGACCCCAACTCTGATACCGAGGCAGACTACAATCATCCGAGTAATTGGGGAAAATTTAAGAATCACGGTTTATATATGTTTCCTAACCCGGATATGTGCAATAATCCTTGGAATTACGTGTATAATTCTTCCACCCCTCCACCCCCCTCCCCTCTCCCTGCCTCTGCCCATCTGCCCCCTCCCAAGACCGTCAGGGAAATGCTCCACTGGCTTGTGGGCTTGACTGAACTGGGATATATTGGGATCATTATTGAGTACGTTAAGAGCATTTTGAAGGAGTTTAACAAGGATGTCTCACAGACTTCAGCTGCCCTTGACATCACTGAGAAACCATACACTCTGGAAGCTTCCCATGTCGCCGGTACCCTGACTGAGGCGTGTCACTACGCGGCGAACGTTCTATACAGGATTAAACACAAGGACAATTCGAAAGTTGTCCCAATGCCTGACTTCAGCTCAGAATATTCCAAGTTTCGTTATTCCACCGACCCCGCCTGCCTCCTCTGCCATCTGCGGGACTACGTCTACGCCTGCTACCACCAGTTGACGTTCCTCAAGGTGCAGTGTTCTCGGGAGCAGTCGCATGGTGGTTGGAAGGATTGTCAATATGGCAATAATGTCCCCAAGTCACCCCTCCAAGCCTTCCTGACTGACGCCCATGACTCCAAGTTCGAGACTGACCTCTTCGACCCGTCTGACATCTGCATCAAGAGCCGTGTCAACATGGGATTCAAGGAGGAGGATTTGCCTAAAACTCAACAAACGGGGAAGGACATTTCCACCATCCTCTCTCCCCAATGCGGCGGCGACGATCCCCTGATGACGCTGTCCTCTTACCTCAACTGCCTCACCAGGCGAACGCCGCGCACCACCGGGGAGCTTGTCTCGTTCTTCCACAATTTCGGGAATTCGCTTCATAATGTGTCTTCACAGCTGTCTCCACTGGGCTCCGCCCTCTCCAAGCCACATCCTCACTGCCCCTACTGGGACATCCTTGCTGCCGACGACCTACAAGCCATCAAGGGCATCCGAGGCTCCTCCCCTCCCAACTCCATCCACGACAAGGACCATCCCGAGACACTGTCCACACTAATTGGCTGCGGCATCGATAATGTCAAATGCCCACCTCATATTTCGTCCACCACCTACCGGGCCTACGCCCTGTACTCTTCCAGCTTCGCCCACGCCTACCTCAGCTGGACGGTGTATCTACCAGACAGGCTTTGGGAGTCGCTGCTCAAGCTGCACTGTGATCTCGAGAACCTTCAATGTCACGACTCCAAGGCCAAGCCTCTCCATCAATGTGACAAGGCCATGCCCCTCCTCTACTCTCACGGGTTCACGCCTCCGGAGGGCATAACGCAGCCGCTACTCACGTGTGCACAGGTCATCTCCAGGCTGAAGGAAGTGGTCGCCGGCAAGCCTATCGCAAGGCTTATGACCGCCATGGACGAGTTCCTCTACAAAGTCAGGGAACCTTTCATCTACACTCAGCTTACACTGTGGTCTGTCGCAATGGTCTTCGTCGCCCACACGATGCTCTACCGCATGGACGTCTTACGCATCCGCTCCCACCTCCTCACCACCAGGGCCTCCCACCTCATCGACGTCAAGGCCTTACTCACTAAAGGCCGGAAACTGCTTTCACTGTACCGCGACGTCGATTACTTCGACGACCACCCAGTTGGTTGGATTGGACTCTAGCAGTAATTTTCGCATTCGAGTTTTCGGTTTGTACGTAATGTGGTATGTACCTGTGCATTAGTTATGAGATGTGTTGCTGAGACGTATGCAGTGCCATGGTGTACCGCAAGGTCGCAAAGGCTGCTTGACTTCGGGAGCAACCACACTAACATAGAGCACGCAACACACGACGCGGCTTGATATGTTGGGCCGGAGTCTTAGTGACCCAGTTGCCGAGTTTAGTGGCACAAAAGTATGGTAATAGTGGTTTGTGAAGCTCGATGAGTGATGATTCATGCTGGCGTCTCAGAAGTGCCATGATAGGCAAGGCTGTTATATGAATGTTCGGCCAATCAATGGAGTCCTGGTGTTTTGGTAAATATATAGAGCAACGAGTGCGGCGTAATGTTGCGTGTCGCCAGGACACGTCCGACGTGACAACGACGGGACGCCATTGGCTCTCTGCAATAGGACTAGCAAACCATCATAATTTTACAAACTTTGGTACATCTCCGCAATGTTTAATGACATTTCAAATCTCACTATGTGGCATTTCTGTCTGAATCTTACATACGACAACGACATGCGTGCTGCATGCAACATGAATAATATGGATCTGGCTGCCATGTGATAGCTGTGCCATTATCGCGCCTACAACTGATGTCTACTGGGTGTGTATACAGCCTTACAGACCTCAATTAGACGCGTATTTATCAGGTGTAAACATCGCGTGCGCTTTTGCAGGATTGAGACACAGCTGTTTAAAGGCTCACTTGCAAGTAGACCCAAAATCCACAACCTTATAGCATTTGCCTAATCTAATACATCGTCACAAAATGGTATACAATTCGTTGACCGAAGCTCCACGTAACCTCAAGGAGTGCTTTGATTGGCTGGTGGCCCTGAAGGGAGCAGATGCAAAAAAAAATTTGGCTGCTATGGGTGCTGCGGTTTACGGTTTTCTCGTAGATAAGCCTGTCGGCACTTTGCTTATACCATCTCTAGAGAAAGTGAAACGCCTTTCCAAAGAGTTCCTGGAGCAAAAAGAGCTTAGGGACCGGCCATACGTAAAAGAAGTGCTGAATAGATTTAAAGAGCCTATGAATAAAGACTTCCGCAGGTTCCGTGACGTTTATGGTGACAGCAAAAGCGACTATAAGAATGTAGTAAAGGCCAGGGGCGTAAAACCTGAAGATATCGCAAGGAACGTAACTCGTACTGTGTCTAGTTGTGAGAAGTTCTTGGATGATATAAAAATCCCTGACCAGTATAAGTCTGCTTACAGTTCGGAAGCAACGTGGGAGGCGTCATGCTCTAAAAACCCAGAAGCGTGCGCAGTGGTCCTCGTGGGGATTGCACCAATGTTGTACGTAGGCGTAGGATGTTTGTGGGTTGAGAGCTATGATGATTACATATTCCGTGGAACTTCTAACAGAGATAGGCGTTTGGGAAAGATAATGAAAGCGTTGGGTTTCGTAGAGCCGGGGTGCCGCGCTGGCATTAGTGGTTCAGATGTCCTCCAGACGTTGAGAAATACGGATGAAGATTTAGTGGACATACTCTACGACTTTGCTGGTTTCTGGGCATTCTATTGAGTGGGGATCTCAGATAAGCTGTACAAACATTTGGAAACAAGAGATACTGACTCCAGTCCTCCACTGAGTAGCCGTTGACGAACTGTCGAAACATTTCGGACTTTTGAAATGTATTGATAGCCAGTTTTATGTGTAGTATTTTCGTGAAGAATACTGATGCCCTCCAATGAGAGCAAAGATAGTTTGGAACTTCTCTTCAAGTGCGTTAAAGGTGCAATTTGGCGGGGTTATGCCGTCGCACTTCAGTATCAGTATACACGACGAGCATGGCTAAGAGATCCGCCGTATATAGGTCACATTGTACCTGCTCAGGTGAATGAGCTATAAGTGCCACCTTGGCGAAGTACGGTTTCATGCCGGTTACTTAACTCCAGAGTAGCGTTGGGTGCAGCGTCTGCTGACTCCTATACCTCGCATTACTTGAGGCTACCCATTATCGCAGCAACTTTCCTAAATTTGCATGCTGCTATTCTCCCGGAGCAAGCAAACACGAATGCGCCCCTTGTTCTTTTGTTTTTTGCAGTTTTCAGTCTCATGAATAGCTTGATTGCTCTGCCCCGCGGAGAGGAGCTGTGGGGTAGCGTACATTTTCATGGGAGTGATGCGAAATACGACTGACAATAGCACGGTGCAGAGCCTCTAACCAACTGCATTAGCGTACAGGAGGTGAGCTCTTGGCATGAGCAATCACCGTCTATGTTACGCGCAGCAAATCAGACAACTTGAAACAAAGAGGTCGACAGTGTGCCTATAATCGTGACCACTCACCTATTCCACAAAACTAGCAGCATCATAGAAGATAATGTGGTAGACTTCCACTGCTCGATTAGTGTTGTGAACGTTGAGTATTTGGCCGCACACTCTAGCAGCTGCGGGGTGTCATAGGTGAGGTTGTGTATCATCTGTTATGGATTGATGCGCTAGTGATTGGGTGCGTGTCTAGAGTCGTTCTCGTGGCCGAGACTCTCCGTTGTTTCGAAGTAGTTCAGAAGTGATGATCAGTATACGGTGTTAATATTGCATTTAGATAGGCAACATACCAGTAATGACTAACACTGTAATCCATTGCTGTAGCTGCGCCACTCACTAGTTAGCGCATCCGTAGTATAGCAAAGCATGTGATCAATGGAGTTGGAACTGTGTTTTTGTGTAGCATATAATTGACCATAATGTAATCGTCATTATGTGTGCAATGTGCCTCGCAATGCACGTAGTGTGTGTGGATGCTAATGGTGTGTTAGCGTTGCTCGATGAGCAAACACAGTGATTAAGGCAATAGGTAGGCATAAGCCTTTTGATTTGTGTTTGCTAATACCTAGTGGAACCCTTAAATATATTGTCTATTGCCATGTGTGAGAAAGGTTGAGGGGAAAATGGCGGAAGGGAAGTGCTGTGAGGGATGTGGGAAAACTTTCAGTGTAAAAACCGCAAATTACTGCTGTGACACTGATTGTCAACGCTGCAAACTAATGAAATGCACCGATTTAAGAGGCGACAAGTGTTTATGCCGTCTTATTCGCTGTGCTTGCCCGACGAACTGTTATCAAGGCGGTGTTGTCAATTGTGTGAATACGAGTAACCAACAGTGTAAGAGTTGCAAGGAGAAATGCAAAAGTAATAATCCATGCGTATGTCATCGTTGTAACTGTGGAGACCAATGTAATGGAGCACTTTGTAAATGCTGCCGCTGGTGTGGTCTTCAGTGTCCAGGTCAGGGGAAATGCGACCGCGTAGAGAGACACGGCGAAAATTGTCCCAAGGGCAATTGCGCTACGAACGCAAAATGTACCCACCCTGATTGCAGCTGCAAGGGCAAGTGCCTCAAAGCCCAATGCATCAATGCCAAACACGGCGGCAACTGCCGCTGCAAATGCGAAACAAGAAATGCCGTTGGCCCGTGCATCTGCGTATGTATCTGTGATTGCAAGGTCTACAGCACTGCTGTAGGCGTTCTCAGCAACGCTGAAACACACATCGACCTCGGCGGCGACTGTGTCCTTAAATGCTTCAACTGCGGCAAACTATGTGCTAAACATACAAAACTCTTACACGGTTATATCGCAGGCACCATTATCGCAATTTTTATAGTTAACGTCATTCTCTGGCATATGTATCCTGAGAAGGTGCGGACGTTGCAATATAAACTACGCGATGCACTTGTTAACTTGGCTAAAAGTTCTGCCACATCCACAAATCTGGCCGGTGGAAGGACTCACGAGGAAATGGATATTGATCGGTACTCCGCCTTCCACTATAAGGGACTAACGTAGCTTCACATACTGTACGCATTTTTTAATATTGCAAAACAATTTCAACGTATTAGCCCTAAACACTCATCACTGCTGCTTGGTTTGGACTCTGTAATTGCCTACTAGACTCTCCTTCAACATCCTACAAGCATCATCGACAATTCATTCCGACAATAATCCATAACGTCACCCGGTCCACGTTGCGTTCCTGTGGTGAGTCAGAAGATACTGGCAAACCTTTGTTGGAGCGAGTTCCCAATGTGATAACTACATGTTTTGTTTTGCGGTGACCTGAAATCAGAGAGCTGCCATTAGACCAAGAGCGGTCAGTGTTTGAATAACCCTAATACCCAATGTCATATGCCCTGATGACTTGTTACCATCCTTTGTGTTACGCGCATGGCAGGTAATGGTTTCTTCGGCCTTTTCAGCGCCTGATTCACGTGTTGCATTCTTTTCAGTCGTGTTTTGTTTCTGGTTGGTTGCCTCTGGTGTGGTTTTAGACCCACTCAACTTGGGTTGGGCAAGTTTATTTGACTTAGGTGGTTCCGGAACCTTATGTTTCTGAAAGAACGCTTCTGCCTCTCCTATCTTCTCCAGAAAATATTGAGTGACATCGGGTGTCAACATGTTTTTTGCGAACGGTTCTCTATTTTCGAATCCCTGCTCTAGATTCGACAGCTTTTTGGATACTCTCGCCGACCTTTCCGCTGTTAAATGCCCTCTTTGAAGTGTGCGGATAAGGTGATCGTATTCATCAAGCATGTTATTAAGATACATATATTCTCGGAAGTCATTTAACATCTTGTCAACTCTCTCCAGATATTCAACACACTCCTTTTCTCCTGCTTCTTTAACTTTTGGTGAAGCGGTAGATTTATGTATCGCGGATAATACGTCCTCCAGTCCACGGTATACGTAGTCACCCTTTTCATATAGTTTGTGCACGGTATTGAGATTCCCGCGGCATTCCGCATTATTGGCATATAATGCGATCCCTTTCGTCGGTACCTGTCCTTTAGCCGAATTATTATCTGTAGGGGGAGCGCCCATGACCAACCCATTAAAGGCTATCATGTAGCAGCAGAGAAGTGTTGCGATTCCTCGCCGTACACAGCAGCGGCTCGACGTCATTTTTTTTTGGCAAAACCGCAAAGCAACAGTCTAGAATATGGGCAATTGAGACGATCTAAATCGATATTCTTCTCTGTAGAATCGCAGTATCCAATCTTATTGACTAAAGTAACAGTCGAGAATTTCGATCCACCGAGGAATATACTGAGGCAGAATTACTGGGGGTTTTAAGCTGATTCGCAGATAAAAATTTTCCGCTTCGATGAAACGTATTGTGTGACCTCTCAAGTGCTTTAAAAGGGCCTGATGACGCGAAGCGCAAGAAATTTGCGTGCAGCTGGGGCGCCAGGAAACTTCTTCGCAGCATAGCCATTTTCGTCGCTACGTGATATTTCCACGCTGCCCCTTTGAGCAATGGTGTGACATCCATATATCGTTTTATTACACAATACAACAGGCAAAAACAATTTATACGTCTGCTCTAATACTTGCAGAGCGTCAGAGATGGTGTTGTCGTTCGTTTAAAAAAATGACCATGTGTTGAACAACGACCAAGATGCTCCGTGGTTAATATTCTCAATGGACCAGAATGGTTTCATTGCTGACCATACAGTACTTTCCTGCGTAGCCAGCCACTATACCTAGTGCTCAAAAAATTTTGGGGTCCTTTAGCGAATGTTGCTGCTGGGCAGTCAACTTAGCACAGTATCACTTATTCTACACGTCCCTCTGGTTGTATAACGTGCTTTAAGTGGCTACCTGCACCGAAAACCTATTTTCGTGCTTAATACACTTATATTCGGCACGCAATGAGGACGACCTGTGCACGAAGAACCGTGTGCATAAAAAGTGCATTAGTAAATCTTCTCCGAACGGGTGATCTATAGGTTACCCAGCACCAGCAGATGACTGATTCCCATCTGGGTTTAATGTCACTTATAACAAACCGAAGGGTTCGATTTATCACTACCGTTCAATTTGTGCCTTCATCAGAACCCAGGTGCCCAGGTGTATCCTGCCCGCACCGTAGCACATACTGTTGTTTTCTGTTGGAGACGTCAAGATAGCCACATAAAACGGCTCATACATTTTACACTTTCTTTAACGGATTTGGCCGTACAACAGCAGGACAAAATGAATATAAGGTACTTGGGGAAATTCGGTCTGTTATTATGCCGTTAAACGTTGGGATACAGCGAGCAAAAAACACTAACCAGCCTTCTATTCGCGCCCAACTGAGCATATACGTATGAATGCACTATAAAAGTCAGAACTATATGCCGATCTGCGCTAAGGTTCGGACAACTGTAACGCTGGCTCAAGGAAGAGGCCACGTTTGCAAAATTCAACGATTAACAGTACTTAAAAATGTCTGACAAATATCGATCGAAACAAGCCGATCAGCAGAATATTCAGCGTATACGAACACTTGCGTCTGATTATGGGAAGCTTTGAAGAGCGTAGTCCAACGTGTACATCTCGGCCATGCTCCTGAAACCCACTATGTCGCCGGACCTTATCAGGTTTCCAGCATCACAATTCAGAGGACTATCAGCATTGGGATCGTCCAAGATATACGATACGCCGCGGCATAGGTATTGCAAAGTCCATGCTGGGCTCCAGTTGGATTTTAGGACGTCCATGCATAGCTCCCCTGCGAATATTTGTAACCAATTTTAATGGCGATAAAAACCCCAACAATGTTCCGTAATGTAGAAAACACGCATAAATTATAAAAGGCACTGTGACTAACATATAATGCGCCCAAACCTTGAAACTATTTTTTAGATGCGATTCCATATAAAGTTCAAAATTGCTACACAAGAAACAATAGCATACCTGTTTCGAAGTTTATGTTGGGATGAAAACACTTCGTCACAAACGTGACCATCGGAGGCTGGATAGGATAGTTCGGAGGGCAAAGTATATTCAACTTGAAAATACCCTTCTGTAAACAGATACGCATCCCACGTAAACATCGCTCACCTCATAAGGACTCTTCTCCGGCCCCCTTATGTATGCATACCAATGGTTGACGTTTGATCCAACCAACATCAATCGCATATTCGGGTCATCCATGCGACTAGATTCCTTAAGCTCCTTCAGGAGCCGGCTGCGCGCAAGCGCCATTCTTGAGCAGACGGGAACGCTTTAATCTTCTGCTGCACCTATCATACCCGTCGCCGCCCATAGTAGATCGGCGCAGATTGACCAGAGCCGACGTAGCCGCTCGAATGGAGTGCCTGACCCGTCTCAGTCGCGCAACTGCCAGTATATTACATCGACATAAAAACCATTTCGTATTTCATTATCATAAAAATATTGGGGAATTATTTCCCGACGGCATAAAATTACCTATGCGATGGACTTTGATGTTATAATTGCTGATGTCGCCCTTCACTGAACTCTTCAACTTCTGCCAGAAAAATGAACACATCCCATGTCTGACGACCGGTAAGAATAACACAACGATGTGTCGTGTAAAATATATAGCTTGGTGACAATTGTTTCGGCGGCTCACCTCGAACTTTCGCTCTATTTCACGCGACTTTCGGAACACTTCTTGGTGGTACTGCTGACTGGGCAACGCACGCCTAACCATCTGATGTAGCGTTACCGTTTTGAAAATGCGCTCGAAAACGAAAGCAGTGTGTACCAACCAGTTTCAGTGCTGTTAGATGGGTCCTCTGTTGTAACGATACGAAGTCTCTCACGTAGTCAACCCTGCCGTTACTTGCGTGTCGTACGAAACGAACTCACATGGAGGCTACGGTAAGGGTCTCTTAAGTAGTTATAACAAGCAAATATATCGTTGGACGCCGCTGTTATACTTATCAACGTATTGATTTGTCCGACGTTAATGCAATATTCAACGCGTCACACAGGGAAGAAAATTTGGCGATAGCAGCGGGTACACGAGCCCAATCGTGACATTACTTCTGCATATGCGGATTTTAGCTGGATCGTCGTCCTTAGTGGAACATTCAAGCAAACGCTTGTTGCTATAAGGTGACACTCTGTCCACAAAAGGGCACCGAAACGGAAGCTACATAGCGTAACAGAATTACAAAGTAATACACTTTGACAATGTGCATATGTCGCCTTGTATATAAACACGTAACGATCTTATTCCTCTGAACTGGTCGACACCACAGTGTGCCTTGCGTCACGGAGTGACCTGGCGACACCACTTCAGGCGCAGCGATACCTTCACCTTTGGCGGCCCATTCAGGCTGAAAAAATCGAATGATAGTTTTCCAACACGGTGTGTGTATAACTGAGTGGCCATAATTTGCATGGAACCTCAGTTCCGATTGCTCGGACACACCCACTCAACCGTGTAGGCAGGGCGTATTAAGGAGGACGCGGGCAACAATGGTGAGCAGTGCCTAAGAAGAAGGAACGTAATTGGCAATCATATTTGGAGGTGCCCAAAGCGCGCTGTGAACTCCGAAAACACCGGGCAGTGTCGCACGTGCGAAACACTGCGAACGCGCCGTAGGCAAGCCTACCAGGCGTCTCGTGTGTGCGTGATAACAAACCACATTACATGTGAAAGGGTACGGAACGGGCCAAAATGTTGATCAAGTGCAATACCAAGAGTGCCAGGGTGAAGGGAATCACCTTCCACCCTAGCCTACATTTCCTCCTGGCTTCGATGCACTCGGGTGAAATACAGCTATGGAACTACCTAAACTCCTCACTGGTCGATGTTTTTGAGTACCACGAAGGGCCGGTGCGAGGTATCGACTTCCATCTGCTGCAACCGCTATTCGTCAGTGGTGGAGACGATACGAATGTCGTCGTCTGGGACTTCAAACAGAAGAAGATGCTTTTTGCAATGTCAGGACACACTGATTACGTCAGGACAGTGCAATTTCACCCAAACTACCCCTGGATTTTATCGTCATCAGATGACCAAACTGTCAGGATTTGGAACTGGCAGGGTAGGAGCTGCATCAGCGTTCTTCAGGGGCACACACACTACGTTATGTGTGCCAGATTCCACCCCAACAAGGATCTCGTCGTGTCAGCCAGTCTGGATCAGACTGCTCGGATATGGGATATCACCGTGCTCCGTGAGAAGAATTGTGCGATACAAGGCATAGTCGGGCAATCGGGGTCTAACCTGTCTAATGTACAAATGTTTAGCGGGAGCAGTGCCTACGCGGCACCAACTGATTTAGGAAGGAAAGCGGACAGACTCTCTTTCACGGATGTCACATGCATGTACACACTTGTTGGACACGAGAAGGGTGTCAACTGGGCTGTTTTCCACGATCATCAACCGTATGTAATAACTGCTGGTGATGACAAAACCGTCCGCATATGGAGGTACAACGGACCAAATATCTGGCAGACCAATATTTTGAAGGGGCACACCAACAATATATGCTCGCTGATTTTCCACCCGAACAGGGTCAGTTATTTGCTATCGGTATCTGAGGACAGGTCTATAAAGGTGTGGGACACGAAGAAGCGGGCACTTGCACACACCTTTACGTTGGAAAAAGACCGCTTCTGGATTGTGCAAAGCGCCCATGACTCCAACTACATTGCCGCCGGCCACGATTCGGGCTTAATCGTATTTAAACTATTCAAAGAAAGGCCCATCGTAACCGTTGTTGGAAACACTCTCTATTACGTTTGGAACGATGTCATTTATTCCAGCAACATAGAGAAGGAGCTGGAGTTGGCCAAGGAAGATGCGAAGAAGTGCACGTCAACGACCACGGAAGTCAAGGAGACTCGGTGCGGGCATTCATGTACGTGCCACGATGAAGGGTCACATGGATTGTCGTTGGACGATTTCCTGGGGTTCAGCACCTGCATGCACCAAAACTCACTGGAGAACCAAGAGAAGTCTCAGATAAGGGATGATTTGGTGTTCCCATCACCGTCTGGCGATTTCTGCAAGACGAATCGCACTAAAATCCTCATGCTACATGGCGTGGCTGATTCTGAAGCTATCGTAAAGCGTTTTATGACGGCGCTACTGATCCAAACGCCGATACCAGCGGATGTTGGGGCCACCGGCGGTCTCATATTCCCCTTTTCGATGCACTACAACCACTATTGCGCGGACAAAAGCCTGTTTCTCGTAAACTACACTTACAAGGGGAGGTCATTCTACGAAATCATGATACGGGAAAATGCAACTAGCAACCTCAACGACCACCGGGCGACGTGCCATATTGGGGAAGCTGTGTCAGCATGCTTCGTATCCCGATCTTTGGTTGCCGCCGTTAATCCGTCCGGCAAATTGACGGTGCACAATCTGGATGGAGAGGAATTGTCTGACGTCAACATAGACATGAAGGTGGATAAGGTCTTCTCAGTCTGTGTAAACATCGTTCTTTTGTGGTCCAGCAGCGAGAATGCGGTCATGTTGTATGACGTTGGGATGAGGAAAACGTTGTGTACATCACATGGAACGTTAGGCAAGCTCTCCACCGTTGTTGTTTCTAAATCAAAGAAGCTGATTGCGGCGGTGTACCGCAAGTTCGTCGTGATCTACGACAGGGACCTAAAGAAGCTTGCCTCCGTCGAAATGCAAGGGAGAGTAAAAACCGCAGCCTGGCATGAGAACAACGCGGTATTCTATGCTACAAGCGATCGTATTTATTATCTAATGGTCAATGGCGACTCGGGAGTCATGCGCAGCATAGACAAACCCATTTACATCGTCCGTATAAAGGATAACGCGTTATACGTCATGCAACGCAACCACAAGTGCTACAAGATGGACATCGTGTCGAACGAATTCTTCTTCAAGATGGCCTTGTATCACAACAAGGTGGAAACCGCCAAGAAACTGATAGAAACGGGGAAAATACATGGTTACGCTATGGTTTCCTACCTAATTGAAAAGGGCCACCCGTCTTTGGCCCGGATGATCATCTTGGACCCCCAAATGAGGTTTGATTTGGCACTCAGCTGCGGCAACCTCGATGACGCCTTTGAAGACGCACAAATTTTGGATGACACTGAGGCCTGGAAGAGTCTTGGTAACGCGGCATTGGAGCAAGGAAATTGCGTCATCTCCGAAGTTGCGTTCCAGAAGGCCAAACTTTTTGACAAACTCACAATGCTCTACGTGATCACAGGAAACACCACCAAACTCAAGAAGATGATGAACATCTGCAAGTTCAGAAATGACATTCCATCGACCATACAGCACGCCCTGTACTTGGGTGACATGGGTGAGCTGGCTAACATCCTGAAGGAAAACAAGAAAAACAAGCTGGCTGAAATATGCGAGGCGACTTACGCAATCAATGGGGAGGGCACTGAGGTAGGACGGCCAAATGCGTCTTATATGGTTCCCCCGCAACCTGTACACAGAGCTACGGCTGAGAATGTAAATTGGCCTGTGACCGCACTTGAGGCTGTCGTTCGGGAGCCCTTGTGTTATGACAACGCCGACGCAGCTGAGGCGGATATTGATATTGTGACCATGGAGGAGGCCAATCAAAACAAGCAGAGTCGAGTGAACGCTGATATTTGGGGCACAATAGACGAAATAGATTCCATGGAATATGCTAATGATGACTCTAACGTCACTGCGGAAGCGGAAGAAGGCAACAGCCATGATTCGCATTGCCGATCGCCCTTGGACTTCATATCTATAGGTAAGTGTCTCTTGTTGTATAAACTAACGTGATACAGGTGAAACTGGACGTGCTTTGGATATGCTGGAGCGATCGTTTGGACTGGATGACAGGGCCTCGCTGGAGGAAATTCTCGCGAAGGCACACATTTCGTCGCAAGCGTCACATCAATCGCAATCACACTATGCCGAGAGCTGGAGTAGCATCCTCAACCACGAGTATGTGGCCGGCATAATGAACCGGGGATATGCGCACGTCACGGCTGGTGCATTCGAGGACGCCACGACTGAGTTCAGACATGCGCTGAAGCACTGGATATTCCTCGTCAGCGCAGGCTCTCGCGAATACATTGACCAGTGCCGTATCTATGTAACGGCGATGCTGCTCGAGGAGGAACGCGAGAGGCTGGCCGACACTGATATCCGCCGGTCTCTTGAGCTCGCTGCGTACTTCTCGTGTTGTAACATGCTGCCCCAACACCAATACTTGGTGATGCGCCGCACCATGGGCATCATGTGGAAGGCACAAAACTACAAGAGCGCGGCACGGATCGTAACTAGGCTCATGTCACAGGATGTATCCAGCATCGAGGGCGCTGAAGAGGAGATGCAGAAGGCAAAGAGAATATACGCGCTCTGCGAGCAGAAGGGCATTGAGACGCACACACTTGATTATGACGAAGAGGATGAAAGGGATCTGAGCATATGCACGATTAGTCTCGTCAAAACAAAGGGGCAGCCTACGGTGCAATGCCGATTCTGTCACGCAGTAGCCTTAGAGAAATACGTCTCGCAGATTTGCAGCATATGTCGGCTCTGCAAACTCGCCAAATGACCGCTGTTGTAATTTCAATTGTAGCGTAATAGCTGTTTTTCGAACAAGCTATGGTTGATTGGTGGCGTCTCTTCATGCCATGAGCCTCATTCCCTATCCGTCCTATCGCAAGCAGTCTTAACCACAACACTAGTCGATATTTGACGTAGCATACGCACTGTTCCGTTCCCGCTTGTGTGTTGTCAGTTTTTTTCTTAGGCGATACTAATACATTAAAATTAGTTGTCTGCATTGAGCTGCGGTATATTTGACGCTACGAGGTATTATTGGCCTTAGGAGTAACAAATGCGATATCATGCCACCTATTGCTGAAGTAGGAACGCAAAGGAGTGAAGAAGGAATTTGGCCTCCAGCCGATGTCATATTAACATGACCGATATAATGACGACTAGGCTAGCGCTGGCGGATTTCAAGCCTGTGCGGAAGCTGCAACATTCACATGTGCAAAGCCACCGATCTTCACATTTCTGACATTCCGAAGGCTCACGTTTTTCTACCCTTGTATTTTAGGCATGTCTTCACTTGACATTCCCTACATTTTGTACAACACCCGGGGCAGCAATTACACTTTGTAGCAGTACATCCCGAACGACACGGACGGACTTGCTTCTGTGTCGGACTCGTCTTCCCCGCAGCTCGCTTAAATAATACTGTACAGAAGTGGACAACGTACCCAGACGGTGGTAGCAGTAGGGGACGAGATACCTTATTTAGATTAGTTAAATATAAACAAATGTATTCTATATTGTTATTTTCTATGTTACTTCGTACGTAATTTATAACTTGTTAAGAGCTTGTGTTGAAAATGGGCTGCAGAGTGAGTAGCCAGGGATCAACCTAAAACTCTACTCGTACAACATACCCCGCAGGTCTTCATTTAATGTGCTAATGTAATGCTATAATATCTTTGATCAAAGTGCAGGGCCTTGGACCCAAGGATGCCACGTCATACGCCGGACGCGAGATGGAGGAGACCGAAGATTCGTAATTGGGGTAACAGATACGATAACCGTCCTGAGCACTGCAATTACGAAAGCACTAATTCGCGGATTAATTGCGTCGTCAAGTTGTTTACACGTCGGACCGTGCGCTTATGCCATTTCCAGTAGCAGAGAAGAAATTGTCACCCTGAGCCTAGAAAGCCAGAGGCATTTTTAAGCTCTATCATCCAACAACGATGTGTTTATCGGCAAGCATCGCGTTCACTGACATTGCCCTAATCTGTTACCCTTTGAGAGATCGGTGCGGAATTTCCAATGCTTTATAATCCGAGTCATTTCGTCTTATGTCCCAGCTGATTCAGCCTGGTGCGATAAGCACGGGTCAAGAGAGCGACGTTGCCAAATGTCGGAGAAAACGTTGGCCAATCAAGAGTTGTTCGGGGTTCTGAAAGGGTTTAAGTGCTGCTCTTCAAATCCGTGTAATAAATGTTCTTGTTAGCGATCGTGCGGCTGCAGCTGGAACATTGTTACTACGCCTCCGCAAAGGCATCGCCATTTTCCATGCTGATAGATTCTGAATATGGTGGTATATGTTGCCTCCAACAGTGTTATCCGCTTTTACCATTTTCCAGTGAGTTTCCCCACAAGCTGTTACGGCGGCACTGCTTGAAGCAATGTTCAGTGAAACGGATCACGTGGGGTGTTCTACCGATCACATCCACCACGACTTACTTTTAACTAGGCCATTTCATTTACGCTTGTGAAACGTCCCCCATGTTATTGAATGGCCAATATCTGCGCAGGTGCCGCTGTCTAGATTTGGTCACTGCACTTGCTGCGCAGCATTAATATAGTGATAACGTCTGTTGCTACTCGCTCATTTGGCAACCATATTACCATGGGCATAGTAAACATTTTGCAATGTTCTGTTGGATGATTCGGCCACGCTAAGGATTCACACTAGGCAGCTTACCCACTACCATCAACTTGATGGTAAGCATGATTGCAGGTTCTACAGCCGTATAATATGCCAGAAATTGTGAATAATAGTCATGAGATAATAACATTCTGTCAACGCTGACGGAAATCAGAGTGCTATGTTATCATCTTTGGCCCAGTGATTCACCCATAAAATGACAACTGTGGCACTTCACCACAATTAATGTCCACCAATGCAGAACTAAAAACGCAATGAAGTTGAGATGTCAAGTCTAATTATGATTGCATCACACATTGCGAGAAATACTGTCTCTAAGGCGCAAATTGGTGTGCCTCCATCATCTGATTTGTCGAGCTGCGTTGAGGAAAGTTGACGGCCTTTAGTGGCGTAGAGTTGCAAGTTGGGTTTTGGTTGAAACAATGCTATTTGGTCTTAAAGAAACCAAGTGATTAGAGTGAACAATGGTTGAGGGGGAATATGCAATTTCGAAGTTGCTGTTAATGAGGTTTGTGACGAACGTAGACGCCTTGTATGCATCGTACACCTATGAGGGTTTGCTAGGCGACACTCAGCAGAGTCGCTATGAGTAACATGTGCATAAAAAACAGCAATATTACTGTTTTATCACTAACCGGAGAGTTCAGCTGACGTCTACGAACGTATCACCTCAATTCATGAGGAAGTTGGAAACGTCTTAAGTAAGTGCCGTACAATGTACATGACGTATCCTCTGTGTTAAGGCAATACAGAGTATATGGTGCGGCAATACGGTTGTCATCGCTTTTGGTTTCTAACGCGTCTGTTGCAACATGACTAGGCGTGTTATGCTGGTCTGGCCAAAGTCAGGGGTCGGCCATTTTTGGTAAACTACGTATTGGCAGTATGACCATTGCGTTACGTTTCAGGCAATAGTGGTTGCGTAATCCGATTCACGCGGCAATAAAATAGACTTCACTCAACGGACAACCCATCTTCCGGGTACTTGGTAATTTCTGTGCAGAGTTGTTTGATTTAATTTGACCTCTCATACCCGCCATCAGTCCACAAAGTGTCGTTGTAGTCATACGACATTGCAATGGACATGTTCTGCCAACCCGAATATCGATAAGGGCGCGCGGAGTCGTCAGTGGGCTGTTTTGGCCGATTCCAATATGGTGACGGTGAACGTTGCCAGTTTTATATGACATCTATAACCATATTGACAAGCTGTGATTACCATAGCATTGTCTACTGTCAGCTGCAAAAGAGGGAATTGTCTGGCGGTGGACAATGCTCGCCTACCACTGCTTGCTGAGACTGTAGACCCGTGCCGGAGTGCATACAATGGTTAAAATAAATGGTACGAAGAGTTATTGATGACATCAGAGTTATACAAAAATGATAATTAATTGCCATCTCTTCCACATCCAGGCAACTCATACTGCAGGCGGTTCACACACTAGGCCACCCGGCGTATAACGATGGCTGACCTCAGGATGCAGGCTTATAACACACATTCGTCGGGACGTACATCCGGATATTCGGCAATTTCAAAAGCGCACATATGTGGCACTCTAAATATGCGGGCAAATGTCGAACGAACAATGGAATGCCCTGGCGGACTCCGCTTCTGTTGAAATGCAAGGTAGCCTCTAATGATGGAAGAAATCGCCAAGAGAACTGTGGAGACTGCAGCTCACAACTCGCGATTTTGATGCCGTTGACCAAACGCAGGGCACTGTCAGGCTGTTTCACACGCAATCTGGGAGCTACAAACTTCAGGATGAAACGTCTACAGACTAACGTTCTAAAAGTGCACTGACCAGAGAATTAGCACCAAACTCAGGTATCTCAGCGACCTTACATACAAAACCGCTCGCCTAGACACAGTAATCCCAAGCGGGGCTGCAAGCTGGATTCGGCAGCTAATAGTGGTCACAGTTGGAAGAATAAGCGCTTTGCAAGGAAAGTTAATTAGCGTGTCGGAACGTGCAGTTGTGATGCGCCATGAAGCATCCGGAACAAAAGTTGCTGTGCCAACTTAAAGCACAAAAATTATGTTAATTACGGTAGACGGCAGAAGGACTGTTATCATTCCTCATTGTGATTGGCGCGTTTGTAACGAGCAAAGCCCGCAAGAAGCCGTAAGTGATGTAAAATAGTACTAACAACCCATCGTGGTGTTTTTATCTTATATGCATTGTTACAAATTGTTCTTACATCTCTAACTCAATGATGCGCCGTTTTTGCCCCAAACTTGTCTACCCCGATCACTCGCGTGCTGCGGACTGCATGTCACGTTATTTGTGTGGATCAGGCTGAGACACGTCTGCTTGGTATTCGCTGAACCTTAGTCTTCCACCTATTTGCTATATAGGCAACTTGTATATTGCAATTAGACGCGTCTTTATTTGGTGCCAACAGCATCTGCCCTTTGTTTCCACAGGATTACAGCGCAACAGTTTAAAGGCTCGGCCTGAAAGTAGACCAAACGACCGCAAATTTATAGCATTTGCATATTTTAAGTAATCTCAACAAAATGGCATACAATTCGTTGACCGAGCCTCCCCGAAACCTCAAGGAGGGTGTTGACTGGTTGATGGCCCTGAAGGGAACTGATGCTGAAAAGAACTTGAAGGCTTTCGGTGCAGCCGTACACAAATTCCTCGCAGACAAGCCTGTTGGATTGATGAAGGTGCCAGCTATCGAAAATGTTAAACCTATCACTAAAGCATTCATCGGGCAAGAGGAACTTAAGAGCCAGCCATTCGCAACTAAGCTGTTTGAGAAATTCAATGGACCGGTGAAAAAGGAAAAGCCCGGCTTCTTCGGTAAGCTTAAGCAATACTACAACACATCCTACATCGAAAGCGATTATTCGAACATCATTGAATTCAAGGATGCTGACGCTGAAACCGTAACAAATGCCCTGCACCAACTGACGAGTTTTTGTGAGCAGTTGTTGGAAGATGCCAAAATAGCTGACAAGTATGAGTCTGCTTACAGTGGAAAGGCTACATGGGCTAAATCATGCTCGAAGAAGCCGGAAAATTGCGCAGCGCTCTTCGTGGGTATTGCGCCCATGTTATACACAGGCCTACGTACTTTGAGGGAAACGTGCCAGTCTGCATTTCAAGATTGGGAGGAGTCTTACGCAGAGAAGCGTGTGGGAGAGGTGATGCAAGCTTTGGGTTACAAGGAGCCAGAATGCCGCGCTACATTGAGCACTTTGGATATCTCCAGTGTGTGGGCGGATGTGCCTATTCGCGTATTGGGGTTACTCTACGACCTCTCTGGATTCTGGGCTTTCTATTAAAAACGGATAGCAAGTTAGCCGTACAAGCAATTCGAAACAACAGGTTCTGGGGCTGGATCCGTAGTTTGCCGGCATAAGAATTATCACAAAATATACCGAATTCATGAAACGTTATCAAAGTCGTATTTATGTTTACACTCTTAACCCGCAATAATGCCGCCGTATAGTGAGGGCGAATACAGTTTGGAACTTCCATTTAATCTCATTTATGGCGCAATTTGGCATATTCGTGTTCCAACGTCGCATATTTTAACCTTCGTGAAACCAAAATGGGTTGCGTGTAGAATCGCAGTTCATGGATCATGCCTCACACGCCTTATTAGGTGTGGTGGCGATCAATGTCGGTTGGACTGGCTTGGTAGCAGAGTAGTTGCTGGAATGCAGAGCGCCTGTTGAGCGCGAAGCGTATTAGCGCCTATAAATTGTATCACTTAGCAACTTAAGTTTTGATCGTAGAAGATCTCCTGGATATATATCCATTTACGTCGCCCCAAAGGCGCAAACATGATAGTGCTGTACATTTAGGTATATCGTTCAATTCTCAGTCTTGTTAGCCGTTTAGTTGCTATGGGCAGCAAAAAGTAACTAGGCAGCAGTTACCAGCGCCGAAGCTGTGCCTAAAGAGCCGACTCCAGTGGTGTATACAAACGGAAATAGTGGCGCCATCTTTGTAATTCCACTAGTCAATCTCATTTTTTGGTCTGTTACCTGAGCAAGCGAGGGAAGCGATTCATAAGATGCGTCACAGAGACACTTGGGAGATCATGCCACATTTGTCGTCTATCGCCTGACCCGCCGTTTTCAATATCAGTGTACGCTTCACCACATCGCTGGCACGGCGAGGCATGAGGTGGCATCCAGTCGATGTGATTACGTGGCATATTTCAATGGTACAAAAGCGGCGCACTGCAGCGCAAAGGCGGCGATACAACTGTTGGAGATATATGCAAGCGCGGTTGGCCTTAATGTTATTGGACAGGATTGGGTAACGCGTTCTGTTGCCAACTTCCGCCTGGCCCTACTATCCGAGTGCTGTTTCATAACGGATGAAAATGAACAAGCAAAATGTGCAATCTGCTCCTTAGTTTCTGAGATTCCTCCATGACAACCACAGTTCCGTACAGGCACATAAGATGGGCTCACTGATTGGACCGGACCAGCACCTCGGTATACCATGTTGTTCTCCATGTTTCTCTAGTTGCAGTGCCTGTGTCTTAAAGGTCATCGGTGTCGTCCAATAGTAACAGAGGAATTAAATCGAGTCGGCAGCTTGGGAGAGGCGTTGGGCCATACGCCGGTGGAGTGGAAAGGTAAAGGATGTGAGGTGGCCTGTATATGGGGACATTCTGTAAATCGTCGACCTTGTCTAAGTGAACGCCGCAGTTATATGGCATCTACGGTCAACATTGTAATCCTTAAAGTCGTAACCTCGGAGTATGCCCCCGCACCCACTTCGCGGGGCGCCCCGCAAACATTGTTAGGCCTTGTTTACCCCTTCCAGCGCATCAGTTCTGCTTGAGCACAGTGGAAGGGTCAGTAGAGTATTGACATTCGTATCTGGTCGAATGCAACTCAGTGATTAGATTCAAATCGTGCTGGCAAAAAAGATCAATTGCCGTGTTAACCGTCGATATCAACTGTGTGTAAGAACCGCTAGATTTTCAAACACGCTGACGAGAGCACACCTTGACGGTGGTTTGCATTCATGTCTCCTTGAATAGGTCTTTTTGAGTTGAGCGCAAATTGGTCAGTATTCCTCAAGATGGCTTCTCAACGGGATGAGCGTGAGATGAAAGCGCCTGCAGGAGGGGATAAGAAAAAGGATCTGTCAAAGTGTATTTCTTCGGGTGGGGACAAGGATGGTGAGCATAACAGGCTAAAGGATATGCAGGAGTCACCGAAGCGGTCTAATAAGTTGCCGAAATGGACTTTTGTGATTTTTGCCATAATTTCCGTGATTTTAATGTGTGTGTATTTGCATAGTCAAGTAGAAGATTCGCCGTACGGTAACGACACGGATACGCATATCATAGACGATATCGATAGCATCGTGTGCCGTATCAAGCGTAATGAGCGTACCATCGACGGTATCTTGGATCGTATCAAGCGTGATGAGCGTATCATCGATGGTATAATTCGTACGCACCATTTCGAAGCAAATAGGAAAGACGTTAGACCTAGTGAAGGCGATAAGGATAGTGAGGACATGGATAGTAAACGCGTTAAACCCGGGAAAGGAGATAAGGATAGTAACGGCGATAGAGGCAAACGCGACGAATATATCATCTGTGGTATCGCCGGTTGTATTGTCACCATTATGCTCGGTGGTACTATCGGTGGCATGTACGTTCGTGCGTGTCGTAACGAATCGGGTAGTAAAGGCGATAGCAGTCTTACGCAGCGTATCATTGATCTTAATGAGCGTATCATCAACCTTGACGAGCGTATCATTGATCTTAGTGAGCGCATCGTCGATCGTATCGTTCCTAGCCGTCGTGAATAAGCAGATGATAATGGAGTTTAGCGATCTTAAGTTAGCACATAGTAATGCGGGTTCTTACGATGGTGGAGATCAGCATCAAACTTCAGACACGATTCAAAGTACGAATGGCCGTTCTAAAGAGCTTTAGTGCCGCGGAGATCGTCACATCAGTGAGGTGCCGTGCAGTCCTTCTTACGCCGAAATCAGGCCGGAGGAATTACCGTTTGGCTACGTTATTGAATTGTACCTCAACATCTGTGTGCCCTCAACCCATGCTCTACGCATCCTCGCAGTAACCACAGCCGCCTACCCCACCTAACTGGCAACTGGAAGGTAATATGGTAAAATCGTTTGGTTAGCGTTGTAGTGGTAATGTAATAAGGGATATTGGCTTTATGACATGATGTCAGCGGACTGTACAGCCAGGTGCCTGAAATTCATTGTAAGCGGCTGAAAAGAGCCGTAGTAGATTAGTTGCATGGTAGTGGGCCAGGTGAGCACATGTCGTGTTATTGACTTGGTGGTGGCTTTGTAGTGCCTGTTTAATGACCAGACGCTGGGACTTACTTGACATGATCTCGGGAAGCTGTCTTTATGGGATATTCATAGGTAGCGTTGTCATCACCAATATAGTAATTTCGCGTTGCACAAAGTGGATGGTAGTGGATTTGGGAATGTTTTCATGGATCGTCCATTATTGATCGTCATGCCATCATCACCACGCCGTCGATCTAAATTAATAATGCATGCTCGACGTGGATGTTCATGATATGTCGGCGTTGGTAGATCTGGGGGCCACCTTTGCCCCAACATCGGGTGCACGGGATGCTCCGTGTGTGGGTGCTGTCATTTTGTATCGTCAGTTGGCCAACTGTGTTTAAGGCTTAAGGTACGTTTATCATTGCTGTGTAGGGTTGTGCTTTGTAGTCAGTGTGGAAAATGACTTGGAAAAAGGAATATTGGGGACCCCTTGTTGGTGGAATTATTGGTTTCCCGGCCCTCGTTATATTGGTCCTTTACTTCTGCGGACTCTACTATAACCAAAGCCTTGGTACAACCTTCAGCCGACTGGGTGATTTGTTCAATGGCTCCAAGCCTACCATCTCACATTCCGCTGTCGGACACCAATAATATCTCCTAGCCTGACCTAGTCCACATAGAGATGCTGTAGCTATCTGACACTACAATCTAAATTTATTGTGTTTGACATTAAGAGCTGCCGCGGTAATATGTAGCCACATGCCAGGCGAAAGCCAAATACCAATAGAGTGCATTGAGGCATGGGTAATGTAACCACGATAAGGTTGTCACCGCATTAGAGAATATGTAGACGCAGTGAGTCACATTACATATAGTCGGTCACAACAAATAACATAAGAATTGATTTTTGCAATGGGATTAAAAACATTGAGTTCGTGTCACGGATCGATACCAGGTATACTGCTATCCAGTCGCAGTAAATTATTGTGCTCCTCCACTGCCTGCTTAAGAAACAGCAATGGTTTCACTTGCATCTTGATTTTGGTTTTAATGAATTCTGGGTACGTCGACACTTCTGGGTCTCCGTTCACAGCCATCATTTTCAGAGCAATATGATTGTATATCTGCTCAGCCTTTTTAAGCGCATCGATCGATTTGTCGATTCTTGTTTTCGTGTCTGCATCAAAGCTTGAATTAGAAGTAGTAGCATTTAAATCCAAAGAATGGCATATGTTTTCATATAGATTCTGGTTCAAGGGATCCAATGTAATATCATCCAGCACGGTTTCCACCGGAGGCGTCGTTTGTTTCTGCGATTTCATAAGCTGCGAAACACGACCAAATGGGTCTGGCAGATTGGAAGCTCTACTGCGGCTGTAGGGTTGTATGTTAGCCTCGCGTGCCGATCTGATCGTTTCTCTTGGTGAAGTGATGTCACTAATTTTTCTAGACACAACACTTCGACTACTCAAAGGTGGGCCCATAGTGCGAGATTTGTTCAGTTTTTGCGATGCGTTTGTCAGTTTCGAACCTATGAGCCCCATGTTTTTCAAGCGTGGTGAAACAGAGAGCGACGTCCCACTAGCGGACTCGCTTGCGTCAGACCTTAACCTCCTGCTGCTGTCATAGGTTGGTATGCTCACGTGCGTCCTATACACGTTGCCTGACTCATGCTCTGTTTCACCAGCGCTACTCGACCCCGTGGTTTGTGGTTGCCTGAAGTTTTTCACACGTGAGGCGTATCTGAGCGTATTTAGCGTCTGCTCACAGCTGACATTGCTCGGACATATGTTTGCGATCATGAGATTCCTGCTGCCCCCGACAAAGATATCCCGGAGTACCTTTGTCAGCTCGCTGTCCCTGAAAGGTATGTGTGTCTTATCCAGGTCCATGGCCCTGATACACTCCTTTAGAGCCAACAGCGACCTGTTGATACCAGCGCCATCCATCTGAGTTTGCTTTGGCTGGTTGATGCAGTCAGCGCCCCTCTCGCTCCCAGCAAGGTCTATAAAAGCGATCCGTCCTGCACGGCTGTCACTCCCTACGAATTGGAACTTACCGCAATTCTTCAAAGTTTCTATTTCGCGTAACTCGATTCGCAGAAGTGCGTGGGATCTCGAAGATTGGTCATTTTGCGAGTTCTGGCCAATTTTCCGCAATGTCAGTCCGCCCAGCATATGGCCAATAAGGTCCTCCTTACACGTGACTCGGCGTAACGTAAGATCCTTGATGATTACTTCGCGTTTGCCGTTATCCAACGCCTCCACCATTTTCCTACACGCGTGTCTATTTCACCATTACATCACGTACCTGTCCTGGAGAAGGTCGTAGAGTTTGCCACAGTATATTTCGTAGAAGCTGATTACGACTTCCAGTCTCCCGTCGTATTCAGGCTCACACAGCATGCGATAGATGTCGTTAGCGGCGTATTCGTAAATGCCGGCTGAAGAAGTTCTTAAAGGTAGGCAATACTACTTACGCATATAGGGCATATTAGGGTTCTTTAACTTGCGCGATCCTATCATAGTGAACGTTTTGCCGCTGCCGGTTTGACCGTACGTGAAGCAAGAGCATGTTTTCTGCTCTTTGAAGGCGAACTCAACCAGCGGCTTCACATACTCCTGATAAATAAGCTCATTGTCGGCATGTTCATCGTAAAATCGATCCACACGAAACTCATAGTGGTCGATGTAAGTCGATCCGTCGATACGCAGCCTGTGATATGTCTTCTCCAACCACGTCAACCTACTTGAGTTCCTCGATGATCGCCGTCGTGTTGTTGCAGAGGACCACGTCGGTTTCCCCCCGAGCCTTTTCTAATTCGCTGAGGGGCCTTTTGCGCACGATCACATCGATTCGGCTCCTTTCGGCCGGCGCCTTAGCCATTGTCAAGAAGGCACAATTTCAGAAACAGCGATCTACACATTCGTGTCCAATACCACACATTTGCGATTTTTACACGCAATGCATTCAAACACATAAGAATACGGGTTCCGAAGTTCTGACGCTCGTGGAACCTGCTGTTCATTACACCGGCGCGCTGTGGCCACTACAATGTTGTTCAGCGATGCGGTTAAATGACATCATCGCACATTACTCTTACAATACGGACGCTAGCGTCACTTTTATATTAGTTTGAAGCTGTTTCTACTGTATGTGTATGTTTGCCTTCCACGGTTTTTCTCAGACAGGCTTCATGCGATTTGCTTGAAAAGCGACACTGTGTTCCGGTAAACCCTACGTTCCACTCACTACGTCTACACATTAACCTACACATCGCAGAACTCTTTGAATTCCATTTCCGGAGCGACGATTTGGTGCACAACCTCGGCAACTTGTCTAAGTTGGAATGTAAACGTCAGCGATGGAACTCACATTATGTGGCAAGGCTCGTTCCGTTGGTTGAAGATGGTCTCTCCGGTCATTTTTTCAGCTTTCTTGACGACCGGGAACACGGTTTTGACGTACTGGCTGCTGGCATGTGTCGGTTTAATGCCACACCATGGGCAGTCTACACTCGTTTGTATGTTATGTGTTCTCTCTTACCGGTCTCCAGCATGATCTTCTCCAACGGGACTTTCTTGAGCACTTCCAGGTTATCGGAAGTTTTTAATGAGCAGCCGTTGATCCCAATGTAGAATCCTTCGTCTATGAGCCTCTGCAGGGAAGCCTCATCGCTGGTGAAGCTGTGGCAGACACCACCAGCCTCCGCCCATTTTTCTTTATTCCGCATAAGAATATCTGCAATCAGTATAGTTCCATCTCTCAAGGCATGTTTCGGAGTTATAAAAATGCATGTTTAGTGATACCAGCCACCGTATTAATCACGTAACCCGTATATATCGTAATGTCACTCACCCATGGTATCTTCAGTGGCGTTCCTCATGTGCAAGAATAACGGCAGTTTATGCTTGGCAGCGAGGTCCAGTTGCATCTCAAAGTATCTGCAAAACTGTTTGCTTCCTTTCAGTGTTTGCATACTTTTTCTGAACGTCCTTCTCGCACCAATTTAGCCGGTCGTAGTCTAGCCCCAGCTCGCCAATTGCCACTATGCGGTTTCGGTGCTTTTCAATAATCTCATCCAGAGCTTGCATGTATTGCTCCGGGGTCTTCTTGAATTTATTGCGTATGAATTCGTTGCACATGGTCGGGTGCACCCCAGCCGTTGTGAACAGGGATATGCCTTCCTTATCTGCGACTGTTAAAAACCTCACAAATTATAGCACTAACCATATTCTTCGCATATGTCCAAGGCGTCGTATATATCACCCAGTGTCCCTGCGGTGAGCAGCATCTTGGTAACGCCAACCTTTCTTGCCCTATCAATTACACTGCAGCATTGTCAAGTACAACCGACTTGTACGGAATTCGCCTACCCTGACAAGTCGGCTATGTGCCGTTGTTTGCCGTTGTACACCCCCTTGTACATTTTGTCCACAAGGTTGGCGCCGATGTCGATGAAGCCGTACGACGGCGTAGAGGAAATCGAATCTTCCATGGTGTTTAAGGTGCTACGTTGAAATCTGGAGATTACGTTCTGCCGAATCACCGATTCGGTGCTCATGTGTATCAAAAACGACGGCAGAAACAGCCTCGATTTCATGCTTTAGAGGACGGTGCCATCGCGTCTTACGGTCGATCAGAATCTCAGAAAACACAACACACCTGCGATAAATAGACGTATTCTCAACAGCATGATTCCACCATGGCCAATTAGAAGCCAATGGTGACAGTTCACCGCACAAAAGTAAGGCCACAACACCTGGAAGAATGGAGCCTTGAGTATATATTTATGTCTATATAATGGAACAGCATGAATGAAACGTATTTCGGCGCTGAAATGTATTATTTTGTCAAGTTGCCTCTTGCTGTGTGTAGAATCTTGGTCGATCACTCGTCGTATTCCTTGTTGCCCTGCATATTCCGTGGCACCCTCATAATTCTTGCTAGCATTTTCGATCGTTTTGTATCCCATGACGTCAACAAAATTGACCGTATGCTTGTTATGCGTGCTCTTGATCGATACCGTCTGACAGTTTTGTATGTACGAAAGGTGAAGTATAGCTGTAGGCAACTTGCAATCGCGTAAACGCGAAGTGTTTTGTATAGATATATTCCGACTTCCGTTAATGGATTGCGCTGGAGCACTTAATCTGGCATAATATGTAGATGGCATTAAACTTAACAAACCGTTGCCAATTAACTCTTGAACACGGCTCCAACATATCTCGTTGCGGGCATTGCGAAATCGCATAGTACCCTCCGGTGACCCTTTTCGCGCATTAAAATACGCCATATCGTGAGACAGTCCCCGTAGGTGGTGAAACAGCTGCCTGGGAGGGCTTATGCTGAGTCCCTCGATGATAGCAGTCATCTGCATAGGAGTGAAAGTAGGCTCCCCTCTGATCCTCAGTATATCCAGTAGCTTGTATGATTCTGCCACCAGCTCCACTATCCACTGCATATCACGCGGTGCCATCTTGCGGGCTGCTGTCGTTATTATGGGATCCAATCGACGATACATCTCGTGTAGGTCTCGGAAGGCTCTTGCATACGGCTTTCGACGTCTACTCGTGCCGACGCCTGTGACATTTCTGTAGTGTACCAAAAAATTTTCGCGGTGCAAGGCCCATTTCGGATTCATTATTTGCAGCCTCACAAGGATGAGTAACAAGACCTTTTGCGTATGCGTCAAAACGCTGTACACAGGCATTTCCGGGTATGTAGCAGACTCATTAACCGCCAATGGTGCCGTACTCGTCATGGAAGGCGTGTTGATATCCTGATTGTCGTTTTCCATGGTGAGTTTTTGCCCTACGCAATAGGTATGAAAGATGCATGCGGTAGCCTTCTATTATCAAACTAAGGGAAATATTTAAATGGAGAGCGCTTTTAGCTTATTTGAAATGAAGCAAACCACCGTGTGGTGATTATATGGTGCAGAGTCGGTGCCACATAACTTTGGGCTCTTAAGTTTCACTAACGGTAGGTAATCTTTTGTTGACGCATAAAATTGGGTTAAAATATACGCCTATAAATTTATGCTTAGATAACACAGCTGAGCCGTATCTTGTCTTGGTTTCCACCCCTGCCATCTGGCTGATTACGCAATGTCTACACCCTAATTTTTGGCAATCATTGCCAACTGCGTGGTTGCCCGGTCGGACACGAAGGGGTGTTATGTGGCTACAATTCCATACACATATAGCTCAAATACAACATGTCTGTGGATTGGGAACGTCCAATATGGTTATGGACATTTTTGCGTCCAGACACTCCTATGGCGTCTGGCCACCTGCTGTTGTCGGTGGATTCCATGCTAGAGGGTTACACATACCGCATATTTGCTACTTGGCGCGTTTATAACAACACATTTGTTGGTTTAGGCATTAAAGACAACCGTTAAATAGCGTCGGCGACATTCTGTAGGCCGATATTGCTGTGTTTGGTGAACAGCGTCGCGCCCCTGAGTTTGCAGAAGGTGCCATTGTATCACGCGGTACATATGACCCGCCGGAGTCAAATTATGAGCCAGAACTCCGAGGTGCGTTTTCGCTCGAAATCTTCGCGTCGATTCGGTTGAGGCGTTGTCCGGTCCCGACGGCCGTAGAAGCCGCCGTTTTTTCACTTATCGCAATGTACCATTGGTTTGGGGGAATACTCTAACGTTATTGCTAAGCCCAGATCTGCGCAAGTGGTAGTCAAAATTACTTCAGTGCGCGGGGCTACTTGATCGCAATCTCTTCGACTGTCGCCTTCTGGTCTGGGTTCAGGGGAACGCGTCGGGACGTTATCGCAAGGATTCGGACTACTATGGAAGTGGGAAATGGGTTTGATGGCGAGAACATTCCTCTGTGTCACGTGGTGTCCGTTCTGAGCGACGAATTCCTGCGCTTCTGCAATGTAGACAGCATTGAGCATGCCGTTCTACAGAATGCGGCGGATTTACTCACTCGTGAAGTCGGAGTGTTTACAGTGTACGATGCACGAGGCATTTTGCGTCGCCATTTCATGACAAAATACGGTGGTTGCTCCCGATGCTCCGTTGTGACCCAACCCAAATTTAAGGTATACGAACTCGGTTTTCTGGCTTATTCCAACTTTGTGGACAGTTTCGAATGCAGCAATGATGCCGATACGAATATCAACAGCAGCTATTTGGTGGAACGGGAAGGTTCCGAAGTTTTTCTCTCTGAATATGACCCGTCGCAGCACCCGCAGAGGCGAGGACTGCGACTCTGCTTTCTGGATCGCAGCCATGCCCACCAACGGATTCTCAGGCTGTCGCTAACCGAGCATCCGCCGCCTGAGGATTGGATAGATACGCCCGGAGTGTTTCTGCGCGGCAAGCAGGTGAAATATCGCATTCCCTCCGAGCATCAGGTTTCTCAACCCGACCTTCAACGGCAGTTGCATTTGATAGATGGGGTTGAGCTTCCCACTGCCGACCTCGTCGTGTCAGTGCAACCCCGGCTACGCGATGCTGCGCTTTTCTTTATCGCATTTATTTTTCTGAGCCTGTTGCAGTTGGTTAGATTCATCACTCCCTGGCGTTTCAAGCCAACCATGCCCCCGAAATTAGATTTTAAACTGTTGTTACGGTGCATCGCAGCTCGCGTGGGTAGCGTGTGTTTTTTCGGGGGATCTGTAATATACTCGTTTGGTCCCGACGGCATCCCGCCATTTTTTCTGGCGGAGTCCGAGCTGCACCAGTGCTTCGGGCTGACCGTCGCTGCGTTTTCGCGTTGCGTCGATCGCTATTATACGTGCCAGAGGCGCAAAGGCAAGTGACTTCAAGCCCCACGCATGTTCATCATGGCCAGCTGCTCCCCGATTTGTGCGAATTGCGATATGCTGAGCCTGCGCATCAGCTGCTTATTTGTTTCGCTCTGCGGCAGCAACATAGACAGACCTGTCGCACTTAATCATATATCGCTTCATACTTACCCAGCAGTGCCTGCAGCAGGTCGTTGTGTTGACTCGGTTTCAGCAGGTGTAGCCTCATTTTCATGAACACGTGCGTGTCGAACAATTGGACGAGGCTGTCGGTCCACAGCCAGAACTCAACGTCGAAATTGGACTCCGCTCTGCGACAACCATCATTGAAACCGACATATCGCTCACATTTGTTGTACAATGTCGTTGGCCAGTTTGTATTTTTCGCGCCATAGCGCCAGTGCCAACGCCGAGGCTAGGTTGTGTTCCCTGTACCTTATGAAATGCCCATTAGTTGGCCTTACCAGCACTTCTGTAACAGTGTCCCCAGAGCCTCGCCCTCAGTAGTCAGAAGGAGCTTCCTCATCGCCCTTGCGTCCTGGGGGTAACATGCCCGAATAATCGCGGTCTACCTACCTCTGACGTGAGCAGCGTCCAATTGAGCGTATGGACGATCCTCCGCAGAAAGTCGGCTTCCTGCATCATGTAGCGATATAATTAGTATGAACTAACGGCGTATAACGCAAGACACTCCGCAGTTATCTTGTAAAACTTCTCGAAACCTATTTGTTTGCAGACGTTGATGATGATGCGGTTGCCTCTCTCCTCCTGCGATGCCGATGAAACGTCAATGCATAAAGTGCCCACCAGCAGCGCATCATCACCCTTGAATAGCTCTAATAGATGTTGCGATACGAGCTCAAAATTCTGCTCCCCAAGTTCCACCACTAGTATGATCGCTTTGAGCGTAGCCTCCATGATGGGCTGCATGTATTTCTCGGGTCACTAAGTGAGCTATACCTCGGAATCGCTCTGCTTGAAGCACGATACGATCGATCTCGTCACAGCTGGCAGAGTGTCCTTCATAATACGTGGTCTGAACGATGTGAAGCAAATTCGCGATCTCGGTGACTCACTTGAGCTCCAGGAGCAGCGTGAGCCACTGCAGAACCGTCAGCATGACCACGTGGGTCACGGACAGTTCCACTATCTCGGTAAGTTCCTTGGTGATTTGTTTAACGTTTGAAACGGTCCTTTGCTCCTTGGCCGTCATAAACAGCTGCTTGTTCGCCTCCTGCGCAGATGCGCTGACATCTGCAGCCATATGGAGCAAGTGCCATTGCAACTCACCCGCATTCTGATCGGCGATCAACATAATAACCGCTCTAAGTAGCTGCGGAAAGCCTTCCTGCGAAAGTATTGATGTCTTGGCCACCAGTTACTCACAAAGTGGATCAATTGAGGCTGAAGAGAGGCAAGCTCCCGGATCCACCCTATGTTGTTTTTCTTCACGATATATTCGTTGCGCTTGGTGTTGATAAGCACAGCCTTGAACAATTCTTCGTTGACGATATTGGTCTTCGTGGCAAACGTCTTTTTGAAGAGCGATAAGAACTCAGCGAGGCAGAGTTCCGCTCCTCCCCTGACATCCCTGCGACGCATATGACTTGCATGTTTGGCCACATACTTGTTGCTATCCACAAGCATGTTGAGCAGTCCAATGTATAGCTTGGGGAGGTGTTCTAACATATCAACGTCTGCGTCTTCCTAGACTACACTTTTGATTTTAACGTACTGGGCACGGCGTTGAGGGCAGTTATCCACGATATCTGTGGAATATTGCGGGAACAAAGTGGCTAACTCACAAGCAGCATCCGTACGAACGAGTTGGTGACATGCATACGGCTTGCCACCAAGTTGACCACCATCTCCACCGTATGGCTTCCGTCCTGCAGTACGATATCCTTCACAAGGCGGCTCATGAGATCCGATGTCTGCCGCACATCTTCGTCGATATCACAGCATAACTGCATGGTTGTATTGCGATGTTCAGTATCGGCTTTTGGCATACCTTGCAGACGCCGTCAAAGATTGCAGTGAAATTACGGGTGACTGCATCCGGTGACTTTTTGAAGATGTTGAAGAGCGACTGTACATCATAAACACGCAGTTTAGAGCTCGTTTACCTCGCAGGCGTAGTACCGCACTGCGGAATCTTGATCCGTGAAGTACGGCAGTGCCACATGTATGAATGCATCGGCATGATCGTCCAGGTATTCCTGTCAAAGGCTTGTTTGTGTTGACTGACTACCTACGTCAAGGGCTATGGCAGCCGCTGCGAGTCCGATAAGCCCTCCTATGCGATGCTCAGGTATCGCGTTGTCTAGGAATCGCAGTCGCATAAGTTCCAAGAACCTGCCGACCGCCTCCTGGCACATTTCGTGCCGCCCATCTTGCTCCTGCGCATCCTTTATGAATTTACGGACCGCCTGGGAGATGGTATTCCGCGCCCTTTTGCGGAATTCAGGGTTACCGTCCACGAGATAGGAAGGTGTGTTTTCCGGCAGAAACTCGTGGCGCCCTGCCGTACTATTTGCACTTATAACGGTCATAAGTCGTCACGCAAACATTTTATAATAAATTATGCGTTTCTGAACGCGAATTTGATGGTCGGGATGACCACGTCTACGTCGTTGTCGTCGGTGCAGCTGCCCTCTATGACCAGGTGAGAGCAAGACGGCGGCAGTGGCTTCTTGGAGAGGTTCTCCAGCAGCTGCGACGCTGTTAAAGCAGATGTGTGTATCCTACCTGTGCGACTGGCTGGTGGAGGCGCTCCCGCTGATGCGAAGGCATAAACGAGTTGTAGATGCAGGTGTTCCCTGCGCTTAGGATGATGATATCCACGTTGAACTTCTCCCGTATAGCTTCGATGATCTGGCTGACGGTACCGTTCGGCAGCGTTAGGTGTACCTTGTCCCAGGTTGTGAAGTTGGCCGGCAACGCCCTAACAGGTCCGCCTACCACCGGGTCATATTCCTTGTCCGTGGTAGTCGTGGGTGGCAGCGGCTCCGACTGCAGCCACACCGGAGTGGCCAAGCAGCAGAATGAGTTCCTGAAGTGCTCCAACTTTAGCTTTTTGTAGCAGATGGTCTTCACGAACTCCAACATTACTAGTCCGGCGACCATCGCGGTTGTCGTGGCGATGGCGGGTATGATTTTGCCTGCGATAAGCTTTGCCTTCATGCGGTCACACTGCTCTATGTCGTAGTTCCGGCAGCGCATGTTCGCGGTGGACCATATGAACTCTATGTGGAAGTTAGTGTCGTCATCCTTTTCGAAATCGATGGAGTTGAATTTGGCGTTGCTTCTCCTGATTTCGTCAATGAGAAGCTCGCGCATCCTGTCATTGTTTGTGGGAGCTTCGACTTCCACGTTTAGCTTGTCGTTCGAAAGTTTGAGCACTATGGGCTTGAACTCCTCGAACTCTACCTTTGGCATCGCTTTGACGTCGTTTGCATCGCACCGTACATCCTTGCCCTGAAACGAGTATATTACGTGCTTTGAGCTAACTTACGATTACAGTGCCCAGTATGTTGCAGGTGGCAACCAGGAACATGTTGACGTATTTCTCCTCCGCGTCGAACACCAGTGGCTCCGGTATCCGCTTTGGTGGGCTCCAGAACTTGAGCCCGTCTGAGGTGAGGTGGTCCGCTGGGAATGAATACAAGAGCTGCTTGATGTCGTTAACGAAATACTTGTTGATAAGATGTGCTGCAATCCTAAGAAGCTCCTCCTTGGCATTGTTATCCGTAATTTTTACAAGTTGTGCGATCATCTTCACCTTATCGTCCGGTATGTCGTCGATTTCTGCCAAGGAATGCAACTCGATGCTTAGGACGCTTACCTGAGGAGTTCTGCTGTATCTTCTTCATGTCGTGGGCAAGCTGGGTGAACATGCCCTCGAAAAGATCCCTCGCCCACTGTATGGTGTGGTCCACCTGGTACGGGAAGTGTTTGAGTGTACACAGGGGGATGGAGGTTTCCTGCGGATCCTGGCTCTCGCTGTAGCACTGCGTCATGTGCGGTATGACCACCTGCACATTGCCCATGGTGCCGAGCGTCCCCGACTCCAGCAGCGGTTTCTCGTACCACACACAGCGCCCGTCAACGTACTGCCTCGCCTTCACGTTGTCCAGGGCGTTGACCACCACTGTGAGTTGCTCCCAGAAATTGTCATTGAAGAAGTCCTCAGTTTCTGGCCCAACGGCAATCTCAAGTGCTTCTACGCGCATGTGCTCGTTGATATCCTTGGCAGCCATTGCAGCAACTTTAGACTTGGGGAGTCCGACATGTTTCTGCAACCGTTTGTTCAGCTCATTCGCCTTCGGCACCCACCTTCCTGAAGAGGAACTGCCTGCTGATGTTAGACACTTCGATGCGGTCATTGTCGGTGAGCGTGACGACTCCTCCATTTTGCGTACCGCAACCTAGTAGGGCGAAGTGCTTCATGAATTCACACCCAAGAGCTCCAGACCCAACCTGTTAAGTTTGCAAGCATGCCAATGTGGACTAACTGTGAATATTTTTGCGCTCTGAATGCTGCTCTGCACTTCGCGTCCCCATATCGCTATCTGGTCGCTGTATCTGGAGTCAAACCCAACGTCGCTCGTGTTTCCCGCTGTGATTTCCTCAGGAAGGGTGAAGTCACAGTATAGCCACTGGTCTATTGGGTGGTATTTTCCCGTGAACTTGATAACCTCATGGGCAACCACACCTCCTACGAACGAACACAGCGGCGATATCCTCAAATGCGCGAAGCGCACGAAGTTAGACAAAACCTTTTCGTCGATTTCGTCCACTCCCGATGACTCCGCCTTTGCGTTCAGGTTCTTCGCTGAAGCCATAACGGAATTCGGATCCTTTCCAGACATGCGATAAGCCATACTGATCCAGTGGAGCTGCTCGGCTCTCCCGATCAGGCTGTAGTCCATGGTCATCATGCAGTTGTTCTTCGAGGGGTTAGTAACCGCCTCCTCGAAACTGATGAAGTTGATCTGCTTGGGCCTGCGCACTTCCTTTACGATACCGCCGGATATGTACGGTTTAAATCCACGTGTGTCACCGATGGTGAATGAGTCTTTGTCCTTCACGGTGATTTCCACGGGTCCCATCGAGTTGAGCTCATCCATGCCCTCCACCTCGGAGAAAGTCACCACGTCCCCCGTTTGGAAAGGCATGCTGCCCTCCGTGTGAATATATACAACACCCTTCTCCTCCTAATTACACATCAGTTATCAATGTGAACTTCTCTTACGCTGGAGATGCCCGATACGATAGCGGTGATGGTGTCCTTGCCTGACGGATCGACGCAGACGAATCCGTTGCCAAAATCCACGAATATCGCTCCCACCATACCGAAGGTATCGGCAGATATGAATCCGATACGTTTGTTTAGCCTGTTGTTTCGGCATGCTCCGCTGACTTTCATAAGCATGTCGAGCTTCTGGTCGCAGCAGACCACAACGTCGAATTGGACAATAACATCCTGAGGTGAAATGTGGGCCAACTGTGGCGTCATTAACTTACCTCTGTTATCTCTCCTCTGTGGACGATGACATTGACGTTGCCGTTAAGGTCCTGAAGGTGGCGCAGACACACCTCGCTGACCACCTTCACTCCGACGTCGGCTGATCGCAGGAAAAAGTTCACTCCAAGGTCCTGCCTCTTCACGGTGTCGTCATCGGACAGGCATATAGTGTCCACTCCCATCAGGGCGAGATTTTTTGCTGCATGATTGTTATCATGAGTGGCCTTCAACGCTACCTATTTCTGTGCCAACGCCCTTAGCGCCGATTATTAGGACCTTCAGCTTCTGGAGCTTGCCCATCATCTCGAACCCGAAGGTACCGATCTGCCTCGAGTAGAGGTCGGTATCGATACCGGTGTTCTGCCCGTCGATATCCATTTTGGAACCTAGCCGACGACGATCCCCTTGCAAAGCATGTACCGATACGCTTCGTTTGTTCGTTAGTGGTGTGTACAAAAATAGGTCGGTTTCAAAAATTGGCAGCGCCGCGTGTCAACAGGCGGGTCGAGCTCGCTGGGCGCAAACATTCCCTATGGGCACGCCTGCTACTAGCTAGTGGTTCTAATCGTCGACAATTATTTTGCGATATTCGCCTATAGAAGCCAATTTGAAGGCATTTATCTGCTCTATATAACCCTGTATCTGCTGCTGGCTGACTGGGTATGCATCCATGGAGGCGACCAGGTCGCGGAGCGCCTGAATTTCTTGAGTGATTTCCATGAAGCTGCGATAAACGCTATCTGCTACGACCGCCGTTTCTGCTGGTAGTTGTAGATAGGTCGAGTTGCGGTTAATGTGTACGACCGCGGCGTCGAAGACAAGCTCCATCTTCGGCAGGGTACCTGCCTGGAACGTGCTGCACTCTGTACTTATTTCGGACATAATCTGCAGCATCTTGTCGCTTTGCCGTTGCAGGAACAACGGTATTGCGCCGGGTAGGTTGGCCTTGATGTTTGCGACGAGCGGAGATGCGGCGCTGACGTCGTTTTGGGAGGCGGCAGCGACCGCGGCCAGCCTATCCATGGCCTCATGGTAGGCGACCGGCACCTCCGTTGTCTTGTCTATACGGTCAGCGTAGCTATTTATGAGCCTGTCTACCATGCTGTCTTGCTCATCGAGCTCAACATCATCGGCGCCGACGAATAGCAGGAACTTGTCCAGAAGGATGACCAAAGCTCGGAGATTGCTGTCCACATTCTGCTGTATTGTTTGCCACGACTCCAGCATTTTATCGTAGCGCTGCAACGTAGCACGGTCCAGCGCAAAGTCGGTCGTCATCGTTTCTCATATTGCTCTATAGCGCTGACGATCTCCTTTTCCCCCAAACTCGCAAAATGCTCCTGCGATGTCGTCATCGGTTACACATTCCGCTTCTCACCTTCAGACAGGCTCTGTATTCCAGTAGTTGGCCGCGGCACTTGTCTTCCATGACCCCCTTGAGGAAATCGTTTTTGAGCCATGCGTCGAAGCAGCGCTCGTATACTTGCTTGAGTTGCGCGCAGGCACCCTGCGAATAATGAGTCATCCAGACATGTCGCTCACTTCTTGCTGCACAATCGGCTGTGCCGTGCCTCCTTCCTTGGCGGTCATGCAGCCTGTAATAACTCTTGGTCGCAACAGCGCTGTGCCCCGTGATTGAGGAGCGGCTGTACACATCGACCACCGCAACGAGAAAACGAGCCGGATGCCAGTGACTTTCACTCTATGCGCGCGGCATATATTTGTGGCCACTTTTTTGGCCGGGATGCGGCAATAGACACTCTGTCTCAGGCTGGAATCTGTTGTATTTCCCCATAGGATCAGCGTAGTGTACGTCCTAGCGGCCGCGCTCATACGCCGCTTTCCATGCGGTTACGTTCGCCTTTGTTAGCGACACTTTTAAGGTTTGATTTCTACACCGCCTGTTCTCTTGCTGCAGCAATGACGCGCCCTCTTCAGAAGATTGTAGGTTGCGCTTTTAGGCCCCTAATGCTCCTCAGATAGTCGTCGCCGGGCCGCCCGGCTCAGGCAAGAGCACCATGTCCAGTAGAATGGTTGAATTTTTTGGTTTTAAGCACATTTCTGCCGGTGATTGCCTCCGCGAGGAGATGTCTAACCCCGACTCGCCGAACCGGGAGCTAATCCGCAGCTACATCGACGCTGGCAAGGTGATTCCCGTTGGAGTCACTATCGAGCTGCTGCTGAAGAAGATGGAGTCGTTCGGCTGGGGTGAGCACGTCATCGTATTGGACGGTTTCCCGCGCAACGCCGACAACGCGCAGGGCTGGGCCGAGCGCATGAGCTCGTGCACCCAGCTGGAGCACATGATAGTTTTAAACTGCTCTATAGACGTCTGCAAGACACGCATTCTCGGCCGGGCCAACGAATGCGAACGCACCGACAACGCTACCGCGGCCATACACAACCGCATGAAGGTCTTCTTCGACGACACGGTTCCCATCATGCACTGCCTGATGATGGCGGGCAAGTGCACGTCAGTGGACGCATCCGGCACGAAGGACGAAGTGTGGAAGGGGGTCACCGACGTCCTTGGGAAGTTGGGTTACCAACCTATAAGCAACGGCGCGTGAACACGTCGTTCCGTGCGTCGATAGTAGACGCCAGCGCCATTAGACCCAAGCTCCAGAAGAATCGCATAGCTAACATAATACATTATCACAAGAAATCACTCGTCTCTTAAGGCCTTGAGGTGCAACGCGTACGCATTGGAGACACCGATGTCTGCCAGCTGTTTTTGGAAGGCGTCCGCGAGCTGCTCGAGTTTTGTTGCGATATCTTCAAGTCCGTGCATACGTAGTATTTCGTACGGGGACTTATCGGTTGCGATATTAGGCGGCAGATGCGAGTTTTCTTCCGTCGATTGCGAGTCCCTCTCCAGCACGTTTTCGCGGACGTCGTTATCCGAGCTGGCACGCGAGACCATCCCGTCACTCTTGCAGTCCGCTTCTTCGTTGGGGAACAGCTTGTGCGAATTTGCGCACTCGAAGTACAATTCGTCCGTCGTCTGCTGCTCCAGCTTGTCGATAACATCCGCCGTGAGGTTAAACTTAAACGAACCCACCACAATTTCCATCCAATCCTGATTGTTGCAATTTTTGTTGGGATCGTTGGTGAGGTTTTCGCAGTTGGAGTAGTATGCGCTCTTGACCAGTTTCATGCCCTTGTTCTCCATGGTCGGTCCGAACCCTGTTGACGCTGTGTGGTATCAAATGTTTTCCTACCTGGTATGAGCTCTATGAAGCTCCAGGCCTCCGCTTGGTTGGCGTGTCCGTACTTGATTACCTTCATGACGTCAGCAACATCGTGCATAGTGAGCAGGTACGGCTCGAGCTGCTTCAGTCTGAACAGCACGAATCTGAAAATTGCAATCCACCCCTCCGCAAAGAAGAAGTCCCACAGTCGCCCCTGCACGTTTTTATCGTATTGGTAGCGTAACTCACCAGTGGTCTGATGGGAATGGAGTTTGCGCACAGCGTCATGAGCCAGTCGGATGCGATCATGGGTATGTGGACCCCTATTTTCCGCAGGTGTTCTATGAGCTTCGGGACGTGAGTTTCCATACATTTTTCGATGACATCACATCGCCTGAACACCCCCGGTAGCCCCTGCAGATACATGCACCTGCAGTCGTACATGTACATGAGGGAGATGAACGCCCAGAACGCTTGCTCCTCGACGCAGTGCCACAGCAGGTTGGCGACCACGAAGTTTAGCCCTTGCACGTAGCCCACTTCCGGATCGAAGAACGCGTACGCCATGAGTATCCTTCTGAGCATGAGCCTGCCGTACCGGGTGTAGAACCTGAGCGACGGGTACGTCCTGCGTATGTCCAACGTGATGGCCAGTGTCGTCTTCTGGCCGAGCACGAGGTCTGCCACTGTCATTTTTACGCCTTCTACCGTTATTTTCTCTTCCAGGAGTTGGATAACGTTCCAGTATACCCCTGCCTTGCGCAGCACTGCCGACTGGCAGCACTTCAGCCACCAGTGATTGAAGCGGGCGCACCGGTCGCCCTTCATGTACCGGGGTATGGGCTTGTTCATGGCGTTCTTAACCGGTTTCTCCGGTACACCCGGAGGCTTGACTGCTATGCGCAGGCATTCGCATTGCGGCATCGAGGGCACCATGCCGTACGACGCCGGTTGTCCGAGCACGCTCCTCGTGCCAAACCCGAAGATGTCCAGAATCGATATGAACGATGTTGACTCCTCCTGCGCTGGTGGCTGTGTAGGTTTCGGCTGAGCTGCCGTCTCCTTTTTCGGCGCCTCGGCGCCGTTGTTTAGGCCAAGCTCCTTCATTTCCGCCATCGCGCCGGTGTCTTCTGTTTCGGAGATGCTAAGATTTTAAAGTCTCATAGTTGTCATTATATCCATTTTCTTATACGGCATGTGTAAGTGTGTATGTGCGCTTCTGATGGACGCTGTAGCTCCATATAGTGCGCCGTCGCGCATGGCGGACCTGTAGCTAGCGCTCGCGTCGTCTTCCGTATTTAAAAATGCTGCCTTTTCAGCGGTGACATTTTATTTTGCGACGACCGGCGCTTCAGTATGCCAGAGGTGGCTGTTCTGCTAGAGGCGCTGTCTACACTTCGCCTGGATGTGGAAGGGCACGATGGCAACTCGGAGCTCCTATCGCGCGTTTCCGACGCCGCTGAAGCGTTAGCTGCTTACGTTGCGGACGACAGCGCCGAGACGGCGTTGCTCTCGGAATTTGAGAGCCTCCACGAAGCGCTCCGACAGAAGCGCGATGCCGAATTGCGCGCCGCGAATGCTTCAGTAGACAGTAAGTTGCGGCCATTTCCGATTATTCCCGTTGCTACATACTTCAGTGTGACTGGGTGTGTGATGTTGAGCAGTCTGTTATAGGTAATTTGGCCGCTATGTTGGTTTTGCAGGTAGCTGTGTTACACCGCTGGCATATTGTACAAAGGACAAGCAGTGATATATGTATATAAGCTCACACTCATTCTAAACGAGCTGAATGCGCTAGATGTGTTCAATACGTGGGATACATCGTCTTACTATATACTGTTTGCCCACATGTTGCTTCTGGTCGTTGTAACCCCTCATGATTTTTGCAGAAGCGCAGAAAGAGCTATCAGAGGCGGAGGAAACACACGCCCGCCTTACTGAGGAAGTAAGCCGTCTGAAGGCTGAAACCGAAGCTGCAATTGGTGAGTGTTCAACCATTATTTTGTCACTGGTACAGGCGCTGATGGCGATGTTATTGCGGCCATACACGAGGCGCAAGAGCTGAAGGACGAGCTGCAACAGCTACGCACGGTGGAAGAACAGCTGTCCCTCGAAGTGCAAGGTCTGCAGCACAAGCTGCAAGCGCTCGACGAGGTGGAAAAGCAGCACGCCGCAACACGCGATGATATCGTGAAGAGGGATAGGTAAGCTAGTCTCATACTTCATTTAATTGTTTGTGTAGGCTTTTGTACGAATTCGTGACATCGTCGCTGAACATCACTGTGGTGAACAGAAACGAGTCACAGGTGCAGCTCGCGCTTTTGTCGGAGTCTGAAGATCGCACAACGCAAACCTGGGACTGCATGTACGCCAATTTGGACGAGTGCGGTCCTGAGACGGCGGACCGCTTATGGGAGGCCATCGAGAAGACGTTCGATCCGAATTCCGTGAAATCGTCCGGTGACACCGTCTTTGACATGGTTAGACTCGCTCGCTAGCCCAACCTTTGTCTCTCAAAGACACTAACATTTGTAATTTATAGTCAGCATCCGCCATTAATTTTTTCACTACGGGGTGCTTTGACTGTTGTTGTATGTGCCCCCTATTGCTGCGTTCGCCCGCCTACCCATTCACATGGGTGGCGTTGAGGCTACAATTCACATTGTTCTCGGTTGCCGTTCATTGACCTCCGGCACACCATAACACGGCACTGTTGTCCTGACAATATCCAAATTGACAAGGGACGTGAGTGGCCGTAAATTTAGCATTGAAGTCCCATCAACACAAACCACATGTCACCCGGCTCCTGTGACTTCACTTCATCCGCATCGTCCCAAGCTTAGACGCAACCTTGTCATTTAGGGGGTTTGACGTGTTTATCGTCCGTCACAGCTACACCTTTCTCGTGCAAAGTTGCCAGCTTCGCAAGGCAAGCATCGAGCTCCTTACGCAGTTCCCGATTTCTGGCCTTTAATTCGGCGTTCTCTTTGCGCGCACCGTCGATAGCCGCCAGTGCCGCTGAGATGCGCGAGGAAGCATTCTGGTCGTCCTTGAATATCCTTTCCTCGAGATCCAGCATGGCGTCACGCAGGCTCTTCACCTCTTCCACTTTTTCATCTAGCATCTGGTTCAGGTGCATTATGGTAGCGCGCAGCTTGGAGCACTCTTGCTCAGCCTTTCTCAGCACAGCTGTGATCTGCTCAGCTTTTTTGTCCTTCCTCTCATTCTGCTTCTTATGCGCCTCGATTTGGTCCAGCAAGTACACAATCTGGCTTTGGTACTCCTTGTCCAGTGCGAGCTTCATGTCGTTTTGACGGTCCTTGAAGGACCTCTTGAGCTGCTGCAGAGAGGCGTTGAATGTGCCACGGTCCGCTGTCGCCGCTTCAAGCTGCACAGAGAGCGTGTTTGCCTTTTGCCGATATTCGTTTATCTTGACGTTGGCCTTCTTGAGCTCACTGTCTTTGAGCATGTGCTCCTGCTCCATGGCTTGAAGTTTGCTTTTGAGTGTCTGGCATTCTTGGGACTTCTTGGCGAACTTTTCCTTCAAAAGCGAAATTTGCGCCACATACTCGTGGTTTTGCTCCCGAGCGAGCACGTTTTGTCCGTGGTCCAGCTCGTTCTTCCATTCCTCCAGCACGTCGACATATTTTACCATTTTCGCGATGGAGTCATCGCGTTCGGCAAGCTGCGTTTTGAGCACGTCAATGATGCGTTCGGAGCGCTCCGATGTGTATTCCAACGCCTTGATTGTGGCGCTCGTCTTCGTGCGTGGTGCTATGGAGAGCGTTCTCATTAGCTCGTCAGGCGGCGTCAGTAGGCTCTGTACGCTCCATGCTCCAAACCAGTCACCTCTTACGTCATCAACGTAGTGGTGCGTCTCATAAGCGGCGCCATTGTCGCTGCTGCCGGATGACGTGACCTCAAATTCCGGATCTGCATCGGCCAAACTCTTGGAAGGTTCGGAGGTGGAGGGCTGCGATGTGGTGGCCAACTGGCTCTTCTCTATTACGTTGTGTACATCCTCCTCAGCTCGGCTTGATAGGGCGCCGAGGTTTATAGAAGGTTTCTCAGGCGTGTCGTTGCGCTTGTTAGACACACGGCCGCTCCGCTTCTTAGGGTTGTGTACTGGGCACTCAACCATCGATTCCCGTCCTTCTTGCCTCGAGATCGATTTTTTGCCGCTCATTTCGGCGGCGTAGCTGTTCTTTGTTAGGAATATGCACATATTACGGTTTCTGCCGGTGGACAGCGCATCGCGCGTACACACTAGTGTACGCTTACGAGGCAATTTTGCAGCTGTGCGAACTCGATAACGCCTCTCTGTTCTACGTCGGTGTCGTCGAAGATGCTGGCGACGGGCGTGCCGCTGAAGTGTTCGCCCATGCAGGCGACGAAGGCGTTCACATCGATGCGTCCGTTGCCCAGTGCCTCCAGCTTGTAGTAGACCTGCGCTAAAAGCTCCATATCTATCGCTGTATAGTGCTCATAAACGGCCGCAACGAACTCCGTGTATTGCATCGTTGGCGTACCTCGGAATGCGATAATGTCGAAAACGGCCGCGGCTTCGTTTCCGTCCATGTCGAGGTGTTTGCGCATGGCCTCGGTGAACTCATTGAGAGTGATGGCTCCGCTCCGTGACGTGTTGATTGCGAAGAAGATCCTGTATATTTCGAGGTTGGCGTTTCTATCCGCTTCCAACACGCACAGTGCCACAAGGGCACGGTGCAGGGGGGTCTTCTTGCTAAAGTCTACCATGTGGCGCAGCACATCCGGCGTCACGATGCTGGCGTCGAACTTCTGCACCTCCTCATTGAGCCACGGGTGGTTGAGCGCCTCATACGCCGATGCGCGCTCCTTGCCGTTCCTGTTGAGGAGGTACCTGATGAACTCCTTCGCCTGCTCAGACACCTGGCTCCACCGTGCCCCGTCGAACTTCAGCGCCCCCTTTTTGATCTTCCACAGAATCTCCTTGTCGCCATCCCCGTTGAACGGCGGGGATCCCGACAGGAGCATGTACACAATCACTCCGGTGCTCCAGACGTCGCACTTTTCGTTGTAGCATCCGTCGATCACCTCCGGGTCCACATAGTATACGGTCCCGTGCGTGCCGCCCATGGGCACTCCCTGCTGGAAAAGCCTGGAGAAGCCGAAGTCAACCATTTTGAGCGGTGCTCCCAGGTCGGAGCTGGCGAAAACCCAGTTTTCCAGTTTCAGGTCACGGTGGCAGATGCCATTTGTGTGCAGGTAGTTTATCGCGAGCAGCATTTGAACGGTCAGCCGCTTGGTGTAACCCTCCGCGAAGCGCTTGTAGCTGTCCAATCGGTCGTACAGCTCCCCTCCCGTGCAATGCTCCATGATGAGGTGGCAGACGCCGACGTCCTCGTAAGCCTCATGCAGGAAGGCGATGTGCGGGTGGTCCAGCTGTGTGTATATTGCGATTTCGTTGATTGCGCTGACAATCGTGCTCCTCGACGGTAGGAAGGTCCTGAGCGTTTTCATGGCATACGTATGCTGTGATTTCCTGTCGAAGACCTCCCGGACTGATCCGCCGACGCCGAAACCTATTGTCGCCGGAGTTACGTTGTACCTGGCGGTCACCTTGTAGTTGTTAAGTATACGTGACCGCCACAGGTCACGGGTAAGCACGAAGTCGGTAATCCTGGGATAGTCCCCGAGATTCCTCATGAGGTCGATATCGCCATGCTCCGGCGATGCTTGTGCGATGCTGTCACCATGTGACGGGGGTATATACAGCCCGGTTGATAGTTCATCGGTGAAGGAAGGCGAAGATTCCATTTGTATCTCCGAGGAGCCCCTTTGTGACTCTGACTCCGTGCCACTGTGCCCGTCCTTCGCCGAGTTGAGCACACATACGGGCCGCTTCAGCCCCCTGAAAAATACATCACATATGTCCGGAGCAATGTAAGTCGATCCTTCGTCGTCTTCCCCGGATTGCTTGGTCGCCCGGCCCAGGAAGTCTCCGTGTAGTCGCGGCGTCGTGACGTGCTGACCGGTACGTACGGAATTCCGCACGCAACAATTTCCCATCGTGACCTAAACCCATGCTTAATGGGTTAAGTCACTAATTGGTAGTCGTGTGTATGCGCAGCGACTCGTTGTGGGTCCTCCATGTGCCTGCGCGTGAGCGTGCCTGTGGATTCCACTTCCCGTACTCATGTCGGCCTCCGGTTCGCAGTCCGCCGACGCGGAAGCGCCGCTATACAGGAACAACCGCTATCACGGGCTGGTCGACAGCCTGTCTTTTGTCGATGCAGTCCCGGTGGAACTCGAGGGGCACATCCGCGAGCTCGTCGAGGCCGAAAAGCGCGCAATTCTGGAGGAATTTGGCGGCGATGAGCAGTCGCTATTGGAGAGCTACATCAAGCCGCTCGGTCCCGCGCCGGACCATACGGGATCAGGTCACCTTTACCATGCGGAGGTGGAGCGCAGGTCACGTGGTAAGTGTCGTTGCGCTCCGAACGACGTCATTTTCGCAGGCGAAACGCTGCAAGCGCTCGACATGGAGCGTTACGCGGGCTATGATCACGTAACGGACATGGATGAACGCCTAGATCATGTGCGTACTCTGAGCGAGTATGCGCAGGGAGCACAGCTCAACCTGGAGCTGATGGACCGCTACAAGGAAGCTGCATGGCTGAGCCACCTCGACGATCTGGTGTCACTGCAGTCCAGGTTCGTTCGTCCACTTGTGCAATTTTACCTATTGTTGATCAGCATGTCGCGCGAGAAGACCCGTCTCGAGTCCGACATCGAGCAGCTTAACAAGGAACGCAAGGTCAGCAATGTGGAGTGGGCTGGGAGGTTGCGCACGCTGAGCCAGGAGCAGGAAGATTACCATATGCGGTAGGTTTCTGGTGTAAATTCGTCACCGGCTGTAGGAACAGGCAGCTGCTTGCAGCCATAGAGAAGCTACAGAACAGCCGCCAGGACTCCGGCACTGGCCCTTAGGCACATGAACACGTGTTCATAACGGTATTTATCGCATTAGAATATTTGCTGTTTCAATTTTATTTCGACGCTTTTCCGCTGGAACATGACAATGTCAGCGCGTCAATGTAGCGTCGCCAGCGTGACGTCGTTGCTTCACGGCCTTCGCGGCATGAAGAATCTCTGGAGAAGCGCGACTGCCTTCTGGTATACATTGCGCATTACCGGCGGCAGGGACGGGTGTGCCAGCAGACGACCAATTCCGTCTGCAAATCGTGAGGCATGCACTTGAAAAGCCGTACCGTGTACTTGGCGGAGTATTGAAATCAGGTATACGTCGTTTCTGGCCAGCCTGTATACGTGATGTGACGTTCGCATTGCGACTCACTTCAACTTGATGAAGTTAGAGTAGAGCAGCACGTTGATGATCGTCCATCCCCCGAGTACAAGCCCGAATATCATGTGGAAGAGCACAACGACCTCCATAATAGCGCGCATCGTGTGCATCTCGACGACGTAGTTGTCCAGCACCTTGAAACAGTTTCTAAAGATGTCGGCTCTGCGCAATGGTCAGGTGATGTATCGCAACCAGGGAACCCGTGCCACGTTATGGGCCCGGACAACTGTCCGTAGACTTACTTCAGTATCAAGGGCATCAAGGAGTGGTGATTCTTGTACAACTTGTCCAGTCCAATGAGACATGTAACCACCTGAGGGGCGAGAATCACCAGCGACTTCGGCGCGGCGAACACGGCGGCTCCGAAGGCGATGTAGAGAATATTACTGTCCCCTATGACCCGTGCCACGTAATCCATGGAGAGCTTCGGCTTCCCATGGTCCTTCAGAATCGCGAAGATCAGGAAGAGGAAGAACGACATTGTCGACGCGGTGTTTAAGGGCTGTGGCACATTTGCGCTGCGTATGCGCTGGCAACTAACCATGAAATGCCTAACAGGCAGAATCCTCGTCAGGCGTGTCGCACACAGCAGGAAGGTCGACACGAGAAAGATTAGCCTCGCCGCGAGCTCGAGGCGCACCAGCACCTCCTTCGCCATTTCCATCGTGAAATACGTTCTTCTAGGCGTCTCTTTTGCTGGTTCGGCTGCTGCACGATTGACAGCACGCGGGTGTGACTCTTACCGGTGGTTGTTGAGCTGCTCTTGCTAGTGGCTGGAGGGTCGACGTCTCCTACCGTGGAATCGGCCGGTAAGTTCGGGTCCTTCGGGCGCTTAGATTAACTTTTATGCAGTAACCCACCACCACGCGTCTGTACCATGCGCGCTTGTACTTGGGTAGTTTGCTGGCTGGCGGGGCCGGGAAGAAGTTGCTGTAGTAGTGCTGCCACTGCTCCGATTCCTCCCATTTGAACTCTACGGTATGTGTCTGGTAATTTGCATTGTCTTTACCCAGGAAGGCCTTCTCGGCGTCAGTGAGTGAGGTGGCCATTTTGGATTCCAGCGGCAACCAGGGTGTGTGTCGGCAATCCACGGACGCTAGGTCGAACCTCCTCGTAGACAGGCCAGCAATGGCTTGAATTATATTATTACCGGCGGAAATTTGCCCCAAAACACGTTGATTCACCCTTCGCGGGGCACAATCACCGCGACGTCCGGCCCCTTGCACACGCCTATTGGCCTCAGGGAACGAGCTTGCAGCTAGATTCCCACCTCCTACATGGAAACGCTATTTTTATAGTTTATTACAATTCAGCTAGATCACTTTTAACTGACACTCAGTCGCTGACGCTACACCGCTGCTCCGGGCTTGAAGTCGGAGCACAGTAGACACAAATTAGCAACATCCCTTGTGTCACGCACAGCTATCTGTTGTCACTCAGTGCTGTCAGCACGACGCGGTTAGTATCTTCCGCCGGTGCGTGCAGTTGCGATTGGCGCGTAGCGTCGACTGCCTAGCGCGTGTTGACCTTGTCGAGGCATTCCCAGTAGATGATGGAGTTCCCCCGAATGACGATCATGCCCAGCTTGACCTGTTCGTCGCCGTTGATTTCCAGCGCGTTGTCCAGGACGATGTTCATGAAGGTGTCGTAGCCGCGCAGCACTCCCACGACGTGCCTGGAGCCATTCAGATGCACTGCAAGGTTGTTAACGATCAGCATACACAATTTAGTATTTTATAAGCGCAAGGCCTGCCTCTAGTGCCGTGGAATCCCAGGCGTTAGAGGTGTACCGCCTTCGCGCTGAGTGCCGTCGGCGCGGCCGTGACACTTACCGTCCAGGCGCTTTTCCATGTACCTACGAAGGTCGGGGGCGGCATTCGATCCTCCGGCCATTTTGGTTACAAATGGTGTATAATTATAGCATCACGTGAGTACAGTGGGGGCCGGCGGCCTACGACTGGACGACCAGCTTAACAAGGTGCTCCATGAACGTCTTGAGAGAGACGTCGTCGGTGTTGACGACCTGCGCATCTTCAGGGTAGTCGCCGTATCCCGATTTGTGTGTCTGCGAGGGGTTGACCTTGGCGAGCAGGAACCTCGCCTGGCTTCCTCCCTGGTTGCACAGAATGAACTTCGGCGTCGGGAAGCGCTCGCTGAGGATGTGGTTCGCGTCGCTCGCGGGGGCCTGCAGCAGCTCCTTGAAGTGGGCGTAGTCAGGCTTGTCCTGGAAGCCCTGCTCGCGCCACTGGTGGATCATGTCTCCGTACCAGATGATGACGTAGAAGAACGAGTCCAGCATGAGGATGACGTTCTGCTTCAAAGAGCACGCGTCGAGCAGCACCGGGTGCGGCGTGGGCTTCTCGAAGGAGTACTCCAGCAGCGCAGGCTGGATCATAATGAGGCTGTTGATGACGTTCTCCCTCATGAACACCGTGCGGTAGAACGCCGTCTCGTCGGGACTGGCGTTGAACGTCTGCAGGAAGTGCGACCTCCTCAGGTGGTACATGAACTGCGGGTAGATGGAGAACTCGTTAGCGAGCCTGAATGTGTGCACGTCGTTCCTCTGGTAGTCGGCGAACTTGGCTATGAGGCTGATGAGGCTCTTGTCCAGCCAGCGCAGCACCGCGATGGAGTCCTCAGTCTCACTCTTGTAGAAGGCATACCTGGCCATGAGAACCGCAGCCGCTTCCTGGTCGAACGAGGGAGCGAGATGGGTGATGTTTGGCTGTGCGTACTTGCAGCTGAACGATGTGACCCTGAGGCGCTTCTGACCGCTCGAGTGGAAGTACACGGTTTGGAACTGAATGAACGCAGTTTTCCCCGCATTCTCAGAGGGCCTAAACTTGTTCTTGTTAGAAGCACCGATTGTGCTTATAGCGTTGCTCAACAAAGAGGTGGCCGTGGACGACCCGTCCGTCACATCGAAATAGAACGCCAGTGTGGATTTCGGGTCGATAGCGCCGACCACCCACTCAGTTGTGCCTCCCTCTCCGATAACGTTAGGAGACACGTTGGGTCCCTTTTTGTTGGTGCTGCTGCATCCGCCCATCACGCCGCTCACCTGCAGCTCCTTGGTGCAGAACACCTCTATTTTAGCGCAATATCCCTGCTTCAAATTTCCCGTTGAGTCCAAACTAAATACGGTCTTCAGCGAATCCTTGAAGACATTCATGGAAAAAGAGTCACTCATGACCATGTATCCACCTGTCTTGTCACAGCACACCTTCATTTCGTACAGACCGGACTGGTCAAGTGAGCACGCGAATATGTCAATCGCATGGGCGTTCTTAGCGCAACGGCTCGCGACAGTAGTGTAGAAAGTGAGCGCGTCCTTGACGAACCTGGCGTTGTGGTGGTCCTTCTGCAGGTCGAGGTGGTGCCTGATGGACTCGCTGAGGGAAAGGTCAACCACCTTTCCGGGACCCAGGGTGCAGGCGCCACCAGTGAACAGCATGGCGCGCGCACCCCTGTTGGGGCAAGCAACCTCCATGAGCGCGACAGCAGCGCTGAGAGCCGAACCCGTGCACCGGTTCTGCCTGGAGTTCTGCGCAACCGGCCAGGCGTCGGGCATGAGCTGGTCAAGGAAGGTGTTGAACATGTACTCGCACTGCGAGAGCGGCTGCACAAACCTCTGGTGTTGCTGCGCCAGATTGAGTATCTTCTTGAGGTAGTCGGCGTCGTGGTGGTGGGTGCCCCTGAGCACGTGGCACCTGGGTATCTCCGAGTCGCTGAGGTCGTGAATCTTGATGACCGAGCCGAACGTAATCAACCCAATTTGAACATCCTGGGGAAGCATGCTCACAACCTGCGAAACGTTTGTCTGCAATGACCGCTGTGCCAACCTGCTGCAGCGAGTCTTTAAGCTGCTCCAGCTCCTCCTCCGGCACGCACGTGTCAACCAGGAAGATGAAGGTGGGCGGAAATAGACCGTTGGAGACACTGGTAGGAATAATGTACTCCATGGTGAGGTTGACGAGCTCCAGAGGCAGGTTTTCCGGCGATATGTGCTCGGCGTGTGAGGGAGGCAAGGGGTTGCGGTTCATCGAGATAGGGCAGGTCCATGTCTTTCCCCTGAAGTCGATGTGGCAGTAGGGGTTAAGAAATACACCGCTGTTGCGGCATCGGACCGGGGAGTAGTCCACGACCGGGATCTTGGCATTTCCCTCCGGGTCGGCCGGCTTGAGAGGTGTGAACAGACATCCGATCGGCACCTCCACCTTTGCGGCCTCCTCGGGCGAGCACGGCCAAACATTCCAGCTAAACCGGAGTCCGGTGGCGGCCTCCAGGCCGGTGAAGTCCATTTTGCTCCTCGTAGCGGATAACACTAAGGCGGCGACACACCAGAGATATTTTTGCCGGTATACCCGTGCCTTGTTCGTACGTGATTTTTTATGCGGCACTTGCGCGATATGATTGCGTGATTGGTTCCGGAGCGTTGCGCGTCGTGCCAGACCCCACCTCTGTCAACCACTCTTAGTGCCTTAGAGTCGTTACAAATTAAGGACCTTTTCCAGGTTTGAGTACACTATGTAGGCAATCATCGCCACGCCGAAATTGTCGGTTCCGGGGCTTCCTGCCTCTACAATGGTGGCGGCGAGCGCCACCGCCATGCTGGCGCCTGCGTGCTTGTAGCCAATAGCAGCTCCGTGCTGGATGAACAGCGCGCCAGCGAGCGCCACAAAGGCGCCTGCGAAAAAGGCGAGGCTTCCGGCAATGGACTTCTCGTGGCAGACAAGCTTGTGTGCCTTGCTTCCTACGATTGCTGCGAGCGAATCCGCGAAAGCGACGGTTGTGAGTCCGATGTACGCCTTGGTGAAATCCATCTGCAATCCCTTCCCAACCTGCATCCACAACGGCAACCCCGTTGCGAGGGCGATAAAGGCGTGCGCGACGACGAGTGACCTGAGCGTCACACCCTCTCCGAATGCCTTGTACATATTGCTTAAGACACGGCTAAGCCTCCCGGGAATGCACCCGTAGAACCGCAGGATCTCGAGCGCAAAGCCGCCTATGAAGATTAGGTAGAGGCAGAGGGCGAAGAGCGTGTGCTGCGTAATTGTCACTTTGGCGTAGCCGTGTCTCACCTGTCCCATGTACATGGCCACGAACCCGTTGACGAGGAGAACCACGTGTAGTCCCTTGCGCAGTAGGGTGATGCAGGGCGACTTGGCCGAGTGCTTGTGCGCGGACGCTGCAGTGAGCAGCGGCGACCTAAGGTACAGAATGGTGACGCACACAACAGTGTGTACAGCCCATGCGGCAAGGGTGATGAGTGCGTCGTTGGTGCTGAAGAGCTTAACGAGGCTCTGAAGTGGCGTAAGCCCGTTCTTGTATGCATTGTAGGTGTATGCCCATAGACCGGCCCTGTAGGCGGCGTATCCTACGACGAATGTGCGTGCGACGTTGGCGAGGCGGCGCCTGATGCATGAACTCGGGTACGACTCTACCGCGAACTCAAACAGCATGACCAAAACTAGCGCCAACAAGATGCAACCCTGCGCTAGAATGCTCTCATGTATATTCCCAGCTTACCGCGTGGAAGCCGAAGTCGGCCAGTTGGGTCAGTGGTCCCCACCAGGTGTACTTGTACCCTCCGCAGACCAGATTCGCTCCCACAGTAAACAGTTGCGAGACTAGCACCGAATCCGTGAAGTTGAGGGATCTGTATGACACATAAAAGCGATGTTTTCATTGCTTGATCTCAACAGCTACGAAAGAAAACGGCGTCTCACAGCAGTACATGCCACCAGCGCATTGCGGTTTGCCACATAGATACCACGGTTCACATTCGCTGCACATCAAACAACGGCAGTTTTGCAACCACTAGGAATACGACTTGCGGGACGTAGCCACGCGTCGGCGCAGAAGGCCACATCGGGGTGTATGCACGCTCTGCTAGGCCGGTGGCAGGTTGTTACATGCATCGCGCGAAGGTATCCGTGTCATAACTCACCTAGTCAGGTCGCGACGCATAAGAACATGCACTAAGGGCTGTAAGACCGTCATTGCCAGTGCACGATGGCCCAATACCACGCCGAACCGTTGGCTCGAATGGTGAAAGACAAAAATGGAGCAGATCAATAGAGCCCAGCTGTCAAACATGAACACATCCAAGACGCATGACAGTGCCGCTCCAAAGAGCAAAGCTTCGGCAATGGTCTTCCCTTTGCCCTGTAACTCAGTGGCGAGGAAGAGCGGCAGCAGTGCAGTCTGTAAGTACGGAAGGATGCTGTTCATGCGGTACAGAAGAGTCTCCTTGTGAATGTTGTCGTAAAGTTGAACCTTGAGACGCGCCATGCGGTCGTACTTCTTGCGGTTGAATTTGCGCAGCGCTACACACCTGTCAGCTCGGCGGCCGCCGTAAACCTACCTAGACCTATTGCTACGATGACGGCAAGTGAGCATGCCACCATTTGTAGCTTGGTGTGGTCGAAGGAAACATAGATAAGGCCGGTGAGCAGCAGCAAGACAGTGCAGTCCAGCGCCAGGAATGTGGCTGCGTTAAATATCAACATCCGCTCCTCCGAACTCACCGACGCACCGCCCGTGCTGCAGAAACTCCCAATTCATTTTCGCTAGTGTGATTAAAGCATTGAGTGAACGCGTGCAGCCGTACCCATGGGGATCGGAGCTGCGCGTCAGTTGAGGGTGTGCGGGCATCACGGAGAATCCGCCACTGCTTAGCGATCCAAATTGGTGGCGATGGCGTCCAAAAACTCTCCCCCGGTGCTGGTCCCGTCGGACGTTACAATCTGCGAGGGACTCTACGCGACCGGGTCGCGACAGTTGTCTTTCAGCGAGCGCCTCGGCCTCCTGTTAACCCCGAATCCGATCCGTTTTACGTTTACTAAAAACGGTCGTACTGAGCTAGAAGCTGTGCTCACGAAGAGCTACGGAGACAACGACGATACGATCACCCAGATTCTGCGAACGCGTCAGGAGTCGATTAGCAAACAGGTTCGATTGAGTACCCAGTGAGATAATGCCGCTTACAGGTGCGATCGCGAGTTTATAATTTTGCTGGAACTGTCGGCCTTAGCCTGCTCTCCTTGTACTCCCTGAGGTTTCACTCCATCAAGACAAAGGTGTTGGTCATCCCGTTCGCTGCGTACGGAGGATCACTCATCGGCCGCGCTTTCGGTGATGCTTATGTCGGCCGCTGGAGCGAATACGGCCGCGACCGCGCCCTGGGAGACCTGCCCAGCATGCGCTACATGACTGAATCGGAGATAAAATCGTATACTAATTAACGAAACATTGCTATTTGTATCGCAGATAGTTCGTTGCACTTTAAGTGCATTTTGGAGAGCTCATCGTAGCACTCATGGAATGATACCTCGCCCCGTTCCATGGCCTTTACCTTGTCGGCAATTTGCTGCTTGAGTGCCTTTATGGATGCCTTGTTGTGTTCGTGGTACGCAGTCAGATACTTCTTCCTCAATTTCGTCGCATCCGCAGGTTTCACCTCCATGTTTTCCACCGTTTTGATTTTCTGCTCGATTGACTTAAGGCGCTCCTGCTTTTTGTTGACGGTGGAGATGACCGCTAGGGCGGCAGCCTCGTTCTCTTGCAGCAGCTGGTGGAGTTCCGACAACAGCGGTTCCAACTGCGGGGAGCTGTACAGTATCTTCCAGCGTGTGTCCTCGTTGGCGAGCATGCTCATGACCTCTTCCCTGTCGGCGCATAGGAGTGTCTGAAACACCCCCGTCGGAGGATTGCGGCAGACCTTCAACAGCCGTTCGTCGACGTTGGCGTCGCTGTTAACCTCCGTAGTTGGGGCGGAATGCTGTTGATCTACCGAGGATGCGTCGTGTTTGTTGGCTCCGGTTGACCCTCCATCGGCTCCATCAATTGGGTTGTGCGCTGTTGATGCGACTTCGGCATCTGGTTGAGTAACTGGCTGCGCAATGTTGTGTTGTTGCCGTTGGTTCGGCGCCGTTGCAGCAGCAGACGCGTTGCTGCTATAACCATCGAACTGAGTGAGGACGGCTTCCACTACATACACCAGTGGCAATTTCTTAAGCCAATCGGGGCATCTACAGAAATGTTAAAATATTATGGACACACTCACGTTATAACTCCGTAGTTGTTGGCCCAAAGGTGCGGTATTGGGTTAATCATTTTGATTTCCACATCCTTGTCTGGGTAGCCCCGTGGCACCTTTATCTCGAGTATGCAGTTGGATGATCCAAAGATAGACTTCACTGGAAGCATGTATGCCGACGATAATGGTCCCTTGTGTGCGACTGCGCAGACTTATTATCATCTACGATAAACGTACGCTTCTTGAAAACCTTTTTCAGAGACGCAATCTCCTTCTCTCGGTTAAGCGCCATCTTGGCAACGTGACGACGTGAACATACGCAGCAATAGTACTCGATCCACGATATGGGACCGTTTCGGTGGTCGAAATTCTGTCCTTCTACTGCCGATTTATATCGACAATTAGGGACGCGGCTCTCCGCGTTATCTAGATGCATAAATGCCCTGTAACATGGTACTTCAGTATAACAATAATAAGTGCTAATAACAGAACAATTGATGTGAGGTATTAAAAGTTTCAGGTGGCAGCTGCAGGTTTAATCCTCCCGGCCACACATCGATACGTGGATTCCGCGCCAAGACGCGCAGCTTCCCCGCATTTTACCCTATACCCTGTTATCTATATTTAATTTAAATAGGAACATTTGTGCACATCAGTTATCACCTCGCGTGCCGGTGGCGATAACGCATGTCATTCTCTGCTGTTCGCACGGTGCTGTCGTTTTAGTGGGATGTGTAGAGGACCATAGAAGGCATCCGTGTCACATCTTGATACGATGTATTTATATCCACGTGTTGCCTTTATTCTAGTTCTTATTGTGCCGCCTTCGTTTTGTCGGTCTACAAGGTAGGTTCCGTTCACATGTGTGTCTAATCTGGTAGCGTTACAACCTTTTTGCCAGTGTCTAATACTTTCGCAGTTCAGATTTCTCCCTGTCGGATCAGGAGCGTGAGTCGATACTGACTAGACTCAACGAACTGGTATCGCAGTCCACACAGGCTCTCGAGGTGTGTCTACCTTCTGCTTCATACAATCGTCTTAAGGCTTTCAAGGAAGCAGCAAAACGTTCAAGCGAAGAAATTGACAAATACAAGTATCTGATTCCTAATAGCAAGGGTTCTCAGACTCAAGAAGCCGTCCGCTTGGGGGAATTAAAGCAACAAAAAGCTGGCGGCAATCCCGAAGCGAGGGGGTTTACGCAGGTCAAAAGTAGCGAACCTGCCTCTCCTGAGTTCATCAGGTAGTCGATTTGCATATGTCATATTTACATAGTGACGCAGAAACGCTCTTTATGCCACGCAGCCAGTCAGTGGTACACCGCAAGCCACGGTATCCGTCGACGCGCTTGAGGTAACGTTTGCGGAATATGTCCGGCTGATCTGTCATTCAGAATCCAAATGATGTGGTAAAGAACGCAACAGAAGTTGCGACATTTAGTGATGACGGCTCTCGAGATTTCTTTGAGGCATGCGGCTCTCATATGTTTTACACTTTGGTTCAGGAGGAGTTGTATCGCATGAAGCGCGAGATGCATTCTTTGAATCGTTTGCATAGTCTGAAGAATAACGCAAATGTATTAAGTACAGAGGTAGATTGCTGAGTTTATGCTCTCTCCCATTAATGCACAGATCCGCCGCCTGATGACCTACAAACCCGAGTCGTCATTACAGGTACACTCGAAGCAGGCACAAAGGTGTGAAGTTTTTGTGAATATCTGACTGTGTTTAGAATTGTTGAACACCGTAAATCTTTGGACTGTGGCTGTCCAGGGTGACGTTTGTGATGGAGAAGAGTGTTGAGGACGCATACAAGCGTTGCGAGGACGCAGCGTGCCGGGATGGTTCGGAAGGTGACTCGCAGATGAATGGAAGAAACGTCAGCCTTCCTCCCAATCGTATGGAGCTAGGAAGAGCTGGATGGTTGTATCTGCATTCCATGGCTGCTGACTTTCCCGATGAGCCGGTGGGTTGTTAGACAGTAATCTTGTATGGCTCTTCAGAGCTCTTTGGAGAGTCTACGGGTGAAGGCGTGGTGCTATTCGTTTGCCGAGCTATATCCGTGCCACATTTGCAAAGATGGACTCGTTGAGATTTATAGGAGGATGCCTCCGGTGACTGACAGTCGGCGTAACCTGTTGTTGTGGACGCATAAGGTGCACAACCAGGTGAATGCTGACTTGTCGCACCCGCATTACGATGTAGTCTATGAGGAGCTGCTTCGTAAATATGCTCCCATTTAGAACTACCATGAGGTGGTATCGTCGTGATGCCTTTGTTAATAGCACTTGTAATTCTCTGCATGTATCCTACAGTGCACGGTTTTAACCCTGCGATTGTCAGAACTTATATCTTGATCGCAATAATAAACACTAATATCCGCTCATCTATACCTGTAGTGGGATACAGTTGTGCTTGTAAGAGCCAGATGTGCGTGAGAGCGTCCGTAGCCGAACGTAGCACGGGCACCACAGTTGGCAACCGGAAAGACACATGAAGCGTGCCGCTATATCATACCCACCAATTCAGCCCCCGGTTATTATTCATACCACTAAACAACGAATGTGGCAGGTACACCACTTACTACAACGCCGATTACGTGCGGCTACGATCTATCATTTGAGTGGGTGCTTAGCGCCTGTTGGCTTAGGATCTTATTTGAAGTAGCCACGCAAGTTCTCGACTATCGGTCTCTGATGCCAAGTGCCGAAATAGATGATGAGTGTGAGCACTACGAAAGCCATAAGGACGAGGCAGAAAGCGGCAATGCCAGTCCTTGTAGGATTACAACATGTGCACCCACAGAACCACCGATTTCCGCAGTCCCCGCATTTTTCTGCGCATTTGTTAGTAGCAGAACAGCTCCCATGCGACGCCATCTCTCCCCGTCTAATTAATCAGCCTTGAACAGCGATTATCAACGTACCCAGCTGATGGTAGCACGTAGAAGGCTGCAAACCTCAGTGCTGCAAAACCAGCATCCCACAGATGTCTCTATGTGTTTTGACTAACTCGAACTATGCAACGGTTAGGTTGTAATCATAATGCGTCATCGAGTATGCATGATACGGTGGGTAAGCAGGGACTCACCGAATACTCTCCTCGTACAATATATCCCACAGGTCTTCATTTAATGTGCTAATGTAATGCTATAATATCTTTGATCAAAGTGCAGGGCCTTGGACCCAAGGTTGCCACGTCATACGCCGGACGCGAGATGGAGGAGACCGAAGATTCGTAACTGAGGTCTTAGATACGATAACTGTCTTGAGCACTGCAATTACGAAAGCACTAATTCGCGGATTAATTGCGTCGTCAAGTTGTTTACACGTCGGACCGTGCGCTTATGCCATTTCCAGTAGCAGAGAAGAAATTGTCACCCTGAGCCTAGAAAGCCAGAGGCATTTTTTAAGCTCTATCATCCAACAACGATGTGTTTATCGGCAAGCATCGCGTTCACTGACATTGCCCTAATCTGTTACCCTTTGAGAGATCGGTGCGGAATTTCCAATGCTTTATAATCCGAGTCATTTCGTCTTATGTCCCAGCTGATTCAGACTGGGGCGATAAGCACGGTTCAAGAGGGCAATGGTGCTAAATGTCGGAGAACACATTGGCCAATCAAGCGTTGTTCGGGGTTCTGAAAGGGTTTAAGTGCTGCTCTTCAACGCCCCGCAATCAACATCTTTGTTAGCGATCGTGCGGCTGCAGCTTGAACGTTGTTACTACGCCTTCGCAAAAGCATCGCCATTTTTCATGCTGGTACATTCAGAATATGATGGTATATGTTGCCTCCAACAGTGTTAGGCGTATGTACCATTTTCCAGTGAGTTTCCCCACAAACTGTTACGGCGGCACTGCTTGAAGCAATGTTCAGTGAAACGGATCACGTGGGGCGTTCTACCGATAATATCCACCACGACTTACTTTTAACTAGGCCATTTCATTTACGCTTGTGAAACGTCCCCCATGTTATTGAATGGCCAATATCTGCGCAGGTGCCGCTGTCTAGATTTGGTCACTGCACTTGCTGCGCAGCATTAATATAGTGATAACGTCTGTTGCTACTCGCTCATTTGGCAACCATATTACCATGGGCATAGTAAATATTTTGCAATGTTCTGTTGGATGATTCAACCACACTAAGGATTCACACTTGGCAGCTTACCCACTACCATCAACGTGATGGCAGGCATGATTGCAGGTTCTACAGCCGTATAATATGCCAGAAATTGTGAATAATGGTCGTGTGTTGATTAACCAGGAGGCTCTATAAATCTAGGTGAGCTTGCAAGGAAATGGTTTATGCATGTGGATTTTTACCGTGTATACCCTGCATCACATGCAGGTGCGCGGTATCCCGCATTGGCGGAGTTAAGGCGCTGACGCCCACACGATCACTACGCATCGCGACGTAAACAATGTCTTGCAGATAATACAATGGCTGTCATATGTTTCCAATTTCTCAAGGAGTTAAAGCTGCATAGGTTTAACGTTAAAACAATCTGGGACTGTTCTGCAAGATTGTTCGGTGTAGTTTTCAAGTGAGCCTAAAATGGCTTCGGGGGAATGTGGATGTGATCAAGGAACGTGTAAGAGTGGGAGTGATCCATGTTGCCAGAAAAGGGGCTGTAAACAAGATCAGCAGTGTAAATGTTGCCCCTGCACATGTTTTGACGGTGGTAACAACAGATTTTGTAAGTGCTGCCCCTGGTGTTGTGATAGATGCAAGAATACAAGTTGCCTGATATGTACCACTGAAAAAAGGAAACGCCCACCTGGAAGGTATAAAAGTTGTACAAAATGGTTCTGTCCATGTGAAGGTTGTACAAATCCTGGGATGACAACAATCTGGTCCGTAATCGCCCTTATAATCTTCGCATTGTTACTCGCATTTGCTGTTTACCTCTATAAGACGAAATCACCGGATTACACCATAGGCCAATATTTCTCCGAGTGGACAGGGTATTCGGCCACGTATGCCGGCCTTGGAAGCAAGAATCTCTCGTAACTAACTTATTGCGGGAAGATTACTCGCAATGTCACATCGTAATGTACATGTACCATCACACAAGTTTAATGACTGACTTGTTTTATGTTCACGGTTTAGAAGTATTTGTATTGAATTCGTGTGTATGACGGAGGTGTGTTATCGTAAATACGCTCTGTAGATTTCAGCTGGTTGCTTCTGGACAAGTTAATGTGGTCGAATATTAGGCTCATAAAAACAAAGGTTGATCGTTACATTCACGACGGATTATGTTATGCGCCAAACCACCATTGAACATGGTTCGCGTTAAACGGACACTTATTATGGGAAAAGATGTATTTTACCATAGTGGGCCACAATTAAAACACCATGTTGTCTTACGGTGTGTTCGTTTAGTGTCAAGATCACTGCTGTCCCACGACAAACGTGACATAGCGATGTATATTCCTATCCTTCCAGAACGAATAAATTAACTCCCGAAAGACGAGAGGCTTATATTTCGTAGTCATATGCGCTGAAAAATGGGCGCTACACAGAGTCAGCACGAGCTCGATGTTGTATCCTTGGGAGCATCTTGAACAACCCGCCGCTAAGCATAATCGGACATCCAGCGATAATAAACCCCGCACGTGTTCCCAGATTATCGTAGCCGCCGCGCTCGCAAGCATCCATGATGAACGCCATCGTCTACTCTTATGACATCTGCAGAAGCGGCGAACGATGGCGCGCCATGCCGTAACGGCTGAAGGTAAGGATGGCGCCTTTTGTTAGTCATGAAGTAGTCAATCAACAAAAGGCGCCGACAGTCCACATTGATACCGTATACGGAGAACACCTGCTGGAGCTCGGATACGATATGGGCGCAGGCAACAACAGTCGTGTTGCAAGATCGATCTTCAGGCTGCCAAGGAAGCAGCGTTCTACTGCCCAGCACCGTACGTCCTGGACCCACCCAACTGCTTCAGCCAGGTCGCGGTTAAAGGTACCGTCAAGAACACGGACGACCTCAGCAGGTCATTGGTAGCGTCGCGATCCAACCACTTTGCAATCCTAAGCTTCGACAGTTCACTCGTCGGAGTCGGAGAAACGCTGCGCCAGGCGCCGCCATTGGGGTGCCGCTGCGTCACCGTCAAGGGTGTCGTTCTCTCCACCATCCAGATAGAGAACTACTACTCCAAGTAATGAGTTGATCAGTGAGGACAACTAGTTGCTGAATTATGCGAGCTGATTTGCCTGTTGCCGTGGAATCATCGATTTGGGTTGTCCAACGCTTATTGCGGTTGTCAACTCAATACCTTATTCTGTTGTCATTATGGTTGTGTATTGCATATGTATGAATTAATAGGTGTAATAATGGGAGTGAATTGTTATTAAGTCTCGCCGCATCTTCCTTGCGCTTCTTGTAGTGTGGGAATAAGGAAGTTGTAGTAGGAGCATTTTTATTTATACTCATACATTCGAACATTGGCAATGCCCTCAACACGCATGAATGGATATTACGTGATGCGTACCAGTGAGATTCGCTTATTTTACTAATGTTGGTGATCTACCACGGTGATACCTTGTGACCACTTTAGCCGGCAGGTGGGGAGGCATACATATATGCCTTTATCTACTCCTTAGATGTTTACAAATAACCACATCATGTGCTTTACAGAGCTACAATAAATCATACCGACATTTCGGAAGTGCGCGTTTCAAGATGTCATCGGACCCAGCGACATAGCCCGCAGCTTGATGGGACGGGTAAGGGAGAAGAAGCGAACGCTTCTTAGTGGGTAGTTAAATATCAGGAAGGTGATTTGAATGTCGTAAATAAAGCACATTACTGATATGGGCGAACGATATTAGGCGAGGAAATTCAATGAGGAGTCCGACCTCAGCAGGGTTGGGATGTGAGACCTTACGTCAGTTAAAGTATTTCGGTTCTCACATGGCAACGAATGGAATAACGAATATGTAGAAGTGATATAACATTTACGTTAAGTGATTTTTGTGTTATGTTGTCATCTAAGTGAAGAGATGTCATGGCACCATGCTGCTATAAGGTGAGTGACAAGAGTATGGCAAGCGGGGTTTATACTATGGCAATATTCAGAGTTGCAAAGCACGAACACCGTGCAACAGTTAGTGCAGGGATTCAGCACCCCTACTAGTGCGGCCAGCAAAGTGTGGGGTGAGGTTAGCAACATGTAGATGACTCCACTGGGCGCGGTATCTACGTGGTGGGAAGCGCCCGAATGTAGTATCCCTGGAGGTGGTCGCCTGGCGGTTGTATCGTTCGACGTTAAGGTACGTGTTTGATGCCTGTGCAGGTTAGTGAGAAGTGAATTAGGGGAAGATGACACAGCGACAGTGTTTGGATTGTGGTGATAAATGTAAACCATTTGAATGTGAGTGTTGCCCCTGTTGTGAAGAATGTTTAACTTGCGTTCAATGCTTCTTAGGAAACCAGTATCGCGCAAGACGCGAGCAAAATTCCAATTGCAACGCTAGGAACTGTAAGATAAATTGTAAACAGTTACCCACATGTGAATGTACATGTTGTAAAAAGGACCGTATACTCCCTGCCACCGATGCCATCCATTCCACCACCTATTTCACCGCTCCCATCATCGTCATAGTCTTCATCATAGTCATCGTCGTATGCGTCATGAGCGTCTTTCGCATTAGGCCGTTCCATAAGGTCCGTGATTGTTTCCTCCGCAAGTGAACGTCCTTTATCACAATCTTTAACCACTTCCGCCATTTATTATAATCGCACTTATCGCACCTTTTTAGACATTACCGGCACGATGCCAATTTAATGCCTCAAAGTTGGGCATCGGCAGCTACCCGGTGAAAGTTTTCAGGAGTTACATCATAGCAGCGCGTTAGTGTCGCGGGCAGGGGACTACGGTCCGAGAACCAGATGGGCACGAGGAGCAACGTACAGGGTGCGAAGGAGCACGCGTTGTCGAACATCGCGCTCAATGAGAAGCACAACGGACAGCTACGCGCAGTGTGGATCGACGTCATGAAGGCGTACGACTCCATCGACCACGACTACTTGGCACAGGTTATTGAGAACCTGCACTTGCCAGGGTGGTTATCACTATTCATCAAGCAAACGGTGAAGAAGTGGAATATAGAGATAAGGTGGCACAACAACACTCTCATGCACAAGAAAGTCGAGAGGGGCATACTACAGGGTGATAGCCTGTCGCCCCTTCTCTTCGTCTTGTGTCTGGACCCACTGAGCAGGCACCTGACCCGCCTTTTTCCTAAGGTGGAGATACAAGTGCCAGGCGACAGAGTCTACGCGACAAACCACTTTCTCTATATCGACGACCTAAAAATTTTCGCCCACGAGGAGAGCACGATTATCGGCATGACTCGGGAAGTGGAGCTATTCTTCAAAAATACAGGATTCGTGATCAACCGCGACAAATCTGCAACTAACACGGAAGCTTGCTCAAGCATAGCGAAAATGATGGAAGGGCCAGACACGTACAGGTACCTAGGAGTCACGGAGAACAGGCACTCAATCACTGAATGCAATGCGGTGTACGAGACAATCGTGAACGAGATCTGCAGGAGAGTAGAGCTACTCGCAACTTCGAAGCTGTCAGCGAAAAACCTATCGCTGGCCATAAACGAGTACGCCCTGAGTGTAATCAACTACTACGTGGGAGTTATCCCCATGGACATCACGTACTTCAACAGGATAGACCTGGAAGTGCGCACAAGAATAGCCGATACGAAAGCACACGCGAAGTGGGCGAACACGCAACGGCTCTACCTCCCCCGAAAGGAAATGGGGAGGGGGCTTCACAGCATGGTATTTAGAGCAGAGGCCATGTTGTTACGACTGTGGATGACGTTTGCAGCAGACGAGGCAACGTCAGAAAGAAGAGCTGCCATAATGCAGCATTACCGCGAGACCTATGCGCACATATCACTCTTATTACTACATCTGGAAGGAAGATATGGACTGAAGTTTGAGCAAGAGGACACAATAGAGAAGTGTCTCAGGGACCTCAGGAGGGCCCAGAACAAATGGCTATACGACAGAATGGAGGTAAAATCAACACATAAGGTTCTGTTTGCCAAGCGTGACGACCCCAACTTGGACATTGAGGGATCTTCTCTAGTTTTCACAAGTGGAATCCTCAGTCCCTCAGAAGAAGCGCAAGCCGCGGCAGTTCAGGACAGGAACCTGACATGGATGTCACCGACGAAGAAGTGTCCGAGGTGCAAGAACGGCAAGAATGTGGATCATCTCGCAACAAAATGCCCGAAAATGCTGCGTATAGAGTATACGAGGAGGCACGAGGCAGTTGCGAGGATAATCCACTCGGAACTCGGGAGGCAAATAGGACTACCCAAGGAGAAAATGGACGCCCACAAGATCGAGAGCGAAGTGCACGGGAAACACGGATGGATCGCGTACGACAAAACGGTCAAGACTCAGAAGATCAAGGAGTACAACCGCCCAGACATAATAGTGGCGGATCGACGGAGGAACATGATCACCATCGTGGAAATAGGAATCACCAACCAGGATAACCTAGTGGAGACGGAGATATTCAAGAAACGGAAGTACGAAGCTTTGATAGAGGACCTGAAGGCGCGGCAATTCAACCAGCACACAACGTTCAGGGCAATCCCCTACGTAATGACGTGGGAGGGGATAGTGACAAATAAACACACCAAGTACAGGCGGGACCTGGGCATATCGGATCGCTTAGAAGCCCATATACAACGGGTAGTGATCCAAGAAACACAAAAGCTAGTGTTGAGGGACATGAAACCCAGAGAAGATTATGACTCTGTGAATGACCCTCTCGCCCAAACAGGATGGATGCCACAATGGATGGTACCTGTGACGTTCGGTAACATGACGTTGAAGGAGCAGTATGTGTCTATAGACCGCAGATCTTAATCTCTGATGATGCACTAAAATGGCCCTAGGCCACACGTGGCCAGATAGCACATTAAACTAAGCCGAAACAAAGATAAGGCTACGCAATAAAGAAAAACGCAGGAACTGCCTGACCGTTTACATTTTCATACGCCCCGTACTGCGTTTAATTTGCTAGCATGGGTGCTTATGTCGTTCTGTCCACATCCCCAGCGGGATGGCTCATTCAAGTATGCAATGTAGAATCTATTTAGCGAGGACTCAAAGCCTTAGGCCCTCACCCTAGTAAATCGTAGGATCACCACCGAGTACACATAGCGTTACTGTATCAACGCGACGCCCCATCCAACGTTTTATCTACACCCGGTTACCCAAACCGGCAGAAGGTACTCCCAGCAAATCACCGCAGAGCAACCGAATGGAAACAACGCTCGTACCGTTGAAACAGGCGTGAATCAAACCTATACTTGTTACTCTATGTGCGTGGCATTTGCTCTAGGATCTGTATGATCGCAACCGACTCAGGCAGCGACACGTCAATGGCTGCTCCCGTTGCGACGTTGCTGCCTTCTAAATCGTCCGCGCTCCTTTTCCGATGTATTCATCAAGCACCTCACTAAACTTTCATTCGCGTGACATAAATGGTGGCCAGAGCTCGGGAATGTTGGCCTGGAGTTCCATCTGCTCGCCTACTGCATCCGACCTCTTATGGTCTCACACACAACTAAACTCGAGGGCATCGACATTCGGGTATGGCTCGGTGTGTGTGCGAGTCACAGATTAGATTTTTGTTTCTCGTATTTACTCGTCATTTGAACGCTGCTAAATTAATTGCTGTTTTTTGCGGGACTTCCGTTCGACGCGGCTTAGTCATCCTCACCCTCGGTGGGAGTAATTCACCGTGTTGCGAAACATGTGTTGATATCATGATCATTTCATGACACACAACCCAAAGAAAATTAAAATCACTATTTTCGGACCGCGTGTGTATCGTGTGGTTCGGTGATTCGACATCACTTGCATGATTCAGTTGAGTGCGTTGTTCGCACGTTGTGTATAATGGCCATTTTAACAGGTTGATTAATAGGGAATATATATGGGAACGGGGAATATTGCATCTTCATAATGACTGATCCAAATACTCAACAAGTTGAAGATAAGGAACCACCTAAGAAATATGACGGCCTTGCTAGGGCCCTGTACAACGTCGTGTCGTTAGTGGAAGGTTACGACCAGCAGATGTTATCCATGTGTATGAGAGCTTTCGAGATAACTTTGGGTGTTTCTCAGTCTCAATTGTCTACGATGGCCACCATGTCGACAATGTCACAGCTGGGTTGTTGTTTAATTTGGGGTATGCTTGTGGACAAACGTGAACCGCACCACGTCCTCGGTGCAGGGCTTTTACTCGTGGGCGTGGCATCTATTCTCCTAAGTTCTGCATCGCACTACAAAGTGGTGGGTTTCTGTAGTGGCACAGTTAATTCTCTTGCAGATTCTATTCTTGCGGTTCTTACACGGATTTGCATTTGCTTGCATATACCCATCCCAACAAAAAGTTGTGTCGGATTCCCAACCCGAGGGGAATTTCAGCATGGTTTTCGGTATATTGCAAGGCTTGAATTGCCTCGGACGTTTGTTTTGTGCCTTTATCACTACGTTAATTGCTCAGAAACTTATGTTGGGCTATTACGGCTGGCGTACTTCTTACGTCGTCTTGGGATACGTGTGGATCTTCGTTGGTGTCGCCATTGTATTTGGAATGAAAGGTGATTGTGTGAATTCCAAATGCCAACACAAAGGAAGCTTCAGCGACCAAATATCGGAATCATTTCAAAATGTTTTTACAAGGCCTACGCCATTGGTGCTAATGTTCGCCGTGTTTATCTCTGAGGCCCCATTGTGTGCGTTTTCATACATGGTTTTATACCTGCAGTACTTGGGGGTATCTGACGTCATGGCCGGTGTCGCAGTAGCTGTCACACTGATCGGCGCCGCTGTAGGATGCGCAGCTGGCGGTATGATTCTGAAGCAGGATGAAAGCTCGGAGAGTGACCATCTTCACCTCATTTGCGGAACCGCAGTAATGGTCGTCAGGCTTATTGTGTGTCTATGTTTCTTTCTGGGGAAGGCCCCGCCCGGACGTTTACTTTGGTATCATTATGTTGAGTTTGCTCTGATCGGGGCTTCTCTGATGACACTCGGTGCCGTCGACAGACCACTTATTAACAATTCGATAAGAAAAACGATCCAGGGCACAGCGTCTGCCATAATTCGTTGTATATCAGGAATTGCAAGTAGCGTAATCTTTTACCAGCTTGCTGCCTATTTGTCGGAAAAGGTGTTCGGGTACGTTCCGTCTAGAGAGTCTTTTGAGGCAATGGAGGTAACTATTAAGGATAGAAACGCCGCGGCCCTGAGGAAATCAATGATGTACATTATTGTAGCGGGCACCGTTCTCAACATTGTTTGCTATGGCGCGCTATTTGGCATATATCCGGAACACAAGCGACAAGTTAAAGGGCAGAATGGGACAGCTCCTGGGCAATCACCTCTAGTAGGAGCCGCAAATGTGACGTGTTGACGGCATGAAAATCGGGTAGGGCACATATCTGAACCCGGTTGCGTAGGGAATTTGCAGCACCTCTTAGACTAGCCTATTAGTGAGCGAAAGGTGTTAGTGCCAGGACCATTTTACATTGCCCTCCCGTCCGGTGCAGTTGATGTTTTAAATTGTGGTGGAGAACGTATTTGTGTGGCAGCAAAGTAGCCGCCAATACGGTATTGTTGGTGGACGACAAAGGAAATGTATTTGTAGTTAGCCGAATGAAAACTATTCGCTATTCTAATCAATCGACGGAATAAAGTTGAGGATCAGCAGAAACCTTTGCTGTGTACCAATAGAAGCATAGAAAGTGCATTCTTCACAAACCAAAAACTCCGGCAGTCCCTACTAATGCAAAGACGTACGAAGGGCTGCACCTGTCTGAGCGCATCTGCTCCAACGCCAATGTGCGTGTGTGGGCACTCAACTTCGTAGGCGGCGAATACCAATATTACAGATGTTCAGTGCGGGTCCGTGACTTCGCAATTGCCGAATGCGTCGTTGACAAATCACGAGTACGTCGCGTTCATGAAGTCTGCTGGATCGACCACTTCTACATCTCCACATATCACGGGCACTCATCGAGGTACTGAAGCAGAGCTTCTACCAGCGCCGATTGGTTGGCCAAAACGATTGTTTGTGCTGTATTCGGTTTGTAGATCTGCGCAATTTCAAGTTGGAACGCTGTAAATTGGGATTGCGGCGGGTGATGGAAATTCGTCACCAAACGAAGCCGTACCTCGTTTTGTGCAGGCCTTCCCGGTGGAGTCATGTTTATATATGGGTTGTGTCGGTTTGGGGATAATGACACTGGAATATAATTTGCCGATGTTTACTTAGCTTAGTAACCATGTAGGCGTTTCATTTATGCGGGTTTATACCGGTGTACTTCTCTCTGGCTATTATAAGAGAATTGGGATTTAAAGTTTACTTCTCGCACTATAGGTGATGGGAGAACGCTACATTGAAACCTCACGGCGACGGTGATGGGTGGACTGGGCCTGAGAGATTATCTTGATTCGAGTACCCCTGAAAGCCAATGGACGACGTACCCCAAGCACCTAACATTCTCTACGAAGAGAAGATGTACAATGCGTATGCCCGTGCACCTCACGCGCTACAGGACGTCCCACCTTATCGATGTCACGGCGTTACTCACTCACGACGAGAAATGCCCTCACGCTACGACGTCGATTACTTCGACGACGACCCAGTTGGCTTGATTGTACTCTAGCAGTAATTTTCGCATTCACGTTTTCGGTTTGTACGTAATGTGGTATGTATCTGTGCATTAGTTATGAGTTGTGTTGCTGAGACGTATGCAGTGCCATGGTGTCCCGCAAGGTCGCAAAGGGTGCGTAACTTCTGGCGCAACCAGACCCACATAGCTAACGCAACACACGACGCAGCTGAACCTGTTATGCTGGAGTCGCAGTGACCCAGTTGTCGACCTTAGTGGCACAAAAGCATGGCAACAGTGATTTGTGAAGCTCGATGAGCGATGATTCATGCTGGCGCCTCAGAAGTCCCACCCTGGGTGAGATGGTTATATATATCTGTTTGGAGACAGTATGTGATCCTAGCACTTTGGTGAATAGCCAAGAGAACGTGGAGGCGTGTTGATGGCAATGGTGGCGATGATGTGACAACGACGGGACACCATTGGCTCTCTAACAGACGACTCGCAACCCACCATAAATTTACAAACTCTTACTCATCGATGCAAACATACTAACATTTCAAGGTTTAATTATCTGTAATATCGCCTGAAACATGGGCACGAAAATGACATGCATTGTAGATACTGCATGCCAGGTGAATGGTATGGACTTGCCGTGATGGGGTATCTTGGTTGTCATGGCACCTTCAACGTTCCCCTGTTTTCTGTGTAGACAGATTTGTATACTTCAATAAGGCGCGCATACATTGGAGGGCAACGGCGCTGTTGTGCCTATTTGCCCTTAAGGCACAGTTGGAGGTAACGCTGCTAATTTTATACGCGGGCTGTTTTGTAAATTGGCCTGCAAATAGACAAAAAACACACACGTTCGTAGAAGTCGTCTACTTTAACGAATCTTTACAAAATGGTATTCCATTCATTGACTGAGGTCCCTCGGGATTTCAGGGAAGGTATTGACTGGTTGATAGCCCTGAAGGGAAAGGGTGGAAAAAACATGGCAGCCATGGGCGCTGCAGTCTACAAATTTCTCGCAGACAAGCCGGATGACTCTAACCAGTTGCCAATTTTCCTGAAAGTCAAACTTATTACTAAACATTTCTTGGAGCAACCAGAACTTAAAGACCTGCGGGCCGTAGAGTTGCTGCTGCAGAATTTCCATAAACCCAGGGATAGAAACTCCGGTAGCTTCGGAAAGTTCTTTAGGGATTTCGACAAATGCGATGATGAGGACGCCGTGAAGGACTGGGGTATCACCGCTGAAAACATCGCTGAGAAATTATCTAAATCGGTGGATGGTTGTGAGAAGTTCCTGAAGAGTATCAAAATGCCTGGCCAGTACAAGCCCGCTTACAGTTCGAAAGCAACGTGGGATGCATCATGTTCTCAGGATCCTGAAGCTTGCGCGGCGGTTCTCGTGGGTATTGCGCCAATGCTATACGCAGGGCTAATGTCTTTGTGGGATGCTACAGATGCTGCTGAATTTAGATTGGCACCCTCTAGGGCGAAGGAAAACCTGGAAAATTTATTGAACGCTTTGCGTTGCGTGAAACCGGAGTGTCATGACAGCATGAGTCGTTCAGACATTGTCGATGCGTTGGGCGGTGTGGATATAGATGTATTGAACACGCTCATCGAGCTCTCTGGATTCTGGGAATTCCATGGATTGGAAGACGCAGAAGTTGTAAAAGCTAACAAGCTATTCTCTCGCAAAAATGGATCCTACGCGGTATCAGAGGGTATCGGTGGCGTAAACATGGGTCTGTTACATGCCTGGAATGCCAAGAAATCGAACAAGCCTCCCAAAATATATACCGGTGTAGGCTCGAACAACTTCCATGTTCCAGGTGCACCTGCAGTGGCGAATTTGGACTATGGTAGCCTAATCTAATAGGCGATCCCTTGTTTATTCGTTTTGTCAAAGGAGCTATTTTTTTCAATCCGTTTATCAATTATGTTTTGATATATACATATTCTCTGTATCCTTTGGTCACTGTTTTAGACATGCTGATCGATATACCTAACAAGCAACCTAGTAGATTGTATTAGAGGTATTAAGATGGCACTGTCGTGGCGGGATGTAGGTATTAGTGCCGCGGCTGCATCATCTAATTAGGTGACAATGTGTGATAGGCCGTCCGGATAACATCTTCGTGTACTGCGACAACATCATCGCTATGTTGCAGATCGACATTGCCAATCAACGTAACATTGTTGAACTAATTGTCTGACAGCTATGAATGATCATGTTTACAAGACCGAATGGACGCCATCATGGATGAAACCAACGTTACGCAATAGTATGGCGCAGATCCTGCGGCCGAGATCAATAGCTTGCCAGGCATGAGCACCTAGTCAGCACGAGAGGCGATCCATAGCGAACGTAGCGACCGGGCACAATAGAGAGCAAAGAAACAGCAAATGCATATTTGCCATGCGTCATTTGATGGCGGTATGCAAATTTGGTGCTCGTTTGCCGAGTTTTCGGGCATACCCACTGCTATCATTGCTTCTTCTCATACACGTAGTCATAGCGTTTGTTCGAGTGCCTCAAGTGTGTTAACTTTGCAGATATTGAACACCGCCCACATAATATGTGTACCGCGCGAGTAATGGTCCAGTCTCCCATTGCCGCGATGTGCGTCGACTCTGACGTTCCTTTTCATGTACGCTGGAGAAATCTGCACAATTATGTTAACACAACGGCCTGTGGTTATCCAACACGCTACATCCCTTATGGCTGCGTTGGTAATGGGTGGATGCCTGAGACTTAAAACCCTAGTCTGGTTAAGAAGTTCCGCAGGTCGCCGTTAAGTGGTTATCTCGCACGACACTACTACGATTTACATGTTTGTGCCAAACATATAGGTCACTAATATTGGAGTGCCGCGTAGCAATTGGCCTGAGCAGACCCCGGTAGTGGCGCCCATCTATACACTGGCAGTTCAACATCATGAGAAGCAGTTCAGTGATCGGCATTATGTTGCGTAACAGTAACCATACCTCATTGGGGAGGATGCTGCAGAATGCCTATATAACGATGTCGGAGAAATTGCTTCACACCTGGCTGCTGCCACCGGTGTGGGGAAGGATATTTAGAGAATCGATGATGACAGTTATAACGATTGAATAACAGCTGTCGTTGTAAAGGCCATATCTGTCGAAATGGAAAATGGCATCACTTTCGTATAGGCGGAGTAATATCTCTCCAGCTGCGGTGATAGGGTCTTGGGCATGTATATATATAATACAGCTTTGAAGAGCAATGCTAAAACAACATCCGAATGCGATCAATTATAGGCGGGTTACAGTCAACCGGTTGCTTAGGGTTTCATTGCTCATCTGGCCTATGGTGATTGCAACAGTGAGAAGCAATTGGTGAAATGAGACGTGATTCTGTTTGGAGATCAAAGATTGAGAATAGACTGCTTTAGAACATTAATTCAGAACAATATTGAACGATGCGATATCTGATGATTACGAAGTAACTCTTTTAGAACAAAGCTTCGCAACCGCGTGTAAATGCCGTCGTTCGGGGTCCGCTTTACGTTTTGGCTCAGAGTGATCATTTGACCCTTTTTTATCTGATACTCATCGTAGAGAACTTATACACCCAGCATCAATGATCACTTAATGCCAGCACGTGATATAATAATACCGTCTACCAACCCAATTACGAACTTTCTATCTTTTCATAACGCGGTACGCATGGCACGGAAAAATGTGGGCTTGCGAAGGCTAAAGCTGGCAGTTCTGATAAGAAGTTTGACGACGTTAGATGCATCGTGACATGAGTCATTGTTATGTATTGGGCGCATTAGAGTCCGGTGATCCCTTCTTACCCACTGTGCCATGCACCTTAAAGACAGGTTCCTGGCAAGAATTTTAGTTGCTGAACGAAGTTACATAGAAAATACTAACAAAGACAATACACGATATATCTACTGGGGGAACAAAGGTATCGCAACCCTTGAGTGCTAAGAACTGGGTGCGTTGTTAATCGTTGTTCAGGTTGATCAAGATGGGTCATCTGGAGGGACCATTTAATCGGTTGTATGCCGGAATGGGTGTTGTTATTAGTCTCTTGGTGCTCGTTGCCTTGACCATTTTAGTTTGCAAAATACTCAATAACAATGGAATTGAAACGATTTTTGACAAGATAGGCCGTTCAAAGCATACCATATCAGAGTTCAAGGTTGCCTCCAATAATCTCTCATAGCCTCACCTAGTCCACTTGAAATCCTATAGTTATGTTACATCCGGTGTCAATGCATTAATCTTTCACCAGTTTAAACAGTCAATATCCCGCCACTACCCTCTCGTACAACCGTATTGGAGGAAAAACAACATACATTAGTATTATGAACGAATATTTCCCCTCACTGTGATCACATGACGATGGCCGCATATGGCCAGCTTCGCCAACCAACAGTACTGTGCATTTCCCTACCATACCTCGGCGCATATAGAACAGTAAAAACATATGCTGTAATATTTCGTTAGAAAGATGTTTGTGTTTATGATGCTCTAGTGTGTGGGCCTCCATACATCTCATTCATTCCTCTCCGAAGAGGTCCGCCATGTCGTCGACTATAGTCGCATCCTCCTCGATGGTTGGTCCCGGCTCCACATGCGTAGCCGCCTGCGTAACACTCGTGTTGAATACCGGCATATCCTCTTCGTATGACTGTTTCACCCAGTATCCACATCCCTGGTTGCAGCATACGAAGACAAGCATCATGGCATCGTCATTCACTCGCTCGGGGAGCTGGAAGAATGCAGCTTTGTTCCATCCGCACCTGGCGCACTTCCAGTGCGATGTGCGTCCCAGAGTAGGGTCCTTGATTACCAGTGGGGATACAATGATGTCATCCCTGCGTGTAAATGTATGATCCGTCGCCTGACCTACTTGGTCTGGTAGTGGTACGTGGTGCGATTGACGCAGTTGTCCGATATGCTGGATGGGTCAGCCCAGCGCGAGTAGTCGCACTGTCGGCAGAGGAATATGAGCTGAAGCTTAGCTGCGTCCGGTTTTGCGTACAAAATGTTGTTGCTGCACATGAGTTCGACAGGACAGTGTGGTTCACGTACCACTCGGGGCAGAACTTGAGGTCGCTCATGGCTGCGATATGATTGTGAAAAGCGTTCTTTGCGGAGTTGGTTAGAGTTTCTTAGGCTCTGGCACGGTTTTACCGCCGCCTATGGTGTTGAGCGGTTCCTCGTCTGCTGCTTCTTTAAAAGTGAGGTCGGCAATGGCAACCCTGAAGCAGAGCCCTGAGCATGTTTATCGACATCGCAGCCTAAACATACCTACGGCAACCCTCGCAACAAAAGCGAAAACGCAGCAGTGCCTTCACCGTGTAAGTTCGGTAATTGCGTTCTTACCTTGCGTACTGCACTGAGGCGATTTGCAGCGCGAAACCAACGAGATTCCAGCTCTGTAGCGACTGCCACACCTACACTTGTGTTGATTAATGTCTAATTTCCACTTACGAAGAGCCTATTGCACAGCAGTGCCAGCGGCAGCACCGCGTATAGGACCGTCGTGAAAAGCAGTTGAGCCGAGAAGTAATGCGCCCACGATATATCAGCTCTAACCCCTAGCCTTCGCAAAGCAACCAACTATTTAATTTAAAAACGCGACGAAATGAACCCACGATTCCTTGATCCAGGAAGGGTAGCAGTGTCAGGAGTATAGATATGACGTCGAGGAGAAAAGCCGAAAAAAAAGTGGTATACCACGCAACTTTTGCAACTTTCGGCAGAGCCCTGCGATATCTGTGCGCCGGCTACCTTGACCTACTGGCGGTCCTGGTGAATCTCGTATAACGCTGCGCTGTACACACTGGTGGCTACGGTACCGTGTTCTTCCAGCTGGAAGAGCTTGCTCATATTACGTTTAAGTTTAATATAGGTTGCCACTTATGTTTTCTCGCGCTGCAGAACGGCGAGGAAGTATCCATTCATGCCCCGAGATTCCGGGAGCTGCAGCGTGACAGGCTGGGTGTGCACCAGCCCGTGTCTCTTGCAGAAGTAATTCACCTATCAAATACGTTATTTCGACCGAGCACTACGAGAACTAACCTGGAGCTGATTCTCTTCCTCAAATATGCTACAAGTGATGTATACCAGCCGCCCTCCGGGCTTGAGGAACAGCAGAGCATTGTCAACTATAGAGCGTTGCAATGCCGTGTACTCAGTAACCTGGTGATTATTAATGCGAAGCGTGGGTAGCATACCTGTTCGACGGTGAAAGTCCACTTGCGATCAGGGTTTCTTCGGAACGCCCCTATGCCACTGCATGGCACGTCGGCGACTACCTGTCAAAGGCATTAAACACAGGACATGTAGACATACGCAGTCCATCTTCCCGTAGTATTGCCGCATGTTTGCGATGTTCGGATCCATTATGAAGTAGTTGCGAATGCCAGCTCGTTTTAGTCGCCTTTTTGCCTGAGTTTTTCAGCGACACGGTACTCAGTGCGTACCTTGAGCAACAGGTTCTCGTTGACGTCGTGGAGGTATATGCGACCCTTGTTCTCCATTTGCGGGCCGAACACCAACGCTTTTCCGCCTGATCCGGCGCAGTAGTCCAGCACATGCTCACCAGGCTGAGCGTCCACCTTCAAGCCGCATATCTGGCTAGACAGGTCCTGTATCTCTACGACGCCCTTGTGGTACTCTGGCGACTCTAACAATGTTTTCTTGCTTGTAAGAAGCAGTCCACAGGGACTATCTGCACACTTTTCAACGGGCACTCCCTTGTGCAGCAGGGACTTGTACGCCTTGTCCCGTGACGATCGGAGCGTGTTAACGCGAAGATATGTCACCGGCTCCTCGTTGAGTATTTGGCATATCTCCAGAGCTTTATCCACGCCGTACTGCCGCTCTATCCGCTCGAATAAGGGTTCAGGGAACGAACATCGTAGGTGTGGAGGTAGCCCCTTGTGTCCAGTCATATATCGCCATCTCTGGTGGAGCAGGTAGGTGTTCAGCATGCCCGTCCACGTAACCGGTTTTGGACTCAGGTGAGCAATAAGCCCCTTCCATCGCTGCACTTCGTAGACATGCTCAGCAATCCATGCCCGGCTTCCGGAAGCTACCCGGTTGACACGGAAGTAGTAGCGGAGGAAGGTATCAATAGGAAGGTTGCCTGTGTTAACCTTTGTGTACACCTCCAAGGCATTTTCCAGATACCTAGCGCGTTGCGCGTTTATGCCTAGCATGTTAGGCTACCATTTCATTATCTATACGAGCGTTGCGCCTAGGAATCCCGCCGGCGCGAGCCTGTAGTGTGGCATCGGCCAGGTTAGAACGTCAAAACATTACACATCGCAATGAGAGTCAACGGCCCCAATATACTCGTCACCGGGACTCCGGGTGTGGGAAAGACAACGCTGTGCTGCCGCTTCGCGGACGAAAGCCGGCTGAGGTACCTCAACGTCGCAGACTTGATCCGCGACGAGGAGCTCCACGCCGGATGGGACGATGAGCTTGAGTGTTCCATTTACGACGACAAGCTGCTGCGGAAGGCCCTGAAGAAGCGCGGCTTGCGTGACGGTGGGTTCCTGCTGGACTTCCATTCCGTTGAGGGCATCAGCAAGAAGGACATCGATCATGTCGTGGTGTTGTCGGCAGAAATCGAAACGCTGTGCGCACGTCTCAAAGAACGGGGCTACAGTGACAAGAAGATCGATTCAAACATCGAGGCGGAGATCTTCCAGGTGTGCTTGCAGGATGCCGTTGAGCTGTTCGGGGAGGACCGGGTGACGAGGCTCCCGCATAACACCGAGGAAGAATCGCTAAAGGCATTAGAACACGTTAAGAAGCTAGTGGAATCGTATGGCTAAGCACTACCAACCTCCCCGGTTTCACGGTTGAAGTTGGGTGGCAATATAAGGTGCGTGATTTTTAGGAGTTCCCTGAATGTCGTCCTGATGGTACATTCGGCGGCTCCGCATACCATGGAAATCTGAGATAATTGGGGGACCTTGTTGCCGAATACCGGCGACCACGCCACCTGGGCGATGAAGTATATGATGGCCGCTGCCAGCGATGTGGTGCGGTGGGAGGTGTGCAGTATGAGAGCCGCCTTGCCAGCTACGTATTCGCAGAGCGACGACGCCCTGCTGTTGATACCAAGCCTTGAGCAAAGCCTTGGTAGGAGCTGCGCAGCGTCCTCAACCGCGGCATTCCCGCGCGTGGGCAGGATCCTTTTCAATCGGTTGATGGCTCTGCCAAGATCCTTTTGCGATATTTTTCTGTCGTATATCACCATCTCCTTCAACGTGCGGCACACGCCGACCTCTCGGCTCGCCATGTATATGATGGCGAGCGTATTGACCCCGTTGCAGCGGCCTTTGAGTTGGTTAAGTTGGTTGAGCTCCTTCATTATTTCCTTGCCCCTATCAAGGACAAGGTCGTTTACGTTGATGACATCCCCAACGTGTCGCAGCATCGAGAAGGCGGCTTTCAGGTGTCTATCGGCGTTTTCGAAGTTCCCAACTAGGTTTTGTATGTGTTGCATTTTCCGCGACCCCCCTATGAACGTGGTGGAGTTACCGCCGTCCATCCACACATCGTTGACCTCTCCCACACGGCTACGTTCGCTGCCACGCCCTCCACTCGACTCCGAGCTGAAGTTACGCCACTCCTGCTGATCCGAGATGAGCACGTTTTCGGCCACCCTTCCACAGTTGACGCATATCTGGTTACCTTCAGTGTGGTCTATGACAATGTAGCCCGCATTCCCACAATCGACGCATTGAAGCCGCTTGCGTTTAGCCAAGGCTTTGTCACGAGCGCTGATGGTTGTTGCCATCTGGGCTTTGGCGCCGTTACCGTATTTGCTGGAATGCAGCAACTGGGTTTGCGTCTGCCCGTACGCGCTTGCGGTATTCAGTTCCCTCTTAAAACTGGGGGTACAACAACTTGCTTTTAATTAACTAATGCAAGTTTTGTTAGCCAAATATGCCCCCAAATATGACACCGACAGACACGTATCAGTAATATGTGCCTTTGTGTCAACCTACAGCGACGGACGTATGCGCAAATAAACGACTCCGCTAGTAAGTCGAACTACTTCGCACTCCGTAAATTTTCGTTGTATAAGGGCCTATTAGCCGGTGTTATTAAATCACGCCAACCCTTCAAATCTAACCGAAATACAATAAAGCACGAATGGGTCCGCAGTTACAGAGTACAGTTACGGCGCATTTCCCTCTGATTTTTCCTCAGCACTCGCCGCGTTCGCTTCCAAACGTGCACGCAGTTCGAGTCGCAATTTTCCAAATCGCGTAAATTGCATAACCCCGATCAGCGGGCACGAACACCTCTGCGAGAAGCCGTGAAGGTGGCGCCAAGCCGCTGGGCAGGTGTTTTCGGCAAACTCGGGTTCCTCTATGCACACCTTGCGTTTGCAGTCGGGGCAGACGCGGTTGCGCGTGTAAATGACGACGTCACGATTATTGCGTAGCCGCTGCGCGTCAACCTTCAGCAACTCCAGGGCGCGTCGTCCCTTTTCGAGCACTTCGCTGGAACTTGAGTATCTGGCGAAAAATAAACGCCACGGTGCCATGCACGACATGTATCAATCGCCTTTATAATCAGTGAGAGCTTCTGGCACAGAAGGCAACCGCGGATCTGGCTGTCTGTGGGTGCTCGATGCGCTGCTTGGGCACCGCGCGACGCAGTTGGTCTTTTTATACAAAATGGGTGACGCCGGTCGTAACTACCACAGCCTGCTGAGCTCGTTCGGCGGGACTCGGCACGCTCAGTCGTTCGGTCCCCTGGCCGACACATCGGAGCAGGTGTACATTTCGTCGCTCGCCCTGTTAAAGATGCTGAAGCACGGCAGGGTAAGTTACACCTTCGGATGGGATATCACCGTCTGCTAATGAGGGATTAACACCGTTGCAGGCCGGCGTTCCGATGGAGGTCATGGGTCTCATGCTGGGAGAGTTCGTCGACGACTACACAATCGTCGTGGTCGACGTCTTCTCTATGCCACAGTCTGGTATGTGAGGGTGTGCTAAGAGTCAAACATGTGCAGGTAATAGTGTCAGTGTCGAGGCAGTCGACCCTGTTTACCAGACCGAGATGAAGGACCAGCTGCGGCGCACTGGGCGGCCCGAGGTCGTCGTCGGCTGGTATCACTCCCACCCCGGCTTCGGATGCTGGTTTTCAGGTACGTTAGAGGGCACATGTGCCTTCCCAGGACATCTTATCATGTTTCCACAGGCACCGATGTCAATACTCAGCAGAGCTTCGAGCAACTAAATCCTCGAGCTGTGGGCATTGTGATCGACCCTATACAGTCGGTGAAGGGCAAGGTGGTCATCGACTGCTTCCGCCTCATCAGCCCGCACCTGATCATGCTTGGCCAGGAGCCGCGGCAGACGACCAGCAACGTCGGTCACCTGAGCAAGCCTACAATTATCGCCCTCGTGCACGGGCTCAACCGCAACTACTACAGCATCGTTATCAACTATCGGCGCAGCATCCTGGAGACGCAGATGCTGCTAAACTTCAACCGCAACAAGTGGGTCGACGACCTGCTGGTCCGGGTATGTTGCCGTGACACACTTGCCGAATGTTTCGCAGGACTTCGCGGAGCGCAGGTCGGACAACCGCGAAATAGTCCGCAACATTAAAAACCTCTGCGAGAGGTACAACGAGTCGATAAAGCAGGAGATATCCTCGACACCTGACGAGCTCGCGGTCGCCAACGTGGGGAAGTTGAACGCGAAGCTGCACATCGAGAACCACGTAAACCGGCTGCTCAAGGACAATTCTTTGGACACATTCGGCGCCATGTTGGGCGTGGAAATGTTTTAATGTGACATGGCGTGTTGCATGTTATAGGCGTTGGGGAAGTAGTGGCGTGAGCGACTCAGCGCTTCGGTGCGTCGTGCGCTAACGCCATCGGCACCTTTAAAAAAAGGGGTGACCGAGTGTCGGCCTGGTTGTGGAAGGCCACTTTTTTGGCAGATTAGCCTGCCGAACTCCGGTTTTCACGTCTAGCGTTAATGAGCGTTTGATATGCCTTTTTGCGCGCCCCGCAGGCGCGGACTTCCCGCCCGCGTGCCTGTCGAGCATCTGCTTGAGGTACTGAAGGATCTGAACTGCTCTCGAATTGGCGTTAAGTCCATTTACGAACGGTAAGTGAGTGACGTCGGCGCCCATAGATGTGCAGCTTCCGCCGTCTGGCGCCTACCGGGCTCATAACGCTGCCTAAATTTCGGGAATCACTTGGATTACTGGGCCTATTTGGGAAGTTGCTGGCGGAGAGTCTTTTCTACGCGTTCGACTACGACAATGACGGGTACCTGAACGTCGTCGATTTCACCCGCGCGGTGCTAATCATGCTCATTGGTTCAGATAAGCGTCGTCTGGAGCTCAGCTTTCGTATCCTTCAAACGCCAAGTCGTCAGGAGGCTGGCACAATTTCCCTAAAAGAGGGAGACGCCCCCGACGAACCACCGGGAATCGATCTGAAATCGTTCACGCGCATCGTTAACGACATCAGGACGACCCGGAATGTCCTCACCGGCCAGTCCGTGCCAAATCCCACACCGGAGCACGTGGATAATGTTTTCAAAAAAAATTCGAGCCTCTGCATCGATGGCGTCGCGCGCATTACGCAACACGACTTCGAACGCGCTGTCCACTGCTCCAAAGAGTTCGTGGAGTTGATGGGCGCTCCCTGCAGTGTCTATGCAGTGGAAGCGTCCCTGGTGGCCGGCAACGCGCCGGTCGAGGTCTCCCCTGCCTGCCGACCCTTTACGAAGTGCGGCTCGGAGGACTTCAACATCAGGAGGCAGAGGACGTACATTAATCGGACTACTAAACATCGCAGGAGGCACCACGACAGCGACACTGACGAGTCGTTGCCGCTGAAGGCGCAGGGTATCACGCGCCCGTGGCTGTCTCCCCGTCGCGGACTGGCGGTATACTTCGGACACGAGAGGTGGAACGACGTGATCAACGTGATGGTCGGCTTGGGGCTGACCGCTCGTAAGGAGAACGGCGACGTGACACGGGAGCTGGAACCGGCCGATTTCACCGACAAGCTCACTTTGTCAATCCTGCCGGACACAATCTCCGGCTTGATGCCGTCGCTGAAGTTCGTCGAGCATGACGACGGGCACCAGTTCCAGTTGGACGACGACCCCAACAAGATAATCTTCACGGAACACGCACCACTGGTATTCAAGCGCCTCCGCAAGCTGATGAACCTGTCGGAGGACGCTTACATCCAGTCGGTGGGCCCCGAGCACCTGGTTGGCAACATGATGCTTGGCAACCTAAGCACCCTCTCCGAGCTGCTGTCGGAGGGAAACAGCGGTGCACTGTTCTACTTTACTGCGAACGGACGTCTGGTGCTGAAGACTGTAACGCGCCAGACGGCAGAGTTCGTGCAGAGGTGGCTACCCAGCTACTACAACCACACGCGAGAGAACCCCCAAACGCTTATAACGCGCCTCGCTGGCCTGTTTTCGATCACGCAATGCAAGAAAGGCGGGTCGACAACGTATTTCATCATTATGAACAACGTGTTTTACTCGTCAGTGGCGATTCACCGCCGCTACGACCTGAAGGGTTCTTGGGTAGGTCGATCGGTCCCTCTGCACGAGCGCAAGGACCACACGGTGGCGCTAAAGGATCTCGACATGGTGGAGCTGGAGGAGTTCATGGAATTGTCGGAAGATCGGTCGAGGGCGCTATTCGACACGCTGCAGCGCGATGTCGACTTCCTCTCCAAGTCCATGCTGATGGACTACTCGCTGCTGCTGGGCATCCACTACCGCTCGATATCGGAAGACGACGTCAACTGGCAGCAGGACCCCGACCCCAGGCAGATGTCATGTTTCATGGGAAAGAACCGCGACCGCCTGTACTTCGTGGGCCTGATCGACGTGCTAACGGAGTGGGACGTGCGCAAGCGCCTAGAGTACGCGTGGCGCCGCCTGAGGACGTTCAACAACCCCGGGGTCTCGTGCACCCCTCCCGAACGTTACGCGGAGCGTTTCATCAGCTTCATGAAGAGGCGCGTTGCGTGAATAATGTTTTTTTAGTTCATGTCCCTGCATACTAGGTGTAGCACGATAAGCGGCTTGGGCAGCGCGCTGGTCATGGTCTGTATCCGCCAGAGCACGTCCACGTTAGCGGCGTATGAGACGGGTCCCGCGTGCGGCAGCTGGAAGAACGCCAAGTTCTTCGGGACGCGGCGCCTCGACTCCAGGTACAACTCGTGCACCTCCGAGGTCATGCCATGCTTGAGGATGAGCTCGGCCAACGGCGGCGTGTGCCGCGTGATGTCGATGTACGCAGTGCCGCAGTTAACCAGGAAGAGCCGCATGTGGCGCATGATCGCAGTGTTGTACATGAACTCGGACTCGTCCAGCTTGTAGTAGCCCGAGTGGTCACTCGTGAACGACAGTTCGTAGGCGCACTTGACGGTGCAGTTCGGCAAGCTGACCTTGCGGAATCCGCTCTTGAGCAATACGCGCTCCGCCGCGGCTCCTACTCCGATGGTGGTTTCACTGCTGAGTTCTATGCGCAATCTCTGTGCCCTTGGGGTGCGATCATCGTAATCCTGGTCATCGGAACGGGTTGATAGCAGCGTCTCGGTGCTGTCGCGCACGGTGTCATGATCACTCGGCGACGGCGCGTAGCATTCGACGTCCGTCAAGCTGTTGGCGTCTCCGTCGGCGAACTCGTTGAGGGTGCAGGGCGTGGGTGCTGGGGGTTCCGCCGGTTTCTCGAGCAAGAAATTGATCAATTTGTGGTGTTTGATTGTGTAATCCTCTTTCACTGTTGTTTCCATGAGGTCCCTCGCGGCTCTGTTGGCGCGTTTGTCTCTCTCATTCATGTAGAGTTCGTTGTAGATGCACCGCAGCGCCAGGTCGCTGACGTTGTAGTGCATCTTGCGTTGGTGAAGCCCGATAATGCTGCAATGCGGGAAGAGCTGGTTGCACTCATTCTCCGAAAGCCAATTTACTTGTAGGATGCTGTTTTCACGACGGGATGCGATAGGTGGCATTTGGTCCATGTCCACTTCCGACATGGCGGCGGTTTCGTCCATGTCGACCTCGGGCATGTGGGGAGTCTCATCGTAGAAGAAGCTGTTTGGGGTTACTTCACGCTGGATGGTGTTTTCCACAACGTCCGCCGCAGCTGCAGGCAACAGTTCTGCTGTGGCGGTCTGCGGCTCCGGGGCATCAGAAATCATGACCTCTCCCTGCTGAAGCTGCTCGGGTTGAGGTTCCGGCGGCATTGCCATCCGAGCCTTTTCTTCAAGGCGTCGTTTGTATTCTTGTATAGCCTGCAAATTCAGCCTGAATGAGAACTTGGAGGATGGCTGATGCGGCGCCTCCGACCCGGCTGGCTGCGTCGTTGCTGTCGGTTCAGCAGAGGCGGAACTGGCTGGTTCTGAGGCAACGTCTGTAACAGTAGCAACCGTCTCTGCCACATCAGAGAATGATTGCAATGGTGCGGTCGCGGCAGCATCGGTGTCTACAGTTTTGGCGATAATAGCAACGTCCGCGTTCGGTTTGCTGGATTCCACGTCTACATCCATACTATTATTTTTCGGCATCTTGCTCTTCTCCTTCTGCGGCTCAACTTTGGCCTTCGCCAGCAGTTTCTCTATTTTGTCCTGCGACGCTTGCCACCTGCAAACCATGAGTTGGCGCTTTTTTGGACTCACATCTTCTCAAATTTAGCCTTGTTCGTTTCAGCTGCATCGTAAATCCACTTGTTGACACCTATGGGTGGGTTGAACCGCATACAGTTGTCGTAGATGAGCAGCATGTCGTCTCGGAATTCGTCCGGCGTCACGTATATGCCATTATCCAGTTTGGTCTGCCGCTAATGTAATCCGTGTACGTCAACCTCACCTTAACAGTCTTGTAATCCATCGGGTTGGCAATGATCGCCCGGTACGACTCCTTGACAGCCGGCGTGATTACGGAATCACTGGCTTCGAGGACCGGGTGGGCGAAGAGCGTGCCAAAGCGATCTCCGCGCATCCGCTTGAGTATCTGCAAAGTTTATGAACGCCAGAAATATGCGCACGCCGTGTGAGCGTCACGTGTCCGACCGCGTGCAGTTGCCGCGATAACGCCGTCTACTCGCGACTCTTACACAGGCTGCTTTTGCGCGTCAACTCACCTTTTGTGCGCAAAATTGTCGCCATATTTTCCCGTTTTCCATTGTGCGAAACCATTTCTTCCGAATGTTGGCTTGTGGCAACTTGTCAGCGCCGCGGGGGTCGGGCTAGTGGCCGCGTGCACTAGACAGGGTGAACACACCCAAGAAGGCCGCACCGCGCGGCTCTTTGTCCGAGCCGATTTGTGAACACATTTCGACCGTCGCATGAATTTACATTCATCGGCGGGCTTCTGGGTACCTGTCATTGCCCATTTCGAGCTGTCTGCTCGTCTGTCGTCCGCAGACCACCTCGGACACGTGGCACATCAGCGGGCATGCGATAGACGTTTATAATAGCACATATATTCGTCTCTTTGATGTGTGACAACTTCGCGCCATACGTAGCCGTTTTGTAGTCACGCATCACAAATGGCGGGGAAATCTGATGCGGAGCCGTCGGTGGCGCGGTCGGCTGATGCCTCTTCCGAGGATATCGGTAGGATCCCTCGGATCAAAAGGCTACCCGTCAGGGACTTCGATGATCTCGAGAAAGAGACTAAGAAGCACAACAGTGCACCTGCCGTTTCTTCGGAGGAAAAGCCGCCGCAAGATGTGTTCCTGCTGAAGCAGGAGGATCCGGAATCGAGCCCGGTTCCTATAAAGCTGGTGGCGCTGCCGCCCAAAGAGGTCGTAAAGGTTAAGACAGAGCCACGGGATAAGCTGGCCATCACGGAGGATATCGTCGAGCCTATAGACCGGTGGTGGGAGAAGGTGGACAAGGACTTCGACATTGAGAAAATTCTGAAGTACGAGAACCAAAGCAGCCACTGGGACTATCTAGAGCACAATGGGATGATTTTCACGCCCGAGTATCAGCCCCATGGCATCCCGATTAAATTCAAGGGGGAGGTGGTGACGCTGACGCCTGACCTCGAGGAGGTCGCCACCTTCTGGGCGCAGTCCATAGGCACGCCCTACGAGGAGAGCGACATCTACAAGCGCAACTTCTGGGAGACCTTCTTAGGCATGCTGCCCAAGGGGCACATAATCCGTACCCGACGCGGCCGCTTGACAGACTGCGACTTCTCAGACATCAAAGCACACCTGGAGGCTGAGAAGGAGAAGAAAAAGGAGAACAAGGAGTACTACAAGGCATTGAAGGAGGAGACGGCTAAGAAGGAGCACCGTTACGGATACGCGCTTGTGGACTGGATCCGCGAAAAGGTGAGCTCCAACCGGATGGAGCCCCCAGGGCTGTTCAAGGGCCGCGGCCTGCACCCAAAGCAGGGCCTCTTGAAGGCGCGCATCTTCCCTGGCAGCGTTATTCTGAACGTTTCGAAGGATGCGCCGGTGCCTAAGGTGGAGATGTTCGAGCGTGACGGCCACTGCTGGGCGGATGTGTTCCACGACAGCTCCGTGACCTGGCTGGCCTACTATCGCGACTCGATTAACGACCAATTCAAGTACATGTACCCCGCCGCACAGTCGAAATTTAAAGGACTACACGACTTTTTGAAATACAACAAGGCCCGTGAGCTCAAGAAACACATCGAGACTGTCCGCAGGGACTATCACGCCAAGATGCGGTCGTCCGATGTGGTGGATCGCCAGCTCGGCACTGCCACATACCTCATCGACTTCCTGGCGCTTAGGGTTGGTGGCGAGAAGGATGCGGAGGAGGCTGACACCGTCGGTTGCTGCAGCCTGCGCGTGGAGCACATCAAGTTCAACAACAAACCGAACACCATCACGCTCGACTTCTTGGGTAAGGATTCGATTCGCTACTTCCAGACAGTCACCATCGACGAGGTGGCGTGCCGAAACTTGCAAGAGTTCTGCAAGAAGAAGCCCTCCCTGGATATCTTCGACAAGATAAACACATCGAAGCTAAACGATTATCTGAAGGAGCTCATGGCAGGCCTGACGGCTAAGGTTTTCAGGACGTACAACGCGTCCGTCACATTGTGCCGGCAACTGCGCAGGTTGCGCGTGCCCAAATCGCTAGAACGCGGCGTGCTGCTGGAAAAGGGCGGCCTCGACGAGGAGCTGGACAAGCCGGTGTCCGTCGATGTCGGCGACGTGACCGAGCTCATAAGCTTCTACAACGAGGCCAACCGCCGCGTGGCCATCCTTTGTAACCATCAGCGTAGCGTGCCTAAGCAGCACGAAACGTCGATGTCCAAGATGCAGGCGCAGGCAGCGGCCTTAGAGGAGGACATTGCCGAGCTCAAGGCCTACATGAAATATCTGGAGGGCAAGCAGGACAAGCCGTTCAGCTTCAAGTCTAAGGCGGTCGACGCGAAGGGCAACCCCCGCAAGCCCGCAACGCGCCCAGGCATGAAGCTAGATTCGTGCCAGAAAAAGCTGGAGATGGCCACAAAGCGCCAAAAAACCCACGCCATCAAGATGCGCATCAAGGACGACAACAAAACCGTCGCCCTGGGCACCTCAAAGATCAACTACATGGACCCGCGCATCACCGTGGCGTTTTGTAAACGGTACGAAGTGCCGATAGAGAAGATTTTCAACAAGAGCTTACGGACGAAGTTCCCGTGGGCCATGTACGCCAGTGCTGACTACGTCTTCTAGACATAGAGTAGTACCGTCGCGTGTTCCTCGAGCCCGGGTGTCCCGGTCTCGCAGTCGTCTCTGCCTGCAGAGCGTGTTGACCAGTACAGTCGAACCTACATGTGTAGAATAGTACCGATGCGATGTGCATCGCAGCTCGGCGAGTCAACTTGCGACCGCTGTATTGGTTTTTGAAACTTGAACGTAACATCTTACATGTGTTGCACTAGCGCGGGCAGCAGTTGGAATTCGAAGGCGCAGTCCGCTCCGCAGCGGTTGCAACGGGGGCTGAACGTGAAACTTGTGTGCAGCAGCAACGGTTTGCCGTTCCACTGATATCGTAGCACCTAGAGAAACCGTTATCTCGTTTACTACTCTGTCCACCTACCGCATTCGGACGCATGGTCACGTAATACTGGAATTCCAGCAGCATGGGATCAGCCTGCACCTCGTCGGATTCGTCAGACGAAGGTTCGCTATCAGATTGCTGTGAGTCCACAGCGCCACTCGTCTGCTTGATGGTATCTAGGTCCATAAGATCCTCTTCGTCGACCTCCGCGGGGTCACGGTGCTTGTAGGCGTCTAACAGCCGCGAGGCGTCAGCCTCGCCTATTGGCAAATCGTGTGGAGTATAAAAGTCTTCTTCTACGATTACACGATATACGTCGTTATCTTCCCCAGCCGATCGAATTCCCCTCGATGCGCCCTTCTGCTTGCCGCCCCCGGATCCGGTGGGAAACAGCTCAAGGTCATCAACCCAACTTGACAACGAATTCATCTCGTCAAATGCGGACTGCTTTGGCACTCGAGAGACTTCTTTGGCCACAGTGTACCTGTATATGCGCCAGCCTTCACTTTGTTCCGAATGCTCGGGGCAGAAGAAAACATACAGCGTACGCAGGTGGGTATCCCTGTACGGCGTCGCCATCTGGATCAGGAAGGTCAACTGAGATGAGCACACTGCACACAGTGGCGGTTGTGGTGGAGTCATGGAATCGGGGTATTCCTGAAGTTGAATTATTCTGAGGGCAATTGGACCTACCGGATTGGTGGCGACCTTCGAGTCGTGGCACGGATCAAAGGGCTCCCCAGGTCGCTGCCTAGCCAGCCGTGCGATGAACGACATCCTGAATGCTTCCTGATTAACCCTTACGGAATGCGATCATGTAGAGGAAGTCACACGTGGGCAGGTGGATGAAGCGCCGGCTGAAGGGCAGGTAGAACAGACCCTGTCTATGTATCTCCGTTAATCCGTAATCGTTTGCAACCTCGCAAAGCTTATCTGGACCTATAAACAAGTCGTAATTGTGGGTTTCAGAAGCCACACGTTTGAAGACCCTTTCTGCCAGTACGATGTTGACCAGGCACGACTTCAATGTGCGCCCAGGCGTGGTAAGCACTACCAACCCCCCAGGTCGTACCACTTGACTCAGTTTCTCAATAAATGCAGGCTTAGATGAATTCGGTACGTGTTCCAATACTTCTGACGCAACAACGATGTCAAAGTTTGTGGCTTCGGCGCTGCAGGCGAAGTCGTCTAGGGTTGACGCAAGGTACTGTACGTTTCTAGATCTGTCGTCACGGAGTCCAAAGCGTTTGCTGAACGTTGCGAAGTCTTGTTCTCGGTGATGCTCTGCAACCCGTATCAGATCCTTAGACGGGTCGAGGCCGAGCACGTGTGCCCCGGATTTTGCCAGCGATTCGCTCAGGATTCCGCCGCCGCAGCCCACGTCGAGGATTCGCAGCCCGCCGAGTACTGCCTCCAGGTGTACTTTAGACCGCTCCTCAGCGTGTTTGAATAAGCGCTCACTGAGGAATCCGGATGGTAGTTTTGACTCCCTTGTCGGATCGGTGGCGCTGCTGTTGTCAATTAACGAATACGATTTCGCGATAAAGGGGACCCTCACGTAGTTGTAATCGTGCAACACGGCCATAGGGCCGTCAATATCCCACCATTTTGCGTGGAAGGCGCCGAAGTTGACGGTAGAAGAGAAACTACGCGCGTTATGCGCTGTCCGTGCCAAGTTCAGCGGAGAGGGTGACAGCGTTGGAATTAGACGAAGCATGACCAAATAATAAATCTTGAGTCACCAAGGTTTTCTATAAACAATTTGCGGGAAAGGTGTGGATGTGTCCACGTGACTCCTGATGTGTATATGGCCCCTCTACACAACGGTGCCTCTGCTGCTCACTTCTACGGCGCACAATTTTTTGACAAAATGTCGGCTCCTGGTGAATCTGCACTGTCGTCCGTTTTGGCGCGTCATCCCGGCAAGCTTGTGCTTTACGTCGCGGATCCGAGCTACCCAGGTCACGGACAACTGCAGACGGTCATAGATTCGTTGCGCGAGGTACGTCCTGTACACAGTTTACCAGCGCTTAATAGATAACTACAGGATTTCGCTAGCATCGCCTTCGATTCGATCGAATACAGCGCCGTGGTAAACGACATGGCCGTTGACGGAGCACCTTGCTTCGTTTTCTTCGAGGTATGCCTTATTACGCCGTATGTAGACACTTATTCAGGGAGGCAAGGAGATAAACAGACTGCAAGGGTGTTCAACTTCGATGCTGGTCACTGCTGTTAGGGGTTGGAACAAGGCGCCTGAGGAGACCGTGTTGGACCGCATCAAACGTCTTATTGCCACACACCCGGTTCTGTTGTTCATGAAAGGGGACAAAAAGGAACCGTTCTGCCGCTTCAGCCGTGCCGTGGTGGGCATGCTCAACGAGTCCAAGATTGAATTCGAGAGCTACAACATTTTCGAGGACCCCGAGCTACGCGAGGAACTCAAGGTGTACTCCAACTGGCCAACCTACCCCCAACTATACGTCAATGTAGGTTTGGTGTGTCACTAGAGTAAGCTTACGCAGGGTACACTGATCGGCGGTCACGACATCATTAAAGAGCTGTTTGAGAGCAATGCATTGAGGGATGAGATCCCCAAAGAACACTTACAGTGAGCGCACTCTTTGCGCCAGTATGTCGTTGAGAAGTCCTCCTTCCTTATCCATTATCTTCAACAACGTTTCTTTGTTTTTGACGGTCGCAGTGATGATATACATGATTCCCGCAGCAAAGGAGTGAATAGCAAAGATAGAAACAATGATCAGCGTGGTGAAGCAGAAGATGGTCTTGAATATGTGCGCGTAATAGCTGTGGAAATGCGTGGTTTGCTCGTACTCAGGCGGCAGCGCCAGTGCTTCAGGTGCGACGTATGAGCATGGGCAGCCGTCCATGACAAAGGCGAACTTGGGGTCGGGTATGTAGCGCAACCCATCGGGAAGCGGGAAGAAGACGCGCAGGAAGTCCTTCCTAAGGTTGCTTCCCCTAGACTTGCGCCACAAATCAAGCAAAACCAGGGCGATCTTCCAGCCCATGTAGATCATGGTAATGTGCGACATTCCGTTCATGAACTGCAACATGCAAAAGTAATTATCGCTCAGCAGAAAATTACTCTCTACAGTCATAAAGAACGTTGTGTAGTTGTAGGTGAAAGCCGTTGCCAAGATCGCGGCCGCCAGTAACCAACGCAGCGAGAACGCGATGTGGCATATGCGTTCCAACCATGTGGCCCGCATAAACCATTGGCATGGCGTCAAGGGCAAAAACTCTCCATCTTGCATTACATTGTTGGTACGGAACTTGAAAAGGCACCGTATAAGTGCACCTCGCCTCCGACGTGGAGGCTCGTCCTCTTCGACAATTGGCTTGGCGCTTGGTGCGGCTGAGGATTTGCTGGTGACTTCCACTTCGCTTGACCCTACCTTTCCCATCGTCCCATTCTGTTTCTCCTTTGCCTCTTTCTTGCGGTAATAGTACAACCAAAACGCAGCATCGGCGTATCTTAAGATTTCCATCGCTTCACCAAACACCAAGAAACCTGCGGTGCAGGCGCCCAATATGTAGCACACTGTCCATATAATTACACCACCGTTCAGCGTAAAAACGAAGGGGCTCCCTGGACGATAAGGAAAAACAATCTCGAACAACATGTGGGCGCCTACAGGACCACACATCATGAGCAGAATAATCATAAGCATCTCGATCCCCTTTACGTTGTTGACGTAATACCAGAAGGGAGTGGTGCAAAATTTGCATTCTCGGATCATCTTAACCGTGGGACCATCGTACAAGGTGTCGTAGAGTTCCGAAATGCGAAATTGTGTAGGCTGTGGGCGTGAAGAGCCTCCAACCTCGATGTCGCCGGTGGGGTCCATAGTAGCGGGTGGGAGGTACTTGAATAACTACCTTTAAACAATATAGACAGTACTGAACTGTTTATATACACAGTTATAGGTCTATTTTCACGTGATTATGACCTTTCGACTGCATTAATAGGTTTCTTCGAGGTGTAGAAGGTGGCGAATCCGAGTGTCTCTAGTCGCCACACTAACTGCATTACACAGTGCGATCAATCTACACGAACAACTTCGTGAACATTAGAGAAACAATATTACGTGACGGCTAAGGTGTTGGGCGACAAATACGTGAAATGGCGCCGTTCGTGTACGCTCATACTAAGATATATATGCGTGTTCGTGCACGTAGCTGTAGCGATAGCACTTATACCGGGATCATTTGACTTATTGCTGCCATGAAATATCATCAGTGTGATTTTATTACATTAACCTTCGTGCGCTGAAGACAGTTGGACGTCGAAGTGTCTTAGAATCCGCCCGCGTACACACCACCTCGGGTCGCTTACGTACAGCTCGCGGCCAACGTAATGGCGTTCTGGGAACTTTTGATAGCTATTGTAGCTATACGGACGACGATACACATCTAGAAGGTGTATGACTGTTACGTAACACCTTGTCTTACGAAGTTAGGCACTTACACATCGGAGCAACTGTTTGATTTGAGCATTCTCACGGTTATATTTGCAGTGAAATGATCTTTAGAAAACTTGTTAGAATCCCATATGACCCCTGAGGGTGATATGCGATGAGACTGCGCACTGCCGCCATGCGGTGGCTGCTGTCGGTCATTGTGTTCTCAACATGGCAGTGTACCGTTGCCAACACAGCTGGCGACGGCGATGTTGCTTTAGACACAGAGCCTTCTAACGATTCCCTCAAGCTTCTCTATTTGCCAAATCTTGGTTACAGGATACAACTGAACGTGGGAGCTCAGGCACTGTCGCTCAAGCTAACGTCAATCCTTGAGGGCATAGTGCTGTTCGAGAAGGGAACCGACGCATGCGCGCTAAACGCATCGGATTCGCAGTGTTACGATCCAAAATCATCGAAAACGGCTACTTGGTGCAACAATGATGAAGTTTGCGTTCCCGGGAAGAATGACTTCCAGTGCCAAGAGGTAAAATCGCACGAGTATATAGCTACATCAACGACTACTGACTTCCGTGCCGAGGGTATCAGCCACTCCATGCAGACGATTGAGGGATTTGAGAAGGTGTCCATCAGCAACTCTGAGCTTCCGGAGCCTGTCACGTTCTACCGGGTACCTGTGAAGTTGGCCAAGAAGGTCATCTCTGGATCCAATTTGCCACTGACGGCTGATGCCGGTGGATTTTTCGGCATCGCGGGCGCCTCCATCAGCTGTCGGCAAAGGTCCATATGGGACGAGCTTCTGGTGAAGCACAAGGGACTCTACGTGCTCGACTTGAATGGAGACCATGACGGCCATAATAGCGGCGTGTCGGCAGAGAGCCGTATAAGGCTGGGCACGGGATCCGTAAATGAGGACGAGGTTCTCTGGGGAGAGAAGCGGCAGGTGGGTGGCATCTTCACCGATGCATCCATCGAATTCACGGCGTACGAAATGTCGATGTGCGGCGTAAACCTCTTCGGTAAAACGTCAGGCCACTGGCAAGTCGCTATTGACGTGGCTTCGCAGTGCCTGGTGCTCCCCCGAAACTTCTGGCTCAGTCTCATGGCTCAGCTGCCGATGGAGGACGGCTGCTACGACAAGAAGGCGTTAAAAATGTGCGCATTACGTCGAGGAGAAGCCACTAAACTTCCAGCAATTGAATTCAAGCTACACTACCAGTCCAACGACCAGGTCATCCGAATACCACTACAGAATCTCCTAATGGACAATGGAAGTTCACCGTTACTGTGCGTCGTACCCGACGAGGACACACCTTCGCCCCTAATTTTCACCAACCACCCCAGCATCAAGTTCGGGTACAAGGTGATGGAATCGCTGCAGGCGGTTGTCGACACGAAAGGCCACCGTGTGGGCTTCGTGCACAAGAGGCCTGTAGAAACGTCAAACGACATTTGCGTTCCGCCAGTGAAGTGCATGTAAGTGACCGCCTTAACCAGAAATCATATGCCACAGCGGAGATCAGATATACATGCCGCAGCTGAACCACTGCCTCCAGCCCATGTGCCGAATTTGGGCCTTCAAGTGGCTGGATCCCGCCACAGGGTTGGTTGCAACACTGAGATTATACATAGGTTCAGGCGTTGTTATACCCCGACGGTACTGAAGACTATGATGTACCTTGTGGTAGTTTCGCTGTTCGTGATTCAGTGCAGCAACTACATCCTTAGGCGTAACGTCTTGCAACGGGCCCGTCGGCTATGCTAGTAGTCCGTGCACCCCGCGGCGCTCCTCAACCTGAGGCGTTTTTAGTGTCTGATGTAAAAACACGTACCGCACGCTGGTGCTGGGCCTTCTTTTGGGGTTTGCGGTAGTCGCGCACCACCGTAAGCTCCTAGTGAATGTCTGCACTGTCGTCCGTTTTGGCGCGTCATCCCGGCAAGCTTGTGCTTTACGTCGCGGATCCGAGCTACCCAGGTCACGGACAACTGCAGACGGTCATAGATTCGTTGCGCGAGGTACGTCCTGTACACAGTTTACCAGCGCTTAATAGATAACTACAGGATTTCGCTAGCATCGCCTTCGATTCGATCGAATACAGCGCCGTGGTAAACGACATGGCCGTTGACGGAGCACCTTGCTTCGTTTTCTTCGAGGTATGCCTTATTACGCCGTATGTAGACACTTATTCAGGGAGGCAAGGAGATAAACAGACTGCAAGGGTGTTCAACTTCGATGCTGGTCACTGCTGTTAGGGGTTGGAACAAGGCGCCTGAGGAGACCGTGTTGGACCGCATCAAACGTCTTATTGCCACACACCCGGTTCTGTTGTTCATGAAAGGGGACAAAAAGGAACCGTTCTGCCGCTTCAGCCGTGCCGTGGTGGGCATGCTCAACGAGTCCAAGATTGAATTCGAGAGCTACAACATTTTCGAGGACCCCGAGCTACGCGAGGAACTCAAGGTGTACTCCAACTGGCCAACCTACCCCCAACTATACGTCAATGTAGGTTTGGTGTGTCACTAGAGTAAGCTTACGCAGGGTACACTGATCGGCGGTCACGACATTAAAGAGCTGTTTGAGAGCAATGCATTGAGGGATGAGATCCCCAAAGAACACCTACAGTGAACGCAATTTTAGCCCTACTAGTGCATTGACATCTATTCCTTGCCTCTCTATTATCCTCAACAGAGTCTCTTGCTGCTTGACGCTCGTAGAGATGATATACATGATTCCCGCAGCAAAGGAGTGCATAGCACAGATAGAAACAATGATCAGCGTGGTGAAGCAGAAGATGGTCTTGAATATGTGCGCGTAATAGCCGTGGAAATGCGTGGTTTGCTCGTACTCAGGCGGCAGCGCCAGTGCTTCGGGTGCGACGTATGAGCATGGGCAGCCGTCCATGACAAAGGCGAACTTGGGGTCGGGTATGTAGCGCAACCCATCGGGAAGCGGGAAGAAGACGCGCAGGAAGTCCTTCCTAAGGTTGCTTCCCCTAGACTTGCGCCACAAATCAAGCAAAACCAGGGCGATCTTCCAGCCCATGTAAACCATGGCAACGTGCGACATTCCGTTCATGAACTGCAACATGCAGAAGTAGATATCGCTCAGCAGGAAGTTTTTCTCCATAGTCATAAAGAACATCGTGTAGTTGTAGGTGAAAAAAAATGCCAACATCACGGCCGCCATTATCCAACGCAGCGGGATCAAGATGTGGCATATGCGTTCCAACCATGTGGCCCGCATAAACCATTGGCATGGCGTCAAGGGCAAAAACTCTCCATCTTGCATTACATTGTTGGTACGGAACTTGAAAAGGCACCGTATAAGTGCACCTTGCATCCTAAACGGAATTGGTTCCTTCTCGGCAGATGCATCAGCAATTGGTGCGGACGAGGATTCGTTGGTGACTTCCACTTCGCTTGACTCAAGGTTTGCCATGGCATCATTCTGTTTCTCCTTTGCCTCTATCTTGCGGTAATAGTACAACCAAAACGCAGCATCGGCGTATCTTAAGATTTCCATCGCTTCACCAAAGACCAGGAAACCTGCGGTGCAGGCGCCCAATATGTAGCACATCGCCCATATCGGTGCGCCGCTGATCAGCGTATAAACAAAGGGGTTCCCCGGACGATAAGGAAAAACAGCCTCGAACAACATGTGGGCGCCTACAGGACCACACATCATGAGCAGAATAATCATAAGCATCTCGATCCCCTTTACGTTGTTGACGTAATACCAGAAGGGAGTGGTGCAAAATTTGCATTCTCGGATCATCTTAACCGTGGGACCATCGTACAAGGTGTCGTAGAGTTCCGAAATGCGAAATTGTGTAGGCTGTGGGCGTGAAGAGCCTCCAACCTCGATGTCGCCGGTGGGGTCCATAGTAGCGGGTGGGAGGTACTTGAATAACTACCTTTAAACAATATAGACAGTACTGAACTGTTTATATACACAGTTATAGGTCTATTTTCACGTGATTATGACCTTTCGACTGCATTAATAGGTTTCTTCGAGGTGTAGAAGGTGGCGAATCCGAGTGTCTCTAGTCGCCACACTAACTGCATTACACAGTGCGATCAATCTACACGAACAACTTCGTGAACATTAGAGAAACAATATTACGTGACGGCTAAGGTGTAGAGCACAAATGTGCAACGCTAAACGGCGCTGCCCCTCTACGCTCTTACGACAATATATATGCATATTCGTGCACGTAGCTTTAGCGATAGCACTTATACCGGGATCATTTGACTTATTGCTGCCATGAAATATCATCAGTGTGATTTTATTACATTAACCTTCGTGCGCTGAAGACAGTTGGACGTCGAAGTGTCTTAGAATCCGCCCGCGTACACACCACCTCGGGTCGCTTACGTACAGCTCGCGGCCAACGTAATGGCGTTCTGGGAACTTTTGATAGCTATTGTAGCTATACGGACGACGATACACATCTAGAAGGTGTATGACTGTTACGTAACACCTTGTCTTACGAAGTTAGGCACTTACACATCGGAGCAACTGTTTGATTTGAGCATTCTCACGGTTATATTTGCAGTGAAATGATCTTTAGAAAACTTGTTAGAATCCCATATGACCCCTGAGGGTGATATGCGATGAGACTGCGCACTGCCGCCATGCGGTGGCTGCTGTCGGTCATTGTGTTCTCAACATGGCAGTGTACCGTTGCCAACACAGCTGGCGACGGCGATGTTGCTTTAGACACAGAGCCTTCTAACGATTCCCTCAAGCTTCTCTATTTGCCAAATCTTGGTTACAGGATACAACTGAACGTGGGAGCTCAGGCACTGTCGCTCAAGCTAACGTCAATCCTTGAGGGCATAGTGCTGTTCGAGAAGGGAACCGACGCATGCGCGCTAAACGCATCGGATTCGCAGTGTTACGATCCAAAATCATCGAAAACGGCTACTTGGTGCAACAATGATGAAGTTTGCGTTCCCGGGAAGAATGACTTCCAGTGCCAAGAGGTAAAATCGCACGAGTATATAGCTACATCAACGACTACTGACTTCCGTGCCGAGGGTATCAGCCACTCCATGCAGACGATTGAGGGATTTGAGAAGGTGTCCATCAGCAACTCTGAGCTTCCGGAGCCTGTCACGTTCTACCGGGTACCTGTGAAGTTGGCCAAGAAGGTCATCTCTGGATCCAATTTGCCACTGACGGCTGATGCCGGTGGATTTTTCGGCATCGCGGGCGCCTCCATCAGCTGTCGGCAAAGGTCCATATGGGACGAGCTTCTGGTGAAGCACAAGGGACTCTACGTGCTCGACTTGAATGGAGACCATGACGGCCATAATAGCGGCGTGTCGGCAGAGAGCCGTATAAGGCTGGGCACGGGATCCGTAAATGAGGACGAGGTTCTCTGGGGAGAGAAGCGGCAGGTGGGTGGCATCTTCACCGATGCATCCATCGAATTCACGGCGTACGAAATGTCGATGTGCGGCGTAAACCTCTTCGGTAAAACGTCAGGCCACTGGCAAGTCGCTATTGACGTGGCTTCGCAGTGCCTGGTGCTCCCCCGAAACTTCTGGCTCAGTCTCATGGCTCAGCTGCCGATGGAGGACGGCTGCTACGACAAGAAGGCGTTAAAAATGTGCGCATTACGTCGAGGAGAAGCCACTAAACTTCCAGCAATTGAATTCAAGCTACACTACCAGTCCAACGACCAGGTCATCCGAATACCACTACAGAATCTCCTAATGGACAATGGAAGTTCACCGTTACTGTGCGTCGTACCCGACGAGGACACACCTTCGCCCCTAATTTTCACCAACCACCCCAGCATCAAGTTCGGGTACAAGGTGATGGAATCGCTGCAGGCGGTTGTCGACACGAAAGGCCACCGTGTGGGCTTCGTGCACAAGAGGCCTGTAGAAACGTCAAACGACATTTGCGTTCCGCCAGTGAAGTGCATGTAAGTGACCGCCTTAACCAGAAATCATATGCCACAGCGGAGATCAGATATACATGCCGCAGCTGAACCACTGCCTCCAGCCCATGTGCCGAATTTGGGCCTTCAAGTGGCTGGATCCCGCCACAGGGTTGGTTGCAACACTGAGATTATACATAGGTTCAGGCGTTGTTATACCCCGACGGTACTGAAGACTATGATGTACCTTGTGGTAGTTTCGCTGTTCGTGATTCAGTGCAGCAACTACATCCTTAGGCGTAACGTCTTGCAACGGGCCCGTCGGCTATGCCAGTAGTCCGTGCACCCCGCGGCGCTCCTCAACCTGAGGCGTTTTTAGTGTCTGATGTAAAAACACGTACCGCACGCTGGTGCTGGGCCTTCTTTTGGGGTTTGCGGTAGTCGCGCACCACCGTAAGCTCCTGGTAGTCCAACTTGGGTATCGCATAATTTTCGTCGAAAAATACGGCACTATTAAAATGCGCACTCTTCGCACCGGATATTTGCATCCAGCGCTTCATGTAGCTCGTTGCGATGACGTTGCCCTGCAACTGCAAGAATATGCCTCATTATGGGAAGCTGGACCTACGTGGCCGATGGCGAAGTAGCGTCGGCACTTTATCCAGCCAACCAGAAACAGCTGGTTGCAGTGCGACTCGAGCTCGCTTTCGAAGCTTTTCGCTGCCGAACGATATATTACTGCCATACCAACCTCACCATTAAACGTGCCCGCCAGCTTGAACCTGAACCTATGGTTCATCTCGTGCATATTGTCAGCATTGTAGTCTGTCCGCACAACAGGACGCTCCTGTTTCGGTTTGTACTTGCGCAGCCCGCTGGCCTTGTCATTTAGGGTGTCGAAAATGGTGTCGAACACCGGATAACCCCTGCTTAACACAGGGTGTACATTTGCAGTATCATACAGCGACTTAGCCGGGCGCAGGCGAGGTAGCAGCAACGATTGCTTTACTACAGGTAACGTGCTTTTAGCCTTATTTTTCAGGCTCTTCGGGAAGTATGTAGACATGGCAGCGGCGTTCCGCGCCGGTTCAGGGCTTCACTTATTCACAATATCCCATCGAAATGATGTTTTTTCGCCACACATATACATATATCGTCAATGTACCCTATTGTCACGACTGCCATTAAAGAATACCTTGACACCGTTGGTTGTCTAACCTCCAACGGGCGCGCAAGGTAGGGGTGATCTGTGGCACCCGGAAGGCAGCATTCCGCCGTCCACACGATAATTCCATTTGCGGTGGTTCCGACACATGTAACATGCCGCGAGAGGACCCAGCGCAAGTTACCGATGGTGACGTTTGCCTGGATTCGCCAAGCGGGGCCTATCGCCGGGAAGACACCCGCAGCGCCCCGCTATTGGACCTCGCTGGCCGCAGTTCGCTGCATTCGTTCGGGTACACCATAGACGACTTCGATATAGGTGGAATCGTGGTAGGTGTACGGTATTTTGATGCTATGCTAGCTGTGTAACTCGGGCGACACACAGGCTACACATTTGCGTGTTGACGGTTTTATTGGTCTTCAGGGTGACGGTGCGCACGGTCAGGTGTTCCTGGCACGGGAAAGACGCACGGGCTTCATATGTGTAATCAAGTGTATCTCCAAGGCTCTGCTCGTCGGGTAGGTTGTCTCAGGTCACCTTCGTCATGCTTCGCAGGAGCAAGCAGGAGTCTATTTTCAAGCGGGAAATAGAGTTACACAGCCATCTACGGCACCCCAATATCGCAAGGTAGGTCATAGATTGCCACATGAACAAATCGCAGCATCTTCACCTGGTTCGACACGGAGTCTATGGTCTACATTGTGCTCGAGTACTGCTTCCATGGAGACCTCTATACGCATCTGAATCTGCATGGGCGGCTTCCAGAGCAACGCGTGGCTGAGATCCTTTTCGAGGTCACATGGGCCATTCGGACCTGCCACGACAAGCACATCGCGCACCTGGACATAAAGCCGGAAAATATCTTGCTGGACCACAACCTCAGCTGCAAGTTGGCTGACTTCGGTCTGTCGGCACATGTGGGCAGCGGCGGCGGCGCAGTCAGCCACATAAGGGGCACCTACGACTACTGGTCCCCGGAGCAGTGTGCATGCAAGTACAATATCAAGGGGAAATTCGGCGAATACAACCACAAAAGCGACATCTGGGCGTTGGGGGTACTTGCTTTCGAGCTGTTCTTCGGAGGGCCACCGTTCGGGTCGACGACCGAGGAGCCCGTCAACCAGGTGCTGGAGCGCATTCAAACCAACGCGTGGTACCGCATTCTGGTGGAGAAGTATGGCCGTAGCCGCCTCAACGAGGCAAGCCGCGAGTTCATCAAGTTCTGTGACATGTGCTTTGAAAAGGATGCGCGCAAGCGGGCGGACGCTGCCACCGTGCTGGAGCACCCATGGCTGCACTCGCGCAACGCTGAACGATACCGTTCAAGCGTGTTCTTGAACCAAGTACGCAATCATGCAGTTGACGACACTCATTCCGCGTAATATATACACATTATTTCTCACATGGGTTATTCGGGGCCTTCCAGCCTCAAATACGTCGACTCCGAGGTCTCGTAGAGGTCCATGAATGTGATGCGATTGAACTCCAGGTAGTGTTGTACATGACGGCGCATCCCGTTGTAGCTCTGCTTGAGGGAGAACTCGAGCAGCGTGAACACCTTCATCTCGGATGCGAAGATGGCGCTGGGAGTGATTGCGCGGTCGCGGCACAGGTAGGCTATGATCTCGTTGACCACGACGTGCTCGCCATCCTGGTTGAACTTGTAGGCGATGATGAGGCACGTAGCAGCATATAGTTTGCGATTTTGTTTCGTGACGACGCCCTTTATCACCAGCCTGATTTGACATGTGAAGACAATGGCGAAAACGTACCGCTCGAACAGAATCCATGCCGAAAAAACAGTCGACGGATCCAGATGCGTCACGCTTCGAGGCGCCAGGAACATCGTCAGTTTGATGCGGCTGAGCTTTGTCAGCGAGAGCGACGGGTGCAGCCACTCGTTTGCCGCACGGAAACGCGCATTGATTTCGGCGAAGTCCGACAGCTCCGCCGCCGTGGTGTCCGGCGCGTCGAATGCGTCAGAGTTTCCAGGACTTGAATTGCCGCACGACTTGGCCTTCACAATGCCGTAATGCAGCGGGATGTTCATGAAATTCGGGTTGTACGTGTCCTGGCTAGGGATGATGAGCTCAGCATAGCTGATGTAGAACTTCTTACGACGCTGCGTTTCCCGGTTTTCGAGGCCCATGTGGTGGTTATCAGCCACTTCCAAAATGTCCGATCGTCTGTCGCGGTACCGGCGCCACATGTTTGCGATGTGCGACTGCCAGCGCATCAGCCGCATCCTGGCCTTCGATATGCCCATCCCGTCCTCCGCGTTGCGCCCGTCGCTGTTGCTGCGACGGAAGCTCCTGGCTTCCTCCCCATCGGCGGTATACTGACGGTCTATCCGCTCCTCCTCGAACTCTATTATGCGGTCCTGATCGAGAGGGTAGCTCTCATGAGGCGTGCCGGGCACGAAGCTCTCGTTGTATGTCGGCAAGCGCGATAGATGCACATCGTTAGGCCTGCGTGCGACGTGCGGAATCCCTGTCAGGAAAGCTACAGCCACATTGGTCGACAGGTTCGCGGTTTTCAGAGAGGTGAACCTCAAATCCGTGAGCAGCTCCTGGAACTCGTTGAGCGAGTAGTCGTCGATGTGGTTTGACTGACGGCGCATCATGGCGAGCCGCTGGCGCCGTATGTAACACAAGCGTGAGTATGATGGTTATACTGTGGGAGCCGATTTTCGACGGTAGACTCTATATCTCGACATACTGACGGTTGAAATATGTGTAGAAAATAACAGACATGTAGGATGTGCCAGGATCGTCGCGGCGATCACCTGATCGCGCTTCGGTGTTGCCGGGTGTATACAACAACGGGCAAGGTGTAGACACCGCGGAATGCTTCGAAAATGTACTCTTCGTTTTTGTATATCACGTGACATCTGTCAACTGTGCATAAATCCGTGAGCTACTCTAGTCTGCGGAAGAGGCCTATTCTTTACATCGTTCGTACCAACGGTGACTGGAGGCGGCGGTGCTGCTGTACGCGGCAGATCGCCTAAGGCGGATTACAATGTTCGCGCGGGTTCTAACCCGCTACTGATACTCTAAAGTCCACTACGTGGCTTACGGTTGTCCACCAGGTCAGGACGACCATCTCGATGGACGCTGTACATTGGTAACACGGATGGTACGCCGAGGGACGCGACGCGATACTTCTATACTGGAATCCACGGTGGATGTCGTGTATTACAAACACTACGGCCCAAGTCAGGTGTGTGACCAAAATGTCGTACATCGACGAACGAGGAAATAGAGGCGAGTCATACGATGGCGACTTCCACAACGCCTATCGCTCCATGTTTGCTCCCAAACCTGGAAGCATATGGCGGAAACATTCTCGACAAAGATCTGAACGCGATAGGTCGCAAAACAGACTAGAACACGTGCAAGGGCCAAGCTCAGATGGAGTCGATGGACGGTGGCCAGGGGAGGTAGACAACAATCCGGATTCCCGCCCGACTAATTACCGATCTATTAGCACGCCAAGCGGTGGATATGGCGGCCGGCTATGGTCCGACGATGTGACCCGCTCATACAACACGGCTGGAAGCCCGAATGGCTCCTTGCCACGCAGGCATAAGTTGAGTTTTTCAAGCAACATATCAGGTGACCAAGCACGCAATCGCTATGCCAAGTCACATAACTTCAATTTTACTTACGGCCGCGAGGGGAGGGGAGGCAATTTCGTGGGTGACTACCCCTTTGACTCCTCCGACGAGAGCTCCGCACCGACCACCGCGAACGGCGGGAAACGGTATATTGGCGTGAGGAAGAAGCCAGTTGTATCGGAGAGCTCCGACGGCTGCTTCACTAGCAGAGACTTTGCAACGTGGCTGCCTAACCGGGGAGGCGGGGACAGTCACTCCCAGCACCTTTCCAACGCGGCGTATTCCACTCCACGCAGCGATACAGGGAGCAGTACAAATGCTTCTAACATGACTACACGGATCTCAACGCAGATAAAGCTGGGATTCCAGAAGGTGAAGTCGTTCTTGAGCAATGCATTTCAGAAAATTAAGGATCACCTCACCCCTATCTGCTCCGGAGATCACTGGCGATCACGCCGCACTAATCGCACCGATATTAAGGTGGAACGTACCAACGAGCCGCTTTTGGAGTGTGACACCTACAGCCGTTCCTTTGAAGAGGGCCGCTGACCTCGTGCCGAGGGCGGGCGCTGTCCACATATGACAGCGCCGGCGTATAGGAACACATTAATTTTAAAGTTTTAATCAATCTGAGTTGTTAGACAGCTGATGTGTGGTCCGATGTGCTGCTTTTGACGCGATGAGCTGTCTGATGTTAAAGGTGCAGATGTTGTCTAGTTTTTTCCATCGACGCCTATTTTAGTCACAAATGCAGCTTTATATACAGAGATTCGTGTCATATCGCAACTTTTCATGCAACTTGCTGCTACAAGGGGGGAGCCCGGCCACCGTTTACTGCCGAGCAAGCAGCACCTATCGTAATGTGACTCTGCCGTTTGGAGGCGCTAAGGGCACCGTCTACAGCAGCTTTCCGTCTAGCAATGACACTGGATGTTACCAAGAGCTCGGCAGCGCCGCTTGGGCAATCATTCAACGCCGCGGGCCCAAAGTTGTCAGACCACGTGACGCCATACGTTTCTGGAAGATAAGAGTAGGCGACAAGGTAACGAGCTGCCCATGCGTCTGCATTACACGCAGGTAACGGTGATAAGCGGCAAGGAGAAGGGGAAATCTGGGGAGGTGCTGGCGTGCGACAAGTTGCGTAACCAGGTTAAAGTGAAGGGATGCAACATGGTGGGCGTTACGGTGATCTCTGATAATACGACTCAGAGGAAGCTCGTCGTTGATGGCCAAGTAGCCCATATAGAAAAGAAGATCCACTACTCGAACGTACAGCTCGTGGATCCACTGCTGAAGTACGTTGGTGCTGTCTGCGTTTTTCATTAGACAACAGCTGCGCAACACGGGTGGCCATCAGGTTCAGCCGCGACAATGAACCACGTAAGGCAACGCATACCACCGCCTATCGACTGATGTGCAGTGCGTGTTTCCAAGAAGTCGGGGTATGTCATCCCCTGGCCAGAAGAGGTGAGGTTTCCACTTGCATGACTGACGTTCGCGCAGAAACCCAAAGAGGAAAAAGGTAGCACAGACAGACGTATACTTCACAACACTTAGAAATATTCGAGGGCGAGAAGGACACTGCGCCGGAAGTGGCGCTGGAGCGAACGTACAACTATGAAGCGGTGAGAATCTCCGACCTCGTGCTGAAATCACGCTCCCTCAGGACGTGCAGTCCATGAAACTACTTCGCCAGGCAATGCAAAAGTACAATAGAGAAATTTAATATCACTTGTTGTTACCCATCAGCTTGCTCGCAAATGACTCCCTAGGATGCACCCTAGTATTCTCAGGAGTCTGCGCCTGATGTTTCATGAAAGCCTTGAGGGTCATAGTGTTGCCCTGCTGCGTGGTTGTTCCGACCGGCTTTTTCTTCGGCTTCGTGACCTTCTCCACGCCGAGGGCCAGCGAAGGGAAGTCGTCGGAGGCTACAACAGGGGAAGGCCCAGGGATGTCGGCCACCTTCCACCCAGGCGAAGGCTTGGGCACTTCGGGCGGAGCAGTAGACTTAGGCACTGCTTTAGGGACACTTTGACGTTTCTGCTTCTCCATTATGTCTAGCAAAGAATCCACCTTAAGCTCGTCAGGCTTGTTCCACCGCTGGCTGGACATTTGCGGCGACTCGCTAATCTGCACCGCAGCGTCAGCAGAGACCGCCTCCACTGAATGAGACGTAGTAGGCGGAGTTACGATGACCTTGGGGGTCTCGGGTGCCTGGTGGTGAATCGTAGTGGTCTGAGGCTCCTCCGTGGTGTATCCGACCGGATTCTCCAGGAAGGCTCTGGAGCTTACGGGGTACAGATCCTTGAATGGCGTCCACGGCATCATTTGGTTGTAGCGCATCTTCAGGTTGGGGTTGAAAAAGTTGTTGATGTACCACGTGTACATCTGCTTCGAAGAAAACGGTCCATGCACCAGGCCGTGGAAATCCATGTATTGCCATTGAAGATCAATAGTCGGCGGAATAGTTTGCTGTAGATGCGGCTGCAGCTGCTGTTGAACCGGCAATTGAGGTTGTGCATTAACGTGCAGATTAGCATGCGACGATGGCACAGATTGCATCTGCAACGGCAGTGGAGATTGGCTCTTCGGAGCGATCTGCGGCTTCAACGGAGGTTGGGCCTTTAACGGTTGCTGGGATTTACTCAACGGCTGAAGCTTGTTTTGCGACTGCGACTTCAATTGCTGAGATTTGTTTGGCAGCTGCGACTTGAGTTGTTGAGGCTTGCTTTGGAGCTGAGACCTCAAAGGATGCTGGGACTTCAATGGCATCTGCGCCTTCATCTTATGTTGCATATTTAGAGACGCCTGAGACGACATATGTTGTCGACCGTGCAGTGGAGCCTGCATCTGCGCTTCCAATTCGCTTTGCAGGTGAGACTGTAAAATGAGATGGGACTGCAACTGCGTTTGGACCTCAATTCGATTTTGCGTCTGCATACGCTGCTCCGTGCTCAACTGTAACGATTTCTGAAACTGTGCGGTTGCTTCGGCGATTGAAGGGTCCAAACCGGGTTCCGTGGTGTCGAAGGATTTGTCCAGTAACCGTTCCAAAAATGATACGCTGTTACCGCTGTTCTTCAAAAGAGGCGAGCCAAACACATCCTCTGCCTTTACAGATGGTGCCTTCAGGTCCGATGCTGAGGTAGATGGCCACGGCGAGGCGTCAGAGGTTATGCCTCCAACTGGCTGAGCTTGTGCCACGGATGCCGCAAGGGCCGTGTATTGCAGTAACTTCTGCTCCGTGCTTTCCACCGCACCGAATGCATCTGGCATCATAACGCTCTTGTTAAAATGCATATCTGCGGAAGGCCTGTGCATTGCGTGCCTTTCTAGCCCCAACAACAAAGCGTCATTGTGTGCCGAACCGTCAAATGGAGGGTAGTGTTCAGACACATCGTAACGGTCCGGCGGACTTTGTTCGTGTAAAAGAGATTGCATCGACACATCTGATCCGCCGTGCAGAGCTGACGCACCACCCGGCGAAGGGAACTGGGACGCACGCTGCTTGAGATGCTCTAAACCTTTCGCACGTAACTCCTGTTCGGCATCCAATATACCCATCCCATCCGGCGACTTGAATCTTTCGAAACCAAACTTGGAGTCGTTCCTCAAAGCGTTGTTATCGTATGTTTTCCATCGAGCATGACCGTCGGCGAAATGTTGGTCCCCCTCAAGCAAATCACCTCTCTTGGGGTAACCCGGCATATCATATCCTTCCCGTCCCAGTACGAAACTTTCTTTACCTGCAAAACATGTGAGAAAATGAGTATTCAGCATTCAACAAACCCTTTGGCACGCGCTGGTCGAAATAGTTGCGTCTCTGCCCCGGCGCAATGTCCATGGACTTCCGGCCAGCCTCACCTTGGTCGAACAACGACTGTGCCGTATGCGAGTACAACCCGACGAACCCTTCGCGATGGCCATGCCCAGCATCGCGTGGTCCTGTGTGATGCTGCACATAGACAGTGGACAACAGGAATTTGAGCTTTGGGGGAGGGTTTTCTATTACGGTGACACCCTGTTCCGTACTTATGCGCTGCATATTCATCATCAGTTGTAGAAGGTATAGTTTGTCGTATATAGCCTCAGACATTGCCCTCTGTTCAGCCTCCGCTGGTATTTCGATTTTCAATTGCGGCTTCAAAGTCTCCGACTTGCTAGACACCGATGGGACAACAGGTGCTGGTTGCTGCAACACTTCTGTAATACCCGTCATATCAGACAAGGTTTTGTTGTCCTGGGGGTGCCTCAAATCGGGGGCACGTCTGTGCTCCGGCGCTGGTTTCGAGTGGCCAAACGGTCTACGTTCCCCAAATGGCTTCGGATCCGCGGGCATCTTCATATCACTGAAGACCTTTGGGTCCGCGAGCGGTTTTGGCTCTTCAATGCTTCTTCGTCCTTCTAAAACCCTGTGAAACCCTTTACCGCCGTCCTCCGTCGGCACGTTACGGTGAAGAGACACAGCACGCTGCTGGCCGGGTGCATCTGCCACAGCAGCTCCGCTGTCTGGGACCTGACCTGTAGACCCATCGTTGCGGTTGTTAGGATCGCTCCTTGATGACTTGGCGAAAATACCGGCGATTCCGCCAAACGGCCGAGGGTGGAACATCCTTGGATGCTGATGCGGTCGCCGGTGGCGCCAAACACATCACGCAGTCCGCCACGACAAAGGTGTAGAACGTAACTGGCAATAAAACAACGGGTAGAACGGGGCCCAGCTTGGACGACGCGACGGCACACAAGTGACCTATGACGTCTTGAGAAAGAGTTCGCGATCCAGCGACTTCAGTTGAGTGAATTTGATTATATTGGCATTAAAGGAACCGACAAAACGGTTTTAATAAGTTGGTTTGTGCGATGCTAGCCCGTGGCCTTACTCCCAAAGCATCTAGCTTTCGGCCGGGCACCCCATACGTGTGTGTTTCACGGTGACCGTAATATTGAAGACAACCCATGGCGGCCACCAATTAACAACTAGCAACTCAGGGGCTTTTCGGACTGATGTGTGCTTTGCGCCGACAATACGGGCAGCTCACTGTTTGTAGTTTTGCCATGAAGCCGCTATCTCCTCGTCGGCCTCCGCTATGCTGTCTTCTATTTCGCGAATTATACCCTCGTAGTGTTCTATCATGTTGCGATCTAAGCACCCTTTTGGGGAGAAATCTTTTCGCACGTACCGTAGTGTAGTCTCTCCTCGGCCGACATAGAATCCAAGGTTTTCTGGACAATGACGAACCGGTTGTGTCTGTTCTGCCTGTTCCACTTTATTCACGCATACGTCTGGAACTCACTTGGACGTGTCCATGGCGGTGGAGCGAACGTGTTCCAGGCTCGAGCAGGGGGAGCGGATCTTGTTAATGGTGTCCTTTAACCCTGGTCACGTTGACATCTAGCTAGAATCTTCGTTTACAAACCTTCGATATGTGCCAGTGTGCTAGCTGCACGCTTGGTGTCTGCCTCATCCTTTGCGACCAGGACGATTGGCTTCCCGGCCAGGTCTGATCCGGTGTGACAGGGTCACTAAAACTGACTTACGAGGGTATCTAGCATCGTGTTCGAGCCGCAGTGTCTTGCCCAGTGCCGCAATTTTTTTTAGGAGTTCTCGCTTCCTTTCGCGCAACTCATTAGCCCTGTCTACTTTGGCGTGACCTATCCCCTTGCTTATATCATCTTGTTCCCTGAGCCGCCGTGACCTAATAGAGCACAAAAACGCACTTAACAATGTTGTCCAGACTTTTTCGTGACTCCTCAATGGCTTCGGCGCTTTTTGCAACCTTCTCGCCTGCCTCAGAAAGTTCCTTCTTCAGGGCGGTGTCGTGGATGATGTCGCGAATCTCGGATTCAGGATCAACAGCCTTCTCCGATTCGAGGTTTCCAGAAACAGTATGGTGTACTTCTGCTCCACTGTTTGCCGTTTTTGCGATTTCACAACTAGATTTCGGCACAATGTGCGCCGCAAGCAGTGCGATGAGTGTGTAGACACAGGCTGTGCCTACCATTGCCGTCTATGCAGCGTGTGACATTATATTACTTAAGATGCGATATAACGTCGCGAAGATAGGAACGTGAGTCATTAACCCGCGCATAACGCTACACATCACTACACGACTACCACGGACAGTGCTGATGTGAAAGGGCACTTATATCGCGTTATTTACAAACATTAACAAAACTTTAGTAATATACACAGTGGCTCTCCTACGTATAATGCCATAAGCGCTGATTTTAGATGCTGGGCGCTAAAACAGGACTCCAAGTTTCACCGGACTGTTCTTGTAGCCCTCGATGAGACGCTGATGGTTTCACAAGCGCGCTAATCAGGAGCATTACTCCCATCACATACGGTAAGCGTGCTCCAAATCGACCTAACGCCCAGCGGTTGGTCTCTGACGTGCCTGAGAGATAACGGTACGCCAGCGGAAACCACTTACCACTTCACCAACAGTAGCACACCGTCATTCACCATCGAAGCCCTGCCTGACATCAAATTGTATCGTAAATTTGGATTTATTGCTTACTGTGCTCCGTTTTGATGAGTAGGTTCGTAACGTTTTCTCTAGGGAGAGTAAGCGGTATCCTCTGTTACCATATCAGATGAGAAACATGTAACAAACCTCCGGTTTACGGTATATGGCTCCGCTGAGAAGCACATCCTCGACTTCAACATCTTGCCTAACTATGGCATGTTGAAGGAGGACAAGGGCACTGGTGAAACCTACCATCTCTATTCGTCAGCGTTACCAAGACGAGATTGTCTTTGATGGCGGTTTCGATCCCTAGGATCTCCCGTACGATTACCTCTCCAACCAAAGTGAAGGGGGGCACTTGGCAACCCGCGTCAATCTTGGGGTTGACGTAGGCGATGAGTGGCAACGACATGCCTAGCATGCTGTTGCTCAAAGCTGCGGTACATGCGAGAAAGCGTTGTTCGTCATACCTGCTGTATCCATTGTTGCGTGCATCACATAAGGATCAGTATTGTTGCCAACGATTGTGCGCTTGAGTGATATCCCATCGGTAGCGAGCGTATCTAATCTCGGAGATTTCTCGAGGTCAGCAGCACCATCATCATACGGGATTTCAACGCTGACCTCCAGAGCGCTGTATTTCGACTTCCACCCTTCATAGGACTCGACTGAAGCCTTTGGACGTATGAGAACACCTATGGACAGAGTAGAGCCTGAGGAATGCTAATGTGATACAACGTCTGCCCGCACCTTGCGTGACGTGAATGGGCACACTCTTCGACGCGTCTTTTGGCCAACTCTCGTCTAACACAATTCTGTCGCCTGCATTTTGCTCTGCATTTATCGAACGAGCGGATGACAGCCTATCTTCTAATCCGTCCACCGACTTTATGTGTATTAGTGAGAGTTCCGCGTCATCGGTGGAAAACGTCCATTCATTGGCGGTCATTATGAGCACAGGGCTTCATAATGAAATCCACTATTCTATTCAGAAATGTAGCTCGGTAAAGAAGTTCAAAGATGCATCCTGTGTATACCGGTGGAGTACCACAGGCGTAGGCACACAGTGGTCAGCAACTATGCTGAGATGCGCATTGTGATTATCGAGCAAGGATTCCTCCACCAAGGCGGATAATTGGTCTTATATGGTCCATATAAGCACATGTTAGATCATTTTAATGTATTAAATGGCAGACTGCTAACGCCTACGTTTTGAAACCAACTTACATAAAACATACCACTAGACATGTTTGAATTGAGCTGTATTTTGTTTGAGCGTCTATTTACAAGTCATACTTCAATTATACACGTTATGGTGTACACATAGGTCTTTTCTTAGTGGTTATTTGGCGTATGAAATTAAATCGATCCTCATAAACATAGGTCCAACAATACGCCAACTGCTCTATTTTACGTCACCGGCGAAAACGTTTTGTATGTATCAGAGCATATCATGCAACGGCGAATTAGAGGGATGTATTATAGAACTTAATATGTAAATTTGCCGAAAATGTGCCACTAGTTATCATCGTTCTAGCATTATATCACGTGCTATCTGTGGCTCTATTTCGCAACGCCCGCTTATCGCACCTCTTTACAACCCAAAATCTGCACGCTGTTGGTGTGATAACAAGTGCCTGCATCGTCCACGGCGCCGGATGAAGATGCCACAGGATCATACTATATCACCCATGGACAACCACTTCACAATCTGTTGGCGCCCAAACAGTCACTTCTATCTCGTACACGCGCCCGGCGGATAGCTCACTGCCTAGCCTAGAACGGCACTTCCACGCTTGTGGCCCGGGTAATCACCCGCATTGCACATCAAACGAATTATGCAACGAACATGCTTATTTCATTGTTTTCTAGTTATCAGCTAGATGGGCTAGGCGGCTGTGTTTACTGGAAGGAAGCGTGGAGTATGGGTTGAGGTAAAATTCATTAACGTCGTATCACCGTATTTCCTCAGGAAAGGCTTGGCACAGGGAGTGCCCGTGACACCACGTCAATGTAATTGTTCTCTCTGCACTAACACCCGTTAGAATGGTCATGAGTCTTGAGGCGGAAGCTGATCCTTACCATGGTGAGCCTCTGGATTACCATCTCTATGATCGCTAAGAGTCTTTATCATCTGCTTATGTAAAACGCCGAGGAAGCACGTGATCGATAATACACTCCACGCTATCGATGATAGGCTCGATACGATCGATGATAGGCTCGATTCCATCGATGACAGCTTCGACACGCTCGATGATAGGCTCGATACGATGCTTGATATGATCGGTACTATCGATGATAGGCTCAATACGATCAATGACACAATCCATACGATCGATGATACGATCCATACTATGGTTGATAGCCTCAATACGATCGATTGCACGATCCATACGATCGATGATACGATCCGTACTACCGTTGATAGGTTCGATACGATCGATGATAACCTCCACGCGAAATATGATAGGTTGGAGATAATTCTTGATACAACACATACGATTGATGAGACGATACCTACTTTCGTTTTTAGGCTTGATACGATCGAAGATACCCTCCATACTCTCAATACGATTGATGATACGAACCATATGTCTGATGCTCACCTCCATACCATCGATGATACGACATCTATCGTCTTTCCTATCTGCTAAGCCGTTATAAACGTTGCCGAATGGCGAATTTCCTGATAGACTATTAAAATCTGTCATCTTAAATAACCGGGGATGGTCAACTATGTCATGCGAATCCTTAGTCAGTGGAGTCAACTCTTCCAGCCGATCCAGCGACTGATCGGTACCATCATGAACGTGTGGATTAACATCTGCTCCGTTGCGACTGCTATCGCGTTTACCTTCCGTATCATCCTCATCGCCATCCTCATCAGTATCATCCTCTGCATTATCATCCTCATCAGTATTCGCTTCACTATCATCCGCTTCATTATTATCCTCATCACTATCCTCTGCATTATCATCCTCATCACTATCCGTTTCGCTATCATCCTCATCACTATCCTCTTCATTATCATCTGCTTCATTGAGATGGTTACGCTTGATTCTACCAAGATGATCGATAATACGGTCGTCGAAACGCTCCACGATACGCAGGATTATACAATCGACGATATCACCCATGATAGTACCGATGATACAATCGATGACATCTGCGATGATACCACCGAAGATACAATCGATCATATAGCCCATGCAAGTACCGAAGATAACACACATGACGACATATATGAAAATAACTACGCGAATGTCGACAATGCTTTTATCGAACGTCGGAATCAGTAGTGGAGTATTAAAGCCCACGAACATCAGTATCGCGAAAACGACAGGATAGATACATAGAGACACGCACCCTCTTATCAACGACTGAATCAACCGCTTCTGCAACTCCTCTCTGTCCATGCCCCCAAACACAGCAGGGCGCTTTGATAGACCCCTTTCCTGATTTCCTCCCGCAGGTGCTCCCATCTTGCAGACAACTCTTTGGGGAGAAAGCTCTCTCAAAAGTGACGAATGTACGTTAGGGTCAAAAACTCCTCTTCACTAAGGCATACCCATCCACAGTACCGTCCAGGTGTGCTCTCGTAAGCGTGCCTCCGTAGCTTTAAGCTCTTACACACCGTTAATATCCACAGCTAACACATTGATGAGTTGGCCGCAAGCACAATTTGAATCGAATTACACTCGACCAGAGAGAAGCGTCAATACTCCAGTAAGATTATCACTGTGCTCACACGCCCTGCAGTGCTATGATGGGTGCAGATAAGTGCTTAACCATGTTTGCGGGGCTCCCCACGAAGTGGGTGCAGGGGTATAGTTTGGGATTACGACTTCAAGTCTTACCGCGATGTTGTCCGTAGATGCAAATCAACTGCGGCGTTCACTTAGATAAGGCCGCAGATTCACAGAATGTCGCACATAGGCATACATCCACATTTCAACCACTGTGATGTTACCCACTCACCCGGCGGATGACCCAAGTCCTCTCCCACGCCGCTGAGTCGGTCTGGGTACTGTGCTACTATCGGACGACACCGGTGACTATTACAACTCAGCAATTGCAACACTAGACAAACGTGGCAAACTACGTTATACATTAGGTTCCTGGTCAGGTCCAATCAATGAGGCCACGCAATGTTCTCGGACGGAAGGATGGGCTGTCTGGGGTGCTCTACCCGACGACCTCTCACTTCAACCGACCATTGACCGCTGTGAATGAATAGACATAATCATTAGTACATTATGCGTTCCCTATGTCACTATTATGCTAAAACTTAACTACGCATAGTGAGAATGCTTCTTATACCACCCCTAACGAGGTCTCACTCATCTTTGAGCTGAGCGTTTTGCCGAACGTTGTTTACTAGTTCCTACCTTAGACACAGGTATCCACATCTAAAAACCTTTCGTAGTGCCCAACAACTCATTGAGGCATTGAAAGTTTTGTGATCGTCCATCCCATCAACTGCAATGGATGTGGATGAGTCCGGTGAAACCTCGAAACCCATTTTTCAATTGTCAGTATGGCTCGCTCTATCTTTACAGATCATCTGATTCAATGAGCTGTGAGCATATATTAAGCCCATGAAACCACTCTTGCAGCCATTTTCACCAATGGTATGGTATGCCCAGGCAGTGGCAGAGTAGTTGTGTAACAATATTACTGGAGTAATATAAATTCAGTTCCACGTACCAGACGTTGCGCTTTCCGACGTGTTAAGGTCATTGCCTATCTCTCAACTTGTGAATATATTTGCAATTGAGGGTGCGACACCATCTTCATTGCCGAAGTACAAAAAACGAAGTCAAGATGTGCTGCGACGTAATTTCACTCCGCATAATTATACTGGTATATTTCTACTCAAACATATTATAAATACAACCGCATGTTGTTAAATCGTCGATCTTAATAATCACATTCGAATCTAAAGACACGCTGCCACTGAAACAGACAAAAATCAACACACGCACCAACATCAACAATGAAAACAAATTAGTTTCCATAATTCACCGATAAGTTATGACATCTGATCTACTTATTACTTGGCATAATAGTTCTCGATCTGTATGGTGGAGAGGATGATCCCCTTGATGGTGACGCAGTGGCACTCCAACGGAGGCGTCTGGCGCAGCGTTTCTCCGACTCCGACGAGTGAACTGTCGAACCTCAGGATGACGAAATGGTTGGATCGCGACGCTACGAACGATTCGCTGATGTCACGAGTGTTCCTTACTTCACCGTCCACTAATACTTGCCTAAAGCAGTTGGGAGGATCCAGGACGTATGGCGCAGGGCAGTAGAACGCGGCTTCATTGGCAGTTTGGAGATCGATCCGGCAACCATACTGAGTTTCGCAGGTCTTGTGGATGTTCGGTATACACAACGTGTGCTACTAGATCAGTGCATTATTCTTCTTGGGATCATCGCTGTTTGTTTAATTCGTTGGAGGAGTATCATCGTCAACAAGACGTTCGACTATGGAATACGCAATTCTCCCTTTCTCTTTAGGCGGCGACGGTGTTGGATTACCTTTAACTTCGTCTCCAGTGTTGGTTATCTTTTCTGTTGGCGATTTCGTGTCGTCAAACGCGGGAAAGACTTCGGAAGGATGAATTCTCCCTTTCTCTTTAGGCGGCGACGGTGTTGGATTACCTTTAACTTCGTCTCCAGTGTTGGTTATCTTTTCTGTTGGCGGTTTCGTGTCGTCAAACGCGGGAAAGACTTCGGAAGGCACAAACTCACGTTTTCCTTTTGGATCCGACGGCGGCGGAACACCATTAGACGCTGCTGCAACCTTCTCTCCAGCACTGCTGGGCTCACCAGTTGACGTTTTTGAGTCGTCACCGGCACGCCGGACACGAATGCGAACCTTCAGCATCTCCTGCGGCGATGCGTGTGGATTCGGTTCAACATCAATGTTTACGATGGGAGTGGGTTGGAAATTAAACATCTTTCCCGGAGACCCTTTAGATGCTTTCTTGGTTGCCGCAACATTATTTCCGTCGCGGCCGCTTGTCACCGTAGTTGGCGGCTTTGTGTCGTCGAAAGCAGGATGGACACCGGAAGGCATAATTCTCCCTTTCTCTTTGGGCGGTAGCGGAGTTGGATTACTCTTTGATTCGTCTCCAGTGTTGGTTATCTTTTCCGTTGGGGGATGAGTGTCGTCGACAAGGTGTGGGACTTCGGAAGGATGAATTCTCCCTTTCTCTTTAGGCGGCAACGGCATTGGATCACCTTTAACTCCGTCACTATCGGTAGTTATCTTTTCCGCCGGCGGATGAGTATCGTCAACAAGGGGTAGGACGGCGATATACTTAATTTCCCCTTTCTCCTTAGGCGGCGACGGAGAAGCATTTCCCTTATTTACGCCAACATTATTGGCTAACTTCTCCGCAGGCGGTTTCGTGTCGTCGACAAGTCTTCGGACCGCATCCCTCATAATCTCCCCTTTGCTTTTTGGATCAGGCTGAGAGGGATCACCATTCGAGGCAGCACCTTTGGCACCACCAGTGGTTAACTTCCCCGCAGGTGGGTGAGTATCGTCAACAAGGGGTAGGACTATGGAATAATTAATTTCCTCTTTCTCTTTAGGCGGCAACGGAGTTGGATTCATGTTAGCTTTATCTCCAGTGTTGGTTATCTTTTCCGCTGGCGGCTTTGTATCGTCGAAAGCCGGACGGACTTTGGAAGGCACGAACTCACGTTTTCCTTTTGGATCCGAAGGCGACGGACTACCGTTTGCAGTATCTACCTTCTTGCCACAGCTGTTTGATTTATTCGTTGGCGGGGTAGTATCGTCAACAAGACGTCCGACGTCGAACTGCCTAATTCTCCCTTTCTCTTTTGGAAGTGAGGGGGCGGGCTGCGCCGATGTCACCGCATAAACATTGATTCCGCTGAGGATAAGAATAGCCACGGATAGGAACCACTTCATTTTGTCGTTAAATATTAAACTCTATACCCAAATCGGCACCATGCGTACATATCTTCGTCGGCGATGGATCTCCTGGAAGGCATGTCGGGCATCAGCCTTCTACCGGTGACAACCAACACACACGTGGGAGGCAGATGACTTCAAATACGCCACATGTTAAATAAGGATACGCGTGGCGTATATGGTCCGTTTCATAATTCGTCGCATCCATTCTCAGCGAAACAGATGTCACTGTTGCCATTACGGTTCCTGATGTGCTGGAAGGCGCTGCGAATCATGCGCTTGCCTTGAAGCGCGTCACATTGCGTCGCTTATGATATGCTGTGTGTTATTTTGTTGGCTTCTTTTAAGCTTTACAGCCTCTCACTACGTACATTGTTACGCATGAGTCGTACCACCGCTACACAGCTTAAATTGGTTGATCTCCACAAACACTTTCTCACCACCGTGTTCCACATTGTTGACACTTGTACAGTTACTAGCGATGCGATTATGCGGAGGTTCGACTCACTGCCTTTGGTCAGGTGATTTGTCACATTGGATTCAGTAGCCGATGTTTTTGGTTACTCGCTTTCTAACTTAACAAGACAGGGATAAGCGCGATCCCCTACGTTATGACGTGGGAGGGAATAGTGACAAAAGAACACACCAAGTATAGGCGAGACCTGGGCATATAGGATCGCTTAGAGACCCATATTCAACGGATGGTGATCCAAGAAACACAAAAGGTGTTGGGGGACATGAAACCCAGAGAGGATTATGACTCTGTAAATGACCACGGTGCCCGAACAGGACGGATGACACCAGTAACGTTCGGCAACAGGATGCGGGTCTCGCAACAGATACCAACGACATGCAGGCCGTAAGTCCTCAGTAAAGGTGAGAAGCACTGCTCATACGCAGACACATATCACACTAAACAAAGCAAAACAAAGACTAACAAAGGCAGTCACCTTGACCGCGCCCATCTAGTAAAAACACGGCAGTATAACATTCATGAAGACTATCTTAACATCTGTGTACGCTTCAACCATTCTCTACGCATCTTTCCAGTAACCACTCACGTAGCACACCTACTGATGGCAACTAGAAGGTAATGTAGCGGGATCTCATTGAATAATTTATTTTTGCGGAAATATGGTTTGTCACCCAGGCCACAAGCGTGGGAGTGCCGTGCTGACCTAGGTACTAAGCCACTCGCCGGGCGCGTTTGCGAGATACAAGTGACTGTTTGGGCGCCAAAAGTGTTTGAAGTTGTGCATCTGTAGGTAAAACTCTGTAAATCGGCAACCTGATCCCGCGCCGTTCACCACGCAGGCACTTTTTAATCCACTAGTAGAGCGGCAGCCGGAAGCGGTGGGAAGGTGGTGGCATAAGCTGGCGGCATTACGCTACGTTGAAAATTAAATTAGCTTACATTGGAACAAAGAAATGTTGTATGGGAACGCGGACAATTGTAGTTTAGGAATCCCGGTGTTCACGCCGACGGCAAAATCCAGGGTTCCCTTAGGCCGTCTGACAAGCGGCGTAGGAGTCGCAACGTGTGAGACCAAACATCTGCAGAGTAATGCTGTAATATAAATGCCCATCGAGCGAATTAGTCCAAAAGCGTACGAATCTGAGTGACATACACACATCTTCCGTACACACACAGCAGCACCAATCACGGTAATGCGCTGGATTCCGCATGGGCTGCCAATCACGGCTTATAACTACAGAGTTTTACGGGAATAATGAATCAATGTGTCGTGATTTGCAGCTGTTATTATCCGATAATGGTTCTAGACGCAATGTTGCCGCAACCACTCAAAGCAGACAACTATGTCAATGACGGAAGACGGTACAGCGACTGTTCGCATTCCTCATTTGCTGCCGTGTTGGCAACGATAAATCCCTTAAAGATGCCATAGGCGCTGCAATGTACTCCACTCAACCCGTGGTAGCTCCACAAACCTTGATCCCTCCCTGTGAACATACTAATATCTCACGGCTCAATACGCCTGTTTTGTCTGAAACTCGTATGTGCCAGTGTCTCGCGTTATGCGCGCTGCATGTCACGTTAATTGTGTAGACAAGGCTGCAATCGGGCACCTCGGTAGTAGTCATCTATTCACCTTCCGCATATTTGGTGCATCGACGGAATGTTATATTGCAATTAGACGCGTATGTATTAAGATTCAACAGGACTTGTGTTCTCCTCCGCGATTAATACATATCTGGTGCTCACGCCACTGGTTGAGTATACGCCCTGTATTTAAACCTACCTGCAAATAGACCACAAATCCAGCAATTTGCGCTAATTGCCTACGCCACCGACTCACTGCAAAATGGTATACGATTCGTTGACTGAGGCTCCCCGAAACGTCAAGGAGTGCATCGATTGGTTGATAGCTCTGAAGGGGAAGGATGGTGAAAAAAACTTGAAGGCTTTGGGGGACGCGATTCACAAGTTCCTTGCGGATAAGCCTGTTGGCAAGATGAAGGTAGCAGCCCTCGAGAAAATTAAAAATATTAGTAAAAAGTTCTTGAAAAAGCCGTGTCTTAAGAAGCTGCGGCACGTAAAAGTGATACTGAGGAAATTCAGTAAGTCTTTGCATAAGAATCCTGATAAAAGGTACAAGCGCCCCTTTCATTTCCAGCCAATCGATAACGAGAACATCATACAGACCAAGGGTCTCACTGCTGGAACTATCGCAGAGGACTTAGGTGATGTTCTGAGTGGTTGTTCTTAGTTCCTAGAAAAGATCAAAACCCCTAAGCAATACAAGTCTGCTTAGAGTTCGGAAGCGACATGGGAGGCATCATGTGCGAAGGACCCTGAGGCTTGTGCAGTGGTCCTCGTGGGTATTGCGCCTATGTTGTACGTGGGCTTGCATTCTTTGTTGGATGCGATCGATTCCGCACTCATGACATGGACTCCGTTTAGCCCGGAGAAGCATCTGAGAAAGGTGTTGAAAGCCCTGGGTTGCAAAGGGCCAGAGTACCGCGCAAATATTGGTCCTTCAGACGCCCGCAACGCTCTGAGCGGTTTGGATGGCCGTGTATTGTACACAATCTACGACCTCGCTGGTTTCTGGGCTTTCTATTGAATGGGGTTCTCAGGTGAGCTGTAAAAGCAGATCAACAACAATGAACTGTGTTCGACATCCCAGTGGGTGGCGTAAGCGTTCTCACGAAACCACTCCAATTTCCAGTGTAGTTATCACCAGTATGATGCATACACTCTCCATCTACGATACTGTTGCCGTCGAGCGAGACTAAACACACTTCTCGACGTCTCTTCAATCACGTTCATGGCGCAGATTGGCGAATTCTTGTTACAACGTAAGACGCTTTAGTTCTAGTATACCTGACAGACGCCGTGTGGAGACCCGCATATTACATCAGCAGCGTGGAGCTCTAGCCTGGTAAAGGTACAAACCGGAACCAGCCAAACGTAACCACATAGCACACTAAGAAAAACCAAAACAAAGATAATGTATTCCTTCAATGCGCTATACATCTGGATACGAATGAGTTTAGTTTATCACAATTAATTAGTGTTATGTGTTGTCCCGCAAGCACACTATGCGAGGGATTCACTCGTTGAAAATGTTTTTATGCCTTTAATATAGCCGTTTAGAAGTTACATTGATGTTATCGGATTGGAGGTAAGGGTTTGGATCATCCACGGACTAGGGTAGTAATTTGTGTTACTGGGAGAAACAAACCCCAAAGAGGCAAATAGCAAGATTTTGTACTGTGTGAGATGCGTGTCGTATGCCACCAAAATATGCCTTGTCGTGCTTATATAGTGACATGCAACAAAACTACCAGGTGGATGACAAAAACAAAATTATACTTCATGTCCTTTTCAGTTTCACCAACATGGCAGAACAGCATTACTGCCAGAACAGAATTTGTTTTTCATAGAAATTGCAAGAGGCATAAACAATCCCTGATGGGAGCTCATAATGAGTAGCTCCATATATAAGGGCATTGTCAGGGGCGAACCGTCTCTTCATCTCGCAAGAAGTTGGTAACAACGGTTGCTCTTCTCCCGCATCTTCCGAAACGTAAACCAGAGCGCCGTCGTAGCATCCCGCGATGTGCAGATTATTCGAATCCACAAAATCGATATACCAGACCGCCCCGTCTATTGGCCAGGCTGAAATGGGCGATTTCAAGTTGCGCATGTCAAATCTCATGATGCGCCGGTCGAAGCTGCAGCATGATTTCCACTTAGATGCGAAACAAATCCAACCTGCCCGTAAACAATACATGAGGATTATTCTCGTGGAATTGTAGAGCAGTGACTCCTGATGAGTGGCTGAAAAAAGTAAAGTAGCTGCAAGAACGAACTACCTCTTTAAGGCGTGGAGTGGCTCCGTACCAAGACGCCTATCAAAGACCTTTATTAGGCTATCATCGGCTCCTGAGAGATATTAATATCTTGTTGGAAATGTATACCTGTTAATAGGACATTCGAATTATCAGGTTGAAAAGCGCTTATCCATGTTTCTACTTCATGTGCCTTCCTGAAAAAATGTTGTGCCATGAAATAACCGTCTCTACCATTTTTGCGCCACAATTCCATCCTTTACAACATACACATGACCGTCGGACGCCGTAACTGCGCACAAGCTGTGAAGTAATATGATGCAGAGAAATGTTGCCGTGCCTTGCATGCATATCGTAGTGCGTGAGAGATAGTCCGACAACATCATTCTTGTTGTCAAGGTGTATTTCATCTTGCCGTTCTACGGATAGCCTAGTGGGGTTGTCGTTGTCTCCAGCGTCGGCCTCCACCTTGAAGGTTTCTATAGTGAGATTGGAGGTGACGCACGAGGCTCCAATGTGCTGCGTTGTTAACTTTATGCTCACTGTGACTTACATCAGGCGTTTTAATCCAAGAACAAGCGAGGATACCGTGTGAACGCTGCTCTGCCACAGCATAGTTTGCAGCATTGCTATCGTGATCGGGTTCGTGTCGCGACAACCTCGGCAATATGATTACACCCGTTCACAGTACGTACTGGTCTAAGGCGCTCCATGGGTTGAATGCAAGAAGGCTTCCTTTGCGTGACTTCGTTTCTGGGTGGTAATCGTATGTGGCTGCTAAGCATGTGCCCTTAAGTGTGTCATCTGCAGGTATATGTGATGTTGATCAATAGAGTACCTTGAAAAATATCGCTAGGGAACAGTTTAATGCAGTCAGGCTGTCCTTTGGTGTGAAGTGTATGTATTACATTCACAGATTCTTTACTTTCCATCGCAGTGTGTTTTGCTTTGGGTGTTTACAAACTGTCAATCTATTAATAGCAAGCGTGGTTCGCGAGCTGCAGCACGAAAACCTTTAAGAAAAGAATTGTGTGTTTCATATCGTTTGAACTACAACGATGTAGACTTTTTAGCTGCGTTGTATATGCTTCCTTAAAGCCGTTGAGGGCTTTTGTGCTGTTGTAATAGGTAAATGTGTACGCACCACGGCACGGTATCTGGTATGCAAATTAACGGGAGTTAGGTGGATTTAAAGGCGCATATTTTTACTCCATGGAAGTATGAAGTCGAAATCCTCCCTGTTTCAGAGAGTTTCATTTTAATTTCACAGGATGCCGAGCCAGGTTGGCGTTCCTTTGTAAGCGCGTTACAACCTCCGTTTTACCGTACGGTTCACGATTCTATGATATATTTGCTGGATAATGTGTGAAAAATGAAGTTTGGTGCCAAGTTGCAAACCTTCGTGGTCCCCGAGTGGCAGGATAAGTATATCCGCTACAAGGAGCTCGTTCGCTTACTCAAGCGAGCCAGCCGGCTGCGTTCCAAAAAGATACCTGGTGTAGAAGATGAAGAAGAACGTTCCTTGTTGCACAATCTCTTTACTATCGACGCGCAAGTGGTCGCACCGGGGATCTTTTCGTCGGTAGGTAGCGCTGATTTCTCCACTAAAACTGAGTGTGTCGAAGAGGGTCCTGCGCGAAGCCAATCTGCAGGTCATATTCTGAATCGCAGCGACCACTGCGTTGTGAACATTCCGGAAATAGAGTTCACCGACACCCAATTGATTCCCGACGGCGGCAATGGATCGTCCACGCCTACTGGCTCGCATATTACATCGCAGCAAATTGATGGCTGGCCGCGCGAAGAGACCATTGCCCGCATCGCTGATGAATATGAGAAGGAAGGAACGTTCAGCACATCCGGTTTCCGTACCACTCCAGAAACAGATTCACGTCTGCGTGTAGCACTGCATAACTTGGATCGAGTCGCCAATGCCGCCGAAGGTGACACGGGCTCGTATACAAAGACAAGAGACCACGACGATCGACCTTCAACTCCTGTGAGTAAACCGTCGCCAGGCACCGCACAGAAGCAGCTCCCATCCCGAAAGAGCGAGGAATCTGGTCCCGGTGTTGATGATGCCACATCTGCATCGAAGCATGATGTACATGCTGAAGATAATCGACCTAGTCATCTATACCAGAATCGTTTATTAACAAAGTCCCGAAGTTTTGCGTCTAAAGTCCGTTTATGTTTCTCCAAGGGGTTTCGCCTCTGCCGAAGCGGGGCTCCAAGGTCCAGGTTCAACTTGAGGAGGAATACACCCCAAATGCAGGATGAATGTCTCGCCGTCTTTGACAAAATCCTGAGGGACGACATAAGAGTCGTAATCAGTCACTATGTGACCGAGATGGATTATATAAAGTCCTTGGTTAGTTTTCTCAAAGCAGACATCCGCCGTCGTGGTTCCCAACTGGACAGCTCTTATGCTGGTTTGATTCGTAAAGCGTGTACTGCATTTTGGGATTCAGTCGACAAGTTGCAGTTCTATCTAAACTTGAACACGCTAGCTGTGTTCAAGGTGCTTAAGAAAAAGGACAAGCTGCTGGCCACCGGCGACATTTTCAACCTTTATCCGACATACAAGAGTATCATGTTGTCGCTCGACAACTCCCGAGGCATTTTGGATGATGTTGCGCAGATGTATAATTCGTTAATGGAAGTGCCTGTCATTGAGTTTGGTGCTCTGAAAAGTGACATGGAATCGACGTTGGATAATTTGCGTCCAAAGCCCGCTCACGGTTTATTTTTTATTTATGGATTGTGCACCGTTTTGATTGCCAATTCATTGTTTTTGTGTTCCTTTGAGTTTCCGTTGCCTTTCGATATCAAGATTTTGTTGTCCCAGATAGCCGCGTTTAGGTTTTTCTTTGTAGTGTCCCTAATTTGGTGGGGCTTCGGTTGGTGCCAGAACTATCTCGAGTGTTTTGGAGTGAACTATCAATTCCAATTCGGTATAAGCAGTAACTACTCCGCGACAGAGAAGGATTATTACTTAATGGGTGGACTTCAGACCCTGTCATGCCTGGTGCTGTTTGTGTTCTTGCTGTTGGACTGCAAGTTGCACGTTGTCCCGACGCATCACATGTACTTCTTCTACCCCTTGTTGCTCATATTGTTCCACGTGGTCATTGTTACGTGGCCTAATCGCAATCTGAAGCTTAAGTTGCGCAAGCGGCTTCTGATCGCTGTTTTCAGGGTTGTTGGCGCACCGTTCGGTGCTGGGGATAAGGTGACGCTTTCCGACAGTATTATCGCCGATGTGTTAACTTCTCTCACTCGGCCGCTGCGTGACCTGGTGTATATGATAACGTATTTCGCGATAGGCATATCGTCGGACCACAAGGTGGTTTCCCCTGTGGTGCAAAACTGGATTGTGCCATTTGTGATGTGCTACCCCTACGTCGTACGTTTCAGCCAGTGTCTGCGCCGCTACCTCAATGAGAAGCGCCTGCTGCACGTGGGAAACATGATGAAGTACGTATCTGGTATACTGTGCGTCGTGGTTTCCTCAATAGACTGGGTTGCTCTCTTCCAAATGAAGATTTGGATGCGCTACCTTCTGGTGATATCGTTCTACGTGGTCGCAACTCTGTATCAGTGCTGGTGGGACTATGTGGTAGACTGGGGTTTGAACATCGGTTGGAATATCTTTAGGACCCGAAACAACAGGATCATGTACCGCCGGAACGCGTACTACATGGCCGTCGTGTTCAACATGATGTGCCGTTGCACTTGGGCGCTCACTACTATTCCGTTCTCCATTATGCGCGACCAGGAGCTCTCATCCGATATTGTCTTCCTCATCGTCTCCGTCATCGAGATCGTCCGACGTGTTGTTGTAAGTCGCTTAGTGCTGTTATCATACTGTTCAGTGGGTCACCTTCCGGCTGGAGAGTGAACACCTGCTCAACTCATATAAGTACCGCACCGCCCTGTGGGTGCCGAAGCTGTACAACTGCAAGAACTTGATCGTCAAGGAGATGAAGATGCTGAACAATCAGCTGTAAGGCGTCACCGATTGATGCGCTTGTTCAAGTGAAGTCGCGCCCATATCTAGTCATGTCAAAACGCTGTGCGCATCGCCGACTCAACATGCTATGCGTGTCATTGCATTTCAGCGCCGGACCCGCTGCGAATAATCCTTCGCTATAATAAGATTCTGTGTGCTTAACTATGCCGATTGCCATACTAAGTAATCGGGATCAGTTACTGGATACTATATGAGATTCTTTGTGGCACCTGATAGATGTGTATATCGCTCGTGTGCTTGTCAGCGACTTAACGCACGCTTGCCGCACACTCCATTCACATTGAATACGCATATTCGCTTGAAAATTTACGACAACTGTGATTTGTGTGATTGATATTGCACATCCCCAAATCTTTTGGCGGGGTAGCGCTGGTCGGGCAGTGATTTTCCAGCGCGTCAGGTAGCGCTTTCGCGCCCCCGGGAATTGAAAATTCGATTTGCATCGTGTGTTAAATCTGTCCCTATTGGGAGTGGCCCAGGCGCCGTGCGCGTCGGTATGAAGTTGAAAATGTCGCGCGAACAACTCTTCTTTTCGCGGATCTCGTAGAATGGCATAAAATTGGCCTTCGTCGGAAAGAATAGCTCCAACTTCGTTACCACAACGGCGAGTGTGCCGTATGTGGTTAGAGCCGCTCATTTTGAAACTGGGCGCGCATCTGCACCACCTCCAGTGAAGAAGGGATTCGTTAATCTGGTCCCCGCGCACAATGATGGCCGAAGCTCTGCTGTGGCCCACACCTCCCCCGGAAGCGTCTGTGGATGACGATCCGGAGCAGAATGAGAGCTACGCACCGCCTCCCGTGGTGCCGGCGCCTGCGCGGACCTTCAACTTGTTCCACTACATCAATACCACCTCTCTGCGCAACAGCATGGCGGACGTCGAGCCCGACCCGGAAGACCCGGACGTCCAGCGCCTGGTCGCGAATCGCAATTTTGTTATCCGGACTCTGGTCTACATTCACCTATGCAGTGCACTGGTTGCCTGCGGGCTGATCGTCTGGACTGTAGTGGGCTACGAGATACGTCTGTATGAGCACCAAAGGAGCCCGTCCCAGTGCTTGCTTCTCTTCTGGCTCGTTCGTATGCTGGTGAATGTGTGTTTGAACGTCTGGGCCATTCGTTATCACTGCCACAACTTGCCGGACCCTAAAGCATGGTTGTTCTGCATGAAGCTATACAACGCGGGGTCAATCTTATGGCTGGTCTCCGCTGTGTGGTATACCATGCTCTACCCAAGGGAAACTCTTTGGTCCTTCTCATGTAGGATGTGCTACTTCATGATTTGGATGACAATCCTTGGCTATTTCAGCCCCAGGATGGCCTTGGACCTCTGCACGCTATTTCTCTCTCTGATCGTATTCGGCCTGATTCGCATCAGGGCGCAGGGCAGCTTGACGCCTGGTCTGACGAGGAAGATGATGGCAAAGCTGGAGGTTGATAGGTTCGAGAATGTTGCGGAACGCATTAAGAATGGGGAGACCAGGGCAATGTCCCCAGGCTGCTCGCGCGCTGATACCCCCAATGAATCAGGTGACGCAGGCATGGCGGTGCCGATTCCAGTCGGCGAATCTGCGGACAGCAAAAACGCTAGTGCCGCACCCACACCCAGACCCGCGGCTACCAATGCGGTGGCAGTTTTGGACCGCCTGTGCGCCATATGCATTGTGGTAGGTGTAATGTGTGTTTAGTTTCATGTTGTTGCAGGAAATCACGGACCGCGAGAAGATCTACGTGATGCCCTGCGACATACGTCACCTGTTCCACCGGGACTGCCTTAAGAAGTGGTTTAAACGAAGTCGCATATGCCCCATATGCCGTGTCAACGTCGCTGACGTTATCAGAAAGGACAACGCGAAACTGCAGTTGGGTACCACAGTATTATAGGATATTAAAAACCTTCTTAAGGTGGATCACACACTTCCACGCGTCCTGAACAATCGTATGACACATTTAAGTTTCTAAACATACGTTTGTCATTTCGTCCCTGAAAAACTCCTTGAGCACGTCGATGGAGTCGCGGGTGATGCGCGAGTAGACTCGGTCGTTGCAGTCGAAATGTCGTCCGTAGGCGATGTTAGGCTCCCCGACCACCTTGATGCATATTTCCTGTCCCTTCACAGCCTTGTCCACGGGCTTCTTGTTGTGCTCCATACTTGCGACCCTTCCGAGCATGAGCAGTGACCCCTTTGAAATGGTAACCAGGGGCGTGTTCGGCTTCAGGATACCGTTGTCGACGTGTACGCCGAAAACGAAGGGGTCCTTCTTGTTGAATACGCAGTGCGGAAGTATGGTGAGCTCACAAGGGAACACCACCTCGGAAATCCGTGCCTGCTTCTTTTGTTCCTGCGTCTCCTCCAGGTACTTGACGAAGGAGTCCAATAAATGGTAGATGATGTCTGCGGACATAATTTTGACGCCAAGGGTTTGAGCTTCCTTTTCAGCCTCGGTGGCGCACTTGACGTCGAAGGCGAGGATAACGGAGTATTCCGCATGGCCCTTCTCTCGCATGATGGACGCCTTTTTGACATCCTTCTTCTGCACCGTACCGATGTTCACGGCGAACACGGGAATCTTCTTATCGGTGAGGAACTGCAACAGGGCTTCCAGTGATCCCAAAGTTGAGGCCATGACGTACACCCCCACTCCCGTACGGTCTACGTTGTCGAAAATGGACGAGATATCCTGCATAACGTCCTCGCACAGTTGGTCAATGTCGTCATCGTCTTCCACGAGCAGCATCTCCGTTCCTGCCACCGTCTCCTCCAGGCCTTGTGCAACTATCTTCACACCCATAGCAGCCTTAATGCTGGTGTGTTTCTGGTACTCGCCCTTCACACGCAGCTCAGCCAGCGGCTGCGGTGTCAGCAATGTGCGAATGGTAGTTACAATGGGGCCGGAAAGGCCACACAGCACCACCTTGTCACCCTCCCTGATGGTGCCACCGAGCAGTATAACGTCCACCGTTGTACCCAGACCCTCTATAACCTTCACCTCTAGCACTGAGCAGTGGAACTCCTCCTTGTGAGTGATGTTCTTAACCATGATTTTCTGTGTCAGCTGAAGCATCAGACAGATGAGGTCCGAAATGCCCTCTCCTGTGATGGCACTGGTGGGACATATAGAGATGTTGCGCCTGACGTCGTCATTTTCCCAGTAGAACTCGCTGTTGAGCCCCTGCTCCGAAAGCTCCAGCATTATTTTCTTTGCGCGCTCGAAAAATTCGGCCTTGGTGTGGTCGAGCTGCTTGTCGAACGTCTTGTGAAACGTGGCCCACGGTGTGGGTTCCCATTTGTATAACCTGTCGATTTTGTTCAGCGCAATGACGAAGTAGCACTTGCGCGCACGCAACAATCCTATGGACTCGATAGTCTGTGGTTCAAGACCGTGCATGATATCGACGACGAGAACCGCGATGTCACACAGTGACGATCCACGCGCACGCAAGTTATTAAACGACTCGTGACCTGGCGTGTCAATGATCAGCAGCCCGGGACTCTTCACTTTAAACTCGGGGTTCACCATATCGCAGTGCTTATTGAGCATCTCCTTCGGAAAGAACGTGGCACCGATCTGTTGCGTGATACCACCAGCCTCGGCATTTTGCACATTGCTGTGTCTGATTTTGTCCAGCAACTTGGTTTTACCGGTATCGACGTGCCCCAACACACAGCAAATCGGTGATCGGTACTCGCTCTCATCGTCTTCGGAATCTACCTGTTTCGGCACCCTTGTCCTCACCACCTTTGGCGTTGGTGCCGAAACGGGTTTTTGTGGCTCTTTTACACTTACTTTCGCCTTTTCCTCTCCGTTTTCTTCATTTTCAGTGTCCAACTCTTCCCAATTGTCCACTACATCTTCCGAATCGCTAGACGGTGGTGTTTCTGGCAGTAATAAGCACTTTGAAAATTGTAACGTACCTTCAGACTCCGAAGACGACGGGCTGGATTCCTGCTCTTCTGGCTCTTCAGGTTCCACTTGCTCTACTTCCTCAACTTTGACAGTCTTCTTTTTGCGGTATGCTTGCGATGGTTGTGGTCGCTTGGTTTCGTCATCTTGCTTGTTTGCCAGTGCACCCTCCTTCTCCAACTGCTCGAGGAATTTCTTCTTCATCTCCGCCGCCATTTTCTCCTTAAGCGTCATTGGCTTGCCTTGCTGTTTCTGGCGTTCGCGCTTTTCCTTACGCTGCTGGCGCTTCTTTTCCAGCATTTCCAACCGCTGCCTTTCCTCCTCCTCTGCTTTCCTGCGTTCTTCCTCCTCTAACAATCGTCGTTTCTCCTCCTCCTGACGCGCCTTTTCTTCAAGCTGAGTATCATTAGAGGCACATTTTTAAAGCTGACTCACTTCTTGCAGCTGGCGTTGTCGTTCCGCTGCCAACCTGGCGGCTAATGAGATGGGTTTCTTCGCAGTTTCAGCTGCCTTTTCCGGTTCTCCATCACCCTCTTGTTTCGCCAGCTTGGCCTGCTTTTTCTTCTCCTTCTTGAGTTTGTTTTTGAGTGCCTTGGCAGAGGGCTGTCCTCCCTCCGCGTCATCGGCCTTATCATCTTCGCCTTCCGCTTCAGGTTCGGGCGCCGGAGGCGCCACTGTAGCTTCTTGCTCTACATCAGGCTTAGCCTGCGCAGATTTGGACATCAATAAATGTGCTCCTTTACCTTTGCACTCAGCTCATTGAGATCCTTAAGCAGTTCATCGACGTCCTCATCGTCTTCCACCTTGGTCTTCTTTCCACCACTTTTCTGCACATTGTTCTATTCATTACGGCTATGTCACAAACCTTCTTCTTCGATTTCGCAGTCTCTTCAGTTTTGGTTTCTACCACGGCACCTCTAGCCTGCACAGGCGTCATTTCGTGTCTAATGATCTACACGCTTTCTGCCAAACACACACCAAGTGTCAACGTGAAACAGCAACTTCGGATCATCTGGTACATCATGCACAAGATAGTCAACATACCGTGTTGAACTCGTCTAGAAGGGCGAGCTCGTCATCATCCTCCTCGACAACAGGCTTCTTCTTTGGCGCCATATTGTAGCAAATTGTTTTCTATATTGTTTTGTCACTATTCCAATATGCAGTTTGAGCAACGATGATGTCGTTTGGTTGGCTGGATTCCTCTCAAGACCATAAAATGTACGAGACAGCACAGCTCCGCTTGGCAGTGGCTTACACCGAGATAGGTAAAATTACCAATGCCTCGGACACAAAGTGCAAACGTATGTTTAAAATAGGGTTACACGTACCAAATGTCGGCAAAAGACATTTAATGTGATGGTCGAATTTCCGCCCACGTTGGGTCATCGTGAGATGTTGCCAATGTGTTGATGACGTCGTAACTGGGTGATTGCGTGTTAGTCAGCAACGCCGCATTCTACAAATTTTAATTTTACGTAAACAAAGAAATGTATACCAGAAGCTCTGGCGCCTCCTCATCGGGACATCAGAGCCTTAGAGCCGTTTTGCATAGCAACGACCCCTGAAGTCTGCGTCACCAGTTTACGAACGCACTTATGCGATAAAATATAGTTGGTTATATTGTGGTTATGCGATAGTTAGGTCTGCTTAAATCCGTATTTCTTCCGCTCGTAAAACAGGTCCGTTTTGGCGCTTCCCAGATTGACAATCTTGGGGCAACCATCGCGCTGCGGAAATGTGAAAGGCGTATGAAAATGCTCTATCTAGTAGATCACGAGTATACTTACATCCTTCTCACATTGGCAGCATTCTTTGCAGTAATAAGCGTCAGACACGCCTGGTCCGGAGCAAATGACGCAGCGACCCTATGTTCATATTATCGCGTTCCATAAAGCGTTCGTTCACAGGGACTTATGTAAAGACGAACCGTTCATGATAGAATTAACGTACCTGATTCGTGCCGTAGTTGCATTCGTCGCATATGCGAACCAGGGTGCAAGGTCTCACGTAGGAATCACAAATAGGACACTTGCCGTCGCACTTGTCACATAGCCGTCCGATAGCTGAATACATATTAATGCGTTGATTAAACATTAAAAATCTCATTTTGGGTTATTTACGGCGTGAAATTATAGCCGCCGCAAGCATCCAGTAACAAAGGTGCACATATATCTTCAACTTACAGATTCCCGGCTGCTTCCGGCACATAATCAAATCAGGATGATGCTTAGAACCCATTTTGAACCTCCTATGTCATCCACTGCTCTTCTGGCGTCGGTCGGAGCAGCCTGCCTTCCACGGAGGCTAGGGCTCCTTCTACAGTGAAATCCTCACAGAGTCTACTGATAGACTGACAAAATCTGACAGCTCAAAAGTGTGTTGAGTATTGGACTATTATGTGGTGCTCTGTTGATTTATCACAAGGCAAGACTCGCCGCGTAAGGCGTAGGGTAGACGATGATCGTAGGGGCACATTAGGCAAAAATAATCAGTATCGTGCCGATAAGGAAAACCTAGATTTAGTTATTTGAACATCTTGAGATTGAATAAGCGTCACATGGAACAGATGTGCTGCTCAGTCACATTTTGACGTAGCAGTGGCGAGAGGACTACACATATTCCGCAAATACGAGTAGTGATCGAAGTACTCGCAACGCCGTTCCTAACCTATGTTATATATTGCTCATATAACCTCATGAAGTTATGGGCGACCACAGCCATGGTTATGGTTTACGTGTCTTACACCTTGCGGTTCGCCTAGTTTCACTTTTTAATCCAAGTTGTGATAAGTCATAATGACCAGCCTGTCATATGATTGTGTTCCTGTAATTGACGTGCGTGATGGACGTCTGCGTCATCACTTTAGCATTGTCCAGTTGCAACAATGCGGCTTTAACCCAGCTTTTCCTGTAAAGCAAGGGAAAGTACTGCCGTAGGCTCGAATCTGATTTTAGTCAAGGCATAACTGTAATGCAACCGATTTCAGTACCAATATCCTCTCAATAAGTGAGGAATCAGCTGCAACATCTTCCCATGAAACCCTATTTAGCCGTGGTAGTGCCTCTAGATTCTATCGCCGGCATCTGCTTACTATGTATTCTACACTGAGCTGTCGCCCGGCGTAGATAACACAAAATCCCTGGTTATAGGGTAAATACAGATTCCAATTTCTGATCCTGCACTGTGCATCGTTCTCATTGTATCAAGGCATATAATATTTTTCATGTACGGCGCAATAACAATTCGCTCGAAACACTACATATTGACAACGATGTTGTGCGGAATACGTGTTTATGTCACGATGCCTGCCAATGGATACATATATGTATGATAAATCTATATCTGCGATTGTTCTGTGGACCGCCGTTGCCCTTATGACCGTCACTTTTTGTCGACGATTGCGGCTTTAGTTGTCGTTATTCGACACTTGAGGGTACCATTTACGGCAATGACGAAGTCAAGGAGCGAATCCGATTGACTCAACACAGATGTGAGTTCCTCATCCGTTACCTCAACAATAGGTATAAATGCTGGTACAGCAAATTTCTTCCGCGTATCATCCGCATAAGTGACGCCATTGTTGTCTTGCGATGGTAGTGTTGAAGCTTCGTTGTTGACGTTGCTTGAGCACGTTTCAGTATCTGGAATTGTTACAGAGATGTTGGTTAGGATTTTACGTGTCTTGTCGTAAAGTCTGTGCTGCTCCAAACGAGACTTCAGCGGCTTTATGTATTGGGCGATCTTTACAGCAACGTAGGGCCGAGGCATGGACTTATATGGTCCGGCGGCTTCATCCGGAGATGGCGAGAACCACGTGCAAATGTAGAGAGGAGTTTTCGCTACCCCTTCCCTCGGTGCGTTTACCCCCAAAACGTTCTGATTTGGCTGACGCTCCATGACAGTTGGTACGAAATCAGAGCCAGCCATCTCACCATTAAGCACACTTGTAGCGCTATCCGTATGTTGCATATTGTTGTGAACGGTCAAGCGCCGACGGCCTTTGTTCTTAATATCGCCTCGTCGCTCTGCTGAAGATGCACCGTCTTTACTACCGTTGACAAATCTGTTACCCAAAATTGCGAATGGTTGCAAAATGTCTATGCCGAATTGGTTTACACAAGACCAATACAGCCTCAACATCTGGCGAATGCTACCCGTAAGCTTCTTGTTACATGTAGCCAAAAGGTACATGAACTGATCTTGACTAACTAGCCATTGCGTCTCAACGCGCTCATTCCTCTCTACAGCAGTCGACTGTGCTTGTGAGGTTGTGTCCGGACCGTTGACATCGCCACCATGATCACTCTGTTCTGTCGAAGATTTATAATTTCCTCGTATGTAATGGCGTATGGCTATTGGAGTTTCCAGTATGTTGGAACCCGTTACTGAAACTATTATCCGCTTCGTGCAAGTTATGATCCCCGATTTTTTGAGACCACATCCCCGTACCAACTGAAGGAGCGTGGTTGCGTCCTGCATAGAAGCGCATTCAACGTGCAATACAAACGCTTCGAACTTTAACAGCACTTCACATGGATGTCTATTGCTGACCTCCGAAGAAGCCGGTTCCGAAGAGGATTGGGGTTCCTCATTTTCATTGTACGTGGAGAGATCCTTGCGATAGCAATCTCGCTTACACTTCACATCCGCATTAACCGCACTCGCTGCAGCTAGCGCTTCTTGATGGTTTAAGTGGCAGTGCGATGTGTAAAGGAACCTTCCAGCCCTCCCGAAGTCTGAAGCACGCTTCGTTGCCGCCGTGGCATGCTCCGCGTTGCACTCGAATATGGCCACGCGACCAGAACAGCACGAAGTGCTGACAAATCTCCCTGTACGTAACAGCAAGCGCAACAATGGAACCAGCATAACGTCCACAGACCCCTTAAGCGACCTGTCTACAGTGTCATTCCCTCCGCTGCTGGAGTCCGCAGAGATCCCATCATCGACTCCAGCACATCCGTTGATGTAACTGCGATATTTGGCCTCTAGGCCGTTATATTCCAACTGCGGATTGCGCAATTGCGCCGCTAAATCTTCGATGGATTGGTTCGGATGTTCCTTCAAGCACCTCAAGATGTGTTGCAGGTTGCGATATATCCCGTCCGCCACCACATCGCGCTCCCCTAATCCGAACTGAGCAGACTGCACTTCACGCCTCACAGCAGCGCTTGAATCGCTGGCTAGGTGTTCACTGCCGAGGTAAAGCAACTCCAGACGCTCATCGCCGAGGATAGCGGCGACCTTCTCCGGGTCAGCGCGCATATTTCGGGACTAAAAATGGAACACATGAACGAATAAATGTATATATTATACAGTGTTTACATAACGGCTGTATGTGTGCGTTACGAGCGACATCCGAGCCCCCGACTTCAGCGTACCGCTGCGTCGGGCATTAGCTTCGTACAGGGACTCGGCGGTTGGTATTGGACGCTTTTACCCCCTTCTCAAGGCCAGTACAGTTCTGAAGCACTGTTTTGGCAACCTTTTTGCGCTTCTTCCTCTCAGCGCAGCAGGTCTCTATCTCCTGCAGCTTGGACACAATCATCCTCCGCTTCGCCGACTCATAGGCAATGCACGGCAATTCTCGGGACCCATTAAGCGCTTCCATGACGACATCCACGTCATTTGAGGACTTCATGAGCACGAAAAATTCGTCTATTGTGAGAGTCATGGGATTCGTGTCGACCTTCTGGTCAAGTACCGGCTTGAACAGGTTGTAGACTCTCAACTTCGATTCCTCTTCAGTGGCAAGGTTGCGGAGATATGCACAGTGCGCTATCAGCTGCGTTTGCCTCAAGACATCCTCCAGGTCGCTGTTGGAGCACTGGTACATTGGGTTGAGCAGTCTCCGGAGGTCGCGTGTGTCGATCAGTATGGACCTTCTTCCTGGTGTTTCGCTGCGCAGCCCAGCGAATGTGTCCAAGATGAGATCGCTCCTGTGCAGCAGATGAGGCATGAGCTGCGCGGCGAGGAATTCCGTGAAACTGATGGAAATCTTGTGGTTGCTGAACTGGCTCACTATCTCGTTCAGGCGGGATACCGACTTCCACAGCGTCGATTGCCTGAGGATCACACGGCGCTTCGGACCCTGAGAGAGACCGTCAGTTTCGAATTGATCCTGCCCGTAGCCTGGAATGTACTCCGCGCACATGTATAGAGGCCTCTTTTCACCAGGTTGGCGTGCACCCACGTTGCCAGGTTCCTCACGCGCGCACAATAGCCACTTCTCCACCGTATTTGCGTTGACCCAGAAGTAGTCGTTTTCGCAGAACATGGAGAGGTAGAGGTACTTCTTTCGATATTCCGCCACCTTTTCGGGCTGCGCCTGCCCAACCATGACGCACAGCGCCAGCTGCTTTAGGACGGGACAACGATAAAACGCGGTCAACGAATCCACGATGCCAGTGGCCTCTTCCACGGTCATGGGAATGTTGTAGACCTCGAAGGTCGCTTGTCGCAGCCAGGGGTGCCGCAGCGCCTCCGAAGTAGACATCCGCTTTTGGGGATCCTTCACCAAAAGCCTTCGCAGCAGGTCGAAAGCGTCAGGGGTGATTTTCGAGTAACGCGTATCACACCAATCGATTTCTTCGGTGGCAACACGCACGAGTGTCTTCACGTCAGTTTCAGCGTGAAAGGGACAGTAGCCCAGCAAAAACACATGCAGCATGATCCCCGCAGACCAGGAATCACAATTGACCGAATATTGCTTTTGCGGCGCATGCTTAACAATTTCCGGGGCCACGTAGTAAGCGGTGCCCGCTCGTGAGGCTAGCGTATGCAGCGGGGAATTGGCGAGTCCGAAATCGGTGATCTTGATATCGGCGTCGGGAGCGTCACTTGACCACAAAAAATTTTCCGGCTTGACATCTCTGTGCGCTATGCCCAGTGTATTGATATAGCTTAGCGCTCGGAAGATGTGCACAAACATCCGTGACACAGTCTCTTCCTTTGACATCTCCGGTATCTTGCGTGAAGATAGGTCTCCCCCGCTGCAACATTCCATGACCAAGTACACTTGCGTGCAATCGGCCGGAATATTGCCCACGTACGACCTGTTATGGAATACTTCATTGGAGACGTCGCTGATGTCCTCCGAACCGTTGGTGTATATTTCGGAAACCTTGACAACATTGGGGTGATCCAGCCACGCGCCAATAGAAAGCTCCCGAAAAATGTGCAATGTGTCCTTTAGCTTCGTGGAGCCTCCTGGGTTTTTGATGTTCATTATTTTTACCGCCCTGGTGGGCGGGTTTATGGGCATGCCGCAGAACTCGTAGCGGTTGGTCGAAACGCACCTGATCCCTTGGCTGAGTCGGTTGGCCGGCAACTGCAGCCTCGTTGGCAACAACTGTTGCAACGATAAAATGTCACTCATAGCAAACAGAGTCTTGACAACACCGAAGCTGCCCTTGCCAATGGTGGGGCCCTCGAGGTACTTGCGGCGGTAGGTAACCCAACCGCCCTTGAGTACCGGCGAGAATCGGTTGAAAACCACATTAAGCTGCGACGACGATTCACCATTCGGCTGGGTGATAGGACCGTCATTTCGCGGGCTTACAGTGTTCCTTGACTGGGATTGAACCGACGGCGCTGAGTCGGTAGACTCCGCATATGCAGTCATGACAGCGTCGGGGCTGTTCGTTGCGCTGTTTAGGCACGAGGAGCGATACGTGCTATCGTATTTGAGCAGTTTCTTCGTTGCAGCAGTCGACATTTTTTCACCTGATGTTTATACTTGGGTCGGTCTTGTGTTGTACTGTGATGTCTCCGAGGTGAGAAAAGGCGACGCAGGTGTGAATGCGAGGTGTGCTGCCAAGCTCGCAGTGAGTGTCGCTACGCAGATGCACTCGAGCGCCGCAAGAGTGTCTGTGACGTGAGTAAAACTTGACGTTGAATTGACCGTATCCTAAAAAACCTGGGGCAGGCTCCGGTGGGCTGACTCACGTTGCAACGGGTCTTAGAGTCAACACTCACCGCCAATCCTATTGTGTATTGTATTTCCCACTTGCTCAATCCTTTCTGCTACGATATACGATCCGCCTTGTATGAGAAACAAACTTAATTATCAGCCCCAAATTTCCCTTGTATTTATGGAGGTCAATTTTTAATTTTATGAACGCAGATCGTTCCAGACAGGCAGTATTTTGCGCAGGGCGCAGATTTCAGGCCTGGTTTCTCGGTATATTCTTATTCGAGCAGCCAATGCCTCGATAATCCAAAATCCAATTTAGATTATCTCGGTGAAATCTAACATACAACGCAACAATGCAACGTAACCACGTTGCAATACTATTCTAGCATTAACAAAACCGGAAGCGTATGACGAAGCCGGATTCTCCAGGAAAGGGATTCCACCTTCACTTGATGGACATAAGGCTTTCTTCTGAAGGCCTTCTATAACGAAGACATTGTTCAACTGTGACTCCGTTGTGTGGACGCCAGTGAATTGGCAGAAATGCAGGAACTTTATCCTGTAGTGAGATCTAGTGAGTATCGGCGAAACTGAGTAAATGCCAGCCCAATTAGAATCCTAATACGGAGGCTTGTTCAGTTTATACACCACAGCACGTTTTTTTCGTGGATTTAGGGCAGTAACCTTTCTTGAAATCGGTACCTCTGTCCCATACAGTTATGTTGTCAGCCCCAAAATCAGCCGCCAGAGATCTGTTTTGGTCCTTCCCTTACATAACCCAGCTGGAAGGTCAGCCAGACATCGATCTGCGAAGTGTAAGGTGTCTACTAGGCACCGGAGCAGTTCAGGGAAGGTGTCGGCGCAACTGTCGCAATTGCGATTGAACGGCGGATATACAAATGAAGCGATTCCTATGCTATTTACCGCATTTTGACAACTCTAAACGTCCTCCACCAACTTGAGATGTTATGCAGAGACGTTGGGCCTCTAAACCCGGAGACCCGGCCTCCCGACAGGGAGATCACCAAACCCTGAGAGGAAGGTGATAAATTGAGACTATATTTGGTGTGATTGTGGTCAATTAATGGGATTTTTCGTGTGTTTTAATCCCTATGTCATTACAAGTGGCGTAATACCGCCGTATAACCCGCTTGGGCCGCGTTTCGATAGGGCTGTCCGCAAGTGGTGTCCAGACGCTCGGGCGCCCTCCGTTCGTGCCACCGCGGAAACCTGTCCTGCACCCGCCACGTGTGAGGCACGCATAGGATTCTGCGTAGATCATTGGCAAGCCGACCCATCCATAAAAAATTTTGGGCAAGACATTGCCAATGACTCGTGGTTCACGCCTCAAGGTGGGACTGCGGGCCTTCCACCAGCCCACGCGCGCATTCGCATCGAACACTGCGGATATTACATTTTCATGATAAAATTACAACTTTGTGCGCCGTCTTAATGACCGACATTGCATCCATGGCAATTTTTTATCTCGCTGTTGCTCGCGCAGCCTTCTACGGTTTTTGCGACGCATTTCTCCACCCAAGAGCCAGCAGCAAACCTCTAAGACATTTGCAATGTTTTACGTCGTCTCATGGTGAAGCGACAGCCTTTCAAATTTCTTTTTCTCGGCAACTAACGCCTGCTTTCAATCGCTTGTCCGTTGTGCATGTGGCTTAAGTTCACGCATCCTAATACAGCTAATCTGTACTTTGGAATTAGAAAGCAATACTGAAGTTATCTCCTTGAAATGTTTAACTAAGACTTGTCTACCTTACCCCCGAGCAACAGGGTTGAATTATTCAGTTTTGTAGATAGCATTGCTTCCTTAGCCGGCGCAGCAAACGCTTCAAGTGCAGCTACTACGCCTTTCTGCATCGATAGTGTACAATAATTTTGTGCTGACTATGTTGCTGTATGGTAAGGCCGACTAGCGGTTCCATCGGGATCTGCTGCCGGCTTTTTCACACACTTTGGCTCACATCACTCTAGATTCCAGACAAAACTCATCGTGATATGCAGTGTATAGTGTTTTACCTTTGTCGTACCACCAAACCAGAGACCAAAATGTGCCGAACTGGAGGTCAAGCATCGAAGGCATTCGGTCGACGTACGCCGCCGAGTCAATTCTAATGACGTTATGCTGATATAAACCACATTACACCTGTTATGGCAACCTGAAGTGCTAGTTCTTCGGTGACTATAAGATTTTTTGGGTGTCTTCTCCCTTTGAAGTGGCAACTACCAAGAAGCCGGCGCCTGACATGGTCGTGACGACCACGGTACACATGAGTTACACATTTGGAATTCCGACTAATGAGATAATCTATGTGACATTGGCAGACCGTATGCACTCGTAGACAGCTGAGCAGGGACCCACCTGGAAGGACCCTGTTCACGTGCGTCAGCGGCATTGAAATCGCACCCAGGTTTAGGCAAAATGGGAGACCCCCGAGTAATTCTGGACGCATCCCGCGTCTTCGACAAGGAGATGGTGGCCATACTGGACTCCGTGATCGACGCGATGTTCGATTCGGGTGCCGGCCACAACAGGGAGGCGGCGCACAAGCTGCTCGAGCAGTTTCGAACCATGCCGGACAGCTGGAAGCACGTGGTGGCCATTCTGTCGCACTCTACCAACGCGAACACGAAGTTCTTCGCGTTACAGGTCTTGCAGGGATGCATCCAAACGCGTTGGAACGTCCTGCTGCCGGAGGACCGATTGGGGATTCGTCGTTACGTTTCGGAGATGGTGATAAACATAAGTATGGACGATGAGGCATGCCAGCGCGAGCGCCATTTTCTCACGAAGCTGAACGAGACTCTGATCCAAATCGTCAAGCGTGAGTGGCCGGACCGCTGGGAGGGGTTCATCTCGGAAATTTGCCGTGCCTCACAGATCTCCCAGAGTCTGTGTGAGAACAATATGCGGCTGCTGAACATGCTGAGTGAGGAGCTCTTTGATTTTGGGGAGGACCACATGCAGAGCCGCACTGTGCAGCGGCTAACCGCCCGCATGGCGAGTGACTTCCGGGACATTTTCGATGTGTGCATCTTCGTGATGCACAGTGCCATCAGCAACCCAGAGGCAGTGAGAGTTTCGCTGATCAAACAAACTCTGACGTGTCTGGCTCACTTTTTGAAGTGGATACCCATGGGTTACATCTTCGAGCAGTACACGCACAACAACGTTGGGGTGGTGCTGATCGACCTTTTGCTGGATCACTTTTGGGACACTGTGTTGTACAGGGTGGAATGCACCAAATGCCTCACTGAGATTGCGAGTCTTTCGCTGTCATCGCAGGAAATGCAAGTCTTCGGGCCCCGGGTGGCATCCATGTGGCCGAAGATCGTCTCCAAGATGTCGATGCTGCCCGAAAGTTCAATGAACTACGACGACCCAGCTCAGGTTTCGCCGAACATGCGCCTCTTCTGGGAAACCTTCTACACTCAGTTTAGCATATTCTGCACGAACTTTTTGAAAAACTTCCGCGAGTCCATCGTAGAGCGTGACCCAAACAACCAGCAGTCACTGCTCTTCGTCATGGAGCGCCTGGTCAGGATCACTGACATAAACCACGAGGAGACCTTCAAGATCTGCCTCGACTACTGGCACTTATTTGTTACTGCCATCTCCCGTGAGGTGAAGGAGCAGCAGCGCCGCCAAGCGGCCGATCGGGGCATAATCATACCAGAGGATGGTGGCGAGGAGACATTTAGTCGCTCCGCCCTGAACCTGAATTCCTCCTACGAGACCGGGCGCCTCCCGGTGTATCGCAACGTGTTGGGGGAGTTGCAGAAGGTACTGATAAAGCGCATGGCCAAGCCGCAGGAGGTCTACATTTTGTACGACGCGGACGCTTGCGAAGTCACCAGGGAGTACAACCCCAACACCGCCGAAATCGCGTTGTACAATCGCATGAAAACGGACCTGATCATGCTGGCCACGCTGCTCCAGGAGGATACCGAGCGCATCATGATGGAGGTACTCGACCACGAGATGGAGATTGCGAACGCAGGTGGCCGGAAGCATACGTGGGACCCGACCATTCTGAATCGTCTGTGCTACAGTGTCGGTTCTATATCGGGCGCGATGGACGAACTTGTGGAGAAGCGCTTTTTGGTGCTCATCATCAAGTGCCTGTTGAACATCTGCGAGGTTAAGACCGCCACTGAGGACAAGGCTATCGTGGCGTCCAATATCATGTACGTCGTGGGCCAGTACCCGCGTTTTTTGAAGCAGAATTGGAGGTTTTTGTACACTGTGCTGAACAAGCTCTTCGAGTTCATGCGCGAAACCTTCCCTGGCGTGCAGCAAATGGCCTGCGAGACCTTCCTAAAAATCACAAATTCGTGCAAGAGGACTATAGCGTCGCAGACGATGAACGATCAGCTGTATCTTTACGAGCTTATCCAGCTGCGAGACCCCATGACTGCGGTGCTCGACGAGAAACTCATTTTGTGGTACTACGAATCTGTGGGCAACGTGATTTCCGCTGTTGAGATGAAGCTGCGCGACAACTTCATATCGCAGCTAATGAGCCGTTGCAACATCGAGTGGCAAGATTTGTTGGCACAGGCGTCGCACCCCAACCTGCTGACGACTGACCCCAACGTGTGGCGCGAGCTGCAGGGACTTCCCATTTACCAGGTTGACAAAACACGCGCCATCATCCAGATCCTGCGTGTGAACAACCGCGTGGCCAAGAGCACCGGTTTCTCCTACACCACTCAGCTGATGCTGATCTACCCCGGCATTATCCACCTCTACAACGTCTACTCCTGCGCCATCCAACATGCTGTGCAGGCGGCAGGACCAAGTTGCCTGAAGCATAACAACATCAACTTGATGCACCTGGTCAAGCGTTCGATCTTGCACTTGTTGGAGACATACATTTCGCATTTGCCGAACAAGTTGACACGATCTCTGGCGGACTCTCCGGTCACTATCGCATCCTCAGGCCAGAGTGGCCAATCAGTTGACGAAGACCTGACAGACATAGGTGCCATGGAGGACTTGACCGTCCGCAACTACAACGAGGTGCTGAAGGAGCTGGTTAGCTCCATCACGTCGACGGTGCTCGCGGCGTACCGCAACTCCATGGCCGAGACCAGGGACCACGAGGTCATATGTCTCGTGACGACTCTCATTGAGAAGTTGGGAAACAACGGCTCCGCCGTTCTTCCACAGATTTTCGAGCAAATCTTCGACTGCACGCTAGACATGGTCAAGCAAGACTTCCACAGCTTCCCGGAACACAGAGAGCAGTTCTACGAGATGCTGCAAAAGTGCACGAAGCACTGCTTCGAGGGCATTCTTATGCTGCCCAGTGAACGCCTGCGTGCGTACGTGATGTCGCTTATTTGGGCCTTCAAGCACGAACACCCTGCCGTGGCAGAAAAGGGTCTGGTGGTGGTGCGAGAGTTCTTGAACAACCTGATGTTGCTCGATCGCCGACAGGAACGCAACCCCCGCCAGCCCGGTTCGATGCCGGTTTCAGTCGTGCTCAGCTTCTGCCAGAGCTACTACTATATGCTGCTGAAGGAGATCCTTGGGGTTCTCACTGACACTTTGCACAAGTCTGGATTCCGTCTCCAGACGGAGATTCTGCGCGTTTTGATTCGTTTCTTCGAGTGTGGAACGATCAACGACCCCGGTTCCGAGTTGACTCGCATGCACGTTATGCAGTTCCTGGTGGGAGTTCTCGGACGCAGCTTCGCCACCCTCCACGTCAAGCAGGTCGAGGCGTTCGTAGTCGACCTGTTTAACTTTGCTGGAGAGACCATTGCAGAACAGGCAGACTCTTTGAGCCCCAACGGCCAGCCTCTCAAGTTCCAGACCCACGTGAAGGACTTCCTGCTGTCGCTGAAGGAGTTCGCGGGGTCGGGAGAGGAGTTCGAGCGCATTTTCGAGCAGGACCGCCAGAACGCGATTCAACGCGCGCGCATCATCGAGGAGCGCAAGCTGCAACTGCAGGCTGCCAAGGAGGTCACCTTAGACTAGGAGTTGTCGGGGTGCCGGCCCTCGTCGCAGCCATACCCTGTTTGTGACACGGTCTAAACCTGCGACCGACCTCCACCCGATGGGCGGGGAAACTGCTCTCTGTATATGTGTCGTTAACTAACAATACCGTCAACGAGATGTACTTATCGTATAACAGTGTCGCTACTCGTGTTTATAGACAAATTATGTTACCGGCACGGCACAAAGCCGGATTCGAATGGGTATTTATATGGGAAAGACGTACCTGAGGGTCAACGACACAACTAACCTGCGTATACAACAATAAACCCTGTTCTATTGGACCGCTAATGGTGGAGCTATGGAATTTGGACAAACAAGAAACAATTCAAATTTTAATCCCATGCCGAGCGGTATTACAACGGCACTAAAATTGGCCAATGTAAGACATGTTAGCATTAAAGTAATTAGCATCAAAATACAGTCAACAAGACGGCCAAATTTTATATGAATTCAAATAACGACATTTCAGATGACCTTCTTCCTCTACATTCCATGCCCATGTATTGCATTAGCATGGATCCGACAAAATAGCGGACTACCCATATCAGACACAGTTGATCCCATATTAAGGTTGATCAACGAGTCTTGGGCAGCTGGCAAATTTCAAGGAGAGGATCGTTCAAGTGTGTGTGGATTGACGGTGACCGCTGCATCACCTTACGGCTTCTCTGTACAACCTCGCCGCGTCAGGCCATGTATTATATATACTTTCTACGGTTCACACTCCGTATTAGCGTATAGGATACAATTCTGGCGGCCTTCCACGCGACGCAGATCACTTGTCATGAGTTGCCAAATCAACCACGATAATAACCAAACTTCTGGCAGATCTTGAAAGAAAATAAATTTGTTATAACTTCTGTCTCGTCCGACCTTGCGTTGGTAGGCGGCTGGACGGCAGATGGGGAAATTGGCAGGTGGGAGTGGTATTGCCGTCCTGTCCCAGCACACTACAGGGCAAGCCGTCTACTGAACTGCGGAGGATCAGAGATATCGTGCACACATGTAGCAGGAATTAGACGCCGCTTTCCCAGTGCTTCCCAGCCTTCCGCGGACCAAGTAATATGGAGACTGCAGCGTCACCACGCAATGGGCAGAAGAGACACACCGTCGTCGGTAAGTGAACTGTCATTAATTCTGCATTGTCATGGGCGTTTATGTGGTCTTAAGGCTCGGAATTCCGAACCTGAATTGGGATTTGCGTCCCGTGTCTTCGTAGGGGTGCCTGTATTTTCTCCGTTCGTCGCAGCGCGGCGACGGTCAACGACGACGCCCGCTGCTGTCGCTGCCCAGTTTCTGCGCTGCAGCAGTATTCATTATACTGTATGTTGTTGTACACATGTTATTCATGATCGTTCTTGAATTCCTGTGCGATGTTCCTCCGCGGGCTTCCGCGTGGTCGGAGTCGTTGCGGGATTCCACACCGTCGTGAGCTCACACCCTTCTCAGATCGGCCGCTGGTGATAGAAGAGCTTGAGACGCCCCATGATCGTGCCAGCGTGATCAACGGTGCCGTCAAATACCTTGCGGGATCAGGTTCTGCTCGGTACCCCCTCGGTTACTCACATCAAACGGGGGACGAGTTCTTCCCCTGCGAAGGAGACGACGTGGAAGGCGGCGCATATCAGCGGGAAAGCTACTTAGAAGCCGTTATCTCCAAGCCGGAATATTCTAGCGACGCGGATTCCGATATTGATTACGTGAAGCAGATTTGCCGGCAGGGGTTACCGGCCGGCAACACAGGACTCAAGGAATCCTGCAGCTACCACACACCATCTGTGGTCACCTGCTCAAGATATTCCGAATCTTCGAGTTCTATAACGCACTTGGAGTCGGGGAATTTCGCGCCGTGTGTGAATACCTGCCGGGCTCCAAGCCTAACGCTGGAGTCGACGAAGGGTCCGCACAACTGTCTAAACAAAGCGTGTCATACCGCCTCCCTTCCACCCACTGTTACAAAGATGTCGTCTGACGCCATCGACGCTGACCTTTTCGACGAGAGCATTAAGTTGTCTGCGAATGGGTTCCACTTGCCGAAAAGCATGGATGGCATCCTGGAAGACGCAGACGTGTATAAACACCGCAGTTGGGCGGCAGCCATGCATGGTAGTTCGCGAAGGCAGTCATTTCAGGAAATGTGTGCCCAGACCAAAGTGGCCGGGCATCCTGTTGCGTCGAATCCTTCTGACCTGCTCAGTTTCGCGAAGGAATTCAGGGCCAGGTACGGGGCGGCGACACCACAACGAATGGTCGACTATCGCAAATCAGGGGACGGGATGAAGGATGTTGGCATCAAACAAGGTGATAATGTGGATAATCTTCCGTCCTCCGGGTCAGCAGCGGCATCGCTTGAGCAACGTCGTAGGGCACCTACGTCTAAACGTTCTGGCATGGGGGGTTTGTCCATGGGATACATGCCCACCGATACAGCGCTGTTTTACGATAATGCCACGTTTTTGAAAGACTATGGTACGCATCGCACAGTGTTGGGCGGCGCCATTGGGCCCAACCAGGGGTCCACTTTCCAGATGCCTTTCGTCCGGCGTCCTGACGTGAAAATACGCCAGCTGGGTCATAATCAGTCGTGTGACATCCTTCTGCGGGATTACAAATCACCTGGTTCTAACGAAGCGGTAGCTGATGAAATTGGGGATGCATTCGCCAGTCACCCTAAGGACGGATACTCTCGTGAAGCGTACGACAGGCAGGGCAATAATGGGAAAGTCGGCATGAGATCAGAAAACAACTTCGCAAATCGGTATGACGAAGCTGCACGGCAGACTATGTCGGCGCGGGATTCAGTGCTTAACCCTGGTATGCAGAGGATGTTGCAGCAGCATGTGGAATCACCGCAGCGTGGCATGCCCTACTCTTCGAATTACTCTTATGAAATGCCGCGAAACAGGACTCAAACAACAAGTGCGTCGAGGTACGACGAACCGTACAACAGTTTGGCAGCTAACGCCGCAAAGGCTAGGTTAGACATCGATAGTGCTGGTGTGGGACGACCTTCCACTGACAGTGCAGTCAGCCTGGCCGACGTAAACCGTCAGATTGATGAGTTTTTCAACTCCAGGATGCAGCCAACTGGTACGGTAAAGGACTCAACGGTTACGAGTCCTAATGATCGGCACAATCACAATGCTCATTATCCCGATACAAGCACTGGTCAGAAAGCTGGGAGGGTTGAGATGTACGATAGTTCAGTCCTAACTGGATCGACGGCGATGTCATATTCTTATGAGGTAGAACCGTCAGCAGGCCGAGACGCAACGCAAATGAGTGTCCCCAATGTGGGCGGAGTTATGCAGCCTGGGGTTGCGAATACCAACACCACTATGGTCACTCCACCTTCGGAACAGTCGGTGTCAATGACGACGCCCAACCAGCAATCTATGGAGAACTTGTACTACAACCGAGCAGAGTTTACGAAAAACGCAGTATCACGACCTGGTGAGGGGGATGCCAAATGGGTATCCGGCCCATTGCCTCAGACATCTGCTCCACATGGCATTCCAACGGGGAGTGCAGGTATGGGCGCTCTGTTGCAGGAGCAAAATGCAGTGGATTACGTTGTGTTGCCTAAAACACCTCGTAATGCCAGCGATATCAAGCTTTATGATTCCGCGCGGCTTGACCTTACGGAGGCACCTTTCGCTGATACCGTGACGGTAAAGGGCCCCCTCTCCGTTGGAATGGACAATGCAGGTCGCCATGACATTACGATTCTACCTGTTGAAAAGGCCGAGACCACGTTGGAAAACACACCTGCTGAAAACGAATTTGACGAGAATATGCCAACGCGGACCAATCAGGTCGAGGTGAATTCCACGGGTGAGTTTAGCCGTATAGCAGCTCTAATGTCGTTCGGGGATGGGTTGGAATCATACGTTCCGGGGGACCGCTTGGTGCCTGATGTTGGTAACTCTGCTGCCGAGGGTGGCATCTTCGAATCTGGCATTTTGAGGGATAATGCTCCGAAGAAGTCTATGGGTGTGCAAAGTCCAAAGACGGAGTTTATTTACAGTAAGGAAAATCTTAATGCGAAGTACGAAGCTTTAGATTCAAGTGTTGGTGTTGCTTTCATGCAAAATGGTGACTATGCGCCGCGAAATAGGATCTTACAAAGGAGCAACTATGCCGACAGTTTGGACGCGATTTTCGACCACCACGATTCTTTATCTAACTCACCGCAGGGTTTTAACGGTAACCCGAACTACACTGATGCGAAGCAAATCGGGGAGCGTGTCAAAAATGCTGCGGTTCATTCCGCAGCAAGGGACTCGTGGCGGTCGAACCGCGATAGCCGTGCTCCGTCATTTTTGTGTACTCACTGTGGTCAAATCGCAACCGATACGAGAGATGCTTATCGTGAAGATCAAAGCAACTCGAAATATGCAAACGTAGTGGCGCCGGATGTTCACCGTTGCCGAAGGTCGTCAATGGCATCTGTGACTATGCCTCTTTCCCCTAATGTCTGCACTGCACAATCAAAAGGCTGTGACAATTGTTCGTCAGCATCCAGCGATTACGTTCAGTTGCCTTGCGAGGAGGAAAATGGTGGAGAGGCGCGATACGATAGGAACGCAGCTTTTAGCAGCAGTGATGACACCTTGAATCCTACTGCCGAACCGACAGTGCAGGACAAGTCGTTGATTAATTCAATAGAGAGCATATTGTCACGTCACGCCGACAGCGCTGGCACGTTGGAGCACATTTCAGCTCTTATAAAGCAGTTACACGAGGTCATTGAGGCCAAGGATTTGCAGGACAAAGACTCCAATCAAGCATCCAAGCCTGAGGTGGAAAAGTGTGTTACTGCGCTAAATAGCCCATCCAGCGACGACAAAGAGGAGCAACTGCGTTATTCAGTGGATCAGTTTACGTCAGCTGACTCATCGCAAAACAATGGTGTTCGTACCAGGAGAAAATCCGGTACGGTAAATTGTGTTACTGCCGGTACCCAAACATACGACTTCGACCTTCACGAGTCACCCAGGGGGTTCTCTAAAGGTTCGAATACGGTTTATTTTAGTATGGATTCGGCGGAAGATGTCGTTCGTCCCAACACTGATCGCAAAGAACGGCATGTGCTGGAGGCGGCCACCAACACGCCCAAATGGCCAAGCTGGTACAAGGACTCAAAACCGATGCACGTGGCAGTACAAGTGGAATCTGACGAACCTAGCCCTCCTTTCACCAAGGAGGCGCTGATTAAACGCATGAGCGATGCGCCTACAGAATTGCCCCGTGTGAATCGCACTTCTAGGAATCGCCGTTCTTTTTCCCTGGCGGACTACGATTCCGACGAGGATACCAAAATGAAGCACAGAACTATGCCCGCGGGCATGAGTGGGCGTGCCACTAGCCTCCCTAATGGCCTGACTGAGGAGGAACTACTTGATGTGTACAACGAGGTCATGAAGCTGACGCGTATCTTCCACGTCAAGGACGTCAAGTCGCTAACGAGAGCGGTTACCGCACGTATGCACAGGTCATAACTTTATATTTACATTAACTGCAGTGCTCTATAATTTGTGATTATCTTCACTATAAGGCGTATGTCTGACGCGAGGGTCTGTGGGCTCTACGCGGCACAATCAGTCACATTTTCCCCGAAATTTGTAGCCGACCGGTGTGCCACAATTTTCACAATGCAGCACTACTCCTGCATCGTCGGCAAATTGCCGGAGGAGTCCCTCTCCTACACCAACTGTGTAAGTCCCTTGTCGATAAGTGAGTCTATATTCCGGTATATATATCCAAAGCGATGATCTATCACGTGCTATGTCGGCAGAAAGATGCCGTGTGAGCAATTTATGCCGTTTAAATGATTTTCCAGGCCTATGTCAACCAGGAGCTCTACAACGTGCTGAAGAGCAAGTCTTTCATGGCTTACGGCTCCGTAAATACCATGATCTTCTGTTTCAGGTACGGTTGTGATGTCTGTGTTTTGCAGACGGTTGCAGGCAGCATCCCGCGTGCGGGAGGAACGACATCTTCCTCAACAGCTGTGCACGTCAGCTGATTTCAGTATCAGTGGGAGAGACTGTGGAGGTGGCGCCGGTGGAAGAGAACAGAAGAAGCAGCCTCTTCGGTAAATCGGGCGATCCTCCCTTCAACAGAGCTGGACGTATAGTCTTTGAGGTCTCCTTTTTCAAGGCATCTAAAAAAGGCATGTTACCCAAGACGGAGTTATAATACCCTCGCAGCTGTTCAGCACGCAATTAACTTCGACCACCTGGAGATAGCAGTTCGCGAGTCGCTGTTGAATCATGTGCTGCATCTAACGCAGACTGTGGCCATAATGCAGGAAGGCGTCACCCTTCGCCTTCGGTAGGTTGGATATCGGCCGTCTTACAATATGCAGGGTCACTAATATCGCACCGGAAAACAAAGTCCAAGATTCGGATTCGCTCAATATGCTAATGCGTGGAGCTCTGGGAGAAGATACCAAGCTTGATTTCCAATATGTCGCCCCAGACGGCCGACACCATGCCATACCCTCGAAGGACTCAGGCATCCTCAAGCCCAACTTCAAATTCGAAGAGATGGGCATTGGAGGTCTCGACAACGAATTTGCTGCCATCTTCCGACGAGCCTTCGCATCCCGTATCTACCCGCCGGAGCTTCTGAAGCAGCTCGGCATATCGCACGTTAAGGGTAGGTGGAAGTTACATCGCCATAACTAATATGCAGGAATGCTGTTGTATGGTCCTCCGGGTACCGGAAAGACTCTTATTGCGCGCCAGCTGTCTAAGGCGCTCAACTGTCACAAACCCAAGATCGTAAATGGCCCCGAAGTGATGAGCCGTTTCTTCGGGCAGTCTGAGGAGAATATCAGGAACCTGTTCAAGGATGCCGAAGAGGAGTACGCGCGTGCTGGAGAGAGATCGAGTCTGCATATAATCATTTTCGACGAAATAGATTCTATATGCCAGCGCAGGGGCACTGACACCTCGGGTACAGGCGCCCGTGACAGCATTGTAAACCAACTGCTATCCAAGATTGACGGTATCGATGCCCTCAACAACATCTTGCTGATCGGTATGACGAACCGTCTGGACATGATAGACGAGGCTTTGCTCCGACCGGGACGATTTGAGGTGCATATTGAAGTAGGGCTGCCTGACAAGGCGGGTCGCTGCCAGATCCTCAAGATACATACGAAGGTGATGCGGGAGTCCAAGAGACTAGCGGATGACGTAGACCTGGACGAAATATGCGCGATGACGAACAATTATTCGGGTGCTGAGTTGGAGGGTATGGTTAAGTGTGCCGTTTCTTATGCCATACAACGTCACGTGGACGGCAGCGATATCACGAAGCCGAAAGATATGGACAAAATAATAGTCACGAGAGCGGACTTCCTACTCGCACTCAGCGAGGTACGACCTGCCTACGGTGTGGATTCCTCAAATCTATCCGTCTTCATGAGGCATGGAATCGTGCCATACGGTCAAAAGTTCCACCAGGTGCTCGAGACATGCAAAATCCTCGCAGCGCAGGTGCAAAGGTCTGAAAAAACTCCGGTGCTGTCGGTATTGCTTCATGGTGCCGTTGGAAGCGGTAAATCGGCGCTTGCGGCTCACGTGGCGTCCATCACCAACTTCCCATTTGTGAAGGTGGTATCGCCGGAGAACTACATCGGGCTATCGGTGGGTTTTACTCGTAATATTTACGGCAGCATCGTTTTGCAGGAACTATCAAGGGTTAATGCGATTTACAAGGCTTTTGATGATGCCCATAAAACGCCCCAGTCACTCATCATCCTTGATGACATTGAAAGACTGATCGACTACTCCCCGATAGGCCCGCGCTTCAGCAACACGATCCTGCAATGCCTCCTTATTCTAATCAAAAAGGCGCCTAAACACGGTCGCCGTATATTCGTCATCGGAACCACATCAGAAGACGCGTTCATGGAGATGGCGAATGTAACACAAGCGTTCACGGTGGCGGCAGAGGTGCCAATGGTAACAGGCCCTGCCGAGATCTACCAGGCACTTAGTGGCGCCTCGTCTGGTGCAGTGCAGTTTCCGGAGGATGAAATCAACAAGGTGAGCTCAGCGATCTTGTGTTTCGTGTGCATCGGTATTTTTCTGCCGCATTATTTCATATATACTGGCTACTTCATCGGTGGTGAATGCAAAGATGTAATTGATAAATTCCACAACGATATACAGGTGGCCAACTGTGGAAAAATCAGCACAATCGGCATCAAAAGCCTGCTTTTGGCTCTGGAAATCGCCGTACAGCGTACCATGGAGGAAGGTATGTTGTTCTTACACCCGCCAGACAGCTTCGTGCAGGGGGCAAGCTTATATCGTCATCCACATTTTTCGAAAGCCTTGAGGCTTCCGGGTACAACCTCATGAAGTAATGTATAATCTGTTTCACTCCGTGGCATAGTAGTCCTAAACTGTCATTGGTGCGGCAGAGCAGGCGAAGTAGACTGCAGTCCTTTACGTAGGCAACACACACATCCATCAGTTGAACGAAGTTATATTGCGCGGCACCAAAGCAATGATCTATAGAAGACTTGTTATCCGCGTTCCGCGCCTCTCGAGAGGATTCTCGGACGCGAAGTCGGCGGAGGAGCGCATAAAAGCCGAGCTCATCCACCAGCGCCGAGTCAGCGTAGGAATCCAGTGATTCTCGTGTTATAAACTGCAGAGATGGATATTACGGGGGATGTGCGTTGCAGCGGCGGCCACCGGAACCGTGGTCTGCCTCCGCAACCCGGAATCTTCTATATACAATGTAATTATGCCCTTCATTAGGACGTATATTGACCCGGAGAGCGCTCACAAATTTAGCATCATGGCTCTGAAACTAGGGCTAGCGCCAGTGGACTACTCAGTTGACCCACCGGTCATCCAGAGCCGTGTAAAGGATGTTGTATTCTTCAATCCCATCGGTAGGTTGAACAATATGCGTACCTTATAGATGTTGCTGAACGCATTGTATCCAATGTTGACGTGGTATGACGATTGTAACGCTGCATGTGATGCATCGTTGATGTATTCGTTTCACGCTTGTACTGCGGACACGTAGCCGATGCGGTACATGAGCATGTCTGCAGTACATCTGGCTAGTGTTACACTACATATATGACCTTTAAGTTTAACTGTCTGATGGTGTGCGGGCAATGCGATGCCGTGAGTAAAGAGTGTAAAATTCTTTGACGGCGATTAATGCTCACGTGTTTTGCAGGAATGGCTGCTGGATATGACAAGCAAGTTGAGGCTCCACTTGAAGTGTTGCGCCTTGGATTCGGGTTCATAGAGGTTGGAACGGTGCTGCCTAAGCCGCAAGAAGGCAACCCCAAGCCTGTGTTGTTCCGCTTGCACTCCAGCAAGGCGCTGGTAAACCGCTGCGGTTTCAACAGTGTCGGGCTTGATCTGGCGTTAGAACGACTCAAGCGCGTACGGCAGAAACAAGCCGATGATCCTCTCACAAAGGATTTCATGATCGGAGTTAGTGTCGGTAGGTCCAAAACAGCAATCGTGAATATACCCCCTCGTAGGTAAAAACCGAACTGGCGACATTATCGCGGACACCGTTACAACAATAAAGGGTGTAGCGCCGTATGCAGATTATGTAGCGCTGAATGTCAGCTCGCCTAACACGCCCAACCTGCGCGACAATCAGCGGCGTGAACCGCTGATAGCGCTAATTGCGGTCGCCAAAGCTACCTTGGATGACGTAAAGGCTCATAATCCAACCTTCCAAAACACAACAAAGAAGGCGCCTTTACTCTTCATCAAAATTTCGGTACGTTGCTCAGCTCTGCCAATACATCATGCACAGCCCGACGTTTCCCGCCAGGAGCTGGAGGATATCGCCGATATCGTAAGTTACCTCTTCATACGGCGTTGTACATCGACAACGCAGGCAATTGTACACAACATCGACGGTATCATTGCAACTAACACAACGGTAAGCTGGTATATTGGTCGGCTAAATGCGGTGTTAGGTGTCGAGGCCAGACGAGACAACTGAGGATTGCAAAATAGCAGGTCATCCCAATGGTGGCCTGAGCGGTAAACCTCTCAAAGAACTGTCTAAAAAGATTGTGTACGACCTGTATGAGCTGACACAGGGCAAGGTGCCAATCATCGCTGTAAGTTTAAATGCAGAAGCATACACGACTGCTCAGTGCGGAGGAATCTCCTCTGCTCAGGACGCCCTAGAAATGGTGGAAGCTGGAGCGTCACTGTGCCAGCTCTACACTGCAATGGTAAGACGCCATCGAATACGTCAAACCTGCTGCAGGTGTACGAGGGGCCGGGGTTGCCCAGCCGCATCAAGAACGGACTGGCACAACTTCTATTGCACAAAGGCAAGTTTAGTAACGCAATAATACACATTTCACAGGTTACTCGAACATATCGGAGGCCGTTGGAGCAGAACACCGCCGTCGGCAAGCCGCAACTGTTCCCCCTGCTCCAGCAGCAACCAAGACGTCATAACATCACTTGGAGTCTACACATTTCCACAAAAATGTGTACATACGTTAATGCTGTGTACCGCAATCTATTGGATTATTTTTTGTGGGAGAATTACGCAATAATGTGCCGATGTGTAACGTCGACATGTCGCCGGTGTGTCTGCTTTAGTGCGGTAAAAACCTGCTATCCGGCCGCATAGAGCCGATGGAGCGGAGCTATGTCTACACACATTATCCAGTTTATACCTGGCCTCCATATAACCAGTAGCCGTGGCGCTGTCTACTGTGTAGACACGCTGGGCGTGCACGGTCATCCGGGATGGTGAAGCTGGAAATATGGGAGCAGCGGGACAACGCTGAGTCCTCGGACAGCAGCGAAGAGGAGATAAAGGCCAGGCGTGTGCCGCTTTTCGGTCGCGTGGTCCCGAGGGCGCCCGTATCCAGGCCACCTCAGCAGGTAAGTGTCATGTGTACCGTGTCATCAGTTGCCAGGAATCTGATACAAGTTCCGGTTCGGATACAGACACAGAAGATGAAGAATCCAGTGGTTCCAGCTACTTCCACAGTGTCAGCGAGAGTTCGGAAACTGAGGAGGAGACCGCCTCGGAAAATGCGGAGTACGATGCTGATTGGTGGCGACTGCAAAACGTCCGGGCCACGAGCCGATTCTCTCCCGCTACCTACGGCGACTGGCGCAGCCTGCCTCGTGCTTGGGACAGCGTGTTCTACATCTCGTCGATGCATAACCTCGAGAATACCGACCAGAAGTTCTTCTATTGCATCCGTGTGAAGCATGTGAACGAACGCATATCACGGGCAAGCGGGCTCGGAAATATCATCATGTACACGCCGCACTTCACGCTAAGTCCGGGCGAGGACAGAAAGTTGCAGACACCTATGTTCATCTGGAGGAAAAGGAGACTCACACTGCCGTATGGACAGCTCGAAAACTACGTCATCGAAATCGAACTTTGGAAGACACAACTGCTGCGCATCAATTCGTTGTACGCAACGCAGCAGTTGACTTTCCAGGAGATTGTGGACCGCAAAACAAACTTTTCGGTCACGTTAAACCTGTACATCCCAGAAAGGTCTACGGCAGCTCCCAGTGGGAGCGCCAACCGACCGGCGGGTAACCGAAATGCAACCGCTCTTACCGAATCGTCCGAGCGTCGGTTCCCGGTGCACAAAATGACGATGTTCCTGCTACTCGAGGAAGTGTTCGACTTCTTTTTCGTATTCGAGAACTGGTGGTTCACCAGGGCACCCGAGCTGCCAAGCACCCTCATCGATATGCCCAAGATGCTGAAAATATCAGTGCCGTCGGGGATGGGTAGATCGTGGCACACTACCAGCACGGGCGCTTCGGAGGCCGCATACTGGTCGTCGCCTGGCACGTTTCGTTTCCAGGGCACGCTGCGGCAGCTGCGGTATGCATCGTTCAGGGCGATGGTATACTGCGTGAAGCGGAGCAAGTTCTTTACGAAACCGCCTGCGCTATTGGGTACATGCGTACTGTCCCTACAGTCGGTGCAGGAGCTCCCTCTTGTTCGCGGGGTGCTGAAGAAGTTGACACTTGGGACACGCAACATGTTCAGCGGGACCATACAGGGCAACATTCGGTGCTGCATGAAGAGCTGCACCATCAACTTCTTTGAGGATCTCAAAGTGCGACCGGCACAACCTATATCGGGGTCGGCGCTCATCACTCAGTTGGACCACCGTTGCCAGTATCTGGTGGTGCGCATCATCAGCTGCTCCAGCCTCCCGGCTTCCAACACGGACTCAAACACTTCGGACCCGATGGTGAAGGTGAAGTGGGACGGCATAGTGAATTGCACTGGTGTGGTGGAGTCGACGGTGTCTCCAATATACAACCAGAACATGTACTTCCCCATCCATCTGGTTGACATGCGCGAACTCACCGACCCCGCGCTGATTAAACACAGTCTGCCGGTGGATCTGTCCTCGAAGGGGCCAGTTGTGGTCGAAGTGTGGGACCACAGCGACGCTTCAAGCGAGTTCCTGGGATCGGCTGAAGTGCCACTTTCCAAAATTTACACGAACGGCGTGCTGCAAAGACGGAGCCTCGCTGATGGCATCTTCACCTCCGCTACCCACGAGGTCGATGAATCAGGATCCGATGAGTCAGATTATGATAACAATATAGCGTGCACTGATGAAGGAGCATCAAATGCGGTCTATACGCCGCACGTTACTCGGCTGTATGAGGGCACGTTGCCACTGGTGGGATCCACCGTGGACCACCGACGCAAGAAGCCGTTGGTGTCCCTCGAAATGTACATTTTACCACCGATGCCCAACGACTTGTACATACCGGATGACCAGAAGAAGCAGAAACGTAAGGATATTTACCGGAACCTCAGCCTCCGATGGACTCGGGAATTTGACTCGTGGCAAGGCGTCTACTGCGACCGGTTTCCGGGCGCCATTGCACGTCGCAGGTTCACGTGCGTCACGTCCGATGCGCTCAATATGCACGAAAGCTTGCAGTCTGACCTGGTGCCACTGTGCTATTTCGTGAAGCCCATCCAAATGTACATCCAACTGTCGCCACCCGGGGAGCTCATGCACTGGATATCGAACTTCACTTACAAAAACGACGGGACGACCACCGTCGGCGGGTGCGTGCAGATAGAGACGTGGCAGATGCCTTCACGGTTCGTTCTCACAAGGAAGGGTGGCCTACACGATCGTGCCCTGCTGCTGTGCAGCTGCCTGCTCGGACTCGGGTACGATGCATACGTCTGCAAGGGCACTCTCGAAGGAGGGAACCGAGAACATTGCTGGGTTATGACGAGGCACTCAGGCGGCACTGTTACCTTCTGGGAAACGGCAAACAAACGCATGTGGCACATGCCTAAGCGCTGGCAAACGAGCAAGACAGTCGATGAACCTAAGCCAGCCGACGTTGTGGAACAAAGTGGAAACTACGCTAACATCCAAACATCGCAAAGACGCGCCACTGAGGCACCACAGTGGCGCCGAGGAACATCGCAGAAGCCAACCCGACGGCTCATGAATTACGAGTTATACGGCAACGACTACATGGCGGACGTGAAGGTCGATCTTCACCGCATAATAAACTCAAACGAAATGCTGCCAGATGGATCATCGGCGTTGCCGGTGGGAACAGGATTCATAGACGATACGGCCACAAAGAATGTATCTTCACGACGCCAACAAACTATACATCCGAAGAAGGAGCTGCTCGTACCGGGATCTACATTGGTGTTTTTGCCGTACTCATCTATAGAGGTCATATTTAATGACAAACAACTCTGGGGAAATCTGCAGAACCACCACCCTGCGTGCATTACCTACGACCTGGAAGCGACTGAGGACTGGCGACCGTTCCTCAAGGTGCCGATTACGGACTCCGTGATGCCCGACATCCAGATCACCGCACCAGCACCTCAAAGCGTCTGTGCATCAACGGCCAAAGAGATACGCAACGATGTAGTTGAGATGATCGAGCTGATGTACGCACAACGTGGGCGCGTCGCCAATGTAGCCAGAGACCAGCAGATGGATGAACGGCTGGAGTCGCTCATCGACATCCTGGAGTTCCGCCAGCGACTGGATCCGCAGTTTGATCCAGGAATGCCGCCTCATTTGCTGGGGTGGAGCACCAAAACGCCTGCGAAGACACGGAATGCCGAAAAGTCTAAGAGCAACACGGGTGACGAGATCAAGGAGGAAACAAATGCAGATGCTGCAGAGAAGGCCTCCCTACCTACAGCCTTGCACGGACATGCCATGGGAGAGGCGGGAGAAAAGGTGCAACCTGCTCGTAGCGACATGGAGATAGCGCACCAGCTGGCCAAAGCCGTCAAAAATGACGAAGGAGGTAGCGACCATTCCGACGAGACTCAGGCTTCTACCGACGACACCATAGATTTCAACCCTGCAACCGTACCCGGGCGTCATACAATGGATGGAAACGGCCGTCGCGGCAACCCGGCAAATCAGCATCCAGCAGGGCAACAGCGCCCGCCACCGGCAAGGGGATTAAGACTCATATCGAGGATGAAGGCTCTGCTGTCTTCAGCACCAAGACACCACGCAATGGCTGTTTCAGATTCGTGTACGGACAGTCCTAAATCATCTGTAACACCTTGCAGTGAAGCCGAGCCAAGATCTAGGGGCTTTAGGTTCCGCAAGACAACCGTCAAAGTCAATGCACCCAGAATCGATGTTATGAGGGCGATCTCCAATGCGTCAGAGCATTTGGCGTATAGCAACATTGAAGAAATGTCAGATTACGGATATGATGTCGATAAAACAGAGTCTACGTTGAAGGGAGAATTCAATATAGACTGCGACGTGAGCACCCCGATATCCGATATATCGCATATAACGAAAGATATTACACGCAATCACCCATTGTCGGATTACAAGCAGTGTATCACGTCGGCTATTCATCTTAGGGAACCGGTTTCGAGCAGGAAGCCACAACAGCCGCCTGCACGGCCACGGCCGATGAACGTGCCCAGAGCAAAACAGCGGCCCGTGCCTCGACAGCAGAAGCCGCAACGCCGCGGCATTCTCACAAATCTTTGGCGAAAGTTCAGAGCCGAAGACCTCCCCGACGCCCATAAGGTGCCAGACTTCATGGTTGACATGAAGGCGGTGGTCAACGACCGGAAATTCAACGAGCAATACATGGAGCACCAGTACCCTATCCCGCAAGAATTCCTGATACACGAGAGCAAACAAATATCAAAATGGAACTGGTACTACAATATGGAGGCGCGGCAGTACGCCTGGCGGAGGCACCTGCCGATACCACCGAACCACACCTTCATTGGCGTCCCTATCCGCTTCTCCACAAGCGACATCAACGAAATCCGGAATTTGCTCACCTGCAGCAGCCGATGCATAAAAATGCTCGTGCCAGACGTCGACCGCTGCGTCAATGTAGTATATGTTAAGGTCTTTCCGCTTCTGGGCGGAGTGCTATCGACCTGGCTTTTCCTGGGCTGCCACGTCCCGTGGAACATCCAATAGTCGATGGTACAATTTTTGTAAAAACAGTCAAAGCTGCAGCATTTGCAGCTTTAATGCGATACAAAAACATTACGATAGAGTGAGATCGCCAATTTTTGTTCGTGGCAACCACGACACAATGTTACCGCAGTTCTATGTTGAAGGTGTCCGTAATGCGATCAAGCGCGCGTTGGTGGATCTCGTTCACAAATGCATTTGTGAGGTTCTCTCCCATCGCACGATAAGTGACACGATAGCACAGACTTCTACGTCCCGTTTTGGGGTGCACGAACTCCGATAGCTGTGTGACGTCCTCGACATACTCCCTGCTCAGCTCCTCCAGGATTCCACGGAAGTCGACTTCATCAAAAGCCTGTTTAGTTGCATCGGCGCCGTCGAGGTAAAACGAAATGTCACGGACTACTGCCGGGTTTCGGCTGTAGGGTTTGAATATAGGCATTGTTCCGTAACGGTGGAAATCGCGGTACTGCCGCAAAAAACGCTCGTCGTCTTCCCAGAACTGACGTATGTCTGTGATACGGGATAAAGTCATTACCAGGCGCTCTAATCCTATGCCAAAGGCCCAGCCTCCAACTATTTCAGAGGTGTCTTGGTTACCAGAATCGGCTTGGCCAACGCTTTCATCTCTACTGTCGGTCCGCAAAATGTTTCTAATAATCACGTCTTTTAGTTTTCCACACCCTAAAATCTCAACAAAATCGTTTTCCAACTTTACGTAGAGCTCGAGGGAAGGATCAGTGAAGGGGAAAGAGGTGTCGCTATCCCACTTCAGCAATTCATCTTCGCCTGCGTGTTCCGTGTTTACAGGCACATTTACATTGCCTGCTTCTACATGGTTATCATAATCCGTGTTACTCAAAGGTAACGCATCGCACCCATCTGTTTTACTGCCGCTATTTTCAGCAGCTTCGGATGCATTGGAACGCATGTCGGCGCTTACCACACGACGAAGCAGATATTTCACAAGGGATTGGAGGGTACACCTTAAGTTATCCATTATGAGCTGCTCGTCGCTCAATGTGGCTCCTTCAATGCCTGAATCGTGCCTCAAGTTTTCTAACTCCTCGCGAGTGAAGAGCCTGAAGCCGTCAAGCTGGTGAAACACAGGATAATGCTTGGCGTCGATTGAGTCCCTCCGAAACACTTGGCCTGAATAGAGTGTAAGATAGTGTACATTCAAAGTTACCAGAGTATATTGCCCGAGTTAATCCCCTGCGTAACAGCTCAGGCAAGTGCGATGTTGTATGCGTTGGCAGCACCGTGTGGACCGAGTGTCCCAGCTCGTCAGCCATGCGATTAATCATCCACCTATCATAGCTGGCATTTCTAGATTGCGATAGTATGCGAGGGTACACTTCAGCTCGTTGGCGAGCATAACCCTGCACATATTGCTTGGAGGTATAAAAGTTCTCGGATGGATCTCGGCTCACATGGTTAAGTGGCACCTGCAGTTCATCGAAGTTATCTCGTATGGTAACCGGCACAGAGTCGAACGCAATGTACGGAAATCCATCCTCTGAATCTGGCGAGTGTCGGTGTTGAGTCCGGAAGAAGTGCTTAATCATCTCAGCTGCTTGACCCACCGGGTGGTCGCGATTTGTGTCTAATCGTCGACCTATCTTGGAGCGCACATAGTCGGGTATCCCTGTGTATGCGTGAGCTCCGGCCAGCCGTTGTGTTCTCGGAGAGTTCTGAATGAGTAGCTGCGACGAGTGGCGCATAACGCACGAGGAAAAGAACGCCATCTGGCGGTTTTTAACCAGCCAAAAGAGCGCCGTGAATGTGTGCAGGGCGTAGGAGGTGAAATATGTGCAGAAGATGGCGATCGCTGCGTCTACAGTGGCAAGGAACGTGAGCGTAATCAGCAGTGGCCGGAGCCTGCACATCGTATCGTTGAAATGGCACCTGCTCAATCCATCCTGGATATCTGTTCATTACATATTAATCTACCTTTCCAAGTATAGAAGCAACTTCGATTCTAGAGGCAAAAGCGCAACTGAAGATACACCTCCATACAGCGGCTTACTCAAGAGACAGATCCCTCGCTTAAACGTAGAATAGACGGAAAGAAAGGCAAAATGAAGTTCTTTGTGGCGTATATCAGCACCATATTATCTCTGTTGGCATTCCAGGCGCAATCTTTTACCGTAGAAATGATAATGAACAAGTGCGTGCTCCGACCAGGTCATGGGTGCACACCCACTATGAGGATTGTGACAAAGGGCGAAGATCAGCCAATTGTTGAACTCGAGAAGGTAGAAAGTGAGTCCTCTACTTCCGTAAACGCCTCGGACGATGACAAAGACACACAGACAAGCACGGAAGGATATTCAAGCAGTCCAGCTCCATGTGCATGCAATAATGGTCCTATCCCTTGCCGCAGATGCGCTCGCATGATAAGGCCAAGATGCTCGAGATCATACGGCGGATACGGATATGGGCCAAGCTATGTTGAAATGGCGAATAACGATACGCTTGCCAAAACCGGATCAGAGAACGAGTATGCACTTAACGAACAGAGCCCCGAAGAATATGTCGAAGATGAGGATGCTCAGCAGCAAAATGGCGACTATGAGGATGAATCAGAAGCCTTTAATCCGGATGAGGAAGCTACGCAGCAATATGAAGAAAGTGTAGGTGAAGGTGCCAATGAACCACAGATTACTCTCGTTGAAATGGGAAGATGTATGCAGAGCTACAGAATGGGTTGCCCATACACTCCTCGTTGCTACAGTTCGTCATTCAACCCTGGATCATGTGGTTCGTGCTCGCGCAGTTATGCGCCACGACCGAGCTGCTCGTGCCAAGGTGCAAGCTCTGACGAAAACGATTCTTCTGAGAGTGCGGGAAGCAGCTGTCCCTATGCCAGACGCAGCTACAACATGGGTTACAGCTCATGTGGCATGCCGGAATACAGGGACAGATACCAGCCGAGCTGCAGAAGCTGCAGGCGTTGTTTCTCTCCGTGCAGCTCCAGATGCTCCTCTCGTCAGGGCGGCTTCTACTCATCGAGGTATGGAAATAGTCGTAATAACGAAATCAAATATTCTTTAGCGGTGAGAGGCTATACTAAAAGGCGAATGAATTCAAAACCTCAGCCAGAGGGTTACGCCTATCAAGCGGAAAATGACGGCTCTGATGTGGATGAAAATGGCAACTTAGATATGCGTGATTTAATAAACGACGACTCCGAAAATCGTCGTGATACCTCAACAACCTTCCGTACAACAAACGGCATGTTTAATCTAGGCGTCGGTAAGTCAGCCGACAACGTCTTGAAAAATAACAGAGATGTACAGATCAAAAACGCCGCAGCCAAAGCGGAAGTTGAAGATACAGGAATTACAGAAAATACGGCTGAAGGACGGAGCCTAGGCTTCTTAGAAACTGCGAGGACGATTTCAAATGCAACGCACTACGCATCCATCGCCCCGCATTATCTGGGTCAGCCATCAGGTGGCAAAATGTCAAAAAGGCAAAAAGCGCCGACTTTTCTTGAACTTGGATCTAATTTTAATTCAAAGCTGACGAATGGCAATGTAAATGAGAAAAACAACCGTAAAAAAGAGGTTGCTCGTGAAAGTGCAAATGATGACGATGCTGTAGATTTTGACGATTTTATGGAAACAGAGCAAGAGTCAAGCGATGGAAATGGGGAAGAGCAAAGCGATGACGATGAATTGGTAGATAAAGATGAAGGAGAAGAAGACGGTGAAGAGAGTGATGAAGAGGACGATGTAAAGGATGAACGTGAATATGATGAACATGACAATACTAAACGTGATAATGTTGGAGATGTAGATGAAGACAAAGTCAAAAACGTCGATGAAGTCAAAGACGAAGATGCAAATACAAATGATAATGAAGACGGCGACGAAGACGAAGATGAAAATAAAGATGCAGTTGTAGATGAAGACGACGACGAAGTCAAAGACGACAATGAAGACGAGGATGAAGATGCAAATGCAAACGAAGATGACGACGACGAAGACAAAGACGATGATGACGAGCAAACGGAGGAAGACGACTCCAACGCAACTGCTGAGAGTAGCAGTCCTATCGATGATGATCTCGCAGAAGATTCTGATGACGAAAGTGATGACTCCACAGATATGAAAGATTACAAACATGATACAAATATAGAAAGTATACGTGCTCCCCTTGGATTGGAGTACCTAGGTGCTGGTTATGATATGGTGAAAGGCAACCCACTGGGTGACACCATAACCTTGCTGGACCCAGGCTACCGGGCCAATACAATCCAAATGCACTGGCGCAAGGATTTTGAAGGCCTTAGCAACAGTTTAGAATATATTCAACCAAAAGGTGCCTGGGTAAGGTCTTACGTATCATGCCACAAGAGCGATACGGTCTCCGAGGTGGGGCAGTCAGAGTCAATGAAGAATGCCCTCTCTGTGGATGCCTCCGTATCTGCTGCAGTTCCAGGTGATGTTCTGAAATTTGCAGCTTCTGCGAACTACAACAACGTGAAAAATTCGGAGAATCAGAAAGGGGTCAAGACTTATGTTAGCCGATCCTACTGTTTGAATTATGCGGCTGGGATACCCACCTCCATTCCATGGGATTACACCACTGCCTTCAACATCGCTCTTAAACAATTACCTACCAAATTCGAATATGAAAGAGACGGAGTCATCTGCTCGCCCAGTATCTATCGCGATAACCCTACAAGCAAGGCCTGTTCGGACCTGGGAGTGCGCCAATGGATGCGGTTCTTTACTATTTTCGGCACCCATGTGACGACCAAAATATACCTCGGCGGCAAGATGGTCACACGCATCGAAACTAAGGCCAACCAAGAGGCAAATCTTGCACGTCTAGGTGTCGACGTGAAGGCCGAAATCAGTGTTCAAGCGCAAGTTGCCACGGCCAATGGTGCCTTGGGAGTTGACGTTTCGAAGTTTAAGGATGATAAAAGTAAAACTCTCGATTCCAAAAAGTCAACGCTAGCTCTTGGTGGTGACATCTACGGGAAAGGCAAAAACCTCTCCTTCAACGACTGGGCTGAGACTGTGCCTAACTTCTCGATGCCCGTTAAGGCCGAGTACACTCCAATCGCCAAATTTCTCAGCACAGATTACGTCGACGCATACAACGACGCCTACGTGTTTTACGGCAAGGTCCTCGTCGGCGAGAATGTCGGGACCACATGATGCCGTATATTCTCAAAAACTTGTACTCTTAAAATGATATGATTTATGACAAATTTATATATTACGTATACAGTAATATATCTGTGAAAGGCATTCGTACCATTTGAATTGCGTAGATATGCAAAAATAGGCCATGTATACAAAAACACAGCACGCCACATCTTCGACGACGACCGTTGAATTATTGGTAGCAAATCAAAGGCAATACTGGATCTTCTCCATCATATTTCAGCTGGAATACATGGAACAAAGTCATCATGTCAATTACAGCTGTTAGCGTTCCAATGTGATCGCTAAATGGCACCTTGCTAAACATGCTCCTTACTGTACGTGTCGTACACAATTTCATCGAAAGACACCGTGACTAGTGTGGGGTACAAATGGCCAATTCATGGGAGCGTTATCGCATGATTATGTCAATTATATACGACCGGAAACAATATAAGATTATCGGCAGATAGGCAAATTCACCATTGCAGAGATAGGGGTAACGAGCTAGGATATATATGTTATAACTTCTTCGTACAAAAGGATGGCATTTGAGCGCCTGTACAAGGTGCCCAATCGCCGATAATTTCACTTTCTGATTAGGTCCATGGTCGGATCATGTGTGATTGCATGGGAAGGGATGGTTCTCACAGGAATGGGTTCCAAAGTGTCCGGCACCAGTCTCTGTGGAACTCACAAGTATTGCCCATAGAGCGAAATATGTACTCTATGTGACCACTTTAAACACTCCACTGCACATGCAGCCAGATCAGACAACTTTGAACGGTTTCCGCTGCCACACCTACATTGCGATATAACAAAGTTATAAACACTCCAAGCGGGTTAGGCGGAGGTCTGAGAAGTAATTTGAGTGAATGCTCAGAAATTCTTGAAAAATTTAGGAAGACTCTTTGTGCGGTATTTCCAGACGCCCCAAATAGAAACATGAAGTGATGACAGAAGCGACTACATTAAAATTACATATTTGTTGCGATATTAGCCTCCTACATGAAGTATTTGAAGTTACATTAGGCCCTTATACGGGAAGGCGGAGTATCGATCAATGTCAACCTCCTCGTGAATCCTTCCACCGGCAAGATTCGTGGATGTGCCGGAGCCTTTAAACGAGTTAACAAATGCAGCACGTAGTCCGTAATACACCTTGCGGAATTTCTCCGGATACTTATTCCAGGCAATGAAGCCGACTAGGATAAGTAGAGCAATCCCAATGAATATAGAGCCGTAGTAGTAACATACATGTTTCGCACATAATCTGCCGCAGTCTGTGCATTTCTTGATGCATTTACCTTCCTTGTATTCGTCACGGTAGACACATTGACTCTCTCCGCTGCATGTATATCTGGCGTGACCTTTGCAGCCATCTTTGCCTTTGCCTGCCTCGCACTTACCATCTCCATACCTGTCGAGGGCGAATCCGTCGCAATATCCTGGGCATTTGCTATTATCACACCAACCGCAGCAGTTACAAAGACCATAACCACATCCACATTTACAATTATGACATATGCATTTGGGGTTTTGCTCCTTATTTATTGCCTTATTTTTTTCTTGATCAGAGCAACCCTTTGTTATACAGTCCTTACAACTGGTCTTACAGCACTCATCGGCTAGTATACCAAATTTGTTGTGACATCCGTCGCATATCTCCTGTGCCTTCTCTGTTACCCACTTATGGACATCATCGAGGCCTGTAAATATGTTACAAGCGTCCTTATCTTCTCCTAACATTTTGAAGGTGTTACCTTAGTTAACACAACATGGATACGTAGTTAGGTATTCTTTACCACTGTTCACCGTCTGCCATTATGCAAAATATTAAACGCTTTCAAAAATCCTGTGTTGAAGATGCATTGCAGATCCGATTAGAATGGAGCTACAACACACTCTTCTGCATCTAGTACACATCAGCTATTCATTTCACATGAGAGTTAATATCATACTATGCTTCAATGATAGCGCTAAAAGGGAGCTTCCGTTGCGCAATGCCCCAAGCTGGACGCGGGGTGTAGAAGGTACCATCTGCATGACTTAAATACCGAAAGAGTTACTGCACTAAAGTTTGCAATTATAACAGGATACGTCTGGCAATTAATCATACGTATCTGATGTTGCTGTATTGGGCAATGTGTAATCGACTTCCCGTGGAAAATAACACATGTTTTCCGAGCTACAATGTACTTTCAGCAGCAGTTGCGAAGCCTCATTCTAGAAGACCAACATTGTCATCATAATATACCGCATTATTCACTATTGTTCTGACAAAATGCTTCTAACCTAGTCGATTTTCAGCCTTTGGATTCCAAACAGAACCACTTATCCGTTAACCAAGTGCCTCTCTCTGTTGCAACAACTACAGGCAAGATGAGGAATGAAACCATAATCCACTTATTAGCATTAACCAATCAGGCACCGTTAGCATCATTAATAGTTTAATGGGAGCTCTTTAAAGCTGCTTAATCAACTTCCTTGCAAGAACATACGGTAGAGGGGGCAACATAGTCATGATGCCTTTAAAAAAATAACGCCACTTGCCGTTTCGGTACATTGTATACGTACTGTTTGTAGTTACCTTTACTTTTTTTGTGCATTCTAAATATTCAATAGCCTGGGAAGTGATACCATATTCTACACATTACCTGGTTCCAAACCTACAAACTCTACTAAACTGTACCAGGCTCACCCATTCCACACAACTTTATTGCAATCGGCTAAAAATGTCAACTTCTATGTATTCTATACCTCTAAGAAAGCAAATCGGCCCAGCCCATCGGTAGAACCTCACATTACCCCCAAGACAAAATCGTACTATACCAACGTCTAATGATCTATATAGATTCCAGCACATCGTAGACGTCGGGAAACCTTGGAATAAGAATTACATAACACAATTACACGCTCATATCAAAACGCACTGTGGTAAATGACTTTTAACATATCCAGTGCAACGTTATGTTGTGAACTTTTCATGTGAAATTAAGAATGCGTTCAAAGTATAACCGCGACTAATACCGTAAAGCGCTACGTAACTTATACATAGCTAATGAAATGGGCATTTTCCCGGTCGTTAGATTGGTTTGACATTGACCAGTAGCCTTGGTCGGGGGTTGCTTGGTCGTATAGGGGCAATATATCGGCAACAGATGCGATGATGCCTCGCATCATCCCACATCTACCGAAGAGATCGGTAGCGCCTACAAATGTGCGCTCCAGTAGCACCTCGAATAGGCGACCACTACCGCTCGAGTTTTGTGGGTATATGCCAACCACCGTGCCCCGAGCTCCAAGCGGGATGACTTCGTTATGGTTGATGTACACAACGCACTGTCCCAACCTGATTGAATCTTCATGCGCAAATACCGTTCCGGTGTTGTACGACGGTATGTGAAGGTTCCTAATGTGCGACACACGTACAAGCTTGCAGTTTACGTCGTCTTCCGAATCCGGAGTTTCGTCGTAAACGTTCGTTACACTCTCAATGTCAGATGGAGATAAACAGCAGTAGTTACCTATAGTCAGCTTGAGTCTGCGGAAGACCTGCGAAGAGACATACTGCGCCAGCTGACCCTTCCTATACTCCACAAGCTCAGGCGAACCAACGAATACCGCATCCAGGTTGACGTTATGTCGATACTCGCCTTTTGCTGCGTTGTTTTGTTTCCCAGCGTTTTTACCCAAGTGGTGGAAAAGTTCGGGGAAATTCGCTCGGTAGTCCTCGACGAGAGCAACTACTCTGCTGGAGTATTCTACTCCCCTGAGCAACGAATCAGGGTTTGACATCCGTTCCGCCGTGAGCAATGTGTCACTGCAGCGCGTGTAACCCGGCAGACACATGACGCATGACTTTTCGTCGCTCCATAGTGCCAAATGCATCCCTATATCGCTGGCGTGTTTGCCGCACGCCAATAGATGGAAGATTGCAGATGCGGTTGTTGTACAAAGCTTGGCCATGCGACAAATTTCGTCGAAGCTGTGCCACCTTATTTCTTCTCTTGCTTCTAGGATGTGTGTTATTTTTTGGTGCCGCTGATACATCTGCAGGGCGTTTTCTGCGATAGTGACTCTGTAGTCAGGAATTGAGAAAATGGCTGAGATATTGTCGAAACTGTTGCCAACCCTTTCGATGGTGCCAACACAGCCGTACAGCGATCCTTTCATGATGCATACGGCCTTTATTAGCGGTTTGGAGTACTTCCCATACAGCATCTCGTGCTGGACAATCGCATTTTTCAGCGCTATCATTTCGTTGAGGTTGTTCGATAATTCGACCTGCGATGACGACGATGATTTGTCGCGTACAACCGCACGCTCCATCTGCGGTACTCCCTCGCTTACATGTTCGATAAAACGCACAAATGCGAGCAGGGAATATTCTGTGCGTTCAGTGTCCTGAAGATTGATATCCACCACCCGGTATTCCACAACTACATTCTCGCATAGCAGGTCCAATTTCAGTGACCGTGCACTGCGTACAGATTGCATATCGTTCGAGAGCCCACATCCCGGTAAACCGTCGAAGAGTTTATAGAGCAGCTTCCGGCTCATTTTCACATAATTGTGATAATCTGTGTCGTCTATGCTAGGTTCCGGAGACTTGTGGCTCACAATAACTCCGCGTTTGGCTAGGTTCTGCCTGATGGTAGTCAGCAGCGCCACGAGTTCTTGTGGCTTGCCCATATGTAGGTGCCCATCTCTGATAGTCACGTACGGGGTCCATATAGCCTCCAATCGCCCGATGTGCTGATATGGGTATCCAACGGTGACATATTTCGCCTTAGCTGCGGTAATCAGGTTACGGACGGCGTTGTGATGAAACGGTTGACGAATCCACAAATAGATACTAGGAAGATGCGACCTAATTTGGAAAACATTGACGCCAGACCGTGTGAAAGGCGTGAACGGTAATGTTGACAGAGAAGGAAACCATATGTTGTCCCCAAGGTGCCTATCCGTTTGAGCATCTTCGGCATATTTGCTAGACATCATAAGCTGGGTTGGGAACGTCTGCCCCTTTTTCAGCGCCGGATTAAAGAATGGCTCATACTCAACCTTGCAGCCTATAATATTTCCGAAGACAGTCATCGGTGAGTTCACAATTGTCCCCCGAGACTCCGGGTTGCAGAAATAGATCCTTGCGATACCGACATTGTTCCTGCATTTTTCGTCCTCCGTAAGCCTGCGTGACTCCATATAGTACAGTTTTCGCGGTAATCCTACACGTATGTCGATGTTATCAACTTCATCCCCGAGCAGCGCATAATTCATGAGGACCCGGAGCTCCAAAAACGGAACCACTGGTAGGAGCGTTACTCCTCCCCAGGGCACATTAGTGTCATCCATGTCAATATCGAACTTCTCCGGATAGTACTTGTGCAGCGGTGACTCTTTATTCGTGATGAGGTTGGCGAATATACTCGGCAGAAGGTAGGAGGAGTCCGGTGGCAATATCATCATCAGCTGCTCATAGGGGGTACATGGTTCTTCCAAAGCAAATTTAATGCTCATCGCAGTGGAAAGAGTGACCGGACCACCCATGGCCATCGCACCCCTGCTCATTCCCTTAGCCTTTATGACATCCGTCTTGAGAAACTTCTGCACGTCCGTAAGCAGAGGCGCGTACTTGCATCGCAAGTACCATGACCACGAGGGCACTCCCCTGTAATAGTAATACATGACCCACTGAATGCCCTCCAAATAATCATGCACCACCTCCCCTATCGTCAGGGGCGGCCCAGCTGGGTTGCGGTTGTCTGACCCGTTGGGGAGCAGAATGACGTCGCTGGCTATGCCCATTTTGGCAAAGTAGTAGCGCGCCTTCCACTCCGCAGCCAATTTGGGCTTTTTTCCGTACTTTGCCATGAATTCCGTAGTGTCGGTTGCGATGCGGCAGTTCTCAACATCGATGACTGTCATCTCGCCGTTGACGCTTTTGTGTGACGACCTGCCTTTTGACTTGTTGCCATCATCGGGACGACCACCGAGCTCTGAGTTGATGCATGATGCCTCATGCTTGACAAGGTTTCCGAGGAACATTTTGAGGTTCTCGTAGTTGATCTCTCCGCAACCGGTAACCAGCCAAAAATCCAACCTCGGCGCCGCACTGAAGCGCCTCTCTACATAGCGTATGTAGTAGTTGATGAAGTGGTTGAATCCCCCATCTGCGATTTTAGAGAACTTTCCATGAGGCAGGAAATCGTTGCCAACGAACATACTCATCAGCACGAAGTCGTCCACCACGCGGTCGATGGATTGTGGTGACCGCCGCAGCTCCGCCGGCTGGATCAGGTCGTTGAGAATATACTCCCGCAGGATGCCGATGTGCAAGAAAATATAATCGTTCATGTTCATCATCATGCGGGAGCTTGTCTGCCGGTTGGTGAAGTATATTTGTTCGCGAATGAGGCAGATGTACGGCTCATGCGTGGCAAGCGACAACAGTATGAGATCTGCGTCGAGCCCGTATATGCAGTGCGATACGTAGTGGGCTTTACCTCCAGCGCTGGCTTCATTGTGGCGCTGAGCTTTGTTGTTTCTAATGTATTCCGCGATTTTGTGTTCACCCTCTCCCGGCACATCGGATCCGCTGACAACGATCTTAATGTCCTTCCATGCTTTGTGGTCGTTAATCATCATATTCGCGAAGAATTGCAACCTGACGGAGAGTCTTTCCATGAAAGGGGTGCCCGGTGTGATTTGAATTGGGTCAAATTTAAAGGCCTCGCCACCCTCGGTGGCCTTCGGCTGTGCATCGTCGCAGCCAAGCTCCTCTTGCACTGCCTTGAAGACGACGTCATTGTGCTTGCTGTCTCTGGCGCTCCTGAAGCGGCGTTCACGCTGTTGCATGATCTTCGCTCGGGGAGCGACACCATCAACGGCCAGGTAGAGCAGCTTCCGGGGACGTACGATCTTCACCAGGCTGTTGATGTACTGGAAGATCAGCACGAAGATGTCTTCCTCGCAACGGATGCCCTGGCATAGTTCCTCTACGCTGTGGGAGCAGTTGTGGATGATGCCGTTGACGTCGATGTAGAGGTTGTCAAAGCCTTCGGGGACGTTTTGGGCGCGATCGCTGTCGTCGGCCTCAAACGACCTGAGGAGCTTGAACGCATCATCCTTCTCGGCAGCAGATCCCCTATAAGTCTCGCATATGAGCGGGTAGCGCTGCGCCAGCCATTTGAAGAAGCCGGGGACTCCCATATATGCTGCGTTTCAGGGTAATTCGTGGCGCGCTTCTAATGCCGTAGTCCCAGCGTTGCAGACATCAGCTTCTGCTACCAACGTCGCCACGAGACGTACAGAATTAGCGACGAAGCTTAAGAAGCGACGTCTGCTAGTGTGTAGCCCGGAGCCACCACCAGCAACGGCAGTGAGAAGCGACGGTTTATAGACCCAACAAGCACACCGCTGCAGCCAATATTTAATATTGGCAATGCGTGTGGGCAATTATGTCATTAGCAATGGTTATAGTGTGGTGAAACTGCGACAAACGATTGGGCGAATCACCCCGGCACAAAGCGTTTCAAAGCAGAATCCACTAGACTTCTTGTATGTTTTCTAGGAAGATAAGTATCGGGCCAGGCAGGTTCGGCTATGGCAACGGCCAAAACGCATCTGTTTACGCCTGAGGATAGTTTGTTCAACGAAGATAACAGTTGCTCCATGTTCGCTGCCGACGGCTCCTCTTCAACCTTCAACAGCACTGTGATTCGGAGTTCTAGTTCGCTAATTCGACCCTGTAGCTTTTGAAGGCGCCTCTTCAGCTGGTGCAGTGATATGATGCCGCCTGCGTAGTTGTCTATCCCGGTGTACCTTTCCGCTGGCACGTATTTCTCCAACCCCTTCATGGTGTCGACGAGGAACATGTCCAGCGGCTCAATAGGCTTATTAAACAGCGACTTTAGACCTATGGAGGGTTCCCAGACGTACGTATTGGCCTGCCGCTCCCCCTGCTGAGCATAGTTGTTACGCGCGAACTTCGTGTCTATACTTGTTTCTAAATCACCAAGACGCTCTGCTGCCAGTTCGGCAACTTTGCAAATGCGATCCACCGCGTTTTCGGCCATTTCTGCGGTATCCAGCATTGCTATGTTACTGGCAATCACATACTCTACGGCGATATTCAGATTTATCCCCCTTGGTTTCTGTTCGCCGCTATCATTCGCCCACGCTGCCATAAGTTCATGTATATAATCACCCACTTCGTCTCCCGCTGTCAGTTGTGCCAACTTACGTACAGCTTTTCCCGACAAAGTCTCACCTGGGCGCTTCAGGAATTGTAATAGCCTCTTTGACACCCTTGGGAGCAGATCATCACATTTGCCATCAACTAGTCCACATTTCCCCGATTTCAGCAGCAAATAGACTTGCGATAAAATTTCAAATGCGACAACGGAATTTGTGCGATCCAATTTGCTACCCACCAATGCGTCGACGTAGTGGGAGACAACCTGGTTGACAAATTTGGAGTCGGCAGAGTCTGCGTCATGTGAATCGCCTTTATGAGACTGCTTTAGATCCCAGTTATACAGCATTTTGAATGCGCTGCTGCTGGCTGTTAGCCATTCCTTCGTGTTGCCGGTCTCTCGCATGAGTGCTGTGAATACGGGCTTAATAAGCGCCCACTGTACCAAAGGATGACATTTTGAAACTTCATTTGTGAGTGAATATAAGGTTTCATGTTGCCTCTGCATTTGTGAATTGATTTGGGATGCGATAGTCTTCAATAGCCGCTCGTGAGTATCCTTAAGTGAACCAGGCTGATCCGCCGTAACTAGCCGGTCGACTAACCTAAGCAATACTATCTCTTCGGTAACATTAGTCAGATGTTGATAATCGGACGACGCAGATTTATCTTGGGCACCTCGTGGTGGCACGGGCTCGTTCCTTCGTCTACATACTTCCTCTGCCAAAGCATTCAGGAGTTTGCCTAGCTTGTTTTCCATTGCGATACCACCCTTCTCCCCTGCTGTGAGAATCCACGTAATAGTGTCGGATGCTTCCGATTTCATATCTGGGTAGAACGGATCATGCCGGCACACAGCATCAACGACTCCCGGCAATTGGTATTCCGTTATTGATTTTAATACATTTGCGATATCACCGTTCACTTGTACCACACCGTTGGTATCAACCAATATGCCAATGTTCATCAACACCCGTCGTAGCAATGTACCGTAGATGTCTTTTGCCTCCGGGGGTAAATGTTTACTTTTGGGAAGGCTAGAAATGAGAAAGACGCACTCACTCGTGGAGTATCGATCCACATTCGACATTAACATGGCAACCAGCCTGTTAATCGGCTTCTCGAGCAGCATTCCGTCGCTGTTTTCCATGTATTCCATGGATGCCACATCTTGAAAAAATCGGCGCAATTGGCTGGCTGAATCGAAACATGTCATCGGACCATTGCTTACGCGCTCCAATAGTGGCATTATTAACCTCGAATTGGCAATTTTAAAATTCCGGAGCAGCATTGGCATCAGAGATAGGTCATTCGGCAAGAGGTCGTCGGACCGAACGCAGCATGTGTGAACAAGCATGCCTATGACTGACGGATGCACAATATGAGAAAGCGCACTTATAACATTGACAAAACAGCCCGCTTGCAGTAACATCGGCGCATGGGTCCTCACTTCACGGTTAATGTGGTTCATCAACCTTGTGGCCCCGGTGACTCGTACGTTCCGTGACAAACATTTGGCGCAATTGATCAATGTGTCCACCCCTGAACCGTCTTCCGTCAGCAGCTGCCTCGACGCAATCTCGCGAGTAACCAAATCAACCATCTTGAGGTGGGTATCAGCATGTCCGCAATGGGAGAGGAAGGTCATGGCGTCGAGTAATCGAACAAGATTCCCCGTGCTATACTTTTCGAAAGATGGATCGTTGGACTCCAGAGGGTACTTTGATTCCTTGAGGAAGGCAACGTACTCATCGAATCGAGCGTCATCTCTTGAAAGCAACGCATTCAAGTTGGACTGGAAGTCATGAAAGGCCGTCTCCTTGTCGAACAGCGACACAGCCGCCGGAGTCTTGTCTATTTGCGTCTCTGGCTCGAATAAGCTCCGTATGAAGGAGAAGGTCCGATGCCATCCGATCGCATGTCGAGAATTAGGGCGGCCAGCGCCCGCAGCTCTAACGCCGAGCCTGAGGGCGCTGCCGCCAGCCCGTAGCGACATCAAATACACACTTCAGCGATAGTAACAGTACAAACGACAGTCATGTTATATCTCATAGCTACTCCTGCGTTTGGCATCGCAGAAATGATACACACTCATGTCCGATGATGCAGCGTGCCGTCGAAGAAGCCGGCGTCACCACCAAACCACACTTACAGATACATAAACATACATTGGTTGAAACACAAAATTATAGTAGGTAAGTCTAAATATCAGAGGTAGCTCGTCGCACAGCGGGGCTACTTTAATAATACCGACGCTTATCATTTCCATGTGTTAAAGCTTGCGGTAATACTGAACCGCTGTCTCGTGTTCTTATCCATAACGTATTCCGCACTCGTGAATCTAGACGTGAATGCAAAAATGGCGGAACGTTTTCTCGGGAGTTGCTAACCTTCGGTTGCAGTATTTTGCGCAGCGTGATGGGCAGTGCCATGTCGATAAGCATCTTCAAAGAGTGACGACGTCACTGAGATACCGTCGATTGATGCCCTTCAAAGATGTGCCAAGTTTATCTCAAAACAAAAATTTGATTGAGCAAAGAATCAAATGGTCCAAAATTACTTCATCCAACATACTACCACAAGAGTCCCTTAAAGCTGATTTAATAGTAAAGATTACCCATGCTGCCCATGCCATGGGAAGACTGCATGCCGCCATTGGAGCCCATGCTCGGTACCGCGTAGAATCCTGGCATCTCCTGTACCCCGGCAGCGTCCTTGCCATGGTTGCTGGAATCATTATCCTTATTCGTTGAATTCCCCATTCCAATGCGTATGCAGCCGCCGTCACTGCCGAACATCTCCGACGCGGTGAAATCAGAGGGGGATCCTGAGCCGCTCATGGCCAGGGTTGTCATTGGGAAGCCATTGAAGGCCTGCCACGCTGTGGCCATTCCCATTCGAGATACGTCCGCGCCAGAACCGTAAGTTGGCGCAATGTCCGAATCGGGCGATTTCTTCTTCTTTCTACCCCTCTTGGGCTTCTCCGGAGCAGACATTATTGGTATGCTGCCATCACTGATCGAATTCGTAGACGTCATGAGTTGCGCGCTTCCGATGTCCGTGTTAGGCAGATCCGGATCCATCCACTGTATGGAGTTGTAGCTCATCATCATCGGGTTAGTTCTCTGCGATTCCGACAAGAAATCGGTGTCGAAGAATGAACCGCTGACGCCAAGCTGATCTTGCGAGGACATGGGGTCGCTGTAGCAGATGGACTGAGTCGCCGGGAAATACGGGTAACACGCAACGAAAGGTCCATTCGCGTTTTGAGAATCAGTCGGCGCATCATCCGCGAGTTCGCACATGCTCATGGGGGCGTCTATACTCGGACTTCCGTACTTGGTCATGCTGCTGCTCATCCAGTCACCATAGCCCAGTGAATTGGGTTGCGAGTAATCATATGGCTTGCCGTAGCTGTTGAGGTCATTTTGCAACTCGCGGAGGTCCCACTCGGAGGTGCTACTGAATGAATGCTTCTGCGCTGCGGTGCTCCATGTGAGCCAGTTCTGCGCAGCAAGAGCCTCACCCGTTGCGTTCATACCGTCATAAGAGTGGTTACGCGCAGAGTCATTTTCGGGGGCATGCTGAGATACGGGATACAGCCCAGGTAACGACACGTTGAGGGGCATGTTCGCGTGGTGGATAGCAGCAGGGTCAGTCGGCGGGTTAATTTCAGCATCCGCCTTCCTCCTGCGTGTCGTAGTACCCGTTGCCCTCTTGCGCCCAGCTGCCGGGTTTGTCACAACGCGCTTCTTTCTGGGTGCGGGATCTTTACGATTAAGCTTTTCCATGTAGTCTACTGCAAACGGAAGGTTGTTCGGATCGTACCCCGGTTCATTGACTACTGCACTGAACTTCATATCATTCCTCGACACACGTGTGCCGGTGGCCTTGTGTAGAAGTCGTGGGTTGAACGTACCCTGTATGAGGCTGTTGGCAAACGTCTCCGCACGCCTCTTTGCCTCCTCGTTACCGACCTTCTTGCATGACCAGCGTGCACGCATGCTGGCGCCGGTGTTGTTGGTCCACTCCACACGCCACTCACGAACGCTTCTATCGCGAGTAAGGGTGACGTTGAACCTTCCAACGTTTTCGAAGATGGTAAGGACTGGTGGGCCTTTCTCCGGATAAAGTTGTTCGAAAGTGGACCCCGAGAGAAGCTTCGTAATAAGGTTCTCAGCCCTTTGCTGCGCCTTTGCGTTGCCATACTTTTTGTAAGAGATACGCTGCTCTCTTTTTACTCCGTTCTCGTACCACTGCACTATGAGAGATCTCTCAACTTTATCAACCAAAATGATAGGGTTCTCCGCTACAACCTTGGCGGGCAGCACGGGCGTCACGCTTGGCGGCTGTTGCTGGAAGGCATCCTGATTACCCATTTCAGTAAATGTTGATCCTATAGGTAGCGCTTCAGGCTCCAACTTCGTTGTAACACCGCCTGGGGCGCTATATACCGATGACTGCGAATCCAATGATACCTGAGTTTGTAACGACTCCATTCCGTCTAACGATTGATTTACATTGGACGGCCAGGATACGTCCATACCGTAACAGCCGTTATAGAACGAGCCTAACCCAGAAAACTGCTTATCAGGGTCGTATGAAAAATCTGCATTCGCATAGATTGATCCAAACGGATTATAAATTGGAGGCGGCTGAGTCTCGATTGAGGCGAGGCTCATCAACTCCGTCTCCGTAGGTTTGAAGGGGACTGTATTGCCATCAATGCACTCCCCGCCCTTGATATCGGATATGTGGAGTGTCTTTTCGTCCACAAGGTCACCACCGTGCAAAGCTGGTATAGCGAGCAATGTATCATCCAACGGCCTTGATATATCACAGGCCGCCTCCACATGCAGGTCTTCCATGTTACCTCAAAAAGAAATAGACACTAGTTCTCTCCAACACACGTTATACAAACAACCGAATGCCGTGAAGCGATTAGTGTTCAGAATAGTTTCTTCGGAAGAGAACAAGTGTGCAAAGGGCCAATACCGCAGAAGTACATACATGGCACGCGTATAGTCACATCTTCCCCCGATGATTATACCAGCGTGTGTGTGTATGTAATCAGATGATAATGAGCGCAAATTTCACGCCAAACGGTAATTTGTCAACGGAAATCCTGGGCCACAGAGCCACCTCTCCCAGCAACCAATGTACACACTGGTCCGGATTCACACCTAGAGGGCCGACGGCTGTATTTTAGCGGTCGCGGTGAGATCTTGATGCCCAGGATGTTACGTCAAACTAAGGTGGATTGACGTGTCTACCCTGTCCGTACTGACACCACGCCCGGAATGCACCGTGGGTGCACGGTTCAACCAGCTCAACGGAGACACGCAACGAACTACCGCGAGCTACAACGGCCTACCATGCCATACCATTACCATACATTGCGCAACCGCAGCAATGTGTACGTCCGGAAAGGAACTTTCAGCCACAGGCCCGCACACAGATGCGTGCTTCGAAAGCTGCGAGAACCCGCCTCACGTAGGGTATGACGGCTGGTAGACACGGCATGGCAGTGTCGCTGGCGTTTGCGCCCGTGTCGGCCGAGATGTGTGAACTGAGTTCGGAGGGGTGGTTCCCCGCCCCCCTGGGTGTGTCCGGCGCCCGCCGTGGGCTTCCTTTTATACCGTGTCTACTGCGGAATGCTGGTCGTAGTGTTGCACAGTTGCAGTGCGATGTCGTGCGATATATAGTTAGACATCGATGGTGTGTTTTGTGTGGTTCATCAGTGTTATCCTCAACAGATTCACCAATGGCATATGTGTTCCTGACTCGATGTGTAACCTGTAGAGGCCCAAACGCGTTGCACCGTGACACTTATGTGCGAAGTCGACCGGTTATGTTATCATGTCTCCTAGTCCTAGTCAAGTACACGGCTCTACTCCACACCGTGAATACCGAGTATACACATATATTGTAGTGGTATGTCTATTCCTGTTTTCCTGCTTCAACACACCTCTTAAAAATGTGGGATATGAATAGCGTCGGATGTGTAGTTGTATTTTTCGCATTTAGTGCTTTAGCCCCAATGTCTCTCGGAGTGCATAACAGAATAGTAGTGTTCAGATGATGGACGTGCTAGACACATAGTTACCGTATTGAATGTTATCAACAGAAATAGGAGACAGTATTACGTTATCACATTGACACTACAAATCAGCTTCCATGTTTTAAACGTTATTCCCCTTGATGCTATAGCGCATCGAGGCAGCCCATACTCAAATGCTGTTCATTTCGTTCTGCCGCTATGCACGGTATGGACCTAGCAAGGGCAGAGGTCCGCTCATCGCAAAGTTCGCTCCCATCGGTTTCAAGAAAGGCTTCGGCGCGGTCGGCCTAGGAAGGCACACTAAGAAAGGTAAAAGCTGGCCGGCAGCATCGCGGAATACACGTCGACTACAGGTTTCTTCATCATTAACAAGATGCTAGTGCCAAATTTGCACGTGCCGCAGAATACAAAACCAGAGGTATGTGCCATAACGCAGAACTGTCATTGAGACGCAGCTTAAGCCGTATGTCTCTCCCAGGACTCTACAACTCATATCGCAACAACAGAAGAGTGCTAAAGCATAGATTTCGCACGTGCGAGGATATAACCGCGCATCGCAAGGAACTAATCCCCTAAAGTGTGGCGTTTTAAGCCACTTAACCAAGGCTACAATGGTGGTACGGAGTGACCGTACGCGAAAACTGTGTTTTAACGACCGTAGAAATTAAATCATTTGTTCAATAGCTTAATCAGAACATCCAAACCGGCGTGTTTCTCGTTTCCTGAGACGTAATTGAACACGAGATTGCTAAACATACTTTTCTCAAGAACCTTACATGTTTCTTCAAGTTTAGAAACAGTAATGGTTTCCCTGATGTCGGCAATAACCGTTTCATCACCATTCCTGATCGCCGCCTCTAGTATGTCGACCAAAAGGAAGACAGACTTGCGACTGATAATGCGATGGACATTGGGTTTCACCGCAGGCCAGAGAGCGCCATACGGACAGAGTACTTCCATTGGTGCGCTTGGCTTTTTGACCAAGGTTTGAATGAATCGGAAAGTATCGCTGCGTGAATTTTAGGCTGGTGGGAGGTTGACCTACATGTTGTCCAAAAGCGACAATTCACAATCGGCACGCACTGCGTCCACTATTGATTGCATGATTTCGGCGTCTCCGGAGAGCCTCAATGTGGCCATGAGCACTTGGCTGGCGTATTTGTTTTCAATCACTTCCTTTAGTTCGATAGACCCGAATAGCTCAATGAGCAACGGGAGGAGGAAAGCCTGCAACTCAGCTTGTCGCACAGCCGGGTCCTTCATGCTCGTCTTAGATTCCACCTCCTTAGGGGCTTCCAGTATCGCCTTAACGAATAAATGGCCGTATTGGTGTGACACTAATTTTTGTAGCTCGTCCTGGAATGGTCTTAGCAGACAGTCAATCGACAGCTTCGTGTCGTCCGTGCACAGGATCGCTTTAATTAAGAAAGAGACGTTAATCTGGTTGTAAACTGCCTCGGGAAAATCTGTCCTTAGGCCTTTGAGCATAGCTTTACGCATCTTCTTGTCAGCATAGCCGAACAAATCGCACATGATGGTGTTGCCGTTGCGAGTTGAGAGTAGCTGGCCAAACACCTTGTAAAGCTGACCTATCAATTGTTCCTTGTTATCAGTAAGCTTCCAGTACATATACAGTAAATCGTGAGAGATCGATGCGGTAAGTTGTGCCTTGTCTATCATTTTAATAACCGACGATTTGAGTGTCTCCACGCAGCTCGCCCGGGACTCGCTCTGGTCTATAATGTTGATAAACTGGTTGATCGACCCTGTAGCCTCAACTTTCCGCATAGCGTCCTTGTCGAGTACAAAAAAATTCGAAAGCGCATATAACCTCAAAACTGCAAGCTGTTCCTTATTCTTCAGTTTTTGATACATAACATCCATGACATCAGATCCATATCTGGAGAAAAGCAAACTCTTGTTGTGGTCGTTAAAAAACGATTTACGGAGGAAATCCTTAGCCGCCGTGTTGCAGTAGTGATACACCTTCACGAAGAACCTTGCACTGTGGGCGTTGAGAGAGATAAGCGTAAAATTTTTCTTGACGTTCTCGAAAATGGCACTTCGCACCTCCGTATCGCCGTACTTGAGACATGCTTGCAAAATTCGCGAAATGTGACGCTTGTTAGCCATCTGCAAAACATTAGGCGGTACATGTTCAGCTACACACCAGTGGATATTTGCTGTCCCCCGTCTTGCTGAGGATCTGCGTGGTGGTTGATTTGACAACATCCGGCTTAGCATGGTCTATAAGAAGACGGCTGTACAGCTTGTTGAGACCCTTCTTCTCCTCCTCCTTGGACGGCTTCGCCTCCTTCTTTACCTTTCGTGGGGACTTGGCAGCCGTAGCGGCCGCCTTGCCCTTTCTCGCCTTAGCCGCTCTTACTGCCTTCGCATTATTAGCTGCCGTGCTATTGCGGGTCTTACCCTTAGTGGAGGATTTCTTACCCGCGGATTTGCCGTTAATGGCGGGTGCAGCCGACGCAGAGGCCTTGGATTCCTTCTTGACAACCTTCGAGGGGGGTTTTGCATTCTTGGTTGATTTCTCAACCTTGACGGAAACGGTCTTGCCTTTCTTCGCCGGGGCGTTCTTTTCGGTCTTCACACTCGCGACCGCACTCGTCTTCTCCTTCTTGACTTTCTTGGCATCTGAACTTTTCGTAGCGGCTTTCTGCGAATTAGCCTTGGTGGATTTGGCAGACTTATCCAGGTCCTTCTTCACCGTTTTGGAGACGGTCTTGGCTTCAGTTTTGGTGGTTTTTGCGGGCACCTGTTTTGCATGAGTGGTCTTGGTGGATTTCACAGTAGAGGATTTGACTGTCTTTTCTCCTTTTTTTGAACCCTTAGATGATTCAACGGCGCTAGGCGATTTAGTCGACCCCTTGCCTTTCGCAGCCACGGACGGCTTGGCTGGTTTGCTCCCGGCAGCACGCTCAGCTGCGGATTTCGACGCAGCGCCTTTCACGATTTTCTTAGCTTCCATTTTAGTACTTTTAACGAGACGGGTGGAACGCTGCGTTGCTTCCGCCTTGATCCGCATGGAGGCCTCTATGGCCGCCGCACGGCTGGACTTGGACCTGGCGCTCTTCACATGTTTCTGCGCTTTGGCATCCTTCGAGCCATGTGACAATCTTGCGGATCGTCGCTTTTGGGATGCGTCGGCGTGGGTCTGCACGTTGAGCTTCATCTTCGGAAAAATGGGAAATGAGGCGCACTCTATTATGGGAAAAGTCTGCCGACCAGTGGGTCACCCGTCGGTGCGCGACGGAAGACACCAACATTCCATGTTTCACCACGTCGCAAAAATATTGAATGGTGTGTGTGTAGATGTCTAGGGCTACTAAACTTGATACGAAGCTCCGTTCAATGTAATACTCGGGGTCTCCTGGGCCGACCTCCGTTGCACACCCGAATCTCTACACACTGAGGAATCTCAGATCGTAACATGGATATAAACGCATACAAACAACTTTCTGCCGCTTGTGTGCCGCCAATGTATCACTTAATTTTCACTCCCACATGTCGCCTTCCGGCGCTAGCCCTGCGTGCGTCAGAAGCGCGCTCCCGCCATGTCAGTCGTAGAATCCCGCAAGTGTAGCACAAATTTTTTATAAGTTAACGTAGTTGTCTTTTCAGCTTTCACGCAACGACGTCAGACTGCCTCGCCGACGCCGCTGATGTCGTAAGGATCACGGGTGAACATCACGGAAAGGGCAGAATCTTCTCGTAGAAGAACGCTTAAAATGGATTCCACAGATTTTGAGAGGCAGGTGGCTCTGCAAAAGCGAGCTATCCACGTCTTGAGCCCCTCTGACAACGAGTACCTGGGCTGTCGCGACGCCGAGGCGGAATCCCTGGTCTGCATTATGGAACGGTAAGCGCATATAATATGAGCTCATGGCATCACAAATGGCTGCAGATGCGTGGAAGATGCCGTGGGAGGCAGCGTATTTGTCTTTGGGCTGAGTGGCACTGGGAAGACAACGACCGTCCATCACGCTGTTAACCAGTTTATGACAACTCACCCGAAAGTGCGCAAGATAAGCGTGTCTGGCAACTCATTCTCCTCCGCGTGGCAGTTTGTCTATTTCGCTTACGACAAGCTCGCTCGCACGCCGGCAGCACAGAAGCGGATGCTCGAAAAAACTCCGGTGACTGAGAGACGGCTGGATTACAACCAACTGTACTCAATGCTGCACGCCGCGTTCAAGACCGCTCCGGCCTACACCATATGCATTATGGACGAGGTGGACTACTTGAGCACGTACATTTACCCGTCTAAGGCGACCGGGCGCTCGAATTGGATGCTTCAGGCCATCATAGCGGCCAGCCACGCCCCCGGCAGCCGTGTGCTCATTATCGCTATTTCAAACAACCTCGAACTGGCTACGCTCATCACCGAGAAGCAGTGTCGCGTGATCAGGTTCAAGCCCTATAAGGAGCAACAAATCATCGCAATCATCAAGGGTAAATTGGCGAAGCTCGACGCACCCTATACGTCCGTGATCAACGACACGGCGATTCTGCTTTTGGCGAGACGCGTGGCCAACACTTCAGGCGACATTAGGGCGTGTCTGGACACATTCACGTAGGTCACATGTGCGTGAGCTTCACTGGATGCAGGCGGGCAATATCAAACTCTCTGTCTAACCTCGAGGAGGAGATTGACAGGCTGACATCATCATCATTAACTGATTACGCGACGTCTTCCGAGAATTCTACACCGGAGCGGTTTTCAGAGGAAGCTTCGACCCCAAAGCGCTGTTACGGCGATGAGAGCTCCGAGAACATAAAACTCAGCAGCTACCAGGTGGGACACAAGGACGTTGGCTCCTTAACACCGACACTATCACTGAGCAAGACGTCCCTCTTAACAATGAAGGTCAAGCCTCTACCGTTGATGCAGCTGCTGGCACTGCTGTCAGTGTGCAAATCGGCGCTCGACGAGGAAGCAGTTGTTCTCTCCTTCCGCAGCATCAAGGTGAGTTGTCTACACAGTTATGAGGTATTGTACTGTATTTGTAGCACGTAGATCATTTAAGAAATGATATTAACATTTGCGAGCGCATTATATGCGTCCAATCGTTCATTGATAATATTTATATTTGTTACTTTATTATCTGTACCAAATCATGGTGTTCTTTGTTTGCATACTTGACGGATACTCAGCGATCGTTGCTACACCTTGCGGACATGTTGGTGATGGACAAAGTCGACGTCGAAGACTTCTGCACCTCCAAATTTAGTGACGCAATAGACATATTCATGGAGCTTGGGATATTGAAGAAACCGTCTAATATTGAGACCACGGATGCAGACGAGGCGCCGGGGGATGAGCTCGTCTCCCTCTGCGTGGACGCCTCGACTCTTGTAAAAGTTGTTCTACCGATATCGCCGGCCTTTGTGGGCCTTGATCTGGAGTTCCCGGTCGATGAATGCTCCACATCACGGTACAGCAACATTGCAAAGAGCTTCAACATTCAGCCTCCTGCGAAGAAGTCTCGGCGAAAGCTGCGCTAAATCGCACCCTCTAACATAACGGCTGCAGTTGCGACATGCTGTGCTGCTGTTGTAAAATTTCGCTTTCAATTTTGCAATCTCTCCATATCCCTATTATCATTGCCGTAGTGCAGTTCATCTTCGAGAAACTGTTCGGCTCCCTCTTCGAGAGTAGCGTCGTATGTGCCGTCTATTGCGAAATGGTCGTCCAAATCATCAACTGGAAACTCTCCTAGAGCTCCAACCGAGGATGGACCGACTGCGATAGGTTCATCGTGTATCTCGTCTATGGCAAGCGTTGGCGAAAATACTGCCTGCAGGAATTCGTCTTGCGCCAAGGTGGCCACCGCCTGGATTACATGAAAACCTTTATCATCAAAATAACCTGTCCATCCAGCTTCATCAGCGCATCCGGGTCCATGCGTTCCAAATCCTCGCGTAATTTCTTCAGCCGGTGCCGGTTAAGCCTGCGGCGAATGCATGACCACCCCAGGGGACCAACCTGAATGACGTCTGCCACGTCGCCTTGGCAAAGTTTTGCCATAGCTGTGACGGAGGCTGGCACTTGATTTCTTCGAGCTCGAAGTAGGAGTTGATAAGGTGCTGCGATAAGCGTGAGCAGTGGAAGGTTGTCACGTACCTCGTTCATGCGAATCACTGCGGGGTGAATCAGAGCCTGCTTCATCTCCTCCAACACCAAGTAGCACTGATAGCGCATTACGCCGATGACTATATAACACTCACGCTGAGGCTAGGCTTGTGCGGGTTGAGAATGCAGTGGTGAGCCTTTAGTGTGTAGGTCACCTCGTCGAGGTTGAGGCGCTTCAGCCTTAGGCAATTAGACTCAACTATACCGCAACACATACCGCATTTCTCGCATCAGGCGCTCGAACTCGCTCCATTTGTGATTGCTGAGTGCGTGCCAAAGGCGGTGATAGTACGTTTGCTTCAGCTTCCATACCGGCCGTGCCGCGGCGTCCGCCATAGCGGCAAACGCGCGGGAAGCCACCATCGACACATCACATCGCAATCATTCGTTGATGTAGAACATAATGTCGGTGTCAAATGACGTGCATTGATGAAGAAGCTCGTCGCGTGCTTGGCCTTCGCGAGTCACTTGGGTGTTCCAGCGACCTTCCATGAACCGCACCGCAACTTCGTGAGCGATGACCAGCAGATTCGCAAGGTACTTGGATGTGAACAGCCATCGCCGGGTATGGATGATCGTAATGGCATCAATGCAGATGCAGGGGCAGGGGCAGACAACTTTTGGGACTACCAAGGCGTTGCCTTCGCAAAAGTCAACCTTACGCTACAGATCGACCCCGATGCTGAGGTGTCTGAGCCACTACTGAGGCTCTCCAGCCTCATGCACAAGGTCTCTTGGGGCGACTACATCTCCATTAAGCGCCTGAGAAGTGAAGAGGCCGCTGCTGCGGCAAGCAGCTTTGACGCCACCGATGATGGAGATGTGCTACTGGTCGCAGGCGAATCGCATCCGAGTAAGTGCCATTAGCGTATTTGTTCATCACATTACCAGGTGATGCCTTTCAGCCTCATACTAGAGTCCCATGCGACGACAGCAACATTGTCGCCAAGGCACTCCGGAAGGCACGAAAACCAGGTGAACGTTATGTGGTGCTGATGAGGAAGCGTGTGCCTCCGGGATCTGGTCTCGGAGGTGGTTCTGCAGACGCTGGATTTGTGTTGAGGGCGCTGCGCACCAAAATAAGCCCCAGCGACACCCTGGCACTTGGGTCGGACGTTGGGTTCATGGCTAACGATGGTTGGTTCAACATATCTTATACTGATGGTATAATGATGCAGCTGATGTCGCCTTAGTAACGGGGAAGGGAGAAGATGTTGCTCCCATAGACCCTCTGGACTACGAAGGTCACATTTACATACTGGTGCCTGACGAGCACGTTAGCACCGCGGAGGTTTTTAAAAGAGCGCGAGAACTTTTGCCAACTGGATCGTTAACAACTCCGCGGCTGAGTTACCAGGACATTGCGAAGTCAGTGGCGAACTTCCACAGTTTCCGCCCATTCAACGTGTTGGAGCGCTGCGTTCAAAATGACGGGGTTAAGCTCCTTTTGGAAACATTAAGAAGCACTGTTCCTTCCTCTAGGTTCTGCATGTCCGGCAGTGGCGGAGCGTGCTACGTGCTCGACGCCAATGACGACGATATGGTGAGCGTTCGTGAGCGCTACGGCCGCAATCTGCTGATTGTCAAGGCCAGGCTCAAGCGTCCACATGACAACGACGCCGACTTCAGCTATCTATAGGTATATCTTCCAAGAAATACTCGTGTTCCACAATTTCTTCCTTCGGTTTTCTGCATGGAATGAAGCAGCTGCCATCGAATGCAACTTGAAATACGGTCACGGTTTAATTCAGACACTATCGCACCCTTGGATATACGTAGTTATCAGAACATCAGATTGAGAAAAAAAACACGTTGAGTAACACAAACATTGTCTAATACAAATGGGCGCGCAACGTGGCAGTTTGCATTGATGTACACTCCAACAAGTTTGCGTGTTTCTCCGCCGCCCAGGTCATTTACAAAAATTGGATTTAATCACTTACTTCGGCTTCAGATTTGCATACCCAGCGAACAGTTTTGGGTTGTTGAGGTTAAGGTTGAAGCGTCGCGCCGCCTCCTCGAGACCAAACCGCTTGATCGTCTTCAGCCCCTTCATCGACAGGCGAAGGCGCACGTAGTGCCCTTTGGAAATGCACCATATTCGTTTCCACTGCAAGTTGACCTTCTGCGCTCGATGAGTGCGCTTTCCGGAGTGGCTGATGCTTCGAGCCTTGGTGTTGTCCATCTTGCCCAGCAGCATACACCTGCATACATTGGAATCCAGCATGTCACGCCTACCTCCTGGCTGGAAGAGCAATCCGCTTGGTGGGCATACCGCTGACCTTGTGCAGCCTCGGGATGCCTCCACCGCGTCCCACGATGCGATAGTGTTTTATTTGGGACGATCGTCCCACAGTGCGGAACTTCTTTCCCTGGCGAACATGTGCAGCAGAAGGCAACGACATACCACTCGTGCTTCCTTGTGACGCTTCTCCGAATATATGACAAACGGCCGACACAATCCATCTATAAGAGCTAATAAACTGGCCGGAATGACCTACCTGCAGTCCGTGAGATAGACAAGTCCCGTGGAGCCGCGGTATTCTGCGCCAGCTGTGCTATGTCAGATTCTCACCAACCTGGCGAAAGCACGATATATTTGTTGCGATAAATAGAAGCCAGACGCATAGCGTCAGCAGACTATGTGTCAAGCACATTTACTTGCTGCATAATGTCTACTCCGCCGATGGTTGATACGCGGGTCGGACAAACGCAGGACTTGCAGGCTTTGAGTATACGCTAGGTGGTTTTTTAATACACCGGTAAACGATGTGAAGTGCAGATAGAATATATCATGATATCGAAGCGCCGAACAGGGATACGGCAGGGTGTGACACAGCGCATACACGCAACACGGTCCGTTTGTTCGCTCTTATTGACATCCTTCTGGAATGGAATTTGACGTCGCAATGTGTGAGTGATAGTGCAGAAAAACTGCGAACATCATCCCCCAACTACATAAAAATCCAACCCCGTTAATGGCGACGCGCGAGCCAAAAGTGAGTCTGCGCGATCACATTTATTTATCGCTGCTTTTTCCGCCGTTTAGCGACATATACGCACGTGGCGGACAAAGCACGTCTAAAGCATAATCAGCCCACCGGGCGTACACATAAACCGGTCGTCAACGCAAGCTACAACCGGGGACAGCCTAGCTGCTCTCCAGTTTACACCTTCAATAATCTCTAGATTCGGGCTCGAACGCCTCGTTATATCGGGAAATCCACCCTTTCCCGCAGTTCTGTCCTGCAGCGACTGGAAGGTGTCTTCATCTGGAACTTCAGTGAATCTTCACAATGTCGAGCTTTAACAACAGATTCGCTAGGCGTAAGTGAAGTTGTAAGTAAGCTTTATGACACCAGAGAAATCGCTCCCCAAGCCCAACTACACTTTGCATGAGCTGGACTACTCCTACTTCTTGACGCTATGGATCATGACCAACGTCTGCCTCGTCGTCTCCGGCGCAGCTGGCATCGTATTCATGCGACGTACGCTCAAGATCGAGACCTTTACTGAAATATTCGTCTGCATGACGAAGCTCGTCAAGAATCCTGAGCAGTACAAGGATGTCGCGGCTACGTTGTTGGCAAACGCACCACCGTCCATATCGCAAGCTGGCTTAGTGTACTTCGCGATGTACTTCGCCTTTGTTGCCGTTCTTTGGGTTTACATGAACTTGTAGGTTTCTACTTCGAAACGTGTCTACACCGGTGACTGTTCCGTGTTATCGTGTCGCCCCCCCGTGCCATTAATTTTGGCCCGTATTCCACCGCATTCTATAAATGTGCGTACACATTGTGTGTTAGCATGTGCTGCTCTAGTGGTTAAGAGTCACTAGTGGCAGCGGTGGCACTGCGTTATGTTTTATTGCACGAATGCGGTGTACCCCTGTTCTCCATTGATAGAACAATTCATCCCAACACCACAAATCCCCCGCAGACGAATGGTCAAACAAAGTATCATGCGCCTTTTTAAAAAAGACAAGAAGAACTGAACAACCACATTACTCGCAGTTTGTTAAAACCCCCACACTAAACCTTCGCCTTTCGGCGCTCTCCCCTGTTCAGGGCGTGGAACCCGCTCTTAATCGGGTTCACAGACCTGCATGACAGTGTAACACATTGGTCGCTGTACTCACCTATTGGCTCCGCAGGCCTCGCAGTGCTGCGTGAAGAGCCTGGCGCGAGAGTCGCGCTCCATGGTGGTGTTGGGACTCTTGCACATGGAGCACGTGACGTACTCCGCTGAAAAACGTGTTGAATTTGGTTTTAATGCACATACTAATATACTTCCGCAGAAGGCTCTCGATGTTCTTGGGGCCGTACTTGCCCTTCAGAACCAGCTGCCCATCACCAGCGATTGATCCCTCGGTACCCAGCTCCGATAGCACAAACTGGTGCACGTGGTCCATGCTACGTCCCATGCTGAGAAAACTGATTGGACACAACAACAAACATACACGTTGCACAGGTCCTTGAAGTTGATCCATGCCACCTTCTTTGAGCCGACGCGGACCACCTGAGGAGGTCTGATGGTGTAGCGCTTGCTCCCAGCAAGATCAGGGTTGTGAGCGTTAATGAGCGTTTGAATGCGCGTCAGCAGCTGCACCGATATGTGTTCATAACGCAGTGACCTATCCCACCTCTTCGTACGGGTACACGTGTCCCTTGACAAAAACCTGGCCGGTGCCGTCGATGAACTCAGCTTTTGCCGCCTCTGAAGAGAGGATATACAGGTGCAATGAACCGCCTACCGCTGACTACCGGAGCCTTCTTCTTCTTCTTTTCACCGAAGTCGTACTTCGGCGCATCCTCTGCCGCCGAGGGTACGGAGCCATCCGGGCCTGTCACATTGGTTTCCGAGCTGCCAATGCCGTCGGAAATCATGCCGTTCGACGTGGCGGCTTCGGCAGAGTCCTGAGCCGCGGACGAGCCGAAAGATTCCGATAGGCCGTCCTGCGTCGCGTCAATCATTTCGAGCAAGGCGCCGAACGTACCTCGCGCTTAACATACATGCTGTCATCCATTCTGAAATGCTAAATGTGCAAGCCCAAACGGCGTCAGTGAAGCCCCCTGCAGCGCAGCGGGTGGGGAAGTGTGCGAGCGTGCCCTTACGGAATCACCGTAGCGGAATCATGACAACACATTACATTAAACATGTGAAACCTAATGTTCGCTAACACTGGCTCGTGTGAATCAGGTTAACCCTTGCCGCGAGCAATGCTCCTGCGATACTATATGCTCAGGTTGCTGATGTCCACTGTATCCAGCTCGTCCTCACCGCGGCGGTACTGCTCGCCGTTAGGCAGCACGTTCCCGGTGGTGAGCGAGAGCTCGTTGGCGCGGATGATAGCGTCCATGTCTTCTTCCTCCTCGTAGTCGAGGTCAGCAGCAGCGCTGTCGTCGTCCATGAACAGGCTCGGGTTGAACGTGAACAGGTCCTTGCCGGTGAGGTGGACCTGTCCTCCCTTCTGTATGGTATCGTTGATCTCGTCCAGACGGCCCTGTTCGCGGCTGGCGCGCCACCTGGCCAGTGACTCCGCAGTCACCATCTCGCCGCCGGGCGGGAGTTCAGCACGCTGCACAAACGTTACGACGGACGCATACAACAGTACCTGGCGTTCGATGCGCTCTTCAAGAGTCTCATCATCGTCATCCACTTCCTTGGGCACGTCGCTCTTTAGCACGAAACCTGCGGCATATGACTAGCATTACGACATAACTCACCTGGAGGCAGACAGTGGCGGTACTTGCACTTGTCGCCGCCGTTGGGGCACGTCCAGAACCACCCGTATTTTCTGGTTTCCACCGCCGTCAGGAAGTGCTTGCAAATGATGTCGGTCGTGCACGAGTCGCCGGCGTGCTTCTCGTTGACGACCTTCTCAAGCATGTTGAGATCCCAAGTGGACATGTCGTCTCCTGAAGCACATTTAACTTAAATCGCAATTAACGCACCATCTTCGGATTTCTGCAAACGAGGATCGCTGTAAAGGTCGATCTTCTGGTCGTCACGGCTCTGCTTAGGGTCATAAGCCGGCTTGCTGCCATCGACGACAACATGCTTGATGTTCTCGGTACCTGCTCCTATTATACGCCACTAAACGCCACCATACCCTTGAACAGTGACGCCAATAGAGTTTGCTGCTGCGAAAGCTTCTGCTTTTCGGCCTTTGCCTTGTTCTGCTCGGTGAGCAGCTTGTCGTTGCTCGCAACCTTCCCGGTGACCTGCTGCTGGACACTTTTAATGAATCTGAATTAAATTTAAATACATCCATGTGAAAACGTACTTTTGTACCGATTTTGACTTATTCTTGTTCTTCAAACCGAACGTTTTGTCTTCCACGATCTTCTGCTTTTGCTTCTCAAGGGCCTTCTGCTGCGCCCGGTCCTGCTTAGAACCTGCCCCTGCCATGTTGCAGATTGGATATGCAGCGACACCATCACAAATTGGCACAATACCGACGGGAGGGATCACGAAAACGACGGCCGATGGGGAGCGACCCACCGCGTTATGCTACGCACACTTGCGTTACAGATAATGGTTTTGGAGCATCTGTACGACTTTTACAATTCCGTAGAATGAGCACGCTTGTAGTTGCCGTCTGTATTAATAAGGGAGGGTAAATGGCGACTCGTCCGCTCACGCCTCGGAACACTGTCCTGATTTGAGGTGTAAACAGACATTATCGACCTATATCAATAAACAGCTGATTTATAGGCTTGTGTTGTTCAACAATATTCTATTTCTAGCCGATTTGATATATTAATCTACGCGTTGTGATCTCTATAATATAGTCATGGATTCCCCTTGAGGTAGCACGAAATCCACAAATTCACGTCTTAACTGCATCATTAGCAGCTTCTCAGCTGCTGTTGTTATGATAGAGGTCAAATTAACTTACGAAAGGCATTGAAATGAGCATTAGACACATCTACAGCATCTATACTCTGTCACTATGGTAATCCCATCATCAAGAAATAGATCTGCGACGGCGCGTCAGCACCAAACTGGTCAACTGCGGAACGTAATAACATTGCGTACAATACGCAACCAACGTGGTGAACTACATAATTGATTCATAGCAATGTTCAACAACAGATGCTGTTGATTGCAACGATATTGTTGCTGTATGACAGACTATTTGTCGTCCGAAGCAGTGAGAGGAGCGCTAGCGTCGGTGTCAGCTTTGCGGCTCCGCGACTGCTCATAGGTCTCTAGCCTGAACTGAGGATTCTTCATCATGCGATATATGAGGTTTATGTTGCGGATGTCCTCGCCATTCTTCACTATCACCCAACACGACGTGTTGTCAATGACGCTGACGGAAACCCACAGCGGTGACCACACCTTCATGATATCCCACTTCTTCCACGAGTTAGGGTATCCCGTCATTAGAAAGTAACGATCCATGTCACCCTCGCGGTTAGTCGACAAGTTTATCGCATTTGGTTGCGATTTCACTAGGCGAATGCAATTGGTTGACGATCCAATATGCTCAAGTAGCCCCAGCGTGTTGAGGGACCCATCAGGTGAAGATGTATACAACTTATCCCAGTTAACGTGCTTGGCCCGGAGAATGCGACCGGCCTGCAAAACGAACAATACACATGTCATGAAACTGTCGTATCCCGCGTCGTGAGACTGCATTACTGTCGCACCTACATCAGCTGCTTTGAAGGAGTCTGCAGAAATCTCCGCCGGTCTCTTGGTTTTCGCCAACAGCGGAAGCACTGCAGGGGGCAGAACCCAGGACGTGCCTGGAAGAGGGTGAACCGAGAAAGTTGTCCCTCCGGGTAGAGTTGGCTCCGTCGCGCACATGTGGTCGAACAGGCCCTTTAGGGTTGAGGACTGCTGAGGCGCCGCTACGACATCGTGGAACTCGGCGATGTATTTTGTGTCGAGGGTGTTGCGGAACTTATCAGTCCACCGCTTGCGGAAATCCTCCACTGATTCCGGCAGCTCGCCATAGAAGGTCTGGTAGATGTGCAGCATGTCGTAGAAACAGTTGTGGCCCACAAGGATCTTCCCGTGCTTGGATATCTCGTCGAAGAGCAATCTCACACCTATATCCTCGTCGATGCGTGAGAGCTCAGCCTCGAGTGTCAGCTTTTGCTGTTTATACAACTCGACCTGCGATTTGTAGATGCAGATCACCTTCTCGTCACCCCGGCGGGCGGAATGGCTGTAGACCTCAGGGAACTGCTGGCCTATGATGGTATGCATCAACAGACGCTGGAATGCACTGTCCAGTTCAATTTCTAGTGGATCAGCATCTCCTTTGCTAATCCATTGTTTAATGCGACCGATCACGTCCTCGGCAACCGATCGGTCCTCCGCCGTCAGGGAGGATAAGTCGAATTCGATGGCTGCCGCTGGTGGACCCGGAGGTACATTGTTCACCAGCTGTTCAAGCTCCTTTATGCGCAGCTCAATGCTGGCCTTGCGATCTCGCTCCTCAGATGGCGTGAGGTGCTCCACCCCGTACCGGATCCAACTGTTGAAGTCGAAGTTGTTGTCCTTGAGGAACTGCAGCGTGCTGGTGCTCACCTGGAAGAACTTGTTTGACGATGGGATGGTATAGACAGAAGTAGGTGTTATCTTCCACAGTCCTTTACCCACATACTTGGCCGCAGTTAGACCTATTTGGCAGGGCACGAACTGCTTGGCGCCAGAAGCATGCGCTTCGTAACATTTTTCCAAACCCACAAATCGGTCATCCTTCAGATGTAAACCTGTGTATTCTACGTCTATAGCCACGAAATCGCACTCCCTGAGGGCTGCTCGAGCCTCCTGCAGGTGGTCCTTCCACGTCAACCTAGAAGTGGCTGCGCTGGAGAAACCTCGCCTCATCCCATCGTCACTTTTTGTGCGATATGCGGCAGTTGGAAAGTATCTCTGACGTTTAAACAACGCTCCGTTGTTTGGATTTGAAGATGTGTTGCCATCACTCGGGATGCTGTAACAGCGTCCTTGACGGCAGAATCCCGCAGTAAACGCAGCAGATGGCGAAGAATCCCACCAATGGAGACGTCTTATGGTATTTATGTTGCGATAAGGGTGAAGTTGGACGCAGTAAGCTCCGGTTGCGCCGGTTGCCAGGACCTTCGCCGAGGCATACATCTCTCAGCGCCCTTACTCCGGCCTTCTATATGCCCAGAACAACCTAATGAGCCAACGCCCAAACTACCATTATGAGTACATTTATGAGAATTTATGTATAGATGTAATATATCAAATCGCGGTCGTTAACATGGAACATAGGCGACTACACCCCCTGGTGCGGCCGTTGATGAGGAAGGATAGACCACGCTGGTATTACACACCAGGGTTATCTGCCGTGAAAAGTAAATGTATACATTCTAGTAAACGCACATTAAGTCGAAAAGCATAATGTGACCCGCCCCTTCTTAGTGTGTCTAAACGCAGATAGGTCATAATGTAATAGAATTATAGGATGTTCCACGACATTCTAATGGCCCTGGCGGGCCACCCAGGGGAGGTAATAGTAGAATCATCAGGAGAAGGCGGTGGATTCGCCGTTGCCGATGGTTGCAAAGGGGTATCTCAGGCCGAATGCAGTGTCATCAACTCGATAGTGGCAATCGGTTACCAATACAGACGGTTGGAAGATTTTGTGAGATCAGTCAAGGATGGTGAGCACAACTACATGGTATCATTACTTTTGGGTGATGATGGAACGTATCGCAAAAAGTGCAAAAGCGCCAAAGTACGTGATTCAAGAAGCAGCAACGCCCAGGCTACAGGTGCTTCAGAATGCCTACCAGAATACCGTGGGAACTACCTGAGCGCAATGTGCACCGGTATCGAGGAGTATCTTGGAGCGTATAGGTCCCACCTGGTTACAGTCGAAAAGACTATCCTGGCGGACCCGTGCCTGCCGCTTAGCACACTGTCGCTGATCATGGGCGAGCAGAAGGAAATAATAGAAGCATTGACTTACATTGTGCGACTATACCGTGAAACGGTTCGACGGAAAGTTGAAATCGGCAGACACGGAGTTCTACGCGTTGATGAGATCCTGTGCATGCTGCAGTCAACGGGTGGCAGTGCAACTTTACGGAAAGTGAGGCGCACCCTTTACAACAAGTGCCTCAACCTCTTCAAAAGGCAGCTGAAAAGGTGGATTTGTCGTGGACAGCTTTCAAACCCTTATGACGAATTTTTGGTATGCCGCAGGAGAACCACCCCTGATATGGATGGATCTGGGAACTATAGACCGCATGGCGATATAAACAACGCCTTTGGTTATGAACATTTACATCAGCATGTGAGTGATAAATCTGCTGAATTTGAGTGGACGTTTGTTTTCTACCTGAATACGAGGGAGCCGTGCTGGCCTATATGCTCGTATCAGGCGTGGAAAACCATACTCTTTCTGGGAAAAGCTGTTCGCATGCTCATTCGCCGATACAGCAACGAAAACCAATTGGAAGCACAGTGTCGCCATCTTTTCGATGATTGGGATAATGTATGTGATTCCGCTGCAGCATTCGAAGAAGCCATAGAAAAATATCGCATTTGGGTTGCCCGGGCATTCTGGATATGTGTTAACGAAACTGTAGATATCGGTGCCTTGATTGACAGTTTCAGGCATGTATACTTCCTAGGTAACCACGACCTCTACGACGATCTTTTGGAGAGAGCTTGGTTCACTATGCAAACGCCGTGTAACCTGGCGTCATGCACCGATGTAACACATAAAGTGCGTAATATGATGTCGTATAAATTCGATAGCGCACCAACTCATCGCACAAACAAGCCTGTCGCAGATTTGGTTAACACCGATGCAGCCGGTATATACGGTCGTCACAAGGCGAATCACGAGGATGCATTCGCCATCACTCAAGGCGGCAGTGGTGAACATAGCCAAGCGACTAGACCGATCTTCGATTTCCGGCAACGGACATATCACTTCAACATGAAACGCCGACGATTCATCCGCTGCAGAGACGCAGCGTAAGTGAATATCGCTTTTCAACACCATACATATCCGTGCAGGTGGATCGACAACGAGCTCGTATTGAATGTCAGCGAAAAGCGATTGGAGGAGCCCATGTCTAGATCATCTGAAGCGTCAGCTGTTTGGTTCGAAAATCGCGTACATGTGGCCAACGGGTTCGAATGTGGGTTGCGGCTGGAACTAAGCCAGCTGGAAGCAGCCTACATGTATAGCGAGGAGAAAATGCGCGGCATGACCTTAGGCAGGTTCTGCACGTTTGCGCTGGTAGTACAGTGCAAGGTCGACCCCGTGCGGCTCAGTTCCACCGCGCTTGATCAGGGATTGCCGGCATTGCTAAAGGACTATTTTGCCGTTGAGTTCGTCGTGGACTATGACAATGTTGGGAGTGACGATGATTCAATACTGGTAAATGGTGCTGTGAAACTTGTAGGCGAGTGCGTGTCGGCATTCGTCGGCGGGCCTAATGTGGGCGAAACGGGAACTGGGGTGTTATGCGTCAACAGTGGCCAACATAAGTTTAATTTAACGGATGGGAGCAGGAAGGATTTTCAATTTATCGCAAGGCTAAAAATGACACAGAAACGGCTCTACGCAGAACTCCAGCACCTGGCATCGGGTGATAGCCTGATCATGGAGACCGACGTGCTGGACACGTCCCACCTGCTTCCTCACGAATTCGGCGACGCGTATCTGGGACTCATGTCTTACAGCGATATTGTAGCCAATGATCCTGCAAAATCGAGTATATCAAAACGGAACTGTGCGATCCGGGTTTCTGATTGGGACTACCTTGGGTGCATGGCAATGTACGACATTGTCCCCCTCGGCGAACTGGATAGTACTCCTACCCACGAAGCTTTCCATAACGAGCTGCCGGGGCTACGAATGCTAGAGTTCGAAAGTGGCATAAACGACTGGATTCACTCCAACATGGCATATTGCTGCACATGGCCTGTCACCATACTTCTGGATTTGTCAACAATGCTCTGCTACAATAGCGTGTTCCAGTTTATATTATTGATTCGGTAAGTTTTGGCCGACTTTAAAAAATGTTTCGCAGTCGCTGCGTCTATGGTCTCGAGAACCTGTGCCACCTCTACCCACTGATGAGGAGATTCGGAGTCGATGGGAAGGCCTCCAAGTTGCCTTCCATCTGCTGCAGAGTCACTTGTATGCGATGGCGTATGTACGTGTTCATGGTTACCCTGCAGTCCTACATTCAACAGTGCGTCGTGGAGGGGTCTTGCAGACAGATGCGCGCCGTCCTGGAGCACACCGATACGTTCCACGAGATAAAATCGGCACATGACCAGTACCTGTCGCACGTCGCCATAAACTGCTTCCTTGACCAGCGTTCCGTCTTGGAGCCGCTGCTGCACTGCGCAGACGCCTCCCTGAAGTTCGCCACTCTCTTCTATTGTGCATTCAACGGCAGCAGCGATGTCGACTACGGAGTTGTGGTGCCAAAACTGGGCGAATTCAGTGCTATTTTTGAGCACAACATGGCACTTGTTTACGAGAGGCTCCTGTTGCTTTCAAACGACGCCAAATACAGCGCTCTCGGTACGTTTGTAGAAATGTGCAGTTTCGCACGAGATCGATGAATAGCATCCGCAATTCATGGTCAGCATTTTTCGCTAACGAAGTAAATTATCGGACGCATTGGCTCCGTATTCACAATACGTTGCAAACTGGCATCCGATTTGCCAAGCAACATAAACCGGTTAATAAAAATCCTCATAAACGTGTATCCACAGTGCACAGTACCTGAATAGCTCAAATCACATCTTGCGATGACTCCACTTTACGGCTTTTTTGCTCCACTAGGAAGTAAGCGGCACCGTGGCCCCTGGCAGCAGTCGGATGCTGACAGGCAGTAGGTCCTCGTCAGCTACGCCATGCGCATTGGCACCGTCAAGAGACTTACCCATTGCTTCTCTTGATGCAGGCCTAGTTCCGTCCGTTTGCATGCCTCCCGCGCTGGAGCCCGAACGCCTGCGGATCCTCTCGCGTCTCATCAGCCAAAGGAAGGGGGCGATCATCACAAATCTTATGATGATGAAAGCGGTCTGCCAGGCATTCATGCCTCCGTACGTCGCAATCAGGTAGTTGATCAGCGGGTTTATGGCCAGCGATAAGCCTGCGACCGTCGTCAGGTAGCCCTTCATACTGCCGGAATACTTGATGTCCACGATGTGCTCGAGGCAGATGAAGAAGAACGTAATGAAGCCACTGAACGTGACCGAGATGCAAATGCTCGCAAATATACTCGTAACAGTCTCGTTGCTGAGCAAGAACGCGTGCATCGCCATGGAGACGATGTTGAGGCCCAACATCACCACAACCACGCCGTACCTGTTGATCACCCACATAAAAACGAGCGAAAAGACGAACGATACTGGAAGCATGATACCGTTGAAGTTCTCAGCAATGGTGTTGTTGATGTAAATCTGCGTGAACGATTCCTGAGCGAATGTCAGCGAAATGCAGTTCAGGATGAAGACCACACTGAGCACCAATATCTCGGGATGAATGATGTATCCCAAGAAAGTCTTAAAGTTCCAAGAAGAGTCGTCTGGCGCATCCTCCTTCACCTGCATCTCCTGGTTCTTCTCTGCCATCGCAGGGGTCATGTTCGAGGCTATGTCCCGCGCGGTGTCGTTAGGGAAAATCACCACGGATATAACCAACCATGGCAGATGCGTGATAAGCAGCTTCACGAAAACAAACACTGGCAAGTTCGCGTCGGGCATCAGCGACATGATGAGGTTCATGATTGGGACGTAGAAGCAACCTATCGACAAGCATGCAGATATGATGCACATCGCCATGTCCTGGTACGCCGGCCAGTAACGGGCGGCCGTGTAGACGGGGAACGCCACCGCGTTAACCGTGAGACCACAGAGAATGCACGCCACAATCATGAGCGAGTTGTAGTGTGGCATGTACGCCAGCAACATCCATGACGCAATACGCAGCAAGATGGCGGTGATGATGCAGATCTTCGGGCCCAAAAGATCCATATACACTCCAGTGCCGATGCTGGTGACGAACTCCGAGATGCGGAAGACGCTCAGAAGCCCGCTCAACTTCTTCAGCTGCTCTTCACACTGCTCCTGAGGCTGAGCTTGAGACTCGCCTGCTGCGACGGGCGGCGGGCAGGAATCCTTGTAAACTCCGAAACGCACAAGCATGGTCGTCGTTGCGCTCCATGAGTCGTAATAGGCGCTCACGAAGACGGTAACGGCGGCATAAAGCGCTAGCCTAACCGACCAACGTATCTTCATTTTGGCAAAATGTTGGTCGGAGTAGTGAACCCTGGGTTTTGAAAAATAAGGCCGCTAATTTAAATAATTAGCAGCCACATGCCCTTTAAAAATATTGATGGGTTGTTTTATGGGAAGAGTATTGAAACCACCGTGTGGCGAGGAAAATTCCGGCAACAGCGCGCTGCCCCTGTTAAAGCAGCAGTCGCTCGGCTTCGCCCGACGGATGTCACTGAAACAATAACCGGCAAGAAAATTCTGGATATATGAAACATACTACTTTAATTAACTGCCGCTGCGCATCGCTGTTTCTGTTGCAGGTGGTGTGTCGCAGACCGCTGCACTAATATGGACCAATGTGTCTAGGCTACGCGTTCTGTAGCGCGTAAATGGTGAAATCGAACAATATGTGCGATAAATAACTTACCTTTCCGTCAGCCGCCTACGTGGCGCTACGTTCGGCCAAGCGGTTTCATGACACGCTCGCCATGCGGTCCCGGCTCAAAACGCTAAAGCCACTTGCTTTGCTTTTTACACGTTTCACCCTTAAGCTCTTATAGAGGAAGAAACAGTATGGTATCAGGAACAGGAACCGCAATCCCGCCATAATGCTTGTCGTCACCAAAATTTCCGTCTCGCTCGTCATTGATTCCAGTATAAGCGCCTGCGAAAGCATCCATATCCCGCACATCGTGTTAAGGGCACCGACGATGGAGCCCATGTACGTAGCGTCGAAAATGCTGTCCAGGTAGTTGTAGACCTGGGTGTTGATGATGCTGTACGTAGTCACTAGAGAAAGAGAGAGGAAGATCCCAGCGTAGTAATTCGAGGTCGTTAGCAGCAGGTGCGTCACCATCCCCATCGCGTTCATGGCTATCAGTATCCAGATGGGATTGATGTACATGTACAGCACAGCAAATATCACGCAGGGCACCGCAGCGAGCTGGATCACATATTCACTCCACGTGATCAAATACGGGTTGTCCTTGTGCATCAGGGTGAACGTCTGCTGCACGTAGGTGATGCTGCTGAAGTTGAAGGCGAAATAAAACAACGACACGACGACCTCCTTGCGACATAGCGTGCGCAGCAATCCCCTCACAGTCCACTTGGTCTCCACAGTGTCATCTGAGAGGGTCCTCTCAGCATCGTGTTCGGCACCATCACTGTCCAAATCACATGTCTGCATCACGTCGTCCAAAATTGCGTTTATCGATGCGCCATCAACAGCGCTTGCGTCGTGGACGTCGTCCCCTACCTTCGGCACGGATGCTTCGTCTGTGGACGGTGTGGGCAAGCTGAGATTTTCCAATCTGGCAGGCATGAACACGACGGCCAACAGCAGCGATGGGAGGATAAACACTATCGTGTACAAGTAATTCACCTGATGCGCGGTGAGCAATCCGTACTCCAGCATCATCAACTTGAGCTTCATCAGCATCGAGGCAGGGCTCCCCAACATGCCAATGACGAGCACCAACACATATCGGAACCGCTCATTGTACATTCCAATGGTCAACGCAGGGAAAACGATGAAATTCGTAGACAATCCGGTGATGAAGAATGCCGCAATCAACCCACCTTTAGCATTTACCGCGAAACCCATCAAGGTCCATCCGACGATGCGCAATATTATCCCAATTACCGTCGTCAGCCGCGGGCCGAAAAAGTCCATGAAAATGCCAATCACCACACTCAGGAAGCACTCGGCAACACGGCTGATGGGTAGCAACAAGCTCAGCTTTTGGCGTTGCTCCTCGCAGTGCCATGTGTCTTGCACCACCGTCTCCGGTGGGATTGTGGCGCATGTTTCGATGTACGCACGTTGTCGGTACAAGTACTTCTCAGTGCTGCTCCAATTGTCGTAGAATGGGCCGACGAATGTGGCGATGACACTGTAGATTAGCAGTCGTGTAATCCAGTGCACCTTCATTGTAGTATACAGGGGCGGCAGACACTATAATCAAGCACCCACCAACACGTTAAATTCAAAATATTTTCTGCCTCGATGTTACTCAAGGTTACAACCGCAAATATACGATAATTAGCGATCAATTTTGCCCTCTGTCAAGAGGAAACAGCTTTACCCAGCATTAGCAGCGATGGATCAGGCAGACGCCAGACACGCACCTCGCCATCCGATCCGCCAGTCACGACCAATCCTTCGGGTTCCAAGACGCGTAGCACGTGAACTTGCTGCAGTCATGTCAACTGTGTAACGTTACTACGTACCGCGTGGCGATGCGCGTACCAAGAGTACAGCATCACACCCTTGGCAACACACCAAATGGCGACGACTTCCTGTACACATTAATCGACACACATCGGAACTTACATCGTAAGCTACCAAAAGCTGCTTGGCTTGCGGGCGAAGCGCAATATCGTAAACCTGGTACGTCGAAAAACTGCTGGTGCTGCTGTTCACCGAGAACTGCGCGGAACGAATGGACATAGGGAATGAGATTGTGCCGTTGTACGGCTGCGATTCGGCAGGCGCCGTCGGTGCCGGTTCCTTTTGATGACCGATCCCGGTCATCTCCCTGGCGACGGGAGCGGAGGCCGATCCCTTAGGTCTCTTCAACTCGCGAATAGTTTCCACAGGCGAACGCGAGTACCTGTAACACGAGACGCAGTTCCCGTGTGCCACGAAAAGATTGCTTGGGGTACAGTGGATTTTCCTGATGTTCATCGGCGCCGGTACTTCGCAGCAGTCGACGAACACGGGGACGTCGTCCATCATGTAATACGTGTAAATCTGGTTGTTCGACGTTCCTGCGCAGCATAGACGATAAATTCAACATTTAATTCACCTATGAACATCGTTCGTGGTGATGCAGCAGCAGAAGCAAGCAACTTATCGCCGTTCAGACGCTTGGTTAGCTTCCCTCCACTCACGGTCTTCGGGAGCGTAGCGTCAAAGCACCTAATGGTGTCATCGTATCCGCTCGTGAACCCGAGGTGTTTGACCATGTCAAACGACACTATTGGTCCCGAGTGCAGAGCTATACTGCCTATGCTTTCAAACTCTGTCCAGTCGTTCTCCATGCGATACATCCCCACATAGCCATCATCCTTGGCAACAACCAGAGTCGCAGACTCCCGCACATACTTGATTGCTCGTATCTTGCTGTGGAACAGGTGTTCCGCAATCTGGGTCGCTCCGTCTGTGATGTTGGCGCCTGCTCACCGTAAGCCACACACAGCTCAACCATACCCATTTTGAACACGCGAATTGCTCCCAGAATATCCGGCTCGATGATGGACCACATGCGACCGATCTTGCTTAATGCAGTTTTCTCCTACGGCCTCTGACTATCACGAGGTGAATAACAAACCTCGTATGCAACTATCAAAATCTTCTCATTTTCCAGGTACACTAAATCCGAAACGGAGAGGTGACAGGCGGGAGTCGAAGTCAGTCGCGTCGCCTAAAACGAGATTGCGACAACTGCGACGATCACTATAACTTACAAAAACTTGTGTCGGGGGTGTTTGCAAGTGGCGCAGCAGATCACAAAAAATTAATACATCCATGCATGACCTGGTGTCTGGACGACGCAAAACCTCCTGCAAGATACATAATTAGGGCGTAAAAAAAACTCTGCATGCATATGCCACGTTATATTACCTGTATGAACTTCTGGAGTACCTCTTCGGAATTATACGCATCGCCCATAGGGTCTATACCGCCGGAAAGCTGAAGGTCAGGTAGTAGCGGCACATCGGTAAACTCTTGAAAGACAAGGCTCTCCTGCAGTTGTTCGAAGTCGGAGAAGCTCTTGTCGACTGTAGAATATAATGGCGATGTAAAGATGACGCAACCTACTGTTCCATTCTGCCTGCATATACTTCATGTGTAGGTTGTACGTGAAGAGGCAACGGCTGGTTCGCTGCACGGAGCAGCTCAGCGATGAGACATCCATGGTTACACGCTATATCGGTCCGATGTGTAAGCTCTACGACGCAATCGGCACAGCCGACTCCTGTGTGGGTACGGGCCGCGATCCAAGGGCAGTGACATCAACGCGCCACCATTAGTGGGCAATTACACCTCATTTGGCGGAATCTCATTTTATGAAGCAAGGTTTCAGCTTGTGAGATGAGCGGAATGGAAGGATCCGACGCAATGGAAACTCCCGGTGACACGGAGGTATGGAAACTGTCTGATGACGTCGAAATTTTGCAGATGGCTGACGAAAGTCAGGATGTCGTATCTGAAACCGAATCCGGAAATAAGAAGGCACCGCTGGTATGGACGAAAGACATTCGACCTCTCAAAGAAGGTTGGTAAACGTGCTAGCTGCTTAATGGGAGTGTGGTAACGCCTAGGAATAAAATATACACGGTGACGATCAGCTGCTGTATGCCTCTCTATAATACTCCAGTTTCATGGGTTCGCCAATGTTTTGTTCACCAATTACGTAATTGAACTGATGATGTGCTATTGTAGCTTGAAGCGCATTGGTGGTGATTTTGTTTGTGTACGGTTTATACATTCAATCCTCACTGTTGTTAATCGCTCATGAAATTTGCAGGGGAGGTGCTAGAAGTCGCTCCTGGCTGTTACGATATGCTTCACACCATCACCGTGGATTGGCCCTGCCTTTCGTTCGATATCATGGCCGATGACCTGGGAGCGTGCCGAGTGCAATTCCCCCATCAGTGCTACGTTATCGCAGGAACACAGCCAGACGATAAATCGAAGAAGGAGGCGGCCATTCACGTCATGAAGTGGTCAAACCTTTCGAACAACGAAGGCATGGACTATTCAGAGGATGAAAGTGACGAGGAAGACACCTCATGCGTGCTGAAATCCAGCAGCATGCGGCATCCGGGAATCGTAAATCGCATCAGGTGCTGCCCGCAATCCAACAGGCTGGTTTGCACTATGGCCGACACCGGCAAGGCACATATCTGGGACGTCGACGCGCACCGCGCAAGGCTTGACCAGGATGGATCCGATCATCATATGGAAAAGGGGAAGCCCGTTTACACCTGCAATATGCATGAGGAAGAGGGCTATGCAGTTGGTTGGAGTCCTACCACAACTGGCGCTCTCGCCACCGGTGACTGTGCTGGAGCCATCGTGATGTGGAATCCTGTCGATGCAGGTTGGGAACATCTGCGTTATTTCAAGGCGCCCAAGTCGGTCGAGGACATCCAGTGGAGTCCTGTAGATGAGCACGTATTCGCATCCGCATGCTGTGATGGATATGTCAGGTACGGGTCCGCCATAGACACACATCTCGTCGCAGAATTCATGACGCAAGAACGCCAAAGGATAATGTGAAGGTAATTCAGGTCTGCGACGGGGACATAACTGACGTCAACTCCATAGCGTGGAACCCGAATCAGACTAACTTGCTCGCAACAGGGGACGAAACGGGGGCAGGCACCATATTTGACCTGCGCTTCAGTGATGTCCATATGGCCAAATTGTCCTGGCACAAGGATGCCATCACCAGCATGGCGTGGCATCCGACGGACCCGGCGGTTTGTATTGCCAGCTCGAGGGATGACTCTGTCTCCATCTGGGACCTCTCTGTGGAAAGCGAAACTGCAACGGAAACGACGGAAAGTGGTCAGGACATACCCCAGCAGCTCATGTTTTTACACATGGGACAAACGGAAATTACAGAGGTCATGTTCCACCGACAGATCCCCGGAGTTGTGATATCTACGTCGGCGGATGGATTCAACGTATTCAAGTGCATTAACATAGACTGAGGTGCAAAACGTGCAACGAACAAACCATTAGGCTAAAGTTGAGCAGATCTGTGATATATATGGCGTGTTTTAACATGTGTTTTATCGTTTGTGTACAGTAGTTATGCTCGTACAGTGCCCAGGCTAACTCACTGAGCCAGCTTGGACAGAATAGCCTTTGCCTTGCCGACGGTTTCAAGCGCATTTTTGCGCATCGCGGTCAGGGCTTGCCAGTCACTCAGGATCGCCGCCGAGTCCGGTGTGGGATCGTTGTCGGGCTTAAATACGAGCGGCATGTCCAGCATATAAGTCTCCAGCCCTGACAGTAGCTCCAATGTCTCCCGGATCTCGCTGCTCGCGAGATTTTTGAACAGAGTTGTTTTGAACATTAATGCGGGCTGTGCGATCTTCTTCAAGCGAGCTAGGACCGAATCTTCTCCGCCAACAATTGCTCCAGGGAAAGATGGTGTGCTCCGCTGCATTTTTTGTTCCTCCCCCTGCAGTTTCTGTAAGCGTGATAGGTAGGGCTCCTGTGCAGCCGTGAACAGCCTATTGAATTCGTCCGGATCCATTTTGAAACATGTAGTGGTGCCGATAGATTTTATGTATTCCACAGCCGAGACCAGCAGTGTGAACCCGTATGCCTCCTCCGCAATATGACGGCTCGGGTGCCGAAAGTGTTGGATGAACTCGATCGACGACCACAGTTCATGAGGGTTCGCGCGCACGGTGACATATATCAGCAGAGGAAGTGTCTCGTCTGCTGACGCTGGTTTGTTGCTGCGGCATCATTAAAATGTCGAACTGTGAAACCCACCTATCGCCTTCGAGAGCATGGACAACTAGCCTACAGCAATTCAAAATTGCAACCATCTTGTCACGGGGAGACTTAAAACGCGATATATTCTTCAGCTGTTCTTGCGCATCCTTCAAAAGGTCGACATCCACTGATGACGACACTTCCAGGTGCTTGGGTTCAACCCAGTCCAGGCACCTCATCTTGATCCACAGCCGTTCATCCTCTATACGGTCTTTGGGGTCCATGCTGTAGCACCTGGAAAGTTTTCGAATAAATCAAGTCTTCACCTACTGTGGATATAGCTTCTGCATTGTGAACTTCTCAAAAAATTCTGCAGACATGGTCCTCTCGTCATCGGGTAGAGAAGCGAAAGGCTCGGTCGACAGTAGGCGCGGTGTATATATATCAATGAAGTTGTGTACCACCGCGGCAGCATCACTGCGAGACATCTTGCCAGGAAGCATTGCCATCACACCCTTCACGGCGCGAATGATATCAACACAGGAAGCATGCTTCAAACGATCCAGGAAGCGGTTGTAGGGGGTCATGCCTTTCGCAGTCGATTGCGAATCTAAGCGATATTTAATAACCAGACAATCATCTTAAACTCACCAATGTCGTTTCTCGATAAGTGCGAAGGGAGGGGAGGCATGCTGTCGGACCGCGGAGCAGAAAGCTCCAGGAGCTCGTACTTGGTTGGACTAACGCCCAGAGGGTCTGTAGAAAATCTCGATGGTGTGAGATCATTGACCTCATGCCGACTGTTAATACCAACGCGTGCATCGTGCTCATCTGCAACATCGCTCGAACCACCTGAAAACACTCCAGAAAAGTCCGAGTTGACGTCGTTGGTAATGTCGAAACTCTGCACTGCGAAGCCAAAGTTATCATCCGTTGCGATATCTCCCGATGTATCATCCCGTCCACTAATGGTCACGAGCTCTGTATTACAGTATTCATAAGCTGCAGCTTTGTCATACCCGTGGCGAAGTCCTCCTCCACCGAGGCAGGGAATTCCATTGTGACCGCGAACAGTCGCCAAGTGCCTAGTAATCACAGGTACATTGCAACCATCATATTAGCAGAGGACCGTACGGTTACAGCACGGAATTGTGTAAATTGGCGGATGCTTCCTTGCCTCAATGCCAACAGTGTATCCAAACTCATATATGGGAGGGAACTAAACCACTATCATATAGTGATTTTGTGACATTACCGCTGACACAAATGTATCTCAACTACGTGCTGCCGTACGATCTGGGTGTGTTGGAGCGCACGGTCGACTCGAGTCATACTGGAATGTGTGTGACGGCGGCGAGGAACGTTTAGAACCGCTGGCGCACCTCAGTCACATCACAGCTGAAACGCAAATCAACTACGTGGATTTAAAAGTCTGCGATGAGCGTAATTCGGTACTGAAGGCGGACCGATGGTCCGCAAATCAAGCTGTCTACATTACTGAGGTGAAAGGCGTAATGCATACACATAAAAACTTCAAGTACCATTAACGGTACGCACATATTTTATTTTATAACAATACTGATTAATCCTAACTCAAACAGGCCAAGACAAGCCAAATGTGCCTTTTCCGATGACAGAGCCAAAGGCCGAGTTTCCCGGCCTTAAGTAGACATGTGTCTCGAGGAAAAAAACACGGTGCGTGATACCAGAGCGATATACACATTTCTATAAAAATTATCTAGTCACCATGATTTCCAACAGGTTATAAGAAATGGTGTGTGTCTACCCCGAAACAGCCGCGGTGTAATGTATATGACAAACGATGACAGATTACTCATTAGAAAGTGGTTAGCACTTATCACGTTTTATAACGCCTATTGTGACAAATAGGTGGTAGCCCTTACAGTCAGATACCCGCGAAGGCCCGCTGCACAACCACATGAGTTGGCGCCCGAGAAGCCGGCACAGAAAACATATGGTTTTCTGAAACACATCTGGGTGGATTTTTTCTACTGTAATGGGAACCATGGCGGCCCTGGCGTACGCTAGAAAAGTGGCGCGGTCGCTTGTTTTCTACTTTTTCTCTTTGATCATATACCTGACGACTGCGCTTCTTATATCGTTATATGTCCTTCTTATGTACCCGTTCTACATATGGGACAGGCCGTCGGTGGTTAAGGTTACAAATTGGATGTTCTTTGTCTGCTTTAACCTGGGTAGGCATCTTGCTGCTACGTATCATTGTTCGCAGGTGGACTCTTTTTCAACCGCTCATGGAAGTGCGTCGTGCTCAACGAGCTACCGGAGGACCACAAGAAGAAGACGAGGATATACATGTTCAATCACCTGTCTTCCTCCGACCCGTTTTTGGTTACCACGATCGGTATGAAGGTGCCGATGATCTGCACATACAAGGACTCCATTCACAAGATTCCCACCACAGGACGAACGATGAAGCTTAGTGGGCATTTAGCTATTCAGTTTATGTACGACAAGGCGAACGACAGGAAAATACCGGTTCGCGACAGTGTCAAGAAACTGATGCAGGTGCGGTGTGCATACATGCATACCAAGCTCAAATGCGTTCAGGATTGCAAAGCTGCCATGGACGACGGATTCAACGTTTGTGTGTATCCCGAGGGTAAAAGGAGCCGCGATGGAGTCTTACAGGAGTTCAAGGACGGGTTCTTCAGGTTCGCTGTAGAACACGGAGTGGAGATCCAACCATGCGGTAACTACGCAAAGACAAAGCATACACAGCGTTTCAGCCATCAGCAACTCAGCCGCTCTGTGGCCATTGAAGAGCACATTCCTCATCGGCTCGGGCGTGGCTTACATTAACATCGGAAAACCCATCAGCCCTGAGGTAAGGCCAGAATTAGATAAGCAGTCTTCAACGATGCGCAGGGCAAGACTATCGAGGAACTCAAGCACGCCACGCGAAAGGCGATATACGACGCCCTGAAAGCGTGTCCAACATTCAACCCGGAGTTGGAGACGGTGCCCGAGCTAGAAGATTGATAGTGTTTTGTACAGTAGCAGCGCCGAGAAAGCGGAGGCAGAACACATAATCACTAACGTGCAATTTATAGTTAGGGTGTGGTGGTTTTTCGTAATAGTGTTGATTTGGTTAGTGACGCGGGGCTGTCCACCTCCGGCGCTGCACTACGCTGTTCGCTTTTCATATTACAACGAATTAGGTGCCCATTATATTTATGAGTTTGTGTGTATTTAAATTGGCGTAAATGTGGTACGGAGGCCATTTTGATGGTCAATGAGCGCCCAAAGGCGTGTCCAACCTGGAATACCGTTTCTTCACTGGCTGCAGCGGTGGCGGTTTGATATTTAAACACGCATATATATCGGAATAATAAATCGTCACGATGGTATGGAGCAGCTGGTGGCCTCATGACCCGGTGCCGGAAAGCAAAGCAACCGACCCTTACATTGTCAAGGTAAAGCCGTCCCAGGTAAGCGTGCTGTTCTTGTAATCATAACCCTCCTTCAGGTATACTGGTGGTGCTCCTGTGGGCGTTCTCAAAGGCAGCCGTGGTGCGACGGATCTCACAAAGGCACACGTATGTCCTCATCAAAGCAATCTTATGTTACGCAGAGTTCAAACCGGTGATGTACGTACCGCGCCACAACGCTACCAGGCTCATGTGTGGATGCAAGTACTCCTTTAGGAAGCCCTTTTGCGACGGCAGTCACCTGTGGGTCAAGGCACACCGGAATGTTCCGAAGGCAGCCATTGCGACATTTGGTTTCTTCTTCTCCGTGGGTGTTTTCTCGTCGTGGATCTGCCACCCATGAATTTTCAAACTCAATGTAATTATATGCAATTGAAATAGCGCTGTTATGAGTTCCTCTAGCGTTGCATTTTTGACCGTTCATGAGTCATTCATGGTGTAAGACTGTTTGCGGCCGTGACCCATGCTTCATAAAATGTATACGCACAGTGGATCTACACCGGTGTATCATATGTGGCATGGTAATAGAAGTTGGATTGGCTCTGAAATTAATGACACAGGGGCAGGGATCTGCAGTGAGTGCTGACCAACGTTTGCATCATGCAATTGAGACGGAAGCGTGTACTATCACGAAGCTACCTGCCTCATACTGCCACGCCTGGAATGTATGCAAGATGCAATTACGATCTTATATCTGTTGGCTATCTTCTGTACGTGGTAACTCATAATTTGCCCAATGTTACATGCGTCTCCGCTGCCACACCTACATTGCGATATAACAAAGTTATAAGCACCCCAAGCGGGTTAGGCGGAGGTCTGAGGTAATTTGAGTGAATGCTCAGAGATGCTAGAAAAATTTTTTAAGACTCTTTGTACGATATTTCCAAAATCTCCAAGTAGAAACGTGAAGTGATGACAGAAGCGACTACATTAAAATTACATATTTGTTGCGATATTAACCTCCTACATGAAGTATGTGAAGCTACATTAGGCCCTTAAACGGGAAGGCGGAGTGTAGATCAATGTCAACCTCCTCGTGAATCCTTCCACCGGCGAGATTCGTGTATGCGCCAAAACGTTCGGTCGAGCTATCAAATACAGCACTTACTCCATAAAACACCTTTCGGAATTTCTCCGGATACATGTTCCAGGCAAGGAAGATGGCCAGTATAAGTACAGCGATGCCAACGAGTATGGAACCGATGCAGTAAAACATATGTGTGGTGCATAATGTACCGCAGACTGTGCATTTGCCAATGCATTTGCCATCTTCGAACGCTTCGGCGAAATCGCAATAGTATTTACTTAGGCACCTGCCTTTTTTGCATGGCGCCCTCTCGTATTTTTTTGTATCGCATACGCAGTCGGATAATACACGTTCGCTTCTATTGCATTGTTTCTTGCCGTCTATTTGACAACATCCGCAGTTGCAGTCGAATTTTGCATGATTCTTGCTGTTGCCACCGCATATGCAGTGTCCTTTACATTCTCCTTTTTTGCATTCTATACCAGGGGGTTTGTAAACGCCGTGGCCATGGCATTTTCCCTTTTGGCATTTCTGTTGTCCATTTTGCTGGAGCACGAAACCGGAACAGGTGCCTTTACCCTTACAATAGTTAGAATTACACCAAGGACAGCAGTTACAAAGCCCGTTACTGCATCCGCAATTGCAATTCGCACATATGCATCTGTCACCTAGTCTTTTATCTTTGCATCTTTCATTGCAGCGATGACACAATCCGCTGTCCTTGTTCTTGCACGGTTTATCGCTACCGTCTTCATAACAATTACTCGGACAACCGCAGAAGTGGTAAGCACATTTGCATTCACCTGGTTTTGTGCACTCTATATTGCACCCAGGACAATTTGAGTCACAGCACTCCTTACACTGCCTGCAAGAATCCACATCGCATCCCGGTTTGTGTTTTCTCGAATATTTTTCATCATCACATCGGCACCTGTTCATCCGCTTCGGCTCCGCCATCGTCCTCGCTGGCATCACTCATACGGCTCCTAACTTCATTGAACATCCTATACCAACCTGCATAATGCAACTTCCAGCATATCGGTGATATGCTGCCACCAAACAACAAACCCTGCGCAACGACGAACAACGTACCCGGATGGTGGGTAGCAGTCGGGAGATTCCTCACCTTCCTTACTGGACCATAGATGTGTAGTAGGATGCTTTATTCTTGTATTTGTTACCTAACATTTTGTAGAACCGAAAATGTTTCTCACCAACCTGTGTTGATGCATGGCACAACTGGCGATCCTGGTCCTACAACACAGTTCTTCACATCCTATAGACATGGGTTATTTATTTCAAACATTATATAATGTCTTATTGTGTTTCAATAATGGTCAGAAGTCGTTGATTACTTTGCGCAAGGTCCCAAGCTGGACGCGGGTGTAGACGGTACAATTTGCATGACTGAAACACCGACGGAGTTACTGTATTGAATCCAGCAATTATAGTAGCATACTATTAGGGACTAATCATACATATCTGTTGTTGCTGCATTAGGCAATGTGCAACCAAGTCCCCGCAAAAAACAACAGGAGTTTTCCCGCTGCAGTTTACGTTCAGCAGCCGCTCAGCCTCGGTAAAATCACACCTTCATCATAAGGTGCACCATTATTCAATATTGTTATACCTGATTGATTGTCACCTAGTACATCTTGATTCTTTGTTTTTCAAACAATTATTCCGCCTCACTTCAACTACATGTTTCCACTTTTGCAATCACCAGACCAGATGAGCAATAGAGCCAGAAGGTCATGAAAATCATTGAACAAATGTACACTGTTCCGTTTGAAGAATGATTTGAGCATTCGTATTCACAACTTTGCCATCAATTTTCTAGGTCGGCATGCTGCAGTCGTCGGTGGAATGTTGGCACCACGCCTTTAAAAAAGTATTACTGTTTTCCATTTCTGGCACATCCAACCTCATAAGCTTGTCAATATGTTGAATTTTAAACCGGCAAACCATCATTTCCTCGTGTCACGCTTCAATGCAACAGTTACATCAGCAAAACTAACAATGAGATCCACTTGAGATTATAACATTTACAATCAGAAACACATTCCTCAGTTGTGGCACAACTACGGCTAAACCGTATGTTATCAATTGCAAAAATATGCCTCATGTTGTTGAAATATGCATCTGTGAGTGAGAGCCTATGTCGGGGTGTGCTCAGACTAGCTGGTACAAGCAATGACCCATTGCACTCACATCATTCTGCTGAGCAACGCTATTAGAGATCTAATTGCATAGATATAAGAACAGCGTAGATATGTTATGTGAATTAATTCAGCGACAGTGGAATTCGACGGCCATGATGCTACCCGCCGCCATCAACGGGATGGTGGAAGCCGTAGCAGCAATTTTGGCAAATAATCAATGTAACTGCAACATTAGTTTATTCCATATATATCGTGGTGATAAATGAAGCTTTAAGGTGGGGCATATGTCAATCGTTCTAGAAATACTTCTTGTAGGTACAATGCACCGGGGAAATGGAGAGTGTGGCAAATGAACTAAACTAACGTTAGGTGAGATGCCAATTTCACGCTATGACTAAATATGGGAGATATAGCAACGATGGTATCGTACGCTATTATAAAATAGGCAGATAAATCTCTCTTGACCACCTTCTACTGATACGTGGTCAGGCTATGTCGAGGTGGTGGATCACCTCATAGGCCAGTGAAGGATGTTGCTGATTGAGTATGTGGGTTGGCAATGAATGCCACCGGGACTCCCCGACGTGATGGCGTAGTTAGGTGTCATCTATGGTCAACATTGTGGTCAGCCTTGAAGTCGTAACCCTGGACTGTACCCCAGCAGCCACTTAGTGGGGCGCCCCGCAAAATTGCCTCCCCTGTTATTTGTCACCTAGAAAGCCTTGCAGGGCGCGTGCGCACACTTGTAATCTGTGTGGAATCAAGACATTCTTCTCGCTTCGAATATAGGTGAGAGTAACTTGATTCAAATGTTGGCAACTAACTCATAAACACGTATTAAGGGTGGATATCGACGGCATGTAAGAGCTGAAAACACCAGGAAAACGCTCAGGAGATCGCAGCTGGACGGTAGTATGACAATGTGTGTCTATTTCAAGAGGCATTATCAAGCTCAACGTACGTTGATCGCCAGTTTGCTAGATTCGTGTCCAAGAAGTTGTCTGAAAGATGAAAGCATCAGCGGGAAACAAAAAGTCAACTAATCTGCCGATATGTCTTTTTACGGTTGGGGACAAGAATAGAGAGGAATCGCAGAGTAAGCCGATCATCTTGTCAATAAGGAAATCCGTGGTTTATTTAAGCCTTGTTTCAATTACTGTGATTTTTGGGTGCAAGGTTTTTAATGCGCTACGGCTATTTTCGCTGTTCGGCAACGGCGTTGGCGATATAATCCGTTGTTTTGTTGCTTAGACGATGGGAGTTATCGTCGGCGGTATCATCTATAGTCATGTGTTACACACCACCCATGGTACCGATGGTGTAGCTCCTACGCATCTTAACGAAGCGGCCAGCAGCCGCAATACGGATACTACAGGCTGTAACGACAGTAGCCACAAAACGAATAGTGAATGCGATATGCGTACTGAAGAAACAGATGGTAATGAAGGCGCTTGCTATGATAGATCTGGGTTTCTGTTCCCAGACGAATGACTCCAAGTACAAATGAATGACTGTTGTAAAGGGCTCTAGTGCGGCTGGAATCATTACATCAAGGTGTTAGCGCGGCTGCTTACTTTGACCGAGTCTATCTAGAAGGAAAACAGCGGTAAAACATTCACGAATTGTACCTCAACGCGTGTACACTTAACCCGTGGTCTACGACTCCTTCCGGTAACCACCCATGTAGCACACGTAACTGGCAACTAGAAGGTAATGTAGCAAGAGTGCATTGCACGGTTCGTTTTGGGGCGGACTAGACGGTAATCTATGTCAGTAGCTGATTAGTGCCATTCTCGCTAAGGCAGTGAGTCATCCGCCGGGTGCGTGTACGGGATGCGAATGGTTGTATGGGCGCCACAAGTGTGTGAAGTGGCGCTTATAGGGACATCATTCTGTGAATCTGCGGCATCTTCATATATCTCCGTGGACCACGCAGCTAATTAATTGTTGTCCCATCAGCTCGGCAGCTGGATGCGGCGGGAAGGTGGTGACATAAGCCGGCGGGATTATGCTTCGTTCATATCCAATCTAGTTTACATTGGCATAAGGCATTGCTGTATGGGAATGTGGCCAATTGTAGTTCAGGAATCCCGACGTTCGTACCGATGGCCAAAATCCAGGATTCGCTTAGACCGTCTGATACGCTGTCTAGCAGCTAGAAAGATTGGGACGAAACGTTCGCAAATTATGGTTGCAATATGACTGCACAAACCAGGAAACTAGTCCCAAATGCCTACGTATCTATGTGACGTACACACAACGTCGTCCGCATACACACAGCAGTATCAAACACCGTCATGCGCTGGATTCCACGGCAAACATAAGTGTTTTACGCGGCAGGTGCATCATTGTGTCGTGATATGCAGTTTTTATGAGCCGAGAAGCGCTGGAAGTATCATAATCTCCAGGAGATTACCATGGCAAAACATTACCAAAGCCAATCCGCTCAAAGGCGCGAAGCAAAAATTGCGTCATCCACTTAGAGCAAAACAAATTATACCAATCTCTAAAAATGATACCAGGGATATTCACGTGTCTTATTACGCGACTGCGGTGTTAATAGCGAGCAGGTCACGCCGGATGCCGCAGGCACTGTAACATAACACTCGCGGCACAGTGTAGAATTCCAAATATTTCTGCGTCTTCACAAATTTTACTAACAAGTACCGACTCAATATGCGATGTTTTCGTCCGAAAATTGTTTGCGCCGATGGCTTGCACTTTAAACACTGCATGCCACGTTAATTGTCTAGAACAGGCCGCCATACGGCATCTTGGCCGTCTTCACGACTCTGAAGTCCTCCTTTTTGGTTTGTAGACAATTTTGTATATTTCAATAGAAGTGCCTATGTATTAGAAGGAAGCAGCACTGCGTTGCCAATCCGCCATTAAAACTAACAGCTGTCTAAATACGCAGTCTGCTTTGTAAATCGGCGGAAAATACACACGTTTAAGGAGGCTGCCTAGTTTAACGACCCATTACAAAATGATGTACAATTCGTTGACTGAAGTACCTCGCAACCTCAAGGAGGGCATTGACTGGTTGATGGCCCTGAGGGGAACCGATGCCGAAACCAACTTGAAGGCTATGGGTGCGGCACTTTACAATTTTCTCGTCGATAAGCCAGTTGGCAAGATGGAGGTGCCAGCTCTCGAAGAAGTTAAACTTATCACCAAAGAGTTCCTGGAGCGCAAACCTATTAAAAAGCAGATATTTGTACAATGTTTACTTAGGAGGTTTGAAGAGCCTTTGAATAGAAGCGGAGCTAGCATTAAATTTTTGCATAGAAACGAAAGCGATTACTGCAACATCGTGCAGAAAATGCATTTCAAGCCTGACGCCATGGGATTGTACTTAGGCCGCGTTGCGTATGGTTGTGACAAGTTTCTGAAGCATATGAAAATTCCTGACCAGTACAAGTCTGCCTACAGTCCAGAAGCTACGTGGGAGTCGTCATGCACGGAGGACCCGGAGGCTTGCGCAATAGTCTTCGTGGGGATTGCGCCCATGTTGTACGCAGGCCTGCGTTCCTTGAAGTATGCGACCAGAATTGCACTTAAGAACGAGGCGTATGATAAAACGAGATGGCGTTTGAAAACGATATTGAGGGCCGTTGGTTACAGGAGGTCAAAAAGACGCTCTAATATTAGCGTGTCATTTATGTCTCAGGCGTTGAGTGATGTGGATAAAGACGTATTGGAGATACTCTACGACTTCGCTGGATTTTGGGCATTCTATTGAATATATAGCAGGTGCACCATAAAAGTTGCTCAACAAACGTTTTTGCGTCCGGACCACTTGTTTGCATCATACGAATTCCCGAGGAGATGAACATCGACAAATACTCCGCCTTCCCTCACAAGGGCCTCATGTAGCTTCACATATCGAACGAGGAATTTTAATATCGCAATAACTATGTAACTTAAACGCATTTCATATGGTCACTGATCATCGTCTTAGTGGTTACAAAGTAAGGAATCGTGTTGTGTTGTGGTATCATTGCTTTGTGAAGCTGGGTTAGTGGTCATCCACGTCAGAGGGTTGGGGCACCATCCCAGGTGATACTTTGAGGTATCTATAAAGTTCCGGGAAGACAAGACGGTGGGTGAGTAGATTGTTGTAGCTGTGAATGCAGGATAGCGGGTGAGTTGATGGATGATGGCGGGGTATTTTTCCGACGTGATGACTACTGCACGGCGTGTTTAAGAGAGTTTTATACGTTCCATTATAGCCATCACCAATGCACTAAACATCCATCGTATCTTAGCTAAGCATTTATTAGCGCACCCATAAGTGGCAAGTATGCGCGTGTTCTTCCGGTAATTCGAAGTGATGAGACTGTGTCGTGCCTGCATGTACATTCTGGTATCCCTGGTGGTCATGGGAGACGGCCTGACGGTTCAGGCTTAAAGGTAGGTGAGTCATGGTTGTGCAGGTTGATGATAGGGAAGTGAGGGGAAGATGAAGCTGCAGGTACGTGTATAATTTTTGTGCAGGTTGACAATGGTGTTGCAGGAGCTGCCAATATGTGAGTGTTGCAGGGACCTGTTTTGTGATGACAGAACTTGTAAATGCTGCTCGTGGTGTTGTCCGGACTGGTCAACTTGTTCACAATGTATGGAACGATGCACGAATAGCCCATGCGGAAACTGCATATGTAAACGTATGTACATTACCATCGCTGCCATCTTCATCACAATCACCCTCATCGTCGTATGCGTTATGAGCTTCTACCGCATTCGCCCGTTTCACAAGGTCCGCTATTGTTTCGTCCGCAAGTGAACATGTTTATCGCATTCTTTAATCACTTCGATAATTGTTTATAATCGCACTCATCGCACATCTCTAGACATGCCGGCATGATGCCAGGGTGATAACATCTTATCTAATGTTTCGAAATAGTGCAACGTCTGGTGCCCGTTGAACGCGTTCACGAGTTGCATCTTAGCCCATTATTTAAAAAAGCGGGATTAACACCGCCCAACGTAGTACTCATATCCGCAGCCATCTTGGGCTACCCTCGTCGCACCGCATCTCCGCCCAGTCCCTCCTCGCAGTGGCACGCGTCAACTCACTTGGCAAGCTGGCCTACCTTCAACATCGATATGCAACCTCTGCCATACTCACCTAACAGCTCACCGCTTACCCAAATGATTGGCCTGGCACCTAACCAAACACCAAACCTACCATCTCACCTATGATGTAACCTACTCGCTGCTTTGTCATCTCCCTTCTCCCTCTGTCGCCTTGCCGTCACTCCCAAAGCAGCTTCCTTCATCCCACCTGTCGGTGGATTGAGGCTGCGGAGGCCTCCTACCACGCCCCTCTTCCTACTCTAAAATAGGCCACTAATCGCCACTAACACCTTTACTGTGTCACCTATTAACACCGCAATCACTACCGTTCCAAGCATCTTGGGAGTGTCTTGGTTAACTGGAAGCAGTGACATCACCTTAGAGATGTTATTACTTCAGTGCCTCCTAGTTCACCATTAAAACGCTTTCACGTGTATGTTTGTCCCAGCAGCCTAGTGCCCATTTGTTAGTGTCTCTGTGCTTAGTGCCTCTGTATCTAAGATGGTGCCGCACGGTATTCAGCTCTCCACACTCAAGGAGTGTCTCCAGTTCCTGATGTGGTTGAATGGTAATAGTGATATGCAAGATCAGGTGTCTCAAAATCTGCATTATCGTATTCGTAAGTATTTCACAATTGATAAACTCACATTACCTAACGTTAAAGCCGCACTGTCCGATTTCCTTGAGAAATCTTCTGCGTTTTATATGAGGCTATGCTACAAACCACAGCCTTGGGAATATAAACGGGAAAGACCGGATCAAATATGCAACGCCCTTCTAGAGTGTATGCCCAAGTTCCTCGCCGTTATGTACTTTTTGTGGTACAATGTGGATCCGACTTTCTCACAACTTGATGGCGGTGGTTGGAAACAGAACTGGCCTGGGGCGTTAACGGGTGCTTGGTGGTGGAACCGTCATTGGGGCGGTGACCTCGACAAGTATCTCTATGCGGAATCTGGCGACACAAAGCACGGCGTCATCCCAGGTGGATTCACATCTGGCGATCAGGTGAAATATAGCTCACTTGGGAGTGGCTACTACCAGGGTTATGCCATGGCTGATGACATTGATAAGATTGTGAGCAAAGGACAACACCATGATTTTTTCCGGGACGTCTTTGTGACTTCTGTGCTCTCCACAGACCATGGCACCGCTACTCCGAACACGGCGAACGCTCTTCGCTTGGTGAGAGTGTTGTGCCAAATTGTTGAAGATGAGAAGCAAGGTGACGGCGGTGAGTTAAAATCAGCTTTGGAACGTGGCCTTAGGATGATAACAACAAAAAATTCCATATGCTGGGAGGATCTAAAAAGGCATTGCGATCACCTTACAAAGCAGTTTAAAACAAAATTGTTTGCCCAAAGGCACTTCGACCACACCGGGCAGGGGATGGATACAAAATATCTTGACACAAAGGAATTTGCAAGCAAAACGGCGGATTGGTTGAGAGGGAATCTGACCTTTGTGCGGAGAAATTTAAGTGAAATTAAAATAGATAGCAGCCTCAACAATCATCTTGGAGAATACTTCACGACAAACCTTTTCCCATTTGGTTTTACACTTTATAATGGAACTCGCTTCCAAATGACGCCAAATGATGTGCAGAATTTGAGAAAAGATTGGCGTGATGTAATCGAAGAGTTTAGGAGAGGGAGTGACAACGATCTGGATAAGCTTAGAGATATTTTGAGTGGAACGTATCAAGGAAAATGTGAAAAGCAAGAGCCCCCGACACCAAAAGCGGAGGGAGCACAGAACCAGGGCAAGAAGGTGGAGGGAGGGCAAAATCAAAAAACTTCTCCACCCCCTCCATCTCCATCCCAACCACCACCCTTATCTCCCGATCAAGGGTCTACTAGGTTTCCAAGGCCTCCAGCGTCACAAGATGTAAAGTCTTCTGCTGCAACTCCGTCTCCCGGTGATCAAGGAGGTACAGGCCCGGTAGGGCCTAAAGGTGATAAGGGTAATCCAGGACAGCAAGGGCCTAGTGGAGCTACAGGTTCGCAAGGGGCTACTGATGCAGTGACTCCGCATCCTTCTCCGGCTCCAGGTTCGTCAAGTAATCAAGACGTTCATGTTCAACAAGTTGTTCAACCTCCACCTCAAGGCTCCGTAGTATTGCAAGCGTCTCCCCCTCAACCGCCTGCTCCCCCTCTTCCTGGCTCCTCTGGCCACCCTCCTAAGCCAGGTGGTCCGGGTGCGGGTCCACCGGCCGGTGCTGCTCCAAGTCTAAACCCTGGTTCCCCTCAAGCCGCTGTGCCTCCTCGGATTCCGAGCGTTACAGGTTCAAACACTGAGACAACTGGTGGTCAGGGGACTGCGAAAAATGCTGGTCAAAATGTTGGTAACGGCCCTACTCAACCAACAAGTCAAAGCTCCGATCACGGTTCAAGCGGCGGCGGTACTGCTCCGGGTGCCACGGGGCCTGGTTCAGGTGGAGGGAGTCCGCCGGCTAAAAAGTGTAAAGATAGTAACTTTAGTACGCTGTGGACAAGTCCCACGGATTACTGCGTCCCAAAACGTACATTCCGTAAGCCGCATCCCTTCAAGTTCAAGAATCCTAAAGCTCTCGATATAATCCATGAGCAGACCAAGAATTATTCACAGCCAACACCTCACAATGTTGATCCACAAGATAACCATATAGCTCCTCCCAAGACCTAAGTAGGTCTCCCACTCACTCCCCTCAACCTGCCGGTCGGCATCCTGGCGCAGGGCTTCCGACTCCTCAGCCAGATACTGCGGATTACCTCGGTGGAGAACCCGTGCCGGAGCCGATGCCGCGGGAAGCGGTAGCATTAGAAGGTAAGGAGGTCGCATCCTGGCCTCAAATGAAAGACGATATGCAGGAAGAACAAAGGCAGGAAGTTGGAAAGAAAACGTATGAAGAATTTATTCAGAAACAAAAGAAAAGGAAGACCTTCAAAAAATGATGCGAATCATGGAAAATAATTTCAATCTATCTCAAAAGCAATTGGAGGCTGAAGCACAAAAAGACAAACAGCGACAGAATGAACAGAAATATAAGGACAAGATAAACAGAGACATATACAACACAATGGTAGGAAATCCTATTTTGTCAGATGATGCATCTTCTCTGCCGCTTATACAGTACATTGATCCACCCCTGCCACCTAAACCGGATTTTTGTGGCCAACCAATCAACGATACGCGCAAGGTATCGCATATGACAAGGAAGGCTTTCGAAATTGTAGACCCCGTGGCACCTTATCCCATCTCTGAAATTAAAACCTATCGCATGCCGCCGTCTCCCAAAACTGAGAAACAAGAAATTGACCTCCACATCGACGTCACCAAGCGCATTGTTCATGACCCCGTGTACGATTGGGATTTCGATGATGACTCGACGCATATTAGGAATGAGACAGTGCCCGTACCTGCGGATACGTACATACCTAAAATCTCATTAAATCTTCCGCCTCCAGAAGCGAAGCAGTCTGTGCCTCCCATAGAGAAGCCAAAGATAAATACAGTCGAATTCGAAGACACATGCCCTGTTCCTTGGCTCACGCAGAAACCTACGCATGACGCTGCCGATATCCCCGAGACAGAGCTGTTCCCCTCCGAGGCGCCGCGCACGGTCAGGGAGATGCTCACTTGGATCGCCGGATTGCAGAACCCAAAGCACCAAGAGACTTTGGAAAAGTGCATTCATAACGCTTTCAAGCGCGACGATGTCTCTGCCATCCTCCCACTCCCAGTTAACGGTGCTGAAATTACTCCTCAACATGTCATCGACACCATTAAGTTTGCCGCCATGTTTGCAGCCTCAGTGCTCTCCGCCATTGAGCCCAAGTGGAGGATGGCGGTGCCGTCTTTAACTTCAGCGTCTAAGGACTCAGACCAATCCAAGGACGCTGATTGCTGTGCCCTCCTCTGCCAGCTGCGGGACTGCGTCTACGCCTGCTGCCACCAGTTGGAGTTCCTAAGGTCGCAGTGTAATCGGGACACCAAGCACGGTGGTTGGAAGGGTTGTCAATATGGCAATAATGTCTCCCTCGACTCCCCCCTCCAGGCCTTCCTGACCGACGCCGCAGACTCCAAGTTCGACACTCACCTCTTCGACCCGTGCAGCATCTGCCTCAAGAGCCGGGTCAACATGGGGTTCAAGAGGGAGGATTTGCCGAAGGATCAGCAAACTGGCAACATACTCAACGACATCCTCTCTCCCAGTTGCGGCGGCGGATATAGGCTGCGGATGCGTCTTACGACGCCCCTCTTGCACCTCTAAAATAGGCCACTGATCACCTTTAATAGAACCTTGTATAAGTCAGTACATCGCTCGGACAATACATTACGGACCTAGACAAGTGGATCGTAAAAACTACGAAAGACATTGAAGCCGCACAGAATTTAGTCCAGAAGATTTTGGATGAAGTGAATGGGAATCCACCGGCGAGCAACAAAAATGAGCTTGACAAGGCGATTGAAACTGTTGAGACCAGGTTGCAAGAGAGAGCTGCGGACTTGACAAAATGGAAGGATGCGGCGGAAAAAGTGCTCCAAGGAACGATTACGAATTCTGAAACGGTGAAGGGAAAGTTGGATCATAGTAAGAAAGAACACCCTGGTGCTACAGAGATTGGCAAAGGTATTAAGAAAATTGAGGATGCCAAACAAAAAGTTACGGATGTCAATGCTGGGCTTCAAACTGTTCACAGCAATTTGCAGACTTGGAATACCACGGCAGGTAAAGTGCTTGGCAAAGTGGTTAGTAAAGCGCAGGGCGTGCATAAAAGGTTGGATCCAGATGGTTCAGGTACTCTAGGCCAAAAAATTAAGACTATTGGAAACGCTAAAAATGAACTTGACAGGGCAAATCAGACGCTCGAGACACAAGTTAAGGCTTTGGACACTTGGATCACCGAGGCTGAGAAAATCCGTCACGCTGCAGAGGAAAAGGCCAAGGAAGCCTACGACAAGTTGAAGGTTAATCAGACTCTGGATGAGAATGTGAAGAAAATTGTTAAAGCCAATAAGACAATTAAAGAAGTTAATAAGAGCCTTGAAAACCATCTTGGGAGTTTGAATAGTTGGAATCAGCAGGCCAGGGATGTGCTTACCGGGGCGATTCAAAAGGCCAATGAGGTATATGAGAAGTTGGAAGATAAGAATGGTGACGCAGTAAAATATCCTGTTGGTCATCAAATTGAAGCTATCAACAAAGCTAGCAAGGAAATTCAGACTGCAAATACACAGCTTGGCACCGAAGTTCAGCATTTAAGTAGTTGGAACACCGCCGCCCAGAGTGTTATTGAGAAGGCGGAGCAGAAGTGTGGTGAAATCTTGGAGAAAGTTAAACAAAGTGGGCCTGAAGGTGTGATTTTCACGCAAGCTCAAACTTTAAAAGAGAAGGGTACAAGACTTTTGGAGGCTGCGAAGGATGCCAAGTTGGCTGTTGAGGCTCAAGTAAAATCAGCGTTGAAGGCTGTAGTGTTAATGGACGAAAGTCTTAAGAAGGATTTGAGGAGTGTTAAGGAGAAGATTAAGGAAGGGATTACGGAAGTGATTACGAGTTTGGAAGTTAATAAGTTGGATCAGAAAGTGATAAGAGATTTGGGGAGTTTGAAGGAGAAGATTGAGAGGCTTAAGAACGAGATGGAGAGTAGTCTTATTAAAGCTGAGTTGGAGGCGCTTCAGGGGGCGAGGAGTACGCTGGATGGTGTTGCTGGTACTCAGGGCACAATTAAGAAGCTGACGGATGGGCTTGAAACTAAGTTTAAGAGTGTCATCAGTGATCCGCTTGACGAGAAAGTTGATGCTGTTGACACGGCGATTGGGAAGCTTGGCGGGAAGTTTGGTGGCACTGATAAGATTCATGGGATTTTCGGGCATATTAAAGATAAGGTTGGGGAGATTAAGGGGAGTACGAACGGAAAAGGTTCAGGGCTAGAAGGCATAGTGAAGAGAGTGAAAGATCTCGCTAACGCGTTTGTTAATAGTGGGTACGGGAAAGGGTTTAATGCTAGAGTGGGCGGTTGGCTGGAAGGTGTAATAGGGAATGGGAAGGATAAGAAAGGCTTGCAATCCGTGACGTCTTGGTTTGAACAGTATCAGAATGTGGTTACAAAGCACAAGTATAAGGAAAGCGATCTGAAAGATCAAGTTAAGAATAAAATTATGCTACACAGAGAAATCTCACAAGCCATTGCCGCAGCTCAGGGTCAGATTATAGAAGTAAAGAATGATCCCAACAGCATCACGCAAAATCTGAAAGCAATCGTAAGCGCTTGTGAGGAATTTGTCAAGGAGCTCGATAAGAAGATTACGAGGGGTACAATTAGTGGCCTTGCTGATCCCATAGCGGGGGGGATTCGCGGTTGGATGAATGGGCAGAGTCTTTGGCAGCGTAGCTTAAACGAAGACGATCTCAAGTGCGCCGTCCGCTACAGCCTCATTGCGCTCTGCGCCGGCGTCAAGCAGGTATCCACGGAAATAAATTCACTAGGTACCGACAAGTTTGGCAAAATCCTGGACGATATAAAGCCGAAAGTTGATGGGCTTCACACGGCGCTTGACGAGGCGACAAAACCCGGCAAGTCACCTCCCGGCCAACCCGGAAGCCCCGCCCAGGCCGTGGACAGCAAGTTGGGGGAAGTGAAGAATGAGGTTAATAACAATATTGTCACCAAGTTTAGAGAAAACGTCATAAAAGAACTTAAAGAAGCAGTCCGCGGACTTCCCGGCGCCGTTCAGGAGTTCGACCGCCAAGCTCAAACTCAGATCAAGGAAGCGGCCAGGACGTATTTATCAAAGGCCTTGAGTGATTGAATGACATCGTTCAACGGGCCGAAGTACAAATCGTAAAGGTCACTGTAAAATTTCCTCAACTGTTTGTCAAGCAATATTTCCTTCACTTCCTTTAAAATGTCTCTGAGATCTCTTGCGTTATGCTTAATAGCGCTGCACAGGGCGATAAGATAATGCTTAACATTGTCGACGTCCTTGGACTTTATGGCCTCGATGTCTGCGGTGATTGTAGTGAGGCCTTTTGCAGAATGTTCGTCAATATCCCAATTTTGTTTGCTGCCAAGGCCATGGTTTTTCAAGTCATCCAACTTTTTGGTGACGTCATCACTCAACTGCTTCTGGAGCTTTGTAAGCTCACCGGTGATTTGGTCAACGCCACCGCGGATTGCAGTGGGCTGAGAGGACAGCGTAGTTTGTTGGGTGTTAAGATAATCTTGAATGTTTTTAAGGCTTTTACCTTTTCCTTGTGTATTCTTATCCCACATATCTCCACTTAGTCCAACGTTCTGCAAATCGTCCAGCGTGTTGATGACATCTTCTTTACCTTGACTGCCTAGCAACACGTTTTGAAGGGCAGTAAGTTCCAATTTAATTGTTGAGTTGGCTTTATGAATTTCTTCGGGTTGTGTTTTAAATGGCTCTTCTTGCAGCTTTTTAATTACGTCATGAATGCCTTGAACATTCCATGGCTCCGGTGCATTTCGGCCAATCCTCCTTTTAAACCCTCTCAACGGATTTAGGATGTCATCATTATTGAAGACATTTCGCAACTTTACACCTACCCGGAAAAGTTCCCAGTTTATTTCGTGTAAAGCTTTATCAATTATACCTGGTTGCTTGGCCAATATATCATTCTGATTTTTAAGGTCACTCTCGATTCTCCCAAGACCACTGAGAGGTTTACCGTTGACATTCTTACCATTCCAAGAATTTTGACCAAGTCCCTTCTCTTTCAAATCCGTCAACCTTTCGATGACGTCTTCTTTATTACCATTCTTCATCGTCTCTCTAAGCTCTCCAAGCTGCGCCTTAATTTGCTCGACGGCTTTGCCAATTGCAGCGGGTTGCTCATTGAACGTTCCTTGTTGCAGATGGTTAATGGCCTTTTCGATATGTTCAAGGCCTTTACTTGCGGTACCCAAATAGTTATAACCAAGCCCCCTTTTAAGATCGTCCAAGAGTTTTTTTACTCCTCTTTTCTTATCATCGTATCCCCCCCAAAAGTTTTCTCCACTCTCATCAACAAATTTCTTGATCTCGTCAAGCTCTTTTTTAATTTTATCGAACGGACCGGTGAAGGTTGAAAGTTCTATTTTCTGCACACCTTTACCAGGATTTGGATCGATCATCGACAATTCATTGTCCACCTGAGTCTTGATGTTACCGATCGCCGCTGGAAGATGGCCTTCGGTTGCCTCGCCTTTTACGGTTTTACCGGGTGTAAGAGCACTAATCTTATCTTGTCTAACATGCTTACCGTATTTATCAAAGAGTTTTGAGAGTATGAATGTATTTGCTACATGAAAAAGTGGAACACCTGCCTGATCAACATGCGTCCCGATGTGCTTCTCAAGTAAGCTTTCAAGTTGTGGTTGGAGGCCAGTTTTGTTATGGGTGATCGCAGTGAATTGACCATGGAAAGTCTGCATTTTTTGAGACAACTCAATTTTCTTTGGATCACTATCCCTAGTAATTTCATTAGCCGCCTTGTTAATCGCCGTCTTGGCGGCTTCCTTGATCTGTGCTTCGGCGGTAGAGTTGAAATCACCGACTGCTTTGGGAAGACCTTTAACCGCTTCTTCGAGATCCTTTTTGACATTGTTTTTAAACCTGTTGGTAATATTATCATCATCTTGTCCACTCACAAATTTTCTCACCGCCTGCAACTTACTGTCCACGGCTTGGGCGGGGCTTTCAGTGGAGGTGCCTGGGGACTTTGGTTTACTAGTCGCCTCGGTAAGCTGATCGTCAAGCTCAGTTGTTGTTTTGTATACATCATCCAAGATTTTTGCGATGCTTCCGGGTCTGGGACTACCGTCGTCATCGGGTATGTTGAGAAACAGTGAATTCAGCTCCTCGGATACCTGATTGGACGTGGAGCGGAGAGCGACAAGGATTGTTTTCAGGACGTTATCAAGATCGTTTTCATTTTTGCGAGGCTTCATTGTTACAATTGTATTCAGTACATCTCCCCTTACGGCACTAAAAATCGAAGTAATTTGGTCTTTCTTAAGTTTCTCATCAATCCCCTTTACAAAATCCTCGCAGCCTTCCTTGACAGCGGTAATGTTCGCAGTTATATAGTCATTGTTACCTCTGCTTTTGCCTTGTTCGACCACTCCACCGGCTGCTTTTGCTTCGCTGTGAAGCTGCTTCTTAATCTGGTCGATAATTTCGTCACGAAAGATCTTTTCATATGTCATATCATTGCCCAGCACCTGCCTCGTCCGGCCATCATTAACATGCTCACCACTCCACTCCCTAAACCACTCCACAACCCTCTGTCCTTGCTTACCCAAAATGCCCTGCAACCAACCATTCACAATTTTGTCAAACTGCCCACTCCCGCTGAAGTCTTTAAAATAACTCTGCACCTTACTCTTAATACCTTCAAGGCCTGAGCCATTTCTATTTTCCCAACCTCGACCTGGGCCACCCTTAATCTCCCCAACCTTATCTTTAATATGCCCGAAAATCTGTTCAATAGTCTTCATGTCACCACCATTTTTAAACGCCCCGCCGAGCTCCCCAATCGCCGTGTCAACTTCACCGACCGCCAAGTTAAGCGGCTGTTGGATATTATTTTTAAAGTTTTCTTCAAGCTTAGTGTCAGTCTGCTCCTTAATTGCTGTAACGACAGGGTCCAACTTGTCCTTCTGATTCTTAAGCGTCTTCAAATGCGCACCAACAAGCCCAACATCTGGCTTGGTACTCTCATCAACTTTATCTCTAAGCCCCTCAATCTTATTCCTCAAACTCTGCAAATCAACCTTCACCAAAGTATCCAACTCATTAACTCCCAACCTCTCAATCACATCTTTAATCCCTTTCTTAATCTCCTCTCTTACAGTCCTCAAATCCTTCTTAAGAGATGTGTCCATTTTCACAACAGCATCCAACGCCGATTTGACTTTCAATTCAACTTGCGCCTTAGCCTTACTCGCAGCCTGCAAAAGCTCTTTTCCTTTATTTTTTAACAATTCAGCTTGCTTATAAATCTTACCTTCGGAATCTTTTTGACTTACTTTCTTAAGTATCTGATCACACTTCCCATCCGCCTTTTCAATAACATCCTTGGCGGCAGAGTTCCAACTCGTCAAATCCTTAACATGTTGGCCAAGTTGTGTATTTGCCTTAATAATTAAGTTATTATTATCTTCAATCGCACCGATTTTCTTGCCAAGAGACTCCTTTTTAGGGTCACCATTTTTATCAGGATTCAGATTCTCATACACATGCTTAGCATTTTCAATCGCCCCTTCAAGCACTTTCCCAGCCTCCCGCTTCCACGCTCCCAAACTTGTATGGACACCATCAAGCTTTCCATGAACATCTTTAATCTTCTCATTTGCTTTAACAATCTCCCCGATTTTGGTACTCAGAGTCTTATTAACCTTCAACTTGTCGTAGGCTTCCTTGGCCTTTTTCTCAGCGGCCTGACGGATGTTCTCCGCCTCGGTGATCCACTTATTAAGACTGTTGACTTGGCTGTAAAGTTGTGAATTTGCGCTAATAATGTTGTTTTTAGCGTTATCAATGTTTGTAATATTTTGGCCAATTGTGTCCTTACCATCTGGGTTCAACTTGTCACGCACCTCTTTTGCCTTCCCAACCGCTGTGGTAAGCACACCGCTTGCCGCATCTTTCCACTGATTCAGCTCATTAATGTGCTGGCTAAGCTTTTGATCAACTTGTGAAACTTGCTGTTTGGCGTCCTTAATCTGCTTAACTCCCTGACCAATATTTGTGCTCTGCGTCCCTGATGTGCTTTTATCACTATGATCCAACTTGTCGTAAACATGTTGCGCCTTCGTCTTAGCCGCCCGAACGGCGGCATCAGCTTTAGCAATCCATTTGTCCAACTGCGAAACAGTCCGACTAAGCTCAGAATCAATTTGCTCAGTGGTGTTGTGGAACGGTATTCACTGCAGCACAGCTCTGTTTATCAAGTGCGTTCCGGGTAAGATGAACCAATGTAGACGGGCAACTGTATATATCCTTATACTCGGAATAATCATTCTCATTGTCGGTACATACCTGTTCCTGCCGTATCAGGATCACGGAGTCATCAGGTTGCCGAATGTATTGAATAATAAACATGGAGCAACGCACTTTCCCTACCTCTGGCTTGATAAGCACCCAGATACTCAGTCACCATAAAATCGTTGTATTTATTGTGCACTGAGACGTCAACGAACTGAGTTCCAGTAAGAGGAAGAATTGATGCATTCCACACGTGTCGACCTACAACATAATACGTAATCAGAAATAAAGGATTATGAATAGATTTAATTCATTATATATTATGGTTGTTTGAATTTATAGTCACTCCGGATCAACCCATTTGCCGTGACGCTTTATTAGGTCAATCAGGCGGTCACATGCCTCCTCGTGTGGTATATTCCTCTCCACTAATTTCTTCTTTACGTAGAGATCAACCTGTGGGTGTTCTTAGGTCTTTCATCATGCCAATTTACCTTGTTTGGCGCTCCTCCGACGTATCCGAAGTCTGCATCGGCCATCTCGCCGATCCCGTTGACGATGCATCCCATAATAGCAATGCTAACACCTGGCAGATGCCCGACACGTTTCTTAATATTTTCAGTCGTTTTCTGCAATAACCGTTAACTTAGATGATGACCAATATACCTGGATGTCAAACAATGTGCGCCCACACGACGGGCATGATATAAATTCTGTTTTGAAGCTCCTCATCCTGGCAGCCTGCAAACGCAGCATGTAAAGGCTGAGGGAATTAAATACCTGCAAAGTACTCAGAGCAATATCATTGCTTTCCGCCAATGGGAGACGCGATTTGATTATAAGGCCTTCGCCCAATTTGTCTATAAGGTGAGACGATAATGCAGCGGACACCTTAATCACTACTTCCTGCAACCGGTGATGCCGTTAAAGTGTAATAATAAATGAACAAAACCACGAATTGTAACAGCAACACATGACCACAAGTGTGGTAATACATGCGACTCATATCACTATTGGAAGAAACATTTTTTACCTCGTGGTCGAAGCAGTCAGTGGCATCCACCTGGTGTATGACGGGAAGCTTCGATCCGTTCTTTGTCAGTATCCCAAATATACGTCGCACTGTCTCTATATGGTTTAACTTCGGGTCTATATCTAGTACAATGAATCTCGGAATGCCTGAACCAAGCGCCTTGCTAGAGATTCCACGACCAATACTACACAACTTCTCGATGGCAGCATCTGGCTCGTGTCCAGTAATCTTCACGGCCAAATCGGCGATCTTGTCTGTAAAATCTATCCGCGTGTCAGCATGTGGATAGTTGGGGTACGATTGAGATTTTTGAAACTCTTCAAGCTTCAGAAGTTCAACCACTCCAATGGCAAACTTTATGGGTTGTTCTTGCAGCTGGTCCACTGGTGCCAATACTTGAAATCCACCTTCGATGAGTTCCTTCAGTATTCTTTGCCCATTTGAGTCGTGGAACATGGGCGTGTCCTCCATGTAAATGAAATCTACAGATTTCAACCCACGATGGGGCAACCCGTCCTGCATGACAACGTTGAGGGCCTTATAAAGCGTCACGGGATCGGCCAGATCCTCATGCGTCACAAAGCAACCAACAGATCCGTCCGGATTCAGTATAGTATTTCTGCCATCCTCAAATTTCAAAACGGAATCTCCAAATTCAAGGTCTCTGCGGGCGATGTTATTGAAGTCCCTGAAGTCCTCCCTTTTATGAACAGTCTTCATTTCCGGTTTTTTATGCTGATTCAAACTCTCAACATAATTGACCAGCTTTCTAGCCGGCGCGAGTTCCAGCCAGGGATCTTCAGTCAACGACATCCTTATTGTGTCACCGATGCCGTCCAGAAGCAGTGCCCCGATTCCCAATGAGCTTTTTATACGTCCGTCGTCAACTGAACAATAGTTAGTGCGCATTTAGACGTGCGTATACACCATGAAATATAGTACGCGTTTACAACGCTTTTCATGATACGATGCATAGAGTTGCTGCCTTACCTGACCCTGCCTCTGTGACGCCTAGGTGTATGGGGTAGTTCCAGCCACGCTTGTACATTTCATTTACCAAAAGGCGGTACGCGTGCACCATAACGAACGAGTTCGACGACTTCATGGAAAATACAATGTCGTGGAAATCGTTTTTCACGCAGATCTCCGCGAACTCCATTGCTGACATGACCATACCCCTGGGGGAATCGCCGTAGTAGCTCATTATACGCGATGATAGCGAACCATGGTTCGTACCAATCCTTATGGCACGCTTCAGAAGCTTGCATTTTTCGACTAGCGGTGTAAAAACTTCTTCAATTTTTTTTGCCCCCTCTTTAAATTCAGCTTCGGTCTCGTAAACCTTTTCGTCCCAATCCTTTCTCCCATCGACGTAGTTGCCCGGATTCACCCGCACTTTGTCGAATGTTTCGGCCGCCATGAGAGCCACCTAAAGAAAGTCAAACACGGAGCGTAACAAAGTCGCAGCCTACCTTGGGACTGAAGTGAATGTCGGCTACAAGCGGCGTATTGCAGCCTTTTGCAAGTAACTTTTCCTTGATTAGCACCGATGCTCTGGCCTCTCTGGGTGATTGGACGGTGAGTCGTACCAATGCAGCGCCATACTGCTGGCATCGGATAATCTATTGAGTATTATACGCAATCAGGGTACGCCTATACCTGTTCTACAGTAGCTTCCACATCGTTGGTGTCGCACGATGTCATTGTTTGAAGTGCGATAGGGTTGTTTCCTCCGATGGTCACGTTGCCTACCTTGACGGCTCGTGTCGGGAAGCGCACCCTTTCAGTGACAGACTCGCAGTAGACATTGTCACTGACTGCATCCAGATGAAACGACGCCTATATAGACGCTTACAAGGTGCTGGCTTGGAGGAAGGAGCCGCTTGAAGAGAGTTACTTGACCTTCCATCGGCGGGATCTGCGATATCAGCGTTCGAGGGCGACCTTCCTCCGTCGATATGCTATGTAATATGTAACATATTCAATAGTTTAGAATGTCTAACCTTATGCGATGGCGTTAGCGATACGAAGGTCAGAGCAGATTCCCCGCGGCGCAGCGCTTCTACGGTTGTTAAAGCAGCGACAGCCACATACAGAAATAGATTCCATTTACCCATCACATTATTCAAGTTTGACGGTAAAAAAGTTCCGTCTGTGCCACATATACAGCTCTACAAGAGCCACATACTAACAACTGTACGGATTACACATTAAAAACAAATATCATTATTCAGGACTTTACTTGCACATTTCAAGTAAACTGTCCAGTGTGTGGGACTTGGGACGCTCGATGGGCATTTTCAAGGCACGTGCCCAGACCAGCTGTGCCAATATACCGATGGCTCTCGATATGCCGAAGAAGACAGTGTACATATCCGGCTCTTTTATCCCGAAGTGCGACAGTATGATGCCAGTGGAGCAGTCGACGTTTGGATGCGGGCTCTTGACCTTCCCTGTCGCCAGAAGCACAGGCGGGATTGCCTCCAGACAGATGTCGAGGACCTTAACGAGCGGGTCATCGGGAAAGTTTTTGTGAGCGAACTTCACGAATGCCGTGTGGCGCGGGTCCTCAACTCGCAGCACTGCATGCCCATAACCTGGAATTACTTGTCCCTTTGCCAGAGTTTCCTGTGCAAATTTGGTCACGCTCTCTACGTTGATTTCCTGCCCCTCCATCTGGTCCACCATGTTTTTGACCCACGAAAGGCATTCCTGATTAGCTAACCCATGCAGAGGACCGGACAATCCGGTGAGTGCACCGGCGAAGCAGAAGTAAGGGTCTGCCAAAGCCGAGCCGATCAGATGGGCTGAATGAGCAGATACGTTCCCACCCTCATGGTCCGCATGCACCGCTATATACAACCTCATCATGTCCCGGAACTCCGGAGTGTCAATGCCGATCAACTTGGCGAGGTTAGCGGCGTAGTCGAGTTCGGGGTCATAGGTCATCCCCTCTCCATCCTTGATGGTGTGATCTACGAACGTGCGCCTGTATATGTAGCCGACGATCAAAGGGTTGGAGGCAATAAGATCTAAAGAATCATCCAACACTAGCCTCCAAGCAGTCTCTTTGCTGTATTTCTTTTCCTTGTAGACTTGGCGGAATTTGGATTCGGATTGCAGTGCCGCGATGGCTACCACGTACTGGGTCATTGGGTGGACATCAGTGGGCAGCTGGTCGATCACCTTGTAAACATGCATGGGCACATAGGCGCGCCTGGCAAGTTCTGCAGAGAGCGCCTTGGTTTCGCTGGCGTCGGGAATCTGCCCGGTCAGGAGCAGCCAGATCACCCCCTCGGAATAGGGGCAGTTGTTCCCCGGCGCTGCACTCGGCAATTTTTCGAGCATCTCCGCAATTGACAGACCGCGGTATGTAATTCCCTTGTTAGCGTCGAGCAGCGAAGTTTCGCAGTTCATCCCAATGATGTCGCGCATACCACCTAGCACCTGCGAAACCGTCACCTCACCAACCGACACGTTTCCGAACTCCTTCCGCAGCATCAACAATTGCTCCGACTTCACACGTAATAGCTCCTCTATTTTTGAACATAGTGCGTTAATTCCTGGTCCGCACTCAACTTCACTGGCGCCACCCGCATGGGTGGCAAGATTTTTCGCATGGCGTAGGGTCATGGCATCATTTGGGGCTGGACGTTTGTATGGGTGTAATCCCGTCATACGCACGAGCGTGTTTGCACAAGAGCTGATTGACGGTGCTGAAAGCAAATCAACAGCTTTCGTGCGTCGCCCGCACCGTATGCCTTCTGACTTTGCAGGAATGGGAGAAGACGATCGTTCCTCACGTCTTGCGGCTGACAGTATACCTTTTATGCTAGTGTCTCGACGATTCGCGCACGCCAACACTTCATCTTTCCGCTCCGACCAAGGGTTGCCACGCATAACGGTCTTGACGTGACCCGCGTGATAGTGGCGACCCGATTCACTCACATTAACCGGAATCCCGCGTCGGAAGTACGCCGTCGCACTCCCGAAGACGTATGAGTTAAAATTTTTAGAGCTTCTAGACAGTCTCAAAGCTTCACCGATCATGGTCATACTCGGCAATTCGACAGCAGTGTGTAAACCTAGGATACGACACAACTATTGTACGTAAAATACATGTAGAATATACTTATACACTCACTTCATGGATGATCCATCAGAAGTACAGAATAAAAGTAGCGCAATCCGGCCGTCTCTACACTACAGAACACTCAGCTGAGCTTGCGTCAAAAGCAGTTATCATACACAAAATACCAAAGACATCTTACACACGTTTATCGCAAGGCCGCGAGTTCGTCTCACCGTAGTGTGAACTACTTTTTGCCCCTCAAATTGTTGATGCGGCTCTCGATGCTATCAGGATCGTCGGACGTGGGACGAGGTGAGTCGTGCATCTCATCCCTTGGGCCTACCGGATCCGCCTGAACAGGCACCGTTGTGGCCGATTCTTTCACGGGCGAGGCGGTTACTGACGGAATTGCCGCAGACGCGTCAATTCCCAACTCCTCTAGAATCTGTGAAATGATCCTCTCTTCCTCGTCAACGCTGTCGACGTCTGCAAATGAAATAAAAGAGTTCACATAAATTAGTGTGTAGCGGTTCCTGCCTTAGATATATACACACGTATACTTACCCATAAAGGAGTTGTCCAACGCCTCGGACATAACGTCCAGCTTGAGGTTGATGACTTCACTCTCCCTTCCCAGCGATTGAATAATCTTTTGAAATTCAGCGATGTTGGTCTTGTTGCTGACTTTTGAAATGATTTTGTTGACGTTCTTGAGGCTGGAGGCCATCAGGTTTGTGCTTTGCGCGTTTTGGAGCTGGCACATTATGCCCGCCATCTGTGACTTCATGGCGGCGTAATGCAGCGCCAATTTGCGGCTTCGCACAAGGTCCTTGGCCATAATGCGCACATTCTGCATACGGCCACTCTTGGCTTCAGTTTTTAGCTTCTGTATAAGGGTCTTTTCTTCCCTTTCATATTTCAGCCGCTGCCTCTCAAGCTCCCTCGTGGCACGATTGATTTCGTGCTTCGTTTCGCGCAGCCTCTCATTCAGAGTGCTCTGGAATATCCCCATTTTGTTGCTTGAATAGCGCCGTATATATGTCCAGTCCTATATCGCTTGGAGGCGGTAGCGCTCCTTGGCCGTAGTCCCCGCAGACTACTAGTTTAACCACTGGCGGCACGACCTACCCAGCAGTTTAGCGTATTGCGTTTGAGAACAATTGTTACCTTAACACCGAACGATTGCAGTTTAGATATATGCTCGGCGGTTACTGGATGCTGAAACATTAAAGGGTTCATACACGGATAAACCCATATCGGCTTCTTAAAATCCCAGCATCTGGCCACATCAGTCTGACATTAATGGACATCTAAAGGATGCCAAACCTACCAGAAGATTGTCGCAGAGGCCATTCGCGATTTTGGCAAGCGTGTTGCAATCCAATGGGCATATAACGAAGAGGTCCGCCCAGCGCCTTAACTGAAAATAAGTTATACAAATGTAAACGACACACAATGGAAAATATAGTTACTTGCAACGGTTACATGGCGGATTCTGACGACACGAAGCTCCTAAGTAGCTTCGTTTTGTCACAAACGCCCATTAGCCTCGCCAGGTCGGACACATCGCATGACACGCACATATCAGGCACACACGTCTAGACAATATAAACTGCCACTGAAATTACTAGAGCAGATTCCATACGCTGCGAACCCGGAAGATGTTCCGCGTAGATGCTCTAACTAGATGCGCGCAGAAGCTCACCTCGATGTGAAGTATAGGATCTCCCCGTGTATACGGCGCCTCAACGTCGTTGTCGCTGAGTACTTCGCAGCCTGCGGTTTCGATGGAATTTTTGAAGAGCTTGATAGCAGACTGCGTGGCCACTGCTCTTATCTGGTACACGTCTGTCTCTCGAAGAAAGTGGAACTTACGTCCACTTTCTGCGCGTTTTTCTCAGCGTGGCGTTTAATTTCGCCTATAATTTCGGGTAGTTTTATAGCAGCAACGCTGCCGGTCACGCCAATCAACAAGTTGCGTTGAGATGCCATGAGATTCCCCCCAAGGGCCGATAGCGTCTCTTCACATACGCAGCCGCACGAAGGTCGCACTATTCCCACGTATTTATATGGCTGAATGTGTGTTAGTCAAGATAGGCCGTAATGTGTTTATCGTGCTGAGCGCTGGATCGCTTTTCAGACCCTCCGCCTTCCACCCTTCGCGTCGGACGGTGAAGTGTTACACATCGAAAGTCTAAACACATTGTTGAAATAAGTCGACATAAAGGCGCATCGGTGGAAAACTACCGTGCTTCCCCAAGATTGCGTGGATTCCACAGCATGTGGCATACTGAAATGGGCGGCTTTCCATAGCTGGCGCATACGATGTTGCGAGAAACGTCGACATCAGTCGGTCAACAGATTCGTGACGATATAGAGCGCCTGATCAAACTCGAAGGCGTTTCCGTTTATGTCGTGGACCGTGGATTCCTATCGCAGGGCTTGACGGAGGAGGATGCGTCGGAACAGTCATCCATTGTGTTTGAGGAGCCCAGTGCAGGCGACAAAAATGTTGCCGCATGTCAGTTGCAAGTTGTAATCAAGCTAGAAGGCTGCGTATACAGCGTAAAACGCAATAGAGACACCGTCATCACGCTAGGAGTGGAAGTGCCTGCCAGTTTTCCGGAATGCGACATCAAGGTTGAACTTGTGCAGATATCCAACGCCCAGATAAAGTTTAACAGATCATGCAAGAATAGGCTTGAAGAGCCCTCGTTGGAAGAACGTAGCGACTCCGTGGAATGTCTGGGGCTCCATGATCGGATATTCTCGTTCTACCGTTACCTTCAGCAGACTGTCAAACAGCGTGGTACCGTTGGAAGTCACCACGTCTCTAGCGACAGCTCCTCTTCGGCTGGAGATGCAAGAGTATTCTCGAATGAATTCACCGCTTCCAGTGTCGGCGATGGGTCGCGCGGGGTTTTCTCATCTGTCACTCCGTCTGGCAGCGCGGGCCCGCTCGGCCGACGTCGACACCTCGACGTCTATATGGGAGCGCGTATCGAGTCTGCCAGGCTGCACAAACTTCTAGCGTCTCAATCGCGTTACTACCGGGAGTTCGATCACCAGAAGGTTCTGGGATCAGGGTCGTTTGGTTGCGTGACTAAGGTTTGCCGCAATGGGATTGTGTACGCCCTGAAGCAAATACCAATCTACAAGAGCCATGGGACAACTCTACACGAGGAAGCCGCCGTCCTTGCAAGTTTGCAGCACCGAAATATCGTGCGGTACTACGATGCGTGGGTCGAGGATCCCTATGAGGTGATCATGTCGAAAACGGTAGTAGCGGACCCACGGCAAACCAGCCACAGCATTCAGTTCAGCTTCGTTGGCAGGAATGTACTTCCTCCAAAACTTGATAGCGGATCCATATCTGTTATGGGAGGATTTAGAGTGCACGCATCCGTACAGCGCAAGGTCAGGCTGCATAACCAGGTCAGCCGCGATCTCAACAGCCACCGCAACTCCAAGGCCCGGCAAATAGGCAGGCGGAAATCAAAGCCCGTGAAGTATCTGTTCATATTAATGGAGTACTGCGCCGAGGATACGCTTTTCAATGCCGTGTCTGACGGCCGTCTTCTGGGCAGGCCGCAGCTTGCCATCGAGTTGCTCCGTCAGATCCTGGAGGCCCTGAGCTACATTCACGAAAAGGGGATCATTCACCGCGACGTGAAGCCGTCTAACATTTTCCTGAAATCGGAAGATGACGGGTTGTCAATAAAGCTCGGCGACTTTGGCCTGACGGCAAAGATGCGGAGCGACCCCTCTTCCATCTCGGGTGGTCCCAATCCCACTGGCGTGGTTGGGACTCTCCACTACATGTCACCCGAACAGGAGCGCGGATGCGTATATGACGAAAAAGTGGATATCTTTGCGGCTGGGGTGGTATTATTTGAGATGCTGTCTCCTCCGTTCAGCACTACAATGGAGCGGTCGGAGATCCTGTCGTCGTTCTCAACGCCCGAGAAGAAGTGGCCTTCGGAATTCCAGTCGCGAGTCGAAAGCCGCATCTTCAAGGTGCTGGAATCGATGCTCAGTGTGGATCCTGCCAAACGGCCTTCTGCGAGCCAACTTCTGCAGAGCGAACTTTTTGCCTGCAGCAAACTGGATACATCCACGTTGTATCAGGTGGTGACCCAATATCCGCATTCCATGGAATCTACACAGCTACTATCCTCCATGTTTGGTCGCAACGAGTCCTCCGATTCCACGTTTTCGTACTTCAAGAAACTTCCGAACGATTCGGCCAGTAGCTGTTACGTCAATGTAGAGCTTTTGCGTAGGTTTTCGCAGGAGTTAGGGCGTAGGGGAGCGATACGTTACGAGGCGCCTTTGTTTGTGGTTTCCGCTGGTGCGGACGAGCCTGAATCACAAGGTGACGTGGGATATCAGTTGCTTCTTAGCGACGGCCGCACGTGCCAGTTGCGTACATGTATCCTGTCCGCATTCGCTGAGTTCGTTCCACCGGTGTTTCTGGTGGTGATGCGCCGTTGGTACTGGGGCAAGGCCTACACCAAAGACGCTTCCGGCGGACATCATCCCTCCGAGTCATGGCGGTGCGCCTACAACATCATCGCCGACTACAGCATCCTGCTCCAGGAAATGGGGTCGAACGCCGATGCCCTCGACGTGTTCTTCACCGCGGAGCTAATATTCGCCGCAGTCCGTCCGCTGATGCGGTTTGTGCAATGTTCAGTGACCGTGGAGTGGACTTACGAACACTTCGCAAATCGCATACTGGAGGACGGTGTAGGTCTACGTGATAAGTGGCTGGAGGGTGTAAAGCTTTTGATCGTGGAGAACGCGAAACGGACTAACGTGATGAAGCAGCGGCTTGCCGAATATCTCCGTGCAGCTACGGTGCCTGGATTTACCTCCGAATCGCTGTGTAACTGTGTCTCACAGCTTGCCGCATTGCTGTCGGCCGGGGTTGCAACCCCCGTTGGCGATTTTATGAACTCAATCGCACGTACATTGCACGGCTTCGGACGCGATGTTACAAGATTCAATGGCCTTGCTCGGCATCTGCAGTACATGGAGCGGTATCTCACGCTGAAGGACTGCGAATTTGTGTTCGTGCCTTTGGGGTTCGCCCCCTGGCACCAGAATATGTACTCCAAATTCAGTTTCAACGTGAAGTACACAGTAGGGAAGCGAGTTTTCGAGTCACTGGTTGGCGGCGGCTGTATCAACTCCCTGATGCCACAGCGCAAGGGCACAATCTTCGGACCCCCTCAGCGGAATGCGTTCGGGTTCGAAGTGCACCTCGACCCGCTGATATCGCACTTCCTCCAGCAAGAATCGTCGCTGCTGGGTAAAAGCGGCATGATTGGACTGCAATGCGGGTACCAGCTCTTCCCGCAGGTACTCATTTGCGTTTCCATCCAGGACGTTTTGCACCGGGCAATCACGCTGGAGCACGGCATGTACAAGGCCGGTATCGTAGTGGAAAAGCAGCTCGGCTATCCCAGCAGCGTCCGCAAACTGAGGAAACACATCTCAGGCGGTCTGCTGCCGCTGTCTAGGCTCGAAGTCCTGGTCATCGTCAAGCACTGGACCGGGAGCTCTGCGAGCGGGTCTGCAACGACGGGAACGGGAAAGTTCGACGCAGCGTATCCGCCGACCGATGTGCAGTACAAGCTGATATTCGTACACACAGGCAACGAGGTGGTAGGTAGCGCTATTCTTGTCTTGACGTTGCGCAGATTCTATGGGACGAGCGTGAGGTGTTGAACCAGGTGTGCCAGCATGTGTACAGGCGATACTTGTAATATAATTTATCATATATAATATGCAATGTTGGTACCTATAGATGATCCGCCGACTGATGTGATATCGCGCGTTGTCTTCGGGCGCTCGCGCAATCTTCTGTCGACCGCCTCCTGGGACAAGGTCGGTTCCTGGCGTTCCCGCCGACACGCTTTGCAGACGCTTAGGATACACGAAGTCGATGAGTCGAACCGCGGCCGTGCTTTGGGGAGTTGCAAGTGGACCAGCCCCGTGCTCGACTGCGCCTTCCTGGAAGACGACCGGAAGGTGGCTTTTGGAGACCTCGAGAAGAACGTGAACGTCTTCGATCTGGAAACGGGCAAAGTGGTCACGCTAGGCAGTCACAATGCTCCTGTACGTTGTGTTCAGTACCACAATAAACTAAGTACGTTTTCCGCTATCGCCGACTCAACTCTGCCCAGATGTCGTCATCAGCGGTGGCTGGGACAAGCGCCTGCGCGCATTTGACGTGCGGATATCGGCCAAAAGGCCTGTTGCAGAGGTGGAAATCTACGGGAAGGTGCACTGCATGGATCTGCTGAACAACACGCTAGTCGTTGGCGACTCCATGAAGAGGGTGGGTCATAGCTACTAGAATTTGGGCATCCTACTCAGGTATACATCTACGATATATCGCGTGGATTCAGTGGATTTGCGACCCCGGAAACCAAAGAGTGAGTTACTACTTCCATTGTCCTAAGCGTTTTGCAGCGGGGTGCTCAAGTTCCAGTACCGTTCAATCAAATGCTTCCCCGACAACCGGGGGTTCGCCCTCGGATCCATCGAAGGACGTGTGGCGTGGGAGTATTTCTCAAAGCAGCCCGAGACCGTATCGCAACAGTACGCATTCAAGTGCCACCGCAAAAAGACCTCCCCGGAGTCCGACGTCGCCTACGCCGTGAACAGCATCGACTTCCACCCGCGTTTCGGGACGTTCGTGACTGGTGGCGCTGATGGGCTTGTGTGCGCCTGGGATGGCCTGAGTCGCAAGCGTCTCTGGAGGACCACTAGCCTCCCAACAGCGGTGTCATCGGTCTCATTCAACAGCGCCGGTGACAAGCTTGCTATCGCAATCTCGGATGTCTTCCAGCTGGAAGGCGATCCAGCGGCTCGTCCCTGCGTACTGGTTCGTGGCATCAACAGTGACGAGTGCAAGCCACGCAACTCCACGAAATGACCGCTTATACACCAGGAGGTCAAAGTTGATAAAACATGGTAATTTGGAAAAACACAGGTCTCAAATTGCCGTAAACATATTTTGTTGTCCTTATTATGGCTGTTAATTGTGGTATCCCCCGTAACGGGCGGTTTGTTCAATGCACCGATTCGTTCCAGCAACGTCATGAGGCCGTAGGTGCATCATCCATTTAGCCGTAATGCCATGTAACGCTTGTTTTAGTGCTCGGGTGAGAAATGTGGTCCATATGCGTAGCCGGGTTGGCCTTTGAGCTCATGATACTACACATGCGATCTAGGAACTCCACTACCCTTGTGTTCAATTTGTCATGGCACGAAAGCGCTTGCTAACGATGCATCCATTGCTCTTTAATGTGTTGGAACACAATTTCAAAATGTAATCGCTTAAAAGCTGACTTTAGATGTTGGTCGTGTTTTTACGATAACTGTTTGCGTAGCACGCTGCGTGCCTACTGAATAGTGGCAATGCTGCCAACGTCCCGCAGTGATGTGAAGTGAGTATCATCACTTGTACAAGATGTCGTGGGAGATCATGGCCGCGTTTGTGTCGGATGCAGGTGCTTTGTTGTACCCGAGCAAAATGTCAAGCAGGTGCGACTTTTCCGAGAGGTTGAGGAAGCGCGTGAGGTGGGACGACTGGTGCGACAGGATGCTGTCAACACGCTGCGCCATACCCTCTACCACAAACAGTTCAGTTGGAGTAAACTGGTCGATGAGTTCGGCCAGCAGACAGTTTGCCATCCAGCTGGTGGAACCCTTTGACACCCACAGCTGAACGAAGTCGAATGCGATGGTCAGCATTTTCTTCCTGTCCTCCACCTTCTTGATCTGGGCCACCCACGACTTGAAGAGATCGTCTTGGTTTGTCTCTTTCTCAACGCGGAAGAGCTGGTTGGAGGCGCGGCGTTGCAGTATTTTGCTGGCCATTGCGGGCTTGCGCAACTCCATGGCGAGGCACAGAGCTTCGCTGTACTTGCCGTCCGCCGCTAGTGACTCCACCTGGGTTCTCTTGAGCTCCTCTTCACGCTCGTCCATCAACTTTTTGGCCTCCACCTCGGCTGACACGTCGCGCCACCAGATTAGCACGCCGTTGCCCGATATGGTCATCAGGTTAGAGCCCGCAACCTCGACGTTCCACACCTAAAATTACATGACACTACGGCGTCAACGAACACATACCTTGTCTGAGTGGTTGTCTGCCGTGAATATGCAGTCCGATGTTTTGATGTTCCACACTTTCACCAGACCGTCCATGCCAACAGAGAGCAGTTGCAGGTCGTTGGGCATCACAACGACACGCATTACAGCTTTGGTGTGGCCCTGCGAAATAGTGATAATATAATCTATGCCGTATTACCTGTAGCGTCTTGATGCAGCTGAAGTCGTTGAGGTTCCATATCTTAATGGTCAAATCGATGGACGCGCTGACGACGGTTTTGTTGATGGCGGTAAATGCCACCGAGAGCACCGATCGACGGTGTCCCACGCATTCACCCTTGACAATCAGGTTCTCTGCCGCATATATGACCACTATCTTGTCACTGCCGGCGGAAGCGATCACCTACGAATTTTGATCAACCTCGATGTTGCGCCTACCTTCCTGTTGTGTGAGAATGCAACTGCATTTATTGGCTTTTTGTGTTTCACGGCGGTGGCAGTCGCGTTGGCGATGTTTAGAGGCTGCCGGTTGGACGCCGAAAGGATTGTTGACGCATCTGGAGTTGAGAGAGCCCAGGATGTCGGCACATCAAATGACTTCATTACGTTGTTCCCTGTGGCTATTAGCCTGAAATTAGTTGTGTCCGTGCTAATTCCGCTGGGCATTGCGATACATGCGACGTTCAAACCGTCGAGGCGAATCGTGATCACGGCAGTAAGCGTCCTCAAGTCCCATATGATGATGCGCTCATCCTTGCCGCCGGATGCCAATATGTTCCCAGTCTGGGAGTACGCTATCGACAGCACCGTGTCCATGTGCCGGTGGGTTTCGTTGGCCAACCCGAGGGTTACGCAGCTTCCCCATCCATCGAGTGCTAGCAGCCGAATAGCGTCGTCACCGCACAGTATGAATATCACCGGCACTCCCTTAGCCACCTGATTGTTCAGCCATTCGAGCGAATGCAACCAATCCTGTTGCGACGAATGCAGTTCCTGAGCCCCAGCTCTAGTCCCTGCGCTAACGTTTCCCTCCGCTGAGCACACCTCACTTTTAGGCTCACCATGCTCTGTGGGAGAGTCTACATCCATCGCATCCTTGACGTTACGAGAACGCTTGCCCGTGTGCTTATCAGCGGAATTCGACGCTTTCTTTTTGCTTGACTTTTTAGTAACTTCCGGCACAGTGGCATCGTTGCCAACTGCCGGCCCATCACTATGCATGGTGCCATCTGCCAGAAGCCGTCTCAGCCCACGGACGTCAACGGCAAGCGGCCCTTGGAAGAGATGGAACTGGAAGGCGCCATCTACGTTTCCCAGCAACTGGTGCTTGAGCTCCAGGTTGACGGAGTAAAACCCCAGGCTACCTGCTGATCCAAGCACAACTATGTCATTGGTCGCTTTGCAGAGTGTCGCCGATCTCAATTCGTCACCTTGGCCGTATACAGCGGTTCTTTTTAGAAGGACCTTCTCTGTAATCGGGTCTATGAGTCTAAGCAGTCCGGACTCCGTGGCAACTAAAACTGCCCAAGGCGCTGTTCCCCGATTCTTCAGACCCTGCGTGACAATGGATATCCCAATGACACTTTCGAATTGCATCAACCGCTTGAACGGCTTTTTTACCAACAGGTTGTGGGAAGCCACCGCATTCTTAACATCCTTTTTCTTCAAGTCCAAGCTCCAGAAGCACACGTAGGAGTCCCTTGCGCACGACACAAACCCAGATTGGGCCTCATCCTCCGCGACAAGGAATGCAATGTCGTTCACCTCGCTCAGGTGATCCTGGAACGTCGCAATAGGTGCCTTGTGTTTCAGGCTATACATGACAATGTCGCCATTTTGCGTGCCGGCGAGGAGCCGCAGGCTCTTCGGGTAAAAGCGCAGGACGCTGATGTGTCCCTGCTGGTGGTGGAACGTACAATAGGGCGAGCCTTCGTGGAAAACGGCAATCGCTCCGTCCACGCTGCCGCAGGCGATGTAAGCATCCGACGAGTCGAAGCAGATTTGCGTCACGTTTCGGGTGTTGGTCTGCAGTGACATGAGTGGCAACTTGCTTCGAAACTAACCTTGAATTCGCGATTGGTTTTAAGAGATACCGACGAACCGTCATGTACGATATCGTAAAGTGCCAGTATCCCGCTGCAGAGCGCTACAGCAAGCGTGTCCTCTGCATGGTTGACGGCATACGCCGCCAATCCGCCGGCCGAGTAAACGCATTTCGACGAACGCGTTGTTTCGTTATAGAGATTCTCCTCGTTTGCATCTAGCAGACACACCGCGGAGCGGTCATCTACTGCCAGCCGCTGGAAGTAGTCCTGGGCCACTTCTCTACCTTCACCCTGTACGAAGTCCTCACTTAGCAGAAGGTCCTCTGTCTTGTCGCTTCTCGGGCGAGGCAACGCAAACAGAGTATCGCCATGTTGCGATACAATGAGTTGGCGCGACGGGAGAAGCCGGAAGCTGTCGCTTGCGAAACTGGTAAACCTGCGACTCTCCGACAGCGCGGTCACGAGTGACGACACATTGTAAGCCATTAGCCGCCTATCAACATTGATTGAGTTGTGCGATGTGGTGTGAAATTTTAAATAGTGGCACTCATAGCTGTAGGTGTTAGAAGTCTGCGCGATAACGGCCTTCGGCCACCCGCGCTAGGCGGGCGAAGGCGCCTGTTGCTTTTGTTCATCGCAATTTCCGAAGATGTCTGGCTGACGGAGTAATAGCAACAATCCACGCCATGGACAGCGAAAAGCTGCTATTTTACGAGGCTCTGCTGCAGCAGCTCCATGACGATGAGTAAGTATAGTCGAGTGGATTCATTGGTTACTATTGCTGGCAATGACGACCTGCATGCCCTCCACAGCAACTAAGTGATGCCTGAATGCTAAATTTGTGTTTCATGTATCATTCTAGGTTACTATGTGTCCAATGGTTGTCAGTTTTTGGCTACGTCCTGTTACGACAGCAACCTATTTCGTCTTCATTAGTCAATACATAGCGTCAAAATGCTCTCATGTGTGTATCAATCATATGTGCATCCATTACAGTTTATAATAGTGCTGTCTATGTATCATTCTTTTTCGGGTTTACGTGAAACATCAACCGCTTGCCTCTAAATGGATTCATGAGTACTAACATCATTCCTATACTTATTTTCAGCTTGGAGGAAGCCGCCTCAAGTATAAAGCAGCAGCTGAAAGTCGAGCCCAATAGATTGCTTCGGAAGAATCACCTATTTGAGCTATTCAGGAACACCGCGTACCTGTCCTCGCGGGTAGTAGGCGCCGCGGATGGCAGCGATACGCAGGCCGCAGAACAGGAGTAAGCACTATTGAGTGTTTCTGTATCGGTACGTAGGTACGAGGTGCGGCTTCAGGAGGTCCTTGACGAAGCGCATCAGGGCGCCCCTCCACAAGACACATCGTACAAGTTCACTGGGTTCGCGCCATTCTGCGACTTCCCTACGTATAGGGTAGGCTTCACGTTTGTATTCCGTAAATTTGTGTGCAGCCTTGCCGATGTATCGCAGAGTCAAACGACGGCAGCTTCCTAGCTACGGCTGGCGCAGGCGGGGTTCTCCACGTCATCCCAACAATGGCCACCAATGGGGAGGCTATTCGGAGGTTGGTGTGGCCGCAAATCTTGAGATACAACTTCAGAAAACCGAATTGGCAGAATACAACTCGCCTCCAGGGGCACCAAGAGCAGATTGATGCAATTGACTTTCACCCCCGACGTAACATCATCGCATCGGGTGGCGCGGGATGCAATATCTTGATTCACGACGTCAATATAGCGAACGGTTTCGTTCATTCAGTGTCCGATATACGTGGGTCTCAAGTGACGTTGAACATGCTATGTCAGAGAGGCTGAACGACTCATCGCCAATTCGCTGTCTGCGCTTCCATCCGTGTGGCGATTTCTTGATCGCGGGCACCGCCAACTCCGTAGTTCGCCTGTACGACATAACGACGCGAGCGTGTTTCACTTCGAACCAATCGCGCCGGCAGCACCAGGGCGGCGGCATCAACGGCTGCGACGTGCTGCATACGGGAGGACTCATCTTCACGGCCGGCGAGGACGGATCGATTTTGGTGTGTCGTTGTCATTGTGCTGTTCTCAATGATTCTCAGATGTGGGATGGGAAGAATTTGGACGTGTTGCGCACGCTGGAAGGCGTACACGGAGGTAGCCCCGTGCTGTCAGTGCGCTGCGAAAACTACGGGCGATACCTGACCTCCAGCGGCCAGGACGGAAGCACGAAGGTTACAGATCTACGTATGATGCGAGAGGTAGTTTGATAGTTCGGTTCATGTTGTCATGTGTTTGCAGCTGACGTCGGTGGGTCGCGTCAGCCGCGGCGTTATTCGCGCATCCTCTGACTTCATGTGCAACTCACGATATGTCACGACGTTTTCCGTCGTGCAGACAGGTATGTTTTGCGGTCTTAAACTTCAAAATGAGCAGGTCGTCGTGTTTCGAACGAGGTGTTGGTGTACTGCGTTGACACAGGATCACAGGAGGCGGACATCAGCAGCATAATGGGCCGGTGAGTCATGCAATCGCGCCGTCTAACATTCGCAGGGCTGCAGTCTTTGACGTGATGGCGTCGAAGCACGATATGGCCTTGTATCTGCTGATCGATGATAGCAGCTGCAAAGTGATCAGTTTCTTTAACCCCCCGGCGTAGCAGCTGAAGAGATTAAAATAGTCTTGGCGAACGCTTCATCGTGTTAAACATTACAACATCATTATATCCGTTATCCTCCGAGGCGGCGATCATTAGGCGATTGGGTAGCCCGAAAGCGCTTCATTCAACTCGTGGTCGGACATTTCGTCGGAGGGCATGCGCTCGCCCATACGCTGCCTGGTTTGCCAGTTCCACGCCTCCGGTCCCTGGTGCATCCGCTGCTGTTTGAGCCTGCGAAACTCAGGTGTGTTCTTGAGTTTCTCGACCATTATCTTGGTGTAGACACCGCGGTTGGCCGCTCCGGCAGGTTGCATGTTGGCACAGAAGTAGAGCATTTTCCTTTCCCTCAAGTAATCTGTGATGGCTCTCACGAACCAGAGGCACACGTGGTACAAAACTGCTAGCGTGAGAATGGCCACAAAGTATTGCAAGTATTCGTTCTTGTTGTACGCCGCGACGAACTCATGGATGCATTCCAGGACAGGGTGGAAACGCACAAGCTTGTGGCTGTAACGCGCGACCTCCGTTTGGCAGCGAGTAACAACGATTGACACGTACTCGTTGCGCACGACGCTGCTCCCCAGTTTGAGCAAAAACTCTCGGATGTCCCGTGTCATAAGCTCAACCATGGGTGGTGTTGTGTAGCCAAGGCGTCCGCATTGGAATCGTACGCTAACTGCAGAATCATGTTACAGAGTAATCATGACGACGAATAGTTCAAATACGACGTGCAGCACAAAATAACGGCGGTAGCCGCGTGTTACATACCGGCGCTCCCCGCAAGCGAAAACACGACTGGGAAGGCCGAATTAACGCACAATTAGAGAACAATATGCATCCTTTGGCTTATACACACACTTCCCAACGCATATAATTACGTATTCGCAGTACACATCGAGATGTGTAGGCACCGTCTTCACCAGGGACAATGATATGGATTACCTACCTATCACAAGCGACAGATAGAAGATAGCATGGCAGATGCCGCTGAATAGGCACTCGGCATCGCATTCGTGAACGTAGTATTGCTTATACCAGTCCGGGTACCCGGAGGTTGCGCGTTCCTTGTTCGCCTCTTGATTCATCTCGGCGCACATAGGTTCCTCTTCGCACCAGAGGGTATGCTCCTAACACAGGGATTTCCTATTTTTCGTTCGAGGTTGAGGAAAAAGTATTTGCCATATCGAATCTCGCAACCCTCATGCTGTACGCCGGTGCCGAGGGCCAACGGGGTAAGGTTGTGCTGATGCGGCTTTGGGGGGCCGACGGTGTGTCTTCGTGATATATTGTGCGTTGCACCTTCGAGTGCGTGCCACTGAGGCGTCTGGTGACGGCCTTCGACGGCCGTCACAGCGCCGGGCACTTTCATTCACATTCCATGCCGTGGCCTTCACCTATGCTCTAATCCTTACCAGGCTGATCAAAGCACCTGCCTTCTGCTGCATTGACATCTTCTGTTGTTGAAAAAGCGATCAACGCCTAATCTGGACTCTTTGATAAAATGTTTCGATCTAGGACATTTTATGCCGTGTTCGTGTCGGTGGTTGCATTGTTAGGCACCGCGGCCGTTGACGGTGCCGCAAAGACGGCGGCAACGTTTAGGCCCAACTGTGGGTTTTGTATTGCTACGAAAGCATGCGAGTGCAGATCTCTGCGAGGACCACAATGATCCCCTGTGCCTGTTTTGCCGTCGATACGCGAAGTCCTCCCATGAGCCGATACAATTTCCCAGCACTATCGAACTGAAGGTGCGCCTGTCGGAGCATTTGAACAAGAAGGTTGGTGAGATTCCATGCTTTCTCACCGTCACCAGGCGAGGGCCATGGGGGACGCCGTGTTGGAAGAGGTGGGCAGACGCCTCGGCACTTTAACCGCTGAATTGGATAAGCTAGGCGGCAGCTTGTCGTTCGTTTCAAACTCTATCGCCGAGGAGCATACGAGCAGGTGCGTTAAGTAGCAGTCGTCTGGCGTTAAGTGTGTTTCAGCGCAACTTCATTGAGTACGGTCATGCGAAGATACGTGGGCTGCCTCTTTGATGCTGCATCTAGGCGCGTTAAAGGTAACGTTCCGTGCCCAGGATACGTCTGTAAAACCGCTCAGGCTTCCAGAATTTGGTCACGAAGGACACCGTCACAAATCTGACGGGCGTGCAGGAAGCATTCGAAAAACAGCTTAAGGCGGTGATGTCAATCACCAATTTGGATCTTGGCGACATTTTTGGCGTAGAAAAATGCTATGACCTACTCTCCACGATAGAAGCCTGCTGCGTGAAGTCCATTTTGGAGGTCAAACCCGGCACGGCAGAGTACGGACAGAGCGGAACCATTGGTCGCTCAACATTGTGCCTGAGCAAAAGAACCGCATATGATAAGACGATAGATGCCGCAGCCGATCTTCGGGAGCAGCGGAAAGCGCTTTGCGGAAAACTGATCTGACGCGGCACGCACACATGTGACGAGCCACGGTGCACCACCGTTGCGACGAATGCCGCCAACTGTACTGGATATTGCCGTCAAAAGGATGAGCTCGCAAAGTTCAACTTGCGGGCGAAGCCGGCGGCCGTCCGTGGAATGGTGTCTATCGCATGGCTACTCGATTCCGGACTGGTTGCTCCGCCGGAATATATGGTGTCCTTTCAACTTGGGGACGCGCTTTCGAGGATCCCACGGGCTAATAAACTGCCGAAGCGTCGGCAACGGTCGACACGTGGTACGTAATTTTATCCATGCCTGCATACACATCAGGTCCTGACTTTCCACGGCCTGAACGCATCACATTCGGCGTTTGACGATTACTCCGAGGTATTGGGGTCACATGACTACACCGTAGTGAGTTTCGGTGGGTTCAGTTGTCATGCAAGTAACTTGCCGCAGACCTGTATGGCCATGGGCTAAGTGACACCCCAGCCTACAAGGTATTCGGCCGCCAGTATTCGCTCAACTTCTTCGTTGACCAGGCGGAGGAGGTTCTGGCGCACTTCCGTCTCGATGAGCGGAAGATCACAGTTATGGGCATCTCCATGGGCTGCTGCATCGCCGCGGCATTCTGCGACCGCCACCCCGATCTCGTCGAAAGGCTCATCCTAGTCTCCCCGGCAGGGCTTATTCCACGCCCCCCTTTCATGGTTCGTTTGGTAAAACTGTTCCACTGCTGCATACCCTGCGCGCCGCTCTGCGTTCGCCAGTGCTGCTTCGCGCACAGGTCGTCGAACGAGGCGTTAGACAACTTCACGAACCACATGCTCTGGCGCATGTGTGTGACTCCTGAGTCGGCCGCCGGCATGCTGGGCGTAATAAAGCGCATCCCGCTCTGGAACGGATCAGGGCTCTACCGACGGGTCGGTGCAATGAAAAAGCCGACGCTCATCATTTTCGGCGCGAAAGACGTAGTGACCCCGCCCACGTGCGCCGATAAGTTCCGGGAGTACTTCGTCAACTCGCACGTCATCATCTTCCCGGAGGTGGGCCACCTGGCATCGTACGTGATGCCAACAGCTATCGCAAGTACATGCCTGGCGTTCCTCAGCGTGCCTCCCGACGGCAAGGTGGCGCGCTACGCCAGGTGGCTGCCGTTTTCTGCTGACGGCGTTTACATCGGCCGTGAGCACCGGCGGATCGAACGCAGCTCCGAAGCAGACGAATCGCAGGGAGCCTCCTGTCCGGAGCGGTTTTGCAGCATGGACAATAGCAGCTCAGAGGGGAGCCCGAAACGGATGTCCTACCGCGCGTCGTCCGCGAGACTGAGCACGTCGTCGCGGAATCATAGCTCGCCACTCTCCCTGGTGGTTGTCGACCAGTACGAGAACATCCGCAATGGTCCCACTTAATTTTAGCTTAACTGTAAAGACCTTAGCATTTTGTCTAGTGCAACATCGCAACAAGACTGTCAAGGTATCCGCATACCGTCGTCCGGCACGAGCGTCTCCAACGGGCCAGGCGCGCAAGGCACACATCGGCGTGAAGCGGCTCTCCGCGGAGTATGTATCGCCAGGAGATGTGCTAGTGAAGCAGCGGAAGACGATCGCGCAGAATCCAGATGTTACGCGTAACCGGCACTTCAAGATCTACCCCGGCGAGAACGTCGGGGTATCTTCGAAGACAACCACGCTTTTCGCGCTCGCCGCAGGTCGTGTGAAGTACACGCACGACGTATATCGCAACGTTAAACTTGTTAACGTGCTGCCCGAGCCGCCGGACGAGTTGCTACGCGAGGATTTGTGGCGCTACCGCACGGAGCATGTGTCTAGCGTCCAGGACAACTGCGCATTGGTGTGGCGCCGTGTGAAGAGCGCCCACTACATGTTGCATGCCGACAAACTGGTGAACCCGCCACGCAAACCGCCACCAAGGGCGCGGTTCCTATCACGCAACGACCCCTGGAACAACCAGGCCTACCCCGACCTGCCCATTAACTACAGGTTCCCGCCGAAATGAGGCCATCACCTGCGCAATACGCGCTCTGTAAAACTTATAGTAATCATTATATGCACATGCTTTGGCCATTTTTTGGTGAGATGCCTTTAAGGCGAAGTCCGTTAACTGGGTTAGACAAATATTTGGAATTGGTAGGCACTCGAACATCCAAGTGTTAAATGTACGCAAAACAGGTGTGGTTGTGATTAGTAAGTTGCAGTTGGCGTTGGGTCATAAGCAAAAGCGATTTTATGATCAAGGCACAGGGATTTACGCTGGGAGCATGCGATGACAGAAATGTACGCGGCAAATGGAAGCCCAACGGAAATTCAACAAGCATGTTAGTGTAAAGGGCAGAAATTAAAAACCATGCAGACACGTTGATCGCATCTCACAACCAATCAAGGTTCTCTGCAGGTGCGGCAATTGCCCTCTCTGAAGGGTAAACTGCTGGCCAGCATGGACACGTTGGTTAAGGGGCTGTATGAAACGGCGTCGCTATGAAATACATGAGGCACAAGTATGCTTAATGTAGAGATGTCATGGGTTTATTCGTGGCCTGGTTGCATGGCACGAGGTAGTTGCGTATCGCAGACGAACACGCTGCCGTCAACTGCGCCATTGCAATGTTGAACCTCCTTGCGTATTCCACCGTGTCCTCCTCGGTGTTGAACACTATGTCGAAGGCGGTTACGCTGTAGGCGCGCAGCGGCTCGCAGTACGAGTGGCCCTCCCGGGGCGATTCCTTGGACTCGGGGTACCACATGATGACAACTGAGCACGTGCGTGACGCCACGTCAAACTTCCTTATCTCCACGTTCCAAAGCGGGTGGATACATCTGTAATGCGTAAGCAATGATGTTTTGGGTACTTACGTTGCTTCGTATAGAGAGGTGTGCGGCTTTTCGCGCACCAGCAGGAAGAAGGCGTCGTTGCATACAACGAACCGGCGCTTTTTCTCCGCCTCGAGGACCATGACACAAGGATACTTGCGCACCTTATCGAGGGAGATGAGGGCGCCGAGAGTGACGGGGGTGCCGTTTATTGCGATTTGCTCCTCCTTTAGCAGCGGGCACCGGTCGTACGCGGTACTTCGCCGCCACTTGGCCGGAAGTGTCGTCCTTCCTCGCGTCAGAACAGTAGATCCGAGTTCTTCCAGCGTGTCCTTGACAAGGCAGGCGACCTGCAGGTGCCGGCGGTACAGTTGCAGCGGCTCCAGCATCACCTCCCAGGTGTCATACTTCTGAGCCCTGACCAGTCGCGACTCTGCGATGGCGTCCTGCTTGTTATGGTGGTTCGGTTGGCGTTCGGCCGCGGATTTGCGGTCGTGCCAGTCCCCGAAGAGCCACATGCCAATAGGCGTGCGAGGGGTGATGACTTCGTTGAGCACGTCCGGGTATATACTCCTAACGGCTCCTGCTGCCGTCATGTACTCCTTTGACTGGGACGCGCCGCCTTTGGTGCTTACAGCTATTGGAGGCTCTGACGTCGACCTATTGAATGTCTTGTCACTCCTTCTTAGCCTGCGCCTCAGCGACCCGCTGCGGTCGGGATCGAGCAGAATATGCGGATACTCCAGAATGTCCACTCGCCGCGTTATGCCAGCCTCCATCCGCAGCCACTCGTCGTAGAATATCGAAATGTGGAGTGGGGTGCAGTGCTCGAGCTCGCTGTTGATCAGCAGCACCAGCTCGTTGAACCCCGTGTCCAGGTGGAACCGGATCTCTTCCACCATCGACATGATCTCACGCCGGTTGTACATGTTGATGATGTCGATGCTGTTTATTGCAATGGAGAGCGCGACGCTGAGCGTCTGGATCCGCAACGTCGGGCAGCTGAGATGCTTGGCGACGGAGTTGATCCCCTGGACCACTATGTGCAGCCCCTGGGAGGTGCTCGGAACGGCGATAAATTGTTCGAATGGTAAATCGTCCGCAATCTCGGGGTTGGGCGCCTGCTTCATGAACGAATTCTGCAGGCTGTGAATCAGGGCCATCAGCATCGACAGCCGGCTGTCGTTCTTGGCCACGCAGCAGATGCCGATGCGCACGAATTCGCCCATCACCATGTTCGGAACGTAGTTGTCTGGGATACTCCAATCCTTCTTATTACTCCCCTCGCGCAGATGGACGGAATGAGGGCCGTAGACGTGCCGCTCCCATGCGTTGATGCTGTTGAACACCATCGCCGCATTGTCGTCCGCCGTCTTGTCATCCCCTGAGGCTTCGGCGGCTTTGTCCCCGTTGCTGTTGGTGACGTTGAAAAGCGCGATATGCTCCATGACGTCCCGTGGGATGAACGGGCACAACGTTAGCAACAGAAAGTATCGGCGCACGTCGTCCCTCCTCGCTGACTGTCAAAAATGCGACATCCCGATTAAAATTCGGAACTTACCGCCAAATGGGTTACCAGAAGGTAGTAAGCCACGTTTGGTAGCAGCTCGTTCGCCAGCAACACCGCTGGGATGTTCAGGTTCTGGAAATCCGCCATGGACCTTGGCGTCGACGTGGAGGATGCTGACTCGCCGCCCTGCGATTTGTTATCGCCATCGGAGGCACCCGATTTGTCCACTGCCTCCCCGTCCGCTTCAAGACGCATGACGGTGCCGGCGAACAGGTCACTTTTGTTGGTGGCATAGACTCCCAGAAGTCCATTCTGTGTAAGCACGTGTTGGTATGCGGACCTGTAGAAGCCGCATTGTGGCACTTTGGGGACGTCTACAACATCCAGCAGCGAGACGTCGGCTTCGCGTCCACGCAACAGTGAGCACCAAAGCGGAAAGAAGCATGTGGTGAACAACCGTCGAAGAAGAGCCTGAGGAGCCATTGAATTACATCATCGATTGCGACCTACCTCGTTGATGTCGGTGTTCCCGAGGTCCATTATGTCCAAAAGGAACTGGAAAACATCGTCGCATTGTGCTGCGGCCGCATGAATATCACGGCAGCGACAACTTACTGAGTAGGATGGATTCGGTCTGGCCGATCGTCGCGAACGTGGCGTTCTTCACATGTCTGTTGAGCCGCCGCCAGCTGTATCTCAGGTACAAGGCCAATTGGGTCAGTATATGCGATTTGTCCAGCAGATATCGCGTAACAGATGGGTCGTTCACTGCACAGGGCGTTAATCCTTCTTGCCGTTGAACCCACGTCGCAATATGTTGAGCATGATGGTCATTGCGTGCGCGCGCTTCATGCTGTCGCTGCTGGAGAGTAACTTCACAGCCTCGTCCAGAAGCGGAAACGTGTCATTCCCCTAAAATTTGTGAGAGCAAAAAGCTCAGTTCATACCTCCTGGCAGAAGAACTTGATGGTAGTTTGGTTAAGTATTCCGCTAATGGTCTTGAGCAGCGAGGCAGTCCAACTGCTGACGTCGCCGCCGGTGTGCATGTTGGGGTGGGTGATGAGCGTGTTGAGGTAGTTGTTAGACAGGATATAATCTGCATGGATTCAGCAATTCTGCACGTCAATACTCACAGAGAGTTCTCTCGTTCCCCACGTTGTGTATGATCATGGAGATCGTCTGCAGCAGCTGTATGCGTACGAGCCTGAAATGAGAATTCGGCAGGACTGCAGTGAGAAATTCCATCATATTTTCCTCACAGAAGTAGCTGCAAGCGGGTTAACAGTGGTAACACGGTCGCCTACTCAAAAATAGGCTCGAAATCATTTTTCTCTCCCCAAATGACCAGTTCCGCAAGCTGCTTTAGGGCATCTACCAGATCCACCGCAGCAGCTGTGCGCGCTATTTGCCGATTCAACACATTGCAGTGAAGCAGCCTGCTCGTCGTCAACGCGATGCAATGAGCAACTACCTCAATTGCTCCAGGTATGTCATTCCGACATCCTGGGCGTCGAGAGTCTCGACCTCTAGGTCCGCCATTGTAGGATTCTGCGTGTGTCACAGCATCCTAATATCTCAATTGGCAGGACGTTACGCGCCTGGATTGAGGTGCATCCTATAACGTGAAAGGGGCGTCACTGATGCGCGCCCGTCCCCATCGGCTGATGTGTAAGAGTAGGCGGGGCAAGACGTGCCCCCAAAACAACTGTGTACGGTTTTTCGGTTTGATACTAGCGTTCGTGTAAGTTTCTGTGTGTTAGAGTGGCGTGACGGCGCTAAATCAGGCGGATTCCAGGGCTTCGAGGTTCGCCACGGCGTACGGCCCCTTGATATAGGAACCGTAAACGAGGTGTGCCTTCATTGGTAATTTGAAGGGTGTGCCATCACACAACGTGACTTCGTGTACGTCCCCCTGCGAGTATCATAAACGCGGCGCTACTAGACAACGCACCTTGAAGAGGTACAGAATGTAAAGCTGAGTCCCGTCTTCAGAGTTGGTTACGTGATTCTGCTCGACCTGGGTGATTGTGAGATTCAGTATTTACGCAATAAAACATCCAGTTATGAAACCCATTTGTACCATCGTGCGAATCGCAGTATCCTTAAATGTTGCCACGCTAAGCATTCGCCCACCGACGGTAGACAATTTAACTCCATTAGACACACACCATACGCAACTTAAGTGCAGAGAGGCTCATTTAGACACTAAATACACATTTAGCCGAAACTTACGAAATCCATCGGGTTGTAGAATCCGGGCAAAAATGCGTAGGACATGTGCCCATTGGGGTTTACATGTAGCACGCCGTGTTCAATGAGCAGTTGCAGCTGAACAGTGACCTCGATGAAAGGGCCTTTGAGTTGGTGCGCCTCGATGGTTTCGACTGAAGAGATGCTTTGCGGGTCCCTCAGACTCAGGTTGCCATAGAGCGCCTTCTTGACCATCAACCCTGCGGCATGTGTCGAGATGTAAGGTGGTACTCACCTTGCTTGTTGTACTGTTCCAGTACCGATGCGATATATGCTTGGGTGTGATCTTGCAAAAAGTGACTGTAGCGCTCCTTGAGCTTCTCGCCGAGCGTCCGCAACTGGTCGGACAACTGCTCCCCTGTGCGGAAACCATTCTTCAGGTCGTATAGCATCCGCTTGTATTCGTCGCCAAGAATGTCGTACGCGCTTTGCACGTCAACGAGCAGTGGCACTGCAGCCTCGTCTTGGCATCTGATAGCTTTGAGGTCTGCACATAGGTATCCTACTTGTCTGGGTGGAGCAGTCTCGCAAAGTGGTAGTACGCCCTGCGCACTTCCGCTGTCTTGCAGTCGGAATCGAGTTCCAGTATGTCGTAGAGCGACCTTTTGCGCTTACGTAGGATGCTGGCGCGCTTGGTCGTGTATTCCTCGATGGATGTCGAGAGAGACGACGCAGGGAGCGTCGAGGGCTCCATCGGTACCGGTACCTAGCCGCTGTACACACTCATGCGAAAACTATAGATTAATCCATTTCCTATGTGAATGACGAGAATCCAGTCCTCAAGCAGCGCGTCTTTCTCCCTCTAGACCCGCAGCCGTGTGTAAGCGTCCCCACGTTAAGTCGACATTACAGACGCTTCATGGCGAAGTTCACAGCCATTACCAGCAAAATAGATACCACTAGTCTGATGGGCTCGACCACCTTGGTTGCGATGTAGGCCACTGTGAACTTGGCGATGCTACTCTCCATATCTGGCACCTGGAAGTGCGTGACGTTGATTCTTTCCAAAATTTTGCGTAGATCGCCGCTCGAAAGAAATCCGTTAAATGTTAATACGTTCATGAATATGAGCGTGGCGACGTACACACTGCAAGCATTTCGTCGCGAAATTGGAGCGCCTTACCCTAAATAAATTCCGGCTCCAAGTTTGCCGTACTTCTTGATAGAAAACATCGCGGATTTGCCGAACTGAGGCTTATAGATGCTTCACATAATTCACCTACCGCTGTAGACTTCTTTAGAACCTTGTCTTTCAGCTCCTGCATCTTTTTGCGGCGCAACGCATTTCTTGGCGTCGCAGCAAATTTCACCTTTTTTTTCGAAAGGTACCTTTTCACCGCGCCGAAACTATAGCTAGAACGTTTAAATGCCTGGTGTTGTATGAAGTTCTTGAACAGGGACAATCGGCTCTTGATTTGCAGCAGTGCCCTGCGTAACCCCTTCCGTTTTTTCAGCAGCTTTTCTTCGACATTAGGCTTGCACTCCGGCGGGCATCGCGATGATGCATCTGCTTCAGATGCATGTTCCGGAGTGGCACGTTTACTGCCGTTTTGCGATTCAACCTCCTTGGAAGGCACGCTTTGGTGAAAGAAGCGCCAGTAATATCGACGCGGCGCCGTGAGGCCGGTAGGTTCCAGAGGAATGTATCCATATGAGCGTGGTCTGAACGAAAGGCATAGATTCCGCGGCGGTTGCCGAACAGTTGTGAGCGGATGACGCAAGCTCGAGATTCTAGGCCTTAGCGCCAGCAGGCGCAAGCCTAGGAATGACGAATGCGTGCACATCACTTGTTACGATGACGAAATAGTTGATGCGATGTGTTAACTGCAACGGAATCCACCAACAACCGCGGGTTGTGATGTATGCAGTTCCAGACTCGCGATTACCTCCACACGCAAATGCATATTAAAGCGCACTAATTGCGGGGTATTTTGGATTTTTCTTGTTATTTGTAGAACGCAGCATAGCGTAGGAAGGATATTTATTAACACCTTTGATGTGTCATTAATAGCAGTTCGATGAGCGCGATGTTGACGATAGGAAGGGCGATATAACGCGTCCGGCAGAATACGACCACCGTGTCGTACACTTTGTGTGTGGTTTCTGTTACATGTGTTGTAGGCAGTCAATGATTGGAGCTACCCTAGACAAATCACGGGGTCCGCTATCAGGCCCAAATAAATCATTTATGCGCTTATATACATTTAGTGAGCGACTCAGGTCGTAATGTGAGTTTTTATTGTGCGTTATTTGAGCCGCTAGGGTAATTCTATTTTACTTCTATTGGGGTAATTGATTGCATGACAAATGTATTAGGGCAAAGCGCCAGTGTTAAACCGCTTCTGCAGTTATATATTGAAAAATACGTAATTGTGATAGAGCATTGAGCTTCATACCACTAATATTTGACAGGTAGTGGACGCCTTAGGCTCTCACCCATGGCGCAGCGAATTCACTTTGGGTCCGCTTTGAGTCCAGAGGTCTCCATCCAAGCCTGGCGGTAAGAGTCCTCGTCGTAAGAGAAGTGGAAAGTGGAGGCCGGACCGTGCCTGTAACCCTCGGCAATGCCATTGAGGATGTGCTTGGCGCAGTCGATCTTTGTGGCTTTCGGGTGCCTGTTCTTGTCTCCGCAGATGAGGTATGTGGAGCAGCAGATCATGGCCTTGCGTGACCTGGTGGGGTCGCGCTTAGCCATGCCGTTGTGGTCGCACACGGCCGTCATCAGATTCTCACCAGTGGCGTGGAGAGCGCGATAGAAGTCAGCGAGGTCAGCGTAGTTTTGGGCCAGCGGCTCCACGACATAGATCAGTCCCATGTTGTGAACGTTGTCGTACGGGTGCTTTTTGAAATCGCAGATGAAAACGACACCCTCGCCCGGCGCCTTGAAGCTCTGCTGATCCTTCGAGATGCGGCATAAGGCGAATTTCAGATCGGGGTGCTGGAAGGCAGAGTTCGCCATGGTAACAGTGAATACAGTGGGTTCGGCGGCATGCGCAGCCAGGGCCTCCTGATAGAGCGTCGAAAACAGCTTGGTGTAAGCATCGATGCTGTGGCCGGTGGCTTTAAGCAGTTCGGTGAAGTGGACGTGTTGGTGGCCCTTTGACGGCATGGCGAAGGATGTGCTTCCGGCGATGACCTTGCAGCAGTGCTCGCCAGCGTCAGCTTTGAAAGTGTGGGCCAGCTCCCCGGGGTTCGGCTGCGCAGCAAATGAAACGTAGGCCGGCGAAATCCGAGAGCCCTTGAACTCGGGGTGTTTGCGCATGAAAATGTGGACGCCGGGAATGTAAACGGGTCCCTTAGAACGCGGGTTCGTGCACTTGTTCAGCGCAGTTTCGAAGCGGATGGTGGTAGCCGCGTTCTTCATCATGAGAGCGTGCTGGAGCTGCACGCAGTGGGGAATGGCATCACCCAGGGCGCTCAGGATGAGCACCTCGGTACCTGAGGAAAAATGATTACTCGGCGGGGCGACACGACGTACCTCCAGCAAACAACTCGCATGATGTGCGGATGAAGAACGCCTTCGGGCGCTGGACGGAGATGAGCAGGACCTTCGAGTTAGGGTAATCCTTGCAGATGGCCTCCAAGTTGACCTTGGGACTGCTCTTGGGCATTTCACCCGCTACACTCATTTTTTCTGCGGTGTCGTTTGATGCTATCAGCAAGCAATTGCGTTCGCCGGTGGCCGGCCGACCACAGAATCACACACGATCTCGCTTAGCGACTCACGTGGACTGCGCCCAACACGTTAGTGGGTCAGACGTAATTGCGAAACTCCTATCGTAGCGAATAATGTATAGTAGCTGCAGCCCCATTCCTGGGTCCGGGAGGCGAAAGCAGCGGCAGCGGGCACTGCCCACTCACCGTGGCACGACACACGGTACTTCCGTCGCGCCGTCGGCGGATCCATAAATTCTTAATATTTTCGTAGATGCTTTGACGGTGTAATCTACTCCGGGAGTGAGATTCGTGTACGTGGGTATGTCGACGCCGCGCGCTATCCTGGCCGCGTCCTTGCTTCCATGAATTCGTTTTATCTGCATTCAGCATACACTACGGCTTTCAATCGCTTTTGTGGTTGATTCAGCCATTGGTGGCTGAAGATGCTGTCGTTCAACGTCTCTGTACTTTGCGGTGTGTGGAAGGTCAGCTATTTTGGTTAAAACAGCACCGCTGTGTGCTATCGCTTCACACGCAATGGGCCTTCTATGGGCTGACATAGGTAGCGGTACTGCATGATATAAGTGGTGTAATGGTTATCGGGGGTCACCAAGCGTGATCCCATGTCACCAGGCAAAACCTAAGGCCTGAACGCTAATTGCAAACCTGCATTCATTCCACTGCCACAGTGGAAGACACCACGAGCGTAAATGGTATGAATAATCCACATTAGAACAACGAAGGTTTTGATTTGGTAGAGAACATCACCGCGCCTCTCCTCGATGCGAGGTCAGAAGGTATCACGGTATGGCGTTGTCTCGTTTGTAAGCCGTCTCCTCACAGACTTTAGTCTATGGAGTAGGGCGATATAATTGTTTACGGTTCCGCTGTACGCAGGCTGTGACCGGAATCAATTCTACGAATAGATAAATACATGCCGTCGTCTAACCGACCGTAGGTCCTCTGCAGAATGAACAACAACAGCAGCAGCGCGAATACGATGGAGAGGGTCACAAGCAACCAGTGCACTGCGGAAAAGCCACTGCGCTCTCCCTCACTCGCATTCGAATCCGAAACGGACCCGCTTTCAACGTCGTCGTGGGGAAGCGAGTTTTCTGCAGGCGCCTCATTAGGCACCCTAATGGCACTGTCAGTGTTCATGCGGCTCACCACGTCCGAATTGTCGCTCGGTTTTGACATTTTAGCCTGTGTTGTATTTACTAATCTTGTTGCCACAAAGCTTTCAAAAGATCGTGCAGATATTATATTTCAATATCCACTGACTCATTAATTGCGGATACTGTACGGTTACTCTGCCATGCCGTACGCGGCGACTGGTCTCGTTAAACCTTAGGAAGTGGTTAAATTTTAAAGATCCTTGCGCAAAGCACAGGAAACAAGGCCTACTCACGCAATAAAATGCTTTGTGCCCAATAGACCTATTCAAAACTGACTATTAAAGTGCAAGTAGGTGCCACTATTAGATTGCGTCTCGTTCTGGGGGACACTTTTCAGTACTGACGATGCGTCAACCCCCATTGGTGATGCCTTGACGGAATAATAATGTGATACTCGTAATCGAATACATTATAACTACGGAAAATCAGATGAGAACGCATGTTTACGACACAAAATGACAACTAAAGTAGCTTTATTCGCCCGACAACTGCAGCCGTTATAGACGGTGTAGCTGCGAACGGCGCCACCAATATGATCAGTAAAAACATGCTAGGTTGGTACATTAGCTGCGGCAGATAGCGGTGGCGATAGTGCTTACAATCAGACGTTCCGCATGCCTCGATGATAAATCGAGGATGCCAAAGAGGAACACGTACAGACGTCTACACGTCGAGTGTACGCGCATCGTGTAACAGTTATTATGAGCACTGACAACCAACTACTGGTAAAACCGCCCACAATGAGTATGTAGACGCTATGGAAATAGGCTGATAGCGTACGGTAATGTCTAATCCTTTTTTGTGAAATCCAATGACCATAGCAGCAGCCTTAACACATTACCAAAACCGGTACAGCTGACTAAGTATAACGTCATCTGACAGCAAACTAAAACATAACAGCAATATCACCGAAAGAAAAGCAAAAACGACGTAACTGTCACGAATACGGGAGTCGCAATACTGGCGCCATTCAGAGATAGAGCTGAGGTCCAATCCTGCGCTAACTACCACGAAATAGAGGTATAATGCTACACATCAGGTGAAATAATTATTTGATGCCTGATGTGTAGTGGTCAGGAGGCTGTATGGGTCGTGTCTACGAGAACGCGACCGTCCACCCCCCGGTAACGACCTCTACACATGTCAGTCGGAAAATGGCCCTATCGCACTTTTTCGTGATCTCCAGCTGTGGAGACCGACTGCTGCTGCGGAACCTTCGAGGAGAAGGCGCCGAGGGTGAGTTCCGGAGCATTACGCTTCACGTTGTTTCAGGGTCTGTAGACGAGTTCTACACCGCGGTCACGGAGCGAGGAGAAGACGCCCGGCCGGTGTTTAAGATCTCCGACGTGCTGTACTACCATGTCAAGCGCTATGGGCTCTACTTCGTGGCGACGACGTCGTTTGCGGTGCCGCCGTCGTTCGTATTCGAGCTAATCAATCGCATAATCGCAACCTTTAAGGTGTGTCTCCTAGGACACTGCGTCACAGTTTGCAGGACTTCTGTGGCGTCCTGAGCGAGGAGTCGCTGCGCCGCAACTTCGTCCTGGCGTACGAGGTGCTGGACGAGGTCCTAGACTTCGGCTACGTGCAGTGCACGAACACTTCGCAGCTGAAGCAGAAGGTCTACAATGTGGCAGTCATGCCGACCACGCACACGCGTCCAGCGGTATGTCGCGTCAAAGCAACTGTATATTTGAAGCAGGTTGGCATGCGTTCTAGCGCTGTGGCGCCCCCGATGACGCTGCCCAGCGCGGTCTCGCAGCGGCCGATCGCAGGCGGGTCAATGCGTGGCAGCGAGATATTCGTCGATGTCTTGGAGAAGCTGTCGGCGATTTTAGGTGCCGACGAGACTTACAGGAGCGTCACCGTTGATGGCCAGATCCAAATCAAGAGCTTCTTGCGTGGGTCGCCTCAGGTGAAGCTGGCGCTCAACGAGGGCATCGTTATCAACAATCGGCGTGGGAAGGTGCCCAACGTGCCGGTGTTGGACTTCTGCAACGTTCACCAAAGTGTGGATACGTCGGAGTTCGAGAAGTCGCGCGTGCTCTCGTTCACGCCCATGGAGGGCGAGTTCACGCTGATGACCTACCGCATATCGGGAAGCGCAGTGCTGCCGTTTAAAGTTAAGGCGTCAATAGAGTCGACCAAGGAATCGGTAATTGGGATAGTGCTCCAGTTCATTGTCATGCAGGCGAATATCACGATCAACGTATTCTGCAGCATCAACCAGCACCTGGACGCCAGCGTCACGGTGAGGTGCCCGGTGCCGCGGGCAACCAATACTGCGACGCTGAGCACAATGCCATCAGACGGAGGGACTACAGCGGAATACAGAGCTAGTGAACACGCGTTATTGTGGACTATCAAGCGTTTCAGAGTAGGTTGGGTGAGGCGCTTCAACAATGCCATGCAGGGGGGGACCGGTATGACCTTTAAGGCTACGCTTAACTTCACGCCACAAGCTGCGAGTGTATCGCGAAGAGAGTTTGGTCCCATAAATGTGACATTCGAGGCGCCCAGGTATAGCGTTTCGAATGTCCACGTGAGGTACCTGCGCATCATCCAGCCGCAGTCCAGCGCGCCGACGTACCGATGGGTGCGCTACATCACGTCTTCGAACTCTTACCTGTGCCGCTTCTAACGTATAGCGCTAATGCTCGGTAGTAGTGGTGCTCGTTTCCTGATGGCTTGAATACGAACGCTAGCGGAGTGAGTTCCATTTTTATGGGCATCGGCGAATACCGCGTTGTGCGTGCCCACTTCGAGTCGAACTCGCCGCGGTCCAGATCTGCTTGTGCTTTCCCCCCAAGCATGTCCATGGCGCTTGAACTCTGGTTGCTAGCAGCGCTGGAGTTCTGCTCGTCGCCATAGTTGGCGTCAACGTGGGCGTTAATGGCCTTTGCACGCCCTCTCAATTCCCCTGACTTGTGTTTGTCGCTTTGGTTCTCACTACCGCTTTTCTCCTTGATTAGCGTTACCTCGCCACCTGCGAAATGGTATTGCCTACGTCTGATACTTGCCTAGTGTTATGCGCGTGATGACGTGCGTTCCCCATTTATGGAAGAACTCGAACCAGAGCATGCTTACTGTTTTGCATCTATTGTCGTAGTGGCGAAGGGTGCATTGTTTGTGCCTCCTTAAGGCTGCCAGCAGATTGTTGACGGCCGTATTAAAACCGCGATTCAGTTTGCTGCATTTTGTAAGTTTTTTATGTTGGCACCTACGTCCTTCGATTGAGCAGGACTCCGGCCACAAAGGCAACACAAGATTCTCTCTTTGAGAGCTGATTCTTCGATGTTTTGGAGCTCGTGGAATTTCCGACTGAGAGCTTGGCCGACAGTGACGCTTCGTCGGAGCCCGAATTTTCTTCATTGCTCTCAGGCTCGGATCCTGTGTCATCATCGAGCGATAACACGTCTTCCTCGTCGTCGTCTTCGGAAGGCGAATCTCCATCCGCTGATTCTTCTATCAATGAGGCGAAAGGGTCTTCGTCGTCATCCTCTGAAGCGTCTTCATCTTTCTGCGGGGAATCTCCTTCCGAAATTGCATCTTTGCTTTCTCCGGCGGGTAGTTCGTTTCCTTCTATGGTCTTCCCTTCGCTGGTGGGTTGTCCGTTTGCGTCTTTCGCCTCGCCTTCTCCGTCGGTGCTGCTCACTTTGGGTGCCTTTGCCGCTAACTTGGCATCGAGATTGGCCATTAGCTGCTCGCTGGAGCTCTTTGTGTCTTCACTATTAGTTGTCTGTGTGTAATTTTGCGTTTACACGGGGAAACCTGGACTCACGTTTTCCTTGATGGAGTAGTACGGCACCCGCCATGCATAGACGTTGCGTGGTAGTCCCCAGCGCAAGGTGTTGTTGTACCGCCTGGAATTGGCACCCGGCCATACCAATTGCACTATGGGTGCCTTGAATTCGGCGCCGTCATTGGTGTCACCGTCCTGGGCACTTTTGCGTGCCTTCTCCACTACGTCGTAGCCCAGCCCTAAATACTCTGCGGCGCATTAATTGCATATTCGCACTTTACTACCAAGGCTAGGTATTGAAGGCCTATTTCCCGGGTTAACGGCGGTAAGACTACCGGAACGGAATTGCGGCGCATCTGTGACCGCCGCGGCGATATTTATCAGGTGAAGATGAACAAAGAATATTACAGCGATAGTTTTGAGCGCAGTGGCAACATTCCCCTGCCAAAAGGGGGTTATATTCGCAGCAACCATTGTTTCTAGCACTTGTCATCGTGGTAGAGGTAGCGTGCGTCTGCAGACCCAGGTGGTAATTCTGCGTCTGCGGACTCATGTCATCCCACACGGTGCACTTACGTAGGTGGTTGTCGACCGGGAGCCTCTTTTCCTTTGCGTTGGAAAGCATCGATATGATGCTGAGGACGAAGCTCGTCACCGACGCCGTGGGCACGTAGTCCGACCCGAGGCTGCTCATGCAGATGTCGCCGTTCGAGTACACATGTGCGTGCACTGGTGCTGCAGCGATGTGAATCACCTTCTATGTACGTATGGATACAATGCGATGGGGTTGCATCCATAAGTGGGTTGTAACAGGTCAAGGAAACGTAAACCTACACGGCTGCAGGAAGTAGACCACCGGAGGCTTCAAAGGGTACTCCTTGGGGAATAGAATCTTCAGGCGGTATTTCTCACCCGCGTAGAGAGTACCAGGAAGACCCGTCCAAGTGATGATCCAGATGTCGTTGCGAGATCCAAAGACCTCCAGAGTACAGTTCGGAGGCGGGTCCTTCCTGAAGTTTGCGAGCTCCTGAAACCATGTGATCCCACGTGTCTACAGTTGTATCTGTACCTTTTGTAGCCTGTTGAAGTACAGGTGGTTGCGATTTATGCCCAGGGCGAGTGGGCGAGAGCTGCAGAATCTCGGCGGCCGCGCAGTGAGAGCGTGCGCGGCGAAGGCAACTACGCCGAGGAGCATTAAGCCCAAACGCGCAACCGCCATGGTGGCATGTTCTAAGCAAAATTAGTTATTTAACGGTGTCAAATTATGATGCTGCCACTCTCATGTATGCTCTTGGTGATCTGCTTGTGCGGAAGGACGATACACTCCCGAACAAAGAGGCCCTCAGATACCTCAACATTTTTGCCGAAAACACTCAGACCCTCCACTCGTACCTGCGAGTGAATGTGCGTGTATATCGGCAACTTACCCAGGGGTGTATGCGACAATCCCAGCCGACGATGCTGCCTTCCACGTAGATGTGCGCTCCCAGACGTGCACCTGAGTCCATTAGCTGATGTCTGATAGCACATACCTTCCAGGACTGTGGATTGCAGGATTCTGCACCCCTCCCCTATAGACGTGTTCTGGCCGATACATACGTTAGGACCCAGTACACATCCGCGGTCTATGCGAGAGGAGGGGTGGACGAGCACCGGCGGGTGAATCACCACGTCTTTTCCGATGTTTGGGTAGGCGCTGATGTCGTCTGTAGTTTCTCCTTCAGTGCCTTCGGCACTATTATTGCATTCGCCCTTCCGACGAATTAGCAGGCCGCCCTTTGTCTTTATGACGACCAGCGGGCCCTCCTCGGGCACATTGCCACCGTTCGCACTGCAAAGGGTCGGATTTATCTGCTCGTTGTGCTTGTGCCCTGATATGTAGAGCCCCTGGGCATGGATGTAATCCTTGGGCTTCCCGATGTCGGCCCATATGCCGGTCAGCGGGTGGCAGAACGTCTTGCCCATTGCCACCAACTTGGGGAAAAAGTACCGCTCAATGGATACATTTCCCGGAGGTATGTGCGATATCATCGACTTGTTCACCACGTAAACGCCTGAGAGCCGTCACATGGCTCAACGTGTAACCCACCCGCATTGATCTCGTTGGAGATGAACTCCGCCGGCTTCTCCACGAACGCCTTTATGCGGAAATCTGCGTCATGCACGATCACGCCGAAGTCTTTGGGGTGTGCGGTTTCGGTGACCAGTATCGTTGCGTCCGCAGAGTTGCGGCGGTGCGCCGCTACCAGCTCGGAGAAAGGGTAGTTGCTAATGACGTCGCTGTTGAGCACTAGGAAATCGGCGCAATCATCTTCGGGATCGCACAGCAACTTTTCCGCAAACTTTAGTGGTCCGGCTGCAAGTTGTGTGGGCGACGGCGTTCGACCTACCTGTGCCGAGCGTTTCGGCCTCGATGGAGCAGTCGATACGAACGTTGTACTGCGGGTCATTAGCTGCACAGTGGGTTGACTTACTTTCTCACTAAGCTGCGCAATCGTAGGCAGCATGCTGCTTTGGTCCTGCGGAATCGCAAGGATGATGTGGTCCACGCCAGCCTGCGCATTTTGAGTTAGGTCGTAACAGCAGATCGCGTTGCTGCCGTAAACACGCACATCATTCCAGCACTATGCCAGACATTCAGCATGTACTAGTAGGCTACAGCGCGGCGAGTTACCGGACCAAAGACATGTCTTTATGTACTTCTTCTGTACGATGCAGAAGACAACACACCTCGAGGCTAGCTTCAATCTGATACTCGACAATCGGTCTGTTGCAGAACGGCATGAACGGCTTCGGGACCGTTAGCGTGAGAGGCCGTAGCCGCGTGCCGTGGCCGCCGGCGAGGATGAGACACTTCATTTGGGAAGCTGGCCATCGGAGACCGCCACGGCAGCGGTGTAGAAGCAGTAGAGGTGTTCAACTAGGTGTAGATGTCGTGTGATTTTTACGACATCGCAAATACCAACTCTGTTGGCGTAGCCAACAACCTATGTATGCCCTTATGTAGTGCGCGTCTACCGGCGCGGCTGTCCACTAATTTTTCGTGCCGCTACCGCTAAGACAGCAGATGCATGTGACCTTTGTGTGTCTAAATGACGAGGTAACGGGTTTAATACGTGATGTGTGTAGAGATACAGTGAGTAGCGATGCTTAAGTCTGCCTTCCGTCGGTGAGGTTCGCGGCGTCGTGATTCCACAACTACGTTTGGCACATGGCTCCCAAATAGCCATACACACACGCCAGTAACGTTTTTAGATTATTGATGTGGAGTATCTGTGAATACTTAATACCCCTATGCCCCATCGCTGAGTCAGCCGCGATCGCGACGTCCAGCGATAAGCTCCTGTCGGGCAAGACTGCAATATCACAGTGCACCTGGATGTGTAGCATCATATCCGACTTATAGACAACGATAAATAGAGGTTTTTGTTGCGATGGAGCCCACCGCGCGCAAGCGTAACTCCGCAGGCGGGAACGCCGACTCCAAGCAGCCACGGCCGAAGAAAACGACCAAGAAGTCGTCTTTCAGCCTGGCAAGGTTCTATCGCGATTACGGGCTGGTGCTCTGGCTGATTGGCATTGTTCTCCGTAGGTGTTCGGCATCTCACAGACAATGCTTGCAGTGGGACTTGTTTTGAAGTACTTCGAGGATAAGCACCACTCCATGCAAAACTTCACGGACTTCGGAGAGGACATCTACAAGGTCATGGGCATATCACGCTCTGCATCAGATGCGGAGATCAAGACCGTCTACCGCCAGCTGAACCACAAATGGTACGCATGATAACAGTTGCTCTTCAGAGAATGCAGGCACCCCGACAAGAACCCGAACTGCGCGGACTGCAAGGAAAAGTTCATGAAGTTGAAGGCGGCATACAAGATCCTCAGTACGTTTCTGCCGTCGCCCTGATTGCATGCCACGCAGGCAACCCCCAGCTGAAGAAGCTCTACGACAAGACCAACGGCCGCACAGTCGACGTTATCTCGTCATCAACCACCGAGCTGACGCATGAGAATTATGACGAGCTTGTTCGCAACTCGAATGACGTTTGGGTCATTCAGGTCTATTCGGACGACCTGTATGAGTGCCACCAGTTCTCGAAGCACTGGGAGGAGGCCGCGAACAGCCTGGGTCATTTCGCCAATTTCGGTCGTATTAGCATGCTCCTTAACCCTAAGGCGGCAAAGAAGCTGCGCGTTAAGCTGCAGCTGCTGCCCGCGGTGCTGATGATGTTCCCTGGCGGTGGATACGACCTCTTCCCCCAGGAGGCGATGCGCTCATTCAAACACTTCAAGGACTACTTCGTGCAAGTATACCCCGCGAAGGTGGCCACATGCAAAGACCAGGCCGAGTTCAAGCAGAAGGCTGAAGCTGTAGCCGGCAGGCCGGCATTGATGTTCCGTAACGATGGTGACAACCGCCCTGCACCGCTGGCGATACGGCACCTCGCGTTGAAATACAAGTGGGCGTTCGACGCATACTGGACATCCTCTGTGGTTCCAGCGCACGAGGACAAGGTGTTCATCGACGACCTTATGGGCGCATCCAAGGGACACAGCAACCTGGTGGCCACCACTGCAATCTTCCAGCTGCGGTCCGATCTGGACGCCCTGGTTATGTGGTATGGTGCCGACCGCACTGGGCTTATCGCGACGGCCCCTTACAGCAGGGGGCAAATTGGGCCACTGGTCGAGTGCATCGAGTCGATGCTCGTGGTACGTTTATGTCAGTAGATACCTTCTCCACAATACACTGCAGCTGGCTTACCCACCCCTTGAACTGTCCAGTGAGACATTCAACCATCTATGTAAGATTCCGGGATCGACGCGCGATCGCTTCTGCGTCGTCGTCGTAGGTAAGTCAATCGGTTTTAAGTTGTTACTTCGTATTAGGCGATGCGCACAAAACTTTCGACGAAAAGAAGGTGCTGGAACGATTGGCTCAGTTCGTTCACGGGGCGCGCATCGGCAGCGTCTTCTCCAACGAGTTCAGTGACCCCGAGGCATCCGGTGCCTCGGTGCCCACGGCGGACGTCCAGCTGGTACGCCTGCCGGAGTCGCAGTCCACCCCCAAGATACGTGAAGTCGTAGAATCGGGAGTCATTCTGCTGGATGCCGCGCGCAACAAGTTCTGTACCGTGGTATCCGAAGACAAACGCTTCGAGTGTGGAGTGCAGGGCGACCTCTCCTGGGTCGGAGACGTTGCCGAGGGTGCATTCGACACGCTCGCGTGGCATGACACCAAACAGGGATTCGGTGGCAATTTCGAAGAGGTGTGCCTGAAGTCTAACCGTTCCTGGTATAAGTTCTTCTGAACGGTACCGCAACGAAGTTGACTGCTGCTGACCAAAACTATCAACAATGCGTGGTGGAAATAAATACTTTTGTTGGCATTTTGCTGACTTAATTATGACAAACAACATTCGAACATCGTATATGAATTTTTTCCATATACAGAAACACATTTCCGGCTCTAAGCCACCATCAGCACCAAAACGGTTGCAGTTTAGCAGATGGATAAGCGGCCGAACAGTATCTAGACAATAAGCCGACATCTCACAATTGATTTGATAAGATGCATGTCAGCGGTTATTAGGCGTTCATAGCAGCAACTGGTCGGTAAATTTGGCGTTTTGGCACTGTCCTGTGCAATTGGTGTTTCGACACTGCGGTGGGCGATAGAACTTCAGTTCAGAGTTAACAGCACAGTGGTTGACTGGCAATAACATGCCACGATAGACAATTACATGAATTCACATGCTTTTTGTGGGTGGAATGTAAATTATATTGCGATAGTGAGGTTGCGATTCGGCCGAGATGTGATCGAAGCCACATACATGAGGCGAGGTAGAAAAGTATAACATCTTGGGATGAACGAACAATTATCTCCACCTAGGCGAACTTTGGTCCGACACCCTGGTATACACTAGGTCGATGCGGTAACGCAGGTAGTGGTTTGGCAGTGCGCGCAGGCTGCAGTGTATTGAGTCGACCAAGCAACTGAACCTACCCTGAATTGGATCTGCAGCACGTACAACTTCAATGTCTCCTCCCAGTTGACGTAAAGCTTTCCTGGAGTGTCGTCTATCTCCAGGTTGGGCACCTTGAAGGCGATGGTCTCGTACGGTTGCGCGGCGAATAGCAGGAATTGGAAGGCTGGGTCTGGAGGACGCTCCATACGCTGTTCGAAGGCAGACATAAGCCTGTAGCGAGGCTTTCCCTCAATATCCGGATACTCAAGCTCGAACAGAAGGCCGTACTGTTTCGTTTCTGGGTCGTGCATCTTCGTGATGCGGTACCCCGGTCTGCCGATCTTCATTGAGCTCGTCCTCGCCATCCCAACCTACAAGATAATGATGAAACAGGGAATCTGTAGCATACCGGTTTAGGCAGAGGCATCGAGAAGTTGTTGCGATCCTCCTTGGCAGCACGCCTTGCCAGGTTCATCTGATGCTTCCGGCCCTGGGTGTGGCTCAGATACGACGCATCGGAAGCATGGATGGTGAGGCACAGACGACATTCTAGCTGCCCTAGGTGGTTCTTCTGGAAGTAAGGGTCCTTTCCTAAGTCGAAGGTCTCCAGGGCAAGGCGCCGCAACCGATCGCGATTATGTGCCGCAAGATCCTGAGCGGAGGCAGGACCACCGCCTCCGGTTTTATGGCCCACCCTGTTCTGGTAGTCCATTGTGTTATATAATGTGATTGTGTAAGAACTGTAAAATCCTGGTGCGAAGTGTGGCGAGAGCCATAGCCAGACGCATGTTGCGACGGGCCAGGGAGGGAGGGCATCACGCCAGAGCCCATAAGCCTAGAACACATCGCACATTGCGATTTATAGTCGTTTGTTTAGCCGGAAAATACAGACGATTGATGTAACTGGATTTCTGGATTCCAGCGTGCCAAGGAAGGCATCAGGAATCACGCTGTCTACAGCCTCCAGATTCCTGGCGGCATCTTGTAGAATCCAACGGATTGTACACATCTGCGTTAGAAGTGACGGTATAACTTGGATTTAATCCTTACAATTGTTTAATGATGCTACGGCCTGTTCCTAATTACAAATCACACTTAGCGCTACACCCACAAGACTAGCGGCGCAGGTGACTCAGTTGACTCATCGAGTCTACTCTGGTGGCCACCGCAAATCTACACTTATTTACGCGGGGATACTTCCCCCTGCGCCGACCCTGCGAGTACGCGCAATGCTCTATGGGCATCTAGCGCAACGAGCGGGAAACTGTCGGCGGACACATTGGCAGCCGCGGTACGCGCTGCTTCCGCTTCTCGGGTCTTCCGTAGTACGGCAGGATGGTGGTGGTAGACAGCGCGGGGAGGCGCGATCCGGGGCTGCGCAGCAAGAAGCAAGTTGCACGAGACTCCCTGTGCGCGGTCCTATGCGACGACTCGTCGCTGCAGAAGTCCGCCGCCCTGACGCTGGCCCGCGCATCAGCAACTGAAGGTAGGTGTGTGAACATTAACCGCAGATGTGTGGCAGGCGCTTCTCTCGAGGTGTTGCTGAGCCTGGTGCGGGGGGAGCTGCCGAACTGTATGCCATCGTTTAGCATATCGAAGTCGGCTTTTCTCCCCAAGGCACGCTGGCTAGATGGTTCCGGTCTCTTTCCGTCGGAGGATGACGTAGTAGGCACTAACACTCTGAAGGAGTGTCTACAGAGCCCGGAGGCATGGGAGAGGGCGAGGGTGGTGGCGCTCCGTGCGCTACTCGTGCAGCGCGGCGGGGACCCGGTGTCTCTGGAGGAGCTGCTGCCGCATGTGGTGGTTGGAGTGAAGCCTGAGTCGAAGAAACAGGTGACATACTGCCGTGAAACTGCAGTTGCACTGGCCGTGGCGTTTGCCGAGGCCATCCCGGATGGCGACAGCTTCGAATTCTCAGTTCTTCAAATGGCACTGGTGAATGAGGATGTCAAAATACCAGTGTTGCAGACGGTGATTGAGCGTGCGATGGGTGAACCTGCGCTGCTGCCCCGGGTACTAAAACTGCTGAGGCGCATGATGGACACCGAAAACGCCACGCCCGTTTTTGACCTGGTCGGCGATGCGCCCCGCTCCCCTTCGCTCGCTGTCTTTGCGATGGTGCACTTTTGCTCGATCAACGCGCAGTGTTTGGTCAGCGCGGTGCCACGGGCGTTGCACGTGATCGACTTCCACGCTGCCGACTCTGGCGGGTTGCGCCTGATGTGCCTGCTTGTCTGTGCAGTGCGTCTCTCCGATGTCAAATCGGTGCCAATACGGCGGAAGTATGCGAAGTTTTTGCATTCGAAACTAGTCGGACGGGCGTATGGTGGCTACGCGGAGGACATTGCAGAAGCCCTGAAATCACGCCCCAACGTGATACGGGTGATCGTGGACGCCATTGTGACCACAATATTCGCGGTAACCAGGAACTCGCAGCCTGTCTACGAACTTGTTCTTATCGTCAGTGCGCTTCTGGAACTTCTTCTGACAGCGACGTCTGCCGCGGCCGAGCGGACACCTGACATGAAACTGCCTACAGCAGCCCTTGATGTAGCAAGCTTGTTGAAGGTGCGTGCGCTCGTTTCGCACCTCACGCACTGCGGAATATCTATGGAGAACGATCATAGGTTAGACCCCCTGCTGGCTTCCATTTCAGTGGCGGTCTCCGACGACGGTATATTTGCATACGCAAACCAATTCGACTTCTCCGCACAGTTCTTTATCGAAGAGGTGGATGTTTGGGGCGATATTGTGGCTTTGTGCGTAGACGATTACGGGTTGGGGTTGTTTAATGCAGTGAAGGCGCGTGTGCAATCGGCTGCCGATGTCGTATGGGGGTTTAACAGCCTGCAGCGGTTGTACGTGGGCGTGGCGATTACGAAAGATACGGAACTCGTAACCGAATCTCCCGACCTGCACGGGTCCGTTGTGCACATCAGTGAGGGATGGTCATTGCGGGATGCGATGAAGGTGGCACTGGCGACTTTGACGCTGAACGTTAGCACCCATGCGTCGGCGCTGGCTTACATTGCTGCCGTTGCAGCTCGCAACAACGAGGAGGCGCTTTTCTTCGTATCAGCGCTGGTAGATTCGACGTTGTTCCTGCTTCGTAACTGCGCCGTGTTGCCGTGGGAGGTGGCTTTCAAGATGGTGGAGATGAACATCGTGATGCTTGCACGGTTGTCACGACATAGGCTCGCACTGCCCATTGTGTTTAGCGCGTTCAGGTATCTATTTGGGCATCAATTGATGCAGCAATGTCGTGATGAGGTTTCGCAATTTTACCGATTCGATGCCCGCTGGAGATGCCTACTGCTGTGCCATAGCGACATCCCAGCCTCCAAGGTGGTGGACACCCCGACCCCGGAAAGGCTGCAGGCGATGACTGCACGTGACAGGGAGGTTTACATGATAGTATTCCGATCCTTGTGCAAGTACCGTCCGGAAGACGCACTCAAATACGTTAACGACCTCGGGGCGCTCTTTGCCGAGTATCCGGTCATGGCTATAGACGGATGCACGCGCATGTGCAAAAACGACGTGATGGATTTCGGCATAGCATATCGGGTCTACGTCGCGTCATTGTTGCAATCCAACCTAGGGAACACAGCTGTGGTCGGTGCCGTGGGCAGCTTCTTTTGTGATTACCTGAAGCTGGTTAGCATGCGAATACAGGGACAGGTAACCGATGAGGACGTGGAAGACCTGAACCTCATAATGATAAATTTGCTGCAGCTAGCGGCGTTGGACGATCTGCATGGAGTCACTGCAATAGCAGCGCTGCTCAAGTCGCCGCTGTGGGCAAAGCTCCAGACCCTCCGTAACTGGCATCTGAACCAAGAATGTGATTGCTACTCATTGCTTGACCGAATCAAGAAAAGGCAATTGAAGTGCACCTTCGCCAAGCTGGACCCCAGATTCTTCGAGTTCGATTTCACGGCGTTCATAGGTGCCGACGCAGGCGAAGAGACCAGCGACCCAGCAAGCACGCACGGACAGAGTCTACTCATATCCGCAGTAATAGATGCGGAGAGTGATGCCACTAGTAGAGCAACACTGCTGTCTCGCAGAAATGAGGCTGTGTTGGGCTTTAACCGCGAAATACGCAGGGTTACACGTGAGCTGCTGAAGGAATTGGGGCACTCGAAGCCCACGATCAGTTCGTTCAGATTCATCCTCGAATCTGACGAGGTGGATACGCGGATTTCCGTGGCTGACAGAGGGATAGCGGCATGTGTGCTACCGATGCAGGGAGCTGAGTCCGGCATTGGAAACGTCAGGCTGTTACACCTGCCTACATTGTTCAAACTGTATGGCATCATCATCGCCGGCAGACAGTTCAACCGCGACGTAGTTTGCGAAAATGCGTACGATGGTATATTATCTGGTGGCAGCGCCATGGGTGGCCGGGTTATTGCCGAAATGGCGCTGCTTGTGAACATGCCCAGCGACCCTCGTAACGCCATGCTGGTCACGCACATGCTTCTACACCTCAAGGAAATGGGAGAGTCGATTAATGCTGCCAAGAGTGATAGCGAACACCTGAGTTGTGACAAGACTGTGGTCTACGCATTTGCGCTGGCGTACATGCACTGCCAACATTGCGTAGTTACGGAATTCCCGCTGGTCATCCTGGAGCTTCTGCGGTCCGCGTTGCCCAAGTTCAACGTATATGCCGAGCTCGCCGACATGCTCTGCCTCGTACTGGGAACTGTCTACAGGTACACCAATCTCCATTTCTATATAACGGAGGTTATCCTGAGTCTGTTCTCTGACTACCTAGACGCGACTCCAAACCACGGTGTTAGGATTGGTTGGGTGCTAGGGCTGTGCAACCTCATTGAGGATGTGCCGCGTGATTCGATAAACGTGCTGGAGCCACTGATGTCTAGGATTCTTTCTTTGGTAGTGAATGACGATCTCCCGCAGGCACAACGCTCACTGCTCGCTGTACCCCTTGCGCAGTATTGGGCATTGAAAAAGTGTAACGATGTGGGTTCCGCAATTGCAAACCTACTTGTGGAAACCTGTGCAACAACCCCTGTGGACCCATGTACTATGTTGCTCTTGGCATATTGCCACTACGTAGGTTTTGAGCCCCATCTGGTTGGCAAAGGTTGCGAGGTAACAGGATGCGATACTTGTTCTGGTATGTGTACGGGAGATAATACAGAAGGGGTTGGTGGCGTAGATAAGGGATGTTGCGCATGTGACACTAGGGTGCCTGGGTGGGCCGGAAATGACGGCGCCACCGGATTTTCTTCCGGACGCACATTAGGGAGTAACCATTCTCTAAAGCAGGGCTGTGTTCACGTTTTCTCTGGGAAAACCGGCTGCCAGAATGTGGACGATAAGCGGGGACGTTGTTCGGGAGCCACTGCGTTCTTTGAAGGGGACACGACACTACTATCCAATAGTCTCAAGGACGGCAACGCCGTAGGTGGTGATAGAGTTTCCGATAAACTCCAAGAAACTCTGATGGCGTGTATACGGGCCAACTTGAGTGGAGACGACGTGGTCAAGGATCTTCTGATCGTAGCTACGATGCTTTTGAACGGTTTCCCTTACATTGCACCGACGCGCAACGCGTGCTTCAAGAGGCTCCTGCGTAACAAGAACGGCTGGTCGGTGCTTTACAAAGACCTTTCAACAGCGCTAGCAGCTATAGCGTACCAGGAAACAGTGCAGGTGACCATGGCAACGGCAGCCAAGTCTAGCAGATATAGTCGCTCACGAGGTTCCACGACTTCTGCGCACCAATACCCCTTGGCCACGCAAATGAAAAGCGACGAGTCGCAGTGGGGTGACGAGTCCGCAGTTTTGGTTGCTATAATGCAATTAAGTGTGATCAAAAAGTTCTTGGCCAGCCAAGCGGAGCTCGATTGCTACAATGAAGACGGGAGCATCGGAAACACGCTGTCAGAGATAAGACGAAAACCCCACTCGTTCAAGCTGTTAAGCGCTCTGACGCTCTGCAAGCCGTTGAAGTTGACGCTGTGGGATATAATATCGTTCGAAGACACGGAATGCAGCTGTGAGCGTGAGCTTGTACTGCGCATATACTGCCTGCACGGCCAGATCAACCGATACCTTATGGAACACCTGGCAAGCGCCTCAAAGTATTTTGGGTGTTTCGATAGGCGGTTGAAGGTGTCGTTCCTCAACTGTGTTCGGCTGGCCTTTTGGAGCATAGACTTTAACAGCCTACGACTGGTGCTCTCGTACATAGCGGACTTTGATGACCTCGACGTGCTTCTCACCATAGAGACGTTGTTGGAGTCGTGCGTGTATCTCATGAAAGGTTCCGATGGCACGGGACTGAATGGTGAGGAATTTGCATCCAAGGTTCTTGATCAACTTCTTCACCCGATTATCGTTCAAGTCGTCTCGCGATCGAAGCGCCACAAGGCTGCCGTCTGCCTTTACTACAAGGCGATGCCTCACATCAATGTGGATCAACGTGCAGAACTTGTGACGACAGTTAATTCGAGCGATATCGCGCTCAAATCGCTGCTCTGCGGCGTGTGCGATGCAGCAGAGGCCCCGTTCACTTTCAACGAGTGCTTTGCCCACCTCGTGACGCAAAATGTCTCTGTGAGCAACGTGGTACTCTACTGCTACGTGAACGTGCACCGCCACATGGAGGTGATGCTGCATTGCATCCACGTCCTCAACGTCAACACAAACTCGGAGCAGATCACCCTCGTCTCCCTGGCTCTCATGGCGCTCGTCGCCGAACGCAACGTGGCGTCATACCTGTTGGAGCTCGCATTCGACGGAGCGAAAATAGAGGCCAACGCTAAACACGAGCTACGGCACATCGCAACCCTCGACGTCTACGAGTTCATTAGGCTCAAACGCCAGCCCAACCTCTTCTACTACGACACCATCGATGCGAGGACACTGGCCAAAAGCGCAAACATACCGGCCACAGCGCCTGGTACATGGAAGAATTGCGGACTTGAGGCAACGCCGCTCGGATGTCTGCTACCAATGGCAAAGGACCGCCACGTGCCAAACTGGCTGCCAAAACTCGGCAACCTTGCCCTGGACCGCAGGAAGCAGTCCCTGTTACCCATGGATTTGCCAGCTCGCAAAATGATATCGTCGGTCACAGAAGTTGACGCTGAGCACCTGCTTGTCGATAACGCCGTCGTGATCATGTCAGCCTACAAGGCACACTTGATCGAGCGCCACCCGGCGCACCCAGGGCTGCGCGATATCATGGCGTTTTTAAATACACGGCTTGCATGAGCCAGCTGCCATTATGTGAAACTTGTACAGTCGCCAATAACACCGCAATAGTTGCATTGTCGCACCATAATGGTATTTTGTTATTACAACCGTTGGTGGCATTCAGGCGGTGTCACGTGGTAGCCGCTTTCGAAGGTATTTCTGCAACGTCTGCATAGAACCGTGTTCACGTCGCAAATTATCTTCGTGTGGCGTCAGAACGTAGGCCGTGCGTAAACAGCGCACTCTTTAACTAGGCCGCGTGGTCCTCTGCCTTTGTTGCTTTCGCATAAGAGCAAAGAACACCGCCTATGGAGGCATGGAACTTGCTGCGGAGACAAAGCAAGAGGTAAAAGATTATAACGGTCTACAATGCCCGAATATATTGAGACCACAACGCATCACCTATGGTGTAAAATAACAATTAAAAATTCACCAGTTAGGTGCTGTTGCATCCGCGTCCGCCCCTGCAGGTAACCGCATGGAAGGCACGCCGGAACAGCCTCTTGAAAACGTTGATGCGGTTGTTCGTCGTGGCCACGTTGAACAGCTGCTCCTCGAGCACCTCAACAACACGACAACGGTCCTCCTCAAGCAACAGACCCTGGGTAGACTGCTCATTCGCCACATCGAGCTTAATGCGTAGCATCATGCACGCAGCCATGGTCACCAGACCGTGGCTGAAGTCCTGTGGGAATCGGCTTCGCAGCGTCGCGATATAGAGCTTCGCGTGTCCGAGCTGGCTGCGGAAGCTATTGATCAGCTTTCCCTCCAGCAAAAGCTCCATGTTGCGCCCACCGCGGTCAAGCAGGTGCTGGTGGACGTCGATGTACGCCACCAAAAGCTCGAGCACAGACTGAACTACATTGTGCTGCGAGAAGTTCAGCAAATGCCACCCCAGGCAGCTATCCATGCGACTCATCCGCTTGTCCACCATGGAGTGCAGAATGAACCACTCGAACTCGAAGCCATCCATCGATTCCACACCCTCGGGAGGTTCGTGGCGACCTGCATCCGGACCTGGGTCCGATGCGAGGGCTGCCTGCCAGGGAGCTATTGCACGCTTCTTCATCTTCTTTAAAGCGAAATCACGCGACTTATCTAGCGCATTCTGCAGCAACAGTAACGATCCGCCGTCTATTAGCTCCGATTGGTACAGTTTGTTGTACATGTCAGAAAATGCGTTGAAAATCATGATGTACAACTCGCCCTCACGCTCCTTGCGCAGCACTCGGCGTGTACCCGGTTTGTCGCCATCCTCGGATTCTCGTTCGCAGTTCTCGAAAATACGGTCGTCGCTCCCCATGCGGGGCACGAAGGTGCTCATCATAAACCGCTTGTGTACCGGGCGCTGGTAGAGGTTGTCCAAGTTTATGGTAGCGTCCGTGTCGGAGCGCTGAGCCCAGGCGTGTGAGTTCATGCCGTCGTAACTGCCGTATGAGGCCACACCCACGGGATTCATAGAAGGACGCGGTACCGACAGTAAATCTGACGACATACGGCGCATTTCCGGAACCTCCCCCAAATCGTCAGTCATCGCGTGCTCCAGCAAACGCAGATAACGTTTGGGGTCGTATGCTGCGTTATCATTGGCGACCTTGTTCTTCAGGATCGTGTATGCCAGCAAAGGTCGATCGGTGGATGTGGGTCCCTCGGGCTCTTCTGAACAGGAGTCGGCGGGGGTGGGTGGCTCTTCAGGTGCCCTTAAACAATCGCAGGAGTCGTCCGATGTCTTATCACCCGATTCAGCCTCAGACCTGCGAGGAGATGGTTTGCGGGCTTTATCGCCCGTTTCCGAGTCTCCAGATTCCTCTGCAGAACAGCTGCGCAGACTTTTGCAGCTATGTAGCGTAGTCATGGCCTCAAAGTGCATGTTCTCTTGATACACATGCAGCTCGATTGGGTCGGGCTGGGTGTAGTCATCAAATGCCTTGTCGATGTCTGGGACATCGAATTCCAAGTTCCCGGTAGCGTTCCATCGGATGGTGGACATAAGCGGCACCAAGGTCCGAGCGCGTTCGACGGCGTCCGTGTTCTTGAACAGCCAGTGGTTGCGTAGCCAGTCGACCTCGAGGTTGAACTCGTAGTCGATCAGATTCATAACCTTAACTAGATATACACGACGGAACGGCTTCATCGGATACGGGCTCAGCCACCGATATACCAACTCGAAAGTTAGTCCTTGAATCAAAAGAATGAGCATAACGTTCCCTCCGAGGTAGAATGCCAGAAGGTCGCTAACATCTTGCGGGGTGTGGTTATCGCTTTCTAACCTCAACCCCAGCACCAACACAAGGGCGCCACGAAGACCACCCAGAATCACCAAAATGGCCTGCAAAAATGTCATTTGTGAAATGAATGCTTGCAAAACGTACCTCCTTCCAGTTCAGGCCGTAACCGATGTAAGACAACAAGGGGCTGAACAATACGATCATCAAAGCCCTTGCCAAATTCAACAATAAGTACATGCCAAAAAGCTTCCCCAAAAGTAGGAGAACCTCGGGGCGGCTCAACTGAGACCGCAACATTCCAACAGTTAGAGCTCCGCTGATCAAAAATACGGCCGAATTCGCCATCAGACACAGTCCCTCCACGAGGTGATGGTGTTTCTCCAAAGCCCCACGGTCAAATGCCATCACGCCGTACACTTTAATAAACAAACCGTAGCATACGAGTGAAAGCGGTCCCGAAAGGTTCATCGTGTATTCGGATAGAAAAAACAGCAGGTGGCCAGATGTAATGACCGCAATACATTGCGCCGTGTGGTGTTTGCGGAAGTGACTAATCCACATCGCCACCACCACGCCGACGAGAACCCCCAGCAATGGGCTCAACAACAACAACTGGCAGAACACTAAGCCGTGGTACCAGATTGGCCTAGACTGCCCCACCAGCAACAGGTAAAAAAATTGGAACAAAAGCATAGAAGAACCGTCATTTATCAGAGATTCCCCTGAATATGAATTGACAAGTATGCAGTGCAACACACGTACCGTTGAATATTGAAGAAAGCTTGGGATGAGCCTTTACGCCACTAAGCACGGCGAGCACCGCCACGGGATCGGTTGAACTCAAAATCGACGCAAGAAGAAAGCTTATCGTCACAGATTTATTTGGTGCTATGTTTAGCACATAGTGGAATATCGTGCCCAGTAGGCACACCTGAAGAACCACCTGCGCAACGTTACACAAATGAAAATATGACCCACCCCAATGATCGCGAGACTGACTCCTCCAAGGAAGAAGCTGCAAAATGCATACCAGTTGATCTCCTGAGTCGCCTCATAAAGCAGTATCGGCAACACCGCGTAATACAGTATAGAGCTGTCGATGTGTCTCAGGCCGTTTATCGATAGCGAAAGCGGATCACTCCGACCGTAGGGCTCCAACAGAACTGTGAATCCATACGTTATCATGCCGAAGATGAAACATGCTATTGAAATCGGTATCCGGTTGTTGACCTTCGAGATAATAAATTGCAGCACGCAGGCCGACAAAAATATAAAAGACGTGAGTGTGACGAACTGAGCAACATTGGCAGACACTGCAGCAGGGTTGCCATTTACAGGATCGGTAGAATCTGCCCCATCAGGAACTTCGCCTGAGTATACGCTTGAAGATTCTGCCTTTAGAACGGGGAAAGGTTGCTGTGGAGCGCTCAACAATGTGGCGGAGCTTAAGTCGCCCTTTGGCGTTGTTCCGGCATTTGCTGGTGCAGCCACCCTCAAGCTGCGCGGAGTTACTGCATTGTCTGGAGTTACAACATGGTTTGCTCCACTGTCTTGTGTACCCAATAGCGACGTAGAAGTCCCTGCCTTCCGTACATGCGGTTCTGCTTCCTCGGTGGCGTTAATTTCAGCACCTTTGTTTCCTGTCTCTGAGGGGTACGTAAAAGCGATCGGATTGTATGGAGCACCCGAATTTGACGAGTGTCGCTTGATAGGTTGCTGGCCTGCTGCTTGTTGCCATATTTGGCTGCTGGCAAGAAGCAGAATCACCAATGGCGCGGCACGCCGACGCCATGGAGCGGGGCGCTCCATTGGTATGAAATACAACTGATCAACCTCCAATCGGCTTCGGATGTTGTATATGGGCCATCGCCACTGATCCAATCTGCGGGATTGCGACCTGCCAACACCAGAGACTGGAGATCATGGGCTAAGAGCGCAGGTGTTGTATAGCCCGCGAAGCACGGCGCGTAAGACATCGGAATGTCCGCCAGTTTTGCAGAACAATAACACCGACTTATTTTTTTCAGCCAACAACTCGCATTAATGGCTAAGACTCCGGGGCTAGGTGCCGACGTCGTCCCCATGTCGTGCGACTGCGGGGACATATAGACGGATCTGACGCGCCAACAAGCGTCTGCCAAGATGCACCTTGAGTTGTTTGCCGTTTTGTATCGGGGAAGGTTGTAAGGGATCTTAGCCAAAACCTCAGACGCCTCCCGCTTTGTTATTGCTCCTCCCAAGTGACGATAAATGTGCGTGATTCGGCGTAAAGGTCGTACACATCTGCGAGATTCTACCTACACAGTTGTTGAGTGACGTAGAATCGCATAAGGTAGGTATAGACAGGCAACACCGCGCGAGCAAATGCCCGGCTCATACGTGACTCGATGCGTGCACCGGAGATTTGCATTACTAGTCGAAGTCACATTCTGTGGAATGCATTGTTGATGTTATTAGCAAATGATGGTGTAAATGATGTCACTATTTTATTAGATTCCATTTTTTGCTTTAGCAACTTTAGGCGATAAGGGGTACGACGCACCGCGTGGTTGGACGCAATAGCGCGAGCGCTATCCATTCTGTTGTGACCCTAACCCTCGAATCCATATATGCGTCGCCTGGCGTGTGTAAATTTGGCGCCTAACAGTTTCGCAGGTAACGCCAGGTGCACCCATTTTCAGATGCAACAAAAAATGCAATGCACTACGAGATATTGCTTTGTTTTCTCTGGATCACCGCGCGTGTGGATAGTTTCGTGATACGAGACGTGGATTCCACACGCCTTATCGCATTAGGAGCCCTTGTACGCACATCTAGGGCGAAAAAGATGGAAATTGTAGGTTCACCGAAAAATCATATCCAACATGTTTCAGGTCCAGGAGATTAATTCCCCTTTTCCGCGCAGGAACTACAAAGCGGATGGCGCTTGTGAGCGTATGGTGGCCAACTCTGTGCAACAGTGGCGTAAGACCATGCTCGACGAAGCTTACCGCCGCGAGTTCAACTGGCCGTATCGCAAACGTCACCGTGGTGGGAGATTAGACAAGCTCAGACTGGAGAGGCGTGTACAAGCGATTGCGCGGTGGCAGCCTCTCTCGCCCATCAAGGTGAACAAAATATTCAGACACATACGCAAGCTTCCCGTCATGGTTGCCATGGGCGACCTCGCACAACGTGGTGCCAATCGCTACGCCGTTGCCGTATACAAGCTTATCAAGTCTGCACTCACTAACGCGCAAGCCATGTATGGGAACGACGATGCGCCACTAGTGCCACGGTTCCGTGAACTCACAGCGACCAATGGCGGCTTCATAAAAAGACCACTGTTCCGTGCCAAGGGACGTTGTGACGTTATCCGGAAACCCAAAGCGCATATAAAGGTTGTGCTAACAGTGTGATCATGTACCTTAGTGGAATTGTTGACATTCGGGGTAATTTGACGCGCGGCGGATACCATGGGTACATCCACGTAGACAGCGGCATCTCTAATGATGGGTGACAAGGGGCAACGCCTGAATGTTGTGCACCGCTTCAGTTAAAAGTGTAGTTATTAATACAACGTTTGGTTATAATATTGCAGTAAAATAAAACTTTAAAATAAAATATGTTGCGAGGTCCGTTGTGCATATAGCCGCCACTTGACGGATGTCGGGACAAAGCTCACATGCTGCGATATATGACCACTATCACAACAATCGCAAATATGATAATGCATAGGATATAGCAGGGCCACCACGAAGAGCGTCGACGCTCTGCCGAGTAGTTCAACGCAACGTTGGTCTCCAGCGTATCCTCAAAAGCGTGAGCCATGTTGCTTTCAATATTGTCTGCAGTTTAGTGACACACTTAATTATATAAACAAACCTAATTGGTCGCCCTGGTATTCCACGACGTCTCCAATTTGAATGTACAGATCCTGAATATCGTATATGTTGGTTCTCAACTGCTGGATCTGCTGAGAACGTTCCTCGATCATTCGCGTTTCGACCGGGTATGTAAACCTGCATCGACGTTGAGTTGTTTGGTGTGAACGATATGAGTGTACCTGATCGGGAGCGTTTGTTGCTGGAGCTGCTGTGACTCCCCGGCTTTAGCGCTGCTTAAGGTTATCTGCCGAATATCTGCCACAATTCTCACCTCTGTTCATGAGTAGTTTCGTTTGCAGCCTCAGGTACGTTTGTGGCATGTGTGCCTTGCGATAGACGTGATTGTACAGCATCCAATTTGTCCAAATATTCCATGAGCTCCTTTAACAGCGAGTCATATAGAGCCGTCGACTCCTGACGGCATCTGAGTGCTTTTACACAATAGACAAACCTTCATCGACGACAGCTCCTCGTAGTATTCGTGCAGGTGTGTGAGAATGCGTGTGGCATCGCTCTTTCGGTCCTTAATCGCAGCCGCGCTGAGTTAAGCTGTCTGCACATCAAACTTGCACATACATGGTCTCCGCGTTCAATTTCACCGCATCTTCCGCTTCCGCCTATTATCCAATGACACTGGAAGGTGTCCTACCACTCACATCTGAAAGAATCTTGGTCACGGCCTGGCGGAAGGCCTTCATCGCTGCCTTCGCTCGATTGGCGGCCTTCGTATTACGCGACGCCATCGCCGCCATGGTCGACTTGGCGTGTTCTCGCGCCATTATTGAGAAAAACAGCCAATTCAAAGCATTTGGCGGTAAGACACACGCAACGCTGCGCCACTCCCCACCCCGTACGTGATTCTATCACGAAAAGTGCCATACGCACGCACACATCAAGCCGATGTATATTACGTTAGATGAACACCGGTGTTTGCTTTTTCTTGGCGCCCTTTTTAAGCGCGACAATGGGCTCCTCGGATTCCGAGGGCCCGCGCACCTTCTCCTCGGAAGGTGTTGCGATCTTATTATGCTCGGGGTCGTAAGCCTCGGCCTTCCGCCTACGCTTCTCTGCACCCTTCGAGCGCTGCGTTTCCAGCTTTTCAAGCTGCTTCCGTCGTTGCCGTTCTTCTTCCAACATGAAGTACTCCCCGGATTCCAGTAGCAGATCCTCCTTACGCGGTGTCTGCTCCGGTAGCAGGAGTCCGGTGGACTTCTTCTTTACGATCTTCACCTTCTTGCGCTTCACTGAGCGCTTCTTGAACTGAGGCAAAAACCGTTCCCAGTTTTCCTGCACATCTTTATAACAAGGGGTATTGATGGCGAAACGACAATTTGTAACTGACGGACGGACGCCAACAATCACGACAAATACCAAGTAAACACTTGGCCATGCATAAATAAAGCTTTTTACATAACACGCACAAAAGTACAAGGACGATGAAAAGGTGACAGATCATAAGGCACATTACAAATCACAAGTTACGTGCGTATAAAAAACTGCGTCTTTACAGGACATTGCGTCGCCATGAAAAATTACTGGTGCCGAAACTCACGTTTTTCAGTGTTTCATCCTTCTCGAGCTCACGCTTTATCATCAGCTCCTTTATATGGTAGACGGGGTGCACATTTTTCATGCAGTCTTCTACGATTCTGCGTGCGATCTTGATGCCTTTTATGGAACCGATGATAGACACCGTCTGACCTTGCGTTAAAATGTAGCACTGCGTCAGCAACTCGAGAGCCTTAAGCGTGGAGCCTCCAGGGCCAACAAGCCTCTGGCGACGCTTCACAAACTTCTCTTTGTTTCGCAGTATGCCCCCTATTTTAACTATGTCACAGAACACGCCGTCCTCAAGGATGCGTTTGGCCTGCGGGAATGGCACGCTGCGAGCAAGCAGCTTGATCATATCACGAGCCTTGATGATGATATAGGGATCCCATGTTTTACGAGTGGTAAAGACGGTCATGGAACCCTCCACGAGGTCGAGTTCGCACTTAATGTGGTACGCAGCGAGTGCCCGCTTTACATCGCCCCAAACGGACTGCAGGTATTTCTCGCGATATTTCGGGAATAGTGTAGCGAATGAGCTCTCCTCGAGCAGTGGAGGTTTGTTGTCTTCCTCTGGGAAGGGCTCGATCTTCCAATGGTCGACAGTCTCATCATCCCAGGGCTTGTCGCGGCGATACTTGTTGTGACGCTTCTCTTCCGCCATCACTGCCACACATCAATCGGACATGTGGAATTTAAGGCGTGAGGGACGAAACGTGAAGCGGAGCGTTGGATTCCTCGGACGCGAAGATACTATGGGGAGGCACCCGGCACACATCGGGGTGCCCCGGTGCCGAACAAAACATAATTAAACATTAAGCCGAAAACACATCATTCGCAGAAAGTAAGCCGTCGGCATATGCCGCGGCAGCTGCAAAGTTTAAGGATGATAGCCAGGGGTGGCTCTGAACGGGGTTATCGCAAATGTGTCACCACTCACCAGCGCGGCCTGCGGTCTCAACCTGCTCCTCGGATCCTTACACAGTACACCACGGATGAAACTCTCGAAATCGGGCTCTATCGGCTCCCCTGCAGCGCGTACACAGGCGAACTCATTATCGATGTCGAAGTGGGCAATGTTGACGAGCAGCTCTGTAGGCGCTGATAGAGGGTTTCGCAGCGGGTACCGCCGAAAGTACAACATCCAAAGAGACGCTCCAAACGCCCACATGTCAGCGGCTGCACCGTCGTATGATTCTGAGGGAGATGCGGGGAACTCAACATAACTCACCAAACGCATTGGAGGCAATCTCCGGAGCAAGAAAGTAATAGCTACCGCGAGCACCGGTCACTTTGCCGTCGCCTGTCATCATCTGAGATTGGCCAAAGTCTCCAAGCTTGCAGCGACCGCTGGCTTGCATGAACACATTGTCCGGCTTCACGTCGCCGTGCGCCACCTTAATCGTGGCCACTGAACACAGTAATAGCCGGGCCAGCGGAACCCACAGTAATCGAGCGCTTGAATCACGTCATGGGCTACGCACCGCAGAACGTCGTGAGGTATGCATGGAATCTTGTTGGCGAAGCTATCTAACTCCATGAGGCTCCCGCATTCGCACCACTCTAACACTGAGGGCTTTTACAGGCTGGAGGTGACACCTACCGAGATCTATCTCTTTGTCGACGGCGCTTTCATCATCCAGACGAAGGTCGAATCCGCTTATTTGCAGGCAGCGAACGCAACGCTCGTTCTGAACCAGCAGCTGGATGGTGACAGCTCGACGGAGGTCAGCAAACCAGCTCTGGCGGGCCAATTTCCCGAACGCATTGCGGAAGCGCCTTCGATGCTCTAGCTCTTCGCGGTAGATTCGCTTCAGAGCGTAATGTTTACCTGCTGAGTCGCACGAGAGGTACACGTCCTGGCACGTTCCATAGTGCAGCAGCTTCACGATAGATAGTTCTAGCATTAGGTGTGTATAAAATACGGCATGAGCTTCCACAGATATTGCGGAAGCAGACTGAACGGACGGGCCGGAGTCGTCATTGTCCCAGCCACCGACACCATCCCATAGTCGCCGGCGCACACATCGGATCCGCCATATCGCCAAAACCGGCTCAGACGCAATGTAGCACTAGTTGGTGGGCCTAACAGGCGCACAAGACGCCCATACGCCGTGTGACACTAATTATTACGGCGCCTTACACGCTAACCAACATAATACCTAGCAACATCCGCCTGCATAATGAAGGTTAATACAGCGCAGACGACGATGCTCGCAGCGTCTGTAGCACTGGTTGCTCTGCATACGGTGGTTAAAAGCGCAGCAGCCGAAAAGTGGTCCGTCAGAGACATGTTTAGCAACGCCGTTGAAAGAGTCACCAGTTATGCCATTGTAGCCAAGACAATCGAGTACGTAAACGAGGAGGATTTTGACCCGGCGGGAGAGATGATGCAGACGGTGGAACTTGTTCCGGGACAGTCGCTGAAGTACAGCTGCGGGAAACACGGGACAGCAGCAAAAGGTACATTCACGTTGGTGCCCTCCGACCCCAGCACACACGTTCTAGCGCCCAAAGGAGATGACCCAGTTGAAGTTGCGATGAACAGGCTGCAGCCTAACCACAACGTTTACCGATCCGACCGTTCGTTGGTAGTGAAAACGTTCCAGAAAATTGGCTTGGACCACCTGCTGATCGACTACGCCGACAACACCGTCATAATGGCAAAGGACAACGAACGGTTCAGCATGAATCTCCTCTGTATATTCGTACCGGCCGACGTAGATGGGGTACCCAAGTATCGGTGGCTTCAAATCAAGTTCAAAGATGTGCTCCCCATGGCGTATGGGTGCGGCAGTGGTGGGTTCAACTTGTTCAAAAATGCGATACCCCTGCCTGTCAACCCATCTGCCGAGAATATTACGGAGGCTTCTAGATGCAGGATAGAGGCTGAACCTGGCATGATTGTTGGCATATACTGTGCGCCAGACGACCACATTTATCCCAGCGACTGCTTTCGTAAAGTCACGCTAAATGACGGCAGGACAGAAATACCCAACTATTTCAGCGATCCCGACTTTAAATACCAAAACCTAAAGGGCAACATCCGACTCATGAAGATCAAACCAGGAGCTATTGGAGGACACCCCACTTTTACATGCTTCTGTAAAAACGCGAAAAATCAAACGACTGGGGTAGTCACAGTATCGCTGAGTAAAAGGGAGACGTGCGACTTCACAAAGTTGCTCGAATTCTACGGCGCGAGGCGCATTATGCCCCGTTTTCTGTGCTACAAGAGGATTGGTCGAGGCAAATCAGTGAGCCTCGTTGTCGCCAAGTCCGACGGAACTATTGACCGAAACCGCTTGGTAGGCGGACTCACTATTTTCCCCAAGGATGTCACCAACAGTACATACCTAACGATGAAATCTGTCGAGCGTATGAAGAAGATCCGCATCGACCAGCTAATTGGCAGTGTAGGAGTGCGTATCACGCAGAGTGAGAACAGGGACAACTACATCTACAACTTCGATGCGACCGATGACGCTATTATTGTGCTCAAACAGCCCGTAGCGAATCTCACATATATCTACGAGTACTATGACAGGTTCCACAATACTCCCAAAACCTACACAACCCTCGTATCGTTGCAAATCGTTCCCACGGACCCTTACACTCACGGTTGCGGCGTCGGTTATCCCGGACTATTTAATAGCGAGGGAGTCATCCATGACAACAAGTACATCAAAGTGGGCAGAAGCTACCAAACCCAAGTGAACTGCACGGTCAACGGCTGGTCAACATCTCCGGTTGGTTTTTACTGTCCAAAAGATCATATACTCGAACCCGCGGACTGCTTCACCACTGGCTTTCTGATGTCTAGCGATCGTACAGCTAAAATGGCTGATTACGCGCCACTGGCTCGCGTGATTAACGCTCCCAACCTACGCGTCATCGACTTTTCCGTGCCTAACGCCGCAAAATCGAAGATCACATATTCTGATGAAGCCTTACAATGCAGGTGCAAGAGGAAGGACGGAACTGTAGTGGCAACAATCACCGTTACTCTGAAAAATCCGCAGCAGCACTAGTGTAAGCGCAGTACCCGTTAATCACTACCGTGCCAAACCGCCGTGGAAAGTTTGTACAAACTTCTAAAATTACCAGATAGTTGTTCTAAATTGAAACGGTTGCGTGGGTCACAGCAACACTGGCTATCGCTGTGCGGTTATTGGACGCCTGTATTACACATGTACGTGTGTACTCAGATTCTTTTAAATCCCCTGCTAATGACATTATTGCAGTATATGAGTAGGTTGAATTACGAACATGTTCGTTGCTGTTAGTTTAAATATTTCCACGTTTAGGTGCCAAATGTGGTAATATATCGTACTAGTACGTCGACCGTACCCAGTGCCACTCTAAGTCTGTGTAGTATTTTATAGTTGCAATTGGCGTATTAAAGAAGGGTTTTTAGAGGTGCTGGTGTGGCATCGCTGGCTCTATGCGCCGGCGAACTGACTAACATTTTGCGAATTTAATTGGAATACACATCTCATTTTGCTATTTGATACCCTCCAAAGTCTTAATATTTTATACCTTGCCTCACGTTTGAATCTAATATGCATTCTAACATGTAACGCAACTATTAAAACGAATATAACGCGCCGCCGAGCCTACGTCAAATGCCATTTAAGGATTATACATCGTCTAGCGTGCGTCTATCGCGTGGCAATCCCCGTATATAGTGAGTAGGATATCTCATCAAACATCTGTGTGCATTGTTCCGTCTAGTCGGTCTACAAACTTTACGGTGCTGTCGAAAACGCAATCATAATCGGGGCGTCGTCGGCCTGCTCAGTTAAACCTCCGTCATAATGGTTAACGTTTGAATAATAGAGATTCTACCAAATGTAAAGAATGGGCGATGTGAACTCAAAAGTCATACGTAAAATAAGTTTTTAGTTCAACGCGAGAAGCGACATTCCTAAAGTAAGGGACTCAGTATTCGAGAGTGAAATAAGGCTACACAAACATAAAGGCAGTTAAGCGCAGGAGGAGCACGCATGTGTTGCGTAATATTAGGCGGAGGGAACCACGAAGCATAAACAGCCAAATATAATACTGGCGGAACAACGTAGGAACGCCATCACCAGTGTAGAGGTCACTCACCATCGTAGAGTGCTTTGTTGACATGGATATGCTTAAACTCTGTCTGCTATTACTACTACAGATGGTACTTAGAGCCGGCACTGAAAATATTTCCCTGGTCTGAGGGGCAGGTGATGCGTGGTGCATCGACTATGCCTATGGCATGCCAGGCGTCAGACATTTGCAATATAGGTATTGCGCAACCATACACGGCATAATAACGCGCTAAAACCACAGAAGCAGTCAATAATTAAAGTATACACTGTACCGTTGCAGTTTCCTATTTTGCGGGAAGTGATGAGAGCGCCGAAGTGTCGGGAGCCTTTTCCTCGACCGTCGGCTTGCGCAGATCGAGGGTGATGGAGGCGCGTACGTTTCCCTGCGCGTCGAGGCACCGGCACGAGAGCTCGTCGTTCGAGTACCTGACTAGGTGACTCATGCGCTGGGGTACGTGGAAGTCCAACACCCGGATGTACGTGCCGTCCAGCGGCCTGGCGTGCGGCGCGTAGTCGGCGAGCTGCACAACGCGGCCAGACTCCTTGTGCAGCATCTCACGGAAGCAGTCAGCCGGCTCCAACTTGAATCCCTTGGGACAATAAAACCCAACGGGGCTCACCACGTGCGGGTTTAGCCTGCAAGCAACCTCGTCGGCATTATCCCCCTGATGCAGCTCGAAACCCTCGTAGTGGAACAGATGCAGGCTGTCCACACCACAACCGTATGTGTAAGGGTCAGTCGGCATTAGGGGAACATCCATTTTGAACGATACCTTCACTGGCTGAGGTCCATGGCTTCCATTTGCTTCCCACCTGTAATGCATAAACGGTATAGAAGATTTCAGAACTACAACCGCATCCTTCCTGTAATTAATAGTATACGTTCGTTTACCGGGATTGTCTTGTTGCGTTATTGAAAGGTTTTTAGCACCAATGAACTTATACATACGCTCTGGGTAGTCTTGAGTACGTATTCCTACTTGTACATATTGCTTCGGATCTTCAGGATGCAGGTAAGATTTGACGCGCCCTAGATATCCTAAATTTCCCCATCCATTACGAGGTACCGTAATTTCGAATCTTTTGCCGGGCCTCAACACATTCATCACTTCGAATGAAGTTTGAAACCCCTCTTTGCGAGCCGTAAGAGTTGCTAGAGGGTTCATTTCAACGTTGACGTGGTTATTTAGATAGAGTTGTTTACCATATCCATCAGCGCCAATGCACCTGCAGTTTACATAAAATTCCTTGTCCATTGCTGCTGGCGAAATCTTGAACAGCTTGAGCCTCGACGGCACATCGTAACCCGGTATAGCTGCTGCATCCTGGTCATTTAATTCGTAGCGCACAAGCAGCCCCTGCATTCTATATAACTTAATTTCTGGAACGCAATCCTCAGGAGACAAACGTTCACCAGGTTTGCAGTATATACCGAAGAGCAAATTAGGCTCCGCACTTATTGCACAGTATGAAGATTTTGCCCTATTCATATAATTATCCTCTCTAAAAACCGAGTTCTTGAAGAGCATGTCGTTTCCGCTTGCGCATCCGTATGCCATGGGATAAACGTATTTGAACTTGACCTCGAGCCAGCGGTAGAATGGTGGCTGTCTCTTATCACGGGGCTGGTACTTGCAGGCGTAGTTGAGGCTGAAGTTCTGAGGGTCTTTGGCCATGATGAGGGCGTTGACGGGGTACATGACCTTCACGAAGCTGCCCGGACCCCGGTGATTGCTCGTCTGAATGCGCAACATGGTACTGCGAGAAATGTTGCGCAGCAGGACCTCCTTGGAGATCGCGTCCTCCAGGTCGTCACCCTCGAGCGGCAACAAGGTTTTCGTCATGGGGTCGCTGGGGTACAGCGTAAACTCTCCGCCAAAGTGCGCGGCATCATTTTGACCACAAAGGAAGTTGACTTCGTGGGGTTGGTCTAAGGTCACCCTCTCCACGGACACCTTATACTCTCGCATATTGCTTTTCCCAGTAAATGTCCGGACCGGGGCGGGAGGCCTCTCAGCCGGCATACGCGCAAACGCTCTCTCTACAGCGCATATGCACGTCAGAGCTAACGCTCCGAGGACACTAAGCCACATCATTTCGCTGAAGCAGACACTAGATAATTGGAATCTACAATGAATCCAAATTGAATCTGAATTTTGTCACCTACGGTGCAACATTTTCATTTCTGATTCGCTGGTGCGCCAAAACTGCGTTGTTTGTGGAACATTTTGTCACATGCCGTTTCATCGATGTTCATGTCTAAAACCTGTTAGACAGGGTCCTTCCTAACACTTATTTAATCTATTCCACTGTGAATGAATACCTTAGGGAAGTTGCAATCATATCGAATTACCTCTGGCAGTACTGACCATTTTTTGTTTGATTTCTGCAGAGTGCCATAACAGGATACTGTGTCCTGCAAAATAATCACTGAAGTGATGCATTGGGGGCACAATATGATGCCAACAGGTTCTTTTGCATAGGGGAAATCGTATACAGTGTAGTTACAGCCACGTTGATACTAAAACGCTGCGGGGACTATCTATGATAGACCGTCGTAGCTAAGAGCTGGATACGCTGGGAAATTTTAGGGAAACACGTCGCAGGGTACTTCCAGAATAGCGACGCGGAATCATAAAATGATGACACTCTCAGGAAAAATAGTACGATATGTTTAAAATGCGAGCCCTCTATGTGAAGCTACAAGGTATCTTTGGAAAGAAAGGCGAAGCAGCGATCAGCACCGATCTCTTCAGGAATTCTGTCACCCATTAGATTATTTGCGGACGATACGGAACGTCTATGCGAGCTAGTGATTGCAGCACTTATTTTGTAAACCAACTTCCGCGCTTTCTCGCGAACATAGACCGGCAAACGAGGATTAACACTGCAATTACAAGGGTGCTCCCACCATATAATCCCGAATCTAAAGCTGATTGGGGCGGGCCAAATACGACTTTGGCGCAGGTCATTGCCACCTCGAGCCGCCCTACGTGACAGAACAAGTCAACGATTCATAAGGCCCATAAATGAATAAACCACATGAATGAAGTACACCTTCATGTCTGCGTGTTTCGGCAGCAATGATAACATGTATATTCGAGAGTACGATCAAAGATTAAGTTGCTAAGTGATACATTCTACGTCTTAATACGTCTTGCACTCAACAGGCGCTCATCATTCCTCCACCTGCTATGACACTAATCAACGCCGAGACGAGACGGGCCACCCATCCACCACATGGTGCGTGAAGGAGTGCACAGTGTGATTTATGTACTGCGGGTCTCCACACAATGTCCGTCGAGTATACGGACATTGAAGCGTGCAACGCCAAAACAACCCACCAGCTCGCGTCCGGAATACAATTCGGGGGACGTCAAGAACTGCTTAGCCTCATGATGCGCGCAGTACGTTGGATGCAGATTGTAGCCACAAAGCCGATAATCACCATATTCCAAGATCAGAAGCGCCTTGTCAAAATTCGTATTACAGCTACAATATGGGCCAGTACGGAGAATTGTTTGTCGTCGAGCTACCTTTAAGCTTCCCTTGCAATTCCGACTCACTAGAAACGTCAAATCCAGAGATGTCATCAAGTATGGACAACACGTCCTTCTGCACATTGCTCAACGCCTTGCGGACATCGTAACCACCCATGTTAGGACGGAGTCTACGCTTCCTGTAACCCATGGCTTTCAACACCGTTCTAAGACGATGCTTCGTAACATCGTCACTTCCAAATAAGCAGCTTTCGCCCTTGCTCGCATCCCGCAAAGATTCTAGGCCTACGAATAGCATGGGCGCAATCCCCACAAAAATTGCTGCGCAATCTTCCGGGTTCTTCGAACATGATTTAGCCCACGTCGACTTAGAACAGTATGCAGACTTATATTGCTCAGGGTGTTTTATATCACCCAAGAACTTCGCGCAACCATCCGCAACTTTACCCAGCTTCTGTGCGACGGCATCAGGGTTGCTACCCATGGTTATAGCGAGATTGCCGGATTTGTTCTCCACAGTATCAATAAATTTCCCCAACAGATGGCTCGCGGGCCACAAGTCCCTAAGCTCCTTGCGCCACATGAAACCCATAGAAATAAGTTTTATGTTCTCGAGAGTTGGCACCGTCGTCAGGCCAGCAGACTTGCCTGAGAGAAACTTGTGAACTGCTGCACCCAAAGCATCTATGGAATCGGTCCCCTTAATGGCCATCAACCAATCAATACCCTCTTTGAGGTTGCGAGGAATGTCAGTCAACGAATGGAATACCATTTTGCACAGATTTGTTAAATTAGGCGACGTATATGAAAGTGTGGGCTTTTAGTCTATTTGCAGGTCACGTATTTAAACAGCCGCGGCCCAATCGCAGAGGACAACACAGTTGCTGTAGACCCTCAATACACTCGTGCCTTGTCAAAATCTACAAAGATCTATATACACCGAAAATGCGAGAGTTGGAGGCGCGGTGACATAAAAATTGCCGTGTCTGAGCCAGATCCTGAAAAGTAACCTGACATGCAGCACGCAGAACGCGAGTCATTAGGGTAGACAAGATTCACGAGAAAATGACACATATTAAAGCAGGAGACGTTAGTAGTATTTGTAACTATACGTAAAAGTCAAGAATGTTACCATGGGTTGCCGGTAGTATTTTGCAGCATCAGTGGACTCTCGCGGGGCCAAATTGCTTAAAACGCAGAGCTCACACGACAAGGAATGCAAACACTCCCTGTCCTATCTTTGGCGATTAGAATAACTGATTTTTGCCTTGAGTGGTCGCCGCAGCACTTATCTCGAGTGCTTATTGGAGCGTAACAGTTGCACATTACGGCGTATAAATTCACACGCCTCGCAAAACATTTATGCTGTCAGCTGTGGTTGGTGGTTGCCGCGGAATGCGGCGCACTTCCATGTTTGGTGCTGCTGTCTGTATGTGCGTCGTGTCCTGCGTATGTATGCCCTTACAGCACGTAGGTTGCGGACTAATGCCTTGGTTCGTGCGCGTATCGTACAACTTCACGTGGCAGGTGCTTCGTCCCAAACTATGTAGCTCTGAGGATGCATTTCAGGCAGGCTAAGCGAATCCTGAATCTGTCAACGGCATCAACACCTGAAATATTATATTGCGATTGACACCACACTATCACAGCGATTCCTCATGTCGACATAGACTAATCTGAATTTCAACGGGAGGTTATGCCACCAGTTCACGCCTCTACCTTGATGTAGCAATTCCTGCGGTACTAAAGCTCCTTAGAACGGTCATTCATCCTTGGAGTCACTTGAGCCTAGAGGCAGAAACTGACGTGTAGGATCGCAAACGTCCGGATTATCGTCTGTTCCTTCATCATCCGTATAGTTTTCATCATCCATATCGCTCTCACCATCTTCGTCGCTTTCACTATCCGATTCGTAAAGACACCTACGAAGTAAGTCACCCATATTATCGAGACGCTTGCTGATACGCTCGGTTGAACCCGCCATACTATCGAGACGCTCGATGGTACGCTTGTTTAAAAGCTCCATACTGTGGATTATACGATGAATATCGTCTGTAGTAACCGTATCTTCGTCAGGGCTTGCTTCATTAGGAAACCAACGAGCCATGGGATAAAAGGAACAAAGCAGGCGATCGCTACGAATGAGACGACCGATATGCTTCCTTATAAAATTCACGTTGACGCCGATTGACATAGCAAAAAATTTATGAGAGACACCACCGATCGTACCACCGAAGACCCCATAGATGATACTGCCAATCATAGCAACGATGACAAAATATATGAAAACACCTACGAGAATACCACCAGGACCTTTACCGAACGCCGCAGTTCCTGGTAGAATATTCAAACCCGTGACCACTAATATCGCGAAAGAGATTAAAAGGATACAAAGGGGCAAGTCGTTCCCTATCAACGACGTAGTCGCCGGCTTTAGCCTGCGCGTAGAAACACGCCTTGCCAGATTGGTCGGCGGATCTCCTCCTGCAGGCGCTTTCATCTCACGTTCATCCCCTTGAGAAGCCATCTCGTAAAATAATTAGCAACGTGCCTTGAGACAACAAAGTATTCTTTAAATGGAAATACACGCCCAGACTGTAGTCCATCGGCGGTCTCGTAAACGTGTTTCCGAAGCTTTCAGCGTTTACACACCGTTCATATAGGCATCTACCACATGCATTGATAAGTCAATGTGCCAACATTTGAATCAAGTTACACTCACCTGTATTCGATCTGAGAAGAATGTCTAGATTTTACGCAGATTACCACTGTGTGCAAGCGCGCTGTAGTGAAATTGAGGGGACAAATGAGGCCGAACAAGGTTTGAGGGGCGTCCCGCAAAGTGGATGCTGGGGCATACTCCGGGGCTACGACTTCAATGCTCACTACAATGTTGCCCTATTTGCCACCTAACTAGGCCGTACACTGGGCATTACGTCGAAGAGTCCCGGCGGCATTCATTGCCAAGCCACATACTCAGTCAGTAACATCCTTCACCCGCCTATCGGATGACCCAACACCTCGACATAGCCTGACCTGACAAGCACCGGTTGATGGAAGTAGTCTACAGAGGTTTATCTGTCTATTTTATAATAGCGCATGACACTGTCATTCCCACATCGGCAGTAATTAATCATAGCGTGAAGTTGGCGTTTTACATGACGTTAGTCCAGTTACTTTGCCACACTTTCAACTACCCATGTACGTCATTCCTGCAGAAGGTAAATGCCGCATAAGTAAATTAGACGTCCCTTTTAATATCTATTGATTACCACAGCACATATATGAATAAACTCACTGTTGTCGTTGAATCGATAGTATAAGAAAACCTGCTACCGTTTTTACCATCCCATCGATGGCGGCGGGTGGGTAACCACAGAGGCATCACGGCACATTTGACAGCGGGTGAATTATTTGAAGGAACATTGCTAATTATTCTCCTATCTACGATAAATATAATTTGGGTGCTCATACTTGAAATGAATCGATTTTTAAGAAGCCAAAACGCCAATCAACCGGGGTGAACAACTCAGTAGTAGCGCCCACCCATCCATGTCGAATTCAACGGTATTATGAACATTTTGGCACTGTAAAATGTAGTGTCTGGCAGTAAATATGTCGCACCTGAGGCTTGAGCTTCTAGCTGCGGATGTGACAGCGTCCGGTGAAAATTATGTGGAGCGATGCTGCCGTTGTAGCAGTGGGAATACCCCGGGTCAGAGTGCCATCGACACATTAAATGGCTGGAGGAAACAGATGCTACCATCCTGGAAACGTCTCGACATGGTGAATGATGATACTCTTGTAAAGGTGTGGAAACAATGTCCCACATAAGGCCAAGGTATCCAGATTAGGGGGATTTACCGCAGGGATGTATTCCCCAGCGGTAGATATGCCATCATACACGAGAACTATACACTTGATAAACGCCGTACATGGCCCTATGCCTCCATTGATCCTTTGTTCTCCGGCCATTGCAACGGAAGAAACCAGTCGCAGGTGTGAAGCGAAAGAATCGACGTGACAACATAGGTATATTTGCTAATAGACATAGTCAACGACAACCGATGGCGGCAATGTTAAACCTTGAAGCATAGGGTGACAACGATTTAACTGTTGGTAGAGACAGCTACGCTGTGCAATTACTTTCAAATATCGACGTTCAAGGGGCCGTTTTATTTTTAGCTCAATGGAAACGGTTAGGCAACGCCCTATTCAACATTGATATAACGGCTTGATTACTCGGTGAATTCTTAGTTTCATTATTGTAAAAGTAAGTTATGTGATTACGTCCGCTAACTCGATGACGTACCTTCTATATTCCTTACACCGCGTTCAGTATAAGATGTTGCAACGTTTAATCCAAGGTTTTGTATTTTTACGAAACCGCATGTTACATAGCGTCACACGAAGCTAATAACCATGTTACACATTGGATGCAACAGAGTATGAGGTGGGTCCATAGATATTCGATATGCCATGCATACCCAGCATATGTTCCTGACAAGCATTTTATATTTCACAGATTATTAAACAACTAATCCTAACATCAAATACATTACTCTATATAGGTGCTGCTGTAACTATGTCATCGCGCTCCCCGATTGCTACCACCTTCCGGGCGCGTTGTTCATCCCTTTGCGGGGATGGTACAAAAGGAATTCAGTCCTAATGCCCCTCTGCAGCGGCATTCGGTATGCACTGGTGTTGCCGGATTCCTTGTCGGCGTCGTGTTCACTGGCCTTATATATTACTTTCTCCTGTTCCGGTACTTATCGGAGAATTAAATTCGGCGTATGATACCTAATGAATCGCAATCGTCCAATGGTCTCTAAGTTTCACACAGCCCACTCATCGTATATGCGGCCATGCGACATCCAATGTCAATTCAGTGGCTAATAATCACAAAACGGACACACCATTTGCAACACATCGGCCAACAGTAGACGCAGCGCCTTGATACGCTAGATTTGTGCCAGTTGTAGCAGGTTTCCACCGTTACAAGAGTGGCGCCAGCTTCTGTGATCGGCTAAGTCATGGCAATAGCGCGTCCAGAGATATAAAAGACTTACACCCATAGTTAACACGATCCTATGCATTTAGTGCACTCCATAAACTAGACAACGATCTGAGCCCGGGTGAAATCGCGATAATAACGGACTAGACAAACCCTCTGCTAGTACAATGTGTAACCCGTCGCACCGTATGGAACCTATCTAAGAAGCGCATCGAAAACCATAGGAACAATTATATATTTACGCAACACAGCGTTGAAGTATGCGGTGTATTACGTGGTGTGTCTGCATAGTCACGTGCCCGTCAAAATGACGTGCCAAATGCGTATGATGCTGTAACCATTCACACACAAAAAATGCTTGAGCAGGCATGAAACATTATATACGCAGAGAAAATATCGCGACAGTCATGTGTTAAGCCTTATTCACAATACCAAATCATATGTGTTACGATGGTATAATACATCGCTCCGACGATACAACGTACAGCAGCCTGAATTTTTGCACATCAGATAGGAATACAGCGGTTTTGTACTAGTTTTAAATAGAGACACCACTGTCGGGTATTGAAACAGACGTGTCCATTGCAGACGGTTGTAGACGCCCACTGTCTAAGTAATATCCACCTTCCCGTTAATCACAAAACCAATTTGCTTAACGATAGAGTATTCTGTAGCCACGTGGATTCATAGGATGGATTCGTATCAATCAGGCTATTCACGTGCACGCTGCTATTTTGGGTTATTTTACTACAGTGTACCCTGTAGATTGGTACGTCTATAAGCCTCTCGGGCAACTTGTTATTTAAAGTCAACGCCCGCGAAAGCTATGCTACTCAGTATATTTCTTGAAGCAAAGTTTTGTTTTACCACCTTCTGAAAATGGCTGTTCACTTTAGCCTTCTGGAAGCTCCTTCAAACCTGAAGGAGTCACTTGACTGGATAGTGGCGGTCAGGAGATGCAGCGCAATACCCATGCTAGAAAAGGCTACGTACACCCTATTATTGCATGGTACGCCTGTCCTTCCAGAAACAGCGAGCATGAAGGAGGGCGACATGTCCACCAACGTATGCTCGGAAGACACAAAAACCAATTGTCAGGATATTGATGCTGAAAGTAAAACAATTACAGGAAGCACCCATGTGGCGGATTATGATGTGCTCATTAAGCCAACTTTGTGGATTGAGAACCTTGTAATGAAGCTGTATTTTATGGATGTTAGTGCAAGAGAGGTCAAGCGTAGTGACTTATATCGTTGCCTTGCACAAGTTTCAACGAGAATTCAGTTGACTTTACTAAACCTCACAAAGGAGTCAACGTATGTTGAATCATACGACAAAACAGCTACTTGGCGAAATTCTTGTGCCGGGAATCCGTATAAATGTGCAGAAGTTTTCGTCTCCTTACTCATCCGTGTCTACAATAATCTCAATTTGATAAAGCGTGAGTGTAAGCGATGGTTAAATTTAGACAGCAAACTTAATGGCGCCGGCAGCCGTGCAGTAGGTGATCTATTTGCATCTATGGGATATAACGTTAAAGACTTTATACCTAGAGGAACTTGTAGGGATATCCTCAAATATTACGAAACGCTAAACGGCCCACTGATGTTCTAATGCTCCATCGTAAATAAGTATAGGGCTGACAAAATACATTTCCACCAACCTTCCCTGTGTTGATGCACCAACCTGCGACAAAATAATTTTTGCAACACCGATCTAGGTTAGACACCGTTTGGGTGGGATATCATTAAAACATCACAACAGCGCGTTTATTGGACTCAGGCACTTAATTTATAGCACCATCTTTAACGCAAAATGACGCGCCAAGTCAGCCAACGGGTCGCCGTTGTGCGTGTTTTGTTCATATCGTGAATTCATTACAACATAATTATCAAAAAATATCTCAGTTAGAATATTAGTACAGCTTATGTGACATCTTATCATACAATATAAGACCAATAGTGGATTGCCCGTACCGTCAAATGGTTGCTAATCCCCAAGCCGGAAATACGGTTGAATTGTAAAATGTGACTAATAAGATTCGGCTTCCAGACATCAACTGTCTGGTCTTGCCGCACGTATATTGAAGAGTACGACGCTAGGGAGCGACCCGCTGAATATTGTCCTGAATTCGATTATATAGATATTTAGAACCTTGCTTGCCCTCATTCCTCGGCAACCGTATTGTGGGTGGAGACCGAATGCATCATAATGGCTCACCACAATTCAGAAGTGGTATTACCTCGTGAAGCATCGTATGTTTCCACCACTGTGGACCTGGACGCAAAATCTTTATGGCAAGCCGATTTTACAGCACCTGCAACCCCTACTCAATAGAAAGCCCAAAACCCGGCGAGGTCGTGGAGTATGACAAATAATTCTATATCCACGCAGCTGAACGCCCGGAGTATATCTGAAACACCCATTTTAGCGTTTTGTTCAGACTTCTTGTAACCCAGTGCTTCCAAGGCATTTGCAAGACGCTTCTCCTCTACAGAACCCGGCCCACCTAATTTTATTGCACGAAAGCACCGATATTGCAGATAAAGGATGCCCGTGTACAACATAGGCGCAATTCCCACGAGGACCACTGCGCAAGCTTCCGGGTCCTTCGCGCATGACGCATCCCACGTCGCTTCCGAACTGTAAGCAGACTCGTACTTGTCAGCTACTTGGATACTTTTCAAGAACCTCTCGGTAACACGCACCACTTTAGCCACGTTCTTTATTATGGCGTCAGCAGTTACACCTCCGGTCTGTATGATGTTCTCATAATCGCTTTTATAGACATATTCAAACTGCCTGGCGAAAAATCCGGGTTTCTGTTTCTTCATACGCTTCTTGAATCTGTCCAGCAACTCGTTAAAAAAACAATTGTCCTCAAACTCCTTCTGCTCCAGGAACTCCTTAGAAATACGTTTGACTTCCTCGAGAGCTGGCAGCTCCAACTTGCCAACAGGCTTGTCTGCTAGGAAGTTGTAGACGGCGGCACCCATAGCCTTGATGTTGGTCACAGGATCATCTCCCTTCAGTGCTATCAACCAGTCAATGCCCTCCTTGAGGTTGTGAGGAGCCTCAGTCAACGAATTGTACACCATTTTGTAAAGGTGTTAAAATGGGCTACTACTATAGTCGTGTGGATGCCTGTCCTATTAACAGGCCGAGCCCTTAAGTAGCTCTCTCCTTATCTATTAAAGCACAGGTGCTGTTGCCACCGAATATAAACGCACCTTATCAAGATATGCAAACCCGTCAATATACGTAACAGATACACCTTGAAGGAGCGATGATGAGCAGGCTATCTCAGCGCAGCCATGTTAATACCTTTGATGTGGCATGCAGTGTGCATAACGCATGTCATTGCAGTATCCAACCTTCAGGCAGGAATGACACATAAGAATAATTGAAATGTTAGTGTATTTGCATCGATGAGTCAGAGTTTGTGAATTTATGATGGGTCGCGAGTTGTATTTTAGGGAGCCAATGGTGTCCCGTCATTGTCACGACGGAATGTGTCCTGGTGACACGCAGCAACATGCCGTACTCGTTGTCTTACGCATTCATCAGAGCACTAAGATCTCCTACAGTTGCCAAACATATATTATAACCACCTCATCTAGGATGGCGCTTCTGATACGCTGATGTGGACGGCCGGTTGCTTGCCTCCGCCAACCACTTACAGCATGGTATGACGCCTGTTACTCGTTCAACAACCCTGGTGACTGTAAAGGAGTTAACGCGTCAAAGTGCACTTTCAGATATGTTGCCATATTGGTGAACTAGCTCAGTGGTTACGGTTGTGGGTTTGCACGTGTGGCGATCTTGCAAAACACCACGGTATTGTACGTACCATCCCAGATAATTCCTCACTGCGTAACTGAAAACGCCACAAACTATCAGTAGGTAACAATTGACAACGTGAATGCGATAATTATTACGTGACACCAAGTTGCCCCATAGGTTCGTAGTCGAAGTAATCCACGTCCTTGTAGAGTGAAAGCATCTTCTGGCCTTTAGTGAGTAACGCTTCGACGTCGACTTGGTGTGAGGCCTTGATGTATGTTGCCGGGTTGTTTTCCCAACTTAGTTTGTTGACCTTGAAGTTCATTCCCGATGTTTTTAAGGCTTTTACCATTTCCTTGTGTATTCTTATCCCACGTATCTCCACTTAGTCCATTATCCTTCAAATCGTTCAAAGCATTCATGACATCTTCTTTGCCTGGGCTGCCTTGCAAATCACCTTGAAGGGTAGTGAGTTCTGCCTTAATTGCCAAGTTGGCTTCATGGATGGCTTGTGGTTTCTGAGTAAACTCAACGGATTGCAGCTTTTTTATCTCATTTTTTATTTTCTGGAGATTTTCACCACCTCTGTAACCTATACCAATTTGCTTCTGTAATTGTTCCAAGAAGTGCAGTACGTCGTCATCGTGGAACGATTTATCCAGCCTGATTCCAAGATATTTGAGTTCCAAATTAATTGCTCTTATAGATTTTCCAATTATTTCATTTTGGACACTCAGCGCTTTGTTTTGCTCTTCAAGGTCCCCCTGGATTTTTCCAAGACCACTGACTTTTTGACCTTTACCATTAATCGGTGTCCAAGTATTTTGTTCGAGACCAACTTTTTGCAAATCTTCTAGAACGTTTATGACACCATCTTCCGGCTTGCCGCTCTTATTCTTCAACTTCTTCCTAAGCTCTCTAAGCTGCGCCTTAATTGCTTTGACGGCTGTGTCGATTTCACTGCTCTTCTGTTCATACGTGCTTATTTTCAGGTTGTCAATCGCCGATTTTATTGCGTCTAGGCCTTGTTTAGATACGCCATTAAATCCTGTCTGCTCAAGAGCGTTTTTCAATTTTGTCAAGTGATCCTTGATGCCATCTTCATCTTTTGGTTGTGGTTGGGGCAGCGACGGCGCCTTGCCCCGACTCTTATCAACAAGCCAGGCGATTTCATCAAGCTCCTTACTTATTTCTTTGACTGGATTTTCGAAGGTTTCATTGGTAATTTCTGCTTTCCCATTACTGGGACTTGGTTCGATCATTGACAATTCGTTGTACACCTGAGTCTTGATGTCCCCGATCGCCAGTGGAAGATGGCCTTCGCCTAGTTCGCCTTTTAGAGGCTGAGTGGTAAGGCTTTTTTGTGTGACGTACTTATCGTAATGCGTAAAGTTTCCAGTAGCAAGCGTGACTTTGTCTGCTGTACCAGTTCCACCACCTGTCGAATCATCCGTCCCAATGTGCTGATCAACTTTTCCTTGAAGTTGTGATTCGAGATTATTTTTAATGTGATCGTAAACACCGTGGAAACCCTTCATATTCTTCTTCACGCTAATCTCAGCCGGAGCACTATCCTCCATCTCAATCTCCCCAGCCGCCTTGTCAATCGCCGTCCTGGCCGCAGCCCTGATCTGAGTTTCGGCGTTGGAGTTGAACTGGTCAACGGCTGGTCCAAGCTTTTCTACCTCTAGGGCGAGTGGTTGTTTGACTTGCGAATTAAATTTCCCTACAAGTCCAATAACCTCATCCCTCACCTCCTCCAACCTCTTGTCCACGGCTTGGGCGGGGCTTTTGTTTTCGTGTTGACCGGATGAATTAGTCGCCGCTTCAAGATTATCATGAAGATCCTTTGCAATCGGCGTGATTTTGTCCAGGATGGCTGCGATGCTCCCGTCGCTGGGATTGCCGCCATCGTCGATGTTGAGAAACACTGAATTCAGTTCGTTGCCCACCTGCCGGGCCACCGAGGACACGGCAACAACGGTGGTGGCGATGGCTTTAGTAAGGATGCAGTCGGACGTTTGGCAGTCTAGGCACTTATCGGTAACTCTGCTGCCGCCGCAGTGATTACATTTACATTCTGCCTTTGCTAAGGCGGCTTGTAAGTTGCCTTTTGTGCTTCCTGATTTCTCACTTTTCAACGCATCCTTAGCCTGCTTGACCAATTCAAGGACGCCACTTTGAAACTCCTTCTCTAGTTTCTGCTCATCAAGCGCGGCGGCAAACAGCTCGCAGGCCCTTTTGACCTGTGTAATTTTTTTCTGGATGTCGTTGGCATCAACGCCACTGAACACGTCAACAGCTGCATGTGCTTGTACTTTGAGCGGCTCCCTGATTCCACCTCCGAGTCCACTTTGTTTAAGCGCCTCCTTAATGTCTTCCTCCGTCCGCTTACTCTGCCACCCAAGTACGCTTTTAACCAGGCCGTTATGACCAAGAATACCATCCAGCCAGCCGGTGACTATACTTTCAAACTTATACTTCTCACTGAACTCACCAAAATAGTGGTCCACCTTGGACTTAATGCCTTCAAGGCCTGAGGCGCCTGTATTATTCCAGTCGCCCTTACCCGGTGTCCCCTTAATCTTCCCAACCTGCTTTTTAATATGTTGGAAAGTGCCGTTAAAATCCTTCGGCGCTTCGCTGCCGTCATCTTTAGTAAACTTCCCGCCAAGCTCCACAATCGCCTCGTTAACTGCACCGACCGCAGACTTAAGAGGAGACTTGATATTCTGCTCAAACAATTTATCCATACCTTTCAGCGCATTCTTAATTGTACCACTCTCACCAGCAATGCCATCTAATTTAGTCTTGGCCGACTGAAGAGCCTTCAACTCATTACCAACAAGCCCACTGCCGTCATTCTTACTTTCGCCAACTTTACCTTGAAGCCCACTAATCTTATCCCTTAACGTCCCCAAATCATCTCTCACTTTATTACCCAACTCCTTGACCTGCAACGTCTCAATCACACTCCCTATCCCCTCTTTAATCTCCTCTCTCACTGTCCTCAAATCCCTCTTGAGACTTTCGTCCATCCTCACAACAGCCTGCAACGCATCCTTGACTTTCTTGCCGACTTCATCCTTAGCCTTATTTGCCGCAGCCAAAAGCTCTGCTCCCCTGGTTTTCAACTCTTCAGCTTGCGTAAAAATTACAGCTTCTCTACTGCTTTCTGTTTTAACTTTCCCCAATATTTCATCACACTTCTTATCCGCCTTGGTAATAACAGCCTTGGCGGCAGTCCTCCACTTACCTAAATTCTCAACTTCAGTGCCGAGAATATCATTTGCAGTTTTAATCTGCGTTTTAGCGTCTTCAATTTGCTTAAGTCGTTCACCAAGTTCTGTTTTTTGACCACCACCACCAGGCTGCTTATTTTCGTGCAAAGCATCATATACATCCGTCGCCTGGGTAATCGCCCCGTCAAGCACTGTCCCGGCCTGGGTTTTCCACTTACCTAACTCACCAACATGTCCACCAAGCTTCCCATGAACTTCGTTAATTCTGTTTTTAGCCTCCACAATTAACTTTACATTTTTGTCCAAAGCCTCATTCACCTTCAACTTGTCGTAGGCTTCCTTGGCCTTAGCCTCGGCGGCATTGCGGATGTTTTCAGCGTCGGTGATCCACTTACTAAGGTTGTCAACTTGTGTGCCAAGCGTCTTATTGGCCTCTACAATGCCTTCTTTAGCGTCCCCAATTTGCTTAATGTTCGTACCAATTTTATGTTCCGGGCCCTGACCGTCAGGCTGCAATCTTTTATGCACCTCCGTGGCCTTAACAACCACCTTGCCAAGCAATTCACCTGCCGTGGTATTCCAAGTCTGCAAATCTCTGTGAACCTGTTGAAGCCCAGTGTTAACTTGCAAAACTGCATCCTTAGCTGCATTAATCTGATTAATCCCTTTAGCAATCTGTGTCTCTGTACCGTCAGCTTTCTGAGTAGGATCCATGTTCTTATGCACATCATTCCCCTTATCAATCGTCCCTTGGAGCACTTTTTCCGCCGCCTGCTTCCAAGCTTGCAAATCCCCAACACTCTCTCCCAACTTGCTCTCAACCTTTTTAATCGCCTCGTTCAGGTTTTCCAAGTTATTCGGATTTGCATTCCCATTCACCTCATCCAAAATCTTCTGGACTAGATTCTGCGCGGCTTCAATGTCCTTTGTAGTCTTTACGATCCACCTGTCAAGGTCCATAATGTATTGTCCGAGCGATGTACTAATTTTTTGAAGTTGTTCCAAAATGTCCTGCACTTTATCTTTCAACTGTTTAACAAGCTCATTCACTTTCTTGGTAATCTGCGCATTAACGTCAGTTTTAAGCTTGTTGAGCGCCTGTTTTATCATCTTAATGAAGGCCTCCAGGTTTTTCCTCTCCCTTTTGGAGAGCTGATTAAGCCGCTTAATTTCATAGCCAATATTTTTACGGGCATTGCGGACTTTCTCACGCAGCGACAAATTCAGATCATTGCATTGCTCTACAACGTTGATTCTTGCGCCACTGTCGAAAGCACGATATAACTTCTTGGCTTCACCAACGCACTGGTCCACCAGCTCGGTTGCCGCCGTGACGGCTTTCTCCGCTTCCTCAGGTTTCAGAGGCGTAGATTCTTCCGGTACCTGAATCTTATTAACCGCTGTGAGCAACTTACCACCCTCACTCACGTAAGTTAACAACTCATTTACCGGCTTCTTCACTTTTTCGTTCGAAGCCGAGACAGCCTGGTTATAGTTGCGGAGGCCGTCGGCAACCTGGGGGATAGCGTGAGTAAACCCCTTGTGGCCCCGCCGCAACTGAGGCTTAAGATGCCTATGAACAACATCATGCAATACAGATCTACCGGACACGTACGGCTGATTTTCATAGACATCAGTGAACAGAGCATAAAAGAACGCTAAAATGGCGTCGCACAAACGGGAGGCGGAGCCATACACAATGCCGGAACCATCGTAGATTCCAGGAGGCTTATAGCCTAAAAATGTCTCAAAGGAGGAACAGAGATTATATAAAATGTTTTCATTAGGATTCGAAGAGTCTTTCGGAAGAGAGCCCCGAAACTCTTTAAGTTGGCCGACAACATCTCCGGCGGACGGGTCATCTGACTCGGAGGGAGACGACAGAGATTTCTGAGCGTCCTGAGCGACATGGTCGAACAACTTACCGAGAGCGCTGGACAGCTTCGAGATGCCACCGCCGTGCTTCACCTGCACGAGCCAGTCGATCGACTCTCGAAGGTTCTCTGGACAGTCCGTCAAGGCCTTCGGCGCCATGCCTCTAGCACCGAACCCTGACGCCGCAACAACCTCTTACATTGCACGCGGTAATATGTTGGGAGAACGCCGAGTGACAACGAGGTGAGTGACGTGGGACTGCGGATGGGACAGATGGCGGTGCGTCGCCGTGGCGTAAGCACTGGTGTCAGGGTCCGGTGTCAGGTGACACCACTAAGCTAGCACCTCACAATGTCTGATATGCATAGCTTCATCCTAGCCCAACAGTCAATATAGTGAGCTGTATGTATGTGATAAGCAATTCACGCCATCCCCGTCTGCCTCCCTACTGGTTGGCCAGCGTGGCCACTTACTGAGACGGCAGTTGGTTATCAACATTACTGGCGTAGGTGAAGTCCAGTATAAGATGCCAGATAGTATCTATTGTAGTGGATTAAGGTCATTGCTGATCTCTCAACTTGTGAATAGATGTGAAAATAAGGATGCGACACCATCCTCATTCCCGGAGTACAAAAAACGAAGTCAAGATGCGCTGCGACGTAATTCCACTTTACACAATTATACTGGCTTATTTCTACTCAAACAGATTATACAGACAACAGTACGCTCTTAAATTGTCAATCGTAATTATCACATTCGAACCTAAATGCACGCTGCCGCTGAAATACCCTAATAAGCATGATATCGACAACGCGAACAATGAAAGAAAATTAATTTCCGCAGTTAAACGACAAGTTACTACATGTGAACTATTCAGTACTTTGAGTAGTAATTCTCGATCTGGATGGTGGAGAGAACGATGCCCTTGGCGGTGACGCAGCGGCACTCCAACGGAGGCGTCTGGCGCAGGGTCTCACCTAATACGGCTCGGGAACGATCGAATCTCAGGATGACAAAATGGTTGGATCGAGAAGTCACTAATGATTTACTGAGGTCGCTCATGCTCTTTACTTCACCATCGACAAAGACTTGGCTGAAGCAATTGGGTGGGTCCAGGACATACGGCGCCGGGCAGTAAAACGCAGCTTCCTTGGCAGCTTGAAGATCTATTTTGCACCCGACCTGTGGGTTGCCGTCAGCGTCGTAGAGTTGTGGCGTCTCCGGCTTGAACAGCTCATCTGATGCGTACGTAACGCCACAGCCTTGCATATAGGGATCCGTCGTCTCGACGTTAACCTGAACCATATGCCACATGTATAACGCAGAAGATCCTATAAGTCGAAGATTGGGCAGGGCAGGTGTATAACTAGTGGGGGACAAGTCCGATTGTTCGGGCACTTTGCCGCATACGAACGTCATCGGCACAAATTTCCTGTGAACTCGATCTTTAGAAATTATGATGGCGCCTCTATGTAATTGTATCAGAATTATTTGAGATACAGGTGTTGTATCAAGTTCCATATACGTGAATTCAAGTCCTCCTGGAGTAGTAGCCAGTGAATCTTTGTACCTCTTACGAATAAGCTCAGGTCCATTTGGCATCTGGTTTACGGTATAATAGTACAGATCGGGTTGATTTGGTAACCATGTCGTTATAATATCTCCATTGTCTGCAACGTGCTCAACATATTCAGAGGGTACAACTTCGGGACCAGGAGTACACCCCAACCACAGCGTTGTACCAACGCGAGCCGTAATGGACCCTCGCAATACGTTTTGCAGCACAACATTTGTCGGTGATGCGAGCCCTTCTATTAATAATCCTGCGTCACCCCAGGGAAGCAATAGGTGAGGCAGCAATGTGTAAGATGCTGTTTCTTGACTGACTGGGTAGGTATGGTATTCGTGATGGTTGTACTCCAGAATAAGCTTGGACTTTTCATACCCACGTTGGTCGACGCAGAAGCAAGCATAACTGACAGCGGCCTTTTGGATGCTCATGTCAAATATCTGGAAGCCTGGAATGGGGTATGACGTAACATTTCGCACGGATTCAGGAAATGGCAAAACTTTATTGGAGTAGAGATCGTATCCCGTTGAATCACAATTACGCGGGAAAAGTTCCTCACCTGGTCTGCAGTAAATACCTGACTGTTTGGCATTCCTCATATTATGGTACAGGCATTCGTAAATACTCCCTATCCCATTTCCCATCCATTTGGTTGAGCAATAATTCTTGCTGGTTTCCTGATGAAACACATTTCGTTGCCCTCTGTCACATCCAACGATTGCGTAACGATGCGTAAAAGCGAAGGAGACATTTACGATGGCTCGGATGCCATCCAATACATAACTGTTTCTAGATTTCAGTGTCCAATGGTATACGAACAAGTTTGCACCTTTCTTTAACGCCAAGGGTTTGTCTGAATGGTATTTCAGTTTTACTTCTCCCCGTGACATTTGAGAAGCATCCAGCTCAAGGGCCTCGCCGGCGATTGCTTCGTCGTACAATACTTCATTGTAGACATCAAAGTCATATGCTGTTTTAAGTTGTCGTAGCTTCATAGAGCCCTTCGGCAGGAATTCAGTTTCGTATTCATAGATGGACGGCAGCTGCGAGAATGGCACAGCCGACAAATCCTCGTCGTGCTCGTCGGAAGGTTCGTTGACAGAAGCCGGGCTGGTGACCTGTATTGGGAATTTTATGGTCAACGTACTTCCCGGATGGATAACAACCGAACACCAGGGGCCACGGATGGGCTGGTAACGGTCACGGAAGACCTTACTGGCAATGTCACAAATGTAATCGGTTTTCGTACGGATCTCTATCCTGGCCTTTACGTCACCCTTTTTGGAATCTATACATCTACATTCGCCGTTGAATGGCGGCAGTGCCAAGTCATTAAAATACCGTGCTACCACCCAAGGTCTATGGCTGCTGAAGTTCAGATATGAATATGGTCGAGGAGCGGTGATAACGTCACCGTCCTTTTCCAATAACGATTTCATACAATCCTCAGGTTCAAGGCGACCTTCGCAAAGAAATCCGATACGCGACTTCGACATTGGATCCGCCACACATGAACGGACCCCGGTTACAGGGTGTACAGTGACCACGTTGTCCGGTGCAAAAAGCGTTGAGGGGCGACTACCGCAGCCTTGAAGTGGTAGATGCGTGCTTCCGCTGTATAAGAAAAAGATCCCAATTCCATGCCCTATCTTCGACATTTCATGAGCCAAAGGTGTATTAGATGTCCAAGGAAGTGCTTGCATTTGACCAAAACCACTGAGACTGTCAAGGTGACTCTGCAAGGTATCATTAAGAACCAAATCTCTAGGACCACAGATGAATATCAGACGGCGTTCGGTGATTGAAAACAAATCATTAGTTGGTTTGGTAAATTGCAGCTCAGTTTGTGAAGCGTTGGATTTGAACCAGATGAGTGGATTATTGGTTTCAGAGTGCACGATATCCGAAATAGCAATGGGACGGAACTCGCCATTTTCACTGATATAGGTGTTGTTTTTACCGCGCTCATCCGAAGCCGGGCGAGGATGCCAGGCATAATCAGTGTCGTTGACCCGGCGTGGGCAAACGACGGTTGTGGACCCAATATACCCGATATCTATGTCGCACATGGCGAGCGCATTGCTGCTGAGTAGTCCATGTGGATGGTCAAAATTGCAACGCAATGTATCGATACCTTCAATGATATACAGCAATATTGCATAAATTGCCCAAAGGGCTCTTATCACGCGAGAGTTTCCCGTAGTGATTGACGGCATTGCGTGACAGCTTCAGAGTCTATGCGAACAATTTGTCAAACGTAACGCGTTTCAAAAAAGTAAAATGGAAACGCAACAGTTTTAGGCAAAAAACAGGATGAATGATAATTTTTCATAGAATGCACTAAAGCTCCAAAAGGATCGCAGCAGCTGTCTGGTCACCTAAGAATTTTCCTTCACAACTAGAGCTAGAGAAATAAATAATTGGAGCCGATAAGGACGATAACAAGTGTAATTATTTTAATTCCGTAAAAATTGATGCATACTGTAACACCAAGATTAGATATCGAGGCGGTCTCTCAAATTGAGGAAAAAATTTCTGAGATGTGCACCAGGCATTAACAACCGTGCACAATAGGCGAAGTAGTGCGATAAGTATTGCGGGGATTAGGATGACAAACCAACACAAACTGTTGGAGACGGAGACATACGAGAGGAGGAAATTTGATGATCTGGTGGACGTGAAGGGGAGCGCGATCGGGCAGGAAAAGGGGATGAAATTGATTCCCTAAGTGATGAGGGAGGTGAAACGCAGAGAAGACGACGGCAGTAAACAAACCTCGTGCCCAGACATGATTAATGCTATCATGGACGTCAACCAATATGCTCGGAAATCAGACCACATGTACCCCGCAATCTACATCAACAGCGTGCGAGACTTAGGGCTACAGAATAGGCACATATTGCTCCATGCCAAACGTAGCCATTGTTAGCACTCTAAATAACAAGAAGCAGGTGGGCAGGTCTGCCACCTGAGTATACCATGATTCTAATCGTTTTTAATGATATACAATCATTTGTGTACTTCATGAAATGCAAACCTACATGAATGTATGTATTTACGAAAGAAAGATTAGCAAATGTAGCAACATCCATCATATCACAGCTTGTAATGTTTCCTGTCACCAACATTATATGGCCGTAATGCAATAATGCGAGAGATTAATATACCCCTATCATTGGGTAGAAACGTCTAAGACAAGATCCAAAACGAACTTCATCAATCACCACAGATAAACTGCATTATGAAACAACGAATCACGCCCACAGATGATTCACGTAAAATCAATTCCGCATATGCCAGTGTTTCATCAGATTCAATTTGGATTCATTGTAGATTCCAATTATCTAGTGTCTGCTTCAGCGAAATGATGTGGCTTAGTGTCCTCGGAGCGTTAGCTCTGACGTGCATATGCGCTGTAGAGAGAGCGTTTGCGCGTATGCCGGCTGAGAGGCCTCCCGCCCCGGTCCGGACATTTACTGGGAAAAGCAATATGCGAGAGTATAAGGTGTCCGTGGAGAGGGTGACCTTAGACCAACCCCACGAAGTCAACTTCCTTTGTGGTCAAAATGATGCCGCGCACTTTGGCGGAGAGTTTACGCTGTACCCCAGCGACCCCATGACGAAAACCTTGTTGCCGCTCGAGGGTGACGACCTGGAGGACGCGATCTCCAAGGAGGTCCTGCTGCGCAACATTTCTCGCAGTACCATGTTGCGCATTCAGACGAGCAATCACCGGGGTCCGGGCAGCTTCGTGAAGGTCATGTACCCCGTCAACGCCCTCATCATGGCCAAAGACCCTCAGAACTTCAGCCTCAACTACGCCTGCAAGTACCAGCCCCGTGATAAGAGCCAGCCACCCTTCTACCGCTGGCTCGAGGTCAAGTTCAAATACGTTTATCCCATGGCCTACGGATGCGAAAGCGGAAACGACATGCTCTTCAAGAACTCGGTTCCACGATTGAGGTCTTCCAAGAACGGCAGGATATCATTTTGCAAGTTAAAGCCGGAACCTGGAATGATTTTTGGAATATATTGTAGACCAAATGAACACGTTGAGCCGCCAAACTGTTTCACCGACAAACAATTTGAGGAACTTGGCGACGAGATAACTCCTCTAACACTACCCAACATGGAAGTATCGGGTAACCCCAAATACACTGTTCCCGCTAGACTCAAACTATTCAGAATATCGGAAAATGGGCTCAGTAAAGATCTGAATATGGTATGTCACTGCCGGGGCTGGGGTGGTATTCCAGCTTATCTCTCTCTGCGCCACGTGGTCGATGAAGTGATCGATAATGTCCGTTACATGGGGCGCAAAGGAATAAAGCCAAACAAACAAATTTATTTCAGGATGCACAGCATGGAGCCTAACCACACATACAAAATAATTGCCCCACCCCTGGGCTGGTTTCACGTCGGAGAGTTAGGTTTGGTTGGCACAAGATTAGCACCAAATGATCCTGAAATCAATACGTTCAATGCTTCGCCGATGGGAAAAAACAAGTCCATCAAGTTGACAGACGTGGTTGGTTCGAAAGGATTTGAGTTAACACTTAAAAACGACGGATCACTCAACGAATATACGATGAGTTACCCGAAAGCGGCCCCACTGGTTGTTAAAAAGGAAATGCCTTTCATATATTACGATTGGGTATTGAAAAGGTTTTTCGGAATTCAAAACGTGGATTGCAATCTAAGGAATCTTTATCATATAATGCCGACTGACCCTTACACATACGGTTGTGGTGTGGACAGCTTGGATCTGTTCCACAACGAGGGTTTTGAGCTGCATCAGGGAAATAACAATGACGCGACCACGTGCAAACTAAACCCGAGCTTGGTGAGTCCCGTTGGGTTTTATTGTCCCAAGGGATTCAAGTTGGAGCCCGCTGACTGCTTCCGTGAGATGCTGCACAAGGAGTCTGGCCGCGTTGTGCAGCTCGCCGACTACGCGCCGCACGCCAGGCCGCTGGACGGCACGTACATCCGGGTGTTGGACTTCCACGTACCCCAGCGCATGAGTCACCTAGTCAGGTACTCGAACGACGAGCTCTCGTGTCGGTGCCTCGACGCGCAGGGAAACGTACGCGCCTCCATCACCCTCGATCTGCGCAAGCCGACGGTCGAGGAAAAGGCTCCCGACACTTCGGCGCTCTCATCACTTCCCGCAAAATAGGAAACTGTAGCCATTTTTACGTAGAGTAATATGATGACGATTGTATTTTTAAAGAATTCAATGGTGGTTGATGCTGTAATGCTCTAGCAACGAGCCAGCTTATATAAAATCGTAGGCACATGTATCTTAGCTGCGTTGTTTGGACGCATATGTAATGCCTGAGTAATAAAAGATAAGACCAACCATATGAACACGCTGTGAATTGGTCCGTGAATCACAGCAATGGAAGTCAATATGCATTACATCAACAGAAAAATATCCCGATAAACGAATGTATACTATTAATTACAGGAAGGATGCGGTTGTAGTTCTGAAATCTTCCATACCATTTATGCATTACGTGTGAGAAGCAAATACGCGTGCATCCATGAAGCTCGATTTGTTCTCGTACTCCAATGCGCGCAGATTGCAGAATACAAGATGCATATTGCCATTGGCGAGCTAATGATGAATAACCGTTGCAAACACAGTTCCAGTTAACCGCTGCTGCGAATATTTAGTTATCCCATGCGAGTTCAGCAATACGGTGGTGTCAGATCCTTCTCCTCATCACAGTGAATCTGGAATAGCACTGTTGATGCGGTCGATTGCGAGTTTGGTAGTATTCGCGGCCGTCAACACCATGCTGACTGTTGTGCCTCCTGCACCGGCAGACGGCGGCAAAAATGTCTGACTCAAATTCCGTAACCCTTCTTCCAAAACGATCACATACATATGATATCCATCAGATGTTATATACGTGATTTCGTCGTCCGGAATATGCGTTAAAATTTTATACCACGTCTCAGCAACTCGCTGCAGTGCTTCAAAAGTGGCAACAACATCCCTAATGTTTGATTCAATAGTGTTTCCTATTTGACGTTCGTGAACAGCTTTAGTATCACACCCAGTGTCACACGCCATTTGAGACTTGAGAGGAGGCTTAACCGTTGATATTTCACTATTGCCATCGGTTGCTTCACGATGTTGTCTGGAGGTAGCCAATGCGAGGTCTCTCGCCATCAATGTTAGCTGACAGACCATTAATGTGCTATATACAAGATCCTTTTCATCCCTGAAAGCAGGATCGCATATTAGCTGTGATGCCGTCGCAACCCATGTTGCTAGGCCGATAGAATGAAGTTCATCGACCGTTCCGAGATTCTTCTTTATGCACTGCCGCATGAAAGCGTAGATCTGCACCCTCTGCTCACAAGTGGTTGTTTCTACCAGGGAGAACGACATAAGCTGCTGAAGCACTCGTCGACGGAACAAGAAGCCGTAGTCGTTAAGGAGGTGCCCTGAGCTCAGAAGCAGCTGAAGGATAAATGAGAGACAATGTGGCCTGTCATTGGCAGTATGTACAGTGAAGCATTCGAAGAATAGCGGAACATCATCCATTTTGATCTCAAATCGCAGCAGGAGGTATTTGTTCGCTAGCTGATATAGCGGATCTTCCGGTTTTGTCACTCGGCGCACCACTTGTGACGCTAGCAATACGTATAAAGCATCATTGCCCGATTTAGCATATAGCTGGCATCGCTGAAGAAAACATATCAACGAGTGCAGCTGATATACACCAAACAGTCCGACACGACGAATCTTGAAAGGTCCGCTGCTACCGGGAATAGCACTGCGTACAATGGCCGCATCTAACATGTTTTGAAGCATTTTGGTAACCATACCCAAAGCTTTCAGTGCTTCTTTGCGCATGGTCTGCGATACAAGTCCAAGGATACAAAGTTCCAGCACCCCGTTTCGCACCACCTGCTCCATAAGCACGGGGCTAAAGGCTTCTCCCAATGCAACACTAAATTGCATCTGCTGGATTTGCGCGTATATTCTTTCTGCAGCATCGCTTGTTTCTGATAGTGAAAACCATTTCGCGAATCGATTGGGAGCGTGATTATAATCGGGGTTAACGCCACGAATCACCATGTCTCTGAAGATGTCCTCAAATTCAAGTTTATATTGATAGAGCTGGTCGCTCAACATCCCACAAAGGCGCCCTGTTAAGAATGGAATCAAGTATTCCACATCGTAGATGTACGGGTCGCCCACAATTAGTTGCTGCATATACATGCTATGGCTCCCTAAAATCCTGTTGAGCAGTGTAATAGCACCAAAAACCTCATCGCTGCGATTGTTAGCCTTACGTGATGCGGGGGGGAAGAGAATGGCCAGATTGCGAAATGTTGACTTCAAATCTGTTGCATCGGACTCGCGTTTATATGGAAAGCGCAGCAGAGTCATTGATACCCGCTTGGTGTTGAGACACAACCAATTAGACGCATTTGACACACATTCAAAACCTGAAATCATGGTTAGCCAACCACGAGAGACACCATGGCTAAGGGTGCCCAGGTTGCCGGAGGTGGTGCCTGATTCCCTAACATTTGTTTCTGACGTGCTCCCGCCATTCGTAGAGGAGAGTCCAGTGACGCACGCAAAATCTTGAAATGGCGGTAACCTGATGGACATCGACTTCTCGTCGCCCATGATACGGCTGACGATACTCACCATAGTCATGATAACATCCTTCAACGCAAGATCACTTCCGTAATATGAGCATCTATAGCATCCTTTCACCGCTTCCAGCATTCTGCACGCTGCAACTTTATCGAAGGTGATGTTTGATGTAGAACCGCGTCCCCTGAATCGTAGCAACGACCGTAACAATTTTGCATGTGACGTTAAGAGATTTGACTCAATGGTGTCGCCAATATAATAGTTGGGCCTGTTTAGTTCACATACCTTGTCCGTCAGTTTTAACATAGGTTCTGACTGCAACAAAGCAACCGCCGTTCCTGCCTCAGATGTAGGCAGAGTTTCTGCCAAGCGACACGCTAGGTCCATCATGTGTTTTATGAACGCAAATTCACACTGCAACATATCTCCACAGATGCAACTCTTTTCAGGCATAATTAGCTGCTCCGTTACCTGCTTAAGAAGCTCCGCTGCCTGGCCCTCCAGGAGAGATGGTGGGACAACCATGGAAAGCTTTGAGACACTCAAGGCTGCCGCCGTTTTGTGATTGGCATCTTCATGATGTCCCGAGCATAACCGACGCAAGATCATCATGAAACGTTCCTTAACATCGACAGAGGACATGATATGTTCCGTTTTCGATGCAAACCGGCATTTCAGGTACAACAGTTGCGTCCACCTGCAATATGTCACTTGCGTTGATTTCGACCTACCGTATATCGTCGTTGAATTCTAGACCTTCAAACGTGGACTGTGCTATCTCTAGACGATTATCATCACCTAACAAGGTAACAAGGATTGAAAACAGGTGGGTATACAAATTTAACGGGTCCATGTCTAAGCACTTGTTAACGAAATGGGCATACCTGTCCTTGCACCACTTTTGCTTGATAACGCTGAGTGCCTTTAATTTTGACTGCCCAGTCGATATGATGTCGATTATTATGCGCCCACACTGTTGCGTGAACACCGTGTCAGGACAAAGGCCATCGATGGCATCTATCACAGCAAGACACGCCTTCAGATACGCGTCCTGCACCAATACTTGTGTATCTTTGCACGGAGCTTCTGCATTTAACGCGTTCGTTGACGCCGAATCGGCAATCGTTTCCACCTTTTGCGGCTTCACAGTATCGTAAACTTCTTTTGCTATGTCATGCTTCGCCAGGAATGCCTGAATGACACGTTTTGCGTGCCCCTTCAACGTCCCTGAAGAGGGATTACGACAACCCCGTAGTATGTACTTGGCGTATTGTAATGGGTCTATATTGCCCTCTTCCCCAGAGTTCCGCAACGCCGACACCATGTTGACACGCCTGTTTCCACAAGATTCGCACTGCAGGGATTCCCTCGAATCGATGCATAGGTGCAACAAATACTCGAGTGATAGGCGTAGAATGAGTGGACCGTCAAATTCCGCACTTGTAATGCAGTTGACGCAGGTATACTTTATCGGAGGGCTCTCAGCTTCTTTTTGAGTCAGTGATCCCAGAAGCGTATCTAATGGCATCTGCATACAGTGGTTGAATAGCTTTGTGAAAATATGATAATCTTCCTGACTATGAATGGCACACATCCAGGGAGATGGATCGCTGGGGAACACACCGCTGCCTTGTAATACTTGTTTGACGTATTTTTCGCATTTATCCTTGTAGCTTTGCATAAGCGGTTCGTCCCACGACCGCCGTCCCAGGGCTGCTTTGAGTTCCGTGTAGCGTCGTAGAATGAAATTAAAGCAGACGCTTTGCACCTTGTTAAGCGCCACACCCTTGTGGATCTCACCCACGCCTATGCTAAAGAGACAGTCTACCAGCGCCATATCAAGTTGAAGCGCCGACCGCAGCTTTTTGGTGCATACGTGTTCGTCATCCGTGCTATTGATGCCAGCTACCAGCTCATTAGCATTGTCTATTATCGCCTTCTCTTTTAAAAGCTTACACGGATCGTACAAACTCCTACCTTCGCGTATCCCCACGAAAACACCATACAGATGCAGGCATTTCAGCCATTCCGTGATATCATCATCGTCGTCGATCGCCAAGATGACATCACCGGACTCTTCAGTTACAACTGATCTCAATTCGTTTGACACCATAATCCTCGTTTCATTTTTGATGTTAAGTGATATGTTCGATCCATCTGTGCCAGTATGCTCTTTCGGCGTGGGTTTAACGTTGAGCAGCGTCTTGAAGTCTGGTATGGTGTTGCATATGTGTTCACGAACAGCTGGATGTATATCGGAGCAAGATTCATTTCCTGCTGAGCTGGTGACGAACCTCATGAGCGCCACCAGCATGCGCAGCGTGCCCAAACGTGCCCAGCGGTTATTCGATAGTAGTCCGGAGTTGAAGAACGATTGATTTAGGAACGAGGGCAGGTATTCTAGCGCCTCCTCCTGCTTTATTTGGAGTCCTTGTATGTGCGTAAACCACTGGGTAGTGAACTTTACCAGTGAGATGTGCTCCAGTGCCCCGTTGAACTTGCATCGCAGGGCTGGCATATAGTGCCGCCCCAGCTGTGCGTTCGCCTTTAATAATGGGAGCAGAATCTCCACGATCGTCAGCTGTGTCGCATCAAACTTTAGCAGCACTTTGGCCAGTGTTGCGGCATCGCATATATCCCTGACGTTAGTGACGAATTCCGAGAACGTGGCAGCAACGGTGCCATTGAGGCGCACCATCCACTCATGCTCCGCATTAGGCGTTGCAGTAATTTGGGCAATTGCATTCGAAAGTGCGCCAGCTACCGCAGCGATAACATTTTCTGGCAGTTCCGACCTCTGCGCGTTGCGCAGAGTGAGCGAGAGTGTCGCGCACTGCGTGCTGATGACGTTCGCCATGACCAGTATGAAGAGCCTGATGGTGCAGATGGAATCCAGCAGGCCATCCTGCTTGATATGCTCAAATATTTGGTGCAGTACCGTTGACCTCCGTATGATGTTGAAGCCTTTAAGCCCAAGTATCAGAAGTATGCACAGCTGCTTCTTGGCGTTGGCATGGCGCAACTCCACAACGTCGTCGACGTCACAACTGTCGTTACGGGTCTGTGGCAGGAACTCGCGAAGTCCGACATCTTGTACGACTCCGTCATCCACCAGTTCCGCGTAGAACCTGGAAACCGAGAACGCGTTGCATGCCCCCTTGCGTACTGCGTGTTTCCCCAAGAACTTGTGGAAACTGAAAGCGGTCAGGAACACGCGCACACTTTCGTCTGGCGCGGTGAGCAAGCATTCAAGCACCGTGCTCAGGAGGTAATGGAGCGCTGAGTCCCCTAGTGCGATAAGCGCCGGTATGTGTTCGCATAGTCGGGTGAGAACATAGTCGGCGAGCTGCTGCTTTAGTTCCGCAGATGCACAACGCTTAAGCATGAACCACAGCAGCGCCAATCCCGGCTTCTGAGCCTCCGGCTGACCACTGGTGAGAAGGTCGAAGACCTCCACCGCCCTCGGTGACGCGGCGAGGTACCTGTTGACAGCATCCACATCGCCGCAGAAAGGCCTGTATAGCACGTACTCGTGCTTCGCTTGACCAGTGTTGGCTTTTTTTTTGGGATGCTGATCACTATCCTTCAGGGTGTACGACGGACATACTGCTTGAAAGTCCCTTCTAACGATGGCCGCGGCTACCTGTAGACCGGTCACACAATAGTCATTTTCCATCGGTCCACGGTCTTCTGGGCAACACCGAGCTTTCTGGTCGGCAGTAGCGTAGAATTATGCCGGCTTTCCGGTGTTCGGCGTTGTCGTTTCGCCCTCCACACACTGAAGGCTTGGTCCTGCCTTCGCTGAATACTGGCTAAAAGCGCCCTTAAAACCGCCAATGATATAGTTACAAGAGCGTTTAGACATGGAAGGTCGCCCCTTTGAGGGCGGTAGCGTCGATGGAAGGTGCATAGGTTGCGGCAGCAGCTGCCCATGGGAACTTGAGGAGCAAGCCAACTGCGAGTGGGACCGCCGTCTGGCGGATATGCTCAGTTGGGATGTTGTGCGGCCCAGTAGCGCTTCGTTTGACAGCCGTCACCTGCCTGCGATCACTGCCGAGTACCTGGAGCACTATTCGTGCTCCGCGATATCTCTGCACAGTGATCGATGGCGGCGCCTGGTGAGCACGATAAAGGACGCTAATGCGACCCGCAAGGGCATGATCGTGGACGACTCCGTGGAGGAGCTGCTGAAGCTGGAGGTCCTGCTCTTCACTGAGCACAACGTCGAATCTCGTTGCCAGCTAGCGCGCGGCCTGATAGTCCAGATCTGGCGTGACCAGCGTCCCACGAAGGCTCCGTGGTACTCTAAGCTGATGCAGCTGGTGCGCGACCTAGACGCGTTATGTTTTTTGCACCGTCTTCACGGGGCTCGGTGCATGATAAACGTCGGCCCGATGGTAACGCCGTACAGTTGTCTGGACAGCGTCATCGATATTTTCCGGCGCGAGTGGCCGGAGGGTAGGTTCGGTGCCGTTAGGTCTCACTGTGCTTAGGCGAGACTGCGTGGTCTCCCTACATCGAGGGCGAGCTGATGTACCGTCTGTCCGGCCGCGGGTTCATCAGCATAGCGATAAGTGTGGATGACCTGAAGTACACTAAGCGACTTCTGGTGCCCAAAATGCACACGGAACGTTGTTATTTGCGGCCTACTGGGATCCTGATGACTCGGCATGCCAAGCGTTTAGCAAAGCGCCTTCGTATTACTATGGACACTGCATTCCATAAGGTAAGCTATTGACTCCTTGCATCAGCTGCTGGAGGCGTGTAACCGTACGACAAAGTCTAGGCGCTTTTGCCCGGCGCGCCAGCAGTCACGTAGCCTTTTGTTTTGGCGGTCATTTGAATTTGTTTTGCCGATTGGCAGTGTTGCGCTGTGGTTCGCTCAACGTAAGTCAGGTCATCGACGGAATCGTGCAGCAGCACGGTGCCAACTGGATGTACCCGGAGGTGCGCACGGAGTTCAACCGCATGCACTACCAGCGGCATCGTTTCGAGCGCTTGAAGACCCGGCTGCACTCAGTCGAGGTTTGGCACGGCGGAGAACTTGTGGCCGGGGAGATCGGTTGTACGTTGAATTGGATGCTTTCTTAATTCACTTCAGTTTCCGCTGGTGCCGTGTACACTAGCTTGACGGGATTTCACCGAATGGCTTCCTCCGGCACGTTCCAGATGTACGCCTTGGCCGCGATCTTGCATTTCTCAGGTACTCTGCATCCTGGACGACCCTCACAACGCGCAGGCATAGAAATGTGGGACCTCGGCATGGAAATTCCCTACAAAAGCGGTCTGGGCGCCACAACGATGCCGCGTATAAATTTCATCGAGGAATTCAACCGGTTGAAGCATAGAGTAGGTTCTCTGCTAGCGCATTACACGCCGCAGAAGCGTCACGTGCAATTGCCGAGTCGCTTCCGGGAACACGAAAACTGCGTTTCCCTTATGGAAGAGTTCGAAGCTGCACAGCAGCTTCTTGTTGTGGAAGGCAGTGCCTCAGCCTAAGCCGCGCAAAATTGCGTGGCGTGTCTACATCGTACACCGCTTATTTTAATCTGATGTAGTGCTTTTCACGGTGGTGTGTAGCGGGTGTGGACTTCGGGCGGGCATCCCGTTTGGCTCAATTCACACTCCTTTTGTGTTAATTGTGACAATGTGATGGGCTCGCTGTCGCGCATCGGTCGCGGATTTCGCGGCCTCGGCGAGGAGCTGCTCGACTTCTACGCCTACGCGACGCTGAGGCAGCAACACGTCATGATGGTCTGCGCCGGTGTCGTGCTGGGAGCAATCGTAGGCGTCAAAAGTCGTCGTCAGCGCCTGGCCAGTGGCGAGTTTAGCGACAACTTGGAGCTCGTGGCGTACTCAACTTCATCGGTAGACGAGTTCGAATCTCGCTGGAATCGGCTTGCGCGCTTCGCGCAGCGCAGGCCGGACTACAAACACACTCGAATGTTCAAAGCAGTACACTGGGACAAGCCTTTTCCGCACTATCTGCAGGTAAGGCACACAACGTCACCAACGCGACACACTGTTTCAGCTCCGGCTTTGGAAATACGAGGACTCACTCTCTAACTACACAGATGCAGCTTCAGCTACTGGGCTGCTAAAGAAGGTTGACATGTCGGCAACATCGGTGCAGCGCGCGCGCCCGGTGACTATCATTGACGACTCAATCCGTCGCGGCATTTCTTTTTAATAGTATACGCGCGTACTGATCTAGTAATTGTGTTATCGTGTTCTGTGTGGAGGCATGGACATTGTAAACGGTAGTGCTACGCTGTCTGTCCTTGCGCTGCTGCTGATCCTTCCTAAAACGCATGGCTAGAGCCATGTAACCACTTCTAGGATCTATTTCATCGCAGAGCTCATGTCAGGCGTGCGTAGACGCCCTGATAGCAATTAGACGACACGCGGTATACATTGGTAGTTTTTTCCATTCTGCGGGCTCTGAATGCTTATTCGTGAGTCATCAGAAGCTGCTGTGCCCGCTAGATGCGCGTGAGTGTGCTCGTGTGCAGTTAGAGCTGCACCAGTCGCCAGATGACGTAGCAGTGTACGAACTACCACTGTGTCGCGTGCGCAGTCTACAGCAACGGTACATTACATCCAGACTTCGAATGGACTCGCCGCAAATAGTACACTGTGAGCAATATTTTAATGCCTGTGGTGTTCCCATTACACTGCCTCGTTGACACTTGTCTGCCAACCGCAGGCCTACCGTCGCCCGCCGTGCCTTCAGACTCTTGGGCGTGTGCCGGTGCCGTGCGACAGCAACGCCGTGGAAGACTAAATCCGCAAAATGCAAAGACGCATAAGTCCCTGGGTAGAGTCTTCATAGAGTGTTATCCAGCGACGACTCTATTCTGGCGTGCGCTACACATTCTCCGCTCCCCCCCGGTACTGTGTTTGGAATCAAGCTCCGAAGATGGGCAGAGTGAGTGGCTGTGACTTTCTTGGTTCGGTAACAGTTTCGTAGGATTACTACGCGATTCTTGGCGTGAACCGCGGTTGCAATGAGGCCGAGTTGAAGAAGGCCTACCGCAAGCTTGCGATGCAATGGCACCCTGACAAGCACCCAGATCCTGCTGCGAAGCAAAAGGCATGTTTTTGGTCCGATTTGTCACGTGATTCAGGCTGAGGACATGTTCAAGAATGTCTCAGAGGCCTACGACGTTCTCTCAGACCCCGAGAAGCGCAAGATATACGACCAGTTCGGTGAGGAAGGTCTCAAAGGCACGGCTGGTCCCCATGATCACGGCGCGTCTCATCAGTACGTCTGTAAGTGGCTAATGATTTTTTACCTGAGTTTTTTCTAGACACCGGTGTCGACCCCACCGAGTTGTTCAAGAAGTTTTTCGGCGCGGACCGAGGCTTCATGTTCAACAGCGGTTTCGGCGACGACATAGGCGGCTTCGGTGAACCGTTCGGAATGCATCACGGTAGCCGCCAACGCTCGCAGAAGTCGCCCAACTACGAGTTGGACCTTCCGGTGACGCTCGAAGAGCTTTACACTGGCACCGTGAAGAAGATGAAAATCACCCGGAAGCGTTTCGCGAGCGGGTCCGAGTACAAGGAGGAGCAGATCCTCAAGATCGACATCAAACCGGTAGATTTTTATGCTCTTACATGCTATTATGTTCAGGGGTGGAAGGACGGCACCAAGCTGACTTTCTCTGGCGAGGGCGATCAGGCCACCCCCGCCAGTCCTCCTGGCGACCTTATTTTCATTATAAGGGCCAAGAAGCATGCCAGGTTTATGCGAGACGGCAACAACCTCGTATACAAGTTCACGGTGCCTCTTGTGAAGGCGCTCACCGGCTTCCAGGCTACGCTCACTACTCTGGATAATCGCAGGCTGACGGTCAGGATAGTGGATGTGGTTTCGCCGGCTTACCGCAAGGTAATCTCCAACGAGGGCATGCCAATCTCCAAGTCGCCATCTGAGCGTGGCGACTTGATTTTGGAGTTCGACGTGACGTTCCCGCGCACGTTGACCGCCGACCAGAAGAAACAGATTACAGCCGCTCTCAGCAGTTGATGCTGCGCGACTGCAGTTTCATCACAAAAACATTATAGTAAAATATGTTCCGTTCTTAGGCGTCAACGGGTTCCCTTCTTTGCTTTTTGCATCGTGCCCTTGGCGGACACTGGGTACGCCCCGTTGAGCGATCATAGGTTGCATATGCGATGGTACTCCCTCGAGGCATCTGTCAGGAGATCGGCGCCTAGCTTCGCCGGTTCTGGCGGTGTCACTGGTTTCGCCTGTCCTCCAAACTTCTCCATGATCCTCGAAGGCATCTTGATGAGATTCCACTTCGCCCAGTACTGGCTCTTGGGCGGATTGAGCGCAATGTCTAGCGTGAGCCCGGTAACCAGGGCCCAGAACGCGAGCATCCGCAGCGCCTCCACGCGCTTCGCGAACTCAGTGTATCCCAGTGCCGGCTTGTAAAAAAGCTTCTTAGCTTCCGTCCATGACGCCTCAATCTGCGTAGATGTGTGAGTTGTCTACGGATCTAGGTTCACGCTACCGTGCCGGAACTCACGCTGTTAAGCTGGCGTCCTGAGGGAGCCTGACCCAGGTAGCGCCGCTGCATCATTTGCCGCGATTTAATCGGCAGACAAGCTGCCCCTCGCTTGAACAAGCCACCTAGGCCCTTCATTATTGTTCTGAGGTGTTTCCGACTGGTAGCGTAGGTCAGCGTCGCGTCGACTCGAAGTCTCGTGCAGTATCGCGACCCCACCGATAACCGCATTATAACATTAATTAGCGTACATTTGTGAGTCTGTTTTGTGTCAACTTTCGCCGCGGAGGCGTTATATGTGTGCGATTGTCTGTCTTGCTGGCGGCGTTCAGCGTATCGCTTTGCGGATTCCTCGAAAAGCAGCTGATACAAAGCTACGATATGCGTGATCATACGTAGGAATATAGTACACACCTCTGTGACCAGAAGCCAGGGAATAGCACCGGCCTCTGTGTAGCAGGTTCAATCCCCTCTGAGCTCGGTGGTAGTACGCGCTGCGCTCGCAGCCGTCTATAGAACCTATTGGCACTAACTTTTGCGTGTTAATAGACACCTACCAGTCCCTGCGTCTAAGCCAATTTCCGCTCAGCTGGTCGAAAAAGATTATATTGCCGCGCTGTTTTACCTTCTCCTTAGTGCGTTTGTTTTTGGGAACCGCCATGTCCGTGTTTCCCGCGAACGTTTGGCAGTTTTTATAGTGAATGTGTGCCGTGGCGGCCGCTGTCCGAGGGCGGCGGCGCGGGTTGTGTGGACGACACCATGCTGGGAGGCTCGCTCAGTCACAACCGATGTGGGCCTTATGCGCACACCTTCTACACATAGACTCACTATCACGTCCTTGGGATGTCACAATGTTCTCGTTGCAATGCAAAGCAATCCTTTGTCCACTTGCGTTGAAGCTACTGCAGCAGAGCACCGTTGATCCTTCGAGCCATATTTCCTCGAAGGGAAAGGAAGACGGACAGACACGGCGCGTCAGCCACTCTATGACTCACTAACACCCGTAAAACTTACAGTTGTAGCGTCGGTCGATTCATGCAACAACACACCTTACCTCGATAAATACTTGATGGCATGTTGAACAAAGGGTATACAGCAGATCCCTAAAATTTCACAGCACGTTAACTTGCCACGGAAGTAGTAGCCGTATTGCACGAACTTGCCATATTCGGTGTGCTGCTACGTTCCAGGATGAGATACCAATGCTTGGCATCGTTGGTGTTGTGCGCTGCGGCCGCTATGCATATGGCGATGCACGCAGATGCCGCTGGTGCAAACGATACAGCAGAGAGCGGTGGCAAACCGAAGAGCAGACGCCGTAACCGCACTGATGCGTAGGTGTTAAGCTTGCCTTGTAGAGTATGTTTCGGCAGACGCAACAACCCCGACGGTCTCAATGCGCCCGGGTTTCCCTTTAAGGACCTCAAGCCGTACATCGAACGTATGAAAAAGCGCAAATTGAAGGTCACTAACGCTGCTTCGGGGGACTTAGATGCTGGTGGTAGGGAACAATTTTGAATGAGCAAACCGTTTTGCAGGCCTGAGCGACAGTGACGGTATCGATGCATGCTTGGAGGTCTTATTGTGTTGCAGATTTGGATGACGATCAAGATTCTAAAGAAGATGTGTTTTATGGTAAGTGCAGTATTCTGAATTGTTGTGTTGTGGACATGCATGCGGATTATGGGTGTGACTAAATTCGGCTCTTCTCTTTCACATGTTGTGGACGCACATATTAAAAATCAGATGCGGAAGCCGAACTCCATGGAGTCGATATTGTGATAGAAGCTGTGTCAAACCAGGAGGGCGACTTGGTGTTGACTTGTCCCCCCGGTTATAGCATTTCGATATTGGATGCTTCGGCGTTATGCAACCATCATCATACCGATTTTAGGTTAGAAGCGTGGGAGATCTGTAGGACGAGGGACACCTGCGTGATCCGTTACGACAACATTGGGCATTGTTCGTCTGGTTGGACTGGATTAAAGCTCAGGGCTGTCTGCACTAAAGGTTGGTGGAAGCATCAGCCATGGAAAATATCATCTCCTCAGTGCGCGGCTTCGACTGTTTTCTTTTCAGAGCAGTGCATATAATGGACAAGGAGTTTTGCAAGCACGTGTGTATGGAGTTTTCCAAAAGGTGCAAGAGATCCGATATGCCCGTTACTAGGGGCCAGCGTCTAGAGTGTCTGACTTCACTTTTCGAAGCCAACAACCTCAACTCCAGGTGCACTTACTTGTTCGGTAAGTTGATTTCATCGTAATTGGGACTCTATACAGATGGAATGACTGGCAAGCAGGCGGAGATTAACAAGGAGGGATCCGGGTATCGTCGTAAGTTGCCCTAGTGGTTGACACATGAGTGCCAGAGTACGATATAGGCATCGTCATGGCTTCTAATGTTGTGTGGACAGAGGTAAACTTCAGAAAACCTATGGACGATCCGGTTGTATTTACTTCGGTCCCTCATGCGGACGGCAATTACATTTATATGAGCATAACAGACGTCACATCCTCTGGGTTCAAAGTTTTAAGCCGAGAGTGGATATGCGATCTTGCTTGCATTACGTTGAGCACAGAACAGAAACGCACAGTGCAATGGCTGGCCATTAATAGGGGGGACCACTCGCAGAATTTGGACGATATTATAGGCGCGGGTGTTCTCCGAGTCAATAACAATATCGAAAATATTAACCTGCCCATCGATCCCAAGAGGTCGTGGAGCGTTCTAGTTCAGGTTCAAGAGCGCCCACTCGGTTTGAGTGACATGGCAGACATTCTCAAACCCAATATGGCTATTCCGGTATTGTATGACCAGAGAGAAGGTTTCCATGTGAAACTCATGTACACGAACGACATGGGCAAAGAGCACTTTGTGAAGCTGGGTTATCTCGCCATACAGATTAATGAGACCAATGATTTGTATGGACTGTTTGTGAAGTCTTTTATCGATTCCATGGACAATCCTGAATATGCCGATATTGTGCTTTCCATACCGCCTGCTTGGCCTTACCCCGCCCACGCGTTTGCACAAACCCGCATGTGGCCAAGGCACAGAGCCGCGGCGTTGAGGTCTGAGGTTTGCTCTCTGCGCATGAAGGCCACGGTACAAGACATGACGGGCGTCGACAATGTCTCCACTTACAATTTTAGGATAGACTTCAACCTTGAATACCTGACTGGATCGGCCGGCCGTTCCAACCCTCGCATTGGCGGCTTCACAATCCAGGACTTTCCCAGCGCAATTTTGGAGAAGATATGCAGATTTGCGAAGAAAATAAATTCTCGAAGCACCAGTCAGCGTTGCTTCGATTTTTGCATGGGGCCGCAGGGGCTCAGTAGCTGCTTGGATGCGGAAAACATGGCACTCTGTTTCGAGAACAAGCGCAACCATTGTGTACTGCAGGCTCCTCATCTGGACCTACTTCTTGACGAATACGGTGGCTACGTGAGGCACCACAGAAAAGACGTGCCTCTTGCGGTCGCGGAGGCTGACGATTCCCGTGGCGACAGGATATCCAGAAACCCTGGTACCAGCGATAGGGATTCCAGGGACAGCACCGATTCGTATGTGGAGCCGGATACCCCGTCTGAGAAGGAGGAAGAGATGGTTTTGGAGCGCGACTGCATCGAGGGCCCTTGGGGAGAGTGGTCTAGTTGCAGCAACCACTGTTACTCCGATACTGTGAAGGCCAAGCAACGCCGCCGTAGACAGATCTATGCTGACAGGTTGGGCGGCAACTCTCGCCCGTGCGTGCTAGTTGATAGCCGCGACTGCGAGGACGTGCCTCCCTGCTCTGATTTCTGCTACTCCCGTGAGGGCTCTGGCGACGAGAGCACCTTTCAGCAGAAGTTTTACTACATCTGGTCGCCTAAGTGCCGCAACCCCAATACGACATATATAAATGAAAAAGAGACCTTTGGATACACCGGCGGTTCGCAGTTTGATACTGTGGGTGTCACCCGTGTGGGTATTCCGAGCCTGCTCCCTCGGTCACCTGGCTCTGCTTCATCGAATTTAGGAGACGCTGCGAGCGGAGGCGACCGTCAGTGCGGCGATGAGAACAACTGGTCGAAGTGTAATGCACCTTGTTACTTGGCAACACGTGACCAAGCCATAGAGTACCTGCGCGCGCCAATAAAGTGCCTGGACCACCGCCGCCCGTGCACGACGAAGCTGGCAGACTGTCCAACCGAAGAGTCGCTGAGGGCTGTGGAAGAATTCGGTTCCTGCGTGCTGACTCACGCCTTTTACGATGCGTCGGCGCAGTCCTGGACAAGAGACGGGGCGTGCGTCTGCGAGGACGGTGTTGCGTGCACGCCGGAGGAGGTATATGTTTTGGGTGATACGTCTGAGCTTATATCCACTGGCTCCGACACTCATCTAGAGCATGTAGTTCGCGCGTCGCCCTTCCATCCATACATTTCACTGGCGGACAACCACCGCATTGAGATGCCTGCGGAGTTGGTACGTGATGTAACGTATGGCCTGTTTGAACCTGGCGAGGTTGCAAACTTTTGCACTACTGGCAGCCCTGAGATCCCGGCGTTCGACCATAAACTGATGTGGATTGACTGCAATTTGGCCATGTCCGCTCAGTACGGCCGGGATCCCCTTTGCCAAGTGCGGTGCGCTCAACTCCGAGAAACATGCGAACGTGAAATACCCCGCGACGCCCCAGAAACTATAGGAGAATGCGTGAAGGCACGCATAGTCGATGCTAAGAGTAACATATACGTGCTGAACTTCAAACACCACTCGTGCACCGAGCCCCTAGTGGGGCCGGGTATTACGAATGAAGATCAGGTTTGCGACGTCAAATCTTGGCTAGAGAGTACCACTCAGCTGTGCGTGCTACTATGCCGTCGTATATTCAACATGTGCAAGATAAAATCGCTGCACGCCTATGAGGAGAAGGTGCGTAGTTGCATGTTGCATCACGCACAACTGAACGACGTTGCGATGCGTGACGGGACGCCAGTCGATTTCAACAAGCTGTGCATTTACCACCACACTAAACTGGTCGGAGGAGGTCTGGTGTACTGCAAGAAGCGCAAGATAGTGTGCACCTCCGAGGGTTGGGAGCCATGGAGCGATTGCTCTGCGAGCTGCATCACCCTGAATGAGGGCACCCCGGTCGTCCCCACCCGTCAGCGTAAACGCAAACAGAAGATACTAACGCCTACCGAATATGCACATTGCTTGATGAAGGGCGTTAAGTTTCACGAGGAGGTTCCCTGCCTGTGGCTGCCGCAGTGCCCGGACGACCCATCGATCCAGGCGGCGATCGCCCAGACTCGTGCTCGCGTTGCCTGGGACGTCGCGTTTGATACACCCTGGAACTTGCAGAGCTGGCTAATGAAGGATGCCCGTGAAGATGACAAGGAGGTAACCGAGGACCACATGTGCCAACTTTACAGTGGGCAGCGCGACATATCGAACAACAAGATCATTTACCAGGTACGCGTTGATATATGTCTGTGTGTACATATTCCCTTAGAAAAGCCGCTGCTCGTGTCCGCCTCAAATGAGGGCGTGTACCGTGCTCGAGTCTGTCCACTCTTCCGGTTGGTTCTCCATGCTGCAGCTGCTCTGCCAGGAGGACTCGATGCGATCTGTGCTGTTCAAGCAGTCCAAGGGCTACTACCGCTACAGCTGCCTCAGTCGCACATTTGTGCGCGAGGATTTTGAAGCGCACAAGGAGCTCTGCAACGAGGGTGACGGCACATCGTTCGTGAGTTGCCAGGGTCCTGCGCACAGTACGCATGTCTACATCTTCGCCGTGCTGTCTCTGGTGATGGGCGCGCTCACCGCTGCGCTCATCTTCACGTACACGCGCAGCAGGTCGTCTTTTGTCTGACGCAATTTTTTTGGCCCGGCCACCTGCTGACTCACGGCTGAACTTTGTGGCACAGCCGTGGCACCTGAACGCGCTTCGTGTCGCACACTTTTTACTGCTCCGGCGCGTCAACCATGAAGAATTATGCCTTGTTGTGCGGCATCTACGTGTCGTCGCTGCTGATTGCGGCGGAGAGCAGAGTCGGCCAACCGGTTCCTCACCCGTCCAGCAAGCCTCCAGCGGGTGGCCCCGCCCCCGTGATATCCCGCCCTAACTTCAGACCCAGGGTGAGGGGATCTTTGGTATTCCAGGAGGAGCTCGACGTCTGTCCCCGTGCACTGAACCTCCTGGAGAACTCCACCGAGGTGGAGCCCCAATGGACATTCGTCGTGCACGTCGTGACCTGCACGCTGTGCATGGTCGGCAGCTGCTGCCTTATATTCCTGAGCATGCTCCAAACCGGCCGCTTATTTTCGCAGGTATGTGCTTTGACGTGTGTCTTTCACCTCACTTCAGGGTATGTGGAGCTCAAAGTTTTACCACAGCGGTGGCTACTGCATCCTTGGAGCCGCGTTCGTCGGGCTGCTGCTCGGCGTCTGTCTGGGTTTCAGCCTTGGACCGTACTACATGCCGTATCTTATTTCAGGATTCATGCTGCTGGGGGCTGCGGTGATCTACATCGGGCGTCGTGGCGCAGTTCTCGGGGCAGTTGGAGGCACGATTGTAGGTCTCACGCTAGGCGTGTCTCACTCCGGCTCGGTGAGTGCCATAGTGGTCGAGGGCGTCCTCTGCCTCTTTGCCGGGATCGCCATTGGGTTCATTCCGATCTTCCCCAACCTGAAGATAAACGTGCGCTACATCCAACACGGTGTGCGGGCAAACGCAATGCTCGGCGTTTCGTCATGATCGCGTACCTTCCAGAGCAACTTAAGTATAAAATTACGATGTTTGATGTTCACGGCGTGCGCCACATCTGCCGGGTGCGCAGATTTGATGCTGTATCAATAGAAGTACTTGTGCTCCTCAGGCCAGCTGAACGTGTACCTCTGCCTCAGTATGGCCAGAGAGTAGCCCACTGAATCCTGTATCTTCGCCGTGTACCTGGGGTGCTCCTGTTTGAGCTGCGCGTAGCGCTCCAGCACGTGATTGATGTGCTTGTCGATGTTTCCCGCGGCCAGAGGGCTTTCGGTTGCAGGCTTGCCTCCGAAATGCGGCAGCTCTTCGATGAGCTCGAAGATGTGGTCCTGGACGTCCTCCACCTTGTAGAGCGCATCGAATATCTCCAGCGTCTTGCTCAACATCACCTGGACCTGCATGTCCGAAACGTCCTCCGCCATGCGCTTGAGCCTTGCGAGTGTGCCATCCCAGAGGTCACCGTTCATGGTCAGGAGGATAGAATCGTGCCAGTTTGCGGCCATAATGGTGTCGTGAAGCTCCTTCAGGTCCTCATAGAGCTCAATGCGGTGTCCCTCGACGTTGCACTCCGCCTCTCGCAGCGGGGTGGATGAGGGTCGCATGGATGCGAGCTTTCCCTGCGCCATCCTCTCGTTCATGTGTACCATCTGCTGTATCTGCTCACACGCGATCGGCGGGAGTCCATCGCCACGGTAGGCGAAGTGTGGAGGCTCGTGATGTGCGTGTCCATGGAATCGCGCGGCGGCGTGTCCTGGACACATCGTTCTCGGCGCGTATGACCGCGCTGGGCCCAGCAAGGCCATACGGCCTGCGTGAAGGCCGTTGCCCGAAAAAATCGCGCGACAAAAAGCGTTCAGAGACATGCTTATGACTGTCTGCGTGTCGACTGCGCCACTGCCTCCCCCATGACACACCCGCGTTTAAAGCTACACATTAAAATACTACTGTACATGTCACTCGTTCTTTTTCTTAGCGCTGTTACGCTTACGCCGGCTCCTAATGAGGTACATGATGGCCGAGTAAGTGCAGAATACCACGCCGAGGCAGACGCCCATCAGCGTGAACTGCTTGCTGCGCAGCGTGATAGGCGTGGTCTCGGCAGCCTGGCAGGCCACGTATTCTTCGTTGTCGAAGTACTCACACGCTAGGGGTCCGCTGTATTCCGTCTGCATAAGCAGCATCCCTATGTTGCAGTAGTAGCGATAATCCCTGATTTCGCCTTCGAAGCCTATGGACGCCAGAGGGCGTTTCTGGCAGAAGTTCTGCATCCCCACCATCCACATGGGATCGGCCATGGCGGTCGCGAAGGAGCACGGCTTGTGCCCGTGCGGGCAACCGCAGATGGTACCCTTGGATGAGAAGATTTTGTACGACTTGTATATTTGGCAGGATGCGCCCTCACTGGGCGCGCTGCGCAGCTCCGGATACTGCATGTATGTCTGTTCCAACCAGTTGGTGTGATTTTCATCGTGGTGCTCGCTGTACGCCTCATAGTCGACTATGTGTATGTTGTCCTCCTCGCTTAAGCCGTCTATCCATCTGCCCCTTTCGCACCCTGGCAGGTGGAGGCAGAGTTCGAACTGGAGCGTCCCCTCTCCGATGCGGAAGAACCTCTTTTTGGCTTCTCCTGCCACCTTCCGCGTCCTGTACCTGGTCGCTACGCTTTCGAAGTCGTTGCAGTCCGCGCTGCACGCCGACCACTGGCTCCAGTTTTCGTAGTCCTCTATCTCAGTTGGGAATCTGCACATCACATATCCAGCGCCTGGCTTGCGAGCGGGGTTAAATTTGCAATTAGTCTTGAACCGTTCTACAGAGGCCACCGAGGACTCGAACAGCGTGCGGGGCTTGGCAGCTGTGGTTGGTTCTGCATCGCCCAGTTGTCGCGCCATGCAGGCCGTAAGTGTGTCGGAGTTGTTCAGAAGCTCTTCTGCTTCACAGTGCATGATCGCATTTTGCGCTAGTATAGCGCAAGCCCTTTTGTCGGCCTGTTCCGTTTCCAATGTGGCGACGAACGCCCTGTAGTATTCCTCGTCGAACCATGAGTCGAAATTTGGCGGCAGTTTGCAGCCATACTCCGTGAAAATATAAGATTCGTATCTGAAGTCGCTGGTTAGCCTGTCTTTGATGCACTTCAGGTATTTCCTGTGATTCGACAGGCACCTTGCCCTAATTGAGCGACACAAAGTGCCACACTCAAAATCCGTAGTTGTTGCTGATGTTGAGATAACCGTTGAGCAGTCGTACTGGTGGGTGTACTGCCGGGCGACAGGGTCCGTCTTTGTTTTCATGGCAGCAAAAATGGGACCGTGTCTGCAGTAGCTCTCTAGCTCTTCTGGAGCGAATTGCGTGTACGTGAACGTTTCTTCATCCACCCCCAGTGGGCAATGTAATCGCTGGTTGCCTGCCAGCGACACGTACGTCAGCGAGTCGGGTAACGCAATTTTCTTCCAGACATTGAAGAACGCCTGTTTATAGTTAAGGCTGGGACAAAATCCCGACTCCATTAGGTCCCTATATATGTCATTTCGCGTGTAGTGGACTTCTTTGGCTGTGCAGGGCACCGATCCGGGTATGGAACAGTGGCAGCTTTGCGCTCCCTTGTTAACCCATGAGTTGTCCTCCTCGGAGTACGAAGCCCTTGAAAGGAAGCACCTGTTTTGAAATAGCCTGTGCAACAGCTGCATCGTCTGCTCCTGCTCATGAGGCAGGACGCATCTGTAGAAAAAGGCAGCGGCATCGGCGGACTCGGTCTTGAGTTTTGCGAGGCACAAGAGGCTATTTCGTTCCTTGGTATCCACGCACGATTCCAGCAGTCTTTCGCATTCCTCTTGGCACATTGCGTCGTCAGTTTCTAGGAAGTACAAGCTTCTGACCTGCTTGCAAAGGACGGGTTTTTTGAGCCCACACTCCTCCTGTCGATCACAGTGTCTTTTCTCGATTTTGTCTGCAAGGTCGTATGTACTGTGCACGTCGCACCTGCTCGAAAGTTTGTACTGACGTCCTACATCGTCGTTACAGACGGAGGAGCATCCCGACCACTCGGACCACAGGTAGCAGTTGTCATCTTCGAAGTCCCCGCTCACCTCTAGGAGTGACGAGCTGTCGGTTTCTTGCTGCTGGTCACGCCATTCAATCCCCTGTGCTTTTACCCTCTTAGCTTCACCATGCGACCCTCCTTTGACTTTACCGGATGACGATACGCTAAATGACGGATTGGGCCCACCCTGCCCACGTTGCTTTCCACCCCTAGAAACTGAACGATCATCTCTCGGGACGCTGCCATCTAAATTCGTGTTTTTCTGCATGAAATCCGATGTTTGCAAGTTTTGTTTGTCGTCCACGCCATCTCGATGTCCGGTGTCCCCATTACGGTTACGTCTTGGGTGAGTTTTGCGGTATCCTCTGGGTTCAGGTCGGTCTAATCCTCTTCTGCCCTGCAGAACGCGTCTCTGATGACGCAATGTGCTACTCTGCGGCGCCCGGCGAAGTTGGATTTTATCTTCATTCACATCGGGCGTTTCCTCCGGTTCGTAATCACCACCGCCAAGGCCATCCTCACCCAATTCATCCTCATCCTCTTCCCCTTCGCCATCTCCATCCGCCGTAAGCCCCGCGTCAACATCTCCCCATGAAAACGGGTCATCGCCACCAGGTCTGCAATCTCTGATTTCCACCGTCTGCGCGTTGTCGCAGAGTCCGGAGTAGGATTTAACATATCTCTCCCTACGCTGTTTAGACCTGACACACCTGGACCAATCGGTCCATTCTGTCAAGAGGCATATATTACTACATACGGGTAGGTCGGCTGCTGTGCACTGCTTGGTTTCCTCTATCACGCACTTGCGACCGTTTCCCGACGGTTGCTGTAGAACGTAACGTACACGCTTCCGGATAACTATCCCGGTATCCGGTATACACTCTGCGCTGCATGGGCTCCACTCTTCCCATTCCGACTCGACACAGTCAACGGAAACGTCTTCTTGTGGCTCTTCCGGCTCCACCTTAACGCGATCGAAATACCGCTCTATCTGTATAATTCCTTCGTTGTGGCAGAAACCGTACACTATTTTCCCTGCAAAAATGGCTTCGAGAGATTTCGCTTTGCCGTTTTCCACTAGCTGGTCCCGCATGGACGCAAGTGAAGCCCATTCAACGTTTTCACGGACGTCGATGTTCTCACAGAATTTGGCGGATAGGTGTCCGTCTATAACTACTAAGACATCATCTTGTTTACCTTGTGCTTCGTGCTCTCGGCATATCTTTTCAGACTCGGTCTTCCACTGGTGCTTGTGCTTCTCCAATTGTTCGATTTTGGCGGCTTCTAGCAGCCCCGTGCAGACGGCACCCTTGAGTTCGTAAGACAGCACATGTATGACATCCACGAATGTGGGTGGATTTTCTATAGCCTTGGTCTCCACTTTTGGGAACGTGAACCCTTCAAGTGCGCATGACTCGTTCATGTATGCTTGTAGGCAAACTGAATTTCCTCGACAAAGATGGTAATTCGCCAAGCATGATTTCTTGCATGCCATATCATCCGGTGTATTCCAAGGTTTGGGACGCGCTCCCTTGGCCGCAATCTTTATCGCGTATGCAGCTTCACAACCCTTGTACCTGAATTGCGAGATCTCTGCCTTACTGGCATTGGTGACACTTCCCACCATCATGAATGTGAAGTTGGGTGACCCGGTGTGCGGGAGTGTAATGAGCGACGCGGGTTCTAGGTGGCAGAAAAAGCTTCCGTGTTGGCCGGCAACATGATCCAACCAGCAGGAAGCAACTGGCATGTCACGTGCGCTCCGTGTGTAGTGAGGGGTGAAAAATATCAGTTCCTGTTCTGGCTTGGTCATTGCAAGTTGCACATGTTCTTTGTTTCTCTGCCACACTGGGAAGGAGATGGGCACATTTCCGAACATCACCCTGCTGCCGTTTTTGAAGTGATCCATATCTACCAGTAGCACTGCTACCTCGGCGGATACTGCAGATCCCTCTTTTCCTACTGGTTGACCCAAGTGTGTCGGCTGGATTTCAACTTTGATGCCATCTTTGGCCGTAATGAATGACGCCGTCGCTTCTACATGCATTGAAAGCTCTTGCACGAACATCGCGATGTTCTTTGGCATTACTTCCGCTTTAAGCTCAACACTGTGGAGCTGCGTCTCCTTGCTAGTGACTTTGTACTTTTGCAGGTGTACATGGTAGTGCCCAAAACCCTTGAGCTTATCGCACTCGTCGATTGCTACCCATTCGACAAAGCATTCCGGTTCGAATTTGTGATCGTCGCCAGCCGGGAAGCCTTTTATGGACAGATTGAAGGTGGTTTTGTCGATAATGTTTACCTTGACCTTGGCGGTAGGCGGAAAGTGTTCGCCGGCATTGCTGATGAGTTGCGCAAAAACAATGGGCGAGGTCATATTTGCGATGGTGACGTTCTTTCCTCGTGATATCGGTACGGATATGACTCCTGAAACGATACGAAGCTTCAGGTCAACTTCGTCCGTCATGGCGTAGGCGCAGTTCGCATCGTACTCGGTGAAGGTCTTCTTGAAGCAGGACGGACTCACCGCTACTCCTTCAAGCTCGACGTCTTTGGGCATTACGCGGTTCACAGCGAGGCATTTCTTCGCCTTGCGCACGCACAACTCGCGGCACTTCTCCACGGGGATTTTGGCATCTTGCTTTAGGGCGGTGTGGTTGCAATAGACAGTGTCCACCACCCTATACTCTACGGCTGCCGCAGTTGCGGCGATGCACAGCAACGCCAACACGCAGGAAGCTCGCATCTTCTCGTGTTATACGGAGCCACGTTGCGACCGTCGTGCCGCGGCTAATACCGGCGTCGGATTGCCGGCCGACCCCGTGCAAAGGCTTTTAATGTACGCCAGTTTAATATAAGAAAGATTCAGGCTGATGTGTGACCGTTCGCGACGGATTCCGCGCGTGTGTCTGCCTCCCCACGGGCTCCGACATCAGCGGATCACGTCATCATGATTCTGTAATCGAACTTGCAAATCGGGCAGATTGTGCTCCTTCCCAGCCACTCGTCTACGCAAACTTTGTGGTATCCGTGTGTGCACGGGAGTCTACGTATGCGCTGGTCCTGCTCGTATGCCTCTAGGCATATGGCGCATCGGCGTGTGTCCTCGTCCCACCTCTCTGCAGCTACGGCGTCGAACTTTGCCACCGGAAACTGCGAGATGATCTCGTCCGCGAGCCCAACTGGTGTGGGCACGGAATCCTCATACTCCTGAACATCCTGGAGCATCTGATCGGGATTCATGAGGTTGATCTGCTCGTCGTCCATTATACCCCGCGGCGTGCGTGCCACCGGCACCGCATGCGGGTCGTACTGCATCTGGTTGAGAGCGTTTTCAACGCCATCGTATAAGGCGTGCACCTCGGTGACGCGTTCGCTCTGCCGGCGTACCAAAGGTCTGCCGTCCCGCGTTTCGTGGGTCACCTGTGTAAAATATCTATGACGACTGGCGAACTAACCGCGGGTGTTATAGTGAAATTCTGCTGGAAGTCGTGCAGCACTCGGTTGAGTGCCTCTATGTCGCGTTGCATGGATGCCAGTGTTGGCTCAGGGCCCATCCCTTGCAGGTTCACTGGCTCGCTGATTTGCCTTCGCGAGGTCGGATGCATGGAAGTTCTGTGCCTCGTTATGCTCGAGGATGGCGTTGACAGCGGCGGCTGTATCGACGTCGTTCTTGATAGCACCCCAGTGACCGGCGCCGATCGATCTGCGCGTGAATGTATCTCGTCACAGTTGTAACTTACTGCGTGTCAGCTGCGGTCCCCCAAATGGAATCGAATCCGACCTCGAGTAATGACTTCCGGTGTCATTGCTTGGGAATCGTGCCATATTAGCCTTCATGAACCGCAGCGTGAGCGCCTCTCTGGTGCTTGGCGGGTTGGCATTGATGTCTGTGCTCTATGAGACTTTTGCGTAATTGATGGCTTACAGGAGCGCTGCGTCCTTGTCAAATGCGGCATTGGTCCGCCAAAACCCGTTGTCTGCGCCCTTGTGTGGTGCACGTTGCCAAATCCGCGCGGGTCCGTCAACGACGTCTGATGTCGCATTGGGGCTGTGCAGGCATGATAATGGGTGTCAATCGCGGGACTTACGAATCATGTTCCAATTCGAATCGGGGGGCATCGAGCGGCGGTGTACTAGCGCCTGTTGCGCCGGCGCCGAACCGTATCTAGTTACTGGCGCCGAATGGCAATCGTGACCTGGGCCTATGAGACTGTTGAGGTGGCACGATTCACAATAAGCGTGCCTTCGCGCACGGTTCAAGCACGGGCATTGCCCGTCATCCCAATCATGTGGAACATGGTCAAATAAATCCATGTCATCCCTGGGAGACAGCGTCATGGTGCTGTGGCGCTCCACGGGTACGCCGACGTATTCGTCGATGGAATTAGCCCGCGACATGCTGTGGCTGCATTCTCGGCTGTATACTCGGTCACCGACAGACATTGTCACCGGTTCTTATAATGTCTTCACAACTTCCACGGTGACAGTGACAGCGCTGTAGCAAGAGCGCTCAAGGAAGCTTAACGGATTAGTGCGCCAAACGCAACTACCGTGGCACAAAAGTCTCTGCCGAATATCTGGGTAATAAAAGCCTCGAATGTGTCTTGGATTCCGCGTCGGAAGTCGTCGCTTGGTGTCGGAGAAATGTAGGAGCCTTCAGACTTGGGCACTGTGGTCGCTCAGTGTCACTTTCCGTGATACGACGACCTTCCTTTAGAATATACGCCCTAAAATGTACGGATCTGACAGGCGCCGCGGAAACTGCCGCCTGTTGTGAGTGTCGGAATCTGCCCTATGATGTCGTTTTGGGCGTCTGCGAGTTCCGCCGCCGCCGTATGCCTATCCTTCCCTTTGTCCACTCGTTATATCCTTGCAAATAGGATGATTACAAGGCCATCCAATGGCCACCACCAACCACTACCACACGCTGCGCCTCAGTGAAATGCGGTGTGCACGTTAACTTTGGAAGCCTCCTCCAGAAAGCACACTTATATGCCAGACAGCTTGCAAAGCACGCAAAGCACCTTTCCTTTATCCTAATTACGCTATGAGTGTCATAAGCGTATAGAGACCGTTGTTCTGTTTGGCCCACAGTCGGTCTCCTGCGCACACACTGCGACGCCGACAACGATCTATTTAGGGTCTTAAGTAGTATCAATCGGTAAGACGCATGATACGTTATGTATGACGCTACAGCGATAGTCGTTATCGAGTGGGCTGGCCGCCGGTGTGTTGTGAGTCGTCGCGACGTCGCTGTGTGATTCCACCCCTCCCCAACATGCGGCACGTGAGCTGCGGCGCTGTACCACAATTATTTCCTCGTAGTCATTGGGCGTGTTTCACGCGCCTAATCCATTAAATTTGGGTTCTTCGACGCATCCGTAGAGGTGGTAATCGTGTGCCTTCTGCGCCACAATTTCTCGCGATACTGGGTATGGGCTGTATCTTTCACTGTTAGCGACTCCTACTCGATACCACTGACGCCACAAATCTTATACGCTTATTGTCTGTATTAGGCACTTAGTAACAATTTCGAGACAATTACCAGTTGTCTACTTATCGTACGGCCAGCCTACGACGTGAGGGCGTAGTAGCCTTTGTAATTATAATCGCTGTTGGCTGCCATATACTATGGCTACAACCGAGCCCAAAGCTGTGTTCCACCTGCTTGAGCTGGATCTGCCGTCAACCGGTATGCGCGTGTCGTTGCGGAGCTCGCTCATGTTGTCACAGACAAAGGGACTAAGCGCTATCTGTACGGCGGGGTTGCCGTCAAAGGCTGCGTTCCCCGGCTAGTGCGTCTGCGGAACATCTATGATTACGAAAGCGAGGTGTTTCAGGCATCCGCCCAGGCAGTCTACGGGAGGAGCTCTCGTACACACAGCGACTCTGTTCGTGTCATGTTGCCGATGAATGCAACAGGGTCACCTCTAGACAACGGCATAATCGATCCTAGTTGGCAAATATAGGCGCGGAAGGCTGGAAACAGGCGTAACTCATCGGAAGACGCCTCAATGCCATAGGAGGCCGTGCGTTGCGCGTATTGCGTGATAGTTGTAACTGTTGCTGGAGTTTAGCCGTTAATGTATTTTCCACTGTTATTTTTATTATTCAGCAAATTGCCGTGTGCGCACCTCAGCCTTGTGTGGTTGCTGTGATCGAATAACGGTGGTAAGCGTTGGGGGAGCGTCGTGTTCCACCCGCGTCCTTGGCCAAGTGATATAACATCGAGCCATAAACATTGTAGTGCGATTCTCCATTAAACGTGTTCGCCGTGTCTGCCCAGCTAGGCTCTTACTCCGGCTGGCTTATGATGCGCCATCGCTACTACCTATCGTAACAATAAACAGTATGCATGAACCCAAGTCAATGGCACCGGCAGTAACACCAGGGGATGTGTCCCCCGCAAAGAAGCCGACGGGCGGCCGGCCTACGGTAGACAGTCAGTGGAAGAAGGACGTTCTGGAGAAGAATGCCGACAAGCGCTACAAGACTGAGGTTGGCTAACACTTTGTCGTTGATAAAAGTCCTTAGGATGTAACTAAGACCAAGGGAAGTCAGTTTGAAGACTACTTCTTGAAGCGTGAGCTTTTGATGGGCATCTTCGAGAAGGGGTTCGAGGCTCCTTCTCCCATCCAGGAGGAGAGCATCCCCGTTGCGCTTGCGGGTCACGATATTTTAGCCCGTGCGAAGAACGGGACGGGTAAGTTGTGTACGATAGGCATTTTGGTGTTCGGTCTCTAAGCTGTCGGTGACGCATACCCCATGTTTTGTCTGCTAACGGTGTTCAGGTAAAACCGCGGCGTTCGTAATTCCCTTGCTGGAGAAGCTGAACACGGCCCAAAATCACATCCAAGGTGGGTGTTGTGATTCTTATGCGCTGCTTGCTTGCATACACTATCCATTTTACGTTTGTCTATTATCAGTATGCTGTTGCTTGCACCCGTTTCGCCATGATGGGCATGGCCTGTCTGATGGATCAGTGTCATGACGTCTGGGCATTAGGGAGAGACGAATTGTTAGAGCACTCTATCGGCTCAGAAATGTTTGTATGTGCTATGTCGTTGGTAGTCATTGCATAAACATGATTTTTGTTTATTGGTTTGCATTTGTGTGCCTTCCCATGGCCTCCGGTTCTTTGTGGCCGCAGGTCATGGGGATGGATGGCACACGCATCTGATGTGCATTGAGTTTTGCGATGCACTGTTTTTGACGGCGCCTTAGGTTTGATCCTGCTTCCCACGAGGGAGCTCGCGCTTCAGACATCGGCTGTGGTAAAGGAGCTCGGGAAGTACCTCAACGTGCAGTGCATGGTATCCACCGGTGGTACTTCTCTGCGCAACGATATCGTACGTCTCTATAAGCCGGTGCACGTGCTCTGTGGCACACCTGGTCGCATTCTGGACCTCACGAACAAGAACATCGCCGACCTTTCCAAGTGCCACGTGATAATCCTAGACGAAGCCGACAAGATGCTTTCCGCAGAGTTCCAGCCCATTATCGAGACCTTGCTGAAGTTCCTGCCCACTGAAAAGCAGCTGATTCTTTACTCAGCTACCTTCCCGCAGTCGGTGCAGAAGTTCAAGGAGGCCCACCTGCCGAATGCGCACGAGATCAACCTCATGGACGAGTTGACCCTGAAGGGTATAACGCAGTTTTACGCTTACGTCGAGGAGCGCCAAAAGGTGCACTGCCTCAGCACTTTGTTCTCGCGTCTCCAGATTAACCAGGCGATCATTTTCTGCAACAGCGTGAACCGTGTGGAGCTCTTGGCCAAGAAGATTACGGAGCTGGGGTTCAGCTGCTTCTACATCCACTCCAAGATGATGCAGGCTGACCGTAACCGGGTGTTCCACGACTTCCGCAATGGGGCGTGTCGTTGCCTGGTGTCTTCAGATCTGTTCACTCGTGGAATCGACTTCCGCTTCGTCAACGTGGTGATAAACTTCGACTTCCCGAAGACTTCTGCGACTTATCTACATCGCATTGGACGTTCCGGTCGTTTCGGCCACCTGGGGTTGGCCATCAACCTGGTGACTGCTGCGGACAAGGAAGCGCTGTTCAGGTGGGTGGTGAGCCGCGCCCTCGTTATAGTGTCGCAGGATCGAGGAGGAGCTCGGCACGGAGATAAAGGCCACACCCGCCCAAATCGACCCCGCACTTTACTGTTAGACTGTAAAATAACAAGGTGTAATTTGTCGTGGTCACCTTACGGCGTCTATGGACACTGCGGTGTCGGACCCTGCCGCTAGCCGGCAGGTGCTTGACCAGCCGCTCGTGCGCCCTAAAACCAAGGTCAGACAATGCTTCCTGGCGTCTGTCACAGCGGTGTAGGTCAGCCTGAGCGCCTTCTGCTTCCTCTTCAGCGAGATGGTACAGTACTGTATGTACACCGCCACTCGTCAAGCTACGTTTACACAGAGGTAGTTGCAGGTTGTGTGTTAGTCAGTTTCCTCGCAGGCTGCACGCTCTGGGCCTTGATATAGGCATCAGGCTGCTGGAGATGCTGAGCGCCAGGGAGCGCGCGGCCAAGAGACACGCGAACGTCGTCTCCGTTCTCTCCTTCATTTCAACCACGGTGTGGAAGCATCTTTTCGGACACACTGCGGTGCTGCTCAAGGGCAAAGACGACCCAAGGGAGTGTAAGCGTATATCCTTATGCGTTTATCACACCTATTGCAGACATGATAAGCGACAAGGAGCTACAAATAACTAAATATATCAGCACCCCAAAGGTACTTATAATGCTTTTATCTTTCGATATTTCGCAGGACCTGCAGCACACTAGCTGCGCCGCGTTTGTGGCCGGCATGGTTGAGGGCATGTTGCGCTGCAGCGAGTTTGTAAGTGCCGCTTTCGATAAAGCAAACTAATGTGCAGCCTGCTGTCGTATCGGCTCACAACATTTTGGAGGATAACCAGGAGTACTCGGTCACCATGCTGATAAAGTTCGAGCCGTCAGTGCTCGACCGCGCCGGGTGAGGGCTCCGCAGCGGGTGCGTGAGACCGTGCGGGCACATAAAATTAGTTGCAACAATTTTATATTTCCCTGGGAGAGTGCAACTTTTGTGGCTCCTAAGCTGAGCCTCGTATTGTTGGGTACTTGCGCGCTGTGGTGACCCTGTACGAACATTGCACAGTCGCCTACAATATCACTATTATTTGTTTTTGTATTGCACTATCGCTAGTGTGAACAGTCGCATTTATCTCGTGTCTGCTGTGGTAAGGATCGTCTGATTGCCACTTTTGTCGTGTGTACAGCGAGTCGTACGCATCCGGTTTTGTTTACACTTTTGCACGATGGACGCCGGTGGTAAAATTGGCGGCAAAATCGGTGGAAAGATCGGCGGTAAGGTCGGCGGTCTTGGTAAGGGTGGCAAGGGCAAGGCAGGTTAGTTAAGCTAGCATCGCTATCGAATGTTTCTTAGGTGCCGGCAAGGGCAAGAAAACTCCCATGAGCCGTGCCGCTCGTGCTGGTCTGCAATTCCCCGTCGGTAGGGTTCACCGTATGCTGAAGTCGCGTATCTCCGCTGACGGTCGTGTCGGTTCCACCGCTGCGGTCTACACCTCCGCCATTCTGGAGTACCTGACCGCCGAAGTGCTTGAGTTGGCCGGAAACGCTTCCAAGGATTTGAAGGTGAAGCGTATCACTCCTCGCCACTTGCAGCTGGCCATCAGGGGAGACGAAGAGCTTGACACCCTCATCAAGGCTACCATCGCTGGCGGTGGTGTCATTCCTCACATCCACAAGGCGCTCATGAACAAGACTCCTCCGCAGGTGCTGGTGAAGCCTCCCCAGCCCCAGCCGCCGAGGCGCGTTTAAAACCGTTTTTTGAGGCGCCCGCGCGTTGAAGGCCCTCCAGATTTTTCATCACTGTGTGTCATATATTCCGTGTTATCACCAACTAAAATAACTTAATTTTAGATCACCGGACATCATGGGTTGGTTTAGTAGTTCAGACAGCGGTTCGTCCGCCACTGGTTCCGGCGAGGCCGTTGGATTGATGGCCCGAGCGGAGGCCTTCCAGAAGCAGGTGGACGGTATGCTCTCCGAGGTTACCCGTATGAGCTTGCCGCTCCAGAAGTCGGCGTTTGAGTGCTGTGTGCGCTGCTTCGACGGGGGCAACGAGAACTTAGACACGATCGGCGAGTGCGTGAAGCAGTGCCAGAGCCGTCCTGAGAAGTTCGGCAACGCTGTACAAAGCGAGCTTAACCAGCTCCAGGATGCACTTATGAGCTGTCAGAAGGTACGTGTGTGCTAATGTTCGTGACGTTGGTGCAGAAGTGCGTGGATCAGTTTACGTCGAAGGCTGCCGGCCGCTCCGAGTCGATCTCCGCCTCCATGGAGCGTTGCGCAGTTCAGTGCTACGACAACAACGAGGGTCTTCTCAAGGATATTTCGTCTCGTCTGACCAGCATCTACCGTAACTTTTAGCGCTTTTCCGTGCTCTCGTGAGGTAGCCTTCGCCGTCGCGGCTCCGGCGGTACGACACACTTACTTCATCGGCCACAATTCGGGGTTCAACGATGGTAGGTTTCACGATTAGTAAAATCCATGTTGCGCAGGGTAAGGCGAAGAAGACCCGCAAGTTCGCGGAGGTGAAGCGGCGGATGAGCCCGAAGGATTCCAGGATGTAGGTTTGACGTTACGGCGCACATATCCTTTCAGCGCAACAGTGAAGGCCATAAAGAAGACCGCTAAGCCAGAACCTCTAGTAGAAGCGTTTGTTTCGTGTCTATCCGTTGCAATTCGCGCAGGCCCAAGGTGCACTCGGGGATGTTCTTTAACTACAACGAGAACCTGGTTCCTCCGTACCAGGTCATCGTGGACACGAACTTCGTGAACGCCTCAATACAGAACAAGCTGGATCTGCACAAGGGCATGCTTGACTGCCTCATCGCAAAATGTGGGTTTTGTCTGTGCGTTAGTGAGCCGCCTCAGGTATCGTCTGCGTCACTGACTGCGTGGTGGCGGAGCTGGAGAAGTTAGGCCATCGTTACCGTCTGGCGCTCCAACTGGTGAAGGACCCGCGCGTCGAACGTCTGACCTGTGCGCACACCGGCACTTATGCTGACGACTGCATCGTGGAGCGCATAACCACGGTAGGTGTAGCTTGGACTCGACCTTGACGCGCTTGCAGCACAAGTGCTACATCGTGGCCACCAACGACCGCGACCTGAAGCGTCGCATCCGTAGGATCCCCGGGGTCCCCATCATGTACGTCGCGAACCACAAGTACGCGATAGAGCGCATCCCGATGTCAATCACTGCGCGCTGAGACCGGCGAATGGCCGTCATGAACCGCGCTCCTAATCCTGATATAAGGGCTATACGCATTGATATCCGTGGTTGATTATCACGTTGTTTGACGTTGCAGGTGTTGGTCACGTATAAACCAACGTCGGACGGTAGAAACGCCAGACGTATTAACCTCAACCCCCGTTTTCCCGTAGAGCACCATTCTTCCGTTGCAAGCATTAATAGCACATGTACACTTTTGTATGTTTGACTGACAGTTACTTTTTCCACAGCCTCGGCATGCCGATTCCATGCGGGCTACTATACTGTAGTGTTTGCGTCTTAATATTGATAGGTGAATGAATTCTCCATTCGCCGCGTCAAGTAAAATTTCGGAAGTTTCGATAGAAACGGGTGGCCCTAGGGGCCCCTGAACGTGAAATCGCCGCTACCGACGGCTGGATTTTGGCTGTCCGGCAGCAATGGCTTCTTCATTCCTCCACCTTGGGCTTCTCACCAGTGGCATCATTTTGGATGTCGGTGGCCCAGAGGGTAAGGTTGTCCCTAAGCAGCTGCATGATGAGGGTGCTGTCTTTGTAGCTGTCCTCGCTGACGCTGTCGAACTCCGTGATGGCCTCGTCGAAGGCGCGTTTCGCCATTTCGCAGGCCTCATGCGGCTTGTTGAGGATCTCGTAGAAGAAGACGGAGAAGTTCAGGGCAAGTCCAAGGCGGATAGGGTGGGTGGATTTCAGCTCGGTCTCTGCGATCTCCGTGGCCTTCTGGTAGGATTCCTTGGCAGAGGTTGAGGCCTCCACCTTCTCCTGGTCACACGAGAACTCGCTGAGGTAGCGGTAGTAGTCACCCTTCATCTTGTGGTAGAACACCAGACTCTCGCTATCCTGCGAAATTTAGTACACACATCGGCGTGGACGCACCGTGGTGGCGGGGATGAGGCGGTCGGTCAACAGGGTAAGAATGCTGTTGCAGATCTGCGTGAGCTCCTTCTCGATCTTTGCACGGTATGCCGCAGCCAAGTTCTGCTGTACCACGTTGGACTTGTTGGCCTCCTTTTGCTCAACGCCGCTGACGATACGCCACGAAGCGCGCCTGGATCCGACGGCATTCTTGTAGGCGACGGACTGCACAGATGTGTGTATCGTTTATTATTTATAAGCGCCTACCAGCAGGTTGCGCTCCTCGACGGTCAGTTCCTCCTTGCCGCTGATGCAGGTCTCCACGAGTGCCTTCATCGCATCGGCCATTTCTGCGCGATATGAAAGAGATCCGTGCGCGCACGTCACTAACCATCGTAACGCTCCGCCTGTTCGGCCAGCTTGGCGCTGCAGGTCAGCTTTTGGCGCTGGTTGATTTCCTCGGCCATTGTATCGTGTTATAGTGAGAGTTTGCTGGCGCGTTCAAGCAGAAAGAAAATGGTCCTATGCAGAGCACGTGTATATTTTCCGCACTTCCTTCGAAAGCAGGGTCACAGCGTCCAGTTTCGTTGTTATGATGTGTGCCGCGTAGGCCCACCTCCACGTGAGTCAGTGGGGATGCCACACAGCGCTTCAGTGTAATCCGCGGCTGCCGCCGCTTAACGTGTCCAATGTGCCACGCAGACGGTTTCGTACAGGTTTATGTTCCGGCGCCGCGGGGCAGAGGAATCCGATCGGTTTATTCCGCATCGAGTGCTAGCCAATTGTGCGCGTGAATCGTCTCTTCGCGTGCGCTGGTATACACACTGCGTCTGCCGGCAGCATTATCGCATATTTAGGCGGTACATTTACGCTAGTGCACGAGGATAGGCGCGCGCGAAAGATGCCCGCCCGGGCGGCAGAGCTGGGCGCCCTCCGGGAATCCGGAGCCGCTTCCAGTGCCACTCCTTCCAAACCACGTGACCGCGTGGCCGCCTTTCAGGAGCTAGCGAAGGCCAAGCGCGGCTTGCCCCGGCATCTGGTGGCGGAGATCGAACGCCGCAAGGTCACCACCGTCGAGGAGGCCGCTCACGTGGCGCATGTGCTGCGCACAAAGCGAACGAAATCGCACAAAATCGCAAAGCCACGCAAACCCCTGAAGAAGAGCAAGGCTCCGAAGTCTCCGAAACCCGCGGAGCTGACACGGCCTAGCGGCAAGGCCGCTCGTAAGGTCATTTCACGCATGACAAAGGCGCTGAACACAGGCGTCGTAAAATTGTAGTCTATCCATTATTGAGTCTTCTGAAAATGTTTTTCAGAGTTGCGTACGTGCCCCACGATATGGCAGCGGCGGGTACGCAGAGCATCATTCGTGTTCCAGTACCCCTCCAAAACACGCGGAAACCGTGCTGTCGGTAGATCGCCTTTGCGGTGTCCATTGGGTTCTGCTCTTAGTTGACGTATGATAAATGAGAGTCACGCACCTTATACCGCGTCTTGCTCGCTGTTTCAGCGTCCAGGTAGCATTCCTGTGTCTGCAGTCGCGTCTTTATGACGTCGAGTGGGTTTGTGAGCGCCCCTGCAACGGCTCCGCCGATGCCTGAAACTAGTTAGTCCGAATGTCGCGGGCATAAAGATACTTGCACAACAAAAACGGACATATCCGATGGCATATTTCCGGGTTTTTTGCTGCGCGTCCGTAGCAAACTCTAGTCCCCCCTTTCCCGTCCAGCAGCAAACCGTGCTGGATGAGCTTGACCAAAACTATTGTTATGCACAATCACAGAAGGGCCAAACACCCCCTTCACCCACACGCAGTGATGAATATTTAGTGCAAAATGAAGCGCCGGTATAATGCGCGCATAAGCGAACACGTACCTGCATAGAGGAAGTATGTGGCGACGCCACATTTATCCCTGCCTCCTGGATGGGTGCGCAGCAGAAAGTCGTTGACGCTGACGAGAACCGTATGGTACGGCACGTTCATGAACAACGTGATGGATAGACTTCGGAACAGCGACTGTATCCCCTCGTGTCTCACCACGTGCTGCAGGCAGTGTAACGACCCGCGATACAGTCCCAGCTGCAACCTCTGCTTGATGACGTCGGCCGGCGTAAGCACGACATCGTGGCACAACGTGGCGAACGCACCCGCGATAGGTGCGTTACCGGATTTCTTCAACGCCTCGTAGACGGTGAAGTAGAAGACATGGGCGGGGATGCAACCGACCGCCATGGCGCTGCAGCCTCGAAAGAGATTCTGGTAGAGTCGCGATTTCGTGGAAGACACGGTGCATACATTTCGCACGCTATCAAGCGCTGCTGGCGGCGGCTTCACCCGCGCCATCCAGCTCTGCTTGCACCAGCCACATTGCAGCCGCGTTTTCAGGGTGTCGATCGGGAAAAGCAACAAGTGCTCCATCACGCCGGCTGCGCTGCCACATAGGGCGTGCTGCCATAGCTTGCAATCACCTACCAATGCTATGAGGTCATAGGTACTACCTACCGTTCCATTCCTCGTATAGGAGGGGGCTGCCGTCGTCGGATTCCATTGCGGCCGTGGCTCCCGCCACAAGGTACCGCGCCGTTACGAACCACCGGTCGGCATAAACGAAGAGCTTGAATTGCGATAGTTTACGTATCACGAAGGAAGCAAGTGGCGTACTCCTGTCGCGGGTCTGGCGCTTAGGAGGAGTTCCCCATGGCTCGGCCGGTATATACGGAAGGTCGCCCCGCGGTGGCAATCCAAGTATCGCACATCGGACGCAAACTGCGTCCTTTTTAATCAGCAATGGCGGTATTAGCCGCCTTGTTGGTCGTTCAGGCGGTACTACACCTTAGCTGTCTGGACGCCTTCCGCGTCGCGCCGTCCGGGCGCGGAGCGGTGGGTGGTCTTTATCGCACCTTCGTCGAAGAACGCTTCAGAAATGGATCACTAGCAGGCTCCGGTGCCAGTGGCGCTGTCGGTTGGCATGGAAGGTCGCCCAGTCACCTCCTGGTACGGATGTGTTGTTGCGCTGTCTGATATTCCCGCAGATGACCTCTTCGGATTCCTCTGAAAGCCTCGGCGAAAGCTATTCTACAGACAACACGGAGATGCCGGATAATGGTATGGAGGCGGACTACAATCGGAATGATCCGTTTGGCTACAACACCCCGTCCGATATCGGCTCCTCCATGTACATGTTGTTGCGCGTCTTCGAGAGTTCTAGAATGCGTGAAGAGGGTGAGCTTTACGAGATGTTGCGCGGATATCTGGCGTCGTTGGTGCAGGAGGGATTCTTCAACATTCGGGTGTTCCGTGACGCTGCCGGCAGCATGCCCCCGCTGTTTTCGGTAGACTTCAACAGCTTCAAAGCCTACGATTTCGTGCGAGCACAACTTCTGGCGCGCGACCCGTCCGCATCAGAGATTCTGACCACCTTTTACTTCCATATCTCGAGGTTCAACCCGCCGCCTGACTCGTACGGCGTGCGGCCGCGGTCATATTTCGGCATGTCTCGCTACGGGCGCCGGTCCAGTCCGTTCTCATCTCGGCGCATTCCACGTCGGTTGTACTTCGGACCTCCTAGTTACGAGCGTGAGATGGCACCACAGTACCAGCTGCCGCCGCCGGGCGTCAATGCGTTGTACCAGCCGTCGCCTCCACCTCCTCCGCCCCCGCAGATAATTCCGATGCACATGCCCCCCATGATGCACTCCCCTCCCCCGCCTTACATGGGTCCGAATGGCCCCAACATGTCCATGACTCACGCTCGGATGTGATACGTGATTGCCGCCTGTAGTCGGCCACTGTCCCACCAGAGACATGTAAAGAAACAAACTTTAATGTAGATTGCGTTTTAAGGGCACTGTAGATGCACCAATTTACAAAATTTACCACCCGTATTTCATCTGGGTCTCGTGCTTCGTCTTGCGCGCTTGCGCAGTTCGCTCCAGAAGTTCCAGTTCCCGCTCCTGCGCATCCGCAGCCAGCCAGCTTATCTGAACGCATATTGCCACAACTGTACAGTTATTACCAACCTGGTGCTTTCTCTTCGACGTTTTCCTCATGACATTGGTAGTCAAAACATGTCCATCGTCGGTTTCGAGTCGGCGTGCAGGCGCCTGGAACGCTGTCCGCCCCTCTAGGAGAGCCGCCTTCGATGTTGAGTAACTCGCACTCTTCTCGCTGCACAGCAGTCAACAGCCATTAATATCAAGGACAAACTAACTTCTTTCCCATGCGAAGGTCGTCGGCGTTGATCTCGGTCACACGGATGTCGCTGCCGAACCACTGCGTTGTTATGATGGCGAGGAACGAACAGATCCACTTACGTCGCGTTGTTTTGGTGCCTTTATATTGCTGCCGCTGTGGATCATGTTGAAACGCTGCATGATCTCTAGCGTGTCCAGAGAACCCTTTTGCCTGGAGTTCAGCGACTCCTGCTCCGGTTGTACCCCTGTCGCATCCAGGTGACTGTCTTCATGCGATGGGTCGTCGCCTACGGGCGCCTCTAGCTCACGAAGGTCCTCTTCCGATAGTTGTGGCGGGTTTATGCGAATGATCTCAGCCTTGCTGTAATCCTCTGCTTGCCTAGAGGTCGCGAACGAAAACAGGGGCTCCGGAACACTTTGCGGAGGGGGAGAAACGTCCAAAGACTCCCGATCTTGGCCACCTTCCACATCTTTACTTAGTGTATCAGCTTCAGCAGCCTCATTAACGCCGTAGTCGACGTCAGTGTGTGCGATATGATCGTCCTTCTGCTCAGAAGACGTGGAGGATTCCTTTATCTCGATGTTCCTGTTAGAACTTCCAGCAGCAACATCGGCAGCGTTGCCCAAGCCTTCCTCGTCGCTGCTAGTATCATCGTTCAGTGCCGAGCGTAACCAATCCATTGTGCCTGTTTTGGGCGGAGCGATGTGCTCCCGCCGCCCGTGGCGCGGCGGATGTGTGGATTCACTTCCCGCTAATGGGAGTATATCGCACACTAGTGCTCTGGACGGTCATCAGCAATGTAGCATACACATTTGAGCACCGCGGGCATGGAGGCGGCGCTGCCTGCTTCGCCCTCTACGCTGGCAGGCGCGGAGCCAGGTGCTCGCGGCGCTCTCCCCTGTCGCCGGAGCAGCGGTCGCGCATCGCCGAGCTTGAGCGTGAACTGGCGTCGGAGATGCCCGCCGAACCGTCTTCGTCGGCTGAATTGTTCCATTTCGACCGAAACTTAGGCTCTTCATATGGCGCAAGACACCCTAGCAGTGACGAGATTCTACTGGATGACTTAATACGTGACTCTGATCATGAGAGCGATTCAGCCGCTGCTCGTAGATCACGAAAACGTGATAAAATCGAGGTGGGTGAGGTTAAAGTTAGCAAATTAGGGGAGCGAAACAGTCCGTCTCCACAGTTGAAGGTGGTCAAAGAGCGAGCATGTAAACCTGCAGCACAGGATTCAAAACTTGAAATATCGGAAGTAAGTAACACTATGGCGATAAATCATGCTGGGTATGAATCTGAGGCATCTGATGATCGTCATGACGGTTATGGTGATGTGGACGATGCGCTGGGAAGCACCGATACTGCGCATGGTAACTCTGGTGCGGAGTCACCTGATCATACGTCCGTAGGCCATGATTCGAGCAGCGATTCTATCGAAGACGTGCTAATGGAATCCATACGAGCTGCTGAGCAGTGGGCCAGCGACGAACATCGGTTCCGTAACGCGGTGGCGGAAGTGTCGGACAATATCACTGACAACGAAATGCTGCAGATGGCAAAGCAGGCTGAGATGGAAGAGAACCAGGAAGGGCCAACCATGAAGCAGCTGTTAAAGAGTTTGGATGAAGAGCAACCCGCGAAAACACCCGATAACAACTGGCAGGAGCTGGTGCAGCGGTTCGATATTGATGCCGACACGTCCCACTGCGTCGGCTGCGGCATCCGCCTGCAGAGTAGTAGCGCGGCAAACCCTGGATTCGTCGACTCCGTTGCTCTCAGTGGCGTTCTTGAGGCTAAGGGGAGACCGCGTTGTCAGCGCTGCTCCAGTATGCGTAGTGGCCTCATATTCCGCGACCCAGCGATTGCGTTGGGCGACAGTGCAACGGCTGCAGCGAGAGAGACCGTGGCAATTCTGCGGAACGCGCTGTCGCTCAACGCCACGCGGCACGTGACGGTGGTGTACATGATGGACGCCATGGATATCCACTTCGAGAGTGGCCTGGCCGACCTCATAGTCTCGAGGCGCGACCAGCGCAAGGCTGAAACTCATCTTTACGTGGTTCTAAACAAGGTGGACCTATTGCCGCCGCATAGCCGGAAACGTCTGATAATGTACGTCCACCGGTTCGTCCGGAGTCGGGCCCCCGCGTTGGGTCTGAAGCCCCGGCATATATTCCTCATGAGCGCCCGAACGGGCGACGGGGTCAATCTGTTCCTCAGTGTCCTCCTGGACGAGGCGTATCGCAAGCGCAGCAAGGTTTTCTTTGTGGGCGCTACCAACACCGGGAAGTCCACTTTCATCAACCGCCTGTCCAGATTTGTCGACACCGAGGAGAGCGGTGACACTGGCACAGATTCTCAACCCCCTAAGCGGCAATTGCTATCAACGAGCGTGATACCTGGAACCACCCTACGGCCGCTGCGTATTGACGCAGGTCCAGGCTTCAACCTGTTTGACACTCCGGGCATCGTGGTCCCCGACGCCTTCACATCACACATTACGTCGTCCGAGCTGAAGATCGCGGTTCCTGCTTCGCTTGGTCCGGCAAAACCTTTAAGGATAGGTTCGGGCCAATCGCTACTGCTGGGGCAATTTGTGCGCATCGACGTGTTGGAGGGACGTCCCTTCTTTTTCACGCCCTACCTCTCGAAGCACGTAGAGGTGGTTGTGAAAAATACCCGACGCGTACCTGACTTCTTGGCGAAAATGCCATTCGGAGAAGGACGCATCTTCTATGCAACAGGAGAGCCGACTGCGAGTTCCCTGAAGCCGGGTATGTCCTGGAACTCCTCGGTTCAAAACAATATCGAAAAGACAGCTTTGGGCGATGACGCGGACGTTGACAACGGCATGAAAATGTGTTGGAACTCATCAAGCACCGATGAATGCCCGGACGATCAGGAGTCAGCGGTGGAACCGAACACCGATGAGGCCACTTCAGAGTCGACGGTAGACGATGACACCTACCCCAACGAAACTGTCAACGTCAAGCCAGAATGCAATGCAGTAGGAAACATTGACACAACTACTAATTACGTTCGGAGTTTGTCTAACGGCGGCGATGCCGCTCGGCCCGGCTGTAACGAGACACCACCAACTACGTCCTTCGAAGTCAGCGTGATTGGCGAGGGTTGGGAGCGCGCGACAGCGGACCTCTGCATCAAGGGACTTGGCTTCGTGAGCCTCGCTGGTGCTCTGGAGCTGCGGCTGCGCGTCGAGACGCTGGAGGGTGTCTCCGTTTACATGCGTGAGCCACTGATGGCCTACGACGGCATCCCATTCGCACGAAAACGACTCCCCGCTAAGGCACAAGGACGCCACAGGAATGGCTAACGTAGTTTGGCTTGAATCCGGACTCGTACGCTGAGGGTCGGTCATGCCGCCACGCGGAGTTGATGCGCGGCTCAGAAACAGACGCAATGTATCCTAGGTAAATCTCACACCCAACAAACACACAAACATATAAAATGCGTGCATTTGTCTCGATTGCCGAGTACCACTTAGTCCTGTTTGCGGGCGCTGATCTTGGTGGGCTTTCCGACGGTGGCGGGCGTGGCCGGCTTGCTGAGGAGGATGACGCAGCAGATCATACCGATAACCAGTCCCAGGAGCAGGGAGAAGCTGCTAACGACGAAGAATCCTCTGAAGGCGACGTCATAGATGCGCTGGGCCTCCTGTACGCCGGTGATCATGAAGTCCACGAGCACGCCGAGGTACGTCAGGGGTGCCGGAACGGCGGTGGAGATGGTCTTCTGGTACTCAGAGGTGGCGAAAGCAGCCAGACGCTCGGTGGTGCGTTCGCCTCCCTTGTAGACGTACATGCGCCCCTTGTCAATGAAGATCAGGGTAGGGTATCCCTTGATGCCGAACCGCTTGGCAACGTTGGGGCTGCGGGTGGCGTCCAAGTCGGCGACGTTAACGACGCCCTTGAGCTCCCTAGCCAGGCGCTCCCACGCCGGGGCCATGTGGCGGCAGTGCGAGCACCAGGGGGCGTAGAACTTCACGAACCACGGACCTGCTGTGTGTGAGCGGTTGCCAGACGAGAACGCACCTGTGGTGGATCCGGTGGTTGCCTGCGTCAACTTTTCGAAGTTGGAGTCCGTGAGCTGGATGACGCTGCTGGCGTCGGTCTCGACGTGGAGGTCGGATACGCTCTCCGCGGAAACGGCTAGCGCCGCGGCGAGGCAGGCGAAGATTGCGGAAAAGGCCTTCATTAGGACTGTGTTGGATAAATTCTGCAGTATCAAGTTATGAGAAAGATCGCGGTTTACGACGATGTGTGCTACTTGGCGTCTGACGTGGTAGGCGGCCCAGTCGCGCTCCTCAGCGTGGAATACCGCGCAGTCCCCACCCCGGCAGAGACGGGATTCAACAACACACCAGGAAAGTACTAGAACAGTTATACGACAGTTGTTATATACCGCCGCGTTTGCGGCGAGTGAACTCTTCCATTGAGTAGACATGTGTGTCCGTCTCGGGCGACCTAGACAGCGGCGCCTTGGAAAAGGCTGACCCGCCCAGCAACGGCGACTCCCGCCGACCCATTGCCTGCATTTTCCCGTCGAATGATAGCACGCGGTCATCTCCGTCGGCGTACTGCTTGCCGAATAGTTGCCGACGGTGCGAAAATGCGTCCTCGAACATAACAGAATTTTTCGTACCACCCAACAGATGCTCCGGGAAGGTTGGCCGGAATACAGTGAGTCGGGGTATGGTCTCCCCGCCGTACCCATCGTTCCGGCGGAACGATACACTCCTGGGAGTTCTTGCATGGGCGGTGACCGAGCTCTCGCCTCCAGACAAGATCTCGGCCAAACTCTGTCCTTGCCAGTTTTGCGAACGCAGCACGGAGCTGGACAACGCGTAAACGATCGTCATGCGCCCGCTCTGTGCGCCGCCTGTGCTTGCAACTTTGTGGTCGATGTCGAAATCCTCCGGCTCCTGGAATATTTCGAGGCTTATCTCAACCCACTTCACCGCCAAAAATACTTCGACAGTGCTGCTTCTGGTGGCCACGAACTTCAGCCCTGCAGCCTTCAAATGAGGTCTTGGCGGTTCCAAAGCGTGCAGGAAACGCATCTTCGGATAGCTGTACACGTTCACCGCAGAGCGGTCGCTTACAATGATGGCGATGAGGGACGATTGCGGCTCCAGCGCAAAGTCCGCCACTGCCAAATTGTTAGCCGAATTGCGTAAATCACGACCGTCAGCTGCGGTCATAGTATCAGCTGAATCTGAAGTCGCGCTCGGGATGCGACCTCCCAGTCGCCCAACCGTCTCCCTTGCAGGGAACTCCACAACGGACAGATCAGGCATAGCGCTCTTGTCCCAACGCAACTGCAGTACTTGGTGCGACCCGTGCATTTTAAGGAACATCAGTCCTCGACCGTCATACTGCATCCGGCTGATCCAGCTGGTCAAACCCGCATCCTTGGGCGGCGAGTCCGCCAAGATGTACTGCGTTATCCTTTGCCAGTACCCCATTTCCGACCTCCTGGAAAGCCACAGCTGGCCGTTATCCGATAGGCTCATAATCTCGTGCGCATTCAGCCACTCAGCCGCCAGCACACGTGCGCCGGTGGCGGACCAAAAGTCGGCGCTCGAGCCGTCGACCAGCTTGATGGCCGACAGTGAGGATCCGGTCCACTCTGTCAAGTACATGTCATCCACAGTCAGTACCACTGCTATCTCTCCACAGGGGCTAAATGAGCAGAAGAATGGATACGACGACAGCTTGCACTGCGCAACGGCCTCACAGAGCGCCTCGCGCAGATCCGTCATGCAGACGCTTTCCTTCCAGATCTCCACAACACCTGTCGAGTAACCCACAATCAGCGTAACTCCCAACCCCGGCGTAGGATCAGTCGATACGCAGGTGACGAACTCCGTGCCTTCAGAAAGCCGGTCGTCGAATCCGAGTGCATGCGACGTCACGGGGGCATCAGGCCCGCATCCGTCGATTCGCGTCAATTGCAGCAGCGCCCGGTGCGCCACATGGTTGAAGGAGATGTTGATTGACCCGCGGTCCAGCGCCGCTGCGATCAAGACTTCCTGAGAGGTGTTCGACGCACTCACAGCCATGCCGTGAGCGAAGAAGCCGTACTTGAAGACCATGGCCTTGCTGCCTAGTTCTCGACGACGGTCGTCCGATATAGTTGCGATGGCGTACCGCGACAGCGCCGACGTGGTGGCGCGGCATACGCGGTAGACGTAGACAATAATGATGCCGAGCGAGCTTGCGATACCACGCGCGCAGGTGTGCAGCGACACCAGCGCCGGCCGCTCCGCTGCGAAGTAGTACGACTCGAACAACGTGTAGACCTCGCCCAGCAGTCGGCCGATCGGAGCGCAGAGCCGCGTGATTGCGTGGAATCCCCGCGAAGCGCACAGTCGCGACTGCAGCTGCGGGGGGACGCCCAGATGTCGCCGCCGCCCATCGTGGAGCTGCACGAAAGCGTCGGCGCTCCCCGACGGCTCCTGAATCACCGCATGGACTCCGCACTCCATCTACACATCCAACGGTTTACGGTTTGGCTCCCTGGCACGACGGCGCTGACCAGCAGCCACATTCGGGCTTCATTCGAGCTTAGCGCGCCGCGGATGAATTTCCAGTATATGTGCGCTATATTTCCGCCTCTCTTGCTGTGAACAGGAACTCGGCGGACGGTCATCGGCGACGTTGTGTGGGGACCGGCTTTTTGCCGTAACGAAGTGGCTAATTCGGGAGTTTGACCTGCGCCATTCTTACACACCGCGCGTGTTGGTCACGCGTTAACGTAGTGAGAGGTATTCGCCACCAGGAACGCCTGTCTTTTGGCATTTTGAACCAACGTCACGATGTTCGAGTGTAGGCTGGATGGCATGTTTTTCCGCCGCCTCTTCGAGGCGTTGCGTGAAATCTGCAACGACATCAGCATTGACTGCTCCGACGAAGGCATCACGATGCAGGCGATGGACAACAGCCACATTTCGCTGATCCACCTCTGTCTAGCGCCGGACTTCTTCCAGCTCTACCGCTGTGACACACCCTGCACCCTCGGCCTCAACATATCGTTTATGCTCAAGATTCTTGCGGTGGTGCGCGAGAAGAGCACGATATACCTCGCAAGGGGCGACGACACCGACGATCCGGTGCTTTCTGTGCGCATTGTTGACCCTGCTGGAGCAGGGGCCTATGAAGGTTAGTTTGCGCGCCCATTGGGGCGATTTTCATATTCATTGAGTGAATCGTTTTGCTTATAACTCATATTATGATGCGGTAGCAATACGCTCTGCGCTATGTGTATAACGGAATCCTTTACCTCCGCGTCGGTCCACCGGTGCAGTTGTTGGTGATGTCTACAGGAGCGGTATGCGTGATGTGTGTCCATATAGGAGCCATATATGCCCATATGTACTGTATGTGTAGTGAGTAGTTCGTTTTGAGTGGAATTGTACAGTCCTGGCTTTCACATTTTAGCAGACGTTGAGAACGAGGCTCTCGAGGCTCAGGTCAAACTCATTGACGTTGAGCGCGAACACCTCGACATCCCCAACTGCGAGTATACCTGCCAATGCGTGATGAACTCCAAGCGGTTCCAGGAGTTCGCCAAATACCTGCACTCCATTGGAGACACGGTGGCCATCTCTATGAACAAGGAGGTCATGAAAATGGAAGCCGAGGGCGACGGAATCAAGGCTTCGAAGTGCTTCCACAACGGTGTGGGCGAGGTGAGGGTCACGTCGTCGGAACCGTTGTCTCAAATGTTCGCGACGCGCTACTTGGTGCTGTTCTCCAAGGCGACGGCGTTGGCACAGGATGTATCCATCAACCTTTCGGCAGGAATCCCACTGAGCGTCAAGTTCAACTTTGCGGACCCAATGGCCATGAATGACGGCGATTCTTTCATCAACTTCTACTTGGCACCCAACATCGAAGACTAAGTGACAGTCGTTGTGACTACCGGCGGCACACAACGCAGCTAGGCCGTTTCACCGACATAAATAGCGCAGGAGAAAAAAGTATATCGCATTAATTTATTATGGTATGCGCTGATCATTTACACATCGCTCATACACACCGGAGATCTAGATCCAACTTCCACGATCCGTGGAGAAGATTCCGGCGCCAAGACACAAGCCACCAGTTACACAGTGGTGTCTTCCACTGATATAAAATCGGATCTCTTGTGTAGCGTGCATCAAGTGGAGGAAGCATACACCCGTGTAGCGTCTACCTTGAAGTACGAAATGGCAGCGCAACGCGACATGTGCTTGTTACGTTCAATATTTCGGTAGCAACAACCATCTAAAACGCGTCTATGTATAAAAAGATAGCCACAATGTCGGGTAAAACGCCAACAACCCCGGGTCCTATTCGGGTTGGCCAGAGGGTAATCTTCGAACGCAACACAGGAACGGTTCGCTGGCGCGGCCTGGCACCTGTGAGACACTGCTGGATGTTGGATGATAAACGTGCTTACCATGGTGTCATTGTGGACGAAGAACCTGAAGACGCACCTCCGGAGGACAAGGAAGAGGAGGAAGAAAGTAAAGCGGAAATGCTAGGCGTTGAGTGGGATAATTGGCGCGTAGGATCGCACAATGGCACAGTTGAAGGCGTCTTCTACTTCAATCCGGAGCGCATGCGTCGTTGCGAGGGGGTGATGGAGGCGGTACGGCATGTCTACAGCAAGCACGAGGAGCCGTGGCTACGCGAAAATGCAGTAAAATACGCAATGAAGATCACGATTGATAACTTCGAGAATCGATCGTGCTCCTTCGTACGAGAGACCGACGTGCAGCTGGGCGTTACCATGGAGCAAGCTGTGCATGACCGGTATATCACCGACGACCCATCGGGTGTATCGTCCAGTCCGCACGGGAAAGGGCGCATAGGTCACGAGTTTGTGGGCCGAGATGAAGCTCTGGAATTCTTTAGCCACACTGCAAACCTGTTGACGCTCGGGTTGCAGGACTGTCGCATCGATCGGCTGGGCGACTGCACCAAGTACTCCTTCCCCAAGGTGCGCGAAGCGCATCTGCCGAACAATCTGGTAACGGACTGGGATGTCGTGAGGGGTCTTCTGGCAATGCTGCCACGCGTCGACACCGTGGATCTGTCGGGTAACACGTTGGTTTTTAACGATGAGAAACCGCTCGAGTCTGCCACTCTGGCCACCCTGGTCCTGAACAACACGATGCTCAAATTTGAAACAGTGACCAAGTTGCTGAGTAACGTAAAGGGCCTCAAGGCGCTGTCGCTATGCCGCAACATGTATATCGAACTGCCGAGCCTAGAGTCGCTGAAAAGTTTACAGTCACTCGACATCACAGACAACTCTGTATGGAACTGGTTCTACGTGCTGCGTCTTGTAAAATCGGCACCCACGCTCAAGAGGCTCATCATCACTAAAAACAGGTTGTCCAGCCTGTGCGTCGACCCGAAAACTGGTAATGCATTATCCCTATACCGAGCAGCCCTACACCTCGCCAAGGATCACGATGAACCTCTGAAGGCTTTTGAGGCACTTGAGGAGTTGCATATGGAGGAGAATTACGTGCACGATTGGAAAGTCGTATCAGACCTGGCGGTTTTGTTCCCCAACATCAGAGCGCTGCGTTTCAAGCTGTGCATGCTCCACAAGGAATCCACACAGGCGGAGGAAAGCATCCACCGGCAGGTGCTAATATCCATATTCCCCGCGCTCAAGGTGCTTAATGGCACGGAAGTCACGAAGTACGACCGCACAAACGCGGAGCGGTACTACCTCAGCCTCGAGCATGCCAACAGCACCGCGTTCAAGAGCACAAACACCCACGAGGCTCTGAAAGCATCGCACAGCTCGCGCCTCGAAAAGGTGCACGGGAAGCGGGAAGCTGCCCCTGCCAAGAATGGGACGTTCGTGTCTCCGGGGTTGCGCATGATATCCGTCAAGCTCGTGCCTGATGGAGATTCCGACAGCTACCTCAAGCCCGCAGTCACCCGATCCATTCCGCTTTGCACCACGGTGCTGGAGCTAAAGGTCATCTGCAGCGAAATCTATGGACTCACGCTCTCGGACGTGGTCCTAATATACAACAGCGGGGTAAGCGAGCATGTAAAACATTGCCATTCACATCTTACAGGATATGCCCATCAGCGAGCGCATGGACAACGACGAAGCCGAGATCCAGTACTACGGCGTCGACGACGGCTACAGCATAAGAATCCAGTCGCGCAGGCTCAACGGCTGACCACGTCGCCCTGGGGACTCGCAGGACGAGGCGGCCGCCACCGCGCTCGCCACCCATATGTCACACTAACCATTTTAAATGTCAGAAGTATACTGCCTAGAGCCGCCCTGCCGCGGCAGGGTAATCTTACACACTACCGAAGGGGAGTTAGACATCCGCCTCTGGAGCTCGCAATGCCCGAAGGCCGTCCGCAATTTCGTCCAGCTATGCCTCGAGGGCTACTACAACAATTGCATCTTCCATCGCATAATACCGCAGTTCATGGTGCAGACCGGCGACCCGAGCGGCACGGGGCATGGTCGGTGCCATCCACGCCTTAGTAACGACGCGCAGGTGGCGAATCAATCTACGGGGAACCTTTCGAGAACGAGATCATGTCCCGGCTGAAGTTCAGGTACCGCGGTAAGTAGCTCTGTGGTGAGTACAATCCGTGCAGGGCTCGTTGGAATGGCCAACACCGGAGGCAAGCATTCTAATGGCAGTCAATTCTTCATCACGCTAGGTGGGTACAAAGCTTCCGTGCAAATATATAGTTGATGTGGTGCTATGTGACATCATTGGATGCGTTTAAACCGTGGTACAACTTCTGCAATGCGTGATTACGGCGCACTGACTACATGCAGAGCGCGCCGACTGCCTGAACGGCAAGTACACCCTCTTCGGCAAGGTCGAAGGCACCACCGTGTACAACCTCATGAAGATAGGCCAAGTGGAGGTGAACCCCGCCAACGACCGGCCTGTCAACCCGCCTAAAATTATCCGCGTTGAGGTGGGTGTGGGACCCTCTCCGATGACATTTCTCTAGGTGCTGGTGAACCCTTTCCCGGACATACAACCACGCTTGGTGGCGTTTCACGTGCAGCAAGAAGATGACGAGGATTCTAAGCCTGCTGAGAAGGAGGTGGTATCGGTGAGGTGAGTCGCAGTCCCACCGTCTCGGTGCCTAGGGTGATGTCCCGTCATGGTTCCACAGAAAGGCATGCTTGCTATCTTTCGGCGGTGACGGTGACAGCGACGACGGGGGCGCAGTGCCAGTGAAGATAGCAAGAAAGGCAAAAAGCGCCCACGAGCTCCTCGAAGACCCCAAACTGTCCAAGCAGCCGGTAGCGCTGCGCGACGTAGAAGAGGCAGCAGCAGACGCAACCGCCAACGCCCAAGACACGGACGACAATGGCCAATATGAAATCGCAAATGAACAATCAGAATCGAGCGCCGACGAGTCGGACGACCGCCGCAGAGAGATCGAGATGCTGCAGACCCAACTGAGGTCGAGGAAGCGAGGCGCGGACACAGCACTCAAGGGACACGACGGCGCGAGCTACATGACCCGCAAGCAGATGAAGCTGAAGGGATCAAAACAGAACGTCATGGAACGCTTCGCTGCCTTCACGAAGCGGCTGGGCAAACTTGCCAAGGACCCGACCCTGGCGGCCAAGGAGCAGCAGGAGACCGACGAAGGTAGCAAATGTCTAGACACGTTAACCACCCTCAGATCTCGCCGACGGCTCATGGTTCGCGGGACGCAAGCTACAGTTCTCTGTAGATTCAGTTAAGGTAGGTTACGCCTAATATTTTGGGCTATCGCACTCAGGCCTACGAAGTAGACGCCGCCAAGGACACCGTTAGTTACAGCCGATGTAACAATCATACCGCTGCAGCTCACGGTGATTGATCCGCTACAAGGGAAAGACAACAGCTTGGACCGCCTGAGCTCGCTGCGGAAGGACGTGAGTCACACAGCGTCGTACCCATACACCCGCAGGGAATGAAAGGCCATCCGGGGGGCGGCTCACGCGATAGACGGGAGTGGTGACTCCAGCACACACATACTCAATAATGCAGATACTCATCAAAACACTTACAGGGCAGCGCGTTCCTTTCGATTTTGAACCCGGCGACACCGTCGCTCAGGTGAAGCGCATCCTCCAGGAGAGCGAACGTAGGCGAAAATAGTTTTACGTAACACACATCGCGCTTACAGCGGGCTTCGAATTGCAGCAAATACGGCTCATATACTCCGGTAAGCTAGGAGACGTCGCGGCATCACACTCTGCGGCAGGTAGACACCTCTCGGATGAGCTCACGCTCAAGGACTACAAGGTCACGCCTGGCTCTACCATACACATGGTTCTACAGTTGAGGGGGGGTTAGCGCTTCCCGACCTTGAAGAACCCGCTGGTGTTGTCCAGGATCGAGTTCTGCTTCTTTACAGCCGGTTTCGCCGCGTCGGGGTTGCACAACTCGATTCCTAAGGCACGCTTGGCTCAAAACGCATGTTAACCTACCCTGTAGCGGGGTGAAGACCAAGGACGATGACATTCCGTTGGTCGCGCCGCTGCTCTGCATGGCCACCTGGCGCTTTTTCGCTGCTCGCCATTAGACACCGTCAACGTTTGAACCTACGTAGCTGCACCTTCGTCTGCTTGTGCTGTAGCCTCAGCTTCCCGTATCCGGTGTATTTTCCGATCATGCCCAGACCAGCGCCTGGTGGTGTTGGTGACGCCAAACATGTAACAACGTACCGGACTCGAGGCCATATTCATCCTCCGCTTCCTCGCCAAACTTGAGGCGGTTGGCGTACTTCCGGAACTCGCTGGTAGCAAGGCGCTCCTTAGCCTTGCGTAAACGGCGGCCACCGCGCTTGGTGGACTTCCGTTCGTCGGGCACCGGTAGCGATTTCTTGGTAGGCGCTGGCGGCGGCTCCTGAGCCTGAGACAATTGTTGTGATCACTTTACCAAACGCACCTTTTGCAGCGCCTGAATGATCATATTGCGATAGTTTGCGCCCATGGAGCCGTCTCTCGATTCCTTGAACATGTCGATTTTCGCAGCCAGAGACAGCTTGCCGGACACCAGTTTTACGGCACGGTGACGGGTGGAGGGTTCGGCGTTCTGGATGATTTCGCACGAATGGATTACCCCAGGAATCACAACCCCCTTGCGACTGCCCCCCACCAGCATGATATTTTGCGACGGCATCTTCGCCAAGGTGGTCAAACCACCGGCCTGCGTGATCAGGCGAGCGGCCAGCGCACTTCCGATGATCGCGCTCACATTGGGTGCCAGCAGCATCATACGACTCTCCAGATACACCAGGATCTGACATTATTGTTTGCTCATGCTTTCAGCCTACATCGTTGCGGAACTCCGCCAGCAGTAGTCCCTCATTGCACGCTATCAGCACCTGCAACATAATGAATAAACGCCAGATCATTTTCCACATGTAGTCTGCTAAATACACCAACAGTGTAGTCATACAACCTCGAGTGCGGAAACACGATCGGGTTTTAATGACGTGATTACCGGGGAAAAGCACATATGCGCTTATAAGGAGGCTTAGTGACACTCATCATCAACTGCTCCAAACAGACAAAGTACCTACCTCTTTGAGCACGTGATTGGATAGCAAAGACCCAGCAGATGTGGTGGCAGCCACCGTGATAGCCATGATCATGGTGTTTGGCAGCAAGTCCGACAGCACGACCTTCGTGAAATCCTGAGCAACGTGTAGACATGCTTACAAATTCGCCTACCATTTCATTCTGGGCACGCTTCACCACTGAAATGTAGTCCAGAGGCGAATAAACGATGGATTCCAGCTTTGGGAAGCGCTTGGAGTATATGTCGCGTACGTAGTTGTAGATGTTGATGATCTCGTTGTCTATTTCGAGCACCGCCTTGTTACACTCCTCGATCAGCGATAGTTCACCGGGATCAATCACAGTCTCTAGAGTTAGCATTTTGACACGCTGAAGAGCATTGCAAAGCGCAACTCAGACACCAACCTCAACCAATCCGTTCAGAACCGGGTCCTTTACTTTAGCTGAGTACGAGCCGCCGGCTGAACCTTCGGCGCTGAAGTACTCCTCTATTGCGTCGATGATAGGCGCATCATCATCCGATTCGCAGAACTTCGGCTCGGCGCCGCCGCTAGAAGGATCGACGTCGGCCGTCGCCTCCTCCTCGCGCTCGAGGTCATCGAGGTCGTCCAAAAAGGAATCCACCAAGGAGGCCTGAAACCCTTTTATATCCCATAAAACTATTCAAAAATACCATTGCGATGTGGAAGACTTGTTGGCACTGACGCCTCGGCGCACGGCCTTCCGCTGCGCTTGCCCAGTGGGTACTACTACACACCTTAAGCACCTCAGTTCGCACGGCGTCCCACACAGCGCAACGTAAACGTCACGTATCGCAACAAGATGGCGCCTATAGCGCTGTAACACCGTAACTTCGTCTTCCGAGCACCCGTTTTACTACCCAGTCGCCGCTAACGGTTTCTAAAACGGGGCCGATGGCGGCGAAGGCGGCGTCGGTGGCCGTAAGCGGCGCCATACAGGCTGTGAGAGCCGCAGTGGAGCGATGTAGTACGGAAACAAACGAGCTATGCGCGGTGCTCAGCAAGTGCTGCTCGAACAAGGCACATCGCTACGTGCTCAGTTCGGTTGACTCCGTCTTTTACGGTATGAAGTTGCCAGAAAAAGCGGATGCAGAGGACTCTGGAGACAGGAAGAGCACAGTGTTGACGCTTTGCAAGCTGCCGAGAGCTGTCTACTTGCCGAGGTCACCCGATGTCACACGGCCGGGCCCGGATCTCGGTGCCGTCCTCGACGGAGAACTGCAGAGCTGGGACGCTGAAGAGCTAACTCTGCAGGACTACAGCTCATTTGTAAGCGAGCTTGCTGAAACTGCCGAATTCGTGTCGGCACATGCAATAGACGGTTCCTTCGGACCGCTCCGGCAGTCCGCCGTTGAGGTGCTGACCAAATACAAGCAGATGCTGCTGCAGGACACCAGGCTCGGCGACCTCCGAAAACTCACTTACGCCGCGCAGTTGCTGAATGTGCTAAAGATACACTCGATTGACAGCGACAACCTCACGGAGCTCATTATTGCCATCGTGGCCAAGACCCCGCAGATTCTGAGGCAGTGCAGCCTCCAGACCCTGGACGCCATCGCCAAGATCAAGTTGCCGACCAAGGAGAAGGAGTACTTCGATTACTTCTTGCGGATGAGCACCACGAAGCCAATGAAGCTCAAGCAGTGGTCCGAGATGTTCTGGCTGGTGGCGCGCAACAGCGACAACCGCAACACGATCGATTCCTTCCTGCACTGCTACAAAATTGTGGCCAGGCACATGAACCGCGTGGAATCAGCGGAAGGCACGAAAGAAAAGGCAAAAGCGGTGCAATGTTCGTCGCTGATGAATGTTGTCTACGGTGTGATGACATTGCAGAAGCGCCTGCGGTCGAACGACCCGGTTTACAAGAACGCGCTGGGCGTCCTGGAGGCCATATGGCCACTTATAGAAACCAGATTACAACGCTTCGAGCACGCTGAACTCATCGATATCGCCCATTGCTACCTCGAGCACCACAAGGTTATCAATCCGCAGATGAGGCACGGCAGCAGAAACTGCGTGGACCTGCTTGTGCGCGAATTTGTGAAACGGTCGGGTGAATTTATGCTACGTGATTGGGTGGCGCTCTTCGAAGTGCTGGATACGTCACGAGATGCCATGGTCATCAACGTCCTCATGCAGAAACCGACGAACTACTACGTCAAGGTCGCAGCGGTTCAGCAGGTGTGGCTGGAGGACCTCGCCAAATCGCTGGAACAGATGCCGCTGGAGGAACTGGCAGACAACATATACTCGCTGTCGCTGCCACAGTGCTCTAATCTGTGCAAACACCTGGTTGCCGCGGGCTGTTACAACGCGCCCGTCAGCGCCGTGCTAGAACGCCGGTGCCTATCCCTGATCACCGACCTCAAGTATCAGACCACCAGGCACATCATGGACTTCTATTTCGTACAACTCCAGATGGTCCTGCCGCAGCACAACGCGCTGCGATCGGCGCTGGAAAGCAACAAGCCGCTTCGCACCTCGCTCGAGCAGATGTCATGCAACACCATGCTTCGGCTGCTCGGCATTGCGAGGCACTGCGGCCCCGCGGAGCGACGCGTGCTGCTGCAAAAGCTGACGGAAAGGATCGAGTCCAACGTCCTGAAGCTAACGCATCAGCAGTGCCTCACCGTGCTCAGGTACGCTGCACGCTTCAAGGACAGCAATCTCACCAACGCCGTTCTCACGGCGGCAATACCGCCGCTGCTAGAGACGCAGGAGCGGCACAAGGGGTTCTACAGGATGCTCGACATATCTAAATTTGCCCTCAACCTGCCCAAGGACGAGTGCTCTGAGACCTCACCGGCTGTGATCCTCAGCGAGCTCATCGTGCAACACGCACCGGCACACGTCAGACACCTCGCGATACCGTAAGTTATATCACCATCATGCACATATCATCGGTTGTTGCAGGCACCTGGACCTGCTGCTCCAAAACGTGAACAGATCGGGAATGTTCCCCAAGCAGCTTTTCGAGGTAGTGCTGTCGCACGCCATGGAGGTTGAGATCATGGGGGTGCCGGCGGCGCAGCTGACGGGCATGATGCAGACCCTCTCAGAGCTGGGTGTGAGGCACGAGAACCTATTGGAACGGCTCGAGGAGGCCATTATCATGTCAGTGGCAGATGATGAGCCGGACGCCGTGGCGGAGGTGCTGGTCTCCACGGCCACCAGCCTGGCTCACCTCGGCATGCGAACGACGAAGCTGAACGAGCTGTTCGAGCACATCCTAGCCAAGACCCCTGTAACGCTGTCTAGGTGGGACTACTCGGCGCTGAGCCGGCCAATGCAGGTGAATCTGCTGCACGCCATCGCCCTCTTCGGCACTGTGAACGAGGACCTCGAACGGGTCTTCACCCAGCTCGTCAACGACTGCGAGCGTGAGACTAAGGATGCCGGCGATGCGGTGTCTTTCGCCACACTATATCCGGAATCATATCGCAAACTATACGATACCTACATATCGCTTCTCGTGGGAGGCTTCGCGACAGGGACGGAAGAGGGAGCGCTGGCGAAGTCGGAATTCCTGCTGGAACACCTGCCCTGCTACCACTGGTTCAGCCATCAGGAGCAGTTGTGTACGGAGTTCAAGGCGTCACCGCACTACTTGCAGTTTAAGGTAGGATCAAGTGTAAGTGACGTCATGTCTTGCAGGGCACTCTGGAACAACTGGGTCTGGAAGGCATCGAGCCCCGCGTTACCGAGGCCTACTTTGCCCACATGGTTCTCGACTCGCCAGAGTGCAAACAAAAGCTGGCAAATGGCGGCCACATCCTCTACTGCGTACCTCCCAACCATGAGTTGCGGTGGTGGACACCCAAGGGCGACACTGCAGCGGACTCCACGGTTAACAGGATCGAGTCCTACCAACGCGCCATTGGGCAATCCGCAAGGGTTATCGACCACCTGCAGCGATCTGGCTGGAATGTGGTGACGGTGTTTTTACGCGAGTGGGATGCTTTGGAATTGGAGCAGCGCGGACGCCACCTGCTGAAGGCACTAAAACTCAAAGACGTCACTGACGTAGACACGCCATAAATTTGTTAAACATTTAGCGATAGTTGTGTGCGGCGACGCACTTAAGGTGGCTACTAGCGACCAGCGCTAGAGTCACGCCTCCAACGGGCGCTTAATGGCACCCGACGACTCTTCGACCGGCTTCGATTCCCACAGTCCCAACCAAATGTCCTCATCCCACTGGTACGCAATCGGCTTCTGCAGCAGCATGGCCCAGGAGCTCAATGTAGCCTCCACCGGCCTCATCACCTCTATGTCATCGGCTTCCGACGGTTCGCTCGTGAGGGCGAACTTAGTGCCCACCTCCGCCTCAGTCAAAGGGCGCACCAACACCGATTTCCGATACGCATGCACCAGCTTGCTGACCGTCGTGTACGGCTGCCGCAGCGTGATCTCGGTCAGACGCTGCAGGGTAAGAGGCGGGCTTTCGAAGTCGCTGAGCAGCGAAAGAGACAAGCGCCGCTCCTCGCAGAATTCTTCTTTGTTTTGTACTTTGCCAGTGCGCGATTGCTCCAGTTCATACACCTCATCGAAGGCGTGGCTCCACACCACGAGCAACAACAGCTTCACCAACGGCCATGGGTACGCTTTCCGGCAAAACGCTGCGATGTCTTCCAGCATAACCACGCATTCTGCGTTGAGCTCCACCGGCGACTCAGGCGATTTGACGCCTGACAGCGCGCTTATGGCGCCTGCCACGATCTTGCGGAACGTCGGACCGCTGTGCTCGGGATCCTCTTCGAACTCCTTCAAAATATTGTACTGCAGCTCGACGAAGGTCTGGTCACGATCTACGGCCTTTACTAGCCTGCAAGCGCCACGCTGCATCTTCAAGAGTTCTCCACCCTCGCAATCGGCGCGGCCATTTCGCGACGCGCGTGCCAGTAGCAGGGCAGCACGCAGCCTTCCAGTCGCGTGTCTTATTATAATGTGCGGAAGAAGGGCGGAGACGCGCGGCTGCACCAGGGTAAAATTGCCGCCAACCGCCGTTAACTATTGCAGACGGGTGAAGACACCCGAGACCAGCTACTGAAACGGCCCATGGCTGAAAGTTATTGTGACTATGAGCAGACCCAGCACCCCATCAATAAGACAAAATTTAAACCGTAAATGGACCAACACGTTACTAGAAGTGTGCACGGTAACACATATATGCGCTTCTTCCAGCAACCGCGTCGTTTGCGCTCGGAAGCTCGAGCAGCGGTGCCCAGACTCCAGCGTCACCTTATGGAATACCAGCGCTGGAATCCGCCTCTAGGTGCCTTCTATCACGACAATTTATCATTGTGTAGCTATATAACCGGATATTTAGTTTCCAACGCTGCGGTTATGGTTGACGGAACCGTTCGGCCGCAAGCCGCTTACGTTCACGACTAATTACCTATTAAAACCGTGCCAGTAGCTTCCAACACAAAGCAAAACAGTATAGAAGTGCCTATGGCGCTGATTAGCCATTCAGCGTAGAAATAAAGATAGGTGTGCAGCAAGGATGAGTGTGCCATGCAAGTAGACAGCCTCCAATTAGTGGCAATGCCTATCGATTTTCGTGCACAGTGCCGGCAGGCAATATAGGGCACACATAGGAGTTAATAAATAGGAGAGGAGATTGGTTAAGATCGCGATTGTATCAGCGATTCAACCTTGTCTTAATGAACAGCCGCTGGCAGGTTTTATTGAAGCAGCCCTGCCAGCGGCACGGAGGATTCACAGGCGGTGAGAGTACCCTGATTTAATCGCATAGGAGGCATGAGGCAAACAAAGTGTGGACTCGGCCGCCTCGCCGAGGCGTTCTTCCTGGGATGCTGTCTGCTGATCGGAAGAGAGCAGATTGTACTGCTAGACAACGATAACTTTGAACACGGCTCGAAGCTATATGTAGTCTTTTGGATTGCGACCGGGATAACACTAGTATCGGCAGTCTGCGTGGCATTCTTTTCTCCGGATCTCACTACTCCATGCCTGGTGATACAGTTCCTTTGCTCGTGGGGGATTTTCGGTTTAAGCAGCGACAAGGCGAACCCTTCCATACTACAGTACATTTTAGTAGCGTTAGCTGCTATAGCGAATGCGCGACTGCTTCTGCAGGCGTCCACGGAATTCTCGAATAACGCAGCAACTACTCTGGCATTGCTGTGCGGAGGTGTTTTGTCGTACGAATTGGCTGATATTTGCCATGCTGTACCATGGTTCCGTCGGAACATTTTTATGAAGCTTTTGTTGAGGGAGTCGCCCTCATACGCACTGCTTCAGACCAAGTGCGTGGCTGTGGTGACAGCGATTACGATGCGCTACGCATTGGGAGAACAATGTAGCTTCTACAATGTGAAGCTGTGGGAATTTTACAAAGCACATAAGAATGCATTAACTGGAATCAATAATTATCCCATGTTGGAGATTCTGATGCATGATAAGTTTATGAAGGTGCTGCCGTTCTATATCACCATCGCAGCACTATTTGCAATAATAGGGTCTATGCCTCCCGACGTACCGCTGTTTAGATTGCCTCTCGCAAAGCATAGGCTAATGTATATTATGGGCTTCGAGGAATGGGCGCTGGGCGCAGGGGTCCTCATGGGAGCAATATTACCATTTCCCAGCTCGTGCAGATTCATGTTGCACATAGTTGTTCTCTTCGCATGCATGCTAAATACGCTGCATATGCCAATTCATTTGTATTTTACGTCTTTGTCGATGCTAAGACCATCTGTGCTCACATGGTTGTGCATTGTAGCCTCATTTTTGGAGGGATACGCCCTGAGCTACGGGGTTGGACAACTTGTATCCGTTGCATTTTTGCGGAGCTGTAGCGGAATTATTGTTAACAAGAGCTGTTGTGAAGCCATTGCAGATGCCCAATGCTTCTGCAAACAGAAGGCGGATTATTTTCAATGCCAAGCGAGGTACGACACATCCAAGGCCGAGAGCCCATGTGGTGAACAAAAACCTGCCAGTACGGCAACAAATCACATAATATGGGTACTGCAGAACTGCAATGCGAATAATACCGGAAATTGTTTCCCTCTTAAATGCAAATGTAAGAAGGATGGTGTTAGTAGCCCCGTCAAGGAGCCAAAGTTTTCATGCACCATGTGCAAAGAAGGCAAAAGCGAGACCTGCAAGACGAGTGAACTGGTACCAGTAGTATGTACAAAGAAAGTTGTTACTGTCGAGAAAAAGGATACTACGGCAGCCAAGGAAAAACAAATTGATGCTGGTAGTGGCGATTCTACAGGCGGGAAAGGTGGTTCTACTAGTGAGAAAGCTGATTCTCCTAAACCGGAACCGGGAAGCGCAAATAAAGGTAGTTCGTCACCTTCTCAGCAGCAAAATTCCACGCCCCAATGTCCCATGCCACAAGAAAAAGGTAAGGGGGGATCACAGGGAACAGTACAAGCGGAAACTGAGAAAACTAAGGCTAAAGCAGACGCACAAGGGAATGTTGGAGAGAAAGAGCAAGTGAAAGCTGATCAAGGAGAACAGGAATGCAAAGATGGAGAGAAAGATAATGAAAAGGAAGAGGAAAGCAAATGTTTTTGTAAGAATGTGGTAGGTATGGACTGTACAGAAACGTGTAAAGATTGCAGCTGCGCAAAGAAAGAAAAGGAAAAAAAAGAAAAGACAAAGAAAAGAAAAGAAAAAGAAAAGGAAGGAAAGGAAGAAGGAGCAGGAAAAGAAAAAAATGTTGTTAATAAAATGAGGTGCATTGAATGGATAACTACGAACAATGCACAACACTACCTGTTACGGAATGCGCAAAGCTCAACATGTGATGATTGTGATCTGACATTATGGCTCGAAGGCGTGCCGGTGGGAAACAGAGGCGACATGTGTTGCGTATCCGTCGTAAATGAGCCGCCGTTTACATGCTGCTGGCAGAAGTGGAACCCCGATGCCGATAGGCTTTACATAGGCTATATGGATGCCAACTGCCCGCTCTGCTCCATTGTCGAGGTACGACAAATGGATTTCGCAAAAGAATTCTCTCACCATCTAAAGGAGTCGTTTCCTCACCACTTCAATATTCGTAATATTAAATTCGGATCATGCTGCCACTCTACGTTTTACTTGAAATTGAGCTGCGATAAAAGAGACAAGTATCCACACCTCCATCGACGAAAATACAATTTCAAAGATCACCCGATATCGTACATCTACTTCACTACAGCTGCAGTAATGGATGAAGAATTGGAAAAACTGGCGGAGAAACGAGAACAGGCAAAAACCGCATCAGCAGCTGCAAGTACAGGTTCCTCAGGTGTATCCAGTAGCTCCGGTGTAAGTGGAAAGGGTGCACCCAGTGGCCCTCTAGGAGCAGGTGGAAAGGGCACATTGGGCGGTGGTGGGCAAGCAGCAGCAGCGGCTGCTGCGCCAGTGCCACAAAAGCCTGGTCAAAGTCCAACTCAACCTAGTGACAGCGCACCACAACCCGCACCTGACCCTGCCAAAACGTGTGATGATAACGGAAATCTTGTTCTGTCGCCGTCGACAGAATTTCTGGTTGACCAAAAGTACAAAAAATGCTGTTTCGGCGTTGCTACCAGGATATTCACCTATTATCGGTACGTAACAGAAATGTTGGGGTGTCGCTACTGTGTTAAGGAGAAGTGTGATGAATCGAATCGGCCAATCCATTGTGATTGTACAGGTGGTAAATGTTCTATAGGTTGCTGCGTCAAAGTCCCATTTACCGATGAGATTTCCACCCAAAAGGCGGCTAATGAATACAGATACCTCTTAATGGTTGGCTTCTGGGTCCTATGCTTGTTTATACACTACATTCTAATGCACCTGTTCCGGTTTTATACCAGTCCAAGTAGTGTAGTGTACTGCGATTTTGGCGTGCGTCTGGAATCCATCACCACAGGCGGCTGGAAGGACACTATTACAGAGCAATTGGCAGACCCGAACTCTGAGGTCTATTCAGTCAAATATTATGACACCGAGGAGGGCATGGAAAGTATAGTGAATGCTATGGAATTGTTCATACCCGGTAAGACTGACACTTTCGCGAAATGGGTGAAGGCACAGGTGGCGACGGTTTTACCGGAATATGTGCAAGTGACCGATATGAGTAAATTCTACACTGCTTGTGTGGCGATGTGCCTAAATGCAATCGCACAGTGCTTCGAAATCGTTACGCCAATAATTCGACGTCACCTACAGAGGTGGGAAATGCGCTGGGAGAAGGAGTACGCATGCTACAAGGAATCACTCGTCAGCGCAATAGGGAAATCTGCCCATATGTCAAGGTTGGCACAGGTGATGCGGTACGAAATGGACTCTTTTATGTACAACGCCGTGCCAGACCTACCAGATTCTGTCTGGGCCACATTGGTCAACGAAATTAAAATGTATCAATGGATAGCGGAACATGAACAGAAGCTACTGAGGAAACGGAGATCCGGCGATTACGACAGCCAGCTGACAATTAAGCAGGTTTTCGACAGAGTGTGGAGGAAGCGCATGAGGCTCATTGAAAAGCTTGTGGAAGAGGGGAGGGTCGTCTTCCACTGGGATGGACTCATAAGTTCGTATAAAGCGTTGCAGAAGTATTACGCACGACGGGATCTGGCCTTTGGCATTACAGAAGAACCGCCTCTCGTCATTGGTGACTCACCTGCCGACGACTTTCACCCTGTGGATGCCACGCCACACACAGACGCCGCGACACCGTCGCAGGCAGAGGCGAATTAAGACACTCTAATGTTTTACACCCTAACGCCGATACTAACTAAGGCGCCCAGAAAATACGTGGCATCACGCAGCCCGCGCTGCTGCAGGAGCTACGCGCGCCGTGATTCTCCGCCCAAACATATACAAATGAAAATGTGACTCCGCTATGGATAAACCTGACGACATAGCGACCTTTATGAGGCCAGGGACGTTCCGGCAGCTCGTCGAGGTGTCTCGGAGCGCCACGAAGCAGGCCGATGCCGCGGAAGCGTCGAATCAACCGAAGCCATACGCCGACTCCATCATATTCAGCGAGGTATGTCACTACTGCATCACCGGAACCCCGATCCTTGGGACGCTGACGCTGACGACGGAGGCGATAACGTTCGAGCCTGACGCCAGAGACGCGAATGTCTACGAACGAGGGAGAGGCTATTACCAGGTCCACGTCGACCTGGTGAGCATAGAGGAATGTGGCTTGATCGGTGTGTCGGCCGAGGACCTCAGCTCTTACGACAGAGGCAGCATGCACTGCAACGGCCTGCTGCAGATTCTGCTGAAAAATGGCCGTCGGGATAGTCCAGCCCAGACGGCAACGGAAGACCCTTTCGACCCATTCTTCTGCGAACATCGCATCGTTTCGAAGGCTCAAACGCCGCCGCCCAGGGAATCACGCTCCGTAAGCCTGGTGTCGCAGGGGATTTCGAAGCTCAGCTACGTTGCGAACATGGCGGGATTCTCCATGGCGCCTAAGACCCCTCCAGAAAAGCCCCCTCAGGTGGCAGTGCAGGCTAAGGTGTTCGTGGTGTTCGCCTTCTTCAAGAAGGAAGTCGCACACCGATGTACTCTAGCGCTGATGGACGCGCTGGATGAGGCCAAGAAGCGTGCGGCCGCCATGCCATCCCGCAGCAGGATTTCCAGGGTGCCATTCACGTCCAACGAGCTGCTGCACATGCTTACTGAAAGCATAAGGCCCGAGGAGCAGGCGCAACAGCGGCGCAGACGCTCCTCCGAGAGCCGCTCCAGGAAGTCCACGACCAAAAATACGCAACCGTCCCCCAACGTAGATGGCATTGTCGAGAGCGAAAACAAGCTGCGCGAAAAAGTAGCGCAAAAGTCGAGGATACTCACAGCTGACATGGTTAGCCAGTTGGTGGACAACCTGCCACCGGCGCTCGCTATACGGGACTGGGACATCACATTCAAGACTTCGCACGACGGGGTGTCATTCGGCACCTTCTACAAGAACCTGGATGGGCACGAGCACTGCCTCATTGTGATAAAGGACGACAATGGCAACGTTTTCGGCACTTTCACGGGACACATAGAGCTGTCGTACAGGTTCTATGGCACCGCTGAAACGTTCGTCTTCAAGTTCGACAAGGGAAGAATCCGCGTGTACAGAGCTAAGGGCAACAACAAGTGTTTTGTCTACTCCAACGAGAGCACCATCGTGATCGGCGGCGGCGCCAACTCCGCGCTGTCGATCCACGACGCGTTCCAGAGCGGGACCACCGCCGCATGCGAGACCTTCGGAAACGACCCGCTCGCACCTTCGTTCGTTTTCAACATAGAAGAAATGGAAGTTTGGACCTTCGGAGGCTACCTAGTTTAACACGCTCCCCCCTAGAAGGGTGAGGGGCGCGGCCCAAAGATCTGGCTTACACATACATATTTTAATGATGCACAAATCTAACAAAGCTAGGCGCCCAAAGCGCAAAGACGGCAGCAAGGACGTTGCGTCCACCGCTGCCGACTCTTGGAGCCAATCTGCGGAAGCAGAGCTCCGCAACGACGACGCGACCGAATGCGCCGCAATTCCATACGAGCTCGTCGAGTTCAAGCTACGAGCCGCTAGCAAGGTCGTTCTACTCTACGGAAGGACAGGAAAATGGGCTGCTTTGGCGCGAAAAGCTGAACTCGTCGATGACCGCACACTAAGGAACATCCTAAGCCTCAAACTGCCGAAGTATGAGCACAGAGGGCTAGAAATGGCCTGCCTAATGCTTAAAGTGGTAAAGGAACGGACGACAAGGGAGGAGTATGGCAACTATGCGGACGACGACACCGTTAGTGATGTCTCCGTGGAGACGTTCGCCGCGATAGAGCCTGAAGAGATGATGTACCAACAATGGCGCCCAGGAGTGGCAGAAATAGTGGCTCTGTGTGCTATATGGGCCATAGAAGTCGCCAGAGGATCTAACCTGGCAATTATGGCATACCGCGTGCTGATCCTCATGAGCAACTTCCACTGCAACAAATACATCAGGCGCTATGTTGCCACATTATTTGACGACGACACGCCTGTGATTGATATCGAGCTAATGCACAAACTTACCCTGCTGCAACATGTGTGCATGACGCCAGACAGCAACCTGGACAAGGATAAACTGCTGCGGATATGTTTTGCCACAGCCAAACGAGATGATAGCAATATCTACGTGGACGACGTGGTGACCCGCATACTCTCCCAAATCTGGAGCACGCATAAGTGCCGCTTAGAGGATCTGCCCTCGAGATGCAGATACAGGCTCATGGGCCAGCTGCTGTATAGAGGATTGGAACAAGAGAAGATAGCACCGGCCTTGGTAAAGGCCGCCGTAAGCGGCCCCTACCACGAGAGGAAGCTTGCATTAGCAGCGTTGAAGGAAACTTACGATAAGGTGGATACGAACATTGTCACAGAAGCGGCAAATGAGGTGCTGCAAACGCCTGACTCGGTCGACTTAGGTATACTTGGTCTTGCCGCTGTCTTCCTTGAAGACCAAAGGGCAGCCTTCAGTTACCTGCAGGAGCTCTGCAAACAAATTGCCAATAAAGTTGGCATGGCCGATGGTTCGATTGAGGAAATGTGCGCCGATGCCAAAAATTCCGTTATCCATCTCGTCACTGATGGCGGTGCCATACCGGAAGCGACGCGAAGACACGTGCGGAAAACGGGAAAACACTTTTTCACAGTTAGAGACCTGTTAAATGCTATCTCCGCTACGTTTTCAAGGATATGGATGATTGTGACAGAGAAGTCCGCGAAGGAAAAAATTCCGCAAGAGTCACCTATGGGAACCACAGTAGACACTATTGCACTCATTGCAATATGTCTGGCAACCTTACGGCAGGAGCTAGTGCCATATGTTATGGACATGATCGATATGGTGATGCATCTTACAGGCACCCCAAAGAAGACTCTGAGGTTCTGCACGCGTACGCTAAAACGCTGTAAAAAGCCTGGGGAATTCTGGGACAAACTGACTGTAGTGACGTCCCAACTGGTACGCACTATGATGCAGCCAGTGATCGTGGAAGCGTATACGCCAATTATGGAGGAAAGGTGTGTGTTGGCGCCATTTGTGAAGGAAATCGCAGATGCGATGCATGCGGTTGTGGACACCGCCGGCCAGTCGTTGGTGAGGTACAGCTGCGCTACGAGCGTTAGTGAAACTGTGGCGCAGTTGGCAGCGTATTTGAGTGTGATAACGCCGAGCCAATATTCAGCGAAGGTGGCAAGGCGCATTTGTAACACATTAGAGACGGTTCTAGAGCACCTTCTGCAACCGATACGACGAAAAAAAGGAGACGAAAACCGTGCCGATCGGGTGGAATTAGAAGATATCTTGCATTATCGTGGAGATGCGTTTGAGTACATCGCACAGGGGTTCGAGACGATCTGCTGTGTTACAGTACCTAAGTTGGAAATGATAGGGATGATGCTGAGCCTGGTATGGCACCCAGACATCGCAAAAAGAGTCTTCAGAGGTTTTGAGACACTGGTTCTCACTATGCCAATCGGAGCGGATGTTAGGAAGGGTCTTCTTATGTATTGCTTCAGGAGGGAGGTACACACTGACTGGGACGTCGAGACACTGGATACACTCCACGCCTTCATATTTGGATTGTTTGCAATAAGTATACGGAATAATAAACGGAAAAATGCTTTACAGGACAAACTTAAAGTGACGTGCCGGAACGGAATTAACTGGAAGGCTAGGAGAAAGCTTGCCGGCCCGTGGAGGCACGGCGTGGTTAGACTCGATCGGGGCAATAACATTGCATACTTCCTGGAGAAGTTCATGAAGCTGGTGGAGGTGGAGGCTAAAAACACCCCGGTGGCGATTCGGCAGCCCATCCGATTGCTGGACGAGAACTTGTCAGTGCCTGCCGCCATCCGCGATACGAAGGTACACGATTGCCCAGGGGAATGATCGCCACGCGACCCGTCTCCCGCGAGAGTCTTGCCGCTGTGCCATGGGTTGGCGTGTCGAGGATCACGACGCTCATCGAGGAGGTGCACCGCCGAGGACCCAACGATGCCAAGACATGGTCCCAACTACTCAAGAGATTCGATGTCATTCTTAACTCCTTCGGACACAAGCACCTTGCCAGGGTGCTTGTTACCCTGGCGAAGGTGGGGAACTGCCCGGACGACCTGCTGCGTAAAATCCGCAACCAGGCCTTGTCACAGTTGCAGCAGTGTGATCTCCTGTCGTGTTGTGGTATACTCTACGGCATGAAAAGGCTAGGGGCATGTGATACTGAACTTCTGCAGAGATTTAGGAAGCAAGTTGTGGACACCGTTTCCACGGCGCAGGCCCCGTATCCTGTGGTCATGCTGATCCATACCTTCGCCGACAGTGGTGACAAGGACACAACCCTGGTACTGCTCAAGGAGGTTGTGAAACGTGCTGACCAACTCAGCCCCAAAGCTTTGGCAATGGTTTTGGTTGCAGCTACTGCAAATTATGGGCAATGCAAGGAAGTGGAGGCGGCCATGCTGCAGCTGCTACTTACTGCCGCCGGACGCATGGGCGAAATGGATCTCAGGTCGCTCACGCAGCTCTACTCCAGCATCGCAAAAAGCGGATTTGCAATCCGCGAACATATTCTGGACGCAATTGCCGACGAGATCGTGCCACACGTCGAGCGTCTCACGCCGCAACAGGCAGTGCTGGTTTTGAGCGGCGCTGCTCGAGCCAAACACGCCCATCCACAACTAGCGGCAGCTGTGGTAAACGCCCTGGAAAGGAAAACTATAGATTCCGATCCACAACTCATGGTTTTCCTCCTCTCTGCCATTGTTAAATTGAACCTCCAGCACTCCTCTCTGGCAACGCAGCTACAGAGAGCGCTCGGCAAAACCGAGCTACGACCTACGGAGTTTGCAAACGTAAGTCGCGTTACATCGATACAATGCTAACGTTTATTCAGTTGGTTTATCTCGTCGGGAAGTGGCGTCTCCCACAGCCGAGCATGAAGTGGCTATCGAGTCAGCTCGATAGGCTCCTCCAATCCTCGCAAGACATGATCTCTTTACGTGACGCCGCCCTTATCGCGTACGGTTTTGCAGCATCTGGTGAGATGGATGGTCTTGCGAAGGCAGTGGGCATCGCCGAAGACATAGCGGTGCAGTCTCAGGAGCAACACGACCAGCGCACTTTGGCGATGATCAACCACGCCGCGCAAAAATTGCGCCTTCAATTCCCTGACCTTTCGACGAACTCGCGTTCGCCAGAGTAGTCCGCGAGCTGAAACCACGTTAAAGGATGGAGCGAACAACTACCGCAGAGGCTAGAGCTATATGCTTGTAACCCGCCAAGAACGGCTCCAACGGACTTATGTCACGATCTTGGTCCCAGACCCTTCACAACATTGGAGAAACACGCTACACCACTCACGTCAATGATTTAACTTCCGCTGTTTCGCGGATGGTTTGCGAACGGATGGCGGGGTTGCTAGCGATAGGACTCTTGCGAGTAGAGGAAGAAGAGGCAGATGGCGGGGATACCTCCACCATCGACAGCCGGCATCCCAAAGAGCTCAGGTCGATCTGGCTGCCACGTAGGCAGCGACCACGCAAAAATGCGCACAGACGCTCGCGACCTAGCAATGGATCAGTCCCCTGCTGCGAGGCGTAAACGTCCCGTTCCATGTGCTCCGTGACCTCAACCTGGAACGGTACCGTCTCCGCCACCTCGCCGCAGACATCAAGCAGTGTGAAACCGCCTGCATAATGTAGATTCCTTAACTGAACACTTACATAGTCCGGAGTCGCCTTCCGGTGACTCAGCGTCGAGGCTGAACACACCGTCGGAGAATCCGCGAGCCACGTCGGCGGGGCCCGGCTCCTTTATTAGACATGGCAGCACGTGCACATTGGAAATGGATTCCATTGTGCCGCCGTCGCTGCCGCTGAAATGCAAAAACGGTTTGTGATGAAGTGGCTCAGCGACCACCTACACACCGAATAGACAGCCGCCGATGAGCTACTTGCAAAACGAAATCAGAGTTGTGTTGACAGGACCGTCAAACAGGTTCTTTGTAGCCTACAAACCGTACGGATGGTTCCTGACTACGCCATTTGACCCCCGTTTCGGGGAAGCCGTAATGGCTCCGGTGCTAGCCGCCAAGCTAGGTGTGTCCCCTAAAGATATATCGTTCCCCGGTAAACTCGCTGCACGCGAAAGCGGGCTGGTTATAGGCTGCACCGATACTGCCATGCACAATAAGATCGAAGCAACTCTGAAAAATGGCCAGTGCTCCATGTCCTACCAATGCATAGTCCATGCAAACCGGTCGGCGAACACAGCCCTCATCCGACGCTCGCCCTTCAGCCATGCGTTCGCATGCTACAACCACCATGAAGGCGTGTCATCAGGTGTGGTAACCTTCGACGTCAGGAGGCAAACGAAGGTGGAGCCTCTGAAACGCCTTTCCGCTCTCTCCGACGAACGCTTACGAAACGTCTTATCGCAATTCCTGGCACGATCGCGCGTTGTGTCAGTTCATGATGTTTCAGTTAAGCGGAAAGACGCAAAGATTATATCTGATGGTGAAGAATCTGGATTTTCTGATACTGGCAGCTCCAAACACAACTGCCCTGGGTCGGATGAAGTCGGGGACGCCGGCAAGACGGATTCTTCCATTGGTCAAGATAATATTACCGGCACCACAGAAACTGTTGATGAAGGCTTCACAAAGACTGCAAACACAAGCACTGCAGCCGATTCCCAGCAAAATGGGGGATACAGTTTTGCCTACATTATGGAGAACCTGCGGGACTACCTCAAACGAACTGCCGAGGATGGCACGACACAGCACAGACGAGTTGGAAATAACAGCCATAACACGCGTGATGACAAGGATCGAAGAAACGCTCTGTCACAATTCCGACACGTGGAAATTGCAACCGGGAACCACATGGTCAACAAGCACATGGTGGAGGTACTCTCCTCAATGGGTCTGGTGGTGCTGACAGGGCCGCCTCATCAAAATACATCTAAAATTAGGGCAACTGTGGACTCAGCATGCCTTGAGTTGTGCGCACTGCAATTCCCCCACCCCATCTACAGAGACAGGGTCATCGAGGCACGGCTGCACGAGGGCGACCCAGTGGTACCAGAGGAATGGGTCAGGCTCGCGCTCAATTCTTCTTGTGGCGTTCCATAAACTCGCGCATTTTTTTCTGGGTCTCCATTTCGCGCAGGATGGACGGTTGCACGTCGACCATCGCATGGGTCAGAGCCAATTCGTGCTGACGCCATTCCAGCGGGATCTGCAACGGTTGAGAAACAGCAACAAAGCACCTACCTCGGGCGCACTGTACTTTGCCATCGATGCTGGCTGCTCGTAGGAGCCCTCAGGCGCATTCAGCACCTCGGACGCTATGGATTCGTTCAGCTGCTTCTCCTCGATCAGGCGCTCCAGGAAGCCAGGCTTGTCCAGGTATTCCAGGTTGTAGTGCGAAATCGGAAGGTCGTGGTCGACGGCAACTTGCGCCTTCTGTATCACTGTCAGCAAACTAAAATGTAACACTTACTTCTGCTAGCGACGAGTCGAACTCGTACATCCTGTTGACGTCGTCCTGGGTAAAGTGGGCGCGATGCTCGACCAGCGACTTCATTTCCAGCAGCTGTGCGACGGCCATGACGCCTAATAACTGTCAGAAAGCGGTGGAAAACGCCTACCGGGGTGCGATACGAAGGGCAGACGCTCGGCGTGCGTGCCGAACATCACCAGAGCGTCGGGGACTCTGGTGGCCCTACGCAATAGGCTAAATCGCAGCATTTTTGCGCGGTATCATAAAAGGTGTAATGGAACGCCTTGCAGCCGGCGAACGCGGCTCCGGAGCCGATACGGATGGGGGCGCGACGCGCCTAGGCAAGCGACACATTACAGGAGAACTACTCGTTTAGACACTTAGGTTTCGCTATCGTCCTCTAAGTTGTTCATATCTTGCGATTTGCCGTTGGTTAACTGTACACGGCCAAACTCACCCTGAACAATCATGTGCGTTGCAAAGGGGAAACTTACGTTCTCTAGCTTTATCTGAATCAGCGAGTTGATGTTGTGCACCTTGAAGCCGAATATGCGCGGAGTGTACGGCATTGGAGGCTCCTCCGGAATGAGACTCGGGAATGTGAGAAGGAATATATGCGGGAATGACCGCCCGATGAAGGCGCCATCGATGTCGGCGTGCGCCTCGCCGAATTTGAAAATGTACGCCTCCTGGCAACGGGGGCAGTACTTCTTGATGCGGTGGTTGTGGAGAGTGTCACTGAAGCCAACAGGCAACACGTTCTGCCTCTGGCACCTTACACGTGGGCAGTGCCCAAACACGCCCTGTTGGTACTTCTCCTTCTGAGCCAGTTTAAGCGCGCATGATGACAGTACAATAGAAGTACAACCGCTTTTGACGTTGTCAGCCACATAAAATAAGCTCCCGTTTATGTTAGCGGTCACATGTAACAACATGCATTCTGCAACCAGTAGTCGGAGAGCAGTACCGCGGTGACGCACGTATACATATCACGCACATAATGTACCTCAGCCGCAGCCACTAACCATCATCTGAAGGCCCATGGGCGAAGTGATGAAGCGCGCATGGATCATGCCGTAGAGGTCCGTCGCGCTTCTGTACAATTCCAAAAATGAGGTGTCCATGAAGACCTCTTCAGTGGGAGCGAATCCCAGGATCATGTCCATCGCACTATCGTAGTTCTTCATGGTCTTTAGGCCGCAGAGGTTGAATTGGTCGCGAATGTATGCCTCGTCCACCTAATGCGTGTCAATCAACAGCGCCGGAAACGTACCTCGAGTAAAAATTCGTGACCCTCCAGGGAGGTGAACCACTGAATCCACCTCATTGTGTCACCGTTTTCGACGGAGAGGTCCTGCCAGTCGTCAACGTCCTCCTCCATATCGCGCGTGGCGTAACCCAGACAACCAAGCGACGCCCTGAAAGCGCGCACCCACCAAGCAACACCAGAGAAATACCAATAATGCCGTCAACCTTGAGGTACTTCAGGCGTGATTTCAGTAGCTCCAGGCGGCAAACATCCACTGCGAGGAGTGGGGAACGCATAACACATGTTGACGCCACAACAGCGGGTGTAGAGGGTTTATCAGTGGTTAAAGACCTTATTAATTTTCCAAATCGGTTAATCCTCACGGTATAGTGGTTACAGTAATGTCATGCTTGCGTGTTCTGCGATAATGTAAGACAGAATCCTGGTTGCGGAGTAACACCTGCTAGCGCCGTTACACGTTGTAGAGCAATCATAGCGGATAATTACACGTCCATTCGATGCTATAATTGTGCAATAGAACTGCCGTTGAGAAGAAACTATACCAGATACACACTCGCTCTCGCTTCCATACACATACGGATGGAAGGACAAAAACACCATCAGAAGGATAACACATAGAGTTTTTTCGAATTCAAAAATGGCACTAATAGTTGTGTCACGTCTGTAGCGGTTACGATGGTGGCAGGAAATTCTCTTTCAGGGTTGACTGCCTTCACCCGGGCCGTCCACTTGGGACTTGCTAGGATGAACGCTCGGGCTGCGCTTGCTTCTATTGGCACGACGCATTGCATGGAGAATGCGATATGCGGATGTCGTTCATATTCGAGAGCAAGGTCCGTATATAAGGGAACCACGAACAGCGCAAACCAAGGCAGGATCGTCCACGAAACCCCGCATGATGAAGCATCGTCGAAAAAAGCAACCAGCGGTGTAACACGTCCAGAGGCTGGCAGATCCGGTGTAAGAGAAAGGGACAGCAGATACGTTAAGACGACGAATTTTGCAGCTAATAAGAAGATAAGTAGTTCAGGAACTGGGCGGGATGAACATGGACAGGATATAAACAAAAGGGTGTCACTTAACGATGATAGCCGATTGGTCAATCAACAAAATGAGGATCTCTATAATTACTATGACGTCAAGGATCCACGGAATGCAGTACCTTCACCGGGATTTGACGAGAATGACCGCAGGGCCAAAATCACAAGCAGAGATGATGCAACGGATGAAATAGACTTGGAGTTCGATGTCGAGCCATTGTCGCAACAAAACGGAATTGATCAAACCAGTTCGTTTGCAGAAAAGACCGTGACGCTTAAGAAGCCGTGCGTTGTCACGAAGAGGTTGATAACAGTGGAGGCACCAATCCACAGCCTCACCGGGAGGGACGCTCTGGAAGCAGTATTGTATGGGACAGGTCAATACGCGCCATTCAATACAGTGGAACTGTTGTATAAGCATATACATAAGGATAATGCGGCTGTGAAAAAGGGAGAACGAAGCGGGTCTGCATTATTAGCTTCGTTGGAAGACCATGTATGCCTGCTGGCGAGGAATCGTGGACTGAGGGTGCGCGAGGCGGCGATGTTGGCCATGATATACGACCACCAAGGGACACTACGTCCAGAAATAAGGGATGCTCTGGCCATGGCATTGCAGATGCAATTATGCTCATTCAGGCCTTACGATATCGCCGCAGTCGTTGCAGTCTATGGAAAGTACGGGAGCCGGTACCGACCCTTACTCAACACGCTAGGGCTCGTATTCTACGACATTATGATAGCAGGTAAAACGGCAATTGCGCCACAGGGGCCATCTGTGGATGAAACGCTGGCCGTGATAGAAGCGTACTCAAAAGTGGGAATGCCCATAAAGAGGATGACGGATGCCGCATTTGGTACCCTTTACCAGCACGTAGATCAAATGGACACAGACCAAATGCTAACGGTTCTAGATGCGTTTTTCCGGCTTTCTAAAGATGGCAACTTCGTTGAACTATACACGAAAATTATAGGGAGGCTTTTCGGGCAGCCGGTCTTATTTGTGGATGGTTTTCAGAAATATGCGGAACAGCATTTGAACGCCAACTTTCAGTCGCCAATGGAGGACACTACTATCGCAACCATTGGTGATAAAAGGACAGCATACCCACCAAGCGAAGTGATGCGACTCATGATAGCCATGGCTAAATGCAAAAGCGAACACCTCATACACTCAGTGCACAGTCGCATAGAATTCAAAAGACTATGGAGCGGGAACATTAGAAATAATATCATGCCGTGGAAGGCATCAGTGGTGGAACCAAATTCAACCATTGGGTTGGATGTTATAGCACCGGGCATAGAAAATCCAACTATGGTTGAAGCTGGTGAACGTGAAATCAAGACCAAATTAGATACTACAGCACCTGATCAAAAACTAATTGAGATGTATCGCTCTGTGGCTAACAACAATTCGGGTGTCACAGGTGACAACAGCACAAACCACGGCGCCAATCTCCAAAAGGTTCTCCGAGACGGACAGAATCAAGTTAATTCAAACATCCGATCCGAAGCAGAAATACTTCACGAATTTGTTGGTGACCATAGAGTGGTATCTTATGTGGATCAAATACCATCAATATATCAAGGAATGTTGCAGATGTTATCGGATACTTTAGGCTACATGCACAATCCGAAAATTTTCTTGCAGCTCATACACGATGCAAACCGCTCCGTGGTGGAAAAGGCGCTTGTGTTATGTAAGCAACGCGGTATAGATTTGGCTTTTGAGCGTCTGGTGCAAAACTGCCGAGCGCATTATCCCTTCATCGCCTCCCTTAATGCAACCATGAAGAATTACGAAGCGCCTACTGACGCCACCATGTCAAACGCCGATTATATGCCTCTATTTAAGGTTGAAGATGCAGACGTGCAAGTATGTCTGCATGCCCCTGAAGACGTCATGATTGTACATGCAGATCAACTCATCAAAAGCGTTGAAAAGGAATCAGCAAATGACGAGCAATCCGATAATGCAGGGTCAACCTCTCACGCAGTCTATCCGTCTTTATGCTCATATGATAGACGTGTTAATGAAGCCATGCGGGCACTATCTGTTAGGAATGGTGCTAACTTGGACGGGTTATCTGCCACTAACAAAGTTTCGGCGAATGACCTAGCTCTTACAATTAGGGCCATACAAGATTACTCGAGGTACTCTGACCACCTTCATGCTGAAACTGTGAATGCCATCGCCGCACTGTATTTCAGGATGCTATTCGTGGCACCTAGGCCACCGGTGGCGTCGGATGAACTTCACAAAATGCAGTTGTCAGAGTTTTTGAGTTGCATACAAGATGCCACACCGATAAGCCTTATGGTAGATCATGGACATTTACCGTTCACCCAGAATAAAAACGCAGTCGGATTTCAGGAATTCCACCAAGTTAGGCACGGTGAGTATCAATATTACAGGCCCATGCCGCTATTTGCGGACTTGTTTCGTGGAAATGCGGCACTGTACGGTCTTATGATGTATACAATTGCTCACAAGATGCAATACTCAGGAATGCATAGAGCTGCAGATTGCGATTTGGCATCTACTATACAGGTTATCGGCGCCATGCGGCACGTGCTGCACCCGTTTTACATCATAGCTACGGGGAAGACTAACAAGATTCTAAAATGGCATATATTGTATTACAAAGGCGCGCTTAACGTTTGTCATCGCGTGAATGGCACAAAGGTGAAGGGAAATGGCGTTAGTGATGTGAATACTGATGCTGTGCAAAACACGTTGGGCAAGGTGGGTGACGATGCCAAGATGTCGGGAATACCGAAATCTCAATCATCCCACGAGGCACTTCATTCAGATGATACTGATGCAGATCATCATTCTAATGAGTTTAAGGATGGTTTTGACAGCGTGAACACCGATCTGAAAGAGCTCGAACTAATACGTGACAGAACCTTCGCCGAAGCTGCGGCTGATATATCAAAAGTGATGCAGTGCCCGCTATTCCATCATTCGGCGACAATATTCACGATCGTGCTGTTGGAGTACATCAGTCAGGCAATACAAACACTACAAGATGATGCAAATCTCATCAGCCTGAACGGGTGCGCTGAAATCTCAGAGACGCTCTCCATGCTCATGGCGTTCCAACAAATGATGGAAATGGAACTTGACGTGAACCACAAGGCATTCCTACATAAGTGTCAAAACGACATGGCGGCAATCATAGCTAGCAAGGTTATGTCGGCGGCTGAGGATGAACCAGGAGTTGGCCTGGGTCCCATGGCGCTGCCAATCGATACGGCCTGGCGTGACGAGCCGCACGGCGGATTCGCGGAACGTGTAGACGCTCTATCACTACGTATGGAAAGACAAGACTTTCTGAGCACAGCCCGTGCACTGGCAATGTACTTGAATACTGTGGACCTCACGGAACCGCTGGCGAACGCCGTGCACACAATTATGCAGATCATGTACAAACGGCTCCCGTACATGGCAGACTCCGATCTCGTTGATGCTGCTATAACGGTGATACACGCGGACGAGGCACTGGCGCGCACGCAGAACTACTCGGATGAAGATCCAGCGGGTCGGCTGGCTCAGCTGGTACGCATCCTCCGCGTTCAATGCCGCCAACTTCTAGAGGTGCAGCCGGCACACACAGACGAAGTATATACGTTCAGTACACGTGGTAGATTGGCGATGATTGCGGCTATCGGATAGCACCGGTCACCGTCGGTTGCATTCATCGGCACCTGAGCAAGTTGCAACGCACTCCAGTGAGTCCGGCATGGCACTGCCCATCAGAATCGCAACTCCACCGTTCATAATGTTTTCACAGACCTAATTCAGCATCACTTTTTCATCCGCAATTCCAGCCAACATGGTTGACCCAACTATGAACGTGAGGCAGGGCTCACCCCTGCGGTGCTGCAACCCGAGAGAATTCCGCCAGAACGCTTCACCGGTGTTCAGGCAGCAGTTCGTCAGCGAGAACGGCAAGATGAAGCTCACGATGCCCATGTCACCGTTGCACTACATTACCACATCTGGGTATTACGCCAACGACCTCAGACTGGCCCACCAAAACGCGCAAATAGATATGCAAAAATGCCAGCAGTCGGTGCCATACCCAGTGGTATACGAGCAGCAATCGATGCAAATGGGCGCCCGAGGGGCCGTTGAGGGATACTACGCCCAACGAATGGAAAGCATGGGCAGCAGGTCGCCCACTCCGAACATGCAAGTCCTTATCCAACAACCGCAGGAATACCGACGCGCATCAGTGCAATTAGGAAGTGTTCACAGCATGGGTATAGAACATACGGCCAAAGTTAACGTTGTCCAGAAGAGCCAGAATGTGGAACTGACGGATTTATTAACTGTTCTGATCCGCATCGAGAAAAAACTGGATGATCTGCAAATACTTTGCAAGTCCAAAGCGACTGATATCCACAAAAAGAACGCAATATTGATGCCGAAAACAGGGGATAAACTTACCTCTCAACTGCAGGGGCCCTGCAGCGAACAGTTACTTCAACATATCAAACAGAGTTCATTGGCAAAAATGAGCAGTAAACTATCAGTTAGCTCGGAGACATTGTCAAAAGCTAGCTCGGGGAAACATTCAGCAGACAGCTTGTGCGAAAGGCCTATTAAGCAAATGTCACTGCCATCCATAACGCAAGAATTTACCAATAACGAAGAATCCGGGAGCAAAGTCTTCGACGTCTCTAAGGAACTCCGAAAGTCCAACGACATGTTAGAGCAATTCTTGGCCAGTGCGGGATCGATAGGAGATGTAGACGATCAGGAGGGAGCCTTGCAGCACGAGAACCTAAAACTCTCACAAGCCATACAGGACATGCAAGCGGGCCAAAACGCGCCACAGGAGATATGTGATCAAGAAGACGATGTGCCGTTGAGGCCAGGAAATAATACACGAAATTACAGTTCTGCCAAGCCCATCGTCTCCACGGTCTCCATGGCCTTGGAAGATGCGGAAAAGGATTCCATGCAAAACCTCGAGAAAAGATTCCAGATGCTCATCAGAACGTTTGAAAACAACAGAGGCGATAACGCATGGCTTCTCGAACAGAAAAGAGCATTCGAAGCTCAAGGTGGAAATGCTATTGAGAACGGACAAGTCTCGGCCTTAAGTCCACAGGAACTGCCGGCCATCACCGGTGGAGGTTACGACGAACCAGATGATGCGGATATTGGTGAAATTGCCATCAGGGAGAATGAAGGCGAATTAGCCACACGAGAAGCGGATATTCGTAGCAATGCATCAGCCCTGCAAACACAAAATATACAATTCCCGGCAACCATTCCGAGAGAAAATGCAGCGCTTATTGACCAACCACAATACGATGGGACACTCGTGGTACCAGGGGAAAGGGGATTAATTCCCATTCAGCAACGCCAACAAGATGGAACTCTAGTCATTCCAGGAGAAAGGGGATTAATTCCCATTCAGCAACTTCAACAAGATGGAACTCTAGTTATTCCAGGGGAAAGAGGACTTGCTCCTATTCAACAAGCACAATACGATGGAACTCTAGTTATTCCAGGGGAAAGAGGACTTGCTCCTATTCAACAAGCACAATACGATGGGACACTGGTTATCCCTGGAGAGAGAGGAATAGCGCCGATACAGCAGCGCCAGCAGGACGGGACACTTGTGGTACCAGGGGAGAGGGGGTTAGCTCTAAATCAACAAACGCGTAGGACGAGCCAGGAGTACCAAGCAGAACTTCAGGCTGAGCAAGCGCTCAGAAACCAATTCTCAAAGAATGGCGGAAGCAGCATCGAAGGAAGTAATTTGGTTGCAAAATCGTCGCATGGGAAAATGGAGTCACAAAGCCTTACTTGTTCGGTGCTAGCGGAAGAATGTAGTCGGCAGAGTTCCCTGGAACGTGTAGATTCGATTAGGGATCTTAACACCTAAATGATGTATTTATACTAAATTACGGCGTCTATTCCCTTAGCCACAGAAGCTATTAAACCTTCCCACTTCGCGTCAAACGCACCAAGTGAAACTAATGAATCACGCAGAAGCAGCAAGTCCGCACTGGATAACGCCTCGATGTTGTCCTCGGCAAACACATAAGCGGTGGCCAATACACCGCCCCAATCTTCACACAGTCGCGAACGTACCTAAAAGTGCCATTAATCACCTTGTATGTTAACTAACCAAAAGAGCGAACAGGACGGAAAAGTCCCTTACATCACGATGAGGCAGTGGTTTTACGGCTTTCTTAGTAGAGGCTGGCGGTAGTTCGGGCAATCTCAAATGCATGAGATCGCTTTCAAGCTTTTTAGAACCTTCGGCTTCCATCCTCAAAATCAGCAGCAGCTCCGCCAAAGGCGCAACATCCGGCGGCAAAGCTACCGAGGAGTCAGCTATCAACGCCCGCGCAGCATCGGAAGCTGCGTTGAAATAACTGGGCGAGATAGATTGTACAGCCATAATGCCCAACAGCACGCTGAGCCTATCGTATGCGAAAGGTAAACCATTTCGTAGCAGTTCGGCGGACTTCCGTGCTAAGGAGTCCAACTCGAAACCCAACATGGGGATGTATTGTAGACATGTGGTAGCCTTAGCCATCACCGATTTGCGCTGCTTCACGTCTATTGCCTTCTCCCGAAGAATGGTCAACGTGAAGGTAATGAAACGCTCGATGTGTTCCAACACCAACCGCTGACTTTCTGGACGCGAATCCGGAATGCTTGGCAGGAACTGTGCCAATGACTGTGCAGTAGTGGCGTCTAAAACCCGGTCAGCATCCCTGCATGTGTTGAATCACAAATATAATAGAACTCACAATCCGCTTAAATAGCGATCCAGGGCGTCAAAAACCTCTCGCGGGCATTCCTTCATCCGGCGAGCAGCTGTGAGCAGAGCTTTGTGCGCTTTTACGGACAATGTGCCGAATATGCGCGAAGCACGAACCAACAGAAGACGAGTCAGTTCATGATTGGGGACCCGGCAACGTGGGTTTAGCAAGGCGCTGGCCGCTACCGAAGGCGGCATTTCGCATTCACCTGTCCGAAGAGCATGTAGTAATTCAGACATTTCGCGCTCAGATAACCATGCCAGGCGCAAAGCAAGGCTGTGAGATGGTCCATACGGGGTGGAGTTGGGCTTCAGAAACTCGGCGACGCTGCAACAAGCCAGCAACACATCCTTGACTTCCTGAGGAGTAGCGGGGTCGTTATACAGATACTCAAGCATGTAAACGGCACCAGATGGAGACAGCAGCGCGTGCTCCTCCTTCACCACCTCGTACATCAGACGACTAAATGCGGGGTGAACCTGACGTGCATGAGCGAGAGACGCAGCCAGAGAGGTGGCATAACGCGGAATGACGCCCTTTGCCGGCACATAAGAATATATCATCGCCAAACGGTGCAACACGTCATTGCGATATCGGAAACATTGTCGGAAGCCGCTTGCCATAAGCGCAATCTCGCCCTGAGTCAAGTCAGATAGTTTACCTGATATTACGACATCCCGAATAAATTTGTAAATCGGGCTGAGAAGAGAGTCATCTTTCAACATACCTCTGTTCCGCAACACACCCAATGCCCATGCGAGCCAGGGGATGCTAGGTCTGTCTTCTTCTGTATAACCCTTCTCCAACTCAAGGCGAATCCGCTCAAGTACATCCGTCACTAGCGCAACTGTGTCGACGTCGTCTTGAGGCGCATTAAAACCGCGTGCTATCTGGATGGCCACTGCCTGGTAGGGCAAAGCTCCTTGGACACCATTGCGGCGCATGCGGTCAAAAATCCATTTCAACTCGGAGATGCGCACGCAGTTGAAAACACGCGCAAGCAAAACGGATTTGAGGGGCTTGCTGGTGCCGCCATTACGGCTCCCACCCCGACGGTCGAGGCCATGGTTCTCCTCGCTCGACAGCGGTGGAGGTGCATACGGTGTGAACAGCGGCCGAGCTATCAGCTGCGACTCACGCACGGTCACACTGGTGCCGTGGTAGCCGGACAGGGGTCCACGTACAATACCGCGCTCGTTACGGCAGTCCAACACCACACTCACCTAACACATGTAAACGCAAACCGATACAACTAACCAGATAAGGCTCTCCAGGTGCTCGACGAAAGGTGGAAAGCACAGTGCCCCTGGCGTTGCGATAAGGGCCAGACGCCAAATAGACACAGTCCCCTGGGTCGAAAGAGGGTGCCTTTGCACGTAGTTTGCGACGATGAGTGTACAGCGTACGCTGAAGTCCGAATGCCGGACTATCCGATACTATCACTTCATTTTCCTTACCAGGCTCTGGAGAAGGCGCAAGCAGAATTGGATCGTCTAGCAGCGATTTGGCGCGTATATCCGTGTACGGAAGGCCCGCTTTGGGGAACGAAATCGATGAACTTGTCTGGAAGCGAACGAAAGCAGCAGCGTTGATGGATAGAAGGAGGTAAAGGAGGAGCCAATGGCGCATACTCCGCAGCGCTACCCGCACACATTCACTCATAAAACGCCCATAATGCAGTATAGATTTAGAATCTACTCGTTCTAACTAGGAATCCCGCACAACAAACCACCTTAGCGCCCTCGTGCGGCGCCGTGGACGGTGTTGCATCTGCCAGTCAAAATGGGAGGAAGCAAACACCGGCACAGCAAGGACAAATTGTACCTTTTGCACACCGAGCTCGAAAGCTCCCTGGACCCGAAATTACGTGCAAGGGTAGGAGAGCTGCAGCCACTGGACGCTTGTGCCCTGAGCCTCCAACCGTTCAGAAAAGCGGTCTGCTCTCCCCAAGGACATGTATTTGACGACTCAAACATACGTGAATATATCACCTTGCATGGCACCAATCCAGTGAACGGCGAACCGCTGCAGATCAACCAACTCGTAGAGCTCCACTTCACCAGGGATGAGAACAACGAGCTCCAATGCCCACTTTCATTCAAAAGGTTCACCCCAAGCTCACACGTTGTGGCAGTGCTTGCATCGGGTTATGTCTACGGGCACGCTGCCCTCAAGGATATCGCGAAGAAGCAGAAGGATGGAACCATGAGCGACCCTATGACAGGTGAGTTCAACACGCTGTAAATCATATATTTGCGTTAGGCGTTCCGTTCACCAAGGCAGACGTTGTAACGCTCCAGGATCCACATAACACGGAGTGGCGAAAAATAGCCAACTTCAAACATATCGCAGCCACCTTCGCCAGGAGCGACAAGGACGCCAAGGGCGAAATCAGGGGCAACTCACTCTATCGCAACACTATAGACAAGTTCGACGGCGCAACTGATCTCGTGGAGAACCACTCCAAAATATTTAACGCAGCAAACAAAGACAACGCGGCGGACCGACCGAAGCACGCCAGGTTCACCACCAGCGGGCAGGCAAGCAGCTTCACATGCACGGCCATCAACCCCTCCTACGCCACGCAGTACAGGCCAATGACGGTGTTCGAGGTCAGAGAGCCGTTATACACTATGGTCAAAAAGCAAAAGCTGAAGGCATACGTAAAACTCGTCACCAGCGACGGGGACCTCAACTTTGTGCTCCACTCGGATCGAGTGCCGATGACGTGTGACAATTTCCTGCAGCACTGCGAAGACGGATACTACAACAACACCATATTCCACCGGTGCATACCCAACTTCATAATACAAGGGGGCGATCCTACGGGCACGGGAGGGGGGGGTGAAAGCGCCTTCCACACCAGGGCAAAGCGCAACAACCCGAATGAAGAAGTTCCGAAGTACTTCAAAGACGAGTTCGACAATACGCTCTTTCATCTGGGTGCCGGAGTGCTATCCATGGCCAACAAGGGAAAGCACACCAACGGATCGCAGTTCTTCATCACGTTCAACACCTGCGACCACCTCGACCAAAGGCACACAGTTTTCGGGAAACTCGTGGGGGGCATGGATGTGCTCAAAAAGTGGGCCAACCTGAAGGTGGATGACGACGAACGACCAAAGCAGCCGCCGAAAATTCTCAAGGCTGTAGTTTGCTCAAACCCATTCGACACCGTGGCGCAACAGATAAAGGACGAGGAGCAACGTGAAGCCACCAATAACAAGAGGAGACTGTCCAGCACGACACGCAACTGGATTGTCAACCCACAGCTACAACTACAAAGCGCCGAAGCAACTGAAAGCAAACAAGTCGGGCACCTGCTAGACAAAAAGTTGAAGGTCGACAAAAAGGGCGCACGTAACTGACTTCAGTCGTCAGATCCGCAAACACTTGTATAATAGAAAATTACTTTTTTGCATGTTAGAACGCATTGCTGACCTTGCGACCTTCGTTGCTGCCCTGCAGCAACTGAAAGACGTTTGCATTCTATAAAGTTGCCGCATATAACGTTTAATGTGGCGCCATAAACAGGAACGCTGCATGATGTACGACACCAAAATGTGCCCAACTTGGAGTACAAAAGAGACAATAACCTCGTTGATACGTAAAGCGGGTGCCGGCGCAGTCCTTATACCGGCTTACCGGCTGCATTTTCCCGTGCCTTTCGCTTAGAACGTCCGTCAGTCTCTTCGCAAACCCGAATGTGCTGTGACAAGGCGCACATGTTTTGAATGATTGCCGGCAGCGAGTAGTAAAATGCCATGCCACATTTTGTGTACAGAAGCGGGTCAAGAACGGCGTCAGGCACACCGGCCACATGCATCTCGAGGGACGTGGGGAAGCCCACGTCCAATTTCCCGTTATTCTGTAGATGCGACGACACATCGCGAGGCATACGGTCAAAGGTGCCAGCGCGGGTCACAAACTCCTTATAAAGCGTGGAACGTGCAATGCTTGATGCGGACTTCAACGATTCGGTCTTGCATGGTCGATCAACAGTGGAAGATTTACGGCTCCAAAACTTGAATGCCACTGTATGCCAGTTGTACATAGACGTGTGGCTGGTGTTCCGCAGACGGTGGCCATCCTGCTCGGCCAGAGCCAACAGGTTGGTCCCACGTGGACCCTCACCACGATCGCCGTATATGCCACGACGGTAAAACAGCTTCCGCAACAGGTCGACATCGAGCGGCATCTTGCAGAACAGGGAGGACGTTAACTCATCGAAAAACCGAGACCTGTTTTCCAAAGGGTTGCTCATGAAGGGCAGCATCCCCTTCTTGAACACGTTGTTGAACTCTTCCACCACGAGAGGATAGTTTTGGTTGGACACGGTAGTCTCGTAGAGCCTGCACAGGGTCTCGAGATAGTAGTTGAAGGCATGCAGACGCTGCCTGCGTCGCTCGTTGCACAGGGCCAAAATGCGGCTGCCGCTCTCAGCGTAAGGCGACAGCTCGGCGTTGGTCAACACGATCGAACTCAACTCGTGCAATGCCTTCCGAGGGATATCCGCCGTATTGGGAACACAGCGCCCATCGCGCAAAGAAGCCTTTGGGTAGGTGCCACCCACCTCGCACAGGGCAGGAATGGTCACGTGGGTGGCACACCCCTCACCCTTAGCGCACATGCTTGCATCGCTATCCACGAAATGGTAACCAATTGCGGGGTAAAGGTCGGAGACGAGGAGGCGGCGGAGCTCAAACAAACGGTTGATCACGGAAGGGTCGAATTCCTCCAACATCCTGTCCTCGCAAATCTCACAGAATATAACCGCTATGCCGTTGTTCAGACTCCAACCGGAACACGTAGTGCACTGGGCACTGACTGCATTCTTAATCGCGAAGAGGCTGGATATGGCATCCTCCAAACGGTTCTGGAGGGTTACCTGCCGCTTGTGGTATTTTCGAAGGCGGGGATCTTGCGAATCACCGTCACGCTCGCCCAACGTCCCGACGCAACTCAACTGAGGAACGCCGTCAGCGCCCACAATCATGGTGGACATTATCTCCATAGCGTCCTGGGTGTAGGACTTGTACTCCGCCGGCCCACGCTCTACCGTGCCGCCTACATCTTCCCCATCTAGCGTGATTTGGTGTGAATCGTAACCGTTAGGGAGTGCGCAATAATAGTTGCCGTATATAGACTTGGGATCGTATGGAGCGGTCAGATAGGAATCATCCTCGCCGGCTTCCTCACCATCTACGACACTATCATCATCGCTTTGCCCCTCTGACGCGTCTTCATCATCATCACCATTGTAAGTCACAGTGCGGTCGTCTTCAAAAGTGTCGACGGCAGCGTCCTCCATGTCCTCATCCACGTTGTCGCCATTATTGCTGCATGCAGGTTGCAAAGCGCGCCCTGAAACTGCTGTAGAAACGTTATTTAGCTCCTCATACGGGACATTTCTTGCCACACAGTCCGTGTTTGCTTCACACGCGGCAATGTCTTTGTTGGTAGACTTTGGTTTGACCGTGGCGTCAACATCCATCGCCATATCCTCAGCAGGAGCTGCGGCGTCTCCATTGACCGAGTCATCCGTCAATTCATCAATAAAAGGGCCTTCTTCGGCCGAGTTTTCTGCAGAGGTATCCAAATCGCCGTCGGCGAACTTCTGGAGAGTCGATTCGTATGCACCATAGGAACCGTTACACGACCATTCATACGCCAAGTGCGCGTCGTTAAGCACGCCGAAAACTATCACTCCATGATCTATTTTGTAGGAGGAGTCCATATAAATGGGTACATGACGGCCCCAACGGACTGTGGCGTCGTCAGCGGAACCCTCCTCGCCGCCCGATACGCGGGCATCTGAAGTTGGGAATTTGTTTATATCATCCGGGCGCACACGAGGAAGCAGAATGTCGTCGGTGGTTATAACCGCGTCCAGGTGTTCCAGTGTTACGGATTCCTCACTCTCAGACAAGGAGTCGTCCTCCTCGCTCTCGGTGCATGAGGAGGAAGTCCCGGAGCTCTCGCCGGCGCGGATGCGACGCGGACGATTCGCAGCGCCTACACGCTCCCGCTTCTCGAAAACGCCGAAGAAGTAGTTCCATTGCTTCAGATAATGCGCATCCAGACGCACGTAGTCGGGAATTTCGGGATACGCGTACTGGTGGATGCCAGGACACGCAGCCAACTTCAGCACCCGCACGTCCTCGCAATCGGCGAAACCCACCGAATTTACCATGTCCTCGAGCGGCTTGTAACATGGCTGCCGCCACCCGATGAGAGGGAAGGGCGGAAACGTCAGCTGAGCGGACAGCATCTCCTCGAACAGCGACCGCAAACGCGAACGGTACTCGCTGCCACGTACCTCGTAGCGCGACTCAGACACGAGGAACTCGTAGAGCATCGGCAAAACCGCAGATGCCACCATTTTTCAAGGAAAGAATCGATAGCTACTGACGCTTCATCAAGGCGAGTGTGTGCCCATGAAACGGGCGCCAAAGAAACCGCATAAAAGAAAACAATCACATTAAATAAAAGAGTTTAATGAAGAAGGGGTGACAGAGGGCGTAGGAGGCACGTCCTCGTCAGATTTTATTGTATCGGCCAGACTCACCAGGTCGCCGGGGGCCTGGGACACCCTGAGGAGGCCCCAGAGCTGCACAAAGGCGTGGTTGAGGTACTCCTCGCTGACGCCGAACTTGCACGTGTTCTGCAGCACGCGAACGAAACGCTCGACGCCTCTCAACATCTGGTAGTATTCGGCATGTTCCGCGATGAGGACCAAGCTCTGCGGGGTCACAGATCCGTTGAACTGAATGGGGCCGGGGTTGCTGAACAAGTCATCAAACAGCCACTTCTTGCGAGCCATAGTGAGCTTCTTAAACGCCTTGCTCTTCAAACTAACAGTGGAGCTGGGAATAATGGGTAGCTCTCCCTTCTTGTAGGAGCTCAGAGACAACGCCGTCAAAATGTTAGGTTCAACCTTCATCAGGCTTGTCAACGGGATAGCAAACATCTTCCAGTCTTTAACAGTGCCGCACAGGCCGCGGATAGAACAGCAAACACCAGTCAAACGGCTCTCCACAGAGATTGCTGCCAGGTGGCCGTACGCAAACGCAAGACTGCAGTCGAACTCGGACGGCATGCAGCAGCGTCCCTGGTAACCGAAGTAGTGAGTAACAGCGGCGTAGTTGCCGCGGTACTCGCCCTTAGCCTTGCGCACATTCAGCTCTTCCTTAACCATCTTGGCCAACATAATTTCGATGTCCAGACGTTCCAACGCCACCTCAGCATCGAAGTTCAGCAACTCGCGGCGAATGTATATCGGCAGCGAGTTGAACACACCAAGACTCCACGGGGTGATCTTATGCACCCACTCGTTACCCGCATCGTTCCCCTTGCTGTAGTTCAAGAAGCTGTCAACGGCCTCGCGGCGCTTGCCAGCAGCGGTAGCCTCCATCAAGACCGCGCGCAACTCCGTAAGCATAGATTTCGTGTTGGGGAGGTGCAATACCAGGTGGTCGGGGATCAAAACAGTACCGTAGTTCTTTCCCATCACGGCACGCTTGCACACGGCGTCGGCAATGTCGCGCACAACGTCGAACAGGGTCTTGTCCGCAGACCCGTACTCCTCAGCAATGATGATGAAGTTGGGGTGAGTCTGCAAAGCGCACTCAAGCACCTCCAAACTGGGGTAGCGACCCAAAATCTTCACAAAGTGCCAGTATTTCGGCATGCTCACGGCATCCGTCAGCACGTTGCCCACCAGAGCGGCATAAAGCCGTGCATTGGAGTCAAAACCGACACAACTCTCAATTAGTGGGCCCGCCAGACCATTGGAACCGGCAACGGGTACGCCGACGACACAAATGTTGCTGTTCTTGCTCAAGAAGTACTCGGTCAACAGTGCAGCCTGCGTCATCGCTGACTCGTCACCCAATATTATAAGACCCTCGAGGCCGAGAGATGTACAGGTCTTCAGCGCCAAAGCCCAGTTTTGGGGGTCATGCAGATAGTGCACGCGAGAACGGTGAACCAACTCGAGACCGCCCTGGTTGCGGAAGAGGTCAAAGTCGCTAGCCGATAGCTCTATGTAGTCTCCCTCGATCAAACCACGCGCGCCGTTGAAAGCTACACAGCTGCTGCCGCGTAGAGAGAGGCGCTCATGGATACCCCATATTACATTCAACACACCCGGCGCCTGCTTAGTTAAAACAACCACACCGACTTTCATGGGGATGTTCACATCGTCCTGGTTTGCCTCAACTTCCGGGTACTCGCTCACAACCTCATAAAGGTTGAAGTGGCAACGGCGGATCATGTAGGGGTAGTTAAGCGCAACCTGGTTGCGAGTGTACGGGTCGTTGCTCAGAACCTGCTTGAACATCTTCATGCGGGCACGCTTGTCGCTGCACAGCAGCGGAATAGGTGGCCTGACACCCAAACGGCTGCGCTGAAGCGGACTCAGGCAGTCGATGTGGCGCTGCAGAAGGAAACGAGACTTCGCGTCAGAAGCGGACTTGGGCTTCCCCACCAGGTCCTCAACAGTGGGGTCGGCAATGCAGAAGCAGCGTTCTTTGTCGCTGTCGAAGAGTTGAATAGGGCCGGGGGACCGATAAAGATCCTCATATGCCCAGGTCTCACGCACCTTCTCGAATACCTTGAAAAGGTTGCCGTCAAGGTTGAGCAGGGTCTTGCGAATGGCCGGCACACGGCGACCTCCCAGGTCGATCATCTGCATAAGGTGCAAAAACGGTACGCCTAGCGGAATCCACTCGGAAATGGGGGACTTGAGCTCCCTAATCACCGACATGTACCCATTGCGTTTCGCATTAATGAGCACACCGGCGTTGTAACCCAGAGAGTAGCAGTAGGCACTATCAAAGGCCGACGGCATCGCACAGCGGCCTTCGTAACCGAAGTAGTGGGTCATAAAAGTCAACGAAGCCAAATGGTCAAGCTTACGCTGGGCAATTCTAGCTTCTACCAACATCAGCAGCAAACGCTCCGTGGCGATCTTCGCCAACATGACATATCCGGTGGCCTCACGGTCCATCAAAAGCTGCTCGCGGATGCTGTCTGGCAGCGCTTCCCAGGTAGCACGGCTCTTAGTCAGCCTCTCAGGCGCCAGGTGGGTGACCGGACCATCAGATTTCAGTATGATCTCGTTTAACTCACTGATCAAAACGTTGATCTCCGGGATGAACTCGATGAGCCCCTCGGGAATAAGCACCACACCGTAGGGCTTACCCATATGATAACGTTTCTCCATGAGGTTCACAATATCATCAACAATGGAGGACAGCGACTGCTGCTTTCGGCGGACCTCCTCGCCAATCAGAACCACGTTCGGGTGCGTTTGCATACCGCACTCCAGAGCGAGATGGGACGCAGAACGGCCCATGACGCGAATGAAGTGGTACGTGTATTGGGTGCTGCTGGCGTCAGTGCACAGGTTGCCAATGAGCTCGGAGTACGTGCGCGCAGCGGTGTCGAACCCAAAGCTCACCTCTATGTTGTGCGACTGCACGTCACCGTCCACTGTTTTGGGGACGCCAACAACGCAACAGGGCTTGCGAAGCACCGGGTGGCCATCCGAGATGTTAGGAGACTGGCGCCACGCAAAGTGGTTGGCAAGCAGAGCAGCGTTGCTGTTGGAACCATCACCACCAACAATGATCAAACCGTCCAGATCCAGATCGTTCACAGCCTCAACGGCGCGGTCAAGGTCAGCCATACCGGAAACCTTGCCACGACCGGACAGCAGCATGTTGAAACCACCCATGTTTCGGAACTTCTCCATCAAATCATAACTAACGATCTCGTGCTGGCGATTGAGGAACCCGTCCAGACCACCGTGGAAACCTATCAGCTGGGACTGCGTGTTGCGCAGGTACAAATAATCGAAAACACCGGCGATTACATTATGGCCACCAGGGGCGGGACCGCCGCTGAGGACCATACCAATTTTCAAAGTAGGGTGGGCGCTGGAAGCAGAACACAGGACTTGCGGTTGTACAGATACCATCTTGTTACTAGCAATGTGTCTCAAAACTCCGGCCAACTCCTCGAAATCGCGCAACTCCTCACCACTGTTATCGTGCTCCTCCAACACGTGGAAATCGAATTGCAGCATTTTGGGCAACTCGATATCACGGTTGGTGTACTGCCACTGACAGCCACTCTTGGACGTGTAGCACGAATCGACGCGCTTCAACTCATCGCCTGGAACAGCATGACACCATGGCATCGGCAACTAACCGCCAGACGGCGACTCGCTCGCTACATCGCTCGCAAAATCTACAGTGTTGTGCTTCTTTATCTGCAACATCGGTGCCGGAGGCACGCTGCCCCGGCTATTGGTGGCACGGCGGATGGTAGTGGCTCGCGGGGTGATGTGGAAGCGGTTGCGGCGCCGTTCCACGGCATCCTCCTTGGTTGGAGAGGTCACGCCCTCTATCGAAGCAACATTTTTCGGACTCGCGTAACCGCTCTCCAAGCCAAGGACATCAGGAGCGTCGCTGGAAAACAGCCGCGATCGTGAGTGACCCACTGCAGAAGAATTAAACATGACGTTTGGCAATAGCCGACCACACCCATACACAACATCAGACAACGCGGTGTGCTTAACAGATACCTCTAAACATAACAAAATTCACCGCAGTGAGCAGAATCGCGGCGAGAATACAACGAAACGAGTAAACAGCAACGTACCTGAGCTACCGAACAGCCTCTCCTGCGACATTTTGTCAGCTGGGAAGCTAATAGAGCCAATAATTGATGCTAAAAGCAGGGCCGCACAGTCAACTTGGTAGAGCCGGTATCTTTCCGGGGTGCGTGAAGCGGACAATACTACAGAGGGAGCACGGCGGCACTAAAACAGCTAATGTCAGTCTATGTGTTCCGTCCAGCACTCCGTATCATGTTTTGAATTTTAGGTCGCAATAATTGGTGTGGGAGCAAGTAGACGCTGTGGGCGGACCATCGAACGGCCCAACCCATGCTCAGACAGCTGCTCGGCATTCGTCCTGAGTGCCGATTGCGGCAGTTGCGGCTTCGCTGTCGTTAATGTCGCTAACAAATGCGGGGCGTGTAAATTTGGTACGATCGTTCAAGATAACGGAAATGCAACCATTATCAAGGTGAAGTTGCATACCACGGTACACACACGCACGTGATCAAGAGACTAGCCAACGACTCGTACGCCGAGTAGGAATATACCGTTGCTTAACAAAAACATATAGTTATCGCAGCAGGCCCATATTCTGCGTACGGTTTGGGCAGCGCTGGAGAAAATAGGCATCATGTCCGAAGCGCTACCTGTTGAAGCCTCGGGTGAAATGGACGAGAATACGGATGAAAAGCCCATGTTCGTAATTGTGGGTCCATCGGGGGTCGGGAAGACAACGCTGTACAGAATGCTTCTCAACGAATTCGAGCACCTGTTCGAGCTCAGCATCAGCTATACCACCCGGCCCATAAGGCAAAATGAAACCAACGGAATTCACTACCACTTCGTCACTAATGAAGTCTTCAACGAGATGAAGAATGCAGATGAGTTTCTCGAATGCACGTCATACGTCGGAAACCAGTACGGCACCGCCGTCCGCGAAATCAAACGCATACAACGGTCTAACAAGGTACCCTTGCTAGAAATCGAAATCGATGGGTTCAACAAGGTCAGGAATAAGGGTTTGCCGTTGCGCAGCGTCTTCGTCACTACAAGTGACGTGGAGAGCCTTAAAAATAGACTTTTGCACCGCGGAGGGCACAACGTCAACGATATCGATAAGCGATTGAAAAGGGCTATGGAGGAGATGCAAGAGGCGAGTAACGCTGCCTTCGACGTAATACTTCTGAACGATGAACTAAAGGTTGCTTATGCAGAACTGCGCAATAACGTACTAAAGTGGTACGGACTAAAGGACACCGAGAAAAAGCAGGATGAACAAAACGAGACGAGTTCACGCATTTAAAACTTAAATACGAGCATTTATCCAAATATGCTTTTGTATTTGGGTAACAAAAAAGTTCGAGACGGTAATTGAGATCATATTTCAACCGTGGAATCACAGTTGTCCAAACGACATGCACTGCCTTATTCGGGCAGACTGAACCCAGCGTATGACGCTACCCGTGGCCACCATCTCCAGTGCCAACGTCCGAGTGCGGGGCGAGAGATCCATAACGGTCAGCACGTAGCTGCAAACACATGTGTGGAGCGCCATGGATACCTACGTTGGCGTGCTGCTGATTCAGCATACCGCGCAGCATCGAAAGGGCGCCGTATAGCGCACCTACAGTTATCACCGATGCAACAACGGCGCCTATGTTGCGGAAGTGACTCAAGGAGCTGTTTTTGTAACGCTCAAAGTCGGCCTCACGAGCCGCCATGTCTTCGAGGGTGAGTTCCAACGCTGTGTCGGAAAACATCGATCTGAATGCCAGTAATTGCACCCCGAACTATGCACACATACCGCTTGTCTAGTAGCGAATCGCTGCCCGCAAATGGCTCTTCATGTTCCATCCGGGCGGACAGCGGAATCAGGCCGTGCCGGCTGCCCTTCCAGCCGGACGAAACTGTGGAATCCTGGTCTCTTATGGGCGATATCCATCTTGCGCTCGTTTTGGTTGACACGGGTGACAGGCTCCAGAGCCCGGGAGCCAGGAAGGCGCGCCTTCCAGTAGCACGAGCACAGCACTCAGAATAGAGAAACGCCCATGACAATACCCAGACCAACCACTGGCGCATCTTCTATAAGTGCAATACCAGTGTTAATTTGCGGCTAACACTGCAATACGGCCACACATATTGACGCGTACCCTCTACACGCAAGATCGGCGTTGGCAGAACACACCGCGGCTGCGCAGTACGAACTATGCTGCCGCAAATCACAAATACCAAACTTTTTAGACGCATACAGAGATTTGATAAACGTAGCGGATTTTTCACAATAGGAGGTCCCACCTTGCTCGTTCTCTTTAGCGTCCTCGTCGCGGGCACCGTTATCGTAGACAAGCAACTGGAGTGCAAGTTTGCACGTGCCAGCAGTCTCTCCAAGCGAGAACTGACCCTTAGAGAGGAGCACGATGAAATGCTGAAGATGCTCTCCGTCGTTACACCAACGGATCAACTAGACAACTCAGTTCCCTTGCCAAAAATCGACGAGTAAAATGGGTTCGTGGTACCAAAAGATACGTGTGACGCACTTGGACGTGCCGGAGGAACGGGCGAAATTCCGAGCTTTTGCAGGTTTGTTGAATGACTGCGAACACAGCATCGCCCGTAGGGACAGTGGAGGAGGTTGTGCACAGCAAAACCGACGATACCATTCTCGCATGGAAGGGCAAGAACGTTATAGGTGGGCGACATTCACCCGCGTCAAGTTACAATGATGCAGGAATCACCGCGAACAGCAACATGGCAGTGGGAGAAATCATAGACAACCACGCCATATCCAGGATAGTCGTACTCCCAGAAAACTCTAAAATCGCAACACAATATATAGTCAACAACACCTTGCGGCTGTGCAGGACGATCATCTGTAAGTGGCATGTAACGGTGCTTCATGTTAACGCAGGCGAAAACATGCACCTGAGGACGGTTGAAAACGAAGCCGTCGTAATAATTGCAGGATCTATGGTACTTATCTCCATATGTGTGTATTAATGGTTTCCAGGGCTCAGCAGTTCCCTATCTGCAGTGGTTGCTGATCAAAGGTATAAGGATCATACTCTATCTACCGCCGACAGAGGTAAGCTATCGCGCACTCCGTAGTTGCGGACGTTAATTACAACGATGAACACAGATCTGCAGAATGGCGACGATGAGAAATACGTTGAAGAGCACGACTATAAGCACGGACTTTTCAACCATCCGCAATTCAAACCCGTCTCCGCAAATGGTGCGTTAAACACAGTGGGTGAAACATTGCACGCAGTCATCATCAGACGAAAGCCTGTCGGCGTTATATCCGAAGATGTACTCACACTGACGAACGGTATGGGCGCCAGTGCAGTTACGGTGCTGCCGGACGCCATAAAGGAATTCAAGGCGGCGGAAGTGCACGTCAGTAGACAGACTCTGCTCGCGGCAGGAATAGGCTGCCGCATAGTTTGGCACCAGGCGCTCGAACAGGTTGACCCGTGCGAGGCGAAGTGTCTCTTTGACAAAAGCGGTTCGCTGGAATTTTTCAACTTCGACGCAACGCTAGAGTCCCACGGCGCCGACGGACTCGTGCAACACGCCCTGCTGGAAACAGTCAAAAGGGCTACACATAACACGATTTATGTCGAACGGTAACATAGATAACGGTAAACTCAAATTGCAATGTGTCGGCGCGGCTCACCACGGAAGTCGCGCGCCGCGACGCGGCGTACCTATGGGGACTTTAAAGCTCCTGAAAAACGGCTTCCTGCTCTCAGGTGAAGACATGATTTGAAATGATCGTACTGGAACATATAAACGCGCTCCTATACTCCACGGACGCGGAAGCTCGTCGCAGAGCGTATGTGCACAGCCTTCGAAATTATAATGGCGCCTCAGGAACGAGTATCTCGTCAAATGGCAGCAGAGCGTCGAGGCGTGGCAGGAAGCCCACGCGTTGATCGCGGGGAGCTACCCAGCGGAGGTGAGAAGCCGCAACCGGTGGAAATAGACAGACGCAGGCAAAGCTGGTGGCGGCGCAGACGCTGCGCACGAAGCTGATGTATGACTTCTATCAGCTTCCTGCGGAATCGGTGGAGAAGCTGTGTGAGATACTCATGTCGTATCTTGCCGAACCGAACCTTCCGTAAGTACAGCTGGTGGGAACGTCATGCAAATGCAGACGAAACATTTCATCAACGCTCTGCCTCGCAGTGTGCGATCTCGCCATCCAAGCCGCCGAAGCATGGACATCGCCACTCGAATACTTTATCGCATGTTACAGCAGGGGTGCCCTGAGCCTCAAGACGCTCCTCGCGCTCATACAGTGCCTCGCGGAAGAAGCCGCAAACACCAGGATTATCGTAACTCCAGACGTCAGGAACAAGGTGACGCAGAACTTGAAACGTGACTACGCCAATTTGCTTGAATTCCTGGTCAAGCTTAGGGCATCGGGCAACGACGTCGAAATAACCAGCGCCATATTCAGGTGTTGGCACAGCTGGAGGAAGCTTGATAACTTCGCCGCTAACGCGCAAGCCTGCAACCTGTTCATCAACGACTGCCTGCAGATAGTAAGCAGACCCAGTGTGCGCGCCGAGCACGGAATTGATGACGAGACTTACGAAGCGGCGGTGGATTGCATGGTCGACTGTCTGTACGAGGTGGCCGACCTCACCCAGCGGATCAAGGAGGAGGCGGAGGCTTCAAGTGAAGAAGTCGGCTACCTCCAGCAAACTAAAAACGACTTGCAACATGTAGTGCGTACGTCGTTTGATCTCTGCGTCTCGGACGAGTTCAACGGCTTTCTCGTGGAGGCATTCAGAACAAACGACCGGCTGATATTAGGGTGTTTTTCAAACCTGGTGATAGCGCTTATCGACGCCCTCGATTTTAACCTCGTCGAAGCACATCCTCAGATCACTAGGTTGCTAAATCTGGCGTCGCGCTTCATCGAATTGCCGTACTGCATCATATTTCCCGGGTTCAGCAACGAGGATGAGCCCGGCACCATCAACTGCTTCTCCAAACACTACAGCCGTATGGCAGTACGCACCCGGGCTATCCAAGTGGTGGCTACCTGCGATGCGGCTGAGTTCAGCACCATTGACGACGAAGTTGTCGCTTACGCAAGGAGGGGAGTGTCCTTGCTATTAAGCGTGCTACAAGCGGAATCGCCAAACTGCCAAGCCGCGAAGGAGCTGGGCGAACAGCTGTTGGAAATCGTTTTGCTTATTGCAACGAGGCCTAGAGGCACGGGGGAGGCTGATAACTCCGAGTATGAGAACTACGTAGCCGAGGTATACGATGTCATACCCTACATCGCCAGGATACTCAAAACCGATCGGATTTTTGAAACTGTAAAGGAACACACTATTGACAATGGCAACTTTGCCTTATCGCATCATGGATTAGAATCGTGTTTCAGGGCACTGGGAGCGACCGTCGCGGCACTCGACATGCGGAGGGCCTCCCAGAAGAACGTGGCGGCTATAGCTTCAGTTATCGAGGGAATAGACAAGCTGCTGCACGGCAGCATGCCGACAGAACGCAAAGAGCTGTACTGTTGGGAGGCTGCTATACATTTCCTGAAGGATTCAAGGCGCGTGCTCATGCTCGACGAAACTGAGGTCATTGCGCAAAGGGTGACAGGGCTACTCTGCGGAGCCTACCTTGCGGCACTTGGTAGCAACACGCCGCACGCAACGCAAATAGAGAGCACTGTGGTGTCGAGCCTCTCGGAGGTGTGTCTACACTTGCGGTTGGGAAGGTTGCGCAACTGGGAGCCGATCTTGCAAAACTTAGGATTGTGCATCCAACGCGCAGAACAAAATCAAACGTTCGCTGTCATGCTCATAGAGGGAACGGCGAGCGCCATCAGCGACTTGCCACCGGACACCATCATTGCAATCGTTCAGCAGATCAGCCATGTCTGGTTCCAGCAACTGGAGGCCGTCGCGAGGAACGAGGTTGCAATGGACGCGGCGGACGTAGGTAAACTGACCACCAAAATATGCATGCTCGTGAGGAACATCAAAATGAAGAACATACTCCACACCGTCGTGAAGGAAAAGATTGTCCCGCTCATGTGTCTGCTGCTCGAAAAATACCACCAGCAGCCAATCACAGTGGAGTGCATATGCAGGTGCCTCAAACATGCAGCCAAGAGCATAGGACGCGACTTTGCGCCGTTCGTACACCAGGTTGTGCTTACCGTCGGCAACGTGGCCAAGGAGTGCATCTGGAGCACATACCTCTACGTCGTAGAGTGGTTGTACGCAGTCTTGGCGCCGAACCAACCGGAACAGGCAGACGTGAAGCAGCTGTATTATGCACTCACGAAGCTCACTTTAGGCATGCTTGCCAACAAAGATGCACAAGCGCAAATGCGCGAGGACCCTGAGCAACTCATCGAGGACTTCTTCGGACTGCAAACCAGGTTCGTCAAAAACTCACCAGAATGCTTCGACGACGATGCCGTCTTCCTCGAGATAGCGGCGACCAGCATCGCCTGCTTCAGCATGCGCCAGCCTCACTGGATATTCGAGTTCTGGATCACACTCTTGGAGACCGAGGTTGTGCTCCAAAGGTTCAACAAGATAGCGACGGATTACCTGCCTAAGTGCGTCGAGGAGTCGTTCGCTGCACTTGGCAGGGGGTGCCGCACGTCGGTGGAGCGCTGCGTCGAGGACTTCGTAGAGTCACTCGTGCGCACTATAGGAAACGACGCAGCCGGTTGGCTCCAGCTGGGTCTAGAGAAACTGCCTGCGGCCGTCCTGCCGAACCCGCGCCAGAAGACCATCATGCTGCAGGCGCTTATGTCCAACAACTGTCATAAGGCGGTTTACGAGTTGCACAAGCTGTGCTGCCAGGTGGCCATGCGGAATCGTGCGGGTTGAACTTGAATTTTAATGTAGCCCCAATATACATGTACATAGTGACGATGTAACGCCAATCGCTGCGGGTGACATCGCCCAGATTACAGAGACGACGCAACACATTGGTAAGCAGAAAGGCAAAAATCAAACTAAAATATTTACACATTGTATTAGACTGGGCCCAAACCGATGAGGCGCCATTTAAAGGTTGACGCCCGGGTCTTCGCCACTGCATGCGCCGTTAAATACCCTGGCCTTCACGATAGGGGATTTGGCACTCTGCGATACGGGCGATAGTTCCCGAGAAGACGGCGACAACTCGGGTGTGGTGGTGGGCGTGGCCATGATCTTGTTCAGGAGAGAGTGGCGTACGGAAGCCCCGGAACCCTCATCCTCGTCGAGCCAACGGACGAGCTGGCCGGTCTCCCATATGCCACGACGGCTAATGCGACGGCCATCTTTCTCCGTTACATAGCACCCAGTGCCATGCTGCAAGCCAAGATGCCAATCGCCCTTGTACTCCTTCCCAGTAGAGGTGCGGTAGGTGCCGAAGCCGTGAGGCACCGAGCCCTTCAGTGCTCCCTCGTACTCACGGCCGTCAGGCCATACAATTCGGCCGTCTGTGAATTCTTCGCCGTTGTAGTGACCCGATATTCGACGCCCAGAGGGGCTTCTGTACTCGCTCAAGGTACAATCAAACTCGCCCTGGCAGTCGTCCACGGACAACACGGGGATTACCGAACCGTCAAGATCTTCATCCAGACTTGCGGTGTTACCGATACTATACAGGTCGCCATAAGGAGGCGCTCCACTGTGCGTCGACATGTTGAACACATCGCTGCCATGACTGCGGCGCACCAGACGAAAGTCGGAACCGTCCCCGGAGATGCTGGCTGATGCGGCTGTCTTCGACAACGGTGCACTGTAAGAATGCTCATATCGCTTAGCGGAGCTGTCGGAATGCGTTTCGTCGGACTTCTCGTCGAAAAAAAGATAATACTCCTCCTGGAAACTACTCGAACTTACGCTCTGAACTTGTCCCATTTCGATCAATACCTACTTACACCTGTCAAAGGTGTATACAAACACACAATAATAAGGTGCGTACGTGCCTATTTTCGGCCGTCGTGAGTGCAAAAGTTAAGAGACGCGCCCACCGTCCAGAGTGCGGCGCTATTAACACACACAACGCATCCAACGTTCGTACGTTGTCAATAAAGGGTAACAAATAATGAATTTGCGGATCCCGGAGCTAACGGCGCTACTACGGGTGGCACCGAGGGGGGTCCGTCATACGCGCGTAGGAGCCGGGGTCGTGATGGGGCGGCTGGAGGGAGAGGAGGGAAATACCTGTGAAGCACATCATTCTACGGGGCCATAGTCGTGCCATTGTATTTTGTATCACACTACTTCGTCGCCACGCGTCTGGACTCACTGTTAGCGAAGGTGGGTTTACGGCCACAAGGCTGGGATTCTTGGGCGTGACATACGGCACGGCGAGTTCGCATCATCGGCGCCCGCTGTGCCGCCCACGTTTCCGCGTTGGAATTTTGGTAAATTTCAACGGCGGAATCCGTCGTTTTTGCATAGTCTTTTCCATTGAAACCCCACCTCATCCCGCACGCAGATGACGATGCGCCCAGAAGTATCGGTTTACAACGTCGCTGACGGGCGCCGTTCCGCGGCCACCGTCATGCCCAAGGTTTTCTCTGCGCCGCTCAGGCTTGACCTCGTGAGGTCGGTACATACGAACATGTCGAAGAACAAGAGGCAAGCCTACGCCGTCAGCAAGATGTCTGGATACCAGACGTCTGCCAGGAGTTGGGGAACAGGTCGCGCCATGGCCCGTGTGCCCCGCGTAAAGGGTGGTGGTACCCACCGCGCTGGACAAGCCGCCTACGCCAACTTCTGTAAGGCTGGTGGCATGTACGCCCCCACCCGCGTCTGGAGGAGGTGGCACCGCAAGGTCAACCTCAAGGAAAAGAGGCAGGCAGTTGCGGCAGCCATCGCTGCGACCGCTGTCGTACCCATCGTCATGTCCAGGGGACACCGCATCGAAGCGCTACGTGAGGTGCCGATGGTGGTGGACGACTCCATTGAGCAGCTGAACAAGACCAAGGATGCCGTAAAGTTCCTGGAGACCATCGGCCTTGCTGCTGAATTGGAGAGGGTTAGCAAGGTCAGGGGACACGCCAGGGATGGCCGCAAGAAGAGGCCCGTAGGACCTCTTATTATTCTCAGGGCCTCTGCCGTAGAAGGCAGGAGGGCGTTCAGGAACATTCCTGGTGTGGAGGTCGCTTCCGTCGAGAGGCTCAACCTCCTCAAGCTTGCGCCCGCTGGAACTCTTGGCAGGCTCTGCATTTGGAGCAAGTCTGCCTTCGAGGCCGTCGACGAGTACGTCAAGCTTATGCCGACCAGACTCCTCAAGAACGCCGACATGTGCGCACTTGTTAACTCTACACCTGTGCAACGCGTGTTCAGGGCGCCCAGGAAGAGCATGCCAAGAGTCGTGATCAAGCGCGGGTGCTCCACGAAGGTCATCAAGTTCGTGCGTGAATCGCTGCGCGCAAGCGGACTTGCGGGTGTCAAAACTACGGCTACCAAGACCAAGGAGGAAATTAAGCGCTGCAAGGCGAACTCTAAGGCTTTCATTAGCGCTATCAGGGAGGCCATCTCGACCAAGTCCCTTAACGTTAGCGACGAAGTCCAGGCGCTCCAGCAGCAGTAAAAATTCCACCAATAATGTTGAATAGTGGCAATTATACAGCGTGTGTATGTATGATTATTTTTGGTGTGGTATAGCGGCACTCAAGAAGTCTCGTTACTTCGCTGTTACGTTAGGAGAAGCTTGCGCGTTGTAGGCCGACACCCCGCTGCCATCAGAGAAAGCTACCGTTGCGCTATTCATTAAAACTAATAGAATGGATAATTGATGGTGTCTAGCTTACACATTGACGTCGGGGCGCTGAAATGAGGTCGATCGCAGCTAGAAGGATTGACCGTATGCTATCCGCGCAGCCGCTTCCACTCAGCGAGGTGAAAAGGATCTCACTCAAGTACTCGAACGGCAACGAATGTGCAACGTGAGTCCGTGTAGGGAGTTCTGACAGTGTTGCAGCTATTTTGCTAGGGAATTGGTGCCACTCATGGCCTATGGCAACAAGCATATTGAGTTCAATGCAGCAATAACGGATTCCGGAGAACAACAGTACTGCCGCGTTTCTCTCAGTAAGGTTATGAAATGGTGGCTTAATTACTCGTAGACTCAGGAAGTAACGTGACGCTGAACCTCAAGCTTTACCGCTATCCCCTGCAGATCATGCAGCGAGTTTTGGATGTCGCGGCATCAAGCGACAAAAGTAGCAATTAACGGAACAGCGATGATTAATGTTTATAATAGCATGCAATCTGCCACTTATATGTGTCCGATTTGCCTCAATGTGCACTCAAGCACTCACATGAGGCGAAGTCCAATGACGTGCATGAATGTGGTGCCGTTCTCACTTGATATATCGGCAGTCTCCAAGAATGGACCAGGAGAGTGATACTGGACCTGAAGTCGCCGCTGGGGACAACTTCGTCACCGTTGCCCCTGTGGCCCCTCCAAATAAAAAACCGGCGGCGATGAAGGGTAAAAAAAAATATGGAACTGTCATTGGTTTGTAGCTAAAAAGGCGAGAACGGTTGTCGACAGACGTTCACCCATCAACCCGCTCGAAAAGCTGGGATTGGTGCCCAAGCAAACGAGTAATGTCGAGCAAAACATCATAAAAGGAAGCGATCCTATGCTTGAACGCAACCCATTGGTCGGAAGGTTGCCGTTCATGCTCATGATTAATGCAATACTCGTTCTGGTTTTCATATCGGAGTGAGTGATCCGGAAGCACATGAACACTTGACTCAGGCTTGTATTCAACAAACTGTCGTTCAATGGCAGATGCATCTCTAAGGTGCTTTATCCAACAGCGGAGGCGGGGATGGACCCTATAAGGCCTTATACAGTGGAACTTGGTTACGGCGCCTGTGAATACAACCTCAATACCAGTGCTGCAAACAGGTTCTTCTTCGGAAACGAAGCAGCTGACGAAGGGTGGCCTAAAGAGCGCATAGACCCGGAATTGCTCCTGGAGAGTGGTGCGGCTATGGACGCGCCAAATGCGCGAGTATTCCAACTATTGGGAGGTTCAGACGCAAACATGGCTCGCAACTACAACGAATACTTCAGACTGCTATGGAGCATGTTCATGCACAGCAGCTGGAAGCACCTGCTGTTCAACGTGTTCTGCCAAGTACAGGCACTCTGGATCATAGAGCCGGTTTGTGCGACGCATGTTGAATGCATTTTCCGCAGGACTGGGGTTTTCTCAGAACCATGACACTATTCGTCGTTAGTGGAGTAGGAGGTAACCTTATGGCGGCGGTGCTTGACCCATGTGGCACCACCGTCGGGTCATCAGGCGCCATGTACGGGCTATACGGAGCAATGATACCGTATTGCATAGGTTAGTGGCCGGCACCACTTGAAAGCAAAATGCAGAGTACTGGAACACCATTCCCAGGCCCGTCTTCCTCATGTTCTACAATTTGGTGACGCTGGTTAGACTCCGCAAAATAAGGAACAACAGTTGCAGATCATCGGATTTATCATCGGGATGTCGTCAAATGTTGACAACTACTGCCACATGGTACCACAAAGAAGCTTGCAATACATTCGGCGCAGGGTGGATGCCTATTCGGCATGTTGTGGGGATTCACAACAATAAAAAGCGTCTCCAGCTGTGATAAGTGCACCATAGTAGAGCGCTCATTGCTTTCACCGCTTATCTCGTGGGCGTTGCCCAAGACATGGAAAGCAAAACTCCGACTCATCATAGCATTCAAAAGTGAGCATAAGTTACTTTGTGGCATATGCTATTCAGAGGACCGTGGCGAACGCAGACGTGAGGCTTTTGATGCGCACAAGTCGGCTGTGGAAAGTGGTGTGAGCGTGCGACGCATAGCACAGCTCAAAAAGAAGTTTGATAGGCACGGAGCGCCCCCGTGCCGAATGAGGCTTAGGGAATGGTTCATCAGGCTAACCAGCCTTATAACAATGGTGAGACAGCTTCTGCCAGATATACACTCTTAATCTCACGCAGATATGTTTGATACTCCTGGCTACGCTCTTCCTGGTCAACCCTGCACTGTATTCCAAGTACAAGCCGCCGGGACAATATAAGTTCGGCGGTTGGCGTACATGTGACTGCTGTTACGTCACAAACGCGCATAGGCTTTTCAAAGATGAAATGCATATTACGGAATCATACCGCAACATGAATCTGTTCTGGTGCTTCAACGATGTTGAAAACGCAAAGCACTACTGCGGAGAAGACTACGGTGAGCTTACCATTGTGCAATCTAAACAAATTCAGCCAACACTGGCCCTTCGCAGAACGTCTTGGAGTCCACAGAGGACGCCGCACGGAACATATTTAGCACTGTCAGCACAGCCATAAATTCCGTATAATGTGCACTGATAATTACACAATGGCATTCCCTCGTAAACACTTGCAAAATTGACGGAAGAGTAAAAAAAATCCGCACGTAATACAAAACTGCTAATTGCACGCAATTTCAAAAGCCTGATATAGACTTTATGAAGACTAATGGACAATTGGCACCCAGAAATTGCAGTTGAAGCAAATGCGCTAAAGGACTTGGCAACCAGGTAACATTACAATGGGTAGGTACAAGGTAGGCACGCTTGTAAAATAATCATTTGAACTCTCATTAGGTCATTGTGCTCAACAGCGCTCACGCTATACGAGCTTTTTGCTGTAGGGGATGTTTTCAGGTATCGATTTCCGAGGTTCAATATCAAGTATTCGGGAAATGATGTCCTAAGGTCTGAAAATCCGTCGCTACAACTATGAATCCATATATTCAGAGGAAGAATAATTGGTAGCATTGATGATGTACTGTTATATGGGATAGAAAGTGGAGCATACTACAATGCTTTTATACGGACTTTCCACACGGTAATGCACGGCGGAACAGGTGCAGTTTATACAGCTTTTATGTAAAATTTTTGTATTGGGGTGTTCTTATATAGTTATAGGCCTCATACGATGTGTTGTAGTTGCGATTAATGTTAGTTCGCCATCAGCAGCTCAACCATAATAGGATCAAGTGGAGCTGAGCCCATAACCGCGTCGCAAATGGCGAGAGTAGTTTCAAGGTCGAGAATCTTGGCCAAAAACAATAACAGGTGAAAGTCGCTAAATATTTCCGGATCGGAAGCGGTCAAACCGCTTGCGAACCGGCTGGACAAGAAGCTCTTAACGGCATCTGTTGTCACCGATGGGCCGCCGCGGTTCTCCCGTGGAAAGTTGGAATACTTGAACATGGAATTAGGTTTTATGGGAGCTGAATCGTTGACACGTATCACAAACCAGCTTGGGTCGAATTTCGTCACCTCTTTGCCAGACTCGATAATCTGTGGAAGAACCTCGTTAGGTTGAGTAGGTTCGCGGATGCTGACAAACATAGGGTCGCTCTGCACTTCCCTTATAATGCCATCTCTTAACAACGCCATTGCGGTGTCAGAGACCATGAAGACATTCAAAGCCGGCTTGCCTTCAGAATCGGGGTGAAGCGTGCATGTCACATGAGTAGACACCGGGTACCCCGTGTAGTGCGTTGAATGTGCCCGTTGCAGCTGGACCATCGCGCTGTCGATAACCTCCTGCGGCGACAGATAGTTATCGCGGGGTAAATGGGTTATTATGTGTCCTATGCGCTCGAGCCCGAACCGCCCAGCAATGGTGTCGACAACAGGAAGGAACTCGTCCGGCAAAAATTCCACATCACACAGCGTCGACTTCTGCGGTGGTTCGTATATACCTTCGCAAACTGCGCGAATACCGAGCGGATAGTGAGCGTCCTCCACGTAGTATCCGTACAGCCAACCCGCACGCTGCTCAGCCATTTCAAGGTCGCTCATCCAGTAGTTAGCGAAATTTTGAATGTCCTCGGCATTCATAAGCTCAAGGTGGTCCACGTGACGATAAGGCTGATGCTTGACCGTCACTCCGGAAGGTAACTGAATATGTTTTAGTGTCTGAAAATTGCCGAACAGGAAAATCATGGGCAAATGTTGGCTATAAATGGCGCAGTGCGAGCCAGACTCAATTACACATGGCAGTGTAACTCACCTTGTTCATTTTCCCGCGCTCTAGGAATACGGGTTTGTACGACTGCTGCAGCGCCAACTCAGAGACTGCATATCCAGTGTCGCGCAAATATGCATCAAAGGACTTAAACGACGGCGTAGAAACGCCATCTGGTTTGGCTGTAATCAATAAATGCCAGGTGTGTAAGTAAAAACTAACCTTCCTTGGTAGAAGTCGGCTCAACATTGCTAGGGGCCGGCTGAGTTTGCTCGGAGACAGGTGGGCGCTCAGTAGGCTGGGATGACGGCAAATAAGATAAATCATCGCTACCAGAAGAATTAGACGAAACCGAAATCAGACGTAAGCAAGAGCCATGCTCAACGCCAAACCTTGCCAACGCCTCGTCGTCGCTTCCACTAATCTGACGCGGTTTGTACACATCAAAATTTAAACACACCTCCAAATTAGAGTCTGCAATGACGAATTTCAGCGTCGTCCCATCAGGAACATGTATACGATTGTGAATCTCATTTTTGAGATCAGCCAAAGTGGCATCAGCCGGTAAGGTGACACGGCTTATACCAATACCGCTGATAACACGAATTATCATGGTGGTAAATACATAATTTTACCACAGATTTTGGAATGCGAAATATAGCGTACGCCGCACAAGCATTACCGCGTTCGTCCTTCAGTGGGTGACACTACATGAAAGGACGTACACAATACCATATGTGTGAAGTCTACCGGCTGCTTAGGTTCTTAAAACGTATAAGGTCTTTTCGTATGTGTTGATAGATAGCAGGGCGGCGTGTCTTGACCCATAGTTGTAGGCAGCGCAAAGTAACCGTGACCAAAACTTTTAGATAAAACCGGATCAAGGTGTCAACATTTGAACCACATACATATGCATTTATAAAGCACATGTGTATTGTCACGTCATAGACATGAACCAACCTGAGTCATAACGCTTTTAGGTGCATTTCCGATTTTCACAGGCACTTTCAATGTGCCACTAAAATAATCCTCAACACAACAAGCATTCGAAAACTAAGATGTAAACATAATTTCAACGATGTTGCCGTTTGTTAGTTCTCTAATTGCGTTCCTTGCGCTGGTTGTGACCCGTCATATGGCGGCCGTACCCAGCAAACGAAACGCAGAAATTGGCATTCTCTTTAATCAACCAGTGACATGGCCCCAAAGATTGCCAGGATACAGCGACGATACGTGTGGTAGTGCATGCATACCTCGCAACCGTACAAACTACAATGTGGGCCCAAGACCGATACGCTTCGTCATCAGGTTCCCCATTAGCATGGCAGCACCATCACTGCTGGAGATTCAATCACAATTAAGTTCGAGTTCGATGCAACTATCTAAGGGTGTTGACGTTGTCGTTCTAAAAAATCTGAATACGTACATCATTGAGCCGGGTTTGGGAAATAACGATGAAGACTTGAAAGTCCTTTGGGATTACCTTCATCAAAGAGGAGGCGTGGTTGAAGCCGACAAAGTTGCAACGTTGAGTTCACCTGACAGCTCGGCGCCATTAATGGCAGAACCAACACAAGTGAACGATCAGAATGCAGATGATACCAGCACGACCAGTGGCCCTGCGAGTATGGGACAAACTACGGCCGAAGCCGAAGGGAACAATGGCGACGATAACGAAGGTCGCCAATACCGTTTTCCCCCTGAGCAGTGGTATATTGACATGCTAGGAGTCAAACAAGCACTTCACAAACTTAGTACAATGCAAACGGAGCCTATAAAGGTCTGTATAGTAGACACGGGTGTTAACTACCAACACGAAGCTTTGAAGCACGCTTTCGATCCTTACACGGTTGAATCCGTGGTAAAGGATGCTCGAGGAAATGACACTAGAGCGACGGTTGACGAAACGTACGGCGTAAATTTCGTCAATGGCACCACTGACCCCATGGACCACCATGGACATGGCACAAACATTGCGGGCGTTATAGCAGCGAAGATAGATAGCCGAGACCTTACGTACGGAGTCAACCCGCATGCGCGCATAATCGCTTGTAAAGCCTTCGGTGACGATCGAACAGGCCGTCTCAGTGATATTCTTAAATGCATCGACTACTGCATAACTCGAAAGGCGCATATTCAAAATCACAGTTGGCAGATTAGGGAAGACACTTATGCATTACGAACGGCTTTTGTAGATGCCGAAGAAAAAGGCATTTTAATGGTGGTGTCCGCCGGTAATGCTGCTCATGGAGAACCTAAAGCGTATAACAATCAGACGGAAGGAATTTATCCTGCATCATATTTATCGTTTGCAACGAATTTGCTTGCCGTCGCAGGATTCCAAAAGACAGGTGATAGAATAATGCAAAGGGTTCTGAGGGGGTGCAGGGGGAGCACGGGAAATCCAGACGAATGTCTCGTATCAAAACTTCAAACCTATCAAATGTACGATCGTTCTAAATATGGTCCCTATATAAGCCTGATAATTGCTCCTGCAAAAGAAATATATACAACAGGCCTACTGAATGATATAGTGGTCGCTGAAGGTTCCTCAATAGCCGCCGGCATTATGTCGGGTATATCTAGTCTACTGATATCCCCTATTGTGAACGGCAAACGTATTAAGCCATGCAAGGCGCCATTATTCATTCAACAAGAGATTACAACGCTAAATTTCGCCATACGTAAGGCAAAATGGAAGGGTTATACCGATGCCTTCAAAACCCTGAATGCTGTGATTGACCATCTGAATGGAGTGAAAAAATTGCCAAAACTCGCGCCATTTGTTCCACAACGATGTGTAGAATTCGAAGTGCCTTCTACTACCGAAGCTTAAAAATCAGTCTTCCGCAGTTATGCCATACTCTTGCGTGCTTCAACTCTGAAAATAAGGTCGATTTCTAGTGTATTAACTTTCTATGACCGGATACGATTGGCCTGGGCCGTTTTCAATGCCTCTTCAGTGCTTATGCCTCGAACTCCGTCAGTATTGGCGGCGGATGACATGCCATATTTTTGCCGAGCATATTTTTTTCAATGATGCCATCCATCCAGTTGGGGCGACAGGTCATTCAGAATCGTGATGGTTCCTGCCCACCTGCCTCTTGTAACATAAGGTAGCGCCTTCAACTTTGTTTACTTGTTGGATGCTTTCCCAGAAAGATCCCCCCTTGGTCGTCAATACTGGCCTCTTGTATGTTTCCCTTTAAACCAGGATGTAATGGTTGTTTATGCCGACCTCTACAAACTTCATGATGTTATACCACCTATCCGCATCGATTATGTCTGGTCATTTGTGTTCATTGGCATGCTGAGAGTAAGCTCGCAATCGGCCACAGCGACGATACTCAATCACCCAAAAAATATGTAGCGTATGCACAAAAATTGCTACAAATGTTAGAAGATACAGATCACCATGTCGAATATTCAATTCGCCTTTTCTTTCTCCTGCTGAACTTTTGGCAATGAAAATTCGCCGATGTTCGTGTCTAAATGCATCTATTGGGCGCCTTCTGTCCTTCGTTGTAAAAACATTCATAGTCGTAATTTTTAGTGATTTTGTGTATAAATGATATATATGTTTGTCAGAAACATTCTGAAGTTGGTGCAGTTGTAATCCATGATATGATGCAGAATCGAAAACTATGGGGGAATTTAACATTATTCGATACATATTGGCATTTTGCACAATAGGCGTGCATTACGTTACACGTATTGACGCCATTATTTGTGATTTTGGAAGCGCACGTGGATCACTTACCAGCAATGCTCTAGTTATGTGCCATATGGACCTTGATCAACACAAGACCGCAGCTGTGATATGCCCACGCAGAGTCAACGACATCGAGTATGTATGGCATCCGCAACCAATATCGTACAACCAAAATCATCTCAAGACGTACGTGAGTGGTGGTGGCCAGTTACGCTCCGTCGTTCTTTCCGATGTAATACGCACTGAATCAAGACACAATCTCGTGTGGTTCGAATCCACACGATCACGCACAATAATGCGCTTTGATGTGCCAACGAATGAATTGGTAACAATAACAGAGCATCGCTTGATATTCATTTGTGGGCCGAAAGGTTTGGTTTTGAGTGATGTTTTGCAGCATCACCTTGAGAGGCTCAATAGCAGCCAACCTCCCAGACTTCCCTGGAGTCCATGCACGCCATTGACTGAGGAAATATCAAAAACAGGAAAGGGTCTGGGTTTGTTCTCCTTGTACAGAGGTCGCGGACATTTACCTCTTCAGGGTTGTGGTAGCCGTCCGTCACCACTGTTCGCGACGGACGAGGTGACTGTGGATCCCGTCACTGGCACTCGTTCATGCGTGGCAGATCCCATGTCCAAATCACCTATTGGGTTTGTTTGTGAAGGCAGCATTGAGCCTGATGGTTGCATGAGGTTCCTCATTGACCAGAAAGGCGAAGTTGTGACTGCTGCTGCACCACGCCGTTACTGGGATTTCAATAACTATAGGCCCTGGGTGATAGCACGATATTTTAATGACCTAGCATTACCACCCATCAATGGCGAATGTAGGTGCATCGATCCCGAAACAGAGCGGTTAAAGGTCAGGATAGAGATCCGTACGAAAACGGATTATCTTTGTGACATTTCCAGCATGATCGAACGCAACCGCACAAGTCCTATCAGTGGCCCTTGGTGTTCCGTGGTTCTTCATCCAGGCAGCACATTGACCATCAGGTTCCCAGCAGAGGATGTAGTTACAGAGCATTCCCACGAGAATTCTCTGCCTTGGAGATTGCCCCAAAAGCTGCCCGCAGATGCATTCAAAGCTGAATTCCTGCCGAAGGATTTGAATACACTGAAACAAAGCAATGCTTATAAAGGATTTGATATTTATGAAGAAGTCTCGTACCACGAAGCGATTGCTGGCGATGCCCTCGAATTGGATGTTTTACGAATGTCACAGGGAGAGGTTATGCTGAAGTATAACCCGGATAAACCTCTTGCACTACGTGAAGGAAAAAACTCGTTCTTATATCACTGGAGATTGAAATCTGAGAACGAGGACGTTCCAGATAAGGTACGTGCTACCTTAAAAGTGTCCTTTGCGTTTACTCATAAACACGAGATCTTTGGTTGCGATTCGAGGCAAGTGAAGTTATTCGACAAAGATATTAGCCGCCGGTATTGTTCAACCAAACGGATGGGAAATGGTATAGGTGATACCTATGAATGTCTCTACTATAACAACGCACACGTAAGTCAGGCTGGCATTTACTGCAAACCGGACGAGGAATTGTTGCCAGACAATTGTGACTCCACAGGATACGACCTATACTCAAACCAAATAATGCCATTTCCTGAATCTGTTCGCAATGTAACTCTTTACCCCATTCGAGGATTCCAGGTGTTCGAAATGAGGTTCCTAAAGATCCCTGTCAGTTATGCTTGTATCTGTGTTGATCAACGTGGATATGAAACATCCAGACTTATTGTAGAGGTCAATGATGAGGTACAACATACGTACAAAGTAAGGTCTAAAGAGAGGTCTCATAAGTTGCTTCCATACGTATCGATTCCTTGGCGTAAGGTCGGATTGTTACTAGAAGGGTCCACATCAACCAGACTTATTATGCTGCAGCACATATCGAAACATTCCGTTAGACTACAACTCGGAACAAAGTTATTATTGAGATGTGAAATTGCTCCTGAGTTGGGAAACGTTGCAAACAGCGCAAATGTCATGCTGACATGGCTACCAAGACAACTTGATGAATTTCATTATACTGCCGTTCATGTATCACTAGGCCGTGAGCTTATTAGGACATCACACAAAGACGTAATGATTAGCACAAAAGGTGGATTGGAAGCAGTTTTCCACGAAGACTTGATAAGATCTGGATATCAAATATTAGAGATTAGATCGCTTAGGGGCGCTATCTTGATCTCCAAAGATCCAGTTCACACGCAACACGTGCCGATGAGGTTCGTTTGCGGCAAAGTTCCCGAAACATCGGAGTTGTCCATCGTCACCGCTAATGCGCCATCTTCAGACGCATCTGCCCAGCCCAGCACCCGAACTACAGAGTCTTCGCTACGATACAGTTGGACTATCGTTAAGGTTCAAGTCGAGACCACGGACCCGTACATGCAAGGCTGCGGCGTTACGTACTCTTCAGATGCGTTATTCAAGCCGGAGACACCCCAACTCTACGATGCTGACGGCAAACCTCAGTTCGGTTGCAAGATAGATCTACAAGATGCCAGGGAAGCCGCGTTCTACTGCCCAGCACCGTACCTCCTGAACCCACCCAATTGCTTCAACCATGTTTACGTCGGCGGTATGCTGAAGAACATTCGTGACATCAGCGAATCGTTGGTAGCGTCGCGATCCAACCACTTCGTCATCCTAAGCTTTGATGGCTCTCTGGTAGGACCCGGGGAGACGCTGCACCAGACGCCTCCGTTGGAGTGCCGCTGCGTAACCGTCAAGGGAATCGTTCTCTCCACCATCCAGATAGAGAACTACTACTCGAAGTGATGAGTAGATCAGATCTAATAATTAACTGGTCAATGAGACAATTGTTTCCATTGTATATGATAAGTGGTATATCCACCGTGTTAGCACAGCTTTCGGTCAGGCCGTCAGAATTGCGGTGGCGAAACTCAGCAGCTTAGCCCTGTGCTATAATAGGTGTTTGTAAGTTGTGTAGGTGGTAATCACCCCAGTTAAGAGGGTGGATTGTAATCGCATAAGACTACACATTTGTCGCCTGCTTCGTGCAAATGAAATCGGAAAGGTGTGCCATTTACATTTGCATAATTCTTCACGATTTAAAACGCCTGCAATGTCTTCAACACAGAACAATGAATACCATTCAGCATCGTCTATGTTATTTAGTTGAATCCACAAATTTTGGTGAGCAACTACCTTGACAGTGTCGGGCCATGTTAGACGACCGGTGGGGAGGCATATAGAGATAGCTTTATGTGCTTATTTTATCTTCGCACCGCACGTAATAAGATTATTTGTGATACTACAGTGAGTGACTTCGGAACTGCAGATTTCTAGGTGCCACCCGACTTAGCCAAACTGCATGGATTTATGGGATGGGTAAGATAAATAACTCCAACACCTTAGTGAAATGTTAGGAATCATTAGGGTGATGGAGATATGGGAAATGGATTTAACAGCCGAAGTGAGTGAAAGAACCGCAAGACACATCAGGTCTATAATGTGTCCGGCCCTGTTCGGGTTGAGATGTGAGGAGTTGTCAGACAGCACATTTACGCACCGACATCAAGACAACGTAGAAAATGAATCCATTTCATGGATTTATATGCTAAATGAGAGAGTTAGATAGTCACCTGAAGTTGGATGTGTCATGTGTATCATGGCGCAACGCTGTTATCAGAAGAGTGACTAGAGCATGGCAAGTCAGCCTGTCGCCATGGTGTTAATACACACAGATGTAACATTGACAGTCAATTATAAATCGCAACGCTGTATTTAGAATTTAATAACACCCCCGACACACCGCCCAACGAGGTGTGTGGAGAGATTCGCAGTATATATGATCTGCTGGGGTAATTGCTTTTGTAACGCGCGCGGACGTGGTATCTATTGTGTGCGTTGTGTCGTGGCTGCTTGGCTGATCACAGAACGCTTGCTAGACACTATTACATGGTGTTGCAGTACAGGGTCAGAAGAAATATTCAATCTTCAACTCGGAATTCTCGAGAGATCTGCTGTATTTCCACCTTGCTCCAACCTCTCCACCAGCAGGGCTCCGGGTTTGGTGCATTTATGGGCTTGTCTCATTTCGTTCGCCTCGGTTGAGTGGCGCATATGACTTTAGATTTCTTTACTGCGTTTTTCAAAGCAGTGCGGACGTGTTCATGTCTGCGATTTCGAGTGTGTGCGTGCTTCGTAGCATGACGCATTTTTTCGCTCAGAGTTCTACTTTTAGCCTATTCACTTAGCCTTATAGAGGTTCGCTTATGCCACCTTGTACGCGGCAACTTTGGTGCGTGGCTTATCACTTTCTCACTTCAGAGCTTTGATAACTTTGGACGGTGTTCCTAAGGTGTTGCCATGCTATTTGGTTATCGTTACTTGTTGTGTCATTGTTAGCGTAATATAATAGTGATTAGTGTTGCCATAATGTCGACCGAGAGGCCCCATTTCAGCAGTCTCAGGGATTGTTTGATATTTTTGCAGTGGTTGCATAGAAATGAGCTAATGCGAAGCTCAGTAGCCAGCAAACTTCATGAGATCCTTAGTGACAATTACATGAATGTGGATCTCGCTCAAATTACATCCGATTTGTCCAACTTTCTCTCCAATGTAGACACGTTTTATGGGAAATTGGTATATGTTAAAAAAAATGACGCACCCCCATTTCTCCAAGACAAAGATCTGAAAAGTGCAGAACACGTTGTCAACGCCCTTTTGGAGTGCGTTCCAAAGTTCCTCGCCGCGATTTATTTTCTATGGTATGATGTAAATACGAATTTTGCAAAATTTGGAGGTGGGGGGTGGAATAGCGATTGGCTGGGTTATGAGAAAAATTGGTGGAGTGGCTATTGGGGAGGAGAGCTTCAGGAATATCTCAGGGCACCAGTCGGAGACAGTAAGTACAATTCTCGCACCAGCGTCATACCCGGTGGATTCGAGCCCGGTGAGGTGATGTCTGGTAGTTGGTGGGGTGGCCATTATCAGGGTTATAATATGGCAACTGACCTTAGAAACATTTTGGAAAAAACTGGTATTCACAATTTTCTTCGCGACGTGTTCGCCACTTCTGTTCTCACTGCCACTTCCGGCTCCGATATTCCAAACACTGCAAACGTTGTTGGTTTGGTGGGAGTGTTTTGCGATATCGTGAATGCGGAAAAAGACCTTGCGGGGGGAGAGTTGAAAAAAGCTATGGATAAAGATTTAAAAAATGGCAAGAAATGCATAAATTGGGAAGAATTAAAAGGCCATTGTGCAAAACTTAAGCAATCCCAAATAAACGTGTTGTTCAGTAAAACAGCCTTCGATCACACAGGCCAGTCGCCGGAAATTAATAACCTTAATAAAGAGGGTTTTGTGAAGAAGACGGCTAAGTGGTTGAGAGATAATTTGAATAAAGTGCGTCAGAATTTGGAGAAGATTAGTACAACATACGGTGACACAATAGCGCCCAATAAAGCCGAGCTTGGGGAATATTTCACCAAATATTTCTTCCCCTATGGTTTCACATTCGGTTTCGAACACCATGAAGCATCGAATATGGATCCCAGAGATTTCCTCCAAAATTGGCGCAATTTGATCGATGCACTGAAAGAAGAGGACAAGGGCAGTTTGGCTAAGCTAGTGGAACTTTTGAATGGTAAGAAATGTCCAACTCCTCCGGCTTCGCCTCCAAAGCCGCGACCCGGACCTGCACCATCTGGTGGCCATTCTCCTGGAACTAGTCAGAGTGAGGATGACCAGGCGACTACTCCTGTCACCACTCAACACAGCAATCAAAACACCGTGACGGATCGGGACGCAGCTGCTACTCCACCCACTACCCTGATTTATGATCCAGGTGTTGATGTCGTAGAAGTGGTAGACGTTAAGGAAGAACTGGTGCATAATGTTAATGGGGACGCATCAGTGTACGGCATAGACGGCGCAGAAGTGGAAGAAGCGGAAGATGAGAAAATGAAGCGTCATTTGAGAAATACGTATGCTATAGGTGATCGTATCCCGGAACCCATTCCAAAGCCCCCTTCACAAGTCTTAGCATCTAGTAGCGTTGCTATGGGTTACCCTATAAAGTCGCCCAAGACTCCTAGTAATTCATCATTTCATCGCCCCACGGCACCGAAGTCGTCGACGAAATTGATTCGTAGGTATCCAACAGGTATTGGTATGCCTGCACGTAAACATCCACCCATATTTCCCCAAGGCCCTATCGCCACCGCACAGTTTGACGATCCGTACATGGCTATACTCATGAATGTTTCCGGCTCTAGCGCGTTGAATTCTTCTAAAAGCGATGCCCGTGTTCCCCAATTCGAGCATATTATCCCGTCCGTGCCACCAATACCGGATTTTAGTGGAATGCCTATTCCTGACTCCAATCTGAAGTCTTCATCCATTCCAATGGTGTACCTAGAGCCTCCTCCGCCAGGAGGCTTAGAGATCGCTGTAGCGGAAAGGCATCCACCCAAAACTGAAGCACCAAAAATTGATCTTTCAATCAAAACCGTGCATCATGAGGACCGCAGCGTCAACGACTTTGACTTCAATCACGACCCTCTAACTCCCCCAACCGCCGAGCCACTTGAGCCCATCCGCCCATCCACCACCGCCGTCGCAATCAACTTCCCGCCAATCGATCCTCTGGAGAATCTCCCCAAAAGGTTCGCCGATGACTATGAACACAGTCCAGAGACTGTCGGAATGTGCCCTGTTCCTTGGCTCACCCAGAAACCTACGCATGACGCCACCGACATCCCCGAGACGGAGCTTTTCCCCTATGAGGCGCCGCATACGGTCAGGGAGATGCTTATTTGGATCGCCGGACTGCAGCATCCGAAACACCAAGAAACTTTGGAAAAGTGTATTGAGAAGGCTTTCAAGTGCGACGATGATGTCTCTGCCAGCCTCACACTTCCAGTCAACGGTGCTGACGTCCGCCCTCAACATGTCATCGACACCATCCAGCTTGCCGCCGTTTTCGCAGCCTCAGTGCTATCCGCCGTTGAGCCTGCCTGGAAAGGTAACATCTCATTGTCTGCAACACTAAAACGTAAGGATTCCGACCAATCCAAGGACCCTGATTGCTGCGCTCTCCTCTGCCAGCTGCGGGATTACGTGTACGCCGCCCACCACCAGTTGGCATTCTTAAGGTTGCAGTGTTCTCGGGGCGCCAGGCACGGTGGTTGGCAGGATTGTGAATATGGCCTTCATGTAAGTGTTTCCGACTCCCCCCTCAAGGCCTTTCTGACCGACGCCCATGATTCCAAGTTCCACACTCACTTCTTCGACCCGTATAACATCTGCCTCAAAAGCCATATCAGGATGGGATTCAAGCACAGTGATTTGTCTGAATCTCAGCAAACGGGAAAGGTCATTTCCACCATCCTCACTCCCGCCTGTGGCGGCGACGATCCCCTGCTGACATTGTCCTCTTACCTCAACTGCCTCACCAGGCGGACGCCGCGCACCACCGGGGAGCTTGTCTCGTTCTTCCACAATTTCGGGAATAAGCTGCACAAACTTCCTTCACACTTGTCTAAGCTGGGCACCACGCTATCCAAGCCACGTGACCACTGTCCGAAGTGGGACTATCTCACGGAGGCCGACCTCCAAGCCCTCCAGGATCTCCGTGGTTCAGAGTATCTTAATTCAGGCCATGGCCATCTCAACACCCTATCAACACTGCTTGCTTGCGCCATCAATAGTGTAAACTGTCCACATTACATATTGCCCATCACCTACCAGGCCTACGCCCTCTACTCACCAAGCTTCGCCCACACCTACCTCAGCTGGACGGTCTACCTACCCGACAGACTGTGGGAGTCACTGGACAAGCTGAGGAGAGAGATGAAGAGCCATAGATGTTCCGACATTAAATCACTCAACACGTATCCCGACGTCCTGCCTCTCCTCTACTATCACGGATTCACGCCATCGGAGGGCATAGGGCAATCGTCACTCACGTGCTCCGGGATCATCGACAAGCTGGACTCTGTGGTCTCCGGAGGGCCTATAGCCGATCTCATGACCCGTATGGATACATTCCTCTACGGCATCCGGATGCCCTTCCTTTACACTGTGTTCACGCTCTGGTCTGTAGCTATTTTCTTCCTAGTCGCCTACACTATGATATACCGCCTGGACGCCCTCTACATCCGTTCCCACATAATTCGATCCAAGGTATCCCACCTCATCGATGTCAAGGCGCTACTCACTCTGGGCAGAAAAATGCTTTCCCTGTACCACGACGGCGATTACTTCGATGATGAGCCTGTTGAACAACTCGACGGATCACAGTAATGATCACAGTCATGTTATCCTTTAGTACCTTGTTAAGGTTTACAGTAACGACTTGATGGGTTTTGATAGCTGTAAATGTTAAGCGATGTAGTGCCCCAAACCCACAAAGCTGACATACAAAGTGAGCAATTTTAGCGATGGCCCATTCCGTGCTCATCCAATGATCAACTCAGCGCATAACGCGGTTAATCCGTTGAGATGTTTTTATTTCTAATGTTGAGCTGTGGATAATTCGTGAGGCGTCTATGAATCATCCCACCTCGTCAACGTACAGCGAATAAGCGGTCGGGCACGAACGTCGCCGGTTAATGAGTGTTATACAATGTAAAGAAATGAGTCGTCTGCTAGATCAGTGAATAGTTGTATGTTGGTGACTAACTGGACAACTATAAGAGGTTTTACGGCGTGATTTTGGGCGTTACCTCGGCACACCTACATTAAAACCATGGGACGGCGTAGACTGTAAGATACTAGCCGCAACGCATTGTAATATTACAAAGTTTGACGTGGCCCTGCAAATGTAATAACATCTAAATCTTCGATGTGTGCCATCATTACATACCACATTGACATGCCTTGTGAACACTGCATGCAACGTCAGTGACATGGATCTGGCACCTTGGCCGTCATCTTGCCTTCACGTTTTACCTGTTACGCGTTTTTACAGGCTTGTATACTTTGAAAAGGTGCGTGCGCACTAGCAGACAACAGCACCTGTGTTTCGTACACCCTAGATTACAACGCGGTTTTTTGCAGATCCGCCTGTAAAAACACAAAATCCACAAAATTACAGCATCAGTCTGACATAACACATCATTCCAAAATGGTATACACTTCGTTGACTGAGGCTCCTCACAACCTCAAGGAGGCCATTGACTGGTTGATGGCCCTTAAGGGAACTGATGCTGCCAAAAACATGGCGGCCATAGGCGATGCAATTCACAAGTTTCTCGTAGACAAGCCTGTTGGATTCACGGAGGTACCAGCTCTCGGAGAAGTTAAACTTATTTCCAAAGAGTTCATGGAGAAACCAGCGCTCAGGGTGCAGCCATTTGTGAAATTACTACTGGAGAGATTCAGTAAGCCTCTGGACAAAAGTCCCGGCGTGATCGCTAAGGCCTTTGGCCTTGTGCCCAAAAGCGACTACGAGAACGTCGTACAGACCAGAGGAACGAAGCCGGAAGCTATCGCAAAGAACTTAGGCAAAGTTGTGGATGGTTGTGAGAAGTTCCTGGAAAAGATGAAAATCTCTGACCATTATAATTCTGCTTACAGTTCAGGAGCGACGTGGGATGCGTCATGCGCGAAAGACCCAGAAGCTTGCGCAGTGGTCCTTGTGGGAATTGCGCCTATGTTATACACCGGCTTAGGTGCTTTGCGGGATGCGTGCAATGAGGAAGCCTTGAAATACATGCAATTTAATCACCGGAGGAGTACTTTGGGAGAGGTATTGGAAGCCGTGGGTTACAAAGAGCCGGATTGCCGCGCTGGCATGAGTACATCAGGTGTCACCCGGGCTTTGAGAGGTGTGAATAGAGAAATATTGAACATAATCTACGACCTCGCTGGATTCTGGGCTTTCTATGGAAAGAATAAATCGGGAGCTGTAAGAGCTGTAGAACCAGTAAAACCTACTCAAGAGGAACAATCCGTAAAACCTGTGGAACCCGTGGAGCACCCCGCAGAACCTGTGGAAGCAGAACAACCTGCAGAAGCTATAGAACCCGTGGAACCTGTTCAAGAGGGACAATCTGCAGGAGTTGAAGAACCTGTGAAAGCTGAAGAACCTGTAAAAGTGGTCAAAGCTGCGAAATCTGTAAAGGCTGCTAAAAAGGCTGCGAAAAAGGTTGCAAAAAAAGCCCGACAAAAGAAGAATAGGACCCAGAATTCCCAGTGATTGGGCATCATATAAATGCTCATGAGGCATGTCTAATTTATGAAGTGCAGTGGTAGCCATTTTTGTTGATACAACCTTCACCCACCAAACTGGTACCGTCAGATGAGGCAAAACAAAGTTCTTGGCGTATCCCGAAATGTATTCGTGACGTAATGCGACGGAGTTTTGTTCTAACATCACACGTATTCATCTACGGCTACCAGACAGGTAGTGTTTGGAGGCCGAAGTTTATGAATCACGCTGTACGCCTTCTCGGGCGGATTAACTATCAGTCGCTTTGTGTAGCTTTGTAGCGCAGCAGTTGCAGGAATGCGGAGCGCCCGGTGAGTACAAGGCTTATTAACGCCCATGCCCAGTATCACTTGACAACTGGATTGTTCATCGTATTAATTCTCATGAATTTACATGCCATTGCTTCGTCCGAGAGATGCAAACACGAAAGTACTCCGCGTTGGTGTGGCTTTTGCAGTTGTGTCCCCTGTTAATCCGCTATTTTATACGTCCTGTAGAGGTGCGCCGGATAGCGGTAACATCCAACGCTTCTGGTAACCAGGCGGCACACGATCCGCAGTCTACTTATAGGATATGGTGTGCCGTATGCTTGGTGAGCATGGACAACGGCAACACCCGAATGTAGCCAGTCAGCACTGTAAATACACAACAATTGATAGATAACTATTCTACTATTTGAATTTAACCTGGAATCTCGCGTTGCGCTTAGCGGTAAAGTAATCGCTTTCATACAGTCTCAAAAGTTGCATTACGCCCGCTCTCTGTTTTGCTGGATCCTTTATAGATTCTTCCGTAGGTTTCGGGATGGGATATTCCGTTGTTTCATCAACGGGACAACTGTCACACGCCTCATGCACTAGTGCATCCTTAACCAATTTCCTATCTTCTTCCTCAGGTTTGCTGCATATATATGCTTTTTAAATATTGAACTAACTTTAGATTGAGTTTGACAGCCGAGGGAAACGAATTCAGGGGCATTTTTTGCGCATTTAATGCGACGATTGAAAGCCATTCGACATCATAGCAGATGGATATATCCTCATTATTTGGGCGATTTTTATTTTTTAGGGGCTCGATCTGAAGGTAGTCGATATAATGCCTTCCTGGAATAGGCTTGTCCAACGCTAGGAAGTAGGTATTCCCAACATCGTGTCTAACGTTTGCCTCGAACATTACATGCAAGTGAGCTGCAAACCAATATCGAGGTTTTAGTTTCGTCAGCAGCTCCCACGTGTATGGATTGCCAAGTTTCCTTTTCTGTATATCAGGCCTTAGGTAAGGCTTCCTCCTCATCAGGGAGGCAGTATCACCATAATGTTCAATGCCTCGGGGCCAGTCATGCGATAAGAAAATATCAATGGGCTCTTCTATCTGTTAATAATTGAGCCCAATGAACGACAGTAACACCAACCAAATGCAGTTTCTTCACGTCATACTCCCGCACATGATAAGCCGATCTTTTCGTGGACTCATCATACGGTTGCGCTTCGAAGAACCCTTCACTGTTATAAGTTTTTTAAAGCACGCTCATACCACGGGTGTAGTCCCTGTGATCATATATTCCAGATAGACCTGCGATGCGTATGCCATTTACATTCACGACCCCCGAGTGGCCCATATAATAGATGTTCTTCGCTACCCAGCCCCCGTGGTACCTATATTCGCAATGAAACGGCGTGATTTGCGCTCGTATATTACAACACAGCTAAAGATTACAGGCAAAACAATTTACAGATCTGGGAATCCCACATAGATTAGACATAATTAAATGCATGTGATCGGATAACAACATTCTCTCAGAGCGATAAATCATGGCGCCCCGATTTACTACAAATAGGGATGTATACGCCACAAACGTTTCTACGACACCTACAGCTCCTTCAGGAAAGCCGGCGCCTCGTGGTTTCCTCCCACGAATATTGTAAGCACAGGTGCCTCCTTGATTCCATTGTAATAGTCCCTAAAATCGTTATAACCCTTATATTTTGGTGGGCATGCCAGCTCTTGTAAATCAGATTCATTGCGGATAGCCTGAAAATCACCGCAGCAGAGCAACAGGTCCACCTTTATGTTGTCCTCGATTTCCCTTTCCTTAATTTTAGAGTATATAAGGTCGAGTTGGCCGTGAACGCAGCCTTCCACTGCCACCTGAACAACTTTAGGAGCGATGTGTACCACATACATGCATTTTAGACGATGCGCCAACTTTGTCTGACCATTAATGATGTGCGAGCTTCCAGAATGCTGCGCCTCGCTCGTCGCAATTTGGCCGCCTTCGATGCGTGTACACTACATATTTGCCTCTCGGCATACTACACTTTATTAAATATTTAATTAGTTAATCAGAATTGCCCAGGAGGGCACCAGGGTGTCAGTTCTGGAGTGTGCGCTGTTACTTCAAATGCCATCCGTCCAACGGAAGGTGTTTGATGGCGAAATTGTTTACCGTATTGTAAGATGATAGTTTCTGATATTGTCAACCTTGTCAGGCTCCAATTATCGGTTAGTTTACACACGAGCCTTTGCCGTTGTCTTCGTATCCCTCGAAGTTGATATCGTCAGTTCTGACCTTTCGCAGGCATCCATACGTCCGGAAAGCAAGTGGCACATAGCGATCATATACACCGTGGCGTTAACGCTGCTATTGGTACGCCTCTACGTCGGTATGTAGTCCTACGACCATTGCTCTTATGGTTTCAGGTGAATCGCTACGCCATCTAATATTCGACAGAGCATTCAGCGTTCACAGTTGGTAACAGTGTTATGTTTTCAAAACAAATCAGGGGAATTTCATGAGCTCCAGTACCACATACCGGATACTGCCGGAGAAGGAGCACGTTTGATAGCGACGGTCGCCACCATATTGGCAAACCTTATACCCCTAGTGCTGCCTATCGTACTGAGCAGCTTCTTGAACCGGGTGCACATGTATCAACAGGCGAGATAGAGCACCAATGAGCGCACTCCGCTACGGTAGAAGATACCATGTGAACGCAACAAAAAGTTGTAGACAATTATTTAGCCGCACCCGTGGACATTGACAATTTTTAAACGTACGGATGGTTCATTGGTCTACCATTGTTTAAAATGCTGTCGTATGATACACATGTTGAGTATATGACCTGTGATGGTTATTTCGTCTCTTTGGCGTTTTGCGATATCTTCTTCGTTTTCAGGATTGTAACTGTTCAGGTCACCCATCTTTGTGGTTATATATCTGGACAACGCTCGTTTTAGTCGCTGAAGTTCGTACGAAACGGATTCCTGCATGGCATGCAGGTCATCGAGAATGAGCAGTACGGCGAAAAGCCACCTTGATGATTTTTCATCAATGTTCTTCCCTTTACCGCCACAAATGAAGTTTGCAAGTTTGTGCAAAACCTCCTGTACACTAGCAAAACTTATCCCGTGCTCACAAATTTCCAGCACTTCCGGAGGCGGCAACCGGAACAACACTTCCCATTGTGCTTCTTCTAAGTCGTGGAGCGAGCGGCTGACTTTCACCGCACCACCTGCACTTCGCAATAACCCGGTACAGTATTCGACAAGCGCACACCTTTCTGCGGATTCGGCGTGCGACATATTGGCGTTCACATCGTCCTTCATGGCTTTGAAGAATTGCAATTCATTGTCACTCATCACGAGTGTTCGATCATTTTCCACGGACTCTGTGGCAATTTTCTGCAGCCTTTCAAACTGTTCCACTGTTTTCCCGTGGCTATTCCCGGTGGTGTTGGTTGTTTCTACAGCAACGACCTCTGGAAGGCGTGCCTCCTCCTCCCTTACGCTTCTGAGGTACTCTTCCACGTCCATACCTGGGTATAGTGTACACATGGAGCTGGAATCAACACCCATTCCATATCCCAAGCCATCCTGCATTTTGTGTATCTGATGAATCGGTGACGGTATGCTGGCGATGTAGGTAAGCTACTTCGTGTCTAGAATCATGGGTCCTTAACGCAGTTGGAAATTCCACCGCTTATTGCTAGGAGCTCAACACCTCAGTACGTTGGATGGTACTCCGGTAACGGCATCGATCGTTATCTACACATGGTAGATTTCCTTCAGATGCCGTACACAAGTTGCGCGTATTAGCGATGGATTCCTCTCCATTTGCCTAGGATCGGCCGGTATACAGTTGGATTCTTTCACACATTTTAGATAGGAAGTATCTGGCGGTGATTCGTCACTGCCGGCGTCCTTCGTCACCGTCTGTTGTCCAGGTTGATCGGATGGGGTCGAGGTAAGCAGTGGACCGGTGGCACTGATTGTCACCGCTGTTTTATCGTTAGCGGTGCTAGCAACAATGCTGGTACTCTTAGAAACCCCGGCGGGGTACGGTCTCTTTAAAATTACCGACTCGCGCCTGCTCGAGTGCAGTGTGGAAGATGTCCCCTCGTTTTTCCGTGACGGTGACTCGGCACGCTCATCGTAAGTTTTGCTTTTCATCGATGATCGTTGTCAATGATGATACTTGTTTTACGTGTTTCGTATTGGAAGCCGAGGCCAGCCACGGCACCGAAGTACGTGGTGGATCAATGCCCTTTTTTGTATACACTGCTATCTATTAAGTGATATGGACCATGCATATCAGCATTATATGACGTTTGATGCTTGTAAATGGTGAAGGCATCCAGCATAGTTGCTTGATTCGTGCCTTCCACTTTCTTGTATGTCGTCAACGGCACTGAGTAGAGAAATGGGTCCGTGTTTAAGTACGTCTTGCATACCCTAGCCTCGTTAAGCACGCTTTAAATATCGTGTAGGGTCAAGCTGTCTGCATTTTCGAAGTTCAAGACGACGGATAATGCGCTTGAAGAGGCGACTGCCCTTTCCGAGTCCCGTCTGGGCAAGCAGCTGAAGAAGCTGCTGAACAAAAAGGTCATTGGAGCAAAGGTGGTGGAACCACTTGCTGTTTGTGACAAGCTGCTGGCCGTAGAGATCCAGAAAAAGCTGAAGATTGACGTTGTGTACAACCCCTCTACGGTGGAAATCGCGCGCGGCCTGAAGAGTCAATTTTTTGAGTTAGTGGCCGGCATTACTGAGTCTGACTGCAAGTCCATGGCTCTAAGCCTATCGCATTCGCTGGCCCGTTTCAAGTTGAAGTTCTCGCCTGACAAGGTGGACGTCATGGTGGTTCAGGCCATAGGGCTGCTCGACGATCTCGACCGCGAAGCCAACAACTTCGGCATGCGTTTGAAGGAGTGGTATGGCTGGCACTTCCCCGAATTGGCCCACATTGTGCCCGACATGGCACTCTACTCACGTGCCGTGCGCCATATCGGTATTCGCGGCTCAACCTCGTTCGACGATTTGGAGTCCTTCCTGCCGAAGGATGTGGTTGATGAGATAAGGAAGGCGTGCGAGATATCCATGGGTTCGGAGCTTCTCAGTGACGACTTGGAAGCAATCGTGGAGCTAGCGGAGCGCCTAGAAGAGATGCTCGGGTACCGTTCGACTCTGGAGGAGTATTTGCGCGTCCGCATGCGAGCGCTTGCCCCCAACTTGACCTACATGGTCGGTGAGGTAATTGGCGCGCGTTTGTTGTCCCACAGCGGTTCTCTCATTAATTTGGCTAAGCAGCCCGCCTCCACGGTTCAGATATTGGGAGCGGAGAAGGCGTTGTTCCGCGCATTGAAAACAAACGCGCCCACTCCGAAGTACGGTATTATTTACCATGCAGGGTTCGTTGGTCAGGCGCAGCCCAAGAACAAGGGTAGAATATCTCGCATCCTTGCGGCGAAGCTAGCGCTTTGCGTGCGCGTAGACGCACTGAAGGATTCGCAGGAGCCTACGGTTGCTATCGAAAACAAGCGTTATCTGGAACAGAAGCTGCTGGAGCTCTCTTCCAAGCCCGATATCACTTCCATCGGTGGGCTAAAGCGTGGCGAAAGGCCTGGGCAGCTGCAGAAGCCCAAGTGGAACGTCTCTAAGCGTTTTAAGGGACCAAACACCGAGTGACGCTGCTTATCGGTTACGGCGTTGGCGCAAAGTCGCCATTTGCCTTGAATTTGTCACAGCATAATATGTAGTCACCCTCAGCTTTATGTCCCACCATGCTGGCGCATTCTCGCGCGCTTTATGACGTTGCGAATTCGTTTCATACGTACACAATTTAAAGTACATGAGACTTAAATGGCGTTCACTTTGCTTTACCCCGTCGATGTTAGCGGCATGTGGGTCGCGTGTTTTTTGTAGATTGTGGACGCACTACTGGCAATATAATTCGCAGTGTGAGGCACCAGACGCCCATTGGGACATGCCTGGTGCTGTTAGGTTAAAAACTGATGACTTCAAACATCGCTTTGGCCTTTCGTATTTTCATTGGGAGGCACCTCCTTCGGCTCGCCAGAACTTTTGGTGCCCTGCGTCACTTCCGTCGCCTGTACGTCTCCATACTGCGCAGTAGCGCTCTGCTTGGGAGCCATAGTGTTCATTTTGTCCTTCAGTCCCGTGAACCGTGAGTAGAGCGTCGGTAGGTTCGGCGTCTCTATGCCCACCAGATCGTGTTCCATGTGCCTGCAGAGGTGGTTCATTTTGGCAACCTTTTTGATGCATCCGTGGCTGAGACCCTTTATGAGCAGCATTTTATTGTAAGATGCATACTCCGCCTTCAGCGAGTTCAGCGTTTCAATTGCCGTGTAGTCGAATAGCGTTGTGGAGGCAAGGAGCACAATAACGGTAGTCTCGGGGTCTTCTGCCGGGGTGAATACCCTAGTAAGCATGCGCTTACTGGCGTAGAAAATGTTCCCCTCAATCTCGTAGTATTTAATGTTGGTGTCGTTGTCCATGTATATCTCCACCTTGAACCGTGACTTGGACTCCCACACGTATGCGAAGGCGGCCAGCACAACGCCAGCAAGGATTGCGAGGGGTATTAGCACCATGTTACACAAGATGGTGACAGCTACGATGATGATAGCGTCCGACCTTGTGATTTTCATTTTCAGTTTTGGGTGCATGTTACGTATGGCCTGCGGCATGAACGTCACGATGCACATCGGCAGGCTGAACCACTTGAAACAATGACACGACACCGAAAACATGATCCCGCAAAGGCTTGGAATCGGGATATAGTTGAGCAGGGGAAACCCGCCTCCCAACATGACGAAAAGGAAGAGCGCGGCCGCTATACTCGACTCCTTCCCCCTAGACCCAGCCTTAAGGTTCATGACCGATATTCCCACCATAGAGCTTCCTCCTGCGGACCCCATGAAGGCACTAAGCATATTTCCGATGCCAAGACCGAACATTTGCTGGTTAGAGTTGGGGTCGCTGCCGCTCAACGTCTTAATGATGTCGTTCACCATGAGCGCCTCCATGATAACGCTCCCTGCGAGAACGAGCACTTTACACACGAATATCCAGTCGAAATTAACCTGTCTTATGGCGTTCCAATGTGTCCATGACATTACCGGCAATGCCGTTTCCGAGGTGAGACATGCCACGTCCCCTATGGTAGTGACCTTGATATGGGGAGCCACTTGCTTCACAATGGCGAGATCGATGAACACCACGACAGCCACAGCGAGCAGCGCAGGTGGAAGATATTGCCCGACCTTTGGTATCTTATTCGTGAACTGCATGAAGATGAACGCGATTACGCAGTACGTGATCGCCAACGCGAGTTCGGCGCCCACTACGTATTTGTGTGTCTTTGGGTCCAGGAATCCATGCATTTGCGCCCTTACGATAACTAGAGCGAGTCCGTTACTGTAACCTATGATGACCGAGGTGCTCAAGAACTGGCTAATGCTGGCGAGGTGGAAGAATGAGCAGCATACTAGTATCACTCCTGCAAGAAACACCGCAAAAAGCATGCTCCACAAATGGAGCTCTATTTGCTCTGGCGTTGGGTTTTCAACACCCAGGGCGTACCTTCCAGCCACAGCAGCGAGGGCTCCCGACAGACCGGTCATGATCCCGGGCGAGCCACCGAACACTGCTGCGCATATACATACAATCCACGTGCCATGCAGCGCGACATGAGGCGGTATCCCGGCGATGAAGCTGAAACTAATGATTTCTGGAAGCATGGTCATGCCGCACAGCAGCCCGTTGATGACTTCAGTGAGGTAGTACCTAAAGTTTTCCCTCGGTTTGGAGGTGAATCCCCACCCACTGGTGACACCGGTCGAGCATTTCACCAGGCTTCTTAGAACCCCGTGATAGAACGGTAGACACATGAAGATGTCCTCGCATTCTCGCTTTTCGATGGGCGCTGGCACCGGTTCTCGCGTGCGTGTGTAGTCGTACCAGGTGTGGTGGCTGAAGTCGTGATAATTGTACCCCGTCGCCTCCTCGTCCTTGCCATCGGTGTCGTAGTACCTGACGCAAACGTCCTTGTCCTCATCCTCGTACTGGATAACCTTGACGCGGTGCTCTGAGTGATCAGTACGATCTGAGCGGCCTATGCTGGACACCCTGGCCATCTCATCACCGCTGCTAGCGATGTCTCTACCGCGCTCCAGGTCCTCTCGTATCATCCTTATATTGGTTTTAAATACCGTAGACAATCAACCGGGGTTCTCTGGTCGACCCCGGCGGCTCAAGCGTTCGATATTTCGGTAAAATAGAGCAATTTGGTAATCACCGCCCTGAAAATGATAGAATCTGATATCCGCCGCTTGGGCCGCACATTTTGGGATGGAATCCTCCGTAGTTAAGAATTGACAACCGAAAGTTTCATCTGGTGTGTAGAGCGTGCTGTCGTCTACCCGTCAAGAACGCAGATTGCTCCTAAAATAGTTCCGCCATAATTAGCTAAATTTAAGCATTATACACAATTTTAGAACCTTTGAATTACCGTATATGTGGCCAATATTATGCTTTAGTACTATCAACGGTGACATACGCTGTGTAGACTTAAAATCATAATTTTTTGGATTCGTAAGACCGACATCCAACCTATTACATGATTCATAGTAGCAAATGTGTTGAGCACAGTGACGATACAGTGCGGCACGGCTACTGTATCTAGAACCGGCACATCAAAGGAATCCACATTGATGTGAAAGACGGTCCAGCACATATACGTGACTTCATATGTTAACAATCTATGATTTAGCTCGAAGGTACGCCGGGATATCAGGAATGGCTGTGTAGATGAGCGACGGTGTATCCGAGAAATCGCTTTGCTACGCGTTATACACACTGCCTACGACGAAGGTCGATTCTAATATTCTCTGTAACAAGATATAATCGAAAGGAATGAGATGTGTGTCTCTATTTTCCTCCGTTTATATTATTCATGGAGAGATAGAAGTTGCTTGCGTTCGATTTCGCGTCACGCGCCCTGTTTCTGCGTTTTTAGCACACATAGATGTGTATAATCTAAATTTACTGCATGTGTCGCTTTTAGCTTCAGTTTGTCCTGTCGGAGCGTTTCGGCACCGCTGTCGCGCGACGATGCATTCAATGCCGTCCACACATATAAACCAAATTACAGCAGATATTCACGATAGTATGTGTTGCAACCTGTAGTTTGTAGAGCAGCGTTTCTGTATCTGATTTTCTGGTACCTGCAGCGTGGCTACGGTATTCAGCCAGTGACGGTCGATACGATGGGCCCTCCTAGGGGTGAACCCATATCCTTGGCTGATGTTTGGAACAAGGTAAAAGATTTCACTGCATTGAAAACATCTTTCAGCTTAAAGGAATGTCCATCTCTGTGGACTTCAACCGCAATGATCCAAACAGAGCCCGGCAGAGACTTATCGCCGAATACAATCGCAAGCCTTCCATCTACGTGGAGAACAACCCTTTGAAATCATGCCTTAAGGTGCCCGCAACCGTCGCAGGATTTGTTGGTGATTTATTTCAGCCTGCTGCACATCTGCAGGGTAAGTTTCAGCTTTAGTGTGTTTAAGGTGAGATGCAGAGGAGCGTCGTGATTGCGTGGAGGAGGCGAAGTCTACGCCAGATCTTGCTGCAGGTGCTCCTCGTATCCCGATGTGCGACGTGATTGACCTCTCCGTGTATAAGGTTCTGCAGCGTGCTTTGTGTTACGCCGGTAGGTTAACTCTTTGTTCCTACAACATATCCAGGTGCGGGTTTGGGTCTTGTTGGTGTTGGTCTTGTGACGTTCTTCGGCCTGTTCACCGCTGCCGGCGCTACGTGCGCAGTGGCCGCATGCAACAAGATATCCGAGGACTGCCACACAGATACTTGCAATCCCAATGACAACGAGGTGTACTACGAAGGGAAGCCCATCGTGAACACTCACAACAGTTATACGCCCGGTTCATTCAGCACATTTTCTCCAATGTACGCTCCATCGACTCCGCCGCATTGGTCACACGACCTGTGACCATTAGGGCGACGTCTGCCGACCTGCTTCACTCTTGGAGTTCGCCAAAGTTTTTACTTATTACTCCCACCCATGGATGGGTTAGCCTGCGCTTGTTCGGGCTTACACGCCGTTGCGGCTCCTCTATATGCGTCGTTACAAACAACCTTTAATGCAGTTCTGTGTATCACTGCACAAAATTCTCGTTTAGTTCCACTTCGACAACTTCGCATTCCGAACGCGTGACAACAGTCTTCTCGAGCTCATCGCAGTTGATGGCGTAGGGAAGTTTCAGGGGCATGACGTTCTCGTCGTCCACGTAGCTCACGTTGCCCTGCGATTCATGAACGTCATGAGACCGTAGACCTACCCTCAGGAGCACGATCATGCTTCCGCTTGGTATAAGGGTGTTTCTTTTTAGCAGGAAAACGCGTTTTTGAGAAATGATGTTGATATTATGGGCGTTTTCCGATACATTCAGCGCGCGTAGCACTGGGATTGGGTTTCGAAGAGGGAAGACACTTCTAATAGAGTTGAGACTGAACACGTGCACACTCTGCACATTGTTGAGCCTATCGAACTTTTCCAGTTGTAGTTCATTTCTTTTCTTGACAAGCTCATCCCCCTCCAGCTCACGCTCAGCGTCGTCCGTGATGTAGTCCTGTGCAAGATGTAGTCGCCTTTGTGTTGACGCACCTGTAACATAATCTGTAGAACGTCGTCGATGGTAATAATCCCCGCATGCTCATATGAGGGGTCGCCGCCGGTAGCAGGGTTGACGATGATCTTGCGCACGACTACTACGTGAATCGAGTTTTCTTTGAAAAACGCGAGAATGTCGTTCAACGTGTTTTCCGAATCCACCGCATAGACAGGCTTCCCAATAGTCGCACAGAGGTCATTGACCCTGTAGCTCTTGGAGTCGTCCAGCATGAGCAGGTCCTTGACGACGAGGAACCCTACAATTCTCCTGTCGGGTTGTGTGGTGACGACGGGTATATTTGAGAACCCAGATTTAGCGATATTTTGCGTTACCTCCTTAGTAACAGTGGCGTTTTCTTCGATGTGCACCAGAGCCTGAAGGGGAGTCATGATATCTTCGGCTTTAACCGAGGACATCTCTAGGCAACCCTTGAGCATCTTTGCCTCCTCGAGCGTGAGCACATTTCCCTTCTCAAGCTGCAGGTCGACCAATGCCTTCAGCTGCTGGCGGCTGTAAATGACTTGGTTTGACGGCCCCAGCAGGTAGTCCAGCAGCAGCGCCAGCGGCTTGCAAAAGGGGTACAGTATCCATACCAGAACACGCACAGGCGTAGCGAATATGCCACAGAGACGCAGTGCATACTTCATGAACACAGACTGCGGTGCGATCTCTCCCAGTAGTGCGGTGGTCAGCGTAGAGACAATAAATCCCCAGGTCCTGCGTGATTTGTGTAATGCATGGGCGTGACGTACATGTCTAGCATATCACCAAGCAGCAGCACCATGAGTGCATTCACCATTGAATTGCTTAGGATAAGCGTAGATAAGAGGAGATTGGAGTCTCTGCGCAGCGGCAGGAGGCGTCTTGCATATTTGCTGTTAACGCGATCCTGGTTAGTCGTCGGCTCGACGTATGTTAGCAACTGCAGTTGCAAAATATCAAGGGACATGGAACCCAGTATGAGTCCCGAAAAAAGGGCGCTGGAGACTGCGCAAACAGCGGCGAGCAGCGCCTTCGCCCAGGTGTACATTTTTCGTATGTAAGATAAGGGTGCAAGGCTACCTCAGAGTCGTCACTGGGGTGTAGATGCCGCATAACACCCTCCGCGTTAAAAGCCCGCTTCCAGCCTCCAGCCGCTAGTAGGGCTTACTGTGTGTCTGGTTAACACTTTTTTTGGACGCGTGGTGCACCTCTCCCAGGAAGCCTCCGTAGGAACCGCCCAAATCACCCATTCCTTTTACCGTACTTTACTGTGTATAGATGTGTATAGTTTGTGCTTATCGGCACCCCCGTCTAGAAGGATATAGTAAAGTTGCATCAGACCACCGACAGATGACCCGGTAATTACGTTTCTGGTTCAACATTTGCGAAGACAGACGGTTGTTACCCCGTCTAGAATTCGCCTATACGCAATAACGCAGTAGACACATAGATAACCGCTAGATGTTCGCTCGCTGACTTGCGCCGGTGCGCGTGCCGTCGCGTATGGGGAACGATGTGTATCATGCGCGTTGCTGCGGGCGCTACATCACATTCTTTATAGTTCAAGATGGCAGATTGGGTACCTACAATTAAGCAGCTTGCGCTTGCTGACAACGCGTGCTTCGGTTGCGGCATTGCCAACGTGAGTTTGCCGGTGCTGATCGTCGTCGACAGTGTCTCGATGCTCGTATAAGTGTCATTCTAATTCACCGAATATTCCTCCTATAAGCTTGTTAGCCGTGTAATATGCATGTTTTGCTGTGTACTGCTGCATATACCTTTTCTGACTCCTTTTCAGGCCGAGGACGGCGAGTTGTTCTCCGCCGCCGACATCGACCACGAGGAGCTCTGCTGGGACAGCGTGTACCGCGACCCCTATGAGTACGAGGCGGCTGACGAGACCGGTGCTACTGTGAAGCACCAGATTGTCGAGAAGGCCACCATTATGGAGGTGTTCGAGCAGAAGCGCTCGAGCATCGGTATTTTCATTGGCGGCAACAAGTACACCTTTGCGTCGTACGACGACGACTGCCAGTCGGGTGAATACACTTTCAAGTGTGTGTCGGCCGCTAAGACGAAGGGTGGAGCTCACCTGGTCATGACGCCCGGTGGCTACATCATCATCTGCGTATTCGACGAGACCCGTGGCCAGAACAAGACCACCTCCAGGATGGCTGCCTTTGCCTTGGCGGAGTACATGGCCGCCAACGGCTACTAAGCCATCTTCAGTTTCGGAATACGCATTGTGCGTGTCTGTTCCCGTGGCGCAATGCCGTATGCAGTTCCCTACTTCCTCCGCTTGCAATACATGTTCGACCGCGTTATGAATACGATCGTGATTTAGAGCGGTGCTTCATGTTAATAGACTGTGCGCCGTTCAAAGGTCTCGATTTTCGTGATGTCGGAACAGGCGGCGGCCGCTCGATAGCGGCCGTCGACGTCCGCGTCAACAAGTTTCTCTTAATGTTATATATTATTATAGAATTTGTATGTGTGGGCTGCCGCTGTCTTTTTGTGCCAAGTGGTGGCTGGCTGCCGCTCCCAACAACTCGCACGCGGCCAAGCGGTATGTGCAAAAGGAATCATAGCTTTAAAAATGGTGGCCTTGAAGCTATTGGAGCAGAACGAGGAGTCTGACGACTCTAGTGACTACAGCATCGAGAAGGACGAGTACGACGATGTTGCATCTGGATCAGACGACGAAGAAGGCGACGGCGGCGCTGCCGACGACAATGAGGAGGATTTGGAAGGCGTTGACCCAGAAAACCTTCACGGCAAGGTCGACATGACCGATCTGTCGGCTGTGAAGGGCCGTATAGAGAGCATCTGTGGCGTATTGTCGAACTGGTCGGCTGCGTCTAAGAGTGGCGTGGTGACCAAGAAGCGAGGTAGGTCATATTGTTTCACTGTTAATAGATATTAGGCGCCTACATGAGGGAGCTTAGGGAGATGGTGAGCGCCTACTACGGCTACACAGATGAACTGGCCGAGTACTTCTTGCAGGTTAGGGGTTTTAGTGACGGTTTCCATCACGTTGCAGCTCTTCAGTCCTACCGAGGCCATCCAACTTTTCGAAGCGTTCGAGAGACCGCTACCGATGACGCTGCGTGTTAACACTCTGAAGACCAAGCGGTACGCGGCTGAACGTCGGTTTTTGACATTGTTGCAGTAAGGAGTTGGCTGCTGCACTTATCGCAAGGGGGGCTAACGTCGACCCCGTTGGCAACTGGAGCAAGGAGGGTCTGGTCGTGCACTCGTCTCAGGTGCCCATCGGAGCCACTCCGGAGTATCTCGCTGGACACTACATGATGCAGTCTGCTGCTTCCATGATCCCTGTGCTTGCGCTGGGCGCTCGTGAAGGTACGGCCTCCATGACATGCGTTATCATGCCTTAGGTGAGAAGGTTCTAGACGTTGCGGCGGCACCGGGAGGAAAGACCACGCACATCGCACAGATGATGAACAACGGAGGCATTTTGTACGCCAACGACCTGAATAAGGACCGTTGCACTGCGTTGGTTGCCAACATCCACAGGTATGGGATTCGGCAGTTGCGCCGTTTATAATTCTGCAGGTTGGGAATCACAAACACGATAGTGACCAATTACAACGGTTTGGATCTGAAGGGTGTGCTGCCTCCTTTGGACCGTGTGCTCTGTGATGCCCCGTGCTCCGGTCTAGGCATCATTTCAAAGGACCCCTCCGTGAAGCTCAACCGGACTATTTTGAATCTGCAGCAGAACGCCGACTTGCAGAAACGCCTTCTGTTGACCTGTATTGACATGGTGAACAGCAGCACGAAGAACAATTGCGTGGTGTACTCCACCTGCAGCATCTCAGTAGAGGAGAACGAACACGTCATTGACCACGCGCTGAAGATGCGCGACGTTAAGCTGGTGCCTCTGGGTATGTTTTAGATTTCGCCGATAAATCTTCGTTAGGTGTTGATGTGGGTTCCCCAGCACTTTCGAATTTCCGTGGAAGGCACTTCCACCCGTCGATAGGCATGTATGCGCGGCGGTTTTACCCGCACGTGCACAACCTTGATGGGTTCTTCGTAGCGAAGCTGGTGAAGCTGAGTTCGAAGATCCCGACGCTGCCGAAACGCCATCGCGAACCGCGGTCGAGGTCTGAGGATGCGACTGAACACGAGCCTAAGTTGCATAAGAAGAGCGGGAAGGCTGGTAAACCCAAGGCGTCTAAGGATATGAAGCGCCGGAAACAAGAAGATGAGATAGATCCGGAGGTGACACCGCTGCCTATCAAATCTTCCACGAAACAAAAGGAGAAAAGGCCGAAGGTAGAACGTGAGGACCCTCGCCCCGAAAAGAAGAAATCAAAGGGTACCGCGTCGGCCAAGAGTACCAGGTCTGCTAGGAGTTCAAAGATAGAGAAGAATACCAGGTCTGCTAGGAGTTCGAAGATCGAGAAGAGTGCCAGGAGTTCGAAGGCTGTGAAGGATTCAGTGTCGAAAAAGGTCAGGAAGCAAACGAAGGACGTCAAACACAGCTCGGTAAAATCAAAGGCAAAAGGGAGGACGTCAAAGGCTGCAAAGCACTCGAAGTCCTCATCCAAGAGGCAACGTTAGCCGCGATGCACCGAACCCACGCCAGGTTCACGTAAAATCAGCTCTGAATTCTGCGTGTACCCCGAAACTGAAACTTTACACGAGCCGCAATGTTTGTTATCTATTATGTACGCACTGCGTGTGGTATGTAGGCTGTGGGTTTGCCTTCACTGCTTTCACGGCGTCGTTGCCGTTCACGGGTAGCATGCTGCGTTCCTCATTGGAACATGCACGAGCCGCCACTACAGCCATCCTGCTGCAGGCATCCTAGTACTGTGTCATTTGGGCGTCTCCTTGAGACGCGCAATGGGTCGATCCTGCTGGATTCTGAGGTGCTTATAGTGGCCTCTTCATTTCCGTGTGGTGCGTCGGCGCGTGACTTCAGGTTGTGTATCTCCTGGAGCAGGAACTCGAAAACGTCCTTTACGTTTTGGCCCGAGACTGCCGACGCCTCGAACAAGTGTAGGTTCCACTCGTTGGCGAACATGGCAGCCTGGTCGCGATGTACCTGTCTGACTGACGGGTCCTGTATAGTAAGGTCGATCTTGTTTCCCACTAAGACTACGACGATGTCTGGTTCAGCTGCCAGCCTAAGTTCGTCAAGCCACTTCTGGCAGTTGTAGAAGCTCTGACGGTTTGTGACGTCGTACACCAGCAGCGCGCCGACCGCACGGCGGTAGTGCGCGCTTGTGATGCTGCGATAGCGCTCCTGTCCTGCAGTGTCCCATATTTGCGCCTTCACCGTGCCTCCACTAGCAAGGGGTACGGTGCGAGTGGCGAACTCGACGCCTATGGTCGCCTTGGCTTGCTTGGGCAGCGTCCCCCTGATGTAGTGACTCAGGAGATGGCTTTTGCCTGCGCATCAGTTAATAAGTATATTGCTTATTTCAGCATGTAAGATGCACAGTGAGCACTATATGACAACACGGAATATTCAAAGAATGCGTATGTACTGTCCATCCGCACTGATTCCTCCGGTGTACCACGGAGTCGACCTAAGCGACAAGACGGCCAAATTCCACTGCGCCTATATACGCAGCAACACCAACATCCCGATCGTAGCCACGGAAGAATCTAACTCGATCAACAGACACCATTTGCAACCACGGCCTTTTGGACACAAAGGTCACGACACCACCCATCGTTTACGAATGCGCGTCAACCGCACCGATTCGTCAAGCATTAGGGCTCCCAATCGACATGAATATTTTAACACAATACACAGCGGCGCTTTTCATAGAAAATACCGGTATATATATCACGGATTACGCGTAGACATACCGACTGTCGCATCGCCGAGCAGGATGATTTTGTATACGTTGTCATAATCGTCCTGCAGCATTTTATGTACGTTATGGCGAATGCCTGGCGGCGCCGGTTTCGAGGGTTGCATCGGGCCTTCGATGTGTCCACACAAGGTACCCTCTACTCGCGACTTTTAGGTACAAGATGTGCGACGCCAGTTGCGGTTGAACTATGTGTTCCAGACGCTACATCTGTTTGTTTGCATCGGACCATTGTCTAATTTTATTCCACCGTAAGCAGCTGTGGGCGTTCACGGTTGCTCCGTCGGCGCGTTATGTGTTAGCACGGCCGTGATATCCCGGCAAGCAACACCGCCGTAGAACCACAACGAAGCATATAAGCTATTATCGAACGAGCGATGTGCGTCTACCGGTGTCAAGTAACGTTACTGTCACCATTAGGGATGCGCGTGTCGATGCCAATTTATAACTCGCATCCAACTCACGGCTAACAAACTCTGTCTTCACTGTATTTCTGACGATTTAATACAGCAACTTAGCCTCACCCGTAGGTACTGAGCGAAGATTATCGCTGCCTTTTTACTCGGTGGTGTTTGTGCGGATCCTTCCATTGGGCGGCGCGTGCGGTCCACTCCTTGTTTTTGTTCGATGGCACGAACAGCGATGGATACTACATATGGCATTGCCGGCCTCAATGAGGCGTTTTCGCCTGGGTGTGCGACGGACGCATCGGGTCCTGCCGGCCGCGCCGACGATGTCAGCATGGGTACGACCATTATTGCGATGCACTACCGCGATGGCGTACTTCTTGCCGCTGACAGTCGCACGTCGTCTGGTCCAATAGTGGTAAACCGCGTTGCGCGCAAGATAACGCGCATCTTGCCGAATGTGTTCATGCTCCGTTCTGGTTCGGCGGCGGATTCGCAGATGCTCTCCATGATTATCCGCTACCACGCACAGGCGCTTCGATCGCAACTGAGACCAAACGGACGCGCCAGAAGTGACGATGTAAGCGGGAATGACGAATCGATGCAGGTGGACTGCGAGATGTCGACGGAGGACGAGTACACGTACCAATTCGACGAAGCGGAGGTTTCCCCGCCCCTGCAGGCGCTAGCCACTGCTACCGGCAACCTCGTACACTCCTATCGTGATCAGCTCTATTGTGGAGTGATACTGGGTGGCTATGACCACGAGAAAGGACCTGAAGTCTACAATGTGACATTGGGAGGCACTCTCGTAAAGATATCAGACTTCGTTGCCAGTGGATCGGGTTCTGGTTACATTACGGCATTTCTGAGAGACAACTTCCAGCCGGACATGACTCGCGATCAGTGCCTACAGCTCTTAAAGCGCGCCATCAAGTACGCCATAGACCTCGACAATAGCTCTGGCGGCCTCATGCGAGCAGTCGCCGTTTCGCGCGGGGGCGTCTCAGAGTTCTGTTTCACGTTTTAGCTGAACCTCCTTAAGAAGGTTAATAGTGTTTTGTAACGTTTGTGATATACGCATCGTGAAAGCCACGACACACGTAATTGGCCGGGTGACTTCCAAAGAACATTCCACCCTTACACATGTGACACATCATTCTTTGGAGTTTTACCATTAGGTGTGTTACGGACAATATAATCAGATGCCATGTTTCAAAACGGCGATACATACGCCAAGTGGCACATTGAGACGCCTCAACTAATCATATCAGATGTACACGGCTGGATGTAAAAGAAGCGGCAGATATTTTGTAGCATTCACATAAAATTTAACGTCATTTCAAAACGTGTATCGGTATGAAATCGGTTTTTGCACCGGCGCACCGTAATGCATATGATAGAATCCGCCATCCCTGTCGCGACATCGCACCTTGGTCACTACATATCGAGTAGGGCGAGTTCAAGCCGCCTTTTTACGGCGAAGTCGTTAATTTGCTGCTTACAAAATATCGCTGTGCAGCATGGCTACCACTAACACCCCCGTTTCGCTCGATGAGCTGAAGGTTGCGATCACGCAGGCGTACCCTGGAATTGAGCAGCGTTTGAAGGACACTTTCTCTCAGCATGATATTGCCGGTGAAGGAAAATTGCCGTATGGTGTAGTTGAACCTCTGTTGAGGCACTTTTTGGTGGAATGCGGACTCGATGACTACATGGGCGAGGTTACGGATGCCGAGGGTATGTTTGCTGTTACGTGATTCTGTGGGCGAATTTTTTGCACTAATGTATATCTATTACGGCGTTTGCATTGCTTTTGCTGTGCATTAATATTATATTTGTCAAAATGCCTATATAACGATGTGTGTTACATGGCTGTGATCTGTGTTAAGGTGTGGCTGTAGAGTACTACATATGACCATTATTCTCTTGGCAATTGACTTTTACGCAGGTTCTTTGTCTCACTGCCGCGTTTCTGCCTTCCTTGTAGGCACTTCCCTTGAGGATGTCAGCAACTCGAATGTTGAGCGCATGGTGACCAGTGAGGAGATGATTATTTTGGCTGTCGTATGGTTGAAGGTTATCAGTGACATGTACCAGCGTGAGAGTTCGTTGACTACTGCCGTTTGTGGAGGTCTCTGGTGTGGTTCTGGTGACATGCGCCAGGTTGAGGTTGCGCACGCCATTGGTAACGAAGCAGCTCAGGAGCAGTCTAAGGCGATTGTAGAAGGTGAGATTCCGATTCTTGTTGAGCCGCAATACGTGGAGCACGTGAACAACGCCGATGACGAGAAGCAGTTGACGCAGAAGAACATTGAGCACTACATCCAGACATTGGTGAGTGAGGCTGCTGCCAACAGGCAGAAGGGTGTTAAGTGCTTCGTGTACTCCTCTGCCATGACTACGAATGGAGGATGCGTCAGCGCAGGCGCGGCAGTTCCGCAGCGCAGGGAGCGCGTGCACAGCCGCAGGAGGGCAGCCACTGGTTGCTGCTAGATCCAGTTGTTATTATTGATGGCAGCCAAAAACACTGGTTGTCAGTTTATTTTTGTAAACTAAGCACACTCATTTTCATTAATTTCTATACACCTGTGCAATGCGTAGCTCTTTGGCGCTGTTGGTACTACATGTCGCCGGCTGTAGCAAGGGAGCTTTAGAGGTGGCGACCGCCTAGAGGTCGTCCCATACTGATGCTGTGCAGTCAAAGCAACTACTCGACTGTGTAGCTTCTATAGTTGATACGCGAGTGGGTCCTCAGGAACCCCCGATGAGTAACGCGTTTGTGTGTCGAATTAACAACTGCTGGGTGTGCGACTCTAGCCTCACAGAATTATGCGACTTTCTGCCCTTACTCATCACTAATATAATTTGTTAATACTATAAAACGCGTCTTGTATCAGAAGCTTTAGTTTAATGATATTTTGGCTGTGGAAGGCTACGCTGTATTGCTGGATACGATTTTCGCGGATTGTTGCTGTGGACGGCCACACCAGCTGATGAACACACCTAAATTTTAACGCAAAACCCATACCAACGCAATATCTCGACCGTATCGCATGTCCATTTTTTAAAACGTACCTCTTTTGTACCTGATAATGCCTGGTATAAGCATGCGCATGTATGACTGTCGTCGATGTGTCTTTTGCTGGTTAGGGGCTTGGAATACGTTTTTATGTGCTTTGGTTGTATTTTAGCCATTTCTATTTTGTAGGTGTCGCCCGAATAGTACGGCAACAGCCGAATTTGTGAAGTGTGCCGTCGTTGGTTGCAAACATGGCAAACAGTGGGAGGGACGGCAAGAGTGATGACGGGAATTCAAGTCCCGGATCAAAAAAGAAGTCCTTCGTGAAGAGCATGGTCAAGGGTGGCATTTTCGGTGGGGGACGTTCACGTGCTCAGACCACCGACGCCCAGCAGAAATCGGATGGGCAACAGGCGGAGAGTGCGCCTCGTCATACGGCTCCTGCGGATGCTCGTGAGGAGCAGCAGAAGCGTGCGAGGTTCCTTGCTGAGAAATACGAGAAGATAATCGCAGCGCGTACTTCAGCGGAGTCCACGGTAGCCCGTGCAACTCAATCTTCTTCTTCTGCTTCTGCCGCTGCCGCCGCGGCTTCCCGAGCAACTTCCACGTCGCAAGCTGCCGAGGCACCTAAGGCGTCTGTTACATCTAAGGCGTCCGATGCGCCTAAGGCTTCTGAAACAGGAAAGGTTTCTGTTACATCTAAGGCGTCCGATGCGCCTAAGGCTTCTGAAACAGGAAAGGTTTCTGTTACATCTAAGGCGTCCGATGCGCCTAAGGTTTCTGAAACAGGAAAGGTTTCTGTGGCATCGAAGGTCTCTGAGGCACCCAAGACGTCTAAGTCGTCTGATGCACCCAAGACGTCCGAGTCTGCAAAGGTTTCAGTGACTCCCACGGCGAGCCCCGCACCTCAGCCAGCGCCTTCCACTGTGCAAACTCCGGCATCACAGACGAATGCGGAGAAGACCAGTGCTTCCAGTGGAGCACGTGTTCGTACACTAGCCGACCTTCAGCGTGAAGATGAGGATCAAGGAGGACACCCGCTTGGTCCACACGCCCCGCGTGTACGTTTTCAATCCTCGGCCGACGAAGATGTCTCAACAACTCGTGGTGGCGGGTTTTTCGGCCGGAGGGTCATGTGCCCTGTCCGTCGTGAAGTGAGGGGCCGCTTGTTCCCTGGCAGATTGTTTATGATGCTCAGCAGCACCATCCTGATGACCGTCCTGTTCATATACCAAGCGTACTTGAACATGTCGACATTCAACGGACGTTGCGTAGGAGGCGTGGACTACACTCACAAAATCAAAGACCGCGCGATTTTCAACCCGATTGGATACGCGGCGTGTGAGAATAACTTGAAGACGAAGGCGGCTGACCGATACACCATTGGTACGGGAGCCACTGACGAAGGCTACCCCAGAGATTTTGTGCATAATGGCGCCGACGGGTGGTCGATGGCTCCTCCAGATGGCCCCAACCCCCGTATCATCTACCTTTTTGGTGCTATGTCGCCCAACCACATCCGTTTGTACAAGGAGTCCTACCGCCTTTGGACGTCAATCTTTCTACACAGCGGTTATTTCCACTTGTTGAACAATATGGTGACGAACATCCTGTTTCTGTACATTCTTGAGCCGGTGAGTCGCAACAGGTTTGCATCCTATTCGCTTTCAGGACTGGGGTTTTCTGAGATGCCTTTTTGCCTATCTGTTCTGTGGATATGCTGCCAACCTGGTTCACGCCAGCATGTCTCCGTGCTACGCCACGGTGGGTGCATCGGGCGCCTTGTTTGCTTTGTGCGGCGCCTTGATTCCGTACGCTGTGGAGCAGTGGGACAAGCTGCGTTCCCCGATAGCCATCATAATAATCTCGGTTGTCCTGTTTTTGTTCGACGTGCTTATCCCGAAGAAGGGCGTGAGCTCACATGCGCACTTTGTCAGTTTCCTTCTATGAACTCATATTTTATCACAGGGGGGCTACTTGTTTGGAATCTGCTACGGCTTTGCCACTATGGAAACTGCTTTACTGCTCGACCGGGGGGCACTTTTCCACCGATTTGTCCTGAATTGCTTCGGAAGGAATATGTCGGAAGAAAAGCAGCAACAGTACCGGGAGAAAATTGCAAGGGGTGCCCGGGCCAGTGAGCTTGCTCGTATTAAATACGAGCAGACGGCGAGGGATCGTGTGGATCGTTTCAGATGGTTGAAGAAATTCTTGGGCGTATATCCTCTGGGGCCTTACCGCATGAGGCTCCGTGACATCATAATTAGGGTTGTATTTTTCCTTATTATGGTGGGTTGCTTTCCATGTGTTTTAAACATGACATCAGATTGCCATGTTCATATACTTCTACATGGCGACTTATTACGAAAGCGTGTACAGCAAGCTGAGTCCCCAAACGAACGCTCTTTTCAGCCGCCACTGTTATTGCGGTTTCCTCAAGAAGGAACCGGAGGAAGATCTCCTTCGGTACCAGATTGGAGGATTAGGTGGACAATTCTACTGCTTCCCAGGAGTCAAGAGCCGCATAGCCTTCTGTGACCCAGGTGACGGGATTGATGACTGAAGGCACGCGTGTAAGCCGTTTCGCCAAGCTTCAACGGCAGACTTCTTATCTTTGTTTCTAGCCGTTTGATTTTAGCAGCGTGACAAGTACCTGTCAATATTTGGGCAAGGGATTTACGGGATGCGATTGCCTGTAAACTAAACTGGGTTTAGTGCTCTTGTTTCCTTTCGACGAACGGTGTGTGTTATGTGATTTCCGCCCACATTGCCGTCTCGTGCCCGCGGGGAAGATGCCTTTAAAAACGTGGGTTTCATGCCGCATGTGGATCTCACTTCAGATTTAGGTGGAGCCGAGAGGCGCAGACGCATGTGTCGAATGAGGATTGCATTGAGGCTGCTGCTGTGCAGAAGTTATCATTGGGGTCCTCTGAGGCGCACATTTGCATTTGCACGTAGCCGTCAACTGCTCGCTGTAAATATAGATTAGACGATGCTGAGTATTGTGATAAATCATTTGGCGGATTAGGGCAAGGAAGGGTGCAAGCACCAGCGATTAATTCTAATAATATAGAAATAGCTTCAAGACGGAGGAAGCACAGGACACTCAGGTACGAATATGTTGCGATAATGTCAGGGATACCGTTCAAATAACACACGGCATACAGAACGGTACCCTATGTGATGACGTCCTCCGGTAATGCGACGCATGATGGACGGTAATTCGTGGACCGTCACTATTGGCGGCAGCACCTGACAGGAGGTGTCACAAATATTGCCATAAGTGTGGCGAAAGATGAGACTATGTGCGCTATGCCGCACCCCCGGTGCGGAGCGTAAACCTTATCAGCAATTACTGCTCTTGCTGGTATATGGAATCAGTTGTGACGTTTATCTCATCCATGTACATACATTACGTGCGATTTTTGAATAGGCCGTGAAAGTTCATGTTGGTCTCCCGTCGAGTTTTGTTTCGTGCGTTGAGTGTCGTATTTATATGAGGCCTTCTCACGTACGCCTAGCCACACTCCTTAACATCATTAAGTCGTCCATCAACGTCATGGCGTCTGTGGCGCGCCTCGCATTTGGCGTTAGGCGCGCGGGCACGCCGCAGATCAGTTGCGTGTTGCATTGCGTGGCGCGGCGCTGTCGGGGTCAATCTTAGCATGCGTCTATGGGGCGTGATGCATATTGCAACAGTACTGCTATACAGGTGCCATAGGCATGTTTTGCTATTGTGGGTTAGCGGCTGTCTGGGCTGGTGCATTCTTGCACACTTGCGGTGGTCTTACACCATGTAGTGGTCTTCGTTGGCGACGGACTCTTCCGTCCTTGGCATTCTAACCTCGTATTCGGCGACTGCCTTTCCGGTACCTACGCTCTATGAGAGTTAACAGCGGATGCATTACCTGAGAATGGTGCCCACACGTCGTCCTGTTCATTGTAGATGGCGCTGTCTTGATCGTCCAAGTCGTCAGATTTGGACGGTCTCTCCCATACTGCGTAACAATTAAAGGTCGACTCTGCGTTCATACCGAAGTTAAGACTGATGAAAACGGCCGCCGTGTAGATGATGTCGACGGCGTATGCTGCGATGCCGGTGTTTTTGAGCAATTCAGGCGACCAGACAAGCTGCAAATTGCATGCACATTTTGCGTGTCTATCCCACCTTTTCGTATGCTATACCGGTTGCCAGCAAGAGTATGTCCGAGCACAATAGCGTGAGGCCTGAGAAGGTCATTACGGTGATGTGTATGCTGAGCATACTTACTGAATGTCATCATGCCCACAAGTCCAAGCCAAGTCGGCTGTACAATTAGCACTATGAGCAGCGTAGCTGAAGGAAGTCAATCACACATTTGTCTAACATACCGCAGACGAGGTCGACAGTGCAGTTGACGCGGTTCGCGCTGACGCCGTGCAACGCCGCCGCCAAAATTGCGAATACCGCCGTGCATGAAAGCACAGGACGTATCTTGTAGAATGTGTCGTGCTCCAGCCGTCCTCCGTAGTCATAGAGCTCCATTGTGTCAAGTTTTATTCAGGTGTGTTCAGCGGGATGTCGCCGACGGTGTGTAGGCGTCGGTGTGAGATTCTTGAGATGTGTGCGATTTCCCAGTCACAGGAGCCCAGGATACCGACGGTACGTCTTGCGTGTGTGATGGCGTGGTTGTCTAGGTAATGGTAAGACGCGCCGACTGTGTCACTTGCCTGTGGGGACGTGGCGTTGCGCTTCTTGCGCCAATAGGCTACTTTATGCACCGTGGACATTTACGTAGCTTGACCATGCGTCATAAAAATGGTAAGCTGAAAGTTTCGGCTCTTGATGTCTGTGATCAGTGGCTCTTCGACCAGTTTGATTCAATCATCCACCGCGGCAACGGTTTTTTCGACAATGCGCCATTTGTTTGCCGTTACCGGTGCTACCCGGTCTCTTTTTTAGGGAAGGAGGCGATGGAGCGCGGCAACAAGATATCCATGCCGCCAAGCGCGTTGAACGAGCTGGCCTCTCGCAACATTACGTGGCCCATGATGTTCGAGTTGCGCAACGATCTTAAGGGACGATCCAGCCATGCTGGAGTACTTGAGTTTGTGTCCGAGGAGGGCATGTGCCACCTCCCGTACTGGGTGAGTTATGCAATACATTTATCGGCCGGATTAGGCTGGTGTTGTTGCCTTCGTCGCCGTAGACATTGAAGGGCACCAGATTCGTGATATGTCAGTGCGCATGTGCTGTCTTATTGCGTATTCAATGCAGCCGAATGCATTTGTTTTGCGTGCCACTTATACATGTACACATTTGCTGCGTGTTATCAGTGTGCAGATGATGCAAAACCTCGGACTGGAGGAAGGCGATTATCTGACCATACGTAATGTGCGCCTACCAAAAGCGGAGTGGGTGAAGTTCCGCCCGCGTAACGACAACTACTGGGAGATTTCAAACCCCAAGGCTGTGTAAGTGCTTTGCATTTATGAGTGTCACCGACATCAGGCTGGAGACAGCTCTTCGCAACTTTACAACCCTAACAGTTGGCGACAAGATCCCTATTCACTATCTGACCAACGTATACGAGCTAGAGGTGATGGAACTGCGTCCCAGCGACGCGTGTTGCATTATAGAGACCGATATGGAGGTCGAGTTCGCCGAGAGCCGGAAGAAAAAGAAAACCGAGCAAAAGCAGGTGGTGTCTGGCAAGCGTCTCGATGGAAAGGCTAGCGTGCTGCGCCAAGAGGAGGCGACCGTCACAAAGCCTTGGCTCAACAAGCTGGAACACGGCGTTAGGGTGGGTTGGCATCGGTTTTCCGTGAAAAGTGTGTCAGACTTCGTGCGAAGAGTTCGACAGACTCGTTCGCCTGGGCAGCGTGGCGTCTTGCTCTCCTAAGCGATAACACATTAATGTAGCATACTGAAATTGTGGCCGGTTGGGCGCGTCGGCTCCGCCGCGAGGCACTCACTCTAGGACGACTCAGTCGTAAAATGGCAGACGAACGGGCGTGTGCGCCGCACTTATCTGAATTTTACAGTTGTCTGGGCCGATCTGGGCGTGACCTATCGCAATGTGGCCGCGAGCTGGGCGCGCTGCGCCAGTGCAGTGATGGGTAGGCCCGTAGGCGCGTTTCTTGACATTTTTCAGGGACAAGAGTGAGAACTACTGCGTTGGCGAGCTTACTCGTTTGATGCGGTGCACAGGGTGAGTGTATGAGTGTGTTGTATGCCGGTGGAATCATCGACAAGACGCCGCACGGGCTTTACGTAGTTTCTGTCCATAAGCTTCATCGTATCGCAGCGAGCCCGATCGCACAGGTTGTGCGAAGGAGTTCATCGCCTTCCGCGAGTGCCACCGTCCCGGAGGACCCGAGATACTCATCAAGGTGAGTTACACGGAGCTTTACGACGTCGATGTGTGCTACGGCATTTTAAACAGTGATGCCAAACATGGCGTATTTCAAGCTGTTTACAGCTGCAAGAGTTGCTGTTATTCTAAATTTTGCGTAAATGCTGCTTTGTGATACTCTGCCATCGACGTTGATGGCGGTTACAACTTCATGTTGTATTACTGGTTGACATAATAACGCAGGACAACATGTACAAGATCAGCAAGGACCATATGCACAAGTACAACGTTACTTCTGATGAGATCTGCCCTGTTTCTGCCCCAAGGCGCGACGGAAAGGCCATAAGTGCCGCGTTGGATAAGCTTCGCGCTGCCTGCGGCTTCAAGAACTTTGAGGAGAACGTCACTCCCAAAGTGAAGATTTGATGCTGCGGCGAAGCGCTGTGTGATTTTACACGGACATAATTCTAACAAATATAACCGTTCATGGACAGCGCATAGATATGGATGGCATGTATGCGTCGAACACTGGCACCGTGTTCATTGCATTACCTGTCCCTGACATTGATTTATGGATGTTTATAGCTGGCGTTTTATTGTCTTAACGAACTGCATGTATGTACTATATACTTTCTCATGCGATTAGCTGGCTGCCAAAAGCGTCGGCTGTTGTCTATAGGTTTTTTACCACAATGCTCTCCTTGCCTTCACGCTCGATGATGTTGAAGGAGTCGTTGAATGAGCTAGAATGCAGCCACCGGGTCACGCGGTCCGGGTCGAACTTGAAACCCTTTGCGATTTGAATGAATAGTGGGATGTCGACGGCGGCCTCGGCAGTGGCGCTAACTTCGGCCTCGTCAACTTCCATCTCGGCTTCGCTCCTATGCAGTTTCATGGCGTCTCTCCGGCGCAGGTTACGCTCTATTTGCGCCTGTATGGTGTTGCGCAGAATTTGGACGAGCACGTGATCGTCGCCCTCGAAGATCATGCGGTAGCGTGAGTATTCCCTCGCGAGTTTGCAGGCAATCGAATGGCGTTGAGAAGAGATGTACGACTCGAGCAGTGTAGCAATGGCCATGTCCACATCGCCGGAATTGATGTGGCTCGATAGCCTCATCTTTGCGTTGGCCTCCGCAATACGGATCACCGATTCGATGTGCCTAAGCGTGAGTGGGTATCCACCACCGTAAGCCGTCTTCTGCCGAATAGAGCTGTAGAATCCGGCCAACTTGCCCTCGATCACCCGGTAGAATTCCGGGGAGATGACTGGTACACAATTGGCTTTTGCATAGCGGAGGTAGTTCGAAAATTCCTTTTGACTGAGCGGTTGGCATGCGGAAGAAGTGCTGATCTTGTTTTTAAGATTCTGCACAACCTGCTCGTAGTTTGCGACGTTCTCTATCTTGGGATGCAGCAGCTGGTGGTTTGTGATGACGTATTCGCTCAGCAGCAAATCTTCATGCGTGTTTGGCACGTCCTTCATAACGATAATGAGATCGAATCTGCTGAGAATCGGGTCTGAAAAATCAACGTTCTCTTTAAAGGTAAGCGATGGCTCGTAGCGTCCGAATATCGGGTTAGCCGCGGCGACAACCGAACACCTGGCCTTTAGCGAAGTGACGATACCGGCTTTTGAAATGGAAATCGACTGCTGTTCCATAGCTTCGTGAATGGACACTCGATCCTTGTTTGACATCTTGTCGAACTCGTCGATGCAGCAAATACCTAAATCGGCCAGCACCAACGCCCCTCCTTCCAGCGACCACTCGCCCGTGGCTGGATCGCGCCTGAGCCCCGCTGTCAGACCCACCGCGGATGCACCCTTGCCGGTGGTTAACACACTCCTAGGCGCCGTCTTGTGTACATATGTGAGGAACTGCGACTTCCCCAAACCGGGGTCACCGACAAGCAGGACGTTTATATCGCCCCTGATGCGGTGAGATGAATTGTTGGCATTGGCATCACCCTGCTGCGTGGGTTCGGCCTCCGAGTTACTGGCTCCCCTGCCCTTACCGACGCCTCCGAACAGGGCACAGCATATGGCAGTCTTCGCAGCCTTCTGACCGAAGATGGCTGGCGCCACAGATGCAATGAGCCTTTCACGAATGCATGGGTCCCTGGAGAGCTTCTTAATATGTTGGATGTCTTCCGATGTAAGGTCTTCTTGTATGCTTTGGTTGGTTTCAACTTCTACCGACACAGCCTCCAGTTCCGTCTTCAAAACGGGGAAGTTGTGCTTAATGTTCAGCGCCACGTCGTACCTGCTCTTGTATACGGCAAGCACCTGTATGAGGTCACCGGGACGGCACGCGTCCACGAGATCACCCGACAAAATAACCGAACGTTGCCTTGGCGTTCTGCCAGCTTGGACGGATTGCGGGGGCTCTTGTATGGTGACCTTTTGGTAGTCATCGTACACCGTGTTGATGCGGTCCACCGAGAACGAGCCTCCGCCACAGTAGCCACACTTTTGGGGGTACATTGGCTTTTGCTGGTCGCTGAAGTATATGGGCATGTCAACACCCCCGTCACAAAGGCTGCACTTCAGGTATAGCAGCCTTAGCTTTGGCAACACGAGGCCTCGGCGCACGACGATACCGCTGAGTTTGACCAACGTGTTAAGCTCTCGGCTTCTTAAGTTGCACAACTGTGTGGAAAATGGCCAGTCTATGAGTGCAACCTTGCAATAACGACCTTTGTACAGCCTCTTTCTCTTTCGGTGGGCTTCTACATTGACGCAGTCATTGAGAACTGGCAGTACGCCGATAGGATTGAATTCCAGCCACGGGATCATATTCTCACAGTGGAAAGCCATGAGGTGTGGCACCGATACCTTGATGATGTTGGCATCGTCCTGAATCATCTTGTCAATACGATCCAAATAATAGAACCGTGTGTCCTTTTCGTTGAGCTTAAACCGGTAGAGGAAGTACCTGAAGAGCGTGTCGACTGCCTGCTGGAACTTCTCGTCGAAGTGGCTCGATGATGGATCTGCGCGAAGCACTGCCTTTGCTCCTTCGAGCATAGTGAAATCCGGAGCGTCAGAATCGCCCTTTTGCAGCTGCTTGCGTCTGCTTTCCACACGCTGAACGATGCGTTCGAATATCCCATCTTCCGCCGACTCCTCATCGTGCTTGAGAATCTGCCGCCAGAGCTGTTGATGACCGCGACTCTCAATCTGACGCTGTTGTTCCTCATATCTGATGCGCCTTTCAGCAGCTCTGCGTGCCCTTGGGTCGTCAATGTACTCTTCTTCATCAATAAGCGAGTCATCGTACTCGTCGACGTTGATACCAAGCTTGGCGAATCCCTCAGCTTCCCTTTCGATATCATCTTGGCCGACCACAAACCCGGTTTCCTCATCGAACAGGTCCTCTCCTTCCTCGGAGAGCACTACTTCTTCTTCCTCCACCTCATGGAAGTGCTCCCTGTTGTCTTCCAAGGCCTCTGAACCATAATTAATCAATGCTCATGACACATTAAAACCACATAAGGGCGCACTAGTGACATAATACAACCACAGTTCAGTGGTTGGAGCGAAAAGATCGTTAGTACTCCGCAGACGCGCTTACGTGCGACGGCATATACTGGGACACTGTTGTCGCCCATAATCACGCATTCATACACGCCATACCACTACAGCATCCATATACAGTTTGTTTGAGCGATATAAATACGTAGAAGGTTGTGAAATAGCTTACCTTCCTCTGACTGTGAATGGAATTCTTCATCGTCGTCGCGACCGTAGTTCGCACGCCGGCTCTGAAGCGCTGTGATTCCACAAAGGATTTATCGACTTACCATTTTTGCCACCGTGATCAATTATAAAATTGAATAGCGGCGTTACCTATGGGGGATTACTCATCAGACACAGGTAAGGGTGTGTGCAGTTCCAGCGGCACAGCGCATGTTTAGCAACCTCAATGTTTTATTAAAACGAAGGTCAGTTTAAATATTATTATATATGGAAGCGAGCGGTAGACTCGTCCGCTGCAATCCTCACCGTTGCGCCATCCTTCCTCGCGGCGGGAATGCACAGCGCCAGCTTTTCCACCGCAATAAAGACAGGGAATTATATATAAATGAAGTGGTTGACGTTGCGTAGATTGTCTCAGCTGTCTAATATGACATATCGTACGCATTAGCCACTAAGGCACCAAGACACTAATTTTAAATAAGCATCGACCGCTTGCAGATCACCCAGCACGCCGAATTCATGCCTTCCACTGCTTAGATCCCACCACGGTGCAGTTGAGGCCTACTTGGCATATGATCGTTTGTCCGCATATGTCGAGTTTGACTTTCTCGCTCAGGTACCTGTCTCCGTTGTTTAGCTCAAGGATTGCACTCACCATCCGCAGCTGTCGGTTGAGAACGTCCTTGGCGCGACATTAAACAATGAGTCTTCGATTTGTACTTTGAGCTTTGGCGCGTTTTTCATAAATTCGCTACGGGTCATGATGTTGGCTGCGGCGTTGTGAGAATGAGAATGGGACGCGTTTATATTAACGTTTAACAAACAAAACAAAAGACACATTGCTGTGGATATAGTTGCCGAAGGCCTCCCTGTTGGCGCCACAATAATGCGTTTGCATGTCGGCGCGAATATGAACTGGCCACCAACGGTTCATGGCAACAGGCAGGGCGGTCCAACACGTTGACTCGTTCACAATTCACAGGTTTGCTATAATGTACTACACATACCCTGGTTCTGCTTCGCCCTTTTCGCCAACTTTTCCACCTCGTCACCTGGTTCCGAGATGACGCTGGGAAGGACCTCTATTGTCTCCGTAGGAGCAGTTCTTTTAGTCGTATCGGGCTCCTCTTCCAGGCTCTCCAACTTAACATCGCTCTCTCCCGCATCCAACCCCTCGGATTTGATGAGATCCTGAAGTTGCTCGGTGCCGTACATCTCGGTCAGGGTTTCAAGGATGAGCTCGTTGACTTCTTCCCGGCGCCCGTCGAAGTAGGCGGCAGGTTTGCGAAACCTTCTGCTCAACTCCTCTCTCATGGAGAGTAGGCTGGTGTTTTGGAGGCCATCGAGCTTGATGATGTCTCTGCGAAATTATAGACAGGCCTTTACACGCGACGCTGCAGCCGCGTTTGACCTACCGCAGAGCCTCCCGAATCTCATCCCTCGTGACTGGTGTAAGCATAGACTTGCTCATGGTGACAATTGCGTGGTCACTGCGGATGAGTTGCGTCAGGATGTAGAATGATGGCGCCGGCGAAGGCGGGCTGGAAGTGTGTTGACGCCAGCCGCAGTCTACGTGGCTTACACATCTAATGTGTGGTCATCATAGTAAACTTTGGAGCACACTGATGTGTAAATAGACGGCAAAACGAAAGTGTGTCTGGTTGCAACCTGGCATATGCATGTACGGAGCATACACACTGAACTTTCCGTATGTTACAGGAGATTGGCAAGGCTTCGCACGCCAGTATGCCCATTCTCGGTTCTAATGCCATGTATACGAGGCCAGTGAACTCCAACATTACGGTTGAGCCCTTTGGGGGTGGCAGCAAATACGTTGGCACACATCACACAGCGCTAGTCGCTGACATCACTCCATGAGTGTAATACGTCTTAATCGTTAATGGCTAACGTAAACTTAATATAGTTGGCATGTTTTCATCTGCGGGGATTTGGAACTACAGCCACACGCAGGTCACCTTAACAATAGCACTTATCTGTGCGCCACATCAATAAACTGCCTCAGCATTATATACAACTGAGTGCTCGCATGTACTGTAAATATAGCACTCGCATCTCGTAACTTGTCGCATTTAGAGCTTAACAACTTGCCGCATCTGGGTGGAGAAGAGGCCCATGCGATCCACTCGCAGCACGGCGTGCTTTATCTGCACGAAGCGCTGTAGCACCGATATCGACGCGTCCGTTGGTATGCAGCGGTCCAGCGAATTTCGGTTGTGCTGAATCCACGACATGTGGAAGAGCGTTTCGGCGTTTTCTTTACAACGGTACGCCAGTGTCTGGGCCAGCTCGCAGCCGAGCACGTCCACATCAAACCTCTTTTGGGCGAGGACGTTGAAGAAGTCTATGTAGCAGCAGCACCAACACGGTGATCCATCCGCATTGTACGTTAGGTGACATTTTGATATGAAAGCAGTGTTGGCTGCCCCCTCTTGGTCCCTCATCTCGACCCCCGATGTGTCCACGTCACAGCAGTCCGGGTCGAATTGGTAATCCGCGAGGGATCCGGTCATTATGATGTCAGTGGAAACGTCATCATTCCCCTCTAGCACCTTGGTGGGTATAGGGCTGTACAACCTGCAAAATCGGAGCCTCCTCAGTGCCTCCCACTGTAAATCTTTCTCGAGAATTTTGTGGGAAATCGAGCTAAGTTCTGTCCCCACGAAGTTACGCTCCCTCCTACGCCGTCCGTAGTTCCTGAATCCGCCACGCATACCCTTGAGTTTAGCTGCCGCAGGTGTTACGTCAACGTTCATATCGCCTTTATCTTGATCGCTGCTAGACGCGTCATCCGCCTTTTGATCGCTCCAAACAGGATTATGAGGCCTCATTGTTTTTAGGCTAACATCTGGTTCTGTAAATATGAACGTCCCCTTCGTTCCGGGGAGTCCCATTGCCATTAGCGGATGCAATGATCTCAATGTTATGTCGACCCTTTCCTTACTATAATAGTTTCGTCGTTTCTCCTTCTGGCCAAGGCCATATGGCGATGAGGTGTGAGTTTTGCGAACCTTGGTGCTTTCTTTGGTACTGCCTTTCTGTTTAGCGCCGCGGCGTTTCCGAGGACTACCCCCATCCTGCTGTTCACGGGCAACGGCATGTCCTGCGGTGCTGCCATCACCCATACCCTTGGCGCCTATATCAACGCCGATATCACCCTTACCGCCCGAGAGCTGCTGCGCAACATAGTTGAAGCACGCAATGCTCTCTGTGCTAGTATTGCTGATTGAATGCGGTAGTTCCTTATGCTTGGAGTGAGACGTCCCGCTCCGCTTTATATGGTACCGAGCTGCCGTTTCTACAAACCTCTCCAGCTCGTCTTCGTGATTTTGAGGGTCCGTCACCGGGGATAGAGGAGAATCGTTGGGTTCGTCCTCATCATCCTCGGCCAACGCACCATCGATAATAAGGAGACCACAATTTCTGGGTTCTCCAGGCTGGTGATCCTTTTCCAGAAATTGCGGGGAATGAGCGTTAGTGGATGTTAAAGCAGTCTGTTCTTCGTCCTCACTGTGCGTGTTATATCCAATTGAGTCATTGCTATCGGACGTCTGTGGGCTTGTCATTTCAATGGAGCAGTTCGGTGGCAGCGCCACGTGTTCGAATGTGCTTCCGATAACTGTGCTCGCCGAAATGCGACGTGCTACCGCCCCTTGTTCCGGCATCACACTCTCGGTGTCGGACATTGATTCGTTGTTAACAGACATTGTCATTCTGTTGAGCTGCCTTTCCACCCGGTAAGGCCTAGAGGATGTGTGGGAAAGGCTGAATGGGCATTAACACCACCGATGGAAAGCCTTGGATGTGCTGCGCAGTCTAAATTGATCTCCTTCTTCTTCAAAGAGACATACAGCGCTAATATAGAGGGCGCAGTAACAGCCTCTTAGCGGCCTTGCTGGTCGACCTCAAATTTGTATCACGGTATCAGCGCCTTAACCAGCCTGATGTTGTACACGATAATACCAGGGCTTTTTACCCCCGTACCAAATCAGTTGCTAGAACATCGCACTGATACCCGTAGGTCTTTCTACGCCCCAATCGTCTACCAAAGGGCTTTATTGATCCTATCAAGATTCAGCGTCAGCTGAAGGCCTGATTACCTATTTATAGGGCACGCACACACTTCAACTCGCGTGCAAATAGCCATTCTGTTGTACATACCTTTTTGTCTTCAGTGTTTTGGGCTGTTTCGCCTGTTACCGGTACGCACTTCGTGGCATGCCAGATATTCGGCGGCAATTAGCGGCTACGGCAACTTTCGACCGCAACCGTGCTACCCGCAGATAATGTTGCAATAGTTACGGTGTGTACCGGTGCCACGGCGCACGACATTTAGCAACATCTATCTCCGGGGCTGCCTGGCGTCATCCTCCCTCGGCGTACCTAATTAAAGTCGCAAATTCGGCACATTAGCCTGTACATCTTGCAAGTACGCATCCTCCGGCCAGCCCGAGCTGCAGATTGCGATTACGAATGGTTATGGCTGAATTCGAATGTTTGCCAGTGACGGCCAACTATGGTGTATAGTTACTGATGCGCGACACGGTAACAAGGTCGTCAAAGGTCGCCCAGGAGATATAACTAGTTAGTTAGTGCCCAGTGGTGAGTTGCGGTAAGCCGCGTTAAAAAACAGCAACTTCGGTTTAGTGCCCGGCGACCGGTTCTCCGCGTCGTGGTGGGATACTACGAGGGGCCTGATGAGCTGGTGGTGCTACACAGGCTTAACGCTGCTCAAGTTAATCAGTGAGATTGACATAGTTGGCGCCGGAAGCGGCATGGATGGAGGTCTCGCCTTCGCGTCTATTAGTGGCGTGCCAAGAGTCCGCGGCGCGCCTTTCATTTCTGATAAAGCGAAGAATTAAAAACCATACTACGGTCATTACGCTGCTTTTTAGAATGTTTTGATGGCTTTACAAGAATACCGGGAGGGAGATTCTACATACCTAAAACGTCCGCCTCCTGATTAATCCGAGGATGTTCATGCTGCTTCGTTGTTGTCTGGCTGTCTTTTTGCCTGGCTTTCCGCGACGTATTGTAACGATATTTGTCTAATCGAGATGTCGGTTCATTATTTTAAAAAAATCTCGCGTTACTTGCGCATCCCGCTTCGGCGACGAGTCATCCAGTACCTTACGTTCCTCTGCCCTTCGTAGACAGGCCTGGGCGCTGCGATATTAGCCTCTCTTCGTGCTAGTCGTTTGGCATATCTGGCCATTGCGTCCAGGCGTAACTGCTCTCTGAGCTCCGCGGCCTGCCGGGAAAGTTCCTGCTTTACCTTAGAGGCCGGCTCTGTTTGCTCAGTCGCCACATGGGCCACTAGCCTACGAAATATCGTGCATATTTTCATAATAAATCGAATGGCTGTCTACTTAGCCGATGGCTCGCGCAGCGGTTATGCCTGACTGCGGAGGTTGCGCGTTCAAGCGCTCCGAATGCAGCGAGTCGGAGTAGCGGTTGTTTGTAGCCGTTGATCAGCGCCCGTGTTGGTGTTTTATACAGCAACACCGGGAGTGGCTGTTCACGGTAGCAGCATCTCACTGCTCCCTTTCAGTGTGCAGCATGGCTTTCGGCACCCTCGAGAGCTCAGCAGGCAGAGATTTCAAATCCCACTGCCAGAGGATGCTTAGCATGTCGGAGGACTGCAAGGAAGTAGGCGACTCGGACTGCGGCACAAGTGACTGCAGCTTCCTGAACAACCACTCCTACAAGGGCCGTAACTTCTCTGGGAACTATGCGAGCGACAGTGCGAGTGTAAAGTTACCGGACGCCGGTGAAGCTCCCACGCCGATCCCCGTAACTGCCACCACCCACGGTCGTGAACCACCCAAGACTGCCAAGACAAAAAGCGTACGTGATCTCGAGTGCGAGGAGTGTCTGCGTCGTTTGCACAGCCTAGCCGTTGGCGACAATGTCTACTTTCGCCGCACCGTGCTGGGTTTGTGCGAGGAAAGCGACAGTTCGGAATTCGGGAACTACGTGGAGGGCAAGGTCACTTGCTTCTCGTATGACTTCATGCGGCGCTACATTATCGTCACGCTGGACGGTTATGGGTGTCTCAAGTTCACGTTCGGCGACCTGCACGCAATGGCAGTTGATCGTAATGTCTATCTGCAGCGTTTGCAACAATCGGGCATACTGACTAAGGCGCAACGGCAGAAGCGCCAGCGGTCGTACTACGAGGATGAGTACGTGACGCGTCGTTCGTTCAGCAACCACATGGCCACTGAGGAGTCAGAAGACCACACTCACGACAGTGCATACGCCTCTTCTCATATCGCACATTCTGAATCTGGAGCCGCAGCTGCTGCGGATTCACAGGGGACACGCACCCGTCCCGTGCCCCCTGGAGCTGAGACCATCTGCCGATGTCGGTTCATCAACAAAGTGGACTTGGTGCAGAAGCTGCGCAGCACGATTAACCAGAACAAGCAGGAATTCTACGAGAAAACCGAATCAATGCAGGAGCTACGTCTGATAATGTCGCAGAACGTGCGCGCGTACGAGCTCGAAATGGTCGCCTACCTCCTCGGAGAGGACCCCTGGGCGTACTCCTCGAATCAGTACGATCGGCCGACCGACGAGCAGATTAAAGAGATTGTGGAGCAATACGGCGCTGCAGCCCGTAATGCTGATTACTTGGCTCATTTTGCCAACTGGCAGAAATTCCAGAAGCAGGTTAAGAGCGAGGCCAAAGGCGTCCCTAACTCGGCTGCTGGATCCTCTGCACCCTAGAAAAGCATGCAGCATGTTGAACTGTAACGTAATGCTTTTTAATAGATATAAACTGCCGCCAGAGTATGCATGTGCTGCTGAATATCGGGGTATGCTGCTACATTAGTAATGGCTGAATTTGCACTTCGCGTTTGACCGCTGTGGATGGTGTAAAGCTGAATCGGTGCTCTGAATCATGCCTTTGCTACATGGGCTTGTTTCTGCCCGGCAGCAACGTCTGCTGTACAGGACTGCGGGAGTAATTTTTTCCTCCAACGCTGTGCGCCGTAATTTCTCATCCGCATGGTGAAACTTCATTTTGACACCGGTAATTTTGGATGTTGTTGGGCATCCGAACCAGTCTGACGATTCCTGCGTTATTTCCGCAGGCAATTACCTGCATGGATTGTAACAGGGCGTTGTCCGACTTACAGAGAGGTCCTGCGATATGGCGAGGGACCTAAGGTGAGCGCCGCAGACCTCACGATCTATTTTTCCGAAATATGTCGACCCATCTAGAGAGAATAGGAGGACACTATGTTTCGTATAGAAATCGACATCAGCGGCGAAGATGTCCACCTCGCAGCAGCCCGGTCCCGGCTTCGTGGGCGTGTGGACTCGGTCGCTTCTGTTTCTGAGCAAGGGTTTCTTAAAGTAGATGGTGGACTGTCTAAAGCGCTCCATCAGAGGTTCATCCGCCCCTTTGTCATCGAAGGGCTGCTCCTGGTGGGCGCGAACGAACAGCAGGTTGGCCCAGAGTGAGTGGCAGCATATATCGGGGTTATCCATGCCTATAGTATTGTGAGTATCATTTTCCGTACAGTTTAGAAGTGTCGCTAACCTTGTATAAATAGCTGCCGCGTTCGTCGGAGGCTGTATCTCGTGAGCTCCCAAAACTCTATGCAGGTTCGCGATATGGTGAAGAATCTCCGTGGTCGCTGCGCATTACTGGGGAGCAGACGTCGCTAACTAACGTATGCAAGTTTGTGCCTCGGAAATACTGCGGGTTCGTATGATCCCATAGAAGAATTCGTCTGTGCGTGGTTTGTGTATATACGCGAGGATATCGTTGCCTTACATCGTAAAACACGAAGCCGCTGGGACGGAAGTGGTTCGTGTCGTTTACCGTGAACCCTTCTCCCCGCAGTATGTCGTACGCACGAATAGGCCCTCCCTGCTGCTTTATCTGGCAAAGTTATTAATCGGCCATGTGGCGTCCACTAACCAGCAGTTGCGTCACGAGCAACTCAAGAAACTGAAGTTCACGGTGCTGCACAATCTCGATTTCACGGGTTGCCTGATGATATTTCGTTTTGACGATTGTACAGCCATACCAGTAATTTGCCGTCCTCTATGTCGTACAGGCTGAGAGGGATGAAGTTGTGCCTGGGCTGGCTGAGCATGACCACAACGCCGTCCGACACCCGCATCTCCTGGTACCCCTTTCCCTGTATTTCGAATACCAGCTCGTAGGTGTTCATATTCCAGAACCTATACACATGTTTGTACAAGTCAGCTGCTCCTATGCGTTTATTCATGCCTGCGTGGTGTTGTGCGATCCTGCTTTGTCCTCACCGCAGAACTCGAAGAATGCGGGGTGGCGGAGAACGACGCATTCAAACTGGTGACTCATTGTAGGTGACTCCAGCTTTCCCATTTTGAGAGACTGCGTCATATGGATTGCTTGTCTAGTTCCGTACCTCGATGAGCACGACCTTGCACTGCAGGTGGGCGGGTAGCGATGAGTACGCTATTATGAGCGTGTCGTTGGAGGGATTGTGGACCATGGTATGCACAGCTGAAAATGATGGGTATATAGAGTTGCGATTACCTGGGAAGTGTACTGCTGAGTGGTCCACTGGGTTTAGTTCGCAAACTAGTTTGCCGTCTCGCTGTGCGCATGTGAAAACGTTAATGGTGCTAAAAACCTACCGCATCGTAGCATCGTGCAAGTCCGCTTCTCATTCTGAATTTGGTACTTCGATCTGGCATTAGTAACTTACAGGACGCAGGCTAGATGCTCCACTAGCAGGACTTCCTTCACCTCTCGCGCTTCGTGACAGCCCTGTGGATAACCGCTTGGTATATCTGCCATCACGTCTATACGCGTAACCTGCATCATATGACACCGCATTGAAGAAAGCTATACCCCTGTGAGTCGCGAACATAGCGCTCCTGCGACCATTTTGGTGGACTGCTCAGCGCTCTCAAGTCTGCGTGGCTGGCATGTGCCATGTATGCGCCTTCGGTTTACGAACTCAAACATGCTTCCGGGACGCATAGTGGTTGCCGCCTATGAGACTTGGTTTACGGCAAAAAGTAAAAAGTGTAATGCACATCATAGGTGTGGGCGGTTCAGGCCACCTCGCCTCAGTGGCACCGGCAGACTGAAAATTCCTCGCTTCAAAATATTACACATTCGGAGCACACACTATGTTACACACCTGTCTTTGATCAATTCATCTATCAGAAAAGGGTCAAAGCTAGCGGAATCCCAGTCGCTGCGACCCTCGTGGCGTTGCCACGCAAAATGACATGAAGGTCGCGCCTTCCTTTTTCTTGCTGCTCAGTTGCTGCTCAAGTGCACTTGGTGTCGGTGTCTGGACCACCGTGAACGCTGGTGAGCGGCGCTGCGGTCGCGCTGGAAGCCGGCCGGGTCCAGCTACGGAGCCTCCACACCGTTTTGACTGCAATGCGCCAACCAAATGCGATGTATACAGGTCTAGGAATGCTAGAGAGTATACGAATATTGAAGGTGTGCAGCAGGACAGTCGGTTATCGAGCTACGAGCGCCACGGCAAGCTCTTGCGTTGCTCGGGTGTAGGATTCTATAATGGATTCCTCTTCTCTGACGCCGAAGAATCGCGCTCTAGATGCACATCGCTCTCAGCACGCACCAAAAAGGCTGCTAGTGTAGCTCCGGTGCCAGTGAAGCGTGATGTGCAGACCAAAGTTGCTCCCGTTCACGAGCTTCGCGAGCGTGTGCTACTCGTGGATGGTACCGGGCTCGCTTATCGCTGTTTCTTCGCCCTGCCTACGCTGACAACGTATAGAGGCACCGAGATCGGAGCTATAGTGGGCTTTATGAACTCGTTGGCCAGGATATACAGGTCATTTGGTCCCAAGTACATCGGCATTGCTTTCGATTCCCCCGGCTCCAATAGCACGAAGCGCGAGGTGTGGCCGGAATACAAGGCGAATCGTCAGGCAATAAAGACATCTTTCAAGAAGCAGTTGATGTGGATCAAGGAGTTCTGTTCCATCGTCGGGCTTCCCATCTTTCTGCGACGCTCTACGGAGGCTGACGACATCATAGCCAGCATGATTAGTTTCCTGAACGGAAGCGCCGGAAAAGATGACTCGGATCCATCAAGCGATGAAGAAGTGCAACAAATGCGGCAGATCGACTTCCGAGTCCCCAACTCGGCGCCTGGGGGAGTATTTGACCGCGTGGCCGGCGCATCTGCCACCCCGCTAGAGCCAATGGACACTTCCAGTGACAGCGGCCTGGAGAAACGCAGCTTCGATGTGCATGTTCTCACTGCCGATAAGGATCTACTTCAGGTTCTTCAGTACAACGGCGCTGGCAACGTGAACGTGCGAGTAGTGCAGCCGCACAAGAAGTTCCGGCTGGTTGACGAGACGACCGTTGTTGAGGAGTACGGTAAGTTTCCATTCATGCGTTACATATCTTGAAGGTATTCCCCCGGGACGTTTCAGCGAGTATCTAGCCCTAGTCGGCGACTCGGCAGACAATATCCCCGGCGTGATGGGCATCGGGCCGAAGACTGCGCCCGTGCTCATCTCCAAGTACGGATCGTTCAAGGTAGTTGAATTTTGCCAATTGCCGTAATGTGCATACAGGAGATAATCGATTCTGAGGAAATTGCGAAGATTGCTCGTCGGGGCGGTAAGCACAGCCTCAGTGTGGAACGTGCGTACGACTTCCACTTGATCACGAAACTACGTGGGGACGTTCCGGTGCTTTCGTCACTGAGCCAGTTGCGGAAAAAGCGCACGCTTGAGCGGCAGTTTGTGGCGTTTTGCAGGATGTTTTCGCTGCAGAAGTGCTCGCTGCGTTGGCACGACGTGACCCACTGAGTAGGATGCGGTGCCACGCACGCATGTACTAACAAAGGCCCAATGGTCTTATTTAATAAACTGCTCTATCTAACGGTTTGTATAGATGCTAAAACCGTCAACTAGCGGTGAAATCGACCGTTTTTTATGGGTGCTAACATTGAAAGTGTTATGTGCTGCGTGGCACCAATTACTTCATGGCGAGTGCTCTGCCATGGTACATCTCTGATGAGCCCTGTCATGCTTATCGGAGCTTTATGTAAACCAAAGAAGACAATGCGACCGCAATGGCGAAGGTCACGGTGATAAACTTGTCGCTGAAAGTCTCCAGCGGTTTGATGATGGGCAGGGCGAAGTGGCACGGCTTGTAGTCCTTCGCAAGTAGATGCGGCACGACCGCCGCATCGTAGAAGCTAGAGACGAACCATCCGTATGGATAGCGCCACCCGTGTAGGAGGTGTGCGATGCGTGCACGCTGGATGCAGAGGAATCCGAGCATCTTGTTGGTGTGCTCCCGCGATTCGGTCATGGAGCTGTAGTACCCGTATGACGCCGGGCAATCCTGCGCAACACCGGTGCCTGCCTCCAGCATCGTTGCGTAGAGGTATGCGGCCTTGGGCTCGTTGCGGATCTTCGCCTCAAGCACCCATTCCGCCGACTCTTCCGGATAACGTTCCATGAGCGCCTCCGCCAGCAGCAGTGGCGACCCACCCATGGTTTCATGACCGCTGCGCCGAGCGTAAAAGATGTGGCATTCGGACGTGCCGGAATGCTGATCATCTTGAACATACGGTGTGAATATGCCAACGCTTCTCCTAGGCAGCTCGGCGAGCGCATTTTTTGCTGGCTTGCCGGGCATTGCGGACTTGCTAGAATCCGCGTATGGTGCGGTACCTACGTTTTTCGTAGCACCATCATCCGTCTTTAGTTGTTCCTTCAATTTATCCGCGTCACTGGTAACAGACACCTTCGATACACCGGTGGTAGGTGGGGAAGGGCTCACTGCAGTGCTTGCAATCCTCCCCGGACCCGGTGTTTTAACGAGAGTTACCTCTCCTCCCACGTAACACAGCTTATGGTTGTTCTTGAAATGGTTCGCTGCCTCGATGTGCGCCTTGGGGTCGCCCATCTCCGAAAGGAACATGCTCAGAAGAGCGTGACCCAATTCATCACCGTGCCGTGCCGCACGTACGGAGAGGGCTCGAACCACGGCGGGGAACAGTGACTGTCTCCCCACCTGCTGGAAGAACGTGAACGACGCCTTGCACCTATCGACTGAGGAGGTGTACTTCAGATCGTACCCATGCAGAGTTAGCACGGCCGTGTTGAATGCGGCCACGACGTTGCCGCTTTTTGCAGCGCGCCTGTAGTATTCCAGCGCCATGAAGACATTCTTTCCGTCTGCTGGTGTGATATCGTTGAGCATACCCGCATAGGCGTGGCCCATCAGCACCTGCGAATTGGTGTCGCCTCTGTCCGCCGCCTCTTGCAGATTCCGCGCAGCTACGATTGGATCCCTCTGTTGCCCTATACCGTAACGTGCCGCGTAAAATCTTGCAGTGGACGCGGCAAGTTGGTTGTTTGATTCCGATACTATGCGAAGGTACCGTTCAGCGGCGCGCTCTATATCCTCCCGTGAAGTGCCGTCCAACTGCAGCTGCTGGGCGCTGATAATGACATCATCGCTGTTACGTTCCCCTGGTTGTGTTGAGTTGCCGCCGTTTCCCTCGTAGCCCAACAGGTTGATAAGGTGATTTGCCATCGTGAGTGCGGACATGACGTCACCGCTATGCGCTGCCCGAGCCCAGTACTGCAGGGCCATGGGCACATCAACCCTGATGTTGCCTGCCTCGTGGCCCGTGAAGTGGAAGTCTCCCATCACACGCAGTCCGTCAACATCACCCATCATTGCGAGTTTCCTTACAAACTCCACATAGCGACGTGAGCGGTACTCTTCGCTGCCCTCATCGTTATTCGAATATACACGTGTGCGCATCGCAGATTTCGCGGCGTCGAGGACGTACGGCAGAGCTTCAATACATTTGCTCCCGACGGACTTGGGACTTCTCTCTACTCCTGAGCGGACGTGTATGTCGTCCAGCATGCGCGACGGCGCTCCGATGCCACTGTACAGGTAGTAACCGACGGCCAGACTAGATGCATCATCCTCCTTGTAGTGCCCGCTGAGGTAGCTTAACAACGTCTTATCGTAGTACTCCGTGTGACGCTTGCGGATAGTGCGGCCGGATGTTACCAACATCTGGTAGACTGTGGAGTGGAGATGCGTCTTCCTCGTCTCCCAGGCGTACATGTTATCCGCCACGGGTGGATAGCCGATGCCTGACAGGAACCCGAGTATGGAGTTGCACATGCCGCATGAAGACCCGATACCATCAGTGATGTAAGCCAGGCTGCGCACGATGTCACGGGGCCATCCTCCTGGCAATTCAAGGCGGCCATTCGGAGCTACAACTCCGAACATGTATAGGAAGGCGAGGAGGCACCGGCACTTTGCCACCAACTTGCCACGTACGGGCGCTGGCAGCGACTCGTACTGCTCGGCAACCTTGTCTAACATGTTGTCGACAATGCGGCAAGTATCGTGGGTCTTGAATAAGGCCTGTGCTCGTGTCGGTGTCGATGGCACGGTTAGTCTGTGCAGAATGTCATGCGCCTCCTGGAAGTCGATTTTTTCTGCCTTTATATTCAGCAGACGTTGTAGAAATAGGTTGGGGTCGAATAACAGTCCTGCAGGCTTGTTCGCATCGGAATTCAGCGTGTCCGATGCAGTGTTGTATAGGGTATCGTTTTTCATGGTCCAGTATGGTCGGAACGCTTTGCTGGACTCGAAGAGTATCTCCTCGATTTCGTCTCGCTCATTGGGCAGCGGGAGTGACTGCGCGCCGTCATCACTAGGAATGGACAGCAGATGTTCGTTGACTGCAGTCCTAATCCGCTTTAGCGTCCCCACTACCCCGTGCACCCGCCACAGATTTCGCCTTGACCTCATGGCCCTAAACGCTGGTATTCCATGTTTCACCAGCATACGGCCCATCAACACATGCGCCAACCTAATCGTGATTTTGGCGATGTGCTCGGCCTCCGCATCCAGACACTCGTCCAGTGTCATCCTTGGCTTCAATAGCGGGCGCCTCATTATCATTTTCAATAGTTTCTCGTCAGTTTTCCCAAAAGAGTTCACGAAGTCTGAAAAGTGGCCGATGTTGTCGAACATTTCCTCAGGATAGTAGGACCGGTCGGCCTTTGCCAGCAGGCCGTCTAGCATGAAAGCATAATCCTGGTTTACAGGCATCTTGTCCACGGACCAGTGCGATATAAGCTTTGTGAACTTGTTATGCTTGCTGATGTCTAACGCAACGTGATATTTGAATATCAGGATCTCGTTATCGTAGTTGCGATAGCAATAGATCAGCTGATTCCTGAGTTGGGCCCCGTGTTGCGGCAGGGGCTGCCGGTACACCTTGAATTGCTGCGACAGCACTCGCCACAGGTAGGTGTAGGCAGCCTCATTATCCAAATAAGTGGGCCAAGAATCAGTGTCTCGTTTGAATCCCTCATATTGCTTCAACTTTGCCCTGTCGTTGCGCAGCAGCGCTACCGCCAGCACGTGGGCGGTCCCTCCTGCCGGCACCCTCAGCGGCGTGCTTAAAAGCTGGAAGTGATTCATCGTGCCTTGCGGAATATCCGTAGTGTTTAGCGTAGAGTCATGTAGTACCGGTGAATTCAGAAGGTGCAGCATGATCTCCAACCTGCGCGGGACCATCACCGTACCCCATCGCAGCAAGCGGCCGTTCCCCTGCTCCACCATGTCGAAGCGCCCGAACTCTCGCACTGCGAGGCGGGACATCATCCAGTTCTCGAATATGCTGCGCTCGACTTCCTCTATTGACGGCTGCAGATTGTTAGTGACGAGATAACCCAAACATAACAACATATGAGCATACATGTAAGTCATACACTTGCATGTGCGAAATAACCACTAACACGGAAATGACATATGCACATCTCAAACGGTTACTTTTAGCGCACATAACTGGAGTCAATGGAGTGTATGAAAGCATCGTAGGCCCTGTTGAGCCAAGCGAAATGACAGCAGGGAAGGGATAGTGTCAATAACACCAATATAACTGATGTATGCGCTCCTTTAGGACAAGCAGTTAGCATAACTACACAACACCGTCAACTCACCTCTACAGGCTCTTGATTGGCCGTAGCTGGCAGCCAACCGACGCTCGCCAACCCGGCGGCGACGGTGGCTGCCTCAGCCACGTATAATAGCGCTAATAAGTTCATACGCATACACACCTACTCATTTTCCACTGAGTTGTGTTTATGTGCAAGAAATATAAATTATACTGTGCGTTGCCTTCCTGTCTCAGTGTGGTCCTGTATTGAGTCAGCGCGACGTTATGGTAATTGCCTCACTGCGAAACCACAAACAGGCATACAACTGTCTCAAATATTCTTCAGATTGCTATACAGGGTGATCGACTACTACTACGCAAAATCCGTGGTGATAGGTGCTTTTATGCGTGAATCGGTAGGCAGGTAATTTCTGGAATCCTGTTTTGCTCGCCTAGCCGATACTCTAGCTATATGATCGCAAATATTAGCGTAACTGAGGAAGGAAATGTCTTCGGTGTGTTATTGCGTCGACAATCAACAGATAGGATCACAAAACTCCGCGACCGAACATAACGCAATGAAATGGACAACCATACATCTATTTCTTAAATGTGTACATAAAACGCAATAAGGCTAAGCTAATAAAACATCTGCAATATACATAGGTATACCTCCGGCGGGACTCGAACCCGCAACCTTCGGATTAGAAGTCCGACGCGCTATCCATTGCGCCACAAAGGCCTACCCCATGGCGCTTATTTTCGTTTTACAATAAGGCAAATGACCCGTGGAGAGCGCATTGGACATTAGGGTGTGTGCACGTGACAATTTATAGCGGTCTGAAGATGATCATCGGGACCAGCGCTTCGAGGCGCAGTATGCGCCTCTCCCCAGAGGTTAGCAGAATTCTCTATTTGAGGTGAGTGGAGAGATTACTTGCGTCGTCGTAACTGTCTTCAGGAACCTGCCATATAAGATCTCCGCCGAGGAGCTATACGACATCTTTGGGAAGTACGGATCAGTGCGACAAATTAGAAAGTAAGTTACCGGTAGAATCTTCGCCACGCCTTTCGCTTTTACTTCCCGATAACTGCCGCCTCAGGGGTAACAGTCCTAGGACTAACGGCACTGCCTTCGTCGTGTACGACGACATATACGACGCCAAAAACGCCCTCGACCATCTGTCTGGGTTCAACGTTGCAGGCCGGTATCTGGTTGTACTGTACTACAACCCGACCCGTCTCAACAAGCGCAAGGACCTCGACAAGGAGCAAGAGGAACTTGACAGAGTCAAAGCCACTTTGAACATGAACAACTAGTGGTGGAATGCCATTGTTTTTAAAACCTTATCGCAAATACTAGAGGAAAACTAGATGGCTATGGCCGAACTGCAACGTAATCTGTTATAAAAATTAAAGGCTACTGGTGACTGTGCATACGTTTCGTTGCATTATGCAAGTATATTCTACTTGGAGTGCTGTTATGGATGCAGGCTTTCGAATGTGAACAAGCTTACAGCAATAGTAGCCGCAGAGCCTCATTAGGAAGGCTTACAAACCGAGGTCCACGAACAAAACGAAGCACCGAGAACTGAACACTCAGCGCCACGAGCATATCTCCTACGCGACTTTTGACTTTTATTAAAGCAAAAGGGTGGAATCACTGAATATATCCATCATGTGCCGTGAGAACGCACGTACTGTCTTTAAGCCGGTAATTGTCGACTTCTTTGAGTAGTATTTCATGAAAAATACATTTTGACGGATATTCGAAACAGATCAACGCAAAGAGAACCGTGCACATCTGATTAGCCGATTTCAAATTAGGAAGCCTAACTATGGAGCTCTAGTGAATATTGCAAGCATATAGGACCATCTAGAAGCAAATATAATGTACGAGACACCTTATAACGTTGTACTACGATGGATCGCTGACAACGAGATAATTTGCACAGCTCTGTGTTATGGAAGGTTAAGCAATTGTGTGTGACAAGCGCAGCCGCTGTAGGGATAGCAGGGTATTCACATTCGCCGGTATGTTGGATTCTATGCCTTTTCATAATATATTTTTGGGTTCTGGCAACCAAGAAGTCGTACTCCTTGCACGGAAACGGTCTTGTAGCGAGCATGGCCGCGGCGCTGAAGGCCGGCTTACCGCGGCTCGGATTGGATCCGGACGAAGATATCGTAAATTATCTAATCGCATTAATAGAAGCCGAAGGACCAGCAGCATGTGCTGAGTGGCTAGAGAGTGCCGCTACTGGCGACCATGGTGACGCTGCCCTTGAGCTGGCTGAGGCGGCGTCTGCAGAACTGCGTGGTACGTTTGCGCTTCGTAATATACAAAACTGCTAAGGACAACCGGATGACGGTGGAATTTCGAGAGAAACGGGGTCATCGAGCGCGAACTCTGGAACAACTGGCGATTCGGGTGATCCCCTTGATTCGCTGGACATCGCAATAGACGCGGCGAAGGCGGCAGGTAACGCCGCACGTACCACGAACTCTGGTAGTGGCTGGGGGCAAAAACACAATCTAGACAAGGGCGTTAGGCGTGAAATAGTGCAGCGCTACGCCTGCGTTGACATACAGACGATTCATATAGGAGATGACGGGCAGGTGTGTTCATCGGGCACTACCACGCGAAGTGTGGAGAAGGAGACAGATATACCCACAAATGATAATGCCGCCAGGGTAAAGCAGGAGCAGCATGCGCGGCGTATGTCGCAGAAGCAGCAACACCTGGAAGCACAGGAGAAACAACGCCAGCAGAAGCTGAAGCAGCAACAGCACGATGAGAAAGAACGCATGCGTTGTCAGAAAAAGGAACGTCAAAGATGACAAGCCATTTGAATACGCCACATGGAATACACTAATTCGGCACTGCCTTTAATCTACATTTGTTCGGGTGTCACGTGACACTGTTAAATATCGCGCGTATCGGATCACTCCCCACACGCTGCAGGCACAACACGTGTGCGATGCATCACATTCCCGTCGCACAGCATGAACGTTCTTCTGATTGCGATATCATCACGCCACGTTCGGTGGCAATCGGTGACTGAGTCCTAGTAATTCTTGGCCTCCATTTTCCATATTAGGAAGTTGTGTGCTTGTTCAAAACGTTAGTGCTATGAATATGGTCATCACTCAATGCCTCGCTGCGTGTTTACATTGGGTGCCACCCTGAACTTGGCCGGTTTCATGGATACTATCCCTCCAATACGTCCGAGAGGTCTTCTCAGTATCATCTCTTATGCATCTGAGCCTCGACCATGAGCTCTCGATTCGTCACACCGATATCCAATATGGTGATAACATGCTTGAATAGGCCGACACCGGCACTGTTGTTGGTGTGATAGGCATCTCATGGAGCAAACAGCTCTACGCCACAACTGGACACGGAGCAGGAGGGCACGAGTTGTAGTATATTGATATCCAAGGAAAGGGAGGGCGGCTGTAGAAAAAGGCCATCGGCCAGTGCCACCAGCCAAAACGGATTATGCAATAGACAGCTATGCCAAATACGACAAACGTCCCAATCATAGCCACCGTAAAATAGATTGTCATATCCGAATCCCAACCGCTTGGCGACATTTTCACCGAGTTCAATTTAGATAGCCTACGCAACAATGTGCAACATACCTGGTAGGCAGTCACCGGAATTGAGCGATTTCTGGTTCCTCTTCTGTAACGGAAATATTAAAAGAGTCTCATATAATTGATCTAGCGATATAGCGCTGTCTAATACTTCACGCTGTGGTATATAAAGCGCCGCCTGGAACGCGCGGGGTAGTGGGATAGGATGGAACCATTTCTACCCATCCGGAGGCTAAGACTGCGGACAAAAGTGGTCACTTATAGACAATAGACGTGATAGGGTAATTATATGTTGAGAATCTTGGACTATATAACTCAATCAATCTTCACGTTGCCATCTGGCTCATCCGGCTGAAGGGGCTCGAATCTGATTCAGAGAGGCGCATTTCACTGTGTCCACGCTGGTCGCTACTAAAATAAAGCTCATGAATGATCCTTGAGTCCATTGTAAAGTGCTAATTGCGCCGGACAGTGTATCAGAGCCACTCAGCATCACGCCCTTTACCACGCCTCCACACTGTGCTCGCCACACAAAACCCATCTACGACCCGTCCACTCCCCCGGCAGACAGCTCAATACCATAACGAGGTACGGGCTTCGGCGACCACGTACAATGAGCCCCAAAGTGAATTATGTATGTCACCAACTACACGTCCTCATCGTTGCCATCAGTGGGTGCCCTACGTGAGTGGTTACTGGAAAGAAGCGTGGAGCGTGGGTTGAGGGCACACAGATGTTAAGATACAATTCATTAAAGTAGTCCGACGGAATTTCCTGCGGCCAGATTTCGGCCGCGCCGTGACACAGGGACTGCCCGTGCTACAACTTCGATCTAACGATCTCGCGGCACTAAAGCTCTTTGGGAGGGTCATTCTTTTTTGGAGTCATTCGCGTCTTGAGGCCACAACGGAGAGGTCGCAAGGCGAGCGTCTGGTTTGTCATCTGCTATCGCAGTTTACGCATTGCATTCATTATGCGCTTATTAAAGACGCCAACGAACACAACAAACGAATACTGACTCGACGACAGCACCAATAAAGCCAAAGATGACACCACCGATGACATAATCGGTGATAGTAGCGCCTGTGCCTTTCCCGAAAGACGAACTTCCTGGTAGAGCTCCCGAATCTGTGAACAAGGATATGCCGAGTATGATGAAATACGCAAAGATAAACATGCAAATCCATCTAAGCAACGTAATAAACCGCCGCAATTCCTCGATCTTCTTCTTTCTCTCTTCTGCCGACGCCTGTGGTGTCTTTTCTTCACTACGGATTTCCCCAGCCGTATAAACACACACCGCCGGAGCTCCCGTAGACGTTTTCATCGTGCGCCTATCCCCTTGAGAAGCCATCTCGCAAAATAATTAGCAGCGTGTCTTGATATCATAAACTGCTCCCCAAATAGAAGTACACTGCCATACTACCGTCCAGGTGCGCTCAGCTAGGCGTAGTTCGAGATCTCTAAGCTCTGACACACCGTTAATATCCACTGCTAACACATGCCCTAATGCGCTAGTTTGCCAGCACAATTTGACTCAAAATACATACTTTTGAATTCGATCCAGGAATGCATATGCTCCACTCAGAATGCCACTGCTAACGCGCAATGCAATCATTTCGGGGTGCCAACTGCCTAACTAAGTTTGCGGGGCGCCCCACGAGGTGGCTACTGGGGTCTAGGCCGGGGTTACGACTTCAAGGCTTACAACAATGTTAACAACAAATGCCACCTAACTAGCCCTCACACTGGTCATCACGCCGGATGGTCCCGGCAGCATTCATTGTCAAGCCACATACTCAGTCAGTAGCATCCTTCACTGGCCTATGAGGTGATCCAACACCTCGACCTGACCCGATAAGCACCGGTTGATGGAGGCAATCAACAGAGGTTTATCTACGTAGTTTATGAAAACGTGTGGTCCCATGGTTGCTGCATCTGCATTGTTTAATCATAGCACTAAGTTGATATCCCACTTAACGTTAGTTTCGTTCATTTGCCACACTCTCCATTTCCCCTCTGCGTCACTTACAAAATCCAAGGCCGGCATAATTAAAGTAAATCTCACTTTGGGGCGTAATCTCTCACTACACTGCCCTGGCAGACGAACTTAAAGCTATACTGATGCGGATTTTTGCCAAGCCTGCCACCATGCTTAACACTAAATCGATGGCAGTAGGTGGCTACATGAGCGTCAAGAAAAACCCTGATGTGACAAAATTGGTTCGCAGATGATGGAAAAGTTGTTTTACCAATATGCTTAATAGATGTCACGCAATATTGCCTATGAACTAAGATATCGAAATGATATGCTGCGTGCCAACAGCACTGAGAACACCGGGGCATCGGCACCAGCTCAGCGACGAAGTTTTCAACAATATGAGCCATAGTTCACCGACGAATGACACACAATCTACATTTTGCCATTTTAATTGGGAGTATGCCTTGAAAGCACTCATAGTACAATGCCGGGTGCTTTTTCGGAGCTTGCTGTGCCAGCGGTGTGGCGAAGCGTACACTGATTGATAACGACGGATCAGGCGGTTGATGACAGATGTGGCATGATCTCACGATTGTCTCGCAATGGCGCATCGTCTTAGGTAGTTGGATCCACGGAATGGGCATCCCGGAGGGAAGCAACGAACTCGAATAAGGGACTTCGTTACGGCGGTCTTGAAAGCAAGAGTTGAAGGCATTTTAGAGACGATATACTGCCAACATGATCAATGATTTGCAACATATTCGGTTGCAATTGCCCTTTCCCATTGTAGTGCCTGTAGCGGATAACCTGGAAGACGTAGCTCCGAATACGTCGGTTGACAAACCGCCGGAAGACTTCATTGGACGGCACACTGTGCAATAAAACACTCACAGCTTGCAGCATGCAGCCTAAGATCGTAGGGTTGCACTGCTTGGAGAACGAATCACTCCGCCGCTTTCGAATGTCAATCTTCTATGCGCCATCTTGTTCCGCATTCTAAAAACAGCGCCAGACACTGTAATCTCGGACAATCGCGGGGCATGTGGATCACTCCGCGGATTCATGACGCATGTTTGCAACTACTGAGACGGCAGTTACGCTCGTTGCATCAACTACGCATGTTATATAATTAAAGCCTCGCGCCGCTATTCACAAATTGCGAGCTCGAGCCGTGCGAGTTACTGTTTGCAGCTCATATCAGGAAGATAATGAAATCAAGTATATTGTGAGCTTAATACAGCTTATGTAGTAGGCGCACTGGAGTGTGGTGTACACGTGGTTACCCACTGTGCAATGCACCTTGAACACGGGGCATTTAACGTCATTTTGTACTTCAAACAACGCCATGCACCGTACACAAACAGTAGTATATTGTTATGTCTCCACTGCGGCGAATAAGCTGCCGCATCCGCCAAGTGGTACCGCCACCTGCGTAAGTTCTCAAAGCTGAAGGGGCATTTGTTATCTGAGCTGCGTCGATTCTAAAACCGAGAAGGTATGTGATTGAGAGGTGGTAGCGCGAATATTAGACATGTTTGGCAGTGTGGTTTTGAGTGCTGCTATACCTCAAGGTCTGTTTTAAAAGAGCTGTGCACAAGATGGGAGCGCCTGGGGGAGACGAAAAGCCAGCTAATCTGCCAAGGCGCCCTCCCAAGGGTGGCAACAAGGATGGTGGAAATCGCAGGAGTAAATATTTGGACAGGTCGCGGAAGTGGTCGATTACGTGGTGGTAGTTTGTTTTGGTTTACACCCTGATCGTTATTTGCTTTTGGATGATAGTTCAGAGAGATGAGCTGCATCGTTGACCGTAAATTCGCCGTGAGATGACATTGTTAACGACTCTACAGCTGGGAAAAGCGATACGGTTACTAAAGACGATACAGCTATGAAAGGCAGTAGATATCTTATCATCCTTGGTGTGCGGTGTGGCATCCGACATGAGGTATATCCTCCGTCGTATCGCTAGTATGAAGCGTCCCCTCAATGGTATCTAGCCCATAGGTAGGGCCAAGCCTATCATGGATCGTATGAAGCGTGTCGAGAATTGTATCGAGTCTGTCAGCGCTAGTATTCACCATATCATCGCCGGTATTGAGCATATTATCGATCCCATCATACCTCGGCGTCGTAACTAAGAAGATGGTGAAGAGGACAGCGATCTGCGGAGCAGATGATAATCCCGACGGCTGCCGTGTTACAGCTCAGCTTCAAACTTGAGACACGCGATTCCAAGGATGACTGAATGGCTGTTCCGGAGATCTTTAATGCAGAGGAAATTGTTGCGTCAAGGTGGTAGCACGGGCAGTCCCTGCGTCACGGCGCGGCCGAAAGTGTTGCCGCTAGACTACGTTAATGAATTGTATCTTAACAGCTGTCTGCCCTCAACCCACGCTCTACGCTTCCCTCCAGTAACCAGTCACGCTGCCAACCTAATATAGATGCAGATACTAAGGCAATAAGAGTTCATTTCTTACTTTATTTTGGGGCGCAGTGTGGGAGATCACCCGGGCCACAAGCGTGGGAGTGCCGTTCTTGCTAAGACAGTGAGTCATCTGTTGGGTGAGTGTAAGCGATGCGAATGATTGTATGGGCGTCTGTAAGTTGCAACATTTCGTATCCACGGGTTAACCTCTGTGAATATGTGGCATCTCAATCCGGCACCGTATTTAACGCAGACACTCGTTATCACACTAGCAGCTGGATGCGGTGGGAGGGTGGTGACCTGAGCTGGAGGAATTGCCCTCCGTTGAAATTCAAATAAGTTTACGTTGCCATAATGAAATGTTGTATGGAAATGCGGACAATTGTAGCTCAGGAATCCCGGTGTTCACGCCGACGGCAAAATCCGGGATTATATTAGGCCGTATGATAGGCGGTCTATATGCTAGAAAGCTTGGGACAAGACATCGGTAAATTGAACAGGTAAAAAGGATGCACAATCCATCAAATTAGTCCCCAAACCTACTTGCCGTAGCGACACATACACATGTTTGCCTCATACACACAGCAGTACCAACGACGGTGTCCGCCAGATGAGTCCAAACTTAGTTCTCAACGTCTTTTTGATAACATTCATGACGCAAGTTAACTGGTTGCCTTCCAGCGTATCACGTTTCAATATCCGTATATGCGTTATGCACTGTTTAAAGACCGATGTTTATGAATCACTGTGTATACTGCTTCATCTGGGGGATGATATACCCATGCAGCTTGCGTTTCGCACCATGACGTCTACGGTAGATCGCAGATCCACAAGCCACTCGGTCGACATTACCACGAAACGGTTACACTTAATGATTCAATAATCCACATTGTGTTATTCGCCGTGTTAATAATTTTCACTTAGTGGTACATTAACAAAGGTTCCATGGGAGCGCTCATTGGCATGCATTTCCATGCCATAAAAACAGACGCTGGAGAAGACGGTAAAACAATATACCGACTCCATCAAATGCTTATTCATTACCGTAATGAATAAGGCGGAGAATGTGGAGGAAGAGGCTGATGATGTCAACGTAGATGCAGACGGCGGCGATAACGTAGTCGTCAATTGTCCACTCGTGCTTCTTACCACCAACGGCCAACTGTATGTCGACAACCAAGTAGACACACATAAGCAGAGCCCCAATAGCCGCGTACACAATGCGCACAGCCCGGTGAGGGAAAATGGCTATGAGGATTCCGGCGATGATCATGCCGATACCGAAGCAGAAAAGGTACGTCAGCCAACCTGCATACATTTAAAGGCGGAATGATCACGCATACCTGTAAAGTCGTACTTCGTTTGCATGGCAAAGAGAGTGATGGCAAGTGTCAAAGCAGCTGTAATGCCCGCCGCCACCGTGAGCTCGAATACCGCAAAGTGCACGGCAACGCACGCGAGATAAAGCATCATGCATAAGGTCATACAAACCAAGAGAGAAGCGGACACAGTCTTGTTATGCGCCAACGAGCGTTTGCAGGCAATGACAAGCGATATGATGAAAAAGATCACCATCGCCACCACACCGATTACAGCGTTAGCCTTGAAGAACTCCTTCATGGATTCGACGTTGAAAGTCAGGACCAAGAATCCGAAACTAGCCTACAGTTAGCATGACATATCTGTATAATAAAGAATTCAATGAAGCATTCCCACCGAATGATACCTTTATTATTAAAGCAAAGGCTGGAAGCACCAATACACAAAGGTGCGTATTACAAACAATCAAAAGACAGAACAGCAATTACGTTTGATAACGCAATAAAATCAACAGCGATACATCCTAATTATAGGACAACTTCATATGTCAGGCGCATAATGGGATTATCTGCAATACGATGTACAAACACTTACCGCAAGCTGAAGGGTAACAATACCGAAAACTTTCTTGACAAACTCATGACGGATGTAGAGGGGAGTGGTTTCCGAGAAGCAGTAGTAGTCACCGGTAGCATCTGCGGGTTATTAAGCGTCCATGAGTTGCGCTCACTTTTTTCCGGGTCATAGTAACTGGCCGCATCGGCACGGCTCTCAACATTCGCCGCCATTATTATAACAGACGACCGTTACAATTGTTTTATACCGTTATTAAGGCACGGTGAAGGTAGGCACACGGTAGCGTAGTAGGCCGCTACCACTATTTAAAAAAGCGGTGCAGTAGGTCTTGGAATTGAAATAAAAGGCCCTTTCCCGCGCTTAAGCGTCAAAAGAATGTGTATTGCGTAAGAAGTGCGTGTGTGTAAAGCAACGCTCCAGTAACCTCTATGCGCCGGTGCGTCGTACCCCATAGCCTGATATGCTGCACCAAGAATAAGTGATTTACGGTCTTCAATATGTCGTCTTTGAATCACTATTTTTACTGCAACACAGATATGCAATATGTGAATACGTGAAAGCCGCGTGCCACGTTGCGTACGGTCATATTACGGTGCGCACATCTCCTTTAGTGTGTGTCAGGTGATAGACAAGAATTCCGTTAGTCTAATTACACAATCTGTATTTGGATGCATGTTTATGCGTAACCTGGTTGATTTAATGTTCTTAGGCTACGACTATCGAAATGCCGGTCACCAAAGTCAGCAATTGTGTTATGATGCGTCGCTAAAATTTGCTGTCAGTTCGCGTAGCAGTACAGGGCGATATTAGGCGTGTATGCGGTTAGATATTGTGCTCCCGTTACCAACACGGACTACGGCGCTTTACCCCCAGCTAAAGGTGCGGTTTGTCGCCTTTTTGAGTTCTGGTTCCCGGCAGCATATCGCGTTGCTTACGCATGCGTGTTTTGCAACAGCTGTGCTGGCTGGCGTTGAAGCTGCGTTCACGCGCGATGTGACTGTGCTGCTAGACAACCTCTGTTCTGGCCCGCCGTGCGCTAAACGGTTATATAGCAATTGTCACAGACTCATGGTTTTTGAGGAAGGATTCAACGCTTTGTCGAGCCATTGTTTTGTCCGTCTATAACGGGTGTGTGTGTCCGCTTTTCATAGCGAATGTATGTCCTACCATTATCTCATGGCTCGCAATGTATCAACCGCTTCCTTGGTGCTTGCTTCTCAGTCTGGCGAGATTGTGTTAATCCTTATTGCAATCTCCCTCCATCTCTGTTATGCCCCAAAGTGCCGGGCGTCATAGGTCAACGTACGACGGTGGCTTGCAGCCGCGCCGTGGTGTCTATAATTACTGCAGGGGGGCTTCGTAGCCATATGCGCTGCCCCCGTTATGTGTTCGCGGGCTTACGACGCGTGACTGTCATTTATCCAAACGATTTTGGTGAGGTGGCCCGCTTCCTCGCTTTGTAGAACAGCTCGGCGGAATCGGGTCATAGTTCTGCCGATGTAGCGCGGGTTGTAGATTATTGCCGTACGGACGACTAAGCGAATATTGATCGACGCGGGGAGAATGGGGACGCAGCATAAAGTCGCCGAAATATGTCAACTTTGCTACCCTCAGGAAAATGTTGTCTGTTGATGGCGACGTACAACACTTAATTGCGTAACCACCGTGGTCATTGTCATATTCGCATGTGTTATGCTGACCCTGATGCTAGTCGGCTGCTTAGTTCCCACCTTAACGCCGCTTCTTCTAAGGAAGCAATAGACTGTCAGCCCATCGTACGGTCACTGAATCCTTAAGATTCACATGTCTTTGAACCCCAGCTGCCCAGGTGTAAGCGCTAGAGGAACCACCCAGCTCAAAACGCTGCATCTAGCCACGCGATCTACGATGTGTGCCGATGAAATGCCTGTTAGTGGAAAGAAGCGAGTGATGGTAGATGAGCGTGTCTGCGCGGCATTCTGGAAAGCTGACTCTTCGTTTCTGTCCCATCCATTTACCGCATCACTACCGCATTTACATTGCAGTCACGACGGCCGCTTTTTAGGAATCCAGACCGCAACACACTTATAATTAACAGTGTACAAATCGGTGTGGATCTGCAAGATGCGTATGATTGTTTCTACACCTTTGCGTAGTATCATCGTTTTACACACTAGACATCTCGTGTGACACCATCTGTCAGTGACTAGGTGCAGAAAAATTACAGTAGACGGCTCGTTGTGAGCGAATCATGATAGTGTGTAGAAGGTCAATATGGAGGCCGGACGCACATACAATGGTGACTTGCCGCGTCATGTTACAACTAAGACGTGTGTAGAAGGCGCGACACAAGCCATGCTGTCCTCTGATTCCTTAAAACCTCTTGCAGACAGGCACTCGACCATATTATCGGCACCTGCGTGAAAATGTGCTGCCCATTGAATTCCATGTCCCAGCAGCAACGAGAATTCACAGCTAGATAGGGCTTCATAACCAGTGTGCAGCGACACCCACAGATTCTGTTGAACCGTAAAGGATATAATGAAAAGCAGTCCATATATGTGCGCGACACTTTCGATATGGTGAGTGTGATTCGTCCGTAACTAAGCGTTTAAGGCTTCTGGTGACTATTTTGCTTTTGCGGCGTTACCGTGGCATCTTCGACCTGGAACCGGAGGACCAGAAGTTGATGTACTATTCTGAGGTGCGTGCTACTATATGTCTAGGATGTATATAACCACGAACAGTCAGCCTTCTATTTGTCTTTCTACTACGATGTGGTCGACGCACCCAATTGGGCCGCGGTATGGAATACCCTAACGTAAGCTCAATGAATCCAACCATTTCCCAATAAGATTCTAGCCGTGATGGCCGAACGGAGTACCCCGAAATTGTCGTCGCTTTCAAGCGACTCAATATACTGCAGGGTATGCAACTAGTGTATAGTAGCCCTAAAGGTTTCGTCTGCAGAAATAATCCTGGGATCGTTGTATCGTCTCTGCAACCTTCGTTGTATATTCCCGAACCCGTTCAACTTCTACGCTTTCACAGGCATGTTGCACAGCATGTAACACAAATGTGTTTTTAGTGCTAGTCATAAGCGCCGGTGGTGTCGCCCTTTTGTTTTTGCTGGCCTGCAAGATAGGAAAATCCAGGTGGGCCGGAGTCCTCTTCTTTGGGCTCTATTTGTCTAACTTCCAGGAGAAGCTGATTAGTCGCATTTCTGCTCTCCCCCTGCGGGAGAACTTCGCACTTCCCGCACTATGGGCATCCTTGTTATGCCTCCGCCACATTTTGGCGCACAAGCGCCATGTCGGACGATATTACTACCTCCTATTCGTCTTGTACACGTGGATGGTTTTGACATGGCAGCTGTCTTTACACATATTGGCTACTCAGTTGGGTTGCCTGTTTTTGTTGAATCTGTTTAATGCGATAACGGATACAGAGATGAAACGCATAAGCATGGTAGCGCTTGGATCCCTCATGTTGTCATGGATGCTTATGCTATGCCCTTCTTTCCTGCTTACGTCGGTCATGTTCACGGGTTGTCTGGCTGTGTTTATATCAACCCACGCGACCCAGTCTGATGGCATATGCTCCAAACGATGGATTGTATACGCTGCATTTCATAAGATGGTGCTTTCGCTGATAATATTCGCGTTTTCAAATGCCTTAATTGCGCTCACTAGTCGTCATGATGGTCATATTAACGAGATTTTGTTATCCAAGTTGGGTTTGTCTAGGCCAACTTTTGACTCACAGATTTACATGCTGGGCGCGGTAGGCGTTGTGTATTTTGGCGTAATGTGGCTCTAGGAATTCAGACATATTTCTGCGAGCGTACTACAGCGCATTGCTGGTACGCGATTGTTCCAATATGCGGGGGCGTCGTTCATAATGCTCATGCTGCTTTCGTGCAAGGTGGGCGGTATAAACCCATGCGTATCTGACAGACAACAGGGCGACCGGTCCATTCGTGGCTTTCAAGGGCGATTCAACTACTACCTGTGCATTCAGCTGCTGGTGTTCACGACAATGGCCGCAATGGTCTCGCGCCTAAGGATTCTGGCACTTCCTTTGATGTGCGCCTTTACGGGTTACTCCATGTTAGTGCTACGCCTGGCTCGCTTTAAGACGTCGTACGTCCTCCATCTAATGCCTCATAATTTACAGAAACTGGATGACAGTGTTGATGGTTTCGCTTGCATTGGCGCCTTACTTGACCACGATGCCTGTGAATGAAATGCGTGTCCCCCCTGTCGGGGAGCTTTACAACACCGCGGACCTAAAGGACCTCGTCCAGTGGGTAAACCACCATCTAGAACCGGGGACTCCAATACTATCGGACATGCCTACGTCGAGTGCGTTGCGAGTGGCTTCGCATGCACGCATTGTTCTTAATCCGCAATATGAGTACACGCCGCTGCGCCGCAAAACTCATTTCTTCTATACTTTGGGCGACTGCAATGACGCCCGATGGTTCGGCGAGACGCTACGAGGGCGCTATAAAACGGATGTGGTTATCGTGCCGATGAAGTTTTGTACCATTCCTCGTGAAAAGGGTCATTATGGGGTGCAGCGGTTGTTGTCCCTCAACCCATTAGGCACATGCCCATCTGGCGTCCCGTATTATCGCCGTTTGTGCAACCGCCTATGGGCGGGCAACAGCCTTTTCGAGCTGCTTTTTTCAAACAGCCGTTATCTGGTCTTTCGCTATAAGGGGCTGTCAGCAGCTGCTGAGGAGCGCCCCTGGGAAGTGATGCATCAGCTGGATCACTATAAGCCGTGGATTGAGAAGCACGCCGTTTTGGACGAGGTACTAGGCCCTCGACAAATCGTTTCCACCGCTCGCGCTTTGAGCACCCACTTCAACTCCCCAGTGGTACTGCCGCTACTTCGGCACGGTCTTGAGATGTTCCCTGGTAACGAAGACATGTTGAGAATGTACGCTGAAACTGCGGATTACGACCTGGCCATGTTCGATGAAGCCAAAAAGTACTACGAAGTTGTGTTCGAGTCGATGGGTTCCCGATGCAGTGGTCCGGAAGACCTGACGTTTTACGCAATGTACTTAAGTCACATGGTGGAGACCGGTACGGGTAATGATTCGGAAATAATGAGCGTCATCGAGGCCAGTATAAAGTGCCTCGGTTTGACATTTCCTCGGCTCTATGCTCAGCAGCTATGTGAACACGCGGTGGTAGTGCTAAAAGCGTTCAAAAATAAGCCCGGCGCGCCGCGGCCAAGCGTGCAGAGAACGGCCGTTAGTTTCTTCAATCTGTCTAAGGTGAGCTTTTGAAGCATTGGTCATACATTTTTAGGACGTGAACCACCAAAACCAATGTTTTTTACGGAATTACTCCATTTTCAACGCAGTGGACCTGACCACGTTAGACCTGCTCATCATGTTCCTGACGGGTCGATAATGTAGTGCACAGATATGAAAATTTCACATAAAATCATCCCTAAATAAATATCGCATATCGACGCACGATGTCGAACTATACGAGGTGTGTTTCGGCATCGTCCATGTCATCGCGTCACAGGAAGAGCAACCACGTGTTGCTGCAGAGCCAACGGGAGATTCTACCCGGAAGCAGCGGCACAGCAGGCTCCTTCTCAATACAAGAAGAACTTGCTGTGTCTAGACACGATGGAGAGGTGCGTTTGCTTTATGCTACTGCGGCGGATTGGCTTTTGCATCCCTCTAACGTTTTCGCAGAGTTCTCGTACCTTGGCGCTCCAATATGACAGTGAAGGAAGGCCAGAATTCGACAGAGTGGTGCGCCAGGGAGTCCGGAGCGACAAGATCGTGTACTCTAAGCCGGCGGACCAGCGGGAGAAACAGTTCAGCGAGGAGGCTCTGGCCCGTCCTGCTGACGATGCCGTGAACAAGAATCTAGAGCGCACACGGGAGGCTCTCGAGATGACCCTCACGCGCCGTAGGCAGCTTGGTAACGCTTCGTCTGGACCCACCAGCGAGCCCGTAATCTTCCGCTATACGCCGAGCCAGCAGTCCGCTGGCGCCATCAATCAACGTTTGATCAAGATGGTAGAGAAGGAGACGGACCCATTGGAGCCATCGCGCTACCGCAACAAGAAGTTGCCCGCTGCGGCACCCTCCCCACCCCCTCCGTTGCAGCATTCACCCCCTCGTAAGCTGACGAAGGAGGACCAACTGGCGTGGAAGATCCCTCCTTGTATCAGCAACTGGAAGAATTCGAAGGGCTACACCATTCCGATCGACAAACGTGTACAGGCTGATGGCCGGCGACTGCAGGAGGTGTATGTGAACGAGAAGTTTGCCGTCTTCGGCGAGAGCCTGTCACTTGCGGAACGCACGGCACGTGAGGAGGTTCGGCTTAGAAACGAAGCGCATCGTATGGAGAAGCTTAAAGAGGCGCAGGAGAAGGAAGAACAACTGCGCGCTCTGGCCGCTCGTGCGCGCGAAGAGCGTTCTCGCATCGATTTGCATAGCGAGCTGCAGGCCGCGGAATTCGAGCGCAAGAGAGAGATTGAACGTGAGCTGCGCTTGGAGCGAGCTGGCAAGAAGATCAAAGCCGCAGCTGCCCGGGACAGGGATATTTCAGAACGTGTCGCCCTCGGCCAGCCGGCTCCGACCAGGGTCTCGGACGCGCACGATTCGCGTCTGCTGAACACTGCGGCGGGTATCGACTCGGGCTTCAACGCCGGCGAAGACGAGACCTACAACGTGTATGACAAGCCGTTGTTCGTTGATCGGAGCATCGTTGGGATATATCAGCACTCCAACGAGCGTTTCAAGCAATCCTTGGGAGCGAGTGAAGCTGCTCGCGTACCATCTTTTGCTAACGCTGCACAGGTGCAACGCACGACACCCGTGGAGTTTGTCAAGGAGACATCGGACCCGTTCGGTTTGGGAGCGCTGTTGGACAAAGCTAAGAAGGAATCCTAAACTGCGAGCGTGTACTCCATGCCCGCCACGCATTTTGCGTAGATATATAACCAATTGTTAGTTTCACCAACACAATATGAAGGCATGTGATATATGTATTTTGCGATATTAAACTTTCGTTTTTTTATTCATGCGCTATTTGTAGCGTAGCGATCACCCATTTACCGAGTTTTGGTGTTACGATGGTGGTTTACAAAGGGCAACGACCGCATTTCATGCCGCATGAATTATACACGTCTCCAATAGAAATGTTGTGGCGCAGGCTATGTGGTATTATCTGCCCTGTTTTAACAGCAAATACCTGGAGCGTTGACGCCCCCTTAAGATTGCCGGCATTCTCCGTATTACCTGGCGCCAGAGGAGCGACCCTGCCAGAATCGTCATAGCAATGGCCAGACTCCACGCCAGACCCACCTTAGCGATGGCCACTGCCAAAAGGTTCTTAGCCCATCGCGCAGCCATGCCGATTAACAACATGACTCGACGTAGCCCCATCATGTGCACAAAAGCAACGGTGTCAAGGCAGCATAAAAAATAGAGCAGACGAGCATTTCGCACATTGAACATGAGCGAAGAGCATACCAAGACAGCTGCCATGGCAAAGAAGGTCGACAGTTGTGGCATGCGAATCATCAGAGCGTTTCGTATACGCGGGTAGAGTCTTTCGCACAGCCACTGCTCAACTACATCCTCTAACAAGATTGCAGCATCAATTGTAGCCGTCTTTGATGCGTCTACGCTTCCGATACTCAGCATTGATTGCGCCTCCCGGAGCAGTTTCGCGTCCGTTATCTTTTTCAGCAAATCGACATCCACATTCTTCTTCAGTTCTTCCAGAGCTCTTTTGGGTCGTAGGAGCTTATCTACAATCTTTATGTGCGCAAACACATGCCGCTTGGCGTACCAATGCATGTGCTTTTTAAGCTGGTAGAAGTGGTAGACATGCTCGACACGTTCCAAGGCCTCCTCGTACATGATCCTAAACTCCTTGTGGAAGTGTCTGAACACTGCGTCATCGTTGCTTTTCACTGCATTCTGGCCGATATCGTCGACCATGCGGTTGAAAATCGGCTGCGTCTTGCGCACTACTTGGGATGTGCCACAGTGCAACTCGGTAATCTCACTCCATCCACGCACCCGAATGTACTCTATGGCGATCCTTAATATCGGCTTTGGCGCAGGCCTAAATGGCACAAGCTGTTGCAACTGTGCATCGAATGTGTTTTTGAACCGATGCATTATTTGCGACAGAGAGCTTTGGCATACGTCATTCCAATGGTCCGTGCATTCCTTCTCGAGATGGGACAGTTGTTTCCCCAGAAAGTCCAGGGATCGTTGGTTAATGTCATCCATATCCTTGAATTCCCCTACAACTTGGTAGTAGGTTGCATAAGAGTCTCCCGTCCAAGCGTTTATGCTTTCAACAAACTCCGTGTTACTGATGCGGTACTTCTCCACAGCATTACGATCGGAGTTGTTGATGAAAAGCTCGATTGCTCGCCGAGTACCTTCCTGGAAAAGAGCATTGATTTCCGACTCGTTTTCCCTATATAGGTCACGTATATGAGTATCGATAAACTCCACAACCTCAATGGCTACCTCTTTGGATGCTGCGGTTGTGGAATATTGAACTCCATTGGCGTCCACTGTTTTAAAAAATACATCCAGAATATCCAGCCTCTTGCGTTCGAGGTCTTCTATCACCGAGGGCAACACGGGTAACTTTACTTGCGCCACGAGCTCCCGTATGGCATTTTTAACATGCGGTAGGACGGACCGGCAGTGTTTCAAGGTGATTTCATGAAGCTCATGGTCGAAATATTCCATCAGCTTTGACAACCGTCCTTCGAAATCTGTCTTTAAGGCACGGTACTGGTCTGGACTGATGTCGTAACTCGCATACAATTCAATGAGTTGGAGGTACTTGGTTTTTGTCACTTCATTAAAGTCATCTAATTCAGTAGCAAGCGGGATTGGTAGTTTGCGCGTGAATCCTCCCAGCTCTTGAGCGTACAGATCAACAAGGTCGTTCCTCACCAGGTTCGCCCGTGTCAACCGGAAGTCACCTTTGTAGTCCACAGATCCGGCTTTCAGTGAGTCATTCAGAGTCTGAACTAGGTGATCCAGGAGATCGCCAACGTCATCACCGGCCATAAGAACGGTGTCATTCAACACAAACGAAAAACGTGTCTTGGGATAGACCAGGCATCGTGTGAATAACCGCAGTTTATAGTTCAATACCTGCTCTAAATATCCGCGGGGGAGCTCGCATTTCTTTGGAGTTTTGCCACTTGTTGATGGAGCCGACATTAGTAATGCGTCGATTGCGCCGAAAACATTCGGTATCACATATTTATATTCTGAAGTCATCCTGGAGATTAGGTCGTCAGCCAACTGCTCTGTGGTGTATGTCGATCCCCTCGACACCCTGTCGGCTTTGAAAAAGCGCAGGAATTGCTCCCTCATTTGAGACAAGTTCGCTAGAAACGACTTCTGGTCGTTATACGACAGATCGAACCGTTTCACATTTATTACTGCATTTATGTAATCCAGTGCGGATTGTTGGAGCTGCAAATTGAATCCTTGCACTGACATCGTCAGCGTGGTACGCGTCTGGAGATCGAGCAGCCCTCCACCGAGGCGCTCATCCGAAGCAGTTCTACTGACGCTCGTGATTGACTTGCAGGCATCCGAGCCTGTTTCCTCGGCTATACCTGCCTGTTGAATCACCGACACGCCATTATGTTTGTGCGCATAATTTCCCTCTTCCATTACCACGCATGGTGCATTTGACAACGATCTGTATATATTAACCAGCGTTGAGTTGGCAGTCTGCAGCATGTGTTGCAGGTCTAAAAGATCTCTGGAATCTATAACCTTATGCGTCAGGTATATGAGTTCGGTGCTCAAGGTCGCCGCCAGTGTGAACAATGCCTCGTCATACCGCTGGAATCCGTCTGTAGAGTTAAAACCTTCCGCATCGAGTAACACAACATTGACCCTGTCGATCGCACATTTTGAGAGGTCGGCACGGTCTTTTGCCGTCAGCTTAGCACGTAGTGTTCCTCCCATGAGCGAGTCCATCACGGTTATCAGATGGTCAAATACAGTTGTTTTCGACGTCCTTCCTCCGTCTACATGCTCTTTCAGAACTCTTGACTCTATCTCAATGGGTTTCGACCACATCCATATCCCTCGTGTCGTCGCATTGATGGAATCGCTAACTTGGAAACCCTCCACCTGGTCGCCCTTTGCGCACAAGACGTGTTCATTCAGAACGTTAAGAAGCGAGCTTTTTCCAGTCTTGAAACTGCCTATTGCTGTCACGATGGCGATTGGCTTCGGTATTGAGCGCAACAGTTGCATTCCTTCCTCGACAATTTCCAATCCCAGGTGATTATCCGTTGGACGCACCAGCTGTACCGCTCTACCGCCCCCTGCACCCGGTACAATGCAGAATCTGTGTATGTCGTCGCCCACATAGGTGTCGTCGAAAGCACAAGTGTCTCCCGAACATGGTTCGCCATACGCTGTGAAGCCACTTTGACTGTCGTTGGGAGCGGGTTTTGCCGCAGCTTTTCCGGAGGTTACGAGAGTTAAACTGAGGCAAAGGATGCTTAAAACCGTAAGTACTGCCGCCTTCCATGGCGACGAATCACGTGCCATGATCAGAGACGACATCTCGGTTATGGCTCAGCGTACAATAGTGTCTAACATTACCACGTTACGACACATCGGCTAGCGGTTAAAATTCTTACGTCATTATGTGGTTTCGAGTTGCGGAACGGCGAATCAATACGCCATCTTATTGAGCTTGACGAAGGTATCCCCAACACACTCGTTTTTTGCGATGGACACGAAACAGTTCTGCAGAAGAGACGTTTCCCTGCTAGAATCCCCTCTTCCCGTGGCGCTTACGAGATGTGTAGGGTCAGTAGATCGGCCTTCTTTTCCCCCAAGCTCGAAAATCGGTTTGCTGCTGATAGGAATCTCCGGCACTCTGGCGTATTTTTTGCGCTTAACATGCGTGGGGCCGAAATCGATAAGCCGCACATCCCGTTTTATCACCGCAGTGTTGAATACGTCGGAGGTTGTTCGTGGCGAATCTGGTTCAGAATTTGTGGACATTGCAGCTTCATTCACCCGCGCAGCCGACTGTTCCGTAATAGTTTTCCCAGAGGTGTCGCGCGTGTTATTCATAACTCGCACGCATACTGACGTCGGGCATGCTGTTTTCGACACTGGCTGCTCCGCTGGCAGTTTTGCCTGCTGGCCGATTGATGGTTGCGTACTTGAAGGCTCTGAAGCATCGGTGTGGTCTTTATCAGCTGCAGCATCGCGGCTCTGAGATTCTAATTTGGCTTCCTCCTCTGCTTTTAGCTTGGCTCGCATTTGCTTCTGCCTTTTCATGCGCATGACCGTTTCGACGATGGTTTGCTGTGACACCATAGCCCTCGGTTCATACTCCGGCTCCCTGGACTCAACAGTCAGTGACGCCTGGAACTCGCCATGTTCATCAAGTATTTTACTTGTATCTAAGAAGTACTCAGCATAGTAGAAACCATCCACAACTTCTAGGGCGTTCTTGCACTTGATTTTTAGTTCGGATTGGTAACCACGAGCGATCCAAGTTAGTACGCCGCCTGAACGCATATTAGTGGCCGAGAATAACACTTTAATGCACAATTACACATATAATTGCTGCTTAGAGAGGGGGTCTCAGTCTATCAGCACATTCCTGTCAGATGGCCGATACGATCTAGGTGAGAAGCACTTAAGTTTTGCCTTCTCAGCGCCTCTTTGGCGTTTTTATACATCAAAATGCACTACATCGGACCAAATAATTGATAATACAGATATGGAAGTTATAACAGGCGCGTTGCCGTCGTTTGCAGCAATTCACATCTCCTCGCAATACAAGAAGCGTCAATTAAACAACGGAAACAGATTCACACCGTAAACACAAGGCCTATGAAATCCTAGATACCGGCTTTTTTGTGTAATTAACATCTTTCACACGCCGGTAATTTGGGTTCGAGTGTCCATGGCAAAGGCGATAACCGGATTGAGTAAGACCGCGTTATCAAAAGCGGATATACCGAAACCAAGCCGTTAAATATGCACTATAGATAGACAAAAGTCGTACTAACGCGTAATTTCGAAAATGATTTCGGCGAATATTTTCACGAACGTAGGGTTATGTATGTAAGATAACACTTACCGTTTATTTCGTAGGTCACATTTTCCGGGAAGGCGCCCCTAGTATTAGTAAGCGCCCCTGCGATACACTGAATCTGCCACGCGTTGTCTTCCGCCATTGTCCTCGAAGACGAGGTCGACATTCTTTTTTGAGGAGGGTCCACCCCGTTGCGTGTCCCGACAGGTTGCGTCTCGACCCCCAAGTTGGGAATGTTTGACGTATCAAAAACCATTCGGAATATATTACTAAACTGTTAAAAGGTACAAATACGATATATTTGCGTTCGGGAGCTCACGACGTCAGCAATGCCTTAAGTTGTCGCGGAACCTATGCCATAGCCTGCCAAATGCAGCCTTCGTCACCCACGAACAACACCCTGGTCAATTAAAATTCCAATAAACTCATCTGGAGACTCTATATGAGTTGAATTCGCGACTGGTACTAGTATCCGCTCCTTTTATGTGCACCGAAGACTTGCTTCCTGCGTTCATTCAGCGTTTATGGCCCAGAAAAGTCAAATCGGGTGTTAACTGGTGTTATGGTGGCGCCGTATGAGCAGCTTATACGCGCGTACTATGCCGACACGAATAATCCTTGTCGACCCGCAAACAATGGATGGATGTGAAAATGACCCTTTCTGTAATGCCGATGTATGTCGCTATCTAAGATGCAATTCGAAGAACGGTTATATATCTTGCTAAGCTTGCTTTTTTGGCATTAAGCAAAAGTCAATGATACGCCGGGTGATTTTTGCCTGTGCTACGCACCTCAACAGGTTTATGCCTGTATATATGGCGCCAACTGGCGACGGTTGCAACGTTTATGACTCAAAACGTATCTAATATGTCCCGCTTTAGCGCACAGCAAAATACGCCTGGTCCAATATAAGAGAATATCATAAGCCGAAAACATTCATGTTATGTGGCAGATGGTCGTGTTAGTAACCGTGTGACTGCTGAGTTAGGCTGAGAAATAAACCTTATGGTCTTACATCTCCATAACATAAAACATTGTAGTGTAAAATCGTTTATGCCCGTAACAGGCAGTGTCATCATGCTGTGAAAATCTGACCCGAGCTAAACGTAGCGGAGCCCGTTACAAGTGATAGCACATAAGTGATTCCCGTAGAGCCGTTGGCGATTGCCAACACTAACTTTCATTTGATTAATTCCTAATGTCCTGTGCTGGCGGCTTTTAAAGGTAAGTGTCAGGAACCGTGGTTGTTGCATTCTTATGATATACAAGAAACCGTTTCTTTCCTTGAGAACATATGGCGCGACAACATTAACTGAATTCAACCATCACATGGCGGCGACTAACAGTCCATGGCACGTTCGCTGCCGTCTAATGTCGCATAGTAGTGTGTCAGGTGGACGCTCCACAACGTTTAACGAGTTTCAGCCAATGATTAGCCATTATGTGAAAACAAAAGGATATAATGCGTCACTAATCACATGTTCAATAAGCATATTTGGGTAGCAAAAATCTCATGTCGTTGACGTTGATTTTTTTTCTCCTTATGTTTCGAAGTTCACACGGCTGTACATCGTTAATCATGAACACCCTATATGTGGACGTTAAGATGAAATGTGAGAATATGGGTGACGGCACAGCATGACAATGGTCCTGCTTGCGACAGATGTGAAGCGTTGGTCGGCGGGAAGCGCAATGCACCTCTTCGGCTGCTCTCCACGCCGCCGTACCGTATTCACATAATTTCGTGGAGCCTTTCAGTTCTTCATCGGTTAAGCAACGTATTTTAAGCATAGCATTTACAATACCGCCTAGGTACGTGCAGGTGTGTAACTGTGCGATTGCGTCGCGCTGGGTTACGGTCGACCGACCGACCATATCGCTGAAACAAACCATTTTATGGGTATTACTAGAGCAAGCCAGGTAGAATCTGCCAGACGCAGTGCTTTATTAGGAAGGTCTTCCGACGTTGATGTCTCCTGGTCTTTGAAGGTTGTCGCGAATCCTGAGGCATTTACATCGGCTCAGCAATCTCGCTACGCTGACCAGCAGTGTAAACCCTTGCAACCTGAGGACATACCGTTGAATGTTAATATCCGGGCGCGTTGCATCCGTTCAACCTCCGTGCAGTGCGATGGTATTAACAGGCACAAGTACAACTCCATAGCTGCTTCACGCTGTGGATCTGATTCGGGACGCCGTTTGACATCGGATGAGCAATCTGATCGCTTTGTAGGGCAGGAAAACGACACGCGCGGGAGGGGAACCGGCCCCGTCACTAGAGGTAGTGGCAGCATGTTCGGTGTAAGAGACCAATACAAAATGCGCGACTCCGATAGTCTCCCAAGGCACCTGGAGGACAGTTCACCCACTCGCAGCCGAGATGAGGGCTCTAGTTGGTTTGGTAGCGGCTTTGTGGACATGGTTGTCCACAATACGACACAGCTTGCCAATATGCTACAGTGGGGGGAGCGCGAAACCTACTATTCGCTCTCCAAAGATGAGGCTGAAACTAATGATTTGAGGAGTCGTATGTCTCATCACATGAACGACAAGGCTGATACGTCTTCAGGCAGCGGGGCGACTGAAGAGGACACGGGTTACACCCCCAATGCCACCGTTGTGGACATGACCATGTACGATCGTTTGGGCGTGGAGTGCACTGCCTCCAAGTCCAAGATCAAGCAGGCGTACTACAAGCTTGCGCTTAAATACCACCCCGACAAGAACCCCAACGATGAGGATGCAAAGCGTAAGTTTCAAGAGATTGGAGAGGCGTATCAAATCCTTTTCGATGACGCTACCCGTCAGCGCTACGATAGTCAGGGCAGCGCGGGAGCCACCGACTTCCCAACTATGGACGCATCGCTTTTCTTCATGCTGCTTTACGGTTCAGAAGCGCTTGTCGATTATATCGGCACCCTGAAGATTGCAAATTTGGTCAAGTATGCGACATCCGATGGTCCTCGTCCCAAGAACATGGGCAGTGAAATGGAGGTCGAACAAACCTACCGCGAGGTTTCGCTGGCGGTGAAATTGGCGAAGAGGCTCGATGAAGAAGTTAGGGGTGGTGAAATCAGCGAGGCGTTGCGTGAAGATCTGGCTAAGTTGTGCTCAGGTGCGTTCAGTGACACCTTGGTGGACTCTATCGGTTGGGTATATGAGAACTGTGGAGATTATTTCGTTGCCGATGCTACTACGCTTTGGGGAATCGGGACAACAGTTGCCAACGTTCAGGCTGCCGGCCGCACGTTGGGAAACACATGGAGCATGGCAAAGTCCGTGGTGAATGTGGCGTTGTTGGTGAAGGACCTGAAGAGTGACCAGGACCAAAACCAGAGGCTGGATCAGCTTAAGAATATCGTAGAAAATATCCTCTCCATAGTGCTATATGACGTCGAGAACACGGTGCGATCTGCCGCTACAAAGTGCTGCAAGGATTGCGATGTCTCTGTAGAGCAGCGCCTGGAGCGAGCTCACGCATTGGTGACCTTGGGGCGATATATGCAGGAAACCGCGAAGCGGTACCGCAGTCAACTGCCCGAAACACAGGACGTCACCAAGCGGTTGTTAGAAGCGTTCGAAAAGGCGACGGTCAAAAAGGATGAGGCGTGACGGCCGTGAACATCGCTCCTAAACGCCGTCACTCCGTGTTGTGGTGGGTTAGTCACCTATGTTAAATTATGACGTATTATGTTACTGTACAAAGCCAATTGTATCGATTTCATTAGTTGTTCGGCCGTGTTTTCACTGGACAGCGGCGCTAACACTGCTGTGCCTGCCCTTGCGTAGGCATCGGCAACTGCTGCGATAAGTTTTACGACGACATGGTACGCTCCAGGACCTCATTCAGCGGACCTGCTGGCAGCAGCATGGCGAAGAAGTGGCCCGGCGTTTCTGTCGCTGTGGAGAGCCTACTCCGCAGGGTGTCTAGTGTGGCCACATGGCGTCCGTCCATCACCCTGGACAGTTGCATCTGGTGGTTGTCAGCCACTTTGTTGTTTGGAACGAAAACAGCTTTCTTTTGTAGGCGGAATATGTCGATGATCGTTCCCGCTCCCATGTGTGAAATAACGAGTTCGCTTTCACGCAAACGTTCAACGAAATTATCCTCAAATCTCACTGACCGCGTGACCAAAATATTCTGTTGTATAACCCTCGACGAACGCCCTATTTGGTAGTAAATATGGGTGTATCCTAGTCGCTTAAGCTCAAGCTGCGTATCGGCGTTGTCTACGGCTTCAATAAGCTCGTCGAAACTGGTGGTACCCACCGTTACGAGCACCTGCCGACGCATACCGGCCATGCGATCTGATGTGTCACTCGTTGGCATCGGCGACCTCACCGCCGCACAGCGGTGGTGTCGTAATGCATCGATGCCAATGCAAAGAACTCCCGCGATTACAACTCGTCCGATTCTGGCCCAATCGTCCACGTAAGATGTTCTAATAAGATTGGAAATTGTGAAGTTGGCCGGAGACCTTACCCCGTCACCGCCTCCTGCTGTACCGGTCTCTGGACCGGCTGCGATGCCGACGTCCTCTCCCATCGTTGCCGCTGCGACTGCGGCTGGAGCTGCGGGATCGCGAAGAACGGCTATGCGTGCGATGTAGTGGCCTCCTGTTTCCATACGAGCGACTTGAACTGCGGTCCGTGTTTTGGCTGCTCCTTTGGCAATTGAATGGGGTAGCTGTTGTTGCATACCTGTCTGGCTTGTGTTCGTTTACGTACTCCGTCAACAACTTCGACATGTCGCGCAGTTTCTGGTAGCTCACGTGAATTTTACCGCTGTAGTGCTCAGTTAAGCGGCGGTCGGTGTCGGTTGCTGCAGTGGGTTAAAATTTTTTGTTGGCTACCAACCTGATAGCAACGCCCCGCAAATGTCGCACGGCTTGATGCGCGACTGATAGGAAGTCTCTCCCGCCTTCTCTAGCATCTCCAACTTGTTTTTCTTTAAAAGCTCAGCTTCTTCCAGCAGCTTGAAGGACTCCTCGACCTCTCCCTTCTCCCCCAACTCGTTAGCCTGCCTCATTGTTAACGTTCAAGTGTTGTAATTATACGTCAGAAGCATGTAAAAATCGTCAACTTACGATTTTCATTTTCTTCTCAATCTCTGCATCTATGCGCTTGGCCTCCGCGATAGTGGCATCGTCGAGCGTTGTTTGCTTACAGCCAATGTCATCCTCCGCCTGAACAGACATAGATGTTATAGAGTCATGTACTTACTCTCACTCGCCCCCTCTGCACTCGACGGTCGCATTCTTCGATGAGCGGCATGATAAATCTCAGCGTCTCGGCCTCATAATTGTAGTAGCGTGTCTTCCTCTGCTCCATGTACCTGAAGCGCGTGCTGATCAGCTATATGTTAACCTTACTTCGCTCGTAACTCGTCACAGTGTAGCAGCGCGCACGGGCCGATGTAATGCTTCTGCGGAGCGTTACGTTCGGAAGACAGGCACCTACCGTGTTCTCGAAAAGGTCGTGCGGACACAGTCCTACAAGGTACATCTTGCATACGTCCTTGTCTTCGAAGCTTTTCGTTTCGTTAGGGTCGACGGGATTCTCCAGGTTGCCCATTAGGGCTTCCCATTGCGCTCGCATCTCATCCATTTTGAATATTTGGATAACACGAGATAAAGCGGTTGATCTCCGGCGTAACTACTGCATAGAAGGTTGCCCCTACTGTCGCGGCACGATGGGTTGGACCGTCGCGCACCGGGCGGCTACACATACGGTGGAAGGTCGGACGATAGGCAAGCTTTAGGTGATAAAAGGTTACAAATATAGTGATGAAGTGAAAATGATCCCCTTCTTCAATTTCTTGATGCACGTCACGAATGTCTGCTCCATCTGCAGGTTGCCTATGTTACGCGACGTACACGCCAGTTGCCTCAGGAGCTCCTCCAGCCGTCTGCGCCGATATTAAGAACGCCAATGGGTCTGCACTCACCTCACGCATCGAATGACGGAGCCCTCGAACAGGTTGGATTCCGCCATCACCTCTGTGAACGAGTGCCCCTTTGCCCACCTGAGCACGACCGTCATCATAGCTGGCTTGAATTTCTTTACGAACTCTTCGACATTCACATCTAGATGATTTTCTGCCATTACAGTTGCGATTTGACGAGCTATATCCTGTATCAATAATGAAGCGAATAAAGGCATGATGTTCGCATAGCATGAACACAATTAAAGGCATCGTTCAATATGCACCACTCCAACAATCACATGTATAAAGTCACAATGCTGATTACATAACGGCACAAGTCACAAAAATCACCTGTTAAATACGAAAAAATCACGTCGTTATGACGCATTTTGCAAATACGAATAACATCACGCAACCAAACGCATCAATATGCCAATATACAAACGCAACCCAAATGATTCCCTAAACGCGTTAATCATTAGAACAATAAAAAAAGTAGGTGGTAAGGCATGAGCAGCGCGCCCTAGTTCACTTTCCAGCACAATAGCCACACTTATAGCCGCAAACTCACCTGAATATTTTTGAACGCTTCGAACAGCTTCATGTCGCTCGGAAGCTTGTCATCCTTCTTCTCGTCGACTACGAGACAGCTGAGGGAAGCGCATATGTACTCCGGCTCCATGTTTTCGAAGAAGTTTCGCAGGAACATTTCCGCAACAACCAGTTCGTCTGTTGCGTTTATCTCACACGCGACGTTACCCTTTATGGTGACAACGCCGTTTTCGTCGACATAGTTGAGCTTTCTCAATACTGCCTTCATGTGTCGTAAGTCTTCCTTCATTACGATTTGGTTGGACATCTCGATGTGGCGCAGCACATCCCTTTCCTTGGTTTGGGTCTTTACGTAATCCATGAAAAGATCGTACTTCGTTTCATAGTCGCCGCTAGCGAGCACCTTGCAGCTGCTCAAACGTTTTTCGAGCTCTGTAATTTGGGTGAGCAGCCCCTTCATCTCCGGGGTGTCTATTTTGATGTGTTCCACAGGGTCCAACATCGGCACAGATGGTAGTGTCTTCATGTATTCCACAAGTTGCGTGTACTTGGCTCGCATGTTCATTTGGGAGAGCTCACTGTTCACTCTGAAGTCCTGCTGCACCTGCATCCTTATCTGGCTGATTTCCTTGACACAGTCTACCGAGAACGGCACCACGACGAACAGCCCATCGGCGATATTGGATGTTGGCAGTGGCATGTCCTTTTTGTTCCCGCTAACGCTCGCACGATCGCACAGCACCAAACAGTCCACAATGTAAAACTTCTGCTTTTCGTACGTGCTCCTGTTCACCTTGACCTTGGGCGTCGCGAACACTATGCCCCATTCCCAGACGTTGCCTTCGTTTTCGAGCTTCACTAGCCGCCCGAAATTGAGAAAGTTCAGCATCCTCAAATCCTTGGAGACAAGCCGGCCAACGGCGTCCTTTTTGTCGGCTATTTCCTTGCGCAAGGTGTGGACATTCGTGAGTTCCAGCAAATCCTCATGCTTAAGCAACGATTTCTTTTCTTCCATGTCCTTCCTCACGCTCATGAGTTCCTTCTGGTAGCTTCTTGCGTTGGTGTCCCTCTGGAACTGTAGGAACGAACGTTCTATCAAGAACTCCGGCGTGGTGTTTTCTATGCGTATGAGGTTGAGCAGCATATTATAGCCTAGATGGAACGAGCTGTCCAACCTGTTGGCCTTCCCCATGAAGATGGATTTGGCTTCCTCGGGTTTTATGCCCTTTTCCATCATGATGATGACCAGACCATGCTCATCCAGCCCACGTCTGCCTGCACGCCCGGCCATCTGTATGTACTCGCCAGATGTGATGAGCCTGTTCGTCTGACCATCCCACTTGTTGAGGCTGGTGAACACCACGCATCTTGCCGGCATGTTGACACCCATGGAGAACGTTTCAGTGCTGAAGAGCACCTTGATGAGCCCTTCTTGGAAGAGGATTTCTATTATCTCCTTTATAATCGGTAGCAGGCCTCCGTGATGTATGCCCACGCCCCTCTTGAGAAGCGGGAGCATGAATACAGCCTGCGGCAATGTCCGGTCATCATCGGCAAGGGTGGCCATCGCATTTTGGTATATTTCCGTGATGAGGTTTTTCTCCGCCTCGTCAGTCATATCGAGCGTCCGAAGAGCCGTTGCGTTAGCCTCGCACTCTGCTTTGGAGAATGCGAACACTATGACGGGCGTGAATTTTTTTTCGTGGCACATCGCAACTACCGATTCGATATCCTTTGTGTTACGGCCCCTTTTCCGTCTTCCTTCTTCCAAGGAATCCAGCGTGCTTACGGCTCTCAAAAACGCATCTTGCCGGAACCTACCGGAATCATCGACGACCAGGTAGACCCCGTTTGACTGCGGCGCATATATATAGTGCTGCAGTGGCGTGGGACGGTAGTCCGTGGAAATGACGTTACATGGCATGTTCTTAATTCTGCAAATCCACTCGGCGAATTCGATGGAGTTGGGTATCGTTGCTGAAAGGAACACCAGGTGCACCTTTTGCGGTATGAGGATGATTGTCTCCTCCCACACAACCCCTCTCTCGGCGTCACGCATGTAGTGCACCTCGTCGAAAATGACCCATTTCATTTCCTGCACGATTTCACTGCCTCTATACAGCATAGACCTCAGAATTTCAGTAGTCATGACCATGACTGAGGCGTCGGGGTTAAGCGTGACGTCCCCCGTCATCAGTCCAACGTCGACGAACTCGTCGCACAAGTTCCTGTACTTCTGGTTGCTCAGGGCCTTTATAGGGCTCGTGTATATGATGCGTCTCTTGTCGCGGAGGCCCATTGCAATGGCGTATTCGGCAACGGCAGTCTTTCCAGCTGAGGTGTGGGCACAGACAAGAACGCTTTCCCCTCGTTCCAGACAGTCGATGGACTTCTTCTGGAACTCGTCAAGCGTGAATGGATACGTCCTTGCAGGTTCACCTGCTGGCTGCTCCGGGGTTTCGTAGTTTGCTGGCTTCAGTCTATGGTGAGTGCAGTTCTTGCCGCCAGGTAGTTTCTCCAGAACGACCTGCGCAGCCAACCTGTGCTGGGCAGCGTCCATGAACCTCGGAGCCTTTGTGAATCCTTCATTTTCGTACTCCGAAACCTTGTTGGTGGTAGCGGCCGTGAAGGCGTCGAACATACTCAGCGCGTCATCCATCTTGTCTTCAGCTATCGCCGCGCGCTATGGGAAAGACTAGCTCGCCTTCTCACAAGCTATATTCCTGCTTATGGTTTGGTACGCGCAAAATGCCGTTTCTACGCCTCTACCATCGTAGGTGATTCCTTTTGTTACACTGGCCAGTCCTACCGTGATTCCTATGACGTTGCTCTATATCATAGGTATCATAGCGATGTGTTTGCGATATATTAGTGGAATTGTGTGTGGGTGCCCGGAATCAGGTAGATATCTCGCGCGATGTCGGTCTGAAATGTGTGGGCACGCCGCACGGGTAGCCGCCACTGTTCAGTGGTAGACAGCTGAAGCTGAGCGCGTCGACGTCTTGCAGCTCCAGATAGAGGTGTACATACTTGTCTATGACGTTGCGATGCATTTTGAACCGTCTTCTAAATAACACGGAGCTGCTGGTCCGACCGTTGAGCACCTCCAGCTTAATCTTGATCCACGGCACCCGGCAAGCACACTGCAGCATTGTTACTCCACGATGCTCACACTTACGTTACGCATTGACCCTTGTATGTGTATGGCCGCTGGCCCGTCGCCGGAGCGTTTCTGCGAAAAGTTTCGATGACCTCGTTCCGACCTACCTCGTACTCCACCAGTGCTGTCAAGGCCGCGAAGGGGAGAGGGAACGTTTTGATGACCCCCACCGGCATTGGCAGCTGAAGCGTACTTATAGCGTTAAGCAAATCCTGAACGGTTTTCGTACTCCTATTTTGTGCGTCGCACATCTTGGCAAGAGGTTGCAACGCCATTAGCGGTTCCATATCCCTTGACAAGTACGAGAAGAACACTTCGCACTGTGCAGCTGCAATCACGTTGTGATCATCAGAAGCTACCGCTTTCTTCATATGGTTCTTCTCCTTGTTCGTGCGCACGCGAGAGAATAAGACAAACTCATTTAGGATGCTCTCCAGGGACAGCTGCGATGCGTGTGTCGGCATTACCTGTGGCACCACTGATTCTGCCTTGTCCGCGTTGGAGTCACTGGACTGTTTCGTCACTGCTCCAATAAGGCCCTTGTGAGCCGCCATTATGGCGGGAGCCGTATAGAGTTGGGCCCGTATCGCCGGGTCGATGAGGTTCACAATTGCAAAGGTTTCTGGCATGTGAATATCGTCTTCGGCGAATATATTCGTTATGTAGCATCTTAGTGCCTCATCCGGATCTCTGGTAGGTTGTGTTTCCTCCGGATTTTGACTTGCGATATCCTCTTTTTTTACCTCCGGCAGCGGCTCTGCAGTGCAGATGGCGTAGAGCAGGATACACAGCCCCTCGTAGACCTGCAATATGTTTGTAGTTTCACAACACACATTTCTGAATGCCCATCTGAGGGACTTGAAATGGCCAAAGAGGCCGACAAATACAGATGTGAGGGCTGAGCAGTCGTGCGGGGTTTCCCTGAATAATAGACGCAAATGCCCAACCGCTACCTGAAAAACGAGTCTGAGAACACACCACGCATGTGTCACTAGACTTGGCAGCGCATAATTGAGTTCCGGTGCCATCACTTCGTTCCTGGAATGTCTCATAGCCCACGACGTGCATTGGTGACTGTACGTCTCCAAGGCATCCAACCCTTGCACTCTAAGCTGCACGGCTTTGATTTCGTCTGCTTCTACTTCCGCATTTGCATAAAGGAGAAACGCATTAAACCACAGCAGCGTATCGTTCGTCCACAGTTCCAGCTGCTTGAGACAGTTTGCCGCTTCTCTATATAGCCCCAACCTTAAGGCGAGGTCGATGATCAGCTTCAAGACACTCCCGCTGCTGATCCTTGCAAAGGCGGATGAAATTAACGCGCGGACATGCTCATTGAGTACGCTGGAGTTAAAACTATCCTTTTTCGTTATGACGGCGACCCTCACCGGACTGGTTTCACTCGTGTTACCGAGCTTCCCTGACAACAAATCGATGCTCACGGGTATGGTTACGAAGTTTTGTACCTTTGGAGGTTTTATGTAGGTCAGGTCGTACAAGGTGCCCACCCAAAGGTTTACCTGCGTCGCTGTTAGCCCATCGTCCACTGGACCGAAATCATCCGCGGAGAGCAGCGGTTTGAAGAGGTATCTCAAATCGTTGAGTTCCACTATTTCCTTTATTTCGGGCATCATTTTGGCCAACTTTTGTGGTTCGACGACGTAGCACATTTTGACGATGTTTCCCATTGTCCTTATCACTACCGATTGTAGGTAACTCAGTTCGCCCGTGAGGGCGGCGTACTGCGAGGCAGCTGCTCGCAACATGCGAATCATGTACTCCGAATAGTTTGTCTTCAGCAGCTTGAAAGCGTTTTTGAGTTCGTATAACAGTTTTATGTTAGCTGGGTCTGAGACCACCAAATCCTCGAATACGGCAAGAGCATTCAAAAATGCATTTGGGTTCTTAGTTTCCTCGAACTGTCGAATGTGCATGCTGCATAAAAGAATGTTCATATCCTTAATTGAGTTTGTTCCCTTGATTTTCGCTTTAGTTAGCTTGGTTAGTTCTTTAGTATCTCCGTTGTGTCTGTAGAGTAGGTTAAGGCACAGGGCAACCTCCATTCCGCAATCTCTTTCCTTCTGGTCATAGATAAGCGATTCAAGCCTTCTTCGCTGCCTCATTTCTAATTCGGGATGCCCCAGACAGAGTATAGTGCTGGTTAGCATCAAGTAGAAATGCGACTCACGAACCATAAGCGTGTCCGATGTTTGCCGCTCTTCCCTGCAGGTATCCACGTGGATCCAGATGTTCCAACACATGCGGAACGCTGTTTTGTACAACGGTTGTTGCCTACAACCGAGCGCAACGCAGCAGAATGACTGAATACGTTGGGGGCTGAACTCAACCGCCAGGGCGTGCTCGTGGCTGCATGTCAAAAATATCTGCGCAATCGCCTCAGGGACGTATTCCAGAACACTGACAAGTGATACGGCAGCTTTGCTTGCGAGCTCTTCAACAGGTCCGACGAGCGTGTCCCTAAGCTCGCCCAGTAGCTGCGGGTTACAGGCAACGATTCGTGGGCAAAGCTTCAACAATTCTAGTCCACATACCCTAAGGTTGATATCCTTTGAGGTCAGCATTTGTTTCAGTATATTGTCCATGACGTTGAAAGAGAATCGGCGAGGCAATTGCCCAATGGTATTTAACGCGTCAACCGTGGAGGGAGTTACACCCTCCACGTAGCCCTCCGTGCCCTTCAGGGAAACTTCACGCGTGACGAGCCCGAAAAGAATGCGCAGCACTTTTGCATTCCTGACTATTTGATAGAAACAGAAGACTCTCACGGCGCTTGACTTGGTGTAAAGCAATATCTCGTACAGGAGCCGCACCAGCAGGAAGACGTATGCGAATGAATCCTGCCGGTGGCACTCCTGCAGCGCCTGCGATATGTCCGCGCAGTCGAAGAATGGCGTGAGCATTTGTCTGCTGCGCGACTTCGGCTGCGTCGCGAGCTTCCGGAGGTCAACTTGGCTGAGCACATCGCCAATTTGTCCTATATGCTGGGAAAGCTCCTCCAGAGATAGGTCGCCTTTATGCAGCGCGTGGTAATGCTCTATCGCTATCTCGTTCAGAGATCCCGCATTCTGCAGCCTTGCGTAGTGTGGAAGGTTGTCATCCCACGCAGGAGATCTAGGCGACTCGATAGTGGCAATTGACGTGAGCCACGCCTCGTACCACTGCAGGCATACCTCCGAGCCCTGGCCCGGCATATCCATCCTTCTCTCCCCTAGACGAGTTTCTCATCAGGTTGCCAATTCCAATATTGTTCGCTTTGGGGTTACCATTTTTCCTTAGGGGTGGCATCTGTTGTCCCGCGCGGATCATTAGACATCATGGCGCCTTCTACGGCGCGTATTTTAGAAATGCAAAGGTACAGTGCGTAAGAAGCATTTAGATTAATGCGATGTTTTTGCGACAGTGCCTTTGTCCTTTGTTCGGACTTTCGGGGAGGCTCTCGTCCAGTAGGCGGGTGTGTAGCTGCGTCACATATATTTGCATGGCTTATTCCTACCTTAACGTGTATAATGTTCCCGTATGTTGCAACATTTTTGGATCAACTGAAGGTATATTTGTGGTCTGATTTCGGTGCGATGTGCTGAATTGCGTATCGACTTTGACCTTCTCAACCTTCCATTCCAGCTGATGGTCCGCTGAATCTACACAAAATTGTTCTATCACTTTCTTGCACATCCGAATTTTCGAGCCCTCAGTTTCTGTATGTTCGGCCTTCTTATACTTATCCAGCGGGGCTCGCGTTAAAGATTCTGCTGCAGGGTACTCGTCGAATTCGCCCAGGCTTATGTAGGTCATTGCGTTTATGTGATTGCTTGTCTATAGTGTTTATTGTGCTACATTTGTTGTCTTTTAATCCGGGATCTATCGCCCCTGGTGGCTGGATCGCCGTGTCACCTACACTAGGTTCCAGAGCAGCATTAGATCCACTTGCATCCTACAACGCTCGGCAACTAACGCTGAGCTGTAACCTCCAGCGATGTCGCACGCCAAAACCTCATCCCTGCATATCTTTGTCAGTTTCCCCTGAAATCGCTTCTTACCTGGAGGCCAGCATTCGTCGAGGGATATCGGTGTCGTTCCTTATCGCGGCGTTGAGGGGCTGCATATGACGGAGATCCACGTTCATCAGCTTACTTTGCATTCGCCAGTCGAAGAAACCACTTCCTTTTTTTCGGCGAAGAAAGAGGCGTGAGTACGTTGGAGGGTATGGACCAGATCGTCCACCTTCCACAGGTTGAATGGCGCTCCCTTGTCCACCATCTCGTAGAAGGTCTTTTCCGTTTCTACGATGTGTTTGACTCGTTTCCGCAGTTCATTTTGCTGCACTTCGTAAGTGTGAGCGCATCAGTTCAAACCTGAGCTGCTATATTCTCCGATATGCGTGATGCCCGTTGGCGCTCATAGTTTTTCAATTCCGCCTCCACCTGCTCACCCCGCAGGTCGTTCCTACCAAGAGCAAGCGTGTTTATCATCGTTTCTCTGTCTTCAAGAAACTTGTTGTACTCTGGCGTGTCCTTGAAGTTCGCCCGGGTGTCGTTGTACCTGCAGGATATTTCTCCTTGTCTGGCAGACTTACACCTGTAGAACACGCTTGCGGGCTTCCTTGAGCGTGCTGTAGTACGCTTGCGTAATGTCGAACAAGGCGAATGAGGCTCTGCTTATGTGGCACCGGCAGATGGCGCACTGCGCCTGGCCCACTTGCGATGATACTGGCGGATTTGAGGAGCTTCATGACGTCAACTTACGCTGTCGTTCCGCACATACGTCGCATCTGCTCAACCATTAGCGCATACGTAATCGGATTGTAGTTGATCATAGAGTACAATGGTCACCAAAAACAATAGGCATAAGCCGCCTGAATCACGTAGACCTACATCTTGTGGTCGCAAACCTTCGATACCAGCATCTTCTTCTCACTCAGAGGAGTGATCACATCGAGGCATATCGGACATTCGTTGTCCATATTGGCGCTCATTGTGCCGACTTCGCAATCGATATTCTTGCGCGGCGCGCCGCGGAGGCATTGGCAGCCTATTCAGCCTTTGGGCTGCTCATGTCACCGGTACGACAACTTCAAACCCTTTAGAAAGACGTTACACATGCATTAACTAAATCCAAATATTAATGTGTGCCTTATACGGCTGTTCGTGAGGCCTCTGGATGTCGCCACCGTCGGTCGCGTGACAGTGTCTAGGCGCGCCAGTATGTGTATACTGTGTGCTTTGACCGGGTATTATAATGCCTGAGCAGTTTAATAAATACACACATGGCCAACATGGCCGCCGTGAAGTACCTCATAAAGGTGGAAGTTCACGAGGTGAAGGAGGTAGTCTTCAAGGATCCAAGTTCGGAGGTCGACATCATCCCTAACCTGTACTGCCTGGTGACAGTTGGCAACACGCAGTATTCGACAGTCCAGAAGAATCAGGCGTCTAATGCGGTTTTCAACGCTTCCTTCAACTTCACTCTTGACCTGACTCCCACTGAACTGAGCAGAACTCGGATTATTATATCTCTCCACCACAAGTATCGCATACAGAGTGCGCTCATCGGTTTGCATGCGTTTGGCCTGCATTACATCTACTCGAAACAACAGCACTGCATCCATCGTTCCTGGGCGCGAATACTCTGCCCTGACTTCCCGGGTCACAACGCGGTACGTTCCCATCCATATAGGGTTGTGGTTTACACCACTCCATTTAACCTTCTCCGCATATTGCATCATATTGTTTGTTTTATATTGCACTCGTTTCTGTTCGTAGTAACATAATGGTCATCGATTGGACAGCACGCTGCTACGACAACTCCGTGTACCTTGCATTTGAGCATTACTTGCTTACTCCATATATAACTCATTTACAGGGACTATTACTTACATCGGTTGGTGTCTTTGGTCCGGGAGATAATGTTCCGGTGTTCAAGGAGGGAGTGGGCGGCACCCGTCCCACGGGTGCCGTCATTGCCGCCGCTGCGGATGTTGGGCATGGCGGCGCTCGCAACCTGCGCTCGCCCGAAATATCGACCAAGTTTTACATCCTGAACCTCAATGTCATCTGTGGCCGCGATTTTATGTCGCGGGGCTCTCTCTTATCGACGTGTTTGGAACCCTTCGTGAGAGTTTGTCACGGTGGACTCCAGGTTCAGACCCCTGTGATAAAGGACAACCCTAACCCCGAATGGCAGTCAACCCTTTACATGCCATGTTTGACACCTTCTTTCGACGACTTAGTGACGGTGGAGATATGGAATGGAGAGTCTAACAGCGTCCTGCTTCATTGCGAGTCCATTGATGTGAAGTACCTTTTCAACAATGACTACCCTCCGCGATGGGTTAACATATATTGCAATACCGTGTCTGCGTCAGGGTTACTGGATTTAGTGAAGACCTACGTTGTTGGATCCAATGAATCTTTGACTGATTATGGTGGACGGGTTTTGATCAGCGCTTCGGCTACGCAGGTACAGGTGCCGCCCGTCGTGGGCATCAAGCCCTTCAAGCAGATCTCGACGCCTCCGACTCAGAAGCGTATTGTATGGATTGACCTATATGAGGTAGTCCCTCTTACGGATTCGCCGGTCCCAATAGAAGTGGTTGTGTGTTTGGGTCCCTATTCCGTGCGGACCGCGGTGTTGAAATTGAGCTCAAATGGCACCTACAAGGTGGATGACACTGTAGGAAGATTGGCTCCTATGGAGCCCCTTGTGTCAGGTTAGTGTTTGTGTTTTCCGTTATCATTGTTCGTAGGTGGCAACGACTCCGACTTTTGGGACTTTTTCGTTTACATTAACGACCGATCGGAATGGGGAATCAGCGAACAACCACGTGTGGCGTGGAAACGCATATCGTACGACCACATCCGGCGTTCACAGGGGAAGCCAATGTGGTTTTTGATGCCAAGCGTTGCTGATCCTCGAGTTGATGCCTTCAACCTGCTCATGTCCTTCGAGGTGATTGGTGACGAGGCCGAGAACCGCCCACGTCGCTTCGAATACACGTTGTCTAAGTACGTGTTTCGCGCGATGATATACGAGGCTCTGAATCTCCCCTGTCTAGACATGTCGAGTTTCCCGAATACCTTCGTGGAGATAGAGCTTGGTGGGTTCCACGTGCGAACTCAGGTGGCCCAAGGCACCTTGTGTCCTTCGTTTTACGAGGCTACGGAGCTCGAGATTTTGCTCCCCTCCAACCTTGTCTTGGCGCCTGATGTAAGCATTAACATCTACGCTGAGCCCACGTCTATGTTTGCCTCGCGGGAGCTGTTATGTAACGGCCACTTCAGTCTCATGAAGGTTCCTAAGGAGTGGCGCAAAGCGCCTCAATGGGTGCAGTTGAAGTCGACAAAGAACGAGCTGCATCATCCCTGTGTACTAGTGGCATTTGAGCTGGTCCCTGCTGACCTTTTGTTGAAAAATCCGGACCTGTACCCATTTTTTGATGACATTCGCCCATCCAAGATTGCGGCACTGGTCTCATTGCTTCTGATTGGAATACGCGCTTTCAAACCTCTTAACCGCCCGCGCGTGTTGGTCCGTTTCGGCAGCCATGACAACCCGATATACAAGTCCTCCAGTGGAAACCCTATTTCCGGCTCCGAGGGGAACTGGAACTACCTGACAACTCACAGCCTCCTTGTCGACCTGCCGAAACGCATGCAGCACCACTGCTACATCGAGTTTGTTGTAATCTCCGGCGACGACGAGTGCTTCGGCGTGACCTACGTTAGTCTCAACTCATTTCTGCCGTGGCTGACGCACGAAGAGCGCCTTCACTCAAAAGAGATCTTCAAGATGCAGGTGCTTGAGGATTTCTTGTCAACCGGAGAACAGACGCATATCGACGAAGCGAAAAACGAGAGCGGTGCCGTGAAGTCTGCTGTGCGGGACGACATCGAATCGCAGAACGTGAAGATGTTCGAAACTTTTGACTTTGTCTCGCTACAGCGCGCTGGAGAGTCGCGTGAAGGCGACGAATTCCGCAACGATTTTGACATAGCCGTGGTGGAGGATGACGAACCCGACGATTTGCAGCGTGACGAGATTCCCTACGAAATGGAATGTGACTTCGCGCTGGAGGACCTTCCGTATATGAAAGCCCCGATAGTGCAGTGCACTGCAGCGGGCGTGCCGGAAACTGTGGGCGTCCTCAAATACATATGCAGTGTTGATGCCAACGACAATAAGGACGCTCGACGTGAGGCTGCCACAAAGATGGCGGAGAGACGGCAGAAGTTGGTTGACCTGTATGCGAAGGCGAAAGAGCTAGTTGTGCGCCTCTACGTGCTCCAGGCGAAAGGGCTTTACACGAGCAGCGGCCATAGTAACATCCCGACATATCTGTGGGTACGCAACTCAGATGCGGAACACAAAACGTCATTGAGTTATCCCCAGAACATACGAGATACCACCATTCGCGCTCAGGGTGTGAAACCAGTGTTCAATGCGTGTTTTAATTTGGGATGCGCGTTGCCTGAAAATGCAATTCTCAAAATCAGCGTTGTAGAGCAGGGAACTATCCAGGATGAGGTGATTGGCACCACCTTTGTCGACTGCGAAGATCGGTTCCTCAACCAGAAGATGCAGCAGCTCATGGTGCAGGACATTGTACCTATAGAGCTGCGAACTCTGAAAAACGAGGATTCGACAGTTTCTCACGGCACCTTGCGTTGTTGGATTGAGATGATGGATCTCGACACTGCCCAAACCAAACCCATCCGAACGCTGGGCGGCATGGAGCAGTCGGACTACGAGCTTCGTGTTGTTATATGGGACCTGCGCGGCGTGCCACTTGACGGAAACTCAGCGCTTTCGCTATTCGTTCGTGGCATATATCAGGTAGAGGAGGGTGAGGATCTGGTTGAAGAAACTGACACGCATTACAATAGTCGCGACGGCACCGCTGTCTTCAACTGGCGCTTCAAATACCCGATTCGAATCCCCAGCGACTATTCTTTGGTCAAACTCCAGATTTGCTCCTCTAATCTATTGGGTGGCAGCGAGTTGATAGGAGAGAGCGCAATTGACCTGCGCCAGGACTACTCGAGGATCCGGAAGAAGGTTGGCCCATACCACTGCAAGAAGTTTTGGCTGGACTGCCTGCACCCGTCTTTTGGAACCCAGTCTCGCGGTCAGATCGGGGTTGAGTTTTCGGTACTCTCAGACTCAGAGGCAAAGCTGTTCGCGGTCGGCAAGGGGCGCGAGGCGCCTAACAAGGACCCCTTCCTGCCAAGTGTGCTGGAAAACCGCACGTACCTGGATTGGCAAGAGATAAAGGCGACCATAAACAACGCGTCGGGTGCAATTATGTCAGGGCTGAAGTGGACAGGCATGTTCATCACAATTGCCTTTGTTTTCGCAACATTGTTGCTCATTTTGGTTGCTATCAAATGAGCCTCTGGGGCGCTTCGCATCTTCCTGTTGCAAATATTTGAAGAGAAAGTGCCCGTGAGGTGTTTAAAATGCTGGAATGGGGTCGTGCAAAGTGAAACGGGTCCGCTGCGCCACAGCTGAAACCGACGGGGCGCCTTCCGGCCATCATGTACGAGTATAGCGGTTCCACAGATACTTCCCGCTCAATCCGCTGCTAGCGGAGGCCGCAAATATGTACAATAAGTGATATGTATTAGTATTAACAGCGAACATGTGTGCGATATGATAAACTGCAGCACGCCTGCAGTTTCCCACCTTGCCGTGGATGTTGTTCTCGTGTTGTTAAAAAAGTATTTCGTGCGTTCGGATATTCGGCTCGTATCGGTTGATCCAATAGCGTGCCGAGTCGCGATAGCGGCTGACATTGGCACCCATTGGATTGACACCGTGTAGACAGACTCACGGAAAACCTTACACTACACTCAATTTGCCTCCGCCATAATTTGACCGTAATTTGGGAAATCCTATCGCTAGCTGGTTTTATGTCCCCTTGGGGGGCTGCCAGCTAGTCGCTTTTTCCCCTTCCCAACGGCCAGCTGCACCAGAACCGTCCCGCAGTGTCAGCCGACGGGTCCCTTAGCCACCCGAGTAAAATCGTCGATGCTTAATGACGCATTTGAGTCTAATTTGACCGCACATGTGTGTCCGTCGAGCGTACACAGTAGCCGGTCCAGGTGTCGAAATGCCGTTCGTGCATCCCAATTTCCTCGGTGAGGCATTTGACCCCTATGACCCATTTTTAGCCTGCCTCACCGCGAAACAGTGTAAACACGCTGCCATAAACTCATATGATGCAATTTTCAAGAATGACTAATAACCATAACGGCTCCAGCCGAATGGGCGTCGCCGCAGAACACTGCGGCCTCGACACCATCGGCATGGGCTTGTTACATCTCCCGCAGACCAACGCAGAGTTGCCATTTGAGGTTAACTTGGAATCTTTCCAATTCCCAGCTGGCGTTGAGGTGTTTAAGGGGACTTTTCCCGACGGTGGAGTTTACCGTCTGGTGCGTGGTGAGGCAGGCACCATCCGTGTGCTGTACGGCAACGTCGAGTTGGTTCCAAGAATTTTTGAAGCACACGCCCACAATGATGTATATGTCGAATATTTTGTGCGGGGAGAGGAGCGTGTGATACGGCTGTTTGCCTTCAGCAACTACCACGGTCATCCGGCCGGGTACCGCATCAAGACGTTCCTCGTCGACCACAGCGGCCCTGTTGAGTGCAGCGACCATGCGGTTTCATGCTTTGTTTGCGGGCCTATTTCGCTGGAGCTGAACATCACTCCCAACACACCTATGCACCCGTTTGTGGAACGCAAGGTGCTGCTGGACAACGGGCTTTTTGGCTATGCGTACACCCTGGCGCGTAAGCACCGAGGCTACGAAGTACACCCGTCTCGCAACTACTTCAAGCACCCGTACATGATCGGTTCCATCTATTACACACTCTTCACCGACGAGGGTGTGGTACCTGGAACGCAACCCCTAGAAGCTGACTCCTACATCGTGAGGGCTCTCTTCAGCGACGATCACATCCAAGTGCACGTGCTGAAGCCCAGATCGGTGAAAACGTACACCATCCACCCAGTTCGCAGCGCCCATTAGAGTGGGTGATTACCAAGCATGTCAGGTTTTGCTTCAATGGATGAACTCCAACCATGTCTTCATCGGCGCCCGGGATCTGTCGAGGTACTAGACCACGCCGATGGGTACCTAAGATCGACAGACTCGTTATTGTAACATGTTGAACACGTTCACGCCTTTTCATGCCGCACCGACCCGTGCATCCCAGTGAGCCTTGTTCATCATGACGTCGATGTGCGCATCCGTTGATTCTCCATTGAGTTGTGCGTCCTTCCAAAAGCTGCTGCCGCGTAAAGAGGCAACGGTTGACATATATGCTCCAACAAGAAAACAGCTGACGGTGACCACGTTGTCTACTGCGAGATGGGTAGGACCAGCAGCATGAATAGCTACATGGTTATTAATTCGCACATTAGGGGCGTTTATATTGCGGTACGAGTCACTGCACGGGCGGATTTAGCATGTTAGAGTGCGTCCGCCAGCAAAATGGCAAACTCGTTTACGATGTGAGTGCATTTTGGCGTCATTACGAAATGCTGCTCTTCATACATCGACTTGCCGGCACCGCCATTAGTCACTGCAATTCCGTAAAAATGTGCAACATCCAGAAATGGAACATGCTCCAGTTCCGATTTATCTCCGTTGGCTTCTTAGTCTGCCTTCTTGTCTGCCATAGACTTTTCGGGCTCTTCGTGGTGCTGCGGCCTCCTCCGAACATAGTTCCTGCCAACCCATTTAATGAGCTCATCAATGATAATCACGGGGAATGACCACAACAATACGGCAATCCAGTCGTGCTTGTCCAGAGGAACGACTCCGAAGATGCTGGCAAGGAAGGGCGTGTACAGGATGATGCAGTGGATGGTGAGCGATATCGTAGTCGCAACCATGAGGTGCGGATTCAACCACGGGGGTGTGGACAACAGAGACGATTCCTCAGATACCGCGTTGAAGGCGTTGAACATTTCAATCATGACCAGCACCGTGAGGCTGATGGTGGCGGGCTTTATTTTTCCGAGCGTGAAGTAGCTGCACATGTCGTCGGTCATGCCATCCAATCGGTTGACAGAGAAATCCTTCCACAGTGCGCATTTGCTGAAGCTCATGAGCTGCTTCAGCGTAACGGTTGTGTTTCCGTCGTTGGGGGAAATGCCGTGTACGTACCACCATACGAACGATCCTACAGTCGAGACCCCGACGTACAGCCCGATGATGATGTACCTCAGGAAGGTCCAGCCGTCGATGAGCTTTTCATCATTGCTCCTTGGCGGCTTTTGCATCACTTTATGGTCAGGCGGGTTGAAGCTGAGAGCGGTGGCTGGCAGACCATCGGTGACCAGGTTGACCCACAGCAATTTGACAGGCATCATACCCTCTGGTATACTCATAGCAGCGGTCAAGAATATGGATGCAACCTCACCTATGTTGCTGGAAATGAGGTACCTGATGAACGCCTTCATGTTCGAGTAGATGCATCTGCCTTCCTCGATAGCGGCGACGATCGATTGGAAATTGTCGTCGACGAGGATCATGTCAGCGGCCTCCTTGGCAACTTCAGTTCCAGTGATTCCCATGGCAATACCGATATCGGCCATCTTCAACGCAGGTGCATCATTAACACCATCACCCGTCATGGCCACAGTTTCGCCCAACTGCTTGAGTATGGACACAATATCCTGCTTGTGTTTGGGCTCAGTTCGGCTGAATACAACGCCTTGCGCGCTTACGACACGTCGTTTTTCACTATCGGACAATTTTTCGAATTCCTTACCAGTGTACGAGTAGTAGAGCTTGTCGCCCACAGCAGGGAACTCTGCAGGCAATATGCCTACACGTTTCGCAATAGCTTCCGCCGTCAACTTGTTGTCACCGGTGATCATGAACACCCTAATGCCGGCCGTGTGCGCCATTTCAATGGCCTGCTTAACCTGTGGCCTCGGCGGGTCCAGGATACCCGTAAGACCTAAGAAAACGAGGTCGTGCTCAATGTCCTGGAAGAATGCAGGGCTTCCCTCCGATATCTCACCACTTGCGCTCTTTTCCTTGTAAATTTTCAAAGCGCCGGCTGCATCGTTGGAGCAGGCAAAGGCCAACGTACGCAACGCATCGCGTGCCATCATCTCCACCTCTTTCATAATGGTGTCCTTGACAGCCGGGGTGATTGGCGAGATTGTGCCGTCGGGCTTCATGTACATGTTGCACCTCTCTATCACGGATTCGGGTGCACCCTTGGTGTACAGTTGATTGCCGCCATCTTCACTGGCGATAACACTCATCATTTTCCTGTCCCTGCAGAACTCAAGTGTGGCTTCCTTTCGGATAGTCTTCTGGTACTCGGCCGATATGGCCTTGTTTTCATTGGGTGCCAGGAAAGCGTAGACATCGTTCACCATATGGAGGACGGCCAATTCGGTGGGTTCGCCTTCTTCCTGTTCGACAGAAGCCTCAGAGCAGATGCACCCACACTTGAATACAGCGGTTAAAAGCTTTCCGAATGGTCCATTGAGGCCCTTGCCAGAGGCGAATTCATTTGAATTGCCCTTGGTCGTGTCAATTTCCCCATCATCAGTGAAGTGAAGCGACCTTATCTTATCATCATTGGCAAGCAGTTTCATCACTTGCGCGCGCATTTTGTTGGTGGTGATGGTGCCGGTTTTGTCGGAGCAGATGACTGTGGTACAACCCAGAGTTTCAACCGACGGCAATTTACGAACGATGGCATTTCTTTTCGCCATGTTGCGCGTCCCCAGCGCGAGGCTCGTAGTGATAACGGCCGGTAATCCTTCCGGAATGGCGGCCACGGCCAGCGCTATAGCGATCTTGAAGTAGTATATGCATCCCTTCATGAAGCTGTGGTGGATGGGGTCACTGAAGTTCCTGAAGTTTATGACCCAAACCGCGACACAGATCACGCTGATGAACTTCGATAGCGATGTGCTGAAGTCGCTGAGCATACGCTGCAACGGCGTGCCCCTCTCCTGCGAGCCCGCGTCAAGAACCGCCGCTTGAATGGCTCCGATTTCAGTTTGCATGCCAGTCGCGACCACTACGCCGATACAGGACCCGGCTGAGACCGTAGTACCACAGAAAAGCAAGTTCCTCTTCTCCTGTATTTCACAGTTCTCCATGCCAGCCTGCATGGGTTTCGACGTCTTGGCGACATTCCTTGATTCTCCGGTGAGTTGCGACTGCTCGCAGCTGAGCGAAGTTGAGGATATGGAGCACACCCTCAAATCTGCGGGTACCTTGTTGCCCGTTCTCATGCGCACTATGTCGCCAACAACGAGATCCACTGAGTCGATGGTGATCCATTTGCCTTCCCTGAGGCAAGTGGCCACGGTGGACTGCAGCTTTTTGAGTGCGTCGAGGGCTTGCTCAGCATTGGTCTCCTGCCACACTCCCACAATTGCGTTCAACACAAGGATGACGACAATGACCAAGGGCTCGATGAAGTCCGTGATTGCATAGCTCTCGGTGACTTCGGTCAGCGTCAGGATGAAGCTGATGATGGCAGCTCCTAGCAGAATCTTGACCAACATGTCATCAAACTGCCCCAAGAAGAGCGACCACAGCGATTCCTTGGCCTTCTGTTCGAGCATGTTGGCTCCAAAAAGTCGGCGCCTGTCCTCAACGGCCTTACCGTCAAGTCCCTTGTCGAGGGTGACGCCGTAGTGTTTGAGAACATCTTCCACAGTAGATGTGTGCGGCGTACGGAGGACGACGAGGCCGCCGCTCTTCTCTGTCGCAGCTGCCCCCTTCCCAGCCATGATTGCTTATAGCTCCACTGTTGGCCCGGCGGACGATACAGCCTCTATTCTCGGAGGATACGTGTTACCTTGAAGGGATATTAGACCTTAACAGAGCTCTACGTCAAACTTAGATCGCTCTATTCCACAGTTTGCCGAAATATAACACGTTTTTTGCCACGTTCTTCGGGTCGGTGTGTGAGCCGCGACGATAAGCCTCAGAACTGTTCGACAGTAAGATGGCGAGCGATTGGACCGTAAACCGCAGCTGAAACAGTCACCACTCCTTATATAATCCCCTAATGATAGGCCTGTAGAGGAGAATAACGTCGTCAGCACGAATTAGCCTTATAAATATGATCGGAAGGTCACAAGGATGAAACCGAATGTCCTTCGTGTTTTCACCGTTGACCTTTCGCTCCCTAAGTATAGCCAATCCAATTCGTTTCCTGTGACCGTGGCACGTGATACACCGAAGCCGTAACTGACGAATGGTGGCGGGTATTGTGGGTGGTGGCGCTGCGTGAGGCCATGCTCGGTGATTCAATGGTTAACAGTGTCGCGCTGGCAACGCATTCTTGACAACTTGTAGTAGTTTTGTTCATATTATTGATCATTTAAAGGTAGTGTGTACTTTCTGCCGACGACAGTTACGAGTAACGTCGCGTTACGCTTTAATACACACGCGTTTGCCATTTGCATGTCGATGTAGCCGTTACAATATCTCATCGTGTTACGTATGAGACGATATTACGTATCTTCGAGACAGTTACGAGTAATCGGCTCGGTATGACGCGTTACTGATGTTCCCTTGTCTATACCAGTTCTGTAAAGTTGCCTTGTTTGTCTTTTCGTGATAACTGTTGTTAGTGCGCACATGTAATTATATATTTGGGAACCATAATGGATATTTTGGGTGTGAGAAGAATTTTGTGCCTACGAAGCTTGCTCATCGCTTCCGAGTCTGGCAATCAGTAGACAGCGCACACCTCATAGCAACAGCGGAGCAAACGTATGCACATACACAGTTTATTGGATTTACCAATAGTCGGTTGTTAAAACTCATCACCCTCTCATGGGTTCCGCTAAGTCGTGACGGCGGGTTGCTTCCTTCCAGTTTAGGTTGTGAAATCGCACACCCCTCTGCCTTTGTATTCAAATTAATTAGAAATGCTACTTAAATGATGAAGTTTTTGTTCTAGCCGTCTAGGGCCTATGGAAGCGCCCGAAACGGTCTCAGAAGGCCTCGTCCAGGTGAGCAGCCGCTCTCTGGACGGGAAGCCGCTGTTTTACAACCCTCCGCAAGTATTTAATCGCGATATTTCACTTATAGTGTTGAAAACATTTGTGGAATCCGAGAAGGAACGCGCGAAAGAATGCCGCTCATCAACAGGCGAAAGCAGAGTGGGAGCGTTTGTGGGTGTCAACGTTCTCGAGATGCTTGCAGCAACTGGTTAGTCTCTGTTATATGAGATCTCTTTGGTTGGTTGTGACGTTTAACGTGGTTTTTGTGAGCGTTAGAGTAGTATTAGACATCTGGCTCACCTACAGATGCAGCTTCTTGATTCTTGGACCGTAGTTATTTAAACGCATATCCTCATACCGGTAATTATTGTGTCGGTGGAGTTACGGTCTGTTTATGTGTCGTGTTATTTGTACTTGAACAAAATGGTCATAACATGCAGGGATCAGGAGCATTCGTTACCTGAAGGAGTTGGGGGAATACATTAACCACGTTTACATCAATGACCTGGATCACAACTCCGCCAGTGCAATCGCAAAAAATTGCGACTTTAACGGAATCCCGCCGTCTAAGTATCGCGCCATATGCGCCGACGGCAACCAGTTGGCGCAGATGCTGACCCCGCCCGCCGACATCCTGCGCCTCATGCTGATGAACGGCAACATCCAGAAGATTCCCTGCGGTTTCGTCCCCTCGAAAACTTTCAGTGCAATAGATGCATACAACAGTACGGTTGAGAAGTTTCTGGCTGTTATTGCTGCTAGTGAATGCAGTGAGGACGTAACCCGATATCGCAATGTCATCGACGTCATTGATATTGACCCCTACTCCACAGCCACGGTTTTCCTCGATTCGGCGGTTCGCTGCGTGAAGAGTGGAGGAATGTTGATGGTGACCTCCACGGACATGCCGACGCTTTGCGGCAACAACCCATTGGTGTCGTTTTACAAGTACGGGGGTTCGAGCATCAAGGCCACCTTTTGCCACGAGCTTTCGCTCAGGATTCTTCTTTACACTGTAATGACTACAGCTGCAAAATACCAGCGTGTGGTGGAACCTTTGATTTCATGCAGTGCGGACTTTTACGTCAGGGTGTTCGTGCGGGTCAGCAACAACGTGCAGCAGTGCAAGCACCTCAGTGAAAACTGTGCGCTGCTCCTCATCTGCGCGCAGTGCGACTCCTTCCGGCTGATGAAATTAGGGGAATACAGTGAACCCAAGCAGCGGCCGGCGTCAGTTCCGGGCGACCTCCGTGGCACTTGCGAGGAGTGCAACGGACGTTTGAAAATCGGCGGACCGCTCTACGTAGGGCCCATTCACAACAAGCAATTCGTATCGTCAGCACTAAAGAATGCCACTGATGCGCATGAATCGCTGCCTGGGGTGACCCAAAATGCAAAAATCATTGGAATCTTAACGGCCATTTCAGAGGTGGGTTTCATCGGGTTTTGCATTGTATGGTTACGCGATGAATATCGACAGTTTCCCCTCGCTTGTGGTGGTATAAATAACACATTATCTGGCCATTTTAGTACGTCTCTTGTTTGCTCCTCTAAATCAGGTTTTTATCTGATGCTATTGCCGATTATATGCGTATTCGATGTCGGTAGACCTGGTTGTAATGCCACTCGACACCGTTTCTCAGGAGCTTGAAGATGCACCGCTGCACTACAGCATTCCGTGTCTGTGCCAAAAATGGAACCTGACTACGATTAGTCCGTCAGCGTTTAAGGCATGCCTCGAGAAGTTGGGCTACAGGGCGTCGCACTTCCACCGCGACCCGCAGTCGCTGAAGACGGATGCACCTAACAAGGTTGTCATGGATATTTTACGTCACCACGCCATCGAACAGAAGAAGGTGGGGTCGCACGAATTCTTCAAGACGCCCATTCAAACGGAGGGGATCGATCTCACGCCGCCAGAAACTTCGAATCGCATTGCGGTTGCCCGTTGGCTGAATAACCCCAGTAAATACTGGGGACCGAAGAAGATGCATCGGCAAGTTGCCACCTCACGCGCTGTGGACACAGACAGGCCTGCTGATAACGCCAATAATGCGTAGTGGCGCGGGGGAAAAGCGGCGGTCGCAATTTCCGGCAGTTAACTTGTTAAGCACTATTATTACATACGTGCACAACTATTTTTTGCGATACGATGAGACTCTTTGGTGTGAATTGCGCTCTGTGACGGTGCTGGCCACCAGCTGTGAATCGGGGCATTGAGCTCAAGTTGTGTGGGTCACAATTTCCCAGAGAGCCAGTGATCCATATAGCAGCATTGCAAGTTCCCTCATCATCTTTGCGATGTTTTTGTTCAGTATAGTGGACACCCTGTATATGGGAACGGTACGCGCCTGGCTGAACGTTTCAGCCTCTTCCCATATGGGCGCATCGTCCCGCATGAGGTCCGACTTGTTTGCCACGAGGCAAACTAGGGGCTGCGTCGTGCCTATGCTACCCAGGTTGTGCATGATGTATTCTACGATGGATACGGCGTACTTGTAGGACTCGTAGTTGCTGACGTCGAACACTACGAGGAACGCCATCCGATTTTGCGATACCGGCCGGAACTCGTCGCCTTTGCGCATAGGCACCAACGGTTCCTTGAATATTCCAAAGGGCGTGTAGTCGTTCATCCCGCTTTCAAAGGGCCATTTGGCCCTGGACATGTCGATGAGTTGGCGTACGTCGTCGTCTGCGCAGGTGTCTTCTATTTCGAAGCAGAACGCATTGATGTCGTCGTAGGTGTCCTTTACAATGGGTTCGTCGTACGATAGCCTGAGCAAAAAGTAGTACAGCTCCGGAATCCGCGTCGCTTTGTACGCCGGTGGTGGCACGTTGTTCATAATCGAGTTTACCAGGCAGGTTTTTCCAACGCCGTGGGCACCGATCAGCGTAAGGCGGAACAGCGGTATCCCAGTTGCCTCAATTTTCTCCTCCGGCATTTTAGACGTCACTCGCAGTTTACAACGGCATCATATGTCACTCGGGATGGACGAGAGACACACTTCACGGCTCCACGGTCTGGCTCCACCGTCCCCGTTTTCTCCAACTCCGGGTTCCGAACGGCGCCGTAAGCAGTAAAAGCACCATCTTAATCCGCGGCACTACACATTTCGGAAAGTGGACGACGATACACACACTGCGCCCGTGTCTTGTCGGCTGAAGTCGGGCATTGAACCGAAGTTGGTTGCCATTAGTCGCCGTCGCAGTAGGCTGCTGCGACCAGATCCCTGGGGGCGGCCCGCCAAAACGCGGTCGGGTTAAGTGAAGGCGGCATCGCCATTCGACGACCAGCGCGGTATCAACGTCGTTTCGGCTGACGTGGAAGGCAGCGTTACCGCCATGGCTGAGCTTCGCGCGTATCGGCCTTCTCCGACGCTCTGAAAGCCGACCTTCCGTTTAAAGACACGCAGCAAAATTCGGCGCGTATACTGGCACACTATTACCGTTGTTTGCGACCCAATATCGATTGCTCGCGCTAACTCAATACGTATTGGAGAAAGTTGCCCCGCTGCAGTTGCGGCGCCGTACTCCGACGCACGTGAGCCGTCGTCGGTTTTACTTGGTGTAATCTCGTAGTTGCAGTGCTGTGGATTGACAGAGCGGCTCATCTCGCGTACTTTCAGCCACAGCGTCCGAAGCGCATATTCCGTGCCCTGGAGGAGCGTCTGAAACACGTCGTTTCGTTCTCTACCCAATCAACGCCCTGCATCGTACGTATTTCATCATTTGCAGCTGTTTGGGCGTATCGCAATGTCAGACAACGAGGCTTCCATCGAGAGCAGCCTTGCCGACGGGCAGAGCGAAGTGACCAGCGTGCATGCCGCTGACGGGCTCGACGGTCTGTATTCTACTCAAGATGGCAGCGCTACGTACGAAGCCAATCAGGACGAGGCAACCGAGAGCGGCGCATTGCCTTCTGAGGCTCCATCGGAAGTTCTTCCGCAGCCCAATCCCAGTTCGTCAAAGTCACGAAGCTTCGAGGATGCTATGAAGGGGAAGCTTCTGGCGCGCCACGGAATATTCGGGGCACACGAGATCTACGAGGACATGCTTTTTAACAAGCCGCCGAAAAGCGAGCGACATAGCTCAAAGAGATTGCAATACGTGGACAGCGGAGGGTCATGCGACTTCAGCGACCTGGGTTCTATGGACAGGCACTGCATCATACGCTTCCCCGATGACATCGCTGACATCATTCAGGAGCGCGTAGCCAATAATGAGGATCTCGGCATATTAATAGAGCCAACAGGCCGGTACGACTACCGAGAGTACGTAGTCCGGGTGCGTGGCATTCCCTTGGAGCTTATGGGTATCCTCGTAGAGCTGCCTTGTCACGTCGAGGCGCACAAGACCCTCGACTGCGACATGTTGTTCAAGGCGGCCGACATCTCGCAGATGATGATCGTGCAGGAGCGGAAAGAGGCGGAGGTAACTGCTGAGGCCATGCGCCAATGCATGTGGGAGTGGCCTGACGGCATTACACCGGCCACGAAGAACATTCGCAAGCGAAGATTCAAGGACCTTGACGTCTTCGACAACAATGATGTCAAGGAGGCCGAGCGGGAGGTATTGAATTTCCTCAATGAAACAGTGCGTGACACCTACCACTACGAGGTGAAGAGCGCCCAAGAGGTCAGCGAATTAGTCGAGAGCTATCGCAATGGAAACATCAGGGAACGTATTGTCGGGCCCGACGAAGACATTGACGAATACATAAACGCCTTGGAGCAATATGGGCCTACACAGGACCACTCTGAAATCTTTTTCTGCGGCGACCACATCTGCTTTATGGAATAATGGAGCACACCTCCAATCAGGCGCGGCAATTTGTCTTGTAGCCGCTAGCCACCCCTCCCGAGATGGGTCGACCCTAGACCCAACGGGACTAATTGTCACCTTCAGCGTGAAACCACTGCTACTTTTGTTAAGTTTAAATCTGAAGTTACCACCGTAACAACCTAATTATACACACGCATTCGTACAGTGGCGTGTTTCGGAGTGCAGTGGCACCAACCGTGCCTGCCGTTAAGCATATACGTACTGTCTAACAGGGGCACAACTCCCAAATTTGTAGCGTGTTCAAAAGGTTGTCACCATGATACAGGTAGAACCGCCGCATGCCTGCCGAAGTAAGCCCTGTGTTATTATTTGGTCCTTGTACATAAAATAAAAAAAGGCACTAGGGCTACCGATTTTGCGTTGACAGACGCAGCGCGGCAACGCTCCTATGCTACCGCTTTTTAGGCGTCTTCTTTTTGATCGGATAATTTGCGATATGGCCTCCCTTGAGCGTATACGGGTTCGCCTCCACCAACCGGAAGAGACGGTAGACAACGTTCCCGACCATCATTTTGTTGTAGCCGTGTACGGAGACTATGAGCCCCGTGCGATCGACTTCCACCTTGACGTGCTTGGCGTACATGGTACAAATACGCGTGGCATCCAAGCAGTTGGAGCCCACGCCTAGCCTGAACATGAGGTGCGGGAACTGCGGCTCGAAGAAAGCCTTGACACCCCTTCCATGCAGCAGCACCTGGCCAGAGAATCCACGCGTGCGTTCGTGGAGGCAGTTCTCAATGGTCTTCGTCACTGTCTCGCTCTTTATGGCGTTGGAAACGAGGCAAACGTCCTTCTTGCCCTTGATGAGCATGTGGTAATACCCAGTGTTTGTCCGTTGCTCCGGCCTGAAGAAGTAACCGGACCGCAGCGCCCTTACCTTCCCCGGCCATTGCGCCACATGTAAACGTGCGTTTAGGTCAATCTGAGGTAGCTGCGATTCCTGGGGAAGGCGGATGAGCCGAGTATTGGTTTCAGTTGTCTGGATTCCGTAGATGCTGGGCCCATAGCTGCCGGAGACTCCAAAATGTCTCACACATCGCCGCAAAAAATGCGCACCGAAATACTCATTTATGTACATTTCCTGGTTTGGGGCAGCCTAATCGGTACTGAGCGGGTCTAACGGTTTGGCTAGGTGAGCCACGCCTGTCGCGCAGGCTCTTCACCTTGCGTTGGGATGGTCGACGCACATATCAGATAAAATTGTATTTCACTATGGCAAAATACATCTCTAACTGAGCTAGGAAGGCTGCGCCTTGGCTACTCGTCGGGGACGGGTATGACCAACCTCGTATCTTGCCTTCCCTCGGCCAGGGCCAACTTCCTCGTTCCTTCGGGGCAGGCTCGCCACAATGCTGAGTGGAGCTACTCTATCTGGCAATGCAATTGCTCGGAATGTGACTTCTCCAGCGAGCGCAGTCTCCACGCCACGAAGTCGACGCTCTCGCCATACCTCTCATACTCTGGATCGCACTCACTCCTCCATTGATTCGATAGAAAGTTTGAGGTTCATGAGCGATTCCACCAGCATATGCTCGCCGTCTTCTAGCGCGAAGACTACTCCAGTACGGATAGATGGAGCTGGGAGTCTTGCAGCTGCTGTGCTCTCCCAGCCCCGGAGTGCTGCTGGACCGCAGGATATCGACAATGCCCATGGTGGGGGAATTCCGTCACCGCCTTCGCACCCATCCAGCGCATCTCCTCCCTTGTCAACGATAAAGGTGGAAGATGAAAAAGCAGCAGATCTGTCCCCGGGTTTAGGAGAGCGTGCTGCTGCTCTAACGAGTACATCGGGGTTACGGGAAAGGCCGCGCCGGAGCGCCCGTCCCAAGCAGCTGTTGTTGGACGGTTCTGCAACTACCGTCGCTGTGGAGCCGCGCAAAAAGCGTGCTAAGCGGAAGGTGATGGTGAAGCAGGAATCTACGGAGGTTCCTGTGCCCCCGATCCGCAAGCCTGCACTTGTGGACACTGCCGTGCCGTTCTGGCTCACCACCCCCAAAGACGTCAAGGACATCGCAAATTACGTGAAGACTATATGCTCTCGTATATCCAACATAGAGAAAACTATGAAGCGATTTGAGTCGGAGCGCCAGGGATTGCTGAACGCCCTTTATCAGCTGAACATGCGACAAATACAGGAATCATTCCCCAGTGCATGGAACGCTGCTGAAGGTGATAATTTGAATGCAGCACGTCCCAAGGACCCTGAGCAAACAAGACCAGACGGCGTGGAGTTGGATGTTGGTGCTACTGCATTGGACGTTAATGGGCCTAGAGTGAAGCGTAGCAGTTCAGTAGGGGAGGGGGCTATACGCCCAGATACGGAGTCTATTTCGACCAAAGAAAACGAGTGTTCGTCTGATTCGGTGGCTAATGTGTGCAAAGATGATACTTGCCGGGGGGATACAAAAGGCGAACCGACGGTTGCCAAGATAGCGCCTGAGCAAACCGCTTCCCCCCAGGCTAAGCCCGGTGACAGTACAATATCGCAAAGTGGAGCTCATAGGTACACTCCAGATGTAATAGAGATAGTAGATGATGGAGACGTGGAGGACAAGACGTCCCGTGCTGAGCAAGCGGGACCACCGGGGGCACCTTGTAAAGGTTCGGTTGACGTTGATTCCGAGTCTTCGTTCACCGACTTTTCGCAACGTATAATGCAACGAGTAGGTTCATCGACTCACGCACATGATGATGAGCTGGAATTCATCGGTGAGAGTCAGTTGGACCGCAACGTTGCGAACTACAACGCGGATAACTTTATGGAATCCAACGTGCTCAGTGACTTCCGTATGTGGACATCTTGCTGGCTCAAGTCCAATGAGAAGTCAGAGGCGCCGTCTCCGTCTAGAGCGGCAATGCGTTCAGCAGGAAACCACAGATCCAACCGAAGTGAGGGAAGTCTCTCGCCAGGGTCGGAGGGACGGGGAACACGTGTCGACCACGCTTCCGCGGAACCGCAGGGTGACCCGCTCGATCGTTTCTGGAATCTCGACTTTCGCGCCATATCTCAGCCTAACATGCTAAAATGGGCTCGTTTATTCGGCATAAAGGTAGGTGTATGTACCGGTTGGAGTTGTGTCCACAGCGCCACGTGCCCACACGCTACTTCGCTGCGCTAACAGACTGCTCACACACATGCAGACTTCCAACTCTACACGTTCAATGGCCGAGGAGATGGAGAAGATTAGGTCTTATCTGTCTTCCTTTTATATAAAGTAACCTGCCTTCGCGCGACTGTCAATGTGTACGATAATACATGGAGGCAAATTGTCGTAGTTAGATGTAACTAGTCCGTACAAATGTGAGTGGCGTTGGGCGCAAGTATGCGACTCAGGGATTCGACCCTGTTCCACCTGATCCTCGGTGCTCTGCTGTGTTGCGACTGCTATGTGATTCGTCGCCTCAACGACGCTGCCAGCGCAGTGTTGGCCTTCGATCGGCCATATCACACATGTGGTGATGGCAACGGTTGTGGAAGGAGGCGATATGGAGCACATCGGCTGGAAGCTTTGGCTGCAGATGCAGACTCCCTCCAAACGGCGCTGGACGAAACCGCCATAGAGAACACCCTGAACCTGCCTCATACAATCTGGCCTAAGCGAAAGCATTTCAACAAGGCGGCTATTGAGCGACAGGTACGCATCCAGAAGTTCTGGAAGGATCACGACATTTATCGCCTACTCCTGGAAAGACGTCTGTCTAAATTCGAGGGGAAGGGGCTTTCCGACGCCAAAGTGTCAAAGCGCACAACCGTAATTCTGGACGGGCCGCCTTACGCCAATGGATCTGCGCACTACGGGCACTTCCTTAACAAGACCATCAAGGATGTCCTGCTACGGGCTGCATTGCTCGACGGTCGTCTGGCGCTATTCCTGCCTGGTTGGGATTGTCACGGTATCCCAATCGAGTCAAAGGTGCTGGGATCAAGTGATTACGTGTTAGGGGATCTGCGCAGAGGTTTGACGGATGCCGGAGTCCCCCGAGCAGTTGAGGTGCGGCAGCGCTGCAGCCAGGTTGCCACCAAGTCGATTCAGTCTCAGATGTCTTCGTTTGAAATGGCTGGCGTCTGGGGATTTTGGAAGCAATTTTATGCAACGTATCATTACAATTACGAACTGCATGTAATGAAAGCGTTCAAGGAGCTCCTTCAGCGGGGAATCATCTACCGGGCCCGCTGCCCTCAGCACTACAGTGCGAAGTCCGGTTCCGTACTGGCCGACTCCGAACTAGTTTCAGAAGTTAGGGACGTGTTGACTGCACTTGTAGGGTTTGAGCTGGTGGATCCGGAGCCCGTTTTGCAAGCACTCGACTTCCACAGGCCGCTCATGGACGTTCGCCTAGTGTGCTGGACCACGCTCCCTTGGACGCTCCCTGCTAACAGGGGCGTGCTGTTGGATTCATCGGTGGAGTACGACGTGTATTACGCCAATGGAAGTTTGTATGTGCTAAACAACAACGATAAGTTCGGACTGTTCGAGGCGAAGCAGCATGTGGGTCGCGTGAAAGGTGACTTGTTACTAGGGTTGAACATCATTAACCCGGTTACTGGCGCGCAGTACAAGGTGCACGACCATGCAGGTATTATTCGCGACAAAGGCACGGGTATAGTGCACGCCGCTCCGGCCCACGGCATGGTCGACTTCAGGCTGCTGACGTCCGCTGGGGAGCACCAGGTGTCCGACACCTACGTCCGCGATCCCAACGCAATCTGCAACATTATCGACGAAAAAGAGAAGTTCTACCCAAACCTACATTGGATGCTAGAGGGCCTTAGTATCCACGACATTGATGAGGAGCGGCTCAGTTCTCTGCTCGGAGCCTCGCTGCTCCAGGCGAAGATAGAGCGCCTTCCCATTGACGTCGACTGGCGTTTTGGCAATCGGGCACACGTGAGGCTCACTAAACAGTGGTGTCTCATGTTACGCGGGCGTAAGGCGTGTTTAGAGCGGCTCGATGGCATCAAGATGTATCCTGCATCATCACGTAACTACCTGCAGAGCATTATCACCCACAGGACACAGGATTGGTGTCTGAGCCGTCAGCGTATTTGGGGCACGCCGATTCCAGTGGCGTATGTAGATTCAAAGGCCATCGAAAACCCTGATATCGCAAAACTGTGCAACCTAACAGAACGGTTTGAAGATGCTGGCCAAGGGGAGTACCGTGCGGAGGTCGATATTGAAACGCTGCCACCATACGACTTAGGTGATCGTGTATTTCGTAAGTTGGACTTTAGAACCGACACTGTGGACATCTGGTTTGAATCCGCTCTGGCTCAGCGCGTGACGATGGATCGCCTCCGCTCTATCATGTCTGAAATGTCTCGCAATATCGCGGGACAGAACCGTTACACATTCCGAGGCATTGTTCCAGAGTATGCCGTTGAAGGGCCAGACCAATTTCGTGGTTGGTACCAGTCTTCACTGCTGTTGAACACACTGCTGGGCAGTGGTGATGAAGATGAAGCCAGTGCCACTGAGGCGGGCGGTGTTCTGGCTCGTCGTATCATAACTCACGGTTTCGTTAACGACGATAGGGGCAATAAATTCTCGAAACGACATCAAAGCGGTGCACAAAATGGTGACAAACAAGGTAAAGAAGTTTCACTTAATATAATTGGCCAGGCACATACCAATGATGTGTCGCCCCAAGACATAAAGACTTCTGATATTTCTTCACTTGAGCAACCGAATTCAAAGGTCAACTCTGAGAACTCAAGCAGCGATTCATCACAAAGCGAAACATATGGAAACAATGGCCATCAATCACCTGATTTGCTCAGGGCCTCGAAAAATCCAACCAACGCCCCCACATCCGTAGATCTCACCACCATGCTGGGTGGAGAATACTATGAAGATTTGCAGTTACTGGATGTGTATGCCCCACATTGTGTTGGGGCGGATGTGCTGCGGCTGTGGGCTTGCAGCAGCGACTTTCTACAGAAGGACATCCAGTTGAACGAGGATAACCTCGGTGAGGCACTGGATTTTGCAAAGAAGGTGTCAAACTTTTTCAAGTACGCCATTGGCGTAACCCATGATTGCAAGATAACCAACGACCATTGCCGAATAAAAGTAGAGCGCTTCAACGGTTTGGACATACACTTCTTAAAGCTGTCGTTCAACTTGGTGCGCGATGCACGGCATTTGTATCGGGTTGGCAGCTTTCACAAAATAATTCGAGAACTTGAGGTTTTCCTTACCCGCCTGTCGAACATTTACATCTCTTACAGCAAGGATCGGCTGTACTGTGATGTCAAGCATGGCTGGAGACGCACTTCTGCTCAGATTATCCTTCGAAAAATCATGCGCAATGTGCTTGGTGTAGTAGCGCCCCTTATGCCGCACATGGCTGAAGATGTACACCAGAGCTTGTCGCATACACAGATTCACGTCAAGCGAAGCGACATGAAGTCGGTCCCATCCGTGTTCGGGAGCCGTTGGGAACGCATGCCTCCATATCTCGCTAAAAATGATGTTGCTGGTCGGGTAGAATGGGCTCTAGATTTGCGCAGCGTCATAAACGCCTCAAACACGCGACGTAACGATCAGAAGCTCGTACTTGTTTGCGACAATGAGGAAATTCTAAAGAGCCTCTTGGACCTCGAAACCAACCTGCAAATCGACCTCCGGTTGTTAACGGGGGTTGCCGAGGTAGAGATGACTGTCGATCCACCGTCTTACGATGTAGGCGATACTCCTATGCGTGGGAATGGATACACCGCTTACATCATTCCTGCGGTATTCGACAAATGCAGGAGGTATGTTTACTCGTTAAGTGTGTATTGCATTCATGGCTATAGCCTTTGTTTCAGAACGTTGTGTCATATGTTGTGAAGGCACATGTTATAATGATTCTGGATGTTGCGCCTGGGCATGAGTTAAATGCTTTAATTTTACATCCTTAACAATATCAAATTATATAGCGTATATTAACTATGTGCAGGTGCTGGTTGTACAGGGAAGATGTTTCAGAGGGGTTGTGTGACAGGTGTAGTACCATATGTGGCCATCCTATCCCGGTGAATCCCATCAGCGAAGTCACGGCTCCCAATGATGACAACGATGCTGTGAATCAGGGTTATGTGGTCGAGGATGCCCCATCAGATATAGAGGACTACCTAGCTGCGGTATCAGATGATGAGGAAGCGGACGTTGATGACGACACATACGGATACGACGATTACGTTGAAGACGGCGTTGAGCATGGCTAATATACACAAAAATACACCCATGTAGCTGCATTTGAGATCCATAAGTGTCAACCTATTGCTTGCAATTGTGCTGTGGTATGCTGTTGAGAGGTATTTTATATTGTATCCTCCGCAATATCGCCCCGTTTACGACACTTACAATGTGCGTTGGTTGCAAATTTTAGCTATTCTATTCTCACATAACTTATCAAATGGGCACATAGTCTCGGCCGTTTTGTGTATTTGTATATACGGACGAATTAATACGGGCATGCGGATACAGGAATTCTATGTTGAATGAGTGAGGATAGGAGACATTATTGGGGGCCAGCAGCGGAGAGTGAGATGGTAGCATTGGAACCCTTGAAGGCGTCACGCATTTGGGCGAAGGCTATACTAAGGCTTCGGCTATGGAGTTTACCGCAGATGTATAGGACCAAGACAACGAAGGAGAATAGGCCTGTGGTGCCGCCATACATGGCACCTACTGTATCCCAGCTCATCTACTACCTAAGCTCAGTGCACAAATAATTCTTCACGGCAATGGACCACTCAGCTCAAGCCTTAAATACTTCGCGCCATCTGACGAAATAGAGCTCCAATAACCATACATTTGGCTCGATATGGACGTATGCTGAGGTAATGATGGTAGATGATCTCTGAATGCCGGCATACGATGAATCACCACAATCATGGCATGCATTACTAGGTTACGTTGTCAGCATGAGGTGACAACATGAGACTCAACTATGTGCGATCCAAGAACATGGACACCATCTCCACCAGCACGTAATGCTTCACCTAAAGACTTCATCTACTGTGGCACAACTATGGTAGCAGGCAACCGCATGACTCAACGCATCTATCCGTACGACAATCGGAGTCATTAAATGCGCCTTGTACACTCCATATATGTCTCCAAATGGTTTGCCAATTCGCAATGTGTGCTAACAAAATGTTTCTGGCACCTACACGTGTATAAATTTATATGCGCCGTTCGTACCTGCCAACAAATCTGCTCTGAATGCTGAGACGCTCACGTTACTGCTGTCTATGTGCCGGTTATATACGTCTACATCGCCATTTATAGCCTTATTAACTTTCATAAATCGGCTCTGCGCGCCGAGTCTGTGCCCGTCGGTCCAGCTGAATCCATCTAAATGTCAACCTCAGCCGTTACCCCACTAACATCTTGACTTCCAATAATCGCAAAGATACGCAATATATGGCAACGGAACATTCCAATCAGTAACAGAAATCTCTCATCGGCGTGACCAAGGGATGTCAGCTTCCACGCCTCTACCTAACATGACAGGCACCAGTTGATGGCGGAACATCGGGTAGCAATTAAAAGGCACTACTTTCGCCAATTGTAGTGTAATATTTATTGGGTTTGACATTGTAGTTGATAGAGTGAAATTGCGTGTGCCATCCACTGTTGATCTATGCAAAAGTTACGTTGCCCATCTATGTGGTAGAGCACTCAACAAAATACCAATCGTCACACTATTCGAATACGTCTCACTTTTAACGTCCATCCCACCACAACATCAGCATGTTTTCCAAACTTTATATAGGATCACATCGATAATTAACCCAATCTAACAATGGTTATTATCACATCGGTGGCAGCGAGCAGTGGCTACATGGGCGTTAACCTCTAGTGTGAGTGTATTATTGCAAAAGAAATAGCTGAGCACAATTACAACTAAGTCAGCTGTAGTTGGAGTATGAACCCATAGAACAATGGGTTGTTACGTTAAAGGCTACCAACGTGTAATTATCTTTGTTTTTGCGTTTTTAGTGTGCTATGTGGCTTAAAGCCGATTTGCTGGCTTTAGAAAGCATGATTTAGCTTCAATATGCGTGAGCATCATCCTAAATTTTGCGACTCCGCGGCATCTGGCAGACATCTCGGGAGAATCCCGGATTTTGCCGTCGGCGTGAACACCGGGATTCCTGAGCTACAATTGTCCGCATTTCCATACAACACTTCCTTATTCCAATGTAATTCAATTTGAGTTTAAATGGAGAGTAGCAACGCCAGCTCAGGTCACCACCCTCCCACCGCATCCAGCGGCAACGCTGCTAGTGTGACGGCAACTGGCTGCGTGGTCCACGGCGCTGGATCAATATGCCACCGATTCGCACATTTTGGTCCATATAAACGCCACTAAACACACTTTGCGCGCCCAAACAATTATCTGCGTTACGTACACGTGCCGCGCGGATGGATCAATACCATAGCGAGATACAGGCGGGTGATCTCCCACACTGCGCCCCAAAATAAAGTAAGAAATGAACTCTTATTGCCTTAGTATCTGCATCTATATTAGGTTGGCAGCGTATAGCGTGGGTTGAGGGCACACAGAGGTTGAGATACAATCCATTAACGTAGTCCAGCGGCAACACTTTCGGCCGGGCTGTGACACAGGCAGTGCACACGCTACCTCATTGGTGCAACAATTTCCGCTTCTTTAAAGATCTTCAGAACGGTTATTCTTCTTTGGAATCATTCGTCTGGGAACCGAAACTCATCTTCACTATCGTAAGCGTCCGGATTATCATCTGCTCCTTTCGTATCCGTAACGCCTTGAATACCTGCTTATTCGCCGTGCCAAAAAGCGATTAAATTCAAGATACCAACGATGATAGCATTGATGATATTGCTGAAGATACCAATGACGGTACTAATGACGATACGGTCGGCTAAGAAACCGATAAGGCCTTTCGTAGCCACAGATCGGTTAAGACCGTAACTGAACGGTCGAGTTCGTCGTATCGTGTCCTCACCGGTAAACATTACTATCGCTACCAAAATAACAATGATACGAAATGGCAATCGATGCCTTATCAATGGGTCATTCCACCAGTTCGGCGGCCATTTTCCATCCTGGTACCTAAACCATGCAGGACGTCTTGACAGGTACCGTTCCCGAGCTGCTCTGTCAACTCTTCCCATCTTGCACACGAAGGGCTCAAACGCAGTAAGTTGAAGTAATTGCCAACGTGCCTTGAGACCATAAACTAGCCTTCAAAATGAAATACGCATCCAGGCTGTCGTCCAGGTGTGCTCAGCTAGGCGTAGTTCGAGATCTCTCAGCTCTGACACACCGTTAATATCCACGGGTAACAGATGTAGCTGGTGGTTATTGCGTCAGTATAATTTGACTCAAATTACATACTTTTGAATTCGATCCGAGAATGCATATGCTCCACTCAGAACGCCACTGCTCACGCGCGGTGCAAGGCATTCGGGGTGATAGACATCTGGGTAACTATGTTTGCGGGGCGCCCCACGACGTGGCTACTGGGGTAGTCCGGGGTGACGACTGCAGGGCCAGCCACGAGGTTGACCATAAACGCTTGTAACTGCGGCGTTCTCTTAGACAAGGCCTCCGATTCACAGAATGTCGAGCATAGACACGCAATTTCACATTGTATAGCCGCCCGGCGGACGACCCGATACATCTCCCACGCTGCCAACTCGGTGTCAGTCCTCTGCGACTATCGGACGATGCCGCTGACTATTGCAACTAGACAGGCATGTAACTGCATTATACAGTAAGCCGCCCATTAAGCCCGATCCGTGAGGCCTTCGATGCTGCCTGGAAGGAACGATGGGGCACCTTGGGGGATCCAATAAGCCACGGGAGGCATTATATATCATAGTATCATTTCAATCCAACATCGAGCAGCATGCGGATGGCAGAACCACGTACAAGGAACGACCAAAATGCGTAGCCAACTCTGTCCAATACCAGCCGGACTTCCCGAGACCAACATTTATATCGCCACTTGCACACAGCGTATTGACGCTGCGGTTTGTCTGCCGTCGTTCCCGAAGTTCAGCTAATATACAACCTTGTACCGCAATGGTTAACGAGCAGCATACCTGACGTTGGAGGTGCAATTAAGCGACGTACTGTAGTAACAATGAGGGCAAATCCACATTGTCGGGCAATTTCCAAGAATGAATTCATCCCTCGAGTTCGCCGCTGCAGCATAACGATCAGCGGCAGTTTATGAACCACTTTCCCCAATCCTGACCTCCTGTTAGTAAATGCTTCAAAGGTTGCAATATTCCCCACAAATCTATGCGCTGTATTAAATGCTGTCAATGTTACATATGCGATGATTAGGGGAAGTCTGGCAATGCCCCCTCCCCCATTACTGTTACTCACCTCCCACCTGGTTGTATCACTGTGACATAGGCCCCAAAGCACCCACCAATTCAGTTGACTCCTTAGCTCTATATATTGACACGTATAATCGCCTCTCCTATAGTCATCTCCTGTATAAGGCTAAAGTCAACATCTAATTACGGGTTTCGAGATCGACCCTTACATTGCACTCTTTGAGATTTTGCTTTCTTATTGAGTTTCATGTTGCCGAACTCAATTCATTGTCATCCTACATGTGTTCCATTTGACGTATCTCAACATCGTTAGTAGTTTCCAACCTCCCAGTGTGAGCCTTTTGAGTGGTTCATCTCACCCGTCCCATAATGCTACGCTCTACCAAGCTGAGTCCGGTGACGCCTCGAAACGAACAGTCCTCAACCGCCAATCTAATCTGACAAACTGCAGTTTTACCAAGCATGCGACATAGTGCTAAGTTAACACATAATTAGAGATATCTGTGTCGAGATGACTACCCACCAGCGGTCCAGCGTGGCCATGCACTGCCGCAGTATTTGGATATCAAGATCAGGACACTTACTTAACGCCACTACCAGGTGCCAGATTGGACCCGTTGTTACCTGTTAAGGGCATTGCCAATGCTTTAGCTTGCGAGCATAAGTGAACACCGTAATGCTACAACATCTTCAACATGGCAGTGCGAGAAGCACAATGAAGGTCAGATGGGACGTAATTAGCTTGCACTCTATTAAATGGGCTTGTGACCATCCAACAATTTGTAAACAGCGCTAATAACACCACAATAAGCTGCTGAGTTTTCCAGCACATTCACGAAGTTCTAACCGAAACCGATACTGCCACTAGAACAGACAAGAAAATAAAAAATGAGATAAGCATATTAATTTTCTAATTCACCGACAGGTTACCACTACTGTATTACTAATTGCTTTGAGTAGTAATTCCCTATCTGGATGGTTGAGAGTACGGCGCCCTTGACGGTAACGCAGCGGCATTGCAACGTTGGCGTCTGGCGCAGCGTCTCCCCGGGTCCTATGAGCGAACTGTATAAACGCAGGATGACGAAGTGGTTGAACCGAGACGACACTAATGACTTGCTGAGCTCTCTGAGATTCTTTACGTTACCGTCCACTGAGACTTGGCTGAAGCAGTTGGGTGGGTCCAGGACGTACGGTGCTGGGCAGTAGAACGCGGCTTCATTGGCAGCCTGAATATCAATCATGCAACCGAACTGATGTTGCCCGTCAGCGTCGTAGAGTTGGGGCGTATCCGGCTTGAACAACTCAGTGGATGCGTACGTAACGCCGCAGCCTTGCATATAGGGATCCGTCGTTTCGACGGCAACCTTAACGGCGTGTATCCTGCAGCCCGCAGCAACAGCGTGTAGTTAATGAGCTATGAAGAGCTGCGAAAAGCGGTGCCAGCTGAACGTAACTACACGGCAGTGTACAATGCTAAAACAAAGGTAACAGCTGTGCACAAACACGTACCTTGAGCACCGGACAGTGACACCGTCAAGCCTACGTCGACGCGCCTTACGGAAGAGCAAAGGCAACCACAATTCGACACGGCGCCAGTAAAACTAGAGAAACGAGCCTCCTACGACGTGAAAGTCCCACAATGACCACTCAAGATTGCGAACCTTGACCTACACTTCGGTGGGCAAATGTCCTGGAGGTTTTAAAGTTCCGAATTAATTTACGCAGTCTATTGATGATGACACATGGTACATACGTTCCCAATCGTGAAGGTCTTACAATGCCGCTAGACCCATTCCTGCCACTCGCCTGTCAGATGCCTCGAGTCATGCACTCAACGGTATTGCAATCCAATCGAGTACCTAACTTGCGCAACCTATACACGACGGCATGTCCACCTATCGCATTCCCTATGTGCTCATTATGTTGGCGTGGGCTCCCCCATTCTACCCGTACGTCTCAAATCACCAACCGGTTTCGGCCGACGCAATCGTCGCAGAACAAGTGGTCGATGGGTCTCAAAAATGTCGGAAGCATTGGCAAAACAGGCATTTCCTGGTGTATCGTTGTTGTGAACGTTGCTATTTACAGGGTTGCAATAAGCTTCCTTAATCGGGGTCTGATGGTCATAAGTGGAGCATCGTTGCTACGCCTCTACCAAACCACAGCCATTGCCATTATTGGCATATTCAGAATGTGGTAGCATCCGTTACCCTCAACTGCGTTATGCCGCGATATCATTTTCCAATTACGGATCCACAACAGTAATGGCGGCGACAAGGTTTGAACAGATATGCAGCAGGCATTATCACGTACAAAGTTTGAAACGCATTCCTCATTCCAGCATGAATGATTCGTTGCCGTCTGTTATCAATTGCTAAATCATGAATCATGTTGTTGCAATGTACATCTGTGAGTGAGTCCCCATATAGGGGTATGCTCAGTCCAGCTGGTAAAAGCAGCGAAATATTGCGCTCACATAATAACGCAGCGCGCTGGTTTCAGAGATATAATTGCCTTGGATATGTTACCTACGTGCAAAGGTCGGATGAAATAATCCAGCCACACTACAATTTGCCTTTACGCCTATGTTGCCCCCGCCCCCACCATCGATGTAGCAGTAGGTACGGTGGTAAGTTTGCTAGGCAATCAATGTAAGTGCAACCTTAGATTCTCAAGTAAAGCTAGTGTAGTGAGAAATGATGCCCAAGAGTAAGATGCAGCCAAAGAGTACGCGCATTTCCTCTGGGATGAGCGGTGCACGGGGGGGATGGATAGCGTGGCAGATGAACTGGAGTAATGTTACGTGAGTTGCCAACCTTACCCTAAGATTAAACAATGCGGACGTAGCAATTATGGTATCATACGCTTCTATCAATTCCGCATATAAGCCTAGATTGGCTACCTCCGTTAACGGTCATGCCGATTAAGGTGAGGCGAGGTAACGGACACCTACGAGGCCGATGCCGCAAACTGGAGGTTGCAATGATGATAATATATCCTTTTGTTCGTGCTGGATAGTCTCATGGTTGGCGACGGGTGAGCTTTGTGAGCTTGCGGTAACGGAGTTTGAGGTGAAGCCATGCGCCCGCTCTGCGGAGTAAAGATGCAAATTAGCGAGGGGATGAAGGAAGATATCACATGTAATTAATGGATATAGCAAAGAGAGTGTGTTAGAGTCTTGGTATTAAGCGGATGTTTAACGATGAGGGCCATTACCGCAACGCATTGACCCTTGAGGAAGTTAAGGACTTAGGGGACATGCGTCCGGCAAGGTTCAGGATGTGCACTCACGGCTGCCGATTTAGATGTCGTACCGCAATGAAGTCAGATGCACACACGGCTTGGTTACGAGTAGGCCACTGCTTACGCGCGGTAACGCGGTATCCCGGTGGTGCGATACTTGAAAGGTAGGCTCTGGCTTCCCAACCAACCGAGGCGACCTTAACATCGGCCAATAGCGAGAGATCAAGTCATCTGTAACATTAATTACAAGATCAAATGCGTTCAATAACTAGAGTGACACTGCCTACGTCCTGCAAGTTGTTCATTGCTGTGCGGGCTGTTTGACTAAGTCGAGCTGAGGAGATGTACGGCGGAGACACGCACTGTGGATGTCCAGCAAATCAAGGGGATCGCCCAAGTCGCCAGTTGTCCCAGAGCTCACGGTCAATGACCCGCTTTCTCCAGAGATTACACCACCATCTGGTGCGGCTACGTACCACTGCCCTTAACTGAATATAAGCGTTACAAATTTAACCACTTTTTGTGATATCGCCGACTCAAATATTAAAATTGCTAGCTGTGAATGCGTTGCGAATATAATATAGAGTGATTTCCAGAGGCTTGACGTTGAGGGTGGAATGTAAGTGGCGGACCTCGCAGCTATGCACTTACTATGTTAAATTCAGTTTTGCAAAATAGTTGTTGACCGCGTTAGTTTCGGCGGTTCGTATTGCACGATATTAATTCTCGATAGCTTTTGCCTTGTTGTGCTCGTATAGCCTATATAGCTGGACGGCTTGTACCGTGGAGTTGCAGAGGTGGCACGAGAATAGCAGCATGTTCCGTGGCTTTACGGCGATAGCAAATCGCATGAAGAGCATGCTGTAGAAACACAGAACTCCCGTCATGCGCCCAGAGATCCGTTCAGGGTCCTTTCGCATCTCACTGAGCCCCGCTACCACGAAGCCCCAATTGGCGATGGGTCCCCAGAAGTGGGTAGTGAGGAAGTACCTGCCAGCAGCTTGGCTCATTTTGGCTGCTCTGTAGTAATAGGCGCCTATCGGCTGATTAGAGTTGATTGCGCAACTGTGCTCGTGTCTCAGATACCAAATGAGGAATGTGTCCGACGGCAAATAAATGAGCGCAGCGACACCGCACTTATAAATTTTATTAAGAACTGAATTGCGATGGTGCTCTATACAGTAATTGCCGCTACTCTTGCCGAAGCGGTGTCAGTGACGTAATGGAGTCCACGAGGTGTGTGGCACTTGAATCCCTGGACGCCTCCAAATCATGGAGACGCAGTTCGCACGCATTATGTGAAGGCTTATAAGTGAGTATTTGGCGATATTACACCGCGTCTGTGGTGGAATCTTGCACGTTATTCCCGCACGGTGCTGCCGTATCGCCTAGCTGTCTCCGCAACAGCTCCGGGTAAATATCTGAAACTGTTCACCACAACCATAGGTAGTTGCGCAGCGTTTCACTTAATTTTCGCACAAAGTAGTCTAGTATTGATTTTTCCAGGAGCGGGCTTCCCGACTCACTCATTCGCAATGGTTCTTTACCAGTTCTGTGGTAGCGTCCTCTTGGCGACAGCGAAGCCGTATATTACGGCCTTATTTTAAACTAATGATTACATTTTCGCGTTTATCGTGACTCTTGCACGATGGCGTCTATGTCTTGCGTTAGCATCGACCGCTCGTAATTGCTTAGCCGTTGGTTAACGACGGAGTAGACAAAGTTAACCAGCGCGAGGTAGAGACCGGCAGCGGAGTTCGCGTTCAGCGCGAGGGTCATGTGTAGCAGTAGCACCGGCCACTCAATGCCACGTGGGAACAACCGCACGAGGTACTCGTGATAGTATGTGAGCTGGACCAAAAGATCCAGCTGCGCCGACTTGAACAACTTGGGGATGTTGTGCAAAGCGTTTCTCGCATATCCCGTTGCCGCTGCCTGGCTCTCCGTTGCGCGGAACCCGGCTGAGTCCAGCAAATGCTCCACGTCTACCGCGTTCGCCAAGTTCTTGAACAACATCAATGTGACTACGTTTGCCGCGCTTGATAGAGCACACAACACACCTGTAACCACCGAAGCAATCTGCGATGCGTAGGGGCTAATAATGAAGGATGCGGTGTGGTAGTTATCTCTGAAGAAGGCGTGCTGAGCAGCAGTGAACACGGCCACCCTTGCGAGGACAGTTGCATGCACAAGCACGTGAATCACGCTCTGTGCCACATCCAAGTTCCAGTAGCCTCCCAGGATGCTCGAACCGAGCATGCTGACGGTGCGGGGCACAAACGATAGCGATTGCGATAACCTCCAGAACATCTTACTGGCGAAGGCTGGCATCATGTTATTCCACTGCATATTGCGTCCGTAGAACCACGCGCGCAGCGCTAACTTCACCGCTGACTCCGCGGCGAGGATGTGCATCATGTACTGCAGGACGTATTCCACAGATAAGTCTCCACATTCTCCCTGGAAAGCCCATCGCTTGCGCAAATAATCCATAATGCACGGCATAGACCCCAACTGGGTGACTATTAGCGGCAATGTCGACGCGCCAGCCATTAGCATGAGTGCCATCGGGCGCTCGCTGTGCGGCGGCTTCTGGTCGAGCATGAGCAGCCTCAGCGACGCCAGGAGATTACCAAGGACGCTAAAGGCATTTGGTTTTGGAACTATGGCGCAATACGGCTGCACATTACCTATTCGTCGTACAACAGCCGTGTTAACTCGCGGAATAGCAAGCTCAGCCTTTCCTTTCCAACCCGTCCACCTTGAGTCGAATACGGCGAATGGAGCATTTATGCCATTTGTTGCAGTTTGCTTGAAATCTATGGTGCCATTAGTGTCATACAATCCATGTGATGATGTATCTGACCGCTTGCTGCCCATCACTGGACTCATAGCAAGCTCCTGTAAAGTGTCGGAACGGCATTTAAGGAGCTTTGCGTCTGAGGCCAATGCTTCGCCATTTGCACGTTCTCCATTCAAATAGCCGTATGCTGCATTTTCTTCAGCGCTAGATGCGCGTGTTTCTGCCGTAGGGTGCCCTGTTGTTGATCGTGTAGGTGTCTTCCTTGTTGCGATCCGACTGACCACGGGTGTCGCAGGGATTGTCGCTCTTCCTTTGTAAACCGTCTCTGACGGTTCTACTCCGCGTGCTATAGTGCTTAATCCATCAGTACGTGGATAGAAGATTGCCTGCGATCGATTAGACGGTCCAGTTTATTGGCAGTGTGCCACCGCGCGTGCGGTTTGAGAGTTGCTGTGACTTTCGCACCTACCTTCTGCGATCGGTGAATGTCTTTGGCGGTAGAAGACACCAAAAACAGCGTCACAAGTGACGTTAGAAGTATTGGCCACATTTTTGGCCCGGCCAACTGGGTCCACTGTCTTCAATGGGCGATGCGGGTTGCGCTGTGATGTGCGCTGTCATCCGCCCATTGACTGTGCCATATGATTGTATACGCCGTTCTACGGCGATGTGTCTATCTGCAGTGAGAGGATATCCGGTTCACTCCGTGGTCCCCATCTATGGCACAGCCTTCACGAGCACGCGCTCCTGTGGCAGCGTCGATTTCTGCACATCATATCGGCGATTGCCGGTAGCACATATCACTAAATCGCTGGGAATTTCACTGTCGTGAATCTTGTCTATGCAGAACGTCCTTCATAAGCTGAAGAATACTGCAACGTCGCGTGAACTTCGTGGCTTTGGGAAAGGGGCGGTGTTTTCTACAGTGAGGGGCAATTTCGGTATATTGAAATTGCTTATCGGTTAATGTCATACCAGGTTAAGTTTGGGATACATGATTTTCAGCGGCGCATCCCAAATAATCTTCGGAGGCAACAGTGAAAACTAGTAATCCTCATGTCTTTCTGTCATATGTGATTGAAACCACGGAGTACGACTCTGAGATGTACAACTGAATCGAAAAACATCGCTGCAACACTATCTCCTACACACCCGCAGACGATGTCAGCTTTGGGTATGCCGCCGCACCTCTTGGTGCTCTTCCAGGCACGGCCGCCTCTGGAGTACGTGCCACCGATAGAGAATGGAATGAAGCGCAAGCTGTGCGGGATAGCGGACTTCATAGGCCACTTTTCAAATGAGCATATTCCGCCACCTCCGCCGTTTGAGACCCCGCGCCAGCGCGCTGACCGGAGGAAGAGACAGAAGCTCATAGAGTTTCAGAATAAGCAACGTGAAGATCGCGAGGCCTATGACCCCAAATATGATCCGGCATTGGCAAGAGGATCAACGAATCCGTGGTTGACGCACGACCCTTACAAAACCCTGTTCGTGTCTAACATTCCCTACGAGGTTACCGAAAAGCAACTGTGGAAGGAGTTCGACGTATACGGGCGCGTTAGGCGTATCCGCATGATTAATGATCGCCAAAACCGTCCCAGGGGCTACGCGTTCATCGAATTCAGCGACGACCGAGATATGGTGAGTGCATACAAGCGCGGCGACGGCAAGAAAATCAGTGGGCGGCGAGTTATGGTTGACGTGGAGCGCGCGCGCACCGTAGAGGGGTGGTTGCCTAAACGTCTAGGCGGTGGGAAGGGTCGTTCACGCACCAAGCCACCGAAGTTCCACGACGGAAAACCGCTTACTGCAGAAGAAGAAGTAAAGGTATCTAAGCCCGTTACTGCATACACGGATGAAATGATGGATGATGTTGAAGAAGGACAGGTTCTGTAGCGTTTAGGCACCTCCACCGGCCTGTCTTAAATTCACAAGTGCGACGCGCCTACGTGCTTTATCGGTCCGGCTTTTCGGCACATTGGCGAACAAACTTATGACACTGCAACTAATAATATGAATTAAAAATAATTCCGCAATGTGTATCGTAGCTCGGCTAGCCCGATGTGCATGGCACGTCCACCCTTATACGTGCGACGTTACTGTAATAAAGGAGCCTCGATATGGATCACATTTTTAGCGGAATTGTATCTGGGCCAGATACAATAGATTTGGCGCTAAAATGGATGTATGCGACAATGTTGTTGCTCTGAGTGAACGTTACCTTGCTGGAGAAGGCTTCCACGTGCCTAGCCCGAAGAACATCGACACCAAGCTTCAATTACCACTAACCCTAGTTAGAAGCGTGCCAGTGTCTCCAACAGCAGCCGTGTTTGTGCTGCAATACCCACAAGAACTGGAAGAAGAGTTCAGATCCCACGTATTTGCACATTACGTGTTGCACGGCAGGCACTTCGAGCCGTCTGTGGAGGGGTATTGGAACGGTATCAAGTCTCCTGTAGAGGAGGATAACCATGTAGCACGCAAATACACGCCGATTTTTGTCGACGCGGATCGCCGAGAAGTCCATTTCCTCATACGTATATATCGCTGCTGTCCAGATTACGTGGACGGTGGACGGCTGACGCGGTGGCTTGAGTGCGTCGATCCGCAGGGGCAGATCCTGTTAAATCCGTGGTTTACGAAGTATTCGCTTGGGAAAGACGGCTTCATAGGCCCCGCCAACGGTGAGCCGGTAGAACACCGGACGCTGAACATAGTTGCCGGTGGCACGGGAATAACTCCATTCGTGCGGTTCCTTATACACAACAAAAAAGCCCACGTTAAGCTCCTCTACTGCAACAAGACATTGCAAGAAATTCTGCTTAAGCCGCTCATTGACCAGCTGAGATATCGAGGTAACTTCGAGGTGAGATATCTGGTGACCTCGGAGGACCCTGCCGTCGTTGACAGCTTCACACCCACAAAGGACGACAACATTTTTTTCGGAAAACTATCGCGCAAGTACATCGAGGACTTCTTCGAACGCGAGGATAGCGTCACAATATCGTGCGGGCCGCCTGGCATGATGATGACGGTTAAAAAAATCACCTCAGAGTTGGGATTACGCACGTTGCTTTAGGTTGCGTTTATGTTATAGACGCTTCTCGTGGAGCAAAACAAGAAACTTTTACCTCGTACTGAAGAGAGTCATGCAAAAATTTTTGGCGAAGGCTACCATTCTCGCCAGGATGGCGGCCATTAGGCTCAACCGGCCTCTGGCTGCGGCTGGCAAGGATGACAGAATGTCACTTGAGACTTCGCTACGTGCCACTGCACTATTGCAGAAGGTCGTACCGATACTGGAGACTGCGCAGGTGCTGCACCACAAGCGGCCAGTGGCATCGGTTGGGCGTCTGAGTTGCGATGTCGGCGCTGAAAAATTGAGTAATGATAAAAGCGGTGCACCAGCTCAGGGCAAAGCTAAAGCGATTGAAAGGCTCCATAACATCCGTGAACAGGAGTGGCGCGTGCTCCGACCCGGCATGGAGCGTGAAACTAGGCACCTGCGTTGGCGCAAGTGACTTATGCCATCCATGATTTTCGCAGAAACATATTGTACTGCCCTAACATGACAAAAGCCATAATGAGTGGCCTCTATACACATGAATGGTTGACTCATACTAGAAGCTTTCACTACTCCGGTGGCATTGTTAGCTGCCATGGAACGAATACCACGTTTCGAATTTTTTTAAAGGAAAGGCGTAGTATACAGAAATTATTGTGACTCGGTGAGTGGCCGTCGTTCCCAGACAGAATATATGCCATCATGGATGGTACCTGTAGCGTTCGGTGACACGACGTGGAACCCGCAACCTACACCAGCAGCGTAAGGCGCTAGCCTGGTAAACGTGAAAATCGGTCCTTGCTATTGGCAACCACATATAACACTAGACAAATCAAAACAAAAATTAATAGTTGTTATATTATGGGTCACTGGGCAGCAGGAAATGTCTTCGGGTAGCGACGAAAACGGCTAGGCTGCAGAAAGTTTTACGCCGGATCTATTTGCAAAAAAATTTCCAGCACTACGTTTTGTCAGCATCTCTTAAATAACATTTTAAGGTCACAAAATTCTTTGAATCGGTGCGCATATTTTTTTGTCTGCGCATCAGTTCACAGATCCGCGTAATTTAACCTGAACGCCGTCGTTGGTTTTAAGAAAATCTTGGTTCCCATTTCGGTGGACAGGAACCATACTGCAGTAATACACAGCAAAAAAATAATTCACCGTCTCAATTGCCTACTGTCTAGGCTCTTGTTTTTCTTACCCAAAATGTCGGCTATTCGTTACAATGGACGGCAAGGAGCTGCATCACTTCTCTGCCTCTACGTGGTACTTTTTTTAGGCGCTGTTATGGGCGCTCCGCCCACGGATGGTAATTCGGGTAGTGCAGCACCACTGACCGAAGGGATTGCAGTATATGCCACTAATGATGTTTGTTACAATAATCTGGAGGCCATGGGAAAACTATATCTTGACGCGGAGAACATATATACTGCTTTGTCTGCCTACTCTTTGGCATTACCTGAATTCAACACTTCACCAGAAATTAAAGAAACAGAGCAAAAGGAATGCGATGAATATATGGAGAGAATCGATAGGATCATCAACGATCTCAGAGAATACGTCTATCTAAAAGAGATACTTAACAAATACCGTGTCACTATGGACGAACTTCAAACAGGCAATTCAACAGATAAGAGATTGACTGAGCTCAGTGATGCTCTGTTGAATCTAGAGCAAGAATTCGAAGGTAAAAAGGAGCTAGCGGAAAACATGATGACACCTGACATTTTTGAATATTATTCGGTAAATATACGGGACGCGGAAGAGTTCATTGACAAGCGTACGGTACAGGAACCAACACAGACGACCAATAAAAATGCGTCGGCTACTGAAAAGAAGGCTTCCGGTGATGTGATCGCGGTAAAGGCGCAACGAAGCATTGAAAGCAACATGCGTGATGCAAAAGATGATAAAAAGTCTTCAGCGCATCTTACAATGGGAATGAGGGTTATGCAGGCGATGGTAGTTGTTGGCGTGATTGCGGCGTTCTGATTTCAGACATCTTCCGACTCCAAGACAAAAACATACTGCACGCTGCATAAAACTATATGGAGGGTTTGACCAATGTTATCGGTGGGATATACACTGGCAGAGCAAGGAGCAATAGGTGATCGAGTTTTATCTTAAATGCATTATCATCACAGGTCAGCATGGGCACAAGACCGCGAAGTGGACTGCAGCAGACTATCTTCCCCTTGTTTTAACGGAGCTAAGCATCTCACCAGTCTTGTAACTACGCAATTTCATGAATGACGGCATCGAATGCCAGGAGATGTAATAAATGACGAGAAGGGTGGCCACAGCCACGGCGAAGTAGACAGATTAAATGCAAATATTGCGTTCTATTCCACAACATTCACGATTAATTGTGCCTTTAATACCCGTGTCTAGTTATGTAGCGTAATATGAGTGGCTACATTCGGGCGTTTCCGCTGTTCATGCTCACCAAGCATGTGGCCCACCATATCCTATAAGTAGACTGTGGATCGTGTGCCACCTGGTTACCAGAAGCGTTGGATGTCACCACTATCCGACGCAGCTCTACAGGGCGTCGAAAATAGCGGAATAATAAGGGACACAACTGCAAAAGCCACACCAACGTAGAGTACTTTCGTGCTTGCGTGTTTTACGAGAAGGAATAATATGTGCATTCGCTATAGTTCATACGGTCAACGAAAGCTTTGTAGAGTGATGCAATGTATACGTGCTAATGCACGTTGCACTCAGTAGGTGCTCCTCACTTCTGTAAGCTGCACGGTACCATGCCACGCCAAGCGTCATGAATGTTATCAAAAAGACGTTTAGAACTAAGTTTGGACTCATCTGGCGGACACCGTCGTTGGTACTGCTGTGTGTATGAGGCAGACATGTGTATGTGTCGCTACGGCAAGTAGGTTTTGGGACTAATTTGATGGATTGTGCATCCTTTTTACGTGTTCAATTTACCGATGTCTTGTCCCAAGCTTTCTAGCATATAGACCGCCTATCATACGGCCTAATATAATCCCGGATTTTGCCGTCGGCGTGAACACCGGGATTCCTGAGCTACAATTGTCCGCATTTCCATACAACATTTCATTATGGCAACGTAAACTTATTTGAATTTCAACGGAGGGCAATTCCTCCAGCTCAGGTCACCACCCTCCCACCGCATCCAGCTGCTAGTGTGATAACGAGTGTCTGCGTTAAATACGGTGCCGGATTGAGATGCCACATATTCACAGAGGTTAACCCGTGGATACGAAATGTTGCAACTTACAGACGCCCATACAATCATTCGCATCGCTTACACTCACCCAACAGATGACTCACTGTCTTAGCAAGAACGGCACTCCCACGCTTGTGGCCCGGGTGATCTCCCACACTGCGCCTCAAATGAACTATGCAACGAACATGTTTATGTCATTGTTTTGTAGTTGCCATCACTGGGTGCCCTACGTGAGTGGTTACTGGAAGGAGGCATAGAGCGTATGGGTTAAGCTTAAAACACCATTATGTTGCAGTTCATTAACGTAGTCCGACGGAAATTCCTGCGGCCAGATTTCGGCGCGCGAAGGACTGCCCGTGCTACAACTGCGATCTAACGATCCCGCGGCACGGGTGATCCTCAAAACGGTCCTTCGTCCTTGGCGTCGTGTGAGGCTGGAGGCGACAACGGAGAGGTAGCAAGGCGAGCGTCTGATTTGTCATCTGCTATCGCAGTTTACGCATTGCATTCATTATGCGCTTATTAAGCGCGCCAACGAAGCATACAACGGATTATATATTGGAAAACAGCACCAATAACGCCACAGATGACATAATCGGTGAAAGTACCGCTTGTGCCTTTCCCGAAAGACGAACTTCCTGGTGGAGCTGCCAATTCCTTGCACAAGAATATGTCGAGTATGATGGAATACGCAAAGAGAGACGCGCAAATATATCTGCAAAACTTAATCGACCGCTCCAAGTCCTCGATCTTCTTCTTATTCTCATCTGCCGACGCCTGTGGTGTCTTTCCTTCACTACGGATTTCCCCAGCCGTATAAACACACACCGCCGGAGCTCCCGTAGACGTTTTCATCGTGCGCTGATCCACTTGAGAAGCCATCTCGCAAAATAATTAGCAGCGTGTCTTGATATCATAAACTAGTCTTCAAAATGAAATACGCATCTAGTCTGTCGTCCAGGTGTGCTCAGCTAAGCGTAGTTCGAGATCTCTCAGCTCTGACACACCGTTAATATCCACTGCTAGCACATGCCCTGATGCACTAGTTTGCCAGCACAATTTGACTCGAATTACATACTTTTGAATTCGATCCGAGAATGCATATGCTCCACTCAGAACGCCACTGCTCACGCGCGGTGCAAGGCATTCGGGGTGATAGACATCTGGGTAACTATGTTTGCGGGGCGCCCCACGACGTGGCTACTGGGGTAGTCCGGGGTGACGACTTCAATGCTCACTACAATGTTGGCCATAGATGCAACTCAACTGTGACTTTCTCTTATACAAGACCGACTACTCACAGAATGTCGAGCATAGACATGCAATTTCACATTGTATAGCCGCCCGGCGGACGACCCGATACATCTCCCACGCTGCCAACTCGGTGTCAGTCCTCTGCGACTATCGGACGATGCCGCTGACTATTGCAACTCAGCAATTGCAACACTAGATGAACATATAAACGTACATTATATATTAAGTTGTAATTCAGGTCCAACCGGGATGCCGCTATTAGTATCTGGACAGAGCTGTGGGACGTATTGAGGGATCTGAGCAACTAAAGAGCAGCCGATATCTTCGCACGGATAATTTTTACCCATAATCGAACGGTATGCGGATGGCATCACGACGCAGAAGGGACCACCGAAATGCGTAACCTAATCCGGTCAAATAGGAGGGTTTTGCAAATCTTATGTGATTTGGGGGAATTCAGAAACTTGTTTTCTCAGGTTTATCACAGAACGAACAATTTCCTGATGTAACTGGGAGTGTGTATTGACGGTCAAAAAAATGTGAAATTAGAGTGGCAGCACGGCGAGGCGTTCCGCAGTCACAGTGCCGTTGTCTAGACAACCAGGAACCGATGGAGAGCCCACAGGAATTGTAGCTGCGCAGCATAGGCCGACCACACGCATGTCGAACTTATAAAGCTACAAACTCCATGTTCAACGGAAGCGCTGAAGCGCGAAGTCGAGGGCAGGGGACTACGGTCCGAGAACCAGATGGGCACGAGGAGCAACGTACAGGGTGCGAAGGAGCACGCGTTGTCGAACATCGCGCTCAACGAGAAGCACAACGGACAGCTACGCGCAATGTGGATCGACTTCTTGAAGGCGTACAACTCTATTGACCACGAATACCTGGCACTGGTTATTGAGAACCTGCACTTGCCAGGGTGGTTATCATTCTTCGTCAAGCAAAAGCTCAAGGGGTGGAATACAGAGATATGGTGTTATTACAACACGCTCATGCACAATACGGTTGAGAAGGGCATACTGAAGGGTGATAGCCTGTAGCCCCTCCTCTTCGCCTTGTGCTTGGACCCGCTGAGCAGGCACCTGATCCGCCTTTTCCCCACGGTGGAGCTACACCTGCCAGGCGACCGGATCTTCGCGACAAATCACTTTCTCTATATCGACGACCTCAAGTTTTCGCCCACGAGGAAACAACACTCCGACGACTAAGTCATCGTACTTCTGAGCGTTTATGAAAAGTATAGCAGCTGCCTAGATAAAATGCATGAATTTTTAAGGAAACCAAGTTTCTGTTTTCAAATCAATTAAAAATTACACCGTTGGCACGCCATCCCTGCCGGAAATGGCTTTATGGCAAAATATCACCACGATGTATATGATCGCCGACATTATGCCGCTGCAGAAAATCGTTGTGATCCAAGTAACGAAAATTTTTCGGTACAACATCAGGTTAACACCCTTTGTAGAAATGCGTTTGAAAATGGGGAACTTCGCCCAAAACTTATTTGAGGGAGGCTTCAGCTCTATTACCGGTACCTCTTCGTTTGAGTCCTGTGTCTTCAAATTTTCCACAAGCCCTACACCTAGTATGCTCGAAACAGCGGAATGAGTGGAGCTGAGTGGTACGCCCAACTGACTGAGTACAAGCACGATGCTTCCCGCCGTCGTGTCAATCGTGTAACCCCTCGAGGGAGTCACACGAGTAAGTTTCAGTCCCACCGTTTTGATTACCCTGTATCCGAATAGCGCCAGGCCAACGGCCATGCACAGGCCCCCGGCAAGTAGAATATACCAGGGCGTAAAATCATTGCTTTTTTCGATTCCATGCATATAAAGCATCAACACAGTTGCGAAGGGAGCCACAGCATTCGCCGTGTCGTTTGCACTGTGGGATATGATGACGGTAACGGCACCGATAATTTGCATCGCTGAGAACATAACCTCCGTCTTATGGCTATCCGTTTGCTTTGTGTTTTGTGCAATTCGTTGAGCGTCCTCTTCGTCTTCTACGGCGCTTTGTAACAAGCTTTCGTAGGCAGACCTCGAGGTCCCCATGTTGGAGATCTCAACGATCTCAAGTTTGCTTCTTCCTACTTTGAGTTCCATAGAATGAGACCTGTCTTCTGAAGGTATGTGTCGTGATGATGAGTTGCGTTTCACTCCGAATTCTTTGTTTGTGTCATTCTGACTTTCCAGGAATGACCACCCAGCCTTATTTCGCATGGATCCACAGATATATACAAACGGGACGGCTATTGCAAGCAAACAAGCCATTATAATGACGACAACTGCGGCCTTATTGCCGTGAGATGCATTAAACCATTGCTGGTAGTCATGCAATAACCCCTCTTCGACCTTTACCTTCATGAGTGGGGTATCGAACGCTAAGAATATAACCAGTGGGATCGACGTGATGGCAAGCAGAAACCAAAGCGTGTAATACAATACTTTGTATGATTGTTGTCGCTTCAGTATGGCTTCCTGCAGCAACAGGTACATGGTGCAGCTGACCACAACAGCAATAAGAGGCACACCGATCCACGAAAGCATAATATAGAACATTTGCAGCCATCGAACGCTATTTACACGCCCGGAAGCGACGCCGAATCCTGCGAGGGCCCCAATAATAGAGTGTGTCGTAGATACTGGCATCCCAGAGAATGTGGCAAATAACAACCAAATGGTTGCGCTGGCAGTTGAGCACATCATACCCATTGCGAGATCCTCGGGCGCATCTTTGAACGCATTGAAGTTTAGCACTCTTTTGCGTATAGCATCGGTAACAGATCCTCCTAGTAGAAGGGCACCTAGAATCTCAAAGACAACGGCGATCGAAATAGCGCCGCGAAGTTTGAGCGAGCCGCTCCCTATAGACGTAGAGAACGCATTAGCCACATCGTTTGCGCCGATAGACAGTGCCAAGAATCCGCTCACAATACCCGAAGTGATGACGATCCAGAGCATCTCCGGATGGGAGACATCCATCTTTGATAGAGTCGGAAAATATAATTGGACAATCACAGAGGCGTATCTACATCTTTTTAAATCCAAAATTATTGACAATGCCGCATCTCACGTGGTCGGTGTCGGCCACGCCACTTAGGCTGTCGCTCCCCATGGTACAGCGTAGCACACAGCTGTGCACTGCGCTAGACGCTCCATACCAGACAGGCGTGTTGCATGAAAATGTAGCTTTCTGAGCATGCCTCTCGTTAGCAAGTGTGCTTGCGTTGAGAAGCTGTCGCAGCTTCACGCAACGGTACTCAGCGACCTTCATCCTTGCAAAGAACAGGTCTACGAAGCGCGTGTGTCACAGTTACAGAGTACAATAGACGATTTGCAATTAAGGTAATGAACTGTGGATTAACACATCGTGTGTACGACGTCTTAATGGTTTTTGCCAATCGGCATTTTCAATGTTATTCAGGAATGCCGATCTCTGCACACAGCTCGCCGATATACGCTCTACAATAGCTGCTGACCCATTTCTGAGTTCCAAGTTTCAATGTGTAACCTCAACTTTGCGCGAAGAGCCTTCTCGCATTTACGGGGTTAACTTGGATTCCAGATCGAGTCCCGCTGATGTCTATCGACAACTCTGCATTTTAGCTGTAAGTTTTGCCGACGGAAATGAGCGTTATGAATACTTTTTGCAGGATCGCAATCGGGATCTCGAGGGTCGCCTGTTTACCGAGCAGGCCATTTCTATGTCATGGAAGCACAAAATAAACAGCCTAGAGCAGCGTCTGAAGGATCAACTAGACGACTTAGTAGAGATCACGAGGGACGCACAGTGTATTAAAGATGTTGATTGTGCGGGAAAACGTTCAGATCGGCGCGAAGCTCTCACGAAGGAGGCGCTCGAGCTGCTCAAGCTCGCCCGTTTGCGCATAGACGGAGATCGTACCCGTAAGTGTTCACGAACATAGTGCGATACAACGGTTGCGCAGGCATGGAGATTTTCCGTAATCGCATTGCGGAGCTAGAGAGAGAACTGCTAGAACATAGGCTCAAGACCTCGGATGCCGCAAGCCAACTGGTGAGCAGTGGTTCTTGCGATGCTTTTTCAAGTGGTATGAGGGAGCCGCAATAAATCATGCGGTTTCGTTATCATTGTTGTATATAGAGCTTAGTAGTAGTCATCATTATTTGAAAACTCGGTTAATGTGTCGTTTACAAATTGTACATCAAGGTTCTAGTGCACTAAAAAGTTCTCAACAGAACATCAATGACGTGGTTGTGGCATGCTAACATCAAATTGATGCCCCGTTAATTTGATTTCCAGGATCGCTCTTCAACTGCCGCGGGCATATCGCAACTTCAACCGGATATAACAGGAGGAAGACCGGCGTCGACATACCCACTCCAGCATACGGCACAACTTGACAGCTGTGCCGTATCTGGAACAAGCACGTTAATGCGCGAACTTGAAATGTCCAAGGGATCACTGAGGCACAATTCGTGGAATAATGTCGATGATGGTGGATGCAAAGGGGCACCATCGAAATCCGAGGCAGCAGCCCATTCTGCTTCGGAAGACGGCAACCGTAGAAAGCTTATTAGACTTTACAGCGATATTTTGACACTCATAAGGACTAATAATGCACAGGCCATGCCTCCAGTGTCACAGACGAGAGCTACGCCCAGGACGGGAGCATCGGTACATCGCAATAGCGAACGAAGGGCTGTGCAAACATCGGCCAGCAAATCTCCTAGACCCTCATATGCGGTATCGGAAGACCGTATAGATGAAGCAGTCTCAAAAAATATTGACGATCATATTGCCCCTAGCGAACGTCTTGTTCGTATCCCCAGCATGTCTATGGTGAAGAGCGAAGATAATGCACCCAGCATCTTTAGGTCGCAATCGCCTGTAGCGTCTAACAAAGATGTATGTGTATCTTCCCCTAAAGGATGTCTCCTCTCGGCCTCAAAGTCATTGCCAAGGAATGAAAGTGGAACTTCCGATCCTCTCGATGGTCCATGCCAGGCTGATACCTCTCTGATCTCGTCAGATTCGGCGACCGAGATTCAGAGTGCTAGACTCACAGATACTAACTTACAGATTGGCGACTCGCCCTCCAGTGATGGCACGGTTTTGCTGTCCTCCAGCTCGCTGGATAACGAGTCGGTTTCGAGCGACACTTGTGATGGTTCACAACATGACGGCTCAGCTCATGACGATGGGCATGTGGTTCTCGACCTCACCAACGACGAACCCAATCAAATTGTCAACACTCAAGACGCTGTTTCTGAGGGTTTGGCTTCGTCCGCCGACAGTTTGAGCAGCAGTGACACTTCAATGTCAAAACCACGTGATTATGCAGGGGTCAAATTAAGTCATGTAGATGCCCGATCATCATCGGTCGAACACATAGCTGACAAGTCTGACGATTCTTCTTCAGCTTTTGAAGTCACGACCAAAATGCTCACCATGACCTCTGAGGCAGTTAACGGAACCGCGAGCGTGGATGGCACTCCTGAGAGTTCAATTCCGCCATCACTGCATGATAACACGAACACCGCGGATTCTGCAATGGTGGTAGAATATGATAGCCCGCAAGTGTCACAGTCGGCTTCGTCGTCGTCTCGAGGAAAGGGGTCGCCAGACGTATCGTCGCAAGTCTTGAAGAACAATGAGAGCAAATCTATAGTGTTCGATGGTATAGATACGCCTATAAATGAACTCCCGAGTTATGAATTCGACACTCCACGTGGAAATTCTACAGCGGATCAATCCATGCGAAGAGTCGACACCCTTGCCATAAACACATCAAGCTCGTTCGTGAGCGCACAGAAACGTGAGATGTTGGATGCCTTGCTTCTTTTACTTCAAGGCGTGCCGGTGTTAAACGATCTACCCGAAGAACGGTTACGAGGCCTGCTACCATATTTCAAGCTCCAGTCTTACTCTCCTCGTGCTGCAATTATCCTTGCTGGTGAGCAACCGCGTTATTTTTACATCCTCGCGTCGGGTTTGGTGTCTGCGTATTCATATGAAAGTTTCGACAAGCCTAATCGCCTGCTGCGCCGATATTTGAGCGCGGACTATTTCGGGGAGCTCTCCTTAATAAACAATCGAGCGTGTACTTCCTACATCATAGCTGAGGGCCACGTCACCGTTCACGCCATGTGGGGCCAGGATTTTGTTGAGCAATTGTCGGATTTGTTTCCCAAGTTCATGGAACGTGCCATGGCGGAATATGACAAGCCCAACTGGCGCTCAACGGTTTCTCCTGGTCCACGTATGGACCGAAAGGCTATTGAGGATTTGTCCGACATAAAAACATTCATAAGCAAGGTACCGATAATATCAACGGCCCCTAATATGGATTCATTCATCAGATCGTTTTTGTATAAGAAGTTTAGAGCCAAGGAGGTGATTGTTACTGCAATTGCCTCGCTGCGCGACTTTTACGTTGTCTACCGCGGCAGTGTAGCTATTCAGTTGAAAGATTCTCAGAATGAGGAAGTACGCGACTTCGCGGTGCTAGACCCTATGTCGTTTGTTGGCGGTGTATCTCTCACCGACCCACACGTGTCACAGCTGTTGGGTCCGGCATCCCTCGTAGCAACAAGCGACGCAATTTTATTGGTTATGGAGACCGATAAATTCAGCAGGCAGCCTGACAGCTGGAAAACTCACGTGCGTACGTACCTGGAGCAATTTTTCGTCGACAAGATGGTTGAACGCAAGTTGATGCAGGGCGTGGAAAAATTGTCTGCACTACCCAGGGAAGTCACACACTCTGAGTCGTTGTCGAATGCGGTGCTTAGTTCTGATAGCGGATGTTTCAGTGACGAGTTGAACGGGCAAAGCAGCATAACGTCGGATCGCTCCCCGCAGTCGCCCCATGCAATGGGTGACAAATCGCGAGGCCAAATGTCTTCACCTGCAGTTTCAACGGTTAAGGAGGACGACGATGATAGTGATTTAATGGATTCGGTGTTGCCTTCGCCCAAATCGTCTGCGACATCTGATGACCTTCTGTCGGTTTCAAGTCAGAGCCTGGATGACACATCCGCTATCGTGCGAACAGGTTCTTACAAGTTGCTGAGTATACCACAGTCGCCAGTCAACGAATTAGACAGTGGTGCCGCGCTGGGGACAACCACCGTTCTGATCAACAGTGGGGAGAAGAAAGTTCCCAACTCCACTGCAGATAATCGCCCTGCTGGCGATGAAAGTGGCATATCGCCACCTGTTAAGGACATAAGCCGAGATATGGACCAAATTTCGATCACTGATGACAATCGCCATAGTCTAATATGCGAATCTGATACGTTACAAGAAAGCGATCGCAGTGAGTCCCTTGCGTCCGACTGCATAGGGTCGGACCGCAATGTTGTTGATGATATGCACAATGACAACGGGGATGATTCCGCCGAGATAGATGATGTAAAAAACGAAGCACCGCATAGTTTCACTCGCAGAGTGAGGCGTGCCCCAACGGGTATATTCAGAAATGATCGAAAAGATTTCCGCAACACCTTGAGCAGCGGTCGAAAGGGCACCATAGGGTCCACTACTGACTTATCTGCGACAGCGACCAGTGTAGTGGATGACACTGAGTTACGTGAGTCCTCCATAGAAAGCGTGATCGACGAAACTGACGGGTTGTCTGATACTTCACTAGATTCTGACGTATCTGATATGTTTTCAAATTCGTTTTCAGATGACAGCAGCGTCACACCGAAAACATACGACGAAGATACGCTAAAGGCGTCAAAGGACCTTTTAATTGCCACGCTGAAGTGCAAGTGTACCTCTTTGGGCGCTGCCTTCAATTTCATGGATGCGGACAACTGTGGCGTCGTTTTCCGGCCGCGCTTCTACGATGCTATTGAGGAATTGGGCATCGCGTCGATTGAACCTTCCGAGTTGCCCTATTTGTTCGACATGCTGAGGGAGAATGACCGTGAGGTCATGACAGTGGCATCACTGTACCGCGACAGTGGGGAGCGCGTTAACACCGCCCAGGAATTCTGCCTCCGTTTACAGCATGTCCATGGGAGTTCTCGCGTTGCCTTTGAAAAGCATTTTGGCCCGCTGAAAATGAGCTCGACTTGCGCCGAAGCTGACTTCCTGATTTTGGCAATGAACGTGGGAGTGGAGGAGGAGGATGCACGAAAAATCTTCAAGGAGTTGGACATATGTGGGAACAGTTACGTTACAATACTAACCATGCTGAAGCTGATGCGGGGGGATTGGACCTTGGACGTCGCGCTAGAGAAGGAGCAAGCAGCTGTCTCCAGCTTTAACCAAATTGTTGGCTACTGGCAGAATGATGATTACGAGTCGTTTCGGAAAGAATTTTCCAACCCTTACATATGTGTATTCGATATTCTCGAATACGGGGTCGACGTGTCGCAGGTGGATTGTGGTTGGGAGGAATTTACATCGCTGGCAAACGACTCATCCAAATCGCATTATGTGGACACTCTCATTATCCCCACTTTGGAATCCCACTCCTCTTTCAGGCAGCTTTCTCCGATCCAACGTAGGTTCGTCGCATCTCTGTTCGTCGAATCTCGAAAGAATAAGGGCAATGTGATAATCTCTCAGGGCGATGTCGATTTCCTCTTGTACATTGTCCTGTCGGGTCAGGTTCAGTCCACATACACAACGTACCTCTACACCGAATCTGCATCAACAGACGTGGTTGTTGGCAGCTTCTTGGAATTCGATTGCTTCATGGCGGGCCAACCATCGGCCTGCACATACAAAGTTGGATCTGTTGGCCCTGCAGTCCTGGCGTCTATTGAGAAAGCGATGTTCAAAGAGGCCGTACAGCCCATAATAGAAGTGCGGTCAAAGAGGGTGCCCGTCATTTCCACGTTTCTAAGTAAGGTACCGTGCCTTGAGGGACTAGACCCGGAGGTCATTGAACGCATTGCCTGCGCCAGCGTTGTACGCAAAAAGAAAATTCACGAAACGATAATTCGTGAAGGCGACCCACCAGAATGGATGTACGTCGTATTTGATGGATCAGTGGACGTAAAGGTCTCTAGTGCTGCGAACCAAATCGCTGAATCTGTCTCGTCCACAGGCCTTATTGGTGCCGAGGAGGTGGCATGCTCCCTGCCAAGCTACATGAGCAGTGCTCTAGCTAATTCCTCAACGGTGTTACTCATCGGCTGGCTGGCGTCGTCTTTTGCGACGGCATTCGGCGACGCTGCAGGGTGCATCCGCGAAGCCTCCCGCGAGGCATCTCTGGTGCGCTCCAACACTCTGAAAATGTTCGATCAGCGATCGCAGAGGCTACCCTTAAAGTCCACAAAAACAGTATCGTTTTCTATCAACAGGGCTAGCAACGCATAACCGTTACATCTGGCTTAATGTTAGAATTACTGTAGTTATCGTTGCATGTGTGGCGACCTGTACTGGTCATCGTGGGTCTTCGGGTACGGTATTTGCTTGTTATACATGGCCACGGGATACATTGGCATCCTCATCATGTTGACATCCGGCATAGGCCTATACCTGTACGGCGGCGGCGCCACTTGCGGTTGGTACATTTGCTCGTACGCCATCATGGGTCTGCGCTTGCCAGGCATGGGCATTGGTGGTCGACGTTTCATCTGTTCCATGTGCATCTGCATCGCCGCCGCCTTGCTCTGCATTTGTTGCTGCATAGGTGGCATCCCGGGCATTGTGCCGGGCGGAATTTTTCCGGGCGCCATTTGACCCGGTGTCATTGACCCAGGAGTCATTTGACCTGGCTGCATCCCACCCGGCGTCATCTGTCCAGGTTGCATTCCTCCCGCCGCCATTGGCCCTGGTGGCATTTTCATGAGAGCCATTTGTCGTGGCGTCAATGACCCCGGCGTCATGTGCCCCTGCTGCATGGGGGGAGGTACCATTTGTCCTGCACCGTTGGGTACTGGCGTCATGGATCCTGGCGTAGCAGACCCCGGCGTCCTTCCTCCCTGAGACATCGATCCGTGGTGCATAGGCATATGGGCCATTTGAGGGTTCTGCATAGGCGCCATTTTCATGGGAGGCGGCATCACAGGATGCATCATCATGGGTTGCCCGGCGCCATGCGGTGAGACTCCGTGCCCCTGCATCTGCATATTCTGCATGGGTGGCATATACACGTGCTGTTGCGGTTGTTGTTGCGGCGCAGGAGCGTGGTGGAGGTGTGGCAGTTGCTGTTGAAGTGCGATTGGATCGACCTGTTCGATACTCTTGACCAATATTTTATTGGTCCCTAGTGCACCCTGCTGTTTCCCTTCTCCTCGACTGAGTTTCATGGTCACATAGCCAGCCAATATTTCTATTGCGCGCATATCTGCCGTCGGTTTCAATTTCTTTGATGGTGAATTAGTAAGTTCCGTGCTGTATTTTTTCAGCAGCTGCTCGCCGTGTCGGTCCGGCGGGTGATCGAGCGTCCTCTGCCAATTGTGGGTTCTGAACCTTCCAAAGATCTCTACCACATCGTGTTCGAATAGCCTTGCGTACAGCATATTTGGCTGCGGCATCATGATCTTTGTCGCGCTTGCGATTGTGACAGAAACTCTGCGGACACGGTTGTTCTTGCAGAACCGCCCCGAGTAGAATAAAGAATGCGCAAACATTTTCGCCGGTATTCCCAGGAATCCTACCCTTAGCTGTTTGCTCATCCGGTTGCTATATTCGCCGTAGGGCACGTTTGGCATATGCAGCATGGGTTCAATCTCCCTGTCGCTTTTATGACAGCGGGGTATCATCTTATTCCCCGAGGTGATGGCTACCTCTATGCGCGCGTTTTTCGGCAGAGCTATGATTTCTCCCTTGGCATCATCTTTATCTACCCCCTGAAACAGAGTGGTTTGTGATTGAGACGTTTCCCCGGCAGGTTCCGGGTGCGTGGCTTCGATGCTTCGCTGCAAGAAAAGGACGGACAGTTCACCAACGTCTTTCACAGCGGAACTGGAGAACGGCAAGTGTATTTGAGGCCCATTTGCACCTTCCTGTTCAACTACTTCTATGCTCTGTTTGCGTTGCCGTTTCTTTCTCTTTCCGTGCGCGTTGGTCGCAGCGGGGGCGGCTTTCACTTTTGTGGATTCACTTTCGCCATCGATTACGATCGTCCCGTCGTCAGCGCGGCTACGACTTATGACGCTTTTTTCACCCGTGTTATCAATCTGCAGCAAGGCCAAATATAGTGCTTTAAGGCTGCGCCGGCGTTTCCTCTTCCTTGACACGGGGTCAATGTAAGACTTACGTCTCCCGTAGTTGTGTGGACCATGTAATCCTAACCTGCTAATCGCTGCATGTTGTTCGTTAGACCCGTTCTGATTGTCGCAGTCAACCAGAGGCTCAAACTTGAGCCTCCGAGGTGGTGTGTCCAGAAAAGTGGTGATTGCATTTCGCTGCCTGGGTCCAAGCAACCTTCTGCTGGAGTTGACTAGCCCTCTGGGTTGCCTGCTCAGCTGAAGGAAAACATCTCGGCAGTACTCCGTGCCGTATTCGTGCCGGTGCAACCCACTAGCGCTTGATCTATACGTTAGGCAAATAGCGAGCATGGGCCACGACGGGGCGTCCGATAACATCCACGAGTCGAGAAGCTCGAAGTCTATCGCCGTCAGTTGCGTTTTGACCATGGTCCCGCTAAAGGTGGGTTTAGGCTTGACCTGTAAGTCGAAGTCACGGACTGACATTGCAAGGCAGCTGGGTTCATTCGTTTGCCGGGCGAATTTCCTGGTGACCTCCGGCAACTGAGCCGGCTTAACCTCACTCTTTGTACGTAACAACGCACGTGGACGGTCGCAATGCTTCAGGCAGAAGCTTTGGACCAGGAGGGCGTTGAAGTCGTTGTCTCGCGCCGGATCCATGAGCGGCATCGTAAACATATCCATCTCGTCGTCTGGAGGCCTAAAGAGGGGCCTATAAAAGTCCGCTCCCATGGACTGCATGCTTAGTATTGTCGCCTCAAGCACCTCGTTTTTCTGTGTACGGGTCTTTACGATTGCGGAGTTTCCCTCTTTCAGCTTCACCACCGGAACCGTAATGGCTATGATGTCCCTTTCTCCCACATCATAGTCCCTCGTAACGTCTCCGGTGTCCGTATGCAGGTGGTCGTTATACTTATTGGCGATGCTGGCGCAGTACTCTGCGAGCTCATCCGAGACGATTGCATGATGCTGCGCGTTTGCAATTATGCCAGCCCAGAATCGTTTCATATGCAGCGTGCACTCGCTTGCGATCCAATTCTTGTTGAGTTTCTTGCGGTCCAATGCCGAATCCTTGATGCCAATGCATATCTGTTTCCCTGCGTGCACTTTCCATCTGCGTTCATGATAGTAGTCGCAGGCCATCCAGTTCATTTCCTGGAGGATAAGCTCCCTGTAGCTCCTGCTGCGTTGCGCAGGTTCGGGAAGTGTGACGACAAGGCCTCCATTCAGCATCTCCATGGCCTTCTCGGCCAGATCGGCGGTCGTCTTCGTCTCATCTTCCGCCGCTGGCGCCGGCTCTGGGTCCGTGGACTGCGGTTCGTCTGCCATTTGGAGGCCTGGAGGAGGCAGTGTCGCCTCGATGGCTCCCGTAGGCGGCGTCCGAACTTACGCAACCGTTCTTCTCAAGTCGTGCATAGACGGAGTGTGTGTGTGCAGGTTTTAATTTCGATAGCACGTTGGCCACATCCCTGTTGAGGGTACCGCTGCGATTTATATTGTCGTTACGATTAGGGGACGACGCGTCTTTCCCCTCGAAAAGGTTGCGGGTTCGGGTGTTGCCTTATGAGCGTTCGACTATTTTAAACGCATTGCTTACCATTAATACAAAGGGCTACGCTGACGTTTTATTCGCTGACCAAACCTCGTGCTGTTTCAGCCTCCGGGAGGTAGTTGTGCTGGAGCGTTATGGTTGTCCACAGTCTTCGGCGTGTCTCTTGACATTTGCGGCGTCACATACAACTTAGTGACTAACCTAAGTGTGTGTCAAAGCATATAACTACATTTCGGGTGTAGCGTGCGAAATTACGACTTCGTTGCCCAGACGCATGTCCCCGTACTATGCTATTTAGACAATCGTATCAAATCGACGCCAAAAGTGCTCGTATATCTGACTGAAGAGTTGCTTATGTATCTGAACGACGAAACATTATGGTAGCGAACGCAGCCATCACTGCCAAACGTTTTTTGCGTTGCGTACCTGGTGCACCTGCTTGCTTAAAACCCACAGCATTTTAGTGGTACCCGGTAAAAAATATACGTCATTACCGATTAATGCGAAGTCTTGTATATGCTCTGACGGGGTAATGTGTTGCTTGCGCCGTGTATTGCGTAAGTGCAACAGCCAAATGGCATTGCTGGCACGGCAGATGTCACGCTTCGTGATGCATGATACCGCTGCCGTGATGGATGAGATACGCCTTTAACAAACAGAGATAGGTATATAATTCCGGTTAACGTCCTTGTTATCTATGGACTCCGCTGCGTATAGGCTGTCCACAGCTTTGATGTGGGAGCTTTTTGTGCGCCCTTGATGAATTACCTCAAATCTGATCGATCACGAATATATTGTGAGCTATAGCCATATCTACTGCAATCAGAAATGTGGCCTTCTATTACATCGAATGATACGCAGATTGGTATATAAGCCTTTGATGTAAGCTAGCAGGATGAGACTGTTAGTCCCGTTGCTACGTCAAAGGCAAGATAGTTTGCTAGATCCCTCGTATATAACGACCAAGCAATGATATAGATTATTCGACAAACACGTGGCACTGCACAATTGCTTGGTATTTTAGCCTGTCAGTGCTGGGCCCGGGGTGACATGCAACTATTGGGCATTATCCCCATCTCACGTAAAAAATAAGATAGTTGAAATAGATTTGTATTAACTAATGCGTCTAATTGACGAGTTCGCTGGCGCTGCTGGGCTTGGAGTGCTGTCCAGGCTTCGTGTTCAGGCAGCTCTGTATGATTCTGCGAATGTGCTTCTCCACCTCTGGAGCCGCCTGGATGCGATTCCAGAAGTCGTACTTCGGGTCCTTGACCAGCTGGAAGAGCAGGTGCAGGACGCCCCAGGGGTGCGGTCGGCTTATGAGCAATCGCTCAAGGATGGCGAGGGTGATCTGCTCCTGCATCGGTTGGTCGCCGTTTTTGAATAGCCGGAGCATGAATGCGATAAAAGCGAACGTGGTGACATTCGGGTAACGCAGGTGGTTGGTCATGCAGCTGAGCAGCATGTGTCTCGCCTGCGGAATGCAGTTCATCATCACCTTTTCGAGCAGGAGAAGGCTGTTCTGGGATCGATGGCTCGTGGTGGGTATCTTCTTTAGAATCATTGGCAGCGTGCTGATGAGATACAGCACGTAGTGATTCGCCAGTAGCACGTCGAACGTGTTGGGGTCCGTTACCTTGAGCTCCTTCATCACCACCGGCAACAATGCTTCGCTTGGATCATGCACGAACATGTCGGTGGCCACCTTTAGGCCCCCCGCTTTCACAACAGTGATGATGTGGTTCGTGAAGTTGAGCGACGGTATGTCCATGTGGTCATCCATACTGATTGGGTTGGGGAGTTTTAGGCTCCTGGGCACGGCGGACGTTAGCAGGTTTCGCAGTTGCATCGCTCGTGGAGGCACCACGTCACACAAGCTCAGATAATAACCACATAGGAATTCAGGCACCTTCTGCATGAGTGTGACCAGAATGAAGCTGATACACGGTGTCTTGGAGTGTGGAGATGTGAGCGCCTCGACAAGCAGGTGGTGATATAGGGGCCACTCGTTCGGGTTCTGTATGATCTGCTGCGCGAACTGCTTGCGAGTGATGATGTTGATCCAGTGTGAACCGAATTCGGGTATTTCCGAAGGCCCGCAGAGAGTGAGGAAGTGTCCGATAGATATGAGCGGCACCAGATCGTTCTCCAGCTCATTGATTAGCCCGATCAACATCCTTTCGAAACATATGAAGCCCACCCCGTGTTGCATCATCCCGAGCATCAGGTGCAACGCCTTGTGCAGCATAAAACTCTCATTGCGTGAGAGTCCAGCAACCATAGTGGACCATCCGTCACAGTACGTCCAGACGGGCGAGTCGTGACAGATTTGCGGCAGCCTGTCACCCTTCATTTCTGTTCCTTGGGGTTCGAATGTCATCTGTAAAGCGCACAGCAGCGTACAGGTCAGGAACGCATCGGGAGGGTGCTCGTTGAAATTCTGATAGAATGGCGTCGGATCACTCTCCATGATCATCAGGTATTCCTTGAATATCTGAAGATACCTTTCCTTCCCTGGTATTTCGCACAGTTTTATCACCATCTTGTTCCTGATAATTGACTTATCAAGCACCAGCTGCCGTAGGGAACGCAAACGCGACTCCGGATTACCAGATCTAAGGCCGCTCGACATACCAGCCGCCGTCTGAAGACCAGGCTGCAAAGTTAGTCCGGACCCAGATGCAACAGACATCATGCCTGGAGCCATCATTCTGTCCTTTCCTGTTGCGTAGTGTGCGATAATGCCCCTATTATCCACCTCTGTACCGAACGCCGTGAGTGCAGAATGCGACATCAATCTTCGATGTAATTCACCGTGGTCCAGCGTAACGGGACCTGCCGATAAGTGGATTGTCACCATCCCAGACGGATCAAGAGACGCCAACTTGTTCATGCTCATCGGCAGATCGCCGGCTCCTAGCCACTGACCGTCCAATACGAGCTTATGCAGTGTTCTGCACAGGGTCTCCGTATCCATGCCAGTGCTAATGAACCTATCAACAGTTGGAATCTTGAGTATCCGGTGCCTGACAAACTGACACAACCTGGCAGGGCCGAGTGTTGGAATGAGGTTGGTGACAATTTCAATCAGCAGTGGGCATCCGACACTGAGCATCTCCAGCAGCGAGTACTCGACTTCCTGCATAATTGATACAACATCAAGGCCCTTCGTATTTTCCTTGGAAGTCTTCAACACCTTTTTGATGAGTGCCTCCACACATTCAGCCTGGTTTGCCGCGTGCTGAAACATGTAGTCCATCGACCAGAGTAACGTGAACAACGTGTGATTCCGGGGGAGACACGACAGCAGCAGCAAGGTTGAAGAGTCCGTCGTATACATGTACTTGCTATTCAGCAGCGGTATGGTAGGCGGGTGCATCAAGATATGCTTGGCAGCTTCCTTAACGCGGTGTTCGAATTCATCGACTTTACAAGATATCAGTGACGTCGGCAGGTTGTCTATGGGCGGGATAATCATGAAATCCGGCAACCTATATCCAGGAACCGCTCCCCTAGGCGTAACCCCGTACAGAGAACCTGCAGCATCCGTGGTTGGTGGGCTGCAAGAGCCAATATTGAAATTTGGAAGTTGTCCGCCCATCATGCCGCCATAGGGCCCCTGTTGCGGCGACCCATGTTGCTTTTCTTTTTGCAAACGCGTCATGGTGAAGGGCACCAACCCCCCAAATCGCTTGTAAGCCTCCAAGCCGTTGTTAGCCTGGAGACCGATCATTGGGTCTGGAGGCAAACTCATGCTCTCCTTCCCTATGGCAGTGACCCACTCACCGATAGAAGCCGCTATATATCCTGTTATCAGCTCAAGCGTGGCCTGCTCAACCAGTGCGCATACGAGGCCCAGGTTATCCTTGGCAAGGCACCCACTCACCTGTTCGAGATTATTTGTAAGCGCGTTATCCCCATTTGAGGGTTCCATGGAGAGGACCGAAAGTATCTGCATGTGCAGTCTGAGGCTCATTAGGTTGCACAGCTGCTCCCTGCCGTTTGCCATGATCAAGCTTGTCGTTAGCCCACTAGCCATTGCCGTGGCACTCATTTTCAAAACTTCTGGGTTAATCTCCATGAGTTCACGCTTCCTCGTCGCAAAGTCCGTAATGAATATGCTCCTCGTAGTGGCTATGCATGTCATCATGGTTCTTTTAATGAGCTCAGAAGATTCCATGTAGCAGGATTCGATGGCACTCAATATCATATCAACCCACGGCCACTTCGTGTTCAAAGACGACACCTTGGGGTTGAGCACGATTTTCCGTTGGAGGAGCGTTCTGACCTCTTGTGTGACAGGTGGTACCTGGAAATCTAACTGCGATTTGAGCATGCCTAACCCCCCTGCATTCGGCGAAACGGTCGACCATATGCTGCTTCCCAGCTTCGGACTGCGATCCATATCGGATATGGGCACCTCCTTAATGACACTGTGTACGGACCTGGGTCCGGGCACAAAATCGAGGTTCTTGAATAGCAGCGACAAGTCGAACTGAAGCGTCGACTTCAGCCCGCTCGACATGTTAATGTCTGCCAGCAGATTGAGCAGTGAGCTTGTCCACGGGTTTGGAAGTTTAAATATCTTCGACGACTTGACGTTCAACATAAGCTTGCATACCGCCGGCAAGATCACGCCCAACAGACCATTCTGGTAGGCATAGATGATGAGGTACTTGAGGTCCAGATGTTTGGTCAGCAGCGGTTTGTTGCGTCCCAACGTAATCGCTCCCAACCACCCGCAGCTGACGCTCAACAATTTGTGATATACGGCGTTTCCTCGGCACGACCGAAGGTATTTGAGAAATATGTTGAGGCAGTGCGCCGTGAACTTCACCATGGCGTCCACCATGCGCGTGCCGCCCAATGTCGCCATGAAAACGATGCAATCGCGGAAGTGGGTGTACCCTCGCATGAGCACATACCTGTATATGACGAATAGTAACCAGTCAACGTATCCTTTGGTGACGAGTTGCTCCACGTGCGTAATGAAGTTTTTGTTGCTCAGAGATATTTCCATAATAGACATGATTTCTAGCGCATTTGTGGGCGCCTGGAAGTCGATGTTGAGCATAGCCAACAGGTCATCCAGCGTTACGTTGTTGGTGTTCAACGATATTTGCTCTTGGTACCACGTAGCGTCAATAGCAACCTGTTTGTACTGCACATTCGCCGCGAGGTTGACGATTGAGAACACCATACTCGCGCTGCTCGGAGCAACGCTGCTGCTATCGGCGTCGAGTTCCAATTCGTGTCCAGACGCCGAGCTTTGCTTGAGTATCATCAACCCCGTATTTCCGCGACCCTTTGTATCCACGGCGTTCTTTAAGCAACGCGTTTCTTCGAAAACCATAGAACCAATTTGGTCCGGGTTTATCTCAAAAACCTCCGCATCTACGTCGTTGAGCGCATTCCTCACTTGTGAGACGAATTGTGGATACAGTTTGCAGAACCTTTCTTCGTTAACGAGAAGTCTTGTAAACGCTGGGTAGCAGAGGACGTTTCCCATTGCGCCGAAGGCCTCGATAGCAAACTCCAGTAAAAACACCTTGTTGCGTCTGAACGCTTCCATTATAATGCGAAACAGAATGTACACTGAGTCACATTGCGTGGGACCAAGGCGCATTTTCAAGAGCTGGCCGGTGAATTTCGCAAGCATGGTGAGCCGGGGCGCTACTCCCAAGCCCTCTTCATCGAACGCCGTTACCGCATGAAGGCAAAAATCCGGAGGGACAGACAGATTGAGGACCGCGACAAGCCTGTTGATATATTTGCGCAGCAGCACATCGAGTATTGTTTGCGATCGGAGCGACTCGGCGTCGGCATTGAGTAAAGACACTGCATTAAGGATGTTTTGATGTAGCTTGCACGACAAAATTATGTCAACAACCTGCGAAGTTGTAGTCTCCATATCCTCGCTGAGCATTAGGTAGCCGTATATGTCCCCTTCTACACCTTTCGTGTCTCCCTCCGTTTCCCTGCTGTCGGCCGCTTGCGTGACCGGGGTGTGATTTGGCACCCCATTTACCGTATCATCGGTCTCGCAGAGCTCGGCATTAGCCCGAACTTCCAGCGCTTTATATAGCGGCATCAACAGCACATTGTAATGGTTCAGCGCCTTGTACTCGGTATCGTATGTCTGGAACAGGTCGAGGAGTTCGTCGCACGTTCCTATGGTGTGGTTCAGTATGCAGAACAGCTCAGCGACAACGTTGCAACTCGGTACGAATATTTTTTGTGCAACATCTCCTTCAGGCGTGAATTCTCGCATCTGCTGTATCTTCCAGCGCAAGTAATCAATAAACCCTCCCGCCAGCACGTCCTTTGCCACATCTTTTCGACCGTCATATTCGTTTTCAGGTCCTAATTCTGAGCTCATTATAGCATCCACACTATAAATGAGCATTGTCATGAATCCCCAATCGAAATTCTGCCGGCAAAAACAGACGATTTCCAGAATACCCTTGCTGAAGTTGACTTGCGTACTTTTGAACACATCAAGGAGTATCGCATGGAAGAGGTTCATCATGAACGACAGCACGTGCACGTTATACCTGACGTACCGCATTACTTCCATAATGGCCAATATGATGTACTCGCCCCGTAGAGATTTAGCCATTTCGCCCATGAATTCGAAGAGTTTGCCAAACTTCTTGCCGTGGATGGATTCTCCTCCCAGTTGCCGTATTTCCATTATGAGTTCATCGCTGGAAACGAACTGCTGTAGACAGAGTTCATAGCAATACCAGAAAAGGGGATTGAGCGTGGCAAGTCTGACCTGTATGACATCCTCTCGGTTGGAGAGCAGGTCGTGGTCCCTTATCCACAATGTGGTGAGCGCATACATTATAGCCTTTGCGAGAACGTGGCCATTTGCAGCCTGACTTGCGTCCCTCAAAATTTGTTGAATGAGCACCTTAAACTGTGCAACATGCAGCCTGTTGTATAGCAGCGCAAGTAACCGACAGAGCACGTCGGTGTCAATGGCCCAGGCGACGGAGTCCACCAGCGCCTTGCTATAACCCGGAACGACTTTTTCGAACTGTTCGCGGTGATTACCATGCGTCGTGTGCACGTGGTGTTGCGATGCGATGTTCTCGACGAAGTGCAGCAGAAGATCCACCTGGAACTTCGTGTTTAGAAAGCTCCTGGTTATGAGATGCACGTAATCCGCCTGCTCATCCATATCTGTATTGAACGCCACGTATTCGCATGCGCGTCTGAGGCTGCTTACAAATCTGGAGAGCTGCTTGGGAGGGGGTTGCGGCGCATAGAACCGGAGATCAGAGCAAAGGACATCCCACTGCGCCTTATTGAGCAACTTCTTCATACTCCTGGTCTCCAGTTTCAGATTCGTGATGTTATTGAAGATGTCATTTTTGTCTTTCCTTCCCGAGGGAGGCGTCTCCTCATCGCGCGTTAGTATCTCTATGGCTACAGAGGCAGCGTTGTTGATGCGCAATTCGATGTCCCTCACGTTAGTGCTGACCAGGAGGTTCTTCGTCCTCATAAGTACCATTATGAAAAGCCGCGCACATCCCACCCTTGGCAGCAGCTTTAGGTCCGCCTCGAGGTCGAATACGTAGTGAAACAGCCTTTGTTCTCCATAAGTGCGCAAAGACTCCCGGGCACTGTATACTGCGATGTAAATGAGGGCTGCCAGCTCATTGATCTCGGTGCCCGTAGGGGCGACAGCCGATAGAACGGTGTCTGCGATATCCGCCGAGGAGGCCGAAGCCTCCGCAGTAACATTTGTAACTTGCGATATCTCATTGTATACCCCATCTATGCATTGAACAAACTCCTTGCAAGTGACCTTTTCCGGCGCATCCTCTAGAATTTGGCGCACCGCCGCCTGCCTCGAAGATGGGCAGATGGCAATCAGCCTTTCCTTCGTCTGGGCGGACACGCATGTGCTGGCATCCTGACGTGCTTGGCCAGTATGCGAAGCTTGGACTTTTTGTCCTCCATGCGTCATCGGTAGCTTAGTAGTTGCCCGCATAGGTGGACGGTGCTTCGTCGCTTGGGTATTCACCCATTTACGGACGCCCAAGGCATGTATGTTTGCCTCTTTAACTAATCAAATCCTACTGTTGAGCTTCAGCTCACTCGACCGCGTCGTAAGCCGCAATTTCGATGCGGGAGTCCCTCCAGACAAGAGCCGTCGGTTCAGCGGCGTCTGTCATATTTGGCTTGCATCCGGCGTCGAAGGCAACGTTCTCCGACAACCAAATGCAATTTTAATCGTAGAATGTTACTTTTTATACGCGATCCGACGCCGTGCCTGTCCACACCAGTCTTTGCCCGATGCCCGTAACACTCAGACGCGTTCAGGTCTTATTTTTCTTTTTGCAGGCCTACTGGTTTACGAATACAGTCGTGATACTATACGTGTGTAATTCGGGTGTGTCTCTGCCTCGTCGCTGTGCGCCCCGCCGTGATGCGTCTGTCTTCGTCGTCACACTGACGTTGCACGAGCGTCACGAGTGTTGCGTCGATCCGGCATTAGGCATCGACAAATTTCTCATGCGCAATTTAGCATTACTATGACAACCTTTTATGGCACTGTGGCGGATAGACAGTGCCACTGTGAAGCGCTTGAGCGTTAAGCTCGTGAGAGCAACTGTGTAGAGTTCGCACGGTATAGATGGCTTTCGCTGTGTACACATACGCGCCTTACAGCGGATTATAGACCCCTAGTATTTTCAACAAGTGCTTCGTTGGTTTCGAACCGTGATGTTGTTCAATATAATTGGCCGTCTGACGCCGTCGCGTGGGATTTGCAGTTCGGGGCACCGTATCTCACCATTATGGCAATTACGGCCATTTCATTGATTTAAAATACCTATTGGCAATTCATTTACACCATTAGTGCTTTTATCTGGGGTCTGGTTATCCAAGAATCTCATGCGAGGGCTGGCAGCGCGATCTCCTACGTTGCCTCCGGCACAACCTGACCTACCGCTTGCGAGACCGTCAATTGAGCGGTTGTAAATAAATCTATTTTTGGCACCGTGTCTACTGCCGACAGGCCGGTATTTACGACTTGGAAGGGCGCCGGCAATCGGTATAGCGCGGGGAAGATGTCGAAGAAGGGCGAATTCGTCATAAAGCCTCAGAAGGCAGCACCGCCCATAGACACTTCTGAGTGGCCTCTGCTACTAAAGGTTAGCGTCGTTGCGTGGTACCGCAGCACCGTGTTGCTTTGGTCTTATTGCTGATTTTGCAATTGCGCTGAATTTCAACACAGCGGATGAAAAGTAAATATGTGCCCTTTACCTTGCATGACACATATCCTTGGTGCTGTTTGAATGCGAAATATATGTGATGAGGTGTTTATGCCAGCAGTGGATAGCCCCTGATGTTGTCGCAGAATTACGACAAACTCAACGTGCGAACTGGACACTACACGCCGCTCCCGCATGGTTCGTCACCACTTTGCCGCGATTTGTCAAATTACGTGAAATACGGTTTCATTAACTTGGATAAGCCTGCCAATCCGTCGTCCCACGAGACGGTCGCATGGATCAAGCGCATTTTGCGCTGTGAGAAGACTGGCCACAGTGGCACCCTCGACCCCAAGGTTACGGGAGTGCTGTTGGTCTGCATTGACCGCGCCACTCGGCTGGTAAAATCCCAGCAGGGCCATGGTAGGTTGTATGTCCCATGACGTTGCATATGTCTCAGGTAAGGAGTACGTGGCGATCATCAAGTTCCACTCCCAGCCTGAGAGCCGAAGCAAGGTCGAAAAGGCGCTGCAGACTCTGAGCGGTACTCTATTTCAGAGGCCGCCTCTTATTTCAGCCGTAAAAAGGCAGCTGCGTGTGCGCACCATCCACGACACCAAAATGCTTGACTACGATGAAGGTAAGGGCATGGCCACATTCTGGGTCAAGTGTGAGGCTGGAACGTACGTGAGGACATTGTGTATCCATTTGGGGTTGCTATTGGGCTGTGGTGCGCACATGCAGGAGCTGCGCAGGGTCCGTTCGGGCAACATTTCGGAATACGACAACATGGTAACCATGCACGACATACTGGACGCACAGTACCTCCTGGACAACACCAATGACGAGTCGTATATTAGACGCGTGATATCGCCTCTCGAGCGTCTGCTCACCGACCACAAGCGCATCGTGGTGAAGGACAGTTGTGTGAACGCTATTTGCTATGGCGCGAAGCTCATGATCCCGGGCGTCTTGCGCTTCGAGAATGGCATTGAGCTAAACGAACAGATTGTGCTTATCACCACGAAGGGTGAGGCAATCGCAATCGGGATTGCGCAGATGCCCACCGCAGTTATCGCATCGGTTGACCACGGCGTCGTTTCCGTCATCAAGCGCGTTATCATGGACCGCGACACATACAGCCTGCGTTGGGGTTTCGGCCCACGTGCAACGGAGAAGAAGCGGTTGCAAACGGCGGGGATGCTTGACGATCGGGGAAAGCCGAATGAGAAGACGCCCGTCACATGGTTGAAGAGTGAGGGCTTCATTCCGCCCATGATCGGCGAGGATGCAAAGAAGCGTGCACAGGAGGGCGAACAGTCCGAAATAGACGCCAAGCGGCCGAAGAATTGACGGCCGGCCAATGTCTGATCGGCCAGGTTGAACTATCGTTAAGTTTGCGCTATTGCTTACGGTATTTCTATGCAGTTTGGCATTAGCTGTGTGCAGAGCCAATTTTTAAAGCAGTTTTTTGTGTATCAGATTTATGTGTTGTCTGCGTCCGGAGCATTCGTAGTTTTGGTCCGTGCAGATGGCTTTCTACCGGCCTGCTTGCCATCCGCTGCAGCTTTTCTTACCCGAGGTTTCCTTTCGGTAGCCTCCCTCGTCTTGGGTTCCCTAGGTTTCCTTACAGTTGTCTCTTTCCTTCTTGGTTCGCGGGGTTTCCTCTCCGTCGCCTCCTTTTTCTTAGGTTCTCTCGGCTTTCGTTCCGTTTTTTCCTTCACCCCCCGGGGCGCTTTTGGTGATGTGGCTGCTCTCTTGACGTTTGTGGGCGGCTTGGCGGATGACGAGTTCCCTTCTCTAGCCGCCCTTTTGCCGATACTTGTTTCGATGGGGAACCGCAGGGCGCCCATGTGGTGGAGGTACGTGCGATATTGGGGGTTTACGCGGAGGTAAAACGAGGTGTAACTCTGCTGTGCGATGCGCGCCACCCTTTCTATCAAGATCTGATGCACGACCATGCGCTTTAGCAGCACCATTGCCGCGTCGTTAGTGAACCCCATTCTTCTGAGATATCCCGAGAGTGGGTGGTCGCCCGCGTTGCGCTGTGTGAGTAGCTTGTGCAGGTTGACGAGCGTGTAGGCGTCATTCGCCCGTTCGTACTGCTTCCCTTGGGTTGTAAGCGCGTTACATATGAAAGTGACCTCCTTTTGACAATTTCTTGGTATAAACCTTACTTCCTGGTTTGACGAGCACGAGTCGCATGGCACGTCGCAGGCTTCCTTCAGTGTTTCCCCCAAATATTCCAGGAGCACCTTTCGCCGACACAGGTATCCGCTCTCGCAATAGGCTAGCACGCTGAGGATGTTTTTCCTGTTCACTTGTTCCTTATCGCTCTTAATGTTCGCATCCGTCCCCATCCCCAGCATGAGCAGCCTCTGCGCATCGTGGAACTGGTAGAAGATGAGGCAGCACGCAACCTGACCGTCCCTGCCAGCACGCCCTGACTCCTGGAAATAGTTCTCTATAGACTTGGGTATGGAGAAGTGGATGACGAACCGCACGTCCGCCTTGTCTATTCCCATACCGAACGCCAGCGTGGCCACCATTACGTCGACTGAGCCCGATATCCACTGCTTGTAGTACGCCGTCCTCATGTGCATTTGCATCTGTGCATGGTATGGAGCGGCCTTCACGTGCTTTGAAACCGCCTGAGTCACCCTTTCCACCTCGTTGCAGCTGAGACAGTAGATGATACCGCAGCTTCCAGCGAACCGCTCCTTTATTACTTCCACAAGTTTTTCTATAGCCTTGCTGCTGTTTCGGTCCTTCGGCATGACTTCGTAGCGGAGGTTGGGCCTGTTAAAGCTGGACTTGAATATTGTGGGTGCCTTGAGTCGTAGCTCCGCGCAAACATCATTGATCACCTGCGGAGTGGCAGTGGCGGTGAAGGCGCATACAGGCACACGTGGGAATTCGTGTTTCAGCAGACCCATCTCCTTGTAGTCAGGCCTGAAGTCATTACCCCACTGGCTAACGCAGTGCGCCTCGTCGAGCACGAAGCGTGAAAGCCTGCCTTGTTGTTCCAGATCCCTGAAGGCTTTCAGCAGCACCTTCGAGCTCGTGATGCGCTCTGGTGTGACGAAGAGTAAATACGAAGTGTCGAGCTCCGATCTCATGTCCCCAAGCACGCTGTCTCTGTCCAAACGGCTGACCTCACCAACCAGCGCATGGCACGGAATTCCGAGCGCCTGCAACCTCTTCATTTGGTCCTGTATAAGCGAAACTAGCGGCATTACAACCACAGTGACTCCATTTTTCCCCACGGTGCCATCATAGACCACGGGTAGCTGGAAACAGAGGGACTTTCCACCTCCGGTGGGTATAACCACAAAGGTGTCGCGGCCACTGAGTATGCAGTTTATGACCTCTAGTTGCTTGGGGCGGAAGGAAGCATTTCCGAAGACCTCCTTATTAATGCGATGTACGACATCCGTCCATTCGAAGCGTCCCGACCATGTGCCGCATTGGTCGCCGCTTACAGCCACAGGCATGGAGAGGGATTCCTCACTCCTCGGCAGGATATACTTGTAGCGCTCCTTAACGACATTGTCGTCCGCAGCGTACCCGAAGTAGTTCTCATCCTTGTCCTCGTCTCTGGCTCCGCTACTATCCGAGTGACCGATGCCATGTCCGTGTCCGTCGCCATGCGCATCGCTTGTCACGCCACTGATATGACCAATTCGGTAGCGGTGGACGGATTGTCTGTGCCGGAAAGGGATAGTTGCATGTTGATCGTCCACATAAGTGGCCGGATCGAATGACACCAGCTCGTCTAGCTTGAGGCAGTAAACGGCTCCGGCGCAGGTGTCACAGAGACCACCGTGTTCCTTGGCATCTTCAGATACGGATAACGGAAGCAATGCAGAAGACAAGGTGCTGAAGAACTCGCCGTAGTTATTCTCTACCAGTGCGCAGGAGAAGCGACTCTGCAGTTCAGCAGCCATTGTCGCTCCTACCACCCACACATTGCTTTAAGCTTTTCTTCAGCACCGCGGCTACCCGTAACCATGTATGCTTCCATTAAGGGACGCCCTGCGATTATGTTTCCGGCAGTTATTCGGGCCCGAGGCGTCTGTGCAGCTGATGGTTGATCGGCCAATTGCAACTGCCAATAGAAGCGCGTCTTATCGACTTTTTGGCATTGGCAGATGACCAACCAAAGCTTCCACACTGCCCTTTGGTAGAATAAACTGATGTGTGAGGATTCGGCTGTTAATCAGCGCGCTACTATTACACAACATCACGCTGAGCGCTCGTGTCGCCAGATGTCTACTACGCAACTGTTGAGCAACATACAGCCCAAGATACTTAGATACATAATTACCATGGCAATGGAGCCGGTAACACTTTATGTGTGTAACGTGGCATCGTTTCTGGCCTGCTCTCAACGGCGATTGGCCGCTCATTGCCAGTTGTTAAAACGTGAATTTCACGAGCCTGTCTATCACATCGGTGTCACGTTTCCTCCAACACCTGTTCCATAGCAACCGCCAGAATGGCGTCTAATTCAGGCCGAATGCCGAAGAGGATGGCCGCCTCCGTTGTGACCAGCCACCTCTGCGGGGTGTGGTCAACCTTCATGCGGCATATGTACTTTTTGAATTTCTCTCTCAGCTCGGCAGTTGAGCAGAATGGCTTCTTATTTTTGAACTCGCTTATAAGCAGCTCCTTTTTGGTGTGTTTCCCGTGACACAGTTTCAGGAACTCCTGCACGTCCTCCTTGGTCATTATGATTTGGTGTCCACGCATGTTGTTAACGAATTCTGATATCGGGTTTTGGGTGTACCCCTCGTAACCAAACCCGAAATCGCACGGTACGATATTCATCCCATTCTTCTTGGCCTCCTCGACACTGCAACATTCGTCGTTGTTTTGAGGAACGCCATCAACGATCCAGTGCCAGTTTCTGTTCACGCAGTAGACCTTTACCACCTCGCAAAGGTTGAGCGTGTGCTTCTGCAACTCCTGCTGAGGGTTATCTTGGACTATCCAGTCGTTCTCGTCTTCATCCTCATCTTCCTCTTCGCTGCCGCTTTCTTCGACGTCGTCGACATCATACTGCTCGAACCATTCCTCGTCGCTGTCGGCGTAGTAGTCCATGGCAGGTTCTATAGCCAACGGCTCAGTGGGTTTGACGAGTTGCGAGCTTCTGGAAATGAGCAGCCTCATGGAAGGGCGTTTCCACTCGTTGTCGGACATGTAGAACAGCCTGGCAGACCTCTCTTGCTTAAGGGTCTGGTCGCCGTAGATGGTGTCCCGAACATTATTTACCAGATCGTCGACGACAAACCCTTTCGCGCTGTTTTCTCGTGCCGCAGCGGTCTCTGCGGGGCCTTCTTCAGTCGAAGCGGTGTTGGTTGATGATTCCACATAGAACTTGCGATTGGAATTAATGTATGTAAAGTACCTCATCCACGCTTCCCTGTGGCCTTCGCACATCTTCTTAAACTCGTCAAAATTCGGGGCATCATCATCGCCAGCTGTGGAGACAGGTTCTGGGGTGACGCAACTCATGTCATGTGTTAATCCGTCGGAGTTGCCATGTCGTCGATGTCGGGGAAGCGCATCCATGAGCTTGGCAATTTCCACCATTTGCGCATCGGTAGCACCCATATCGTCATAATCATCTGCATTTGCCTCTGCAGGTTGTACGGATGGGCCCGTGCCACTGCTACTCGCCGGGGCCTTGGTTGCTGGGGGGCTGCTACGGGCTGCAGATGCTGCATTACCTGCGTTATCATCAGCGCCAGTGGAAGTAGCCGGCGTTGTGGACGATGATTTCAGCCAACTGAGAAGCATATTAGGTTGTTTGGACGATGCCGCCTGAGGCTTCGAGGGACACCTGGCCGTGGTTTTCTCTTGCTTTGTGTTGGCCGATGCCTTCGTATCTTTCGCCTGGGATGCCTTGGCGTGCTGGGCTGAGGTTTCACGCTTCTTGCTCCCCTTAGCCTTATTCTTGACTTCCAACCTCTCTCGCTTTTCTCTTTCGAGTAGCATTTTCTTGTATATGGCACCGAGCTCCTCATTCGCGGCATACCGCGCCACCCTATCACCACTCTTGATAGCATCTCTCACCTTTATAAGGGTGATATAACGCCTAGAAATCAAGTTGCGCGCCTCTCGCGCCGCATTGACGCGCTCCTGAATGGTGTCGGGGAACACGTCGATGGACGGGGACTCCCAGATCCACATACACTCTGCCCGCATTGACTCCATCCTGTCTACGGCATTATCGCCAGCGAAAACTTCCCCTAAATTCTTCCTGGTGACAATGCGTGGTATAAGCGTGTCGAGCTCCATGTTACCAATATCATGGTTGGCAAATTTGCAGTGGGATGCGATGTGCTCGCGCAAATGGGAAATGAGGGCACTGATGGGTAAGACCGATCCTTCCGCGAAAGCACGGATGACATCTCTTAGCTGCGGATCGATTCCGAGTTCGTTATCTATCGTTGAACCCAGTTCACCGTGCTGCTGTCGTATGTGCTGCCAGATGGCTGCACATTCATCGTGGCAACCGAATACACTGGTGTCCTGCAACTTCTTATATCACTACACAACCATGCGCTCACCTGTATGCCAGTTGCTAGTAGTTGCGATATTTCGGATTCCACTTCATCCAGAGCTAGTTTTGCCTCTTCGTCAAGTTCAGCCTTTGCCTCAGACTGCCCATTCTGTTCGGCATCAGGTACCGTAACATCGGCGCTGTATTCAGCGTTAGCGCTAATTTTTGCCCTCTTTGCATTTGGCGACAGAAGCGTTGAAGAACGTTGCTCCGTCATGGCGTCAGCTCCATTTGGATCAACAGACAGCCTACAACATCACCGCGATAAAAAGTCGCGGATAGAGCCACGTTTATTGATCTATCCGGTTTCAAGCGGCTTCCGCATTAAGTCCGCGATCGTCTACCGGGCATTCTGCGGCGCAGTGGGAGGGATGTGTGTGTTGGATATTCATTTGTGGATTTTTACGCGGTGAATCTCTTATTTCGTATAAACAGATTCCATGCTGTATTTTAACGCTTTGCATATAGGCAAGGTCGTTCTGTGTCTACAGCCGTGTAAGCAAGCTTGGCAGGAAGTGTTTGCGACGCCTATGCAAAATGTGCAATTCTGCGTCGTCACTATTTACGCACATTTGGTTACTTAATGTGATAGACATGTAATAACGCTGATAGACCACTTCAAAGCTTTGGTTCAGCGTCGTATTTAACTTGTCTTCTGCACGCCTTGGAGCATCTTCCTATCGCTCTGGCCTTGTTTTCGGCCTTCGCCATAAGCTATGTCTGTGTTTTATACCACTTCTGTACCCTTTTAGGTTTGACATTTCCTTCCTTTGAAGAATTTTATAATTGAAGTTAGCCGTCGTGGTCTATTCCGTCGGCCGGATTGATGCGGCAACGGACACATAGTATTCATTATCGCAAAATATTCCAATTTATGTAGTTGCCATGTATTTTCTCCTGTGATTCGTAGCAATGGAAAATCGCAAACCTGCCGACGATGAGGTTGAGCTCACGTCCGAGACTTTCGAAGACCTAGACATAGATTCGCGCGCCAAGAAGGTTCTCAAGGACAAGGGTTACACGTATTTGACCCATGTCCAGAGCCGCGTGTTGCCCTTGGCTCTGGCTGGCAAGAATCTGATCATCCAGTCGCCCACCGGTTCTGGCAAAACGCTGTGTTTTCTGCTACCAGCGGTTAAGCTACTGTTTGACGAAGGCTACAATGGCACTTTCCCAGCGGATGTTAGTATGTTGGGTTGTATTTGCCTGGCTTCAACCCGAGAACTGGCTACTCAAAGCGCCATACAGATGAACGACCTCGCCAGGCCGCTAGGCCTTAAGTCAGGGTGTTGCATCGGCGGAATACGCGACAAATACGACAAAAGCAATGCAAGACGCCTGCAGATTCTCACGGGCACGCCTGGACGTGTGCTGTCCCTGTTGTCTAACGATTCGCTCAACTGTACTTCAAACGTCAAGTTGCTTGTGCTCGATGAGGCAGACCGCCTGTTGGATAGCGGATTTCGAAACGACATTCTGGACATCGTGAGCTACATCCCGCCTTCCACTCAGATTCTCCTGTTTTCTGCAACAATCAAGTCGTCACTGCAAGATCTATGCGACTATTTGCTGCGCGGCAAGGAATATGAGTATGTGTGTTTGGGGTCAGACGCAGCTTTGTTATCGGCATCAAAGCTGCGGCAAGAGTACATAGTGGTGCCAATGAGTCTCAAGCTACCCGCACTGTTTCATCTGCTGAGCAAGCATCAACAGAAGCGCTTCATTGTGTTTCTGGCTACGTGTAAGCAGGTGCGGTTTGTCTACGAAACCTTCAAGCGTTTGATTCCAGCAGTCCCGATGACAGAATGGCACGGAAAGCAGAGCCAGCTGAAACGAAATGAGCAGTTCACCCGTTTTGCCGCGAAGCAGAACTACGGCTGCATCTTCACCACCGACGTGGGCGCTCGTGGGGTTGACTTCCCGGCAGTCGACTATGTCATTCAGCTTGACATACCGGATTCGGTTGCCACGTATACTCATCGCGTTGGCCGCACTGGTCGCCTTACTGTAGAAGGCACACGCAGTTTTGGCTGTGCCTTTACGATCTTTTGCGAGAATGAGACCCCGCTGGTGGATGAGTTGAAGGCATCTGGTGTAAAGATGCACAATTTCACCAAGCTGCTGTGGCCATTTTTGTTACGAAAGGAGAACTACGTGCTGCAAAAATTGCAGTCTATGCTAGCGAAGGAAGCTTGGCTCAAGGAGGTCGCGCAGCGTGCGGTAACTGCGTACATGCGCTATTTGACTACGCGCAAATCCGTCACTCTTTCCGGCCAAGCGTTAGTCGATGCGGTTAAACAGATGGCGCTTGCTTCTGGTCTACCGATGGCCCCTCATATCGAAGTTGAAGAGGACTCCCCCACCGAAAAGGTGAGCAAGCTGTCGAAGTTGAAGGATAAAATCCGTGCGAAAAAACGCGATAATGCAGCAAAAGGACAAGCTTCCGAAAGCAATGGTCACGTTTTCGTGGAGGCATCATCTTCAAGCGGGTCTCATGCTGATATGGACCGGTCACATAAAAAAGGCAAGCAGCGCATGGTTACACAATCGGCGTCGGACTCTAATTTTGACTCCAGCGAAACAAGTAATCATGAATCTTCTGATGATGGTTCGTCCGATGATTCAGACGGCTATGATAATGAGTTATCGGAAGAAGCCTCATCTGCAGTCACATTGGAAGCAAAGGAACGCAGCGACAGCGAGCTGTTTAAAAGGGGCAGTGATGAACGAGTGGAGGAGGACCTACGGCTATACGAGGAACGCAAAGCTGCTGAGGACCGAGAAGATGTGCGTTTGAAATCCGCTCTCACTTCAACACGTAAAAAATTACGTTTGAACCGTCACGGTGTGGCGAAGATTCGGGGCGTGGAGACGCTACGTCAGTCGGATCAAAAGCATACCATGTTTGACCCAGACTCCGATGAAGAGGAGGTGTCGCGACACGAAGAGGCACCGCCCGAGCTGGATGACATGCTACGGGAGAAGGAGACCTACATACAGAGCCTCTCAGAACGACTGAAGGCTGCCAAAAAGGACGACCACGAGTGGGAATCCAGGCGCCGAGCGGAACGCCGCGCAAAGCGCCTCAAGTAGAGCGCGCCTCTAACAGCATAAAGAGAACAAGAAATTAAATTCAAATAAAGCGGTCAAATATTAAACGTGTATTGTACATGATCGCAACGGTTCCCACGAACCGTTAATTCGCGAACACTGTTGGAGCTACATGTTATAAGACGATTTACTCTTCATCAAAGCCGTTGTAATGCATAGACATATCCTCGAAGTCAGGTTCCGGAGGCACAATTCCGGGTCTGAGCTTCCACTCGCTGTCGGCCGTGAATCCTTGTTGTTTGTACAATGCATCCAAGGCAGAGCTGCACATCTTAGTGAGTCCCTCCACGTCAAGGTATTTCTTCCACGGGTTCTTATGCATGCGAATGAGATGCATAATGTGCGCTTGTTGTAGGTTCCTGCTTCGCGAGCACTTCGTGGTTTTAGCACAAAGCCTGCAGACGACGCTCATTTCGCTCGGACGCCTGTCCGATACCATGACGTACGTCCACGAGATGCGTGCCCAGTTGGCCTTTTGTGCACATTTAGCGCTGTTGGCAGGTTGCCTTTTCTTACGCGGCGATAAACCCATTGGTGGCACTGCGACCACCGCAGCATCCATATAGTTCTCCTCAGTGACCGAACTACCGGCGTGTTGGCTTGCCAGCTCACAATAATTTCGAACGGCTTCGCGTTGTTCCTTTAGGAGTTGGAATCTCTCCACGGGTGTTGAGTTCCTAATTTTCATGGCAATGGCCATCCACATGGCCTCCCATTCGCCGAAGCGTTTCACATTGAAATTCTTGCTGAGGCGCTTTCCATTCTCCCACCACCTGCACCTCCAGCTGCAATGCCCACGGTTAAGATCGCGCCACACACAGTGTATCGGGTGGTTCTTGTCTAACGAGTATTTCCCGCTGGATTCCTTGTCCGGGAGGTATTGTACATTGGCCGCAATTTCATTAGCGATTTCGACGACGATGGCATCGTTGGCCATCGCGTCGGTGTAGCGGCACGGCGAAAACGCATCCTCGAAGTTCACAACGTTCTTGTAGTATGTTGCATTTGGCGCAACAGGCGCGTTGAATCTCGAACTCACAGGTGGCAACGGCACGTTCTCGTATTCAGGAGAATACGCCAACTCGAAACCGTCGTCGACCAACTCCGGATTCGCGCATGATCTGAGGTGCGGAGTAGTGGCCGCCGTGCTGCACTCTGCGAAGGTGCGAGCGTCGTCGTCGATTTCGGCCTTTGGCACTCCAACCACATGATCCACCGTTGAACAAGGCATGCCATAGAAAACCGGGTCACCAGTAGGGAAATAGGTTAGATCCATTGGGCCATACATATAGGGGTTATTGTAACCCGTCATTGGTGCCATCGGTTGCTCAGAGTAAACATACATAGGCGGCGCGACCGGCTTGGAAATGTCTTCCGGTCCGTTTTGATAGTACGTTGCATTCATGTAGTCCATCCCAGAAGGGACGAACCCCTCATCGTAGTAGCACACACCCGGGTTGGGAGCCATACCACCAGACACGTAAAAGCCCCTCTCCGCCGGCGGGCAATAACCCGTGAATGTTTCCGAAAGAGCAATATCGCAATGGGTACCATCCCGTGCAATGTGACGAAGTTGATCCATCATTTTGCGCCGGGAAAAGTTCGGGTTCTTAACGCACCTATGTGGCGCCAATCAATCGAAGACACACAGGTCTTTTTCGGTGTTTTTTAGAGGGATCTTTGCCCTCTGACGATTCGCGAAAAGAATTGTTTAGAAATATAACGCCACTTTGGATGCGCTATATTTCTACTCTAAAAAAGAATTGTAGTCTCACTTCCCCAAGCCTGGCATGGGGCCATTAACGATATAACCCAATATTGGACAATGTCACGTATACCTAACTCGCGTTGATTAGTTACGCCTTGCATGATGGTGTATCATAGGCAAATCCAAGTATAGTTAAAGATCAAGGTGTGTTGGGTATTCCGTCTCCTCATCGCAACGCACATCTGACGTGTACGCCAAATGTGCATCGCCACCGAAATCGGCGGGCCTCATCTTTAGCTGCGAAAGTAAGGCGATATTTTCGAATTAGACGTTGCCTTGTGTCTATTGTATAAGCCCGAGTCACATCGTGTCGTGTCTTCGGCACGCGAGTGGTAGTTTCCCAATTTTTTTTACGTGGTAAAAATGACTAAGCATTTTCAACACGATTACAATGCAACGCCTATTTTTAAATGTTGCATGATGTGTAGAATGAGGTTAATTTATTTTACCTGTTGACCGTTGTCATGGGAATGTCTCTGGCCCCGTGGCGTATACAACTGGCGATTCGACCACCAAACCGTATTATATTGCCGCGCGGCCTTTCTGATGGCGCATTGTGCGTCACAATGTGCTGAAGAAATGTCTTCTATTCATAATTAAAATTTTTATCTAGACATCTGAGGAAGCGTTCGAAACACGCGTCGTTTTTCCCGTGACGAGGTCGGATGCTTCTACTATGCGTTGTTTCGATTGCTTGTATAATTTCAAAATTATTGCCTCCCGTACTTGGGTCAGCTTTGTCTACGGTTATCACCGAAATGTGCTGGCACACAGCAGCCGTATGTTCTGTAATGCGTCTCTGGCGTAGGAGTCGCACTTAATGACAGTGGACGTGCATAAAACCACGAATTTAATCAGGACCAGTTGCAAATAATTCCGCACAGATCGTGACGCCTTCTTTCGGTTATTGCTGCCTGTATAATGGCAATGGTTTGATATGAGATCACGCTTCGGCAAAAGACCAAATTGCGTAAGGTTTTCAAGAAAGTTTGCTTGCCGACTTTGTAAATGTAGACCAATTGGCCCCTAGCAATGTGTTTATAGTTTCCACGGGATTTCACGTAATTACACCCGAGATTGTTCAATAACCTCGCGGGTCACAAAACGTGTGAAGTGACACGACACACGGCTCTCCGATGACCGTTTCATTGAGCCAAATTTGTGTTTTATCGCCCCGCGCATTCAGGCATCGTGCACTTGTGCGCGCCATGAACACGACGGCGTCGCTTGGATGACGCTTTTGCTGACACAGCAACGAAACGTCGGTGTGTTAGAATTTCCAAATTATTAACGTAACGCCGCTATCTTATATGCGTGCGCTTGTGGGCCCTTTTTGACGTATATTTCGTAGTCTGCGCAAGTGTTACCCATCACGGTAGGTAATTAAATGCTGACTGTTACTTCTTGCCGGTCTTTACACTATATGAACTTGGTGAATCGAAATTTTATATTCTGTTTTTTCACTTGTGTGTTTGTGCCATTACTTTTCCACGCAAACGTGTCCTTCTACTCTGGGTCGGTAGGGTGTTGCTCTAATTTCTTCTTATTGTCTGTGTTACTCTCCTGAAACTTGTCGTGTGTTGACCAAACTGTGACGTGAGACATGTGGTTTGTGTGATATACAGCCTGTTACAATGTTCAAAATATGCAGTTGTCAAAATGCCGCTGTGTTGCTCGAAGAAGGCCGCCCAGCGCCAGAAGGAGTATGAAGAGGAAGTTCGTATGAGGAAACTTGAGGAAGCAGCTCGAATTGAGAAGGAACAACGTGAACGCGACGATGCACGCAAGGCTGAGATTGAGCGCATTATGCAGGAGGAGAAGCAGGCGAAACTTATGCAACAACAAGCCGACGAGGAAAAGGCAGAGCAGGAAAGTTTGATGCAGCAGCAGGAGGCTTTGGAAGCTCAACAACGGGCTGAGGAGGAGAGAATGAGAGCTGAGGGCATGGGAGAGGAGATGGAGGCCTCCGAGAATTTTGAGGATGCTCAGCCGATGAGCAATATGGGTTCCGGTGGGTCCTCACATGTCTGCATTGCATTTTCCACAGGCGTCTCACGTGTTTCAATGGATGCGTCTGAAGCAGTCCGGTCGGAAGCCCCTGTTAACGTAGACGACTCGTTTGAGATGCAGACCTACACGCCATTTGACATGACCACCGTGGATCAAACTGCACGCTACGTCGCAAACAAGTGTGGTTGCGCCTTGAAGCCTGAGCACAAGCCTTTCGACTGCGCCATTTGCCAAGGCATTGACCTGTCGGACGCCCCGCTGATTGCCTAATCCGGTTTTCTTTATCGTATGGTCAATTTCTGCTTTTGATGAATCTGGGCGGGCATATGCTGCGTTTCATAGCGGGAAGCATGATGCCGCCTCAAGTTGGCCACGGCGTAAGTCCGATTTTGTCGGTCATGGGTTCACGCGTAGCGTCACGGGTTCGTAATATTACCAGCAATTATTGAATGTACTGTGCAAATAATTTCACAATGTCGTATAAAATAAGGGCTTCCAGAGAAGTGTTCGGTGTTCTTCACTTGTCTGGGGCTCAAAAAAATATTGTCGCTTGCATTGTTTACTGGCGACTCACAATTGTAGCGAACAGATTGTATGTAAAATGTTGTTACTCGGCGCTGTTCCATGCAGCGCCTCGAGCTGTCGTTTAAAAAATGTATACTCCTTTCTGGTCAATACGTCCATTTCACCGACAAAGTTCTGCGTCACATGTACAAACAAATGAATATCGACTATACCTCAGATTCCAAGTATTCTAAAATGGCATCATAAAGCTTGTCAGCGTCCTGCTTGGGGCTTCCTTTCGCTGCATTAAGGCTGCTGCATTGCGTGACTTCTGCCTCCGACCTCGAATCGGCACTTCCTGATATAATCCGCGACAAAATTCCCTCCACCTCAGCGCTTTCAGTGGGTTGCGCTGCCTGTTTATACATCGTTTCCTCGCATTCTAGTGCGTGAGCGTTATCCAATGCCTCCTGGAAATCTGTGTCAAGGTCAGACCCACCCAGGAGTGTTGTCAACACCCCACTACATTCAGTTTCTTGTTGCGTCATAATTTTTCGTGTTCGATCCGATAATTCACGTTCGACGCTCTCGCAACGTAATGAACACACACACACAACCTCGGAAAGATTTTTCTGGGGCGAGGAATTTTCCTTATTGCAGTCCGCTGCTCCAACCAGAACGCACTCACACTGGCTGACCCACCTCCTTAGCGCACGCCAGGAGGAGCTCTACAAAGTCGTCCATATCTGGCGGCAGCTTTTCCCCTTCGGCATCGAGTCTGAACAGCATTGTAGTGCAGGGCTTTTGATGGAGACCTACCGTGTTACAAATGCAGAATCATCTCCGCAATCGTCCACAGCTACATTAGCAAAGTCGAACGAAACACCCCCGCTGGGCGATGTAACAACCGAATCGCCGTCCTGATCACCGTTCTCATCGTCGTCAGAGTCGTCACATGCCTTAGCGCTCACATCATAGCGATAGCCTTGCCCAGCTAGGCTATTCATCCTTATCATTTCCTCCACCTCCGACTTGATTAATGAGATGGGAACTCGCTGATGCGCATTGGAGGTGTGCTCTCCCTCAATTAACATATCGAAGGGCTGCAGAGTGTTGAACGCATAGTTGACGCAACGGTAAATCTTTGCCGACAAGTAATACAGCTGAGCTATGGGCCCATCAGGGCAATTGCCAACTGAATACTCGCAGGTTTTGCGCAAAATATTGCGTGGAAAGGACGGACTTTCGACGCTAGAATTCGCCATAGTATCAGCCGGCGCAGTGTTGCCGCTACCAGGTAGCGGCCAGATCCCTCATCTAATTCGCCGATGGTGTTGAATGGTTATATTTTGAGTAGTAGGTGCTGCATGGAGTCGTACGCCAGGCCTCGCACGAGATGGGGAACCTACATACCGAATCTCACTGTGTAGCGCGAGCGCGAGGCAATTATGGGTTTGCTAGCTTTTTGAGCGCCGTTAACAGGGTGAATTCGCAGCAGGATTTCTGTGGCTCTCAAATATTGATATTAGAGAGACGTTTTCGCTGTCCACACATCTCGCCAAGTAGCGCGCAGCTTGTATCAGTTCACCGGGATTCCGAGATGGTCGGCAAGGTCGACATTTATTCAGCTAACAGTAGATTTATGTGCCCGCGGTAGCCGTTGTTAAGGTAGAGTGACGATGGATTTCTATATCAGCAGCCTGGCGGCGCGGATTCCGTGCACGCGTCTACATCGGCAGGTCCAGGATCCGAGAGGCCGCCCAGTCGCGGCCTTCGCCATTAGCAGCGATGGAAGACTCGCTGCTATGGCGACGTATCCACGTGATTACCGCTCGGTGGAACGCTCTGTGAACGTGCTTTTCAAGGATGGGAAGGCCTTGAGGACGTCCAATTATCACAAGGCAGTTCAACGCCAGCGTAGGCTAGCGGAGCAGCACAATGAACTGGAGTACAACGTGGAGCAGTACATTCGTCACTCGCTCGAGGTCGACAGCATCGGAAATCTGGTGGAGGAGGTAGCAATGAGCACACCAAGTCTGAGAGCCATAATCAAGGACAACAACGCGGAGCCAGGGCCCGAGCCCCGCCCAGTGGTTCCTTGCGCAGTGGTTATCTACGACACAATGTACTTCAACCCGGTGGAAGAGTTCATATATGGTTACAAGTTAAACGACGCTGTCTACATGAATAGTCCCGATGCGACCACCCCTGCTATGGGAGTGGTGGAGCCCAGCCCTCATTTATCCCCCAATATCGCTAATGCGTTTACAGGTAGGTGCTTTTTCCGTCCAAGCAAGATGAGCTTTGTTTGTAATGATTCGGTACTGGTGCTGTCGTCGCCGGAGGACGGTGCGAAGCTGTTCTCTATGGACACGGAGTATGTTGAGCTGCTCTGCCACTTCCGCCCCCAGCTACGTGATGATGTGAATATGGAGAGTTTGAAAGTACTGAGTGTTAACGTGGTGATGGACGACTTGGAAACTCAGTCTTCGGAACTTCCCCCTGTATTTACCAGCCCTTATGTGTTTTGCCATGCTTGTCAGCATTCCGTCTTAAAAGATGTGGAGGAATGTAAGGATGATGCGTTGCCATATACGATTGTTATTGAATGCATACTATCTCTATCATCGCATCCTCCTCTCCGCATGGTGCTTCATTCTCGGTGGCCCAGAGGCGACGTCACCGTATCCTATGTAAGCCAGATGTACCCGTATGTGGATCAGCTCTCGGCTCCGGTGGATCACGTCGTTTCAGTATTTAGGGCTCGCCTCACCGACACAGAGGAATTTGACGTTCTAAATCGGGTTCACACCTACTGGGCCATGGAACCCTATATGCACGACAAAACAGAGTTTCTCATACAGTCGGATAAACCTATAGTATCTGGATACACAAAGACGCTTCTCGCTTCAAGGGTTAACAACCGTGACTATTTGGAAGAGTATCAGTTTATCGCCATGTACACCCCCGATTCCCAGCTTTATGTTATGGATCCAGATTGTAATGTGCTCGGGCAGACTGAAGTCCACAACGCCGAGGAAGGGTTTTTCACAATTGATGTGGACCGCACGGGGAGCATGTTAGCTCTGATTGGAGCGGAGTCGATTTTTGTCTACCGTTTGCATGTTTCTCGTGACGAGGACGGTGTGCTAGCGGTGGCATTTCAGCTACAAATGAAATTCCCGCACGTTGTAGGAGTCGGACGGCGCGAGGAGATACTGTCGGCATGCTTGGGACGTGACTTGGGCAACCGTTGGATGTATGTATCTGTGGCCCGTGGTTCAGTCGACGCTGTGATGTACATTGTTGATGTGACTCCGAGCAAGGGGAAGGACCCCATCAAGAGGACCTTGAACATGAACTCTGTCATATTCCCGTGTATAACTGATATGGTAGCGTTGGAGAACAGCATTCTGGTAATGCCTCGCCACCAGCGCTTTTTGGTTCAGCTGACGCAAGAGCACCAGGATAGCACGGACGATACGTATTCTCGCCAGTTCTGCCATTTCCCACTCTTGGCAACAAACAAGGAGGCGTTAATGCTCAATTCTACCGTGGAAAATTGTCCGCAGCCTGTACGGGAGAAGTTCGATATCTTATTGATGGAGCGGGACCGCCAGATATCCACAACTATGAAAACGAGCGACCGTTTGAACATTGGTCGCTGGCTGGATGCGTTATACCAGTACAATGCGCTATGCATGTACAAAGGGCGTGGGGTAATAGACGGTATGGATCCGCACGACTACTTGCTCCCTCCGTTGAGGAGAGCTCGGCAACAGTTCCCCTTCGGTTACGACGCTAAGCAATTCTACGATCCGCTGCTAGGAATTGAGTTTACCGGTAGCCCGGCTCTAATGCGTGCCCAATGCTACGAGTGGGCACGCGATGTCATCACCCGCAGCGGATTCATTAATCCGCTCTACCGTATGGAGGTGATCTACGATGAAAAGTTGCAGATGCTGGACTATGTCTGCGCGAAGATATGCATATCCCAGTGGGACAACCCCGCTGATATACTGTTTTCTATGCGGAGCAACGATTTCCTGCGTCTTCAGCTGTGCAACTTTTTGAAGATTTCACAGCGCCTCGAGCTGCCATGTGACGCGCAGGGCATGATCCCGTGCGAGAAGACAATGATTTTCAAAAAAGTGAGCGATGTTATGCCGCAGATGATCATGGATGGTGTGCAAATCCCAGTTAGACAGAGCCGCGCATCGTTAGAGCGGGAAGCGTTCGAACTTATACGCCAACAGTTGGCGCCTGAGCTGATGAGCATCCAGTCAGGCAAGTTGAAGAAGATCATACGAGATCGGCTCTATCGATTGCGCAAGAAACTCTCGATTTTGGAACGCTACAAGCAAGAGCACGACCTCATCGATGCGCGACCTGACCTCCAGCTTGATGAGATTGCACGCAACGACTGCCGCTTACCGGTATTCCGCGAACCAGTTGATCAGCGTGAAGTCTTATTGTCCGAATTCGCGATGCGAGTACGTATCAAAGTGTTGACTACCTTTTATAAGGCCCATAAGGATGGCGGCCCCGACTTGGATGAGTTCGACTCGTCCTGATATGCACCTTCTAATTTTATATGTATTTTGGAGCACAAAATAAATATGAGCGATAACGAGGTAGACACAGCCATGTCCGAGGTATGGCAGCCCGTTCTCTGTTGACTGTGTACAGGCGGCGCGCTTCGCTCGAGCGCGAAACCGACTCTCGATCTCCGCGGAGGTTTTCGGCCAATTCAATGATCCTGACCGCTTCGAAGCGCCAGTAAGCTAGCTTCCTAACCTTGTTAAGGCGCTCCAGATCCATGGCAAGACCGGCGAGCAGGCCGAGCGCATCAAGGACTCGCTGCTGAAGTGTTTCCTGTTTTCCTCCGTGGATCACAAGGGTATAAACATTTTGGTTGGCGCTTTTGAGGCGCATGATGTGACGTAGGTGGTCATGCCGTGTGTTTATAAGCTCTCAGTGCCGGGACGACTATCATCCAGCAAGGCGACGCCGGCGACAAACTGTACCTGGTCGAATCGGGTACCGCAGAGTTCCTCAAGAAATCAGTACGTGACGCGTCGTAGCTGCTCATGGTTACCAGGAGCTTGATGACAAGGTAATGTCTCTGGGCAAAATCAGCGAAGGAGGATGTTTCGGAGAGTTGGCGCTAATGTAGGTTAACGCTTTGCTCTAAAAGTTTGATACGTTCTTTGTGCAATGTATAGGTGGGAAACGCTGTTCGCTATCCCTCTATTTTGTGTTGAGTGTATTTTAATCACGCCTATCTGCTACATGCATTGGGGCGGAAAGTGCCATTTGCAACATTTCAATCGTCACGCTTGGGGTGTTGTTCAATGATATTTCAGGTACAATGCCCCTAGGGCGTGCTCCGTCGTGGCCGAAACCGACATGAAGCTCTGGAGCCTTGATCGCTCTACCTTCAACCACATCGTGCGTGCAGCTGTGATCAAGAAGCGCGAAAAGTACGACAAGTTGCTGCAAAGTGTAGCGCTGCTGAACAAACTTGACCCGTACGACCGCTGCCGTTTGGCCGATGCCCTGAAGGAAAGGACGTTTGTTGACGAGGACATCATCGTGGAGGGGACCACGGGCACGAGCCTATTCATGATAATGGAGGGCAAGGCCCACGCGTACTGCCAAGGCAAGCTTGTGAAGTCGTACGCCGAAGGTATAGTTCATGACTGAGGTAATGCATGCTTCACCAGGCGGCTACTTTGGCGAGATAGCGTTGATAGCTCAGACCCCCCGCGCCAGCACCGTCAAGGCTGAGGGCAAGTGCGTTGTCGTGGAACTCGAACGTGAGAGCTGCGTCAACTTGCTTGGACCAATGGAGGAGTGCATGCGCAACAACCTCGAGGAATACAACCGCGTGCTAGAGTCGCTGAACATCGAGAACAAGAATCTCGCCTCGCTTAAGATCTAAGATGTAACAACAAAAACTGATTATATTAGTACTACATTCTTTGTTTAAATGGGTTCAGAGGGTGGCCTTTGGCGGCCTTTAGAAATTAGGTGCACCCACTCGTCACAGCGAAGGCGTGCAGTACAGGAGTAGTGAAGCCAAATAAGCGAGCCAATGTTCGTCGAGAATCGTTTTCTGAGCGATTTCGTCAGAGAAACTGTAGCTTGGCGAGCGTGTTGGCCTTTTCCTCCATATTTTGCTTGTTTTGTTCCTTTTCGAACTCCGCAAAGTTTTCGACGACGTTAGCGTCGGGATCTGTCCCCGACGCCTTGTCGGAAGACTCCGTGTCAGCAGGTTTTACCGTCGCCTGAGATAGAAGGCTGTGTTGACGGTATTTATCACTGCAGTTGTAATAGATATCCTTGAAAAGGTCTGTCATGTTGAGGGCCATGGAGGCGTTTGTGACTATCTTCTCCATGCCCTCAGCGGTTCCCGCGACTCGGATATCATCGGCGTCTAGACCTATGGCAGCACAGAGCTTCAAGAATCGCTCATCGAAAATGCAGCTCGGCTCCGATACCTGTGGACTCTCCACGTCTGCTTGCTCCTGTTGCTCCGAACTGGATTTTGCAGGCACCTCTAAATTCAAATCCATATCCAGTGGTAGTATGAACTCCTCAACACAGTACGCCTTCCACAGCAAGATGGCGAAAAACGGCAACTCAAGCAGCACAAGGACTGTGTTGAGCTGTTCAGCCACCGGACGCTCAAGGGATGTACACCACGATATGATGCACCCCTGGTAAAACGTGAAGACCACCATCATCTTAAGCGATACGCATTTCGTGAGGCAATTGGCCTTTGCGAGGCCCGGGTGGTTTTTCGTGGCGAGGTAAAAAAGCCCGAGTGCGTAGAGTGCAACGGCTACGCTGACGTTGATCACGATCCAGTTGAATGCAGCAACCAGCGCTAACTTATCAATACCCGTGAGTCTAAATACCACCGAGAGAATTGCCAGTATGGGACGCACAAAGGCATATTGCATGGTCCCCATGCGGCACCTTTTGACGAATCCGACGTTGAGCGGTATGTCTTCGCTGAGTGAGAACGCCTTTATTTCCTTGAGCGGCCATAGGTGCTTGAGCACAGCCGGATCTCGCGAAATTATCTCCCCGCACTGGCTTTCGCCGCCACAGTACTCCATGAGGAGACAGAGGAATGAGTGGATTAGCAGCCCCTCCCATATGTTGCGCAGCATCTCCAGCACATTACCCAGACCGGGCAATAGGTATAGCAGGAACGTGAGCGCGCCATAGATGGGCATGAACACGAGGATGCGCACGACATAGGATTGCAGTCGGTGGTTGTTGTAGTGGAGCAGATGTTGTAACAGCACGTGTGTAGATATTACGAGACTCACCAGCAGCGTGTTCCAGACCAGCGCCAGACACACATATGAGTTTAGAAACTCATCAAGCGTCATGGCTGCGATGCTGCTGCGACCGGTCGCTGCTACGAGCCCCGCGATCTGCCCAAAACCTCGGTGTTAACGTCACATATCCTCAGCGTTTCCTCTGCTCCGGATAATAGGTAACCGATTTGATAACACGATTCAACGTAACTCACATATTTTGCAACACATGAGTTACTCAATCGCTGGCGTCTTGTCTATAAGTGTCGATCTGCGTTCCCCATAGGTCGCCTATCCTTCTACGAGTCACATTTGTGATCGCCGTCGCCGTGATTTAATGCGCCATAGATTCACAACGTCATTTTTTACAATGCAATACGTGCTTTAACGCAATACCGTCAACCGGTAGCGACACTCTCACCGTACGTTCTTTTGCAAAACCGTGAGTCTTAGTATACCGCCGCTTGTTCGAAAAGTTCGCAAAGGTCGTATAATTGTTACCTTGCGGTAATAATATAGTGCAATGGTGTCAGATCTTTACACATCGGCTGGGAATACCATAGACGCAGTAGCTCTCAAGGATTCTGCTATTCGGGTTGGGTTACCGTGAATTTGTGACGATGTTGTTTATAAGACTGACGGGTACACATATTAGCGTACATGTGATATGGCGACCTTACGGTTCATAATCACGCGAAAATATCGCACCGTTACCCGGCTGGTGTAACACCTGAAAGGTACTGCGACGGTCCCCGTCGTCCAGACGCCTGATACGAAGGGAAGCCTTTACACATTTGTTAGTGAAGCGAACTGAACCAGCAGGGTTCCGAATTATGTTGTATATCAGTCGTTTACGCGCCCTCTGGTCGAGGCTGCCAAGTCTGCAGGTACCGGCATCCGAATCGGTGCTCTTGCATTTTTACTCCGATTACAGCGGTTCTACTGGATCGAGATGTAGATTGCAGAAGCTTTTCAGCGGCGACCCAGCCGTAGAGAAGCTCATTGTCGATAATAACATCAACTGCTACACGCAGGATGTCTGTCATGCGCAGCCGGAGCTAATTGACAGGCTGGAGATTACTACTGTCCCAGTAGTAGTCGGTATATATAGAGGTCGAAAGGTTGGGGAGGTTCGTAGCGATAGCGCTACGTCATGTGGATCTGATTTGTGCAAGAAGCTTGTGGAGGCGGCATCGTCTGCCTCCTCGGCGTCGCAGGTTTCAGATGATAAAGAACTCGAAGCGCAGATTAATGCGCTGGTCAAAGGAAAAACACGTGAACAGGCGCTCAGTGCACTAGCGGAGTTTGAAAAGTCTCACATTCAACGCCTTGAAATAGACAGCACTTTGCGGCAGCTGCTTGCACGGACGAGGCTGCAACTGTACCACCCGAATTTCGATGGCTATTCTACAAATGCTGTGCAACTATCAATAGAGGCTTTACGTGACCATTTGAGATCCATAGAGCAGCTTATTTCTGATCTGGATAAAGCTAGTGTAGAGGAACTCATCGCATCATTCCCTTCGGATGGGCATGTTTATGCTCAGGCCGATTGGGGCAAGAAAACTAGCATGGCAGTTGGAAATCGCCATATTGAAAGCAATGTAGCATCCACAATTTTTCATAAGGATGGGCATTACACCAATAACTATCGCAGTGCCAGCGGCAGTCTGGCTGATAAACGCCTGGAAGATTTTGTTACCGAGTACTGTTACTCCGATATCGCAAACAGAGGCATGTTCCAAGGTGCTATATTAGCGCGATTAATTAAGGTGGAAGTGCTAAAGAGAATTAGTATCGTTATGTTTCTCCACGGAGACGTGGACGTTGCCATGGAAGAGGCCGTGCGAGCGTACGAAGAACTCGTGAAGCTACTGAAAAGCGATTCCATTCCGGTGCAATTGTTCCAAAGTCATGAAATCGGGTCTGTAATTGAGTGTATGCTTTCGGCGTTGCCGTGGAGACACCCTGCAGTGCTCGGCGCTAGGGCTGCCCTCGAGACCATGGACGGGCCCCGCTTGCTAAATCGCATGCGGCAGAGCAACAGACCTTTGGGAGGGCCTGTTTCCAAGCGTCGAGGTTTCGGTGGGCGGTATGTATGGCAGGGCCCGGACTACCGACCCAAGAAGTACCGACCACGCGACCCTGAGCAGTACCTCAATGAGTGGCGTTATGAGGCGGACAGCAACCTACCGACATTCTGAAGCCCATTATAGTAACACCTTGGCGCGTCCTGAGAGTAGTTGCACGTTACACGGAGACGCAAGGTTGCACTCCACTTGGCTGCACTGGTTGTCACACGTTGTCAATGCTATGGGAGTCTCCACATTGAAATTAATGTCGTTGAAGACGCCGCTGATGCGCGAAATCTTGGCAACCAGTTTTTGCACATTTTGCTCGAGCTCGCTAATTTTCTTGTTTTTTGTGCTGATCATCTGGTTTAGCATGTTCTCCTTCACCTTTATGCCGACCAGCAGACGCTTGCTGCGCGTCACCTCAGTGAGGAAAGCTGCCTGGCGCTCCATCTCACGCTTTCGGAGCTCACTCTCCACGTTGTTGAGCAACTTCTCCCTCTGATTGCTTTCCCACACGACGGTGTTCAGCTTCTCGCACATGTCTTTAAGCTGTTTTAGCAAATCGCTCTTGCGCTGAGTCAGCTCATTCACGGTGTTGCGCTGTCGAGTCAAATCATTTATGAGCTCCAGGATGCGCGCATCTTTCTCCACCACCATGGCATTGAGTCGCTCCACCTGCGACTGGAGCACTCCTAATTCCTTCTGCGTTTCCCGCTTCACCTTTTGGATGCCTTTATCATGCTCGTGTAGCGCATCCTTCGCCTCATTGAGGCTGACTTCACAACCGTGGAGCGCCTTTTCAAGAAAGGCGATCCGGAACTCACGCGATAAAGCGCGTTCGGAAGCTTCTAGGGCAGTCTGCCGTACCTTGTCAAGCGCTTCAAACGTATCCTGGTACTTCTGCTCAAGCAGTCTATTTTCCCTGGTGAGCCTTTCAATCTCATCCAATTCGTCGCAGTCGGCAGCTCGGTTGGAGCACGCTGCCCCACTATGGGCAATTGGTGAGGGGGCGGAGTGCGTATGCATATTCATCTGCACCTTCTCGACAATTTTACGGTTCACCATAACTTTATACAGCGTAGAGCTGCTATCCGCGGATTCTGTGCGCTCCATGAAGTAAATATTTATTGCGACTGTGGCTCCGCCAACCTCACCGCGCCACATCTACTGAGTCGCCCACAAGTATGCGCAAAATGCTACAGCACGGAGCACACAAACTGTGGACATACAGCACTAAATATAGGAAATGATTAAAAATTTAACGTGATGTCAATAACAACTGCTGCAGTCAATGCTAAAACTGCATGGCGCCCTGATAAGCCATTGCAGAGGCTTAATCTGCAGAAGCACGATCGCACGTCTCATTGCGACAAACAATTGCGGATGCCATCCGATGTGTATTGGCGTAAACAACGAGTGATGGCACTTCGATGTGTAATTGCGCTATCTGCGCTGCAATCTCCATAACACCAACTGCACGTGTTTCCGACACCACATTGTCCAACCAAACAACACACAAAAAGGTGTAACGTTACAACCACCAGAGAATGCGCCGACAATTAGTGCAGGGAATAGCACGAATAGACGCAGTCGGCCATATTACTCTTTTACACCGTAACTGACACGCTCCATCATCTTTGGATATATAAGAAGCAGCCAATCCGATCAAATATGCTCAACGCCTGCTTTAGCCAACGGAATCGGCAGTACAAGCAGCAGCAGCAGCAGCCAATATCCGTTGAACACGATATATGGTGTAGCTGCGCCCTTGGTGCCAACCTGGCAACAATGCTGTGAGCCAGATATACCCCATTCCCGGCAATCGGCAGCGGTATTCTACCTTCACTCGTCCGTTACCTCCTCCTCCTCGTCGCTGTCGCCGTCACCCAGCAGGTCGCCTATCATCTTACCGATGGCTGAGGGTTCGTTGTCCAGAGCTAGGTCTTCAGGATGTATCCTGAACTCGGTGGTCTCTGAAGGTGCGTTGACGGTGTAGGTGACCTTCTTGGTCTGGTCACAGCCGAAATACGAGTCCGACATAGCCGTTACCAACACGGAGTGCCCGCCAGTCCTGTCTGCGAGCACTGAAATCTTTTCGGTGATAACACGTTCACGCGATGAGGAAACGGTGAACCCCAGTAATTTGTCGTCTTGTTCACCGAAGGAAAGCAAGATGACCCACTCCTCGTACTTCACCCACGGGAAGAGAGGCGCATGGACAGGCCCTACAAGCTGACACTCTTCGGGCACGTTGGTACGCGTGATGGTGATCTCAAATGTGATTATGTCACCAACACAAATATCGTTCGCGTCGTTGACGTAGACTTCCACAGTCAGTTCTACCTGGGGGAAGAACTTGCAGAACGCGTCCACGTCGGAAAGCTGGACGTCGGTCATGCTGACCAGACCTTTCTTCGACTCCATCGGGGTCCGAACGTATTCACCGATGGCCTTACCGCCGCTTTTGCTGCGCTGGATGTGGCCAATACGGTCGTCGGTGAGGTGCGGAATCTGGTAGTAAGCATCCCTCCTTCCCGTAAGGCCTTGGATCAGACAACGCCTGAATTCGACAATGGACTTGCTGGTCATCATCCAACGGCGACAAAGGGCAACATCTAACATGCATTGCGTTAACAGCATGCTGTACTTGAGGATCTCCGCCTGAGTGGCCTTCAACTGCGGAGGGAGCTCATCGTTGCGGTTCATGTGCCATACAAGTACTATAAAGTTGCGCAACATATCCTTGGTGATATTTTTGCGTTTTATTTCTCCGATATCTGCCCCAAATCTGCGCAAAAGAATGTCATCTTCAGGCTTCGCGGGAACGGACGTGCATTCCGTGGCACTGGCGTATATGTCCAGAAGCGCCTTCTGCCGGGTGTTTTCTGTGATTGTGTAGTAAATAAGCTGCAGGGTTTCCAGCCTAACGCCAAGAGCGGTATATTGCTTCTGAGTACGGTAATAGTAAAAGAAAATGCCTGGTATCACTACTAGTAGCACGATGAAAAAGAGAGACAGGATGAGCACCTGGTTACCGACATCGACCAAAAACCTGGGGAGACCAATCCCGATTTTCATCATACCCGGTCCATCGGGGTTGCCATATCGCTCGTAGTTCTGACGAAACTTGTCATTAGTAAGTGTCTTGTAGGCCTTGGTGACAAGGATGAAGTGCGCTGCAGCCTCGGGGTCATTGGGGTTCCTGTCGGGGTGATAGCGCAGGGACATATGGCGATACGCCTTCTGAATCTCCTTCTTAGACGCACCAAGCGGAACTCCTAGGAAAGCAAAAGGGTCAAACGTCTTAATGTTCTGGGACGTGTCGATGCCTGTGGCCTATACAATCGACGCTAAGAAGCACTCACCCTTAATCAGGTAGAAGACAAGCCACCAAAAGAAAGCTAGAACGATAATCTTCAGTATGGTAGCCGTGTTCATGTAATCTTCCAGCGTAAACCTTCGATTTCTTTCGGCTGTCCTGCGCTGTCGACAGATGGAGCATCCACAGTGGAAGCACGGTGTAGTTTCTCCTTCCACATGGTTCTCACGAAGTTTCAGCTTCTGAGGCAGGGTATTCCGCTTCGGGCCGGTCCACTGGTAGAAGCAGTAGATGGTAATCGGCACCAGAAAACATGCCAGGAAGCCGCTGGTGAACACGCGCGACGCGAAATCATCGTAGGAGAGCAGCGGGTCCGTGCGGCTACCGCGTGTGAAAGTATCATGAAACTGTGACATCACGCGGCTTTATACGCGATTTCGCGCTGGTTATGTTCGACTTCTGTGCATCCACGGGTATTCAGGTGGCGCCCTGAGCCCAACTAGGAGGATGCGGATCGGCCAACACACCGTCGTTGAATTCAAATCTTCCAACCGGAGATATATTGTGCCACAAGTGACGGCATCAATTAATTTGACAATGGCATTATGGAATGTGTTCTGGCCCGCGCTTAACACAGCGCAAGCTTCCACCGCACACCTGAGATGTGTCAGACGTTATGCGGGGAACAGAACCTTTATTATATTAAATACGCCTCATTGAGCCTTGTCATTCAATTAAGTGATTGATTGGTGGTGTTAATATGTTATACATTATCAGTACAAACTCTATTGCGATAAGCAGCAGACACGGCGGCCACGGGCCACTCAACGGCAAATTGCGCCGCTCATTGAATATGTTGATTCCATACTACAAAATGTACACGTTCCAAAACATTGTGGAACGCGCTAAACCGACTCAACCTGCTGAGAATTTCTACGACGGATTCATCGAATTTCGCTTGCCCCGGAGAATTTTAAGTAGACTAATCCCTAGACAGCCACATCTAGTTTGGTTGCGCCTTTCTCTGGTATCCGCAACGGTTTCGCCGCCCTTTTCGGCGTCACCCTGGTTCTGTTCAATAGAATGCTGCTGCATTTCAGGGACAGCACCCTCTTTTGAGGCTGCGGAATTTGCCGCTTTATCAGACCCTGCCGTCATATTTTGACGCGCAGCAGCGTCGTCGGGAAGCCCGGCTTCGTTGGCATTAATCGCATCTTGCTTAGTTTTATTCATGCAGCTCACGCTACAATTTCCCTCGTGCGTTTTGGGACACAGACGAGCCTGGTTCTTGAGTACAGCGACAATGGGTACTTTTGGTTGTAACGGGCGCGTGGTGATGTTGGCGGTAGCGTCATGGCTCATACGAGGTGTAGACAATGGCGTTGGCTGTTTTATTTGGCTCTGGTCGATCTTGTATGGTTTAAATCTTTCGTCCACGTAAGCTGGTCTCTCAAGCTCCTCCCATATGCAACCGTGAGGTTCGTATACGACGTCGGCCATAAGCGTGAACAACGTGTCGTCGTTGGACGTCAGTGTAAGGAACCGATTGTTATGGTATACTCCGTGGTATTCGAATTCTTTGTTGCAGAATTCGTCCCTAAGCAACTGCAACCCCTTCTCTGTGAGCTTTGATGGGTACTTCTTGAGGAATGTCTCCGCAGCATTGGCGTCAGCTTCCTCGAAACGCACTCCTTCCATGCGCTGCCCTCTTTCATAGAGCATGACGTGATACCGTAGATCTTCAAAGCTGAAAGATTCGATGTTTTTGTACCGCGGCCCGGCGACGCAGCCATGGAACACTTTAACACCAAGCATGTCAAGCAACTTCGTAACATCCTCGTCGAACGTAACATTGTGAGTCTTCAGTGTATATTCGCCCTTTCTGATTCGGCGCATCTTCCCCAGAGTGTCGAGAATCTGTTGGCATCTCATGAGCGAAACAACAACGACCTACCCATTCTGATTGAGCACGTTTCACCACCGAAACAAGTAACTTGGATAGTTCGTCGAATGATAACGCATACGTGCCGCTGTTAATTTGAATTCTACGCCGGAAGAGCAGAATGTTTGCGACACACACCAATAAGGAATCCGCGGCCGTATTATACTGCAGAAAAGGAGTGATCCGCGAGAAATGGCGCATCCATTTCACGCGGTAGGCTTCTGAAACATCGGAAGACATCTCCTTAAAGGATGCTCATACCGCGTACCAATAATCAAAACAGATGTGTGCGACAACCACAGCGTTCGCCCATTAATCTAGTCACACGTTCAATAGTCATTAAAAAAACAAAACAATTAATTACGGGAGTTTTAAAATGCAACCTAATGTTTCTTAGAAGGCGCAAATAGGGTTCAAAAGCGAATTTTGCGCATGATGGGCAACATCAGCCCCCCAAAATGAACCATTGCTCCAACAGTCACACCACTGAGGCGTACATAGCACGTCCATGAAAGGCAAACCGTACATCACTAGCTGCCTGAGTTCAGGGACCCCTAAAACAGAGAGCCCTGGAGAGACGGGTCAGCAATTCCTGAGCTGAGGTGTCGAGAGAGTTGAACCATTCACGCGCCTGATCCGTAAAATCTCTCGAGGAACTGATAGACGGGCTGAAATGCATACGCATCCACCTTTCGGTGTAGGTCCAATAGGCCTTGAAAGGACCATCCGCGAGCTGAGAGTTGTCCATATCCGGAACATCGTCAAGCTTGGCTTCGCACCTCGAAACAAAGGACGCATTCGGTACCACAGGCATCGATTTGGGCTCAGAAATACTGTCACTGGTGATACACCTCAAGATTTCCCTCCAGGCTTCAGGTCCCCTAGTTATCACGGAACTAGTGCGAGTGAGAAGTGCCACAATACGGTCACCAGATGTGTCGCCGAGATACGTCAGCATCGCACTGAGGTTGAGCAACTTGAATAGGCTGCCCAGCGCGCCCACTCGTTCCGAATCGCTCCATTTGTCAAGAGCTTGATTAATCGTGTCAACAACCCAGATTCCGGTTGGAATGGTCGGAGCATCAAGCGATCCGCGGTCCTCCACGACGCGAAACTCATTGTTTTCCACCTCCCTGACGCTTGATGAGTCGCCGAGACCCAAACAGCCGGTCACAATGGGCTGGCATGATTGACATTCAGTAGTGGCCGCCAAACAGCTCTGAGCAAGCGATGGCACGATTTCACGCACACATTTAAGGGCAACTTCTTGGTTCGTCATCAACTCGTACAAACGATCATTACAGTAGTCCTGCATCTTCGAAAAGTCCTGCGAAAAGCTGCGACGATCCTCGATCGAGGCGACGCCAAAGGGATCAAGGTAGGATTCGCCGCCATTGTACGCTTCTATAGCTTGCACACCGCTGTCATCTTTTTCGCTTACGTCCTCTTCGCCCTCTGCATCGCCGTCAACCTCTGGAGCACCGTCCTCTTCGCCATGGGCAGTGGTCACCTCTGCCGAAACGCTGGGCTCCTCGGAAGGAAGGGAAGGATTGGCAGTTGATAATTCATTGCTACCAACCGGCGTTTCCTCGGTAAATTCGTCGTTAACAAGCTCGGTCTCGGACTCGTCGACGAGGATCTCGCCCGCAGGGTGCGAGGCAGCCGAGACTGCCTCCTTCATGCGTCTCCTTGATTTACACATTTGCAGCTTCATATCGTAAAAGTTGCAGACGCAAATCTTTGGGTGTGTCACGCGACACTCGCAAAACGCCCTGTGCACCAGCACCCCAAGAGCGCAGCAGTTATACGTCGGCGAGGAAGGTGGAGCAATGGTTGGCGAGTGGTTTACGGTTGCTAATTTTACTGCAGTTCAAACGCCCGGAGCTGGGCAACATCTGCTTGATCGGCGCGAAGGACCGCAAACTGCTGCGGGCACGCCTGATCAAAGCACTGTCACTGGACGATACACAGGCCGACGCGTTGCTCCCAGCCAAGGTACCTATAACGTACTCTAAAGTTTCGGGCACGCGGCATCTCGTTTACATCGCAGGCGCCGACCCTTGGCTGGTGCAGCTCCAGGATGGCCGCTTGTTCCCTACGGTAACCTTCTTCCGCACATTTTCACATGCCACATAGATTTACGCGTTGTGGAGCGCCACAGACGTGCTACCAACGCTTCGCATACATCGCACGGTGCTCACATACGTAATGCGTGGAGCGCATCTCATGGTTCCTGGAGTGCTCAATTGGCCGTGCGACATAAAGCCGGGCTCCATGGCTGCTGTTGTCATCGAAGGGAACCCGTTAGTTTCCTCCTTGTACGCCCTCCGCATATATCATGCAGGTTCCCTGTGGCCGTGGGAGTATACGAGGGCTCCTTTGACGAGCGAGGAAACGTCCGCACCTCTGGCAGGGCAATGGAGATCTTGCATTATTACTCAGACGGCCTCTGGTTGGTCCTATATACGCGTGTGAACTTAACTGTTGCAACAGGAAGATGAGTTCCAAGGCTTTTCCAAGCGGACAGGCACCAACTGACGAAACAGTCGAAGAACAAGGCGAAAACCCTTCACATTCGGGGAATGGAGAATCCGCATGCCCACCCCAAACACCAAGCAACACAAGTGACGGTGATGTCACGAATCTGCAGTCGGATATATCGCCTGAAATCCAGAACGACAGTCAACAAGCTGACGCCACTAACACCACAGCGCCAGAACAGAGCGCCGAATCCAGCTGCCTGCAGAGCGGTTCGTCTATTATTACAAGCATATGTATCCCCTATTGCAGAGAATGCATCTGCTGCGGAGCCCGATGCTTCATCGCAAGGTCAGGACACAAAGCCGGCAGCGTCCATAGCGTTCAACACCAAGCTTGTGGATCATGTGCTGCGGCTGTGTTTCCTGCAAACAGTCCATGGTATAACGGATGCGCAGTTACCCATGGAAATTAGCGCTTTCTACAGCCAAATGACAGCAGACGGTACACGATTGTTGGCAACGTCGAAATTCAAGCAACTCCTAAAGGAATCCGACGTTTGGGACGATAACATATCGCCGGAGCATTCCCTCCAGCTGATCTCCTACCGCAACTCGTCGTTCAAAAAGCTGGTCAAAATGTTCCAGACGTGGGCAAAGGAGGGAATCATTGCTATGAAAGACTCGCGAGGGACCGCTACGGTTGTGAATATAAATCGAAGCCACGAAGCCTTTCTAAAATTCACGCCAATCAACCTGGTGCACACCAAGGAAGCTGGAACTTCGAAGAGCGACAAGGTCAAAGTTAAGCGCTTCCTTGCGTTCTCGGCTTCACAAAGGAAGGCGATGGCTGAGCGCGGCCTGAATGTGCAAAAGGAGCCTATGCCACTTGAGCAGTTCAAGCAGTTCGTGATTGATCACGTCACCAAGGAAGGAGACGCCATCCTAGCATTTGTTAACGATGCCACACAGTACCATCAAGTATTGCGAGGAGAAGAAGCTTCCGCCATACGCAAGGGAGCGGTGCAGCCGGTAACAGTTACGATAGAACCACGTGGAAACCGCAAACACATAACCATTGTCAAAGGGTTGTTTAACTTCCTGTTCAATGTGGACGAATCAGCGGTTGCAGAAGCTTTGAGACATAAATTTGCGAGCTCGGTTTCTGTCAACAACGGCGTGATCATGATACAGGTAAGAAATGTGCCAACATCCCTCACAAAGCGCAGGGCAAAGTGGAAATCAAACGCGAACTTGTCGAGCAGTTCGGCCTGTCACAGCAGCACATCCAGCTGCATTAGCCTTAGAACGTCATGCGGTAATGATTGTTTTCGCTCTTTGGCTTCACAACCTTCTCCCAGTTCTGCAAGTGATGCAACCATTTTATTCACGTTACCTTGCACAGCAGGTCATATATCATGCTATAGTTGTTCCGCATGTCGACGTTGGTTATCTTTATGTGAATCCACTCCTTTTCGTCGAGCTCGCGTATAGCCTGGAAACCGTGATAAAAGTGTACAAATAACGCATGCGTACCTCAGTGTAGTCGCATACATTGGGGTACTTGATGACCTTGGTGCACAACTTAGCCCTGCATACGATGTTATCATAACAGTACTGAGTGTATCCACCTTGCCATGTAGTATTTGACGATGGAGTCGAAGAGGTTGAAGGCTGTGTCTTCAACTCGAGTTAGCTCGAGTATGACTTCCTCCTGAATCCCTACGCCGAAGTTGTTTCCATCTTCGATACGTGGGACATTCAGCTGGATCCAGAGCTTAATATTACCGATCTGAGGACATAATAAAATGCTGTTAATCACACACTTAATGCGCTTTCTACACAAATTCAATATCTACTTACAATTTCAATAAGCTCTGATGCTTCAGCCTTTATGGCTTCAAGCTCATCCAATATCTGTTTGTGGGACGGCGTGATTATTCGGCCGTCTTCCTCAGACTGCAATTGTTAGGGGACCCACAACTAACTCTACCTCTTCGAGACTCCTCTTGGCCCTTTTACCGGCAGCCTCGTCGACAGCGGAAACTCGATACGTCACAGAATCGAGGTCGCGTGAGTGAAATAGCCCACTAGAAGATGCCTTCTCCTTCTGATCAAACTTAGAAACTAATTGCGACCCATATACCCACCACTAGCTTGCTGAAATGAAGGATCTTGCGAGGAATCCTCTCGCGCAGAGAGTCGAGGGCAAGTCGAGTGACCTCCTCTTTAAAAGCAATGTGTTGCTCTTTAACCGCCGAATCGACTGGATCAACAGACAGGCCGTTGATTCGATTGTCCATTGTGCAACAATTGTCAGAGTTAAAACAAATTGACGGTCGCGGAAGCGCCCGAGTGTAGGGGTTACGGTAGCGGGCTACACATTCGACGAGCCGTAGATATATACAACAGTGAAACACTGTGGCGTCAATATTACTTTATTTGTACGCGAAGTGAGTATCAACCGGGTAACAGTGGCTGCTTTATTAACTAATGAAGCCGGTATTGTGAGAGGACACAATCAATGCTACATCTCCACCGTTCGTGTATGGCTGCCCGCCATATTATGCTGTCTATAACACAAAATGCGATACTTAATGGCAGTATTACTTAAACTGGTTGCAGATCTTGACCGAATCGCACTCTATTACTCCAGACAGGAACCGACATGCCACAACCAAACGCTCCCTACGGCTACTCCATAACCCTCACTACTTAATTTCGAGTGGCACAAATGGCTTTATGTTAAGCGAAGATTACAAGTGCGCTCTTCGTACAACAGAAAACCATAGTCGGAAAAACAAAAAACGCTCAACCTGTCGATGCAAACTGCGATTGTATCTTGCAAAACGAGTTGGTTATATCATAATATAAAAATAGCGGTGCCAATACAGCTGCACTGCCTTCTAAACGTAGCATTGCGTCTCAAGCGAATCCGTACTTGCCACCAGGGCACAATTTCCCTCCATTCGCATCCAACCTGGAGGCCAGCTGACCCTTAGCTGCCAGTACCAGGGCGAGGAATGGGGGGCTAGGCTTGTATGGTGTAGATTGGAACTCCGGGTGGAATTGCGTGGCGAAGAAATACGGATGGCTGGGGAGCTCCAGCATTACCCTCCTCCGGCCGCTCGGGTCGGTTCCCGAAAACACGAAACCCATATCGGTGATGCGATCGACGAAGTCTGGGTTGACCTCGTAGCGGTGGCGATAACGCTCGCTAATCACAGTTTGATGGTCATAGAGCTTGTGGGCAAGAGACCCGGGAAGGACGTGTGCCTCGCGCACACCCAGACGCATGCTTCCGCCCTTAGAGTCATCACCTAGAAATTCCGGCATCGCAATGATGGCTTGATCCTCTAATGGCGCCTCCGCCATCTCACCGTGAACGGCGTTGGGTGCAAACTCCCTGGCGATATCCAGCACCGCTAGCTGCAAACCAAGGCAAATGCCAAGGAAAGGAACGCCATTCTTTCTGCAGTATCGGGTTGCGATCATTTTCCCGTTGGTGCCACGTTCACCGAAACCGCCGGGAACCACTACACCAGTGGCTCCTTGAAGCAGTTCCTTCACCTTAGAGGGCTCAGCCTCGAACTTCTCAGCCTCCAGGAATATGAGCTCCAATGCGTAGCCGGCATCCATAGCAGAATGCTTCAACGCATTCATAACAGAGAGATACGCATCGTTGGCAGAACTGTACTTGCCAACCAGCGCTATCGTAACCTTGGCGTCGTGGGTGTTTATCAGACTCCTCCAACTTTCTAGGGAGTACAATTTGGGGAGTGGCAGATCAGTCTTCGGAGTTATTTCCAAGAGCTTTATTATCTTTTGCGCCACTTGCTGCGATTCCAGTATAAGAGGGACGTTGTATACGTCGGAAGAATTATGAACACTAATCACGTTATCCGGCTTTACTTGAGTGAAGAAAGCGATTTTTTCTTTAATAGCAGAAGTCAGCTCAGTTGCACATCGACCAAAAATCATATCCGGTTGGAGCCCTCGAGCGAGCAGGTTCTGATTACGCATGACAAAACTATAGGAACGCATCACCAACCTTAGCTGAGTGTTGAGTGGGCTTGGACTTCTGCTCGTTGCTGTTGCCTACAACGGGCATGTACGACAACAACAAAAGGCATGTGTTGTTCGCTCCAAGTCTCAACCGCAATTGGCGAATAGCTTCCATGAATATCTCGGACTCGATGTCGCCTACAGTGCCACCGATCTCAAGAAGGCAGACCTCCGGCTTGCGCCAGCCCATGCGATCCACAGGCTCCTCGCTGACCCGACTAATCCAGTCAATGATCTCGTCCACGACGTGAGGAACCATCTGTACAATGTGAAAAAATGGAGCGAAGTACCGAGGCTTACCTGAACTGTCTTGCCGAGGTAGCAACCACGGCGTTCCTTCTCGAAGACATGGGTAAAAATCTTACCCGTCGTAATAGAATGGTTCTTGCTAAGTCTAAGGTTCAAGAATCTCTCATAATTGCCCAGGTCCAGGTCACCTTCACCTCCATCTTCAAGCACGTACACCTGCAAGTGGATTGAACGGAAGAGCTAGTGACACACCTCTCCGTGCTCCTGCGGTGACATAGTGCCCGCATCAAGGTTCAAATAAGGATCTATCTTTATGGCAGTGCAGGAGATATTGTAGGAACGGAGGAGGACACCTAGGCTGCTCATCACCGTGCCCTTGCCGACACCGCTCATGGTGCCGCCAATTACCACAACGTACTTCATCTTCGCACGAAAAATTAACCGAATAACAATAAAAAGTGTTTTGATTCACAGAAGCTGGCGGTAACGCACTTCCAGTACACGTACAGCAACTCGTATAGGGGCGGCGCTACAAGTCGGACACACCACGCCTCTCTGAAAAATATGACTGAAGAACACGAATATAAAACAACTACCTTTTACACCGTTAACTAAGCAGCTTTGGAGGAAGCGCTCACGAAAGTATCGTGTGTATGGGCTAAGAGGTGATTCCTGCATATCGCCTACAAGATGTTGTTAATTTCGTCTGGACACCTACCACCATGACTATCGTAGTATTGGCGCAGAGCAGCTGAGAATATTGTTGATAACTTTGAATGGTTTCTTACCCAGCGTTGGCACCGATTCGGGGCGGAAGGTGGAGATCATTTCAAACTGGAGGGGAACACACACACGACCTGTAAGAACTCATGATATCGGAGTCTCGTCGATAACAAACCTGTCTTAGCATGGATACAAAAGGGGGACTTGAGAAGATGGCCAATATCCTTTGTAACAGCTGCATCAAGCCTCGGATATGAAAATGCGATTACCAATTCCCTGAACGCTGTAGGGAATGCATCCTTCCTGCTGTGTGACCCGTGCGTGCTTTCGCGATACTCAGAAGGCGTTTCAACGTCCAATAGCTTGCAAAGTTCGTCGAAAAGCTCACATGAACTCTTAACCGGATTCTTCGTAGCCCGTTGCAGCAGCTGATGAGCTTTGGGGAATCGGTCAGTTATGTAGTCCTGGAGCGATTGTAGGTGAACCTCTTTTGCTAGAAAGTTTTGCTCACGTAACAAATGGTCGAAGGTGCGATAGCATATGTCGAAGGCGCGAAGCACTGCGGGGTGTTCCTCGATACCAAAAAGGTTGACACGCTTTTTGTGCCCGTCCGCCCCTATCAGTGTCAAGTAGTCAACTATTGCGCTCCTGGCCTCACTAGATAGCGCACGTGCGCGTGCATCGCAAACCCAGCAATGTATTCCACGGCGGCCAGAATAGACCCATAAAATATCCTTGTATCCAAAGTCTTCGGTGAGGCTGCGAGTTATGATCTCCGCAGCGAGGCTGATAAAACGCCAACACTTTTCACAAATACGCTTATCCGAGCAGCATGTTCGGAGGTCATCATAATCGTTCATATCGATATCAAACACAAGCTCTCGTTCCACGGCGTGGAAGTCGCTACCGCTTAGCTGCATAAGCGAAACGGGCTTATTGTATACGGCACCTGAATGGTATATGTCTAGGATGCGAAGATATACACTACTACAACAGTTACATATTACGTGTATCTTTTGTAAAAATGTTACACGACGAACACTCAAACGTTTTCACATTCCGATGTTATTGCTGATGATTTGTCGATTAGATCAGACAAACACGTATTGTACTCACTACCAACCAATTAGTTGCAAAAGATGCACCAGGTACATGTCAAGCTTCCTCGATCGCAGCGGAAGTCGATAAATTCATAGGCATAGTAGAAACAAGTTCGCGCATTTACGCATGAGATGCAGTAGAGTAAAATAAGGCCACTACATGACTGCCATCCCATATCACCCACACAAAAACAAGTTACAGTACGATAGGTAATCTCCTATTTATGGAATCCCGAAGGCGGCGGAGTAAGCAATGGAATCCTTACCGATATCAATCTTGTACGGAACACTGTCCCGACCGTACAAGACATTTTGAAGCTGTCTATGGCTTTCAAAACACTGCCATCTCATGTAGTATTCCGTTGCGCTACCTCCCGTGTCGCGCTGATATGTAAATGATATCTCACGCCGAGGAAGAAGGCCGACTGTCTTTTCGCCTACACACCTCTTTAGAAGGAGCCAAAATGAACATCTCACCCTCGTAAGACACCCATCTCACAAGCTCACGGACTGGGCAAATCTTCTCTGAGAAAAATAGCAACAAGCAAACGACAACAAACCGTAATAGAAACGGAGATTGGATTCCGTGACGACAGCGTCATCAGAAAATTTCATCTTTAAAAGCAGTTGACCACATAGTTAGCACATAAGAGAGGGTTCAAAGTGCTGAATTACATAGGTGTAGCAATAGCAGCGCGCGGTTTCGATCCGCGGACCTGGGGGTTATGAGCCCCCCACTCTTCCTCTGAGCTACGCTGCATCCGTAATACGGACCGAATACTCGCTCCATAACCCGATTGGAATCCCCTTTCAGCAGTAACAAATCGTGTGTGTACGCAATATACTACAATTTAAGGATTACCGTAACTGTCACTGACACCATCTATCGGGTGGTTAGCGTAGTCGTCTCCAGACTGAGCTGTGCGGGGCATGAGAATGAATGTGTGGCCCGACCAGCGCTGCCGAACGGCAATTTCGGCGATCTTGGCTCTATATGGCATGCCCTCTGAACAATATTCACCATATGCAGTAATGACGTTCATACCCGGAGTCTGGGGAGTGTAGTACGACAGTGCTCCAACTACGAGCGCAAGTTCTCCGACACTGTAATCAGCGATAATGCTCAAAAACAACGACATACCGAGCACGAGATTGGATGTAATCCACGTTACCCTGGCCATAAATCACAACTTTGTGCCACGATGTTCTCACAGCTCCCATGCGACCTCGCTTCAAACTGTTAAACAGCACGCTCATACTTACGTCGCTTGTAGCTATAGACAATCGCAACGCCTTGTTTCCGTTGCCCAGCGATACTGGCTGATCAATAAAACCAATACGCCCGCAGAGAGTCACATTATTGAGACTGGGAGACATCTACAGGTGATTAATGCTCCCTAGAATCGCCTACCCCTTCAGGAGCGCGAGGTGCATCGTCGGTATAATAGCCTCCCGCATCATGTTTGTAATACTCATCATCGACGGGTGATATAGCACCCAACTCATCTTCTTGAGACTTTAAACACGGCACAGATCCTCTGACAGGTATAGAGGAGGGGACGAAGGCTGTGCAGGCGGAGGAGTTGGACAGACGAAGACAGTCGCCTCGTGCGAGCAGCGCGACCATGTAAAATAACGGAAGGGCGCGACCCTTACGCTTCCATAATTCAAACATGCCCATGGCAATATTTCCTCGATGGGACTCCAAAAGACAAACAAAAGAAAATGTGCAAACGGCACGACATCATTTATCCAAACAGACGTTGACGGGCACATTCAGGGTCCTTCGTTTTTAGATATGTGCTCACATCCTGTACACATCTGAATAAAATTGCATCAATAGAAACCTCAAGGTGATGGCCGAAGTGATTAAGACGTTCCTTCAGCAAATTGTAGCGATAAGTAATGTTCTCGACGATACGGAATTCGTTGGCACGTTGGAGAGAACATTCTAGGAGTTCGATAAACTTGTATTCAGCATTCTGGCAACTAATATCATCGCCTGAAACAACAACTAACCTGAACAAACTGGAGGATTCCTTTTCCGCCATTGAGAAAGATGAAGGCAAAAAATGATCTGGTACGAAGTGACTTGTAAAATAAGGCAGACAAACTCGCTCTCTATGCATGAAAGTATCATACGGCTGAGTGTGTCAGCATACGTAGCGAAGTCGGTAGTTAGACGTTGTTGCCGACAGATTACGTCGTAATCATCACGAGTGACCCTGCACTTGCATAAGCTCGTGAATCCGCATGTACCATTATTAAAGTTGAATCACACAATACAGTACACACACATCAAGGGTGCATAACAAGTGACAACGTCTAACAGCTAACATCCTAATGGAGACAAATGTAACAGAATTATCGTAGTAGACACACCTGTGGATGTAGTTAAAAAACAGGTCCGATTCTGACGTTATCTCCAACTCAACTACGTCAGTCTGCAAGTTCACTGAACAAAAGTGTTTCCTAAAGTTACCCCGCGTGTCACTTTGAAGTTAAAGTGGCCCTTCGCGCCTCCCAGATCCGATACCGTGCCACGTACCTCGGCTTCGCATTCACGAAAAAAGAACGTACACATCCCATTGCCTGTTAAAGAATTATATGCCATACATAATGGTCACTTCGTACCCAGTGCTGGGTCAATCAACGACGCTCGATTTTTCGGCGATTTAGGCATCGCTGCGGGAACAGGTATCCCTTCGTTGGCAAATATCAACTGGGTAGCACACTGGCTTTAATAATAAGTGACACATTTATATATACACCAATAACAAACTAGATGAAGCGTAAAGTGACGTAATAGGCCATCTCTATATCTATCCGAACCCACCAATGGGTCAACCGGTGAAAGCGATCGAAAGCGCTCAGGTGGAAACACATTATAAGATGAATGGGTTTGTTTAATGCGATAAAGCGTCTGCCGTTGATCTGCGTGCAGCAGGCTTTTAGCCTGTGTTGCGGCATCGTCAAACTGACTCGATGGGTCACGGTAGGTCTAGGTAAACGAACACGTCGCTTCTTCGGACATGTGTTAATGGGCATAGTGAATGAACCGGAAAGGATTCTTATAATAGGTATGCGTAACGCCGGGAAAAGCGCCTTGCTGTATCGTATCAAGCTGGGAGAGTTCATCCAAACCGTAGGACAGAATTACACACTGATTTATATTCCACAGGTTCCTACGAACAGCTTCATTGAGGAACAGTGTTACGTATGCTCCATGTCCCTCATACCGGTTGATACATGTGTGCACTGTAGGATGAATAATGCAAAAGGCATTCATTTACAACTGTGCGAATTTGGCATTGCAGACGAAGGAGACACTGTGGAGAACCACTTGAGGGTAAAGTCTATTCTGTTGACAAACAAGTCATTACAGTATTCGTCCAAGGTTGTATTCCTTCTCGATGCATCCGATTGCCCTTATAGGGACGCGACGTTGCGTGATATCGTAAGAATAGTAACGCAACATAACTTCTTCCACCAGTCTCCGAAATATGTTATATTCAACAACAAAACGGTAAGATATATGTCACAAATTTTGTGACTTTCTCAAGTAAATCCCCCAACCGGAACAGAAGGAAAACGTGGCGATTGCTCCCCGCAGGCCACACAAACGTGTGCATGAATGAGATATAACCACTGGCGCATCTAATAAATTTTGCAGGATGTTGTTGGAAGCTCTACAAAGTGCTGCTTAGATTCTATCCAGCTGCAAGAACAGATTAAAAGGAGGTGAGTAATGAAAATGCCCAAGTGAATGAATTACATGTAGAACCCTTTGGATGAATGGGAGCGCTCTGACTGGGCAAGGCATTGTTGACACTCTGGCATTCCTGCTGTTTGATAATCCACTGAAAAGTGTCTTGCGGGAAAAAAATCAAAGTGAGGACCTGATCCAGTTCGGTTAGTGCTGCGCGTCGAATCAAGACGCCGCTGGTTCATCGGTCAGAAACGAAAGCACAACCGTGTTTTCCGCCAACAAAATGTGGTTCTATCGCAACATTGTAACATATAAGTAGTGCTTACTTTGTAAAAAAAGTCCTTCACGCTAAAATCGGGGACGGAATCTGGGCCATCTACGCGGTGTTACGCTGTGTTGTTACGTCATACCTTGTTCTTCAATCTAACAAATCATAAACGAAACGGCAATAGACGTGTACCTTTATGTCAGCAACGTGCAGTGATTGCGCAGAAAATCTCGAACAGCAGAGGCAAAGCAGAAGACAGAGAAGAATCCGGCTGCACCGCGTCGGAAAACTCATTGTAAATGTTTCTTCTTTAAGTATTCTGCAATATCAAGTCTGCACAATTAGGCACTTTTGGGTTGAAAACCTAAGGAAACATCATATAGACAAACATACAGTGTGTACGGGCAATGCAATCTGACGACATGGTGGGTGTTGCTACGTCTTCCGCAGTTTGGTGCAGTGCTATCAATGTTTTGTATATTGTAAAGGTATATTTGACAGAGAATCACAAAACGTGTTGCACGAATACCACACCGCGTCTATGTGCCATGAGTATTTGGTTACACCTGTCTTCCACGGTACAACACATATCAGAAGTATTCCTCACCAACGCAACTAATTGTGGACCCGTCTGAACTCACCTTGCACAAGAGGATTGCACGAGGGGCATTCGGTTCCGTATACCTTGCCACGGACCTCAACGGTACAACATATGCGATAAAAAGGACGAGGAAATTGTGTGTGACATAATCATTTTTGACGATATATTATGCAGCGGCATGAAACGCTCGCGAGAATTGATTAATCTGGGGCTTTGTAAGGATGCTGAAAATGTCATGCAGTACATGGGCACATTCTACACTAGAAACCGCAGCGGGATTATCATGCAAAATTCGCTTTTAGAGCATGTTCCCTACAGTTTACGCTCGTTTATACGAGTCTTAAAGCAGAAAGGCGGTTTAACGCACTCTGCAGTGAGGCATACGGCACAGACGCCATTGCAGGGGAGTGATTGCGCACTTCACCCGCATGAATCAACATCAATGCCATATGGGCAAATCAGAGACAGGGGAATCGATGCCATTATCCTTCATCTTCTAACGTTAGTTTCACGAAAGCGGATAATATAGTTTTCAGCGATGTCATAAATGGAATGATAGAACTGCATGCTCGAGGACTAGTACACCGAGACCTCAAGCCAGACAATGTGCTTGTGAGTTATGCATGATAGAATGTATTCTAGTCATTTTTGTATCGGTGGAAAATGTTGAATAGCTTGGCACTGTCTGACGTGCCAATCTTGAGTAATGCACGGCTAATGCACGTCACCCTGTATTGGTTCACTGAATTTATGATGTTTGGTGTATGTGGAATGTTAGATCGTTTGGGATCATATAAGGGTTGTACAATTTTTACACCTAACACCATGATTCATAACGTTTCACAATCCTCGATATGCCATTATATAAATTGCAGATTGATGATGATCACCTACCGACAATTGCAAAAATATGCGACCTAGGTAGGCATACAAAGTCTGCATTGAACTCAAATGTGGATTTCAGGATCCGCAAAGAAAATCAATAGGCTCTGCCTGACCAACAGATCTGACATGGACTTGAGGCAAACGCCATCCACACCATATGTATGTTCCCGATGGTACCGCGCCCCGGAACTTCTTTTTGGAAACACGTTTTACACGGTACGTCATGAATGTATGCCGAATAACTAGTCCCCAACGTGACTCCTAGTGAGGCAGAGGATTACTGTGGCGGTAGCATATATGCAGTACATTTACCACCACGTATGTATCCGTTTTTACTACACACTGCACAAATAGCTAATGTTCAAGCAGGAATCTGTCGACAACTGGTGTAAGCCGATACGCAAACGAAACAATGGCAACAGCATTTGGCTGCATGTGCGCTGAAATGCTACTCCTACGCCCTTTATTTGCTTCTACCGACGAGTTCGTCAAAATGGATCATTACAGTTAGTATTTTGCTTCAGGAGTGATGCGCGCCAAGTAATTACGTTGATTGAGGTGCTGGGGAGTCCTTCAAGGTAGGATTGATACAGATGGCAACATACGCTTCGCAGGGCAGAATTAAAGCGACTACTAGACGGTGCACCAAGCGCCTCAATTGTAAGTGCATATCACAAGGGAAACAATATTTAACAGCGGAAACAGCTGGATTTGCTATTCTTGGTGAAGCACTCAAAAGGATCCCTTCGAATGATTCTCACCGACGTCGCCAAAGGGTATAATTGCGTGAAATTGCATCGACAATTATTTTACACGTATGAACCTTTACACATCAGGGTAGACACGCACATTGTAGGAACACGAGACTGATGGCAGTTGCCAACGTCGCATACAATCTACTCCGATGGTAAGCGCCGCAAAGTTGCTGCAACATAAGAATGACGATGATGCAATGCTATATTATGCCTAGGTGCCCAGAAGATAGGATTTCATTGGAGGACGCACGTAAAATACTTAATGCCGGTTGCACGTGTGTTGTGTGACACCAAGCAAATGGGATTAGGATACCCTTAAAATTTGTCCTAAACACGCAAACCGAAATTTTAGAACTGTTTTCATAGTCGTGTTGCCCTATGTGTATCATCGGAGCCCACCACATGGGCCGAACCGAACTGAGAGTGCCATTATGCCACAACAACGCTGTCCATGTGTGGCACGCGACGCGAACAAACGACTCACACATCATCAACAAGAGTGTCACTCGACGTAGGATACAATATCCGCTGTCCCTAATATGAAGGAGGAAATATCACAGCTTGTGGACTCTCGAGGAAGACGACCTGCATCCAACGACGACGCATTCAAATTATACAACTTCTCATCATCCATCCCAATTTTCAGACGGAAGTACGACTGGAATGTACCAAAATGGGAGCCTGATCAAATAAGACGGCTACACATTGCCGTCCGTACCCAGCTTACAAAGGATCTGGCTGAAGGGCCTGCGGGGCTGGATTCTAGGCTAGAACCCGCAGAGATATCCAATCTATCCCAACTGCTCAACGTATCACATGCACGAGTGTTGTATGGATTATACCTTGATTTTGGACCGACACGTATGGCCGATGTCATAGTTGACCTCTTGCGCAGAAAAGATTTTGTAAATGTTATAGACGCAATGAAAAGGGATCCGGACGCCTTCGGTCGTCTTTTCTCAACATCAGCAGATTCATCCCAGGAATATAGAACTAGCAGTAGCGTTAGTAGTGCACAAGCAGCCAATCCTGCCGTAGACCTGGCATCTCTCTGGTCGCGGGTGGCAGATGATGTTAACGGCAACGGCAAAAGTACAAAGTGCAAGCTTGCCACAGAATGTTGTACTATATTTCTCAATTCCACTCCTGACGGGACGCTTATAGAGACTGTTACAAAAAAGGAGATTACAAAGTTGCGCCACTATACTGCCACCCTGCCACCAAATGACGATTATCTGCAGAGGTGCGTCATCATTGTACGGACCATTTACACAAATATGATTCAGGGGTGCCAAAGTTGCACAAGAGTTGGGACTAACCCTCTACCAGCTGCTGAAGGCAGATTCGAGGCCGAAAGATCTATCGAGCAAACGCTGGGAACACCACGAGGACGAACGGCTGATACAGCTTGTGCAGAGGCAAGTAAACATACATGCTCGCGGACCTAAACGCTCCAATTCACTCTGCTGGAAAACTGTGGCTCGCCAAATGGGAAACAAGACAAATGAACAATGCAGATTGCGATGGAGAGCCATAGGGAACACCACACTCTGGAACGAAGCCTTCGATGATTCGCAGCTTTACATGTTGCAAATATTGCACGCGGCATATGGAGATAACTGGCAAAAAATAGCGAAATTGATGCCAGGTAAACAAGCCCATCAATGCAGAAGCAAGTTCCTATCGTGCATTTCGCAACCAGATAGAACTGACTACATCAGATACTACAATGACCTCAAGAATGCAATCACTAACCGTAACGCAGCTGTGAATGTTCGCAAGTGGTGGGCACGAGTGGACTGTTTGGGCATGAAGATGCTAAAAATTGCCAACATCACAAAGAATGCGGCCATCATGAACGTGCTAGGCGACTTCTACAACTCGGAAGAAATAATGTGGCGCATCAACAGACTATTCGGCGACGATTCGCTAAAGAGAACGCATGCCCTAAATGGGGTGGATGTGCTGACGGTGGCGGAATACCTCAGGCAGTACTCCTCACACATGGTGTGCAAAATCTTAAACAGCATAGTCGTCTCGCTCCTGAAGGTGAGTGGAGACTAACGTACGAAACTTATTACCACAGAAATCGAAGGTCGGGCACGCAAACGATTTTAGGAACATATTCGATTTGGGCAATGTGGGCGAGTCGCAATTCGCCGAAGCACTCAAAAGACTGCTGGAGCTTTCATGGCCTTAGCGGCAGCACACCTGCGGGGCCAACCACAGGGCGCATAATGAAACAATGAAGACGCATAATGTAGCCTCAACGCAAAGCGTTGTATGTAGAAAGCATCGAAGGATTAATGTCACTAGTCCTTCACTAGTGTCGACACAGTGAGGTAGCCTGTGTGATTTACCTGCGCCAGCTGGTAACAGGAAAAGTTGCCCGCATCGTCGAAACCGATGCCCCAAGGCTTGCACAGGACTTCAAACGTCTTTATTTCTGATCGTAATGACGGCATGCAAGTATGGTACCCACCAATGAAGCCTGATTCGGACATAGCCTTAGAAATGCGCTGAGATTGCTCCACAGTTGGTGAAAAGGTCACTAGTTTGCCGAAGTTCTTAAGGACGGCCTTTGCGTTATCGAGAGCGTCCCATGGCGATGGTAAATCGAAAAACAGCGAGTCTATGGATGATTCCCAGACAGCACCCTCCACAAGGAATGCGCCAGGAGCGTACGCATCACGATCGTACGCGCTTATGTATTCCGTCAGCTTACAGTTTCTGAAAAATTCTCTGAGCACATTAAACTGTATAACCCTTCGCTAACTCTGCAAATTGCCTCCGCTGGTTATGAAAGTCGAAGGTGAACACGTGACCCGTAGGCGCTACTGTCGTAGCTAACGTGTAGCTTAGGGAACCTGAACCCGTCCCTGATCGTAGTGAGATGGTGTCGTTATGTGGACCTACCGCATTCAACCACGCGCTTTCCTGGGTAAAGGTCCAGAAGCATCACAGCCAACGATATGTCAGCTCGGTACTGCGTAGAGTTACTGCATATACAATCTAACGTACCAATATCTGGGTGCGGTGAGTAACGGTCCGAGTAATCAACTCTCCGGTGGGCTGGAGTAACACCGACCAGCGATCAGCAACCGAGTCCCAGAAGAACTGCATTCGTTGTTAAGCATACAACGGCGGGCACACCTTCTGGCCATATTGTCGACCTATAACCTTACAGAGGTCAAAAATATCTCCCTTTCGGTGCAAGAGGCGCTTGTCCCCTGCGTTGGCCGCTTGCTGCTTGTTACCAATGATTCCCTGCTTTTCAGGAATTTGGCACAGAAGAAGCCCTTCAGGACCCGTGTAGAGTATGGCAGGGTCACCGGGGGCGATCTCCATAGGAAGAAGGCGCTCTAAAACTAATCATTACGACAGCGCCGCTCCCCCACACACTGTGTAGGAGTACGCCACGTTGTCAACGAGTCTCATAATAAGACACAGTTGTGCCTACATCAAACTATACCATTCTATTTTTTTCAGTGTGTACAAAATGGGAAGACAGCCGAGATTCCTCACCAAGGCGAACGGCGTCAGTAGGTGACTCAGCAGGGGAAAAAATCGTAATCGTAGCGTTCGTAAGAGTCCTGCTGCTTCTAATATCCATGAAATATGCCCGTGAATATCCTTTGGTATTCATTGCATTATATACGGCGAGCCAACTGCTGGATATGGTGGACGGATTTGTGTCCAGGTACTTCAACGAAGGTGTGTTAAATGCAACGAGCGCGACAACTGACATCGTACAGCAACGTTGGTTGGTGCGGCATTCGACCAATTGCTAGATCGCATGACGTCTTCGTATGTGTGCTTCCTGAACGCCAAACAGTATCCGCAATACCTGGAAGGTATGTATCCGGCCTCAGCGCACATCGGTGGTACCCAAATTCCATGCGATAAGTGATGCTGATAATCATAACAAGTCGAAACTGCAACTGCTGTCATCATTGTTAATGCTGTGACAGCGTTCTACGCGATTATGGTAATTGATGTCTGCGGACACTGGATACACAACTACGCGTAAGTTCCCTACCAAAAAAAATAACTCATGTACGCCAGTTGTGCGCTTTACTCCAACACCAACCACAAAGATGTTAAAGATGCAAATGTTGTTTTGCGGGTTTACTACCAGAAAAAGTGTAAGTTCTTCGTGCGTATTGGAATGACGACGTTGCAAAAGACAGCGATTAGTGGTTATGGAATCATCGCCCATGTGTATGGCGTGTTTGAGTGTGATTGATACTTTCTCACGGCGCTGTCACCGATTATACATACAACAAATCTCACTATGCATCAGGGTTTATGTTTGCATCGATCGTTATGTACGAGGCGTTCTTCTGTACGCTGTACCTTAGGTCCATGTACCGGGTAGATATGCACCTTTACTACGTTTTGACAACCATCATGTACGCTGCGGCACCATTGTGTGCTTACAAGACGGTAAGTTAGGTATGAAGCGGAGATTCATGTCGCGACAGTTGACTAACATTCTGCAAGGAGCATATGGATGCTCCAAAATCATGAAATATGACGTTGAACTCACAAAGCAGTGAAGTATGATCACTGAGTTTAGTACGCCTGCCAGACGGGCACGCCAAAAGGCGGACTTCCACTACAAATCTGTTACACACTTGCATTTTAAAACAAATAATAAAATGACAACCGCTGCCGACATAGAGCGGAAAGCACGCAAAAGCTCCAAGGGGCTGTTTCAGTTCATTTTCGGTGGAGCTGACGAGGATGCGCACGACCTATTTAACCAGGCGGCGAATCTTTACAAACAACAAAGGCAATGTAGGTACAGTGCAAGTGACATTCGTTGACGTTTGTTTTGGCGTTGTATATCACTAAATATGTCTATGCGGTCCTTTAAGCGGCTACAGGGAAGGACGCCGCAAGGTGCTATCTTGAAGCTGCAGCCAAAGGGGAAAAGGAAAATGAACACATGTTTGCTGCCAGTAATCTCGTAGAAGCGGCAAATGCGATTCTGAAGAACGACGAACACAGTTAGTCCTCCTCGATGATGTCATATTATCGCCACGTAGCGGTAGAGCACATAGATCCACTCATGCGTGCTGCCAGTATCTACAATAAACAAGGAAGGTTTGCACAGAGCGGGCGTATAATGAAAATCGCCGCCGAAGAATTCGAAGCAAAGGCGGACCACTTAAATGCTATAGACTTCTACCAGAAGGCTGCAGAATTCTACGAACTGGACGAATTTGGAAAGGTTGCAGGATCTCAAGCCCGTTTGAAGTACGCAGAACTGGCATCTCAGTATGCAGAAAAATATACCGATGCCATCAGGGTAGGCGGCGCAACATGATATGGCATGCACATTGCAGATATTTGAGACCGAGGGGCACAAAAATCTCAAGAATCAACTGTTACAATATGGTGTCAAGGACATCTTTCTCAAAGCTGGGCTGCTCCATCTAGTGGCATGTGACGCCACAGACGCTCAAATAGCCTACAATAAATATGCCGAGGCGGATCCGAAATTCGTTGGATCCAGAGAAGGGCAATTCTTGCGCGTAAGCAACATAGTGTACTATAGAAGGTCATTCGTTTGTAGGCTGTCATAAGTGCTTGCGACGCAGAAGACGGTGAACTCTTCCAAAAGGCCATGTATGTTCGATGTTCCACCCGTCCACAAAGACGCAGTGCCGATTTCGACGCAATCGCCAGATTGGATCCATGGAAAGTCCACATGTTAATAAAGGTGAATTTCACGCATATGTGTAGTTATAGTGAACAGATTAAGACAACTCTACCGGCGGCGCGCGACGATGTCGGGGCATCACTTGCGGAAGACGGTGATTCTGACGACCATCTCGACCTCACTTAGGTTTATCTCTAGTCCAGTATCATGGCTACGGCTCGCGGATATTGGACTGAGCATGTGTCCAAGGATGGCAGGCGCTACTTCTTCAATCAACAGGTATGACCAATGATCAATCCATAAATGTTATGTGTAGACGAAGAAGTCGCAATGGGAGAAACCAGATGAACTAAAAACTGATATAGAACGTAAAATTGAAAGTGATACGAACTGGAAACCGTTCGAGACGGCAGAAGGAAAGATCTACTACTTCAACACCCAAACGCGTCAGAGTGTCTGGGAAAAACCGCCAGAAGTGCTTCAGATAATACGAGAGCATGAACAACAGGAACTTTCTACCAAAGAAAACGCTAAGACGGCTTTCCTTAGGTGGTTAGAGGAATTTAATTTTACACAACGTACCAACTGGGACACCGCGGCACGACAACTTGAGTCCCATGAAAGGTTGGTGATAAATCCGTGCATTAAACAACGCAATATATAGATGGCAAAAGTTTGCGATGCTAACAAAGGGGGAAAAGAAGCAGCTCTTCTCCGAATTCACCAGCCAAACGCAGAGACGCATACAGGAGGAAATGCGACGCAAACGCGGCATGATAGGAGACCTTATAATTAACGAACTGGATAAATGGGAGGACCTCACACCGTACACTACCTATGTGGAGTTTGCAAAACGGTGCAACAAACGAGAATGGTGGTCCTGGGCTGACGAAAAGACAAGAGATGCGCTTTTCCAGGATTGCCTACTGCGCATGGAGAGGGATCTTAAGTGGCGAGAGCGCGAAAGGCGTAAACTGGCCATGGAGAAATTAGAAAATGAAATCGAGACGCTGGCGAATGAAAATTTGCCGCAGTGGTCCAATGTCAAAATGCAATTCGCAGGTTTCCAAGGACTGCACCTTCTAGAAGTGCTCGAGTGCCACCGCGATGCTTTTAAGCGTCTATATCGGCTTAGGGTAAAAGAGGCAGGAAAACGTGCATATAGAGCACAAAGAAAACGCAGGCAACGTTTTGTATCCTTTCTAGAGGTAAGACGCTACTACTATAGAACGGATAATTGCGGCCGTTCACAGTGGGCGCCCTGCACGCGTCTTACTCGAACCAAAGCTGCCGAAACAATTTTATTCAGTCGTTCATATTCTTGCAGGATGCGGTAGGTAAAGGTGAGATTAACGGCAGAACAACCTTCGAAGAGTTCATAAAGGGACATTCGACGGAGGCCATATACCTAGATATTGTTGGTCAACCTGGGTCAACACCATACGACCTTTTCAAAGACGTTCAGAAACCTCTCAGGGTATGTGTGCAATCAGCTTAATTCCTTAGAATGGTAACACAGGACCAATACAAAAGAGAACGGCAAAAGGTAAAATCTCTGATTTCACAGGGAATTCTCGATCGCAATGCAACGCTGGAGGAGTGAGTAACTCGAATCACACCACATATTTCCGCAGATATGAGCGCATAGCAATGGAAAAGGGTGCCTGTAGTAAATGTAACATACCCCTTATACACGAAAGCTTGCGACGTAGCACCAACAAGTCGCGCAAACCGCTGTCACAGAGTCCAGAGGAAGGAGAAATACGTTACAGCTTAGAAACCGCATCCAGCGACGAGTCGCCCAGGTCATATAGCAGAGCTGGATATCCCAAGCGCCGACGCCGCGACCGTTGACACGCCGTCCCCGACAACGCGCGCGCACACACGTTGCTAAACACATTAACCTGAGTAACACGTGTATCAAAATGACTTATCGGATATAGTTGTAGTGTGTGGATGTCCCTTCCAGAACTGCCGTGTTACCACTATGGCGGAGGAGAAGGCCTACACGGTCTACTCAGACGGTTAGGCTGAATACGAACAACTCTCAATGATTCGCAGGTGTATTTGATATGCCGCACCTAGGACATATGAGACAGCTAGAACAGGCGAAAAAAATGTTTCCAAAATGCACGCTAAAGGTCGGAGTAACCGATGATGAAGAAACCCTTCAATTGAAGGGACAAATTGTTAATACAATGGCGGAACGAGCCGAGTTCTTGAGGCATGTTCGTTGGGTTGACGAGGTTATAGCTCCGTGTCCTTGGATTGTGACCAAACAATTCATGACATCTCATGGCATTGACTTCGTGGCGCACGACGATATACCCTACTCGACATGCCAAAAGGCAACGAAGGGCATACAAGAAGCGAGCGAACATGATATATATGGGTGGCTCAAGGAAGAGGTTAGTTTTTGACGCACATATTCACCTCAATCTCTCATAGGGGAGATTCAAGGCCACACAACGGACGGCCGGTGTATGCACCACGGATCTCGTAGTCAGAATACTGCAAAACTATGAAGATTACGTGGAAAGGTCAGTCGACACTCCATGCCATGCGCGATATGGTTCTTTATTCGCTCCTTTTTTACATCGTGTAAGACGTCTGCTGGTGGTCCCCAGACTTTTGGGGACAGTAGACCGCAGCCCTGTATATAATGGGTTTGCAGTAGCGTGTTCCGCTCTCTCTGCCCTCATTTTTCAGCATATTATGTTACATGTTTGCATTGCTAATTGGACTTGTAAACAATGTTTCACCGGTGAGGTTTTTAAGTCTCATTGTCAATTATTTTATACATTAATCAATTTGTTAATTATGATGCAGGTCCATCAACACCGGGGTCAATCCGTCTGATCTAAATATAGGAGCGACCATGGCCAATTCGATAAGAGTGAAAAAAAAACTAAATAAATGGGTTAGACAACTGACTGATCAAATCACTTCGACGGATATTTCACTTGTAAGTTACATCCATCGGTATATCAAAATCACAGGGTCATAAACTGGAGGAAAAACTTGAGGAGATACGAGCGGGCATAACAACATCGTTGGAACAATGGGTAGAGCGCTACATAACTGCGCTGCGTGAGTTCGTAGGAGAAGAAAGTGGCGTTGACAACGAAGCAAGTTCTGATTCGGTCAGCATAGAGGAAGAATTCGTGGATGTTTACAGTGGCAAAGATATAAACCCAAATGGCGATGAATTTGCCGATTCTACACCAACCAAAACTAATGTGAACAATCCTGGTGATGAGTTTGTGGACGCAAATGGAAACAAAGATGGTTTTGAAAAAATTGGGACGACATCCATAACGGATTACTATGATGATGATAATGATAATGACACAAGAGAAGACATTGTGGTATATACAGCTGGGGTTTTCGACTTGCTCCACTACGGACACGGCAGACACTTTGAACAAATAAAAAAATGCTTTAACAAGGTTCACCTCATCGTAGGGGTAGTATCCGACGATGTCGCTGTGAATTTGAAGGGGAGAGTCATGCAGCCGTGCAAGGATCGAGCCGCCGCCCTGCAACACATCAGATGGGTAGATGAGATTTTGGAAGCTCCACCCACACCCATCACCCAACAATTTCTACGTAAATACCACATAGATTATGTTGTATCATCCCCAAATGTAGAATACGACGCAGAAGCCTTGCGTTGGCTGAAGGAGAATGGGAGAATCGTGCATACCCACAGGACACCCGGTATTAGCACCTCAAACATCATGCTGCGGATTCTACGGAACTACGAAACATATATCAAGAGGTCCCTAGAGAGAGGCGTCGGAAGAGAGGACCTTAAGATAGGCTTCACTACCGCCAACTCAATCAAACTCAAGAGCTCTATCGAAAATTGGAAAAAGAAGTTCACCCAGGAAGTTCACAAGGCTACACTCACGGACCACCCAGTGGTAGGTTGCGCCCTTTAATAATTTAAAAGGATCAGGGGCATGAGTTTGACCTGCTGGTCGACAAGATTATCGAAGTGGTGGACGGCTGGCGTAAGGATTCACGAGCCATCATAGACAATTTCATTAATTGCACCATGTGGCCTCGCAAAGTGTAGGCCGGATGAAACACGAAAACCATAAACGAAATTTTTATTATCACATTAGCGCACGCGGTTCTTCAGCCGCCACAAATATAGCGGCGCACGAATGCAGAATCTCGCTAACTGAAAACGTTAGCACGGTCGAAACGCAACTTACGTTATACACGAGCTTGAAAACGCGAAAACGGCGCAATATAATGAAAAGGCACATGCCCAGAAAGGTAAAGTAACATAACCGCACGGTTCCGTAACGATTAAGCGTCCTGAAGCACATTAGCCACAATAATGGATAACCAACTTTCGTCGTAAGCTTCCAAGCAGTCGAGTAGCAGATCCGAAACGTTGCTTTAATGCTGCGGAATTTATAAATTACATAGGCGGTACACACCCGAAAGTATTTTCTCCTGACGCAGAATGTAATTCGATGACTTCAACATAGACGATTCAGTGGCGCTCATCTGGCTTATTTGGTTTAGCATCATGTTTCGTGTTGCCTTCAACTGAAGCACTACCTCAGATTCATCCTCCACAATAGCTGAACATAAGGACATGTCACCCGCATCGTCCTGTTCCATCGTTCTGCTCATAATCATTTCCAAAACACGGGCGCGATTACAATTCGGTTGTCGCACCAGCCTGCGAGACGAAAGATGACAGGCACATTGTGTGGTAACGTCGCTCATTCTTGGACCACCAACCACTCAGCTTATTCTTGTGGCTGCATTTTGCTGAAAGCATAAACCCGTAACCAACCGCATTAGACGTCCCACGTAGAACCGATGCAAACTCTGAAATTTCAAACTGTTAGCTGAAGCCGATTCCTCGCTGTGCAGAAGCAGCTTTCTGAGGATGCCACCAAACGCGCTTATTCTTCGCGAAACACGTAAGCGAAACTGCAAACATTTATTACTACAGCACACAAAAGGAAAAACAGTGAAGGCAGGTATTACCAATTGCAAAAGAGTCAATAAGCGACACTGTCAACAATTTAAATACCATCCTCATTAGTTTTTAACGTCTTATTAAAAGGTGAATATAAGACATAAACGCAATAGTTACCTTGTGAATTTGTTGGTGAGTGGTGAAATCGACATTTCCTTCGCGGAACAACTCCTCCAAACTTGCGTCCAGCTGACAGAGCTCATAAACGATATTCTCTCCCAACTCTGGCTGCCCTTGCTTTGGAGCATCCCTTTCGCGAAAATAAAGGTTGTCTAGCTGCTCGGCTGTTGCTGTTGGCTTGAAATAATCGATTGGGAAGTTGTACTCCGGAACCATAACCTTCGGTGACATTCGGACATCGTGAAGTGATGCCATATTGTCTCAACAGCGCTCTTAATAACAGTATCAACGGTTGCAATGCTTATCCCAGTAGTTTTAGTTACCAATAAATGTCCTAAATTTCTTGTCTAATCCAATCTGCCTACACAACTGATACGAGCAGAGCAACACATCTGCATAGAGTCACGGTTGAATGACACCCGAACGAGACGCTTCTGTAACGCCAAAGGTGGTAAAAGCAGCCAGTAAATAACGCTCTGGGCAATTAGTGGCCAAGATCCACTAACAAGCCTGCAACGAACGCATTTCCATCACACGCATCATATGTGTGTAACCAATACAATTGGCCACTACCAATCGATCGTAAATACGCACGATAGGCCCCAATTCTAAAAAAAGGAGCTATAAAGCGTACTGTGCATCACGCGGCACCTACTTACGCACATCAGTACCGTGCGGTGGGATGCAAGGCAGCAATCACCCGTTAACATGTCTACCCATACGTGCGATTATTTAACATTAATGTGCTAATCATTTGGTGTAAATAAGTTGCACAATTCCTGCGCTAGTCTAGAAATATGCAGAAAGGCCACGTACCTGGTAGCGAGACATGTCTTTAACATTCAAAATGACATCATTCATCAGCTCGTTCATCTCACGTTGACGATCATCCAAGAAAATATCAGTCATCTCTTGATGGCGCATTAGTTCAAACAGCTGTTGTTCCTTCTGTTCAAGCTCGCTTTGGAGCCTCGAACATTCAAGTCGGCTGCGCTGGTTGTCCTCATAATAGGTCTTCTTCATTATTTGTTCCACGTCAAAGTGATCCCTATTCAAACGGTCACAATGTTCTTGCATTGACAGGATAGTGTATTCAGCTTCCCTAAGCTTGTCTAATAAGTCTTGCTCTACCGATGCATCCTAGTGTCTATTTAGGCCTGCAGAGAGCCACTTACGGCGCCTTCTAACTTATACGTGTCGTTACTGTCGTTGGCGCCTGTATTACATATATAACAAGAGTGGTGACTTAATTCAAACCAATTGTGCGAAAGCAGCACCGAAACAATAAAAGACGCTGCGAAAACACAAACGTAGACCATCAGTATGGCCATATGTTGTTTAACGTAGCGCGACAAAGTGACGCAAAAGGAGAAAGAAAACGTGCATATGCAACTTTGCCACATACCGTCCGATGAGGATTCAGATGATGATTCGTCATCGCATCTGCAGCATTTGAATAGCTCTAGCGTATCCTCCGACCCTTTAGTTGGCTCTTGAGCGTATCCCTGTAACATTTATATCACAGTAATGCTCACATACAATACAATCCGGCGGTAAAGAACGCATTGAAGGTTGTGCACGGCACAATGGTTCCGTCGCGGAGTTCTCAACAAGCTGAGCACATTTAGTTCACACATATGCGGTTGCGGCTGTCAAAAGGTTCAACTAAAGCTACCAACCTTGTCATAATACTCGATGTAAGAACCGAGCATATTAAATTGCCGGTACACACGCGAATCGTAGTAGGCAACCATGGTTCTCTTAATTTTATTTTTATTATCATTAAATCAATTTTACACGTGTCATTGGTCAGCACACCTCACGCACAACCTTCATAGTTTCCCAGTGCGCGCAGGCGACGGACACTGCTATCGCTCTGCCCCGGCAAGATGCCTTCCAACAGCTTTATAATTTCAAGCTGACGTGCCAAATATTCCGGTAATTGATAATGTGCCAATCCTGATACATGTCTAACAACGATTGTAGCTAAAACAAACCTCCAGTGTTGTACGGATGCACAGCTTCATGCGTGCAGGCAAATCCTGGATGCCTCTCCAAAAGTCGATCATTTGTATACACGTTGAAGCTGCCTGTCCGATTAGGTACGTTGACATAATCGCTCTCGATATCTTCTCCGCTTTCCTCATCAGAGAGAAAGGAGAACAAGCGATGAGGCTTACGTCCATATGCGTATGGCCGGTCGTGTAAGTATCTGCGATCTATCCATACACGACCACCGCGGCCGATGCGGCGGGATACTCTCAAATAACGATAGCTTTTGTTGTCTGGGGTACATTCATCCAACTGATACGATGTCCAATAACGGTTAGGTATTTGCAATGACTGTAATCGGCCAACACTGGAAGACAAAGGATCCGCCGTGTTGTCCGTCTTGTGCGACCTGAAAGAGTGATTGAGAGGCGCATTTGCATGAACACTCACTCTAAACGCATCTTTTTCAGTGCTCGGGAGCGCTTGTTGTCCAGAATACTTCGCCAAAAAGGGCAGACGTAGCTCTCATCTTCTCGTTCCCGACATCGCTGGTCAAAAAGCACCACCTCCAATTGCGCCACCATCAGCTTCTTCTCATCACGTTGGCGCATCTTGTTTAACAGCTTCAGTACTTTACGAAATCCGTCAATTATGCGGAATAGACGCAATATGCTTTCGACTTTTGTGCGTCGAGGGCGACGCAACAACATCTTGTCCTTGGTCCGAGGACGAAAAACTGGAAATGCTGACGACTCCCACATCAATGTAACTGGCCAGAGATGACGGATTAATGGCAACGCGTGGTCCGCACGGCGACGGGACCAATAAGCGTGTACCTCGTGCAGAACAAAAGCCGGTGCCGCGTTTCCGCTTTCACGGGCTCCCATTAAGGCAATCTCATAACTGAATGCTTTCTCACGAGGGCATTTAGCAGATCCTTTCTCGAAGTAATCCATCAAAAGGCAGAACTCGACCTGACATCAATGCGAAAAGAAAAAATATTGTACATACCAAACTGAGCGGGGTGTCCGGGCAACGCACGTTAAAAGACTCCACGAATTGTACATCTTGTTCGTACAAGCTGTAGTGCACAGAAACTGTTTCGGATAATTTCACCCCTATTTGGCTATGACGATTTTGCATGAAACGGATGTATTGTTTCGGAAGAACAAATCCCAAATCCTCTATAGCATCATCCTTGTGCATAGCGGTAGAGGGCACTGTAATGCGATTGCGCACCGACTCAGCAGTAGGCTTGGTCCTGGTGAGGTTACTCACTTGTCCGTGTAGGACGCAGGCTGTAAGCGCTCCAAGTTCCTCCTGCAGCTCAGACGAAGGATTAGACTTCTCTGCTTCCTAACGCGTAGTGAACACTATAACCTAATTTGTTACTTACTAAAAACGCGTCAAATTCGCCCCGCGACCTCAAAATTCTAATGCCGGCTGTCAAATTTACCTGTTTTGTCCTAACCGCCCGGCCAGTGGCGGCAGCCGGTGGGAGTACCATACTCTACCGGTCAAAATTATAGCATTTCCCTCCCAACAAATGCTAAATATGATTATTGCGGTCCAGGAAGGGCGTTAAATTCGCACCGATCACAGGAAGAACCTAGACACCCCCATCAGCAATATAGGAACTAAAAGGTATAATAATGGAAACACTGTTTATGAATTTGTTCTAGTTATAAATGTGTTAACTGTATTATATGCTGAGTTTGTGAACCGCGAAATGCGGAGTCGCCAGACTGCCCTACGGTTACGACATCTATATACGGCTCAATCGTTTCTGACTCTCCACCGCTACACACTGATGTTATATCGTTGTGTCACTTTCCCATATTAAGTATGGCAAGCGTATGACATAGAAACAGCCACCAATATATAACTCTGACCTATGAAAACTTATCCATCTTAAAAAACACATTCGGAGTCTATAAATGCAACGTGGGTCGAGCCGCTCGTCTAATAGTTATATGCTACCCGCAAATGTGTTTGTATATTCACCATGTAGATCCACGTCACCGTCAAGGCGGGAATTTTCTCCCTGAGCGACGTATAGACCGCACAAAGCCAGAAGTGCAGCGTGAAACGTCACACAATTGATGCGTTCAATGCCGTAACAAAACTATTTATGAACATATCGTAAAATAGTGGCCCAGTTTGGTGAAGTGGATGTCGCAATGAAGGATTCCGTAAGCCAATGCTGGTACCTTTTTACAGTTTGCAGTTGTATATGGGCACCAGCAACACCGCTGACATTATGCGATGGTGGATCAATCTTAATTTGAAGCCTAGACAGGAATACAACACATTTGTAAACACCAAGGCGGCAGACATCGTGGACCAAATTGCCCAAACGCGTAGAGCGGTAGTAACACGTGCTGGAGCCACCAGCATACAACATATCAACTCTGACCTTACCCCGAAGTGGGTTAAGCCATTCGGAAGAACACGTAGGGCACATACGCTGCAGGAAGACGACTAATAGGCCCTGGAGGGTGACACTCACGCAGCATAGCACTGTTGCGAAGTGGATTCTCTGTCAAATGTAACATTAATGCATATGACAATATAACGAAAAAGTGTTGTGCGTAGTAAAATTTACTACTCAGTGTGTACGTCAGACGTTACTTGTTAGTGGCCAACAGCACACCCCTATTGGCTGGGGGACACTTGTTCAAAGCGCGCATAGGCGCGCCGAGATATAGATAATGCTTTACGGCTATTTTATATTATCCGTGAAGTATACGCAACGTTAGATAATGCCTCAGAGGGGCATTGTAACGGTATTGGATGTCGTTGTGACGGTCGCTATGGAAGCTCTACACGTGATAGACGCAAGATGGCAGTAGGTGATTCATTTGGTGGCGATGTGTAATCACTTGTATGCAGAATCCGTGCACGTTGCCGATAAATCGCAATCGCATGACGTAATAGGACCAAGTGGTGGGTATTTATACTGTCTACATATCTCCGCAGATCGCTCTCGTATGCAACCAGTTAAATGCCCATACCTTGGAACTATCAATAGGCACCTATTGGACTTCGATTTTGAAAAGGTTTGCTCCGTCACTCTTTCAAACAAACATGTCTATGCGTGTCTTGTTTGCGGACGTTACTTTGAAGGTTAGCGATACATATATTTAAACGTCTACATCACGCTTAGGGAGAGGAAAGAATACCTGCTCCTATGTGCATGCTCTTGAAGAAAGACATTATGTGTTCATAAATCTGCATGACTGCAAGGTCTACTGCCTACCGGAAAATTACCAAGTTGAAGATGCATCACTCAACGATATAGCTGTAAGTAATACACTAATACGGCATTTATAAATGCCGTAGCTGTTTCTGAAGCCAAGATTCACCAACGAATACGTGGATTGTATAGACTCCAAAATAGTATATGGAAAGGCGCTAGATGGGACGGACTTCATACCGGGTATTGGAAAATATCGACATATGCGACACCCTATGCAGGTTGTGTGGGTCTGAATAACCTTAAATGCACCGACTTCTTCAACGTCATAATTCAGGTACGCCGTCTGAACCGTTATATTATTGTGAAATGTGGCGTTTATGGTAGTAGTGCAAATGCGGCGACGATATGCCCACAGTACGTACCTGTACGGAGTATTCGGCAGTATACATACTAAAGATGTAATAGGTTATATGCTCCGTGGCGAGCTTACGGAACCACCTGCTGTTGCTTGACGTAGAAAGAATACAACCGCCCGACCACGTTATCACAACTCTTGTGGAACTAGTACGGAAAATATTCAATCCGAAAAACTTTAAGGGGATAGTGTCCCCCCATGAATTCTTACAAGCAGTAGGAGTCGCATCTGGAGGTATGTACAAAATCGGAACCCAAGGCGACCCTGTGGCTCTGATGTCATGGTTGTTTAACAAAATACATTGTCGATTAAAGAAAAAAAAGGAAAATGGTACGTTAAGAGCGTTAGACGTGATGGACGCGTTCAGAATCCATTATATCAAGCACCTTTGGCGGGCAGTTAATGGTTATGACGCAAGATGGGCAAGAATGGAAGGAGGATATTGCATCCTTCAGAATGCTCACTTTGGATGTTCCAAACGCGCCCATATTCAAAGACGCGCAAGATAAAAACATAATTCCTCAAGTTTCCATATTCCAGCTTTTGCAAAAGTTTAATGGACGGACCGAACATGTGTCGGCCAAAGGGTTTATATGCCGTTATCGGCTATGGAAACTTCCTAAATACTTGATTATCAATGTAAAAAGGTTCATGCGTAATAACTTTTTCCTGGAGAAGAACCCGACCATTGTGTCTTTTCCCATGAAGAACCTCGATCTTTCCGCCTGTAAGTTGTGATGGCATAGAACATCCATGCGCAGATGTTGACGATCGTGCACCAGACAAACGTCATATGAACGCGAGATATGACCTTGTGTGCAATGTTTGCCATCAGGGTAGCCCAGCGGCCGGGCGTTACAAGATACACGTGCTCCATGGACCGTCAGGAGACTGGTTTGAACTGGAGGACCTTCTCGTTACATCAGTATTACCGCAGTTTGTTGCGCAATCAGGTATTAATTTTTGGAAAATGATACACAAAAAGCAGAGTCATACATACAAGTCTACAAGCTGCAAGACGATGAAAGTGGTGCCGCGACTTAGCGCGGCTCCGCAAGCATCGACGAATTCCACTAACGCGGTCTAATTTTTTCTAAATAGATTCAATATGGTATTTACAGAAGATGACGAGGATCAGATTATGTTTGATCTATACGATGGGCTCGACACATTCGCCCAGAAATCACATGAGCTAGGTAATCCGTCTGATAAGCCTATAACAACTAAAATCGCACAAGACACGTATCCTAAGGAATTGGAACATGGTGTCGCCAGTAAATGCCAATTCAAAGAACTTGGAGCTGAAGATTTGGGCAGCGGTGTTGCTGGCCCAGCTACCACCCTGGAAGATGAAGATGACGGCTTAATATTCATCGTCGAAGATGACGAACGCGAAACTGATACCGTTATTGAACGTAATGTGAAAGGTTCAAAACCATCAGGGAGGGCAAAACTGGGAGGGTGGGCAACCAAGTACACTAAAAAAGGTAAAACATGCTGCACATTTACGATCACGCTGCAACAGATCGAGTTATATACATAGGTGCACCAAGCTCCGATTCACAAGCTATGGCATCGGTACAACCGGTCAAAGAGTGCTTTTGCCTCGTAACTGGAATCCCGTGGTGGATGGATGTGCATGAATTCAACCACTCACTGGAATCCATAGGAGGGATAGTAGCCTTCTCTAAGATTCTGAGTGATCCAACTAGTGGTGTGTCCCTGGGATCAGCGGTAGTCGAATTCGTGGACTGCGGGAGTTGCTCAACATTCAGAAACTCGAAGAGTCGATTTACTACGGCTGAAGTGTCAGATGACATCTTCGAACTTATCAAAGATTCGTCACTCTACCGTGAAGGGGTATTCAATACTGGAGTCCTTAAACGCATCTTAGCTCACCTTGGAATCACTGTCAGGAAACATGCAACCGGGCTCCAGAGTGATCCGTGCTACGAAATGGATTTCGAGGTGCAACAACTCGACATGATACAAGATGGCGAATTTCAAGCTGCCTCGAATTTTTTCCCGTGGCTAAATCTGAAAATGCTCAAACTGATGGGATGCTCCAAGCGAAGAGAGCAAAAGAACTCGGAAAGCACCTACCATATCGCAAATCATTTAGAAGCTTATCAACACAAAAACAATGTGGTCCAGAACTCTTTCAACAAGATCATGCCTAAAATAGTAATGAATAATTATATGCAGGAAGCAACCAAAGATATGGGTGAAACAGGAATGTTCCCTTTCCCTTTTGTTTTAAATCCGCTTGGTCAACAGACAAAAGGCGCCGTATCGATGCGGATGAAGCAGGGTAACCTGGTACATGATGACCAGGAACCAAACTCCAGCAACACAAAACGTCCGAAATTGGAACCCAGTAGGAAAGAAAAGGGCGACGAAAGACGGGGGGATTCTTCTACAAGTCCTTCAAGAAGACGACAATCACCATGCCGAAACACTAATCGAAACAGCTCACATCATAGAAGGGAAACTTGTAAACGGGATCGCCGATGAATATAAAATAATCTATGATTTAGCATATTAAAGGTAAAATGCATATCGTGTTTATCTCTATTTGATTCGGCATGCTTGTTGTGTATAAATGTTCACCTTGACGACCAGACGAGCATATATGCAGGGGAGGCTGCAATTGTGCAAAAACGGTTTGGATGCTGTAAGGACTATCTGAAGCTGCTAGAAATAAATACCTATTAAATCCAACTATTGGTTGTTAACAAATAATGTTTAAACCAAACACACGGGTTTGCTACGGATATTATGCGATGTTGTTTACATGGCATAGGAGAAGCGATTTAAGCTTTATGGTAAAACGCATCAACAACACATCATAGAAGTTTGAAACCCCCTAGATGCTTTGTTAGTTTTTCTTCACGTTGCAACTGATCGATCGCATCCAGAAGCTGGCGACGTTCGAGATACTCCCCTTTTAGTTTAAATTGCGATCTGCATCGTTCGTATATCGCATCCAAACTTGCCGATGGTTCAGCACTTGTTATAAAGGCAACTGTGGACAATATCTCCTCACACAAAACTTCAGCTCTTTTGGCAGCGGCAGACGTAAGGCCAGTTGCCAACTGGTCAAAATCTATCTTTCCGCTCACAGGGTCAATCAGAGATTGGAATGTCGTAGCACGCATCAGCCGAGCAGCTTCACGTGCATCAGCACCCGTCACGTGTGGAGAAAGCTTCATCTTAGCAAGCGCCTGACTAAGACGAATCAAACCTTCAAGTTGACGAGCACTGGCACACGGCAATTTAGATGAACCCTCGGTAAGACGCATCTTCAGGTACTCAGATATGATTATCTGGCGGCTCTCAGCTGTTAAATATGGGTTGCAATTCGCCCTGGCAAACCATATATATCGTGAAAGGGTCACTGGGTCTATTGGAGGGGGCTCCTGGTCGATTCCAGCAAAGGAGTTGCATAGGCGCTTGGCTATTACCTTATCTTCCATTGGATCAATACAATCTAGAACCAAATAAATCAAATCAAATCTGCTAAATAGCGACGGAGCGAGATTTATGTTATCCACCACGGCTTTGCGTTTGTCGTAACGAGAATTAACTGGGTTCGCGGACGCTAGAATTGCACTTCTTGCGTTCAGAGTAGCCACTATTCCTGCCTTTGCAATCGTCACGGTTTGCTGTTCCATAACCTCGTGCAAAATGGCCTTGGCGAAATCGTCCATCTTGTCAAACTCATCAATGCAACATATTCCACCGTCTGACAGCACCACTGCACCACTTTCAAGAACATATTCGTGTGTTTCTACATCTTTTCGTACATATGCCGTTAGACCCACTTGACTGCTGCCCTTTCCACTCGTGTACACTCCGCATGGTGCAAGCATGTGAACGTACTTCAACAGTTGGGACTTCGACGTCGACGGGTCACCGCAAAGGAGCACATTTATTTGAGATCTCATGCGAGATGATGGATCCACGCTAGCACCAAAGAGCTGACATAACAAACCACGTTTTACATCATCACGACCCTGGATTGAAGGCGCAAATGATTTCACTAGCAAATCATAGATATTTGCACATTTAGATAGACGGAAAATTTCGTTCACAATATCTTGTGAATAGTTCAAAGGATTCTTATCCAGGGTTGACAACAATTTAGGTACAGAAGCCATCCTATACTTCGACGACTCCTCCAACCTTATATGCAAGGCATTCATAAACGTGCGATATATAGCACTAGAGGTCCTCATACGAGGATTTATGCGAAGCGAAGATGCTTTGAAAATACCTGTTACTTCAACCTTGTCTCCGGGCATAGCTGCATCTATCAAATCGTCGTATGCATACACAATGACAGACTGCGGAGACTCCGACGCTGTTTGGGACGTTTCAATTAACTTTATTAATTGTTTACTCGCAAAGCAGCACAGATTGTGCCTCAACTCAAAACTATTGCGACTCTTGCACTTGGAACACGACGTTGGCTCGTTCACCTCACCCTGGATAACATATTCATAGACTTCCTGGGAGCATTTTTCGAAAGAGTTTATTCCCATCTTCAGCTGGCCTGAACACGTGAAAGCTGCCATAGTCATCTCAGGTATTACGTCTGAGCAACGCACTACAATTCCCTTAATTGAGACAAGAGTGTCAATATCCCCGGGGCCCAAATCGGATGCGCGATCTGATTCGGGCTTGCCAAAAAGACGTACTCTTGGGTTCCATTTAACTTGTCTATTGTCAACGACCACCCCTGTCTCGCTGAAGTATTCCGACATCATTTCCTCAAAGAAACGTTGTACCGTCCGGTCGAGCTCGCTGACGGAGTCGGCCGGGTACTTGGTGAGCAACTGATACAACACGCCATCAAATGCCTTTATGTGTGATAGATTTAATTCGAATCGACGTACGATGGAAGGTGAATTATTCAATTCTTCTCCAGTCGTAGATCCAAAGTGTGAATCTATATATAACATCATTTTCAAACCATAATATACCATTGTCCACCGTGACGCAAAGTTCTCACGCTTATCCAATAATTCGTAATCTTCATCCGTTGGTACAATCACTCCATCGAAATCTTCAATACGGAATTCTCGCAGAAATGCGCTAAAGCGAGTGTTCACCTCGTCAATCCTAGCATCCAAAATGTATGGCATACGTCGAATTTCATCTGGTTGCATGAACAACTCCCTGCCCATATCCCCAATATCACTGCGAGCTGCACGTATACGCCGTAATACATTAGGAGTCCTGCCGTATTGAGTGTACTGGGTAGGCCTTCTAGTGCCTGTTAAGTGCTCCGATTCGTCCAGCGTCAAACGACGCCTCATTGACGCGCCTCCCCGGTCATCACTGCTACCGCCAGGATATGATAGCGATTCCCGATTGTTCAACGGAGTTTTGTTAGACGATACAGAATCCATTTTGGCTCGGTTTTTCAAGGAAGGATGGAAAGAAGGATGGAAGCAGTAGTGATAACAAACTTATGTATAGGGCCGAGGCACGCCCGGTTATTCACCGCGCCAAAATGCTGACACAAGCCGTCTTACGAAACACATAATATTTATTGAACTTCAGGATGTATAATATCATACGTAACTCATGGCCGTTCCCCCTTTAATCGGGGGCTATGTACATTTATTAATGTGTAGTGTGTCGTGGAAACAACAACATCGATACAATGCAAAACACCTGTAGAGCCACAGGTATAAATCTTGTAGCTTTTTTAAATATTCTTTCACAGTTTGAATCACAAGAGGGGGCCATTAATAATGGTGTCATACAAAGGCAACTCCTGTAAGACAAACATTCTAAGTAAAGATGCGCCATCAATTCTCTAATATCACTGGCATGCAGTTGTGAATTACATAGGAGTTTACAGTGATGCGCGTCGATTAAAGGAGGTAAAAACACCGATATGGCGTTAGCTAGCAAAGATAATCAACGTAGACATCTAATCACATCTGCAGCATAAGAACACCAAAAATGTCATAACTATAATATTACTAGTTTATCAGTGTTGTAGCCACATGGAGGTGCCGACATGGAAGGCAACGTAAGTTAACAGTCCGATGGCATACTTAGGCCAGCAGGATTCCACAACCTCATGAAGAATCACTATCATTATCTTCAATGCCGTGGTATACACGGGATATTATGCGAGGGTCACTTTCCGGGGGATACGTCACGGGTACCACACGCCTCAGGAACCAACCGGTGACTGCTGGGTTACCAAAGCAATACCATATAACCGAAGGCAACAAAAACATAGAACAGAGATATAAACCTCCGTAGCGCCTATACGCCCGCGAACGAGTAGTATCTCGGGTGAAGCCGTAACCCCAAAGTCCCATGGTTACGTATATATGACTTTAGCACGGTGATCCGAAACAGATTGTTAATGGAGTGTACGATCAGACCATTAGAGGAGTATATTAGTGTCACCTATGTACTATTTGGTATTTTTGTGAATTTTGTCTGCTACGTGGGCCCAGGCCTTTCGATCAAGAATCTTGTCGCGTGGATATCGCGTACACATGTGTAAGGTTAATCGTGTTGCCGACCAATAAACCTTATTACCGTATGTTTTGTTATATGTGTTAGGGTTTTAATAGCCATGTGGTATATCTTTAGTGCTTTTTAATTGCCGTGTTGCCCGTTAACTATGAGCATAATGAATAGTGACTGCAGCGTTCAACCACATTCATCCGGTACGGTTGAACAGAAATAAACGCAATAAAAATAAATAAACTGCAGTATTTCCTTAAAATGAACAATGAGGTCAAAAGGATCGCCCACCAATAGTGACGGTCACAGCCGTGAAACTGAAGATATCTTTAGTGAGGATGTTAAGGACCCCTCGATGTTCATGATACAATCGTCTGACGAAGATGAAGAGGAATATCTGTACGGCTCTACATCTACACCCCTGGAAAGCAAATCGGTGGAACGCGGAACAAACAGGAACCATGATTTTCTCAGCGCCAAGGTAAACCGCCAATATAGGCTTGGGGAGGAACTATATCAACATGATCTCAAGGCTGACGTCTTACTCTCACAAATCAACCAATTTTTTGAGCAATCAATGGCTTCACTTGTTGCTGCAGGAGCTAAAGCTTTAGACGACTCCAACACGTCAAAGGACAACTGTAAACAATTACCGGAGCGCTTACAACACACACAATCTGAGGATGTTGAAACCGTGGCCAGTATTGTGGGTCAAGATTATCGCAATCATACCGTGAAGAATTGCCTAGATACTAGAAAACGCAGGCGTAAGCAAAATACAAAATACCATTACAACGAAGACACCGCATCATGCGATGGTATAACAGATGAAGTCAATTCGCCATCATCTATTTACGTTCCGTGTAATCCCAGCAATGGGTACAAACGCAGCTCGGCACGACGCACTCGGGGCAAATTTGTAAACGCAGATCAGATGTTCGATGTCGACGAACAATGCGGCGTTCTCACCCCCAAAGTGTTGGATGACGAGTTTAATGGGGAATTGAAGGTGAAGAAGCCGAATAAAAGGAAATGTTCAAAGTACGTTTTTCGATGAAATAACCACTTTGTAACTGCAATACATCAAAATTAACGCATTCTCAGGAGCAAAAACTCCAAATCCACACTGGAAAATACTGCGGTTGTATCGCCAAATGTCCAAATTACAGCTGCTACCATGCGCCGAACAACTCCAAGAGTAAATGTAAAACAAACCCGGAAGGGTAAGAACAACAAATTAGTTGCTGAACAGATGAGTCAAAAATCAACTGGTGTTCGCAATATTTGTCTAAAATTTGTGATAATAGATGAAAATTGCTCTGTTATCAAGGATGAGCGACTCGAGAAGGTGATAGTTAGGCACGACGAAAGGATAGGTAATCTGGCGGCGAAGTTCGGCAAGCTCTTCGACCTGGATGAAAATAAGTATAAGGATGTCAAAATATATATTGATGGAGATCTGCAGCCCCATGATATTGCGATAGGTGAGTAAAGATTCTTTTTACTTGCAGTTATTGAGTGCTGCCTACAGAATACCTGGGGTTTATGTCATGAGCTTTGTTGTTATAATATACGATAATACGTATACAAATGGTTTGCTATTATCCATCCTAATGTAAAGAGATTATATGAGGTCAGGTTGTCTTCCATGTTGTTTACATCCCATGTATATGCCCTTATTTGCTTCGATGCAGGTAGTGAAATGCTAGAAATCGAGGACGGAATGCAAGTCGATGTCAAGTTTCCCCAAAAGGATGCGGGGGAATGTCTCGATGCGGTGTGTGAGAGTACTCAAGTGGCTGCTGGCTACGCACCCAGCAACGTAGTTGGTCACATTGCTGCGAATGACTGCGCGACCGAACCGCGTGACTGGGTCTCGGGAGCTCTATTTGAGGAAGTCATAGAAATAGATTAATTATAGAGGTACCAATAGCAATGTGCATGATGATTGTGTAGAGCGCGTTGGCATACACACTTGGCGGGCGGCCATCAAGGGGTGTCGTTGTAACATAGGAACTGAGGCCTAGACATGCATATAATCATGTCCCGAAAAGATGAGCTGTTAGCTGAGTTGGAAGAAGGTTCCATTGAATTGAACGAAGCCGCAGGAAAGGATTCCATTGAAGAAGTGCTGCAAAAGGTCGATCTTCTAATAGAAAAGCTTTTTGTAGCAAAAGCAGAGTTACGGTGCTTTTTCGACCGCCAATTCTTTGTCAGTGGCTCAAAACCTGAATGCAATGGCAACACGAACGAATTAAAGACCCCCCAAGCAAGAGTCAAGCTTAGGCAAATATGCCTCCATTTTTTACGCACGATAAAAACACTTAGTCAGAAGGAAGGTTATTTGATATATATTCTTCCTAGGATTTTCACGGTTCTGCGCTTGGAAATTTCGTTGCGTAATGTAGAACCTATAGGAGACGAGCCAAACAAAGGCGTTGAGAGTTCATTTCCCCTGCCTCTAGTGGAATATATTATTGGATTGGCGCTCTACTCAGCTGATTATGATGACGGAATTGTGGAAATTTTAATTCATGATTACATCGTAAGCTCCGATGAATGGCTATATAATGCGTATAGTGCACTCGAAAACATGCTGAAAGATTTTGACGCACCACAATTCGACCTATATAGGAATGACAACTTATCTGCAGAAATCTTTTTCGCGAGATTCGTCTCCTTTCTTTTGGCGCTGCCAGCCCCGCAGTTTCCCAGTCATCTAAAGGTTACATCTGCGCCCAACAGTGAGAAGACGTCGGAACATACTAACTCCAATGACGAAAATGATTCCGACTCTGACATTGATTACGGGTCTGTATCATCAGAGGAAGATGACGCGGATGTGTCCATAAGCAGTGAGTCTATGGAATCTCATGTTAGTGCCACGGTAGAAGGTTTTCACTGGCCATTCAACTTCACAAAAACATACGGTGCGCTGTGGCAAAGTGTCATATTCGCAAAACTGCCTATGCCCAAGGAACTCCTTGCAGAAATTATGAGTCGCATGCCCACATCCATATTACCCTATACGAAAACCCCGATGATATATACAAACTGGTTAATGGGGCAGTTGCATGGTGAAGATAAAGTTCTGAGTATGCTGAGCCTTGGCAGCATTTTTGAGCTTATATTGAAGTATGGATTGGCTGAATTAGACTGCATACGCGCAAATGAAAACCGACAGTGTTCAATATCTGCTTTTTATGAACTATTATATGGGCATATAAGCAGTTTTGTCTTAAATTCGAAGTTTGGTAATCAATTTCTGTATTTTCTGAATATGGCTTTAAAAAGCACCATGATGCCCTCAAGTATGACGATGAAGTTTATCAAGAAAATCGTAAGAATGTCTTGTTTTACAAACTCAATGAAGTCCGCAGCATTGCTGACAATTGCTTTTAATCTTCTCAAAAGGCATGCACAGACATACCTTAATATTGTCCACCGGGATACTATTCGTGACGCCAAACAAACACGTGACGTCTCTGACATGGAAATACTTACTGACGTTGTAGAATCAAATGACAATGAAAAGGATACGACTTTCCTTTGGGAATTGCCGCTGCTAATGAATCATTTTAATGAGCGTTCAGCAGTTATTGCTAGTACGTTCTATTCGGACCTAAAAAGAAAGCGGAGCTTACTACTCAAGGCTGAGGACGTTATTTTATCTGACAGCAGAGACCATCTAAGGCAGGAACTCATGAGGACATGCCGTGAGGACACAAACACATTCCGCAAAAAGCTGCAAAGAAAAACAAAACTATTGTCAAAATTTTTTGAATGACATGAAATTGTGCTTTTCCAAATACCTATTTCATAGCACCTCGTATATTTGCTAAATCACTATGTTGTTGCAAGCTAAATATGGTTTCACAACACCCGAGCGCATTGTTGGCCCTCAGCCACTACGGGCATTATCGCACAAGTAACGGCGTATTGGTAACGTGCCGCCAGTTGTGTATTACCGGTGCTGTCAGGATACTACGAAGTGTTCAGAGTATATGTACTGCTTAATGAAGTCGAAGATCCTTATGTGTGAAACCCATATTCATCCAAAATATTCCTTAACCATTGAAAACGGTGTCTTCTCAACCTTTATTTCTTAAACAACCCAAACAGCGAACACTGTGATATTTGCCATCACAATGGATGTCGCGGGCATGTGTAAAGCGCTTAGAGATGAACAGTTGCCAGACCTAGTGTAGTTCCCATACGGCGAAACTAGACGGCTAATCTGCGTTAGACACCCCGATGGAAGGAGGGCAAAATGCGATCTACAGTGTTCAGTGCTATCTCTCATTATGTATTTACGATCATACAGTGTATCAAGCCAGTTAAGGGGCCGTTGTAGGCGTTATGCGTCTGATACGAGGGTGGATGGGCATCCTCTCAAAAGCCTCGCGATCCAATGAGAAAACGCGTTACTGGAGCAGAAGGGAACGTATGACGCTTAACTCCAAATAAGTACACAACGCGGCCCGCAGAACGTTCGGAAAATCGTATTTGAATGTGCTGTTTCCAGACATCAAGTGTGACTACCAAGGTATGCGGGGATCCAGGGAGGGGAAACCAAGAAAGATATATTTATCCAGAACGTCCGGGGATCACCTCCTGATCACTACCGAAGGGAGTTGACTTGTGAAACTTTTTGTAGCTGCGTTGTGATTTCCAGTCGTTACGTTCCTGCAATGTGTGGGTGCGACATCAATGCGACTCACGTATGACGTAGCATGGAGGACCGGTTTCGCGGTGGAGACAAATATGGTGCCCAAATAATTATCACTTATATCTGTACAACAGCTGGGATTCTCGCCCATTAAGAACGTGGTAGCCCTAGGCGTAATGAACTCGCAATAGTAAGCATGTCCCCGAACTATAATCGCGGCCGTATCGCCATCGATTTGACTACTTCGCAACGCTTCCAAAACATCTATAATAAAGTGGAACACCCTGTAAGTTAAATACCTTTGGGGCGAAGATGCGGCAGAACCGAGACATCTATCTCAACTTTAACAACATATTCTGTACTGGCCTCGATAACATCTGACAACCGCAGCCGTGAAGCACCTCTTCTCAGCCTTACATTACCGACATTGTGGACAGTATGGCCTTCCATATTTTATAGCATTACTGCGGCCATTACCACACTGGGGCCTACTCTGGCAGGGAAAATACGTTGTTCGTGTGTGGCAACACGTACCCACTTCTATAAGGCATCGCGTCGGTTGAAACGCGGGCAATTTCGAGCAATTGTGCACCTTGAGAGAGCTGTGTGTTCATAAATTATTTCGTGTTCGATTGCGACCAGAAAAGGACAGGCCACCTGGTGTGTAGGCCAAAATAAATTTTGTACTGTCTAACAGCAGTCGGCATCGCACTCGATTGGAGACTCGGATTCTGCAGCGTTTGTGGACGATGTGTATCTAAAGCAGGTCAAGAGGTAGCCTAGAGCATAGCCCGTGCAGGCGACAAGCACTATTCCAAGGTTGAAAGTCATAACGATCAGCATCATACAGAAGTCCATAAAAATGACTGTATAGGCGATGGCAAACATGGCCAGCTGCCTCAACACGTAAGGACAAGTGTTCATTTCAGCCAGTATTGTATTAGCCTTCTTTCTTAAAGCCTTCAATAGTACAGTAAATATTGATAGAAGGAATATAATCATCAAGCTGATGGCGTAACTAAGCGCTGTCGTTGTCCTCCAAAATTCGAAAAGAATAACAGCCTTAGAACTGTTGTGAAAGTAGGCGGCCATGCAGCAGGACGTCTCAGCATCGCCATGCGTCATATCCGCCAAATCATTCGCATTTGTAACACCACATGCTCTCCCCTGGCATCCACGTGCAGCAGAGAGCATTTCTTTGCTTTTAAGATTGCACGTCGCTGATCCTGCGCCCATATCGGAGTGCGATTGTTGCAGGTTCCCAGAGCAAGGGTGGACTGTTGCAGACGACACTAGCGGGGTCTCCACACCATTGTAGTTGTAACCGTGGCTTGCGCAGTCTTTGCGCGGTAGAGCACGTTCTACAGCCCTGTCAGCCTCTTCTTTACCGCTGCAGTGTGCAGATGGAACCGCATTTATTTTGGAATCCAACGAGATTCTCACAGTGTCATGCATATCTTCTGGCAATGTTGTCATAACTGCATTCTTTACGTCACTTGCATCGTTAGTAAGCCTTGATGGCGACATAGCAGCAGCTTTTATTGTGGCCGCCTCCGAGTCAAACGAATCCGTCTCCTCCGTTATAACACCGCTAGCCGTTGAGCAAAAGAATAAAATGTGAGCGATGTACGCGGCAGACAAAGTCTTCAATATTCTACCCTTCATTTGCATTGTCGTCCAGAAAAAACGTGTACAATGAATGAATACAAGGGCAGCTTAAGCTATAAGATATCAATGCGATAGGTGTCTGTTGAATATTCGTGGAAGGCTCTCTGTGCGAAGTATATAGCAGAAATTAGTCTATCACAGCCTGGGTACAGCACGCTTCACATCAAGCGTCGGGTGGAATTTTACGAGACAAGCCCTACAGGCAGCCTTTTACGCCATGATTTGTGCCGACAACAGTTCAGGTTCTAATGTGCTACTATAGTATGTGATGTGCCAATGCGTTGTACGCAGTGTGTAAGACGCCAAAATTGATGTCGCATCATGTCGGCAATCTTACGGCCAAAACTTTAGCTTATTATAGATATTCAAAAAAGATCATGTGTAAATTTCCGCAATGTGCGTGAGGCCAGCGAAATAACTGAAAACAAAACGGCGCAATTACAACACCCTAACCGAGGTAACGCAAATGCCGCCATCACGCAAATGAATCTGCGTGATACAAATAACAACAGTGTGCCTTTTAAATCTACCCAGTGTGACGTATGGTCCGTGTATGTGTTCTGCCGACTTGTTCATGGGGGTCCACGCCATGGGGAGTTTCAATGAACGGTTAAAAAGAGCGCTGCGGCAAAACTTTAATACATATAAATTCCGTGTTTAGTCATTCGCATCAAAAACACAATGGTGAGTACCACAACACTTATTTTGAGGGAGACTGACGATATTGCAGACGGACCAGGGGGCGCAAGTAAATCGGAAAAGGACCTTTAGGACCTTCAAGTTCCGTGGCTATGAGCTAGAAAAATTGCTTGAAATGCCTATGGAAAATTTCATTTCACTGCTTAGGTCTAGGCAAAGAAGGCGATTCTCAAGAGGTAAGCCCGCCTGTGGTGGCGACGTCCCAATTGACGCGTAGGCATCAAAAAGCAAACCCTCACGCTACTGAAAAAGCTGCGTGCAGCCAAGAAGGATCTCGCTTACGGAGAAAAACCGGAGCCCGTAAAGACCCACTTGAGGGACACCATAATAGTCCCGGAGATGATCGGATCTATAGTTGGGGTGTACAATGGCAAACAGTACATCAATGTAGAAATTAAGCCGGAAATGGTGGGATATTACGTGGGAGAGTTCTCCATCACGTACAAGCCCGTTATGCACGGAAAGCCGGGTATAGGAGCAACACACTCTTCTAGATTCATCCCACTTAAGTGAACTGATGATCTCTTAACATGTTACGCACTGGATAAATATTCAAATGGGTTCGCTTCCCATGTGGAGATGCAGTGAATTAAATTCCACATTTGAGTGCGGTGTTCTATCTCGCAACGGAAAGTTGGCGCATGTACATGGTGGTTCATGACACTCGACTTTTGCCCTCATAGGGCAGAGTCTCCTGAGTGGAGCTCTTCTTCCTTATGAGTTACTATAGTACAGTCAGAGCGTGGGTAACACGTACACAACAGGCAATACCCTTGACTCATTTGCGCATTATCCAGGTAACTCTGCTCCTCGTTGTCCACGTCACCATTAACAATCTTCCCTGAAATTATATCATTGATGCAACGTGTAAAAAGTAGGTACCTGCACAAGTTGAACAACTTCCTCCACGACAACTGTATGGGAGATCAATCCCTGCTTTTTCTGCCGCTTCTAAGATGTATTCATCAGGATCACAGTCGACGGTTACATCACCTTAGAATTGTGATAGGACTCAACCTATAAACTAACCCTGTGGAGTTAAAAGCTTTATGGAGTAATAACGAGCTGAAGGGCGAAGAGATCTGGGAAAACACCCATCATAAGCAACCGGGGACAAATCTGTAGCACACATACGATGCTTTCGAAGCCTATCACAACGTGTAATGTATCCGATCCTACGTGCTTGCAATGGTCGCGCGCAGTGGCGCTGAACACGTTCACCCGTTACATCTACGACCAAATAGACATTCAAAACGACGCATAGGACATAGGCCGCCTTAAGTGACCTCATGTAAGTATATAAAATTATTGGTTTGTATTTCACAACTGGGATAAAAAACAACCCGTAAATAAGCACGCAGGACTTTTACTGCGAAATCCGCAGCAGTGTTTTGGCGCGAGCGCCTTACCACATTCTGCGTTGTAATATTTTCAAACATTTATGTGCGCTAATGGCGTGCCATGGTTTCGAATGCTTGTGGACAAGAGATCAAAACATTAACTACTCGCCCGATTCCATACCGAATCGCCTCAACGATGCACAGCTCACTTGACCACAACACATAAATGTGTACAGGTCGCAAAAGGTGGAAGGATGGATCATTACACTGTTTTTGTAAATCTATACGTTGAAACAGCATCAGTTAGACAATGCGTTACTACATGCGACCTTTAGGCAACACCTAACCCTTCGATACGCTAAGTCGACCGTGTATTGCGGACGCTTGAATCTTCACTAGTGGGTGTTGGGTGTTACCCAAATGCTTCTTTCAACTTTTCCAAAAGCAGAGTGCGATCTTTTGGCGCCATTTTTGTAATAACTTTCATTACGGCATCTGCGCTGTACTTCGATCGCCTCACGAACGTCTTCAGATATAAGTACGTGAATGCGCCCATTAAAATGTGGCAGTCGAAACGGTCCATCATACCTCCATGGCCTGGAATAGTGTCACTAAAGTCTTTTACCTTTAAAGCGCGCTTAAAACCAGACGCCAAAAATCCCCCAAATGGGGCAAATAACGACGCAAACAACGTTAAAATCATAACATGGACAAAACAAGGCTTATATAAGACCTCCTTTACACCGAATACATTAGCTGCCCAATTAGGCAAGATATACGTCGAGATTTTATATATGCTTTCCGGTTCACAAGTAGTGGTCATCCACGCAAATGGTGTAAAGTCGAAATTATTAACGGGGCAAACCATGGGTTGGAAACTCATTATAGTAGGTGTTACCATACCTACAACCAACGAAGTAGACACGAAAGCCCCCAGAAACCCCTCAAGTGTCTTGTTTGGTGATAGTGAAATAAGCGGAGTTCTGCCGAACATTTTGCCGAAAAAGTATGCCATAACATCGTTCAATGCTATCATTGCGTGCGGTAGCAAAAACCATACCATGCCGTAGTATAAATTTGCTATTATCATCATGCTCTGTATGACCACATACAAAAGAGCCATTATAATAAACGCGAAGCGTAGAAACTGTTGACGTGAACGGCCTTTTTCTAAACCTAGAATGAATTTGACGACACCACAAAAAAAGGAAATAAAAAGCAAAAGATGGTGATACGACAGAACGAATGCGCATATAGGTGCGATATTAGGGTGCTTACGCGCCAAGCGGGGCAACAACCAAGGAAACGATATACCAACCATCGTAGTAAGCAGGAAGTACGTCTCTAGAGATATGAATGATAGCAAATCAAACGCTTCGGTTATGACATAAATACGAACACGCTTCCTAAACTTTCCAGCAACCGAGCCTGTCTTTGATGCGATATCCTCACCCGTGGCTTGCTTCTGTTGGATGACTTTGTCGTAGAGATTCACCATTTCGTAGTACGCCATATTTATTAAAAACAGTATCAAAATTGAACCGTATATTGGCCCTAGGCATATTACGAAAATTGTGCCTCCTGCGATTACTAGACCTAACACTGTTCTCATGGCCAAGTTATTAGATAGAATCCGGGACCAACACGTATCCCCAGGCTCCGCATTGTCGCTTTTAGAGTTTCCACGAGAATCTCGTATCGACGAAGAACGCCTAAACGCTGGCATCATAAAAAAGTGATTGTATCCCCTTCATGTCCATGCACAACGTATCCCAAAACAGCGCCCGTTGTATGCTACTGTCAGGTGTTAATCTCACATAACTCGACAGGTGAGAGCGACGTTATAACACTGGCCTATTCGGAGACATCCAAGATACCCTTCTGCTATCCCATCTAAGACACGCGAATGTGTTTTTTCTCGTCAATTTGGCTAGTTTTACGTTTTTAGGAGACGTTCTTAGGTCATAATTTTTTTAGACGCAAGCGGTTAATCGGGACACCCAATGTGTGTGCGCGCTCAAAAAATAAAAAATGTCGCAACGCTAGTGCTGGTAGTTGACAGACACATTCATAAGGTGTAATTCATTATTCGTATTCTAGACCTGTCATTGGTAATGCGCAGGAAAACGGCAATAACACGTTGATTATATTCTACATTTGTACCTATAAAGCAGCAAAAAAACACTTGTATCATAAGAAACCCAATAGCCCATATACATGTTTATATCGCCATTTGAGCTGCTAGGGACAGTAAAATCGGTGTGGACGCGGATGTTGAAAAAGTAACGACGACGGGAATCGAACCCGCAATCTTCGGTTCCGTAGACCGACGCCATATCCATTAGGCCACGCCGTCTCATGTTTTGACGACATATTATCAGTTGACAACCATACCATAGTATGTCTAATGCCGAGGTTACACGTATCGTTGAAGGTTTCCAGAAAGCATCGTTCCGTGTGACAACATTTGGACGTCATAATAAAACTGAATTCGTTTCCTGCGTATTAAACGGCATTTTGTTCAGCATATGCGAATGGTATTACCAACGAGCCGAATTATAACATTCTTCCGAGCAAGAGATTTCTTATTACAACTTTCTTCATTCATGTATCATAAGTAGATTGTGTCATCTATAAATGCTATGATCGTCTTAACAAATCCGACGTTTCATATTACGTTCGTTATTTGTTGCGCCTTTAAGTTGTGAAACACTTTCGGTTGTATATCAAGCGAAGGCTCATGTACTCAGATCGTGCATATGGATTTAACTCTGTTGCACTTATTCGCTCTCATAGGTGCAGTCATGTGCCTGTTGTATTCGAATACAAAGATGTAATGTATATGTGGTGCGTTTATACCATAGTTATTCTTACTCGTTTTAATATGGCCCTCGACTGCAACGTGCAGATCTCCTATACACGGCTCAAAAGCAGTGTGCCTGCAAGCTCTGACATGTGCAATGGCAATACCTGCCAACATCAAACACAAGTTGCAACGCAAAACGTAGGGTGGAAGGTAATATGACGTAAAATGATATGGAAAAGTTCTTGGGCTTGAAAAACAAATGAAACATCTTGTATGGTGTGCATGTAGTATACAAGTGGTAATAGAAATGCATAGGATGGGAAAATGTAGAACGGAGAAGACGGCGTATGCCAGAACACCGCCGACTTCCGCTGCCAAATGATTATACAGCGCAGCATCCAACAACGTGGGGAGGGGGAAGCTGTGGCTGTCAAGCTAAAGCAGTTGTTTGTCTAATTGCAAGCCGGAATTCACGATTCGGTACATTGCTGACGAATATTAATACACGCTTATTCACTACCCCCACCATTATACAGAGCCATTTATGTTGTATAATACATAATATGAAGAGGTTAACACGTCTATTTGAAGGCGCCAGGAAGTCTGAGCCATGTTGGGAATAAGGCCCATTCCTCCCGAATCTCTCGGAGGTTATACACGACCTCATTAATTGATGCAAGGCATTACATCTTTCGGAAACTAAATTTTTCGTCAATAATGCCGCTCCTGTATTCCTTTTGCCACATTTCTGGTATTCATCTCCCACCTGTTATATGCTTCGAGTCCTCTACCTAGCGGCTACTCAGTTCAGCTGACTATTGACTGCTGTAAATGAATACATATAATCATTAGTACACTACGCATTCCCTATGTCACCATTATGTTAAAACTTAACTACGAATTCTGACAGCCTCATATCCCACCCCTAAAAAGGCTGGGCATCTTATTTGAGCCAAGGCATGTTGAAAGTGCTTCTTCCCCATCTGGTATTAGTCCCGTTTACAACATCCTCACATTAAAAATTCTCTATACCCTACTATTAGGCTGTTGAGCGCTTCACTATACCCGTCCCATCACGCCGCTAGACATCCAGCTGAGCACGGTGACACGTCCAAATTCACACTCATCAGACGTCAATAGGAGTCATTTCAGCGTTTTATATCACATGATGGGGTGGCCTGTGAACACTTTATGACCAAATGGAGCCATCCCTGCTTCCATTCCCACCGGTGGTCTATTGCTGTCCAACACTGACACAGCACTTGGATACCACGGTTATTCGAGTTTCTGATGCACAATTTTGCGTAACATATGCTATTCACTTTGCGTATTAAGCACATTGCCTGTGTTTGAATTAGTGAGCAGATGTTCAAACGGCCACGTTGCACTTTCCTCATCCCGGCAGCACGAGACACGCAGCAAACGTGTCACAATGCCCAATTGCATTTCATGTTTCGGCACGGCCTATTAGCGTCAACACCAGTCATTAAAAGATCTGGTAACACCGAGAAACGCCAATAACTGGCTACCAAAATTACTACTTTGTTACCTAAGACACGCTGCCGCTGAAATACCCAAACAGCAGACACCAATGGCAACAACAAACGGGGATTAGTCTGTGTTTTTGCTAAACGAGTTACCAAATCTGAGGTATTAATCACTTAGAGTAGTAGTTCTCGATCTGTATGGTGGAGAGAACGACGCCCTTTACGGTGACGCAACGACACTCCAACGTTGGCGTCTGGAGCAGCGTCTCCCCTGGTCCTACGAGTGAACTATCGAAGCTCAGTATGACAAGTGGTTGGATCGAGATGATACCAACGACTTGCTGAGTTCTGCTATGTTCTTTACTTCACCATCGACAGACATTTGGCTGAGGCAATTGGGTGGGTCCAGGACGTACGGTGCTGGGCAGTAGAACGCTGCTTCCCTGGCAGCTTGAAGATCGATCTTGCAACCGAACTGTGGCTGTCCGTCACCGTCGTAGAGTGGAGGTGTCTCAGGCTTGAATAACTCATCGGGTGGGTATGTGATGCCAGAGCCTTGCATGTTGAGGTCCGTCCTCTCGACGTTAACTTCAACAGCAAGGAACATGCAACCAACATCATCAGAGTAAGGAGGCAGCCTGGAAAACGCGAAAAGTGGCCCAAGTCACATCTAGCCAGTTTTAGAGCGGTATGAAACTTGAAGGACTTCTTTGACGCACTTTGTGCTTTTGAAAAGGTTATTTCACACATGAGTATATATGCCAAACTTATCTTGTACCATTTGGTAACATCAAACGAAATGTAATGAATTTAGAGCATAGTTAAGCACCAAACAATTTATGTAACTTACGGCAGGCATACTGCGGCGCATTATGACCTCAAGATGTCATGCATATGCGAAAAGATTTTAATGCGTAGCTCGTAGCAAGAAACGTGCATCAGAAGTTATATTAAACCCTCCATGGAGTTCGACATACAACGCTGCCTAAAATTAGTTTTAGGTTACACGAGGAAGGGCGACGTGGCCTAATGGATAAGGCGTCGGTCTTCGGAACCGAAGATTGCGGGTTCGAGTCCCGTCGTCGTTGCTTATGTGCCGCGGGTGCTTTTCGGGGGATTGCTGATTCCTACATACCTATTTTGCCACCCTCAATGAATCTACAGTGCGAGCATGTCTTCAACATATTACGCAGCTACACCCGGTATATCGGGAAATAAAGTTATCGTCCATATTCATTGCCTTGTGTATGTGACTGGTGCTGTATTCCTTGTGCACATAACAATAAATTTGGACAATGTGTGATTGATGTGATCATTTAGGGGCTCAAAATTGTCCTGGTTTTGTTATGGACACTCTTCCCGGTGTACAGGTCCCGTGATTTCAAAACTATGTCCTTGTAGCACTCAATCAATGAACAATTAATGCCACGTGCAAATTATATACAGAAATGGTTTCGAAGAGATAATAAACACGTTTACTGTATCAAACATCCTTTGGGGGAGTGATCTCCGTCTGATCTCCATATCAGTTAATATTTCTGCGCACACAAAATTATTACCCACAAAATTGCAATGTCAACAGAATTTTTAAAAGGGTCCACTAGATGCCGCCTGTATCTAACAAGGTGCCACTTGCAGTTGCTCACAAGGTACCGAAGGGACGTATTCCTCCGCTATTCTATCCTGACATACGGCTTGGCAAATCTCTGATCACGTTGACACCTGGGCGTATTAAGGCGGAATCACTGGAAAAATTGCGCTTTGCGCTGAAGCGGATTCTAAGTAAGCAGAAAGAACGTAGAGTAAATGTGCACGCCACTTATGCTGTAACGAGAAACCCTGACGGGGTTAAAATGGGCCAGGGAAAAGGTAGGATCCACCATTATGTTGCGAGGGTCCCCGCTGGCTCTTCTATTTTGCACCTTCCACAACTCAAAGCGTTAGCCGGGATTAACGCGCCATTGTTTGGGGGCTTCTCCCGAGCGGTAGGAAATCTACCAACAGCATGTGATTTCCGATCTCAACAAAACAATTTTGAGATAGATAGGCTGTATGAAAAAACAAATATAAGGCTAAGAAATGATATTCGAACTCAGCGCAAACTACTCAGGTTACGCTTCGAAAGGACCCTTTAAATATGCATACCAGTTATACGCTCTATAGTCGTGATACTAAAAGCAGCAACTTTAAAGATGCGCAGGGGAATTGGTGCATCCCGGGTTTTGAATCCCCAAAAAAAACAATGGGACTCACTTTCTCAAGCATTGCATGAAGAGACAACAGAAGCTTTTAAACGCATTGCGGATGATTTTAAAGAAGATCTGTACTACTTTGTCGAAAAGCACAAAAATGTGATCAATGCAGATCCGTATTTTCGTTTGGAGTTCCTGGAGATGTGTGACTTGGTGGATTTTGACCCACTCACCCATTCATATTCTCCATTGTCTAGAATACTAGGTGTTTCGAGCTTCTATTCTGCAGTTACCCTGCGTGTGTTGGAGATATGTATACAAACCAGGGGACTCAATGGAGGATTCTGCGAAATTGGCCAGATACTTGACGCCTTTCCAAAGAAAGCGCAAATAAGAGAGAATGATATTCTCTTTTGTCTACGGGAATGTGCAGCTTTCGGGAAACACAGCGTGCGAACCATGCGCATCAACGATAAAACCATAATCGTGACAACACCTGTAGTTCTGGGTGACGACTATAGAGAGTGTTTACATCTGGCAGCTGGCCTAAAGCGAGGGTTAGCGGTTTCCGATTTGATAGATGGTTTAGGTTGGAATCGTCAAAAGGCTGAAAGTCTACTAAACTACTTTACGCGGCGTCAAATTGCGTGGATTGACGAGATAAATGATGCCACGTATTATTGGTTTCCATGTTTATTTTGATCAACGGCAGTCACGCACCACATTTAGCTTCTAATAAGCATAATTTGTAGTCACTGATTTTATTTTCATGTGTCTTGAGGCGTAGCGCCGAACTTCCAAATGCCGTCGTTGAGGTAGTGCACATTCTCGATGCAGATGTCCTTGTTTTTTTCACGTCTAATGTTTATTAATATGCAGTGATTCGTGACTAACATTTCTTTTGTTGACATGGTTGTGATTCCCACCGCGCACGCGTGCTGCCTTCCGTCGACGACTATCTGCTATTAGGAGTTGGGGAGGCGCGCCACGTTAAACCAACAACTACTTCGCCTCGATTGACATCGTCCATGGCGCCCCCCTCTGACGTCAACCCGGGGCACATGACGTTTGATCCTCTGAGGATAAATTTTAGAGCGCCCTTATCCACCTGCATCTTGGGCATCATCTCTGGATCTGATAATGAAATATGACGCGTCACAATATACACATATATACATTTATGAACCAGGCGCATAGAAGGAATCCACGGGCCATCGCGCTTTTGGAAGAAGACTACGTCACCGCCGACCAACAAGAGCGTCAGATGCTCTTGGCTGCATCCCTATTTTTTTCACATATTATTACATACCATTTTGCCAGAATAATTTGCCCCCTTTTCGGCAACACCGCGTCGATGGTACCCCTGAACAAAGGAAACTGGTTAGCTATCTGGAATAGACATAAACATTAGAACAAGTAGAGGTACAAACCGCCAGCTTTATACTCCTCTGTACTGACGATTTAATAAGATTTTGCGATACAATGTCTTCTGTACTAAATTTCCGTGCCATTTTACGTTGTGAGGTCGTCGATGTCGGTGAATGTGGAGCTGTAGTTGGGTGTGTCCTGCACATTATATCGTGAATACCTTCTCCTGTTACCTTAAGCAGCGTAGCGTATTCTATAGGGGTGCTCTTTTTGAAAAGCTTATGGGACATCAACCGTGAGAATCGCACCTGCGACGTATGCCACCTCCACCTTGGCACTCACTAAGCTGTTGAGCTGCAGAGATACGGTTCCAAGTATTTTTTCTAAATTCGCGATTCCCACATTTACCTATTGCGAATTCACCGCTGTCAATTGTGCCTCACCGTCGTCTGAAGGTCATTGATCTTCTGCCTTCTCAAACTGCCCATGCTACGCGTATCGGAAGCGGCTCCACCCACTTCATCGCCGTTGATATTTTTCAACAAGTGCGCCAGCGTCATTGTTTCACGCACAGTTTTGACCTTCACGAATTGAGCTTCTGGCATAGTTGCGCGAATCATCTCATTCATGCGATCCATGACATCAATTACGTCAGTGTTATCATGTTGTGAGTCTGATAACACATACTGGGCCCCAATACTCCTGACTTCGTTCCATTCGTCCAAGCAACTACATATTATCGATCTCACGTCAATGTTACCCCTACTGCCTCATCGCTGAACAGTGCTCTTGCCATAATAGTTGATAGACGTGGAGATTGTCACGGTTCTGAAAAATATTCACCGCGGAATTAAGCTCGCCGTGTTTTCAAAGAGGCAAAGACAATGCAGTCACATCAACTAACTTGTTCGAACAGCGTGGGGTCTCCTTTTTCTCCGTCAACAGTGAGCTACGCCCCGTGAAGGGATATAGAGTTTTGAATACCGATTTGAGTATCCGGCGATCACACGTTTTCCATCTGTACATGGTATACCATCGGACAGTTACGGCCGCTACTGCAGAAATTGTTTCTCTCCTTCACTCACGTTAACTCACTAAGCTTGATTAGCATAGTCTTTCGTTTGTCGAACTTAACATTTGTTGCTCGTTCAACGGTGTCTACAAGAACCTTTTCATATCTTCTTAAGACCTAAAATTCCTAGGTGACAAGGTCTATACGACGCTTAACGTACATGCTTAACAAGAGTGTATGTGTCCTGTACGCCGTTCAAAGAGACATGGAGCGACCGTGGAGGCATCGGTATTCCATACCGATTCAGTAGTTCTTTATCCTCAACGAGAGGTACATCTTTAATAAGTTCTGTTCTCTATGTGTGATGACTCGCCAACACCCACCAAAACCCGTGCTCTTTATTGGGTAGAGAGTTACAATTCCCTCAGAAGGACGCATTTTCGGCTTCATAATTATAATCAGGTTATAAATCACCACAAGTTACCTTCATATCTTGAGATAGCATTCTAATTTATTATGGTTGTTTCCCTCTCAAAGCGCTGCTTTCTCCACTCTTACCGTCGAAAAAAAGTTATCGGCATACCTCAGTTCTTAGTTCTAAACGTGAACAGAGGTCTCTCCTTTTCTTTTTCACAAAATTGCAAAGACTTCGAGCTAGGTACCATATAATAACCGTCTAAACGCGGATTTTCCTGCGCTGATGGTGAGCCAGAAGTATAAGAAACGTACCAAAAGGATGTCGAACAACGATAAAATTCCAATCGACTTTAACACAACTTCACGATGTTGTGAGTCACTTATCATGTTTATATGCGCTGTAAGATCGGCAACATCCCAAAACAATGGAGTTAACACCTTCCCTTCTGTTGGAGAAATATTTAGTGCCTTCGAATAAAAAAGGGGGATGAGAAAATCTTTTTTATAACTAAGAGGCATATACACACTTGCAAGAGGTAACTGCTCAATGTATATATTTACATAACATATATCACCAACTTGACTTGAACTGGGTACTAGCTTATATTTTATATTAGATGGTATCCTAGACTCCACGGGATCAATCTTTTCAAACCACTCTTGCAGACTCAAAATTCTAATGCGCAAGGTGGGGAAATCGTATTCAACTGCAAACAGCAATATCCCAAAAACTACATCATAATACCTGGTGGATTTGCTTGATTGAGTTCAGTGAGATAATCGATGGCATCCCTAGGGTCCACAAAAGCTGCCACAATGTTCTCTTTCCACGTTCTGCGTGTTATAACAGGTGATGTATCAGATTCAACGACGAATACTGGAATGTCTTTGGCGTTTCCAAAATGCGATTGCGCAAAACGACCGGATATGCTTTTTCTAGTCGAACCCAAATTTATAATCGAGCACGGACCTCCTATGTGTAAACCCAGGGTTGCTTGGCATATTGATAGCATGAATAGAATCATTCGGGGTACAGTGTGATTTGGAGGTGGGCTCCACTCCAGAGGGACGTGCGGTATATCATACCCAGACGCTTTATCTCATGAGGTACAAATAATGATCATAGCATTCTCTATATTGCTTTTCGTTATTAAATGTATTGTGGTCGCAACATGTCACTCCTACAGCAAGCGTAGCCACGAGTTAGCGACACTTCCGAAACTCAAGATTCCTGAGGTAAGATTACTCAGGGAGAATTGTGCATCTAGTATTTCAAATAAAACGTACAGGGAGGAAGGAGAACGTCCCTCGCTCTCATACGGAAGGGACGCAAGTATCCGTATTTGTTGGCCTTCCACAAAAACGAATGCGAATTCTGCCAAGTGCGTTATTTCAGTATATTTTGCATTAATTTAAGGATATGGAACCTTTGATATATCGAGCCAACCTCGAACACAACATTCATATCAAACGACTCGATGTCGCATCGGATAGCAACTATGAGGTAGTTTCGCATGGTCACCAAATATCGTAATACAGCTAATGGTGAAACTGGACAGGAAGTCTAAATGCGGAGGTTTGCCATTTTTTTATAACCTTCTCACACACCAACACATTTGTGGCGCCACAAACTACCGGAATCTGGTTGCCTGGGCTAACGGCAAATATTCAAGGTACAGCACGTATTTTATCTGTAAGTAATCTGTAGCAATGCGAAGCCGTATCCGCTGAAAGAGGAAGAAATCAAAGCATCCTACCGAAGAAGCGTAGGTGATATGTATCAAGTCAAATTATTACAGGGATTATACGCCAGAGTAATGGCGAAGCTGAGAGAAGTTTGTTTTTTTACATAGAAAGATTATATGTTGCGACAGACGCTGCTTAAAGGGGAGCAAAAGATGATTGACCGCTTGTGCAAATAATAGATTATATGTGGACTTCAGTTTCATCAGCTCTAAACATCACACATTTCTATACAATTAACAGTAAATTGTCCAATTTTGCGTGGCATTTTTGCAATCTAAATTGCGGTGTTTGTCACTTTGCGTAAGGTGGCGAAATGTGTTTCACTGTCGAATGCTATAGACGGTATAAGGCAGAATTGCAATTGCAAGTTGTTAACAAGAATGTGAAATTGTACTGGCGGTTGGTGTGACACCGCTTGGTACATTTTATTCAGTCTTTGAGATATACATCGGAAAATGCTGAGACACATGTCTAGAAAGGTTATTGCAGGTCATTTCTTGCTGCATACCGTTATTTGCTTGGTTTTGGGGTATGATATAAGGCACATACCGAACACATTTCTTTATAATGGCCAAATTACCGATTTCGGAGATTACGATGGTAATGGTCAACTCGATGCTATAACGTATCATCAAAAGGGAAATGATGCAACCATATCCGTATTTCAGGTACCCAACGTACCAGGTAAACCTGCAATTCTGGCTACAGCTGATATACAAGGGAATGTAGCTGGTGTGGTGGGAGTTGATATAAACCTGGATAGTGCATTGGACATTCTAGTTATTGTTGAGGAATCGAAACACAAATACCGTTTGCTAACATTTTACCAGGAAAAGAAATCGGGTATATTAGTTCAAGGATGGGACTCAACCAAGGAGGCAAATGGCGGTAGTCACAAGGAGGGGCATCCCAATGATCGAGATGCCCAACTGGGACACCTAATGAAGCGCGGTGATTATGAATATAGCTCCATATACCCATTAGTGTTGGACATCAATGGAGATGGATTGGTAGATTTGTTGTGTCAAACCGAAGACAGGCGACTTTTTGTTTGGACTAATTATGGGGATAAGTTTTTGCCTTATCTGCTTGAAAATGTTCCATCTTGTTATTTTGAGGGTCCACGTGAAGGATATGTCCCGTCTCCCCACTCATCTGCTTTTGTCGACATCGATGGTGATTGCAGAGCCGATTTAATTCTTTTGGTTCAACATGAAAACAAAAGATATCTGCAGATTTGGCAAGCTGAAGCCGACAATAATCGTATGAAGTATGTGAGAAACCCTAAAAAAGATATTTTATTACCCATTAACCATGGTCAAGTGTCTTTCGCCGACTTCAACGGTGATGGCACAATAGACGTGGTCGTCCCTTACTGTAACCAAATGAACGCAGAGAGGTCATGCATTCGCGGAAGCCGAATATTCATAGCATTCAACCATCAGAAGCCTTTTTGTTCATACATCTGGAACAACCCAAACAGTGACATGTGTAGAAAAGCTACAGAGCTATGTACCAAATCGGATTTCGAGTTTAATCCAGTGAATGGTTTATCACCAGTAGATATATCCTTACCTGTCAATGTGGGATTTAAGGATAGCGAAGGACAACTCATGTCAGTGTCTCTTGGGGACCTTAACAACAACGGTTACCCGGATCTCATTGTTTTGGGTTGGGATCTGACCGCATTGCAACCGGTAGTCTGCGTATACAGAAATGTGGAAAATAACGATTCTCCTGATTCTAATGCAAGAAGTTTTGTACAGTCATCTATAATTGAAGTCACTGATACGGATGTTCGATATGTTCGCGTAGCTGCTGTCGACCTTTTCGAGGACGGTATTACCGAAATCGGAATTTTCACGTCAAAGATGTCTATAGGTAGCGACAGTATTGCTAGATTCTACACGGTGGTAAATGAAACGATAGGACTTTTCATGAAAGCAATGGTGAGGGGGGTGGCGGAATCTGAGACCCCATCTTCAGTCAACGTTTTGTCTACCGGGTCTAATGTAAACGGTATTTCATGCTTAGCTACCATATATTATTTTACAGGGGCCGTATTTAAGATTACGGTGATTGATGTCTATGGCGCCAAATCACCTAGGTGCTCGACCATTCGGCCGCAGTCTGCTCATTCACCGTTGTTGCCGCCGTACTCCATGTTTGGGTGAGTTTTGTTGCTGATTTTACAATGGTATAGACTGGGCAAAACAAACAACTATGTGGAAGAGTTCTACCTTGGCATGCCGAGCACATCCAAGAACTACAGCAATATGTGGATTTCCATTATCCCCAACTGCAGCGTCATAGCAATCCCGCACCGCCTCTTATATTCAAATGAGTAATTTTTGTATTGTTGGATATGCATGAAACAACAGGTGGACTTTGAAGTTATCATTGAGCCCATCCAAGGATATATATAAAATCCTTGTAGCTACTCTAATTTGTCTAGTCAGCCTCGGCGTTATAATTGTTGGGTTTGATATTAAGGAGAAACGCGAAGATTCGGAACAAGAGAAAGGATTCCGGCAAAAATTCATTATTAATTAAGCATGCTCACACTTTTGCGATAGGTGCACACACAAAACCATTCTCTAGAGCTCACAAAGCGTAATTCTAGTGTGATGGAAATGCCCATGTGACGTTTCAACGGCTAAGCAAACAGGTTTAAGGCTCACGCCATTGTTCGCATGCGTTTGTTAAACGCGGTACCGACTTAGGCACGCCTAACATTTATGTGTTCTTACATCGCCCAGGCCTGCGCTGAGTACTATAAGCAGCTCGATGTAGAACGCATATGCAGCACGTAACAACTTCTATAGTCTCATAAATGTGCAAAAACATATGCGCCCTGCTGTTGTTCACAAAGCCCATGTGACACCGTAACTCGCGCGTAAATATGGCGTCATTAAGACGACTAGACCACATCCCTCTGAAGATACAATTCATCATTTTCGAGCATACACGGTCACCTAGAAAACGGCTACCTTTCTCGTAATGCAAGACTCAGAAGCATGGGTATGCATACGAAAGGCGCAATGATTTGATAACAGTGAAACTCTCATTTGGATGGTTATGTAACACTATAGCAGCACGTAAGTTTCAAATAAAATCGCACTAAAACGCCTGCTCTTGAAGTAAGCTGTCTAATGGTGTATGGTAGCGCCGTTTGGAGTACGCTTCGTGTAGGGAATCTTATTTAACACTAGGGTCGGGGTTGCAAATTACTATCCACATTCAATTTGTCAAAAATATGATTCATGTCAGCGAGTACTGTGCAGAGCATTTATCGGGGCCGGCCTTGTCTACGGTCAGGTCATAGGGTATGCTCCGTAGTTTAGGAAATACGGTATACCACCCAGTAATAAGTTATTTATTTGTGGGCGTTTATATATACGCGTATTGAGTCGTAGGTGTAGTTTCACGGCTAATATTTGAGGTCCCAGGGCAAATACACAGACCTTGTCACTGCAGTTGGCTCGTGACGCGCACATTTTGATTCAAAATGGTTAAGCTAAAGAGTATGTCTATGTGTTATTACTGTTGAATCGTTGTGCAGAGGGCTCCAAACGTCAGGAGTTGTCCAGAAAGTATAACGTGAGGTCCGCTTGTTGATGCATACATCACTCTTTAGATTCAACGAATGGTATCCGCTCACAAGAAAAAAATACGCAAAATAGCAAGGAAAGGGGGGAAGAGTAAGTTTACTATATGCCAAGTTCAATTTAACTCAGCAACTCCACGGACGAAGCCACCGCAAATCCCGAACTGCATCCTAAAGCGTGAAGTGCTGGAAAACATCAAGCGTACCAAGCAGATTAATGACAACCACGCCCTTAAAAGTAGGGAAAACAAACGGCAGAATTAATTAATGGATCACGTCAAATCCGCACACCAATTTACGTTAACGGCCGAATTACCTATCCGTACACTTTGTAAGATGCCGAAATGGTGTTTTGATGCGAGAGTTCTTTACATTCACGAGAGTTTAGTGGTGAGGTGGGCAATGACGCCGTCTGTGGTGGGAGCCATGCCCTTGTCGCCGGCCTTCCAGTTTGCAGGGCAGACCTCTCCACTCTTCTCGAAAAACTGCAGTGCATCCACAATCCGCAAGACCTCGTGCACCTGTAAGAACAATCAGTTGAGGTTGTTAACTATGGAAGTGCACAAACGTCGACGTACGTCAAATCGCTCACAACACGATAACGCGACTCAGCGCACGAAAGCCAAGGGAAGACAACGCAGCATGCTACAGTCTGGGAAACTCACCGATCTCCCTATAGGTAGATTGTTGACCTGCTGGTGCTGAAGCATGCCCTTTTTGTCGATAATGAAGAGACCTCTCAGCGAAACTCCATCATCGGGAATCAAAACCTGATATTGCTCAGATATCGACTTGGTGAGGTCTGCCAATATAGGGAACATGACATTGCCGATCCCTCCCTTGTCTCTGGGTGTATTGCGCCAGGTGAGATGAGCGAATTTGGAGTCTACGCTGCACGCCAGGATTTGCACATTTCGCGCCTCAAACTGTGCAATAGCGTCGTTGAACGCGACAATCTCGGTAGGGCAGACGAATGTGAAATCCAAAGGGTAGAAAAAAAGGCATACATACTTTTTACCTGCATAGTCAGACAAGGAAACCTCTTTGAAGGAGTTGTCCGGCATCACAGCCTCGCAACGAAAATTTGGAGCCGGCTGACCCACACGAAGCACCATTTTCAATGTATAGGGAATAATAAGAGGACAGCGAGATGTATATACACATACACCACAGCAAGACGTAATGATACCTCAGTCTTATAATGTGCGGTACGAAGATATTGTAGACTTGTGTGTAAAGTTCATAAGTTTAGAAAAGGTGACTAAGGATGTCTCAGACCTCAGCGTGTTCCTCAACGGGCAACCCTTCGGCTGAGTGCAGCCGCATCAGGCGCCGCACAACAATATTGTGGTGTGGGACTGGTTCAAACGATTCTAACACCGCAAACAACAGTAGAAGTAAATTCTCGAAACGTTGGTGGTGGTATATTTATTACGGCTTCTAAACTAGGGTATATTTGCCTCTTGCGAAGCGCTCCAGCGGGAAAAAGGCCGCACACACAACACGTTTCCGGTCGAAAACCCGGCCGTTCAACATGTACTGCGCCCTTCGGCCTGACACATCATCTCCAAATTTGAGGAACACTTTGCCAACACCTTCACGATATGATAAATCGTCATTTGGTCGCGGTATCACAACGTCTTCCAAATGCCCATATTTTTTTGCCTCTTCTATTATGGCGTTTTTCAACTCATGATACTTTTTGTCGTGTATCAGATCCTCGTGAAAGACGATATTGAGCAGTTGTACCACTCTAGACGGCTGTGCGCCCGTGCGTCTTCCGGACTGCATCTGCAGACCCAAAAGCGGATTGCTGAGGATGGTCTGCGTGACAGAGTTTGGCAGATTGGTGGCCTTGCTATCCGTCAGTTTACCTCCCGAAGCGAAATAGCTAAATGCTGCATGTTTTACGCTCAAAGCGTGTTTGTCCACTACATGGCCATTCAAGTGGCATACCGCCATTTTGGCCGCTCTCGAGTCATCGTACTCAAAGAATCCATACCCCTTGTTTTGACCAGTCTTCAAATCCTTGACCAGATTGGCTGAACTAAGTTTCCCATGTTTCTCTAACAACGTCTTTATGTCTGCATCGCTCATTGTCGGTGGAATGTTCTGTACGAACACCTTGGTGTCGTCAGAGCTTGAGGTTGTACCATATTCAATAGGGCGCCGTATCTTTAATGTGTGTCCCTTGTAATTAATCCCATCCAGTTTGAAGCATACATCAGCCAGTTCAGCGGTGGAGAACTCTAAGAAACAATATCCTTGGTCAACGTTAAAAATCTCTGTTTTCGATATAGGTGGCGTAGCGCCGTTCGTTTCAGATAAATCATCAGAGAGACGCAGCGCTGCAAGTAGAAAACTCATCAAATCTTTATAGTTGGTGCCTGAATATTTATGAATCGGCTCTTTGTTATAAAGTACCGGGAGGTAGGTTTCCAACGTAGAGACGGCGTTGCCGCTTCTTCTGGCCATCGTTAACCGGTTTGTCGGCTAAATCGCCCACAGCCTCCGGTACTTCATCGGGTATATCCCATTTACTCTCTCTTGTTCGTCGGCGCCTGCGTTACTCAGAGTAGAGGTTTAAAATAAAGTTACCTCTTAAGGAGAGTGGCATTGTTATGTTGTTCGGTTTTTGCTTTTTCGCTTGTATTGTCGGCATCCATTTCTTAATTTGTAAATACGAGCGATGGTCTTGATGAGTGGTAACCCGTCCGCGCGACACTACATTGACGGTACATTAAGAATACGTTAGCAACATTTCCGTTTGACCAACTGTAATGGTACTGATGTAATTGTGAAATACATTTAATTCCATTTACGGGGGGAAATTCCATATCTGTTATCTGGATCCTGACAATTTGTGCTAGATCAAACAGCACTTTAAAAGTCTGGCGTGGATTTGTTGCGGCCATACCATTCAGTATGAGTGCGCAAATATCATTTGGAGAATACCATAGGACGCTGATCTTGGGGCGCTGTATCCCACCATCACCAACACTCCCATTCTGCCTGTCAGCTTTGAAGTGCACATTGCAACCTTCTGTATGTCTATGCGTTGTGCATGGTCTAAACATCATTTGATTGGCACTCCGGTGCTCCTGAATCCCTTGTTGCCCGATATTTATCCTTTCTAAATGCTTTCTGCAGACCCGTATTTCCTCTGGCGCGAAATTGTTGTTTCGTATGCTGTACTCTACTACTCGGTAATATAAACGCGTCATAGTTCTACAAGTGTATCCATTAGCAGTGTAATAGGCCGAAGGTTGTGAATATACCAAAAGACAAGCCTGCAAAGGCCATGCGGTTTAACGGCGTCCAGCGATTCGCAAACGTTTTGCGAGACATCCCACGACTAAAGCGCGTTGATATCTGAAATGCCAAAGGTTAAATGGAAAATTGAACTAGTGCACTACTTTAGACGGTGGCCTATGTGACAGTTTGCATGGTACTCTTCGCAGAGAAATATATTATCTCTATTCAAATATTTTTAACAGAACTCCAAGCGAAACCGGATTTTCGTATTTCTTTGAAGCGAGCTTCACAGCGATTACAAAGCCAGAGACGTCGGTACGGTTTTATAAGATACTGGAGGGTTGTAAAACCGACATTGAATGGGACAAGAGCATATATAATACAGTCGATATAATAGCAATGTCTACGAACTGTACACAGCACTAAGACATGCGACTACAACATTGTTACCCATGTCCTTGCGTGAGAAGATACCCAAAATGTAGTATGCTTAGGTCCAAACTCCAAAACGTGTGAGGGATGCATAATTTAGACCGTGAAACAGAAAATGCAGCAACAGATTATGCTGTAAGTGATAATTTCAAATGGCGTCATTTAGAAATTAGCGTACGAGCGATTAATGTCAGATCGTGTGTAGATAAAATCGTGCACTGTAAAAGGAGATACAAAAACGTACTTACCTTCCGACCAACATGATTCGCTGGATATATATATATATATATATATATATATATATATATCTTGAGTTCAAAGCAATTGTTTATACTACAAACGTGAGACGAAAAATTAAAGGGGTGTAGACACGGCATCTCATGTGTTACAGGCCTTCTCCACGCGTTTTACGGTATCCAAAGTTCAAACCAATATTTCAATGCGCGTCTCCATAATGTTTTAATTTTTATAGTGTGTTTGGCAGAAAAGACGATATTGCCAACCGTCTGTGTACACGGGTTACATGTCAACACCCTACTGTGCATCGCCCTTGGTGGATTGTCTCCCCAATCCATTCCACGTATTGTGCGCAACTAAATCTTGATAATTTTTAACTTACGCGCTGTTTTAAGACTTCGTAGGTAGCGATATCCTGTAGTAACAACGATAGTATTATCTTGCTGCCAACACGGCCCTTATCTGCAAAGATGGTTACTAGAACACCCTTCGATCCGACAGTCCACAATGTTTGTGTCTATTACCCGTTTTTTCACAGTCCAACAGGTCTTTCTTGTCGCAGGGATGCAATGGGGAGATGAAGGAAAAGGAAAGGCAGTTGCGACTTTTGCCAAAGATGTTGACATAATCGCAAAATACAATGGTGCGTTATATTGCTCACAAACAGATGACCATACGAGCAGGGGGTCATAATGCTGGCCACGAAATTGTCTTGAATGGCAAACAATATAAGTTGCATCTCCTTCCTGGCGGCACAGTATACCCGTACACAACCAACGTCTTGGGTCATGGTATGGTTATTCATCTATCAAGCCTATTAAAGGAAATTGAAATGTTACGGGGACACGGCATCGAAGTCATGGATAGGTAATCATAGGTTTATGTTACTGTGGAATTTGTTTCAGGCTACTCATCTCAGATCGTGCACATTTACTTTTGGATGCACATATTGAGATTGATCGCAATATGGAAAAGGCAAGAAAGGCGGCTGGAGGTAAGACGTTGCTGGCGTTCCACATGCGCATAATAGGTGAAATCGGAACGACATTGCGTGGTATTGGGCCTTGCCATGCTACCAGGTCGTCGAGGACCGGGGTGCTGGTATGTGGTAACTGTGCACTGCTTAAGCAACTCAGGTGGGATCCCTACTACATTGGGACTTCTTCAAAAAATCTGTCATGGATATCTACAAAATTCACACCGACGTGGAAACGTCGGAAAAGATGGCCATTGAAGAAATTGAAAGACACGCCGCACTTTATAAGATATTTTCAAGATGTATTTGTGATACGGGGTACTTCATCAGTGAAGCCATAAGGGCCGGGAAGCGAGTCTTACTAGAAGGAGCCAACGGATCTTTGCTGGATATAAACATGGGAACTTACCCATTTGTTACGTCATCCACTACACTAGCTTGTGGATCTTATGTTGGGCTCGGAGTGCCATTGAATTCCCCGATGTTCAGAATAGGTATTCTTAAGTGCTACCAGACGCGAGTAGGTATGGGCCCCTTTCCTACTGAATTCTTCGACGAAAATTATGATCACATCCAAAAGGACGGCACGGAAATAGGTGTGTCCACGTGCAGATTGAGGAGATGTGGGTGGCTGGATTTGGTTGCTGCAAGATACATCCAGAGGCTGAACTGTTTTCATGTCGTGTACCTCACAAAATTAGATGTCCTGACTGGACTTAAAGAAATAAAAGTATGCGTGGACTACCGAAATAAAAGAACAGGTATGTTTGTTGCGCCTTTTACATAATCATTCCTGTCCATAGGTGATCTTTTAGAGAGGGGACGTTTCCCGGCAACAACTGCAATGCTAGATGAGTATGAGCCCGTGTATAAAGTCTTCCCTAGCTGGAATGATGATATATCTGAGCTGGATGCTTATGACAAGCTGCCTGAAAACGCACGCACATACGTGGAGTTTGTGGAAAAGGAATTAGGTACCTTCATTCAATGGGTTTGTTTGTGTGTAGAAACACGAATGGTGTGTAGATTGGCGTCGGTCAAGACGTCAGGAGTACGATATCAAGGTCATGATTATATCACGTCTAACGTTTTATTTATTGATGCCCCTATATCCCCGCATTGTAGTGGACTGCGCACATAATGGACTAAAAGCATCGCACAACTAACCAATCAAGCGTATTATTTGACATATTCAATGCTCCTAGTTTTGATAAAATGTCCTCTGCGCCTTCTTCTCCGTAGTATATTAATTTGACCACATCAGATATGCAGAGAACATCGTCCCTGCCCATATGCTCTTCGATAACAGAGTTTGTATTAATTAATTTTGTTACACCGTTAGGGAGAATAACTGTGCCTCTGAAGATTATGTAGTAGCTGCAGTAGAAAGTTACCGTTTGTTCAATAGCTCCCTAACGTGTCGCTGCGTAGGAGTGCCATAGTAGACAAATGGTCGGACCCGTTCCAAGCTTTTCAAACTGGACTCCGAATTGGAGAAAAATCTAGCTGTGCCCATTGAGGATAATCCCATATCCTGCATGGAAAAGGTGGGGGAGCAGTAAGAGCTACTAACCCTCAAAAATGATTCCGATATGGACGGTTGAACGTTGCGCCGATTTCGAACAGCTAGCAAAAGTTTGTATGGATGACGACGATGAGTTTTGTTCTTCTTACAAATGGCAGATGTTCTGCGATATTCATCGGATCGCTAACGGAATATTACCTCTTAACGTCCAACGATTTTTGTTTAGATTGCTTGAAAATCACATTCAAAGAGAGAATTGCGTTCGCGTCTTTTTTAGTTCTGCTTTTCTGGCCGAACTATGAAACAACAGTCTGTATATAACACACCAATTTCGAACGGGCGATCTCCTTCGCGATGTCGGATCTTTTACGGAGGTGAAAACGATGCCCCTTGAGAAGTGTTTCTTTTTTTGTAATACCATCCTTTAAATCTTCCATTTTTGCTCCCATCTTATTGAACTCTTTTTATAGTGTGTACAGAGCAACATTCCAACAATCCGACGCATAATCATGTGGAAATGTAGGGCCTCGCAGGGGACACTTAATATCGACAAAAATATATTCATTGTTTTTAATTCGTCTCATTGAAAGATTACAATAAATAGCCTTCTATACACCGTAGAAGGCGTAGTCGCGATCCTGCTTTTTCACGTGTCTCTTCCATCCTTTTTGAAAGTCCTTGTTGGTGACGACGTATCTGTTTTTTCTGATAGCTTGTAATCCTGCCTCTTGGCAAATAGCTGCTATATCAGCGGCTGAGATCCTTTCCGGCCTTGATACAACTGCGACACAGCTATGTTCCTTGCTCACTATAAACCTACAGTTCTCGATGTCAACATCACTCGATAGGTTCATACGGCTCGTTATTGTTTGGAAAATGAGCCGCCTCTGTCGTCTGTCAGGTAGAGGAAATTCAATTTTTCTATCAAGCCGTCCGGGTCTAAGCAGAGCTGGATCCAATGTGTCTGCTCTGTTTGTAGCCATTATAACCTTCACTGTGGCATTTTGATCGAAACCGTCCATTTGGTTGAGCAGCTCTAGCAATATGCGCTGCACTTCCCTGTCGGCACCCGTCTGGGCATCAAAACGCTTTGTTGCGATGGCGTCTACCTCGTCTATGAAAAGAATGGCGGGGGCGTTCTCGCGTGCCAGTCGGAAAATGTCTCGTACCATTCTTGGTCCCTCTCCAAGGTACTTTTGGACAAATTCACTTCCCACCACACGAATGAAGTTTGCTCCCGTATGATGGGCGACGGCCTTCGCGAGCATTGTTTTCCCCGTACCTGCAATTTATTAATAGTGCATCGTGATTAATTGTTTGATGCTGTTTATATAGTTAAAGAGAAAGAAAGTTAAATTCTATGGAATATTGTACGCACCGAGTATCCATGTAACGAACTTACCTGGGGGTCCATACAGCAGCACGCCAACGGGCGGGTCAATTCCAATTTGATGATACAATTCAGGGCACGTTAGAGGGAGTTCTACTGCTTCCCGTACCTCCTGTTTCTGGGCATCTAGTCCTCCAATATCCTGAAATAATAATAAAACATGGTGTCTAAACAAACCGCATATGATACTTCAGGCTTATCTGATAATTGGAGCATCTGAATTGATGAATCCGCTTCCGGTGGTAGAACGTCAACTACGCTGTGACTGTGACGGTGTAATGCGACACTTGTATTGGGTGTAAGCTGCTCCCTGGATGATATCAGTGATTTGGGCTTTGTAAATACCTATTGATTGTAGATAGAATGCGCACATAGTAATTTGAACCAGCAGTAGATGACACGATCCCATGATTCTTATCTACCATATCCAAAAATTGGCCTATGACCAGTGGAACGCTTTGGATTCGTTTGATTTCTTCGCGTGCTCTGATCAACTCTAGCTTTAAATTCTTGTGCTCCTCCTTAACATAATTTTCCTGGTTACTTATATTTTATCATATATATCGGATGATTACCTGTATGTCGCACAAGTCGAGCTGCTTTTCCAGCCCTTTTAGTTTTGAGTACAGATCACGCTCGGAAGGTAATACCTTCCGAGGTAAATACTTCGATACCATTGTTAATATATCCTATTTATATAGGTTATATGTCAATGTCGAAATTAGGTGTTGTAGGTAGAGGGTAACGAAATACCCAACTGGGTGTAGAGATGTGTACCGTCAAAAGGCCACTCAAACTCACTTAAGTATGGGCGACCCTAAACGACAAACTTATCGGGTGTTAGTATTTAGAAATGGTGCTACACCCGCAGGGAATAAAGGAAATCGACTCCGCGATTCTTGAGCAAGTAGGTTTGACTCGCGGGCTTTCTTGCCGAACTCTTAACGTTAAAATAATCAAAACTCCTGCATACAACTCAACGAATATGTAGAAAGCATCGAGCAATGTAGACGTGGTGTTTCGGTTTCACGCGCTTAGCAAAAAGCTAAAGCTAAAAATCAATAGGTTAGATGTTAGTTTGTCTGTCCACTTCATAATGTGACAGTATGGCAGGCCTCAAGCCATCTTGTGAAGAAATACAAGTCTATAATAGGCAAAATCAGGAAAATAATTGATCGCATTATTGCGCAAAGCTTGGGAGACGACGAACAATTCTCCGAAGATACATCGGAGCTCAAATACGAATTCATCGGGGATTCACAACTTAAAATTAACGACGAGATTATTGAAATATCAGAAGATGAATCGAGTGAAGCGCCCAATGGCGGCCCTGAATCCGAATTTAAGTACATTCATCTCAATGACCAAGCGGCATGTCAAATATCGGAAACCATTTTTGCGCCAGTTACAATATTCGATCGACTTTATATCCATCAAAAGAAAGGTTTGAAATGGTTGGCTGGGCTTCATCATCGTGGACACGGTGGTATATTGGCCGATGAAATGGGATTGGGGAAAACTATCACAATTCTGTCCTTTTTCCATGCACTAATATTCTCCAAGGAGTCCAAAAAGCTAGATTTTGGGGGTGGATTACACGTCCTAGTAGTGTGTCCCACTACTCTGATTTCTCAGTGGAAAGATGAAATGGATAAATGGACTCCGCTTTTGAAGCCTGTGGTATTTCATGGTGCATTTGGATCCTTCGGCAAACGAGCAATTTTCGGGAAGTTCAAAAGAGTTAAATACAAAGCCCTAATAACGAGTTATGAAACATTGAGAGTCCACATAGACACCATCAACGCTTGTCATTGGTCATATGTAGTCCTAGATGAAGGGCAAAAAATTAGAAATCCAGATGCAGCCATAACGCTTGCAGTGAAGACACTCGGCACTCCACATAGGATACTGCTCTCCGGATCGCCTATACAAAACAATCTGGTGGAATTCTGGTCCCTGTTGGATTTTGTTGCGCCTGGGCATCTGGGTACACTTCCTTTGTTCACTGAACAGTTTGTGGAACCGATTATGAAATCCACTGATATATGCAGTAATTCAACTGCATATAATTGTGCTTTGCGTTTGAGAGAACTGGTCCATCCCTTTATTCAAAGGAACTTAAAAAGCGAATTTACGGACTGTTTGAGGCTTCCGAAGAAAACGGAGCATATCATCATGTGCAATTTGACAAGAGTGCAGTACCAGGTCTATATCGCACTTCTCAAAAATGTTATTAATGTTCACTCGGTGGGTAATTCCAACTTAGAAATGGCTGTGAAAAGCTCCATCAGTCGTATGGGTGGTAACATGAAATCTAGCAGGTTCTTAGTATTGCTAACATTACTTCGAAAAGTGTGCAATCATCCTGATCTCGTTTTAAAAGAGCACCCTAAAGACTTTGGTAACGTCGAAAGGTCTTCTAAGTTGATGGTTGCACTAGATATAATATCCAACTGGGAAATAAATGGGCATAAGATTTTGGTTTTTTCACAGACAATACAAATGCTGAACATTATCTACGCCAACCTGACCACACGATATAGTGCCTGCAGAATAGCTAGGATTGATGGTGACATCTCGATAAAGAAGCGTTCCGGTATTTTAGATTCTTTCGAAAAGGGAGAAGATGTTTTTGTTTTGTTACTAACTACCCGAGTAGGAGGCGTGGGTCTAAATCTTACATGTGCGGATCGTATTCTAATTTTTGATCCAGACTGGAATCCTATGACTGATTCACAGGCCAGAGAGAGGTCGTACAGAATCGGTCAGAGCAGGGATGTTGTTATTTATCGGCTGATATCGGCTCATACTGTGGAAGAAAAAATTTATCACAGGCAGATTTACAAGTTTTATTTAAGCGAGCGCATACTTACTGACCCACGTGTTATGGGTTTTAGGTTTCTTCCTGCCTCAGATCTCCTTTCTTTACCGCCCAAACCTGCAGGTCCAGGAGATACCGATGACTATATTAATGATGTAGAAAAACAACTGAAATCTATCGATTTTGAGATGGAAATCAGACAACTTAACAACACTAAAGGGATATACCAACGTTCAAGCGATGTAGCTAAATGCGTGTCAGAAGAAAACCCCATCCTGCAGTCAATATTCGCACATCACGAAATTGAAGGTGTAATTAAGCATGATGACATTGAACATAGGATTTATGCCAATGTTGATCAAGATTCGTCAGTGATTGCAGATAAGGCAATACAACTCTTGAAGAGATCGCTGAAGGAAAGAAGTGCGTATGATATATCGGTGCCAACATGGACTGGCGAAAATGGTCAAGCTGCAGCTCCAGTGACTTGCAATAGGCGTAAGATGTCGAAAGGTAACACAGAAAACAGTATTGCTGTGTTACAAAATCTAAGAAGGAAGACTCACGATCATTACACTGGGGGGATACGCAAGGATATGTGCTCCATGGTTAAAATAATTTTAGATTACTTCAGACGTGCACCAAAACTAGAAGTTCCAACAGGAGAGGTTTGTTAAACGAGAACTTCTCAATTTTGTATAGGTGATACAATATTTCGGGCCACTCATTCCAGGTAATGCTTCAATCTTGTGGTTTAAAATGTGCAGAATCGGACATGAACGAGTTCAAGTGCATTCTCAAAAAGGTTAGGTTGTGCATACTAAAGTTAATCGGACTATAGTTATGCCAGTTGAAAAAAAGAATTGATGGACCAAACTACTGGGTCCTGAGGGAAGAATTTACCACCAAATCATTATCGCACCAATCCTAGAATGTTCAGTTGATGAACCCATTACTAGCACACTTAATAGGAAATGCGGGATTTTATGTTTGTTCTATGTCTGACTGCTTTCGTACATTACTACGAACTGGGAGCTGCAATATTCGTGATTTCTAGGGGTTCAATACCGTAACAATATGAACACAAACCGTACATAAACAAATCCGTAAGAGTTGGAAAATACATAATGCCGTCGTAGATAAAATTCATAGACATTACAATCTGCAAGTGCAGAAAATAATATACCATCTCCACGGGACGGGTGACGTCATTTGAGCAACCGGGTACGGCGCCTTCAGGACAGTCATCAGACGACGTACTGTGACTACATCATCAGCCGAAGTCGCCTGGAAGCGTGATCTCAGTGACCCCGTGTCCCCGCTGCCGCCCTGTGACGCCCGTCGCTGGAGGAGGCGCCTCGGGGGACCTAGACTACCACCACCGCTAACCGCGGGAAATGTACCCAGGCACACCCACCAACGTGGTCTGGCTACTGTATGAGTCTCGGGGCCCTGGTTCCTGGATGGCCATCCCACCCTCCCGGGACCCGCGGCAGCGGCACCGATGCAGGGCGGAGGACGGCTACCAGGGATACTGAGTTACGAAGCACACGGTCAAAGCCAGTGTCACAACACCGTCACATGGGTGTGGTAACGTCGCAAGTTCCCACGGTAGCCGCGATTTCGGTGACTCCACCCCCGCCACCTCGGGGCGCCCGTGGCTGCTGCCGGCGGGAGGGGTGATAGGCGGACTACAATCTGCGGAAGATGTGGCATCACAGTATTGGCAGATGCCGTCAGAGGATGTGCCAGACGCAACTGCTGCCGTGGTAGTGCCTGGTTCCACATTTTACTCTAGGGCTGTACAGGCCCCGCCACCACCGCTACTGCGACGGCAGGGGACGGGTTACGCCATATGAGCAACCGGGTACGGCGCCTTCACGGAAGTCATTAGGTGACGTAACGTGACCATGTTGTCAGCAGAAGTCGCCTGGAAGCGTGATCTCAGTGACCCCGTGTCCCAGCTGCCACCCTGTGACGGCCGCTGCCGGAGGAGGCGCCTCGGGGGAGGTAGGCGTCCGTCACCCATTACCGCGGGAAATGTACCCAGGCACACCTACTGACATGGCCTGGCCACTCTATGAGCCTCGGGGCCCTGGTACCCGGACGGCCATCCCACCCTCCCGGGACCCGCGGCAGCGGCACGGCTGGTGGCTGGGAGACGGCTACCAGAGATACAGGGTTACGAAGCACACGGTCACGGCCAGTGTCACAACACCGTCACATGGGTATGGTAACGTTGCCAGTTCCCACCGTAGCCGCGATTTCCGTGACTCCACCCCCGCCACCTCGGGGCGCCGTGGCTGCCTCCTGTGGGAGGAAGGAAAGGGAGGGTAACAATATGCAGATGAAGTAGCATCACAATTTCGGCAGATGGCGTCAGAGGATGCGCCAGACGCAACTGCTGCCGTGGTACTGCCTGGTACGTCGTTCCACTCCACCTCACTTTGAAGCCTCCTCACCGCCGCTACTGCGACAGCCCGGCAACCGAGCCCCCAGTGGCCGTGAGGCTGAGGCAGGGAACGGCAGTTCCGGGAGTCGCCGGGTCATCTACAGTGTAAGTTACGCCGCCTAACGCTACTTTGGCAGGCACAAGCCTCCACCTCCCAGAGTCAGTCGGCCAGCCTCCCGGCGCCACCACCGCTACTGCGACGGCAGGGGACGGGTGACGTCATTTGAGCAACCGGGTACGGCGCCTTCACGGAAGTCATTAGGTGACGTAACGTGACCATGTTGTCAGCAGAAGTCGCCTGGAAGCGTGATCTCAGTGACCCCGTGTCCCAGCTGCCACCCTGTGACGGCCGCTGCCGGAGGAGGCGCCTCGGGGGAGGTAGGCGTCCGTCACCCATTACCGCGGGAAATGTACCCAGGCACACCTACTGACATGGCCTGGCCACTCTATGAGCCTCGGGGCCCTGGTACCCGGACGGCTCCCTCACCCTCCCGGTACCCGCGGCAGCGGCACGGCTGGTGGCTGGGAGACGGCTACCAGAGATACAGGGTTACGAAGCACACGGTCACGGCCAGTGTCACAACACCGTCACATGGGTATGGTAACGTTGCCAGTTCCCACCGTAGCCGCGATTTCCGTGACTCCACCCCCGCCACCTCGGGGCGCCGTGGCTGCCTCCTGTGGGAGGAAGGAAAGGGAGGGTAACAATATGCAGATGAAGTAGCATCACAATTTCGGCAGATGGCGTCAGAGGATGCGCCAGACGCAACTGCTGCCGTGGTACTGCCTGGTACGTCGTTCCACTCCACCTCACTTTGAAGCCTCCTCACCGCCGCTACTGCGACAGCCCGGCAACCGAGCCCCCAGTGGCCGTGAGGCTGAGGCAGGGAACGGCAGTTCCGGGAGTCGCCGGGTGATGCACAGTGTACGTTACGCCGCCTAACGCTACTTTGGCAGGTACAACCCTCCACCTCCCAGAGTCAGTCGGCCAGCCTCCCACCGCCACCACCGCTACTGCGACGGCAGGGGACGGGTGACGTCATTTGAGCAACCGGGTACGGCGCCTTCAGGACAGTCATTAGGTGACGTAACGTGACTACATCATCAGCCGAAGTCGCCTGGAAGCGTGATGACAGTTACCCCGTGTCCCCGCTGCCACCCTGTGACAGGCTGCTGCCGGAGGAGGCGCCTCGGGGGACCTAGACTACCACCACCGCTAACCGCGGGAAATGTACCCAGGCACACCCACCAACGTGGTCTGGCTACTGTATGAGTCTCGGGGCCCTGGTTCCTGGATGGCCATCCCACCCTCCCGGGACCCGCGGCAGCGGCACCGATGCAGGGCGGAGGACGGCTACCAGGGATACGGAGTTACGAAGCACACGGTCAAAGCCAGTGTCACAACACCGTCATATGGGTGTAGTAACGTTGTCAGTTACCACTGTACCCGCGATTTCTGCCATGCCACCCCCGCCACCTCGGGGCACTGCGGCTGCTGCCGGCGGGAGGGGTGATGGGCGGACTACAATCTGCGGAAGATGTGGCATCACAGTATTGGCAGATGCCGTCAGAGGATGTGCCAGACGCAACTGCTGCCTGGGTACGCCCTGGTTATACATTCCACTCCACCTCACTTTGAAGCCTCCTCACCGCCGCTACTGCGACAGCCCGGCAACCGAGCCCCCAGTGGCCGTGAGGCTGAGGCAGGGAACGGCAGTTCCGGGAGTCGCCGGGTCATCTACAGTGTACGTTACGCCGCCTAACGCTACTTTGGCAGGCACAAGCCTCCACCTCCCAGAGTCAGTCGGACAGCCTCCCACCGCCACCACCGCTACTGCGACGGCAGGGGACGGGTGACGTCATTTGAGCAACCGGGTACGGCGCCTTCACGGAAGTCATTAGGTGACGTAACGTGACCATGTTGTCAGCAGAAGTCGCCTGGAAGCGTGATCTCAGTGACCCCGTGTCCCAGCTGCCACCCTGTGACGGCCGCTGCCGGAGGAGGCGCCTCGGGGGAGGTAGGCGTCCGTCACCCATTACCGCGGGAAATGTACCCAGGCACACCTACTGACATGGCCTGGCCACTCTATGAGCCTCGGGGCCCTGGTACCCGGACGGCTCCCTCACCCTCCCGGTACCCGCGGCAGCGGCACGGCTGGTGGCTGGGAGACGGCTACCAGAGATACAGGGTTACGAAGCACACGGTCACGGCCAGTGTCACAACACCGTCACATGGGTATGGTAACGTTGCCAGTTCCCACCGTAGCCGCGATTTCCGTGACACCCCCGCCACCTCGGGGCGCCGTGGCTGCCTCCTGTGGGAGGAAGGAAAGGGAGGGTAACAATATGCAGATGAAGTAGCATCACAATTTCGGCAGATGGCGTCAGAGGATGCGCCAGACGCAACTGCTGCCGTGGTACTGCCTGGTACGTCGTTCCACTCCACCTCACTTTGAAGCCTCCTCACCGCCGCTACTGCGACAGCCCGGCAACCGAGCCCCCAGTGGCCGTGAGGCTGAGGCAGGGAACGGCAGTTCCGGGAGTCGCCGGGTCATCTACAGTGTAAGTTACGCCGCCTAACGCTACTTTGGCAGGCACAAGCCTCCACCTCCCAGAGTCAGTCGGCCAGCCTCCCACCGCCACCACCGCTACTGCGACGGCAGGGGACGGGTGACGTCATTTGAGCAACCGGGTACGGCGCCTTCAGGACAGTCATCAGACGACGTACTGTGACTACATCATCAGCCGAAGTCGCCTGGAAGCGTGATCTCAGTGACCCCGTGTCCCCGCTGCCGCCCTGTGACGGGCTGCTGCCGGAGGAGGCGCCTCGGGGGACCTAGACTACCACCACCGCTAACCGCGGGAAATGTACCCAGGCACACCCACCAACGTGGTCTGGCTACTGTATGAGCCTCGGGGCCCTGGTTCCTGGATGGCCATCCCACCCTCCCGGGACCCGCGGCAGCGGCACGGCTGGTGGCTGGGAGACGGCTACCAGAGATACAGGGTTACGAAGCACACGGTCACGGCCAGTGTCACAACACCGTCACATGGGTATGGTAACGTTGCCAGTTCCCACCGTAGCCGCGATTTCCGTGACTCCACCCCCGCCACCTCGGGGCGCCGTGGCTGCCTCCTGTGGGAGGAAGGAAAGGGAGGGTAACAATATGCAGATGAAGTAGCATCACAATTTCGGCAGATGGCGTCAGAGGATGCGCCAGACGC